TAGAAGAGGGACCTCATAGCTGTTCCTCGCTGTCAGATTCAGAGTTGCTCCAGAGCATCTCCCGACACCATCTACCAATCTGGTCTGATGTTGGCGTCCAATCAGAAATGTACACTTGTGTTGGTTCTTCCCCGGCACTTCCTCCATGTGGAGTATCGCTGCCATCAGCTCCAGTGCCGTTGTCCGGTAGCTCCACACCATTGTGGCCACCTGCATATTTAGAAGCAGTCATTCTTAGTCAGTCCAAAGGCATGTGACCACGGCGAGATTATACACAGCAATCCAAGAGGCAGTCACAGACAGAAGAGCACCGTCACAGACAGAAGAGCAGGAGGGTTGTGCGGCGCGCGGCAGGCAAAGCACACAAAGTCAGAAATGATAATCACACACAAGGGACTTAGCACCATTCGGAATTGCTGGTGCGGCGGCGGCAGTGCGTGGGCGCTTAGAGGGGTTGGAGTCGACAGTAGGCTCTGGCCTAGGAGCATACGCAGTCGTGACGGGTGTGTCCTGAGCTCTGCCCCGGCCAATCTGTACATCTGTTTGCTTGCGGCTGTCTTCAACAGCCCATGTGTCGGCACACACTGCCATTCGCTTTGTGCCCTTGTTCCCTGCACAGAAAAGATGTAAGGCATCTGTTTGAAGTTTCACGCATGTCCCCTGATGGTGGCAAGAGCTGATCTTGTATTTTTCCTCTTATGTCTTAAAAAACACTGAAATGGACAGTGTGTTGTTTGCACAGTGTGCTGAGCTAGAAGTGTTTAGGATGGTGGTACAAAAAACAGCAAAAAAATGCTCTTTTTTGTACTAGGTCCACGACGACCCATAAATTGACAATCCACCTGATCAGAAGCTCATATGAGCTCCAAAAGGTGTATTATTCCATATTCTTGGCCACGCATACGTGCCTGAGTCAATTTTGTGAGCCGCGGATGCCAGCAACGGAGCCTTGAAGGCGGGCGCGGCCGGCTGCACGACTGGGGGTGGAGCTTGCTGCACAGCTGCGGGATGCTCTATTGTAGGAGTTTCAGCGGCAGGGGGCATGGCCAGGACGCCGGTACGCACAGGACTTGCGGCAGCCATATATGCTGTATTCGGCGGCTGCACCTTTGCATGCGCGGCAGCCGGCTCGGCAGTAACGGTGGAAGGCGCTGTCGCCGCCGCTGCAATTGTCACCGCAGCTGCAGCGGTGGTCTGAGCTGACAATGTCCCTGCTGCAGCATACGCCATGTCAGCCGCTTGCAAGGCAAAGCAGGGTGGCGCACTTTCTGTGAGCAAGCATGCCCAGACTCCCCGAGGCGAAAATGCAGTTGCTGTATCATTCAGAGCATCATCAAGGGATCCTAAAATAAGAACATGAAAGGGTGGAGAGCAGAATCTCAGGAGCAATGATACGATTGAACAAGCGACCAGATGGCTTAGATCACGAGCAGTGGTATTCAGTGTTACCTTGATGCATTGCAGGCAGCTGCTCATGCTTGAGTTGCCAGCTAATATCTGCTTTGATCGTGGCTGAGATTCGCCAGAGTGCTCCTGGCTGCACTAGAGACGCAGCTACCATACTGATCTGGCAATCGATTTTTTGCACAACGTCAGGCTGAGACTTTGGAACATACATGCGTGCACTCAGGTCAGAGCACACTCGGCAGCTGATGTAAGAAGTCGTTTGAGGTCGATCGCATTTTCTCTCCAGCAAACTACAAAGGAGAAGAGGTCCTCCCGCTGTCCACGACACTCAGACGGCGGTTTGATATAAATCGACAGCTGAAAAATTCGACAGCCGAAACATCAACAAGTGATGCGGGACAAGTTAGCTGAATGATGGCTAATCCCAATAGATTTTCATTAGTTCTTGAGCCTGAAGGACTCCTGGGTGCCAGCAGCAGCAGATACTTAAAAGACAAGCCGCCACTGTGGCAGGATGTAGACCCAGACGAGAATGCAGCACAGTGCGATAAAGCGATCAGGGGTACGCTGAGGAAGTGGGTTCATCCCAGTGACGGAACGATGTATTTCAGTGTGCGCTTGGCCGGCTCCGAGATGTGGTGCAGTAAAGACCTGGGTTGGATCGTTGGCGCTCTCCAGAAAGAACACCAGCGTGCACTGGATCAGAGGAGGCTCGCAGACTACACTCGCGAGGGTGTTGAGGCAAAAGTGACGGTGAAGGTCGATTTCATACTTCCTCAAGGTACAGCTCTCCAGTTCAATTTGAGTCAAGAGTGGCTGCGGTACAAACATGTGAACGACTCCCGAAACTTTCAGGGGTTAACTTATGATCTTTGCCTCATTCATCTGTGGTGACACTGGCTATGTCGTTCAGGCGAGAAGAAGACCGTGACGGCAGCCACACCCTCCGTCGAGAACACTTCATACAGTCCGCCAGAGGCAACGATACGGTACAAGGGAGCTCACAAGAACCTCAAAGCGACTCCACCCGATGTGAATCCAGAGATAAAAAAAGTAAGGATCCTCTGTTTTCTCTCAGAATTGGATACTTCTTTGCCAAGAAGGACGCCTGTCTTGCTCTGTACGAAAGGCAACAGTATGCACCGCTGTAGCGCCAGTTGCCCTTTGCGAGTGCCGGGATCCTGTGATGTTTGGCGCAGGCTGTTTGCATGATCTGGCCTCGCGACGGAAACGACAGATTGCTCCTCACAAGCGACATTCTTTGGCCAAAGTCTATGAAGCGCAATCTGGTGCAAGCGACCATAGACTTCTGCCAGGTCATGTTGAACGAAAAGAGCAAAGGATTGCTTGTCAAACGTGCCGAGATCCATGACTTTGCTACCAGGTGTTCAGCACATCATGTTATTAGCTGTGAAAACTTGCTTGTGAATATTGACAGATGCGAATCCTTAGTAGTGATTTAGTCACGTTGAAGTGCTGATGGGGTGTGCTTGACTTGCAGGTTCATCCAGAAGTCCACAAGCAAGCAGGACTTAAACAAGGCCCACCAGGCCATATTGGACTCAACTCTTGCGCTGTACAACAGCAAATTCAGGGATGCGTACGACAGAGAAGAGGAGCCAGAGTACTGGCAGAGTACGTCCCCATGCGTCCAGCCTTTGAATCTACTTGCACGCACACCGTTGCTAGCCTACAAACTGTTCAGTGCATTATTCAAGTGACTTTGCAAGGACTGGTGTTCACATGCAGGGGTCAGCAAAGCTGTGCAGAAGCTCATGGCAAAAGGCAAGGTGCCTGCTGAAGCTTCACAGGTGGAGCAAGATGATGTCATCGACCTCTCCCTGCCAGGGCTCGACGACGAGGAGGGCGAGGACTCAGACCTCACACCTGAGCCGGCCGACAACGTGCTCCAGACACCTCACCAACAGAGACCGGGCATCACCGGCTCGGCACAGCAGCAGGTCAGTAACAATGGTTGGCAAACTTGTAGCTAGCAAATTGTGCTATGCAAGTCTAACGCTGATATCATGCGTTGATTCACAAATGATTTACAAAGTCTTCAATTTGTAGATGTCATTGAGGGCCCAGCTGGTCTTTGTCCAGGTGATGCTGGCGGCAATGGCTGAACCAGATCTTGCTACAAAGCCCCGCAAGGAGAAAAAGGCAAAGACCGCGGCCGCCGCCGCCGCGGCCAACGCAGACGCAGATGCAGAGGTGTGCGCACACCAAGGCTCACCAGGGCACACAGAGTCTTAATCAGGACTCATGCATGATGCACAATAATGCATCAATTGCAAATGAAGGTGTGAGACTTGTAGGCAAAGGCACCAGAGCTGCCTACACAGAGTAAAGGGGGGTTTTATCGAGGAGGCATGCATGAGAATAGTGCCAAACTTAAACTTTGCACGCGCAATGCAGATGGAGCCTGCCAAGGCTGAAGGCCCCAAGGCCCAGCCGGCAAGTAAGAAGCGCCGTCTGGTGAAAGCAAAGGAGTTGAATGGACAGGTACGCTCAGAACAGGTTTGCAAAATGACAGTCTTGTTTTCATGCCACAAGGATAATGTGCCGTGGATCTTTTGAAAGCCCAGGCTTGGCAACAGCATGCCCTGCAGATAATGTCAGCTTATTGCAATAGAAGGTGATGTGCATGTCAAGGTCTTGAAGCAGCAGCTGTCATGCAGGCACGGGCCACGCGAGCCAACACATCCTCACAGGCAGCTGCCGAGTCCAGCATTGCTGATGATTAAGGCACTGATGGAGAAGCGACTGAAACATCAGAGATTGTGTGATAGGTGTAGCCGCCCAGGTGGAAGGGGTGGTGTTGCAGACCCATAAGGGTAGCAAAATGGGTTGTGATGTGGCAGCATTATGTTTCAGCTAGAGATGCAGTCTTGCATGCATACAATTTGTTGTGTCATTACAATCATTCCATTACAGGATGTCTTGGGCTAGACTGCCATTCTTGTAATAACTTGCCCACCAATAACCCACCAATACCCCACCAGGAGCCTCCCAATAATCTCATTCAGAGTAGCCCTAACCTGCTCTCAAACAACCCCCAAAAAAATCCCCAAGAGATGCATTAACATGCCACTAACAAGACACCTTCAGGGCCATCATTCACATACTAAATGCCTATGAAGCTTCCACCATCACTGCATCAACAATGTACCAACTCTCTGCGAAGTGTATATAAAATGCCTACCATTGGCACCACCATCCCACAATTAAGAGCTCCACCAACTTCATCTGCCAACATTGGATACCAATTGTCTATCAAACACCCCTTAAAACCAGGTTTTGTCCATAGCAGGTTACTTAAGGCCACATTGGTGGACAGCTGGTGCCCACCAACCGCCTACCTGTCACCCACCAACTCAATGCACTTGGTGGCCAGTTGAGGGCAGTTGGTGGAAAATCTCGTCATACAGGGTGCACCCTGTATGACCATCCATCACTGCTCTAACCTCTAATCCTGCAAAATTCACATTGCATGTGAGCGCAGCGCATTCTCCAACGACCCCTTACCGCAGTATTTCTTAGAGAAACGCATCACTCAGCTGTCCGGGCCTGCAGCTGTATGAAGAGGTCGCCTATCTAGTGGAGACTACCAGGTCTGCAGCCACAGAGGCCTTGCTGCGTACTGGGCCGAACAGCTGCGGCGCATCCGCGCTCGCCACGAATTTGCAGAATCCCGGCCCGTCGGCCGGGGGCATTGTGTCCGGCCCGAGAGTCACATCAGGCTGGATCCCGACCTATACATCAATTTACAGAACACCGTGAAAGCCCATGCTTCACATGTCTCTTGAAGCACGCATGCTTTCCAAACACATGAACACATCACATACCAGAGCACACATGTGTCACGCCATCCCCCTGAAGCAAGCTTCTAGCATGCCTTCCGGACCGGCAAGGAGCATGAAAGCGCAGTAGCCGATTACTCGTACCTTGTTGATGTCTGTGCCGGCTGGTGTCTGGTAGCGCGCCACAGTGACGGCCACGCCAGAGCCGTCAGACAGTTCCACAATGGTCTGTATGAGCCCCTTGCCGAAGGTCCTCTCGCCCACGATGCGCGCTCTGCCGTTGTCCTTCAGAGCGCCCGCCAGTACCTGCATGGCATGTGCCGCCGCCATCATGCTGCATCGTCCTAAATAGGAAGCCTCCATGCTTGTGTGAAAGTGAACACCGAGGATGGTGGTTGGCAAGTTCACACAGATCTTGTCTGGATTCACTTGGGTGTGGTGCCTGATGATACACTCTTTACACACACAAGAATCCAGCTCGCCACTTGTCATGTAGAGATCTGCTGCAGGTGATTAAGTCACTATGACTGTAAGAGGCTCTTGGGCATTGTCAGCAACCCTTCCTTTTCAAACTTCTGACTCTCATTTGTTATCAGCACCACGCCAAACACGGGAAGCTTCTTCGCACCTCTGAAGCGGAGGCAGTGCCGCGGTTGACAAGGACGGACAGCGGTGAGGTGGCATCCAGCGCACCGCCGTCGGCTTCGTACGAGTCGCGCACCCCCTGGCTGTCCGCTATCAGCACAATCTCCCCCGAATCTAACCACATGCGTGCAACATCCACCCCCGCCGGAAACAAGCCCCCTCCGTTGTTCCTCACATCCAGCACAAATCTGCGCCAAAGAACATCATCATGACTCTGCTGCAGACGTATGTTCCAGTAGATGGACCAGATAAATTATATCGTGATCTGCAAAATTCACGTATGGCTATCAAACTGCGCAATGGAAGGTCAGAGGCTCCTGGCAGAGCATCTTCCTCCTCTTGATGTGAAGTGAAACATTCGGATGTCATCCACTATGGTCAGATGTCGTACCTGTCTGCGCCCTCGGATTTGAGCTTCTGAATAGCGTTGCGCGCATTCTCAGCAGTCTGCTTGCTGAAAGTGGCGACCCGGATGTAGCCCACTTTGCCGCTCCCGCTGCTCGAAGCTGCCGCCTCCCCAGCGCCATCACTGATCGTACTGCTGCTTGCCCCGCTGCAGAGCTGGGATGATACTGGATTGAAATTGATCTTTTCCCGCACCAGAGTCAATTGCTTTGTGGTGTCCTGTCCATGCTTCCTGACAGTCAGTGTCACCTGCACAAGAGATCCCTTCACTGAATCCAAAGAATGTGAAGCACAACAGCGTATACTGCTCTGCGACATTTGCATCAATGTGCGCTTTCTGGTCGTCTAAGCATGCTTGAGGTGCATTAGAGAGGTCACCTCGCTGCCTTCAGTGCCCTGCAGCAGGTCGCCAGCCTCATACAGGGACAGGCCCTGTGTTTGCCTGTCGTTAATGGCCACAACACCGTCCCGTGGCTCAATGCCTGCCCTCTCGGCCGGGCCGCCTGCCGAGGGCGTGATGACCTGCCCAGCATGCATGCCACATGTTGGGTTTTGCAATCAAATTGGTCAAAGGGGCACCTAATGTCATATAATGACGCGAAGACTCTGCTAGAATGGGTCAAATTACCAGTGTCCACAGGCTTGTGTAGCTGCCACCACACCCTTGCGCCTTTCATAATTTCCATCCTCATCGACATTGCGATAGTAGGGTCTGAGCAAGGTTGAATGAGACCCGCGATGATGGGGTGGCAGCTGCATGCTTCTGTCACGTTCAATTTCGATCAAAACGACATCATGATGCAGATGTGCACAGTGCATGCAATGCGCAGCAAAAGGAAAGCCTTTGATATTGACATGCATGCATGATTTGGGACTGTACCACTAGGCTGTTGCCGCTGCCGCTAGTCTTTGTGTCAAAGCCGACCTCCAGGCCGACGCCTGTAACGGACCCAGCAGTGCCGCGGCGCAGCGCAGCGTACTGCGTGGGCTCCAGGAAGCGCGTGAAGGGGTCGTCCAGAGTCGCCAGCGCCTTGCGGATGGCCGCGTAGGTCTCCTTCGTGCTGTTCATGGCCTCCTCCTTCATGTACCTTTCCCGGAGCTTCAGCACACCACACAAAAAGATGTGAGGTGGTGCTCAAACACTAAGCAATACAGTAATTAGGAAATCCAGTGCTCCATGGTGCTGCCTCACAGAGTGCATGCATCGCAGTGTGAGGAGGTCTGACTCACCCTGAACCAGCTCTGCCCATTGAAGCTCTTGTCTACATAGGCCCTGTCAACTGCCCTCCAAGCCTGTGATAGGACAGATAGGTCAGCAGCCAAGATGCTAAAGCGTCAACATGAAGGCATGTCATGACTAGAGCCATTGCATGCCCAGGAGGGCAGCATGGTGCTGCCTGCTTTGAAAACTTGCCTCCAGGAATAGGAGCTGCTCTGGCGTGACAGCATGCGCAGGGAGCGCATGTTCCCATGTTGAGAATGCAAAGGCTGCGGCGAGGCCTATGGAGGCTAAGCTCAGACCAGCCTGCAGACACATGGTCAGTGTCAATCTAGGAGTGGCTGAGTGTATAGACAACTTCCATGTATCCTATGATCCGAGCAGTCCGTAAACAATACAAGCGTCCATCGCCTTTTCATTAAGACAGCATTGTAGCCTATGCTTCGTATCTCACTTTTTTCAGCTTCTGACTGAGAATATTGCCGATGCCTCCTGAGCTGATCTGAGCTGTTGTGCACCTACATGAGTGCACAGCCATGACTTCTGCAATTTGTCCTCATCTTTTGGATCGTTTTGAAAATAGGATGCTGGATCTGTGAGAAAATTGTGCCTGACAGGGGACATGAAAGCTGAGGCTCCCGTACCTCCTAGCAGATCGTGATATCCTAGATCGTGCTTTAAACAGATCTCGCCATCGCAGGCGTGTGCAAAAACAAGGATTCATTGCTGGAGTCGAAATAGATCCATGCAGTTCTCCCCTCATCTTTGAAATGAAGGCTCAAACCGATGCCCAGCTCGGACCAGCTGTAGGTTAGGACCAGCCAGAAGATGCTGCGATCAAGTAACACATATTCTGTAGTTTCTATCTTCTTTATACAGATTTGGATCACGCTGTGAGGCTGGGACATTCAGCCCAAAGACAGCCACTGATCCTGCGATTTGGACGGATGAGCCTGTTCAGGCAGTGGTTACTAACTTTCCCGCTGGCTTCCCTCCCTCCAGCTGCAGCTGCCGTGAAGCTTCCAGCGCTGGGCGGCGTTGAGTATTAGGACGAGTGCGCACCTGGCAGAATTCCCAAACCAGATTCGGTACGATTCCATTCTGCTTATCGCAAACTCGACTCTTCTCGACTCTCCGACTTCCACATCAAGCGCCAACGCTCTCCTACCCGCAAGGTGTGCGAACGCTCTGCCGCTGCGCATCGGTGTCTTCAGTTGATCTTGTTCTGGTGACCACCAAGTAGATGGTCTCAAGGAAGCGCTTGGCTCTTCTCTTCCTTGAAGTCTGCTTGCGCACAATTCCAGTGTTTTGTTGGTCGGGCTCACCGTGTTGAGCAAGCGCGTTTGCAATATGGAGTCGGTAGTTGTACCCTGTCGCTACTGTTTCAAGTAGTGAAACCATTAGTGATGGAGCTTGGAATATGGAACAGTCGGATCACAGAAGCCATCGCTCGTAGCAACTTATGGCACAAGCCGCTCTCTGCGGGCGTGCGGCCTGAACGCGTTCTGATGGCAAGCAGTCAAAACCGGCTTTGACACTGCTGTGCTTGCGCAGGTTCCAACCAACAAACAGGAAAGATGACTTCCAACGTCGACCAGGCCAAGGGCTCTGTGAAGGTGTGCGCCGACAGACTTGCCTGAACGTGACACCGAGACAGTCCACATAGCAATATGTACTCGCCAGCGACTACATCCTGCTGACTTCTTTGACTGATTTCTATGTGTACGCCACCAGGATGCTACTTCCAAGGTGCAGGATGCTGCTGCCACCAATTACGACTTTGCAAGCGACTACATCCTGCTGACTTCTTTGACTGATTTCTATGTGTACGCCACCAGGATGCTACTTCCAAGGTGCAGGATGCTGCTGCCACCAATTACGACTTTGCAAAGAACAAGGCTGCAGACATTGCATCTGCTGCCTCTGACAAGGCCCAGGAGGCCAAGGGCGAAACCAAGGTGAGCGATATGCACAGTTTTATCCATGCATGCACATAGGATTCCATAGACATGAGGATATTTCTCCCATCATGCATTGCATGAAGAGCTGCTGCTGGGGGGTTCATGTCCATGCATAAAGGATATTGCTCTTGCTCGATATTGATGTCTTGTGCTGTCTGCAGAGCAACATGAAGGGTGCATCGAACACCGCCCAGGACAAGGCACACGATGCACACAAGGAGGGCAAGAGCATGCTGGAGACTGCACAGGACAAGGCCAGTGGCCTGCTGGGAACCACCCAGAGCAAGGCTGAGGATGCCAAGGACACTGCACAGGTGAGCTCAGTCATGGAGTGTTACAGCTGCTTGTCATGAAGGTCGACATGCATGCATGTGTGATAATTCTATCTTCTGCATTATGCATGTCGGGCATTTCTGCATGTCAGGCATTTTATGCATGTCAAGGACTTTCAACATGTCATCATATGTCGGGATGTTCCTGCAGGACAAGGCACATGAGGCGCACAAGGAGAGCAAGAGCTACTTTGAGAGCGCAAAGGACCAGGCCGGCAAGCTGCTCGGTCAGGCTGGAGACAAGGCAGATGAGGCCAAGGGCGAGGCCAAGGACAAGGCTGGTGAGGCGCACAAGGAGAGCAAGGGTGAGCCCTTTTAAACTATTCTGGCAGTGCCATGTACATCATCAAAAGAAAGATGTTTTTCAAATTTGAGCGGCTGCTTCATGTCCAGTTCTTTTAAAAAATGTGCTGACACAGCAGCAGAATGATTGTGCCTTGCGCGCTGGATGCATGAATCTGATGATTTCATTGCTTGGTATGCAGGCCTGCTGAACTCTGCCTACGACACTGTCAGCAACACAGCGTCCTCTGTTGTGTCTGGCAGTGCCAAGCTGGTGCAGAACACAGCCAACTACGTCGGCGACACTGCTGAGAAGTTCACAAAGAAGTGAAGCCCTTTCACTGGATGGTCAGCAAACGGATGAGGACCTAGTATGCATTCGTTCGTCGCTCAAAGCTTTAGGGTGATAATTCCAAGAATTTTTGTGGTTTCCACAGTTTCAATAGATTGTCTAGTATTTGTTTGGTGATAGGTGTGTGCTATTTTGCTGCTGTGCCTGAGCGACGGTTAATGCCAGCTCTGCTGATTTTGCAAGGAATTTGGCGGGTTAGAACGCTGGTCCCAGTTATTGAGATGTGTGGCTCTGAATCCTGCTGTGGAGTTCTTAGCACAGTTTGCTTTTCAAGCATCAAGCTGATTTAAAGGTGCAGGACTGAGATAGACACTTATGGCCTATCATTCAAATTCTGTACAGACGTGTAATTTATGCAATCTGCAAAAGGGCCCATGCTAGCGGGGTGTGCTTCACTGAAGAACAGTTGTGAGCTGCATGCACCTGCCAGTGGCAGTGCAGCCTCCACAATGAGATTATAATAATATGATAAGCCATCTGCATGTACCTGTTTCTTTAGCCCTGCATCCCTCCATTCGCAGTAGAAAAGCTTTGAGATTTGTACAGAACAACTTGCCATTCAATGCAGCGATACCATGGGCACCAGAGTCCGAGCATAGGCAACTCCGTCTGATCATTGGCCCAGCGTTGGCCAGCTCTCTCCGCAAGATCTTTGACAGAAGCTCTAAGTTTGTCCTTGATTGTTTAAGGTCAAAGGGTGCTCAGATGATATTTGCACTAGTAAGCTCTCGCACACGCAGTGCATTTGTGGCAGATCACATCCCTGGAACACGCTCGTCTGTGACCTCCGTCTGTGCTCTGCGAAACTCGACAAAAGCACGCGAGCATCGTAGTGTTAGGCAGGTAATATTGAATGTCAAATTCAGCATGACGCATCCCATGGAATGTCTATTTTACACTTGTGAAACATATAACTTCCTGGTATTTTGCCCAGATCGTTTGCGCCATCGACACTTCCAATGGCAAACACAACCAACACAATGGATGTACAATGGTAGGGAGCCTCTTTTAACGCATTTGACAGCTTTTTGAAGGGTAAGGGACCTTTGCTTTGTCCACTTGCCTGTACCAGAATGGTGAAATTACAGTACTTAAGCAATCTTGTGATTGCTACAGGTTTGGCTGAAGCATGATCTGCGTCTGGATGACCATCCTGGCTTCGTGCAAGCTGCAGATTCTGCGCAGTCTGTCATACCGTTCTTCTGCCTAGCGCCAGAGCTGTATGTACACCTGCTGCGCACGCCAAATGGCATTGAAGGTAGGACAGCATGCAGCCACATAAATGTCTTGACAAGCATTGTCCCAGGGCTGCCAATATGCATGCTGCGGTGGCATCCCAGTCTGCAATCCAGTCTGCATCACACAGTCTTTGCCAAGCAGGGTTGCTGGGAAGCCTGGCGGATGTGAGGCACAGCCTGCGAGGGCAAGGCAGTGATCTTGTGATCCGAGTCAGCCCCCTACAGGCCGCCTTTCAGGAGATCGTCCAGCACTGCAGCATCAATGAGATCATTGCAGAGGAGGAAGTTGAACACAGGTGTGCTGCCCTGGTTATCTCATCCCAGGGCACACTCACGCTTCATTTCAGAGCCAATGTCAACGATAAAATTTTGCCTCTAAATAAACATATGACATGGACAACATGCTCATGCATGCAGGTGGCTAACAGCCACATCAGATGTGAGCAGCAGCCTGCCAGCAGGCATGCAGTGGCGTTTCTGGAAGGCCAGCCTTTTTGAGGACGAGCCGTACACAGACAATTTCAGGGACTTTCAGCGGCTGCGGGGACGGCCCATCCCGCCCCTCAGCGCGCCACAGCGCTTGCCGGGGCTCCCGGCTGGCGTCCATGCTGGCGAGCTGCCCACCGCTGAGCAGCTGCTCGCGCAGCTGGCCCTTGCAGATTCCCTCACCCTCCATCCAGAGGTGTTGCACCTGCTGCTCTGTTTCGCGTCAGTCTTGGCAAGGACGTCATGGGCACCTACAGCTCTGGCCTCTTGGTGGCACTTGTTCTGCAAATTACTTCTACTTCCGTGATGTGCAGTGCTTCTGCCCTAATGGATGTCATTGAGCATTGTTGCCCATGACAAGAGCACCTTGCAACAGTGAAGGTGATTTAGTCAACAGACGTCCCAGCCAATTTGCACTCAGAAAGATGCTAGAAATATTAATGCTGTAAAAGGTAGCTAAGGGGAAGTCTTCTGCAGGTGCTGGAGGCAGCGCGAGGCATCGTGGAGCAGTGGCCGCCATCAGGGGCGCCAGTGTTGGCTCACCAGATTGCATGCGGAGGGGAGATCGTGGTTCTGCCAGCCCTGCAGAGCTACCTTGCATGCAGGAGACCAGCAGCTGAGCGGGCTTCAGCCAGTGAGCCTAGCACTTCCGGCAGGTGTTATGACATCCCCCTTTGAGTTAGCCAATGTGACAGCCCTTGTGGGAAATGTGTACAGCGCTAGCCAGACATCTGCTTCGATTGCATGGCAGAGTGACATGTGCCATCATTTCTGAGTTGACTGGGCACATGTGTGCAGGCTGCCAGTTGAGGGAGGCTTGAGAGAGATGTCAGTGACTGTGGACCGGTTTGAGACGCCAGCGATGCCGCTAGGGTCATTCCCCGCCATCTTCTCCCAGGCAGTGTCGCTTGGGACGCTCTCACGGAGACGCGCATATCATGAGGCCCTGCAAGCAATGGCCGATACATCACCATTCTCAAGATTCGTAGGTCAGTCGCTCGCTCAATCAAAAACCATGTCTTGCGCATCAAACATTACCTGCTACTTCAAGGGCTGGGTTGAGCAATAAAATTCTTCTGTTCGAAGTACTACATCTCCAGCATGTGTGACATGCAAAGGACGCATTTCATGCTGTTTCCATTCCTGTTTTAATGAGGTGGGCATGCCACTTGTGGTGCGACCATGGTACGTCGGCACTGATTCGTCATTTTCTGTGTGTTACAGGCGGGAGTGCGGCAGTGCCGGCGCGGGCAGCGATGGCGGCGGCAGAGACAGCGGACTTCCACTGGCACCTGGCCAGGGCAGACAGGGAACGCCGCCTGCAGGGCGGCGGGGCCCCTAGACACTGGCGGTGGCGGGTGCGCCCTGCAAGAAAATCTTTCAAGCCATGCATCTCTGCACTTGATACAGTTATATTTTTTTTTCTGGATTGACACGTGCGGCGAGTGAGGTGTCCTGTTTGCAAGATTCCGCTGGCATCCATTGCGGGCTACTCTGCACCGTGCACACGGTTGATGGGGTCTTACTTGTGCTTGGCGAGTCCAGCAAGGGGTAGGATGCCGGCAGACTGCACATGCAGCTTGTTTGCATACGCACGTGCCTCTGGCGGGAAAGCGTGTCTTCATGATGATAAGAGTAGTATTTTTGCAGGGTCACATGGTGGACTATGTGTCCCGCATGCCGGAGGAGGAGGGCGCGCATAAACGTGCGGATGCGCCTGCGCTGCTATTGGTGCATGGCTTTGGCGCGTTTGGCGAGCAGTGGCGCGGCCAGCTGGCGCCCCTAGCTGCAGCCGGCTACCAGGCATGTTCCTTAGCATTTTAAGCTAGACCCAATATTTTGCACAAGAGCCTCTCTGCCCTGCGACAGAGGTATATATGCGTGTCCTCTGACTGGCATCCAGCCCTGCTCAGCTGCTAGCCAAACAGCTTGCAACATCTCTTTGTCGGGCCCGACAGCTTGCATGAGTGATGCCGAGCCACATTAGCTACCCTCAGAGCCAGCCGAGCGATTCACAAGCATGCATGCCCGTCAGACCAAAGTGAGACTTTCCCCGGTCTGCGGCAAACCTTCCCCTCATTGACCGATGGCCTGTATCCTTTCTTTCCATGCCGCACCAGAGCCCCAATTTTTCTCAGACCCCACAAATAACATTAAATTTGGGCCACTCTTTCACTCGGAGTGCTCTACCTTTGTCACCATTTCTACCCTCATGCATAGCAGCGCAATGCAAGGCTAACTCTCTGTCTCCGCTGCGCAGGTGTATGCGCCAACGCTGCCGGGTTTCGGCCGCTCGGAGAAGCCGGCGCTTGCGTACTCACAGACGCTGTGGCTGGACTTTCTTCGCGAGTTTGTGACGGAGGTCGTTCGTCGGCCGGTCATCGTGGTCGGCAACTCCATCGGCGGCTTCCTCTCGGCTTCTCTCGCCGCCGCCTGCCCAGCCATCGTCAAAGGTGCCTCGCTGCCCGCTTGGAAAATGCTCTTTTTTCCTTCTTTTTTCCCCCTTACATAGCGTGTGTCCACAGATGCTGGCTTCAGTCAAGCGAACAAACAACCTCAGTTGCAGCGCATCCTTTTTGCAGGCCAATTTTGCCTGCATGATGTGTGCGCAAGCTTCCATCATTTCCCTTCCGATCCACTTGAGCAATTGAGTTCTGACAATCTTACCGCATTTAAATGAGATGAATGATACAGATGGCACCCTTGTCAGGAGTCAGTATTGAGGCGAGTGTGGGGTGCAGGCCTGGTGCTAGTGAACACTGCAGGGAAGATAGATCCGGCCTACACTCCCGAGGCGGCTGCGGAGGCGGCTATCGCCAGCAGCTCAACAGGGCCTCCGGCTCTGGTGGCAGACCTCATCAGCAGAGGGCTCTTCACATATCTGGAGCGCTCCATAGCAAAGTACTCCCCATTTGCGCCTGCTCTGTTCCATCTGGCTTCAGAGCTACGTTAGTTTGTCGATGATTTTGCGTGAAATGCTGCCCAAGGTGCTCTCACAAAAAGTTTTCTGCTCCCACATGTCAGCCATTAGCCATCCCTGGCATGCAGCTACTGTAAGTTGATGGTGCCTGCTTTGCAGGACACTTGTGAAGCTGTACCCGGTGGATGCAACAAATGCAGATGAGTGGCTGGCTGAGGAGATCTTCAGGGCAACCTGCGACCCTGGCGCTCTGGCAGTCTTCAGGTGACTTCACACTCTGAAATTCACAGGCTACCAAAGAACATTGCAATGGACACGAAGTGCTTGTCTACCGCAAGGCCTCCTTGGTGTGTCATGCGTCACCGTGTCACCTTGGATCATCTCATAGCAGAGTGACCGGCCAATGCTGCAGATCCATCTAGCAATCGTACCAACTGCTACATAGGACTTAGTCTGTATCTAGCCGGAAAGCAAGACTTGACAATGCTGGATTTGCAAAACCGGAGGTGCAAAACCAGCGACTGAGACAAGTGCACGCGGTGCTGCAGGAGTGTGTTCTATCTGCCCAAGCCGCTGCCGCTGAACCACCTGGTGAGAGACCTGTACAGGGGCCGGGCGCTTGTGCTGCAGGGCGCTAAAGACCCCCTGAATGATGCCAGGGGCCGAGCAAAAGCGCTGCAGGATTCCTGCCCCAATGTCACCGTCCACTTTCTGGATGCAGGGCACTGCCCGGTGAGGCTCTCTGCTCTGCCTACAACATACTGCAAACCCTACATGTGCATGATTCACATTACGCCATGCCTTTGATCAGCAAAGGCATTGATGCAAGAGGAGCATATATTAATTTTGTTCCACCTGATTTCCTCTTTAAGATATATACTACTGGATTGCAATACCAAGCTAAAATATTATGTGACGTGATCAGGATTGTACTTAACTCTAACGAGAGTGTCACTCCTTGTGCAGCATGATGAGGCGCCTGCAGAGTTCAACAAGGCTCTGTTGGTCTTTGTGGAAGAGGCGGTGCATGCACAGGCAGTGGCAGAGCACAAAGTAGCAGTAGCAGCATGATGTGCGTCGCCTTGTGCAACAGACCCTTTGGTGTGTGCGACCTACTCAGTGATTGAACTGCTTCTGATGGGCATTGCCCACTGGTGTACTGGATTTTACCGTCCAGACACCAATTGCAGTGCAGCGTATTGCAGACATTTGATGAACAGATCAAGCTGTAAATTTGCGGCTTACATACACAAGTCCGATGTTGGCAATTTTTTTACTTTACTTGAGCAAAGCTGGTCTATAATCCTAAAGCACGTAAGATCAGTCTTGATTGGGCACGACACCTTGTTCATGTCTTTCATGCTATTTTTGATATGTTCTGTCTGATAATGGACCTTTGCAAGTTAATGTGCACCTCGCTGATTTAACAGTCACGACAACAACAGTGGGAAGTACTCCCTCCCTAAAGCAACAAGCAGCAAACAAATCGAAAATGCCTACGTACACCGCAAGGCTTGCAAACTTTCCCACCAGAACATCCCAGGGAACAAGCTGATGGCATGTGAACCTCTGCATCAGCCAGTTTTCTTTGTTTGAGCAGGCATAATTCTGCGTCTAACCCAGCCCAGATTAGACTTCCAAGTTTGCAGGCGGCAGCAAGTCAAGTTGAATCAAACATGATCCATATTGCAGGTCCATTGAAAGAGTCTCACGGCACCGGTTCTCACTTTTGCAAGTGCATGTTTCCAGTCAGCAAGCAGGCTGCTGTACGAGTTCTGTGTTAAAAGTCCTGTACTCTTTGTACGTGTCAACTGTACATGAAGCCAAGATTCACACGACTCGTCTCTATAATCTGCTACCGGAAGTAAATCGCAGTGCTGCAACCAATTCCAACAGAGTCCTCATGCCGACGGAAGTGCACTTGCTGCAAATGCGCATCATCTCTTTGACCCAAGCACCTCGGTGCCTGACTCCAGCAAATCCCCTCTGAGCCCAACCGGAGCCACCATGCGAGACTGCGCTACCTAGCTTGGACCGAAAAGCCTGAGGCATCCTTGCCGACGCCGCCGGCCTTCCCGTCTGCAGGCCGCGCCGGCGAATTCTTCCCGCCGCCTTGATCTTCTGCCGTCACCAGATCGCCCTCCTCGGGGATGGGGTGCGACGCGAAGACGCCCAGCTGCCGCGGCGTCGACCCGGACCGCGGCGACTCGCCCGAGAGCCGGCCGAACTGGCCGCTGTTCCGGTGCGGCAGCGCCGTCAGGATGCCGCTGACAGACGGCGAATCCGTTGTTCTGGGCGCAGCGTACTCCTGAGAGTAGGGCGACGCGCCGGCCGCCCATCTCCGGCCACCGTCGACCGCGCCGGCAGGGCCGGCCGGCCCGGCGCCGCCGTCGCGGTCGGTCAGCGGCGCGCTGGGCGCGCTCGGCAGGCCATCCGCCACGGTCTGCGCGGTGACCCCGGAGCCAAGCGCGGGGCTGCTGGCGCGCTGCAGGCCGCGCTGCTGCTGCTGCTGCTGCTGCTGGTTGCCGTCCTCGGGCTGCTGCGCTGCGCCGGACGCGAACGCGCTGTTGGCGAATGGCGAGGCGGCGATTGCTGACGTGGAGGCCGTGCGCCGCGAATCTGCGTCCTCCCGAGCCGCGGCCGAGAACGCCGACGGGGCCGTGCCCGGCCGTTGCTTCCCCTCTGGAGCCGCCGAGGCCTGCAGGACAGGTTATATCTGTAAGCACTTTGACCATGGAACGCCTTCTATCGCCCTTGACAAGACGGACACCATGTAGACAGCAGTCGACGTAAGCAGCATATTTCCGACCAGTAAGAGGAACTCAATCAGAAATGGCACGACTGCATCTCAGGATAGGAAAGTGGATAGATGGCTGACCGCAAAGGGGGAAGGGAAGGCGAGCTCGGGGGGCTGCCCGTCCATGTGCTGGTGCCCCCGGTCGAGGCTGGAGGTGGTGGGGGGCGAGAGGGAGGACTCAGGGCCAAATGATGACATGGGCACGTAGGCCAGGTCATCAGAGGTGGGCGGCTCAGTGTTGTCGCGCGTAGGGAAGGAGCAGGATACATCAGCAGGCAGCGAGCCTGCATGCACAACCTTTTTAGGACCCTCATGCAGGCAGTCCCTGTGCACGGAATTGGGCGTAGGAAATGATGCATGGCTCAGTTCAATGAGGCAGAAGGCCAAAAAGCATCGTGCATATCGGACACAAATGCACCTGGAAGGAAGCAATTGGCGGTCGAGATGTTTCTTTCAAAGGGACAGGGCCAGCTCAGAGGGTGCACACCTGCTGGCAGGGAGGAGGAGTCCGAGAGGGACTGCCTGGGCGCGGTTGATTCGATGAGATTGCAGATGTCCAGGGCGGAGGGTCGCGCTGAGGGGTCCAGCTGCCGGCATGCATTGATCGCCTCCTCAATCTCTGCAGGGCACTCCTCCGGCACCCTGCACACACAGCTCCCCTTCAGATTTGCTCGTACAAGCAGTGCTCAAAAATGGTGCATAACCCTGTAAGGCTAATTGAGAACACATTGGCTCTTTAGAAGGGTGTTGTTCCTGGAAGCAGGTACTGCATAATACTGGCAGGTGAATGCAAGGCAGGGCGCACCTGAGAGGCCGAAGTTGCCGCAGATGTGGCCGCTCCCCAGTCACAATCTCCCACAGAACCACCCCAAGGCTCCACAGATCCGCCTTCTCGCTGCACTCCTGCCCTGCCAGCACCTGTACCCCACAAATTGCACTCTCCTCAGCAGACCGCTCCTCTAGATGCCACAGTGACACTCAGATAAGCCGCACAAGCCATATGTGCGCCATGTATGATTGAGCAATGCTCCTCAAGCAAGAGCCCTTGCAAGGGTACACGCCTCGCCTGGCACAGGCTGCCCGCACCCTGCCACATCGCTCCAAAATAACAAAGTGACATGGAAAACAGAATCATCCAGAAGCACATGTGAGGTCCCAGGTGCGCACTTCGGGGGCGGCCCAATCGAAGGTGCCCTCCATGGAGACATGGGTGTTGTCGCGGGTGAGGATCTTGGCGAGGCCCACGTCGGCCACCTTGGCGGTGCCGTCCCGCGCCAGCAGAATGTTGGCGCTCTTCAGGTCCAGGTGCATCACCTTGCGGCTGTGCATGTGGTGCAGCCCCCGCGCTATGTGCAGAGCCACCTGCCAACCCCTGCCGCAGCAGCACCCAGGGCACATCAGCTTCATCCACAAAAGCGAGAATACTTTGGAGATGCCCATTCCTGTTTCTCATCCACATACAGACATTGCAGGACCTCCAGATGACGGTCCAAACGTCTGCATTGTTTGGGTATCTGCATTTGCGCCAGCTGACCATAAAAGCAAAGCCGGTTCCGCGCATTGTGGGCGCGGAACCGGCTGCACAAGAATAATGCCCTGCACTCATGCACTGGCTATGCCAAGGTGTTGTCACTGCGTACAGCGAATTCGCGCAAAGCTGCCAAGAGTTCGAAGAGCCCAGAGCAAGGAGAGAGGGAGGAGATGCGCACATGTTGCGCCACGAGAAGTGGTGGGTGGAGTCCTGGGAGAGGGCGCGCCACAGGTCGCCGCGGGGCATGTACTCAGTGACCAGCATGATCTGGTCGCCCGCCATGCTGGCGCCCAGAAACTGCACGATGTTGACGTGGCGCAGCGACTTCAGGATGGCCACCTCGTTGCGGAAGCGCTGCTGCTCCTTGGGGCTGTGCCCCGTCACAAACTTCACCGCCACCGGCGTGTTGCCCTGCCAGATGCCCTTGTACACCTGCAATACAGAGGGAGCAGCAACGTTAGTTATGCACCGATCTGGCAGTGACAGAACACACAAAGCAGGAGTGAAACCATGCCTAGAGGCAAAAAGAGCAGCACAGACATGCATAAAAAATGCCCACGGTGTCAAATTGCGCAGCCAATTGTGAGGACAATGGGCAATAACCTTTCACAGGCCATTTGCTACGCTCAGAGTGCCATAGACCCTCAACGGCGGGAGAAACCTCAATCATGTGCAATATTGAAGTTTAACAGGAGTAGCAGGGCAGGATGGGAACCTTCCCAGCTGTGGGATATAGAAAAGGGAAAGGCATCGCGCACCGAGCCGAAGCCGCCGGTGCCGAGCTGCCAGTCGCGGCCGTAGGGGTCCTTGCAGATGATGATGTCCTCGGGCATGATCTCCCAATCCGCCTCCGCGCCCAGCGACGTCCTGGTGCGCCACAGGCTCGATGACTCACCGCCATCGCGCCACGAGCCGCCCGACATCGCAAAGCGCGGCTCCACAAAATACTCCGTGTCGTTGTCCAGCATCAGGAACCTGAACAGTGGCCGGCCCCAAACGGGTGATGCAGCTGCGGAACAGGATAGATCCGAACAGAGTCGGGCAGAACAGAGACGGCCCAGAAGCCCCCACGTGAGCAGCCTGTAGCATCATGAGTCCAGGCCAGATGTGCACGAACAGCACAGGCAGCACTCTGTGATGCGAAAGATGCAGGGTGACAGAGATCTGCATCCATCAAGCAATAGAAATTGAGGGCACAGCAGTGCTCTGTTTGTGCACCAGTTGTGCGCACCCTGAGTCATCCGTGCCAGCGCGCCTGATGTAGGGCTGCATCCCAATCTCCCCTGACATTGTGGATGACGCAGAGTCCTTGATCACTCCACCATCCATACTGCCGCCTGCACTCATCGTTGGCATCTTAGCAGCATCTCCACACATTTTCCTTTGCTAAAATTGCGCACACTCAATATAACCAGTACGGTGAGAACATGAAATGCGTCTGCTACATTCTTGTCAAACCATAGAAGAGGCACAGACGCTCACCGTTGGGGAAGCGCTTTGCAGATCCAAAACCAGTCCCTTTGGCATGCGGGCTCTCCTCATCGCTGCTCCCCGAGTTGCGGATGCGCCGCTTGCGCATCACCAACCATGTCGCCAAACCCGCCGCCACAATCGCTAGCCCCGCCACACCCCCTATCACTCCTGCAAAGCCACTAATATGTCAGCCAACAATTCGCACCATGCGGACAACCTTTCCTCTCTTGAGACACAGCCCATCAGACCTCTTGTGCAGAACCTCTTGTGCAGCCAGCCTGCAAGGTGCAACAATGCGTCCAAGAATACGCATCAGCCTTCTCAAGGAAGTGCTACGTGTGACAGTGCCGCAATGTCGACCGGTACATGGACTAGGGGCTCAGACACACCTCCCACAATAGGCCCAACATTGTTCCCGCCGCTGCCGCCGCCGCCCGGCGCAGCCGCGCTGCTGGTCTGCGAGCCCAGGAAGGCTCCCAACGGCGCAGGTGTCGGCGCGCTGGCCGCAGCCACGGCCGGCTGCTGCGGCGGGGCCTGCATGGTGCCCGAATTCTGCACGGTGCTGATGGCGGAGTTGATGCCGTTGCTGATCGCCGACACCGCGATGTTGAGGGCCCGCTGGGGATTTGGGGGATTGTAGGGGTTGCTCTCGTCCAGGGCCGGGGGAAGGGCGATGCCCGTGGCTTGGGGAATGGCGGCCACGCCGGCTGTGGGACTCCTGTGGGACATGCAGACCAGTTTCAATCTACCCTGGGATTCAACCATGAAACCCATGGCTCAGAGAGACCATCCAGAGCACAAATCAAGGAGAGCGAAAAAAGAACGGAGGCTGATGTGGGTTGACCAGGCGGCTGTACCTGGCCAGGTCTGGCAAGGGCGGGAGGTCAATGAGAGAACGGGCTGGGAGAGAGAGCAGTGGCGATGCAGCTGGGAGGCGCAGGCTGGGAAAGCCCCAAATCTCCCTGAGCCCCACAGTGCCACTAGTAAGGTATGATTCAATCCTATGGCTTTCTGCCATTTACACAGCAATAACTCCAGAGCAGATTCTTTTCCCTTCCTTCCCAGCAGCACTGATCTGATATTGACAAGGGTATCCAGTACTGCTGCAGAATTGGAGCGCCAACAAGCAGGTGTGCGAACAAGAGAAGCGGAACGCAATCAATCCCTGGCGCTCAAGCAAACCAAGGGTTAATGCAGTCCTGCATCCCAGGCTGCACGCATGATTGCGCTTGAGTAGTATATGCTACGCTTGACATACAGCGATGTTGCATGACCCTATAACTCACAACTCTTTGTATCTAGCACTGCGGATGGGGGAGGTTACTCACCAGAGAGACTGGGCAGTGGGAAGGGTCTGCGGCTGGCCGGCTGGGAAGGAGCCACCAGCCGCGGGGTCAGGGATAGATGCGGGGTCAGGAGAGGCTGCAGGCCACAGGATGGCGTCCACCACATGAACCCACGACGTGCACACCTGGAAGCTGCTCAGTATGCGCGCCGGGTTGTCCAGCAGACCAGTCAAGATCACCTGCCACACATCCCATCCACATCAAAGCTTGATCCCAGCTACCGTACCTTAGAGGAGCAGAATTCCCAGGAGCACACCCGCACAGCAACAACTTGAGGAGCTCTGGGGACAGAGTCAGCATGCGTCTGGTGCACACTCTTTGGCGCATTCCACTATGATACACAGGTGCCAGACGCATGAAGACTATGTTGACAGATCCCTTCAAGTGCGTAAATGATCGCCTGTCATCTACTGCACAAAGTGCTCGAGCCATTCCAGACAGGTGGTGGACAAGTCGGGATGCCTCCGGCTGCGCACCTCGCTGCTGCGCACGCCAGCGGGGACGGCAAAGTGCAGGTCATAGCGGCTGGAGTTGACCACGGCTGACAGCTGAGTGGGCGACACCCCTCTGATCAGTAGCTGGTCGCTGCTGAGTGGCTGTGACAGCATGTTGTACAGCCAGAAGCTGACCGCCTTGCTGGTCGCCACCCCCTTCTGCAGCTCTGCAGCCACTGCCCTGTTGTTGCCTGCACACATGCGATCAGTCTAAAGTGAGTTACATGCGCGCCTCAGGACATGAGCTCCACTCCTTAGTAGAAGCCCCGGCAAGGTGTATAATCCGGAATGCGCTCTCGTTGTTGATATTTCTGGGCTCATACATCGTTGTGCAGCAGGACTGTAAGGGATCCTTGATGCGCAGTGCAGACAAGTCCGCAAATGGAGATCTATTCACAGGAAACGAGGGCGCACTTGAGCCTCCATTCGTGCTATCCAATGCTGCGTTGGAAGCCACAAACAGTGTGAAGCCCACAAGGGGGCTTGGCACCACCGATTGCACATCCGGCTGTGCAGTATCCAAAACCCGCTTGATGTCCGAGAGGTTGAACTGCGGGGGAAAAAGGGTGTCCAAGGATGCTGTGCACGCGTCTGACAGTGCAGCCTGCACAAGCACATCCAGGTGATGCGATCTTTCCCAGGTCCCATAACAATGTGTAGATTGAGAAAAACGCGCTTCAGACCGTTCTGTACTAAGGTGCTATTCAACCTCCACAGGACTCCAGAAAGGTCTGGAAAGCTGTTGGGTCTGCAAGCTAATCCGAAATTAGGCGATGGTGTCCCTATAATAACAACGCAGTGATCCAGGTGGTTGGGCTCTGCGCTTGCTTCTGGAATATTGTCCAGAACATTATGGATGGTCAGTTGCTGCACCAGGGTGCCAGGAGCCACACGCCTCAGATCCTGATCCTGACCCGACATATATACTCATTTAAAGTAGTTTCTATACCTTCCCACCGGCGCCACTGGTAATCCCGCAGAAACATCTGCTTCCCTTCAGAAAAGGATGCTTTGGAAACCTGGCATGCATTCTGCGGCAGTGGACGACATAACAGCCTACCCTAAAAATACCATGCATGACATGCTAAAGGTCCAAAAGAGGGCACCGTGAACAACCTAGACGCTATCACTATGTTACTCAAGGTTCTGTCATTCGAAACCTTCGGGGGCACGAGAGCCCTGCTGCCGAGGTATCTTTCCCTCGGAAGAACGTGCTACTGACTAAAATGTTGTTGTATTGACATCGTGCTAGCGGGCAGCGAAACGCGTCATCCATGGTATCCACTCTCCGCCGAGATATGGAAAACTTGCTCGAGTTGTGCGTGCTGTGCACCTCCTCGACAACCTCTTGCTCGGCAATGCATGTCCCAGATCCAGCTACCTGACTGATATTCCTAGTGAAAATGCTAATGGTCAAGGGTTAGAGTCAAGAAACTGGAGAAAAGAAGCAATTCTTACGTTAATAGAAGTGGATGAACAGGCCACAAGGACAAGCGCCAGGAGCACTGGCGCCCGCCACCGGCCAATCCAGAGTTTCTCCATATCACATCAGGCCTGCTGCTGACTGCAGCACACCCTCAGAGCTTACTTTTCTGGCTCTCTAAGGTGTTAGAGGAGGTTTGATATTCCTGTCTGCAGCGTTGTTCCCTCCGTGACTGTGCCAGGTGGCATCATCATGATGGGGATGGCTGGGACGAAGAACACGGGAATGCAGTCTGCATTCATGCAATTCACCCAGCACCTAGGATCTTCACGTATATAAGCATGTATTGCTAAAACCTCGGGAGTGCAGAAACGGCATATAAAGATTTGCATGAACCCATCGAGAGTTCATTGACGAAGGCATCAGATCTTGAGGATGATCACTTAAGGTTATATTGTTTTATCTTTATCTTTATTGGCATCCGTGCCCTGATTTTGTCGATGCACAATAAATTGGTATTATGGAGTGGACTGTTGTTGGAAGGAAGGGAAAGAAATCAGGCAGGCCTTGCAAGCAGGAACATCACGAAGGTAACATAAGATGAGTTGTGATTACAATTTGTTACCTAAGAAATATTGAGTGTGGCATTCATACGACCAGCGCCCAACGTGCAGGTCAGCAGGAAGCTCAGCCTCACGTAGCAGACATACGATTGCCTGTCCAACGACGTTACAAAGAAAGGACTGCGACGGAGAAGGTCCAAGACCTGTCCTCTCAACTGCAACGCATCAAGGCTGAAGTCGCTGACTCAGACTTCTACGAGTGAGAACTAAAACCCAAACCCGCCCTTCGGCTTCTTCAATACGATGCTCATAAAGGCCACAAATCTCACAATCTGCGGTAATGATGTTCTGAACGTCAGCCAAATTTGCAGGAATTTCTTGCCAAAGCTAAATCATGCAGAACAGCTCTGGGAGGAGCATGCGCTGGAGAGATGCGCAGACCTCTCAGCCTGTGCCGCGCCGAATGTCAGTGCGGCACCTGAGCTCGCTGCACATAGGAATGGCACACCAGTCTCCGAAATGCAGATGCTGTCAGCGCAGCTCCAGACATCGCTGACCCTCGGCCAGCATCAGCAGGCAGCAGCAAGCAGCCAGATAATGAACGGCGAGGACAAAGACAGCAGAACTGGAGTGCTGCGTGCACCGAATGGCGCCCACAGGCTTTGGAGATGGGATGAGGTGGAGGAGATGGTAGTTTATGGGCTCGGCAGCCTCGAGGCCGGCCATGTGCCTCGCTACCAGCTGGCACTGGCCCTGCTGTTAGCAGACCGCCTGCCCAAATTGCAGGGGCCAATCCAAGTCTTCGACCCGGTCTTCACTGAGGTGGACCACCAGCTCCTCAAGGAGCAGGGCCTCCTGGTATGCTCCCATGCACCATGATTATTCCACCATGCCTTGTTTCTCTGGTGTAATCTGACCTGTTTGCATGCAATGCTCGTCAAGATAGTGGCACTATTTTGCTCTTCCCAACAGTCATGGTGGGGGCTGAATTTCTGTAGTTCTGGAAAGCTCACCATCTCGGCAAGTCTCTCTAGGAAATTGCTTGTGCACAGGTGCTGGGTGAGAACGAGGAGGGCAGGAGACGCGCAACGCGGCCAACGCTGTTCTACCTGCCCCACTGCGAGGCGGATCTGTGCAGCAACCTGGTGGAGGCCAATCTCGGCTGCGGAACTCTTGCGGTTGTGCTGGGCAACAGCTTCGCTCTGTACCACGAGCGCTGGACGCAGGTAGTTTTTTTTTCGTGAAATTTTCAAAATAGATTTTTGTGGAGTATTCCATTTGCCCATGCAAGTACCAGTATGTGGCGGCTTGAAATGACTGGGCTTGGTTGTGCTCCTCAATCTTAGTGGCCTGGCCGCCCTCCAAAATACCCATGTATTATTGGTAAAATGGCCACTGTGTCTTGCCTCATTGGCCAGATAAATATGAATGCAGGCAGGCTCCGCACAGACGCAGCACCGGCGCGCGCGACTGGACGCGCTGCTGCGCACCGTCGAAGTCGGCGCCGTGCTGGAAGTGCCCATCAGCGATCACCACTTCCCAGTGGTGTCTGCCTTCAACGACATGAGCCTGCACCTTTTCCCTGCCACCGGTGTGCAGCTGCCGGTGCTCCCACTTGAAGGGCTTTTGCTCAACGACATCATGCATTGCCCTGCTTGGTGAGTGACAAGGCAGGATAACAAGGACGTCTGAGTGGTGTGGTGGTTCTTTGCATGGAACCAAGTTGAGGCTTGATTTGACCCAAGACTCACCATTGACACACCAAGGGGAGTATAAGAAGAACGGGGGAGTTCTTCTTATACTCCCCTTGGACACACCCACTGCAACAAAGGGCCTGACTAGGCTTTCATCCAGTTCGGCTCAGACGTTGTGCTGCACTGCTCGCAGGGAACCCGGCAAATGGAGATGTCAACGCGACATAATTTGAGGGTGTACGATATGACGCTGAATTTCTGCTAGGTTTGCAGGTGAGTCTTCGTTGCGTTTTCAAGGGGGGGATTTCTAAACCCTCCTAGCCAAGCCGGTCTTGGATTAGTCTGTCAGTGTAAAGCTGCTACATCAGCACTATCTTAATATCTCGACAGCATGTAGGGGTTACTGGGGCTGGCCACGGAACGTCGCCTCACGCTCAGGTCCCATTCCGTTGCAGGGGCATCTCGGTAGGGCAGTGCAGACGGAAGCCTTGATACGGGGAGTATAACATCAATTTTGCCGTGAAAACCAATCGAAGTACCTTTGATAAAGGAGATCTGGGCTGTTGGATGCCTGCGAGTGCGGAGGCAGCGGAGTCGTACAACATGTTATGATATACATCCCCCAGATCTGCAGTGTATAACCTTAAGAAGGTAAGGGTGAGCTCTCTGACATTTCCTGCTGTCAGCTTACCACTGAAGAAAGATTCAATCTGTCAGAAGCGCCCATGTAGCAGGAAAGAAACCACAAGGCAGAAAGTATAGTTACTGAACCAATAGTATCTATCCCGCTTTATTGCATGATTTGGGCTTGCATCTGTCTTGATTGATACTTGTCCACGCATTATTTTTGTCTTCATCCTTGAGCCTCAGGTACCCTTGAACCAGGCAGGCTGCTGGCGATCTACTCTGTGACCAGGTCAGTGTTGGCGCAGGAACTAATTACGTCTAGTTGCAATGGAGGGACCGAAGCACCGCATGTCTGGAAATGGTGCTCATACCCCGGAGAAGAGGAAGCTGTTAGTGGCAGAGTCTCCTAACGCAGGAGCTGCAGCTTTCCAGACATGGCTGGAAGAAGAGGAAGAGGAGTGGAGGGTTGGCCAGAAGCTGGCTGCCACTTGCCCTGCAGAGTTCATCTGCCCCATTTCCCTGGATATGATGACAGAGCCAGTAATTCTGGTGGGTACCGCAGCAGCTTGATGCAATATTGTCTGATCACATGTTGTGAAGCTTTGTGTGAAACTTTTTCGCTGTGAATTCCATGCTCATATGAAGGGCAATGTTCCCTTCAATTCCCATATCCTGAAGAGGACGTTCGCATGCAGGCTGAGACTGGGATGACGTACGAGCGGGCTGCCATTCGAAAGTGGTTCTTCATGGGAGGGGACACCTGTCCGCTGACAGGAGTCCGCCTCAGCACCACAAAGGTATCATCACCATTGAACACTACTCTTCTGCATACTTCGGTGCATAAAATGCCCCTCATCCGTGCCCTCTGCCCTTGTGAAAGCCGGCCTGATGGACCATAGACAATCAGTAATGCCCTGTGGTATGGAATGGCCCTGTTAGGCATGCAGAGGGCTCAAGGAGCTTGCACTTATGCCCTCTGCTTCCTGAAAGCAGTGTGGCTGTTCTAACAAGAGGTAATGCCCACGGTTGATTGGGTCTTGCTTGGATCTGGCGAGTCCAACAAGGGGTAAGACTGTGGCAGTCTTTAATTGCAGCTTGTCTGCAGGACGTACATTGCCTTTGGCAGGAAAAACGTGTAATAGTACTAACAATGATATGGTGGAAAATAGAGGCAGTGTCAGACATGCACATGATTGTTCAGTCTTGGAAATGTCAGTTTGGCTATTTGAATGAGAAGTGATGCCCCAGGTGATGGCGCACAAGCACCTGCAGCGGCGCATAGAGAAGTGGGTGCGCACGCGGGGGATGCCCCACGATGACGAGGAGTCCATGGCCGACTCGCTCAAGGCGGCCATGCAGTCGTCGTTCGACGAGCCTGATCTGTGCGCGCGATCCCTCGGCGGTTTGGAGGATCACGGCGCTGCACCCGGCAGCCCGGGAGCCTCCACCACCGCTCCTTCCACCGTCGGCGCTTCCACCATCGGGCCTTCCTCCATCCACAAGATGGTGCGGCTCCTGGCATGCATGCTTTGAGAAGAGCGTGGGGCTCCTGACTTCCTCATTCAAATTTTGATTTTACCTAAATTAGCAGTGTCTGTGTGCCAGCTGTTCCGATAAGCACGTGCTCTTTACGCGGACAATGCTCAAGCCAACTGAAAGCAGCGGTCTAATTTGTTCAACCCAGCGGTGTGGCTAGCACTCAAATTGCCCTTGCATGCACAGGGCAAAGTTTCCGTGCATCCACTGACCCACTGTCTGTGCTGCGCAGTCAAAGCCGGGCAAGGCGCGGTCGGAGGGGTCCTCAAGCCGCCGCGGCGGCCGCAGCCGCAGCGCGGCCGCGCCGGCGCCGGCCGCCGCTGACAGCAATGTCAAGCGCAGCAGCATCCTGCTGCGCGCACTGTCCAGCAGCACGCTCGCGATTCTCACCAGCGCAGCTTCCTCGCGGGCCGCCACTCCCAACGCCACTCCGCGCTCCAAGTGCGAGCCTGTCTGCGAGGGCGACCCCTCCTGCGAGGTGACTGCCGTGCCTGAAGATGCGCCCGAGGAGCTCCTGCTGCTTGCACCGCCCAACAGCCCCGCCGTGCTGCCCACAGGTGCGCTGGCGATTAGACAGCACTGTCACAAGCATCCATGCTGTCCAAACACAGCAGCGTGCGCATAAATCATGCACAATGAGTTTTTGTCCATCGACTAGCTGGCCCAAGTTGTGATTTACTCCTCGATTCCCTCCTACACAACGTGTGTTTGTCTAGTACCATGCAGCTGTGCTGCGTGGTGCACCTATCAGAACATTCTGCCTATTGCAAGCGTCTTACTTGGGACTATCAGCCTGATACAATGCATGCACACACCTCGCAGGCTGCGACACAGCATCGGGGCAGCACAAGCGCACAGTGTCCCTGGAGGAGCTGCCGCGCGCGCCGCGGGGGACCCGCATCAGCGTGAGCAACCCCGTCTACAGAGAATTCAAATTCGAGCGCGCTGACGAGCCTGCAAGCCCCTTCCCGGCCAAGCCGGCCGCCGCCGCGCTCTCCACACAGATCCACGCCACGTGCAGCGGCGCCTCGGAGTCTGTGGAACTCGTGGAGGGGCCAGTGGTGGAAGAGCTGCAGGCTGAGAAGGTGGATCTGCCACTGGAGGAAGGGGGTGTTGTCCTTGGGGAGGCCGCCCCGATGGCGCCACCCGAAACCGATGCAGAGTGCGGCGCTGCGCCGAACGGCGGCGGCGGCGACGGGGTGGCTGAGCCGCAGGGGAAACGCTCAAAGGCAAAGAAAGGGAAGGAGAAGAAGCGGCGGCACAAGGCGGAGTGGGTGTCAGTGACGGAGGCACCGCCGTCGGATGGGTGCACCTTGGCAGGAGCACACCAGCTGGAAGCTGCCAGCAGGTGCACATCCACTGCGTCGTACTTCACTACAGTGGAGCAGAGCGGAGAGACGGAGGGCACGCCTGCTCCTGCCGCGCTCTCCAAACCTGCGTGCGACCCTGCCGGGCACGCTCCGCCTCCTGAGGTGAGCTTCTCATCAGCGTTTGATTCTGAAGCTGAATTCCCCCAGTTCAAAGAGCAAGTCAAGGCACGTTGCCACACTGTCTTGGCCACACTGTCTCCGGCAACAAGGCGCCATCAATGAGAAGAGCATGTTAGACATGTGCCGAAAGCTACAGGCCGGAGCAACGGTACGAGCAGCAACGGAATGCAGGAATGAAGACACTTTTCTGGTTCGTGGCAGGGCACAAGCCGGGCAAGGAGCGGGCTGCTGCGTGCACTGTCGCGGAGCTTCAGCAGCCGCCGCGCCCTGCGGCCCGACTGCGAGGGGCGCAGCTCTGGGCGCGGCTACCTGCCGTCCCGCCTGTCCGAGACTGGCACAGGCAAGCAAACCTCCCCAGCTTTACATAAGCCTGTTTCCTTGCTCGGCCTCAGCCTGCCGTGTATACAAGTCCACCCATCCTGTGCAGCATCCCCACCGGTAATTGCCTTCCATTGGGCCCTAAAGCACCAGATGACATCTGTGTGGGGCAATCTTCTACAGACCATTCACAGCAGGGATAAGATGACATGCCAGGCAATCGCATGCTGACCTGGTGTCCTAATTGGTACTCACGCCGGCTTGACAATAGCTGCAGCACTCGCTCAACAGTGTGCTTGTGTCTCGCAGCCGCCACATCTGGAGCGATTGTGGCGCGCGCATCGGCCGAGCGGCAGCGGTCGGTGGCGGCGCTGCTGACATCAGCGGCTGTGCCGGGGCTGACGGCGCTGGCGCTGCGCACGCTGTCCTGCCTGGGCTACCACCGCCTGTTTTGGATGCGCTGCTTCGGCGGCTGCATGTCTGCGCCGGACGTGCTCTCTCTGGACATCCCCGAGGTGCGCCATGTGCTGTGCAGAAGTCATTTGCCGTGGACTACGATCCATTACTCACCAAAAGCAGCCTTTTCAGGAGTACAAGAGGCACCCTTATGGCAATTGGCGTGCCACATCCAATCTCGGCGCATCCTTGCCTACGCTTGCTTTCTTGAGGCCCAGCTGCTGCTTGGGCATCTTGCTCCTGCTTTTGCCCCTGGGTCTTGAAGTCAGAACTCTACATCTTTCTGGTCTAGTTGGGGCGGCCTACTGGCATGATCAACTGGTGCACAAGGAACACAGGCAGAGGCATGGCCTTAAATGGGAAGGGCAGGGAATAGAATCTCTTATAGTGATGTCTGGGGTTGGCCGCAGGATGCGGGCATGCGGATGCAGAGCATTTTGGACGCTGACGAGTACTTCCACTCCGAGGACGCCGAGGTCGTGTCTGTGCACCGCTTTGCACGCCGCATCATCGCTGACTACATGCCGCCTGTCACCGCCGGCGTTCCCTAACTCTGGAAATGAGAAATTGAGAAAAGGGTGAACAACTGGGTGTTCTGGTGGACTTGGGGGTGTTTGTCAAAAGTGCAGGAGGAAAGGGGTGCCTGCCTTTGTGGTGTGGGCTTGGGCAGGTTTGGGAGCCAGTCTGTGTGTCTTGGCCTTTCTCATAAAGGCAAGAGTGGCCTGATGATTCCATCAGGGTGTTGCCGCCATGTGGTGCGGCCTTTTATTGTCAATGTAGGGGGCAGGTTTTAAGTTGGAACTGACAGGATGGGGACTTGGAGCTTTAATTCTGCCACACAACAGGTGTGGTGCAAAGGGCTTGGGGGTAGTTGTAGGGGCCAGTCAGCCCAAACTTTGCCAGCAACCTCCAGTTGTGAGGTTTGCGTTGTACCTGTCATGGATGACAGCGCCGCTACAGCACAGCGCTTTCCATCTTCTGCGGAGGCTTTGATGGTGTGACTGTGAGCCACTCAGAAAGAACAATTATGCATCTGAGTTTTTCTCTTGCTCCCCATCACTCTACAGGTGATGGGGAGGACAACTTCGATGATGCTAGCTGTGCTGCCATATATATCTCATGAGGTCAGAAACAATAAATCACAGGGTAAGCTGTCAGTCAGCAAATGAAGCACGGACTGTTGCAATGATGGCAACGAGGGTGACAGGTGCACTTGGCACTTGCACCACTCTTCAGATAGGACTGGAGCTTGAAGTAGAGCTGCAACTGTATCTCTTTGACGATGCACGCACAGCACTTTGGCATGCGCTGCCTGCAGTGGTTGTTCTACAACACTGCCAGTAAGAATACGCTGCTATATTATGCCGTGGAGCTCCTGGAGGCACCCGAAGACCTAAATTGTTCTTTTTAGGACTTGGTTTTATTTTAGGAACATTGCAATCTGCAGGCTTGTGCCTTGCTAGCTGGCCAGCGCTGGGATGCCACTGGGATACACCCGGTGCGCTGACTAGTTAGGGTTCCTCCTGTGGATCCAAATCTGCGCAGGCAACAATTGAAATAGTGAAATGGTGATGATGAACACAAGTAATATCAACCCATTCATGCTTTGAGCTGCGCAGCTACGTAGGCAGCTACGCGGTATACGGTATATCGGCACCAGCACCGATGTTGCAACTCAGGAGCCTGCCCCTAAACGTTTTGGTGCAAAGGATGTGAGGGGCTCATTTATCATGCCGTGACTGACTCAGATGTGTCCAGGACTGTGTCTGCCTGTGTCTGCCAGAATTGTAATATATCAGTGTTGCTAGTTTCCTAAATTCTGCCTATTTTCGCATGCATGCAGTCATCACGATCATGTCACCTTGCAATTGGTGCTATGGTGATTAATGATATCAATATCAAATTTACTGTGCTGTGGAGCTCCCAAATCAACGCATTCCCATCGCTCTAACTTCCAACTGGGCTTCGGGTTGGGTTCCCCGCTGACGAAGCAACGGTGCCAGTGCTGAGCTGTCCTGCTTGATGCCCAACCACGGAATCATTCTTGATTGGCCACATCATTGTTGATTTCAGCATAGATCTCCACATATGACTGGATTCAGCCGTAAAAAAGATCTGTATCTACAGCCTGGCACAACCTGCACTCCTTTAGAAACGCTAACAAACGAGGCATGATTTACCTCTTGAAGTCCAAGGGCTGACGCCTGGCGACAGGATGGTTCTAGCCTGAGTCGATTTGTTCTGTAACATTTTTCAAGTGGCCACTTCTTTGGACAAGATCTGTGAACACCGTTCCTTGCGTGAAAAGTGCTGTGGAGGGACGATGTCTTGGAAAGACCTCCAAAAGACAGCCTTCTTGTGCTGTCTATGTCTGCTGTGCTGCACGAAGACAGGTGCAGTGAAGCACCTTCTGATCCGGTCTCCTGTTTCTGCTATCTCCTGCTTTCTGCCTCTATGGCGGATGTCCCTGTGCTTGACAATTTGCATATTGCTCCTTTCACAGAAGGTGCGTCGGTGGCTTGGCGCTCCACTCCTTTGCTGAAAGTTGGAGGCACAAAGCAGGACAACGCAGCACGGACGCTCAGGCGACCACAGTATGGTGCCCAGCAAGCAGACACCCAGTTGAGAAGGAATGAAATTCCTCCTGAAAGTGATGACCTTCAGAGTCCTGCCTCGCAAGAAGCGGGTACTGGGCCAGTTCCCAGTCCACAGCGAAGCTGGTGGAGTTCAGTGTGGCCCTTCAGTTGGGTTTTCCCAGATGAAAGCGGGCAGAAGCGCCCGGGCTACAGGTGAATACCGGCACCACTGTCCTCTAATGTATTTCCTATCTATTTACTTGGTGTACATAGGTGTATTGCGGGAAATTCAGTTTGGCGGAAGTGTAAGGACTGTACAGCGTAGCTAGATAATTCTCCTTGCACTGCAATTCCAGAACGTCAACGGAAATTTCACGGTAACGCAACAAGCGATGGGATGGGGTGGAACAGGTGGGACAAATTCCTGACGTCCCGCCACGACTCAGAGGCAGAGATTGCAGCAGAAGACGCAGCAAAGGCCAAGCTGCAGCATGGTCCCCAGAGACATGCGCCAGATCAGCAGGAGCAAGACGATGCTTTTCAGCAGAGGCAGCTCCTGCCACTGTGGCTTAGGCCTGCTGACATCCAGAGCAGCGCAGCTGATGCGCGCGCGATTGGCAGCTATGAGGACACCATAGAGGAACTGCAGCGCATGGCGTTTCCCAGTCAGCAGGCAGCAGAGCTGGATTCTGGCGGGGAGTTGAGTACTGATGTTGGGCCGCTGACGCCGTACAATGAGTCAGCGCTGACGCCGCTGATCCCCACAGCAGTGATGTGGCTGGTGGCGGAAGCCGAGGAGAAGCTGCGCAATGACTCCTGGCTCAATCTGGACCTGGCCATCAGCCTGGCCCGTCTGCAGAGCGTTGCCTACTGCCACTTTCCCAATGTCCAGGCCTGGAATTGCTCCAGGTACCCACCTTCCTGCTTCTTGGGCATTTGCCCACTCCAGCTTGGCGCCCACTGTAGATCTCTGGCAAAATGCTCTCTTCTTTTTGAGGGGAGTGCGTGAAGAGGGACTCTGCATTGTTCAGTGCTGCAAGCTTGCTCTTATCAGCACTGGGGACCAAGTTATGGTGTGTGTACTTCAAGCCCTTTCTGACAGCGCCTCTATGAGCAAATATGCCTCTCGCGCGTGCAGGTGTCACGGCTATGTTCAAGCTCGTTCAGACAGCGCCTCTTTACAGCATTTGTGCCATGTCGCGTGCGCAGGTGTCACGGCAAGGCGGCGAACTTCCAGGTGGAGCGCATAGTGTATGACGAGGGGTGGGACCTGTTTGGGTACGCTGGCTGGGACCCGCGGCTGCAGGCGATGGTGGTGTCCTTCCGGGGCACGGACAGCCACTCCATCTACAACTGGGCCGAGAACATGCGCTACTGGCGCACCGACTTTAAAGTCCCCTTCCCCGGCTCCGACGGCTCCAAGGTCCACACCGGTGCGCTGTTGTCCACCCTTTGCCTACATTACTACGCTGCATGTCCATGCCAAATATTAGCAAATTACTGGCTTTGGGCCACACTTGATATGTTGCGCATAGGCAGAAATAGGCGGCTTCCCATGCACAAAAGCAGGGTCAATAAGGGTGCAGATGGCAATGTGTGGGAACACTTGACGGCCCCGCAATTTCTGGCTGTCTGTTCAGTAGGAGTGTCTTATAAATAGATATAGTAGACACATCCTGAAGCCCGGAATGCACTGCAGGCTTCTACGTGTCGTACAACAACAGCAGCCTGGAGCCCAACATAACGGCGGCCGTGCGCAACATGGCGGCCGCGCACCCGGGCGCGCCGTTGTATGTGATCGGTCACTCGATGGGCGCCGCGCTCGCCACCATCTGCGCCATGGACGTCAAGTTCAAGGCCAATCTGACCGATGTTCATTTGTACACCTTTGGGTCGCCGCGCGTCGGCAACGATGTCTTCGCGTCCTTCGTCGTCAACCAGACCACGGTTTGTCTTCTGCTGCCCCTGTATGGAGCAAGCCCACACTGAAAGCAAGTGTGGCCCTGAGGATGGCAGATGCAATGCACTACTCTTCAATGCCTGCTTGAAGGCCTTGGACGGTGGGCATTGCTTGTTTTCATGGACATTTGTTGATTTCTCTTCCTCATGCACTTCACTGGGAAGTGCAGTGCATTTGCTGCGAAGGTCACTCCCATGCTGCGTTCTGCAGAACAATTAGGCACCCTGTTGTAGAGTGTTGGAGCGCTGATGGTATGAGCTTGGGGGCTGCGCGCAGGAGAGCTGGCGATTCACGCACAACCGGGACATAGTGCCGTCGTGGCCGCCGCAGTGGGTCGGCTTCCACCACCTTCCGCGCGAAGTCTGGCAGGTCGACTTTGGCGTCGCCGGGGTGCGCAGCGCGTGAAGTATCTGCCAAGGCATCACTTTCGTCACCTTTACAGAGCCACTCCATTGGATGGCTCCTTGATGCACATTTAGGCATAGTGCTGGAGTGTCTTTCTCTCCTGTGCATCTATCCAGTCACGCTGTGCATGCATCTGCTACTGGGGGTGCTCGAACGCATTTTTCTCGGCAAATGCTCGACAGCTTGATGGTATCCCAAACTGAACATTGACTTCTTGGGGTGACAGGTGCTGGGCGTGTGCAACAAGGAGGGGGAGGATCCGCGGTGCCACAACAGCGTGTGCTACCTGGGCCTCTGCACCAGCGTGGCCGACCACCTCCTCTACCTCGGCTCCCACATGTACAATGGCCACCCCAGCTGCTAACCCAGCTGCTCACCCCACCGCTGCATGCACACCCCACTTCAGCCTTGGCCGCCCCCGTTTCTGGCTGCCCCCTCTATGAAGCCAGGACGGTTGGTAGCCCCAGTGCTGTTCGGACAAGAAGTTCGGGGCAGCACGCTGCAACTTTTGAGACATTAGCATGTTGCGGCAGCCGCCAAGATTGCTACCTTCTTTTGAGTTGCTGGTATGTGTGCTTCTTGGAACAGTTGGAGTACCAGGCTTGCTCCTCTTGAGCCCTGCTGATAGCACTGAGCCACATCTCACTGAGCCACATCTCAGCTACTGTTGACCAGCACAGTCTGGGTGGTGTTCAGCGGACGTACTGCAAGTCTGAGCACTGTGCAATGAGCATGCAGCGTGGTGGGGTACTTAGTTGGCAGCACCTACATGGTGCTGTGCCATGGTGACATTGACTGAACCATGTGTGCTGCTATACTGCAGGCATACGCACACGTGTGATATGCACCACAGCATCTGCTGTGCGTCCTGAGTGCTTGCTCCAGGCGCACGCTGTTGTGACATTGTGAATCTAGGATTGTGACATAAGAGTTGTGTGGTATCTGTACAAAATGGCAGCGCAGCTGTACTTTGCCAGCGGCTGCGTTCTAGTTTGTAGAGTAGGCTCGTCCTGAGCAATGGAGTGGACTGAGGCCGCGTAAGTTGGTGGTGCAGAAGCCTCACAGAGCTGTGCGGCTTTGTATTGATTCTTTGGTAGACAGGTTTGGGCATTGACGCCATGTACCCTCAGGGCTCCAGATCCCAGGACTGGATCTGGAGTAATTACTATGGCAGCACATTCACACGGTCGTGTATTTCCTGTGTACATAAGAATTGTAAGTGTGTTGAGTCACTCGACTTGAGTGACAAGCTCGAAAGGTAGATGGCACAGCCCGAAAATGAAAGCTCCTTTCTAATAGATCATTAAATGGCAGTCATGCTCTAGAGCTCTGCGGTATTAACAGGCATCAGGTCTGACATCACTGATGGAGTGGCACTCAGCTTAATGTGTTGCAATTGCTCACATAAACACTCTGAAATCTTTCTCACGGTACTGCTTCTGCTGCTGCTGAGCTAGCCTCTATCCTCAGTCTGCAGCCGGCGCAGCAATTCACTGATGGCACTCCCGTCACTGTTGTCCACCATGTCAAAAGGGGCGCCATAGGCAGCCACACTGGGCCGCATCACTGCTCCATCAGTGTTCAGCCTGAACTCAATCTCACCAGGCCACCCATTCCCTGCAGCTCCTTCCTCTGTGATTCCACTCCCTGACGCAGTCCCATTGCTTTCTGCATGGCTGGCACCCCTTTCTCCCGCTCTGTCTGGTGAGCTTGCTCCCCCCTCTGATGCTGACGGCTGCTCCCCTGGCTGCCTGACTGGGCTAGCTTCCTCTGCTGATCTATCTCCTGTATCGTTTGTCATGCTTTCTGGGCTTTCTGCTGATGTTGCAGCGCTGGAGCTGTCCGGCTCATCTGCAGAGTTGGGCAGAGCATAAGGCAGCTCTGCCCAGTCGAACAAGAGGGGCGAGGTCGTCCCTCCAATGGGGTTGAAGTCAATCAGCCGCACCTGTAATGGCAGTCCTTTTCCATGTGAGCCAGGGAATACGCTCCTGGAACATGCGTTGCAGTGGGACAACCAGCCTCAAGCAAGGAATTTTCACAGAGGCCACTTGCATGCTAGGGCAGCTAGCAGAGAACAGGAAACTTCCCCGTCAAGCTGCCAGCAAATCCTGAGCAACTGGCCGTCAATTAAGAACATGGGCCTCCATACAGGACGTTGTGCAATGCCAGCAAAGGCTTTCTGTGCAAAGCAAGAAGTCAAGTAGGGCAGGGTGAGGAGCAGGGTATACTCTGACCCTGCCCGCAGTCGTGATGTACACGTCAAAGGTGTAGTCAGCCTTGGGGAAGCGCTGCTGCACGTGCTCTTCAAAGAACTCCAGCATGGCTTCCAGCAGGTCCTCCTTCTGCGCCTCCAGTGAAGCCGCATTCTCCATAATGTTCCTCTGCGATATGGCTGAGCGCAAGCACAGGAAACTAGCTGAAAAAGTCATAAATAGCTTGCTCGAGATCTGAGCGCCATCACCATCACCATTACGGCCACTTTGACTTCTGAGCTGTCTGTGTTACCCATTTGGGTAGCGAATTTGAATGGCAATCAGACAGCAGACATGGCAATCATGGTCTGCCCAACGGCTCATCAGATGACAATGTCCCAACAAGCAGGAGGAATTCTTCGGCAGAGAAGGAATGCCTGAAGAATGGCCTTCCGTAGCTGTCAACACAAAACAGTCCAGTACAGAACAGTCCAGTGGTACATAGAAACACCAGTCCAAAACGAGCGAGGCGCCACCTGCCAGGTCGCGCCCCTTCACAAAGCAGCGAAACTCCCTCTCGGGCCGCAGTGGCACCCATTTTCGCAGCGCCAGGTGAAATCCTGGCAGCGCTGCAGGCGCGTCAGCACACGCGTCAAACGCATGACAAATGTCGTGCGCGATGCGGTCTGAGCTCTTCAGCAGCAGGAGCACCTGCACTGCAGCCAGTCCACGCTGTGCTACAGAGCACTCCTGAACCGTCAGACTTGACTCTTTCCTTCATGCTTGCGCAAAATATGATTGCGCTGTGAGCACATTGGACAGATGCCACCCTTGACTGCATCATGCAGGAACACAATGATGGCTTTTTGGCTAGAGACTGTGCGGTAGAGACACACGACGCACAGTGATGTCTGTTTGGCGACAGGCTCAGCATAAGTGATAAAAGACACACAGTGACGCATGTTTGGCGACAAACGGTGCACCAACCTCGTCGGCATGTGTGCAGGCAAGGGACTTGTTGGACGAGACCCAAATTGCATCATGGGGCGCGCTCCAATTGAGCTTGGGGGCCACGCAGCCCCCCAGGTCATCTATGGCTGCCTGAATCTTCGCTAGCAGCTCAGGGAACTCCGGCAGCTGCATTGCACCCACACACACCCCTTCAGTCAGCCACGTGCCTGCATTTATCGCGCTGTACCAATGCAATGGCAGGTGCTATGTATTTTGGATATATAGGTGTCAGGAAGTACATTTGTAGGTTCATCCTGATGTTCAGCGTCCTCGGGCTCATCCTCGCTCCAGTCAGAGTAGTCATCGTCAGGTGAGGGCCTGGCTCGCCGTGGCAGCTGCGCACATGGTGCACTTTGTCATCCCCCACTGGGGAGCTTGACAAAAACTGATAGACACTTGTGAATTCGTTGCTACACACCAAGTTTGTGAATAAGATTGGGAAGCATATGATCGGAACCTCCCAGCCACACCGCAAGAGGCTCGACCTATCAGATGTGATAGCATACCGCATTGGAATCGGCTGCAAGGAAGACTCCATCATCGACCAGGTACTGGACAAAAGCAGCAGGGAGTTCGATCACTTTGCTGCGGAAGGCCACATCACGGAAGTGAGGGTACCACTCACCAAATTGGCAGCTTACTATATTCCTGTAAGTCATTCAGATTCGCTATGAAGACTTGTCAGCTTATATATAGTATTCCCGCATGATCTCAGATCTGCAAATTGGCCATTTGAGCGTTTTCTTGTGCAAGAGCTCAATATTAAGACAAAAACTGCTCATAAACGTCACAGATTGAGTTACGCAGATGCGATCTTTTATAATTTGGAAGCATGTCCTCCTTTCCATTCAGCCATCCTTGGTGTATATACGGACCGAGCGAAGGACCGTAATGCCCTCGGCGATGACAGAGGCGAGTCGAGAGAAGCTAAGCGGGAGGAGGAACATGAATTTGCATAGGCTGGGGACCATAAATGCACAATCTATAGTTCAAGTTTGATGCGGATACACCTCACCGAAGACGGAGATCAGTGTATGCTTTCCCTCAGGTGAGTTGCCCGGAGTTTTATAGCCCAATCTACTCCGTCTAGAAGTGACCTAGCTGCACTAGGAAATCTTGTGGCAGGGCTACTATCTTGTCCTTTTATCGGAAGGGGGCCATCCGCTTGTAGGCCAGCACCCGACTTTTGGATCTGCTGGTGGCGTGACTCCTCGGTCAGCCAGCGTGCGGTCCAAAGGGCCCCAGCAACGGCTCAAATCTTATGGCAGGACTCACACAGCCAGCCTTTCGTTTCTGCTGGCTGGAGTTGCTTGCTCCATCCCTTTTGGATGTGATGACGTTCATTGCAGGGGCCAATCTAACTATTCGAACCACCTTCCTGTAGCTGCTACACATGGCATTGCTTTTTGAAAGAAGACAACTTTCTTGATGCAGGGTGCAATGGCGGTCACGACTATCACGTCAGATTTCCTAGTCTACAATGGCAAGAAGAGGGCACTTCAGCAAGAATTATTGCGAGCACAGCACAACGCAATCGTCGATAAGCTGTCGGCCGACGCTTCCTGTCCCAGCGAGTTCCTCTGCCCGATCTCGCTCGAGATCATGCATTTCCCGGTGATGGTAGTGGCCACGGGCCAAAAGTACGACCTCAGCAGCATCCTCACCTGGATAAGCTCTGGTGAGTCCCAGAGCCCTCAAAGCACAGCATGCCTTCTTTGTTCAGGAAGCTGCAGCACCCTGTCTTCGACTCCCATCAAGATTTCCAGAATGCACTGTGCTGTTTAGCCCCATTGGACACCGTTGCTCAATCAGATGTGACAAGCTTCTTTGCTTTGCTGCAGGCGGCACGACATGCCCACTGACAGGTGTGCAGCTGGGCAAGAGCATGGAACTTCGCATGATGAAGACCCTGCACGGTCGCATCACTGCCTGGCTCACTGACCAGGGCGTGGACCTGGAGCAAACAGTGAAGGAGGCCGATGAAACTTGGCATGCCAACCACAGCACCGGTGAGTGTGTCCCTGCATCGGAGTGCCTGGTGCATATGTAAAAGGTTGATCAATCCGCGGTCAGCAGCAAACTGTGTTTCAAGCAGCTGCACGCATCATCTTCGCTGGTGCAAACATCTATAATGTCCTTGACTGGTTATCATCAAGCAATGAACGTGTCTTTTGTGCAGGAGAGACCAAGCAGCCTCGGCGCAAGCTTCTTGCCACCATCTCTGCTGTGTTCCGATTCCTGGCCGCTGATTGTAGGATGTACGGCAACATATACTAAGTGGACTGCTCACCCAACACGTCAGCAATATTGAGGCTAATTCTGGGAGTCCGCTGGATTCAAAATAATTGATTGGGCCGCCTTAAAGAAGAGGACTTGTTCCCTCTGTGCAATGTGGTAATCGGGATAATGAGATTGGGATTCCAGCCCTGTCTGTCAGTGACTCGACAGTGGCGCAATGAAAACATTGCACGTGTCTGCCTTGTTGGTAAGCCTCCCAATTAGATGGTCAAGGCCTGGGGACATCGCAGCAATTGAAAGATAAGGAGTGTGTCCTCTTTTTCAGCTGCCTTAGACATGCAGCTAGGCGACTGCTATCGCTGATGCAAAGTTGCGATTGCGGGTGGGGGATTTTTTATGAAGTGCAGTAGAATGCGTATGGGGTCCACATATTTGCTTGAAAATTAGTACAGCGGACTGCATCACCTTTTACTGAGAAGAGAATTTGCTGTTTAGTTGTCTAGGTTGTTGTCGAGCTAGGGCTCACAAGGATTTTTTTGACATCAGGATTGATGTATCAAGGATTGAGTGTACTGACATTCGGAAAATTGCTGGCGCAATGAATTTGAGTTGCTGGCCATTTAAAGTCCATTTCACATCCATATGAATCGGGGACCTGTTGAACCATTAGTGGGTTACGATGATGATTTAGAATTCATAAATGTACCCAACTCATCACTGCTCAGGGACATTACAAGAAACTCATGCATGCATGACAATTTGCAGGCAGCAGAGGAACTTTGCGATTGTTGCTTTCAACACGTTTTAGGCGGCAAAGACATATCCCAGCTGGATATACAATCACCCCTAGCTGACTATAGCAAGCAGGCTAACAATCAGAGGCCCATAAATAGCAGATGCAAAAAATTTATGTGCGACCAAAAGTGGTGCACTGACAACATCAATAAGAGAACATGCAAAATGCCAGCCGCCACGGCAGCGTGCAAAGACAAACCCTGGTGTGCAGGCTCCGAAAAGGCCATACACAAGCTGGGGGTTTGGCTTTGCAGCCTCTGCTGTGCACGGCTCTGCATGCTCCAAAAATTATTTCCATGCATTGCAGAGTCAGTCTCGGTGATCAGTATCACCAGACGCACTCTGCATGCACGCAGTGATCTTTCACATCACTGCATTTCACTGGTCCCTTTGCCAGAAGTATCCCCCTTGGGGCGCACGTGATCAGGGGACTCTAAATCAGATGAGATTAGTGATCCTGCACGAGATGCCATGCATTCAGCCGGTAACGCCGGCTGCGCGCCGTTCAGGGGCGTGCCGTCAGGCCCAGATGCCGATCACAGCCATGACAGCGCAGCCGGCCAGCAGGCTGATGTAGCTGCCAGCCTGCAGAGACAGGCTGCTGCGGAAGCGCTTGGTGGTGAAGTCCACGGCAATCAGGTCCACCAGAGCCATGTAGATCAGGATGCCTGCACCGCAACACGCAAATAGATTTAAGGGTGCCCAGGAAGTTCTCAAAACAGGAAAGTTGCAGCAGCCTCCGGAGTTTGGGGTCCTGGCCTGGTCCATCTCATTGATCACGCAGCAAAGACTGCATGTCATTGTAGAAGGTACAGCGGTGTTTTGTGCTGCTCTGTTCCGGAAAGGCTGTCAGACAGCAGTGAAATTGAGAGAGACAGAGCAGGGAAACAAGAGCACTCAATGATCCTGACAGATTGCCTCTAGAGGGGTCACAACATATGTTGTGCCAAGCTCAGTAAAACGATGAATGCATGACTGAGCTAGTGTCAAGAGTGGGAAAGAGGGGCATGCCTGTGGAAATGGAGTCAAAGATGCCAGAGACAATCAGGTTGGCCAGCGAGTCAGCATTGTAGCTGGACTGGATGCCGATGCCAATCGCCACTCCCACAGGTGTGGTGACTGCAAAGATGACTGCCATCACCGCATATGCCCATGACCGGAACTCCGCCTGAGTCAAACATAAGACCGCCGTTAATCATGAGCAAACGGTGCTGGAAATCACACAAGCTGTCATCTCAATATTGACCAGGCAGCACCAGCAATCTGGCGATCACACCTAGTATCCAACACCACTCTACAACATGTTTGTGGAGCTAGCAAGGCACCGCGAGGTGTATTGTCAAGCGCTTCCATTTGCAGGGGACAGTTGCAGACACATCCTGGACTCCCGATGTGAGGATCAACCAAAAAAGCTGTGGCATGACTGCATGCAGGGGAGATATTGAAGGTGGCAACTTGCCTGGATGAGGCAGGAGCCGAGGGCGACGCCTTCGAAGAACTGGTGGAAGGTGAGCGCGGCCAGCAGGGGTTTGATGGTGCAGGGGGAGTTGGACACGCCCAGCGCAATGCCAATCAGCACCGAGTGCAGCGCAATGCCCGTCTCCAGAACCTGACAACCACGAAATACTTCATCAGCCACACGGTAAACATGGCAAATTTCCACTCACTCCTAGCAAGTCCGTTTTGAGGTAATTACCAGGTCAAATGATGATGTTGTGCCCCCCCAAACCCAAGCCAGTTAGGAGGCCAGCAAAATTCTGTGCTTGTCATGATGCATGGATGTGACAAGTGCTGCAAGGACTGAGCGCATTGGTCACCCCCTAAATAAACTAAATATGAATTTGGAGGCAATGTCAGGGTTGGGCACCTGTGCGATGGCAAAGCTGCGGACACGGGCGTCCTCCTGCGCAATCACCTTCTCGTCCAGTTCAGGGACACAGGCACCATTGGCGCAGCCCTCCTCTGCAATCACACACCCTACTCTCAGCGCCCCATGGAAAGCGCATCCTGCCAAAGATTTAACATGCACTGCACCGCAGAGTCGCATGCAGCCATGCATCACCCAAGGATAACGGCTTTGCTCTTGCCAAACAGACATTTTATAGCTGCATCCTTCTGGATCAGCAATGGCAGGCAAGATATGCACAGTGGGAGTCACATTGGCAAAGGGGACATGCAAGGTTGGCGCACCAGGGGAGTGAGGCCTCGCAAGCTGCCTGGTCATGCGCCTCTCGTAGGCCATGGACACCAGGTTCTCCAGAAACAGGACGACCACAATAGTCACGAGCGCGATGGCAGATGCATACGGGTAGTCGGGCCAGCCTGCATGGGAGCACAAGTGCGCCTGTTAGATGTATATACTCGTCTGCAAGCGCACTCGTCAGAGAGCGTACAATTTAGCGGAGACGACAAGTTACTGAAGACTGCACTTCCCTTTATGTGGTGCAAAATGCCACAGGTGAGCCTCAGCCACATCAACATCTTTAGGAGGACAAAGGTAAAAACTAAACTTTGCCAGCCATGTCCACAGAGACAAAATGCACTACAGCAGGGGCGCTGTTGTGACGCAGAGGAACACAAGAGAGCATAGTGCGCTTTGATTGAAGTGCAGCTTACCCAGACACTCGTTGGAGAACTGCGATGCGGCGTCGGGGAACATGTGGATGAAGCCAGTGGCCAGGATCACTCCCGCGCCAAAGGCCTTCAGGATCAGGAACAAGTTTGTCTCCCGGCCCACAAGAGCAAATTTCCCTGCCAAGCACACAGCAAATCAGAAAATAGACTGAAGTGGAGCAGCCTCCTACATTGCCCCTCCACGCTGAGCTGGGATGACCTATCAGAGATATGATATGCTGAGATCTCGCACCTGCCAAGCACTATCACAGGTGTCAAAGTGCACATCCTACTTTTCAGACGCAGAACAGTGCAGTGCTTATCAAGCATGCAGCTGGCACGAGCAAGTCTCACCGGCAATGTAGGGCAGCCATATGCCGAGGGAGGAGCAGGCGAGGATGATGAAGACGGCCCCGATGCGTAGCGAGTGTGACAATTCAGGATTGCTGCAGTCGTTCTCCAAAGCTCCCAGGCAGGAGCCGCCCTCCACCGGAGCTGGGGCTGCTGCAGCATCAGCAACCGGCCCCAGAGCGGTCATGACAGACGCCATGTATCAGCCTGCGATCAGGGGCACTCACTTCAGAATTTCCGCAAGGAAGTTGGTGATTCTGCCGGAGTTGAGCTGTAAATTGACTTGTTACCGCGTCAACTGTCAGCTATTCTATCTGAGCAATGAGCGTGCAGCTGCATCTCCATTGAGGAATCAACTTCCTCAATCAAGAAAGGAGTTGACTTTGACCCATGTGACCTAGCCCACAGTGACTCCCTAGCTTTTCCTCTACTTACAGCACATATAGGGTATATCATGTAACATAAGAACATTACTTGCAAAGCTGACCTTCTCGCAGAAGTGCATTAAGAAGCGGACGCAAGCAGCAGCATCGATGGGGCGCCTCAAGGCGGACTGCTTCTAGAGCATTCCAGGGGCCACAAAGTCTCACGACCACGTAAAATACGTTGATCACGGACGCAAACAGCTGAAAACCAATTGTAAAAGTGCACCAGATTGATCAGGGCCTGGGCATGGCGCGCTCGGTCTCAAGGCCCTCAACACGTGTGTGGCGCAAGACCTGTCCGTATCGCCCTTCTTGCCTAACAAAAATCACAATGCACATTCCCAGGGTGTTCTTAAGGTCATCCGAAGGCCTGTGGCCTTGCATGCAGATGCACTTGTCCCAAGAGAAACTACTCACGACGGCCCACGGTCTGGAACGGGTCACGAGAAAAGCCTTTTGCGGGCCAGGAAGATGACCCCACTCATGAGCATTCAAGAAAACAAAATTTGCCTATACTTTTAAAAAGACATGCCTCGTCCCAATCAGCAGCTGCTGCAAGGCCTTTGACAAGGATCCGCTGCCTTTTGGAGTGAGTAACGTGTGAGAAGGAGATCGTCGTCGTACCTGCTCGCGGCTTCCGCCCGGTCTCACCTCCTTCGTGAGTCTGCGATCTCACTGGCCTTAAGAAAGCCAGTTTTCCGCCGCCCAGTGCAGAATATTTAATAGAGACTGATCAATGCGGCGGACCTGCGCAGCCGTAGCTTACGGGATGCCTGGGCCAAAATTGGGTTTGGGGCAGCTTCTTTGTGTAGGTACATAGCTTCTCGAAGCGCCCCTCAAGATCCCTCTCTTGTCCTCCATATATCCAATAGTTGGCATACATTGGAATGCAGGAGTATGCCGGTATCATGCCTTCCTCGGAGGCTGCACTGTTCATGCATCCGCATGCACTGAAGCAGCCGCGGCGATATGTAGAAAGATGGATATCCGTGCCGCACCGTGATGGCGGCGCCGGCGGCCGGCATGGGCCAAAGTGGAGAGTGCCCGGCACTGGGCCAGTGCAGTCACCAGGATCATGGCATGACTTTGGATTACACAAACCAACTTGGATTGAATCCTCTGGGAAACATCACTCCTGACTGCCAGTGCAGGAGCAGCACAGACAAGTGGTGCCAATAAAAACCAGCCTCTGCTTGGACGCTCGGAAGTCTGCCACATAGCAACTGCAAGTCTTCAGTCATGTGCTAAAAGTTGGTGCTGTTTTGCAACAGACTGTGTCATGCTCCTTGGCCAATGCAACTTGCAGGAGCTCTGACTCAGCTGAGAACTCTGACAATGGCACAGTCGTCATCTACAAAACCCACAAGAATACATGGTCCATTGAATGGACTCCAATCTGCTGTCCGATTGAAACTCTATCAAAACTTTGCAGCCTCTGCCTACAAGAAAATTCAAGACCTCCATTCTCAGCCTTCCAAAACCCACAAGTATCCCCAAAAACATTTCGCCTCACAAAGAATTACTGCTCCACCCGCTGCTGCAGCGCAATTTTCTCGGCTGCCGGTTGTCACTGCTGACGAGCCTTGAGCCCTGGCATGAGCGGCGGCAGCACGTCCTTCTGCTCGCCGCCGCCGCGGCCGGCTCCGCTGCCGTCCACTTTCAGAGCCACCTCAACACCGCCATCCACAGGGACCACCTGTCACCAGTGTCAACCTGTTTCGACTTCTTGCACCAGTGAATGCATACGCTCAGGCAGAACACATCAGCAATGCTCAACAATAGACATTGTAAGCCAGAGCCCCAGTTGCACGCGCAGCAAGCGTGGGTCAACCCAGCAAAAATATTGGGTCGTGGCAACTCACAATCGCGCACTACTGGATCAACCATTTGATTAAACCCATTGCAGTGGGCATGTCTGCATTTGATGTCACGTCCACCCAGCATCATCGGTGATGATAGGCTCGAGCATTCTCTGATATAAAATCAATGATCTTAATGCAGCAGCTCAGGATATTGTCCTCACCTCAGCGTTGATGCCGGGGCCAAAGAAGGTCTCGATCTTGTTCAGCCGCGTCTCCCACATCTCCAGCGTCATCTGCTCCTTGGTCTCAAACTCCAGCACCAGCGTGTACGCACCCTCTCGCGCTTCCTCGCGCACCCCCCTCAGCAAGGGAGTCAGCCTGCACAGAACCCCGCTCGAATTTTGCAGCGCCCCACATCTTGATCCTTTGCAGATGCACAGGAATCTCCTTGGTGACAGCAGGGCACCATTTTCCACATTGACATGGTGGCATGATGCATGCTATGGATAACCTTCTTGGAAGAAATCTCATGCATTCATGCATTCTGTAGCAATGGTGGGGCCTTGAGAGGAGGGTACCTGCGGGGGATGCCTGTCTGCCGGCCGAATTGGAAGATCCGGTTCAAGGCCTCGTCCAAGTGCTGCTCATCTCCGTAGCGGTACCGGGTCACATCCTCCCTCAGCTGAACCATCACAACACGGCCCAACCTTCTTCAGCTCGACCTTCCCGTTGCTGACACAACATTAAACATATTGCAGTAGCAAATGGCACTCAGCATTAAGCAGAGCCACACTTCGGCATGGCAGCCATATCAGGAACAAGAAAAGCAACACAACAATGGCCAACGGCATATTAGTTCCTAATGTGGCTGCCATGCATCCAATTTAACACCTGTAGGATCAAAGCCCCACATGCAGTAGAGACATCACATTAATATCTAGTGGATCCACCGCTCACCTGCTTCTGGATGTCGGTGGCCTGTGCCTCGCGCAGGGAGAGGGCCTGCACAGTGGTTTTGCAGGGCACGGGCTTGAGCTGCGCATAGCTGAGCGCAAAGCCCAGTAGCGTGATGGGGAAGCCGTAGATGAGCAGCAGCGCCGCCACCTCAGCGCCAGGCAGAAGCTGGAAGAAGGCGCCAAATCCATAGGTTAGGAAGAAGAGCCCCACAGGAGTCAGCAGCGACCCGAAGGAAACCTGTGACCATGAGAGCACAGTGCTCTGTCAGCAGCCTGGAGTTTGGTGGTAAAAACAAAGTCTCGAGGTTGCAGCTGTGGGGTGTCTTATAGTGCACGCGGCTGGATGCAGACAATTTCTTTCTACCCATGCAGCATTAGGACATGGGCTGTCGGGCAGTGGACACGGTGCAAACCTTCTCTATTCTGAAACCATCAGGCTCCACATACTCTGCACCAGCTCCGTTGGAGGCTGAACAGACCAAGGCTTGCCTGAACCCATGCTTCCTGCACCCACGACACAGAGACACCATGTGAACCCCAGGACGGAGTCTTAAGGCTGTTTCCGCGTTGAAGTGAACAAGTATGAAGAACGCATTCGCGATCCTTCAGCGAAAAAACTGATCTTTATGATTGTGGAGGATCGCTCACCCTGACATGTGAACTTGACGACCAGGTGCTCCGATCTGCGGTCTTGATCGGGCAATCCTTTTAGTACAATTTTGAGATACAAAAGGCAACCTTTGCATGCCATGACAGCAGCTCTGTCTTGCAAACAGGAAAGACATTGTGTTCTTGCTGCTGTTTAGGAGCCTAGTTCACCCCACTGCTCTCCTCCTCCGTAGCTGAATGAGTGCCCCTTAGATGCAGTGCCTCAATCGAAAAGAAAATCCCCTGCCCTTTCCAATAGCAGCTCAGGAACATGATCGACTGGCGCAGAAAAATCGATCATTGAAAGGGACGCCAGCGAACCTCGGCGACATCGTGTCATCGCTTTGATCGCTTGGTAATGACGTCGCTCGGCCACGGGGGACAGGCCACGACGGTCTCTCTCGCCCCAATCTGCATATGCGGAGGGAAAAGAGGCCTGTGAGAAGTATCAGTCCATCGGATTCACGCTCAGTCGGATCGGCTTGCGACAGGAACACACGCGAGGGAGCGCGCGCGACAAATCTCGGGTGAGTTGCAGTGGCGATCGCGCCACCCTGAGTGAATGCCATGTCACCCCGTCTTTAAGTGTTTCTGTGGATGAGATGTCAGAAAGATCCTATCTTTGCATCAGGATGCAAAGGTATCTGTATCCGGGCACCCTAGAATTGTCTGTGGACCTGGCATAGGCATGCGTTCAGATGCGTTCAGAGAGTGGACGTGTCCTATGCGCCTATGGCACTTGCAAAACTTGGCAAGATTCCTCCTTTCGTCGTCTGAAGGTGATTCTGATGCAAATCTTGTTGATGCAGACCCAGTTGTGAAAATGTCGGGAGAGATCGTGTCGAGAGAGTGCTACGCGTTTGGACACCTTTTCCCCGGCTCTCCTCTGAAGGTCGAGGCGCCTGTGGAATTCTTCGATCCTTTGACAGGAAGGTGAGTTTTCTTCCACGCATGTTCATAGCAGCGCTTGTGAAGAGACTGAGATTCTTGAGCGGGTGTCCTTCATCCTGCAATCCGCAGTACAGTGACTGAGACATCCCGTCTTGTGTTGCAGCTTGATGACGGAGCCAGTCAGGCTCCTGAACTCAGACAGTGTTTTCGACAGATCGAGTCTTCAGAAGTGGTTTCGACAGTGCGCAAAGGGTAAGCGAGTTCCGTCCTGCTGAACCAATCGCTTTTGGACGCTTCCCTTGTCTGCCTTTTTCGAACGCCAAATCGTCCGATGCGATGCCACAACCATGTCAATATTTCATGCAACAAGAAAAATTCTCAGAAGACATTCATGCACCGCAGACGTGGAGCCCAGGTGCCCTCTCACCGGCGTACCACTGAAGGGCTGGATCACCATCCAAGCCGAGGACAAACTTCGAAAGCGCCTCGTGGCCTGGGCAGAGAAGCACAATTGTACTTTGGACCTCATATCCAGTCTAAGCTCCTCTCTGCCCAAGTCGGCAGCAGCTGCTGGCCCCTGCTTGCGCACCTTCTGCCAACACTGTGGAAGAGGTACAACCCTCGCCAGTGCTGATGTGTAGCACTTTCACCATTGCATGAGTGCGCAGAGCAATCTTGCTGCTTGAGTATAGCCTCGCAGGCTTTGCATGATTGACCATCAAACTGCAATTCATCAGCTGATACCTTTCTGTGCATTGCAGGGTCAGGAGATGAATGTTTGACGGCAAAACCATGCCGGCCGCGCGCACGAAGCTTCTCTCTACCCAGGACAGCTGTGCGCTGATCTGTGCTCCATATGGCGGCGGAAAGTGATCTACAATTATATTGTGACATTTGGAGGGGCCAGCAGAGTGCGACAGGCGTGTGCACAGCACTGTCTGGAGACGCTCACAGAAGCAGATAGGCCGCCAGAATATGGGAAGAAATGCACACTTGTACCATCAACTTCAGATGTCCACTTCATTGGCAGGTTCTCTGCCGAAGCTGGAACATGTGCTTGTCAGCTGGCGTCCCCGCAGCTTGACATAAGGATTGCAGCCTCACTTTCTGACACCATACGGCGGTGAAATACAGTTAGGCCTGAGAAGAATGCACTCCGGTACGCTGGTGAAAATTATCGTGGGCTGGTGATAGCTCAGCAAGCAGATATTGCTATGAGAGGTTGTGGATCAGCAGCAAGTTAATAAAGAAAGATAAGAACAGGACATTGCTTTCTGGAGCAGACTTGACTTGAAGCTCTTACCCATGCAGCTAGTGGTGGTTCTTCATCCCTGACGGAGGCAATGCTAACTTGCTTAGTCAACGGTGTGTCATTGGGTGCAGAGCACCCTGCAGGGATGTGTGCATCTGCTGCTAAATGCAAACAAGATGATATATAGATCTGACAGACAGCAAGGCATACAATGAATTTATTTGGAAGAGCCACAGGTGGTTAATTAGAAAATACTACAGGGTATGCGGGATGTTGGGGCTGGAATTTTCGGGACACCACAGGGCAAACATCCAATTACGATGTTGGATTATATGGCGGCAGTCTTTGGGGCTGAGATGACCCGCCGATGTCTTTTTTGCAACGCTCTGTTGTGGCAGCTGTGACACCCATGCAAGCTGGCACCGGTTGTCAGAGCTCTAGACTTCTTCTTTTTCTTCAAAGTGCTCGTGCAGCACATTCTCTTTCAGGGCAGAAGACAGGCAATGGCCCAGTGGGCGACAAGCCTGGGTTTGAATACAGATGTACATGTATCAGGACGCTTGTCTTCTGGTCTTTGTTTTTTTCCTATTATTTGGGGTATGCAGCTCAGCAGGCTGCTGCATTCCTGGTACTGCTGTCAGACTTTTCTCTTTGTGGGTGGCTCCTATTGAGGATTATTTCTGTTTGTCTGTAGCATCATGCATTTGCTGCACTGATTGGAAAGCAGCAATTCTCCTAGCTTTGGGGCTTAGCCTGAGGGATTTGGGAGCAATTGTGAGAAATCCAAAGTGAAGCTTCACTCATGGTGGGCGGCTGGGACAACTGGTGCCTGTGTTGCTTGCGAGCTGATCAGCTTACTTCTTGACATGGCTTACTGAACAATCTTTCTGGCATGACAATGAGTGTGGATCATCCAGACTTTATTCATTTGCCCTTTCTTGTAGGCACTGTAATGGTCATGAGAGTATATAGGTTGGCTGGGCTTTTTGTTATAATCTTCAATAACATATGTTTTTGGCAGTGTGCATGGACTAGGTAGTGCAGATTTTATAGAGGAATATTCTACGAAGGCTAGACTGCGTCTGCAAACGCGATTATCTTCGATGTGTGTTGATAAGCATCATGGCCAGAACTGCTTCAACTTGAAGTTGACGTGCGTGAGTGAATTTCAGTTGCTGTGCTTATCTTCAATTTAAAGCAGTTCTGGCCATGTAAGATCTTTGGGATTTGAGGCATTGCCGCTGGTCCGACTACTGCATTTGTGAGTCACTGCTGTTGCCCTCACTGCATTTTTACTGCGTCAGCACACTACCAGTGCAGCCAGCAGCCAGCTGCCCAGTCATCCCAAATGAGTGAAATGTAGCCTTGTATGCACTGCTTAAGGTCAATCTGAGGCTACCTTAAATTCCAGTCCTTCCGCATGCTCTCACAGGCCACCGATTAGGAAGCTTTGATGCGGTGAACTTCAGCTTGAAGCTGGCAATGCATTCACATGGCATGGATGTGATCACATCATGCATGAATCAATACGACATGCATGCATGATGACGATGTCATGCTCACTGCAGGTGAGGCCACGTGAAAGCGCACCGGTTACCGCAGAAGTGCCTCAGTTTGTGTGGCTGGATTGTGCCGCAAAGCACCCACCGGCCGGGGTACAGGGTACAGGCCGCGCTTAGCGCCGGGCAGTACGATTGGACAGCACATGTGCACAGTGTTCACTGCTGCAGTCGCATTTTCTTCGGTACTGGCTGCCAGAGACTGATCGTCACAAGACCGCAATTTGGACTCCCAAATTATGGAGATGTGTACAGTGTTATCATGATGGGTGCTGGGCCCTATGGTACCAAACATGTGGGGCCTGTCTACGACGGCGAAAAATTTGAAATTCAAGTTCAATCAGCAGTGAGTCACCGGAATCACAACGGAAAACTTGCTTGTCGAAAAGATCCTCTTCGAAATCTAACTTCCCCCTATCGAGTGTAAGAGAAGCCTCGAACATCCGAAATCAGTTGCTTAGTTCTGTTTCTATGTCGGGTGCGACGACCTCCTGTTCCAGTGACGCGAGTTGGCTACACCATAGCTTTCGTGCATAGAGCAGCCAGCGAGGGCAGAGCGCTTACAAGAATGAAGTTTCTCGCCATATTCGTGTTGATGCTGAGGCTGGCATGGGCTCAAGGCTTACCGACGAGCACCACAGACGCAGAGGTCCGTGCTGCCGCAACCAACGAACTGGCGAGAACACTTGCAGCTGGACAGACAAAGTGTAAATATTGCATAAATGCATTCCAGACTTGGTTCCTAGCCGATAGGAATAAATTTAGTGTCCATGCTGCAGGAACCGTGGGCAGCTGCGATGGGGGATGGCTATCCCGTGCTGACCAGCTTTGATGGACACACTTTCCAGTTTCCAGGGAGAGCAGGGCAATACTATGACCTTATATCGGCAGATGAGCACCAGGTGGGTTCCGACAGAGCCCAATCTCTACGGCCACCGAATCTCAAACAGCCCAGAGGCTAGACGCCCTCATCCTAGGTGACTTCTCAATGGGATAGAAAGGGATTAATATGCTAATGCTGACCTGATGTGATGCTTGTCACAGGTGACGATGAAGCTGCAGGCTGGTCAAGCCTGGAACCATACCGGAACCTTCATTGAGGGGCTGGGTGTGCAGTACCACCAGCACAAGATCATCGTCAGTGTGAATGCACATGACGTGCTTGCAGGTATGTCCAGGACACAAGACAAAACCACTATCGTGCTCTTCCCTGCCACTGAGATTTGTGTTCCGACAGAACGCGATGACCTCACTGAAAATGGCATGTTCCCTTGCGCTGCCAGTCAGATTCATCATTCCTTGCATGCAAGTAAATTCCGAGTGTGCGTCCTGTGAAGAGAGGTGCAAGAGCTGAGGTTTACTGGCTGTGGGGCGCTGTAGTGTTCATGAATGGCCAGGAGCTGAGGATGAGAGAGGAGCAAACTAAGCAGGAGCGCATGCTGGCTGTGGAGGATGGCTCAGAGCTGCTGCTGGCTTGGAGCCTGCAGTACCCAGAGCTGGGCAATGCCGTGGAGATAGTCACAGGTGCCTCTGTCAGCACTGTCCTTGCTGCTTCCTGCTGCTTCACCGCTGCCGTGCATGGCACGTGTTGTGAAGTCACATTCGCAAAATCCTGTTCCGAACCTGACTGTAAATTAAGGACGGGTTGGCTTGTTGACTAAGATTACTGTTTGTGTGTGCGCAGATCTGCTGCGTATAGTGACCTGGGTGACACCGGCGCAGACAGTAGATCAGGACGGCGTGTACCAGCCTGCATACCTCAATTTTGATGCCCAGCTTCTGGCGCCACCACACGGCGAAATGCAGGTGTGCTGCGGCCTTCCGCTTGCTCATCTTGCGCACTTTTGGACCTACCAGCATAAGAACAAACTGGCATGCACTGCAGCAACTCTGATGCATCAGCTGACTTTGAGCTGCCCCTCATTCAATGCGGCCCTCAACCAAGCTGCTCCATTCCTGTTCGACTGAGACAGAAAGCAGACGTGGGCGGCAGAGAGAGCAAATGTGGATAGATTGCTGGTCCTCGTAGATGTAAGAGATGCCTTTATTAGTTTTAGATCGCTCGCGGCGCATGCATGCGCAGGGTGTTGTTGGGGAGGGCTTTGCGCGGCTGATCAGCGGGCGCAGGGAGGAGGATCATTCGCAGCTGCACGGCATGGTGGCCGACTACCAGATGGCTTCCTACTTCGAGGGGCGCCGGCCGCTCGCATATGCCGGCGGCAGCGGCGCCGGCGGCGGCTGGCCGCTCGCGCTTCCCGGGGGCGGCGGCCAGCGGCGGCTGCTGCGCGAGGATCTCGCCGGGAGGCCCAAGTTTCCGCTGCACGCCCGCGGCAGGTCGGCCAAACTCTCACAGGTGCGCCATGCGGGCTTTGTGCGCAGTTTTACCTTCGGGGATGACTCATTCACAGTTTTGGAAGCTCCCGGCGTCCTGCAAGGGAGGTCTTTTGCTTCTGGCACATTGCTAAGGATGCTGAGCTTGAGATTGAGAGAGCATGTGGATCAGGTTCGTGCGCGCACAAAGGCGGCACGTATGCGGCGGCTGTCGGACAAGGACGTGAAGGGGGTGCTGACGCGGTCGCAGAAGGCCATGCACCACATGGGCGCCCGCCGCGCCGGCGTTGCCTAAGCTTACTAATCCTGCAGTCTAGAAACAGTGAAACACCACAAGAGCTGTACCTGGTATGCAGCAGGCAAGGGAGAGATTAGCAGCAATCGAGGACTGCACAGGCCAGAGTTGTACCAACAGAGACTTTCAGTAAACGTGGACAGTGATTCAATGTGTTCCAGGGTCCGGACACTTTGTTAAATGTTGCACAGCACACCATGGTGCCAAAATCTTGGGTGCAAAGGGCCATTTCTTCTGTCTCTCACGCTCTCTGCCATGCAGTGGCAGAGACAGCATGTTGCAGAAAGATGGAGTCTTGGTGTATTGCTTGAGAAGTCCGTATGAGGCAGGACGGCACCTTGTCGAGAGGTAATGTTGTCCCTGCACCATGAGATCAGATTCCTAACTTGAATAGGCGGCTCAGCTCCGTGTCAATGATGCAGCAGCCTGGCTGCTGCACAAATACCTTTGACACGTCTGTAAATAGGATATAGTCTATAGGGAGTCTCACAGTCCAGAATTTGGGATGCCCTAGCGCCTTGCATCAAGGCATGCCATGGCATGGCATGAATTGAGGTGTGTGTGCATTCTTGTGAACTATGCCATACCTTGCGACTTATGGCTGAGCAGTGCATGTAAAAGGTTTCCGCGCTCTAGCTAAAGGACTCTGTCCTGTGCCATCATGATAGTCATTGCTGAGCATGCATGCATTCTGCACCTTTTTGAAGAGGTGCAGAACGAGCTTACGCATGCACTGCTATGATTACTGTTACCCATGCCAACATCATGTGATGTACATGATGTCCGTGAGGTAAAATAATTTCATGATGACAGTGGCAGGAACTCAAATAGAGCTGGCACTGCACATGCGCCGTGCAGGGCCACATATGAAATTTTATCACTGGTGAGATCTGCATCATGATGGTACCATGGTCAGAGAATTGTTCGCTTTAAAGCTCCGTGACTCGCGTGAGTGCACTGCACTGTGGCACACTTGGCAAGACCTGAAGGTTGTCGGACGGCCGCCTGCGCGCGCTGAGACGCGCCATACGGTTTCAGCCTGAGACTCTCATACTGTGGCACATCTGTAGCTCTTGCCCGTACCGCGCGACACATTTGGCAGGCACCACCAGAGTGCAAGGCGTGCAAACGTGTTCCTGCGAGGGGAGTCTCCAAGCGTGCACATGCTCACAAAGATCACTGAAGATACCTTCACTGTGCGCCCTGGGGAGCATGACCTCATCTTCTGATTCATGACCTCATCCTGCCTGAATCACTTTGTTGTTCTTCTCTTCTCTCTTCCCTCCGAAACACGATCGTGGAAGAAAAGATGTTACTGGCCGGAATGGAGCTATTGATTTCACTGCCTGCAGCGAGACCTGACTGGAATAAGAGGCATGTTCCGTGACTCGTCTGATGTTGTAGTTCTACCCTGGCATCCTGGCTTGTCGCTTGTTAGCAGTTTTGTATCAACATATGGGAATTCATGCATCTGTTTGTAAATATCTTATGTCAGCTTGCGTTGTTTTGTGCTTTCACGAAACTTTCGGCTGTCGTGCGTATTCATCAGGAACTCTTCCCGCTTTCAGTCACATATTTCGGATGCCGATAAAGGGCATCCGCATTCATAGGTTTTGAGGATTCTGCAGAAAAGTATTGCACTTTTCCCCCCTGCGCTGGTCGCGTGCTAATATTCGGTGCCAACGCCACAGATCGGTCGTCATATTTTCGGCTGGATAGGCTGTTTGAAGCGCAATCCATACAGTCATATCTTTTTTATGAGGGGAGATGACAGTTTGATTTTGCTGCTATTTGAAGTTCCTTCTGTTGCAGCCCCCTAACGCCAGTTGTGTGAAGACCTTGAGTTTTTGGCTGCCAGGTGGAAGTATATGCACGGCGAAGTGAAAGGATGAAATAGACCACAATCCTGCGATGCGTGGGAGGCATGCAAGTGGAGAGCCAGCAGCAAGAACGACGCTGCAAAGGCCCTCCAAGACTTGGGAGCAGAGGCCTTGGCTCACCTTTGAGTCAGGGTCCACTGAAGCAGAATACAGGCGTTATTTTTCGTCCAGGAAGGTGGGTGATCCAATACTAAATCTTCAGCAAAACCAGATTAACTCATGCCCTTATCGCTGCTGAAAATTTTCAATGCTGTTTTGTGCATGCAGGCAAGGAAAGACATCGTCACATGCACAACATTGGGCTTTGGGTCATTGATCATTGGGATATATGCGGCAAGCTGGGGAGCGGTGGCAGCTGCCTCGATCTTAATCATGATGGAACTTGCCATTGTTCTGGGGCACAGCAAGGGCCCATGGTCTGCAGCGAATCTCTCTCATCGGTCCTTTCTCGTCATCATCATACGGTAGGCAGCCGGCTTGCCCTGGTGCTTTGATGATGATTGATGTAGGAAATCCAGACTGCACATGCCTCATCGCTTGCACGCTGTGAAAAGCCAACTCATGAGCACTCTGAAGGTGCATGCTTTGTTGAAGGAGTCTTGGCATGTTGTGCAGGCTGATGATGGCGCTGGCTGTTGGCACAATGCATGTATTGACAGCCCAGTCGCATCCTGCAGCAGTTTGGGCAGTGCTGGCGGGGAAGGTCCTGCAGCTGGCAGTGCTGCCCCTTGCGCTACAGCTGCCCTTCTCACAGCACTTGGCTGTGCAGGCAGCATGCCTTACGGCTTCGCTGATGGGCCTCCCCTGGGATTGTGCCAACATCATGAGTCAGGTTGGCTCAGTGCTTGCGCCCACAGCTGAGGTGGGTCCCCTCCAAACACGCCCCACCTTCACCTTGGGCCCACTGCCACCAAGCTCACCTCCATTACAACATTGTATGCAAGAGCGTAACGTGTCAAGCCCATGAATAGCAAGTACATGAGGACTCCCTTCCGCTTTGAGCATGGGTCGGCACTTGCGCTAGACATGGCACACCTGTTTGCTTTGGTAGCATGAGGTGATTGGCAGCGTGTGCTCGGCACCTCATGTGGCTGGCATGCCAATCTCATGTCATTCATCCCATGTCACCCCTGTGCCGTTCTGCAGGTGCTGAGTCAGCTTTCGCACCTGCTGCAAGCGCCCCTGAAGCTGCAGTCGCCAGCCATGCCGCCGGAGCAGGCCTGCCCATGCGTGCTCGGCTTCGCGCATACAATGCTTGGCTTTGTCCTGCCGAGCATCGTGCTGTACCTCTTAGAAGCCCAGGAGAGAGGGGCCTTCCGGCGACTCAAGCGCGAAGGCCCCGGCCGCACTGAGCTTGGGCTGTGTTTGCTGGAGGTTATTCTGATCCCTTCGCTGCTGCTCTCACTGGCTGCTGTTATTGTCTGGGAAGCCGCTGTTGCCCTGGCAGCCCACCTGCACTGAGGAGCGTGCTGCGCAGCGGCATCTGCTTCAGGTGCTCATGGGTATATTTCAACTGGCTGGACCAGCTGCTTTCCCGGCATTGCATGGTGTTCTGATCGAGAGCATGTACATGTCTCGTGTGTGCAGCCCTTTCTTTTGTTCCACTTCTGTGTCAGAGGCCGGGGATGCCACGGTGTGTGTCCTTCTGTGCTTCCCCGATCGGACTGACTTCATTTGGCCCACAATAAGACGTGTGTCGTTCTGTTGCAAAGCCGAGCAGAATTTTGTGCGCATATGCTCTCGACTGGCTCTGCTGCAACATGGAACTAGTGAAGCGATGAACACATCGGGCATGGGTCAGCAGGCATTATAGGCATGAGTAATACTGCCGATATATATTGTGAGACACAGGACATAGACGTCCAATTTGTTGTGGCATTTGAACATCACCGGGCTGCTTACAGCCAACCTTGGCTGCCTTCGCTTGTTTTGGCAGTGTCAGGAGCTTTTCCCACCTGCCACACTGTCAAAGATGGTTTGTTAGATATGGGCCTTCTTTTCTTATCCAGTAATAAAGGGAGGCCCACTGGGCTCCAGTAATAAAGGGAGGCCCACTGGGCTGATGTGTGATGGAAGGACCAAAAAGAATGCCCAATGACATTATTGGGGCCTGTGCAAGGAACATGCTCGGGCTGTGTGCCTCAGTGCTAGAGTCATGGCAGCTGGTTCCTGCATCCGGTATATCGTTACCATTATGCCGCCATTTGTGGCTTCAGCTGTTGAAGCAAGAGGCCACCTCAGATCGGAATTTATTTGCATAACCCCATGCAGTGGTCTGCATGGCGAATCACCAATATGCACTGTAACATCGGTGGTGAAAACTCTGACCCTTACAGCAGATATACGAAGCGGTGCAAGATGATGCTGACATCAGTTTGCACTACTTTCTCTGTCAAGCGTGTTAAGGTCATTACAGACCTCTTTTCAAGGGCTCAAGACTTGAAATGTGTAACCGGGGTGCAAGTCAAAAGATTTGCACCAGCTGCAACGTACTATTGCAAATGCAGGAAGGTTCCTTTTGCTGCCAAGCTGTTTTTAAGTGGCAGCTGAATATAGTCTTGGACCGTGATGTGGATGTGCATGCAAAGTCTTTTCACTGTGTATATACTGGATGATGGTGCCCCTCAGGATGTGTCAGAGCTGGCAGGCTCAGGGCTTGTTGTTTGCACTCTGCTGTGAATGAGTCCTTTACAAGGTATTCAGTTTTGATTGTATACAAGCTTGCATTTTGGTGTTGGACCTTGCATGCGTCGATTGGGTGTTGCAAACTTGCAAGACCCAAGGACTACACAGGTGTCAAATCGCATAATGATGCCTGCACTATTGCAACAGAAATGTGGGTACACAAGTGAGATCGTGTGACCCTGTAAGCAATCTTGATATGAGGTAGCACAATGCGCTTGCGCAGAGTTCAGCTTCTGCGGACAGCTATAGCTTACTGGCACAACTCTTGCCCACGCCAAAGGCAGAGGGGGTGCACCAACTTAATCCAGACCTTGACCAGAAGCTCAAACTGGCCTCCTGCGGCTGATCGTTTTGGCAAGCTTGAAATTACGCTTGACAGATCTGCAAAGATATGCAACAAGCCAACAATCGCAAACATCAGACCACCAGACTGAAACTCCTACGTAGTGTATGCACCATTCATTGTAGATAGAGCAGCGCTGCACCTGAATGCGTGCATTTCTGGGTTATGAGATCGCTTTGATTGTCAGCTGAGGGTGGTTATACAGCTGCTGGCCCATTTGGCTGGCGCAGCAGTGGGCTGCTCAGGAGAGCATCAGACTTGGTCTCATGAGCAGCTCCATCACTCATGTCCGGCTGCCTCATGTACACGGTGGGATTCTTGCGCCGGCGCGCCTCGATGCTAGCATAGGAGTACATTGTAAAACCAAGCACAGCCAAGGTGCTCCCCACCACCATCCTGCATGCCGCAATTGCCTTATAATCAATGACAATTCGGGGTCCCACACCGAGTGCTGCATATGGTCTGGCAAGTAAAGTGGCAAAAGATTAGAAACAAGGTGCTTAGCTAACCTGATTGTGAAGATGCTGCTTTCTCCCAAAAGGAACGCTGACAGGATCACTACGCCCACCACCTTGATCATGCCTGCGTGGAGCAATTAAGGAATTAGGGCACAGCAATGCCCAATGCGACACAAATTTTGCTGCCCCCACTGCTGCTTTTGCCAGGAATCTACATGGCCTCGCAGAGCATGGACCCAGAGCAGGCGAAGGGATCACACACTCCACAGGAAGCTGGGCTACTGAGGTCTTGAGCTACAGGCGGAAAGCCTCTGGCACCGTATGTCACATGACGCAGAGGCTCTGGCAAGTGGATGGCAACAGAGGAGTCACCTATCACTGGCGTTGCTGTGGATGATGTGATCTGTATGACCCGGTAGTGTGTGATGTTATACAGGACAGCATTGAAGCCGCCCAAAAGCAGATACGCCACCACCATATTGTTTTCCAGCTCCGACCTGACACACCAGGTCAATGCCCTCTAAGTGTTTTCTAAGATGCTCGATCCAGGAGAGTGTAACTGGCATATGCTGCTCATGCTCAACTTTTAGGTCTCAAGTGCTCACTGCAAGAAGCGCTCAAAGAATGGGTGCTCACCAGTACACCAGTAGGGGCTGCAGCTCTCTCGCAAGGAAGAAAGGGACGAGAATGCCCACAGACACTGGCGCTGTGTAGAATGTCAGTCGGATCACATCTATGTCTTCCTTCAACACCTGCAGACACAGCATGTAAATGAGAATCACATGACAGTCAAATTGATGGCAGGGGCCGCAGCGAACAATCATCTGCTTGTGACTTATGAGAATGTCACTCTGTACCTTTCCAGAAAAGTTGAGCATTGCTGCGCCACAGAAGGTGGAGGCAACTGCGATAGAGATGCCAGTACTGGATCCCGAAAGGCTTCCCTCCCATATTGACAGCACCACTCCAACTGTCAAGACAACCAGGGATAGAACCTCAAAGCCTGTCGGCACCTGCAAAGCACCTACTTTCAGTGAACATAAATTATATGAAAGGAAAGGAAGGATCACTGGGGAGTACTTAACAGGCGTGCAGGGAATAGGCAAAATTAGGTACTGTTGACAGATCATACCGTCTTCTCAATCAGGATACCCAAGAACGCTGTGACGATGGGAATTCCAGAGCGAATGATCTGGTTGAGTGACAGGGATATGAGCACGAGGCTGGCGTTGTTGGCCACAATGTTGGCCACCTGCAGCCAGACGGCCTTCATGAGATCATCTGCATCACCGCTGCATGCACACCGTCATGGACAAGAAGCAGGGACTCTGAGTTCAGACGCGAGATCATGCGCACCTTGAAGGCACCCACACAGGCAAACCCCTTCCACTGGCTGCGCAAAGTGTTCCTGTGCTTGTTTGCAAAGTGTGGGAAGACCATCAAGGGGGCCAGCGCTACGAAGCCAAATGTCAGGTGGGCCATGGTCAGGAAGATAGGAAATCTGTGCACAATTTGCTCTGTCAGTCACAAAACCCAAGATCCAATTTTGTTCAAGTAGTTAGGCAGAACCTAGTGAAGCCCAGGCAAACCCAGCAGGAAGTGCGCACTTGAAACCGTAGACTCCCAGCACCCATCTGTTTGTCATGTTCAGGGTAGCGTTGAGGGAGAGGAAAGCTACGATGGTGATGGCATATTCAGCCAGGGCCCTGGCCGATGTCTTGGCAGCCATGCTGGCTTCTGAACTATCAGTCCTACTGTTTGCTGCCAAAGACATAGGTGATTTGCGTCTCATAATGGCCAATTATTAAAATGATCCCGGGGTGTCCGTCAACTGCTTTCCTTCAGGAATATTGCTTGCATCTGTCCTGAGAAATATTCTCAGGAGAGCCACCAGGGCAGCCATTAAAAATGATCCTCACCGAACTTATTCAATTTTCCTTGTAAGTCACTGTGCTGGAAAGAATGAAAGCAGCCGGGAATGTTTTATAGCCATTCAGGAGCCGATTCTGTTGAATTTATATAATCAGATGCTCTCTCAGAACTTGCTTACTTGATGACAGTAGACCTCGATGAACCCAACGTGTGAATTTGATAAGAAGTTTGAATTCCTTGGGCCCTTGTGAACTTTTGGTGCGCTCTACTTCTGCAACCCAATGAAGAAAGTTATCGGCATCACGCATCTGAGAGTTGGCAGTGCATAATCCTGTGTTGGGTGGCAGCTGCATGCTTTGAAAGTAGGTGCATGAGATGCATGCCCTGGGCAGACTCTATCCAGCTCTTTGGAAGAGCTGAGCATGCCTGAAATATGATAGGAAGGACATTAGCCGCTGAAGATTAACTTGACACCCGGGCCCATGCATGCGAGGTCAATGTGCGCAGTGTAAATGCATGCGTGGTGAGCGCAGTCATGCATGATCTTCAGGACTGTAATTCGGCCATGGTAAGGCGAGGTGCTCATGGCCAGATGGTACTTGCATCTGGTAGCTGGGGGTCAAGAACCGATGTCTGTTGTTCGCGTTTCTTATGATCCGGTTCATGAGTCATCAACAATAGCATATGCTCAGCATGGCACAACCGGTGAACCCCTCTTGGTTGTCACACACCAAGGAAGGATGCTCAACACAATTCTGCACCGATGCATGCGTTCATCAACAACATCTCTGATCTCAGGAATCTCAGATCGGGCGAGACCCCAAATGAAGGGAAATGTTGATTCAGGTATGTCCCCCCCCCCTCTTTCAAATGCTGATTCAGACATTTGTGACGGTCCTGGGGAAATGCGTATCCAGCTTCACCTCTGCAGCTTCTAGCCATTTAAGGCATTCCAGTTCCCATTCGTGCCAGAAAACCTCTTCTTGCCGATCCTGTTGCGTTTGGTGCTACAGTCTTCATTCTGCTCATCCCCTGAGGCCGCCCTTCCACCTCTTCCACCCTCTTCCCATCCACCGTCCAGACTCCACAAGATGACGCACCGATCGGCAACGACGCTCATTGTCCTCCTTCTCTCCATCTCCTGCGCTGCCTGGGCGTCTGAGACTTCAGGTCAGTGCCCGATCCATCCTGCTGTTGTGTGCTTGATCGTCCTGTTGCCCTCTGGAAGCGGCAGTGCATGCAGCCGACCTGAACGTCTCAGCCGCCCCAAGCCCTAGCTTTGAGCTGTCTGACCAGCAATGCATCTAGTTTTGATCAATATGTCTCAGAGTGAAAGATAAGGATGCGAGACGTCTTGATCACCAGCAGCTCTGATGGAAGAGGTCGTTTGCCGATTGGGCCCGACCGCCGTCCAAACCAGTTCGGCCCTTCTGCTGCTCAATTTTAGCACCTGTTGATAATGCCAGATCCATCTTTCCAGTCTTGTCCAGGCCTCTCAAACGAGTCCTTCCGGTGTGCAGGACGCACGCTTCTGGATGCGACAGGTACATCCTGTGCCTTCTGTCACACTGGCATGCAATCTCCTGCAACCCTATCCTACAATAATAACTGCAGCACCAGCAAAGGGTCAAGCTCATTGTGTAAGAACAGCATGCGTGCTGTGAGGGGAAAAGTCCCCATTCTGGCTGCATGACTGCCCAACATCTCACACTGTCTGCACCCATGCTCCCATGCATGTCATGCATGTCAATGACATGATGGAAGAATGTGTCTTTGTGTGTACAGCCACTGCAGATGCCAAGGCCGTCAGCGCTCTGAACAGCAACGACGCATCTGCTGCAGCCCAGGCTATTGCCTCGGCTGGTTCCTCTGGCAACACCCAAGCAGCTGCTCAGGCCATTGCACAGGCCTACAGCACAGGTGCATGCCAGTCCTTTCTCCCTGGCTTTGCAGTTTATAGGTGCTTCGTGCATGTTGATTTGCTGGACTCCCAGTCCGAACGCATCATGCATGTGCCTGAATACAATGTGGAGATGGATTATGGAAGGATGTGTTGTCCAAAGTCACGCCTCAATGATCATCTCAGTGACATGATGTCGCTTGCAGCATTTTGCTGACCAAATCTCGTTACTGCATGCAGCTGGCCAGCCATCTGACCTGTCCTCCCCATTCGCGCAAGTCAGCGCCGATGCACTCGCAAAGACAGCTGCCACCGACAACGATGCTGCTGCCAAGACCATCAGTGAGGCTGCTGCTGGTGAGGCATTGCCCTCCTTGCTCCTGCAGTGTTGCTTGGTAACGTGGGAGCACACATGTTGGAACAATGCGGCTCTAGAGGCAGCAAAGCCTGCATGCATGATGTCTGCGGGACATCATGACAGCTTCTGCTCAATATCTGCATGCTACATTTGGTGCATCTGCCTTCCTGCAAGGGCAACTGCAGGAGTGTCATGGTGAACATGTTTATTGCAATGTGCTAAAATTCTGTTTGTGGTCATGTAGAGGGCGGTCAGGCTGCAGATGCCATCTCCGTCGCTACAGCAAAGGCCCTCAGCTTCGGTGGGGCTGACCAGCAGACAGCATTCGCTCAAGCCCTCGCTGCTGCCATCGCACTGAAAGGCTGCGACACTCTCAAGCCCGTCATCGCAAGTAAGTTGTCTCACCCCTCAGGCATCTGTAACTATAACTGGCCATTCGTGCTCTGCTCTGTCATGACAGATTGCCATTTTCCCCTGTAGTACTCATGCATGCCATGCAGAACGTGGCATAATGCCGTTCCTTACCAGATGCGAGTAATATCTGTTCTGACTTTCTGAGTCAGATCTACAGACAGAAAATCTGCATGCAGAGGCGCAAGCCATTGCTTCAGCCCAGGGCCAGACAGCAGCCAGCGCCTTCGCTTCAGCCACCGCAGCCGTCCCGGACGTCCAGCAGTGCCTGACGGGCCAGCCGGCCGGTGGCGCATCTTTGGCAACCGCCCAGGCAGCCACGCTCTCCAAGTCCAAGTCCAACGCCGATGGCGCGTCGACGGCCGCCGCCCAAGCCGTCGCCAAGGCAACTTCCTCCGACCCTGCAGCTGCCGCTCAGGCCGCCGCGCAAGCCCAGAGTAGCAGCACCAACGCTGCCAACAGTGCAGCCCAGGCGCAGAGCACCGCGCAGGCCAATGGCAACCAGGTGCGACAGATCCCATCACTGATCACTTCATGATGAACAGCTTTAAAATACCCCTTGTGTCACTGCTGGGAAGCATGTGGCAATCCAGTGCAGTCCCTCTCAGGCCTACAGAGTGCCAATCTCTGTGCAGACACTTACTGACTGCATATTTTACAAATGTGGCGAGCTTTGCATCCAGCTTGTCTGCAGATGCACATTGCCTTCTTGGCAGGAAAGCATGTAATGCTATCACCAACTGACATGCAGCATTCCGACACCACCTTTGGTATCAGGATGCTGGGGTTTCTCTGACTTGAGAAAATTCTCCACTGGTGTACTAGGGTGCGGCCCAGGCAGCGGCCGTTGCCAAGAGCAGCAGTGACGCAGCAGCCCAGTCATCTGCCGATGCGGCGGCAAAGGCGCAGTCGGCGAGCGCGGATCCGTCCCAGGCCGGAGCAGTTGCACAGGCCGCCGCGCAGGCGAAGAGCCAGGCCGATCAGGCATCCCAGGCCGCGGCGAAGGCTCAGGCCGCATCCTCCTCCAACGGTGGCTCCTCCAACGCTCAGGCATCCGCCCAGGCCACCGCGCTCTCAGGTGAGAAGCCTCAGTGTTAGACTCGCGCCAGCCTTGAAGAAGAACGGTCATGTCTGATGCATGTCGCAGTGCTGATAGATGTCGTGCCATGCAAGGCTTGAAAGTATTGCTGCTTGTGGGTCTTTGGCTGCATGCTATCTGCATGCGTTCACATGTGGGGAATGCTTCTTCATTTCTTCAGGCCCGAATATGAAATCATCCACTGCTTGCGCACAGGTTTGCAGAGCGGAGACACTAACGCTGTGGCGCAGGCATTTGCGGCAGCCAAGTCCTCCAGTGATGCTCAGGGCGTCGCCTCCGCCCTGTCACAGGCCTACTCCCAGGGTGCGCCATTGGATTCCCCCACCAATGCTGCAGCATCTTTGACTTTGTCATATGACATGATTGACAGGCATCCATATCTTTGCGTGATGTGACTGCATGCAGAGCTTGTCATCTGGTCCCTGGGGTCCACACAATTGAGTGGTGGTTTCTGGTACTGTTGATGCACTCTGTTACATTTGCGAGGCAGCCCTTCCTCCCTTCACTGGCGCTCGCTTTGTCTTGATGTCTGCATTCTCCATAAGCTTTTATGCGGAGGACATCAAGTTGGCTGTTTTTGCTGACGGCTCTTGGATGTTTGCATGCAGCCGGCACTCAGGACCTGAACTCGCCATTGGCTCAGACCAGCGCCACCGCCATCGCCCAGGCAGCAGCCAGCAACCAGAACGCTGTCGCACAGGCAGCAGCCCAGGCAGCTGCACGTGCGTCCGTCCCCCTTGTCATGCCCCTCTGCCAAAAACTCCCAACAATGGGCACTGTGCAATCCTTTGTCTTCTTGTTGACTTCTCTATTTTGCCTGCTGTGCTCTTCACTTTTTCATTGATGGTATAAGGAAGGCTGCATCAGTGCCAGGCTTGTCTTCTGCCGCCCTATCTCACTGGCCTGCCGCACAACCAAGGGCTCACCCGGGTTTGAGGGCCGCAGGATATGTCACAGGATACAGATATAGGGCTCATCTGGATTTCTGGGTCCAGAGATATTGATCAGTAATGCAGATGTGCTGGCTTGCAGAGGGCGGCTCTGCCAGCGATGCGTTTGCGCTGGCGGCTGCCAAGGCGCTGAGCCAGGGAGGCAGCGGAGCGTCGGCCGTCGCGCAGGCCATCTCACAGGCCATCGCTCAGGGCGGCTGCTCTTCACTGCAGCCCACCCTTGCCAGTGAGCCTCCTTCTCTTACTGCTGCTCAGAGAACATTGGTGTTGCCTTGCCGCAATTAGTTTGGCTTGAAAACGTTTCTGTGTATTCTTTTAATGTTATGAATTAGATGGCTTGCAATTGTATCCATTGTGCCATGCATGCATGGGTGCTTGAGTGACTCGAAGCATTTGCTTTTCTCCTGTGTTTCTGCTCCTGCTGTCTGTTGCCGCAAATGCACATGCTAATTTTGGGGACCCACAGCTGGGCAATTTGGCAATGCCTTCAAAAGTGATTGCGTTTGCTGATTCTCCCGTGTGCTGTTCCTTGCAGAGGCACAGTCCCTGGCCCAAGCTTCCGGTGGTGCCACCTCCAGTGCCTTTGCATCTGCTGTCGCTTCCTCCAGCGCCGTGCAGAACTGCCTGGGAGGCCAGTCACAGGCCACTGCTGTTGCCAAGTCCCAGGCAGTCTCCTCTGGGGGACCATCTGCGAATGCTTCTGCCCAGGCGGTTGCTGGCAGTTCTGGCCGCAAGATGCTGTCTGCCTGAGTCGTTCAGCTCAGTTTGTCTGGCGTATTTGATGCCCGTATTTAATATGGTGAACGGCCATGCATCAAGCCGTGCAAAACGCATATTTATGCCCTAGTGAGGACAGCTAGATGGACAACAGGAGCAGCTCTGCGTTTTGTGATCAACTGTACAGCTGGAGTTTCATCTCCCTGTCCAGTTCCTTAAGAGTTGCAGCTTGTTTCTTGCTTAAATATCTTGGGTTCAATCTTATTTTTGGGTGGGTGAGGCGTGGGACACCTGTTTGGATTGGCGGCATTTCTTTCTTTGCGAACATCTCGGTTTCAATTGGTTCTCTGTTGGAAGGTGCCTTCAAAGTAAGCAGCTGTTGGTCTATCATTTGTTTTCACAGTATACGTATGGTCAGCCCAGCGGTCAATTTATGGGTGATTCTTTGTGACAACTTCTTACAAACCGTAATCTGTAAGATGCCTCAAAATAACTGTCGGCCACAGTAAAAGCCAAATGCCTTATAAGCCCTGGCTATGTCCCCTTCTGCATCCAATGTAAACATAGACGCTGCAAGCGCCCAACAGTACCCGACAGCCCATTGGCCATGGCCCGTTGGCCAACAATGGCACAGTGCGCTTTGCAACTTAAGAAGCCCAATAAATACCGTTTGGTTGCCTGTTGAAGGTGGCCTCAACATGCCCTCACAGCATCAACCGCAATCCAGCAACCGTAACCCAATCATGCATTGCCGCACTCCAGCAGCACGCCACTGCCGCGTGCGGCGCAAATATCGTCTTCACGTTCATAGACAAGGTGCAATACTGACAGCTCAGGCATTGCACAGCACAGACAGCAATCTCATACACCACACAAATGCAATCCAGTGCGGCTAGTGTACACCAAATATTTGTACATGCAGTTCCAAATAGGAGGGGCACAGTGCAAGTGTGCCCTAAAATTGAACCAAGTATGCGTGCTGAATCCCTGCTCAAGTCTAAACACAAGGGGTTCTTCCAAGAAAATCAAACAGGGCTTCCCAATGTTGCCAGTGCTTCTGCCAGCTGTCGTCCTAGTGGCCCAATTCTGTAAGAGGTTTAATTTGCACTGCCCACTATATAGCTGCGTGTCTACTGAATTTCAGGCTGTCTGCCCCGTCTCATCTGAAAAAGTTGCAGCTGTGCTATACAAGTCTTGCTCATGACAAGTCCAAATTCTCTCCTCATGCATAGCACTTCTCATCATCCGTCGCTTGCAAGGATCCTGCAGATCTCCCTGCGAAGAGTCCGCAGCACTGCGTGTGCAGACGTGTATCCTATGACTCGCTGCCAGAAGTAGACAGCAGTGCGGAGCTCTGGGCCTGCAGGCCGCGGACAATGGGCAAGTAGAAGGGTGCAGCGACTGACAAGTTGAGGGACAGCACACGATCCAGCATGCTTGCTGCTGTCACCACCTCCTGTGGGCACACGACACGCCATTCAGCTCATCATGCATAGCACACTTAGCCAGGCAAACTCGCCGACCAGTATTCTGAAACGCCAAGTCAGAAGCCTTCCTAAGACACAGGCATTACAGAGAAGCTCACGCAGAACAGGGCAATATCTCTTGCCTAGAAAGGCCTCAGCTCACTATCATATTTGTGCTGCTTGGTGAAGCCTGCCCCTCTCGACATCGCAAGCTAGCGAAATCAACTGTCTCAATCGTCTAATTTGCAAGTGTGTTGACTGTGAGCTGTGGCAGAGGAGCAGGTTCACGCACTGTCTGGATGAGCTCGGCGCCGACCAGGCGCAGTTTGGCGGCCACGGCGCTGTCGCGGTCCTGAGGGGGGCGGATCAGCTGCTCGCGCGTTGCCTCCACCACACCCTGCTGCACCTGCACGCGCCACATAGTGTAATTTGGTGTCACTTCACCCGTAATAAGATTAGAGAAGCGTGCATCCCATGTCAACAAATTTCTTCCCCAGAAACGTGTGTGTTTTCATCTGGGAGCATACAATGCTGCAGCACAGGAGCTGGAGACATGGCATGCATGAGGAGTGGCCAAAGGCCATGCACTGGTGCCTCAATCTCGAGGAAAGCAAGCTCCTCATTGTGTAAGCTTGTCCTCACTGCAGGCTACGATGGCTTATCCGGGTATTTACCAGTTTGTAGTTTTAAGTGACAGCCTGCGCGCACCTTCTTGTAGATGACATCGTCGACGGAGAAGATTCGCATGAGCAGGCGGCTGACGAGGTCGGTGTCTGCGGCAGTCGGCTTGGCGGCGGCGGAGGCATCACCCCCCGCCAGGCGTCGCGCCAGCAGGTCGGCCATGGCGGCCGTCAGGTGCGGCATGCGCACATCCGCCTTTGCCAGCAGCGCTGCAAACGTCTCCTTCACTTCCGCATAATACCTGCATGGACACGCATCAACGCATTCCATCACATGAACAGAAAAGGTCCAAAGTCGCAAGAAGCTTCCGTGATTAGCATGACTTCTCTCCTTTAAGCGTAACCTAAAGGCATTTTGAAGACATGCCGCCAAGGCAGTGCTCTTACTCTTCTCTCTTTGTCTTCCATGGTCCCATGCCATTCTGCCTGGACCACCGTCATAGATCGGGGGTCTCACAGGATATGCAGGCAGGTTTGAGGAGCACGGCACAAAAGGTGCTGGGGCCTCACTGTCGGTTCTGGGTGACGGCCGGCGACGGCGCGAGGTTCTTGGCGCCCAGCAGCATCTGTGCGACCAGCAGGGACGCGCCGACGAGCGACAGGCGCTGCAGCTCATTCTGCGCTGCCACCAGCCGCTGCAGGTCCAGCAGGAGAGTCTCGGGGCACTCGCGCGGCGCGATCGCCGCCGGCCGCTGGATCAGCGCCAGCAGCGACTCAGCCAAGATCGCGCGCATGGTGCTGCCCTCCGCAGTCATCGGCCCGGTTGGCGCCACCTGTCGAGCGATGACAGTGGAGTTAGTCACCAATACGACACAATTTGGGGGCCTGAGCCAGGCCTGTCCTTTACCACAAGCCTGCTGTCCTTGATATTATAAGGTGCCCTTCCTAGAGGTCATCTGGGCCTCAGGGCCACAGATACATACAACATGTATGCATTGTAGGCTGAGCAGCACTGGAAGGAGATGTGGTGAAGAGGGCGCACCTTTGTGAAGCCGCTCTGCAGCCAGACGCGGGTGTTGGGCAGCACATCAGCGGGGTCGCTGTCGCCCACGGCCTCCGTCAGGCGCCGCTGCTCGTACTGGACGCCCGAAGAGGTGCCCTGCAGGATGCCTGCGGATGCAATACAAGCCGCCTTCACCATTATCTTGATCCATATCATCGGTCACCACACCCACATTACTGTGCGGCATCCCAAGAATCTTACATTGACATAATGCATGCCCGAGGCATCACGCCACTGACAATGCAGCAAGTTGGACAGGACAATGCAGAGCGGGAAATTTTCAAGGGGGGAGGCTTACTTTTGAGCATCTCCAGGCGCGCCTTGGCCAGGTCGGCGCGCAGCTCCGCGATCTTGTCGAAGACGAAGCGCGCAGCGCCGGCGAGCGCGGCGGCCCGGCCGCCATCCCCGGCGGCGGCCGGCTGCGGCTGCGGCGGCGGCGGCGCGTCGTCCCGGGGTACGGCGGGCGGCTTGGGCGTGGCGCTGCGCGAGGGGCTGGCCAGCAGCTGCACGGTGACGTTGTCGCGGTCGACTGGGATGCCGAATCGCACCTCCACTTCCTCCTCTTCCACCGGGGCCCCCACCGTCACCGGCGGGCTGGCCGACCGCGTGCTGCCCTGCGTGCATTGATCGTCCCGGCATTTCATGCCAGAAAATGTAATAGTCTTGAATCAGGGTCTCTGCATGCTGTCAATCCCAAGATGAAATGATACAAAATTTTTCGCATTTGTGCTGGAAAGCAAAATAATGACTCTTGATGACTCAATGACGAGTACTGAACGGAAAACTGTAGACGATCAAAAAGACAACCAGGCGATGCAGTGCAAAATCTTTGGATCGGGATCAGAGGGAAGATGCGCGTGCTGCTCTTGATGCAAAAGAGACACAGCCTGAATCCCTGAGAATTCGGAAGGATACTCCAGCGATAGGTGGCAAAGCATTCTCCTGTGGAAGTAGCAACTCTTCATCAATATACACCGAGGGCGCCGCACCGCGCTGCCGGACGCGTCGTCAGCGCTGTGCATGGCGACGACCCAGTCCTCGGCGGAGGCGTCGGAGGCTCCGCTGGGGGATGCATGGGGGAGGCCACGTGGAGGATTGGCCCGCTTGGGCGATGAGGCCATATCCACAGGCAGCCATGCCTCGCGCGCCACAAGTGACACCGGCACCTGCACTCGAGAAAACATCTCTCAGGAGGCCTTCGTGCAGGCGACGGACAAAGTGGGAGGCCGTCACTTGTTTCCTGATAAGATGCAGTGAAGCGGGTCTCCAATGCGCACTAGGACGCATAAGATGGCTGGATGACAAACGAGGGGTGCAGTCAAGATTGGGACTGATCAGATGGGCATGGCATTTGTGTGCACTGATCAAAGCAGGCATGCACAGGTGTGCTTGGGGCTGTCATGGAGTGCACCTCGGTAGACCTTGATGTCTCCAGGCTGACCCTGATACGGCGTTCTGCAGGTGACTGCTGCTGTGCTGCTGCAGCAAAGGTGCTCATCACCTCCGCATAGCCCTGCAGTCAAAAGCAGAGCACTTCTTGCGAGCAACACTATGGGTCACAACAGGCTGAAGATATAGCACACACCATTCACGTCCCCTTCTGACCAGATCTTCAGGTGGCATACACCTGGGACACAGTGGCATTGTGACCTGGAAAGGCACTTGAAGCCTTGCTGCCTCACCTTCTTGGTGGACTCGCTGCGAGCCGGGGCCTCCAGGCTGCTGAGGATGTAGACGATGAAGTCAAACAGCTGCTGCAGGTACTCCGGATCATAGCCCGCATGCAACCGCGTCCGGATGAAGTCCTGCGACAGCCAGGAACCAAACTCTCAATTAAAGCAGGAATGTCTGCCTATTTGGCAGCAGCTGCATTGCTGTTCAAGATCCAGGCCTGCACCCCCAACTATTACAGATTTTCCCACCGACAGCTATGCATCATAGCAGCGTGCAGGATGCGGAAACTACATGGCACAGCAGGGCCGGCCTTGGCAATGGCTAGCCGCACTTCAGGCACTCCAAGCAGATCATCACTGGCACGTCACGTGCAGGAATGGAGGGGTGAAAGAGGGGACTGACCACGTCGAGCTTCTCAGCGAGGCTGCCGCGCAGGCGGCGGCCCTCCTGGGAGGCTTCGGGGATGATGTCCGCCAGCGCCTCGCGCGCCTCCCCCAGCAGCACCACCAGCCGCTCCCACTGCGGCGGCGTCGCGCGCAGCCCATCCTCCAGCGCATCCCAGAACGAGCGCTCAGCCACCCTCTGCACATCCCTGCATGCAGGTGATTCTCTGGCCTTTAGTAACCAGATGACCTCTAGGCACAGCCGTGCTCATCCACTGAGAAGCTGCATTTTATACATGTGTCGCTTGCGCACGGCGTCAATGCTGAGCACCTGCGGGCTGCATGCAAGTGTGCCGCAGGCATGCATGCATGCATGCATGCATGCACACCCGCGCTCACGCACTGACGAGGTGCAGTTGCTACATGTGTTGCTTGCGTATGTTATCAATGCTGAGCAGATGCAGGCTGCATGGATGGTCGTCAATTTGTCGAGGTGCACTGGCTCATGTGTAGCTTGCATTTGGTGTCAATGCTTCCCAGGTGCAGGCTGCATGAAAACATGCTGCAGGTAGTTATTTTATCAAATGCCACAGGACAAGGGTCCCTTGCTGGGGCATCATGCATGAAGCAGTCAGCCGGGAGGCACAGCACCTGGCCTGTCGGTTGGGATTGACCTAAATGCGATCAATCGTGGATGAAGCCGCTCTTGACAAGCTGTAGCTCCCATGGTGATACAGGCTCATATTCTGCTCGTGCTACAAGTCTCTCTTCTGGATCAAACTTGTATTTCAACAGACATCTCAGGCATGTGCAACGTATGAATGTCAGCAGACCATGCATGTATCACAGAGAAAATACAGGGCTCTGACCTGGCCACGGCATCACGATCTGCGAGACTGCTGTCATCTGCAAGGTCCGACGTGCGCAGAGCCTCATTGCCTGCAAAGAGATGGCACACATTGGACTGGTCAGCCACATGATGGGTGAGCATTGCAGGCACCATGTCAGCTGCATGAAACACTTCTTGCCACATTGCCAAATGACTTCGCTCAAATGATCTGCAAGGTCAGCAACTCACCATACAAAAGCAGCTCATGCACCACGCGCTCATTCTCAGTTACTGTGTACAAGGCTGACGCCCTCATTGTAGCACTGCCCGCAGCTTTGGAAGGCCTTGCAGCAACGTGTGGTCTGTCAGTCTTCTCAGGCTCCTGCGACAAAGGTCAAGCTTTTCTTCCACACTTTTGTGATCGTCAAACATTGCCAGACATACAGGAACCTTTGAAGGCGAAGTGTAAGACACTATCAACCCCTCTCGTCAGTGTCCTTCGCGCCCTGTTGCTTCAACTCAAGATTTCAGGTTCACAGTCGGCATGCTCTTGAACAAGGGCTGAGGAGCTCTGTTCTCTGCATCCAAGGTTCAGCAATTGTGGGAAAAATTAAAACGGCTGGAGAAGCTAGAATGCTCGCAATTACAAACACAATATATCGATAAGAGGAGTCACAAGGGGTCTCTTGTGCACCTTCACAGGCGGCAGGTCCTCTAACACGTCTTCTTCCCCAGGGCCAGTCAGAGAGACTCGGCGCTTCTTTTCAATAGGGGTGGGCGGCAGGAATGGCGTTCGAGGACGCATGAATATCCATGCAGCAGCCCCAACTGCTGCTATCCCCACAAGCCTCAGGAAAAGCACCATGACGTCCCAGTGAAAACCAGCAATGCCCCTGTGCCAGATCAGATTTCGCTGGTTAATTTCTTGCAATGCTGCCAGCCATGCAGAGGACGACAAAAACCATTCCTGGTCGCTCTCGTTGTCCAGACGATTAAAATTGTCTCCCCTTCTCCTTTCGAGGCTCGCGGACAGAAATGGCATCTGCCCGACGGCGAGGTGGAATATTTTGTCCTGCCAGACCGGCCAGAATAGGCTGAGGCGCGCGTTTGCTCTCTTTGATTTTCAAGGAGGCAGTGTCGTGAAGCAAAACAATACAGACTGCAAGATCAACATTACAGGGGCGGGCAGCAATAAAGCAACAGCATTGCACCCAGTCTCCTGTGCCAATCGAAGGCAAGTTCACCGACTCACTGTCTGTACTTTTCAAATGGATCCCTACTTCAAGATGCAACTTTTCAATAGGCAAAGGCTGGTGCCTTTCCATTGCTGCAGCTCCAGAAGCATGCATTTCTTCTTACCCACCAGTCCCTGGGGTCAACGAGCCTGGGGAACAGCGTCCCTTTTTGTTTTCAGCAAAACAGGGAAGAAGGCAGCTCTGGGCTGGCTGGGTCAGGAGCTGCGAGTATATTGTCGGACAGGATTGCGTTGCTGCTTGTGATGCGTCTGCACAGCAATGTTTGTACTTTTCAGCGCTGTCCTGGCCTTGTCTTTTGAATCGCTGCGCCTGTCTTGCGCGCCGTTAGGATTCAGGGTTTTCGTCATAGTGCGCCAAGCTGGGGCAGCAGCTCTTTGCCAGTCTTTTCGTGACCCAGGCTGATCTTTCAAATTCTTTGTGGCATTCGTGGTTCCACCGCCGGCAAAGATGCCTTAATTGTAGGACGAGGTGCGGGGCATGTTAACATTCGTCGTACCCTGTGACCCGTCAGTTTGCGTGCCCCTTCTAGCGAGCATTTTCGTATGCGGAGAAGATCTGAGGGACCTCCTGAGCCTTAGAGTAGCAACCTGTGATAGCTGCCTGGCGTGGGAGTAAAGTGTCTCACCAGTAACTTTAAAATGGGGATGCCGCTTTTTTTGGGCGCCCGAGTTGAACTGCTCGGAGCCTGCCGCCCTCGTTGACAGTGTCCGTGTCTTTCCTGCATGGTTGACAAGCAATCCTGATTGCCTGCAGGTGTACCAGTGCATTTCCCGGAGCCGCCTGTCGACGCAAGTTCTTCCCACACCGGGGGATAGCTCTTTAGAGGTCAGAAACCATAGCCGCCCAGCCTGCAATCTGAAAGCAGCCTGGAATGAGTGGAATGTGTTGTCTGCATTGTTTGATCTGGAGGCATCAGTCGCAACAGTAGACTCTCAGGGCAGGATGCTCATCTGACTTACGAGCACCCGATGAAGTGCTTCGTTTCTGTTCTGTTCTGATGGATTGTTTGCACCCTGCAGTAAGCCATGATGCGCATGGCGGCACTTCTGAGCGTCCTGCTCATCCAGGGAGCTCTCTGCTCAGTGGTGAGTGCTCCTGCAATGCCTGTCTTGAGCACCCTCACAACAAATAGCTTTCGCTTGTACCACAGACTGCCACTGGCTTGGTTCCTTGTCTTGAACGTGTGTTTTTGAATGCAGATCCAGCCAAGGCATCTCCTGTCAGAGGCTGTGAAGGTGAGAAAGCATGCTTGCACCTTGTCACCTCTGAATTCCAGTGCTTGTTTCTGACAGGCAGGAACAGCAATGAAAGCGTCTGCCTATGTTTCTAGCTACAGCTCCTTTCAATGATAATAATAATTTGCATTGCATGTGTAGGTTGACGCTGCAACCTCAATTGCCAAGGGCGATCTGACATACGACAACGCGCACAAGGCCATCTTTGGCTTCAACCAGGGCACCGAGGGCAGGAGGCTGTTGAGCGAGGCCGTGAAGGTGGGTCGCTTTTCTACCACGTCTGTTTTGTGAGAGATGCAGGTCAAATCTGGTTCTAATGCACTATGTATTGAGTCCATGCACCGCTCGGTCAATTTGCTTGATGCAAGCGTCTGATGACAGGGTCACCTTGTGCCCTGTGTCTCATGATATGCATCATAATTGTCAAACGCCTGAATGTGCATGTGTATATGTACAGGTCGACGCTGCCACCTCCATCGTCTCCGGCGACCTGACATACGACAATGCGCACAAGGCCATCTTTGGCTTCAACCAGGGCACCGAGGGCAGGCACCTTCTGTCCGAGGCCGTCAAGGTGTGCCGTTCATGACTTCTGCCGCCATGCATGCTTCTATCCGCAGAATTGACATTCTGGCTCTCACATGAGTGATAATTTTGCATCTCTCATGACAATCATTTCATTGGCCGCAGGTCGACGCTGCTACCTCCATCGTCTCCGGCGACCTGACATACGACAATGCGCACAAGGCCATCTTTGGCTTCAACCAGGGCACCGAGGGCAGGCACCTTCTGTCTGAGGCCGTCAAGGTGTGCCCGTCATGACTCCTGCCATGCATGCTATTTTTTTTGCAGACATGATATTTCTCCCTCACAGACCTGTGATTACTTTGCATGCGCAAAATGCTTGTCAACCAGCAGATTTAGGCTGTCTGACCATCTTGTGTACATGTCTTGCTGAAATTGGACAGATAGATAAGACACACTGAAAGAGGTGTCCAATTGAAAGTATTTCACATTTTTATACATCCTTCAGTGTCCAAGCCAAATAAGACATGCAGACATTCCTAATGTCCAATGCCAGGTCTTATCAATGTCTGCAGCGTCTGTGCATTGTCCACATGTCTGATTGTCGAGCATGTCGAATGTGTCTTATCTCGTAGATTGTCTAAAAATAGTACCGTTAGACACTCTCAGACACGTCTAATTGGTGTGAAGCGGTCTTTTTATGTCTGAGTGACATTTCTTCTTGACTGCAGGTTGACGCTGCTACCTCAATTGCCTCCGGTGACATCTCATACGACAATGTGCACAAGGCCATCTTCGGCTTCAACCAGGGCACAGAGGGCAGGCACCTTCTGTCTGAGGCTGTCAAGGTAATTCTCTGACTTGTGTCTCTGCTTTCTTGTCATCTTATTATGTTCTCATCCCATCTGGCTCTTGCAGCTTCTAGGCACATGACATTCCTTTACATCTTTTCACTGGCCGCAGGTTGACGCTGCTACCTCCATTGCCAAGGGCGACCTGACATACGACAACGCACACAAGGCCATCTTCGGTTTTAACCAGGGCACTGAGGGCAGGAGGCACCTGTTGAGCGAGGCCGTGAAGGTACCAAATTTCCCCTCTTATCTGAGAGACAAATCAAATTCTCAGCACCTCATAAAGAGTCCGCTGCATGCTCTGGTACCATGCAGGTTCTAAGGCAAGTGACTGGCTGCAGGTTGACGCTGCTACCTCCATTGCCAATGGCGACCTGACATACGAGAACGCACGCAAGGCCATCTTCGGCTTCAACCAGGGCACCGAGGGCAGGCACCTGTTGTCTGAGGCCGTCAAAGTACGCCTCTCGTCTCATACCTTGTCATCCTGTGTCACACAGAGCTTGCCAATCCTTCATCACACATATTGGATTTCTGGTCCCATGTCTAGCTGCTTTGTTACTAGCATCTCTCTGACATCCTTACAATTGACCGCAGGTTGACGCTGCTACCTCCATTGCCCAGGGCGACCTGACATACGACAACGCACGCAAGGCCATCTTCGGTTTCAACCAGGGCACTGAGGGCAGGAGGCACCTGTTGAGCGAGGCCGTGAAGGTACCTGATGTCCCCTCTTATCTGAGAGACAAATCAAATTCTCAGCACCTCATAAAGAGTCCGCTGCATGCTCTGGTACCATGCAGGTTCTAAGGCAAGTGACTGGCTGCAGGTTGACGCTGCTACCTCCATTGCCAATGGCGACCTGACATACGACAACGCACGCAAGGCCATCTTTGGCTTCAACCAGGGCACCGAGGGCAGGCACCTTCTGTCTGAGGCCGTGAAGGTAAGCTATCCTGTCATGACTTCTGCTGCCATGCATGCTTCTGTTGACATCTCTCCCTCACAGCAATTAGAATCAGCGTTTCACTGACGTACAGTACTGCCAAGCCACTTCGCTGCGGACTGTTTCCAATCTGCATGTGACTGGTTGCAGGTTGACGCTGCCACCTCCATTGCCTCCGGCGACATCTCCTACGACAACGTGCACAAGGCCATCTTCGGGTTCAACCAGGGCACCGAGGGCAGGAGGCTATTGAGCGAGGCCGCGAAGGTGTGACCCTTAGCACCCCCTTTATCAACATTCTGAGTTGTCAAAACTGGCTGGAATTGTGTGCAGCAGTACCAGCCCTGTTGTGGTTGGGACAGTTCTAAATGTCATGTGACTGGTTGCAGGTTGACGCTGCCACCTCCATCGCTTCAGGCGACATCTCATACGACAATGTCCACAAGGCAATCTTCGGGTTCAACCAAGGCACCGAGGGCAGGAGGCTATTGAGCGAGGCCGTGAAGGTGAGCAATTCAGCACTACCTTTGTCATTATTCTGAGATGTCAAAGCTGGCTGAAATTATTGCAGCAGCGTTGGCTTCCAGCCTTTTCAACTTAGAAAATAATTGACTGCCATGTGACTGGTTGCAGGTTGACGCTGCTACCTCAATCGCCTCTGGCGATGTGTCATACGACAACGTGCACAAGGCCATCTTCGGCTTCAACCAGGGCCAGACCACCGGCCGCCGTCTCCTCTCTGTAAGTCACAGTCATCCTCCATACTGAGAAAAGTAGACAAAGGCTTGCAATGCTGCACTCACCATCAGTCTCTTCACCAGTGGCATGCCTCAGCTTCCATTACTGTGCTGTGGGGCACACTTTGATGCTGTGGGACTCAGGTTTTGGCTAGATCCTGCTTTGCCTCGTAAATGTAAATACAAGAGCTGCCTGGTGAAGAGACTGATGGCTGCGTGCTTGCTCTACAGGTGTAAGCAAGTGCACTGCGTTGCTGTCCAAGTGAGTCCCACGGTACGCGGCTGCCCGCCCTGTTGCATGTAGCTACTTAGCCTGTGTGCCTATAAACAGTCTGTGTCTTTGTTCTGCTATGCCTGTTGAGGGGAAAGGGAGAGATCACTGACGGCGTGCTGTGCACAACACTGACTGATAGAATATGTTATGTGCCATGCAGGGAACTGACTTGATCCCCGGCATCCTGTCGGGGTCCATCCCATTTCACAAGCCAGATGGCCTCTTGACCAAGCTGCTTCCCGGCAGCTTCCCATCATCCATCTTCCAGACAGCACCCACTTCCGCGGCCACATTGGGCGCTTCCTCACCGTCACCCTCATTGCAAGCCACTGCAGTTCGGCAAGAGCAGCAGCAAGCCATTCAGCCAGCGTCACTTGCCGCGCTGACCCTTCAGTCAGTGGCAGGCAACAGCGGGGGGCCCTCGGTGGAAACGCTGCAGTCTCTGCCAAACATCCCCACCCCACTTGAAACCGTGTCTAGGGCAAACGCCAACGCAGCACAGCTTCAGAGCTATATCAATGCGGCGGCAAAGCAGCACAGCGGAAGATGAGCCCTGTTGTAAAACAGCAGACAGAAGACGTGTGGCCATTGTCCATGCATGTTCTGTACCACACAAGATTTGATTTCTGCAGAGAAATTTGATGCTGGGCAGGACATGTCAACTAGGAATCCTTGTTGGACAGGTACTGGGTTGTCTTCCATAAAAAAAAGTAAGCAATTTCTCTTGTGAGAATAGGTGACTTTGGCCCTCAATATTTTTTCAGGAACTCTTGCAGGGTTGTGCGGATTTGTCAAGAGCTGTTGTGTATTGCTAAAGTGATGAAGGCTGCCTGTGACGGCATGTGTCATTATTGTCACATCAGTTGAGGACCATAATGGTCAGCACCACTATAACAGGACAAGCCTGGTGATTTCATTGAGCACTGTTGGACTGTGAGTGGAGTGGAGGGTTGTTAGGGGAACTCAAACTGGTGCCAGCACAAAATTGCATTCATGCTTTTTAGTCCGCAGTACATATTATAGGACACTGCAGCATTGATCGGCGCTGGTGTGCTTGACAGTTTGGACAACTCAACAACTCGAGACAAATAACGTCCACTCCTGATATGTAAGAGTTTACACTCTTCTGCTCATGGTCTCAGAGGAAAGCCAGTGCATTTGCCTAAAATCAAGTCACACGGTGTCGCACAGATGCACACTTATTGCACCTGTGTACCCACAGATGCATACTTATCGGCTTCATGCTGCCATGCCCATTTCAACAAATCAGCAATCCACCTAGACACTGCCATGCTTCCTCTGCAGATTCCTGAGAAAAGATAAGCAACCAAATTTACAGAGCTTTTCTGCATCCCATTGAGTTTCTTGGTGACACCTTGCATGCACACACCCACCTTCCGCCTTGGGTGCAAGGGCGGGTAGCCTGCCGAATGAATTTAACGGGTTTGAGTGAGATCCAGGTCTCATCTGGGATCGCTGTCACACACCATTGTGCGTCTTGGATACGAAGATGGTGAAGAATGATGGAGCTGGTGCATTCAATTGCCTGCACTGTTTGGTTGTGCGGTCCCTCATACGTTACCAGTGACACTAACACCAGGCACATGCTCCATCCTTTAGTCGTGTAGGATGGCTCTTCTGAGGAGGCTCATAAGAGGAAGTCTTTTCACGAAAGCAGAAGGGTCCGTCGAAGACGACAATAAGGAGCTTAGCGTCGTAACGACCCAGGAAAGCTTTCATGACATCCTCTACGAGTAAGTATCCAGGCCAGGGCTTACATCTGTGACTATGACTCCTTTGAAGTTCTTACTTATTCCTGTCCTCGATTTTCGACCTGGGTTTCAACTCAAAGTGGGGTACTTTGTACTTGATTTAGAGCTTGCTTGGAGCCCATCAACACGGTCTAGCTTAAAGCATCTGTGAACTTCTTCGATCCTGGCTCTGTTGTTTCAAGTTTAAAATCACATTGCTCTCCCAAGATCATGTTACTGGACTTTGGGTCAGTACTACTTAGAGGATTTGGCCCCTGACTAGCTCGTGTGCATTCGACAGTGAGAGCCACACAGAGGAGGCGGAGCTGAGCTGGCTCTTCAGAGAATATGAGCAGGCTCAGCATCAGGATCCAAACGTGCGCAAAATTCTCAGAGCCCTTTCTGCTCACATAGCTGTGTGTCACCATGCCATGATTGCTGCTTTTGAAGTCTGCTCAGCAGTGCAAGTCCTGAGCTCACTTATCATGATCATGTCGCCATGCAGTACTGCAAGGAGGCACTCAGGAAGTTCTTCGTGCGATTCACTGAGGTGTTTGAGCCCTGGCTGCCAGAAGAGACCGTCCAAGAGGGTGAGCTGCCCTTACCATGACCCCCATGACATGTCCATGAACACCGGGGGGATGTCACTAAGTACAGATGAAAGCGCTAAGAGGGTCCAAGTTGCTCTTTGCTGAGACGAGTGATGCATGCAGGGAATGCCGCCAATCCTGCCATCTCTCCCACGGCCCTGCACAGGACACTGTCATCCCCTACAGAGTCATCCCTGAGGTGATGTCCATACACATACATCCGTACTTTATCTGTGCATGACGAAGTAGCCCTAAGCTGCTTTTGAAGCCGCTCATGGTGCATGCATGTCTCGACAGGCATGGGGGCAGGAGAGCAAGGCTCTCATGCAGTAAGTCCAATGCGTGGCTGTGTGACACAGGTCACACGACGGGCACTATCAGCGGAGTCAGCGCAGCGCAGACCTCAGCCAGGCGCAGCCATGGCAGGGGGAGGGCGGCCGCAGAATTACAGCAGGCTGCAAGGCAGGCCACCCCAGGGCCACTCTGGCTGCTGTGGTGCAGGCGCTGCAACGCATCCCCAATGACTTCGCTCAGGGTGGGCCAACATACTTCCTTGCATGAGCCACTTCTCATCCGCTCTGTCCCCTGTACATATTCCCTCAGTAGTACTGCTGATGTGGCTATACATCAATACCAAGTTGGAACTCTGCGCTGCTTGAGGCAGCTCACCACTGCCCCTTGCACAGCATAACCTATAACTTGTACCTGGCCACTTAACACTGCTGCCCGCCCGAGGTCCATGCAGTGTCTTGGGTCCACTGGCCCGCCTTGGGAGGTCTTTATTACATGGAATTAACAGAATGGGACGGAATGTGTGCAGTGACTGGCTGGGAGAGCGCCGGTTCTGAGGAGCTGGAGGGAACGGTGGGACTGGTGGCCCTGGACGTCCTGCGCATCACCAGCCGCTCGCGCCACAACCGCGCCCTGCTGCTGCATCTGGGCGTCCTCCCTGGCCTGGCATGCCTCATGAAGGTGGGCTGTGCATTCTGGGGGCCTCTTAGCAAGATTATTGCTGTCAGCTTCGCAGGGCGCCTCACTTAAATCCAAAACCGGGTGATCAGGCATGAGCAGGTGCAAAGGGGGATAGGCCCCTTCTGGCACATTCATCTGTGAAAGAGCTTGGTGGCCAGGACACAACTCATGCCACTCTGAGACCCTGAAACAGATAGGTGGTGATCTCATTGTGATTACCACCAGAGATTAATGGGATCTGTACGGCGTCTTGTTGACATCTCAATGCTGGGAACAATGCGATGGTGAATAATGGCACTCTGTGCGCATGTGATCAGGTGGCGATCTCGCGCCTGCACGCCCTGGCCGACAAAGACAGCGGCGGCGCAGCGCTCTGGTTCCTGCAGTGCCTGCTGGCGCACGTGGTGTCGGCCGTGGACACCTTTGTCACAGGGGAGGTTCGCGCGGTAACGGGTGCCCGGCCGGACTCCATGGAGTTGTACCTGTCGCAGGACACGCGCTTCTGCAGCCGACAGTCCCGGGCCCCGGGTGAGAAGTACTCCACCGCCTGCTTTATCATTGATGGTATCTCTCTCTCAAAGGCTGGCCTGGAGCTCTGTGGCGTCTGCGCTGTGGCGGGCGCCCACCCGGCATGGCGCTTGCTGAAGGAGGAAGCATGGGAGGATGGGTGTCTGGATGTGCAGATACTAGTACAAGAATCACCTGCACCGATTTTTGTATTTGCAGAGCAAAAGGTGGAGGTCAACTGAGTTTACTCTTTCCTGCTGCTGCTATAGGGAATGTTGAGGAGGCTGAAGCAATGGAGAGGGCGCTGGCACCGTTGTTAGAGGAGGGCATGCTGCAGCAGCTGCTGGACCTGCTCTGCCTGCTGCGGCTGCTGCGCTCGCGCGGCGCAGCCGTCGTCGCTCCTTGGGAAGTCCTGGTGCGCGCAACATGTCACACGTTGCATGCCAATCCCTTTAAACTGCCGCGGGCATGGCACCTTTGTGAATGCCAGTTGCATTGGAGTGTCACCACGAGCTGTTCAATGTGCATGGTGACCAGCGCTTATCTGGTCTTCCTGATTATACGGAGTGGTTTGGTGCAGGTTCTGGACTTGCTCCTCGCGCTAGTGTCGGCCAGCGGCCGCGCACAGGCGATGCTGCTGGGCTCAGATCCCACCAGATGCGGCCTGGTGGTGGGTGCCTCTGCTGTGCCTTTTTGCTTGTAATATCTGTGTGCTCCCACCTCCATAAATGTTTGATCTGCCAATCTCCCACACATCCCGATCATACCCGGCTGATATGGGTATTGTTCTCATTATTGTTATGATATAATTTCAGTCCGAATGACTAGGTATACCAAGGAACACAATTTTCTTATATGCGCGTCTGACCTAGGCTATCGATTGCTGGGCAGATATTGTTAGAGGGGCTCGGCTGGCCGCGAGCAGCATCGGGCAGGCAGCCTGGCGCGGGGAGTGCTGCAGGATTTGTTCTGAAGGGCGATGGCCAGCGGTCAGCTGAGGACGAGCTGAGGGTCCAGCTGATGACCCTGCAAGTGGTGCGCTCCCTTAAGCCCTTTCATCTTGTGAATTTTTACCTAGATGTACAGTGCGCTGACTGTTGTCTTGCCGCATGCAACCATCTTTAGAGGGGCTATTTGTGGCAGTGTCACATGGATTTTGCAATTTGACCCGTGGGCATTCTTGAGCAGGATATCTTTTGCACAATGTCCCAGCAATGATGCACGGATTTGTGCTGCAAGCAGGTGGCAGCGGCGATCCGGGGCAGCAAGGAGAACCTGCAGGCGATTCAGGATGCGGGCGGCTTTGAGCGCATCACGCAGCTGCTGCAATGGTCCGCGCTGACCTTCCCAAAGGCCCCTGCAGCGGACCCCTTGGTGGCATCGCCAGAGCAGCAACAGCAGGGGAGCCTGGCTTCGCAGCCCACGTCGCCGCGCGTGCCCCGCTCGCCGTTCCCGGCCTCTCCCCGAGCGCTGGCCGAAGACTCCCAGCCCGGCCCCTCGCCGAGAGGCCTCGGCGAGAGCGCAGCCCCTTCCACGCCCGCCAGACACTTCTCAGGTAGGCTGTCTGGGAGAAGCCTTTCATCCTTGCTGACACAATTTGATTTGCAAGCTGTGTCTTTTTCCATTTTTATGTGGCTGTTCTGATGCGCCAGTAACATTTAAGACACAGCTGGAAATGGACTGGAGGCTGTTGACTTCAGAGACCGTTGCTCAGGTAAAGGTGATGTGCGGCATGCCATGCAAGAAGCAGGTGGGTTGATGTGGCATTTGGGGCGTGCAGAGCCGGAGCGGTGCAGCTCTTGGACGGGCAGGCCGCAATTCGTGGACTTCAGGGGCGGCACATCACTGACGCCGCCGGTGCCGCCGTGGGCGTCGGCCGGCGGAGGGGGGCCGCCGGAGCTGGGCCGCGGCATCGAGCGGCGGCTGTCGGCCGGCGGCGAGCGCGCGGCAGCTGCCGCGAAGCTGGAGCGCCGCAGCCTTTCTGCCCGGCTCGAGCGGCGGCTATCCGTGGGGCACCTGTACGCCAGCAGAAGCTCCGCTGACCGTAGCAGTGCCTCCTTGTCGCAGCAGGGAGGCCTCTCTGGTGTGTCGCACCACTGAATAGTCCATTCATCTCCACCCGTCTATTTTCTTTCGCTCACGCCACATCCGGCTGCCCACGCATGTGAATCTAGGTCGTAGTTAGTTGCACCTCCTGCGTGCATATATTTTAATCAGATGCTTGGCACGAAGAAGATCGCATTATGTATGAGAAGTAATTGATGTGTTTGCCAGGGTTGGTGCACTGGTCTTCCAGCGACTGGCAGAGCAAGCTGCGGCGGACGCTGCGCAGCACTCTACAGGGACAACCTGAGGCGGCAGTGGAAGCGCGGCCGCTGGGGCCCCTGTCTCAAGCGGGCATGCCCGCTCTGCCCAGCATGCCACTGGGGCAGGTTTTTGCTGTCCTGGAGGCCCTCCTTGACTTGGCTGAGCGGCGGCGCTTGCACAGTGACCCCTCGTCGACACCGCAGAGTCACCGAGACAGGTGGGACATGCCTCTGAAACTGTTCTACAAAATTCGGCCTGGCAGAGTGAAATGGAATGCTGGTGTGCTGCCAGTATGTCCTCGAGTGATGGCCCCAACAGAATCTTAGATCTTGTGAAGGCTATGGCATGTGGGCAAACTGTTTCAAGCGCGTTCTGGATAAGTTTCCGCCCTTCTCATGCAAAATACAATGTGCGTCCAGTGTAGCATGTGGAATGCTGCAGGCTGCTGCGCAGTGTGGTTAGTGCTGTTTTGGGCGCATTCAAACCGATCGTGCAAGGCTGCCCGCGGTTGCGGGAGGCCGAAGCAGAGCTGCATGCGGCTGCTCTGCGCGAGCTTCATTCTTCCCATTCAGCATTGCAGGTCGGAATTTCCCCCTTTCCACCACCCTGACAGTGCTGCTGTTCACCACTGTGCAGAAGGCACTCTTTGAAGTCCTTGGAAGACCAGTTGTTGACATGTGCTGGATGCGGACATGCAGATGCATTCTTTGAGGTTTCTGGAGCGCGTGGTTGCTGTGGACGGGGCTTCCTTGGCGTCCCTTCGCTCCATGGGCCTCTGGGAGCTCACCTACGGCTCCGCCTTCTTTTTCTTTGGCCAGGCCACCAGATCGCAGGTATCCTCACACCCCACATGTCATATTATCCTTCTCATCGTTCTTTCCTGCGTAAAACTTAATCCGAGAGAAAGCCCAGAAGGTCTGGCATGTCCTGAGCTCGACAGCTGTCTTTGCAGGGAACAAGCGCAGCCTCTGCAGGCGATGTGAGGGATCAGATATCTGCCGCCTGTCAGACTGCCATGCCTACAGGCAAGCAGGCCGCCACCAACAGCAGCTGCAGCAGCAAAGGCCATTCTAGCAGCTCAGGGGAATCAGACAACCAGCGCTCAGCAGTGGCCGAATTTTCAGGAGTCCAGGTTGTCCTGGTGCCAGACGAGGCATTCAGGCGGGTCACAGTCACGTTCCTGCGGCGCAACAGCGCAGCAGAGGGTGATCTCACTGCGGGCAGGGCGCGGCAGCCGCTCACGGCGGTGCTACAGCAGGAGGAGGCGGAGAGGAAGTTTAGCAGCCCAGACAGGCCCCAGGAAGATTCTCTGGCTGTGGGGAGGCCTGAGGGGCCTCAGGTGCCAGTCAGTCCCTGGCTGGCGCAGCAGGAAGGAGAGGACGTGCTGAGGGATCTGCGAGAAAGTGTGGTGGCTCTCACTGAGCGCGCCGCCTGCCTGGAAGGGCCCGATGGCGCTGCTGACAACCAGCCGGAAGTGCGCAAGGTAAAGTGCCAGTCCCTCATATGTTTTCTGGTCTGGTGTGAGGCCCATGTGCACCACGAGCTTGAGTATGTGTCCTCCAGAAGACTGATCAAATTACCTGGCTTGAGCACATGCATGCTGAGAAGTTTAAGTCCATGACTGCTGAGTAAAGGGTGCCTCTTCATGGCTCAGTGCATGTAGAGCGCTCTACATGCGCAGATACTCTTACATGCATCAATGCATCGCTTGTGGACATGATATAACAGGGCATAAGCAGAACTTTTCAGTACAAGAACACTGAGCAGTGACGAGGGTGCATGCTCTGACGCCCACTCCAGGTTCTTGATGGCTGCAAAGTGATTTGGCAGCTGCCCAATACCCGGAAATCAAGGGTTACCCCAATCCCTGAAACGGGAGGCCCTGTGATGGGCGCAGCTGAGCTGGCTTGCCGAGTCCTAATCTGGCGCCTCGCATGCATTCTTCTTCTGACTCTATTATATTGGGTCGCTGATTGAATCCACTGCCTTGCAATGGGCGCAGCTGCTGGAGCTGTTGCAAGAGCATGCGGAGCAGGCTGAGGTTGTGCTGCTGGCGGCGCCTGCGCTGGCGCGCGTGCTGATGGGCGCGCAGCAGGCCACCATGGCTGCCCTCCACCACTGTGACGGCCTCTCCCTCCTCGCCGCCATTGTGACCCGCCAGGCCCACGCCGACTCTGCCACCCGGGTGCGCCTTTACCGCGCCTCGGCCGCTCTGACACCTCATGCTACACCTCATGGCATGTTGATCATTACATGCTATCATTGCATGCTGATCATTGCATGCTAATCCATGCATGCCACCTTTGTGTCTGAAAGACTGACGATTGGGATTGAATTTGAGGGTTCATCCAGCAATAGCCAATTGCTCTTCGTCTTCGTGCTTTGAGGTTGATATCAGATGCTGATATGCTCTCTCCTGCCTACCGTTTTGCAGTCTTTGGAACCACCCATGAGTGAAATTTGGAAGCTTGAAAGCCTCTTGGTTGCTGAAGTGGCCAGACAAGACAGCGCCTGGCTGATAAATGCTGGCGCCTACGTGCAGGGGGCACTCTCTGGCGAGGCGGCAGAAGCGCAGGGCAGTAATGAGGCCATTATGAAGTGGCAGGCGAGGTGCGCGGTGCTGAGTGCGCTGGCCACGTACCTGCACGCATCGCCGTCCGTGCAGCGGGCTGCTGTGCGGAAGTGGGAGCCGGTGGCCGCCCTCTTTGGCCTGCTCTGGGACGACAGCACCCGCAAAATTGCGCTCAGCATGGTACGTCAAGCCCATGAAATCTCTTTAGTTCTGCTTATCTACATGCCAGGACCGCTCATGCGTTACTGTGCACGCCAGTCATTTCTCCAACTCTTGTGATTGCATAGGCATAGCATGCCCATGATACCCGGATAGGCTCCAAAGAGGACCTTTAAAAATGCTACTTGAGTAGAACCCTTAACTCCAAGGCTCTTCTGGGACCCTTGGAATACAGATCTCTACACAAATAGCCTGTGCCTGAGAGACCGTGGCTTGTCAGGAATTCCTTGAGAATCTTGCACTTGGTTCAAGATGCCAACTTTAGGGTCGGTGCAGGTGGTGGGCCTGATGCGGCTGGCGCCGGCGGACCAGGATGATCGGTTGGCCAAGGCGGCGCTATTCACCAAGTACGCAGAGCTGCTGCCGGCTGCGCTGACGACCGACGGCGCCAACGCGCAGCAGCTGGTCTCCGACCTTCTGCTGGGCATCCGCGAGGTCATTGCCGGCAACAAGCTCGCGCACCAAAACCTCTTCAGGTGCTTTTCAGATTAATTTATTTTTGCCAGAAGCAAATGGAATGAATGGCAGTGAGGGCATGGACCTGCAGCACATTGCCCATTACATTCTGGTATCGATAGCACCACATGGCCTGTCAGCGCCTTTTCACTGGCGGCCTGCCAGTGTGCGGGGTGGTCAGCAAACCCTTCAGTTGTGCAAGTCGGTGAGAATACTGCAATTGTCTGGGCATCAGTTTACCAGTGCCTTGATACGCTTGCAGAAGACAGGTCACCTGGGTACTTGGCAGCAGATGACTTCTCTCTGAAAGCCTGTGATGGTACTGATAGACTTCCTCTGAGTCCTGGATAAGGCGTGCCTATAGCATTCGGAGAACGCAAGACCTTGCGCCTGTAGATGACACGGATGCAATGTGGGTGCGGCAGGCAGTCGGAGTGCTTCGTGCAAGCGGTGAACCTGCTAAACTTTGACTATGAGGGCGGCCACGGTGCGCAGCTGTGTGAGGAGGTGCTTGCAACCCTCACTGCCTTGCTAACAGGCAATGAGGCATCCAGGCGACGAATGGTCAGCGATGTGGGCTACGACCAGATTCTGACAGCCGTCATGCGTCAGGTGTGCCCCATGAATTCACAATTTCCTGCCTTCTCTGGGACTCCTGATGCAGCTTCTCGGTGTTCTCTGCTGGACCCTGAGGGCACCAACTGGACATTAGATGGGGCAACCTATTGCATTTGAGTCATGGCAGGGATGCAGAGAAATGCCTGCTTTGGTCTCTGTGTGCATGACAGCACCTGAGTCAGTGATTGTGGCTTTGCAGACTCCTCCGGAAGGGCCACAGCACAGCCTTCTACTGTCCATTCTTGGGCTCATTCTTGAGGTGAACTCCCAAGTCTTCTTGGATTTTTTTCTTTCATATGTGCCAGCCCTACTAAGAGAGTGATCTTCTGGCAAAAAGTCCTGTTGGCTATTGAAAGCTGTGCCTGAACATACCTCAAGGGTGGTCTCATCTCCATTGTCACTATGGGTTATTGGTGCAGGCGGACTATGATTCCACGACTGTCGAGCAGACCATAAAGAATGCAGAGGCTGTGCCGCTCTTCTTTCACTTCCTGCGGATGTCAGAAGTGGTCGTGCAGACTTGGGGACTGGACGCATTCTGGCGCCTGACCTCTGGCAGCATGCCAAACCTGTCCGCATGCGAAAGGTGAGCTGCCTTATTTTGGGAGTCTGCAGTCCAGTAAACACATCCTTTGAGCGCGTTTCAGTGCAGCAACAGGCCGAGTCGCTGCAATGCACTTTACTTCTATGATTACACCGTCTCAGTTGTTGCTCTTCTGAATCGCACGCTGAGAGGAAATGAGCTCTATGACATAAGCAACGGATGGTATTTGTCTGAAATCTAAATTTTGTGTTCAATTGTGCGCTAATTGCAGGTGCGGCCTGAACGCTATCCTCATAGAGTGGTTTGCGGCGGTGCGCGGACAGCCGGATCTGCAGCAGCCCATAGCTGCTCTGCTGCAAGTCACCGGCGCCTACAGCATCTCAGGTCAGGCCTCATTTCATCAAAGCTGTAAAAGTTGCTAGCTGCAATGGTCGGGAGTGAGTGCTAGTCTAGCATGCCAGGCTCAGCATGCACTCTCTGCTTCTTGTTCCCCTGGACCCCACGAGCCATTTGACCTGCTCTCTGTGAAGGTCCATGACTAAACAGCAGGTTGCAAGGACATGCCGGGCTCAAGCACAGGGATACTCAGACGCTTGAGTTGTAAGAGTCGCTTGAGTAGTAAGAGTCGACATGAGAAGCAACTACCTTCACCGGAGCAAGACTACTAACTGGGCAATCTACAAGAGGCATACATGCAATCGTCGTTGTGGCTTTATGTTCACTGCATTTCTGTCTGAATTGGCTGCATGCTGACAGGGCGCGACCTCCGGGCGATCTTTGCGCTGCTGCGCAAGGACGGCAGCGGCCGCGTGCCCGCGCACGCCGTCGTACTGCTGCGCTCCCTGGCGGTCATGGCGCACCATCAGGGTCCCACCACCTTCTTCGACTTTGCCAACGAGGGCGCCGGCATCGTTCGCAACACGCCCCTGCGCTTCCCTGGTTAGCCATACAGCCCCTTGCCACTTCACTAGAATGACCATTTAACCTTGGTAGTGAAGTGGAGAGCTGTTCCAATTTTGACAAGGCGCTCCTGTAACAGATCAGGGCAGATGCAAAGACACAGCATCAGCGAGGAATAGACTGGTTTGCCTGGCTCAGTCTGCAGAGCAACTCACAGATGAGTCAGGAGAAGGCACAAGATAAGCGGGCTCATTCGGCATGGGCGCTTGCCTTTGTGGCTGTGTCATGGAGGGCACGTGTGAATGGGAATTGATGGCGTGCAGGCAGCAAGGGGTACTCCTTTGCCACATGGCTGCGGCTGGAGGATGTGGACGGACAGCCCGGGACGGCTGGGCGCGCACTGTTCACTCTGCTGCACAAGACAGCCGAGGCCACCAGAGGGGTCACTGCTGCCTTCAAAGGTGTGTCTTCGGTCTCAAAGGTGACTCGCAAGCAGTGCAATGGCAGGAATCACTGTGCCTCCCTCTTATTCTGACCCTATTCATCTGTATGTGACATCTTCTCTTGTTCCTGACAAATCCTGTTTGCACCAATAAAGAGGTCCTGAAGGGGATTTGTGTTGCGCGCGCAGGCAGCATGATTGCTGTGCGCTCTCTTGGTGCTGGCAAGACGAATGAGGCTCAGCTTGAATTCAGGTTCGATGCCAAGAGGTGGTATCATTTGGTGCTCACTCACAGCACAGGCAGCGCCCTGGCACCTGCCTGGGTGAGGCTCTTTGTCAACGGCACGCTGGAGGCTTCCGAGCGATTTAAATACCCCAAGGTATTGCACCCCTGTTTCTGAAAGCATCATCAGGCACAACCTTCTGGACATCCTGGACAGAAGGACCCTGATTATGCATCTCGGAAATGCATGTTCCGAGATGCATTTTGTTCAAGGGTTTGAAAGCATACATATCGATAAGTGTTTGCGTACATTCCACAGGTGCAAGAGCCTCTCAACTCCTGCAGCATTGCTGCTCGGCTGTCTGGAAGCGAGAATGGACTGGGCGTCCCTCTTAATGCCTTCCATGGGCAGATGGGCTGCATCTACCTCTTCGAAGACATCCTGTCCCCTGGTATAAACTCTCTGCTCTCTCTGCGTGAACCTCATGCACAGACAGTACACCTGCATCTCATAGCACATCTTTGCTGTGAGCACTGCTGTATGCGGCTGGAAGACTTTGGAGGTGCAGTCACAAGCAAAAGTATTGTACATGAGGAGCATGGATGCACTGCCATTTACGGTGTGTTTATGGCTTGCCTTTGCTACTGCTGGAATTCCTCGCTGGATCATGATTGCAGCGCAAGTTGTTTATCGGTGCAGTTTCGATTGGTCATGTTTTGTGTGCCTTGAAATACTGCTGCTCAATAATTCCTCCTTGACTGCAGCGCAAGTCGGCGCGCTGCATGCGTTGGGCCTAGATTACCAGTCCACGTTCTCGCCACTGGAGTCGGACGCAGTACTGGAGCAGATGCCGGCTGCAGCAGCGCTAGTGGTCGACGGCAAAGAAGCCCTCGGGCCGCGTCTCATGATCAGCTACAATGCCCAGGTCCGTGGGCTCATTGCGACGTCACAGAAGTACCCTTTTATCCCATGCCACAATGAAAACCCTGAAGACGTTCCTCACCATCCTGGCCGTGCAAGAAGTATTCCACAGTGCTTACAAACTCATGCTGGCATAAATTCCCTCGCTGGCCTTGGCTGGGGGCCAGAGGCCTGCCCGCATCATCCTTATGAGCCAAGTGCCTGACATTTCCTTCGTCTCTTTCTTCTGTCATTTCAAGGGTTGATGATTGCATGATGTGAGCCGACCTTCGATCCGCATTGCGTAACCATGGGCCTATGTGTCCATATCCTGGCCTTGCAGCAAATCCCTCTGCAAATCCCTCAGTGGTTTGCATACACAGTAAGCCGCGCATGGGTAGCCCTTCCCGCTCGCCTGCCTCTGAGCCTCTGAGAGGGCTTGTGGGGCCAAGTCTTTACAATCCTCTCTATCCAAATTTTTTGCTGATAGCAACGCATGATGTCAGCTGACATGAGCATCAACGGCGTGCCTGACAGGCGGCGGCCGGGCGCATGCTGTACAACACAGCCGACATGGAGCGCGGCGGGGCTGGTGATGGCGACACGGTGGCCATTCTGGAGGGAACGCAGCTGTGCTGCACGCGCCAGCTGCGCGACCTGTTGCACTGCCTCGGCGGCGTCTCCGTCCTGCTGCCCCTCTTTGCGCAGCTCGGTGGGTCCTTGCATGCTGCAAAAGAGAAGGAAGTAATAAAGAAAGAATGAATGTCCCGTAGGAGACCCTTACGTGCGTACGTGCAGAGCCAGAAATGGCTGAGCAGGGGACATCACTCTGAAGAGCTGTATTATCCTGCACTTTTGGGGAGCCGTCTTGTGTCTCATCTGCATTAGTCATCGACATGCTTTTGCCGCTTTTCTTACTTCAAAATACTGTATTTGATAATTGAAGATTTCCGTGGGTGAACATGTAGTGGATGGTGTTCAAGTAGTCAAGAGGTCTCACGCTTATCGTCAATTCATCAATCTCTTTCAACAAAAAGAGATAACATGACGCTGTCTGTTTTGCCGAGAATGCACAGTTTCGCGTGACTGTTGAAGCTGTGTCTGGCAGATGCCCCCAGCAGCGAAGATGGGCAGGAGGCCTCGAGGGCGGTGGATGTGGTCCGCCTGCTGGGTGCAGTCCTGGCAGACAGCCCTCACAACCGCCAGAGCATGGTCCAGATCTCAGGTGAGCATCACACTTTTCTCCCGGGCATATCAGTGACACTTCTGACATGTTGTTCCATTTCAAAGGAATCTTAGCCGAGCTGAGGAAACATTGCAACCTTGCATACCAGAGGCCAATGCCTTGCTTCTTGCAAAATGCATCCAAGTAGCTGCCACGGATTTCGGTCATCTACCAACTTCCCTACTGGGCAGCTTCAATTTCTGAGTTCACTCTGAGGCCCATGCAAGTGAGATCACACCTTCTGCTCATGCCAGTAATGAGGAGGGGCCTTGGCATGCAGGTGTGGCTCTGGTGGCGCACCTGCTGCAGCAGCGAAGCCCCAAACACCTGACGCTGGACCTGCTGCACGCGCTGGAGGCTCTGCTGAGAGCGGTGGCGCCGGCCGAGGCGCTGCACACCGCCGTGCTGCAGCGGCTGCTGCTCAACCTGCGCCTGTGGGCCGCCGCGCCGCTGCCCATCCAGCGCAGCTTCCAGGCCCTGCTCCTCAAGCTCGCCAAGGTACTGCAGTGCGCTTGTGTCTCGCACTGCTTTCCTTCTGACTGGAGTGCTCCTTTCTGAGTATGTTGGTCTGGGTGAGTTGCTCTGGTTCAGAGTGGATCGGTCTGGATTGGATCCATGTTAGTCTAGCTTGATCTCTTTACGTGTCAAAGCAGCACGCATGTCTTCTTCTGCTCTCCATGACGGAGTCGCTCTTACTTTGGAGTGGATTGGTTTGCTTTGGTATGGATATAGTATACCTTGGATTGACCTGTAGACGGATCCTGTGTCTGTGGTCCATCAACATTCTGACTGCAAAGTCTGGCAAACCGGGCTTCTCGGCCATGGAGAGCATGTCCCAATGCGTGACACACACAAAATGAACCCATATTTATTGGAAATTCACATCGTAAACCGTAAAACTTCAGGGCTTAGAGCAGATGTGTCATGCAGGGGGAGCCGGCCGGTGTCTCGGCGCTGCTGGGGGTGCCGCGGCTGCTGGACGCGATGCGTGCGCATTACGGGGGCGTTGCCTCCGCCGACGCGGCGCGGCCGCCTGCGGCCGGCGGCGGCCTGCTGCCGGCGGAGCTTCGCGCGCTTCGGCAGGGGTTGCTCAATGTGGCGCTCAGTTTGCTGCACCTCTCCGCTGTCCCCTCCCACAAGGCGCCGCGCATTGCCCCCGACGACATCCAGGCACGCTGCTTTTCCCCACAGCCTGCTTGACTCATCGTTTTGATTTCTTGCTGTGAGCCCACGTTGATATTTTTGCCATAATAAATGCACATAGCTCTTGGAAAAGGTGCACATGTGCCAGAACATATAACAACTGGATACCAGCAAGGAGACACGAACAATGAGTCAGGCAGGTAAAGCAAAAGTACTATGGTTTGTTGCTGCAGCAAACACTTGATGTTGGTCTCGAGCGACAGAATATATCTTGCCTGAATGCTGGTGTATTTTGGATTCCTTGCAGGCGCTGATAGCCTTCATAGGGGACTGCGCGGACGTGGCCACGCTGGAGGATGTCCTGATCGCAATACTGGACCTGTTGCGCCACACGCCGCCCGGCCGCATCCCTCTGCTGGCAGGCAGTGGCGGCGCACAGCTCTTCCTGTCTCTGCTGTCGCGCGAGCAGCCAGCGCTGCGCATCCTGGGCCTCCACCTGCTCGCCTTCTTCGTGCCCTACATGCACGCCAAAGGTGCCCCAGCTTCCCTTCCACCGTTGATGCCATGCATTGAGAAATCGCACGGGTTTTTCTAAATGCTCAATACCCAATCCCACATATAAACTGTACTGGGCCATTACACACGCCCACGTTTCTTTCTCAGACATGGCGCCCAACGAGCATTATGCATTCCAGGGAGCCAAAACACCACTTGTGGGGCAAATCCTGAACCTCATATCTCTCTTTGTCCTCCACCGAGTCAGAACATCTGAGAAGGTTCCCTCCACATTGTCACCAATGCTTTCACATCATGGCGTTGCAGCTGCATTGTTAGCTGATGTGGCCCTTCCCATTCTGCTGGCGCAGGCGCGGAGAGCGAGGAGGCGCTGGCGGGCTTCTGGGCGGCAGTGGCGGACGCGCTGCTGATGTTCCCTCTCACGCCCACCGTGCGCGAGTCGCTGCTACAGCTGCTGTGCGCCACCGCGGGCGGCCAGGCCGGCGGCGGCATCGGCATCGGGATGCGCGGCAGCCGCTCGGGGCACGTCGTGTGGCCGGATGCGCGCACCCCGATCACGGCCGCGCCCGTCGTGGGCATCCTGCTGCAGCTGCTACTGGGCTGCGACGACGCCGGGCAGCGCTCCGCCACGCTCGAGGCCCTCCACAAGCTCATCGGTGGGTAAACCGTCCTCGTGCTCAAGATCCTGGTTGTCTTGCAGCAAAACGCAGGACGGATTGTTCCCTACCTGCACCCACGGTTGTGCGGCCCCTTCCCTCAACAGACAAAGAGAGCGTCTCTGCTTGTGCGGTGAAACATGCTTTGAATTAGGGCCACCGTACTTGCGCGCTGGATCATCAAGAAACGTGCCCTGGCCGAGTGGCGGCAGCGCTGTTCCTCCCTTGCTGACTCCCAATGCCTGCAATGTTGAAGAAACAGACGCTGCAGTGAGTGTTGTGGTGTGTTTTGTTTTGGGATAGTTTATTGAGCGATCTGATGAGTTGTGTGCTGTGGCGCAGTGGAGGGGTCGAGGGAGAACCGTGCGGCGGTGGTGGCGCAGGAGGGCTGGGAGCAGTGGCTGCTGGAGCTGCTGCTGGACGGATCCCCCTGCATCCCATGCGGCGCAACACAGGTCAGTGCGCTGGCCCCAAGAAAACCAAGTCACTGGGCACTCCCACTTTTCATGCGCAGCTTTGTAAAGGCCTTGCATGTTAGAAGCTGCCATCCAGGACGCACTACCAGTTCCCCTTCAACTTTCAATTCAATCCAATTGACGAGGAAACGGTATGTATGTTGTCCTGGATTGCAGCTATCTTGCCTTTTCTTCAGTGGAAAAGTCACTTCTTTCCTAAGTTTGCGTTGAGGGCCACCACCGACTGTTTGTGGATATAGAGACTGCTTGCTTGAGGGGCGGAATGTCGGCCAGGCTCATTGCAGAGGATTCTTCAACAATGATCAGGGAGATGACTGGCTGAGGGCTTGCAGGGGTCACCAGAGCGGCTTGCGCCGGGCAGTGCGGAGGATGAGGCGCATGCTCCCTGGGTGTGGGTGGGCGCGGAGGCGGTAATCATCCGCAGCATTCTGCGCGCGCTGCACGGCCACTGCATCACCGAGCTGCCGCGCGGCTGGACTGCCCTGGAGCGCACTGCCTGCCACCTCAGGCACAGCCCAATCCCTGCCTGTAATCCCAATACCATGCTTGTATTGCTTATTGAACAGCGCCCTGGTCACACTCAACTATTCTGTTACGCAATAAGCAGGGATGGCAGGGGCTCAATTGTAGATCTCTGGCCTTTAGTAGTCAGATGACCTCTAGGTGGGGTTGGTTTTTTCAATAGCATGCATGGCAGGTCTGTGCAAAGGCAAGAGCTGACTCGGGCAGGTTGGGACTTGCCGGTGGCAGTAAACATATTATACAAGTATATTCTTGATCAAATCGCCCCATGTTCGTGCCCATTTGAGTAGCTAAGCAACAAGCAGGGATGTCTGGGCTCAACTTCCTGTCAATCAGGGTACTGAAAGATGAACTGCAAATGGATTTACCCGGGAATTGTCATGCCCAGGGCGTATGCTGACAGGGGAGTGGTTGACGGCTGGGGCCTGATGCACTCCCTGCTGGCGGATGTGGTGGATGACATTGTGGGCGCAGCCAGCAGCGAGGCCAACAGCGCAGCCGCGGCAGAGCGCGACGCGTGGACGCTCATCGCCTCCCTGTCTACCGAGCTGGCCCGTGACAACTGCATGGGTGAGCCCATCGCTTGGAATCTTGACCAGCTTTGAGAGCTAGAATTGTGAGGCCTTACTTGCTGCTACAATGGGCTGGAGCAGTCCTCTTCTGTGCAGGGATACTGCAGAAGGCCCCTTCATCATTGAGCCACATTTTTAAAATGTTTCCTATTGTTTGGGATGACAAGCAGTGTAGCCAATACGGGACCATGCATGTGCAGGTGTGCTGGATCTGATAGACGAGCTGACATCTGGGACGCTGATCATGCCACGGGGACTGCCTCTGAACCCCACTCCAGAGGCGGTCGCCTGGGCGGAGGGCGGTGTCGAGCTGGTGCCTGTCGAAGCCTGGCCTATCCTGGGCGTTCCTGGAGCCAGCGCAGAAACATCCCTGGTAATATTCTGAGCCAGGCCTGCTTTTCATGCATCCCTGCTGTGCATGCTGCAGTGCCCTCGAAGTACTGCCCCGTACTAAGTACGGCCCATTTTCCATCCACCCCCATGTAGAGGTCATCTGGTTACTAGTGACCAGAGGAATGCAATATTCTGACCCTTAAAGCCAGCACCCCTTTATATCTTGAAAGCTCCAGGAACTCCCCTGAGGCATGGGAATAGTTCGTTTCCTGTTCCTTTCATGGCAGTGAGGTATGCAGGCATCAAACAGGGATCACGTTTGATATGCTGTGCAATGTGATGCTTGCAGTGGGCTCAGGCAAGGCAAGTTTGTGGCTGGCAAATAATCTGAAAAGCAACGATTATGATGCAGCCGGTGGATGCATACATGACGGCGGAGGCATGGCGGCTGCACAGCGGAGCATGGCAGCTCATCTACGTGCTGCAGAAGACGGGCGACGGCTTCGGCGGCGGCAGCGGCGGCGGCCTGTCTTGGGACAATCGCGCCCAGTCGGCTGGCTCCGGCCGCGCACGCAGAGTCAGCGACTCCGGCAACGACTCAGCGGTCAGCTCACCCAGAGGCAACCTGGGCTCCTCGCACTCCATGGCTGAACAAGGTATTCCCGCCTGGATATTCCCCTGGCTCCCAGTTTCTTGTTAGCAGATGGAGCAACCTCCCTGGACATCCCCACTTCATTCAAAGGTACCAATCATGCCAACGCCGGTATTGCCTAGCATCACTTCTGCTGAGCATCAGACTGTGCATCTCCACTTGTTACACCAGTAAATATCCTCGCAATGTGGTCGTCCAATGCGCGTCTGTGCTAATGCTCCAGGCAATGGGAAGGTTGTGTCGGAGGAGGTTGTGCGGTCTGGGGTGGCAGATCGGGTGGTGCGGCTGACGGTGCGCATGGTGCTGACCGCGCTGCGCTGTGCTGCGCCGTCTGTTGCAATTGACTGCGTCGCCAGCGGGTGCCGCCTACTGCCCACCATTCTGACCTCTTCGACCACTGCCAGGTGCGCCTCCCTTTGGTACAAACAGTTGCCCATTCTGGCACAATGCCATGCGTGCTTTGCCAACATTTGACAATCGGGATGCTGTCGTTACAACTAATTAAGAAAATTTGGTGAAGAATACACCAGCACTCCGCTTGACAAGCCCCGCGATGCATGCACGGCTCCATGTGTGCTAGGGGGAGTCAAGACTCTTGAGTTCTTTTGAGTTCAGGACACATGTCTCTCCGCTCGAGTGAGAAGCAGCTACATTGAATCAGATAGCCGTATAGAAAGGCACAGGGATGTGAGGGCAGCCAATCGACTCTACCGTATATATATTTTTATGTATATATTTTTTATTTAGGGTTTAGGGTTTATACGGCAAATACCTCCAAGCATCAAAGCGTCTGGATCATACACAGCAATGTTGCATATATCACATCACGATTTCAGAGGGCTTGGGCTGCGCAGAAGCCGGGTGCACCTGCTGCTGGCGTGCATGGTGAAGCTGAACGCGCGGCTGCGCACCGGCAAGACCGGCCCGCTCGGCCACGCGCGCCAGCTGGCGCTTGCGCGTGCGGCCCACGACGTGAACGAGGTCGCGCGCAACGCGCTGCCCTCCGACGCCGCCTCCTTCCCCACGCTGCCCGGCGTCCACGACGGCCACTTCTGGGTGCGCTGTCCAGCCTTTAGGCAAACCTCCTTTTGCAAAATGTCTGCTTGGTGTAAAGGAAGCACTGCCCTTCATTTGGCTTTATTGTTCATTGTTACGCCTTGGTTGGGCTCTTGATGGACTGGCCTGGACTGGAAGTTCTCATGAGTGCAACCTGGGACCTGGTCATTTGCGTTCATGACTACATAAGGGTGGTGCTTCCCATTCTTGAGTACATGCGGTTGCTCCTGAGCAAGGAAGGGAAGACACCTAGAAGAGGGAGACTGACTGTAGCTCTTTAAACGGCATCGTGCAGGAGAAGGTGAGGCAGGGGATAAACTGGACGGGCGCGTCCGCGGCTGCGCGGAACGAGGTACTGTTCCTGGGCCACATGGCTACGGCGCACAGCTTGGCGATGCAGCTGCTGGACCGCGAGGGCGAGGCACGCCTCCTCACGGAGCGCACCCGCCGCACCGCCTTCCTCACAAACGCCCGCGAGGCTCTTGGTGCGCTGCTACTTAGCGTTCTTACTTGTCCTCATTGCCTCAGACCCAGACGCTTTCGCTTGCTCATGTCCCGGCATCCTGACATGGGGAGGCAAACAACAATGGCACAATCTTACTAGATGCATGGGCCAAGGGAGCGCGCATCAGTGGCGATGCTGCCAAGGAGCAGTATACCCAAAGCAAGAGATGATGCGGGTGGGAATGCTGGTGTGTGGGGACTACGCCTCAACGGCCTTCCAAGCAAGTCCCCAAGCAAATCTCCTTTCACGGCAGCCGTTCTGTAATGCATCACAAGGAACAGCCCTGACAATTGATGCTTTTCTGGCGCCAGGCGCGATATGCGCTGCGGAGAAGTCGCGGCGGGCGGCGGCGCGGGTGGCGTACGAGGAGGAGAGCCAGGCGCTGAGTCGCAGGTGGCGCGACCTGCAGCGTTCCCTCTCGGGCGAGCGCGGCCTCTGGATGGACCCCGACTGCGCCGAGCCCCCCCACTGGAAGCTCGACAAGTTCGAAGACCCCTCCCGGCGGTGGGCACCATAACACTTTGCTCCTTGTCGGCTCAGCGGCAGGAATTGGCGCCTTACTGTGCTGTGCATATGCAGGTATGGGGTCTACATATCCAAGTTTATGCGTGCATAGCAGGAAAGCGGCTTGAAGTCTTGACGCGTGCGTGCAGGCGCATGAAGCTGAAGCGCAACTACAAGTTCCAGATGTACAGCAACCCACTCAAGGGCCTGCCGACGCAGCCGACCCCGGGGAGCGAAGCCGCGCTCAATCCCCATCTGGCCCTGCCAGGTGCGCAGGACCTCACATTCAGCATTGATTTGAATCCACCATGTGAGAATGTGGTTGTTATCGTTATTCTTGGGAGTTCATTATGAAATAAAAACAAAGGCACCAAGCCACACGGCTGAAGATCCGTCTTTCATTTATTGGGAAAAGCAGGAATTCTGTCTTTTACGCTGTTGTCTACAATGTTGCAGGTGTGAAGATGAAGGGCCCCGCTGACGATTTCGAGGACTTTGACGAGATGGGGACCCCGCAGAGCTCGCTGCAGATGCCCTCGTCGTCCTCCTTGGAGAGCCAGCAGCGGGAGGAGACCGAGGGCGCGTCTGCAGAGGCGATGGCCGAAGATGAGCGGGACGCCGAGAACGCAGTGAACCTGAAGGAGGAGGCACAGGTCCGGCTTGGACCACACAGCTGCCCCTTGTCTACCTTGGTGCAGGATTTCTAGAACTCGAATCTGTTCCTTAGAGCAAACGTGGGTTCTGACAGGAGAAGGGGTGCCCTCAATCAAACATATATTTTCACCCCCAACTGAATCTGTGGAGAGGTGGAAGGTGCGTCGTTTTGAGGGTCATCTTGGCAGCATTGGGCCTTGTCACACTACACGATACAGGGATCACCCGGATTACAGGGGCCCAGAGGTATCAATTGTACTCGTTCTTCTGACATGTGCTTGAGGCACCGGCAGGCTCCGCCACGCTGTTCACAACGGATGTGATAGATATCCACACGGCTGCTTGCTGCCCGTGCAGGTCATCTTCTCGACGTCCTGTCAGCTGGTGACGCCCAAGCACGTGGTGGCAGGCACGCTACGCCTGACAAATCTGCACCTGCACTTTGTGGGGGACCCCCCTGGCGAGGAGCAGCCGCCACCCGGGGGCGGCCCAGGCGCCGATCCGCGGCCGGCCGGGGCGGCCAAGCCGGCGCGCACGCACAAGCGCTGGCCGGTGAGCGCCATCACGGAGCTGCACCACGCGCGCTTCCTGCTGCAGCAGAGCGCCCTGGAGATCTTCCTGGGTGACCGCTCCAACGCGCTCCTCAACTTTGACGGCAACGAGGTCGGCGCCGAGGACTCCAATTGTGTGCTTAGAGCCCGACATGCATACAATCTGCCAGCTGAGCAAGACCTCGATGACCTGTGCCTGGAGCTTTGAGCGGCCTGTGCTACACACAGTGGGAAGTTCAAATCCTGCTCTGCGGGTGGCAAAGGCTGCTCAATTGCTTCAGGCGTATGTCCTCCACGCTGGATAGTTGTGACAGTTTTTAGAGCTTTCTAATCGCGTGAAACGCTGATGTTGTCCAAAGCTGATGCAAGTGATGTATTGCTTTATTGTTATGAGATGTGTGCCAAGCAGGCAATGCTGGAGGCAGCTGAGAAGGTGGCGGGGGCTTCGCCACGCATCGCAGTGTTTGATAGGAAGCGCAAGATCGAGCTGGCCCTCAAGCTGCAGCAGCGCTGGCAGCGCTGGGAGCTCACCAACTTTGACTACCTCATGCAGGTCTGACCAGCCACCCAACCTTCATCACTCACCCCATAGACATTGGAAATCTGTGATCATTGCATTTGCATCTTTCTTCACATTTAAATGAAGCAAAACCTCCATTGCATAGCCTCCAGTGTCACTGCACATGGTGTGCGTTGTGCACCACTCAGAAGAGTCTGGTCGAGGCCTGCTGAAGATATACAGTAACAAGCAAGACTACAGAAAGAAGTCAGCGCATGCATGCACTGATCCGGGCACGTCTGCACCGCAGCTGAACACGCTGGCGGGGCGCACGTACAACGACCTGAACCAGTACCCGGTGTTCCCTTGGGTGCTGGCAGACTACACCAGCGCCAGCCTGGACCTCAACAGCCCCGCCGCATTCCGCGACCTCTCCAAGCCTGTCGGGGCCCTCAACGAGAAGCGCCTGCAATTCTTCCGTGAGCGCTACGACAGCCTCCAGGTCTGCTCTCTGGCTCCTGCACTTGATCCTCCTGCTTCTTGAGTCTGGTGATTGTGGCTTTTCTGCGTCTTCAGCTTGTGCCACTTATGAAGTAGCTAGCAGGCAATACCTGGGACGGTAACCTAGTGCATGACTTGGAGGCATGCAATTAATGCCATAGAGCAACTGTCTCTTGTACCTGTCAACTTGCCTGAGGACATCGGCATATGTTCTGGCCGTACTGCAACAGTGCCTGCCACATTTGCACAGCAATTTGCCAGTGTCGAGCGTATGACAATTTTGTCCATTTATTGAAGGGTTTGTTCTTTTTTGCCTATGTTATGATGTGTCATGGGTGGGCAGGCGGACCCGGATGTGCCGCCATTCCATTACGGGTCGCACTACAGCGCGGCGGGCGTGGTGCTCTTCTACCTTATCCGGCAGGAGCCCTTCACCGGCCTCAACCGCAGCCTCCAGGTTTGACCCCTCACCTCCATTGCTATTTTACCCTATTATGGGCATTGTGGACATCAGCCCCACCAACACCTCCATTTCAAAATATCTCTGGAGCAGCATGCTGCACCCTCTTGCCAGAAGACAAGAGATCTGATAATGAGTTTGAGAGAGAGGCGTGTCTGGCGGGTGGTGGTCTTGTCTGCCCCACCAACGTCTCGATTGAGAATTTCTTTGCAGCAGCATTCGGTACCCTCTGTCTGCCAGGAGGCAAAAAACCTGCTTGATGTGAACAAGGGAGGTAGAAAACAAGTGAGGTGGAGAACAAGGCATGTCTGGCCAATGTATCTGCATAAGTGAGGGCTGCTTATTCCCAAGATTGCGAAGTATTTCAAGTGCAAGGCGGTGTGCTGGGCAGGGGGGCCGGTTTGACCACGCGGACCGGCTGTTCAGCAGCGTTCCCGCCACCTGGAACAACTGCCTGGTGAACACGAGCGACGTGAAGGAGCTGACGCCCGAGTTCTTCTACCTCCCCGACTTCCTCACCAACGCCGATGGCTTCTGCCTCGGCACCCGCCAGGTGTACACTCTCTCCTCTTTCCTTCGCAGTCTTTATCTGAGAATGACATGATTGCCGTGCGCATGCAGCACCCTTGCTTTGCATGTCAATGACGTGCAAATGGCGGTAGCTTGAGGGGTGTTAGTGAAACGAGCGCGTTCCAGGTACTTGATTTGTAAATACCGTAAATGAAGCACTGTTGCCCTGGGTCGCTGTCATTGGGCCATGAGCTGCTTGTGGACGACAACATGGCTGGACAAACCTTCTGCAGCTTGCAGAGTGTTGCCTACAACTTTGTCGCCTCTGCCGCTGGCAGCTCATGGACAATGACACGGAACAAAGCAAGCTCCCAGCAACTTGCAGAAATTCAGCCTTGTTTCACACTGAGGCTCTTGATGGGGAAGCAGCGCATTTGTCGTCTCTGCATCACTATTCATCTCAGCCGCTCATCGTGAATTTTAAAGCTGCTTTCCTGCAAGCCTCAGAGAGTTAACACACAAGGCGCTGCCGGGCCCAGGATGGGCGGGACCTGGACGATGTGGAGCTGCCGCCGTGGGCGCGGGGCAGCCCGGACGAGTTTGTGCGCCTGCAACGCGAGGCGCTGGAGTGCGACCACGTGTCGGAGCACCTGCACGAGTGGATCGACCTCATCTTTGGCTGCAAGCAGCGCGGCCGCGCCGCCGAGGCCGCCGCCAACGTGTTCTACTACCTCACCTACGAGGGCGCCGTCGACCTGGATGACATCGTGGATGCCAGGTCAGCAATTACCCCACCCTGTCCGACCAGCTGGCAATAACGCCTTCCTCCTCTGTCACCTGCTTGAATCTAGGCTCCTCGGCCGAGCACTCCAATGCTTATATTGTGCTTATGTATGTTTCTGCGCTGTGCGGCCAGCTCGCGATCTGCTCAAGTATTCTTTTCTTGTGAACGTCTCTGGAGGCTGCTCAGCTGGGTGGGGAGATTGTCCCCTAGAAGGTGTACGTGGTGTATTATAACATACTGGCTGCAAGGTCTATCGATGCATAGACCCCTATTGCCATCTCGTGCGCCTGCATAGGATGGGGGTTTGAATGGGCAGATTATCTTCATATGATCCCTGTGTACTCAAGGGTCAGACTAGCAAAGCACTGATTCAAAGCCCATGCGGAAAAGAAAGTAGGTCCTGTACGGCTGCTCAGCACATGAACGGTGCTGACGCTCTGAGTGCAGCAGCTGCATCATATAATTGCTGAGCAGATTTACAGGTAAGTCCTTCCATGAGTGCCAGAGTCCTGCACGCAAACAGCCAACGCTGGTGCCAATTGTGGAGGGTGGGTGCAGGCAGCGCAAGGCGGTGGAGGACCAAATTAGTCACTTTGGTCAGACGCCCAGCCAGCTGTTCCGCCGGCGCCACCCGCGGCGCGGCCCGCCCCCGCCGCCTACCGCGCACCCGCTGCTCAACGGCCCCGACGCCATGAAGCTCACCACTGTGGGCATGCCGCCCTCCCGCAGGTGAGTGCACCCCCGCCCCTGCGTTCACTCTTCTGTTGTTGCTCAGGGAATGTTATTTACGATTGACAAGCACACTCCATCTAAGAAATTCGTGCAAAAGGTTGCAGATAAAGTGACCTTGGTGGAGTGCGCCAGCACCAATGACGGTCCTGTCTTGGGCTTGACAGTGCTTCCACTATTTAAGTTTAAGGGACTGTTCAAGCTCCTTGTCGGGGCGCCATTAGTGCTGGTACATTCTCATGAATCCTCGATCTGAGATCTGCAATCAAGCAGCCTTGCTCCGAACACAGCCCTGTGCTTTTCTGGTGGGTGACCGGGGGGCCTGGGGTCCACAGGCCGAACATAGCAGTGGCGCGGGTGGAGGTGACAGAGGGGCGCGTGGTGCTGGTCAACGCGGACCGCGCCGTGTCGACGCACCGGTGGCTGTCGCCGCGCGACGCGGGTGCGTTCACGTTCTCGGTGCCGGCCGAGGCGGGCTTTGGCGTGGAGGCGGACCCCAACCCGCCCCGGCTCATGGGCGCGCCATTTGCCGCCGACCTGCATGCCGGCCACTGCTACGCCATCCTGCCTGGCGGCCAGGTCAGCAGGGCCCTTTAAATCCAGATTGCATCCCAAACCTGCGAGTGGATAGCACAAAACCCCAGACCGAGATGCTGGGTGTCGTCAAGTATTGTAAGCATATCCTCTAAGTTGCCAAGGACTGATTGCTGGATGGCTTGGTCTGCACATCGGGTGGTGTGTTCAGTATATGTGCAAGAGCATTGAGCAGCAAAGTGCACTTCTGGCGATGTCTGGGCTTCATGAGCTTTTCAAGCCGCCTGTCATCAAGTGCTCTCTGTTGTGAGGCCGTGCTGGAGAAGCTCAAACATTTGTTCTCCAAGCAGAAAGTCCCTAAAGGCGGCATGCTGTTGTTCTGCTGGCAGGTGATTGCCAGCTGCGGGTACTGGGACAACTCCATCAGGTGCTACAGCTCGGAGGAGGGGCGCCTGCTGCAGAGCATCCGCCAGCACAAGGACATTGTCACCTGCATCGAGGCCGGCTCAGACGGCTGCACCCTCGCCACAGGTGCCTGCTCCAACTCTTTTCCATGGCCAGAGCTGGCAGTCAATCCAACATTACTTCCACCCGTTCACTCTCTGTCATTGCTGGACGATCATGGCCATTTATTGAGCATTTGTGGTGAGTCTGGCGTCTGCAGAAGCCGTAGCAACCTTTCTGATGGTGCTTCCCGTGCGCTGTGCAGGCAGCAAGGACACAACGGTGATTGTGTGGGATATCGTGGGTATCACGCGCACCGGCCGCCTGCGCGCGCGCATGGGAGCGGCCGGGGCCGCGGCCGGAGCGCTGCCGCTGCGGCAGACGCCGCGGCACGTGCTGCACGGGCACGAGGATGCCGTGACCTGCCTCACGCTCGCTCCTGATCTGGACCTGATCGTCTCCGCTGCTGCCGACGGCACGCTGCTTTTCCACACGCTCACCACCGGCAGGTGCGCGCACCTGCACGCACTTGCACCCTGCTCCATGGGTTCCTCCACAGTGTCTCAGAGCTGACCTCGGCTGTGAGACTGCCAAGAGTTCTTGTACTTTGACTCGGCCTTGTACATCAGAGGACTTTCGAGCTTGCCTGAGCACCTGGGTTGTCAAGCCTCCACAAGACTGAATGCTTGTGAGTGAATGGCCCATTGGTGTTCGGGCGATCGTCGGGTTCATCTGATGCGCAGAGCAGTATCTACAAGAATGGATCAGTTGCTCCACCATGGAGACTCTGCGCTCAGCATTGAAGTGTGCGTGTGCTGGCGCAGGTACGTGCGCAAGATGCGGCTGGCGGGAGGGGCGCCCCCCGTGCTGCTGGCGGTGGCGCCGGGGCCGGGGATGCTGGTGGTGCACTCCTGGGCGGACCTGGGCCTGCACGTGTTCAACGTCAATGGGCGCCACCTGGTCAGCGCGGACGGCAATGAGCGGCTGGCAGCGCTCGCCATCTCCCCTGACGGCCACTTCCTGCTCACCGGCGGCCAGCGCGGCGTCGCATCCCTCCACTGGCTCCACTCCCTCGAGGTGCGCTGCTTTACCTTTGAGACATTTGCCCAAGTAATGTGCGAAGCTTGTCTACAGATGTACCTTGCCTCTGGTAGGCAAAAACATGTAATAATGATACTGCTGCTGCTGCTGCTGCTGATGATGATAAGAACTCCTGCGAATTGCATCATGCCTCATGCTGCTGCACATGGCTCGTCGAGCGGTGTAAATTAGACAAAGCGAGAGCTGCGTTAAATCGATGAGGGCTTGCAGAAAGAAGGAAAAAGAGCACAGACGGGGGGGCTGGATTGCTTGGTGGAGACATGACAAAGGTCGGGTTGATGCGCAATAAACTGAATGAGCATTTTGATGGCAGTCTGAAACCGCCCACATGCTGCGCAGTGCGTGGTGAAGTACGATGGCGGGCGTGGCCCGATTACGGCGCTGAGCGTGAGCGCGGAGGAGTGCGTGGTGGCCGGCACGCAGGGCGGTGCTCTGCTTGTGTTCTCGCCCGACCCACGCCGGCGCATGACTCGGCGATTGCAGCTGGCCGACGCGCGCGCGGGGCCGACCGCCACCCCCGCGGCTCCCTCACCCTCCAAAACCCTCAAGTTTGACGCGTGACCCCTGGGTCCCCACAGGCAGGGCACTCTAAACTAACGGGGAGGGAAATTCGCCGGATTCGCTAGGGGCCCATGTCCCATCGAGTTGTACCAAAACATGGGTTTCGCGGGTACTTTAGAATCGCATGCCACAGGGAGATGTAGCTCCCGCAGGCAGGGGGCGCTTCAGCCTGCAACAGTAGTGACCAAATTTGTCGCTGTGGGCGGGGGCCAGGTGGAGTGTCTAGGACCGGACCGTTTATTTGGTTGCAACAATAGACAGAGAATGTCTGCTACAGCACTGGTAATAAGGGATTTTAGATCTTTGCAAGCGTATAGAACGGCGCCACTCTGTCTAGCGTTACTTGTATGTGTCTATTAGGTGACTGTACGGATTGAAAGGCATGGCTGCAGCTCGTAGCTCAACTAGCTTTCTTTTTTCCTAGTAGCATTAGGTGCCCTGTCCATTCTCTCAAGTGATCATAACTGATTAGGTCCCTGCAGGGACCTACATGTCACGTGACCAGCTGGTCACGTGACATGTAGAGGTTTGCACCTTAGGTTGTGGAACATGTGCAATAATTTGAACTGCAACCGAGAGAACCTTGCAATGGCAGAGGCGCAAAAACAACAACAATAATGCCCTGACGCCAAAACTAGCTCAAGAGGTACAGTTGTGACTCTATGTTATTGTTTTATATTCAAGCCTTTAAAGCCCACTCTGGGACAGACTAGGATTGCCCGGGTCTGTCTAGGGCCGTCTCAACCCTGTCGGACTGTCTAAATATGTCAGAGGATGTCTGGTGTTCGAGATCGAGATGGGACATTGAGACGTGCCTGTAAGACACAGTAGACATGCACAAATGTCTTCAGACATTGTCGAGCATGTCTGAAGAAAGGGGAGATCAGACATAAAAAGACCGCTTTACACCAATTAGACGTGTCTGAGAGTGTCTAACGGTACTTTTTTGAGACATTCTACGAGATAAGACACATTCGACAATCAGACATGTGGACAATGCACAGACGCTGCAGACATTGATAAGACCTGGCATTGGACATTAGGAATGTCTGCATGTCTTGTTAAAGCCTTGTTTCATATGAGAGCTCTGCTATCTGCAATGACATGCAAAGGCTGCTCTTGGATGTTGTTTATGAGAGATTTCATGGAACAGTGTCAAAATGTAAAGCATGCGCATGGTATTGACGTCATTCCAAGCTTGGGACCATTATGATCATCATATGATGCATTGCATGAGTTGCGGCCAGCCCTTACAAATCTGACTTGAGACCAGACGAAATATAGACTCTACTGGGACAGACTCGGACTTCTTTACTCAACGCGAAAAGGGGCTTGAACATGTGCGCAGGACATCCCCCATCATAATATGTACAGGACAGGAGGCCCTAGCGCCCCTGTCTGTCATGCGCACAAAACATGCACGAGAAGAGCAGGCAGCAAACAGTGGGAGGCACGGTTGGGGGGATCACTTTAACAAAATGGTGGGGACCCGATCTACTGAACAAATTGGGAACAAAATGGAAAACAGAACTCTACTACCCGTCGCAAGTACTGCGTTGCATGGGGGTGGGTCCCAATCTGGGACGCACTGCCTCTATCTGTGTTGGGTCTCAGTTTTGTCAATGCAATACGGCTTTTTCCCTCCTCCTTTTCTGCCGTACAATTCTATCAGGGACTGATCTGCGGCACCGTCTATAGAAGTGCTGCACCCAATGTCTAAATTGCCTTGACAACCACCCTGCGCTACCCTCCTCCATAAGACATCTCCTTCGCAACCCCGGACGCAATGAACAGACTCATGCACGGCAAGAGCTTGCCCAAGTCATCCATGGGCTTGGACCAAGAATTCAAAGACCGGCTGCTCACACCCCATCTGCTCGTGGGCTGCTCACAATTACACGGTCAACCTGCACACAAAAAACATACGAGCTCTTAAGACCGCAGATTCTGAAGATTCGGGTGCATCGGTCATAGCCCACAGAACTCAAGACGGGCAACAGCTGTTGTGTGGTCAGGTAGACGACTGAGCGGCGCTTGCTCACCTCTCAGAGAGTCTCAGAGGTTCTTGCCCTGGTTGAAGCCGAAGATGGCCTTGTGCACGTTGTCGTATGTGACATCGCCGGAGACGATGGAGGTGGCAGCGTCGACCTGTACATATACACATGCACATTCAGGCGTTTGAAAACAGTAATGCACATCAGGAGACACACAGCAAACAAGGTGAATATGTCGTCAGGCACATGCAAGATGCAAAAATGACAAAGCATAGAGTGGCCCACCTTGACATCCTCGCTCAGAAGCCTCCTGCCCTCGGTGCCCTGGTTGAATCCGAAGATGGCCTTGTGCACGTTGTCGTATGAGATGTCACCGGAGGCGATGGAGGTAGCAGCGTCAACCTGTGGCCAATGAAGTGTCAGTGGCATGCCAAATTAATTCATATCTCTGTGAGAGCCAGAAAGGTCAAGTCTGCAGATGAAGTGGCATGCAAAGGAGCAGGAGTCACCTTGACAGCCTCAGACAAAAGGTGCCTGCCCTCGGTGCCCTGGTTGAAGCCGAAGATGGCCTTGTGCACATTGTCGTATGAGATGTCACCGGAAGCAATGGAGGTGGCAGCGTCAACCTGCAGCCAAGGTAGCACAGGTTGGTTGCAAGATCTTAGCCACCACGTTTTGAGGAAGGGCACTCTGCTACTAGAATCCCAGACCTTGAGCAGGATTTTAAGCAGTACGTAGTATCAAACTCTTGCTGGCGGGGCTGCATAATTACTCAGCATCATGTCGACAGCTTATCAGGTCTTGCTTGGATCTGGCGAGTCTCTCAAGGTGTAGGACAGATGCCACCCTTCACCTGCAGCTTCTCTGCAGATGCACCTTGTCATTGGTAGGGAGGGTGTGATTATTTAAAACAAGCAAAAAAGAGGTGCATGGTGTCAGGGTTAGTCACCTTGACAGCCTCGGAATGGAGCTTGCGGCCGGAGGACTGCTGGAATCCAAGGACGGACTGGCGCACAGTGAGGGGGTCGTTCAAGAGGGCCGGGTCGCCCGCAATGGAGAGGATGGCGTTCTCCTGCAAGCCGGCAGTTGCGCCTTTGCATCAAAGCCGACAGCAAGGGCGGCCAGTGACACACTGGGTACCGGGAGGTCTACAGTTGCAATCGTAAATTCAAATGAGATGAGGAGTTTGAAAGACTGACCTGGATGGCCTTGCTGCCGGTGCCGAGGAAGCCGGTGCGGGTGGGGTCAAGCACAGAGGGCACCTGCACAAACCAAACATGTGTCACTTTAGTGACCACAAGAAGAGTGACACCAAGATCACCATTTTGGAGCCTGGAGAAACAGGGTCTACCTTATTGTCGCCTGCTCCCACTGTCTAGGTATCATTTGATGCCCTCAGACACTTGAGGTGTGAACAGGCAAGTGGTGATGCTGTGAAAATACAGACCTGCTTGAGCTTGCGGCCGTATGTTTCCTTAATGGTGTTGACCGTCTGCACTCCGCCGTACACGATGGAGCCCAGCGCGTTGGCCTGAATAGCCATCAGCAAATCTCTGTCAGCAAGTTCTCTCCTGTATAAGCAGCTGCACTGGGCGCACATGCATGTCAACAGTGGGCCTTGCTTGTGGCACAGTGAGGCGCTATGCTTGTGCTGTGCCACAAAAATGCGGAAGCAGTTGCGGCATTGTCGGGGCGGTGTGCCAGACTGTGGGACACACGGAGGTGCCAAGCTTGTGCTGTGCTAAATCAGGTGATGCAGCCAATGTGGCTCTCAGCGAAGTGGCCCAGCAATTGGGGTGTTTCTGTAAGGGCAGCAAGGTATTTACGTAGCAGTGGGGACGCACCAAGACATTGTCCTGCTGCAGCTTGCGGTTGAATCCGAGGGACTCGTGCACTGCCTCAGCATCCCATTTAAGCTCCTGCACACAATATCAGAGTCTCAGTTACAGAAACTACTGTGTTTAGAAAGGAGCCTTACTGCAATTACTTGTGTAAGTGATAGCTCTGCTAATGACAGGCAGAAGATGGCAGGAATGTTGCAATGGGGGAAAAGGTATGTAAGAGCTGGCTTTCCAGGTACCTCGTCAGTGGAGGACAATTTGCGGTGGGGGAACTTGCCCTTGAGGGCAGACGCCACCAGATTGGCCTGCAGGCAGCATGAACCAGCTGTCAGGCCACTACCGCTACATGATGCTGAGCATTGAATCAAAGTTGCTGAAGTGCTGACAGAAGGTCTCACAACTCATGTATTGCCTACTACAGGTCTTTAGGCGCGGCCAACTTATCTAGTCAGGCAGCTCACAAGTGCTAGATTGCCATACAAGTATGCATGCATGCAAGCACAGAGACACAAGCAGCCACGCCTGCCTGATGCACATTTGATTTAAAGGATATTGAAGTCACTAAGATATTGACAGAAGGTCCCAGAAACTATGTGATGCCCACCATGTGCACAGACCTCATAGTGCCAGACAGCTTCCGAGTGCTAGGGTGCACCAAGTTGGCTGATGGGATACAAGTAAGCCTGCATGCGATGTAAAGCAACAGAGCATGGGATACTCACTGCGGGGATGAAGCCGTATGGGTCTGGGAAGCCGTCGGGGCCCTTGGCAGTGGTGATGGGGATGCTGGGGAGAAAGGTCTGCAACCGGCGGCCGGCGGGCTTCACACCGGTGATGGCTGCCTTGTAGAGCTCGGGGTTGTAGAGGCCGCCTGCCACGTAGAAGATGGAGCCAATGGCGTTGGCCTGCGCATGCATGCCACAGAGGGGTCAGGCCAGAATTTCATTGACAGTGTAGGGCTTGATGCAGCTGGCTAGTTTAAATAAGAAATCAACAGGCATTGACGAGATGGAGCTTCAAAGCAGGTGATATTGGAAGGTTTCAATTGGGAGCTCACCTTGATCACGTTTGGGTCTGGGTTGGGCACTGCTGGGATGAGCTGCACAAGCAGAAAATAATTCAATCACTTGCCCTTCAAACATATATCTAACCACAAACACAAGCAAACATCCCATAAGACTGAGGCAAACATTGGCTGCAGCCGGCGGGAAGAGGTGGTGTGCTAGTAAAGAGGACATCAAGCTCTTCTTACCGATTGTAATTTCCTGCCGAAGGGTGCCAATGGTGCAAGGATGGAGTTTTCCAAGGCAACAATGCTGCCCACGACATTGTTGACCTCTCTGATGATTGGGACGTCCTTCTGCAAAATCCAACACAGCAACAATTCATGCATTTAGAAATTTGCCATTTTTAACCAGATGTTGCCATCACAGCATCCTTTGCAAAAGCACAAGGTAAAGGTGTCGTCGCACCACTGCGAGCACATGACTGCAGGTGGCCAGCAGAACCACTACTGCGATGGAACGCATCCTTGTAAAGCCTCCCTTCCTCTGCCTGCCAGGAAAACACAATTGGATGTTTGTATAAGACCAGTGAGCCTTGCTCAATCAAGCAGCCCTGCAGGGCAAAGGACCTCGACATGCCCAGAAAGTGATTGATGCACTAACGCGAAGAAATAGCACAGTGCTTTCATGCACCCTAAGAGATAAGGACGATGCAGTTTCAAATTGCTGGTCCCCAACACAACCCAGCTTACAACGCTGTGCAAACCTCAGGCTGCGGTGGTGTACGTAGAGCTATTCTGAAAAGCAACTCTCTGAAGTCAGAGAGAAATGCAGGGTGAAGCTCAATCAGGGGCAAGCTCGCGGGCCGTCTGGTTCCGTGAGCGACCCCTTCAACTGTTGCGGAAGGAATATTTTTGCTAAACCAGCGGTAACTCTAAGCCTGAAGCGCCCCGCACACCTTCAGGCCTCTTGTATCCTATAGGAGCGCCTAGATGTCGTTGGCTGCCGGTGAACCCCTGTGTCGAAACACAGGAAGATTGAGGGCTATAGGGGCACGGGTCACAACACTGCGGGGTCCTCCAACAACTGAGCGACTGGGACTGTGGGCAATGTGCCCAGCATTATTACACCCTCAATAATTATTGGTGTTAGGCTGCATGGCTTAAATACTTGTTATCCTCAACACTGGTGGTCTGGATGAGCACAACGCAGGTGCACCGAACTGCAAGCAAAATGGGGCTCACCTTCAATAAACAGCCCAGAGCTCTCTTTCTGACAAGCTCAGAGAGACTGCTTGCAGGCTCAACGGTATCAGAGAGCGGCTCGTAGTGAATGGTCTCGCGGCGAGACTCTCGCCTGAACAATTTGACTTCGTGCTCCCGTGCGGTGATGGCGAAACGCAAAGGGAACGCGCTGCACCAATGCCACAAGAACGTTCCCCGAGAAAGCATCACCACCAGAAGAGGTAGAGGATGGTTTTGTGATCATTTGGCTTCCCTTGTGGGTCGTAGGGATGAGAAAAGGTCCATATGTTGAGGCAAGATTGATGTTGATATCACTGAAGCTATCTCTTTTTAGTCTGTCTTCATTAGGGCAACCTCAACACGAACAACGAGTTGTCAAATGACTCTTTGTACGGCTTTTATTCCCGAAGTGATCAGAATGGGCCAGATTATGTGTATGCATGCGACGGAAGTTGCAGGATTGCAGCAGGACATCTCTTTCTGTAACTGGCTGGTTATGCATCGGCTAATACAATCTCTCACGTGATCTATCAACTGCGCACACTCAATCTTCATTTTCAGAGCAAGAGCAACTGTTCCGCATCTACATAGATTGATTTTGCTCGTGGGGCTGATGATACCAGCAGACACAAGTGCTTGAGCTCTGAAGACCACCTGGACACACCATCTCCTGAAGAGCTGCCACAGGACTCCAAGGATGCATGCTCATGTGTGTCACTAGGTGCCTCCGAGCCAAGCTCTGATCTATTCCCTTCCCAAGCTGCACCACCAGGACTCCACAGCTGCTGTGAAGAAGCAAATCTTTGCTAGCGCCGGTGCAGAATGCACAATGCTGGCATTGGCCTGCAGAGCGGCCCTCGCCCTGTGCTGCGGAAGGCGATGAAGACACTATTCTGGCTCTCTTTTTTGCGACGGTAAGGATGCCTCAGCCCACCCTTGGACTAGCGCCTCGAGAATCTACTGGGAGCCTCATGCCCTGCGATTGAAGCCCAGGGCGCTGTGCACCGCCGCGGCATCTGAGCTCAGGCCCTGCGAAAAAGCAGTGTAGCTGTTGCAGATGCTATTGTACTGATTTTAATTCTGACAAATTTGGCAGATGTACGCTTGTGCCAGCAGTGCCTACTCAGTCGCGCACTGTTGGTACTGCTTAAGTACAAGGGATGGACCACAGCATGCATGTCAAGCTTGGTCTGTCACAGTGCAACACAGTGGTACATGAGAATGCAGGCTTGACTGGCACGCACCTCGTTAGCGGAGGACAGCTTGCGATGGGGGAACTTGCCCTTCAGTGCAGACGCCACCATGTTGGCCTGCACATGAAGCACTTTGCTTTGTCATTGACAGGGCCGTCTGTAAGTCACCAAAAAGCTTTCATTTGTTCATTCCTTTCATTCGTCCCCCACCAGCTGCTCAATCTCCCCGCTCCATTTGCCGTAGATTCTCACCGTAACGATGCAGACCTTTGCATGTGCCACAGTGCAGTGCATTCAATTGGATTCCATGAAACATTTCAGCCAATCTGACCTATCACTGGCCCCCCTTCTCATCTGGTTGCAGCCTCATTGCTTCCCTTGCTCCTTCAGACATTGCGTGTTTGCTTCTCAAAAGTTGTGGCCTAATTAGTCGCACCGCTGGGATGAAGCCATATGGGTCTGGGAAGCCGTCGGGGCCCTTGGCGGTGGTGGTAGGGAGGGTGGGGAGGTTCGTCAGCAGCTTGCGGCCTGCAGGCTGCACACCGGTGACGGCTGACTTGTAGAGCTCGGGGTTGTAGAGGCCGCCAGCCACATAGAAGATGGAGCCGATGGCGTTGGCCTGCGCATGCATGCGCCACAGAGGGGTCACGCCAGACTAATCAGGGGAACCTGTCATATTGTAACTGCACAGGACTCCATTCACGGTAGTGATAGAAACTGATCAAGAGCAGTGATCCTTTTGAGTACCAGCAGGGTGATAATTGTCTGTGAGTGCGTAGCTCACCTTGATCACGTTCGGGTCTGGGTTTGGGACAGCCGGGATGAACTGCAGCACAGAGCAACTTGTCAATGCATGCAGAACAGGGCGCTTGTGTGTCATTGCAAGTTTTCTACTTGTCGAAGAACAACATCGGGCAGACATGAATCGGCAAGAACAATAGTGGAGGTCCACCCACCGACTGCAGCTTCCTTCCAAAGGGAGCCAGAGGAGCCAGGATTGAGTTTTCCAAAGCCACAATGCTCCCCACGACGTTGTTGACCTCCCTGATGATTGGGACGTCCTTCTGCAGAAGACAAGAAAGGGCATTGATTTGGGCATTTGATGCTCAGTAGAATCCTGAGGTGCTCAGCATGCTTGTTGCAGGCTCATGCAACATGCACCACAAAATATGGTTGAGGCCCATTACAGGAATACAGGAGTATAGAGAATGTCCTTACCACAGCAAGAGACGACCCAAACATGGCCAAGATGGCCACGGCTGTAAGCCAACGCATCTCTGGAAATGTTTAACTAACTTGTGAGGTGCAGGTGCAGCAAAGGATGTACCAGCAGGACCTGTAGAAACACATATACGAGCTATTAATAGCAAGACTTGAACCCAGGATGTCCTGTTGATTACTGACAGCAGTTGCTGTGGACTCCGGAGCAAAGTGCCCCACCAACATGGGACCCTCACGAGATGTCAGCCATTTACGGACTCTAAACTGCGCTTTGCAGCGCTCGAAGTTTCCAATAGAACACACTGCGTTTTTGACGAGAGAAAATGATAACGGAGCGAGGCCAACTTTCAAACAGACCGAGACCACAAGCAGGTCTCGAGACACCATCCAAAGGCACAAAAGATTCTCCGTGCGCTAATCTCACCTCTATGTCTGGATTATGAGCTGCAATCCACAAGCAAAGGCCTTTGATAGGAACGAAAGACCCTCACAGATTCGGAAAAATCTGAGATTCCCTTGAACGCTTGCTTTCAGCTCGCTGTTCGAAATCATTTGGAGTAGGGTATTTGATAAATTGATCCCTGGACCAAGGGTCTTGGAAACCCGCAGCACGTCTGAAGCTTCACCCCAGCTGCCCCAAACACACACAAGCAATTCTTGAAGCCTTCCCTTCAGAGAGTTGTCTGTTACGGATATCTTTTAGGCGCTGTCTACTGGGGTTTAGGTTTCATTAAAGCACAGACGAGGAGGACTGCGAAGCAACGGCAATATGGGAAACTCGATGTGCAGGTGTGCTTGAAGCACCTTCCCCTGACAACGTTGCGCTTTATACAACGGTGCATCTGACGTGATAAACTCTGGAAAACTATTTTTTCTACAGTTTATCTTGAAGCAAAGCATACAAGTCGTACGTAAAAACTGAGTTTTTTTGTTGGCTTCCGCAGGTGCTTCTGCTGCTGTTTTAAGTGCGAGTCCACTCCTACCGCTATGCGCATGGACCTCTGCTGCTGTGAGTGTTCCTTTCCAAATCTCATTAGTCGCCACTGATTATCATACGAGTTTGATAGAGGCAAAACCATACACCTTCCCAGTTTCAGGAGTCCCCTTCCTCTAGTGACCGCATGACCAAAAATGTCACCTCATGCAGGATTCTGTGTATTGAGCTACCATGGCAATTCATGCAGGTCATATTGGGGGCGGGCATGTGGGCTCACAGAATCGTCCCGATGATGTGGGTGAGACTGTCATCAGGTGAGCATCATTCATATCGGCTCGGTTCACACTTCTGGAAAGAGCATTCACAGATCTGCGGCATGCGCCATGACTTGTTTACGCCTGCAGATGGTAGTTCTGAAGTAGTTTGTATGCTGCAGGAAGGAGAAGGCCAATGTCAGTCTGTGCTGCTGCGGCTTGAAGGTCAATGATGCCGATGTTGTCAGCCACAACCACCCTGCCTCACAGCCCGCTGCTGTTTCTGGTGCCAACACAAAGCCTGGAGGTGCTGCCCTCTCCCATCCTCAACTGCTTCTAGCGCCATTCTTGCCGATCTGGGCTTCTCAAGGAAAAATCCCCCGAAAAGCTACTGTCTGGAATTGGAATGTGCAAGCCTTGGTTGCGTCTGCCCTTTGGGGAGATGGTTTTGTCATAGTGCTATTGGATCTCTTTGTTTCTATGCAGTCTGCTCTGAGTGGGGTGGCCATGGTAGAAATGCTGAGACATACTACAACTGAGACACCGCATGTGCTGCAGCAGGTGCAGCGCCACCCGTGCAGGACACGTACAATCCTGCTCCCCCACCAGGCTATGGCAACATCAACACTGGCGCACCCCACACAGAAATGCAGCCTCAGTCTGCAGGTCCACCCGCAGCTGCCTCAGAGCAGCCTGTCATGGGGTACCCCGCTGTGCACAAGAAAGTGGTCGACTGAGCAGCGCCTTGAGTCACTGAATCCATGCAGGCACAAGCTGCGATAAGGAGTGTGCTCTTGAACGATGAGCATGTAAATAAAATGGTGCCCAAAATCAAGATTCAGCCATTCACATGACAGCGGTCCAATTTTTATTTAGGTAACTGGCTGCGCAGCCGGCATGCTGCGGATTGAATTTTGGCACTTTCATCGCATGCCTTTTAGTTCCAGAGAGTGGAGTAGTAAGATTCATATTAGATTTTATTTTACTCTGAGCGTACAAGAAATGCTCTTGGTCTGCACGGGACCACTGCACAAGAGATTTGAATTTAATACCCAGTGTTGACGGTGCCAGGACTCATCGACCTCTGACTGCAACGCAATGGACGTTGCGGTTCTTTTGAACTCTAATGAACCTTTCCAATAGGATGTGTTAGATATTTCGGGTACAATTCACCGCGAGGTAGTTGTCACGGTATTGAGCACTAGGATGAGCTTATGACCCCGGGTGACAATGTTACATTTGCTTTCCAGCAATGCATGACTGACTGATAGCTGTAGCTGAGGTATTTGCGGGACATACAACATACATTTGGAGGTCCACCATCTTGATCCGGATCCATTTAAGTCATGTCAAGACAAATTTTGGTGTAAAGCCTGCTCCCTTTACCATCATGATGCTGAGCTCAACACCTTTTAATCGCAGATCCTTTCAAGAGCTTCGAAGAGCTTCAGCTCTCAGAAATCGCAGAAATTTCTGGAGAAAAAAAGCATAGCAGCTTTGAGTATAAAAGATCTGCCCTATCCACACATGCTACAAATCACAAGAACAGATCCGCGATTGCTATCCCCATCAGCAGACGAGCTTGATGTCAACCAACAATTGTCTCCTTGCTCTTCTATAGCACTTCTGCCTCCTTGCTTCCAGCACTGAAGCACCCCTGCTAATGATGGCCTCTTTTGGGACACTGCAGTCCAAAAATTGCCGTACATGCACCCTGCTCCTTAGAAAGCTGCCCTCAATTTTGCCAGCAACGCTGTCAGGGCATCATCAGTGTAAGGCGTGGCGGGCAGCGCGCCATAGCACGGTCCTGGCCAGGCTGGATCACTTGGGATTCGCAGGGTGATGTGCACATGAAGCTGCGACACCTGGCGCCCAAATCACTAATTTTACTGCACTGGCAAGACTCAACATTACATTATGCATGTGTTCGGAGCGTCTTTTATGCGCTATTTGCGGTGACAAGGGAAGTACAATAGCAGAGAGAACACTTTTACTACTCCCCCTGGCGGTGATCAACATGTGGGGCACGCTGCTCACATGTGCATTCCTCTGCGGCCGTGCCTTTCATTTGAGACCACTTTAAACAGTCAAATTTGCACAGGAGACAGCCAGTGGTGCACACCACGTTCCCAAGGGTGGCGATGTTGAGTTTGCAGGCGGGATCGAACTCCTTCTTCAGTGTCCGGCTGGCCCGAGCCACTTCCTCCCACAGCAGCCTCTGATCCGTATCTGACAGCTCAATGACCTCCTGTGATCAGAGATCTCTTCCATTCGACCCTTAGCCAACTCGCAGCATCCTTGATGGTCCTCTGTGCGTGTGCCAATGAGCTCTTCTATCAGAGAAGAACATCAAGATGAGGTGAGCTGAAGGTGAGCTGGCCCACCTTCACATCATTGATCTGGGGAACCAAGACGATCCAGCAGGGATAGTTGGCGTCCTCCATCAGAAAGATCTTGCACAGGTCGTAGCATGCTACTTCATGCTTGCCCTGCACATCCTTCAGCGTCTGAAAGAGCACATTGAGGATAAAGGCTTGCGAGGCATGCTATCTGTGCTTGGTAGTGCTCCAAAGGGTACCTCGGCGAGCTCTGGTAGCAACTTGAAGCCATCTCGAGGCTTCCCCTTCAAGCCTTTCTTTCTGGAAGGTATTGTGGGTCGGAAAAAGGCAGCTACAACCCCCAACAAGAAGGCCGGCGCGGCCAGGGATCCAAAAGCCTGCAGGTCAAATATGAGCTTTAAAAACATTCTTGTAAAGGTGATGGTGATCACGAATCTCTTGTGTAGTTGATTGAAGTCACTAGATCTCATGGATGGGCGCATTTAAACAATGAGTACCCCTCAGACAGACTAGAAGACACTTGGTTGGACTCACCATCCCCAGAGCACTGTTTTCGATACTACCTTGTTCGCAACTTCGCACTCTTGTAAGTGGATGTGTCCATATAGCTAGTTCTCTTCAGCAGCAGCATCGGTACCAGAACAGACGGTGGTGCAGAACAAGAATCTAAGGATCAACTAGGATAGCAACGGCATCTTTCTCGCTGACATCTGTGACTTCACGTGAGATGGTACGACCTCTTTATTAGTAGCGAGATTCGTATATATTTATATGGAGGAATCATTCCCGAGGACTGTGATCAATCAGAACGCGACAACATTTCAAAGGTGGATGCTGACGTCACGCTTCGTCACAGAACCATATGACCTGGAGAGATACCATGCCTTTGCATGCATGTCGATGGAGAAGACTTCATTGATGCACTTTTAGAGATTAATGATCAGGATATTGCAAGGACGCGTGAGCAGGCGGCATGCGGGTCGCAATTGCAACCGGTGGCCACCGGCACCGTTGCGGGTACCCGCACGCGCACTGCATGCCTTTCTGTATTGAAGACATTTGTTTTAACAAGAGATGTCTCTTACACTTGCATGCCAAAGTGTAAATAAAGCCGGCAAGTCCAAGGATATTCCAAAGAATTCATCCACAAGAGAAGCGCTTGCTAGCAACGCGCATGGATCCATCATATAGCGCTAGCATGCATCCATCTCAAAGCCCTCATTCGGTAATTTTGTACATTTGATACTTGTCCTTCACAAGCAAGTGCCCCATGTGTTCTTCATAGTCTGCAAAGCTGCCGGTGTCGGGGTCTCGCGCCAGCATGTAATGGAATCGCAAGGGATTCTCCAACACCGATTCCGGCGCATGGTCGCAGAAGGGAACCACCTTCAAGTCAGGCTCTGCAGACACATCATGACAAACAAGGTCACATGTCTGGAAATCCTCCAGGGCAAGTTATCTGCCCAAAGTCTGGCAACTACTAATCCCCATATGCAGACAGCAGTTGTTTGTCTTCTTCACTCCAGCAGTGCCTTGCACTCGCTGCAGCGCTCATGTTGCCCCCGCAGTTGCACAGAAAGACACCACAAGAATGTCATGCTTCAGGCAAAAAGTACCCATCGCTGTTTTCAACGGGCAGCGCTGCTTTGAGAAGGGGTGCGCACCTGGGCTTGCCAGAGAAATGCCCCGGGTGACACGGGCGACGATCTTTGCCGGGTCGGTGAAGTGCTCGATGTTGAGCTGCCAGTGTACGAACGAGGCAAACTTGTTCTGGAACGCTGCAATCGTGCCAAAGCAGCTGGTGCAGTGCGTGGCCGCCCTTGGAAGCTGCAGGCTGCACTCAGTCTCATATCTGATCCCATCCTGGTCCACCCCACCCAGTGTGTCCTCCCCTTCATAAACAACCACCTGAGCAGGCAGCACTAGCATGTCAAGCTGTACCAGATGTGATATTCTGCAATGAAGCCCCTTGCGTGGCGCCCGTGAGCACCTGTATAGGCAGTGTGCAGTTGCCACAGGCAGCTTTGAGGGCGCGGCACCAGATGGTGAACCACAGGAGGGCCTGGGGAATAGATCATGCCCAAAAAGGGTGTAATTCTGTATGATACGGCTGGTCCATCCTTGCAAGCATTGCCCCGTTGGCAGTAATTCTTCGCCCAACAAATTGTCAGCAAAGTAATCACATGAAAGCACAGGGCCGGTTCACAGCTGACAGAATGCATGCAAGCTGTGGCACTCTGCCGCAGATGCTTCACATTGAGGTTTCCTGCTTTGGCGCCCGTAAAATACTCTACTATGGGCGCTGTGCATTTGTGCAGCCATGGCAAGGTGGCACACCTTGGGCCCCGCCTTCCAGACACCAGAGTAGAGCGAGTAGCTGTAGTAGAACAAATCTGCCTCCATTGCAGCGCAGTTGTGCACCGACTCAAAGCCGAAACGCTTGAGCGCCATTAATGCTTCTGGCCGCGGTATCTCGTCAACATCACCCAGAATTATGAGGTCCCCCGGCGCTGCCTCCATCCCTGCCTCCTGCAGGCCCACCTCAAACAGCCGCTCCCGCTGCCACCACCCCCTTGCACACAACCCCAGCAGCCAGGTCAGAATTGCCTTTCCAATATGGCATCTCTTGGACGCGATCGGACTAGAACGCACAATTTCCGCAATTGTTTTGGAAATCATTTGAGATGGTGGTGCGGTACAAACGATGTCCTCTTGATGTCAGCTCCTGATTCTGCACAGACTTCTTTATAAGGCTGGCTGCCTTGGAAGTGCACACAGAGGTTGCCTCAGGCTCCTCTTTCGATTTGAAGAAGGGGTATTGCGGGAGTCTTGCCTGTAAAATGGCTCATCGAGCGGCCCATAGCGCTGGATCTTCGAGTCAATGTGGGTCCCATTCTGCTTCTTCACCTTCTGCAGCCAGAGGCGGTTGGCAACCTGTCTTGCATCAAAACAGACCCCCTTACAAGAAATGATTGAAGACAAGGCAGCACCAAAATCCAGTATGTTGTTTTCTATTAATGGCCTTCAACAAAGGGCCTGTTCAAATAATTAATTAAAATTTCTGTACAGTGATCTCACCATATCCTCTGCTGTGATGTCCAGCGGCACATGCAGGATCTTGTCAGCAAATCGCTCAAAGCGTGCTGCGTTCTCCTCATAATACAGCGGCTTGGGCTTGTCTTGTACTGTCCGCCTGGATTCCCCTGCACATTCAGACCTTCCCAATCACGTTGTTGACGACAGATGCCCACGAGACACACTATAATAGTTAACATGCATGAGAGCATCATGCTTGGAGAGCATCATGCTTGAAGGGCTGATCAGGTGTCATGGAGGGCTTCTTGACTCACCTATGACAAAGAAGTCCACAATGTCATAGAGCTCCATGAGGCGCACTTCCAACATGTCAAGCTCTGTGTTGAACATGAAGGTGTCGTATATGAGGACATCCTCCTGCCGCTCTGGCAGATCATGCTCCTGGCAGAACTCTTCATAAGTTGGCCTTGGAGCATCTTCATCTCCTGCAGGCAGGACATGAATCATTCAGAGCACAATACCCTCCTTTTATCTGCAGTGGCCATGTGATCATGATGCTGTGAAGAATGCATTCAAAAGTTTGATTTCCTCATTCTTGATATTGAAGAGATTTAAATGGTAAAATGATGATGATCCAAGGGAGCTATGACAGCACAGTTATTTGACTTCCCAGTGCCCTTAAGAGCTTTGGGAAGGGGTAATTGTCGATGCTAAATGTGCGTGCCTTTCGATCTCAAGCAATTCAAACAGGTGAAGATGACGAAAGCTCTGGCGATCCAATGAATATGATTCATAAAAGACCCCATCTTGATGTCTAGCAGTTGTGCTCGAGAGTGATCCTATTCCCCCAGACGCCATGCAGACTTCTTGCAGACATCCTTTGCATACTTCACTATATTTTGGTTCGTATGACAGGCCTGATGTACCAAGTCGAGGACCCATCAGCTATAATTTGTGCCCACGTGCAAGGATGTGACCATCACGTGGCCCAAATGGCCCATATAACATTTCTGGGAGGGAATTGAGCCCAACTGGTCAATTGTTTACAGTTTTAATTGTGGTTCAATTGCCATTGGTGATTGAACAACTCTCAGATCTTTTCACCGTGGTTGTATACGGAGTTGATGGGCACATCGGAAGACATCCTTTCGGCTCTATTGCCCGAGAGGGCTGGAGTTGAGGTATGCATGTTCCTTTGTTCCTAAATTTTCAGGAGCTGCCATGCATGCAATGTCACTGTGGTCGCAGCCAATGTATTTTGAGAAATTTCTGTGCCTTCTCAGGGTGTCAGCCCTTCCGTTTTACAAGAGTATTTGGATCGTTTGGACGCACGGAAGACTCAGGTCAGCTCTTTATTGCGAAATCGATGCGATGAACCCAATCGGTGATCGTGACCTGCGGATCTTGTCCTTGTCATCAGAGACAGCCCAAGCTTCTGCATTCCATGCAGGTTCTGGATGCGTTTTTGGAGCAACTGAGCGATCAGAGCACTCTAGAAAGGCTACAAGGTGCAGGTGAGCGCGCTTGTAAACCTGCCTCAGTGATCTGACAGACATCCCGGTCTCCCGAGAAGATCGGTGCCAGGACACAAAGTGCTCATACCTGCAGGCAAAAGCAAGGCTGTCCTAGCGGACATATCTGCTCAGAAAGAAGCTTTGGGCGGTGATCTAGTAGCACTAGCAGAGCAGCATCGCCACATCAGCACTCAGCTTGAGGAGGCTCAGAGCGCTGCCCAGGCTGTGCATGTTCTGGCAGAACTTCAGCAGCGCTTGCAGGAATTTGACACCCACGTCGCCACAGGCATGCTCCTTCGCAAGCTCACACCTCGTACTTGTCTCATCCCCAGCTGCAGGCCTTCCACCCACAAAATTGCTTGGCATGTGCAAATGTTCCCTCTGACTTGAGGGAATGTTTGCTGCAGGTGACTTTGTGCAGGCTGCCCAATGTCTGGTGGAGCTTGCTAGCCCTGCAGGCCAGCCTGCCAACAGCGAGGCGCAGCAGCAGAGGGAGTTTGCAGCGGAGCAGCGGTCTAATGCCCTGCTTGAGGTGGGTCTGTGAGAGGTTCTCCTGACACTCCCCAGCATCAGTAGAATTTTTTGAGCAAAATAAGCTTCCGTTTCTCATAATATACCAACGCATTTGACATTATTCTTGCTGACTTACGCTTGCTGAAGGAGTCTTCACAGGATGTTGATGTGCGCAGACATTGGCTGGCAGGGCAAGGGGTGTCATAGGAGCGGATGCAGATGCCTGCCAGCTGACGGTGGGGGATGGCGGGGCTGCAGCGCAGGTCTGGAAGGCCTTGCAGCTCATGAATCACCTTGAGGAGCACCTGCAGGTGGGTTCCCTCAAAGATCAATCCAGATTTCGATAAACGTAGAATGCAAGACATACAAGGCAGTGCCAGCAAATGAGGAAGGGCTGCCTCACGGTGTAAATGTAGTGCATTTACAAAACAATCCTCCCCCGGCCCAGGAGATCTTGTACTCCAAGAGCACTGGCATTGGTCGCTTGCTTTGCAGAGGCAGGTACAGGATTGCAGCCATCATTGCTGAGACAGCCTAAAGATTGCCCCAACGCAGATGCTGGTGAAGATTCTAAACAGCTGTGCCTTTGCCAGTGATAGTGCTGATCTTTGGAAGTGGTCTTCTTTGGAGAATACTAAGTGAAGTCTCAGCAAGGAAGCGCTGTGGATTGCAGGCTGTTGGGGATATGCTCCTCTCCCAGGCCCTGCTGCCCATTGTAGCATCACAAGGCGTGTCTGTTTGTGAGTCTAGCAGCGACGGGGCAGGAGGAGCGAGGATGCTGCAATGGAGCAGACAGCACGGGGCTGCCCCAGAAGAAGACAGTAGCGTGGAGGGCGCATTGCTGGCAGTGCTGCGCTTTGTTGCAGGCAAGCAAAGATCCTCGCTTGAATGTTCTGACCCCTGCTTGAATTTTCTTCTGTATGTAAAGACACTCCTACAGACCTAGCCAGGTCTTTTTTAATGTCACTGTAGCCTTGTCTGTTGGTTTTCTTTGCCAGCTTGTCCAGGCACTGACGGTGTGTTTCACTACTCATCCCCTTTCTGCTGCACGTGTTCTAGGCAGTCTATCAATCGCTTGTATTCTCGCCCCTGAATACCCTCACCCCAAGGGGATCTTACCTGTTAGGGACGAACTTCCAATACAACTTCTTTGGATGATAAAGGATTGCCTTGCACTTGGAACGTGGGGGGCTGATCAGAGAGCGGAACTTGATTTTATTGCTGCAAAACAGAGTCAGCTTTTGGGAGCGAGAAGGATATAGCAGCGCTGTTGGGCGCCATTGTATGGCCGAGGCTGGCGGCAGCCTACGTAGAAAATTGCCTGAGTCCAGCGGTGCCCGAGGATGACTCGCAGCTGGAGCACTTCCAGCTGGTATGCAAGGCCGCCCAGCGTTTTGAGAGCCAGGCTGCTTCCCTTGGGTACGTGTGATCTTCCAAAGGGGTCATAACTATTACCACCACTCATCCGCGAGTGTGAACCCCTTGACAAGCCGTGTTGACCATCAATCTTTGGGGTCACTTTGCGCAATTGTCATTCAGATTGCACTTGATTTCTATTGAAAGGGAGGGCGGTTGATACACTTGCTGCTGTGAGTAATACCTGTTGCCGTTGATGGACCGCTAGTGATCATTCTTTTCTCCAAGTCATGGCGCAAAAAAAATTAACCGTTCTCGGCCAGGTTTGTGCCGCGGGACGAGGATGGCCGCGGCCGCATAGAGCAGTACGTGCGCCACGCACTGGACCGATTCCTGCACGCCAAGCGGCTGCGCGTGGTTGCCGCCGCCCGGGACGCGCTCATGGCGGCCGATGCCGACACGGTGGAGGCCGGCGAGCCGCTGCCGGTCAACCGCAACGCCGTCGCCGCGCTGAAACAGCGCCTGCTGGCAGGTGCGTTGTGACAAGTAATAAATGATTAATCCTGATGCCGGTGCACAGCGACACCGTGGCCGCGCTCAAGCAGCGCCTGCTGGCTGGGGCAGGTGCGCTGCGATGAGTCAGTGATTAGTCATCTTTCAGAATTGTGTGCGATGGTTCTCAGCAAATGCGTTTTGTGGAACGGGGTGATTGCGGGGGGTGTATGGGGTAATTGAGGCAATTGAACCGTGACCCTGTGGCTGCGCTGAAAGAGCGCCTGCTGGCCGGGCAGCTGCGCGTCGATGAGTAATGATAAGTCATGATGCAGCATTCTTTTCGGTGATACCTCACCGCTGCCTTGTCGGAACGGGGCTTGCAGGGCGGTTGACGGAAGTGCATCTGATCTGTGGCTTGTGCAAACTTACTCAGGATAATAGAATGAGAGACCCTCAATTTACTGCCTTGATGACAATCTTGACAGTAAAATCTGCAACTGCAGGGGATTCAGGTGCATCAGGAGCTGCCTCGGCAGAAGCGCCGTTGAATTGGGGCGCGGAAGGGGAGGAGGGGCCCCTCCTTGCAACAGGTGTGGCGCCTAAAGCCAAGTTCCTCTGGGAAAGCTCCCACTTTCCGAGTGGGTGCATGAGCGTTTTTCACTCTTCTTAGGTAGTATGCCAGCATTGTTGAAGCCTGACATGGTGTTCTATCAGACAGACCAGAAATCTGCCACCCCATTCCTGCGGTCATAAGCATGTCTTGACATGTGACCCAGCAAGGTCGTGGCAAAACTTGAAGTCTGTCTGACGAGTCAAAACACCCGACCTAGGTACCTGAACCCTACACTTCAGCGAGCTCGCTCTGCCGGTGCAGGGCGGTACAGGATAACGCGGCGGGCGGAAGCGCTGGTTGCGCTGATGCAGGGGGCACTAGAGGAGGCGGTGAAATCCGGCAGCCCCGCCGTTGCGCAGTCGCTCGCCGCCGCCGTGCAGGACGCGGCCGAGCTGGCCGGAGCACTGCCGCCCTCCGTGCGAGCCCGGGAGCTGCAGGCGCGATGGCCTGCTTGCCGTGCGTTGTGGGGTTGCAAGGCGACCTACAGATTGTATTTGATTGCTTTGAGTGCCCTGTCTGCCCTCAGTTTCAAGGAGAACTGCATAATCTGCCATGATCTACACAGGAGCGTCTGCTGTGTAACGTCTCCCACAAATATCACCAGAAGGCTGCTCTCCCCACTCAATCACTTGAGGATGTGAGAGCTGCCTCCTGCGCCTCTTTGTGACATTGGAAGGCGCAGCTTGCGAGAGGGTTCTGCTGCGTCTCTGCACACGCAGCAGCAGCCATTTGGAGCAGGCTAAGAATTCCTCACAAACAGCTTTTGCAGGAACAAAGGCCAGGCATCCTGGAAGCTGACAAGCAGGAGAGAAAGGCTCTGAGTGGGTGCATCTGGCGACTACCGCAGGTGCCGCAGCCGGCGGCGCTCTTCCACAACGATTGCCACCACGTGGCCGCGCAGCTGCTCAGCCTGCCCTACCTCTTCGCGCCTGCCCTCGCGCAGCTGGCGCCCTCCGCCCCCTCCCACTTCATCGACTCCGCCCTGCGCCTGCGCGCCGCCGGGACGGCCGTTCTAGACGCCCAGGTGCGACTCCTTCAGTGGCCGTTGTGTTTGGGGCCTGCAAGGATCAGGCCACTGCTACCAGCTCAACAATGTTAGCGCAATAGATTGCAATGCGTGCTTGACGATCTTCTAGAATAAGGAGGAGGTGGCATCCCTTTTCGCTCTGCTTCATGCGGCCTGCAGATCTTGTTTGTTCAGTGCATGAGAAGAATTGAAATTTATGACATTAGCTGCTAGGGTGTCGCATTGCAATTAACAGACGTTGTGAAGCCCTCCATGAAATCAGGGCCTCCTCTAACCGTGCCATGTATGGTGTGGTGAGCATATGGTGAGTGTCAGGAGCATTAAATAGGAGGGGCAAGAGACAGAATGTACAAAATTCTTGTGCAGGTGGAGAGGCAGGCTGGTGAGGTGGCGAGCGTGCTGGACGCGGCAGAAGGCTTCTCCAGGCTACATGTGGCCCAGCGAGGCATTGCCGCCCGCAAGGTGCTGCTCGCCTTTCCTTCGCGGTCCCTTTCCTCTGAGTATATCTACATTATACTTGCCGAAATAACGCAGTTGTCTGACTTCTGCCACAGCCGCTGCCTTCCATGGGGAACCGACAGGCTTTGCCTGACCGGCATCAGGCAGCAGCCCGCACACTCCGGCGGGGCCCATGGGAGTGGGTGCCTAAGATATATGGCCACAGAATGCATTGAAGGATAGATGTGGTGCGTGCAGGTGGTGCAGCAGGCGCTGCATGCCTTGCGGCGGATGGGGGACGTTATGGGCGGCGTCCTGGCTCCGCGCGAGTTTGTGCGCGTGGCCGGTACTGTCGTGCAGACGCTGGCCGACCGAGCTGTGGGTGCGTGCACATCAAGACACAGTGCAGCGACCATATCTGCTTTGCAATATGCAAATCGCGGGGATTATAGGGCAGCAGAGCGCAGCAGAATAAAGTGGGCTGACTAGACTGTCCATTCAGCCTAATGAAGATTGTGGGCAAGCCTTTAGGGAACTTTGAATGTGGCATCCTTTGTAATATTTCAGCCTCTGCAGATGCGCTGAGCCTGGGCTTGATGGAACCTGAAGCGACTGCTTGTGTCCCAGAATTAGCCGCGGCCCCTTGTTGACCATGAGGGCTCACTATGAGGGTCTAACTTTGAATGATATTTGAAAAGTACTGGACATGGCAGGCGAGCTGCTGGCGCTGCGGGACATAAGCGTGGAGGAGAGCGAGGATCTGCCACGCATTCTGGGCCCGCTGGCCGACGACGCCGCGGCCGCCGCGCTCGGCCGCTCCGGGGCGCTCGACCAGCCGCCGCCCCACCGCGACGCGCTGCTGGCCGCCATTGAGGCCGGCGCGCCCGCGCTCGCCAAGCTGCGGGTGCGCGCTGTTCCCTCCCGCTACGCATTGTTTTACAAGTGGAAGGAGGGGATTACTGCAAGGCTAGCTGAAGTCAGTTTGAGGCCTTAGAGCGAGCCAAGAAGGTCAAAATTTCAGCTTCTGACTTCCTGCAAGCATGAGCCTACTCTTGGGTTCATTATTCCAGCAGCAGCGTTGCTGCCCAGCTTGCAGATGTCAGGACTGTCACCATCTGCTGGCTCATCAAGGATTGCTCGCCGAATGGATCTTCAAGCTGGTGTACATAGAGATCGCAGCAGAGGGGTATTCCTTGCTCAGGCTGCTGATGTTTGCTGCAGGAGGTGCTGTTTGTGATGGGCGCGCGCTTGCTGGAGATCGACCAGAGGTGGAAGGATGGCGGCCTGGAGAGGGCCGGGCTTACTGCAGATGAAGTGGTGCACTTGGTAAGAACCTGATGTCTCCAACTCTTTGTCGGTCAGTCAGATCACACCTTCTCTCGGGAGCAGAGCTGATCAAGTCCTGCCGGGGATGGCTGCACAGCAGAACCCGCCTAAAGTGATATATCGATTATGGTTCAGAGAGCGGTTTCTACTTTTGCCAGTGAAGCGTGCCACACACACTTCTGGACAAGCGTACTAGACAGTGTCATCAGGGGCCTTTGCTGAGAGTACTTAATGTTTGCATGCTGTGCTGTACAGCAGCTTGTACAGTGAAGGAGTGCGCAGGTCAGATCATGCAGTGTTCAACAAATGATAAATTGATAGTTCTGGCCGCAGATCGAGGCGCTGTTTGAGGACACGGACCTGAGGAGTGAGGTGCTGCAGCACATCAGATCAGCAAGGTGACCCTGTCTGTCACGGCTGGCAGGGTTGTGCTGCGTGGTCTGTATCCTATGAGAAGTACTAGGTACTAGGGGAAGCATGGAGCTGGTTGCTCTTATAGGCCTCGCATCTGCGATGGTTGCTGCGATGGAAGTAAGTTGAAAAATAGAACAAATATACAATGGGATGTCCTGATATCGGAATTGGGTGCTGTAGGGCATGTGTGTGTAATGTTACTCTGAATACCAGCGCGGGACTAGTTTGCCCGGCTCTTTGTGCTTGCAAGGTGTGCACTGGCGTTGTGAGCAATGCTGAAGCTCGGGCTTCCGTTTAAATCATCGTAGTCCTATCGAAAACAGGATAGGCTTATCCGCTCTGGGCACCGTTCCACTGTGATCACTGATCTGCTCCCTCGACCTGCGCCCAAGCCGTCTTGCGCTCATGTCCATCTACGGTATGCCTATGATTGCTGTAAACCCGGCACGGAATGAAAACTCAGGTGCGCAACAATGTATCGACCGAGGGTTTGGAAAAAGTACACTTGGCAGAATCGGAGATCTGATTCCGGATCGCGTTTCTTTCAGGAAGCAACGTGGACCTTTGAAACATGGTTCGCCGCCGAACGGATGGCTAAGTGGGTCAAAAGCGAGCACCCAGAAAATCTATCATCCCATCACCCTGCTTTCCAGAGCAGAGACCAGAGCATGCAGAGGGAGCTCACAGAAATTGCCCCATATAATCATGAGCGTACCACCAACACGGCAGACGGACGGCAGGGAGCGGACGGGGTGATGCAGCATCCTGGAATCGCGCCCGAGCCGGGCCTCGGTTCCTGCCAGCCGGGGCCTAAGCCGAGCCTTTTGGGCTCGAAGCGCAGCCACAGCTCCGGAAACAGGTCGGATGACTCCGAGTCCGGCACCGAGCAGAGCCACCACGACCAGCGGCAGCGTAGGCGAGGTGGGGTCCGCCCAGACCGAAACAACCCGTGCAGGAGGCCAGGCCCAGCACCGGTGTACACGTTGCTCACGCGCAGCTATGTGCATGCAGGCAATCCATGGAGCGAGGACGAGCACCGGAACTTCCTGGCCGGCCTCAAGAAGCTTGGCAAGGTGTCCCAGCCGCGTTATCACCAACTTTCGCTCTTAATTCTGTTGCTCGCGAAACAGCCTGAAAGCAATCACGTGCAAAGCCGAGGCATGACTTCCTCCAAGGAGCCTGGTGCGAGCCCCTGGTGTTCGGTGCGCAGGGAGACTGGCGGGGAATCTCCCGGCACTTCGTGCAGACCAGGACGCCCACGCAGGTCGCCAGCCACGCCCAGAAATATTTCATCCGCCAGCTGAACCTGCACAATCGGAAACGGAGATCGTCGCTGTTTGACATGGCGCCGGAACCGGAAGCGGTGAGCAGATAGCACAAGGGACGACGTGGCCTGCCTTGGAAGGACGTCTTGCTGCTTAGATACCCAGCTCACATTTGGACGCTGGAGTCTCTGATGGCATATGTAATCTGTGCAAGGCAATTGTGCGTCACCATAGCGATAAGAAAGTATCTTGCTACTTCTACATCTACTCCTGCGCTCCTGCAGGCACCCAGCTCCGGCACTGGCCAGGAGGCAGCGATGTTCCAGCAGAGCAGACAGGGCGATCTGCTTGCTGGAGGCATGCAGGGCAGCAGAGGCGGCGGCCCAGCAGACGTCCACAGGCTCAAGGGTGCGCGCTGCACACCTTCATTTCACTCTCGGCGCAAATTTGTGAGCCTTGCCTAAATAACAGGCCTGAGCTTTGTGAGAGGACGTGCAACAACTTGGAGCAGGAGAATGCTCTCTCTAGAGCATTCCGGGACCTGCGTGCATCACAGGCCTGAGCCCCTTGTGAGCGCACATGTGACCGTTCAGAAGGAGGCTCAGATGGAGGACAGGACACCAGCGGCTGACTTCCATTTTCTGATGTCTTCAGGAGGGGGGGGCCTGCATGATGAGGGTCTGGGGTACCAGCAGTGGATGCAGGGGCAGCAGCAGATGCCGGCGCCCGGCGCGCATCCGGCAGTGCTGCAGGCCATGCTGCAGGCGGCTGCGGTCGGGGGCCAGTGCATGCCCCCCATGGCAGCCATGTACATGGCCGCGGCATTCGGCGGGCGGCCTCCTGGGCCGCCTCCGCTGCAGCAGCAGGTCTGCCAACGCCCGGCTTTGCAGTATTCCATATCTATATTATTTTGTGCCATCAAGAACATTGAAAAATCAACCGCGGTGTGACTAGTAGCTAGAGTCATCTCTATTACCCCTCAGGAGATATTCCGGTAGTGAATTATTAGACACTGCAATACTCCGTAGGGAGCCCTTGAGAAGCTAGCTGTATCGTGGTTTTGTCTGTTCATCCATTTTGAGAGCCAGTTTTGGCAGGACTTGTCACTCACATCTGTGCAGAATGCTGTTGCTGACGTGCCTTTTTTTACTCCGCGCAGGGCGGATTTGGGCTGCCGCCGCCGTTCGGCTTTGGCGGGCTGCCCGGCATGCCGTCGGCCGGCGGGCCAGGCGCTCTGACGCCGCAGCAGCTGGCAGGCATGTCAGTGCTGCTTCAGCAGCAGCAACAGCAGGCGGCGGCCGCCGCGGCCATGTTCCCCGGGGCGTACAACCCGCTGGACCCCTCGGCCTTCGCCGCGGCAATGCAGAACCACTTTGCGAATGCGGTCGCGGCGAATCAGATGCTTGCGATGCAGGGGCAGATGGGCGGGCAGCTTGGGCTGCCCGCTGGCGTGCAGCTGCCGCCCCCCGGGCCGGCCCCATTTGGCGGGGGGCCCGGGCTGTACAGGCCCCCCAGCGTGGGGAACCTCTCGGGCTTCAGCGGCCTGGGATCGCGCGAGGCACCCAGCCAGCAGCAGCAGCAGCTCACAGACGAAGGAGAGCGCAGCTTTGGGCGGCTCCGAGATGCAGGTGGGTGTCACAAACTTTCTCATGTGGGTAGCCTACATGTAAAGGGATGTCATGTTGAATCTCTGAAAAGTTGTGCCAGTTTGCCCAGAATTTGTGCAAACTGAGAGGTGGAATCTTTAGTAATATAACTGCCATCCACAGACAGCAGACTTGCAAGCATGCACGGCATGAAATGCCTGGGGTTTGATTGATTGACTGGTGTGGTGACAGGCACAGCGTCGATGAACGGAGTGGAGCGAGGAATGCCCAGCGGCCTGCCCAGCAGAGAGCAGTCCGCGCAGAACACGGACGGCAGCACCGACATGCGGCCCAGCCGAGTGCACCGGCCGCAGCCCAGCCACGCCCGGCCCGCCTACCCAAGTGCGCCCGCCCACCCACCGATCAAAATTCGCAGCCATTGTTACTCCTTGAATCTTGCTCCCCTAGATGTGCTCTCTGCGTGTTCAGATCTGCCTGCAGCGACACAAGGCCAACGGTCCTGGTAGGAGCATCCCGCTGCAAGGCGTTGAATTGCCCAGAAAGCCCCTGACGAGCAGCTTTCTCAAGGCCAGGCTCAACTGTCCATGTGTGCATATTAGGGTCTGCCTGCAGTGTATCGGCACCAGTGGCTGACAGGCAGCTGCGCGCACTGCAGGCAACTTCCTGCGTGAGGGGGGCTTTGCAAGGAGCGGAATGAGCGAACTGGGAAGCGCCGGCAGCGAAGGCCGCCAAGCTGGCGCTTCGGCACATGACGGCAGCATGCGCGCATGCCCGCTCAGCGACCGGCTGGGCTCGGGCGGCAGGATGTCCTCCTTCCGCCAGCTGGCGCAGTCCCCCAAGACCAGCGGCGTGGAGGACCAGGGGGAGACGACGGGGGGCAGCGGTGGCCGCTCCGGTGGCGAGCAGGGGCCGCCTTCCAAGGAGGCCCGCTCCTCCTCCTGCACCATCACCACCAACCGCCAGGTGGGACATATCATCCTGTGCACTACAGTTTCAACCTTAAGTTTGACTTCTATTGTAATATTACACATGTGCAGTGGCATATTGTAGTGGAGGATCTGCAATGTGTGCTCTGCTGCATCTGCAGCTTCTTTGCCTGAAAACTGTACATTTCCCACATGCCCATTCCCGCCGAGGGCGCCTTTCGTTTCCTGGTCTGAAGACTGGAGGGCTTGCCACTGTCGCACTGGTGCTTGCTGGGACGCGCACCTTCTTTCACATTGCATTCAGCTCCATGTAGCTCCATATATGAATGTTACTTACTTTGTACAGCGTGCTTAATGCTGCGTTCTGTGTGGTGTGCGCAGGGGCAGCAGGCGCTTGGGGACAGTTGTGTGCTGTCTGCGGAGCACAGGTTCACGCCCGGGGGATCGATCCAGTCATCGCTGCAGGACACTCAGGACAACTCGCTCGGCACCTCAACGCAGTTTGGCGTCAGCCTCAATCAAGACCTGCAGAACGTGCTATCGCCGCGTTAATTCACTTGATAGCATGAGTAAGGGCGCTTCAGAAGTCTGGCAATTGCTGTGGCCGAAGTGAGGCTGCTCTCAGCGCAGATCCAAGTTTTTAAAAGCAGCAGCGGGAGCCGATTTGTGCTGCCGTCTTTTGGTGGTATCGGGATCTTGGGCAAGGCTCTGTTGTGCAAGTGGTGGCATTCCATGGAGTTGCGTTATGGGTGGGCATGGCGTGGCAGAGGGACGAAGGGTAGCAAGGCAAGGGGATGAGCATGGTTGTCTCAAAGTTGGTTGGAAGTTCTGGGAGCACCGAGGCAGCCAAGAGTTTTGAGTCTGGTCGTTTGAGTATTGTCCGCATCTGCATGTCTCTGCCGTATTGCCGTCCCTGCTCTTGCTCTATGTGTTATTCTCAGGAACACGTTCCGTGCAGTGCCCGTCAATTTAATTTCTCTTTTTGTGTGGGTCCTTGCCACGCCAGCTGCAATAGTCATCACAAGGCGCTTTTGTGAGGGAGGTTAGCGTATGGAAGGCGCAGGTATTATTGGATTTGTACAAAAAAAAGGTTGGTTGCAGTGGATTGCTGGCAGGGAATTTCTCTGGTCTGCGAAGCTTCCAGCAGTATGGTTGCTGTGGGATTGTGGCGATCACTATTCTTTTCTTTGAGGCGGAAGTTGTGCGGCCGTGTACGATACAGGGCCCCCCCTTGAGACATGAGGATCTCCAACGCAGAAAAGGGCACTATGACATACAGACTCTGATCTCAGATGCACTTCTGCACAAGGCCCAATTACCCACGCTACTATTTGAGAGCACAAGAACGGTAGTGAGCCTTGAACATGAGTTTCTGTATTAAGTGGCCCAACAGTGCAGTGCATTGGACTGTCACCTTTTGCTTTGTGTTTGTTTTCTGCATCCCCCCTCTGTCATTGAAGCAGCCATAGGCCCAGTGGAGCGCTCAGCGTTAAAGGCTGGGGTGTGCATTCCGATGGTATGGTTGAATCTGTTTGATCTAGTTGAGAGCTGATCAGGCCTGCATGTTGGCACAAGCTAATCAGAGAGCTCACAGGGCCTCATGAAATATAATGAGGTTATGTTTCATGAGGAGTTTGCATACCGGGCAGCATGCTCAGGACAAATCCTGATTGGCAGGAGGTTGCGGGGAGGGGTTTTTGTTGCGTGAAGGATTTGCAAATCGGATTTGCCGCTTGGAAAGTTGTGATTGGTGGGTTGATAAGGTTGGCTCGTGTCACAATCAGACCCATATATGCTGTCTTCCAGTCTCATGAGCGATAAGTTATGAATGTGACTAGCTAGCGCACATATGTTGACAGTGAGCAGTCTTGCTGGCGGTATTGCAAGACAAAGTGTGATGGTCCTCCCATCGCATGATGTAGTTGGTGTCACCGGAGACTTTTATTTGCTTTGTGTCAACAAGTTCTATAGATCTGGAACTTATATGATCTCTATATCTAGACCATGAGTGGTACTGGTCGCTTGGATTGCTTTGGGGCCAATAGACTACTCACATGGTGTAAGTTAATTTTGTTCAATGAGTTCTTTCACATACGTGCATGACACCGCAGTGACTATGATCAATGGTATGCATATGCGTGAATTCATGCAACATGTACCCATGATGGCATCCGCCCACATGTTCACGCGTCTTGCATGCGCATGCGTTGCTGTGAGATCTCTCAGAGCACTGCTCTGATGCTTTCAAGAGATTGAGCGACTACTTGCCACCTCAAGACCTTCCAGAGACATGCGGCATCTTGACCATCACAAACCCATCTTCTGACAGAGCTACAAATTGGCTTGAAAAGTTTTTAAACCTTGCGGATCTCCAAAAATCTCCTGCCCTATCTAGATCTGGCCATTAGTGCAATTTCCCTGTGGACGTTTCCACATTCGCATGCACGGCCCCAGCGCCCACTTTCCGAGCACTTGCTAGTATCTGATAGTAGGTATGATATGCTTGCCTGCCAGGGGCAAGCTTTGTATGCAGAGCAAGCTGCATGTCAAGACTGCTAGCATTTATTGTCTATCAATTGGCAGGTGCATCAAGCAGCCGCCCCTGCAGCTACTGCGGGCTCAAGACTACTGGCACCATTGCTGCTGCTGCCCTGGCTTCTGCCGCTGGCCCGCTCGCGCACAGTCATGAACAGCCCGTTCTGCGTGTGGATGGTCGCTCCTGTGGTCATGCCAATGTCCTGATCTGGCACTAATTCAAAATCAAACCGCTTCAAAAGCACTGCCAGCGCCACAACGGCCTCCATCAGTGCAAACTGGTCCCCCACACATTTCCGGGGGCCCCCGCTGAACGGTATGAACCTGCATTGCACACAACTAAGCCTTTTGCCATAATCTTGGATCACACTCCTGCATGCGGCACCATCTGGCAGTGCAAATTGTTGATACGGTATCATCTCAGTGGTAATGCATGTGTACCGCAGCTTGACAGTGGGCGTGTGTACAGTGGTGCAATCGGTGCCTCTGAGGCAGTGCAAATGCAAAATTTATCCGCCTCTCATGCAAGCTCTGCCACATCGCTAGCTGTGCAGTGCTTCTGTTGTCAGAATTTGACAAGGAGTCTGAAAAGGCAGCACGGCAATATCTGCAATGCAGCAAGCAGAGTGGTCGTGAGCAACACCTGTAGTCGGTGGTCTGCTCGCTGGGCACGGGCTCATCGAGGGGGAAGCGTTCTGGGCGGAAGTCATTTGGGTCGTCCCAGACGGCGGGGCTGCGGTGGATGTTGTACACCGATATCATCACGTCCTGCCCCACCGGCACCGAGTAGCCGCCTGCAGACCCCAGCTCATGCTCACTCCCGCACTGCCTCTAAGTGATAGCGCATGCAGAGATTCACGCGATAGCATGTGCAGTGCCTCTGACTGCCAAGCTGCAAGCAGGGCTGCCGATCCACACAACTCCAGGGACACTCCCGGGACAGCACCATGTCCTATTGTGCTGAGAGGTCCAAAAAGATGCACCAGTACTTCAGACATCTCCGTGCTGGAGAGGTCCTAAGGAGGGAGACAGGTGCAGTCACTACAATGCACAATCGTCGGGCTCACGCTCTGCAGGCCGTCAGGGGCAAGAAGCCCGGGACGCCAGAAGCTGCAGCAGCAGACGGGAAATCTCCAGCCTGGAAACGGGCTTCATAGGAGGGGAATAGACGCAACTGTGGCAATGGTCTCATGTTCACGGCCTGCGAGGGGAAGTCCCCGAGACCTTGCACAAAAAGTGCAAAGATTTGGGCGCCAAGGAAAGGGACTTAAAAGGGCGCGCATGCGCACCGGGGAGGGTGTCGGCGACTTGGGCACGGCGCAGGAGGACGGGCGGGTGCGGGTAGAGGCGCATGCTCTCGTTCACGCAGCGCATCACGTACCGCAGCGCCATGAAATCCTCCACGCTCGGCGCCGCACGGTCCCCCATCACCGCATCAACCTCCGCCCGCGCCTGCGCCAGCAAAGCTAACAGACTACTCCCAGCAACAAACCGCGCGTCATGGCATTTATGCGACAACACCTTACTCACCCAGGGGCCTTTCAAGCATTGTTCAATTCAATTTATCGGCAATCTTTTCGCAGTTGCCATATTCATTTGCCGGGAAGTTGCCTCTGTTCTGGACGTGACCACAAGCACAAAAATACCTGCAGGTCTAAAAGGAAGAGGAAAAAGTGCAGCTGCCTGGGGGGTAACGGGGCACAAGCATCTTTGCAGGATGACAAGCAAGAGGGCCAAGTTATATATGCATGAAATGGGAATCGGGCACGGAGATCCGGCGGCATGCCTTGGCCATTGCATGCACCTGTTTGCACCCTGTCATACCCCGATTGCTCTTACTCTGCGGAATCTCTGGCTAGTGCCGAGCAAGGTCCTTACAATGCCAGGTATACTGGACTGTATATGTATGGGTTCTCTCATCCAAGCCATGTGTTGCACTGTCATATCCCAGGGGTTCCTCTCAATCTGTAGATGATATGGCTGGTGCAGGAGTAAAGCTTCTACCAACACCTTGTGTATCTTTACAGGGATGCAGTGATTCTTTACCTTGGCCATGGCACGGGGATTCTGCTCGAGGAGGTAGAGGGTCCAGGTGAGCACGGAGCCGGTCGTCTCGTGCCCCGCCACCAGCATGGACAGCAGATCGTCGCGCAGCTGCCTCGATGACACCTCCTCGCGCGACGCTATCAGGAACCGCAGCACGCTCGGGTCCGCCTCGTTCATGTACCCGTCGCCAAACTGCGCCTGCGCAGGCGTTTTAAGGGCACAGCATCAGCGCACAATCACTGGCCCTATCCATCAAGATTATTTTAACGGAGGGAGACTGGTGTGTATGCAGAAGAGCCGTTCTGCATGCTTTCTCATTGGGCTGTGATCCTGCTAGAGTCATTTGAGGCTTTTGTGATAGAAGCGCATGGCCCGGCGAGAAAGGACGGATGAAAAGTGAGCAGGCGCTCTATTGCTTGCAAAAGGTGGGCCGCTGCTGCCACCCTGGCACCCTGACTGCAAAGCAAGCTGCCACAACACTCTTGGGGATCAACCACAGACCTCCCTCTGCTGAAGTGGCCCAGGGAAAGGGCCAGCCTGTCTGTGTGGGCCAAATCGCTGTGGAGAGACATCATGCCAAAGGAGGACACACAAACAGAGCACAAGTGTGGGCCTGCCAGGAGAAGGCAAGTCAGACTCACACTATCTCTTCCCACGCTCAAGCCTGCAACTGGAACGCTGGTCGTGGAAGGCCAAGCATGCATGCATGTTTCCCACCTGCTCCTCGGCGTCGACCATTTCTTTGCATTTCGCGATGAGGCGCTCGGTCTCGGCGCGGATGAGCTCCACGGCCTCCAGGGCCTTGCGTTGCCGCGGCACGAACGGCGCCAAAAAAGGCAGCTTCCAGAGCGGCAGCAGATCCGTCGCGCGCTGCTCCGTCTCCTTCAGCGCCGTGTACACCGCCTGCAACATGTGCTCACGTATCAGCACATGTCGCCAGCACCTCAAGCATCCTTGTGAGCATCTTACAGAGTGCACACGAGTGTATGAGTACATGCAGGCCATGCCACAATGAGGTACATACTGGCCGGATGGAGCTGCGGAATCCAACTGCGCAGAGGATTCTTACGAAAGAGGAGAACAGACTTACATAGAAACTGGACAAGCGTGAAGCCAGATGGATTTTGACCCAGGACCAATGGGGAGGGAAGGGAAAAACTGAGGAAGGGGACATGAAATGCTGGGGTGTGCAGAAATGTCTACAGAACGATTGATTGCTTGGAGGCGGCAGGACACTCCTCAGGAGGGAAAGGCGCTCACCTGGATGAGGGGTGATTGGGTGTTGAGGGCGTCAAAGTCGTAGTTGAACACCGCCTTGCCGATGACGTCCAGCGTCAGCTGCGAGAAGCATGCCTCCATGTCTATGCTCTCGCCTGAAGCAGCCACTCCCTGCGCACCCAGGAGAATTAATTGGTTGAATGTGAGACCTCACAACTAAGCTCGAAGACTGTACTTTCACATGGCTGCTTTATTGAATTGATGCAGTGTGAAGATGGCAGATGGTCTGTGCTCGAGGAGGAAGATTATCTCACCAGCTCCTGCGCTCCTGCTCTGATGCACCATAGTGGGCCTGTGCTCCTCATTGCAGCTGTCATGAATAGACCCTGGTTTCCAGCGAACTGGGGACTGTAATGGTCAGCAGAAGGCTAGTCAGTGGCTGGTCAGGGGCCGCACCTCCAGCTTTGTCGCCAGGTGCTGCGCCGAGGGCCCGAACACGCGGTCGGCCATGGCGGCCAGATATGCGCGGTGCAATGAGGGGCCCACCGCCCGCCGCCGCACGCGCCAATTGTCGCCCCCCGTGATCGCAAAGCCGTCCCCAAATAGAAACTCTGACACCTGCACAATCCCCACACTGTCCGTGATGCTCCATCTCCACAGCTCGATCACGAAGCTCGGGGGGGCCTGATGTTTATTGAATCTTGCTGGCTTCCAAGTAATTCATGAACAGATAGTGTACAGCAAGCCCCCAAGCGATGTTCTGTGTCAGGAGTCGGCTCCCCAGTGCAGCTGTTGTGTCTGTGCTGGAGCGCACCTCTGCTACAAGGCCCTTGACGTAGATGGGCCTCTTGGGGTTGTCAGTAGCCCGCAGCACATGCTTGGCCGCCTCCGGGTCTGACACCACCAGGAAACTGGACACAGGCCCTGCACATGCTCCAACATTCTCCCTTGCTTCATGTCCGTACACGTGGCCCTTTGGGCTCTCATGGCATATTTGCATGCATGCGTATTACGTCATGGCGCGTATGGCAGATGCCATCATTGGTATGATATGCGGTGCAGCTGCAAGAGGCGCGCACCTGTTGGGAGCAGGTAAACAGGCCCTGTCTCCTCCATCCACTTGTAGAGTGCTTTGAACAGCGCACCACCCAGCAGGTCCTTGATGTCATCTGGCTTTGCATCTGCCACTGGCACATCCTGTACAATGCACCGCCATATCTTGTTCAGGTCACCAAGAGCACGGCACTAAGCAAATGCACCATAGGCTTGGATGCCGATCTTGTGTAGATGGTGGCGCATGCATGCTATCTGATGCATGCAACAGATCCAGAAGGCGCACCGATTTGCCGCCCCAGAGTCTGCCGAGCTGCGTGAGCCAGCCAGGGCTTGTCACGGATGCACCTGCACCTGCTGTGTCTATGAGCTTCTGCAGGCCGCGGTCCACAGAGACGTCCAGATCAATCTCCTCCTGCGTGATCAGTAGGTTAATCTTAATACAAAGGCTTCCCCACAGGTGCAAATAATCACCACAGGAAACAAATTATTCCATTGCAAAGACAATCGCCCACCTCAGTGTCCACAGCGCGGACTTGGATGTCCCGAAGCAGCCGATCTGAGGGCCTGCTCCAAGAGTTCTTGGAAGCCTGGTGGCTATTTGTGGTATTGAATACTCTCGAGGTACTGCAGATGCTTTGAGGATAGGGAATACGGCCTGCAGGTGGCAGAGTGCCCAATGGAAAAGCGCTCATTCTTTTATATTCGCAACAATCACAATTTTAGGAGCAATCCAATACATCCATTTATCAGCTGCCTTCAAAGTACTGTAGTATTAGTATCAGGCTCTTCCCACTCCTCAGCACGAAGTCTTCCCGTTGCGATCACTCTTATCCCGGATGTCTGATCAGTCATCGCTTACGATATAGTGCTCCGTCCAACTGTCGTTCAAACTGTGCTCCCGAAGCTGTAGTCGATCGAGAAGGACTCCTCGTACTTGTATTCGTATTGTTAGCACAACCGGAACTCTTTTCTATACCAGGGTTTCCTGGTTGAAGTGCTGCCTCACGTTGCAGTTCCTTCATCGCCGATCTGAACCGAGAAAGAGATGGTGAACGGTTAGGTGAAAACAAGCAGAACCCACATTCCAACGAGGTACATATTCATCTCATGCTCCCACTAGCGTTGTGCCTAGCAAGCAGTGATCCTTGGATTTGCTGTAAGAATAAAGTCTTGGACGGCAGATTTCTCTGACAAAGAGGCATTTATCCCTCATTTTTAGTCCTCGAGTGCTCTTATGACAACATTGAAGTAGAGTAACCGTAAATGTCATGAATTTTCTGGCCTAAGGGCCATAGATTGCAAGTTTGTTCAAGCCTAGGAGTGATGGAGGATGAGGAGAACCTGTCAAGGTCCACGTCTGGGTGCCACACAGAGTGTCTTGACTTTCAAAATCGAGTCACGGGCACTGCATTTATTTCTGAGCTGGAACTGCATATCTGTACAGGATGTGGGAGCCCCACAAGCCTGATGGGCCAGATGGGGAAACATCTGGAGCGAGTGCAGCCAATGGGCACTCAGACCGCAATGGTCAGCCACCTGCAGATTCCCTGCAGCCCTCACACTCCCACCCTGGCGGCCTCACCTCCGCCGGTGCAGTCCATCCCTTTGCCGCATTTGGCTGCCTCAAAAATGTAGCGGTGGAGCAAGCTGGTAGCCTGTTGGCTGCCTGGACAAGTGCATCCATTCCTATGTTGAAGGCATGCGTAGCACATAGAACGACACCCTGCTCACAGCCTTATCATGGTAGAGAGAGCCAATCTTGCTCTGGCCGATTCTAGCCTGGGGGTTCTGATGCCGCTCATATGTTCCCAACGCAGAGGCGGAGCAGCTACTGCAGGTGTATGGCAGGAATGAGTTGGAGGAGAGGACCACATCAAAGCTGCTCGTCTTCCTCAAGCTGGTGCGCTGCACACCCACAATCTCTCAATAGTACCTAGCAAAGAGAATGCACTCCTCCAGCAAAATGATGCCTTCAGATGACATTCCCGTCTGTCCCTTAGTCTTGCATGGGAGAACAGACGCGCCTGTACTGAACGCAGAATATTCATTAGAGCTAAGCATTTGCGTATCTGAAGAGTGGGGTGCGGCTGTGCAGCTGGTGATGCCCATGCCCATCATGATCTGGCTGGCGGTCATTGTGGAGGCGGCCATTGGCAACTGGCTGGACATGATCATCCTGCTGCTCATCCAATTTGTGAACGCCAGCATCGGCTGGTGCGCACCCCCGCCTACACTGTATTCAAATACTACATGGCAACACAGCCCTGCTCAATCAAATGCTTGCTCCCCCTCTATCATGATCTTCCCATGGTAGAGACCAGAGCAACCCCAACATGTCCATTGTTGTTATTAATATTTCTTCACTTGGGAGCAGTGAAATCTGAGAAGCTTGTATCTTGCGCGCTATACAAGTGCCAACTCTGACATGGTGGAGGAAACCAGAAGATATAAAAGGTTGGTAGGCTATCATAGTGCACCTGATCTTCACGGATTGGAATGTGTCATTACAAATGCCTGCGTTGGCTTACATTAAAACAGAGTGTATGCGGTGCAGGTACGAGACTACGAAGGCGAGCGATGCGGTGAAGGCGCTGAAGGCGTCGCTGAAGCCGCAGGCAACGGTGTGCCGCGACGGGTGCTGGCAGGTGGTGGACGGCTCCATACTGGTGCCGGGTGACCTCGTGCTGCTGGGCTCCGGCGCGCACATCCCCGCCGACTGCCGGGTGCGCCTGCCGGCTGCATGTTTTGTAGACCTACTACATTTGAGATATTTCAGCTCTGACATTCTTCATTATATTATCTATCGTTCATGCTCTCCTTTCATCCTTTTTCCTCTCTCACATGTGCAGACCTAACAGAAGATTTAGTCTCATTGAAATCAGGAATCTCCCAGGTGATCTAACCGCTTCTTATCAAGGATTCCGGTCAGAGATTTTTCTATAGAGTCCTCCTGATTAACATTGACTGTGTGGCGGGAATGGGGGCAAGGCAGAGAAGCTGCGATCCATCATGCGCCAGCAGTGCTGTGATTGCAGACTTCGTACCCAGCATCCCAATTGAGCCGTTCTCTTTGGCCTGAGAGTGCCGGCTGGCTCTCCCTTTTGGAGTGTACTGGAAGAAAGAAGTGTTTTGACATGTTGGAAATGCAAAGAGCTGCGCTGGGGTTGAGGGCGTGGCACGAGAGAGTTGTCTGCTGTGGGGCAGGTGAAGGAGGGAACGATTGATGTGGATCAGAGCGCTCTGACTGGGGAGTCACTGCCGGTGACGCTGAGGGGCGGCGACGCAGCTCAGATGGGGGCCACGGTGGTGCGCGGGGAGACCCACGCGACAGGCGCGCATTTCCCTGACTGCTGGCAGTACAGGCGGTCCTGACCTGATCAGCTTTATCTTGCTTGTGTTCAACCAAGAAGTGCAGAGGTGGCATCCTAACTTCTAGCCTGCATGTGGCTGGCTTCCACAACAGAGCATTCCAAGAAATAAATGGATACCTTTGCATTTTTGAAGCAGAGCAGAAGTTAAAGAGCCAGTCAAAGCATATAATCTTGCACAATTCTTCTGTGTGGGAGCACTGAGGCATTGTGTGTCCTTGTGCAACAGTGGAGCAGACGGGGAAGAACACCTTCTTTGGGCGCACGGCGACGCTGCTGCAGAGCGTGGAGAACCTGGGCAACCTCCAGCGCATCCTCATGCGCGTAGTCATCGTCCTGCTGGTGCGCCCATCCGCTCAATTCCAAACCCCTTACACCCCCCTTGCATGCAGAAGTAGCTTGGGCATGAAGTCGTCATCACAATGGCCGCATGGCAAGTGCCATTTGTAAAACAAGGTATATATATTCATGCTATATACAACCACAGCAATCATTGGAATTATAGTCAAATAGTAAATGTCTATAAGTGCTGTGTCAGTGCAATTATATCATCAACAACTTCATGACGCTGTCGTGAGCCAGCCTGGAGAGATGGCCGGCGAGAGGATGCATGCCAGGTGTGAAGAATAAGCATGGGGAAGGGAATAGTGTGGCATGTGCAAATGAGGGAGGTTGTGTGGTGGGCAGGTGCTGTCAGTGTTGCTGTGCGCGATTGCGCTGATCTATCTGCTGGCGCGCGGCGAGGGCTTCCGCCACGCGCTGGGCTTCATCGTGGTCCTGCTTGTGGCCTCCATCCCCATCGCCATCGAGATCGTCAGGTGTGTGCCAGTCACAGTATTGGTAATGTATGGCGCTTTGATAGCGCTCTTAGAAGGTACAAATAAAAGGTGTCTTGCCTTCCAGCAATGCATGACATATTAGGTGTGCCCCACCACCTGGATGCTGTATTGCTGCGGCCCAAGCGAAGGAAAACTCTGGCCAGATCAATGTCTTGCCCTGTCGGACAGATCATGCACTGGCAGGTGCCTCGCCGCAACAGGAGGTTGCCTCCTGAATCAGGCTCGTCTGGCCCCTTTTTGGCACTTGAAAGGCTGGACAGCTGCAAGGCCACTGCTCTGTGCCCTGGATGCACTATTGTGGCAGTCGCTGCGTGGTCAATTCTTTCCTATTGATCCCTGCTGAGCCTGATAATAATGACCATGCCTGGGGTGCTCAAAGGGTGAGCGTGCTTGATGTCCTGATGGGTTGATGCATGAAATTTGCAGCACAACGACGCTGGCGCTGGGGTCGCGGCAGCTGGCGGCGCAGGGCGCGATCGTGACGCGGCTGACGGCGATCGAGGAGATGGCCGGCATGACGCTGCTCTGCTCCGACAAAACCGGCACGCTCACCCTCAACCAGATGGTCATCCAGGTGCCACTCCCATGTCCACTCACACCATTGCAGTTTTTAAAAGTTGCCGTGTGGACCATGCACTCGCACTGCCGAGACTGCAAGCATCGGATGTGTTTACTTGAGCCGCTGCCACTGGAAAGAGGGGACCGGGATGCGCATACTAGCCCTCAGTGCGGTGTGAGCATGCAGAGGATTGTGCTCTCCGTGCCTAATGCCACATGAGCCTTCCTTTGTTCAAGAAGCCCCTGTGTGGGGGCGACGGTGGTTTCTGTCTCCTCCAGTGCTTTCTGAGTACTCGGGCTGAACAGCATGCCAAAACGGACAACACCCCAGGCCTGAATTTCAATGCATCTGGCAGTCACCTCTCTGCTGACTCATCGATGATTTATATGCGCGCAGGAGGACTGCCCGCTGTATGCGGAGGGCGAGGACCGCCACTCGGTACTGCAAGCGGCAGCTGCCGCGGCCAAGTGGTGGGAACCGCCCCGGGACGCGCTGGACTCCATGGTTCTCAAGGCCGCCGCGCTGCACGAGCTGGAGGGATACACCCACCTGGACTTCACACCCTTCGATCCAGCCATCAAGGTGGGCAAATTTGCTTGACGTTGTGACTGACAACGTCTCTGCTAAGCTGTACGTTTTTCCTTTTTGGCTGGTGCTGATGAGCACGGGATTCAGGATTCTCCGGAACGTCATCTGGTCGCATGTTGCTCCCTGGGGATGTGGTGATGCATGGATCACAAATGTCAGGGGCAGTGCATACTCTGGTGCGGTCTGCTGTTCCCACTAGACGCTGTGCTACTGCCCAAAGGACATAAGTTTCTTGCTGCATCCATATTTGGTATGGAAGGCTGCAAGTGATGAGTATTGCGTCGCATCAGGGAAGCCATCAAGATGACTCGAGGGCTATTCTAGTGTAGCCTCTTATGGGATGCACTTTGGTGACATGTTCAATGAATGCCCCACTGCAGCCTCAAACATGGAGAATGCAAAAAGTTGGAGTGTGAAGAATTGAACCTGGGCTGCTGCGCGTGCAGAGGACTGAGGCGACTGTGCAGGCGCCGGACGGCAGCAGCTTCAAGGTGACCAAGGGGGCAGCCCACGCTGTGCTCAGCCTCATCCAGACCAACACCGAGGTCATCACCTCTAGCGTCAACCAAAAGGTGTGCTACCTTTTGCTTATACCTGTATTTCACTTGTTTATGTATTTTGCTTGTACATGGCTGGCTCAGATGTTTGCAACCCATTTATAAGAGTCTTTGAAGTGATGTTTTGGCCGAAGAGGAGAGGCAAGACTCTTGCTGCCGAGCGTGTCTTACACCGCTGCCATTTCTGTGCAATGCAATTTGAAATGGCAGGACTGAACCTCACAACACAAGGGGCTCCGGGTATGCTGGAATGCTTTGAACAGGTAACATTGCTGCTTCTTCTCATGAGAAGAGCTCAGTTGGGTACCCTTGCATGATTGATGATTAATGACGCTACAGTATTATTTGATATTTGGGAGGTGCGCTCTTGCAGGTGCAGGAATTTGGGCACAGGGGCATCCGCTGCATGGCGGTGGCACGCACAGACGCGCAGGGGCAGTGGCAGATGCTGGGCCTGCTCACCTTTTTGGACCCGCCACGCCCCGACACTCGCTCCACTCTGGAGACCGCCCTGCGCCACGGCGTGCAGACCCGCATGGTGCGACCGGCGGCCGCTACAATCCCGTGGATAATATCTTTATCTTCATCCATCCTTTGCTTGAGAATATGTAGTGTGGCTGTGGCGGTGTTGTTGTGTTTGATGGATCACAACAACGTATGCTCATATTGCAGTCAGGCAGCCATACATTTCACTCTTGCATGCAAAGCGGCCATCCAGAAATACCTGAGAACCCAAGCACCCGGGGAGGCAAATTCTTGAAAGAAGCCATTCCTGTCGCTGTCAACTCTTTATCTGTGCCGTAAGACCTCTTCTCCCATCATCAGACACTAATTGTATGGTGTTGTCTTGGAAGGTTGCCATGATGTGAGGAGTTATTGCAGTGCATCATTGTTGCAGATAACGGGTGACAACATGCTGATAGCGCGGGAAACGGCGCGCGCGTTGGGCATGGGCACGGACATCCGCACGCCCGAGGGGCTGCCCTCCATGACCGAGGACGGCCGCATGCCCCCCCACCTCGGCCGCGACTACGCGCACGTCATCCTCCCGGCAGACGGCTTCGCACAGGTGCAGACTCCGCTGCTTTTCATGCTCATCTCTAAACGGCAGCGCAAGGGACCGCAGTTGTCAAGAGTAAACATCCTCTGATAGCTTTCAACTGGGGCACTCAGCAGAAAATATTCATTCTGCCGCTAAGCGCACTGTTTGAGCGAGAATCGTCTTGGGTTTAATGAAGGTTTTGTTAGCAGCGTGCACATCCCTTTTGAGTGATAGGAAGGCTTTTGCTCCATGCCTTTCACTACGGTCAGCAAAGAGTAGCAAAGCATGCAGGACAACATCAATACCCGGGGGCAAACGCGAGCCTGTCATTGCACATACCAGTCGCTCTATCAGCCGCGCGCTTGCCGTGAAGCTTCTGATAAGCAAGAGAGTGCCCATTACCCAGAGGATCTGGACTGGCTGCAGGTGTACCCGGAGCACAAGTACCTGATAGTGGAGGCGCTGCGGCAACTGGGCTACAGCGTGGGCATGACCGGCGACGGCGTCAACGATGCACCCGCCCTCAAACGCGCTGACGTCGGTATCGCTGTCAGCGGAGCTACTGATGCGGTAAGCCTTACACAAAAATGTGCCCCCCTGCTGACTTAGCCATTTGTGCGGCAAGACTACCACTGTAGGCACTGCTATTGTGTACGACTGCTCAGGGGAACAAAGGGGAGGCTTGCACACACTGGCAGCAGGCTCGGGCAGACCCCAAACAAAGTCCGATAAAAAAGAGATTGTAGAATGGAGGCTACAATGCTTGCTTTGAATGCTCAAATTAACCTATTATAAACCGTCCCGGCTGCCACTACGCCTGACATGCATGCATGCATGATGCGCAGGCGCGGGCTTCAGCAGACATCGTGCTAACAGAGCCCGGGCTGAGCACCATCGTGGACGCAATAGTGATCGCGCGGCGCATTTTCCGCCGCATTTCCAATTTCCTCAACTACCGCATCGCCGCAACGCTGCAGCTGCTCCTATTTTTCTTCATTGCCGTCTTTGCTTTCGCGCCACACGACTACAACCCCCGGGTGAGTACCCTTTGCTGCCAATCTGTCCTTCAAGATTGTATGCTTTAGAGTCTTGAGCATCTTACCAGATGTGACTCCTCACCAAGCATTATTGATTGTAAACCTTTGTGACTCCTTACCAAGCGGTATTGATTGTAGCTTTGAAACTTTGAAACAGTGCTCTTTTCAGCATCAGCAAGCACTTTCCGAGTGTGCTCTATGCACTGGGGGTGCTCAGTCCTGAATTTCTGGTTGTGCTGTCTGTTCTCGTGGTGCACAAGTCTGAAGGATTGTGTGGTGTGGCTGGGTGGCAGTGGCCCAGCTTCTTCCAGCTTCCGGTGCTGATGCTGATGCTGATCACGCTGCTCAATGATGGCACGCTGATCTCCATCGGCTACGACAACGTTGTGCCCAACCCACGCCCGGACAGATGGAATCTGAGGGTGAGCCCACTTTTGCCTGCTTACATGATAAAGACATGTTCCTGGTAGTTGTTGTGACTCTAGAGCTCTGCAGCAGGCTGCTCTGAGCAGCTCATCTCAATGGAACATTAGGAGAAAACCTTGCTCTGAAGCAGGCTGCTAAAGCAGTCCATGCAGCAGGGGTTCAGCAATTCATATTGTTTACTTTGTGTAGACAGACTCACATGTTGGAAAGTAGACTGGTAGCTTCCCCTGCCGTTCTTGCGGATGCAGAGTACAGTCCATCTGGGAAACAGGATCTTGCTTGACTGCGACTTGCAAACTTTGCCTTCTGTGGGATCAGAGCTGACTCAGCTGCTGCGCGGCAGGTGATATTCACGGTGGCGAGCGTGCTGGGCTCAGTGGCGTGCCTGTCGTCGCTGCTGCTGCTATGGGCCTGCCTGGAGTCGGGCCACAAGGGCTCCCTCTTCCGCCGCATGCACCTGCCGCCCATCCCCTACGCCAAAATCATCACCATGCTCTACCTCAAGGTGACTATTTACTCTCTAATTTTGCTCACCTGTTCCATCTGAATTAAGCCACCTGGACTTCAAGATATGCCCAACGAGTCTGAGGAGCTGCATATAATCACACGCTTGGTGGGACTGAGCTGGAGGTCTGCTGTGACAATTAATTGGCCGCTCTCCACTGTACTAGAAGGTCAGACTGGCGGTTTCCCCTCTACATCATCACTGCAATCACGAGTGTTGCAGGAGCAGCTTCCTGGGGGCCCCTGATGCCTACCATTAAAGACCTCCACTGTTTTTGCTCCCCAGGCCCGTATCCGTTTCGGCTACTTTTGATTATTCAATCTAAGAACATCCCCTGACAACAGTGTGTGCTCCGCTGTCCAGGTGTCGATATCGGATTTCCTGACGCTGTTCAGCAGCCGCACAACAGGCTTCTTCTGGACGTCCCCGCCGGCGCCGTTGCTGACAGGGGCGGCAATTTTCTCACTGGCGCTGTCCACTCTGCTGGCCTGCGTGTGGCCCGCCGTGACCACCGACCGCAATGTTCCGGTGCGCGGCCTCTGCCGCGGCGGCTACAAGGCCTGGCCCGTCTGGGTCTGGCTCTACTGCCTCGTCTGGTGCGCACTGGCTTGTTCCCAGAAGGGTGTGGCATTGGTCATACCTTGTTCAGTTCTTGGTTTTTGTGGCCACGAGAGGCATTGCATCCCTGGTTCGTTTGTAAATAATGCTGCGTGATCTTGACTTTTTAAGATGGTGGGTCGCATTGAGGACTTGTTCGGCCACTGCCCACTGCTACATGGGGAATCCAGGGATCTGATGGTGATATGTGAAATTAATGGTGTGCAGGTCGAGTCGTCTGGATGACTGTGCTGTAAAATCTACTTGGAGATGATTTCTGGCTGTTCCGCGGTGCAGGTGGCTCATACAGGACACGCTGAAGGTGCTGACATACAAGCTACTGTTCGCGTTTGACATCTTCCAGATCAAGTCGGGCAGCCGGACGGGCAAGGCCGGCAATCAGCCGCGCGAGGATCGGCTGCTGGCCGTGCATGTGCGTTCCCTCCATGTCTCAAAGGAATAAAGTATAAGTCAACGATCTTGTACTGGGATTACTTGATGCTCGCCAATGCTGCATAAGGCACTAGCAGGGCACTTTGCAGGACAGAAAGGATATCCTCTCTGCTGTGAGTCTCCAGCGAGTTTTCTGAAAGGCTATTCGGTCGAGACTATTACAGGCTTGCTAAGCATGCCATGCGGCCTGCATAAGGCACTAGGATGGCAGTCTGCAGGCCAGAAAGGAGATGCGTAGAGGCACTGGCTAATGCTTTTACTTGTGCCAACAGGTGACACCGGAGGCGCAGACAGAGCTGACCAGATATACACACGCTGGCGTTCAGCACGAGGTACGCACTGTCTGGGCGTATCTGCTTTGACACTCCTTGCAGACATGCCAAAGATAAAAACAGCCGAGAGCTCCTGGCCTTTTGAGATGTGCTTGTACGATCACGTCAAATCATGCAGATGCCTGATGTGCGCGTGACTCGAAAACCAATCTAAAGAAACAGTTTAAAAGGCAACAATAACTGGGGTGCTGAGTGATTGGCTGCGCGCAGGTGGAGGCGGGGTTGGATGATTTGAGGGCGGCCTACGCGGAGCTGCACGAGCAGCTGGACTCGGCCGCCAGGCCCCCGGAGGAGAAGGAGCGCCTCGCGCAACATGTGCGCACTCCCTTTACCATTTTCTCTGCCTTCACCCCACGCCAGCTTTGAGCTCTTGCATGGGGCTTTCTGTGTCCCTTGAAAGGTGTCTGACTAAAGCAAATGAACAGGCAAATTGTGTTTTCCACGGCTGTGTTTGTCAGTGGGATCAGGCGCAGAAGAGGTGCCTGTCTGATAGCAATGGTGTTATGATGCGGCTGTGTGATTTTCTAGCCATTAGTAGCCAGATGACCTCTAAGTAAGGCACCCCTTGACAGCATGCAGAGCAGGGATTTACAAAAGATTGGCCAGCCTTGCTTGAGCATTTTCTAATGTGTAAGGTGTGTGCTTGCGTGCAGTTGCAGCAGGTGCGGCATGCGGCGTCGAGTCTGGAGCGCGTGGCGGGCGCGATGGCGCGGCAGGCGGCGGCCGATCACCCGGGCCGGGACGACGGCGTGCGCTTCACTGTCGGCCCGGTCGACGGCCGCGCGTCGCGAGACGGCCAGGGCGACAGCCGCCGCCGTTCGCACTGAGACGCGCATGCCTCGAGCCGGGCAGTTGAAGATGGTACAGACAAATTGTTTCTAGCTATCAATAAGTGTAAAAGCTGCTGTGTGGCAGTTCCAGAGGCCAGGATATTCTGATGTAAAGGAAGCTCCTGTCTCAAGATATGTGCAGCTGAGCAGGACAGTCATGACTGATCAGGTTTGGCTTGCGCACTAGTATTCTGAAGTGGCTGGGCGTTGACAGAAAGTTGAGCAGCAGAATTGCAATTGTTTGCATGCTCTGGCATCAATGCATATGTGGAGTATTGAGCATGCATTAGGTAGGTGCAGTCTGCAGAGCTGTGTGTTGGTCAGAAGGCAGAATATTGGATAATGGTAGTCTGCAGACACAGCTGTGCATGCTTGTGAGCTAGCGCTGCAACTAGCATCTTGCTTGTTTTTGGTCTGTTGGAAGTGCAGATGTAAATCTCACAGCTGTAGTGCCATATTCTGAAGTAGTGGTAGGATTCGTCAAAGTTGTTGGAAGCAAAGTAACATCTTCAAAGTAAGATTGCATTGGCTCATGTGGAATTGGTGTACCAGGGATGGTCCTTCAGAGGGACTCCTTCTGTTGCAATATACGCATTGTTACAGGCCTCATGTAAAGCAAGTACCTCGGATAACTGTGAGCATGCTCGGCAAAGCAATGGAAGGAGAAGACGTTGTCAGGTGGCAACGCCCCGCTGTTTTCGTGTTGCTGTCTCTGGCTTTGAAATGATGGCTCTCGGGCGGTTCTTAAATAAGCACTTCTTGCGCACCACGCCAATGACCTGCCACAAGACACAATTCAGTGTGAGCGTAGAGTAGAAGGAGGTTGAGATACTGTCTTCACAAGAATGGAACAGGCAAGCCACCCTTCCCACCAGCCATAAGATATCTACCTTGTACTCTGTTGCATTGTGCTGGTCACTTGCCTCCCCATCAGCATCCATGGGGTCTGCAGCGTCCAGGCATACAGAATGCTTTTCGAGCACGGCGAAGGGCTTTTTCAGGTCCACCATTTTTCCTTCCAGGAGGTGGTAGCCTATGACCAGCTCCACAGCATCTGGCCTCTGCGATTCCCATGCAAGGTCACAGGGTCAGAAAGTTAAGCAGAGGAGCGTCCTGAGGCGCAAGTATCTTATGAAGAGGGCATCAGGTTGTCTGGAAGGCCTGCACTGCTCACTGCCAAGATTGTATTGTTATTGCAGGTCATCCTTCGGGGCTTTATACCGTGGAGGACAGGGTAAGCTTGCCGATCGGGTACTCCTCGTCTGGGTTGAGGGAGCCTTTGCGCTCAAGCTCACCCTGCATCTCCACCATGCACCATTCTGGAACGCCACTCTCACAAGTGATCGGGATCACAAGCATATCGGTGCACAATCTTACAGGATCTCCGATATGAGAGCCTACATCCTGGCCTCAGTGAGGAATCAGTAATCCAAGTATTCAAGATGGTCAGTGCACGGCCTGGCAATCTGTTGCTTCTGGGCAAGAACGGCTTTGCGCTTTCAAAGAGATCCTGAATGACACCTCAACAGCATCGCTTGGTTGACGATTCCCACAACTAATTTGGAACCAATCTACTTTATACCAGGATGGAAGTGACGTCATCACTGACTAGATGGCCATGTTGATCTTTTCTCGACAGACAGCATTGTCTGGTTTGCGTATGATTGGGAGCATGCCTGTTGATGCGAGGACACTCTTGCACGAATTGACCAAGGAAGCCAGAGGTAGAGACTATTCCCACATGTTGCGATGTCAGCATCGTGTCGAAGATCGATAGTAAGCAAGCCTGAAACGACACATCTCCCAGTCATGTTTGACTAGATTTGCATGATGCCACAGACCTGGACATAGGGAACACGGTTGCGCGGGTCTCGGCTAGCCAATTGACTTCTCTAGTATTCTACAGAGACTTTGTCTCGAGAAATAAGCCAGTTGTCATTACAGGTGCATCCGCATGTTATCTGCGGTTTTCCAAAGCTTTCCTGTAAGTCCTGCCTCAATTAATGATTACCGAGACGCGTAAAGGTAAGAAGGTCTAGGTGGATCACTCCAGGTGCAATAGATCATTGGCCTGCTCTTCAGTCATGGACCATGAATTATATTACGGAGAGAATGGGAGAAGCCAAGGTGAGACTCCATGTTTCATGCATGATATTGTCTGTGGCGTTCCTGCCCCAGTTTCACTGAAGATTTCCTATTACAGATAAGTGTCGCCAGGACACCTCATGGACGTGCTGATAGCGTGGTCAGACTGGATGGAAGCCAGTACTTCGCCCTCCCTGAGGAGGAGCAAATGCCCGTCCAAGAATTCTTCACAAGTCTTTGCAGAGAGAACAGCGGTGAAGTTATCTATGCACAGGCGCAGAACAACAGGTGAACTTCCTCTGCCTTAAATTTCTTAATTTTAGAGGACGAATGTACATGACTTGGTGCTCTGATTGTCTGATATATGGGCAGTGCAGCATTTAAACTCAAAACTTCTTTACTCCTGTCGTGCATGCAGCCTGCCAGAAGAATTTGGGCCACTGCTAAAGGAAGTGGCAGATCTAGAATGGGCAACACTGGCATTCGGCACCAATCCAGAGGCCACAAACCTGTGGATTGGCGGCGATGACAGCATGACATCATTCCACAAGGTCAGCACTCTTGCAGATCTGGGGCCTGATGTGGTACAGCAAAATCATACAACGCCACCCTTCCAATGTGCATGCTCCCATGCAGCGTGGTCAGATCATCCGGTTTGTGGACATTGTGGGCACGCCTCCATTGTGGAAGCAAGTCCAGCAAATGTGCTGTATGTTATGGTGTGGTTTGTACAGTATACTTTTTCTGGTGGGTGCAGGACCATTATGAGAACATGTATGCAGTGGTGAAGGGGCGGAAGGTCTTCACACTGCTGCCGCCCTCAGATGCGTACAGGCTGTACTTCCAGACCTGCACAGTGGCGCAGTACAGGAGAAATGCCACAGGCAAACTGCACTTGGAGCCAGAGGAACCCTCTCGGGTGAGCAAAAGAACCCAAACCTGAACTCGTTCATTTGTGTCTTTAGAGCTCACGAGCTTTACATGAAGGGCAGAAGTGCTCTGGAAGATTTCTGTTCCATTTCCTCCGAAGATAATCTGTGATATTTGCAAACCTGCAGGGACTTCCTTGGGCCACTGTGGATCCGTACCCACCCTCAGACGAGCAAATGGAGGCGTCAAAATTGGCGCATCCTGAGTACTGGGACCCTGACCTGCCCCCACCCCTACAGGTCGTTGTGGGCCCTGGCGAGGTGAAATCCTATTCATTGCATCAAAATCAACTTCTCTTCAATGTTGCTATTATGAATTATCCTGGACTGTATTACTTTCCTCCACGAAAAAATTATGACGGGCTTCGCAGCATGCTGTTGTGCATGAACTGGCATGCATGCTGTAATAGTGCAGACCTAGGTGGCATCCATATGCTTCAGAGATGAATATGTCATTGTGTCTGATGATGCGCTGGCATGCAGGTGCTGTATCTTCCCAGTCTCTGGTTTCACCATGTCAGGCAGGAGGCGCGCGCTGATGTGTGTGTGATAGCTGTCAACTTCTGGTACGAGATGGCATTTGATTGCAAGGCGGCATATGCTAAGCTGGCAGATCAACTGGCTGCAGAGCTTCATTCAAATAGCCATGCCAATTGACTGATGGGTGAAGTCTTCACTCCTGTCAAAGTATTGGCGCCGTGCGCGGTGTGACTTGGAGTACTATGACTTCTTGCTCACGGACCGTCGAGCATTCCTTTGACACAGCATGTTGCCAATAGTCTTATTGGCTGTTGTAGTTCAATGCTATGACCAAGTGGTCTTGCCAAGTTGTTGCAAAACCCTATATATCATTTATACGATCTCCCTTTGTTCTGGGGTTAACCCTACTGACCCAGCGCGTCTTAATGCAAGAGCCTCTGCTTCTGGTCATAAAAGGTATAAGTTAAATTTCCTGAATAATACTTGCGATAGATCGGTGCATCCCTGTCGCTTGGCGTTGAATTTAGACTGGCTTTCCTTCAGACACATTTTGCTCGGATTTGACAAGCCTCACTTCTTAGTGCAAACCTTGGTCACCTTGCAAACCGATCTGCCTGAATGAGAGTGATTAACCTACATTTATTGTGCTCCATCGAGAGTTTGGTCTCATCTGCATGTTGATGACAGAGCTTCACCCGTCAGTTCTGTGAAGCTCACCAAGGGATTTGCTACGCTCGGGGACATAGAAAGCATCAAGCAAGATGGTGCTCAACGAACTTGGTCAGAAGATCAGCCAAGCGCTGTCTATGATACAGAATGCAGAAAGCATCGACGAAAAGGTATGCACGGATAATGCTTTGGCTGCCACATTAGCTTCCTTCATATTGGAAGGCTTGCGTTTCCATCAAAACATGTCCTGAACCAACCATTATACGTTTATCGTACATGCTAGTGCCCGATCTCTACGCAACTTAATATCCAAGCTGGGCTAAAAGTAGTGGGCGCACTGATTGCAAAGGCACCTACACACTTACCAGGAAAATGATTAATGTAGTACTTGTGATTGCTTCTTGGGAAATACTGCAGTATGATGATTTCTGGACACCTGCAAGGCCTCCAGTGCAAGACAACTGCAGGACGCCACCCTCCCTCCAGTGCCTGACAAAGGTGCCTTGCACTGGCAGGTGCTGGATGCATGCCTGAAGGAAATCGTGACAGCGCTGCTGCAAGCTGATGTGAATGTACGGCTCGTGGGGAAGCTACGAGACAATGTGAAGACGCGCGCGAACAATGCTGACAAGGGCGCTGGGCTGAACAAGCGCAAGATCATCGAGAAGGCGGTGGTGGATGAGCTCTCCAGCATGCTCAGCAGCGGCGTGGATGAGAAGAAGCTGGTGGACCTGAAAAAGGGCCAGCCCAATGTCATCATGTTTGTGGGCCTCCAGGTGGACACTGTCTCCTTGGATCATCATCTGTGTGAAGCTTATGTATATGTGTTGTTGTGCACTCAGGAGCTTCATTGCTTCCTTCAGTGAGTGCGAATTTTGTGCACTTCGTGCTTATACATATGTTGCGGAGCGGCACACGAGAGCAGCTTGGCAGCAGTATATAAGCACTGAACTGTGCCTTTTCCAAGCTGGGGCAAATATTGATGCACCCTCCTGAAAAGATAGGGCGTCTGGGGCCATCAGCAATTAGGAAAACTGGGATGGAAATTTGCAGCATAGCTGCAGGGGTATTGAGCTTGCTGCTTTTGAGTGCAGGGTGCTGGTAAGACGACAACGTGTACAAAGTACGGCGCGTATTACAAGAAGAAGGGGTTCAAGCCTGCGCTAGTCTGTGCAGATACCTTCAGGGCAGGCAAGCGCCTTCCTCCACATTCTCCGCAAACCATGGTCTTTCACGACATTCTGCCTGCCCTTTTGCATTGGGGAGTAGCGGTAAAGATACAAACAGTGAGGATGCCACCTCCATACGTACCTTCTGTTAAAAGCAGTGCTGGAGCAGTCGATGTGGATGGCACCTGCATATGTGTCTTTGGTTGCAAGCAATGCAGAAGCTATCAGCGAGGATGCAGGCAGCTGCACATTCTTTTGCTGTGTGCGTGGTGACACCTTTGCTGCCACATGTGTACAGGTGCCTTCGACCAGCTCAAACAGAACGCCACAAAGATGCAGATCCCGTTCTATGGGTCCTACACAGAGACGGACCCTGCAGTGATCGCTGCCAAGGGAGTGGAGGAGTTCAAAAAGGCCAACCACGACCTCATCATCGTGGATACGTCTGGGCGGCACAAGCAGGAGGACTCGCTGTTTGAGGAAATGCGGCAGGTGTGCTGCTGATCTCGTGGTATTGCCTCAAATTCAGGCAAACTTCCTTATGAACACACAGAGCAGCCAATTGTACATTACAAGTGCGCAATCCCTGTTCTTCCATGGATCTGGTCTCTCTACTGTTTGTAAGAGGCATGCGTTGATCGAAACTTTGGCTATCCATGCGACAGGTGTCAGTGATGACAAAGCCTGACCTCATCATCTTTGTCATGGACGGCAGCATTGGGCAGGCTGCGGAGGACCAGGCCAAGGCCTTCAAGGACACTGTGGAGGTGCGTATGCCTTAATTTTTCCAGCCTACCGACACCACAGAAGGATTGCTGCCCAGTTGGGCCCTCAAACTGCCTTGAAAGGAGGGCGTCTGTCAGACCAAGCCCATGCAAGCTAGGCACATATTTCTGCGAGAACATTTGCCCAGAATGTGAACGGTGGAGAAATATCGACAAATGTACAACAGCTCAGCAATAATGCAGTACTGTGCTCAGTGTACTGAGACACGTGCAGATAATCAGCAGGTGCAGGACCTGACATGGGAAGTATTGGTGCGCGCAGGTGGGAGCTGTGATCCTGACAAAGATGGATGGGCATGCCAAGGGAGGTGGGGCGCTATCGGCGGTGGCGGCCACCAAGTCGCCCATTGTGTTCATCGGAACGGGAGAGCACATGGATGAGTTCGAGCGCTTTGAGCCCAATGCCTTTGTCGGACGGCTGCTTGGCCGAGGCGACTGGCGCGGCTTCGTCGACAAGATCTCGGTGGATCAGCGCACCCTTGCTGCCACAAGCTCTTGATATTGTTCAAGTCCACAATTCCTTCACCTGCATAAGACATGGAGAGAACAAGATCTATTTGTTTGCTTAGGCAGTTTTGGCATACTTGTATATCAAGAAATGCAGTCTGGCAGCTGTGCATGGATGCATGCAGTAGATGCTAGTCATGTTACTTCTTGTTGTGGCATGCATGCATATTACTTTAATTTGCGTGACGCATATCTGACCTGCACGATCTGGCACATGAGTTGTGCTGGATGACTCGCATGATGTGGCGCATGAGTCATGCATGACTCGCGTGGTGCGGCGCAGGAGGCGGTGCCGGAGGACGCGATGAAGGAGGAGTTGATGGACAGCCTGAGCAAGGGCAACTTCACAATGCGCATCCTGTACGAGCAGCTGGCAAACATCCAGAAGATGGGCCCTGTTGGCCAGGTCATGGGCATGATCCCCGGCCTCTCCAACTCCGGCCTCTTCACCAAGGCGCGCCTCTCTCGGCCCTGCCTTGCAGAGCACTCTCCATGTCCACAGTAGAGCTTGAATGACGTTATATTCCAAGAGTGTGTAGGAGCCTTTTGGTAGGCTTGCAGCATTGTTTGCAGAGGTGGTCCAGACACACGCAGGTTTTGTCGCTTGTTTGCGCGCACAGCTGCGGATGCTGGTTGTCAAGGCTGCAGCAGCTGTGCGGTCCACAGCCTGCACTACCTACTTGTGGAGGTTGGGCATACTGCAGCACTTCCCAGAATGGGGAGATTGGTGTCTGTAGGCTCTCAGTGTGTGTGAGGAGATCGAGTTGAAGACTGGTCATAGCAGGGCAAGGAGAAGGACTTGACTCCATGAATGCCTGATTATGCGAGGATTATTTAGTGGGAGGCTGGTGTTGGATCAGGGCAAGGAGAAGGAGAGTGCGGCGCGCATAAAGATGTTCATGACGATAATGGACAGCATGACGGACAAGGAGCTGGATTGCCCCAACCCCAAGGTGCTGCAGGAGCAATCGCGAGTCATGCGCGTCGCCCGCGGCGCCGGCTGCAACCCCTACTGCGTCCTCGAGCTGCTTGGTACGCGGCCCCTGTGCCCAACAAAATACCCGCGCCCCTCTGTCTTTGCTTTGACCAATGTTCACACAGAGGAGCTCTTTTCATGTTCTGGTGCAAGGTCCCTTCCGTTCATCTTTGGTTGTAAGTGAAAGTCACACAAGGAAGCAACGTAGGCGGTTAAGGCTGCCTGAATTCACAGAGGTGTATTGCTGGCCGTGCAGTGCCAGCGTATGGATGGCTGATGATGCATCTGACACAGAAATCTTGTGTGCGGAGTGGCCGAGCAAGAGCTGCAATATTGAATGTACAGAGCGGATGGCTGTGCAGAGGAGTACAAGCGGATACGGGCACTCATAATGGGTCCCGGCGGCAAGGGCAAGGGCTTCATGCAGCAGATGAGCAAGCAGATGGGGAACAGCCGCGGCGCCATGAACCCCCACAACATGCAGATGAACATCCAGCAGATGTCGCGCATGCTGCCACCCCAGGCATGCTCCCACCTGCCACATCATCACATCTGTGTGTAAGTTGCTTTTACATTGCAGGGTCAGGGCTGTAAACTGAGTCTGCGGGTCAGATGAATCAGGCAGCACTCATTGATATTATGTCTGGTGTGTGCCAGGTGCTGAAGCAGATGGGAGGTGCTGGAGCGCTGCAGGGGCTGCTCAAGCAGATGGAGGGCATGAAGTGATTTGTTGGGAAGAGTTGGCGTTGTGTATGTACACAGTAGAACAAAACTGTAGCGAGCTGCTCTCAGAAGGATAAGCTGGACCAAGTTCTTACAACACTCTGCGTTGGTGCCAAGCCCAATAACATCTGTATGAATGCAACGCCATGTGCCTTTGGGTCGCAAGTGCTGTGGCTCAAGCGCATGTGGGATGTAAGGAAATGAATGTCTCAAGAAGTTACCAATGTACAGAATTAAGTCATTCATATGTGAATGCCTTCTTTAGGTCAGGCCCTCACATCTAATGCTGCAGATCCTGATGTCCACAGCGCACAGATCAATGAGCTCCTGGTGCCCCGTTGAAGCGACTGGCAGCTCCCTCACTGGACGACCGACGGTGCCTAATACGGACACGCTCACAGTAGCGCTCAGCCAGCCACTCGCAGCTTCTGTGAACACCTCTGGTGCCCTGCTGCCCCACTAGGATCCCTCCATCGTATCTTAATCCCCCAAAAATTCCCCTTCAATCCACCAGCCGACTAGTAAGCATCCTCTCACGGCGACGCAGGCTGGCTGACCAGCTGCAAAGTCTGCAGCTCGCGCATCAGGCGGCGCTCCGCCACAAGCCCAAACGCCGGGGGTTCCTCCGGCAGGCTCCAAGCCACCGCCACCGGGCGGCCCGCGCGCTTGGCCAGCCGCTGCGCCAGGCTGGCGCTGCTTCCTTCGTTCGCTCCCCTGACCAGCGTCGCCACTGGCGGCATTCCCCTTGCCGCGCCTGATCAGGCCATAGCTCATGTTCAGTCGCATTGAAAGGGGTTTAGAACATGATCTTCGTTCCCCACCCCTTTTCCTTAAAATGCCTTGGTCGACTTTGAAGGTAGCCGTAGAGATGTCTCAAACGGAGACATTGGAGGCGGTGCGCCCACTTCTGTGGCATACTGGGAATCCTAGAGGTGTGAACGTCCTGCAAAGTCAGATGATATGACAATGGGCAGCGAGAGAGTACCTATTGGAGAGGCAAAGCAGAGGCTGCCCATTTGGGCAGCACTGGTGCCCACCCAGATGTACAGCTGGCGGCCCAGGTCCATCACCTGGAAGTGCACTGTGCTGTCCAGGAGCTCCTCACTGAAGCAGTGCTGCATCAACGCGGCTGCAGCTGCTCCTGCTTGGGGCGGTGGCGGCTCTGAGTCATGACTATATGTTGATGGTTTGGAGGCGTGCTCTGATGCAGTGCCGTTCATGGCGCTGTGCTGCACTGTGCGATTTTCTTCTTCCATTGTCGACTGTCCTGGTTTGGTCCTGTTCAATATCTCAGCTGTTTTTTATTCTGCTGTTTCTTTCTTCCTCCCAGTTGCCAAGTACTAGCTATGTGGAGCCTGTGCTGTTGACTAAGAGAATCCTAAAGGTTGTTGACGAATCGCTTGAGCTGCTCGGATTTCACTGGGTCTGTCTCTGCTCTCGCCCGCTCGTACATCACATACTTGATCCGGCACATGGACTTGCGAACCTGCGCATCAAAGCTTGTTGTCCATCTGAAGAGCACGCAGAGCCATATTGTGCAGGAAACAGTGATACAAAGGGACGATGAAGAAAGGTAGTGCTGTACCTTGGTCTGTCTGCGCCCGTTCGGCATCACAAGGCCCTTCGCTTTGTAGTTGTCCTTCTCAGACTTGAGCATGTTGCGCTCCTTCAGGAGCACATACCACAGCTTGTGCAGGTCGTCCCATGACTTCAAGCGCAGGTCTGCTGCCTCCCAGGCTCTTCCTGCACAGTCCCTAAGGAAGGCTTAATTCCGTGCTGCTATCAAGTGGCGACACCTCTGTAGATGCAAGAGGACTCATGATGATGGAGAGTTTGATTAGTTGAAGGGGATGTCCCTCACCAGCTGTGACCTTCTCTCCTTCCTTTACAGGTGTGTCAAAAAAGTCCTCTAGGCCCGCTGCACGAGGGGTGGTGGACAGGGGACGATGCTGCAGGAGAGCGCGTGAAAAGGCTGCCCTTAGCACTCTCGCCAGGGACATTTACTTCACGAGCGGTGGTCTGCGTTGCACAAGAGCCAGATCAAAGTGATCCTATGCCTTTCCATATCAATATGGTTAGCACGTTGTGAGCATTCACTGCTGAATGCACTTAAATACACATGAATTCGGCACTGGCATTACAGATCGCATCATTTCAGTCTAGTCAAGACACACGGAGACCATTGAGTGTGAAAGCTGCACAGAGCAAAAGTTCTTTAAGGAAGATGAGTTAGGTACATGCTGCTTACCACAGTATCATGAAGTGGCCTGAAGTTGTCAGGATAGGAACATCCAGAGGTAAGCATACGAAATTAAGTTCGACGGGTAGGCTGGCTCGGAGGGCTTGCATTTCCCTTAAATAAGAGGTTGATAAGATATTAAATAGGGCAATGAAGGGGTGCCAAATCTGGACTCGGAGCTGATGGAGTTCGTCTTCCCGCTAATGCCATTTGCTGCCAATCCTCTTGGTTGATCATTTAAGTGATGTACTGGGCGTCGATGTAGAACTTTGATCGGTAGATTGTGAAATGTGGGAACGCAGATATTCGTACAGGCAAGATCAACAGTTTGTATTTTTCAAGATGGTGGATGAGAACGAGGGCATGTGTCAGTATGAGCTCGACAGGCTGGCAAGAATTGCTGAGAACAAGAAGAGGATGCAGGTTTGTATCACCCTTTTGGGATCCTGCATGTAAATCGGAGTAATAGAGCATTTTCGAATCCAAAGCATATGTGTCGTACAGAGCTTGTACAATTCGTAAACCATATGCACCTTCAGAATCTCCATGGTCGTGAGACAAATCTTTCCAGTATCAATTGAATTGAAGTGGCAAGATCTTGAATTTCGAGCAGCAACATCATGTGTCTGATGTGAATGCTTGCAGGAAATGGGCATATTTGCCCTTGCAGATTCTTTGATCAAGACTTGCACCGTGGCAAAGAAACCTGCGTGAGTGATTTTCGCTTATATTGTCCCATGGGAACCGTGTGTATGTATATTTGTCCTTTACATCTGCTTAATCCATCCTTCTGACGTCCCGAAACAGCGCCGATGAAAGAACATAATCAAAGAGTAGTCCAAAAAGCTGGGCTATCCACCAGTGTCTGACACCCTCTCTGCTTTGCAGCAAGCCAAGGACCAAGAAGGTGTACGTTGACGCCGGGCCTGTCCGCCAGTCTGACAGGCAAGTAGTGAAGAGGGCACACGCAGATCAGTGCTGCACGTGGTCTTCTTTCACGCTTGACGCTTGAGTGAGCAATCCTAAATGGAGCAATCAAGGAATTTTCATCAAGTGCATGGTGCTGCAATCAGCTCATTCATGCAATGGCTGATTTCAGGCAGCGGAACAAGCCGGCAGTGAACTACAGCGATGACTACCGCTTGGAGCGCATTGAAAGGCAGCCAAAGGCAGGCGGCCGACAGTAAGTTGCCTTCCTTCTCAGCCGCACCACACCGCACCCAACTCACAGGACACCTGATCCTTACACATCAACCTGCAAATGCTCTTTCAATATTGCCGCATGCGCTTATCATTGCACGCTTTTCCTTGCCCAGAGGCAATGCGTCCTGCAGACCAGCTGCAGTCAAAGGCTGAACTTGAAGCCGATTGTCTAGCTGAGCCCATGATCCTGCTCTCCATGTTACAAGATTGAAGCTCCGGTCACTTTCCCGCGACAGGCAGAGGAGGATGCCTGTGGGCGCCAAGCTGCCCAACTTCCCCATCCAGAGCGCTGCCGCCATCAAGCTGGCCACAGAGGCGGCACAGGCCAAATGCGAAGAGCTGAGTGGCAGGGGATTTTACAAGGTGGGGCATTCCCTGCACCCAATAACCCCCCGGCCTCAGTCAAAATCATGTGGGAAGTGAAAAGGTTATGTGCTGTATGATTACAAGTGGGTTTGTGCTCTAAAAATGTATTCTTCATAGCAAACAGATGCGCTCCTCACAAGGCCAAGAATTCTAGAACCTGGTCTTGCTTGATCAGCCTGCCAGAAAATGCACACATGCGCATTACTGACTAATCGTCAGTCACACAGCTCACAGCATGCATGCACCTGTGGTGGCGTACAGGAGATGCAGCCGAGCAATGTGTCCTCGGGCTACTGGCTGCAGCTGCCGGTCGACATGGGCACCACGTACCGCTTCTCCCACACGGCCGACATTGAGCTGGAGTGCCTCGATGAATGGAAGAACACCGAGGGCTGGCAGTACGAGGTGCACTGCCCGCAACACCTGAAAATATCATGACATGTGAAATATCAGCTTCTTGATACCGGTAATGCAAAGCTTTCCCTCTAAAGAGGAGTCTCTTGTTGAGAGCTTGGAGTCAATGGCAATTGGGATAGTAATATGTGAGAGGGCAGCAGTCCCATTGTGGAGGCTGATTGGTGGTTGAAGGGGTGTGAAAAGGGGGTTGGTTTTGCTGCGCGCAGAAGTACCCCGGGAAGAACAAGAACCGCTGGCACGTGCGCTGGCTGGTCCGTGGCGGCAACAGCTGTGGCCTCAGCGGCGGCTGGCGCGGATTCTCCATCGACCAGGTTCGGCACATGTTCTTCTTGGGCTTCTACCGTGATTTGTCACTTGAGCACCGGGGCATTAGCTCCTGCCCATTCGCCCAAACAGCGTGCCAGTAACCTCACCCGGTCATGCATGCGCAGTCTGCCATCACATAAGGTCACGCAGAAGATATTCCAGAGGGAGCCTTACACTTCTGTGTGTGTGGTGGACTTGTTTCAGCAATTGACCTGGAACGACACTGTGGTGTTTGAGATTCCGGCGGATGTGCCAGCTGGAGAGCTGCCCACCTATGTCATCATCCACACCTACAGGTGCCCTCTCCCCTGCATCCCCCCTGCAGCTTCACAGACATTTCATGTGAATGCCATGTGCTTCATGGCCATCCTAGACCTTGTGATCCCGCCATGCTCCTCATGCAGATTTGAACTTCGCTGATGTTGATTTTTGGAGCTTTGCTGCAGGGCGGAGAATTACGAGACTGCTGAGACTGAGGGCCTGGTGGTCCCGGCCAAGGTGACTCACTCATTGATGCCCTCAATACTTGCACCTGCCTTACAGAACATGTGTGATGATGTTTCTTGGAAGGAAAGCACAACAGGGGCATCATGCGAGTCGGATGGTGTGATGGAAACTTTATGAGTCGTGGTGAATTGTGATGTGCAGGAAGTGTTTGAGGCGCTCCTGGCCAAGATGCCCAAGGAGGAGGGCGGGGATGCATCTGATGAGGAGGGCGCAGAGGAAGGAATGCCTGCAGACTCCCCAGACGGCGATCAGGCAGCAGGTGCGAGCATGCTCCCTTGTTTGAAAATGGCGCACATGTTTGTTCCAGTCTGTTGGAGGTTCCGGCACCACATCAGCGCACACATATATCCAGATAGCCAATGCCCATCTGCCAGCAATGACATCAGTTAGCTTCCTCCTCAATGTCGGCTGTCATCAGAACCAGATGCTCTTAGCTGAATCCCGGCGTAACCCTTGTTAGAGGCCCTGCACGCAGGGACGATGCAACAGATGCAGCAGCAACAAGCATCATGCATTCCATGCCCTGCACATAATTGAATCCGGGGAGCTGTTTTGGAAGTGCCACACATTGAGTTAGGGAGGGGTGATCTGCATTGCAGGGGAAGGCAAAGCGGCTGGCAAGGACGCGATGGCTGCGCTGAGGGCGCGCAAGAAGCGCATCGCTGAGGTGGCAGGCTCCCTCAAGACTGCGGCGGCAGAGCACAAGCGCCAGAAGAAGGCTGCAGCAGCACCTACCAAACCTGGTGTGCTGACAAAGATACACCTCTAATGGCAGACTAGGTGAAATTGTTGCATGGAAACCTATGGCACGCGCAGGGTGTTAATCCCAGTGCGTTCACACCTCGCAATTTATTACTGTGCTTTATCAATAGATGCAAGTCAAGCTCAGCACAGTGCTTGAGTGTCCTAACACACAGAGCATGCTGCTGCTGGGTGCCGCATTCAACGTGGCCTACCATGCGGGTGGGGCATTTGCGCGGGCTCAAGTCCAGTGTGCTAAGAGGAGTTTTGCGAGCAGATGCTGCAGCTGACGAGGTGGCTGACAAATACATGGGAGAGGCTGACGGCGCTGACAACGATGACTCCAACAGGTACCTTCTCACTGCTCCTATGCCTCGCAACTTACTGCAGAATTATCCCTGCAATCTCTCATGCAGACCCAATAAAGGCCCCATGCTTAAAGAGTAGTTTTTGAGCCTAAGTAAATGGGTGAGGTGTGCCTATGATTGATCAGTCTTTGAAATGGTTTGGTGTTCACCTGGAGATGATTGCTCACAGAGAGGCGGAGGCTGCTGCTGTGGAGGGTGCTGATGACGGCGCAGCGGCGGCTGCTCCCAAGAGGAAGCGCGGCGCCAAGGCAAGTGACTGTGCTATGCGGCCCTCATGACCGTATGCCCACCATCATGAAGCTCGCACTAGATTTAAACACAAAGATTGCACTTAAGTACTTGAAATTGCATGCATCGTCGATCGAATGCAGGTATTGCGCTAGCTCCTTATGCAAAAATTGCCATAACACAAGGGCAGGACATTGAATATCAGCAACCGAAGTGGAGGTTATTTATCTGGATATGAAGAAGTGCAATGCGCTGCAGAATGCTCAGACAGAGGGCAAGGAGAATGTGCCCAAGAGGCCTGCCCGCAAGGCTGCCCAGGAGGGCAAGGCCAAGGCAGCCAAGGCCGCCGCCGCCCCCAAGAAGGAAAAGGCACCTGCCAAGAAGAAGGAAGCTGAACCAGAGGAAGAAAGCGAGGCTGAGGTGGGTTGCAATGCCATCACTCATTACCGTGAAGAGAATTCCAATGATCATCCAGGCAGGAGCATGAGATGCAAGATGGCGAGAAATGCCGGGGCTTAGCCTCGCAGGAGGCGTATCATTTGTGACGTGCCCATATTTACAAGTTTTAAATGCCTTGCATGACTGATGCGGGCAGAATCAGTTCATCGAATAAGCTCTCGTGGCTGGAAAGAGCTGTAACTGTCTTCTTTTTCTCCCTCATGGCCGCACGAACAGGCTGGCTGCGGTCTATGGGCTTGTATTCCAGTATCTGGAAGTAGGACACAAGACATTATTAGTGTGTACCAGTGGTGCGGTGAGTGGGCATGTGTTCATGTATATGGAAATCAGAGTAAACTAAAGATGGTCCGCATGTCGGCAATTGCTTGATCATATATGACATCATCAATCCGGTAGATTGCCCGCTGTTTTGAGCCAAGCCACTGTTCCTGCAGCTCGGTTTGGATCTGGCCAGGCCATAACAAGTTGGCCCTTGGCTTTCTCTTCTATCTAGATTGGGCGGACTGAAGATATTTTTGGTGTGTACAGGAGGAGGATGAGGCAGTGGAGATCAAGGAAGGGGAGTTTTATGTGCGTCAGGTGATGGCAGCGCGCAAGCTGAGCACATCTAAGCCGGAGTTCCTGATCAGCTGGTATGGCTACAGCGCCGAGCACGACAGCTGGGAGCCCCTGGAGTGCCTCAACGACTGCCCCCTCACATACCAATGGGCCAGCGCGGCAGCCAAGACAGCCGCGCAAAAGTACGCCAGCAAGTGCGTCAGACCCGAGTGAGCGCAGTGCGATGGCCGGCTGGGTTTTACATGCGCGGCTGTGAATTGCATGGGACTGACAGGGCTTCTGGCTAACTGCCTGGAAGAGCCGATCAAGTGGCGGAGTTGGGGGATTGTGCTGGACAGTGTCAGCTTGGCTGATGTCATGTTGGAAATGACTCAATAAGGGGTACCAATGTGACATACAATGCAGGAGTAGTGGATACATGAACAGTACTTGCATCCCGTGTACAACATATTCAAAGGAATAAAGACATGGTGGGTCAACCTGGTCGCTGGGGTTTTCCAATGGGAGCTTACATTATGATGCCTTGCGTGAAAGGCAAACATCAACACTATCATACAGATGGAGTTAGCATTCCAATCAGAAAATGCAAGGCATGGCCGCTGTGCAGACCTTGCTAAAGTAGCAATAGCAGTACCAGCCGACAGATTTGACCGGCAGTGGATGAAAAATGTCATCAATGTGTAAAGGTTCAATTCTGAGATTGACTGATGTCTATGGTGACCAATGAGTGCTGCATCATCTGACAGCCTGACATTACGCGCCTCCTTCTTTCTTTGGAAGAGGCTGATAGCCGCTGTTCTGGAGCAGCAGCAGAGGGAGGAATATGGGCTGTGGGATGTCTCGCCATGGCACCCAAATCCAGTTCTCGCACTTGTCTGGCTCCAACACTTCAGCTTGTGCTGCCTGCGCCGCCACAAACATGTCAATACCCCAACGCACACCTACCATTGTGGCAACCCAGTACCATTCACCTCGGGTCAGAACCGTGCGCAGCATGCTAGCCAGGTTGGGAACACCAGTGCACCCGGGTTCAACAGTGCAGGAGTACTTTGAGGTTGTCCACACTGTGGTACGGTGTCTGGCTATGGCGGGGTCCGCTTGATGACTTACTATATAATTAAAGAAGCTGCTGGCTACACGATTATGGCGATCATGATTTGGAGAGCTCTGCAGTGCAATGGGACGGACCTGTTCAGCATCGCCACGCATGAAGATGGTCACATAGTGAGCATCGTCACCAAACACTGAATTTACAGCAGTCTCGAAGCGCAGATTGCTCAATTGCAGTCCTGTCTCCTCAAGGACCTCCCTTTTTGCACAGTCTTCCCAAGATTCTCCAAACTCCAGATGCCCACCAGGCACAGCAAATTCGCCCCTTCCATGGGCTCCTAGCCTGCTCATAGAAACACGTCTAATTTGATTGTGTCATACTGTTCAGTGATCTACTGTATACAGAAATAGAAAAGTTTGGGTTTGGAGCATCACTGCACCTTTTGCCAACAAGAACATTCTCCCCTCTGAATATCAGAACACCAACACCAACTCGAGGTTCCTTAACCATGAAGACCTTTAACAAGAGAGTGTGATGGTTCTGTCGAGCCACGAATAGGAAAAGAGTGCAAAGCGGCACGCAGAGGCACGTGGGTGTGAAGTGTCACAGCCGTGTCCTGGTCAATTCAGCTGAATGGCTCTACACCCTTCAAAACAAAATCTAAAGGTGTGAAAGCTCCATCAAAGTGAACACGATCTTAGCAGCATCACTATACTCAACCGAAAGGAAACCTCAAGCATCATCTTGTCATATACATTGCGATTTTGCGACAGAAGCCAATCGCAGAAGGATGATTGGAATCCTTCAAGTTAATATGTGTACTAGCGGTCGTAACTCAAAGATTTACTGAGGACGAGGAACTTGCAGTGGACACTTAAAAGTTTCAGAATTTATTTTTTGCTGAAGCAAGCATTCTTTCTTCATTGTATCACGATTGACCATCTGTGGTGATCAAGGATAGCAGTAAATTCAGTGAATGGCATCCATAAAGAGGGCTGTCCAAAGTGCATTCCTTGATGCCGGGCTGACCCTGGAGAAGGAAGCCCTCAACGCCTTCGTGACATTTGTGGAGGACAACAATGGTGGAGAGGACCTCGTTTACCAACTGCTAGATGCATGCACAAAAGGTGTGCTCACTTCTGGCCGTTGCATACGCCTCCTACCTTGCACCAGGGCAACAAAGCATCAGGCAGATTATGATACCCACAGACCTGATCTTCTGTATGCTTTGCACAGCATGCGCGTCGTCCACCAAGCTCACAGCCGCTCAGGCCCAGACAGTGATAGGCAGCCTGTGCGGCAGCGGAGAGAAGACAGATCCTGTGCAGGTCATCAGCGCCTTTGACACACCCAAGCTGCGCTATGACCCCATCCGCAAGGTCTTCTACCAGATCCAGGGCCGGCCCACCCTGCATGGCTCCTCCGAGGTGAGCATCAGCCCATCCAATAGGCTGCATCTCCAATCCCGCAAGCCCATCTGTGTCAGGCAGCCATGCAGCCAGCTGAGCAGAAAAGATATGCTGGCACAGGGATTCACAGTGTCCTTTATCTGTAGCTTGTCTGCAGACGCACCTCCCCACTTGGCAGGAACAGCGTGCAGTAGTAATGAAAAGTAATCTAGTGTCCACAGAGGAGTGCAGAAACTAACAAGATGGAAATTTGAGGCTAGATTGCAGGCAGCGTTCTGAGCGTTGCAGGGTGGCTTTGCAGGAGAAGGTGCAGATGTATCTGGACAGAATGTACCTGCTGCTGCAGCGCCTCAAGCGCAACAGAAATTTCTCGCGGCCGGCCTTTGCCGGCATCAAGGCCGACTCCCGAGACTTTGTGGAGGTGCGCGCAGTATGATCTGCCTTGTGATGCAGCTTTAACAATATCCTTTGAAGTTTGCGATTGTGGTTTCTCTGCTGCTCTGAGCGACGCGCATGGATACATGCAGCCGACAATGCCATCCGCCAAACCATAGCTGACTCTCCATTCGCATTGTGACAACATTATTTGGGAAGCTCTGGGGACGAACAACCGTCAGTCAGCAGATGAAACAGTCACATTTGTTGCCCCCTTTGAGATCGAAGGCTCAGAGCAAGGCTCCAAAGAGCTCCAAAGACTGGTCGGAGTGGGCCACATGATGTGCCAGTCAGAACAGTACTGAGCGAGTGGGTGTGTGGTGTGTGCGCAGCTGACGGAGCTGAAGGCGCTGCTGGGCTGCGTGGGGCAGGTCAAGTTTGTGATGGGCTGCATCTCCCAGCTGACCGACGGCCGCTACTTCCTGGAGGACATGTCCGACTCGCTCCCCATCGACCTCTCCGACGCCCAGACCACCTCCGGCTTCTTCACTGGTGATTTTCAGCCTCCAGTTCCTTTGCCTTTGTTGCACAAGAGCCTGCGGAGTGTTCGTGATGCCGGAAGCCCTGGTGCATGCACGCACTGTCTGCGGGAGGCTGCACGTCCTGGCGCTGAAGGGGCGGTTTGGAGGTTTTCAGCCAGAGGGCCACACCTGGGCTTGGGCAGCGTATGGTGCTTCAGGCTGCACATCTGTCTGCACTGTTGGAGATCTTGGCTGGATTTGACAGGGGTTTAGCCCAGGGTTGTCAGAAGTCATGACGTCATGTAATCGGTGACTTGCTTGCGTGCTGCAGAGAACTGCATCGTTGTGGCGGAGGGCGTCCTGCAGCACAGCGGCGTCTTCAAAGTGCGCGCGCTCGGCTTTCCTCCAGTCGAGCTCCGCAGCGAGTCCCGCCTCGCCGCCAAGGTGCGGCGCAACCTTATTGAGATCATTGCGTGTTTCAACATGCGGCTGTGCGAAGTCTCTCGTCCTGGGAGTGATTCTCGCCATAAGCTGCTCTGCTGGCAGGTTGAGAACTGTAGGCATCCTGCACCGCCAGCTGGTCAAGTTTGGCACCTGTGAGCCCAAAAGTAAGGGGCTGCATGGAACCCGCCTTTCCATCACAATGGACACCCACAATCTCTGATCATTGAACAACTTCAAGCGCAATTGCGAAAGCACCCTCGTCTACCAGTGCCGTGCAGCAACCAAGCCTAGTGATGCTTGGAGAACCCCCCTTTGCAAGTCTGGAAACCACAGCGCACATTTGACTTCACAAAATTAGAAACATGCACTCAATCCCCCACCCGGCCTCCGCTGTTGCAGAACTTGGACTTTTTTGGCGGGAGCACTCCGAGTGAGGATGAGCAGCTGGCGGCGGCTGCAGCACTGGCAGAAGACGAGGCGGACCGCATAGTGGTGCTGTCAGACCTCTGGCTTGACAAGCCCGCCACCCTTGATAGGCTGCGCGTCGTGCTAGAAGGTGCATCCCTCTCCTTGGAGGAATCTTTTAAAACATACTCATGTATGTGTCTGAGGATGTCGCCAGAAGGTGCATCCCTCTCCTTGGGGAAAATTTCCCATCAAACATTTGAATCATATGTCTGGGAATATTGCCAGGCTCTGTGCCATTGCAGTGGGCGGTGTCAAGTCCATCGAGAATTCTGTGTCAAGCACCGTGCAATGGTCACTCGGGTCAGTATGTAGGTCATAGAGAATGTGTGGTGGCTCTTATCCTCTTGCTCCATGACCTTACCCCTGCAGAGCGGCATGCGTCTGTTTGCATGAACAGCGGGCAAGAAACTGTTCAATTGAGTATTAGTTGCCGCCACTTAGCAGACCTCGCAGATGCCGTTACCCCGACGCATTGACTGACAGATTCTGTGATCCTTCATTGGTTATCCAGCAGCACAGACTGCTGCTGCGCGCAGGCTTTGAGGGGTTGGAGCGCGTGCCGTCCATGTTTGTGCTGCTGGGCAACTTCCAGTCCTTCTCATGCAACGCCGCCTCCACCGATTACGCCGCGCTGAAGGACAACTTTGGCGCCCTCGCAGGAACACTGGCCTCCTTCCCACGCATCAGGGTGCGCTTTCAATTCCCGATCAAATATGGATGAGCGACGTGGTTCTGTCCGATGCTGGTCTGGACAGCTGAGCCCGGACAGGAGCATATTGTGGCAATGTATGTGCCTGTTTGCTATCTCCTGCTGTCATCTTGGCACTGTACACTGATCATGTCCCAAGACTGCCGCATTTGCCACATGCAAGCCCATCCATCATTGCACTCTGCAGACACTATCCACAGGCTCCGCAAAAACATGCGCAACACATCCTGGGCTACAGTCAACAGTCATGAAGCTGCAGGGACACTCTGTGGCTGGTTGAGTATCTCTGGTGCATGATCATGCAGGCGGAGAGCCGGCTGGTGTTTGTGCCGGGGCTGGGAGACGCGGGTCCGGGGGCGATCCTGCCGCGGCCGCCGCTTCCGGAGAGCCTCATCGGCGCTCTGCGGGAGCAGCTGCCCACCGCACTGTTCACCTCAAACCCCTGCCGCATCCGTCACTTCAACCAGGCATGCCCAAATAACCCCTTGCTGTCTTTGCTGTGCCATTCTACCACTACGAATTTGAGCACCGTGAGGTCCTTGATGCGCGCTCAAACAAGCTCTCGCCGTCCCTGCTGCCCCCTCTTATGGCATGTTGCTGGTTCCCCCGATGCCGAGCCAGGCTTGTCTTTTGCACCCCTGTTTATGACATTTGAATTGACATGACATTTGATGACATGCTGCAGATAGAGGGCACATCTGGATGCCAGGGTCCAGAGGTATCGAGTATGAAGTCAACATCGAAAGCCCCTTCATGCACGCATTAATTTGGATATGCCCGTCTTTGATCCTATGCGTATACTGTATAGGGATTTCCTCAGGAAACTGAGCCTTGGGGGGACCTGCATCAGAGGGGGGTCTGGGCAGGGTCAGATCAATCACAAATTGGGGGATGACTGATTTTGAGTTGTGGTTGTTGCACAGGAGATTGTGGTGTTCCGGGACAATCTTCAGAATCGCATGCGCAAGCTCTGTCTTCTCGCGCCCAACGGTGAGAGCTCCCCTTTGATCCCCTCCTCACCAGACTTACCCCTCTCTTTTACTATCGCGCAGAAGTGATGCCACTATGCATGATGCGTCCAGACCTGATCGCCCCGGAATTTGCATTGACGCCGCAAACAGCACCGCCAGAAGCAATTCTGCCATGGTGTTTGCCTGCTGGAAGGTGTTCTCTCGGCAATGCCATTTGTTTGACTCTCATGAGCTGGCTGCAACAACCCCCATCGTGCATGCAGCAGTTAAATCCGGCACGCCAACCATTTCAAATCATGCACTTATCGTTTTACACAGATCATGTGCGGAACGCAGATGAGGGCACTGGCGCGGAGGCTTCGTCGGATGCTGCGTTCGAGCATCTGTGCGCGACGCTGCTGCAGCAGAGCCACCTGTGCCCTGTCCCGCTGGAAGCCCAACCTGTCTACTGGAGGTGTGCTTGCTTCTTCTTCTATCTTCTATCCTCTGTCATACTCGCATTCAAGAGGTTCTTGATGTAAGCGCTGCAGCAGTAACATGATAGCAGTAATATTAAGATGGGCAGTGGAAGACTGCTCACAAGGCCAATGAGCCTCAGGTGGCTCCCAACAGGTCTGTAAAATGCACAAAATCATAGATAACCTTTGAGGCCGCTAGGCGCCCTTAAAGCTCCCTGGCAGTATCCTGCATCTCAGAGCTGCAGGTTTCTATTCAGTCAGGAATGTGGGTTGCCTGAAGTCACGAGAAGCCTTTCTCTGAACATATGTCCACCTATGTCCACCCAGTGGTCATGGTCTGCTTGAGAACCTTTCTCTTCAAACTGAGAGTTGTGGCCTGACATGCATGTGCATGCCTGCAGCTACGACCATGCGCTGTCGCTTTATCCCCTGCCGGACGCCCTCATTCTGGCCGACCCGGCCCCGTGCGCGTCGTTTGCATTCCCTCCGCTGCCGCCAGATCAGCGCGGCGCCGCATGCGTCTGCCTCAATCCGGTGGGCGCCTGATCTGGCCACTTCATACCATTTGTTTGGCATCAAATTATGGATAGATCTCGGAAACTCGAAACTTGTACCAGTGCATGTGCATGCTTTGAGACAGTTGGTGACATCTTTGTCCAGTCAAATTGACAAGTGTGGGATTGGTCATGTGCTGGAATGGCAGTTCTGATGCTGGGCCGGCCAAATGCTGGTTTGAGTCCAGAATGTGTACAGAATCATTACATGTTGCTCCTGCAGAGAGTGATACGAATCAATGGATGGACTCTAGATGTAATTTGGCTGGTTAAGGGATGTTGGTGCAGGAAGTTCAGTCACCCCAGTAAGGCTAAAATTTGTGCCGTGTGTTTGCAGGGGTCGTTTGCAAACGGGACATTTGCTGCGTACTGCCCTGCCACACGAGAGGTCGAGCTGTGTGATGTTCCTGAGGAGGAGGATTGAATTGATGATGATGATAGACAGTCAATGGCTGCGGGGACACTTTTGTAAATTGGTCTGCTTCACAACTCATGTTCACAGTTCTGCATCCCGTGGTCTCACCCAACAATTCTTAAGCCGGCACCCTGGTTTGCAGTACTGACGAACAACTCATGTCACCCTAAGGATCTGGCATAATGAGGCTACCTGCAACCCCGTGCATAAGCTATTCATGCAAGGTCCCACTAGTGCAAGAGACGACGCCAAAAAACACTGTCTTCAAAAACACCCCAAGCTAACAAAGGCATGAGTTATAACATCACATTGAAAGCACACACCCTCGTGACATGTGTACCGCTAGCGCTATGATATGCTTGTCCCAGAATGACACGCATGCTTCCTGAGTCAGGCCCGTAGTTGTTCCCCTTCTCAAACACCTTCAGCTCAGTAGTTTCTCAATGAAATCACCTCCGCCCCTAGCCAAAACATGCGAGACATTATCAACCCAATAAGTTCATCTGTTCGTCGGGAAGTGCCGCTGCAGCATTTTTGCGCTAGCTCCTCCTGATGGCAGGTTTGCGCATATTGAGAGACACAGCGCAGAGCGCGCTGCACTGTTCTCCTCAGTTTCCTCCATCAACCCCCCAGACTGGAGTCGTGGAGCCTGCAGCATGTCCACGCCAAGATGTTCATCTTTTCCCAGCAGCTTGTGCACATTGATACACAAAGCAGAGCGCGTTGCACTGTCGTCCTGAAGTTCCTCCATCAACCCCCCGGAGGTTGATGAATGTTCAGTGGAGAATGAGTTCAAGAAGTTCGTTCCATGAAGCTCCAAATTATATTTCGGCGTCGGCTTCGCGGCTGGCGCGCCGCTGCCCCGGGGTCATGAAGGCAGCACGCTCCTCGGCCAGAGGTTCCTCGTCCGCGCCAGATTTGGCGGCGGCCTTTCTCTCCGCGTCTGCTTTTCCCCTGCCGCTGCCGGTCACCCCGCCGGACCCCTTGCGGCCGCCACTGCCGAAAAACAAGCGCCAGATGCCCCGGAAGATGCGCACTATCAGCGGCGCCTCCATGTCAGCCACCCGGCCCTGCGATTTGAACATTCTCTTCAAAAATTTCTGGAATTCTGGTAAAATAATGCCAGAGTTTCTGCAGACAGCACATCCGTGGCAGTATTGTCCATGATCTGCTCATGACATGAAGCGTTACCAGGTGGCTAGGGGCCTAGAATGCACAGGTGTGGAAGGGCACTGTTCTGTTTGTGTGGCAAGATAAATAGAGGAGTAACCTGCAGCGCCTGCAGCTGGTCATTCTGCTGCTCCAGCTGGCGGCTCTGCTCCTCCACGCGCGCTGCCAGCTCATCCAGTGCCTCCCTTGTGGCCCTGTAAGAACAAATCAGAAACTTACGTCCCAAGTTTTCCCGCCACAGCGCTGGCGGCCATCCATGCAACAGTGTTCCACTTGGGAAAGGAACCAAATGTGGATCTACTGAATAATTCTCATCAAGGCAGCAGAACCCCGCGCATTGCCTCAGCCCAGGAATGTACATGGTAGAACAGGGCTGGTGTCGCGCAAAAAATGCCACACTGCAATCTGGAAACCGCAGGAGAAGCAAGTTGTGCTGCTTGCAGTCTCAGCCAGATCTGTGCTGTAGGGCACACCTCTGGCCGCAGGAGCGCTGGGTCTTCTCCTGCTCGGCCCTCTTGCTAACGTCCAGCAGCTCGCGCAGCAGCATTGTGCTCAGCTTGTCCACCTGGCACCCACCACACCCCCGTCAGCATCCACCAGATTGATGCACCACCTCAGCTTACTCCCAGCAGGCATTCCATCATCTGCTTCTCCCCGCACATGCCCGACAATTGGCTGACTGCCCCTTGACTCTGCATGGGGAAGCCTTCAGACTATGCGCAGCTGGCTCTGCGATTTTATCAAGTGTGGCCAAGGTGTTCACAAGCAACACTGCACAGATGCCATTTTGCCCGTGCAGGGGTGACAATTGTCTCTGCAAGACAACAATGCTGGACTTATGCAATCTCGATTGGCTGGTCTCTCTGCAAGCTCCACATTTTTGTACGTGGGACCTCACAGAAAGCCGGGCATCATCTTTGCAGCCCTGCTATGAATGGCATGTGCCAGGCTGCCCCACTCAGACGTGAAGCCGGTGGCTTGGGGTCCAGTGGACTACAATTGAGGCCGTTAGAGGGGCGTGCCTGGTCCTGCATGAGGATGAGGTGTTGCTGCTCGCGGTTGACTTCTGTCGCCAGCTCATCGGTCACATGCTGCAGGATCTTCTGCAGCTCCCCTGCCAGCGATGCCATGTGCCCCCGCACACACTCCTCCACCTGTAGATTAGTCACATGCTTGATTACATTCCACCCTACACCTCTGATCACCTGCGCCTGCATCGAGCCTGTGCGCATGACAGGCTGGCTCCTTCCACCACTGTAATGTGGGCCGCCTCGCACGCTGCCTATTTTAATGCTTGCACCTCGCGTCTGCACAGGACTGAGTGGTCTGCTTGGCGCCTGCGTTGAGCCTCTTTGCATGAAGGGCTGTGTCCCCTCTTTCCATTTTGATCCCCAGATGAAAGCAATTTTTGTATTTCTGAGGTCTGGTCAGTCATGATGTGCATAATCTCCTCTTGCGGGGATGGACCCTGCAAGGTAGCCTAATAGCCCTGCAGGCACAGTTGACAGAAGCGTACCTGCAAGAAGAGGACTATTTTGGCTGAAATCACAGGTGCAAGACTCCCTAGAAAGAGAAGAAGACCAAATGGTGCTATGAGACAAACGGAGGGTCTGAAAGCAAGCCTCAACGCTGGATGTGACCTGAGATGGCTCATGGTAGGCGGCGATGCTGCCAGAAGGAGAGGTCACAGAAGTGGGCGAGGGTTCCAGGCAGGCGCTGCTGAGGAGTGCGTCCTGTTTCTTGAGCAGCAGCTGCGGGATTCACCAATACATGACATTCAGTGCTGAGCTGCTTCTCCAGGGCAGCACACATGTTGCTCAATGCATGTGGGGGTCTTCTGTCCCGAAATGAGGTGTTATGCAACAAAATTGCCAGTATGCACCTTCATCACATCAATTTCAGATGACATGCAAGCCCGATACACTCCCAATGAAAGCGAAACATTTCTACTAGGGTTTACAGTCGTTTCATCTTGATATCTACACTTGGCTACTTAGTGTTGTCTTCCGAGCAGCTCTCTGTTGCATTGAAAATCGAGACCAGAAGAAATTTACTTGTCTCAATTGCCTGCGTAAATCACTACCATGCATTGCTGTGCAGACTTGAAGGAGACCTAGATCGTACTATCCAGCTGTAGCTGGCAAAGTGAAAAGGAGCTACGCTCCAGGAGCAAGCCTTAAATCTGAGATATTTATGTTGGGCACTATGGGATGAGTCCCCTTCCAAATATATCCTATGCGAAGCTCTCACGGCCGCAAATGATCTGCATCCCGCCAACGGCCAGTTGGGGAACTCACCCTCGCAAACCTGTCAGCGGGCCATGTCCCGGGAAGCAGTCCGCCACCCTCAAAGTTGATGCTGTCTGTCAGCTTGACTTCCTGCAACTCTTCCTGAGACGCCATCATATCTGAAGGAGTGCACCGTTGCTTCCCCGAGGACCTCTTTTTGTACAGTCTGCGTCGTGCTAGCTTCCTTCTGCTGTGCGAATGAGTACTCCGAGTATTCAGAACAGTGCACTATCCATGGGATTGTGGGCTGGCAAGATTCATACGAAGTCAGGTGTTAACAACGAGCAGGTGGTAGGACATTAGTAACCTTCCAGGTCAGAGACCACTTTGCAATTCTTATATGTCACTAGCACAGCATGTACACCGCGAGGCAGCCTTGTATGTTCTTGCATTTCTCCTCGTTTAAATCTTATAGACAACTCTGGATCCTGCTCCCTAAAATTTGCACTCCGTGCCTTTCTGCCGAGCACCTGCCATACTCAGCCAGCTGACAGTCAGAGAAATAAACTTAGATGAATCAATTGCGGGCCTGCAGCGATGCGGCAGACAGCCGGAGTCCCCAGGCTGCGTTGGGTTTTGCTCATTAGGTGGTCACACACCGTGTCTTAATGCTGCTCATGATCATCCATTAGACACCTCTGCAGCCTGTTGATTGTTGCACCACAGCACAAATAAGCACCCATGATTTGAGGCACCCAGTCCTTATTGTTACACTTGCTGTGCGCAAATACCAAAAGCTCTAAGCATCGGGCGGCAGTATTGGTTCATCAGAGCTGATGATACAGGGCGTTTCTACAATCAACACGAATACCATTCCATGCAAAGACTCATATGGGGCCTCTCCTGCACTTGTTGCAGCCCTGCAAAGAGGGCAAATGTGGGAAAAAATATGGAATTCTACTTGCCTGCCAGCCTACAAAGCACCATGCCTGCCACCGTCTGCCTCAACCAATACACAGTGCAACACAATGGACAAATCTCTACACCCACAGAGGACTGTTCACGCCAGAGCAAGGACGGCCACTCTGCTCAGCAGCGGCTGCAAAGTCACAGCGTGCAAAGCGTGCCACTTCAGCTCACTCAACATGTACAGATCAGCGGGCACCTCAGGGCGGCTCACACTGGGGACTGGCTCTACTCACTGCATTCACAAAATTTATAATTGTTGGGAAGCAACCCTCCTCTACATTTGCGATGACACTCTTGCCTAGGTCGGCCGCTGCAGCCACTTTCATTCATCGGGTAAAATCTGGGGCTGACTCACGATATGACACAGGACTCCTTTGTAAATCCACAGCAATCAATGCGATCCAAAAGGAGCCAGCCAGCGGGTGTGGCAGCCTCACCGCTCCTACTTCAAAGTCAAAATGCCATGTCTGGGGTCCGTGTGTGTTTGTTGCTTGTTGGTGCAAAGGCATGCAGGTCAGGCACAACGCTACCGCTATCAAACACTGACAAGTGGAGAAACACTGTACACCTCATATTCAAGGCAGACCCGCTATGCATGCGCGGACGGCTCTGCTTGTCTTGTTTCTTGGCTCTCTCCCTGACAGCCCCTTCATCTTGCAACGCTAATAAAACACACTCGCACAGCACCTTGCAAGTATTGCGGCCCGGCATCATCAACATATTTGGGTAAAGTGCCCGTTTTCATGGCTCGCTGCGCCTAAAACAGCGGCCACTTGCTAGGAAAGAAGCCAGCATGCAATTGTGCAACCCTCTGCTAAATTGCCTCCTGCCATTAAATGTGCGTTCAAAGCACGCATATCATGCTACTCAGAAGAAGGTCATGTGGCACACAGCGAGAGACATCAAAGACTTGGTTACTTGAAATGCACGTCGGTAGGCCAAGACTTGGCGAGGACCCTGGATACTGGTGTGGCGTCTATAGCTACAGCGGGTGGGGTCAGTCTAGTCCAGTCAGTGCAGCCCGACCTGTCAGGATTTCAATGGTGGCCTACGCTAAGCAATCACAGTGCGCGCGCGCATGAAACTGCCGGCTGCTTCGCTGGTGCTGCGTTGCAGGGGCTGGGTGCCTCAGACGCTGGACATGCTCCACTGGTGCTCCGGAGGGGCCATGGATGTCTCCTTGTGGGGTGTGAAGCTTCCACTGAAGGCGCCACTCAGGTCCCTGCTGAGCACGCTGACCGCGGACGTCCCCAGCCCGGCTCCGTCGTCCCTGTAGCCTTGGTTGAAGACCTGGCTGTTGGCGAAGGCCGAGCCGTGCCCCGGGCTCTGCTGCAGGTGCCCGGGGCTCTGCAGATGCTGCGGGCTCTGCAGATGCCGCGGCTGCTGCTCCGCCATGCTTGGCGCCAGCGAGAAGGCCCCCTGGAAGGCCTCTTCCAAGCTGTTCTGCCGCAGGCTGGCCGAGGTCGGGCTGACGGCCGGCGCGCTGCTCCGCTGCTGGCCTCCTCCCAGAGGGAAGCCATTGCCCAGGCTCATCCTGCCCATCTGGGCTGACAGCGCTGAGTAGCCCAGATTCTGCTGCTGCGCCTGGTTACCCATCATCAGGTTGTGCTGCCCCAGTCCCAAGCCTTGGTGGCCCAGGCTGCCGCCGTTCCCCATGCCCTGTGCTGCCAGCCCCTGAGAGATGCTCTGGGCCAAATTGGCCAGGCCCGCTGTGTTGTTCGCCAGCATCTGTGTCAGGATATCGCTGCTGGCTCTTGTGAAGTCCTGTCCCCCCACGCCGCCGTTGAGGCCGCCCAGACCCAGCCCCACGTAGCCGCGCCCTGACAGCCCAGTGGGGGAGAATCCTGCTCCAGGAAAGCTGAACCCCATTGGCCGCGGATTTCCCACGCTGCGTGACACAGAGGCGAGGTAGGATCCTCGGCCCCCAACCGCCCCTCGCGTCTGCGGGCCCATCTGGTCGCGGGGCACCGCTCGCTTGATCTCGATGGGCTTGTCATGCAGCGTCTGCATCGTGCCTCCAGAAAAGACTCCATCCACAGCCTCCTCTGTGCTGAACGTGATGAAGCCAAACCCACGAGGTCGCTTGTTGTCATGGTCGTACATCACCACCGCATCCTCGACCTGTACCAACGAGAAACGCCATCGCTGAGCGGGCCTCCAAGAGGGAACATCTGATGGACTGGGGTTTGCAGCAAATTGGACGGGCAGGCTCCCAACGCTGCTTCACTAGCAAGATGAAATTCCTGTAAAGGTCTCTGCAGCTCCAGGGTGGCGCCCCACCTCCCCAAAACGCTCAAAGTAGCCCTTGAGCACATTCTCATCCACGCTGGGTGCCAGGCCGCCTACAAATATCTTCTTCGTGCGTTGGGGGTTGCTGCTGTCCAACACCCTGCCCGACGGGTGCTCCTCTTTAGGAACGGCCTTCTTAGCCTCGACCTGCGCCCGGACATCCGAAAGTTTGGAACTTAACATCTTCCCCAGCCTGCCCTCATCTCCCCAAGAACCGAAGCCAGGCTGCCTCCGGCGACTTTTAGGGGTACCACTGGCCCGCAGGGCATGCAGTAGCACCAGGCAGGACCAAGAACAGCGGCCTGCTGCCGGAACTCGCAACATCCGCACGAGGCCGCACTCGTCTCGCAGCCGTGGTAGGGTTTCTCCTCACCTCTCTCCGGTCTATGGTGTGCTGGAGCGAGACCACTTTGTCTGCCACCGCTGGATCCTCGAAGACGACGAATCCAAAGCCCCTGGGACGCCCCGTGTGGCGATCGTAGCTGACAAACGCCTCCAGTACAGTGCCAAAGTTCTCAAAGAAGGCCCTGCCCAAAACCGGATGTCAGGCACGATTGGCACGCCTTTCGTTGTTCTGATCACGCAACGCCTTTCACCATGCAACAAAGGACCCATCGCAGACCCCAGCAGGCCGCAAAGCAGGCGACAAGAGTGACACATCCGCTCCCCTACCTCAGCTTTTCGTCACTTGTCTCCCAGCTGAGCCCCCCAACAAACACCTTCGCCTCTTGTTTTGACTGCATCACACCACTCGCCGGGCACAGCACCAGGCCATGAACGCTCCCTACTGGCACCTCCGACCCATGTGCGACGAGAATCGGCCCTCCCATGAACGGCGTTTCGAAGGTTGGTGCCGGCAGTTGATTGCGACAGCCGGAAGAGCATCGCCCAGCGGGGGGTCCCTGACGCCGCCGAAGCGATCTTGCAGGCTGACTCAGCTTGCATCGCCTGATCAGGCGACCCAGATGCATTTCTTGGCTGAGATCTACAGCTGGCCCAGCAGTTGGCCTTGGATCCCCATGCAAAGATTCCCCCAAATGAGGATCTCTCTGGAGCCCTTCCCTCAATTGACCTTGCAAGTCAACGTGGTGTGTGATGATTTGCATGACAAGCTCAAGCAGTAAATATTTGCATGTGCTTGCCGCCACTGGCACTCAAAATTCTGCATCATATGATATTGTCTCGGTGACGACTCGTTCGGCGCCTCAAACTCGTTCGATCTCAGCAATCCACTCATTGGCGTCTAACAGATCCAGCGGGCAGTCCAAACAACTGCATGCATGCCGCGCAGCCTGCACGGTGACTGGTAGCATTCCATGGCAGCCTTTCCTACTGATGTCAACAGCAAAATCTGCGTCCTTGTCAGCACAGCTATTACACATCAGCCAAGCTGTCTCCCAATCACCCGACGGCCATCGCTCGTTGCTCCAGGATGCCTGACTGCTGCATGGCGGTGCTGTAGTGCGCCTGCAGCGCTTCGCCGAGCTGAGCGTGCAGTCGTGCCGCACCGGGGGACGCTGTGAAACCCAGCTGAGCCAGCAGGTCCCCCAGCAAATCGTGGGGGAACCAGACCCCCCCGTGGCGCTGCCGCTGCACGTCGGTGACCTGCGCATGCCACAGTTGGTGCCCTTCAGCCGCATGAACCAACAGAGGGCTCGATCTCAGGCAACAGAAAAACAGATTGGTTCCGGGTTGCCCCATTCGTTGTGCTGGACAGACCGGCTCCTGGCGTGAGTTGTTGATGCAGTCCTAACTTCGGGCACGGCAGGTACCAGAAAAGCAAAGTGCGTCAATGATCCACGCCTGGCCTGACAGATTGCACTGAAGACAGTGGCAGAACGGCTTGTGATGAACATGTAACTTTTCAAGCGAGACACACCCTCATGCACAGGCTTACTGCCATAAGCTTGGTGCTTCTTTAGTCCCCAGCAGCATGTGATGGTCACCTGTGTCTGCCAGGCATGCAGGTGAGTCAGCGCCAGCATGGCGGCGTCCTCGACGCGACCCTGCCTCATGTAGATGCGCAGCAGCGCCGCCGGATCCGCGGCAGACCCCGCCATGCCGCGGCTCGGGTCTTCCACCTGGATTGCACAAGACGACCTCTTGCTATACTGTTGGAACGCAGTTTGTAACCTTTTGTGCAGTGGGACATTGTGTGCAAGGGAAGACATGCTGCCACTGGAAGTCCAATTGCATAGTGCTGATAGCAACAAGAGGAACTTTGACAGGAACTTTCTCTGACACTATAGAAGAGCTGTTGGGTGTCAGTGTCCAATTGCAGCAGCTGGACCTTAACCAGAAAAGGGTCACGGACACCCGAGATGCTCCCACTTTGGGAGCAGGAGAATCTTGATAGTGGCACAACATCCTTGTTGGAGGCCCATGCGGTTACTTGCTCTCCCATGCCCTGTCTCTACCGTCATCCCTACCCCCAAAGTTCGCTACTTACCCCGTACAAAAGACTAAGCAGGACTTCCTGCTGCGTACCTGGAAGAGCTGCAGCAGCCAGGCGGGCAGCCGGAAGCGCGGCTCCGCGGCCAGGATGGCGTCCGCGGCCGCCGCACGCAGCCGCCCGGCCGAGGGTCCCCCCGGTCCCCCCTCCAGGAACCGCCGCAGGGCCCCCCACGCGGATGCGGCGCTCGCCTGCGCCTCCCCCTCGGCCCTGCTGCCTGTTCATCATTCAATTTTATGCCGTGGGTGTCTCTTCTTTCTTCCTTGTCTTGTCGCAAAGAAATAATTTTAACCATAGGGATACACATCAAAGAAATGATGAAATTCCTCCTTGATAAAGACAAAGGAAACGGATGTAGGCGTGGCACAATATTAAGCTGTCGGGCCAGCTTCATGACACCGTCATGTGACCCTTCTGAGTGTGAAACAGGGCTTTCAGCTGCCTTTCAGCTTGATCACGCCACGAGAACCGTGGTCTTACCGGTGCCGGCTCCGAGGAATGTGGCTTGGCTGGCTGATGCGAGCGACTGGTGCTCCTGCTGCTGAAGCCGCACGCACGCAGCCGCCAGCGATGCAACACTCCTCTCCAGCCACCTGCCCAGCTCTGCACCGCTGTAGATCGTCTCCGCCAGCCGGATCGCCGCCTCAAAGTGCACTGCACATCGAATTTTTAATCAGCGACTCCAGCACAATTGACACATGAAGGCTTTCACTAGAGAAGTTGACGGCAGACAAGCGCAAGGGACAGTCCCATGCCACGCTACATAGCTGTCACACTCGACGTCATGATGCACCCACAGGACGAACACGGCTGCCAATATTGTTTTCTCGTTGCTAAGCAAACCGTACGCTCCATTGCACACGACGTTCGCTTGGTGTGTGTGCATGACAAGAAACCTGTAAAAACATGCTTCTTCAGGGCATAGCTATTTAGCCTACAGTGCAGTGCTTCTGTACAGCCATGCAGAGCAAGAGAGCACGCACTGTTGGCGAGCAGCAGTTGGAGGACGTCTGCGGGGCGGTCGGCCGCGCCGGTCGTGCCGCTGCCATATTTGGCGGCCAGCGAAATCGCGCGCGCGAGCGCCAGCTCCCGCCGCAGGCTCTCCGGCGTCGCCAGCGCGGGGGCGGTCGCTGCAGCCGCTGCCAAAGGATCCTGTTCATTCCATTGTGGTATTTCAAATCTTTTGCACCCATTCTTCAATTCGCTACCTGCTTGTGCAGGCTGTGCGTGCAGGTGCCCTAAGAGAAAGGCCGGCAGGTGACTGAAGACCGAATAATGTAATCTGCAGACAAGGGCGCAAGACACTGTTGCCTCATGCTTCAGAGACGCAGCGGGCAGAAGTGAGAAATGTGCATCAAAGCACGGGCATGTCCCTGTCTTTGGAAAGGAAGCACGACTGCGAGCTATGGAGCTTCACCTCGTTGCGGCTGCCGGGGAGTGGGGATCGTGGGGAGGACGTGCCATGGAGGAAGCGATTGGGCAGGGGGGACCCATGGAAGGCCTGATGAGTCAGCGCCAGGTCAGCGCCAGTCGGATCCTCCAGCCAGGCTTGCGCCGGCTCCACTAAGCTCAGCGCGCTCAGCGCAGCACCTGAAGAGATAAGCGCGTCAGTAAATGCAAAGCGAGTGCCAGAAATTGCATGTTTTTATTGCTCCCCCATGTTGCAAATGTGCCATCGACCATCCAGTCTTGCCTGTCGACAATTTAAACTATGCGACTGGCAGACATGTAAGACTCAACATGACGAGAGCATATGCACAAATTTGTGGGTCTAGCAAACTCCCTGCCGGAAAACTGGAACCACCACAGTGCAATTGGCTTCTAGCTTGGTGGCAGCATGACTTGCTTTACACAAGGATGTATAACATGCAGGGAGTAACCAGAACCGCTAGAATGCAAGAGGGAAGAGGCGCACTCAGGGCGGCATGCACTGCCTCGACAGCGCTGGGTTCCTCGTCTCGCAGGCGCCGGGCCAGAGCCAGCTGCGCGGCAGCCGCCTGCCGATAATCGCTGCGCGCGACGCAGAAGTCGTACAGCACCTGCACGCCAGCTTTTCTTTGTGATACCAGCTCCAAGACTGTCAGCAGGAAGACCGGCAAGATGCCAAATGTATCTACACTAATCTACTTGGGTCGCCAGCCGATTGCACACATGCTCGACCTTGCAAGGCAGACATGCAGATCAAGACAAAGGGAAGTATGAAAGATGATGTCGCATCCAACAACTTCCTCAATCCCCGATCTTGACCCTTTGAATGGCCCTGACATGATGAGCTGCCCTCAACCTTCCGCAAGGCAGCAAAGCCACAATCCCATAACCATATGTCGGTGTCAAGACACTGTGCACTGCAGCACCTGGTACGGCTGCGGCCGGGCGCCCAGCTCGGCATTGTCCGCGCGCCGCCGCAGGAAGCTGGCCGCCTCGTCAGCAAGCGACAGGATCGCCGCGCCACGGCCGCCACCATATGGGGGACCGCCGCTGCTGGAGGGGGGACTGGTGCCCCCCACATCGAGCGTGCCGGCAAAGGGAAGCGCCACGAGCGAGGCGATGGCGCCACGCGCACAGAGATCCCCGAGCAGCCGCTGCAGGCAGTCCAGCTGGCGCTCCGGCACCGGGTTGGCGTGCATCGCCGCGTACGCCGCCTGCACGCCGAGCGATCAGTTTCCGCTGCTATCATTGGACAATCGTATTGTGAAAACATAATCATGCCTCTGTTGACTATTAAAATTTCTCTCTCTGCCTCTCTCTCTCTTGTGCGTTGGCTAACATAACACACATATATTTGCTGAATTCAGCGTGCAAACCTTCCAACCTCCGGGAAATGTACAGGCTCAGAGTACCCTGGCAAATTCCTAGAGCAAGTGCATTGCGGCCACAAGCAAAACCGAGCACAGCACCACCATAAAGTTTTCATAGTGGTTCTCATGCAGTGACGCATGAGCAGCGAGTCTGACAGCTGCTCGAGGCGTGCGCGCACCTCAAAGCGGCCGGCGTCGAGGGAATAGACGAAGAGGTTGGACCAGAGGCGGCCCTCGCGGACGGCGCGTGCCGAGGCGCTGCTGTCTGTTACGGCGTTCCCGGCTGCGGGATGTGCGACGTCCACCTGGCGCACGGCGGCCTGGGCAAATCGGGCAGCCCCCTCCGGGCAGCCCAGCCGCTCGCACACCAGCATCAGCACCTCGTAGTACTGCAGCCGCTCCGCCTGTGGCGCATGCCAGCATTAGCGGCAGCCTGATTAAACGCAGCGCTGCATGATCTTGACGTTTGCCTGGAAGATATCAGATATATGCTAGGTCTGCCTGAGGAGTCTCACCCAGTACCTCAGCCTGGATGCATTTGGAAGAACTTGGACCAGTGAGGTTGGGCAGAGCAGCATAATCGTTAGCATGCACAGCCTCTGTTGAGTTTATATGCACTGTTCATATCTTCAAGGGCTATCATAGACCTGAAGCTTTACTATCAGATGGTCGGAAAGTTGCGATAGCAAAGGGAGGACGAAAAGGAGGTGCTGCCAAGGCAATGTGGACTGGACCTCTGATGGCCAACATCACCAATAAAGATTATTGGGATCTGACATAACAACAGGTTCCTGCAGCATCAGCCTGGGCTGACCAGATCGCCTGCAAGGACGGAAGCTCCTAATCCCCCCTTTTGGTGCATGACTGGCCCTTCAGCAAACAGTATAAGAGCCGGCAGAGCAGCATCAGCACAGCTGTACAAGTGCACAACAGCGCACCTCTGGGCCCTCAGGCTTGTAGGAGCCGGTCAGGTCCGCTGCCAGGCCACCAAGCAGCCCTCTGACAAAGGACTCCTTGCCGGCGTCCGATGCAGGGGCGGCCAGATCCGCGGCCGCTCGGAACAGTGGCCCGGCCGCTTCGTCCAGCCGCCGCTGACGCTGTGCCGGGTCCGTTACGGACCGCAACCCATCCAGCAGTGCATACCCCTGCACAGCAGTAGAAATGGTCACATGAGAAAGTGAGTGGTCCTTGCGGTGAGGATTGTGAGGCGCCTGACTGACTCCATCTGGGCTATCCTGTCACACTGGGCAGCGCTTGGTGCGGTGTGGACTATGGAAGGTTGTGCTTGAACCGTGCATCACATGTTGAAAAGCTCTGTGCTGATTACAACATATGGACAAGCGTGACTGGTACTTGATGCTTTCTTGAGCATCACTCAAAAGTTTCCGCATGCATGCTAGGTGCTATACCCAATACTAGGGCACATATGCTGCCCTTGTTGCATGCAAGGAATTAACTCTGACTCACCTTCAGAAACTGCAGGCCCGGCTCGTCTGAGGTGGGACCGGCCAGCTGTAGCAGCGGGAGCAGCAGCGGCAGCTGCTTCTGTAAGAACAGGTTTTGTCCAATAAACATTACCTGCATCCACCAGGATCCTCAACATTAGGCTCAGTAGTAGCTCCTGGCTCCCAGCATTCTGCAATGATGGTCATTGCCAGTTTTAGAGCAGAGCGCAGTGGAACGGATGCCTGCCCGCACCATCACTGCGCGAGTCCTGACAGCTTTGATTCAGTAGCACGGGATTGTCTCACACTTTGGTGAGAATTGCAGCCACACCAGTGCTCCGAAAGCTATGGGTCACATTATCAGATAGTTCTGCTCACCTGCTGTTTGAGGCCTGCTTCTTCAGCTCCCTCTGGGCTCTCACTCAAGCCAGCATGCAGCAGCGCAGATGCGAACTCTGTGCCTGCAGCTGCCGGCCCTCCAGCAGGCGTCGCTCTGGCGCCCAGCCCCAAAGTAAAGATTGGCAGCAGCGCCTCTGCCAGTGTACGGTCATGCACCTGCACACAGCTTTTTTTCATTTTAAGGAACTTGAGTTCTTTGAGTTATAGAGCAATCTGCACGCATGGGGTGCATGCCTACACCACCAAAAAGTGAACTCGAATTTCTCGATCGGGCAAGTGTAGAATCGAAAGTGAGAAGGCTATGTGGGAGGCGTGTGCTGTGCGCAATCTTTACTGTTGATGCGTTCTCAAGGAGCAGGGCGCCTCAGGAGATGCATACCACCTGTCAAGGTGCCCAAACTGGTTTGGGTTGCTTGCATGGAGCCATGGCTCCCGGCGGAGAAGACACAACAGAAGGGAGCAGGGAAGGCGCGGACCTTGAACGTAGCAGCATGTGTCAGGCAGGGGCGTGCCCTCGCACCCTGTTAACAGGAGTAGTCACCGGAGTGGCAAATGCACGTGGATTCCACTGTACAATACGGTATATACAGGAATGTGGTGAGGCGCGGACCTTGTGCATGGGAGGCAACGCTGTCGCGCGGGAGTCACGTCCCAGGCGCAGCTGGTGCATCAGCACAGCCGGGTCGCTGCTGGCCGCATCCTTTGCCGCGGCCGGCGCCGTGCACAGCCACCTCACAATCTCCGCCCGCCGCATCGCCTCCTCCGCCTGAACAGGGCATACCATCGATTTTCAAATGATTTACTTATCCTTATGCAAGCTGAAGTACCTGGCAGCTGCTGCGGCTGGACATCGCCCACCTCAAGAGTCTGAGGCTCAGCGCTGTCAGATCTTGACAGAGCGTGTGTCAGCAGCCGATCAGAGAGACACACTGATGAGCACTTTGCCATTGGGCATGCCCCCCACAGCACGAGATATCAAGTCTGCGGGACCATTGTGGCATTGCTCTATATTGAGCACCGCTTGCAGCCTGCAAATGAGTTTCGCAAGTTTGCTTCCTTGCATCTACATGCCTGATGACCTCATAAGTCGTAAGGTGACACAGAAATGGCTAATACTGAGTGGCATGTACATCAAAGCATCATCTGTGTGACGCCGAAATTATAGGGTCGTGGAGGCACATGGAGCCAAACCGGCTTGCTCACAGAAACACCAATACAGGGGTCCAGTGTCGGTATCAGAAAGTGGCAAAGGCAGTCACCTTCCCTGCAATTCTGCTCTGCCAGGCAGTGCTGCTCTGCGCCTGGCCGCTGTGGGAGGGGAAGCTTCCCAGGCTGCGCACGTTGCCAAGGTAGGCAAGCAGCAGCAGCAGGTCCCGGGCGCCGTCGGCCGCGGCAGCCGCCTCGTCCCGGGCGACAGCTGCCAGGAAGCCAGCAGCTGGCAGCGCCGCCTGGGAAGCTGGTGGCGCAGAGGGCTGCTGCAGCGACGTTGTGCTCATCAAGCCGGCGTAGGATGCAAACACCTGAGCACCACAACGAGTACTAGATCAACACATGCCAATTATAATTACTACTGTGTATATGACCACTTAAAGTGACATTGGCTTCTGTGAAAAGTATTGCTCACATACGTGCTTAGCCTGTCATGATGTATTGACGATGTCTGCATCTTTTGTTGGGAAATGTCATGCTTCTCTGAGCGTATTTCATGGGTGCACCATTGTGTGCTCACCTCCTCTGGGCTGCGAATGGGCTCCAGCAGCGCCCCGATCTCCAGAGCCAGCCTGGACCGCTGCCGCCGCCACTGACGCTGCACCTCTGCCGCGTGCGCTTGTGCCCCCGCCCTCGCCCCTGCAGCAAATCAGAGTCTTGTGCTTCACACTTGCTCCTGTTACAGTCCCCATATCACTCACCTACACACGTTGGGGACTTGCCCTGGACCTCCCTATATGTCTTCACACACTGCTCTAGACCTCACTCGATGCGGAGGCTTCCTTCCCACTGCTTAACACTCGTATCAACATCATAACACGATAGAAATACCATGGAACAGCTGCACAACGTTTCAAACTCACCACCCATTGAAGCGTCCCTGGTGGGGCCGACAGCAATGGCGTGCACGAGGGCGGGCATTATGGCCTGCCCGACTGGCAGCCCCTCTGCCAGCAGCTGGGACGCCATGCTGTGCACGTACGGCCCCAAAAGATCCCTCAGCTTCGCGCTCGCAAGCGCCACCCACTGGAACGCCTGCACAAGACAATCTGCATCTTAATGCACTGTCGTGAGCATATTGATATGGGCGTGGGCAGCCTTCAACCGCCCAATGAATGAATAGATCGCGCGCCAAATTTTCGGTGTTGCCCGCATGCAGGTTCCCTCTCTTAGCACCAGGGCGGATTCCCAGACCTTCATTAGTGTGGCCCTAAGAGAGAGGAAAGAGAACGCCGGCAACACCAAATTCCGCACCTAATTTACCCGGCTGTGTGGTGCAAAGGCCTCCTCGCCCTTGTAATTTATGCAAATAGTGAGGACAGCAACCTTAATGCTCCTGTGAGGCTGCACCAAAATTCAATGTGGAAACACAACAGCCTGCATGGGAGACAGTGGACGGACACCTGGGATGGTGCCGGGTGCCCCGGGACGGCCAGCCCCGCCGCATGCGCAGCGGCCGCCCCTGCCGGCCGCAGCAGGCCAAGCGTGGGGCCCCCCCGGACCACGCTGGGCGCGCTGGGTCCCCCCTGCAGCAGCCCCAGTGGCCTCTGCGCGGCCGACAGTGCCCCCCAGTAGCCGCGCAGCAGCGCGTGCACCGCCGCAAACTGGCCAACATCGGCCGCTCGCTCGCGAACGGCCTGCATGATGACATCAGCGGGCCAGCTCAGCATGACAGGTCAGCTAAAACTGTCGCCTGACAGCGATGCAGGACGTCCAAAACTAGCTCGCAATTGGTGGACAAGCCAGTGGGCGCCACGCATCGATTTCTTCAAGTGAGTCAGGAGTCGACTATACTGCCTGCCTTGTACAGGTACAACCATCGGCGACTGCTTGGGCACAGTGTAACCATGAGTGTGCTCAGGATCCCAGGCACTGGCTCTGGAAGCGGGTTTAGCTGCAAGTAGTTCCTATCTTGAACCCCTCACCTTGAGCGTGAGCTGCTGCAGCTCAGCCACTGGACGGCTGGTCAGATCTGGGAGGGCTGTGGGGCGCCCGACAGCAGTGAGTGCGGCATGCAGCGCTCTGTGGGAGAAGCCGCCGGGAATCAGCAACTGGCCCACAAAGTGGCGCGCTGGCAGGCCAGCCGGGAGAGGCTGCCCGCTCGATTGTTCAATCTTCATAGTCACAGATCGCCACAAGTCCTCCTGTATGGCAGCAACACTGTGGTGTGAGCACGAGTCGGCAATCCCAGGAACCATCAATCATTAATAGGACGACTGGGCGGACTAGTGTTTCCAGCATATTACCCACATGGCATCAATTCATGCGTTGTCAGGTCAACTAGTTTCAGTTACTGAGAAGGGAGCAACGCTGCAGAGACGCTTCCAGAGAAAGAGCACAAGGACCTCCTTCAGTGCGGACCTGAAGCTGCAGATGCGCCTCGCTCGCTGAGGTCAGCCCGCTGACATCATCGCCGAGGAGATGCGCCTCAGCGCCGCGAACGCCGCGCGCGACGGCCGCCTCATCCATCGCAAACGCGCTGCCGTCGTGGCCGAGCACCCATGCGCGCACCCGGCCGCCCGGCCGCTGATGCACCGACAGGTCAGCCGCTGATGTGGCGGCTGACGCAGCGCCAAAGCGCTCCAGTATCGCCACCTGAGAGGCACGTCCTTGCCGATTTAAATTATTGTTAGGTCTGAATATGAAGCTACCATACACTAAGGCACCGCAGCTCCGTCATGGCAAAAAGCCAACAGTAGATGGCATTAATCAAAGTATTGGACTAGGAGGACACTGCAATATAAGGGAAAGTACCACATGCATGCCAAGCATCAAGTGCCATGACAACATGATACATATGCTGCATGCAAGAGGAAGGCATGCATGCAGGCCTGCTGCGGCTAGGGAGCCACCTGCTGGAGGGTGAGGCCAGAGATGCTGCCGCCGTCTGTGCTGACCTCCCCATTCAGCTCAAATACCGCAAAGTGGCTGTCCTGGCCTCCTGCAGAGCACATATCCCAGGGACAATCAACACATTACCATCCTCTTCCCAGAGCACAACAACTAACAGCCTGAGCAGCGAACCTATGCTCACAGTCGGAACAAAGGATATAACTGGGCCTTCGGCATGCAAGAGACGCACTGCTGGCAGCCTCGGGCCGGTCAAACTGCGCGATAATCTTGCCGGGGCGGCGGGCCTCCGTTGCAGAAGGAGCCGCAAATCGCAGCCGTGTCGGCGTCAAGGCGTCTGCGGTAGTCGAGTCCGGCTTTAGCGGCTCCTGCAGCAGGCATGCCTGCCGACGGAGGTCCCACAGGCGCAGCGTGCCGTCCGCGTATGCTGCCGCCAGCAGCCGCCTCCCCCCAATGCTCACGGCTGCCAGATCCTTGACCGCTGGGCTCGCTTGCCTGCGCCAGGAGATTGAGCATGTGAGACGGCCTTGCCTTGGCTGTGGCTAGCGCATATACAGGTCTCCTATGGCTGATTGGCCTCCTCAATCATGTACACAGCTATGGCGCAGATTTATACAGTCAAGCAGCATCGACATACAGACATTTCCATGCTTTGAGGGCGGTGCCATCGTCTGTAAGTACTTCACACACGTGCATTGGCACTGTTTCTTCATGCATGAGGAATCTCAAATGCTTGCAGCTTTGCTGAGGCGGAAAATGCCATTCGGTCAGGTGCATGCTTTGAACCCACCTGGCAAACAGGCTGGTGAGGAGCCGGCCAACGCCGCCTGCATCTTTCAGCTCCGAGGCTCCCTCAGTCGTCCCGGCGCACAGCGAGGCTTGGGGGATGCACAGCACGCTGCCATTCTGGCAGCCCATGCAAAGGAACCCCTCTAATGCAACCAGAGCTGTTGGCGCGCCCAGCCTTGGCAGATCTGCGCTTATCAGAGATTGTCAATGATCTGGCTAGAAATTTTGCATGCACAATTGACATGATATCAACAGGCTGCCAGCTCTATGCTCTCTGCACCTGTAGGGACACCCTTGCACATCTCTGCATGGCATGCCAACATTGCATGCATTGAATCCGAGCACAATCTGTGCAACCACATCCTCATGTTGTTTGAGCAGAACGCTGACCTTGAGATAGATCTGCACCGGCAAAAGCACTGCCATCTGAAGGCACACTGGCCAAGATGGACCGATGGCGATCTCCCTGCTGTTGCCCATGTTCTTGCGATCCAGGTAAGCTGATGGCATGCAAGAAACCTCTGGCGGTCACTGCATACACACGGGACTGTGACCCAGAGACATCCACGGCCACATGCGGCGAGAGAGCCGATGGGAAAATCAGCTGCAGAGCACCGTCCCTGACAGGCTCTGTGTTGCTGAATTCCAGCAAGCTCAGCACTTCTGGTTCCTGCAGGCAATTTCTTGCATGTGTCAGGGCTGAGGCAGTGTCTGGTTGTTGGATGATGAACACCATTCTGGTGGCTCTCTGTGATGTAAACACGATTGCATTCATCCTCTTTCTCACAGTGAATTTCTTGATGAGAGTATACAGAAAGCGTACCTCGGCATTAATGCTCCAAATGAGCCCCCTCCCACCGCCGACATGTGCACCACTCCCAACACTCACGACATCAAAGTTTGTTGCTGTCGCGTCTGGCTCTGCTGCCTCGGCCACTTGTATCCTGTTTGATGTGAGGGGCTGCTGTGCAAGAGACGTCTCTACAAAGAGTTCGGCCACGCGCTGATTGGCCATGATGATATAGATTTAGCGATTTTAATGGACCTCTGATTTTATCATTTGTACTTCCGCTTGGCCATGTTTGACACGCCTGGCATCTGAAGACAATCGTTCCATTGACAGTCTTCCTTTACTGCTTGTGGGGGTCTGTAAATCATCAAATGTGGAGAAGATGTGTTTCTTTACACCGCAGAATCATTGATGAACGTCCTGGCAGACTAAGGAATTCCATCCATCGATGCATGCAGGTGAATTGGGGGTGGACCTTGGGTGGACCACTCAGGACCATAGCAAAACTGCGTCGGAGACCGGCTAAATGACTAAGGGGGTTTAGTAGCGTAGGGTTTTGAGGTGTGGGCGCGAGGAGCTAAAACATTTGCACCAGAAAGTTTTGGTGTTGTTCAAGGAGTCGGCAGTCATGGCGTTCAGGGTACTGCCCGATTCACTGTACTCGCTGGACAAATTTTCTCCCGCCGTTCTGTCCGCGGCCTCGGTGAGCAGCTCTCGCTCTGAGCGCAATGCTGTGCCAAGTGTGTTCTCAGCCTCGGAGAGCACTCTGGCGCAAAAGTTCAAGCTGGGTGCCAGCCCTATGGGCATGCCTCTGATCCCCGCTGCGACGGAGAAGAAGATCCAGCTCTACAGCAAGGACTACTACCTGGCTTGTGCCCTAGGTGGAGTGCTCAGCTGTGGCCTCACTCACACAGCCGTGACTCCCCTGGACGTGGTCAAGTGCAACATGCAGATTGACCCCACGAAATATAAGAGCATCGGATCTGGTTTCTCCATCACTTGGAAGGAGGGTGGCTTGGGCGGGCTTGTGCGTGGCTGGATGCCAACTCTCGTTGGCTACTCCGTTCAGGGCGCTGGCAAGTTCGGCCTCTACGAATACTTCAAAAAGTAAGGATTCAATCATTGCTTTTATCATCGCGTGCCATGTATCCCAGTCATGCTTGTCAGCATTTATTCCTTTCCAGTTGACCAGATGGAATATAGCTTGATCCCACTGAAGGAGTTGTTATTTTGCAGGACATACGCCGACGCCGTAGGTCCAGAGAACGCTAAGAAGTACCAGACCGTCGTTTTCCTGGCTGGATCTGCTTCTGCGGAATTCTTTGCCGATATCGGCCTGTGCCCCTTTGAAGCCGTCAAGGTAAAGCTCCGATCCAGCCTGCTTTGAGTGTTTTGCGCGTTGCTCGCCATCCATTGCGACACCAGACGTTTTCCAGAGTATTTGTAATGTGCTGTGACATCCCATGAAGTTGACTGGGGTGCATGCTTCATCAATTTACACTGGGATCTCTGTTATTCAGGTCAAGGTCCAGACAGTCCCCGGCTGGGCCAAGGGCTTGAGCGATGGCTTCCCGAAGTTCATCCAGCAGGAGGGCGTTGCTGGGTGAGTCCCGGCTTGAAAGGCATTGCATATGGCTGTGCGGCAGGATCCTCTGTTTGGCACCCATCAGATGCTGAAATATCGTAAGAGAGCTGGTGTTGTGTGGTTTCGCGTGGCTTCGCGCAGTCCTCACTTGGTGCGGCTGTTGGTAGCCACCTGTACATTCAGCTAAAAGGCAGATGCGTGTCTCCCAGGCTGTGGAAGGGAATCACGCCGCTTTGGGGCCGCCAGATCCCCTACACCATGATGAAGTTTGGTACGTGTTGCCTTTCCTGTTTGCCAGACCCCAGTGCTTGTCTCCCCTGACGGCTTCAATTTTTCATATGCGTGCTTGCCACAGTGTACACCAATGGGTGACAATGACTGTCAGATCTGGCTTCCATGTGACATGCATACATGCATGCATCTTGCACTGCATTACAGAGCATCAGGCAGGGGAATCACCTGCACCATGCTGTATGTCCGATCTTGCTTTTGTGACATGATGAGTGCAGCAGACTTTGCAGCAATGTGCTGACCAAGATGTGCTGTGTGCATGCAGCCTGCTTTGAGAACACGGTGGTGGCGCTGTACAAGTATGTGGTGCCCAAGCCCAAGGCGGAGTGCAGCAAGACAGAGCAGCTGGGAGTGTCCTTTGCGGCCGGGTACATCGCTGGAGTCTTCTGCGCGGTGGTCAGCCACCCAGCAGACAACATGGTGTCCAAGCTCAACTCCACCAAGGGCGCAACCGTCGGCAGCATTGTCAGCGAAATGGGCTGGTGCAGATCTCCTTCTCATCCAGTCCCTGCATAGTTTGCCTCAACTAAGAGCTTCATTGCCTTGTCATGTATCATTCTTGGAGCATTGTTGCATGTCATGCATGCCGTTTCTCATGCATGTCAGTATGAATGTGCTTTCGCCGTTTCCCTGACCCTGACATGCATGTAGTTCGCAGCATATGCAGCTCCGCATTATATACCCAGCAAGGGCACTCATTGCTTCTGCAGGCATTTGACATGTGCTGTATCATTCAATGTTGAACAGCAAAGGGTGTGAGCATGTTCTTGTGTGGTGTAGGGTGGCCCTGTTCACTCGTGGCCTGCCCCTGCGTATTCTCATGGTTGGAACGCTGACCGGATTGCAATGGGGCATTTACGACGCCTTCAAGGTCTACGTGGGACTGTGAGTGCCTGCCTCATTTTCTCTTGATCACTGCAGTGTGCTTTCCATCTAGACTGCTGCATGCGCAGACTTGCTGCCATCCAGAGCACCATTGCACTCCTGGACGCATGGTTCTGATGCTGTGCACTGAGATAAACTTTTGTTTTATTGCCAAATTGAGCAAGGTCTTAGTGTGCTTTTCTGTGGCTTGTTGCAGGCCGACCACAGGATCTGCCCCCCCTCCGGAGCCAGTGAAGTGAGATCTGCCACCATGAGCAGTGATGGAGCGGGTTTTACTGCTTGGCATCTCCCAGTATGGGAACTCCATGCGCATGGAGGGCTTGGTCTGTTGCTGAAACTATCACAGAATGCTCTTGGCGAGTGCTAGTTTGTCATCCCTAAAACACTGTGTTCAGGACAGACATTCCATTAGCAGCAGAAGGTTTTGCTGGTCTGTTTTCTTTCTTGCGTGTGCAAACTTTTGGATTGGCAGCAGCCAATGGCTATGTCAGAGGTTTCTCTCGAGAGGCATCTCTCGAAAGCATTGTCACAGGTGTAAAACATAGGGACAGAATTACTGCAACCTGCTAGGGGGCAGCCGGGTACTGTGTGACTTGCTGGGATTCTCTGCCGCGACTGCTCTCAGGAAATGGAGCTTGCCGCTGAGGAAGACAGCTGTAAGAAGGTGGCTATTAATATTCTGTTGCATGCATGCTGATGCATCCTTGTTGTCTACAATCCTTAAGGTCGAGCAGGCCCTGGTCTAGGACCGTTGGCCTACAACACATGCCACAGTCACCATGATCCCGGATCGGCGGGCCATTAAATAACATCGCCACGGTGATCCAATGGCCAGGCCACCAGAGTACCCTTGATAGGCAACCTGCTGTGAGCTGTGCAGCTGCCAGCCACCACTGGCCACCTGCATCATGCTGTCTGTAGTATGGTCACCTCGAGATCGGACGCAAGCTGCTTTCAGACCTTGCTTGGATCGCCTCAAAAAGGACCTCTCATTTGAAGAAAGCTGTTTGACCTCATATTATGTCACTCACCCCTCGAGCTGTCCGACAAAAAGACAGCGAACGCGATGAGTTGCTCTATGAAGCAAAAACCCGTTGGATCGTGATTGCATTCGATGTTGTAAAAATATGAAGGAACATTCTGAGCCACCGGTCGCTCCTCTGCCCCCTCCTCCTCCACCGATCGACGTGAAACTGCTCCGTGAAGATGAAGTCCGAATGGCAGCACAGGTGATCACACGATGAATAACCCTTCGCTTGCAGAAAAGTACTCGTTTGCACCTGTTATCGCCTGTGGAAGCTGCAATTGAGCTCAGGAGAGTCTCATCGGGCAGTTGAAAGAAGCTGGCTGCGCTACCTGTAATTTTCACACCATCGATTGCGGACACAATCTGGATTGAGACTGAGCAGATCTCAACAAGGGTTTAGGAAATATATCTCATGTTCCACAATAATTGTGAGGGATAGCATCGAATATTTCTGCCTGTAAGTGCACGCCCCTACTGAAGTGGATGTTCTTGCATGCAACAGATTCTCGCCCGCTCTTTCAGAGACTATCCTATTTGGGCCTACATCCAGCCACGGGATGAGCAAAGGCTCAAATTGCTGGCCTGGGTGCTGAAGCGATACGTGAGGGGATTGCTCACAAAGTCAGGCAGGAAGAGAGGGTATGCCTTTGCAGTCAAGGAGAAACCCAGCGAAAAGCTCCTAGGAGTCGTCCTTCTGTGGCGCCCCAGCTCATCAGGTAGGGAGGCAGCCTGTGGTTCTGACCACAGAAGACCACTCTGTCTGATTACAGAACAAATATACCAGATCAACAGCTTCAACAGCACATGGCCAGACGGCCATGCAAGTAGAAATTGCAACTAGATTATTCTAGTACATCCATCAAAGCTGGGGCAGTGTTTTTCTGTCGTCTAGGCATTGCCTTTGGCCTGCCGTAGGGGACATCTGCATGCATGGGGGATTGCTAAAATGCTGAATTTTTAATCAAATCTTGCCTCACAGGTCCTGGCAGCAGGGAGCTGCAGCCGTGGCAGGTGGTGCGGCAGGGGCTGCTGGCGCTGCCATTCAGATTCGGCGCCGGGGTGACTCACCGGCTGCTGGCCGCTGACTCGGGCGAAGAGAAACAGAAGGACCTACTCAAGCCCCAATTGGGCGCCTTCTGGTACCTGGACTACATGGCTGTGGACTGCGCTGCGCAGTCGCGAGGGCTGGGCTCGAGAACACTCTCTCTCTGCATCCGCCAGGCGCAGGTGCGCTCTCTGGGCCCTCGGCACCTGCAGATACTTGTCCCGCAGGTGGAAAAGCATTCTTGGGCTTTGCAGACATGAAACGGTCCATCGCATCTTTGCATGGGAATGAAAATGCCGAGCCTCTCTAGCGTCGGGTCCTACTTGGCGCACCGTGCAGACGGTGCATGCCCCCACCGGTGAGGCATGTGCAGCTGAGCACTAGCAGCCACAGTTGGCAGGGTGAAGTGAGGCAAAAGGAAGCCTCCAGGGACGCAGCATTTGAGAGGAATTTTTTGGGACGCGCAACATTTACGGCACGCAGGAAAGCTGTACCTACTGCAAATCTCCTCTTAATGGCTTGTTGGCACGTGTCAGAGACGGTACGAAAAGTGCAGCCCATACAGATTATATGCAGCAAAATAGCCGTGTGATACCGTGTCCCCGCATGCATGCGCAGGCGGAGAGGGACTGCCCGGTGCTGGTCAACACCTGCTCGGAAGCTGCGCGCAGCTTCTACCTGCGCAACGGCTTCTCGGAAGTTGGTGCGCAGCCGGTCATGATCGGCGGCCGGCAGCACTGGTGGATGGCGTTCCCTGCTCAGAGCCTTGCTACTCTTAGTCATGATACTGAGCTTAGTCATGATGATGTCCCGGTCAAGCTGACATTGCAGCTTGCAGAAGCAGGGAGCCCTGGGGTGCCTCCATTGAGGTGAAGGTTTGGTGTTTCTTCTCCGTTTTGGTTAAAGGAAGGGGCTCTAGGAATGCATGAGGCTTGGGATGGTGTAGTGACAGTACCTGTATCAGTATTTCCTTCCCTTCTGAGTCTGCTAGTCGGAGCTTTCCTTTCAATCTAGAAGGCTGTTTTGTTTGGCTGCGATGGGAGCAGGATCTGGGATGACATTTTGGGGCGCTGGGTGCGCTCTTTTCCGAATGGGCAAATATCTCCCTTGGGGAAGTGTAGCCTAGAAGAACACAAAATTTGAAAGGGGGTGGCAAGCTTGTTGCTGGCAGTACTGAAGCACTGCTAGCTGTTTTGAGATTTCCCAATGACAGAAGTTCTTCTGACTGGTCGTACATAGGACATGCTGATCTAGGACATTACTCCATGAACCAGGAAAAGGGCAAGTTGAACATTACTGATGGAATGGTCTATTGAATTCAGAATTGAGAGAAGAGAAAATGCTCGACATCAAGGCGATAGAAAATTAAGGCACTGCAGAGAAGATGTAGTTCAGCGGACCGTGCGCACCTTCGGTGCGCCACTTACTGACCCTCAGGACTGCAGCTGTTTAGAAGGCAGCAATGTAAATCTTTTAGAGCAACAGACTTGCGTCCCAATCTTATTGCCGTGATGAGACTGCAAGGATTGGGACTTCTGCTGTGACGATCAAAGGCTGACGGATGGGTGTGGGTGTGGCAGGTCAGTGCTTTGCATTGCCTGATGCTAGCATGCTCGCCATCTTTACTTGCGCTATCTGTACTGAGATACTTTATATTCACAATGTATGGTACGACGGCATTCATAAGCGTAAAGATGTAATAAAGTATTACACAAAATTAATGCAGTACACCATGCCAGAATTTACTGGACAATGCAGACAGTACTTGGGTTTCTTCCACTTCCTAAGCACTGCTCGGTCAGACAAAGTGCTCAAGCAAGCTTGCTTGTATACATGTGGACATCCCATCAACCATTGAGACCAACATTTGGGGCTGCAATTTGCAACCACCCCTTGATGTTCATAATGCAAACGTCACAATCATGTTTTTGAATATGAAGCCGGCAGCCATCCATGTTGCCTTGCAAAAAATCCAGTGCTACTCCCTTTTGAGCAATGACCAGTACTACTAGGAGCAAAGTGCGACCCTACTAATAGAGAGAATGCACCCTGACCACATCCGCTGTGGCCTTAAGGCATCAGCGTTTCAATTCCTGCCCCAATCTAATTGCTTCCAGACACTGGCGCAGAACCGAGCATGAGTGGGGCAATAAAATCTCTGCCAGAAAATCTCTGTGCCGAAAGATCCCGTCAGCAACACAGAAGTGTTGCATCATGGTCATGCCAAACATATAACACGCGAACATGGTACTTGATGTTTCTCAGTTTTAAAATCGATGTAATGCGGCACAGAGCGCCGTACTTGAGACTTGTCACCTCCTCCTCACCTTATTTTTGCAGGTCCTCACCCTGATCACTTGACCTGCTGCCATTTATAGTGGCACATCTTGCACATCCACCTCATGCATTCACAGATCTTTGGGAACCTTCCTAAGAGGTTTGCAAGACTCCGCCCACACCCCATGCCCAGGGCATGAGACATGCAAAACCAATGTTTGTTGGATGAATTTGTTCATAGTTAGAGCATGCCCATTGCTGCAGAAGACACAAAGTGTGCACATTCTTGTCAGTGGCAGCTGCATTCCCAATGAGTAGGCCCGCCGCCCGGCTCAGCGCTCAGGTCATTGGGGGAAATTGGAGGTTCCACAAAAGCAGCCTCCTTGAAATTACTAATGGCGCCTCAAGGCGACTCTAGCCCTGCCAGGCAGGGGGCAGGGCAAGTGAATGTGTCAAATGCTGCAAAGCTGCGGATTTGCCGGCTTGCAACTGGGGGGTCCCAAGACGGTCCCCCATGAGTAGCGAGGCTGGTGGCTGCCAGCTTCCAGCAGGGCCTTGCCTACTGGTCAATTGCGCACTGTCTGTGTCAGGCACACAGATTCAGGTGCACTGCTGTCGCAGCATCAAGCCTCGCGTGGGATTGTAGCTGCATAGGCGCAATTCTGAGGCACGGGCCAGACCTGCACCCGCCACTCTGCGACTCCCGAGGGCAGGCTGCCCGCCTTGCTGGCGCCGGGCAGATCGGCAGAGATCTGGGCAGCGCCGGCCGGCAGCTCGGGGCAGGCCGGCGTTGCCAGGTCAGCGGTTGGGCAGGCGGCTGGGCAGGTAGGCAGCGCGGCTGGGCAGGAGGTCTGCCGCCCGGGGCTGCAGAGTGGGGCCAGCCTGGCGGCCTTACGCAAAGGCACCGCCTCAGGAGACGGGCACCAGTCGGCGGCCTGCATCGCCAGAAGCTTCTGCACGAGCTTGGAGGCCGTCGTGCGCGCCCAGGGGAACGGCGTCTGCGCCGGACGGTACGCCGGGGGCGGCGGCGGTTGAAGTTTCCTGGCAGCTGCCTGCGCCATTCACATTCCTAGTCAGAATCGTTCAATCACTCTTTTGCAAGTCTTCAATTATAGCACCAGTGGAGAGACTCGGTGATGAAGGCAGTGAGGTAGGTCCCTGGGCAGCTAAGCAGCAGAGACCTCGAGGGGCACCTACATAGAACAACAGGAGGTTTACAGATTAGGCCCATCACTTGGCAGTCAATAGGTGTGACCATGGATGCACTTGAGAATGCCAGTGAAGAGTGTGCACCTTTGTAGAGGGGTTCCTGCACATGGGCGTGCGTCGGCGCCCCTTGCGCGGGGGCGGGGTCGACGAAGAGCCCGTCTCAGAGGCGGTGTCTGAGATGTCCGCTTCCACCTGTCGCTCCTGCAGCTTGCATGGGAACTCCAGCTGGCTGGCATGCGGCTGCTGCGCTGCAGAGACCGCATTTACAGCTGTAGCCTGCACAGGGCAATATAATAGGAAATATGAGCTCAACATGAGATAATGATCAAGTTGGCAAGCGCATGCACCACTTTAGTCGTCGCTGGGAATTAAAAAAGTCCACCGACTAGGGCAGCGCTGCCGGCTTTGGGTGCATCAAAGGTGGCGCTCAACGAGAGATTTGCGTTGTACATTGGGTGTAGAACGGACCTGCAGAGGCCCATTTAGCCTACAGTGCTGCTCCGATGTCTCCGTGGGAGATGCTAAGGGAGCAGTGAGCTTGTACAGGGCTTCACTGGCCTCCAGCAGGGCTGCTGTGAGTCGCGGAGCGGCTTCAGCGTGCAAGGGTAGCTCCATGGGTGATTTTCGAGGGGCGGGCACCGCTGCGCATCTGTGGCCAGGCGTGCACCACTGCCCTGCAGTGTTGAGAAGCTGTCGCGGGAAGCAGGCAGCGTCGATGTCGCCCCTCCCGGTCACCTCGCTGAAGCAGCTGTTCAGGCTGTCCTGACGAGGCGCCATTTTTGCAAGGTTCTGACGGCTGTGATCGAGGTAGCAGTATTCGTGGCCAAGTCACACCTGCAAGACATAGAGACATCTGGTCAGCCAGAATGCCGTTTGCTCTGCCTGTCGAAAGCACAGCTGCGATCTGACAGATCAACAAAATATTCATGACATTGTAAAAGCTGCAGTCTGATTGGATGTGAATGGTGCGAGCTTCTGCCTGACTCACAGTGCGGTCTCGGAGCCCACAGATCGAAGCCCAGCAGCAAATGAGACGAGCCCGAAAACAAGTGACCCGAGCAGCTGTGACGATGGAACAATATAAGTAAGGAAAAACGGAACTTCAAGATTGCCTAGTGTGCATTTGGGCTTTGTCCGAAGTGGCCCTGCTCGCTTATCAAACGGTCCCGAGTCCTGCTAGGCCCATCGGTCTGGCTCCCCTTCCGTCCCTGACCTTGTTCAAGAGCCCCACGCGACCTGGTGGTCCTTTTTCACGAGCAGAATGCTAAATACGGGCTTTTCGTGATTGCCTGCGCTTGCGGGATTTCTGGAGTGTGGCGCAGGTCGTACCAATCTTCTCCCGCCGCTTGGAGGCTCCCCAGGGTCTTCAGAAGTTCGTTGAGCGCGCCAGTCTGCACTGCATCACAGTCACGATATTTCCGATACTGCACAACAGCTTTTGCGGCTTGTGTTCCTGAAGTCTCCTGCGGTGATGATCACCACTGACCCGAATTCGCGAACCGGGTGGCCTTATGACGTCTTGCCTCGCGACCTTGGACGTCAGTCAGCAAGAGAAAAGTCATTTGCCAAGGATAATACTATGGCGTAATAGGGTGGATCTCCAGAGGCGTGCAGGAAACGACTCGAGAAAACTGGCAAAATTGGCGCAACGTGGCGCCGGCTCCTCTCGCTAGTAATCTCGATCAATGTCTTCAGTCATGCGCTACCCGCCTCTCGAGCAAGTTCATCATCGCAGATCTCGATACGAAATCGTGCGCTCTGCAGATCTGCGTGAGCATCTTGTGTCATCGTCTGAAACGCCTCGCGCTGCTTTTGTTAGTCACTTGAGCTTTCATTAGTTGAGTTGTGTCAAGTACAATCTAGAAATATTTCTGCGTTTGAAATACTTTATCCAAGCGGCTCAACGTCACTCTCCATACAATGAGGCAGCTCAAGTTTCATGAAAAGAAACTCCTAAAGAAGGTCGACTTCTTGCAGTGGAAGAACGAGCACAATCAGCGCGAGCTGCAGGTAGAGGGCCCTCTGATCCTTGCTGGAAAGCTCTTCTGCAGAGTGCCATCTTGGTGCTCACCACTGAAGATATCAGTATTGAGGGAGTGGGTGGGCGCAGGTGATCAGGAGGTATCACATACAGGACAGAGAAGACTACAAAAAGTACAATAAGATCTGCGGCATCGTCACAAAGCTGGTCAACGTGATTAAGAGGCTAGACCAACAGGACCCTGTTCGCGTGGAGCTCACAGAACAGATGCTGGACAAGTACGCCCTGTGCTAGACCAGATGCTTCCTGTCACTTTTGTGGGTCTGCACAGGAGAGTGAGAGCAATGTTATTTTGGCAGCCTGACAGCTCAGGGATCTCCTCTGAGAGGCAATTACATCTGTCTGCTGCATCCTCGCATGTGACTATCCAGCCATGCAGCATGCCATCTACTATCACCCCCCCTCACTGAATTTGCTGTGCGCTTGATGTGTGCCAACAGGCTGTACAACATGGGAGTCATTTCGACCAAGAAGAGCCTGGTCTTGCTAGAGAAGCTATCCACGTCATCCTTCTGCCGGCGACGCCTCTCTGTGGTCATGCTGCGCCTGAAAATGGCCGAGACGCTGCGGGAAGCCTGCACCTTCATCGAGCAGGTGTGCTGCAGCCGCACGCGCCCTCCTCCAATGCTTACTGTGACCATGATCTTTTGTTGCTGCATTGGCCCTGGAATCCATAATCGGTAAGTATGCGGCGCAAGTCTGGAAGGGGTGCACTGTGTAGAATAGGTGGGAGTTCTCCCCCTCCATTGGCAGCAGCACCAGGTGTCGAGCGATGCTCGGCAAGTGGTGCTGCTCCAAGCCCAGGGGCTGGACAGCGTTGAAATATTACCCTTTACACCTCGTCCTTCTAATCTGGGTAACCAAGAGCAGGCATAACAATCTTGCTGGATGACCTCCAGTCGGACTCTCTCATGCAGTGCAAGAGGGATCTGTCGGGGCTTGCTTATGTACTGTCTAGACAGTCTTGTGCCTGTAGCAGCCCCCGCATGATTCTGTGGACCTCTTGCTTCTGATGTTTGATGAGAGTTAGGACACTGGCAGATGTCAGCTTTGCTTCGAGCTGCGCAGCTGGATGTAAACCTACTTGTATTCAAACTTGAAATATGATCTTGTGTCCAGGGGCATGTGCGGGTGGGGCCAGAGGCCGTGCTGGACCCAGCATTTTTGGTGACAAGGCCCATGGAGGACTTTGTGACATGGGTTGACACATCCAAGATCCGGCGCAAGGTCATGCAGTACAATGACAAGCTGGATGACTACGATCTCCTTGTCTAGATTACTAATTACGCTGTTCGAATGGGATTGTCTGTCCTACGGTGCTCTTGACACTTAGCGTTGACAGCATCGAATCTTTCAAGTCCTCAGGAATTCCATCCTGCGGATGCAGTGAGTTGAGGAAAGGCTGTTGCCAGAATGAAAAAGAACAGAACAGAAGAGAACGCTTGAATTTGGCTATTAGATTTGTGGAAATTCGTAGATACCACTCTTGATGCGATGCTGTGTAGATCTAGAATGGTTCGATGCAATTTTATCCATTGCCTTCATGTGACAGGTTCTTCAAACGATTTGACGTTGTTTTAAGAAAAATATGTGACCCTGGCATGCTCACTTCATCCTTGCCTTTCACAACAGATGTTACATAAGGGCCTTTACTACAGCTGCAGTGATCTGGTTATAAGCCGCTTCGAGCAGCTTTCGATGGCACTAAAGCTATCTCCATGATGAACTGACTAGTTCCATACAAAAATATTCCAGGTAAGAGTTCATGTCAGTGATTCTAGAAGAGATCTGAGTTCATTTTCACCTTCACGTCATTCACCTAATAAATTCACAAAATAATGAGATCCACGGCTTTGAGACCGACATCAATTTAGGCAGAAGGTGCAGGAGCCCACGAAGAGCTTAGATGCAGGCTGCAGCTCGTGCCAGGCTAGCTGTAAAACCAGTCCAGGAAAAGGAGGCTGGCAGCAGCAATAACGAAGAACCAGAAGAGGTACGAGCGCGCAGAGCCGCCCACCCTGATTGCTTTCTTAAGCTGCACATTCCCCTTGTCCACATTCATTGTGGCTTGCACCGCCTGCAGCACATACATCATTGTATTGGAAAACGAACCCATTGGGGGCTTGAGCTGTCGCATGTAGAGCGATTGCAGAGCTTCTGCACAATGCACAGCAACTTGATAGAAATGAACAAGTCTGCTCACCTGCTCGTAGATCTGCTCTATCTGCTGTGCTTGATGGAAGACCTGCGCAAGGCAGCTTAAGCACCTGAGCAATGCTCTGCCATCACTACAGAAGCTTGAGAGCTATTCACCGTAGACATGCTCGCTGGGAAAGTGAAATCATGAATAAAGGTAAGTTTCTCTACTATGTTGCGAGCAGTGGAAGAGGGCTGCCAATTAAAAGGATTATGTAGAAAATTTGGGAACCCCAAAGCACACCTGGCCTGAAAACATCTGGTTCAGGGTAGCCAGCTCCCTCATGGTGGTCTCAATGCTGGTGGCGCCCTGATTCAAGCTCATGAGCTGCTGCACCAACGCCCTGTTCTCCTCCTCTATGAGCTGCTGCTGTTCCTGCGCATCATACCAGAAATTCCTCTCTGCCATGACCTTTGTCAAACAAAACTCAATTTCCACCCTTTCATGCATTCGTCAACCCCAACTCCAGCATTCTGCCTCATTCGGCTGCACACGAGGGACAGCATGTGTCTACTCCAATCAAGATGAGGCTTTCACCAGAGTTTGGGTTTGAAATTTGCTTGTGAGCACACAGAAACCGCAACTGACATTTCCATGTCACAGGACAGATTTGTGGCAGGAGCACACCTGGTTCAGGTTTGAGGGCAGGCTCTGCTGCTGAGCGTCAAACTCCGGCCTGTAAGCTGTCGAGTTCTGCATGCACATAGACGCAATCAGAGCAGTGATGCACATGTTTCCATCACATCGCTGGCATGGCATTGGACCGTGCAAAGAGATTGTTGGGCAGAAAACTTGCAGCAAGTGCAAGAATTGTTTTGAGACAGGCAGTCAATTGCCTGCACAGAGCTGAGCCGCTGCCTCTGCTGCTGCTGGCGCAGCTGCTGCTGTTTGAGCTGCTGGTAGCGCACACTTCTGCAGCAGTCAAAGCTGCTGCCGATCGCATGCAGCCGCTCGCTGAGTATCAATGCCTGCAGGCCAGAAAGTCACTCAACCCTCCTTCTGGCCGAACCCCCACAGCAGCCACCAATCCTCGCGCAGTATATAGAGCATGCTAAGCAGTTTTCCTCTCAGTTCCCCATCTGCTTGCAGTGCACAGCCAGCACATGTCCTTTGCTGCGAGTAAATTGATAACATATGATGGTGTCCTATGATTGATGCCACAAGGACCAGCGCCAGTGATGCTCCTGACAGCCATGGACACTTGGGCCGTCATGCGTCCATGGCCCAGGAGTACGGTAATCACGGATACTGCATGTCGCTTGAAGTATCAGGGGGCACGTAGAAGGATGCGTCACGCAGCGGTGGGCCCTCACACCGTACTCACAAACTTGGTCACCGGCGTGGCAAATGCACGCGGAGTGAAATTTGCATGAACTGGCTTGCATGCTAGAGGAACGCGCACCACGCCGTGCCGGTGAGCAAACATGTGGGGATTCAGGCCGCGTGCCCCGGGCTGATCGGGCCCCAGGCTCGCCTCCAGCCGCGCAATGTTGGCCGTGCAGCTGCGCATGTACCTCCCTACCTGCTCCTCTATCCTGTCCCGCTCTGCCTCGCTGCAGCGTCCTGGACCACAGGACTCATCATATCAATAGACTGTAAATGCTATAGCCCATCCTATGCCATACAATCGTCATGTGTGGTATGATGCATGGGATGAAAGTGGGAAACAGGTCGACTGGAGGTTTCCAACATGGGGTTTGCAGGATATCTTGTTAGCAATATATCGCAAGCTGCACTGATCGTTATTGGATGCAACTGCGCAGCAAGGTGACGTCTGCACACCGCTCTGCACATAGTCGCGCTGGTGCTCCTTGACGAAGGCACGCAGGGCGTCTACATTTTTGGCCTGCGGGGTGCAGTAGGCGGCGTGAAACACAAGGGAGCTGAGAAGCCTGTCAGGACATCGCAACCAGAAAGGGCATGTGGAGGTTTGTGAACGTAAGGTGGGATCTACCACTTCCACCGCTGCCAAGCTGAATTCTGTCTTCTGCGCTAGAGAACGCAGAATTTGTGCAGACTTGAGCTTTTTCAGCTTGTCCTGGGGAGCATCAGACTCGGTCAGATAGGCAATGTTGCAGAGCACTGTATGCAGAAATACATTTGGACCACCCAAATCAAATTGAGCACTTGATGTGCACGACAGGGAAAGCACCTCTGTAAGGCCGCTCTTGTGAGCGACGACGTTCACAGCCTCCCAGAATTCATGTGTACGATCAAAGCTGGCTTGACTCATTATTGGTGCGAAATCTTTCACCGCTGATGGCTATCTAGTGGGTAATACCATGCTCCATCCTCCAATAGGATGCTTCTTCTTCTACGCTGGTATGCTGCATTGGTTGAAATAAATACAATATTGATTCTTTGCATCTACAACTGCATCCTACAATGGGGCCTGCTAGGTCTGCAACTTGATTTCATACACCCATGCATCTCTGCGCAGGTACTCGTCACCGAAGGGAAACACGTATTGGTCCCGCAATCCTCATCAAGCAAATTTATCGATTTGATTTCACACATTGTTATATTTACAGATCGCCATCAATGCTGCATGAGTCAAGTCAGTGCCAGGTGCCAGGAGCCAAAGCCCCGCCTCGTCTGAGTTGGACGAGGAGATGGGTCCGAGACCTTGGGCAACAGTTCCTCCTGCAAGACAACACAATGCATTCCGTTGGAATGTGCAAGCCTTGTGCGCGCTGCTTGTCGTTGAGCGTGACAGACCAAGGGCGTCGTGTGCAGCAAGTAGCTTGAGCTGTCGGAGTTGGTGGAAGGCTACGTGCAGTGCGCACTCCGCAATCATTGGAGTAGCAGCGATAAAGGCTGAAAAGCTTTGCTTTTTGTGGGACCTTGTGGGCGCTTGACAACGAGCGTTGAGGTGAGTCTCAGGTATCCCAGGTGCTTTCCCAGGTGCTTTAAGAATTCCCTTCGTCATGCTTTTGGAACTTCACCAACTCCTCAAGTACGAGGCTTCTGTCGTATAACTTTTTGTTACTGGTAGGTCACTTCTAGGTAATAGTCACGCCTAGGATTCAGGGTGCTTTTGAAGAGACCCCTCTCGCAGCCTGGCAAGTTCCATAAAGCTTCTGGCCGTGATCGGTCAGCTCCTGAAGCCCGGTCGGGGCAATCTGTTCTATATTGTGATGCATTTAAGATTGAAGGGTGATGATGGTCTGCATGCATGGTTAATGCTGCCTGGCCAGAGCTAAAACAGCAACACTGACAAGGGGCGATGTTGGTCGCCTTCTTTTTGTCCGTTCCTGTGTTCTCGTTAACTTATCGTCACACAAGCTAGTGTCAAATGCTCAAAGACCACATCTGAAGTCTATTGTTGTCCTTCTGCGCAGTAGGCTTAGTACTGGCAGCGTCCCGCTGTGGCTGTGTGTCTGCTAGGAGTCCTTCTGAAAAGTTCTTGCACCACCATGCCGATGTCTTCATACATTGTTTGCAGGACCTTCTCTGGACCAAGACATGCTGGCTGAAGCTCAGGAGGAGCTCCCAACAGAACCTCTTACATCCACCGGGCTCAGGCATCACACCACACCACTCGACCAGAAGGAGGCCCTGCTGGACGGCAAGGCCGCCCTGCAGATCACTGCCAGCGCAGACTCGCGCACGCAGCAGGAGTTTGGGACCTTGCCACGCGCTCCTGAACACAAGGAGCACGCGGCAGGCTCCCAGGCCCCTGCTCCCAGCACATGCAGCCCACCCCCTGACATGCACCAGGCTTTAAGGGCAGAGGGCAGCGCAGCGGTGGAGGGAGCGCCACAGCGCGCCAGCACAGCTGCAGAGGGGGAGGTGCGGCAACAGGGAAGCGACACGACAGGGGTAGTCACAAGGGTGTGGAGGCGAGGGTCTCAGGACAGCGAGGAGGGGGGGTACTCCAGCAGCCCCAGCAGCACAGCCAGCACGCTCATGCTCAAGCCGCTGACGCCAGCGCAGTCCGGGGAGCACCGGCTGCACGGCATCAAAGATGCTTCCGACGCTGACGCCGCTGCTGCAAAGGCGGCTGCCGCCCAGCCGTACACGGCAGCTGTGGGAGCCTTGGATGCTGACGGCGAATCCAGCGATGGCGCGACTGTCTTGCGGTGGGTGATAACGCTAGGCCGAGCTGTATACCTTCAGGAGTACCTAACCAGCAATGTGTGCAGATAAGTCCAGGTTCACATTCAGCAGCCTATTGACCATGTGTATCATGCAGAGGTCAGCATGTGCTTCTGTTGATGCAAGGGAAAAGCCGTCTCTTCACCTGCAGACTTGTCAGCCCATCATTTTGCAGATGCAATGATAGATCACTGCAGCTGCAATGATAGTGTTGCTCGCTGGTCCTCGGAAGGACAAGGCTACTATGAGAGATGATTCCATGGACGTGACCATTCCTGACATGTGCCGTACGCGCGCGCGCAGGTGCCGGGTGTGCCAGACGTCGGCGGAGAGCGAGGAGGAGTGGAGGGAGCACTGTGATGGCGCCATGCACCGCGCGCGCAGCCAGGGCAGCTGCGAGGTGTGCGACATCTCTGCCACTTCGCCCGACCTCCTGGTTCAGCACCTGCAGGGGCGCAAGCACCTCCGCCGCCTTGCCGAGGAGGCCGACGCCGCCGGCGCCAGGTGTGACTCTCTTAATCAGTCCCCCCCCCCCCCCCCCCCCGCACGTGCCAGATGGCTCACCAGCATGACTGGCAATGTCAGCTTGGGAGTTGATGGCAGCAGTGGCTCCAACAGCTTGGATCATACACGATTGTATGTTCGAGAGGACAGGCCGAAGGGAGATCATCAAGTGCATTGGCGGCAGCGCTGCATCCTCAATGCGAAGCACATGGGAACAGCATGCTGTTCTGTGCATCTCTGAAGCTTAGCTGTATGGGTTGGCTGCAGGCAAGCTGCAGAGTACCCATGCGATGTGTGCAAGGTGGTGACCTCCTCCGAGGAGCAGCTGGCAGTGCATATGGACGGCAAGAGGCACAGGAAGCACATTGCAATGGCCGAAGTCACCAGCTCACTCACTGAAGACACCGGCGCTGACGGTGAAGAGCTGCACTGCGAGCTGTGCGATGTCACAGCCCCCAGCTCCACCCACAAACAGATCCACCTCAGGTGCCCCTCTCTGCCAGTTTCTTTTCACAATCATGCTAATTAAACTAAGTGTCTACACTTCACATTATGCAGAATAGAGATGTCCTGTCAATCGGGAGGTCTTGGGGATTGCGAGTACATCACCTGGTATGTGGCGAATGATTGATGTGCTTTTGAGGCAGTGATGCGTAGCATTGAGATTGGGGCGTTTTCTTGCAGGGGCCAGAAGCACCAGAGGCGGGAGAAGCAGGAGCAGCACCTGACGGAAGCTGAGCAGCTGTGCAACAGCACGCTGGACTCTGTGCTCGACGAGCCGGGCCCAGACACCTGCGCAGGCCATGCGCTTCAACCGGCACAGACCCAGTCACCTTCCATGTACTCGACGGAGCCGCAGTGCGAGCAACCTGCGGCCGAGGCAGATCCATCGGCCGGCGCAGAGGCGGCGGCTTCCGGCGGGGCGGAAGCTGAGGCCGAGGGGGATTGCGGGATCTTGGTCTCCCGCGGCCGTGCGGCCGGAGCGAGCGGTGACGAGGAGGTGGAGTTCCAGGGCTGCGGCGTGCCGAGCGCGTTCGCCGACACGGCCGGCTTTGGAGGGAACGCCGCAGGCGACGAGGATGATGACGGCTCCGGCGGCGACGGGCCCGGCGACCGCCTCGGGGCCCTGCCCCGGCGCACGCTCACCCTCCGCCCCTCCGGTATGCGGGTGAGTCACCACGCTTTCAACATGTCATGCATTTCCTTGGGTGCATGCTTGATCCTGGAGGTGGCATGCACCTGCTGAAACATGTTCCAGCAAGGCGTGGAGGGAAGGGGTGCTGTGGCCTGTTGTGTGAGGGTTGCCTTCGACGGGGTGCATCAGGGGAAGCACGTTCTGGCAAAAATCACACACTGGTCATCTAATTATGTTGCAATGTCTTGTGCCTCACCGATGTGAGAGGGTCACGTTGTGATTGCTTGCGAAGGTGCGTTTCAGCCAGAGCTTTGACGACGACGCGCTGGGGAGCGACGGCGAGGATAGCATGCGCCGGCTGAGTAGCAAGCCGCCGCTGGCGCCGAGCGGGGGCAGCGTGAGCCTCGCCGCGCAGCACTTCTGCCCCGTCTGCGGCATCATCGCCACCAGCCAGGCCAACCTGGAGGTGACAACACCCCCGCAGACCCGCTGCAAGACACCCTGATCATATCCATTGTCTATTACTCACCTCCTTTTCCGCTGGACGTTCACGGCAGTCCCGCTTTCTGGCACAGTCGGCGGCAAATGCACAATTTTGGAGGTATCATTGGGAGCACGACTTCCATTTGCAGCAGCAACTGCAGGGAAAATTGCAGGCCCCAAGTGTCTGATGCATTGTGGCTGGCAAGGCTTGCGCTGACGTGCTTGGGTGGGGAATGGCAGGATCATGTGCGCGGGAGGAGGCACGCGCGCAGGCTGCAGTACATTGGGAACATGCCGGAGAGTGAGAGGACGCCCTTCATGCAGCGCGTCGCCTCAGGCACGCCCCTGCTCCTAATTCGAGCAATGCTATGTGTCTCCGCAAGGGTATCCGATCTCAGAATGGTTTTCTGCTGGCATACCCGCTTGAAAGAAAGGAAGGCTGCCGTGGCCCTGTCGTTTGCAATTGTTGAGGCACACCTGGAGAGATCAGGGCTGTACAGGCGTACTTCTCACCTGCCTTATGTGGCATACATGACGTTCATAGGCAGCCCTTTGGGATGTTCTAAGTATGTTCTCTGCAGGTTGGGTTGGTGATTGCCAGCCTCTCACCAGCTGATTGAGGGTGCAGCAAAAACTTTACTGGCCGGTGTTCTCGGCGCAGGCGACTGGCACCTGCTGCGGCGCAAGGACAGCACCAGCAGCACGGGCAGCAACGGCGACGCCATGACGCTGCTGCGCATCGGCTCCATCACGCTGCCCTCCTCCATGGACCTGCGCCAGTACCTGGAGCAGATGCAGGAGGTGGGTGACGGGGACGACGATGCCGGCCCAGCCGCCACCGCGGCGGCGGCCGCGCCGCCCGGGACTGCCTCGGCGCCGACAGCCGCGGCCGCGCACGGCGATGCCGGTGCCATACTCCAGGCCCCAGGTGCGCTGACCTGTAAGCTTAGATATTGGCAGTGCATTGAGTGTGCTCTCAACTTGAAGTAGCTGCTGAATGTCCCTGCGCAAGCAGATTTCATTCTTCAGGGCTGCTCCCTCAATTGATTAGATTGTAGCAAGTATTTTGAGGGAGTGCGCCTGCAAATGTGAAATCTGCTGCTACCCTTCTATCCGTTCAGAAAGTCATCCATTGATTTCCTTAGTTGTTAATGGCTAAACCCTAAAGGAGGAGGCAATCATGATTTGTACTGTACTGGGGAGCAGGCGCGATGACGGATGGGGCTGTGGACGCCCGCACTGAAGCGCTGCGCCCCGAGTGCTCAGACACTAGCGACAGCGAAGACTTTGCAGCTGCTGAAGCCGCCCATGGCGATGGCAGCGGCGATATTTCGAATGGTCCAAAGGAGCGGCACGAGTGTGTTGTCTGCGGCATCACCACCACGAGTGCCGCACATCTGGAGGTGAGTCTCCTGCTGTTTCTTCCGCAGCCACAAATCCCTCAATTTCCTGAAGATACACCTAGGCCGCTACACGCAAGTTGGGTGTGCTCAAGAACAGGAAAATTCCTTTCCCCTGCAACTTGTTGGAAGGGATGACTCAAGATGTATCATCGCTAACGAATGCATGCTTGTCTCATTGGATCAGGCGCACATGCGCGGACGCAAGCACAAGCGGCGGGTGGAGGTGTCGGGCGCGCGCGTGCAGCGGCCATCGTCGCACTACTGCAAGATCTGCGACATCACCACCACCTCAGCGCAGCACATGGCCATGCACGTCGCCGGCAAGGTGACAGACACAATGTTTCTTGCTCCGTTGCGCATGTCTGCTATGCCAATAACGCAATGTATTAGTTGTGCAGAATCCGGCACATTCCTATGCTGACATTTGGAGTGGTGTGTTGACAGGCGCACTTGCGGCGGCTGACCACGGGGCACCTGCCAGCAGCAGCGGCGCAGGCCGTGGCAGCTTCCGCAGCAGCGGAAGCTGCCGTGCTGGGTGACTCAGCGGCAGGCTCGCTGCAGGTCAGGGCCGCCTCCTCCACGTCATCCCGCCAGCCGTCCCCGGCGCCGCGCAGCGCCGCCGAAGCTGCGGCCGCGGCGGCTGCGGCGGCAGCCGCCTCAACAGTGGCGCATAACAGCGAATTGATGACCAGGCTCGACCGTGGATCTTCCTTGAGGTGCCCTCTCTTCTCCGTGCTTTGCTGCGCCTCGTATTTGTTGTTCATGTTCCCTGATTGTCCTATCACAACAAGATTATCACATGAGCCATTATGAAGCACTCCGTGGTGCTGGCGTTGAGCTGACGGGGCTCTGTGCCTTTTGAAGGAGTGCGGATGGCGGCCAAGCTGCAAAGCACAGACAGCTGCCGCAGTTGCACATGCAGCAGCAGCAACAGCAGCAGTGGGCGTTGCACCAGCAGCACATGCCGGCCATGCAGGCGGGCGCTGTGCTGCACCCGTCCTCGCCCTATGGAGTCCAGTACGTGGGCTACTACCCCCAGCAGCAGGCCTTCTACCAGGCCCACGTCCCTGGTGAGCCTTAGCCCTCGCACTTCTTGTTTGACAGCAATATTAGGTGTCCCCAAAGGTTGATGCCGTCCTCCGCTTCTGCTTCTATAAAGAGGTTCATGCAGCCTTGCAACCCTCAAGATTTGGAGGGTTGCAAGGGATATTGCTAGCCTGTGTTATTGCCTGTAGGTTCTCCATATGAGTCCTACAAAAGGCCAATCTATTTGGTGGATGCGCAGGCCATCAGCGCACAATGCAGGGCTACATGCCGCCGGCCGGCTGGGCGCAGTGGGGTCCCCATTCCGGGGGGTTCCCTGGCCGTGAAGCGGCGTTCTCTGCCGCAGCCGCCGCCCCCGGGGCGGCCTTTGCGCAGCACCCCGTCATGTACGCGGCTGCGCAGCTCAGCCCCCGCTACGCGTACGCGGCGATGCCTCCCCAGCCGCAGGCGGGCGGGTATGTCGCCGCGCAGCAGCAGCCGGGGCACTATGTGAATGGCGGGGGCGTCGGCTACATGGGTGCTGCCGGCGCGGCGCCGTTCGCGCAGCCGGGGCTCCAGCAGGGCGCAGACTACAACTGCGAGGTGCGATAAGCGCTGATCTTGCTTTTGCCTAATTTCCTGGTGATCAGGCTCTCGGCCCTCCCTGAGTGCCTGAGATGGACTTTTCAGAACAAAAGAAGTACACCCGTCTCGAGATACACGGCCTCTGCTAAGTGCCCAGAGGCATGTGGCGCCGTCTGGATTCTGGCAGTGTTGCAGACAATAGTATTGTTGACGGAGCACTGCAGGCGCGAATGATGAGTGCTAATCAGGGATGGTGTGGCCGATCAGGTGTGCGGCACAACTGCAACAGACCTGGAGACCTACAAGCAGCACATTCGCACCAAGCCGCACTTGCGCCGTGTCAACAACAATCACCGCCAGTAAGGGTCTTGAAGGGATGAGATTTAATGCCAGAGTATACTTGCCTCTGCGCTGCTCGCCTTTCATCTGAGAGGCAGTTGAGGGCAGCAGCTGGATAGGAGATCATCTCAATCAGGGGGCGTGGAGCTGCCAAGTGGCAACAGGGATATAACCTGCCCGTGCAATGCATGAGAGACTGTGTGTCTGGAGATAAGCAAGGCGCGTTGGATTGTAGGAGAGGTTGAATTTTTGGCTGAAGCTTATGGAAGGAATTTGTGGGCTGGAGAGCTATGGACCTGGGTGGAGAGGGGAGGAGTGCTTGCTTATTTGCTTTATTGTTTCAAACGGACTACTGCAGCACCCAGAATTTGCGAATATTGTTGCACTGCACACCTGCGGTTCAGGAGTAGATCTCTATTGCACTTTCACATGCATTTCTTTTTGGAAGCCCTTGTACGCATGGCTGTTGCCCCGTTGCATGCATACTCTTAGTGGGTGGGAGGCAAGTCGCCGCATGATGCAAGCTAAAAGGATTTGATACGCTGCACGAGCGAAGCCAGGAACCCCTGAGTAGCCTCTGTTCGTGCTTCTCATAGATTGATGGCCATGTAGGAGGTTTTGTTGCAGAGCACCTGATGGGGATGGAAAGCTTATGTGGCGAGAGGGATGGGCACTTGCAAGCATGGAAGGTTGCCTAATATTGTAAGTTCTAAGTTCAGAGGACTGTTGAGTAACTTGGACCCGCATGCGCATCATGATGAGTGTGCCAGGCTATACTTGCAGTGTTGCGATCTGTTGAGTGTTGTCATCACAAGGCCTTGTCTCCATGAAAATCATATTTTTTGGGTGCAGAGAATACTCGTGACTGTTTTGAAATTGCATGTATCTAGATAGGGGACCCGCCAGTGCCGGTGCGCTCAAAATGCCATATGTGATTCCCTTTTTGTGTCAGTTTGCCTCAAAACAAGCATCTCTGAAGGGCTGCTTCATGCTGCATTGCATGCACATGCCGGCTCATTGTGCACAAGTAGAAGCTCATCGATAGAGGCTCAACGTGCTCCCCGAGTGGCACCATCCGCTTGTCATCGTGAGCGTCTGGGCGGAAAAAGGTACATTGATGCTGAGTGGCTGGAGGCTCTTATAGGAGGTTCCGGGATTATGTCCTGCCCAGGGCCTGACCTGGTGAGTGAGTGAGCGATACAGAAACTGGGAGTGAGTATTGCTGTGCCAGCTCGGGAGTCGGAAGTTCTCACCTGCTGTTTGGTGTGCTTGCATCGCAGTCCCAAATACGTTCAGCAACCGGAGATCGCAGCGATCAGAAGTGCCCATCGGCTGTTTCTGTGCCGCTCAGCGTTGCATGTGGGTCGAGGCTGGAGCCCCGCGATGCGCATCTGTGGAGGACGCAGATCAGTTTTAGTTACGCATCGCCGCTCATCGGCACCAGCAGTGCCGGACAAGGTTCAGCGGAGCAGAAGGCATTGATCCGGGGGCTTGTGCAGGCAAGCGCTAGTGGACTCGCTAGTCCTCAGTCCTCAGGGGCTAGACTTTAGCCCATAACCCAGCCGCCATTTCTGGGCGATCGGTGTCGATCGATCATCGAACAGACCAGCTAGCATTGCAGGCGACAGTCGCAGCCAGGCAGAGCGCGCGGGGGCAGCAAAGCCAGCTTGACCTTTAGGCAAGCCCTGACGCCAGCCGCTACGATGCTCTACACCTTCACCCACTACGCGACGCTCTATGAGCTCTACGTGGGCCTCCTGCGCGGCCTTATCGCCGTTGCAGTCTGCCTGTCCATGCTTATCAGCGTGGATCGCCTCTACAAGGTGCGGGTTCTGCCCTAGAACGTCTCCTAGCACGCTGCATTGCTTTGTGGGCACCCACAGAATATACACCGGAACTGACATCCACGTTTGGTTGCTGTAGGTCTTCGTCTACATGAAAATCCAGATGAGGACGAGGCTAACAGGGCGCAAGCCAGAGCATGAGTTTTCGGCGCGTCCTCTACCGGACCCAGCAGCATACAGCATGGTGTACCCAAAGGTACACAGCATGATCCAATGAGTTTTTGTGATGCATCTAGTGATATGGGAGTGTTGTGGAGGTTCAAAGGGTACAGAGGAATCGCGGTGGCGCTCAGTTTCGTGTGTGTTCCAGGTCGCGGTACAGCTGCCCATGTTCAATGAACGGGCTGTCTGCCAGGCCATCATTGACTCGGCGTGCGAGATGCATTGGCCTAGCGACAGATTCTGCGTACAGGTAAGCACAGCACTGCGATCGGCCCAAATGTCTGCGCCTTTCTGAGCAATACGCACTGCCAGTTGTCACGCATCTAGAGCGCATCAGCGGCGAGGTGAGAGCCAGCCTTCGCTAGGGGGCGGCTGGGGTGCCATATATGTTAACTAGAAATAACAGGCTCAGATCGGGACGTGCTGCGTCAAAAAGATCAACGCTTAACGAAAAAGCACAAATCATATTAGGATGTGAGCTCAGCATAAAAGTGGTACTAGGTGCCAGTTCTGTCCATAGATGGCGATCAGAAGGCGTGCTGATGGCCACAGCACACCAAAGCAGCCTGCTTGGACTCTCAGCTGGGATGTCTGACACAGCACAGTGGCAACTCTAGATGCTTCAGTCTCATGTCACCCACAAAATTTAGCCACCGAGCGGGCGCAAACAGCAGTGCTAAAGACTCAGTCTTGCACCTGATGAACGCTAGATGTGGCTGATCAGACTTGATCACGCCCGAGAAGGTGCAGGATGCAAAGAGAAGCTGCTCAGTACAGGAGTGCGCTCACAGCCTCACCCTTTGTTGCCCTGCCACAGGTGCTGGATGACTCCACCTGCAAAGCCACGAGGCAGCTGGTGGACGAGAAGGCTGCAGAGTGGGCAGAGAGAGGCGTCAAGTGCGAGGTTGTGCGCCGCACCAACCGCCAGGGATACAAGGCCGGAGCCCTCAAGGACGTGAGCGCCGATCACCATCTCCCTGACTGTGCTTGATCGGCAACTGTTAAAGTGACCCTATTCAGTCATTCCCTGGCCCCTTTTGCCTTACTGTTGGGCATCTTTGTAAAGCTGCATCTTTGCCGGATGTGCAACATGTAGCAGATCGTGTGAATATCTCAGGTGCCTGGAGTACCATCTGACCATGCCACAAGCGTGATTCCTAGCACATGCACTGGCAAGAAAGAAAGCACCACTGTGCATGCGTGACGTTGTGTGCTGAAAACTGATCTGGGTGGTGCAGGGCCTGGACCTGTTGGGAGACTATGACTACATCGCCATCTTCGATGCTGACTTCAAGCCGGAGTCAGACTTCCTGGTGCGTCTCAGAATTTTTTTAATTGGGAAATTTGTGCTTGCCAGTGCCTTATCTGCTTATGCACATGCTTTTATAGCTGCTGCTGCCGGTGGTGGTGAGCTTCGCAAGATGCCAGATGCAGGGCACCATGAATTTTAGACATTCCACCGCTCCAGCTTACTGTGGTAGCTGTTCAAAGGCAGCAAATTGTTCAGCTTGAACTTGGAAAATGGATTTTGCGCCCTGGTGCTTGAGATGCTCTGTACCGGTTGTCTGTTAATTGTGCTTTAGCAGACATGATTTGGCCAGATGGGCATGGCATGACTGTGGGTAATGTTTCTGTTTCTGACATCTTTGTTATTTATGTATGCAGATGCAAACCGTCCCCTACCTGATTGACAACCCCGAGGTGGGCTACGTGCAAGCCCGCTGGGTCTTCGCCAACCCCGACGAGTCATACCTGACTAAGGCCCAGGAGATCTCCCTCAACTTCCACTGCAAGTGCGAGCAGTTTGTCCACTTTGCCAGCGGCAGCTTCTTCAACTTCAATGGCACTGCCGGTGCGCTCTCTTGTCACTCACAGACCTGTACTTTGTCATTCTGACACCGGATGACATTGCAAGAATGGCATGTTTGTGGTCACCATACTGACTTGACTGCGCTAGACATGGCGACTTAGCTGGGCATGTTCTGCGCTACATACTGACGAGCCTGCTGGGTGATCTTGCATGAGTGTTTAATGCATGCATAGCTGGCTCAGCACCTGCAATCCAAGGCCAATGCCTGAGGCCAAAGCCCAACCCAATTCCACTCCCCTCGGGCAGTAGCCTAGTGACGCTGATGTCATTGCATTTAATCAACAGCAAAGCTTTGATCTCCTCCTACCTTGATTGACCTGTGCGCGCGACACTGTCAGCTTTGATTGCTTTATGAAAGCTCTGAAGCAAGCGCACTCGCAGTGCAATGTGATGCTCTAGCCTGAGAGGATTGGCTGAATGTGGCAGGCGTGTGGCGTCGCAAGACCATTGTCACGGTCGGCGGCTGGAAGTCTCGCACTACAGTGGAGGACATGGACCTGTCTCTGCGTACCTACGTCAACGGCTGGAAGGCCGTCTACCTCAGTGACACCACCTGCATGAACGAGGTGAGCTCCCACTCCTTGAGCACCCTAAATTCACGCGCCAAGACTCAGGCTTGAGCCCATTAGATGGGGCATGCTGTATCAGTTGCAGACCCCGTTCTTGCTGCCGAGGAGCACTCCTGGTGCAGCAACACGGGTACTGTGTCGAGTGAGGCATTTGCAATATCTTTGTGGGTGTGCAGAAGTTGGAAGCGCCCGGTCTCTCTGTAGCATGATTGCCCCTCGCTTTTATATATTCCCATAGCCAGAGACTGGCATGGCTCAAGGACTTATGATGATCTCCTAGCATCTGGTCATTAACATCATACATACATTGTGAGTGACCGTGTGCCAGATGATCATCATCAATTTCAGAGATATGTGGTGGCCAAAGATGATCTGATCCTTCTGCGCGGTGTCTGACCTGAGTTCTGTGGCCTGCGCAGCTCCCCGCCAGCTTCTTCGCGTTCAGGAAGCAGCAGCACCGCTGGACGTGCGGCCCAGTGCAGCTGTGGCGGCGTTGCTCAGGGGACATCTGGAACTCCAGCCTCCCCCTGGCAGCCAAGCTGGAGCTCCTGGTCCTCTACTTTGGCATCCGCAAATTCGCCACCCACTGGGTCTCCCTCGGCTTCTTCTGCACCCTCGTGCCCCTCTCCGTCTTCACCCCCGAGGTGTGTGTCCTTAAATATCTTCTCGAACCCCTGGAACTGCACCTTTGCAGAGTGCACCCTCTTGCACCCTCGTCAGGCAGCCGTGAAGGAGACACACTCTGTTTTCCTTGTGATGGCAGTCAGCAGCCACTTTGCCACTATGCCGAGCGGTGAGGAGCAATCCACTGGTCTCTGCCCAGATGCTCTTGAGCCGTAATCACTCGACATACTGCCAGTCAACTGGAGATGGGCTCAACAAGCGGTGCTGTTGATTGTTGTGGAGCTGTCGCTGTTGCTGTTGGCAGCTATTGGCCACAGATGAGTAAAGCAGGCGCTGAGTAGTTTGCATGCGTGGCTGTGCAGGTGAACATCCCTCTCTGGGCGCTGGTGCACCTGCCGGTGGTGGTGACCATCACCACAGCAGTGTTCACGCCCAAGGGCTGGCTGCACTGCATCCTCTACGTGCTCTTTGAGAACGCCATGGGCATCGTCAAGCTGTGGGCCGTCATCGCAGGTGCGCTGCTGTCTGGCCCACCGTGACCCCATCTCCCTTTTAATAACGGTGCCTAGGGGCGGTGATATTTTGGGTTATCAATGTCCGAATTGTGGGAGGTGGACAGAGACGCGACAGGCCTTGCCTGAGGCAGGACCTGTCGCATCTTGCTCCCCCTTCCATGCTTTGAGGCTTTATATGTCTATATAGGACACTGCTGCGGGCAGGAGACTGGCTTTTATTTCTTGATAGGAACTTGCTGCGGGTGGTATGAACTGCAAATGGCCCCCATCTGTGTCTGAACTGGCCTGCAGACGTTCCTGTGCTTCTTGACATGCCTGTGCAAGGGGAACATTTGCTGACCTGGCGTTGTGATCCTGTCTGCGCAGGCGTGCTTGACCTGAAGCAGGCGCAGGAGTGGGTTGTCACCACCAAGCTGGGCTCCTCCGACAAGCGCCCCGGCACCGGCGCGGGAGCGCCGGCCCCCGTGCTGCGTTTCTACGCCAGTGAGATGATGATGTCCACCTTTGTGCTGACCGCCGCCTTCTACGGCATCTTCTCCGTCAACAAGTGGTCCTTCTCCATCTTCCTCACCCTCCAAGGTAAGCTTCTTCTTTTTTACCCACCCTTTGGGGTTCGAAGGACCTTGAATGGAGGACTTATATCACCCAGAGCCTCACAATGCATGTAAGATGTGGGCTGTTTGGAGCGTGCTTGAGAGCTGGGGGATGATACCCCACCTTGTGCAAGCTGGCCTTGTTGAGCAGTCTGGTAATGAGTGGAACCTGCAAGGTTGGGATGTTCTACAGCTTTAGAGTGTCAATCAGTGACATGCAATTGGGATGAAATGCAGCCAAAAGGCTGTGTGCATGGCAAGTGTGATTGTGCAGAGGCTGACGAGTGTGGTGCCTGCTGCAGGGCTGGTGTTCTTCGCCTTTGCCTTCAACATGGTGGACTGCGGTGGAATCCTGGGCGGCCGTCTGGGCAACAACGTCAACATGCACGCTGCCTCCCTGAAGAAGGCCAAGGTGGGCCCTTGCACAGATCACATCTGTTCTTGACAGCCTCCGTGCCTCTTCTGTTGCCTCGTCTGTTGATTTTGCAAACACAATCGAGTCAATGGCTTGTCACTGAGGCTGTATTCCCTTAATTTGCTGCACTAAGGGTTCATTCCTGACTCATATAAACCACGACTCAATAACTATCTGCAAGTGGGTTTTCTTGAGTTCTGTATCACCCCATTTTGGGACCGCAGCTGGCCTGTTGTTTCTGTAGGCATGCTCTGAAGGAAGGAAGGTAGGAAGGAAAACATGTATCGGCCACCAAGGGCTGATTGGTTGTGATGAAAGCCTTTTAGTAATTAGTACTATCCATGACAAATTGTGCAACACTGATGGTCTGCATCACTTGTGTACAGGCGGCAGCGGATAGCTACAAGGCGACCGGCAACAAGGGGTGCAACATGGTGTCCGCCGCTCGCAACCTGTCGGTCAACGGCGCGGCGCTCAAGCCGGCCTACAGTTCCATCTTGTGATCTGCCACGTCAGGGAACGCCTGCGGCTGCCCGCGGCGCTGCCACCTGCCCGCTCCGGGCAGCCTTGCGCTGCCCGCCGGGCAGCGTCCCAATGGGCAAACATTGTGGGCTGCAGCACATTGGCTGGAGCTCTCCTAGAGTAGTAACATCAGGACCGGACTTTTGAGGTGCGAGGGAGGTGGCGCGCTGTTCTGCCTCTCGGTGGGGAGCTCGCGGGCTTGGAGTTTTTGCTGTTGTGCGCTCGGCTGGCTCGGGCTGTTCTGCTGCAATTCTCCTGGCGGCTGCTTTTTTCACCGGGTGGGCTGCTGCGGAGGTAGGCTGCCTGCAGCAGTAGGGTTCTGAGAGCGGTGTGGGTGCCACCCAGCTGGCTGGCAGGCAGAGAGAAAGCAGAGACAAGGGCAGGGGCTAATGGATGATACACAGGCGCGGCTGCCTGATTGTGATTGCTTACACTATTTGTGGAAGTGCCAAAACGAACGCTGCTCCCTGCTATGCGAGTGCGATGCCGAGTCAGGCTCCTCTGGAGAGCAAAATTGGCCCTGACCCCTAGAGCAATATTAGGATAATGTGTGTGGTACTTTGGATACATTCATGTCCCCCCGACACCGTTTATCACCCCTTGTCCGGAGCGCTGTCGCACACGTAGCAGAATAGGCTGTCAGACGGAGGGCTTTTGAGAGACGCTGGCAGTCAGCACCCTTATTTATGCTAATGTTGCACACGGGCTAGCACGGTTCCACAGAGGCTTCCTGAAGCACTGTTATGTCTGTGTCCCCGCCATCGACAGCAGGTCCAGCACAGAGACTGGACAAACCATTCCAGCTTGAGAAGAGAGTGAGTCGTCTCTTGCTAGCACCAAGTCCTGTCAGAGTGCACTTGTCGCTTACCCATTTGTCTGGTGCTGTTTCCACGCGTCACTGACGATGACACAATCTTCCTTCCAAGGGTATGATGTTTGGACAGATGATTTGCAAGGTTGAGGCAGCTGCATCCAGCTTCGTGCTGGATTGCCGCTCCTAATAATTAGGCAATGTTGATCCCCTGGATCTGAGTGGCCTCCTCTGCAGTCACTGACAGAGACGGCGCTCTGACAACCTGCTTTTAGGCGGTCAAGATAGGACGGACGAATGCTGCATGTCGGCGCTGCATGCGCCCTAGGACATGTGATTGTGGTACTTGTGTTCGCTCTGCTCTTCTTTTGTGGTATCTCTCGCATTGGCAGCAGGGGCTATAATGGGGTAGTAGATTCCGGGGCCCCCTAGATATGGGGCAGAACGATGAACAGGGACCGAAGCACTGGTGAGTAGGTTTCTGCTCCGACAAATTGGCACTTGCAGCGTAGACTCACTTGCAGTACTACTTACGGATCCCCCTGATGGGGCCTCGATGACGAAGCTACCGGCAGTGATGAGCTTGAAATGAATTGCACCCCCAGAATTTTGATTTGATGCTTTGCAAGGAACGCCCCTCGTTGTGACCCGCCACCTGCATGCAGCTCCAGCTGGGCTCCGGCTTTGAGGAAGTGGGCCCTTGCGCCCGGGGTGGTGTTTTGGAGGATGCACCGAAAGTATTCTGAAGTGGACCCAGCTGCTGCCTTGTTGCTCATTGTAATACACCAACATGATCAGACGCACAGTCCTTTGGGGTCGAGCCTTCGGGTTAGCTGTCCATTGACACACACTGAAGCACTCACTGCATGCATCTCGAAGTGAAGCCTTTGGAACTTCCACATTTGGAGTAAACAGCACAGGGGTGTTGATGGCACCGGGTCCAGCTCATGTGCATGGCGTGACTAAACTTATACATGCATGACCCTTTAGATGGAGACTCTCAAGCTGGGGCTGCCTATTGACTAGCAGTCTCCATCAGGCATGACCTAGTCTAGACCTTGCAAGCACATCGATTGTCATGCAAGTGTGCTGTACGGCCGAGCCTGGAAGAAAAGACTGGGTGGAGGATTGATGCATGGGGGGCGCCACCCTGGTCACAGGTTGAATCATCAGTTGGACCTTGGACGACCCTCGTAGGTGGCGCCTGCCCCTTGATCAAAAGTACAGATTCTCGAATTCCCCACTCTCCCGGCCTCACTCTGCCACGGTCGGGGACTGATCCAACGTGAGGGTGTGCGAGCCGTTGTGTGGGAAGGCACAAGAAACGGGAACACAGACCGGAGGGGCCGAGGTTTCCGTACCACCCAGTAGCAGAGACTCTTGGGCACTGGGTTCATCATCAAGATCCATTCGTGCGTGATGTGGGACTTGCCGAGGGGATCAAGATGGGGCATCAAGGCATACAATAGCAAAGATCTCTCTGCATGCAGTAGCTCTTCCTCCTGACTTGTTATGGCGTCGCTCGGCCTCTGATACTCAGCACAGGGCGTCGCAAGCATGCTGCTGTACACTTTCACGGCCTACAGCAGCTTCTACGAGCTTTATGTGGCCATCCTTGGCAGCGTGATCTCCGTAGCCATCGTCCTGTCGGTGTTCGTGTCCCTGGATCGCCTGTGGCACGTTCTCAAGTGCTTTGCCTTCCTGGCAAAGGCCAAGCTCACAGGACGGAAGCCAGAGGATGCCTTCACGCCTGGGCCACTGCCAGATCCTGTCTACGAGGGGCATCTTTTCCCCAAGGTTGCTGTGCAGCTGCCCATGTTCAATGAGCGGGCTGTCTGCCAGGCAATCATTGACAGCGCCTGCGAGATGGTCTGGCCGCGGTCGAGGTTCACAGTGCAGGTGAGGGCTCAATCTTTGCTTCATAATGTGGTCACAGTGCAGGTGAGGGCACATTCTTTGCTTCATAATGTGCTTGTCCATTGCCCAGCTGCTGCTGCTGTCCTGTGAAATCCCTGCCTGAACAACTGGCACCCCTGCAGCAGCACACAGCAGTGGGTGTGGCTGTGTGGAGCATGCTTCATGCCATGAAGGATGCTTGTAGAGCAGTCATATCTCGAGAGCAGGAAGTGACAGCGCCGCTGCAGTGCAGCTTTGCACGGTGATCAAGTAGGTTCTAGGATTAGCAGCTCTCCAACTCTCCACAGACGAGGGATCATGTCACAAGAATCATTTTTCTGCTGGCTGCAGGTTTTGGATGACTCGACAGATCAGGTCACAAGGGAGCTGGTGGATGACAAGTGCCTGGAGTGGACAGAGCGCGGCGTGTCCTGCGAGTGCATCAGGCGCACCCACAGGTCCGGCTACAAGGCTGGGGCGCTCAAGGAGGTGCGCTGCCCTCTGCCTATGCTTCCCAGCTTGCTCCTGTTTCCCATGTGACAATGGAGCACAGCATGCCAAAGCAATTAGGCAACAGAGTTCCTGCATCGGAAACTGATGGTATTTGCATGCATGGGCCATGCATCATTCCTGCTGAGCATCTCCATAATATCTCTGAGTCCTTGAATTTGAGCCTTGCATTCTCCACGCATTTTCCATGCATTCTCCAGCAAGAAGCACACAACCTGCGCTTTTAGAACCTGGACTGCAACAGAGGACCCCCACCGGCAACTCATGGTGTGACGCATGGTGGATCCAGGGCATGAACTTCCTGGTGGACTACGACTTCATCGCCATCTTTGATGCTGACTTCAAGCCAGAGCCAGACTTCCTGGTGTGCTCTTACCTGGCACATGTGGCACTGCATGCATGCCACAAGCCTTTCATGGCCGTCATGGCAGGCATTGTTTGCATGTCAGCACATCACTTTTCTCACATTGGCCTGCGCAGAATGGTCCACCTAGTGTGCCATCATCGTGATCTTTGCATGCACATCTGATCTGGCCAGACATGGTCATGTCATGAGGATGAAATCAAAGTACAATGCAACACGTACAAGGCAGTGCGACCACTGAGAGGCTAGGATCAGGATTGAAATGAGAGACGCTGCAATACCGTCTGGATAAGATAGAGTGAAAAGTAGCTGTGTTGTGCAGATGACTATGGTGCCTTGGCTGATCGACAACCCGAGCATCGGCTATGTGCAGGCGCGCTGGGCCTTCACCAATCCTGAGGAGTCCTACCTGACAAAGGTCTGCGCTGCCTTTGTGCCCGCTTCTTTAAGGTTATAGAAAACACAGGCATGGCAACCAACCTTTGCTAGCCCAGATGATACTCTGATTCATACTACAACCTGACATGTAAGAAGGGATGTCAATGCCATGCACATTGCAATAAGATCTTGGCATTGATTTGACTCAGGACCGAGCTCAGGATATCCTTGGTGCTTGCAGGCGCAGCAGATCTCGCTCAATTACCACTGCAAGTGCGAGCAGTTTGTGCACTTTGCCAGCGGCGGTTTCTTCAACTTCAATGGCACTGCCGGTGCGTGCAGCTCTTGAACCAACATGCACCACAACTCTAGGGATATGTTTTTGTACTTTCGTTCCTCCTTTTCGTTTCAGCCAGACCGGTCAAGATGTGCGGCAGAAAAGCTGCAGATATCTGCTCTTGTAGTCACCGAAAGGGACAGTCGACATGCATGCTTGGTTGAATGAAAGAGTGATACGTTGTTGGCCATATAGCTAGGTGCATCATGCTTGCCATGTACAGAAATGTGATATACTTAGGTGCATCATGCATGCATGGATGGCCCCGGCTGGCGGGGGGCGGGATAAGTAGTGAGCACCGTGCCCACAGTCGATTGGGTCTTGCTTGGATCTGGCGAGTCCATCAAGGGGTAGGATGATGGCCGCCTGGAACTGCAGCTTGTCTGCAGGACACACCTCGCCTCTTGGCAGGAAAATCGTTTAATAATAACAGTGATAATCATGCATGCCTAGTACATATTTTGCTATAATCTTCAAGCGCCAGTGCAGGCATGTGGAGGAGGAAGTGCATTGAGACGGCTGGAGGCTGGAACAGCCGCACAACAGTGGAGGACATGGACCTGTCTCTGCGGGCCTACATCGCCGGATGGAAGGCCATCTACCTGCGCGAGGTCACCGTGCTCAACGAGGTGACTGAGATATCCAACCCCCCAGGTACAAGCATGTACATGCATTCATGCGATCATGCATGCATGCAGCTGTGGGCATTCATCAAGGCTCTCATGCATGGGGGCCAGCATGCATTGGCCTTGTGTGGGTCAGGATGTGCTTTGTGTCAAGTGCAAGAATGGGAGTGTGAGGCGGTGACATGAGGCTACACCATGTCTGATGTCACTGATGCATGATTGAGAGATGTCTTGAGTTGATTTGAATTCTGTTGGAAGGAGCCCTGCAAAATATGCCGTCATGTCGAGGGACAGTGCTGCGACAACAAATTCCTGATGCAAGTTTGTGCGGCTGCCGTGCAGCTGCCGGCGAGCTTCTTCGCGTACAGGAAGCAGCAGCACCGCTGGACCTGCGGCCCGGTGCAGCTGTGGCGGCGCGCTGCGCGGGACATCTGGGCTTCTAGCCTGCCCATGGCATCCAAGCTGGAGCTCATTGTGTGCTACTTTGGCATCCGCAAGTTTGCCACGCACTGGGTGTCCCTCGGCTTCTTCTGCACCCTCGTGCCCCTCTCCATGTTCACCCCGGAGGTGAGGGGCTTTAATTCTTTTGCCAGGCGCCAGCCCTATAAAAATCGCAGACAATCGACGGAATCCAGAGGCTTAGAGGCTCGACGTTTGAATTGCTTGTTGTCTTCAAAGACCTCCACAAGAAGTCATTGCCTTGCCATGGAAGATACACTCGTGGGATTGTGCACCTGCAATCCTCGGTTTCGCATATGCAGGTGCAGAGTCCTGTATGAGTCGTTTTTATTGCTCTCCAAATGTGCAGCACTTCTCAGAGCCATGTGAGATGGGCAACTTGGGATGTTTCACAGGTGTCTATTCCGCTGTGGGCGCTGGTGCATCTGCCGGTGGTGGTCACAGTCACCACTGCAGTCTTCACACCCAAGGCAAGCCACTCCTCTTTACTGTCCACATCCTATTTTCATATATTTTCTGGACGATCTGCAAAGCCTCGATGTGCGAGAAGCAATCTGGGGGCTCAGAATCCATGTGCTCTGCTGCAGGGCTGGATCCACAGCATCCTGTACGTGCTGTTTGAGAATGCCATGGGCGTTGTCAAGCTGTGGGCCGTCGTGGCAGGTCTGTGACCCTCCCTGTCTGGCAAATCTAGTTACTTCACACACAAGACCTCTCATTAGGCACACTCATGAGACAGTAGAGATGTAGACAGGTGTGACAAACTCACGGGTTAAAGGGTGACTGAGAGTTAGAGTCTCAGAAGGGACTTGTGTGAAGTACGGTCCGCTCAAGATCTGAGCATGCAATAGTAATCCAACTCTACACTACAACAGGCTTCAAGGAAAGGCATGACCTGTCTGTGCAGGCGTGCTTGACCTGAAGCAGGCGCAAGAGTGGGTGGTGACCACCAAGCTTGGCGCCTCCGACAAACGCCCCGGCACCGAGGTGCGCCGGCCCTGCTGTCATTCTCTGCTCCTTGCATGCATTGTACGAAATCTCTTACGGCCCTGCGCTGCCTGATTATGAGGGAAACACGTTCTCCAGACATCTGTCCCTACACAGTGACTCCAATGACATCATGCGCTCTCTGGATTGAGCTTACGTTTAATTGTATTGATCTGAATTTGTTAGTGAATGTGTTATTCAATGCCACGTGTCCCTCACTTCAAAAGCGAGTGTCATGGAACGTGATTAAAGTAAAAAGGATGCTTGCTAGAAAATGTAGAAGAAATGAAGAAATGTCGGTATATGAGAACGATGCTTCTTTTGCGCGCAGCATCCGTTGAAGATGCGCACGTGCCGCTTCTACATGGGTGAGCTGCTGATGAGCCTGCTGGCGCTGTCGGCCGCGCTGTACGGCATGGCAGCAGTCAACCGCTGGAGCTTCTCCGTTTTCCTCACGCTGCAGGGTGAGGGGTGCCTTTTGGCAACTTCTAGAGTCCCCCTCTCATGAGTCCTTCTCATGCTCTTGAACTAGGAAGTAGTTGCACCATCCACTGTGTCATGCGAGCATCCTGTGGGGAAGCATGTTCTTCCTTTGCTGTTCTTGTTTCACTGCTGCTGGCCAATCTTGGAGCGCATTGCTCTCTTTGGGGTGACACTTTCTTCTCATTTTAGGAGTGGGGCATCCAGCATTCCTTAGAGCACTGAGTAATTCTGAAACATTGTCAGTGACACATCTAAACACTTGCCAAACTACTAAATTTTCCCAGATTTCCACGGGCAAGCAGAGACTACATGGGCTTGGTTCAGGATCAGCAGGGGAGCCCTATTCAGGCTACAGCATGTTTCAGGGTGCAAGATTCAAAGCTCAATAAGAGGCGATGCTGCGCAGGTCTGGTGTTCCTGGCGTTTGCGCTGAACCTGGTGGACTGCGGCGGGATGCTGGGCGGACGCCTTGGGGATGGCCGCCGCCGCGAGAAGCGCACGCGGCCGCCGCAGCCGGCGCGCATGCCCAAGCGCACCTTCACCATGTGAATCCACCCCGGCCCAACCTCCGGCTCGGCCGCGTGCTTGGATGCCGCGCGATCTGGTTCATCATTTGGACCACCTCTTGAACCAGGCGAATAAGTGGAACATTGGTCGCCGTGGGTAATCATGACAAGGAAGATGATGGGAAGTAGGTGGCCCAAGCAGAGTCAGGCATTGCAAGTCCACTGCCAAGCCCCCCGGGCTGTCCCCCGGCCCCAAATGGTCCCACCAATAACGCAGCACATTACTGCGCAAACGAGTGTGGCCATATACAAGAAGGGGCATACTGTGGAGCTTGGACACATAATTGGATACGGATATTGGTGAGGCACTGCTGCGGTGTGCAGCACATACATATTTATCAGTCAGCGTCTGATTATGCGGCTGCCTGGGCGAGAATAGTTCGTGCCATTTACCCACAGCCCTTCAGTTTCAGTGGGGTAGAGGAGAGAAGGAGGGGTACAGGAGAGAAGAGCTCAGGTCTTATGAAAATAATGTGCCAGCAAGCTTGCTCCAGGGCTGTTATCACTGCTAGCGCCTCTGACAGACGAGAAAGGTGGAGAGCTGGCCCGCTTGAAGACGGACCTTATGTGAGCGGATGTGAGCTGAGTGACTCCCACAAACTGTCAGATGCTAAATTCAGCATAATGAATGGCGAACACCGCTGCCTGGCCACAGGAGAAAGACACCTGAGAGGTCCAGGAATACCAGAGGCCAGTAGCGGGGCTGTACAATTATTGGGTGATTTCCCAATTCCTGCCAGGCTGCTGGCAGGAGAAGCAATGCCCCTCGCCAGGCATTCAGTGAAGGTGTCCTTGAGCTTTGCCTGCTGTACAGATATGAGCAAGCTGACTCTGTCGTGAACTATACCCAAAGCTGGAGTAGAGAAAGCACAAATTTGTGATCCACTCGAGCGTATGATGCACTGTGGGGTGCAGATACAGCGTCACTGTGTATGAGCGGAGCACATTGATTTATGGGTTCAGCGGGACACTGAACATGAGCATCGGGAGGAGAGCACAGTGTGACTGCAGTTCAAATGCAGGCGACCGAACTTGATGGACAATCCAGACATCTCTTGCCACAGTCACTTTACTCAGGAAGTCAAAAGGGTATATATAAGTATTCCGTCGAATACCCAGGGCATCGCATGCCATTGCCTTGGAGTGGGCTGTCAGATTCCGACAACTTCAATGTGCTGCCCAGACTTTTGTGCATGTACCTGTCGTTAGGTGTAGAAGAGAACTGCCACTCAGAGACACAGAGGAAATGTAGATGAGATACTGGTAGCTAGCAAAATAGAAGAGTCCTTTGTGAAAATCTTGTAGCTAGGCACTTCGCCTTTGAGGTTGTCTTCAGGGCCTGCGTGTTGTGTGCTGTGCAGTGAGCAGACTTGCACCTGATAAACAAACCGTGGGCTTTGTCAGCGCGCAATTCCTTATGTTCCACCATACTACTGATGCAGGGATGAGCATATTGGTTCCTTGTGTAGCCAGGATATGCGCATGCAGGCCCAAGCATCCATATGTGATACCATTAAATTATGTCAGATTTTAGTCTTAAGCGCTCTAGTAGATATGTTGTGAGTTGTGTCGCCTTGCCCCAGGCCCACATATCAAAAGCAGCAATTCTCCCAGGGATATTTCCCTGGAGAAGTGCTGCATGCCCAGCTTGGAGGGATCCTTGTGGGGTGCACTTAAACGGCACAGACTGTAAATATGCCGCTATGTGTGTGAGGACCTGCGCACTATGCTCGATTGCTGTTGCGACAACAAGTGCCAGGCACAGATGATAGAACTTGTGTGTCATTTTAGTGGCCCAAGGATGTTGCCTGAAATCCTGTGTAATCAGCCCAAGAATTGTTTGAAGAATTGATTCACAGCCGCACGTGTGAACTGCATGACATCTAATATCCTTTACACCAGGACTAAAATTAGCCCACAGCCGGGTTGATGATGAGCTGTCAAGGAAAATACTTCAGCAGCAGAGCTGCAATCTCAGCCGCGCGCTTCCCAAGCAATCTGCCCGGTGCCAACAGCGTCAATCAACGCAACATTTATAATCTTCTCATAATATGATCCTCTCAGACAATGCACAGCCGCCGCCTTCGCGAGGCCAAACCCCTTGCAATAGGGGCTGTGACTCAACTTGAGCATTGGCAACGCTAATGGCGGGGCATGCTGGTATTAGGCGCCAGTCTACCACTTGTCGTTGGAGGCCTGGTCATAAACGTAGGCAGCCACATCCTGGATCTCGTCCTCACTCAGACGGCCGGCCCATGCAGGCATCGCATTCTTGCCGTTGGTCACCTGCGCAGAGAGGAGCATATCAGCAAAACACCAATGCGCACTCTGATGCTTCCATTGGTCTAAACGGCAACGGTGCAGAATGACTTGACTGGAAATGATTGCCACAGGCTGCGGCCTCATGAGCGCATGCATATTGATGTCAAAGCATAAGCATTGTGGCTGGTTCATTTGCAGATGGTACCACAAAGGCTGGGATTCTGAGCGTTCTGGAATTCTTTCTGCAACCAGAAATGAGGCCGATGATGGAAAAGGTTTGCATGCAGTGTGTCGTTGCATGTGAAGTGCAGCTTGCCTGCTTCACGATGGAGTCCACGCTGAAGCCACCGTCCAGGTAGGACACGAGCGCATCCTTCTGCAGGGTCTTCTCAGCCTGCACCACGTTTGCGCCGCCAGTGTGGCACGCAGCTGCAGTGCACATTGCCTTGGCTCAGCCAGAGTGTTCTTTTAGCCCACATCTCAACGGCAGCTGCCTCAACATTGTTTGGTGCCACTACATGAAAGTGTGCTGGAATGCTAGATGACAATATGTAGATTGATCAGCAACTCGCAGCTGTTAAGTCTGCTTGGTCTCAAGGACTGATGGCCCGTTTGAATCCGTGTTCGATGGCCAGCTGCGCATGGGTGCTCAGACCACGCACCGCAGTTGTTGGAGAAGACCTCCTCTCCTGCGGAAAGGTCAGCAGCTCCTGCAGCCAGGACGACCGCGGCCCATGCAGCGCCAGCGGTCAGTGCGACCTTGGCGACCTTGCTGTCCTCGGTCCAGCTCGGGAGCTTAGCGGCGACCTGCGGTATGTGGTTGCACTAATTTTGGGTCATTCTATAATCAGGTAACTTCCTGGCTGCACAGAAGAAGCAGAGAGCTCAAAGACTTATCCAAAGGGATACTCTGTCGGGCCAAAGCTCTGCAGAGAGCGCAAGGTAAAAGAGATAACAGTCTATCAAACGGTGATAAAAAAAATATGGAGATCGTATTTGTTACACAGCTTTCAAGGTCTGACTTGACTGTTGTCCCAAATATCGAAAGGTCCCGAGCAATGCGGCAACGTTCGCTTCTCTTGCGACGGGCACGTCATGAGTAAACGCCTGATTTCCTCTTGATGATGCAGGACCAAAATTCACGGCTCTAAGTACGTGCCTTAGCGACAGCGGCCCTGCTCCGTCTGCAAGGGCGGACAGCCTTTACGGTCAGGGCGGAAGTGCTCAGAGTCTGCAGAGCTGCGGCCATTGTGACTTTCGTACGATAGAAGCTACCTCGAGCACAGAAAAGGATTTTAAGCGTATTTTACGTTTCAAGGCTGATTCTGTGCGACCAATCTCGCACAACTGGATAAATTCTCTGGTACCGTTGCGGTCGGTAGGTACCAGATACGCACGTGAGCTGACACGTGTGAGCTTTACTAAATTAAACTCTCTAGGAGGCTCTGACACAAAGAAGCTTCCACGAATTTGTGCCACAAATCATGTGCAAGGCAAATCTTGTGCACACTGCATGCCCATGCACCAAACAGCGCTTACAATTGGTTTTATAAATTGACGCGTCGCTTGAGCTCCAGAGCTCCAGATCTATCATATCATGCTTCAAATCTATTTCCGAAAGTCCTGCTCCGAGATTAGTCTGCAGACTGTTTCAAGCAAATTATTGTTGCTCCCAGGTAATCATACATTATTGTCCCGAACATCTGTTATGGGACAGACACCTATCTACCCTAACCAATTCAATTTCCCACTGCTTCCCCCTCAATTCCCTCAATCTACATCTGCCACGCCTGCAAACGTGGCAGCAATTGCAATGCTACAACTTGTTAGTTGCCTGGCCAATCCGGCCACGCTCTCTCAGACCTGCCCACGACTCTCGAGCCGCCTGAGCAGGTACGCAATCTGCACCTCCTTAGTCAGCGGCATGACCCATCTCCTGTACAGCTCAGCAACGACCTCTGGCTCCACCTTGTAGCTCACCATGTGCCCTGCCGAGCTGCCTCCCCTGCAAGCCATGAACAAGCCGTAAAAAGAAAGCTGTGCGCCAATGACAGATCTGGAAGCTCTGTGCAACCTGCTCAGCCCTTCTCTCACACATCTGGCTTCCCTAAGGCCAGCATAAGCGTGTGGGAAAACACCAGAAAATGAGCTAAGGGTGCTTGCTAAGGCTCCCTGCCGCCCACAAAAAGCAATCAAGAAAAATGCCATAAAACAAAAGCGATGTGCCACTGACATTCTGCCATTATTGTGCAAGGTGTTGGACCCTTCGCTGACACAGGCTGCAGCCCCACTGCCGCAAAGGGAGGCATCAATGTGTGAAACAACAGTACAACCTGAGCCTAGGTGCCTAAGCTAAACAGAAGGCATGGAGATGCCATTCCAACCAGGAACCAAAGCATTCACAAGACACTACTGCCAAGGGTGACCCAAGGCGGCAAATTCATGTCTTGATGTAATTTGCACATTATTGCACAGCCCCTTGCGCTAGGCAGCCTTCCCTACGCGCAAATGTTTTGCCGTGCGCGTAACAGAAAGGGCCCACCATGTCGTGTCAATGCCAGAACGCTACGTTCCAAAGACTGGCAAAGAAAGGTGACTTTCCACGGCGATCCCTCACAGCGGCACTTGACTGCTACGCCCAGCCTGGCTTCAAGGTGTCAGTGCACAAGTTTGTCACACTGCATGAGTTTGTCTCACCTGTAGGCGGCGGGTGACTGGCCATTCGAAGAGCCGGCAGACCTGGCGGCCACAACGGCTGCAAAGCGGTCCATGTTGAAGCTGTCATCCCCCTGGATGTCCTGCCCGTAGATGGCTGCCTTCCTCCTCACCCTCTCAACCACCTGCCCAGAAGACACACTCTCCTTTACGCAAAGGCTCCACTTGCATCTCCCATGAATGCACTCACGTCACGAACGACCTTCTGCCTCATCCTCGTTTCCCGCTACTAAATATTAGTGCTTCTGCAGGTTTGTGATGCATGCATTGCTAAAGGCGGGATCCGGGCCAGGAAACTACCTGCCTCCCAGTTGAAAGGTAGGCAAGCAGGCCTTCTTCATGAATGTCAAATCATGTATAGAAGATAGTGACCTCTTGCAACATGCCATTTGAAGTCAAACCGCCCCAGATTTCCCCGCGTCAGGGGCGACTCAGCAATGACTAAGGGGTGCACCTTTGCTTCGACGGCCTCATCGGTGAGTAATGCCATGAGGGCGTCTGAGTCGCGTTGCCTGATGAGGCGCGCATACTCCTGCGGCCGCGCGCGGAACTTCGCCTCGGCCACAAACTTGCCGTAGTGTATCCGCTTGGACAGAGCCTGCGTGCGCAACCCACCCCTCAGCCTCTTTCCCCAACGGCGACTGAGCTCTCACATTACTCCGGTGGCGGCGAGCAGGCACTGCTGCAGAGAGTCTGCCGGTACACTTTCTTGAAGCTAAAGCCATGCTCAGCACCAAATGAGCCCTGCATATCGAAGTATCGGCCCTCTTTAAAAGCTCAGGCTCTCTGGTAAACAAATCATGCATGCATGGGCACAAACAAGCAGACACACTCCTGACACCGTCCATTCAGAAGCAGCTGTGCAACAGCCTCACAGTATCATCAACCATCCCCTATCTCCCAATAAACACAAAGAGGCATGCCACGCGCGAGTGATCAAATGGCAGGAAAGAGGGGAGGCGGCCTCGCCTGCAGAGCAAGGACGTCATGGCAAGCGGCGGATCCGTAGTTGTTATCATCCCCTGGCTGAGTAATCCCCGGCACGAGGTGGTCCAGGTACAGCTGCATGATCTTGTCGTTGATGTTTATTTCCCTCGCAAACGGTGCCAACACCTGCACATTTCAGCCATGGCAAAACTCAGAATCAGATAATTCGTTTTGCATGCAAGCTTTGGGTCCTCTCAAGTACTTTCAATATGAAAGGCGACTGTCCGCATGGACATCAGTAAAATCACAATTTAATGTCAACGATTTAGACATGACCTCAAGCTATAGATCTCCACAACAAATTGAGAATCTGCGCTGCTACATTTGACTGCAAAAAGGGGGTTTGGGGGGTCGGAGCCTGCCTCGGGGTATTGAATGGGGGGCAGAATGAGGGGCGGCGAGTCGTGGGGGAAGAAGGGGTGCTCGTCTGGGCTGGTGTACCTCCGGACCTTGCAGTGCATCTGCTCTGTCTCCCACAGCATGTACTCCAGCAAACTGAACTGCTTCCCGTCCGGCCCATAGCCTGCGCTGACAGCCGCTTGCCTCACCGCTGACATCACAGGTGCACCCCAACCCATACTGCCCTCCAAGCGCCAGGCTAATGTGCAACCACTCAGTGAAGCGTTATATTGTTTGAACTTGCAAAGGGCAATCCATTGTCTGGCAGCTGTGGAAATTGTGCAAGGATTTGTGACCATGACAAGCTCCTCTTGTCTCGCAGCATTGCTCCAGTGAAAAGACACAACGATACAACTGCTATGCATGCATGACTGCATGCAGGCCTCGCAGCCGCAGTGCTTGCAGCCTGCGAATCCAAACATAAAAAAGGCAGCCCTTCCTTCTCTCTCTTGCTTGCTCTGCCTTGCCGTCTGCGATTCTCTTACTCCGCTGATTACAGCTGCTCTGCTGCATTTGCCGCCGCCACTGGGCTACAGTGGGCTACAGCTGCTCTGCTGTAGCCGAGTGGCGGTGGGCGCCAAAACACTAAGAAACCACAGTGCACATCAGAGCGCAGGCGTACCTGGCACAGGCATGGCTCCGGACTCGTAGACAGGGCGGTTGGCAGCAAACTGCGCGCGCTCAATGAGGCCGAAGATGATGGTGTCTTCCTGACGGATCAGGCTCTGCCGGATGTTGTCCAGGGACAGCGCCAAACTGTAATCTATCGAGTCGCTGCGCAGCAACGAAGGCGGCAGCTTTGCTGGGGCAGATGGGGCCGCCGATGGGGGAGCCACATGCCCTGCCTCTGCCCTGACCTGCGCGCAGGAAGCAAGACTGCGATTTGGTTGGAGGTCCCTGAAGCTGCAAGTTACTGTTATTGAACCACGCTCAAGCTTCAGGGCTTGACGTGCCCCAGCAACAGCAAATTCACAGGCCTAAAATATGATGTGGCTCTCTGTAGTGCAAGGGGCCAGTACAAGGAAACGAGTGTGTAGGGCTTCTTGGACAGTGAAATGCATCCACAGAAGGGCGAGGGAAGAAGTCAACTACATGATGGTGGAAAAGGGGGTTGGGCAGTTGGGAAGCTGCTGGGGTGCACCTGATTCTGTTCTCTGCCGTGGGACTGCCATCTCTGCAGGGCGTGCGCAGCACACTGGCGCCTGCACTGCAAAGATGTCATGGGCGCAGTAGGAAGCGGGTCTGCCCTCCTGTGTGCCAGAGACTGCCCCCACTCCCCACCGCTAAGCCTGCGCTCTAAGGCGGCACTGCCACATCTCATACCGGCTCGCAGCTCTGCCGCTGCCTTGAGATATGGTGCAGATGCTGCCGCACAGAAGTGTCTCGCTTTATGCCCTCCTCAACGCCTACGATGGATCAACCTATATTCGGTAGGCCTTGCAAGCAACAATCTCAATAACTGCTGCGTCGGGCCAAAAGCCTCGCTTTGAACGTGGGTGGTTCTCTCAACAGACGTTGTCGGTAGGTATATTCCCCGGGAACAAACTAGTCGACCTAGAGAACAAACAGCTGTTCGCCTTCCAAAGAAAGTCCAATTCCTGACTCAGCGAGCGCATAGATCATCGCGCGATCACGTGTACTTTTTCGCCCCCTCCAGCAGGGGTCGCCGAGGGTTGCAGCCCTTCAATGTCACCCTCCATCACCATGCAGTCATCGCTAGAAGCGGGTCATCAATCGAGGATCAAAGCTAGGTCATTAGGCGCAATCGACGGCTGCCGACAAGACTGCAACTTCAATTACACAGGCAGCAATCCCGGTCTGAGGCGTAAGTGTCGTGGGTTGAGAGGGCCTACTCTCCTTGCGATGATGCGGGAGCTCGGCGTCCTCCTGGCCGCAGTCGCCCTGGCCGCGGTTTTGCAGGTACCTTCTAAGCGCAGATGGATGCTTTTATCTGAGTGCATCAATCTGGCGTTTTGCTACGTCGCATCAGTCGAGCAACACGAGTGGGTGCACTGTCGAGTACTGCCCGTGACCCTGTCAAGCTACTAAGACAGTCCGAATCGCTTGTTGCAGGGCACAGCGGCGCAGAATGGCAATGACAATGGGGCTTACAACTACGGGACTAACAATGGAGGCAACAATGGAAACACGAACACGAACGGCCTGGCCAACGGCAACGGCAATGGGAACTACAATGGAAGTGAGAAACCCGCGCAGACGACAACCCCTTCATCTTGCGTTTGCAAAAGTCGAAAGATCTGCAGTGTCGACATCGCTATGGTTGCCACGAACGCAACACTCTCTGAACACTCTCTGTCTCTGCAGATGGAGGCGCGAACTACCAGGGCTACCTGAACGGCATCAGCAACATTGTGAGCCCCCTCAACTCTTTATTCCTCCCCCCGTCTGTACAGCATTCCCCCACAGCTGCGGCATTTCAGAAAATCTCTTGTCCTGCCTGTCTCGCGCGGCGAGCCATGCACTGACGCCGCCGCGCTGCACCGCAGGGCGCCGGCAATGCCAATGGCAACGGCAACACCGGCCTGGACAATGGAATCGCGAACGGCAACTACAACGCGAACGGAGCCAACACCGGCAACGGCAATGGCAACAACAACGTGGGCCTGGTAAACGGAATCGGCAACGGCAACTTCAACGGCAAGGATGTCACGAACGTTGGCAACAACAATGGCAACGGCAACTTGGGGGTTGCCAACGGGGTCGGGAACGGCAACTTTCTCGATGGCACAAGCAACGTGGGAAACAACAATGGAAATGGCAATCTGGGGTCCGGCAACGGGAATGGGAATGGAAACGGCCTCCGGGGGACGGCCGGCACCGGGAGCGGGAATGCGAACGGCGTGCCGCAGTTTCCGCCCGGCTTCCAGAGCTCCGGCAACGGCAACACCAACGGGAACGGCAACGGGTGCGCAATCCTTAGTAATCATTACTAAGCAAGCAGGGGCCTTCATTCGAGTATATAGGTGGGCTGCCCTGGAGCTCAATCATCACTGGTTTGGGGGATATCGATGTGACCTGTATGTAAGCCACCTGACAGGAGTAAAATGAGCTGCAGACAAAATGACTGCAGGGAAGGTCTGAAGCCAGTCCCAGCGCAGCAAGCAAACCAGCAGGAAATTTTGAGCAGTGCCAGAGGAAGACAAGCAGCAAGTTCACCGTGCATGGCCTGTACTTGCTGAGTGTGCATGATGGCATAGATGGTGATATCGCCGTCATATGTTCACTTCAAAACCCTGTATTTGCTCAAGGCCTGTGCATAAGCAAGATTTTTGCTGCGTTCGCAGGCAGCCCAGCGGCGGCGGCACGGGCGATCCGATAATGACGGGCTTTGACGGCCGCGTGTTTGAATTCCTGGGAGTCCCTGAGGCATTCTACAACATCATCTCCGAGCGCCACCACCAGGTACGCGGCGTTGCCTCCCCCATCTAATCATTATTTGGCATTTCTGTGGCCTTTTGGGCAACATTTTAAGAGTTCTCCTGCCTCCTCAATTAGGATCTTGGCTCTAGCTTTCCTTGGTGATGCACGTGCGCATGTTGGGTCCCCGGCAGTTTTATTGTTGGTGCCCCATCTCCCTTTCTTGCAGTGTGACGGCTAGAAGTGGGATTTCTGATCTTCACACCTGTTCCTGGGTCGGGATCTTGCTTTCTGTGTCTCTCCCTTTTCAATGATCCCTCTACAAAGTCCTGCCATGTCCATGCATCATGAGCAGGGGCTCCGATGCTTGCATGCATTGAGATGAGCAGGCTGTGTTGAGAGTTGCTGAGAGGTTTAACTACTGCAGGTGTCTACCAAGCTGAAGCTGGGCGAGCTGTGGGACCACAATGGTACCTACATGGAGGGCTTTGGTTTCCAGTACAGAGACCACGGCGTCATCATGGAATTGGACTCTCAAGACGAGCTCACAGGTGTGACATTTCCGCACTTCCTGCAGTGCTTTTTCCTGTGCTTTCCTGTGCTAGCATGTCACTCATTTACTGTCATTACTGGGAGCTCACTTGTATTTCTGAGAGCAGGGCACTCGCATGCAACAAAGTTTTGGGCTGAGTTTAGGGCTATATAGGCCAAAAGGACAGTGAATGTTGCTGTCTAGAAATGCTGAACACCTCCAGAAATTTCTGAATAAGCATGGCTTCTTGTTGTGCAGTGACTGTCAATGGCGAGCAGTTGATTATGACCAAGGGAGAGACTGAGCTGGAGATGATCCCCTACGTGGAGGGCGGAGAGCTGGTCATTGTGTGGCAGAAGCACCGCGAGGGCCTCGGCAACACCATCGAAATCACCACTGGTGAGCTGCAGTCTTCTGCTGTTTATTCCACCTCTTGCTTTCAGCAGAAATGACATGCAGACATCTAAGCAGTGCGAGCGCCATGGAAGAGTAAGGGCTGCCTCATTAGTGCACACTGCAACAACAACCTCTTGTGACCATTCCAATAATCTCTTCCAAACGCTAGTGTTTCTGGGATTATCAGACTGGATTTTGCCCGAGGAAGCCTGTGCCACAAGCCTTCATGCACAATCAGAAGTGCAGGTTGTCTGTTCCACAGGCGTGGTCATTGGAGAAACATCTGAGCTCTTTATCCCCGATTGTTGCATATATTGCCGCGGCTAAAAAAAGGGCGGGGCCTTAGCTAAGCACAGTGTATGGTTGCCCTTTTGCAGAGCTTCTTCAGGTGATTGTCTGGGTGACCCCCGCTGGCACAGTGGATGAGGGCGGCAAGGAGCAGCCAGCCTACCTCAACTTTGACGTTGCTCTGCTCGGCCCTCCCGCCGGCAGCGAGATGCAGGTAGAGCCCCCTTTCACTCACTTTAATCGCTCTCCTGCCTCCCTGAGGAGCTTGTAGCGCCCACACCATATCTTCTCTTCGCGCCCTTGGACTTTCAATTTTGCTCCATAGGGATGGGTAGGTCACGATAAGCACGGTGCGGTATTTCAACGGTATTTACCCATCACAACGCCGTCCACCTGTGACACGATGTCCTCAGCTGAACTGTGCATCATTCTTTCAACATTCTAAAATGGTGTGCCCAGATTGTCTGGGAGGAGGGTTTGCCCAGGATCACCTGACTGTCATACAGCACTGGCCTGTTATGCTGATATAGGACGTGAAGAACTTGACCACTCATAGAAGCTCTACTGTGTACTTTTCAGGGCATCGTGGGCGAGACGTACAACCGCATGCTGGCCGGGGAGGCAGTGAAGGACCCCAACAATCCCCTGTACCTTGAGGATGACTACCAGTTCCACGGCAAGGTGATCACAGCCACCCATCAGCTTGCCTGCCTGCCAAACTCCCCTAAGCATCCCCGCCGGTCAATCAATTCCTGATTGCAATGTACATGGCATGGCATGTGTGCATATGATGCACTTCCTTCTGTTGTCTGCACTCTGCAGCACTTGTGTTCTCTTTCTCCTCTGGAGAGGGATGGCTGCTCGTAGCTGCAGCTCTGGCATGCACCATGACATTTCACATTAGAATAGGATACTGTCGGCCTGACATGCATGCATGGTAAATGGGCAGGGCTCGGAGGCGGATTACCAGGTGGGGGGCTATTTTGGCGAGCATGCATACAGCCTATTTGGGAAGGACCGGAAGCGCGTACTAATCGAGACGGACGGTGACGATGCGGGCGCCCTAGTGGCTTACCCCCTACGCGCCTCCGGCCGCCCCGGGGCGCGCCAGCTGGCGGCTATTAGTGTCAATCTACCAGCCGCCAACCTTGGCAACCGCCGCATGCTGAGCTCTTGGGTCTTGACGTTGGATATCTGAACTCCCTACTATTTAGTAAACCCTGATCCTCGCAGCTCAAAGACCCGGCTGGACTGAGGCGTTGCCTCCCGGCCGGCGGCCGCACTTTTTGCGCGCGCCGGTGCTGGCTGGCTTTACAGCTGCGGTCTGCAACCATTCTCTCTGCAGAATTAAGTGAGCAGCAGTAGTGTTTCAATAGCTGCTGCCAAGTGGATGCTCATGGCTACAGTGAAAGCTGCAGCTGGGGCAGAAGGAAGTGCCGGTATAATCAATTGACAAGGATGCACTGCGTCACATATGCAAGAAATTAGGAGTGTCATGGGCAATTGCTCAGCCATGCAAAGAATCATGCCGAGGGACAAAGCCTGAGTCTCTTTTGGGGATATACGTAGGTTCCCAGTGGCCCTGCGCATGGTGACTTTGGGTTGAATGCGGGATCCCCAGCAAGGTTGAAAAATCTGCCAGGATTTTGTACACGCGCTAGAGGAAAGAATTGCATGGTGGGCTTTCTCGATTTCTTCGGTCCAGGAATGTCGAAGAAACTGCTGTTTGTTTGTTCTGGTGTCATCTGACACAATCTGGCATGCGATTGCTCTTCCTGAGCATGCATGCCGTGACCTGTGCAGCCTTCAAATAATTATTTTGTTGCAGTATTTGCAGAATTGTGGAGGCACTCTGGAAGAATTCATGTGCCAAGTGCCTCCCGTTTAGCTCTCGCTTATCTGAAGCTAGATCTAAGGAACAATGGATATGTTTTTGAGTAGGATTCATTCATTTTGAGATGATTATGAATGTACAGGCATTTAGCGCTTCTGCGGACAGCATGCTTGCTGTGTAGCCCCTTATTGCGAAAGTATTTGGATACAGATTGTAAAAGTATCCCACAAAATTGTAAAGGAATCGCACCAACACCAGATTCTTTTTAAAGTCTTGCATGCAAACTTTGAATCAAATGTCCGACATTTGAGTCAACCTGCAAGGACGTCTTTGATCAATGCATGCAAATGCACATTTGAGCATGAAAGTGATCTCAAGCCGACAAGACTTGTCTTCAAACTTGAACTTCAAAGTCTGCAGTGGCTACAGGAGCCATATACCCCACGTCCATGAGAGCAACTTGGTTTAGAACGGTGCAGGCCAGGGCCGGTTGTGGCGACGGCTGGTGCTTAATAAAGCCTATTTAGCTTGATGGTGCACTGCAGTGGCACTTGTGCCGCAGCGGCTAGCAGCATTTCATGCTCAGCAGGTGCAAATTGCTGGTTGTACTAAATTTTAATGCTGATGAGTGCTGCAGACAAATGAACAACCAGGGGAGCCTTCTTGAAATAAGGCCCTCAGGGCTCATACTATGAGCCTAGAAGGCTGTAGTAAATTTCCTTGCTGGGGCTGCACACAGGCCCGCAGAGCATACTTACGTTGCCATGTATAAACGCCTCAGCGGGTACCCATCCGGCCAAGTAAATTCAGGCCGGCCCTATCATTCCCGTGTCAAGGTACTCTCAATCATCTGTCGATCACAGTCCCGGCATGCTGCTTCTGTGTGGGCTGGGGAGATGGAGCCTTAGGTCAGGGGATCTATAATGCAGGGTTCTGTTGGAAACTCCACGCTATTGGATATTCTGCTCACTCACTGGTGATCTGCACCGACAAGTCACTTCATTTCTGATCAGTTTCCAGCAGCTGCTCATCGATATGGGGGTCGTCGGTATGAGCTCTGTGCTATTGCAGGCGCCAGGTCAGCACATCTCTGCAATGCTCCCCAAAAATTCCTGATCTTGCTGTTCGACGCTTTTGCGTGGAAACTAGTCATACATCAAATTTCATTAAGTTTCTAGCAAGCTTCATTATTACAAATTTGCTGTAGCGGGATATAAGTGCAGCATGCCGCAGTCGATCTGCTTGCGTGGACCATTAAGAAGTAATCCTGATCACCTGACCGTCTTCAATGCAGGCATGGAGACCCTTCGTTGTACAAGACCATTTAAGAGCGCAGGAAGCTCGCACATTAGAGCACCATCAGTCGTAAGGCCGTGCTGCCGTGCCCAAGCCCAAGATGGACCCACTCCACAGCGACGCGATTTCCTTGCTTTTGCAGCTTCTGCAGGTACTAGCCGACAAAATTGATACAAGAAAACTAACTTAATGTCATTACCTAGGCATATCCGTTCACTCTTTCCTGACAGTCCGTCGATAAATTGGCAAGTTTATGCTTGGCTGCATGGGTCCAGGTATATTGGCAGCCATTGCGAGACCAGAGAATGCTGCAGCAGTCTCTGTTCCACAGTGCGAGGAGCTGACCTCAGCGCCCAATGGTATCCAGTACTGCGAGGTCCGAGAGGGGACTGGAAACACCCCTGCAAAGGGATCCCTCATCCGGTGCGGTCCCATGCTGCCCCGCTGATCATCTTACCCTTCCAAGCATGGCATAAGTCACACGTCGTGTCCCAGTATGTTGTCCAAGGAGCATTGGCGAGAAAGTCACTTGCATGCTGCTGCATGCAATGGGAATAACCACCCTAGATGAAGAAGTCTCTCATGTGCAGGTGTCACTACAGGGGCCGTCTGGCCTCCAACAATGCAGTCTTTGACTCCAGCTATGAGCGTGGCAGACCTCTTACCTTCAAGGTGCGCTACAGCCTGGTGTTGCATGCACAAGGGAACTGAACTTAGACACTATTTGCCTTGGCTCATGGACACCACGATGAAGCTGTAACAGCGATGCAGTGATAGGTAGCGTTGCACGCTGAGCACGCCCCGTTTCAATGCTGCTGGACTGATCTTGCAGTGCCTTTGATAACAGAGAGCATGATTGTGCGCAGGTGGGAGTGAGGGAGGTGATAGCTGGGTGGGATGTGGGCATTCTGGGTGATGCTGAGCAAGGCATCCCTCCAATGAAGGTGACAGCTCTTGACCACTCACTTTGACATCCTGCTGAGGCCGTCATAGATTTGTCCTCTCAGTAAGTAAAATCAGGATATGGGGGTGCAGAGCTGGTGCATTCCAACCAATTGTCCTGGTGTCCTTGGCCTGCATGCCACCACTTTCAAGCCCGCTTACTGACGTCATGTCCTAGCATACCCAAGCTCTTCTTAGATAAAATTTGCCACACAAACGATTTTCTGCGGGTCTCAACTGGCAACTGTGAAACCTACAAAGCGCGAACTGGCCCGGATGCTGATGTCTAATGTGGTGATTATTGCTGACTGGCAGGAGGGGGGCAAGCGTGTGCTGGTCATCCCCCCGGAGCTGGCTTATGGGGACCGGGGGGCCGGGCGGGGGGTCATTCCCCCCAAAGCCACCCTCATATTTGATGTGGAGCTGCTGGGGAAACGGTGATGGGAGATGCCCCAGATGTAGTGCCTGAAGTGGAAAAGTCAGACTAGGGCATCTTGCTAGTGCTTCAAACAGGAGGTTCTGGCCACGCATGGCCAGCTGGATCGGTCTTATGTAGGCAGTGCACATCATTGAGGCCTGAGCGACTTGCACTATGCTGCGGTGCAATTTCCCTTGTGCGCCGCAGCAGCTCCGAGCTGTTGTAGTGAGTCACTTTTGTCAGAGTTGGCGGCTGTTCGTGCCAGTCCTGTTCCTGCCAGTAATGGGCATGCCATTCAAGGCATCGGTCTCGAACGTGGGCAGTCAGAACCCTTGCTGAGCAACTTCTCCGTATCGAGTCAAGCTTTTGAGGGCACGCCTTCTGAGGAGTGCAGACTCTGCCAGGCAGTGCCACAGACAGTGTCGGACTCGAGTGACATTTGCACTGCATGGCATTTCTTGCAATACGGTGCATCAGCATCAAAAGCTCTAGAAAGTAAGGATCACTGATCTTGACCATGATGCCGTGATGCCGTGATTAAGCCTTCTGCCAGAGTCACTTCGAGTCTGTGAGACAGTCTCATTTGATAGTATTCCGAAATCATCTCTTATCATAAAGTGGAGAAGGGCTTCCCCAAACTCTTACGCACGTAATTTGAAGTCTAGAAACTCCCTTGCATGGATATCGATATGCTAGTTTGTTGCATGGCGGCAGAGCAGCTTGTGCGTGGAGCGCGCTCGATCTGATTGGAAAGTGATCGTTTTCCAAGTTCCTGATGCTGAATCATCACGGCTTTGCCACCGTAAGGTCAGCAGTACTTTAGGGCTGCACTGATGGCAATCGAACACATGGGGGTTGTCACCCTGATTTGTCATCCCCGTGTGTCTTGGTCACTTGCACATCGGTGTAAGACACAAAACATCCCTGCCATATAGCGCTCTGTCTGTCCCGCGTTTGATCCACAGGCGTGCAACAGCAAGGATCGGACGAGACGAGACTTGGTGCTTGGCAGAGCAGCGACCGGGTAGAATCTGATCAGAGCGACGTCGAGCAGCGGTTGAGCGCAGCTGCTTGCTGCAATGAAGCTCTATAAGGCGCTGATTATCTGCTATCTGGCAGCTGTGGCCGTCAAGATTGCTAATGGACAGGGCAGCGGCAATGGAAACGACAACGGCCAGTACAACGTCGGTGAGCATTCACTACGCCAGCTCGTGATAGCTACCATTTATTGAGCAGCACTACAGCCACACAACCTTCTAGATGACATCGTGATACATAAGCCGCATGATCGATCTCGGGAGTGTGGGGATCTGATGCGGTTGGCTGCTACTTTAGAGCGAGGGTTCGTTAGCCAGCGCGAGGCGCGTCAAGCTGTGTCGCGTCGCTAAGTGCTTGCTGCTCTTGCTTATTGAGCCCTCTATGGACACCAGATATATTTGCGGTCATCTTAGATGGCCCAGTGTGGACTCCCAGAGGTTTGTTTTTGTTGCGGACTGAATCCGTTCCGAACCGGTGTCAGGTGTAGAGCACAAGCTCTGTGTCGATTCTCAGGATTCACCACACCGCGCCACCTACTGCATCCTTTGGTGCTGAAATACCACTAGCTGAAGGCGAGGGTGCTGTTTGGGTTGGGGAAAGCGGGCGCCTATTTGCAGCCCGCTCGGATCGTCCAGACCGCTTTTTGCTAATCATTTTCCGTTCATCAGAAGCAGCAAAGACAGAAGGAACTGTATATTATCGATTTTTGTCCTACTTATTAGCCACGGATACCAGAAGATCTGCGAAAGCTCGTTGAAGCCAGCTTGCGTTTGCAGGTGGAGGCAATGGGAACACGAATGGCGTGGGCAACCTGGGCTCCTACAATGGCAACGGCAACGGTGCCTACAATACCGGAAACCAGAACGGCAACGCCAATGGCAACTACAACATGTACGATATCTAGGCTTCCCTGACCGCTCTTTCCCACCTGTTGCCACCAGCACTCACTAATCACACCTCTGTGCAGTAGCAGCATGACCCATTCTTGCCTGCTCTGCTGCCGGCTGCTGACAATTACATGCATCCCATGCATGCGCAGTAGCACCCATCAGCTTTATGTGCTGCTCGCAGTGACAGACTTCCGCATGCACACCAAATAGCACCCATGTGTGCTCCTTGATTTGCTGGCGGCTCCTGACAATGTGACGTGCATGCATGCGCAGTGGCAGCCTGAACGGAAACGGCAACGGCCGCGCCAACACCGGGAGCAACAACGGGAACAGCAATGGCGGGTTCAACACCGGGTCCAGCAACGGAAACAACAACGGTATCGGCAATGTCGGCTCCGGAAACGGAAACGGCAACGGAAATGGCAACGCCGGCGGCAAGGGAGACCCGATCCTGTCAGGCTTCGACAGCCGCTCGTTCGAATTCCAGGGCGAGCCCGGGAAGACTTACAGCATCATCTCCGAGCGCTTTCACCTGGTGCGCGGCGTTCCCTCCCTCATGCCACTTTTGTATTTCAAAAGTGAAAAGTGAACCATGCAGGGTGTAGTCTCCAGCACACTGCTGCTGCTGTCGCACCTCTGCTGCCCGTGAAGCGGCGTATTTTCCAGTGGCTCTCATTGTGGCAGTCGCCTTGCTCTGCCTGCCTCTTGAGAGCTCATATAAAGCAATCGCGCACTGGATGTTGTGCCAGGCTGAATGTAGCATGATGGCTGCAGGTGTCTACCAAGCTGAAGCTGGGAGTGCTCTGGGACCACAACGGGACCTACATGGAGGGCTACGGGCTGCAGTACAAGGACCACCAGATCACCGTTGAGCTCACACCTGAGGACGACCTGGCAGGTGCGCACCTTTCTAAAGCTTACCCAGTCCGCCACAGTGCCCGCTTTTGCAGCAAGTGGTCCGGCGGCTCACGTTCTGATTGCCCTAATGCTGCCTCCTGCTGGGGAAGCATATTGTTGCTGGTTGCTTGCTACTCTGCCCCGCTACTTTGGTGTGCATTGAAGGGCAGGTGTGCATGCTGCAGGATGCACTTGAAGCCTCCTACTGGCTTTGCTGTGTTTGATTGCACTGATGTAGTCTGCAGTAATGAGCTGCAGTCCTGCAAAAACTGGCAGCTGGCATCTGTAAGATCTGAAGTCTAGCCGCCTGACTTTTATGTGGTTGGGGCTGCGCAGTGACCATGAACGGTGAGCAGCTGACGATGACCAAGGGAGAGACAGAGTTGGAGATGGTGCCCTATGTGGAGGGCGGAGAGATGGTCCTGCTCTGGCAGCTGCACCGCGAGGGCCTCGGCAACGCACTCGAGATCACCACCGGTGAGTCACCCGCATTCAAATCCATATTCAAAAGTGAATCCAATAATTTTGTGATACTTTGCAGAAGGCCATCATTGCCTGTGCTTAAATATTCAAGTCCCTGGGCATTTATGTCGATTCTGCCCTGACCACAACCACACCCTCACCCTGTGGCTAATTCACAATTTTGTGTGAAGCATACTGTCAACCTTGCCTTTTGGCAGGAAAAGCGTATAAAAATAAATAAAAATAATAATAATACTGTCAACAGTGGTGGATTCTGACACCCTTGGCCCTTTGCAATACTCTCAACTCTTATGTGAGGTCAGTAGTGCTCCTGCTTAGGTCCTAGGAATGTTATTGAGAAAGGAAGCTGACTGGACTCACTTTGTGCATGCGCAGACCTGCTCCAGGTGGTTGTCTGGGTGACACCCGCTGGCACAGTGGATGAGGGCGGCAAGGAGCAGCCAGCCTACCTCAACTTTGACGTGGCTCTGCTCGGCCCCCCCGCCGGCAACGAGATGCAGGGTATCGTGGGCGAGACATACAACCGCATGCTGGCCGGCGATGCAGTGAACGACCCCAGCTCCCCTCTCTTCCTGCCAGACGACTACCAGTTCCACGGCAAGGTGTGTCACCGTCCCTGCCCATCTGCTTTTCTTTGAAATGCGGATGTAAGTCTTCGAGACTCTTCATATTTGAAGCGAATATTAGGGCTGTTGCAGCCTACTCTGCTTGCAATTATCTGTGATTAGAATCTGCCAGATGGCCCAGGGATGCTGTTTCTAAGTTGATGTCTGACTGCAGCTGCCTGTATAGAGCTATATAGCCTGCTGTTCGCAATTGGTTGCATCACTAGAGCTTCCACAATAGGACATTCAGCTAAGTGATCCTGCTACACCCCTTTGTATACTCTCTCCAGTTTGTCACCATCAGTCATGCATGCTGACGTGGCCGCTGTTGCACAACACAGGGACCCGAGGAGGCATACATTGTGGACGGCTATTTCGCGCAGCACGAGGGCAGCGCCTTCGGCAAGGAGCACAAGCGGGTGCTGATCGAGAACGACGCCGTGTCTCAGATGGCATTCCCTCTCCGCGCATTCGGCCGCGCCGCCGCCCTCACAAGTGCTCCACAGACTGTCGTGCTCCGCGCATCCGGCGGCCGCAAGGGCAAGTTCCTCTGAGCTCCAGCCGCCACAGCCTGATCTGGCAGCTGTTTGAGTTTCGGCAGCGGTGCCAGAATTGGCGACGGCCTGACGTGGCGGCGGCGCCAGAATTGGGGACGCTTTGATTCGGCTGCGGCCCGATCTGGCGACGGTCGGTGTGATTTCTGCAACGGCCTGATCTGGTGGCAATTTGAAACTGAAGGACGCCCTGATCTGGCGTTGGCCTCATTTGGGACCGGCCAGACTTGGCAGCGGCCTGATGTGGAGGCAGCCCTTTGAAGATGCAACAGCATTTCCAACAAAGTTCCTGCATTTTAGGGCCATCATCCTTCCTGCATCACATCTCCTCTTTGGCAGCATATCTCTCTTTGGCAGCCGTTCACAAGAAATTCCTGACCATGTTCTTGGTCGCATGCGATTCCAATTAATTCACAGGATGGGAGAAGGAAAGTTCTCTCCCAGAGACTTCTTTTGCCAGGTTTATTGGCAGGTGACTGTGCAGAGATGCACCAGGACTGTCGATGTGAACATTCTCAAATTGCAATCTTCCTTTGGCCGAAGAGTTCCTGTCTCAATATTTGCGCGTTGATAAGTTACTAGTGGAAACCAGCAGCGCTATTGTGCAGCTGCACTGTCAATGACTCATGAATGGGGCTGTCTGTACAGCCAGACTTATTTTCTTCATTTGAAGACAAAATTGAGGCGGTCAAAAGAGGGTGCCAGCTGTCTTTCTGGCAGCCCATTTTGGCGCTCAAAACAGTACATGAGAAACCTTGTGTCTGTCCAGACTTGCACAATCCGCCTTCCAGTAACGTTCAGTAGGTCACTGATGCTCACAGAGGCATGATGATATTTATTTTGTGGCGCGGATGGTTTGGGTGCTTACAAGCGCCCGAGCACTGCTTGCATTCTTTTGGCGAGAGAGTCGCCAAATAAGTATAGCAAAGCATGTGTTCCATCACCATGTATATGGAACCTGCCAGCCAGCTACATGAGTTCAAATCATGATTTTGCAGCGTGGCTTGGTCAGAAAAGACCGCTGTCCTTGAAGTACATGTGTTTGAATGGCTACTAGCTAGTATGAGGTCTTCCGTTTTGCAGTCCATTCCAAAAAGCATTGTGTAACGCCTTCCAAGACGATTTCGATCCTTGATAAAAGTCAGAGGCCTAACATGGTTTCACATGTCTGTATGTGACACAAGAGTCATCATGATCACCTGTGCTCGTGCTCCTTGTGTGTATTCACATGAAGCAACCAGGTGAGAGATGCCATCATGGTTTGCATTTGCCGCAAAAATTACAGTATCTCGTTTATCTGCTGCATACACTCACGGTGAGCACTTTCTGCTTACATTCTCCAAGCATCTCGAAACTTTACTAAACCCAATGTTCCCTGTTGTCAATCTGCACTTCATCTCCTGAAGGACTGCAACGATCACACTCACTGGATCCTTCACATTCTTTGCAAGACCCCAAAGATACTGATCACATGTCCTGCTTTTAATTTCTTCTCAATCTTCAGCAATGTTGTCTTGGATGGAAGCTATTCGGATATGTTGTAGAGCGAAATCTTGTGCACATCTGTCTGCCCCCACAACCCAATACAGGCATTTCTTGTAACTCAAATGGCTGCTTTCTTGCTTTGTCCACAGTACCACATGTCTGATACAGAAAATCTTGCCACCATGGCAAATTTCCAATAGCTTCCCTGGTCCAGGCACCTGTTATCTGCTGTACCCCACTCTCACTTGCCCACCTCTCAAAAATGTTGCACAAAATACACTCACCAAACCCTGGGCCATCCTTGTTCTGCACCCTTGCAACCCCATGATGACCACCTCATCAGCAATATTGGAATGGAGGCCTGACACACTGCAGCTGGAATTCGGCTGCGTCCAAAATTTGGCTGGCACCAGATTAGAGCCTGCCTACTCCTCCTGCACGGCTGCTAAGAGGAAGCCGAGCGCAAAGAAGAGGACTGCGGAGCCGCCCAGCACAGCAGCAATGCTGTACTTGGCAATCGCGAACGCCACATTGGTGTCCGGGATCAGAATGAAGGAGCCTGCGTGCACAGCATGCCAGCACGTAAGTCAATGTGACCCGCTGCAGAAGACCCTTCAGAAATGCAGGGGACTGGCAACTTGTAGCTGCTATGCTCTGCCAGAGAGCCACACATTCAGAGTCTTCGTTGCCTCACAACAGTATCATGCAATAGGGCCATGAAAGTGTTCGACACGATGATTCCCCAAATGATGCCGGTCTACCTTTCATGCTAGTTTTCTTGGGCGCGAAAGGGCACTGAACTTCACCGCCTTCAGGCCCCTTCCAGCAGCTAGACCAGGTCTGCAACTGCAATGTTAATCACCCTGAGCATAAATAAAGAAAAAGGGAGGGGAGGGGGGTTCGCACCGAGGGAGGCGACAAAGAGGGGGAGGGCGATGGAGGAGATGGCGGCAGGGTCAGAGACCAGCAGCCGCTCCAGAGCGCTCAGCAGACCCAGCCGCTCAGCTGTCGAGAACAGCTTCAAACTCTCCAGCTGCGCAGCAAGACACCAATCCTCACAAACAAATTTACTCTAAAAACTGCTGCACTCATCCTGCTCAGTAACTGCACATCAGTCCAGACTCTTTCTCCGACAAATCTTCCAGAAGACAAAGCAGAGACACCACTGTCTTAGATGTCCCAACGGCATTTACCAGGTGTTCGTTTGCTCGGAACAAAAGATTCGTCTTGCGTGCCCAAAAGGAATTGTGCCTCTTCATGTGTTCATGTCAATAACACCTGATCCCAACTCTGTAAGTCTAAACTTGCGATAGGGCTGAAATCAGGCACCAATTGATGGAGGACCTTGTGCATGCTTCTTCACAGCCTCTGGCGCACAGGGTATTTGAAGTGTGACTTAGCGAAAGATGCATGAAGTCCAGGCATCATGCAGGTGGCATCCGGACGCCTTTGTGCAGAAAGCTGCCTCATGGAGTGTCAAGATAGTACGTGGATTTACCTTGGAGAGGCTGAGGCCGGCCTTCTCTGCGGCGGACAGGAGGCCGAGCGATTCGATGTTGCTCAGCACTTTCTTCCGCTCTGCTGTCCTGAGGTAGTTGGGCGCATCCACCTCTGAGTCCTCCACGAAATACCCATACCCAAAGAAGCCCTGCGCAGAAAATTCCCTTCCCCTCATTGCAACAGCTGTGCTTCAGCTTTTGCTTCTTTGCACGATCCACGCAACCGGATCAGGATCGAATTTGCTGAATCTCAGGGAGTGCACAAGTATTTACCTTGGCCCAGTTCTCATCCAGGGTGTTGACTTTCTTGGACACCCCAGCCACGGTCACAGAGCGTGAGGGGCGCCTGGCTGGGGCCAGGCTGGGAGTGCTGCGGACTTGTGTGCCGGCCAGGGACTTGGAAGTGAACGTGTGAGACGCCATGCTGCCTCTGCCTGCACTGCAGTGGTGAAAGTGTGAGACTTTACTATCCCTACAAGAGTCCATCGCCCAAGAAACTGGGGAATGCAGTTGGCCGACGCAATCACTGAGGTCCAGGGCTGACCATACACTAATTTATTGTTACAACGGATTGGAACTGGCACTCTGCAAATTATATGATGATCTCCAGGTGACCAAGGCGCGATCAACTGTGCGCCTGTGAAGGCCCACCTCTGATGCCTCCCGCAAGCGCCCCGGATCTCAGTGACCTCGACCTGATGGACTTTGCTGCGGTTGCTGGCGTTCTCAAGCTCACTTCAGGGCGCTAGCACTCAGGATCGGGCCTCTATCTCCCGATTCGGGCGCGGCATAATCGCAGGGCTGGGAGTTTCGCCAGCCAGAATAGGCGTACAGTTACTCACTGTTGTTTCTTGGAGGAGCCAGATGAGGCGGCCATTACGTGATTACGTTAAAATGGAACATCACGTTAAGCTTCCCTCACGTCATGCTCTTGCCTGCTGCGCTCCACAATCACACAGATGTCCTCGACGGGTCATTCAGCAAGATTTGGGCCCACCACAGTCAGCGTAGGAATTCAGCTCACACAGCGTTCATCAGAGAGGAAAATTAGGGCGGACAGCAGTGGTGTCGGCTGGGTCGGCGGGAGCCGGACATTCCTTGGAACACGAACCGCCCAACTGGAAACGTCGGGAATATTGCTGGGGGCACCGACAGCCATGCTGAAATCTATCAAGACCAGCAGGGAGCGGCTGGCCGCCAAGCTCAGCGGCACCGTGAGCTCAACATCGTGTAGCAGCGCCAGCTCGAATGAGGAAGCTACTAGCAGGTGAGGATGCCCAAGGGGACGCCGATCCTGCATTCTTCCCAGCAGAGACATACCTGCAAGTAAAACTTTACCATTCTGTAACTCAGTGGGTGCCGTTTGAGAAGAGGACTCTTTGGTACCACCCGTCCTTACGTGCTGCGATGCTTACGAGCTGCGCGCGTTATAAGATTCGCTTTGATGTCGCAGGCAACCCGAACTCAGCGACGACCTTGTGCACCAATCCCATGGGCATGTGAGGATGCACGGGCCCAGATCTGGTCGGGTCTCGTGGAGCAGCGCCGGCTATCAAGCCAAGACCCCCTTTGGGGACATCAACATTCACCAGGTGGGTGGGCATTTGGGGCATTCCTTGTGCTCGCTGCTTTCTTGTACATCTTTGAATAATCTTGCTGCGCCAGTCACTACGAACAAACCGAAAGAGAGCATGCAAAATATTGTGTGTCGGGGGGCAACAACGTGGCTGATGGGCGTGCCTGGTGCACCTTTATGTCTGTGTTGGACATGTATACTGATGTGGAGCATGAGAAGCAACTTACACTCAGTATACCTTGTTCAAGGCAATGCAAGACAATTGCATAGCACTTCTGGTACTAGGGAGTGCACACCATTCTGAGGGATCCTTTTGGGGCGCAGGCGGACAAGCAGCACATTTTGGCAGCAGTCCTCACGTGCCAGCCGTCAGCCCAGGGCGGCAGGTATCTGCAGCGAACTCTGGCAAAGGAGCTGCAGTCCCAGATCAGGCAGCATGGGGGAGATGTCAAGGCGGCTCTGCCAGCCGCTTTGTCAGCGCTCAACCAGGCTTACAGGAACCTGCATCCCTTCAACGGGCCGGTCCTGGAGAACGTACATGCCGCCATCGTGTACGCAGACCTGCGTAACCAGGTTTGTACCTTGATCTGACTCGGGAAGGGAGCCTATTGCATGCGCACTCGATGCAATTAGCGGCAGAAAGTTCTGCTGGATGCTTGGCTCCGTATCTGAAGTTTGGGGTAGAGAAAGTAGTGTATCTGATAATATCATGGTGCGGTGGTCTGAGCGAGGATTGCGCGTGTGCACAGGAGCTGCACACAGCCTCCAACAGCGGCTGCAGGGTGGTTGTGGGCCGCTCACTGCGCGACGGGGGTGTGCTCACAGTAGCAGACCTGGGCCGCAGCAGTGCCGCACCCGAGCAGCCAGAAGCCCAGCAGAGCAGCAGGAGCAGTAGCCCGAGAGAGCAGGCAGATGAGGACCTGAGGGGCCTCCAGTATGCCACTGTGAAGCTCAGACCAGGGATTGACACCGTCATCCTTGGCTCCGAGGGCTTGTGGTAAGCTTTCACCTCCCCCCAAATGCCTTGGCTTGTATTGCCAGCCATTGTGTTTCTTGTGCTGTCGTATGGTATCCAATTGAGAAATTTGTTGCGTAATGCAGTGTTGCTGAGCTTGGTTACAAAAGCTGACAGCTTTGTCGTTGCCTGTTCAGGCACGAGCTGCCAAGCGAGAAGGCGCTGCTGCGGCTGCGGCACTACCATGACTCAGCGTCGGCCGCCAACGGAGGCAATGCCGCCGCTCACCTGACCAATTTCGCGCTGCATTCCGTCGCGCGGCGATCTTCTCGCCTGTCCGACCCGCGCATGCGCAGCCTCAGATCAGTGGGCCACCTGCAGAGCCTGTGGACCGGGGACCGCAGCGGATACAAATGGAGCCGGCGGCAGCCGGTCAGGCGGCGCCGCGGCGATGTGCACGGCGACCTGTCGGCCATTGTCCTACGCATCAACTGGGAAGGTGGGTTCTTATCGCCTGCTTGTCGCTACTGTAATGTGCTCCTCCTGCTTGTTCAGAAGCACAAGCATCAATGCAGCCTGGGATGTATTGAAAGTGGAGCTTGTCGCTTGCTTATCCTGGGTGTGTAGTTGCTTATGCTTTGCTCTTTTGATGCGTGCAGAGGAGACAGCGTCTCCACGCAAGGCGGCATCGGCAAAGGCTCGCATCACCTCGCTGCTGCCGGTGCAGCGCCGCAGCGCCTCGCTCGGCGCCGCCGCGGCCTTAGAGCGCGCCGCGCGCCACTGGGACCTCGTGCGCATGCACTTCCTGGACTACCCGCGCCAGGCTCACGCCGCCACCCGCGCCAAGTGGGCTGACCTCATCGAGGCTGCACTCGAGGAGGCGCGCGCGCAGCGCCACCGCCGCCGCGCGGCCGAGCTGCTGCTCCGCACCGGCCTCCTTGGCGGCACAGCGACGCCTCCGGCGTCGCGCACGCCGTCGCTCGGCCCATGGCAGCCGGCCGGCTGGGACACGCTTGCGGCGGTGGCCGCGGCCGCCGGCGACGACCGGGGCACGCCACTTGGGCAGGCACTGCTGCCCGATAGCCGGCTGCCCAGCGGGCAGCCTCTGGTCTCGCCTTCCGGAAGCTCCTCAGGCAGCTCCTCGGCAGCTTCCTCCTCCGCCGCGCTGTCCTGGCAGCCGGCCATCCCTCGCACCGTGAGCCGCCGGCAGTTGTTCGTGCCGCAGCCGGCACCGTCGCACCTGCCCGGCCTCCAGGAGTCGCCACAGGATCAGCAGAAGATAAGCGATGAGTGGCTGGCGTATGAGCAGCATCAAGCGCACAAGCTGAAGCAAGACCTGATGCGCGACAGCTTTGAGGCGGCCCGTCAGCGGCCAGCCGTCCATGCTTAGGCGCTGCGAAGACATAACGTGCACAATTACCAGAGTTTAAAAATGGTAGATGCACCAACATTTAAGTTTTGCTGGGTGAACATCCGCTGTGCCATCATTAGAATTCTTTGTGGGTTGTAGCAACTCCAGGGTGTGTCTAATTTGTAGCCTTTGCCAACGGCAATTGAACTGAATGAGAAGACCATGTGTGAATTTAAATTTGTACAAATCACATTTGCATGCGTTTTATTTTCAGGCCTTGCGGCCTTCCTATTATGTGTCTGCGCAGATGTGCTGCAACACTCCTTAGAATAGGATGGGATGGCAAATGGTTGTCTACTGTTGGTGGTTGATGTTTATTTGCAACGTCATTGACAGCTCAAACAAATAAGGCAATGCCTGCAGAGTGCAATTATTTGTCAGGGCGTACCAGGGGCATTGAAATCATGTTGTAGCTTAAATCACATCTGAGCAGAGCTGTTTTAGCCTTCAGCTTGACAAGCCTTGTGTCCATTGGGGCAGTGATGAGAACGTGGATGAGTTGGGAGGAAATTTGTGACAGGTCTTTCAGTAGAGGAGTGATATTGGGGTGACGAACCAAGAATTTGGGTATCGAAAGGGGTGCCTTGGTCCAACGGGGTGTTGCATTGATTATGCAACACTGTTGTAAGGTACAGGATTGTTGGGGAAGCCCTGATGTCTTGACATCCGCACTGCCGATAATGCTACACTTCTTATGACTTGCATTGCACCTCAGCAACTACTGACAGGTAGTCGTTTGCTGCCGCTAGTCTCTTCACAAGCCGGGTGCCCCAATAAACTCTAGAGCACGCACATGTACACTATGAGAAGTTGGCGGCTCTTCCATCAGAGGCAATGATGGAAGATTTTTCAATTCCCAATGGGGAAACACAGGCCTGCTATACAACAGTTATCAGACATATGCCTAGGCACAGCAACGATCAACTGCTGAGATCAAGTTCCACAAAGCCTTAGCCTTCTGAATTATTTTATAAGACCCCAACGCTCTGCAGGAACCTGCAGGACTTATTTAGACACAAAATCCGTTGCCATTGAGCAACCAGCACCAAGATTCACATGGAGTCTAGATCAATCCTAATTAAATGCAACGGAAGTGTCATAGCATCGGCCAGGGTACATTTGATCAACTCCCCTGTTTCACCGAGCTCGCTTCTGGCTCTGGTTCACGGCCAGAGCTTATTTGCGCCGCCACCATTTCCCCGTCCACAAGGGTCACGCAGCAGAAAGCACCCGCCAGATCAGGCGCCTCCACATCTGCACTCCACAGCGCCTGCAGCCGAGCAGCCGTGACAGAATTTCAATTTACATGTTGCCCACAAATGCAGGAATTGGTCAAGGAGGCTACGATGCAAGCCATGATGAAAATAAAACATGGTCCAGATGAGCTCCGAATGTGAGCCATATTATCCTTGCTCCTGTTGCTCACGCTACAGAGCTCAGTGGAACATGATGAATTTCGAGTATCTTACATGCCTGTGAGGCAGAATTGCATTTGCCGGGCTGTGGCAAAAACACACCTCCACTCGAGCTGTAGATCTCAGGGCCTCATGATATAGTACAATATTTACATCTACATATATATAGTACCCTCTGCTCTCATAAAATTCTCAAAAATTATGAGGTCCACATTTATTTGAAAAAGGGAGAAGAGGGGGGACCTGTGGGAGGGCGGTCCCCCGGCGCAGCCCCGCGTAGAAAGCCCGGAAGAACGCGGCGGCGGCGGCTGCGGCCGGCGACGGCGCGGCCGCGTCCCGGCAAACAACGGCGCGGCAGCCGACCTCGAGGAATGCACGCAGCAGCGCTTGCGGCAGCGCCGAGGACGTCACCAGCAGCTGCCCATCCAACAGCTGGCCCATGCCTAACACCTGTCACGCCAGCTCAGCATTTGAAAAAGTCTCGAAGTTCCAGCTTCCACCATCAAGACATGCTCTGGTGCGCTCCTCAATTTCCTGCCATGTGGTTGGCGTGCTGCAAGCCGGCTCTGTTGCAGGGCATCAGGCAAGGGGTGAGGTTGCGAGCACTAGCAGCCAAGGAAGGTTGCAAAAGACAAGCTCACGGCATGCAGCACATCTGCTGATGCAAGGTTGTGACCCCTGGCCCACCACCACAGCGGGCGCGGGAAATTCAAAAGATAAGCAGTGAGCTTGGTGTCGCCTTACCTGGTCGGCGGTCAGGAACGCAGCAGGAGACGTGCGCTGCAGCAGCACCGAGGCCACGTGGCGGCCGCCCACGATCTGGCTGTGCGCCCCGAGCAGAGACACCAGCTCTGCCGAGTTTTCTGTGCCCGAGAGGGAGAAATGCGCCGAGGCCGCCGCGCCGCAGAGCGCCGCGAGCGACGTCCCCGGGTCACAGCCTGCCGCTTCGAGCAGCGCGTCCACCGAGGGGCCTGCCAAAACAGGCGCTGCCCTTTGAATTTTTTGTATTTTTTTTGAATTGCACCTTTACATCAGTGTGTGATGATCACACCCATTTGAAGGGCCTGCCAAAAGCAAGCGCTGCCTTAAAACTTTGAATGTGAATTTTTAGAGTTGCACGTTTACATCACACATACCTCATGCCTGGTTATTATTCGGCGGTACAGGCTGCCGAACATGCTGGACTCGTGCAGGAAGGTCACATTGCCAAGACACACAATACAGTGCACCGCTGTGAATGAAGTGTCTGTTGGTGGCTCGCAAGGTTCCTTTGATGAAGGTAAGGCAGTCATGGTGCAGCGGTGACTCACTGGGCTCTGCAACAGCCTCCACTTGGTGTGCCCATGCGCCGACCAGGCCCTCCTCCGTCGCATGCATGCCCAGGTGCACAACACCCACGCCGCCCCTGCCCCGCCTCAACGCCTCGAGCAACTGTTGCCCACCACCCATTAACTTTTACTTCTTAGCATTTGCACAAGCCTAGCTTGGGTCAGCTATGCATCGGAATTACTTGCGCCCCAGCATCTCTTGCCGCAAGCCTTGCCCCCTGTTGGCCGACCTGATGCAGACAAGGTGCCAAGCATGTTTTATTGAAATCAAGGGGAGTAAACAAAGAAGCTTTTTGTTCCAATGCAACAGGCAATGTGCACGCTGGAAGCCTCGGCATGCAGCGCGAGCAAACGAAGGCTGTCATTGAAGTGTCCTGGAATTTAATCAGACCTGAGCAGTGTCTACCGCGCTGCTGTCCGGGGCCGCTGCGCCGGCCGGAAGCTGCTGAAAGCTGCACCGCTCGGCCAGATCAGGCAGCTCGGCCACTGCAGCAGCCACGCTCTCGACATGGCTGTGTGCACAAGCGTCGATGCTTCGGGGTGCCTCCGCAAGCAAGATGGACCGCCGCGAACCTGCTTGGCACAAGCTTTTTCAAAATCCATCTGCCAGGCCTCAAGCAGGCAAGACTCTTCTAGCGGGGGATCTTATCATTATACATTAACGTCATTGTTGCATTCAATGGGGGACACGTATGCAGAGCATGCCTGCTTCGCATGTTTTTGAATGCGTAACCCCACCTAGATTTGGGGTCCAGAGAAATGCACGTGCATAAGGCATAGGGTGACTAATGATATTCTGCTCACCCAGCCGGAGGGCATCGCCAGGGGCAGGGTCTAAGCCGCTCAGCAGCAGCTCGGCAGCTGCCTGGAAGCGCGCATCCTCCCGCTCTATGTACTCATCCGTGGCCGCCTGTCAGGGTGCGGGTAGATAGTTTCAAACAGGCAACAATGGGTGAACTCTTACTGCGTCATTCTCATCACACTGGAAATTGATTCCCTGCTGTGAGCAGATAACCCCCCTCTCTTTTCCAGAGCGAGCACTCCTTTTGTGCTACCTGACCAGACCAGGATGGCCCTGCATGTACACTGGACCATCTGGGCCCATCTTGAGCAGTGCTCATAGCAAGAAACCATACTTCATCTCTAAATGATAGTCCACAGGAGCATTGCAGGGCGACAGATGTGTCAGCGGGTGGTTCACCTCAAGCAGCGCCCACTGCTCGGGGTCGATCTCGTCGAGTTCGATGCCGCAGCGCACGTCTTCGCAGCAGAAGCGGAAGTATGCGATGCCCGGCACCAGCGGCAGCAGCGTCGCCAGCGCAGCATCCACCCTCTCCACGCTGCACGCGCTCTGCGCAGCCGCACACACTGCACCTCAGAACACTTGCCCCAGTCTAAATTATGTGCAGCAGGCTGGCTGCGCTTTTTGTGGGACGCCTTCTCAGTGTGCAGCGCCGCAGGCTGCAACTTGCACTTCCTGAAGCGGGCTGGTGTGAAGGTTTGCTTCAAGGAGGGGGGAGTGCTCAGGAGTTCAGCAAGGGGTACACATGCTAGAGGGCTTATGAGGATGATTATAGGAGTTATGATATCCCAAAGCCACGTTGCTGGGGGGTTGGCTTCTGCAGAAAGCTTCTGGGAGGCTTGGCTGCAAGCAGAGGTCGTGCAGCATATGGATATGCTCCGAGAGCGTAAGGCAACCACAGAGGGTTTTTCCCAACGAGGACATATAGGGTTCTGCAGTATGAGTCAAATGTTTCTGGGGGTGGATGAAGAGGGGTCGCGCCTCGATGAGCACGCTGCCGATGTCGAGGTAGGCGCTCATGGACTTCTCGCGGCGCTGCACGGGGACCACGCCGGAGCCGAGAGACACGAGTGCCTCGATGGGTGCGCCCGGCCATAGCAGCCGCGCCTCGGCCAACGCCAGCGCCGCCGGATTATTCGCCGTTGCCGCACCGTCCTGAAACCTGCACCCGGGGCGTCAATGCGTCAGGGAGCCTTCATGCAGTGAAGTCTCTTCATGCGCCTGGGCTTTGCATGTGGCCCATTTTTTGTGACATTCTAGTGCATTTGGAAAAAACATTGATCTATATTCTGGTCACTACTGGCCCTTTGAAAGAAAAGCAAGCTTTATGATGCATCTTGGGTGATGCCCGGAAACCTGCACCAGGGCGGCACCAAGTCAAAAATTTGTCAGCTTCTTGATTGCGTGGATGTTGGCAGCACAATGAAAAGCCGGCAGTGGCAAAAATGCTGTGTCAGGTAAACCTCAAGAATTGGAGTCAAGCGCATGCGGAGGTCTCCTCATTTTCCTACTTGCAACAATGTGCCAGACGTCATCAAGGCCATTGCAGATTTCAGTTTCGAGCTCCTTTCGGTGATAGCTGCAGAGATGAAGTGAGTAGGAACACCAGCAGAACTATGCCGAACAGCGCATTCAGGGTCTTGAATGCGCTTAACCCCAAATAGGGAGATCACGGGCACCTCTGACAGATCAGGCCCATTCTCACAATTCCCTGAAGATGCGGCACAAGGCGGATCTATGTGCTTTTTAAAGTGCCACAAAGCATGCCAGTATTAACCATACTGAAAGATAAGGCGGGTGCAACAGCGCACATTCCTTCACCAAGAACCAAATGCAGGGATGGTGCATGTGCTTGGTATCAAAGAGAGCGGCCAGAGAGGGCTTGCCTGTCGCTGCCGCATCTGAAGTCGTCCAGGTAGTAGGGGGCTGCTGAGGACGCACGCACAGCCTGCCACACCAGGTGAGACGAACTCGCCAGCGGCGCCTTCAGCTGCTCAACCATTCACACACACAGACATGAGGAATGGTATTTCTCTATGTAAGCCTGATCTGCTGTTGAGTGAAATAGCACACCGGACCAACCTCATGCTCGCCATGCAGCTGATGTGAATCACAAACCATTGTCTGGCACTATTCCCTGTGATGCATTGAGATATTATGGCATGCAGTACGGTGTGATTCATGCCACGGTCTAGGCAATGCCTGGCATGATTGGGTCTCTGACTGATGGTGTCAATAAGGAAGCATGGATAATCATGCATGCAAAGGAAGGATCTGACCTGCTTTGCGTGGGCCTCGGCGGCCTCTGGCAGCTCGTAGTTTCTGAAGAGGAAGGGGCCGGCCGGGGTCATGCTTACCAGCGTCGACACCACAAAGCACTGCGCGCACCACAAGTGACAGCTGCTCAGAAGCTCTCCACCCAAACCCAGAGGATTGCCCTCTTATTGTTTGCAAGACATGTCCTTGACTCATGCCCATGATACAATGCCCCAATGAGCGCAATTATGTTCCCAACAAGGCGGCCTTGGCAAGGACATCGCCCTGTAGCTGAGGCATACACAGTGCATATATGCTCTCTGGGATGAAGCCAAGAAGATGAGTTCAGCATTAAGGCAAAGAAATCGAATTGTCTTCAAATCACACCTGCAAAGTTTGGTGCAATTTCTGCCATATTAGAGAAATGCACCAAAGACAAAGATCTACGTCGATGTATCGTGCAGATGTAAATGCCGTCTAGTTATTTCAATCACCTTGGGGGTGTTGAGGCAGGCGGTGTCGATCATGGCGGCGCCGAGCATGGCCTCGGGGTCAAAGGTGCAGTACTCCTTGAGCAGTTCCTCAAACATGGCCGCGTCGTGCTTGCAGCCGTAAACAGCCACGCGCATGCTCTGCTGCCCGCTCTTGTACGCGCGGTAGAGGCTGTCGCGCCACCCGGCCTCCTCCTCCTTAGCGGCTGCCGCACCCGGCCGCGAAAACACCTTCTGCCCCAGGTTCCTGCGCCATGATTGCTCCCTAATTTGAGGTAGAAAAACGAAAGTTGGCCATGCTGTGCTTGGAATGTTGCTGGAGAATGTCATATGCCGTCAGTGGGAGCTGCCGATTGAAGGGCATTTCAGGCGGTTCTGGCATTTACCATGAGATTTGTCACGGCAAACCCCACAGCCCTCGTCAAGGGAAGAAGGGCCATAGTGCTACTTTAATTGTGCCGCTTTAAACACACAATGTGCTGGGCACTTGATCGGCAAGAGGCCGCCCATCTGCACACAAAAAACGTCACCCAAACTGTACGAGACATGTGGCTGGCAGTTGCTGTGGCAGGCCATGATTGCCACGCACCGGTAGATCTGCTCGCAGTCCTTTAGGGTCAGCTTCTTGAGTGCGAGGGCGACTGCCAGGATGCCGCCGGTGGAAGTGCCGCAGACGAGATCAAACAGCTCGTGGATGGCGCGCCCCGTTCGCTGCTCCAGCTGCCGCAGCTGCCGCACTATCGCGATGCCCTGCGTGGGCGAATCCAGCAAGGATCAGGCACGAAAAATTGAGCAGCTATGATCAACACCATTTTCCTCAAATGCGATGTCAGCCGGCGCACAAGGCTCCGCGTCCAGAGTGGTGCTAGACAGGGCAGTGTAGAAGCACTACCTAAATCTTCAGACTGGCAATCAGAAGGAAGAAAAGAGGAGTCCAGGGTACACTTTAGAGTGTGAGAAGAGGACATCCCTTCATCCTGTCCTCTGATTGCCAACGCAGAGTGCAGAATGGGCTGGAACACTTTCAGATGTTGACAGTCTAGACTGACCTATCACGCCTACCACATCTACATATGATTGGTGTCATCAGTACGGTATTGGCCATGCCTGCAAAAATGCATTGCATCGCCAGAGCCTTGAGGACACATTCTTCTGACTGCTACCATTCTCGGTACATCAAATCGCCAATAGCCTGTCCAATAGCCCGCCCCACCTTCATGCCACCGCCGTCCATAGAGAGTATGCGTATGCCGCGGCCGGTGATGGGCGCCCGGCCGACCGCGCGGCGCACCTCCTCGTTCTCGGCCAGGATCGCCAGCGCTCGCGTCGCCGCCACGCCCACCCGCCGCTGCACGCCCCCGACCTGCCCCACACCAACATTGAGCATTATAGGATACCCTCTTTCCACATTCTTAGCTTCATCTTCATCATCATTATTATTATCATTCTTATTAATATTATAATATTAATATTATATTTTTATTATTATTATTACACGCTTTTCCTGCCAAGAGACAAGGTGCGTTCTGCAGACTAGCTGCAGTTAAAGGCTGCCACAATCCTACCCCTTGTTGGACTCGCCAGATCCAAGCAAGACATAATCAACCGTGGGCACGGTGCTCAGTATTTGTACCGCCCCCCTAGCTTCATTAGAGGGTGTCATATCCTACTGTCCTTCCATTATCACCCCCGTTGGTGAGATGCGGGGACTTCAGAATCCAGAGGGAAGTCAACGAACCTCTTCAAGTGATGGGGTGACCTCCAGGCACTCACAGTATTACTTGAGATCACTATGTGACACATTGCATAAGACTACAAGCTCAGCAGGCATGCAGCAGCTTGCCATACGCCAGGCTGACTTGCCATATGGTCATACCCAACAGGCACAGCGCATCCAGAATGACATGCATGGGATGTCAGACAAGGTCGAGAGGGTCCATGAGATTTATGAATGTAAGAAGAAGGCCGAGAGGGCTCACGAAAATTATTGATGAGAGAGTAAAGTGAGAGGGCTCAGGAGATGCAAATGACAAGGCAGAAAGTCCCACTTTGTCCTGCGCCAGGCGGGCGAGCCAGTCGCGCAGGCCGGGAGCCCCGAGCACGGCGGCGCGGTTGTCGCGGCAAAACGCCAAGTTGCCGAGCGTCTCCAGCGCAGCTGTCTTCACATCGTCAGCGCCGCTGCGCACCAGCTCTTGCAGCGCCTGAACAGGTGCAGCACTAGCACGTCCTGATCTGGCTCTTTCTTCCCAGACATCTTCGCGCAACGGGTTGTGCTAAAGTACCCGTGAGCTGCAAAGGATTGCTCGGGAGCTCTGCAGGGTGCCAACTCCGCGCAATGAAGCCCCTCAGCATGCTCATGCAGCACCAGGGCAAATTAGCACAATCATTATTTTACAATGGTAACCTGCTCTCCCATGCTCAGTGCTGGCTGGCAGCTGGTTCCCGGCCGGCACAAGAGCAGGGCACTGACTTCAACAGCCCCTGCCTGGCATGTAGGGCACTGTATATTGCCTGCCTGCTGCACTATCATCTCTCACTGTCCAGACACCTTGCTTTCACCCAGCACAAGGCCAGAGCACCGCCTACACAGACCACCAACCCAACGCGGAGGAAATCCAAGAACGCGCACAACAACTATGAGAAGCGCACCTGGAGGACGTGTGGCGTGAGCAGCTTGCGCGCGGAGGCCTCTGATGTCAGCGCAAGGCCAGCGATGACGTGGAGCCCCGCCAGCTGGCTCTTGTGCTTCACCGAGCGCATGAGGCTCAGCATGGCGCTCAGCACGTCGCCCTGGATTATCTCGTCCGATGTGAAGCTGTCGTGGCGGCCCAGCAGGCCTGTGCCCACACCCGCGCCAGCAAATTCAAATTTTCGAATTTTAAACTGACATGCGACAGCTGGGCTTTTTGACATCAACACACAACGCGTCTTACAAGTTGAACACAAGCAAAGTGGGTTCTTGAGGTCGTGCGTAGGGAGCGTAAGGGGCTAAATGAGCAGTGCTGCAGCGGAATAACCCGAGCAACATTGACAAGTTAGCCATACACAAGAAAGAGAACATGGCCGCTAGGGTCTGGTAGTAAAATAAAGCGAGAGGCGGCGTACCGAGGGTCTTGCAGGCCTGCTGCACGACAACCTCGTTCTCTGAGAGGGCCATGAGGATGAGCTGCTGGATGGCGCCCACCTCACGCACTATCGCCGAGCACGCCGCAGGATCCTCCGCAATCTTGCCTGCCCAAACCACGATGCACCGTTTTAGTCACATCTCTGTAATGCAGCTTGCGCACGTTTTTCTTCCATTTCAGTCCATCTGTGTCCATGTGCTATTGTGACTTGCACCTCCTAGGCAAGCTTGCCGACCCTTCTCTCAGGCCTGTGAATGTGGTAAGCACTGTCTTGGGATGCTAGACCGGGTGGCAAGCGGTGACGGCGGGATTTTGAGAAGCATGGCCAGAATATTTGATGTTTGGTGCTCGTAGGCACATAGCCCCTGAGAGAGCTGGCAACACAGGGAACAAGGGCAACAAGAGAATGAAAGAGTATACCGAGGGCGCCCGCGAGCAGCGGGTGTTGGCAGGAGGAGCGGCGGAAGATGAGGCCAAACAGCGGAGCCAGGCGGTGCATGCGCGAAAACGTCGACGGCGCCGCAATCTCCACATCCCACTTCTCCAACGCCGGATCCGCACGTATCCGCACCTGTGCCAACCACCCCTTGCGAGCTTCAACGTACATTCTCAAATGCAAAGCACTACTCGACTTTGTCAGTGCTCCTAATCGCGGCTGCCAAAGCAACAACTGAACTGCGCATGGCATTTGGGTCCCTGGTTGCACCATGACATTGATTAGACAGGGTAGCCATAAGCATGTCGAGTGACAGGACAACTGCTAGTGACACTCAGATCTTACAGCAGCACCTCATTGGCCTTGGGCACAATTGCTTCCTGAAGCACTTAAGGCATGCACCGTCAAGGGGTGTTGGCAGAAGAAGAGGCTGGTAAGGGGAGGGGCGTGACACATGCACAATAACTAATACATGGGGTTGGGCATATATAAAGAGATACACGCTTACATTGGCGAGTGACAGGTGGCGCAGGGAGGTGCAGGGGGACAGCTCGGGCAGGAACTCCAGGGGGTTGCTGAAAAGCTGCAGGGAACGCAGTCGCGCAAGCGCGCGCAGGTCAATGACAGGTGTCGCCAGCCGATTCCCCTCCAGTGACACCTCCCGCAGCTGTGCGCAGTGCCGGATCTCCACTGCACAAACACAAGGGAACGCCTCGTCACGCATGGCAGTGCATGCACAACTGGTGGAGTCTTGGAGTCATTCATGCAAACCTCGCCTCTGGCAGTTTAAATGATAATATTGTTGGTAGCTGGAAAGAAATTGCGCACACGCGGACATTGAGGCCAGGCTATCTGCCAGCGCGATACATAGTACAAAGAAGCTTCGGCAAGGAGGTTCCGAATGCTCTGTGAAATGCTGAAGTACAAGTCCCTCTGCAGGGCCTGGAATATGCAATGGTTCTTCCACACACTAGGCATCACGAAAGACTACACTACAATACTTCACAGACTGTGCCAAATGAGGATTGCGTTGTAGGCCACCTGGGATGGAGGTGAGCAGGTTGCTGTCGGCAACCAGGCGGTGCAGCTTGCGCAGGCTGCCAATTTCCGAGGTGAGGCCGGCCAGCTTGTTGCCGGATACCCTCAGCTCGCGCAGATTTGTCAGCGCGCCGATACCTGCCGTCACACCAGCATGCAAATCATCCCCTGCTGTGATGACGCCTGATGTCCAGCTTTTTCATGTTCAGAAACATCTTTCAGCATCAGTAATACAAGGGCCCAAAAACAGAAGTTGACCACAACCAGCACCCAGAGGAGAGCACGCTGAGCATCTTACATGCACGCATTTGAGTGATCAGACTTCTATTCCAGAGACTGTCGTCAATAATGACTCAAGGTCACAGGTCTGCTGGGTGCTCAGGCCTACTTCACCAATATCGAGCAAAATGGCACCCAGATACCTGGCTGGTTGTCTTAGGATTCTACACAGAGCAGCACCTGGCGGGAGAGCGGAGAGGCCGCAGCTGGACAGATTGAGAACGCGGAGGCCGTCCAGGCGCGAGAACAGCTCAGGCTGCCAGGCTGGCAGCATGCCCTCAGCGCAGCGCAGCTTGGCCACCCCCTCCAGCTCGCACGCGCCCAGCAGCTCCGACACAAACTCCGGCGCCACCGCCCCCGACGCCGTCGTGCGCGACAGCTCTATCCGCCGCACCTGCGCACAAACCCCAATTCGTATATCAATGAGTGCCGCGCTGGACGATCCCTCCATTTCAGCATGTAAAGCGGTGCATCAGAGCATCACACCACACTCTTGCATTCTGTGCATTCTGTGTCCGAGCGAGACTCGACACGACAAGGCAGCCCGCTCGGCGGCCGTGAAAGCAGCTGGAATTGTGCAATAATTCCGGCACTGAGCGCTTCTACAGACCCTGTCTAGACATTTTGGCCTTTTCACTCACAGCTCTGCATGTGCACCATTTGAGCTTTCTTGGTGCTCATGCACATGGCCAGAAGGCAGGGTACAAGGGAGGGCACCTGCAGAAGGACCAGCTCAAGCCTGCACATAAACATGCAGCACATGCATAACCTCAAATAGAGGTCATCTGGTTACTAAAGCCAGAGAATTACAAATGGGCGCAGGAAAGGGGTGGCAAGGTGCACCTGCGGAGGGAGCAGCTCGATGCGCAGCCGCGCGTGCACCTCCTCGTCTGCCTGCCCAAAGGCTGCGGCGCTGACTGCCCGGCCGGGCACGTCGGCGCGCGCCAGATCCAGCTGCAGCACCACGCGCTCCTCGTGCAGGCCGTGGATCACGCTCGCGTTCTTCAGCCGCGTCAGCACCACCGCGTCAGCCTCCCCCGCCGTCCACGTCACCTGCCACGTCACCCCCAGACAGCTCAGCGCTGATGTGGCTCGGGCCCATGTGCTCCGCCCCAGATGCGAGTCACCACTCTGAGGCTGTACTATAACATCCTTGAGGTTCAAGGAGTTCTTTCGGGTAGCATTCACTCCAGAAGGCGCTGGTCCCATCAGCAAACGAACCTCCAGCTTGTGCCCTGCTTATGTGTTGCCTGCTCTAGCACCAGTGTGATATCGTCAGTTGGGCACTTGACAGGTGAGCATGATCGCAGAGGACATGTCGAGCGCTGGGATCCAATCGGGGATCACAAAAAATGTTGACGTAAGCACCTGTGCGGTCTCAAAGGTTGCCTCGTTGAGGCTGGAGAGGGCGGTCTGCAGCTCCTTGGAGTCAGCGCCTGCGTCATAGTCCTCCCCGGTGTGATCTGCATGCTCCAGAGCAGCGGCATCCTGCGAAGCTGCCTTGGGGGTGGTAGGTGCGTGGGGAGATAGAAGGCTGGCCACCTATGGGTCCAAGGGAGGAAGTCACCAACTGAGCAAATCTGATGAACTCAAGGGTCTCACATAGATGGCACCCAACTGCAGTGATAGTGCATGTGATTGGATCCAAGCAGGGCACTGGAAATAGGGAGTGAGACCTGGTATCCTAGGAGAAGCTTGAAACCATCAGGCTGCCCGCCCAGGATCCTACGCCCAAACATTACGAATGCGGGTACACTCCGTGTTTGTCACGGCTTCCCTCCATGCACTGCAACCTCTCGTGACTGGACGACTTGTCTCCAAGAAATGCTCTCCTCCAGCAAGATGTCCTGGTTCACACCCATGCTCAGTCCTTGCTGTATCTCGCAAAAGATCTGAGGCAATCGAAGATGCATTGTTGAGTCTGAAAATGCACGTTCCTACTCTCAACCATATCAGAACATAGCTGATTGCTTAGAGAGGTAGAGTCATTGAGGGGTGAGATTTTTCATTACCAGCTGCAGCATTGGCTTCGTCACACGGATTGAGCCTTTACAGAGGTATAATGGATTCTAGCCTATTCTCAGATGCATTCCTCACCTGGACCCTGCCAGCAGCTGGCGAAAGGATGCAACTAGAGTCGTTACAGACTTTTTGTTCTGGCCAGAGTCCAATTTCAACTCTCAAACAGGGTAAAAGATCTCGACTGTCGAAAATGTTCTTGCGTCAAATCTCAGGCAGACAACGTAAGCTTCGACAAATTAATGAGCTGGGTCCTTCCGAGTGTTGAGCAGCTTCTCTCGACAGGGAAGCTGGTCATATTCTCCCAATGAGAGATGACTTTGGATGGATGCAAAGTTTCACAAGGAGGAGTTGCCCATAGCAGGAGCACGCCTGAGTTGCACAGAACATTTGTGCAAGCATTACAATGCCATGCAAATATGCAGCCAAGCTGTGGGTGGCGGACTTCAATTAGCTTGCCCCCTTCTGGTCTCGATCGAGGCTCATTAGCCTCAATGGCCAGTGAGGCCAGTGGGTCTGCTACAGGGCACTCCTCAGCAGCTCCAGCAGCACCGGTATCATGCATGCATGCAAATGGATGCAAATGGCATGATGTGTACAATGCAGGACTTCTAAGCAGCACTTGCTGGACGAGCTATTTACAGAAGGTTCTGGGAGGCTTGTGTAAAGACCTCGTCCGCAGAAATTCCAATGAGACATACAGCATTGCTTGCCATCATTATCATTCATGTATGAGCCCCACTGGGGAGCTACATCTTAGTCACGCGCTCAGGCGCTGTCTCTGAAAAGCTGTACCCATATGACAGATCAGAACCGGCCGGACTGGCTAAAAGTCAAGAATGTAAAAATCTGCACATTCAAAGGCGCCAGCATTGCTGCTGATGCCAATGAGCAATTGAGAGACAATCCTAGAAAGGGAATGGGGCCTTGAGAAGAATGGTCGGGGCTCATGTTCCAGAAAGTAACATGCCCTTCATTAGTAAACCATCAATAGCAAACCATCAAAGTCACAGCACCCTTTTGCAGCATACTTCAATTAAATCTACACAGTCCCCACAGCAGGGCGGGTATATACTGCTGCAAAGATGGAGATCCGGGGGCTTTAGACAATTCCCTGGACAAATAAACGGCAGGCAAAGAGACACAGCTATAGCAGTCGGCTGTGCCCCACTTGCAGCTGCTTTACGGTAGTAGATCGATCCAAAATCGCAAAATACAGTTCAGAATCCCTGATGCCATGATTGGAACACCTTATCATGGAACAGTCTGATTATTCCCTCCAGCCAGTGACACCTACTGGCTTCTCTCTTGTCACACCATGGGAAACTTGCGTCGACTCCAGGATAAGACCATGATGGGGGTGCGGACATTCTTAGTAACGGTCATCAAATCCCCTGATGCTTCCCAGCAGCTTCGCTGCAGCTTCCAGCGCACGCATTGCTGCTGGGAAATTGGTGTGCCACGCGCTTGGTCACTCGTCCTTTATTTGCAGCTTCTGGACAGCCGCTCACAAGCCGCGGCGACCGCCGGTGGCTGTGAACTTGGCTGCGGCCGCTGGCCTCACGGCGAGTTTCCTGATGATGCCGTGTCCGCTAGCGTGGATGGGAAACTGCACGGCAGCTGCCGAGGCCGGGCGCATGCCCTCGGCCAGGTGGCGCCTCGCGGCGTTGTCCCGGCCGCCGCCGGCGCGCAGAGGGAACTCCATCTGCAGACACGCCCCACAACTCAGCCCCATGATCGCAGGAAATTTTCCTTCTTCACCACAGCACATGGAAGCATGAGAGGCAAAGTACTGTATGGCTTATTAGACCAGACGCTAGCGTCAGGCCAAGTCAGCATCAAATTCAGCAAAGCAACACAAAGCAGTGCTCAGGGTGGGTAGAGCATGTCACAGCCAGCAGATGGCTCGGCATGCAAGTTATCCACTGGACACCAAAAGGCAACAGCTTATCTGCATATGGGAGATGCTTTCAAAAATGGCAATCAGAGGTGACTAAAAAGGAGGCAAGGCGCACCCTGGAGGCGGCCTCTGTGAGGAGGCGGCGGGAGGCAGAGATCATCTTCTTGCCGAGCAGACTGAGAGCGTGGCTGCCGTCGTCAAAGTAGCCGGCCATCGTGTACTGCTCCTCCTCGAACTTGCCGTGGAAGATGAAGTCGTCCGCGATGTAGAGAGGGTGGGACGGGTCCGTCACCTTGTCGGCTCCGGCCAGCAGGCGCTCGTATGTCTCTCCCACGATGCCCTGCGTGCGGGTGAGTCAACGGTCAGTAATGGTAAGTCAGCATCTTAGTCAGCGCTCAGAGGCGCTGAGTCACCGGTTTCATGCGGCAGGAGCAACACACAAAAGACCCAGGCAGCAAACAGCCATGCTGCTGCAAACGCACATGTGGTCACAGAGGTCTTGCTGCACAGGGAATAGAGGGAGGTGAGAGGGGCAATTCGAGGGGTGGAGACTCACCGACATCTCGTTGCCCAGGGGGGCGGCAAGGAGGGTGGTGTCAAAGTTGAGGTAGGCTGGCTGCTCCACGCCACCCTCGTCCACAGTGCCAGCAGCGGTCACCCAGACCAACACCCTCATCAGCTCTGCATTACACACCCCCACACCTCAGCACATTCCTCGCAAACGTGCTTCTTCTCGGCCACAGGCATGTGAGATTTCTCGTCGGTGAGTGTGCACAAATGCATGCAACTACCGGCTACTGAGAGACACGTCTGCTCGCTGCACCCTTATGCACAGGCCTGCAGAATGCCCTAGTGAGCGCTTAACGGGCAGGAGGTCTTTGCGCACCGAGCCCAAGGGGGCACACGGTCTTTAAAAGGGTCTCTATCAAGGGACGAAAGAGGTGTGCTTACCGGTCTGCAGCTCGACGGACTCGCCCAGGTCGGCGCGGTGCTTCTGCCAGTTGACGGTCAGAGCAGCGTCCACGTCAGCAGACTCCACGATGTGGTCCAGCTCGTTCTGGCCTGCCGCGATGGTCAGCGGCTTGCCGTCCAGGGTCACTGCAGCGCACACACAAAAGCTCAGCAATGCATGCAAAGACAAAGTTATCCAGCACACACTTATGCCAATCACACATCTGACTTTCTTCCCGTTGCCAGATGGGATGTAAGTGGTGTGAGTAAAACCCAGGGAAGGATTGGTGGTGCTGGGCAGATGCTTGCACAGACAATGGATAGCAAACTTGCAAACAAGTCAGGACATATGCAGAGGAAAGAATGCCAGCCAGCAATATTCAGCCATTGATGGGGTCACATGTCAAATATCACATAAAGATGCCAGAATTCAAACGAGCCAGAAATTGCTGCGGCAGGACACATATGTCATCAGGTGCTGACTCACCGGTGACGGTGTCGGCGGACAGCTCGATGACAACCTTGTGGGAACGGTAGTGGAAGCCGATGCCCTCCATGTAGGTGCCGTTGTGGTCCCACATGACTCCCACCTTGAGCTTGGCGCTGATCTGGTGGTTGCGCTCAGACATGACGTTGTAGAAGTGGCCTGGCAGGCCCATGAACTCGAAGGACCGGCCGGCAAAGCCGGTGAAGATCGGGTCACCTGCATGCGCGCGAAGTAGAGATTGATCAGTCAATTGCACCACACATCGAGCAGACCTTCAAGTCAGGGCCATGCATACAGAAAGCGGCACCTTGCACCCGGACACTGCCTGTGCGAGCAACGACTCGTGACAGCATGCCAACGTGCAGCTTGCTTTGCAAGGTGCTTCTGTAACTTCTGAAGAGCAGGGGCACGGCAACAGGATGACAGTGAGATATGCGGCATGACAGCGAGTGGGTGGCAGCATGCAACCAAGCATCGCTCTGCCACGCATGAAGGCAGCAGCATGCAAACTAGATTTCTCTGCCATGCATGAGAAGCTTAGCGCCTGAATGCAGGCGCTAAGCTCGCAAACATTGAAGGGGCATGCATCAACCAAGAGGGGGGCGCACCGACTCCATTGGCGTTTCCATTCCCGTTGCCATTGCCGTCGCCGACGTTGCCGATACCGTTGTTGTTTCCATTGCTGGACCCGACGTTCCCATTGCCATTGACATTTCCATTGTTGCTACCGGTGTTGGCACGGCCGTTGCCATTGCCGTTCAGGTTGCCACTGCGCATGCATGCATGTCATGTTGTCAGCAGCCGGCGGCAGATTATTACAAAAGCTTCCTGGGTGGTGGCAGCAAGCAGATAGGGGGTGCAGACCAAGGCAGAGAGACCTAGGCTTACATGTTGTAGTTGCCATTGACGTTTCCGTTCTGGTTTCCGGTGTTGTAGGCACCGTTGCCGTTCCCATTCAAGTTCCCGAGGTTGTTGTTGCCGTTTGCACCTCCGTTTCCGCCACCTGCAGCAGCAGCAAAGCTAATCAGGTTCGAGAAGGCACAACACGTTGAATCCCAGGACACCCCTCGATGGTCATGTGATGCAAAGCCACTTAAAACACAAAAATCATGCTGTCGATTAAGGCTGTCGATAGCACGAAGCGACAGCAGCAGCCGAACTCAGCCGACCAGGAATGCGGTCCACTGCAGCGGTTGGACGTTGAGCATGAAATTCTGGCTACAGAGCTCAGTATTAGCAAAGAGCCATCCAAACCAGCATTGCTGACAATTGCACTGAGGTGCACAGGCTCAGCACACAGATGACAGAGCAGTGTCGCGCGCAACAACGAATGACAAACTCGGCATTACGTCCGGCCTCCGGCACTTGCTAGATCTGAGACAGCGGTGGCGCCCCATATTCATCAGACAGTCGGTAAGGCTGCATCCATGCAGCTGAGAACAACGTCAGTGCACTCTTGCGCCACAAAAACGCGTTGGCACCGGCTACCTTCAAGAATGCGGGCCTGAACCGCTCCTCTGCCCAAATTTGAGCGAGGTGGGCCAAGCAGTGAAGCAAAATAGCAGCTTCTCACGCCGGAAAAAGATAGCGCATCACTGGTCAAGCAGCTTGCGATCAAGATCACTGGTAGCTGTGACCATTAAGCGGATTGCCATCCTAGTCGAGCAGGAGACGCACCAACATTGTACTGGCCGTTGTCATTTCCATTGCCGCTCCCCTGGCCATTGGCAATGTTGACTGCTACGGCGGCAAGATAGAGCACGAAGAGAGCCTTGTAAAGCTTCATCGTGCGGGCAGATCAGAGGCTTCGGACGCCCGAGATGTAAAGCCGCACTCCTCTGTCTCGTCCCTCGAGCAAATACCTGGTGGTGCTGAATTGCCGTGCAAGACTAGGATTGCAAGATGTCTGGGATTGATCACTGTTGGCGATTTGCCGGGTCGACCAGGTGATGATCAATGCCTAGATCAGTTTGCTCCCGAGATGACCACTTTAGGGATGACCAACGAGTTCTGATTCGGATCGAAGGTTACCTGACGATCACCGACCACACCGGGATACACCCAGCCATTAACCCGGCCCAAGGCGTTCGCTTATCGGTTTTGGGTGTTTCTCTCGCGATACAGTTCGAGTCTGCGCAAACACAAATTTTGCTCTGAAACCTTCATTTTGTGTGCTCAATGTCTTACATCTTAAGGCAGGGGGCACAGACCAGAACAGAGATTAATCTAGTTCAGCAACCTGGCCAGGGGTATCATTCAAGTGGTCATTTTCATTGGACCTGCACTTGCACCAGTCGCATCAACTCGTCCCAGATACTTTAGAGGTGATGTGCATTGTCAGAACACTCTAGCAAGACGCATCATACCTACCAACTGATCTATTTGCCACGGCCGGCAGAGATGGAAAGAAATTCATATCACTGTATAAGCCAAAACAATCATTAACACGTAGACTCCAAGAAGACGATTTAAGCAGACAAATACTGTTCTTGAAGGGAAAATCAGCTCACCCTGCTGAGACCGGATGAAGGTCTCAGGGGCCGCACTTCTTTCAACATTTCCTATCACCTGAAGGCTGCTGCAGCCCAGCAGTCTATAACAAAAAACCTCCAATCGGGTCTCTTCACTTGAAACGGTCAAATCCAAAGCAATTTTGTCTCTGAGCCCAACTCATCATAGCCCTCACTTGAGAGGCATCGCCTTATGATCTGATGCAGATTCAAATTAAGTTGGTGGCAAGAGTCTAGTCATTGTACCCTGCTCCTTTCTGTTTTCTCATTTTGCATGCAAAGCACCCTCTGTCGCATACCTGTTGTGTTCAAACACAGCGTCCAAGGCCGACAGTCTTTTGTGCCAAATTCCTGCCCAGCTATGCATGCATGTCAGATCATTATTGATCCACTTTTGGCGCTGGCACTGCAACAATCACACGCTGCAACAGCAGTGCTGATGCTCTTGTGCAAGCTGGCTGCACCTTTTACCAGCTAGTCCTGGCCATAACCACCAAAACCCCTTATTGGCATGCTCCCTATTCCCTTCTCAAAACACTTTGCTCAAGACAACCTGCCAAGGGACGGCTTCAATGGTCTTGGCAGCCGCATGAAATAGACACCTTAAAAAAAAGGGAAGGCTTCGGGCCTATATCATGCCGCCTTGGCAGCAGCACAAGGGCTGTGCTGTGAGGGTTTATTCCCTGGCCATCAAGCTCCAATGCAAGCGACAGCTGCTCACTGACTCGTGTACCCATATTTGGCGCCAGGCAGCCCAGCTTGTGAAATTGCGCCAGAGGCAACTTGTGCGGCTGCTCAGTAGGGATTGAACTTGTCTTAGTCCCTGTGTGAGCATCTCCTGCTCAGAAATCCCGGCTGCTTGATCGCGCTTATTGCTGCCTGGTACAAAGCGCGCGCCACCGTATTGTGCCTCTTACTAAAAGGTGACTCAGCTGTAGTCACGTGCTCTTGAGGCCTGGCACTCCCCGAGAGAGGGTGCAGTGATAGGCTCTGCGATGAAACACGTTCTTGCTTGCGTCCCGTAATCAAATCTGGTGCTCCAATTGAGCTGTGATGCAAAACCGGGCTTGACTCCTAGAAGAGACCCTTGCGGCCGCCACTGGCATGCAGCGTCACCTGCAGCCACAACGTCATCCTTGAACCATTGCTTGATGTCTGCACTCTCTTTGCAGAACACTTGTAGACAGCATTCCTCCCTTGACCCTATCCAACAATGACCTCATCACGGTGCTCCAAGCTCGGAATCTGAGGAGACACAAATTGAACATGCTGAGATACTGAAATACAAGCGCACAGAAAGCCAGAAATTAAGGATGGCACACAGCAGATGATGAGATTGTCACCTTCCGCTGCAGCAGGGCCTGCTCAATCCAGGCGGCGCGGCCGGAGGCGGTGAGAGGGAACGCCATGTCAGACGCGCCCTCGCTCAGCAGCCGCTTATGCTCTGCCGGCGCCTGTTCCGAGGCATCCCTGCCAAAGAGGCTGTAGTGGTGCTCACCAAAGTACTCGTCCACTGCATAGTGATGCTCCCTGCCCTTGCCCTGCGGTTGCCACGATTCCCCTTCAGGGTCAGGATTGAAGGTGTATAATGCCGACTGATCTGAAGCTGTGCAGTCATTTTTGGCTTATTATTGTTTGCTTTTTCAGCATGTTTGCACAGAGCTGTGGCTGTTGATACGCTCAGAAAGATTGCACTGCAAGATGAGACTGACTTATTCTGGGACAAGAAGTCCTTGGAGCATTTGCATCCTACCAATTGCAGGAGCATATCATGCACAAAACAATAAGCAAATCCACACAAAGAGAGTGCGGCATGCGTGGGCGCATGTGCACAGATGGCGGGCAGGTGTGCTGACCTGGAAGGTATAGTCATCGGCCAGGAAGAGCGGGTGGCTGGGGTCGTTGATGGCATCGCCAGCCAGCATGCGGTTGTACGTCTCACCAACCACGCCCTGCACACAAATGAAAAGATTAAATCTCACGGTCCGCATGATGGTGTCGGTAGAATAGTCCCTGACCTTCCAAAGCACGCAATGAGATGCGTGTCAGCTCTGCGTGGCTCAGATTGTGCTGCCTCCTCCATGCTCACTCAATCCTGGAAGACTGAAAGCATGCCAGCGCCATCGGATATTGGTCTCTGTATCAGCTATACAGTGCAGCACTGTTTTGCATTTACTGCTTTCGTTGCAGGGCACATTGCACGAACAATATGGGATCAACTTGACCCTTCACATTTGGCACTTATGAGCTACAAATTGGGCATCTTGCAGGGTTGTAAAAGCTCTCACCTGCATCTGGTTGCCGTGGGGTGGGCCGAGGAGGGCGGTGTCAAAGTTGAGGTAGGCCGGCTGCTTCACTCCGCCCTCGTCCTCGGTGCCGGCAGGCGTCAACCACACAATCAGCTCCAGCAGCTCTGCACCCATGAAATACATTCCCTCATCTCTGCCTAAATCCCACTCGAGTCAAGGCACCAGCCATTTCTTTCTGCCCATGCCACAGTGTATCCATGACGCCGTTGCCTCCAGCAGGCACCAAGGTGCGTCACACATCAGATTACCTTGTTCAAGAGATTCCTACTTCTTCGCAGTATAGGTAACAAATCAGACTATTGGTCTTCTACGGTGGCGTAGTATCTGCAGGCACTGAGAGGGGCACTGACAGGATGACCAGGCTGTTCATCGGCATGCCCAAAGCTGCAAATTGCCTTGGGTCTGCAAGGAAGGAATGGAAAGGGACACAAGAAAGGGAGTGGCGCACCAGTGGTGATAGTGACAGCGTTGCCGAGGCCCTCGTGGTGCAGCTGCCACAGCACGAGCATCTCTCCGCGCTCCACATAGGGAATCACCTCAACCTCGTTCTCAAACACATCCATCACCAGCTCCTCGCCATCCACGCTCACTGCGCAGCAGGGCCGGCAGATCACAATCTCGTCATCAGTATTCCCCCTCCCTTCTTGGCGCTCTTACTTCTTTGTCTCTCCGTCTCGTGATCTATTGTTAATTTGAATCCTACACCTACTGTGGCATGTGCGGTCTTGCACCAGCTTCTTCTGCATGTGCTGTGGCATGCGCCTTCAAAACTTACTGCCTCATGAGCAGGGTGATCTGTTTTGTGCACAGATTGGGGCATCCCACAGGTAGAACAGCTGGCCTGAGAGGCTGAACATCAGCCCTTGCATGGGCTGAGTGCGCCAGGATTTCTTCTCCGGCAGTCGAGTGATCACTTAATTAAAGAAGTGAATGGTATTGCTCTCTAGGAAGCAGTTTGCTAAGCATAGGAGTCTGGCGCACCTGTGAGGTTGCCCTCGGGTGAGATTTCAACGATGACCTGGTGGTCCTTGTACTGGAAGCCGATGCCCTCCATGTACGTTCCATTGTGGTCCCACATGACTCCCACCTTGAGCTTGGTCGACACCTGCAAGCCCCAATGCATTCTGTCAGACTTGCAGTTGACTGACCCACAAGAGCCCAGTACTGTCTGTCATGTTTGTAAATTGACTGAGTGCCACCAATGACACTTGAAGAAGCCAGCAAGGTACAACACATTCAGCAAACAGCAGGCAAAGAAGTGGAGGTTCTTCACGCCATGCAACGACCAATTTAGGTCTTGTTGACTTTCTGGATCCACTGCGCTGATGCATCAAAGGTCTGGCTTGCCCAACAAAGGTGATCTCTCAGGGACATCCGTCTGCGCACCTTGTGATGCCTTTCAGAGATGATGCTGTAGTAGGTATTGGGCACACCCATGAACTCGAATGGGCGGCCGTCAAATCCCGTCATGATCGGATCTGCAGCAACACAGCCACACTCAAGCTCAGCACAAAACGCCTCCAACACTGCAAATCATGCACCGGCCCAGCATGCAAAGACGTCTTTGTTTAAAAAAAGCTACTTCTCGAAAGCAGGGGGCATCAGCACTGGGATTTCCAGCCTGTCCTAAAATGTACCGTAAAAATGGAAGAGTTGCCCAAGAGGCCTTTCTCTCCTGGTAGACCCTTATGGTTTTCACACAAACAAGGAAGGTGGCCGTGGTAATAGCAGAGGAATTGGCGGGAAATAAAGTGGATGCAGCGCTCACCCCCTTGGCCTCCTGCTGTCGGACCGCCACCCGTGCTGCCGCCTGCCGTACCGCCTGTGCAAATCAAAATGCTAATCAGCCAATGATTAACGTATGGAGAGGATTCAGCAGTGCGTGCATGTGAAAGTGTCATTGACTAAGTGCCCCGCAAGGCCCAGAAATGGAATACAGTGCGGGTCACCAGTGAGTTGAGCCTCTCTTTAGAGCTTGGAAGACAGCAGGAGCTATACTACTGTTCAGGACCACGTCAAAAATTGAGAAGCTAGGAAGCCAGGGATCTGTGACGAGCGGAAGTGCAGCAGCAGGTGTGGGGCGAGAGCTTGCCTGGGACGGTGACTGTTTGTGGCCGGGCGACGCTCGCTTGGCCACCTGGGAAAGAAGGCGATCAGATGATCAGCGTGCATGCAGCGTGATCAAGGCCAACGCAATCAGATTGTTTAGTTGACACACTAGGGCCCCCAACGCCGCGCTTACGAGATTGATTGGGGCGACATGTAGAGATTGCTAACCAAACAAAATGTTCTGCTGTGTCTATCAATCATCACCGATGCCGATAAGTATCGCAAATTCAGCATGCCATAAAGCATCCGCCCAGCTACACCCAGGCTGCTTGTCCTACGTCGATGCCGCTGGTCCGATCACGAGCTTACGAGCACAGACATTCGCATACATCATCAGGATTGCTCTATCTTCACCTCTCACACTCGTAAATGTTCCCCCAAGAGAAGTTGCGCCTCCTCCACCGCCTCCTCCACCGCCTCCACCGCCTGATCCTCCTCCATTGCCCCCGTTGTTGCCTCCATTGTTGCCGCCACTAGGAGTCGTGGGCGTGGTGGGTACAGTAGGGATCTTTCCACCAGCAGCGACGTAGTCCGCAGTGCTTCCTTGGCCGTATCCAACTAGCTGAGTCTGTCCAGAGTTGCTACTGTATCCACTGGAGTAGCCACCGGAATAGCCACCGAAAATACTGTCCTTTGAGCCCTCGGACTCGCCCCACGCAATAGCTCCCCGTTGCTGACAAAGGAGTGCAATGAGTATCAAGGCCAGCGCTCTGTGAGTTCTAGAGGCCACCATGACGTGCTGGCACAAAATTGCCGCTCTGATGCGTTTCCTTGATCGGTACGTCTCAGGCGCGTCAGACCTAATCAAGTCGCAAGGAAGTCCCTCCCGATCGATATCCTGCAAATGAGCGGTGTGTTCAGACAGCGTCGGGCTCAGACTATATCTGGCGCGCTCACTGCCCCTGCTTTGCCTCGATGCACCTCCTTTTGGGCCGATCTATTCTGATCAACTTGATCGTTTGTCACCCGCCTGTCCACCTCACCGTGACGCATGAAAGCTCTCTCATGGGTTACTAACTCTACAACAGGCCAGGAGGCTGGGTCGAAACGTTTCCGAGTGTAGCGAGCAAGGCAAACATGCCTCACAGCCCAAAGGATGTCATGGTGCCAGCAGTGAAGCGGCACATGCATGCAATGTGTACGCGTACTGCGCACTCCGGATCCGCATGCATGCAAAAACTCCGAAAGTGACTCAGTACTGCAGTGCTTTATTGGACATAGGAGACCGCTGCAACTTTGATTCGCTCAACGAATTTCGTTGTGTAATTCCCTTTTGCATTCTGACTATGACTGTTCACTCTGGAAGATTCACCCTATGGAGGAGCATCATATCTCAAGTCGACGTTTGCCCTGTCTAATTGCATGCATGCGCACCACCGGGAGTTGCCAGATGCAAATCCAATCCTTGAACAACTGTGAAAGCATGGTAGGGGTGCCGCTGCGGCGGCAAATTTGCCTGACTGAGTAGCCGTCTGGACACAGCTTCTTTCAACACTGGCAGCAAGCACCGAACAACAGTGAAATCATCGTCAAGTCAGCAAAACAATAAGCCTTCCAGATTCCTAAAGGCCCCGCTCCAGAATTATTACTCCTTAGGAAAATCACACAGACAGCTCAGCATCTTCAAGATGCCATCTTGTGCTCATTTCCTGGCTGTTGTGCACCATTCGCGAGCATTCTGGAAGAGTTTCAGCCAAGGGCTGGGCCCGTCTGGCTGCAGGCCAACATCCTTGGGGTACCTGCATGCGCGGAACACAGCCGTCAAGACTCACACGCATGCACCAATTAAAAGAAAAAATTCTAAAACACCGACAGGCCCATGCCCTTCACATGCATGACAATGCTACTGCATCATCTTGGATCTGCTCAGGAGCCTTCAACCACCAATGAAAAGGTCACTTCCTCGATTTTGCAAGTTGCATTGTCATACAAAGCCGAATGAGAAAGTGCTCTACAGCACTGATAGTATGCCAAGCAGCTGTGCAGCTGTGCAGATAAACACGTGAAGGAGCCTTCACAAAAGGACGTCAAACACAGCTCAACGACAGTCCTCTGCTTGTTCCGCAGCTCTTGGCAATGGACAATATCTGATCATTGCCACAAGGGCACACCAGGGGTTTTGCCACGTGAGGAAGCAGCGCTCCGGGTGCGGCATGAGCGCCAGGTGGCGGCCGTCCGGTGATGTCAGCGCGGCAATGCCGTCGGGTGAACCGTTGGGGTTGAAAGGGTAGGCCTCCGTGGTTGCCCCTGACGCGTCACAATACCTGCGGCCGATCACAGTAGTGCATCATTTCATGTGCGCCAGGAACTCAGACACTGGAACAGTGCGCCCACAGGAGCTGCTCGACCCAGTAAGGTCGTGCAGCTCCTTGGATCAATGCTAGAAGCATGATGGTTGCAGGCCAACGAGGCCGCTCCTGCCCACAAATTCGTTTGTAATGGCCGGCTTATGGGGATGTTGCAGAGGAGTCAAGCAGATTGAGTAGCGCAATGGTTGGCAGCTTGTGCAGTGGTGAGCTCAGGTTATGGGTGGTGACAATTGTCGTCAAGGCTTCTGTGAGACTTGGTGGATCTCGCCATTCCGACGAACGAGACAATCATCATCGCTCACCGCTGCCAAGGGACTAGCAACAACTCTGCTGACTCCTACAACTAACAAATGACTCTAACGACTACTACGTCTACTAATTTTTCTAACTTCGTTGGCTGTGACTGCTTCGCGACCATGGCATGCATGCACAGCTCCTAAGAATGCATCAGCAGTCAATTACAGATGCTCTGATGCATGAAAGTAGCGGTCCAACGAGGCTGTCTCTGTCCCCTTACTGTCTACTACTGGCCAATTTGTTTGTAACAGCTGGCACACGTGCAATGGACATCATGCACCATGGCATGCATGCATGCAAAGTCACTGAAAAGGGCGGGAAGAAAAGAGAACGGCACCTGATGGGGGCCAGCCCCTGCTGCAGCACGCTGGCGCGCACGGCGTCGTCTGGGAATTTGGCCTGCCCCTCCCCATGCGCGCACCAGATGCCCACTACGGACCCCTCCATGCCCTGCACCCGCCACCTCCTCTTTTGACTATGTGTCGTTCTATAAGTTAGCTTCCCTCAATTCATCACGGCTTTCCTTGTTCCTGCTCAGTCTCAACTCCAAAGGCTCTATTTGGTAACAAGAAGCAGTATTGCATGCAGCTTCGATGCAGGAAATACTCCAGCAGGCTGCCCAACCAGAGCTCTCCGTCCTTCAGCAGAACAACATATGGTACAACATCTGCCATCTGCTGCACAAGGAAAACTTGCATTCTCCAGAAAGGTGCACTCTTGCTCTTTTCTGACAGCTTTGATGTGATTCTATGATACACGGTCCAAGTGGGGCAGAAGAGAGTCGGGTAATGTAGATAATAGTGGAGACTGCCTACAAGGATCACAATCAAGCAATCCTGTCACAGATCAGGGGAGCTGCCAAGCATAGAGTACAGCGGAGAGGGGGTGACCAGAGTTAGGTAAAGGCAAGGAGAAGTGGGCACTGCCCACAATCGTGCAATCCTGTCACAGATCAGGGCAGCTGCAAAACATAGAGTACAGCAGAGAGGGGCGCGCCTTGAGGAGGATGGAGGGGGATGGCTCGATCCGCACGGTGGCCCAGCGGCACTCAAAGCGGCCGCTGGCGTTGTGCACAAAGCGCGGCTGGCGGGTGTCGGGCAGGTCACCCCCCGGGATCCACCCCAGCAGCGCCATCAGCTGGCACCCGTTGCACACACCCAGGCTGAACGAGTCCGGCCTGCCAGGACAATGTTTCGAGGCTCAGTACAACAGTTGAACCCTGCGCAGATCTTGTCATGTGCGCTTTCACATGACAAGGATCAAGCCTATCTGAACGCTGCATATGCTTGAACTACAGTAAATCACAGTAAATCAGGCACAATGAGTAACTATGTCCCAGATCTGATCGAGTGATAGATGGAAATCGCAGCAGTCCCAGCAAGAATGCAAAACCCACATCAGGTTCAGCAAAGCTTCTCAGATTAGAATTTAGCAAGGTGCTTCCTTAAACAATGGCAAGAAAGCTGGGGATGTGCATTCACATCTGTCGCTTCATTGAGATGGCTCTTGGAACATCATGTGCACTTAAATCCCCAGTGTCTTTGCCGCTGTTTGACGCAAAGGCAATAGGCATCTGCCTCAACCCACTAATACACCTTCCGCAAGTGCTGCCTACAGCTAGAGCCTCTTCAAGGGCTGCCGGCACCCGCAGTGGGCACGACGCCATTCCACTAGGATGTTCTACTGATCCAAATTCATTGACCCTGAAGAAGTCCAGGCAACTGAGATATCAACCTATAAACTCAGTGAGACCTAAAGCAAATTTAATATCAGTTGGATGGCTAAATGAGCAATGCGAGGGCGCACCTGTCGTAGAAGGCTTGGAACTGGGCCCAGAGGCGGCTGTTGCGGCGGATGGTGCCGGCCCATCCCTTGGCCGAGTCTAGGACGTCCGCGTAGCTGAAGCCACCCACAAATACAATGCCGGCAAAGCTGTCGAGAGATGCGCGGCCGGCCAGCAGGTCGCTCATTGTTATATCCCACGGCTCCATGCCTGCCGCGTGCACCGCCGCCGCCATCTCGCGATCCCCGTTGCTCCCCTCCTCCCTGCACGGCAAGGCATGTGGACTTTTACAACAGTCGCAGGAATCAGCAGAAAACAACAATGACGCCTGCAGGTTCGCAAGTTGAACGCCTTCCTTGTCCAGCAGAACAGGCAAGAAGGAGCCCTTAGATTGCAATGCTTGTCCGTCAGAGGTCCTTCTTGCCACTTCATGACTCTTCTGACCAGCCAACAAGCAGCCGCAATGAACAAAGCATTCCCAGCCGGGTTGCTAGATACATTGGAGAAGTAAGCATCCAGCCCTCTTGGCTTCTTGAATACCTGAAAGAGCCATGGGACAAGGCAAATGCATCGGCGCATTCAAAAAGCACCAGAGCCACATGGAAACATTCATGAGCCAAAGCACAGCGCAACAGTCGGGAGTTTCCTGTAAGAGCACTCGTTCAGGAGTGCAGCAAAGCAAGGTGCACCTGAGGATGGCGACGCGTGGCTTGTCGGCTGCGCTGAGGGCCTCTTCGGGCGTCCAGGTGGGCGTGTAGGGCAGCGTCCATGCAGGCGCCTCCCGCGCCGCGAGTCCTCTGCGCTCGGCTTCCACGGTCTCCTCCGCCGCCTGTTCCCTCTCCAGCCGGAACCCTGTCGCCTCCCACACGTCCCGCAGCGCCGCCACGTCACCTAGTGTGAGCACACCCGCCAGATCAGGCAGAGCCATAATTGCGCATTTGGTGGCAGCAATAAATCAGCCCGCGATCCAAGCCCGGTACTTTTGTTACCACATGCCTTTGGACCATTGCAAAATTATTCTGACCCATGCGAGCTCGGTCCGAAACGGTGGTGGCAAACTGCCTCACGCACACAGTGTGCATTGTTCGGTAACTCACCTACAAATGATATGGGAGTTTTTTCTTACGTGGCAGGTCTAGTCTGGCTTGGCATTACCTTGGTCTTTAGATACTTGAGGCCGGATCATCCATGGATGCATGTGCCATATTCTTCCAATTGACTTGGCATATGTTCCCATGAACCCCTCCGCCACAACACCTTCTCCAATGAAGGAGGAGTTCTCTGTCTGAGTGCAAACAAAGTCGGCAAAGCAGCGCACCGGAGATGCTGGGCTCTCCCCCGACGCTGATCGACACGGCGCGGTCGGCGGCCACCGACCCTACGGCAACGGCCGACAATCCGCGCGCCGCGTACGCCGCCTGCACGGCCTCCTCGTCCTCGGGAGCTACCTCCAGCACTAAGCCCAGCTCCTCTGCAAACAGCGCTCCCAACGCGCCTGTGCTGTCCTGCTCCGGCTTTGGCAGGTCCACCTGACCGCAAAAAATAGGTTGTCCCTCAGTATCAACGAAATTCCTTGCCTTGTTATGCACTGTCAAAGGCATGGCTGAGACTTGCGTGGTCGGCGCACAAGACTCGCGGCCGCGGCAGTCAACCATGCATAGAGGGATGCCTTTGAGAGCAAAATAGACACTGTTCTCTTGTTAATCATAGGCTGCCACGGTTGATTGTCTCGCAGCACCTACCAGAGGGTGACACGTATCTGGGCGGGAGCACAGATACCTGCCTGGGGAGAAGCACAGACACCTTTCTGGACAGAAGGGGCTCACAGTAAGTGCAGATGCTTGTCTGGGCAGAAGTGCATGCAGAAGGGGCGCACCGTGAGGCCGACATTGCCGGAGAAGCCCATTTCCAGCAGCGCGACGGCAATACCGCCGTCGCTGATGTCATGCCCGGCGCTGATCTTCCGCTGGCGCAGCAGCTCCTGCGTGGCCTCCCACGCGCCCTTCAGCGCCGCCGGCGCCACGTCCGGCACCTCGTCGCCAATCTGCGGCCGAGCGCACGCCCATCTCAGCAATGTGTGAGTGAATGGGAGCATTGGTCCGTGTGGATCACGCACTACAGGGAAGCAAAGCCAGGTCGATCTTGTCGGCAGGAGTGACACACGAGATGTGGTCACAACATGTAAAATGTGAATGCCCATTCAGATTGGCATGCACTCCGAGATCTATTATCACAAGACCTCTGGATCACTGTCTCCGAGTTCACCCACTAGTGTCGAAAGGCACGGCACGTAAACACAGAAACAGCTATTAAGCAGCGTTATGGAGAAAGTAGTAAGTATGCATGCAGTGCTGAGTGCGTGGCAGTGAAGACAACAACGCAGGGCTGCTCCACTCTATGGTTAAGGACGCTGTTGCAGGCGTGCCATTGGCAATTTGTGATGGGAGGATGTACTGTACCTGGCTGTATGCATGAGCGAGGGCGGATCCACCCAGGCGCTTGCGGCCGCCGGAGAGGTCCACCCAAAGCAGCCGGCCGCTTCCCGGCAGCTTCAGGTCAGGCGTCACCGTCAGCGTTATGTCTGGGCAGGCCACGTACGCGCTGATCACCAGATTCCCTGGCGCCTTTACCACCTGCACGCATTTTTTGTAGTGAAGCACTACCTGTAAATGCTGCCGGCCATGCTCACCATGATAATATATTGCTCTTCCTGCAAGTCCTCTTACCTTTGTATCGATGCACTTTATAGCAGCCATTTCATAATCGACGTGATCAAGGAAGAAAAGGAATAAAGCAAGATACTCTCTGGCAAACAAAGGCAGGGAAGAGGACAAACCTCGCCCCCAGCGCCGGCAGCCATAGAGAGGGAGTCCTTGCCGCCGTCGCAGGCAAGGCCAAGCTCGATCATGGCATCGCGCAGCGCCGCGGCCGCGTCGTACATTGCCGCGCCCTCGTGCTCCATCTTGGCCGCATACCTGTGGCGCGAGTGTCTCATCTGCTGACCTCACATGCTGATGCTGCTGCTTCCAAAGCGCTGCTGCTGCCTCATGCTGCTTGTAATCTCCAAGATACACCAATAATGTCATGCAAGAGATAGGAATCCAAGCCCAGTTGGTAGACTATCCTGGCAAATACCTTGCTACCTTTGTTGCCCAGGCTTGATCAAAGCCACTGTCCGCAAAAGATAATAGAAGGCTTTCAGCATCTGCACGGAGCTCTGGTGAAGACCACATGGCACGAACAGGATGGGTTGACAGGAGCTGAGTGGCAGGGAGCGCACATCCAGTTGACGGAGGCCTTGACATCGGCGAGGCCGGTGGCGGCGGCCCAGATGAGGTTAGTCACGGCTTCTCCGAGTGCCATGCGCGCCATTGCAGCCGGGTCGATTAGGCCTTTGAGCGGCTGCTCTCCAATGGACGTGGCGGCCCCTGTAAGCCCCTGGTGGCTCTGCGCCATCACCGCCACGTCTGCCACCGGCAGCTGCAGCGGTCCGCAGCACTGCTGCTGCGCCACCAGCCCTGCGCAGACAACAGCGCTCAGCATATTGAGCTTATTGAGACGTACAAGACCTCCATTCATTGGGCCAACAACTGACCCATCGGCCCTGCGCAGTTCCAACGCTGGCACTTGTAAACGCTCTAAGCCCTGCAAAATCAAGAGAGTTTGACAGGCGTGGATTAAAGAATCTCAGTCCCTTTCATTTTCAGAATTAAACACTGTACTTTGCAAAACTTCTCTCCTGGAGCCAACCACGACCAGCACCTGACTCTGCAAGCAAGTAGCTATGGCGCTACTGCCATTCCCAGGACCATGAAAGTCACAAAATCAGAATGAATGGCAGTGCCCTGCATGCATGTCAACCCTGGGGTGGCGCTCTGGCAACACCCGCTGCTGAGAGGAGCAATCACAGGACAGGATGATTCTAAATCTCTCGGTCAGAATAAAACAAGCGGTGCCCCACCTGTGACGCAGCGATCGACTTTGGTGGTGAGGAAGCGCTTGGAAGCGACGGCCGGCAGGCGCAGAACGCGATCAAGCGCCTGTTCAGGCGTCGCCGTGCTGGGTAGATCCAGCGGGTGGGTCGCCTCCGCCCGCCGGGTGAACTCAAATGTCTTCTGAGGCATGTCTCCCAACACCTGCGCAACGCATCAGTTGGGAGCATATCCCATGGGGAACTTTCACACGGAAAGAAACAAACACTCCGCAAAAGCCGCATCAGCTCAATCAAAACCTCTGTGGGCAGGTCAAGTGCTTGGTGTCCCTCAAAAGTCCAACAGCTCCAGTGGCATCAGCTAGAAAGAAGGAAAATCTCAGCACCTCCTGGAATTCCCCTCTGCCATATCCTTCCAGCCCAGATGTGGACTTCAGGAACAGGAAGGAAATGAAGGAGGTGATCCAGGCAATGTCAGAAGCCCTCCTGTAGAGCTCATGACAAAAGAGCTGCAAAGGTTGTGCACGTCATGCAGAGGCTCTGAAAAGACTCAACGGAGTCCGGTCGCGATTTTTCATGCTGCACGCCTTCATCGCGTTTAAAGACGACAATAAATATGCAGGCTGCGCTCATGTCATGCCCTAGTTTACATGGCTAGAAAGGTCTGCGCACCTTTTCCAGATCCAAGTCAACAGGGGTGGGTGAGTCTGGCGGCGCATGCTTGTCCACCAGTGTGATTCGGCCGCTGCCACTGATGCTGCCGATAATCTGCAGCCCAGCACAAAGAGATCACGACCTGCAAGTACATTGCTGCAGCCCCTGCCATAGCATCATCACATTGCTGCGTATCCCATGTCAAACAATTCCTAACTCCTGCCTTTTAGATCAGCCAGCTATGCAATCAGACAACGTTTGTGAATTGGGGCTTCTGAAGAACGCTGTGCAGGCCACCTGGTCGGGATACCTTGTCTACCTATCTCTACCAGGAGGCATGGACTGAACTCATCAGGAGCCCCCTAAGTACCGGTGGCACTTGAAGCACCAGGCCGCCATCTGAGTGGTGGCTAAGTGCAGAGTAATCTTCTGACTGTGTTCTGTGAATCAACACAGCTTGCTTCCGTCAGTCAGAGGTGTTAGTCCCTTCACAATGGTGTTGGAAACCTGTGCAATTCAAAAATGCACATGCTTTGCAGGATTGGATTCTATGAGCGGTGGTGCATGGCTTCCACCATCTGGCCATGCACCACCAATGGTGCTGGTGAGTTCTTTACCTGCAGGATACAGCGTTCGCGCGCTGCCACTGCTTCAAGAAGGCCACGGTCGCCCGGCTTGATGAGCAGGCAGTCGTTCTCCTGGTACTCGGCGCCCCAGATCTCCAGCACGCTCATCGTGTCGTCGCCCAGCGCTATCGAGCGCACGTCGATCGTCGCGCCCAGCGGGTAGATGATCTCCTTCACCTACACTCCACAATAGGCTCTCAGCCGTCCTCCACTCTAATAACAGCATGCATGCCTGTGTGACAGGGCCCAGACAAGCAAGAAACACTCACCCACAGATGCAATGCAGCAATTTCTGAGCGTTTGACGCTGATACCCCTCATACAAAAAAACCAGCACAACACAGCCGCTTCTGACCTTGTAATTGAGCAGCTTGCAACAAAAAAGAGAATGGCTGCTGCCAGGTTCTGCGCAGGTCGAGTGAGGAGCTGCAAGCTTGAGCGCTGCACAGTGCGATGCTAAGGGAGCAAGGAAGGAAAGGAACCGCACCACGTTGCAGTTGCCGCCGGCGCCCTGGTCGTGAATCTGCTGGATGGGGTTGCGGCCGCCCATCTCTACGCACGCGCGCACAACCCGCCACAATTTCTGCGCCATCTCAGCATCGCCCCTCTGCACACAGCCGCACTCCCCTCGATTACAGGGTGTAAGGACCCCCGGCTAGCGGGGGCCGGTATAAATACTGAGCACCGTGCCCATGCTTAATTGGGTCTTACTTGGATCTGGCGAGTCCAACAAGGGGTAGGATGGTAAAAGCTGTAGCTTGTCTGCAGACGCACCTTACCTTTTGGCGGCAAAGGCGTGTCTGATTAATAATAAAAAATGGTGCAGGTCACCTGCACGGCGTTGAAGTCCAGGTCAGCACGGTTGGAGCCGGAGGGAACGCTGGAAGCCGCGCCGCCGCCCATGCCGATGCGGTAGGCGGGGCCGCCAATCTTCACGATGAGCATGCCCAGCTCCGGGTCGTTCTTGTGCAGGTGCGAGTGGTCTATCTGGCCCAGGCCCGCACTGCCACATAGGGGAAACAGGTCAGTCCCCTCTCCATATGCACAATAGACACATTGGAGCTGTACTCGTCAGCTTTCAGCCGCCGTCGAAGCGTGCTGGACTAAGCGCACTGGAAATCCCCGCACAGATATTGTACTCAAGTGCCGTGCCTTTCCCATGAGGAGACATGCTGCACCCATCTGAATAAACCTTTACAGCACAAGTGCAGTGAGTGAACTGTCAGTGAAGATGAAAGCTGGTACACCGCCCCACCTGAACATGATGGGCTTGATCCACTCGCGGCGCTCGCCCGAGGGCATGCGCAGCCCAAACGTGCGCGTGTAGCCGGCAATCAGCGGCTCGCCAAACTTGTTGCCGTAGTCCGACGCGCCGTTGCTAGCGTCTATTAGAATCTACACATTCCACAAATGCACACAAATTTCTCACCACGGTCCTCTCAGTGAGAATGCTCTGACGCCGGGTTGTCACTTCTGCGGTCATTTACAAGTCAAGCATTGAGCAGCACTGAGGCTGGACATCCCGATTCAAGCACTCTCTCAGAGTGGAGAAGCACAGGTGGGTGGGTGAGTGTTATCACAAAGCAGGACAGCACCTGCAGGGGAGATGCCAGGCTCTCGGGGTACTCAAAGGAGAGGTCCTCGCCGGGCAGCGGAGTTCCCTCTATGTTCAGATTGCCCACACAGTAGCCGGCCGTGCCAGCGCCCATGATTGAGCCAATCCCCGTCGCGTGAGTGTCGCGCATACGCCCACCGGCCCCCGTCTCCGCACCTGCGCGCACATGCCGGCAACATGCTGAGAACTGCTGACATACTCCTGAGACTCACGTTGCCAGCTCTGCCGCCCTTCACAGGTTTTCTGCTGGTCCCTTCCATTCCATGTAGCACAGCAGATTCGCCAAACAAACCCGTTCAGAATTTCCTTTGCCAAAGTGCTGAGCCACATGGCACGGAAGGACGCTAAGCTAACCCTGCATTCAAAACAAAACGGCAAATATTGAAACAAAAATCTCCGAGGTGCATGCCTGGGTAGGGTGCGACGGCGCAGGGGAAGTTGTGGGTCTCGGCAGTGAGGAGCAGGTCCCAGTCACGCTCCTGGGGCGCCAATGCGCTCGGAGCGCCGCATGCCAGCGGCAGCATCGGCTGCACCGGACCGCCCCTGCATACAGGCCACACCAGTACTGTTAGGACTCCCTCCCTAAGGAGTCACTTACTTATGAGTCTACTTGGTCTAGGAGTCTCCTTAGGAGTCTACTTAAGGAGTCACCATACGCTTGCTGGAGGCTTTGCTGCAGGCTTTCTAGTGCATGCAGTACAGATTTGTTTGCCTCGTGACAGCAAGCAACAAGCTGTTTTTAAACTTGCCATGCATGCCCAGCGCAAGCATGATGCTCTTCTCAAAGTTTTGCCCCACACACAAGGCAGTGGCTCAGGGCAAGAGACAAGCTAAGTGCAGGAGGCTGACCGGATGGCGGAGGAGTTGTCCTTGAAGCCGATGACGGAGTTGTTGGGGTTGGCCTTCAGCGTCGCCTTGACCATCTGCATCAATGTCTCCGGCGCTGCCTGCCCATCCAGCACCAGCTGCGCCCCGAAGAACCAGTGCCGGCTGCACTCATACGCATACAACTACACATGTTAGTAGCGCACTCATCACACCCTCGTGTGCTGTGAGAAGCTGTGTGCTGTGAGAAGCTTGTGGTCTGCATGTCATGCATCCCAACACTCTGAGGTGTTGTGTTGCAACTCCAGCTACCCAGGCTGCACGTGCTCTGAAGAAGGGATTATGGCATTCCAGCAGAGCCCTTACTTGGTTCGCAGTTGCACCATGCAGCATAGGGGACATTTGCACGCCTTTCTTTGTCAGATTGGCCCTGCATTGCATACTTGTTCCTGACTCGGGATCTGACATCCGCATGCGCGGCGTTTTGAGGAGAGTGAGCTGGACTTGAATTGTCACGCTCTGACGCAAGTTGAACTTCTGCCCATCTCTTGTCTTTCAAACGTCAAAGTGACTGAGTGCCCCTTAGACCGAGCCAGGCCTGTCTTCGCATACCTTATGTATACCATGCAATAGGGTGCCCCAACCAGAGGTCAGACTGGCCTTCAGGGTCCAGAGGATTACACAAAGTAAACAGTCTCAGGGGGTCATTGATACGTTTAAGTAGCCATGAATGCACCTGAGCTTGCTCTTGCCCTGTAATATATTTAGATGGCTGTCTGTCAAGGCAGCTGTACATGTACAGCTTGGACGGTTTGAAGGGGGGTTCTGCTGCAAGGAGCAGCCATGCCCACCTGTGCTCGCTATTGCTCTGCGCGATGTCAAAAAGCTCGACGTTGGTGGGGTCGCGCTTCATTTCTTCCTGGAACATGCGTGTGTAGTAGGCCAGGTCCTGCTCATCAAAGGCCAAACCTAGCTCCTCATTGATCGCCTCCAGCGCCGCGCGCCCCTTCTCCAGTACAGGGATTGTGAAAACGGGCCCCGGGGTCACCGAGGTGGTGAAGGACCGTAGCGGCTCGAGGTACACCTGCTCCGTCATGCGGTCATGCACCTGCAGGCGCATCCATGCTACTTGTCAGCAAATCTCCGCCAGAGCACTCCTCGATTTCTTCCCCTCTGTCCCGTGCTGCCATCTCCTGCCCTGCCCTGTAAACCCCGAGCCATCAGGTGATGGTCCAGGCAATGCATCTTGTAACAAAAAATGCCCAGTAGGGATGCAGGAGGACGCCTGCATCAGTCCATGGGGTCAGTGAAACAAGATCTAATGCCGAAAACGTTGCAAACTTTCAAACAATGGATGCAAATTCTTAAAGTGGGCAGAGAGGTTGGGCGGCGGCTGACCAGGGCAGAGAAGGCGGCGAGCGTGTCGGGGCTGAGGGATGAGCGCGAGCGCAGCAGGTAGCGCCGTGAGACCTCCAGGCGGGAAACTGCGTTCAGTCCACAGGAGCGGCAGATGGACACCGCATTGGTCGACCAGGCAGACTGGAAGCTCATCCTTGGCCCCACCTGCGAGATCACAAAGCACAGTTTATCAGTGAAAGATCTGAGCAGGGTGAGCGGATGTACTTTGCCTACTGCATGTGTGCGCTACCGGAAGGACAACAGTGCTGCACAGCTTGGTGCTTCTGAAGAGAAATATGTCTACCTGTGCAAGCGTGAGGTATGCAGCAATTTAGTCCTAGGAGAGCTGATCATGGCAAGCTGGCCACTGTGATGATCAGGGATACAAAGGCTCTCTTGCAGCAGTCAACAGCCAGGCATGATCAGGTCACATCTACAGCTTTTGGAGTGATGGGGAAGGGTAGGAACCTCCAAGACTGTGCCATTCCCCTCCTGCAGCCTGCTGTCCGGTGTGAGCAGCTCCGGCTCATAGGTCTCCCGCAACAGCCTGGCATGCATATGAGTCAGCACGAGTAAATAGGCCCACACAATTCATCTCAGAATTGGGGCAGGGTGGTGGGTTTTTTACTAACATACGCCCAGGTGCACCCAATGTTGGGATACATGTTTTTCGTGTATGATGTTGTCAATCACAGCGCTGAGGACACACCAGGTGAGCGTGGCAGCCTGATCCTCTGTCAATGGCTCCTTGAGGGCCACATTGAAGCACTGCACCAGAAGAGGACTGCATTAGCCCTTGACACACGTGCTCCATCAAGCAGGAAAAAAGCAGAGACGCTGAAAGAGCACACAGGCATGTGCTTCCCTTAAAAAACAGTCGAGCATTTTCAAGAGCGCACCAGCTCAGTGTCAATGCTCTCGATGTCAGATGACACCTTCTGCTGCACCTGCATATATACGCCACAGATTGCTCAGCCCACTTTGCACAATCGAGCTTCTTTGAGCACGCCTGCTACAGTATCTGTGCAACCCCTTCCTCTGGAAGGTTCTCCCCATGCTCCAAAGAACATGGACATATGCAGAATTCTGTTGCTGGACCCCAGTATCACCCTTCCGGTCACGCTTGCAGTAGTGAATGCTCACCTTGCGTATGAGCGTCTTGGTGGCTGAGGCTGACAGGCCAGGGGACCTGTACAGCTGCACCACCTCCTTGTCCTGCTGCAGCGCTCCCTCTGGCGCCAGGGCTGCCTGCACCAGCACAAAGTGCCCCACCTTTGAAACCACGAGTACATCTAGAGTGATCCATTGAGAGCTAAGCCTGACTTCGTGAAGATGCATTCATGAAGATGCATTCAGGATGCTTGACAGGGCTTCCAGGAATGCAAGTGCTGCAAAGAAAGAAACGGGGTAGGAAATGCTGTCACCTGCTTTGGTGCTGTGCTGACGTTGCAGACAGACAGATGTCCCCTGCCTCTGCCATGCCATGCGGCTGCACCAAACAACGAGGATGTGAGACTGGATCAAATCTGACTCCCATGAGCCAGACGGCAGCGTGAATACATCTGCAAAATGAGCGCGCACCTGTGCCTGCTGAAGCCTTGTGCAATATTGACTGGTGCTTCGCCTGCAGGAAACTACTAAGGCGCTTGCCAATGGCATCTCTGCATCACGAGGAGCAAGGTATGTTAGTAATAATTCCGAAAGGGGGATGTTGCTTTCTGCTGGATTGCCTGGCATATTCGAGCTTGTAATCGCGTGCATCAAAGGCAAGCCAAGGCTCAATATCGATGTTTTAGGGGTGTCTAAGGTTGTCACAGACTATAGAACCGGAGTATGCAGCCAGTATTGCACCAAACAGAAACAGAACAAGTGATGGGATATCAATATTGCTGCACGAATTGAGGCAAAACATATCATCAGAAACTTTACTTACGTTATGACTCGGCTTCCTATTGACACACCCCTGCATCGCAGCGGTGATGCGCTACAGGACACCTCCATCAACGACCAGCAGCCTCTACTGTGCTAGCGATTAACAATACGAGACTGCCAACATTGGCAATGTTTGGACCTCTGAACTTCAATGGATGTATCGAACACTTGGGAATTTTACTCCAGGATACAAGCCGAAATTGTTGCACGCACTAGTTTTGCATGGCTGTTGGGAGCGTCGTTGAGTATCGACCCTGAATTTCGAAATTTCCTAGGGGTTTAGATGAAGAAGCTTTCCGACACAGAATTTTTCCTTCCTGTAGCAATTCTGACACTAATCAAGCCCTGCTATATCAAAGCGGGCGATGTTTGAAACATAGAGTGGACTCAAGGTTCTGTTTGCAGCGTGCAGCAGTACTGGATCCCTGTTGGACACCTAGATCGTCAGTATGTGCTTCCCGAATTGACTTGCGTCGATCGATTCCGAATCCTGCATTCCAGAAGCAACTCTTGAAACTGGCCGTGCCGCGTGGCATGGGCGCCAGTCTCTGCAAGATCGCTGAGACCGCCTTTAATCTGCTACCAAGAAACCTGCAGAATTTTGCTCGAAGCAGATTACCAAGAGCCACCATTCCTAGGCAAGCAGCAACGCCCAGCGGTAAGTCAATGCTCAGAACCAAGAATAGATCGTGTCGACTTGCGTCAAGTAACGCTAAGCTAATTACTATGATTGACCTGTACTTCCTGTTTGCCTGTGGCCAGGCTTCTTTAATGCACTGGATGTCATCATTCAAAGTTCTCAATTAGGCGAGATAAAAGTTAGTCACTGTGCTTCACAGGGCTAGCGCTGCCCTCCCCTGTGCACGCCACCCTCACTCCAGCAGAGCTAGGCGATGGCCAAATCATCGTCATCGGGGACGTGCATGGCTGCCCTGTGGAGCTGAACGCACTCCTGGACAAGTAAAAAACTTCCCTCCACATGCAGCCAGCTTCTTGGTGACCCAGAAAATGGCCTCCCTGCAGGCATTGCTAGCCTCTCAAAGCCTGTCTGTGCGCACTGCACAACAAGAGATACCATTTCCTTTCTCTTCCTCCCACCTCTTTCGTTGAGTGTGCAAATGATCATGATCATGTGAGCATGCAATCGTGCAGGTGCAAATTCCAGCAGGGGTCAGACAAGGTTGTCTTTGTGGGCGACCTAGTCAACAAAGGCGAGCAGTCTGCAGAGGTACGCACCCTCAGCCAAACACGTGCATGCCAAGTACACAGCACTCCACAATCTCTCAGTCACAAAGGAATTTGTGTCTCCTCTGTCTGACATTACAAGGAGATACAAGGATCTTCTCATGTGCACATCACAGGCCCTGTCAGGCACATGCAGAGCTTTCTGAGTCATATTTTTTACATATTCTTATCACTATCGTTATCGATACTTCTATTTCTGCGGGGGCCCAAGGTACAGCTGTGAAGGTGAAGGCCTGCAGGTGAAGGCTGCCACATACATCACCCTTTGCAACCTCGTCAGATCCAAACAAGACTCCATCAACCGTGACCACGGTGTTCAGTGTTTATACCATCCCCCATCAATAATACAAGGCTCTGTTTTTCATAAAAAGGACATAAAAGCTGACGGTTATGTGCATTTGGACAGGCGGTGCACCTCGCGCGGCAGATTGGCGGCATCTCAGTGCGAGGCAACCACGATGAGATGGCCCTGGAGCGCTATGAGATGTGGAAGAAGTGTGGCAGGCTCGACGTGAGCGCCCCAACCCCTATAAAATCCCAACACAAATCTCTCATATGATCAGCTCTTCAAGCCGCTGCACCGAGAATCCAAGGCCTTGCACCAAGTACCTTAGTACTGTGGCCGCCCTGAGCCAGAATGCCGGCAGTCTGCAAGATCGCTCTTGAACACGTGCTCACAGGGGGGTGTCCTGGTGAGCATTGTACAGAGCACTGTTTCTCATTGTTGGCGCTTAGGCACAGGTTGCTTGCCACATGGCAATCATTGTGCTGCTGAGCTTAGATTTTGTGACCATGTTTCAGCCGAAGTACACGTACCGCGAGCAATTGTCTGCCAGAGGACAATCATTGTGCGGCTGTGTAGCTTACCTGTTGTATGTGCGCCACAGACAAGGTTGAGTACTTGTTCTGTACATCCGAGCTTACATGGAGCCTGTGCGCCCCAGTCAATGTATCACAATATGGAGCAAGTATATGCCGCTGAGCTGGCATGTTTTTGTGTCCCCCGCAGCCAAAGTACAAGTACCTGGAGCAGTTTAGCGAGGAGGATGTGGAGTACTTTCGGCAGATGCCCTTCAGCCTGAGCATCCCCAGCCACGGCGTGCTGGTGGTGCATGCCGGCATCGTCCCTGGAACGCCCCTGGAAGACCAGCTCCTGGATGACCTCATCAATGTGAGCGCATCATCACCGCCACCTGTCATGTCTCGGTATAGACATTGCACTGCAGAAGATTTTGTGAGGTCCCATCTTCAACTTCCTTCATGTCTGGCTGCAGTTTATACACCTGTCGCCAGGACTGGTCAGCTGTAGGGGCATACATTGAAGGATATTTGTGTGGAAGTACAACATTGAGCCACAAGCCAGCCTGATCCCAGGCTTGACTGGCTGCAGTGTACGCACCTGTGGTCAGGACAGGAAAGATCAGCTGTAGAGGCATCCCTTCAAGTGACAATTGTGCAGCCTTAGTCACAAGCCTGGCACAAGTCACCCCAATTTCAGGCATGCATAGGCTGCGAGTCTGTTTGCTGCAGGCACATTTGCGGAATGCAAGCTTTTGACAGCAAGGTGTTGAATGGTGGTGCAGATGCGGCACGTGGGGGCAGAGGGCGGTGCGAATCGGTACAAGGCACTGCCCAAGTTCCCACGCAGCGCTGGGCAGCCCTGGGCCAACATCTACAACGGGCCCCAGCACGTCATCTTCGGCCACCACGCGCGCAGGCGCCTGCAGGTGCCGGCACATGCCTGCCCCCCCCTTCTCCACTTAAATGACTGGAAGCGCTTCAGTGACTCATTGGCATTGCAGTCATTCCCAAGACAAGGGATCCCTTGTGCCAGATGCAGAGCTGTTGCAGTCTCTTCAGAGGACGCCTCGATGCTGTTCCTGTGTGCCTGGGACTATCAACATATTATGCAGCCCACTCAATTCTATTCCTGACCTGCCCTCCTATCATGCTTCTGATGAGCAGCCATGCATGCCTGATAAGTAAACCACATTCTCTTAGAAAGCTCTCAGATCAATTTGGACTAACCCAATCAAGTGTCTTCTGTGCAGCCCTGCCGCTTCGCGACAGGCATCGACACCGGGTGTGTGCTGGGCGATCAGCTGACTGCAGTGGTGCTACCCCCGGTGAGCAAGCTTCGCAGCATGGGCGTTGCTTCACCCCCAACAGGGAGCGTCACCATGGAGTCCATTGGAGGGCAGCTGGTGTCTGTGCGAGCAAAGCGCTGCTACAAAGCAGAGGACAATGACTAACGATTCAGCCTTGTGAAGTCTGGTTGAAGCACTGTTGTAATACTAGTGTACGAGTGCTACAAAGTAGAGGACAATGATCGATGATTCAGCATCGTGAAGACTGGTTGAAGAATTATTGTACGAGTGCCCCTTTGCTGCGATGTGTTGCAGCTGCATTGAAGAGCTGACAAGAAAGAAAGTTGAGGATCCAATGTTCAGCACTTGTTGACATGCCCAAAGAAAGCATTGCGAAATGCCGACACATGCTCTCTGACAACCAAGTCTGTAGAGTGCATTCCACTCCTTCAATTTCCTTACAAGATCTTAGCATCAGCCTGTGCATGAGAGACTACCAATTTGTTGTCAGCAACCTTAATCTTCCTGTGCCAACCACTAGGACTATGTAGGACCTGATACTAGATGAATTTATAAGCCAAAGCGCTGTCGACCACAAGCTTTTTAAGCCAACGCCTCAGAATTGTCCCGAACTCTACACGCAACTCCAAAGAAAACACTGTACCAACAGATATGGAGGCCGAGACCTGGAGCTCTTTTATTCACTGGAGCATCATACGATTGATTGGCATCTAAAATGGAATATTCTGTGGATACGCGTTGCCGGCAGATTTTCACAGCTGATATGCATGCATGGAGGCAAGCAGACTGATGCTCATCAGGAGGAGAAGCTCAGGAGCGACCACCAGCATGTCTGCTTCTCATTCTGGCAGTAATCAGCATTCAACATTATAGTGTATAGCTACTTGTCTGTTGTGCAGCCCTGCCGCTTTGCGACAGGAACCGACACCAGCTGTACTCTGGGCGTTCAGGTTTATGCAGTGGTGCCGCCTTTTGTGCTCATGATGAAGCTACATAGCATGGGCGTTGCTTCACCTCCAAATGCCAGCGTCACACAGGAGTCCATTGGAGGGCAGCTGGTGTCTGTGCAAACATGCACGCTTTGCGCAAGCGCTGCTACAAATTGGAGGACAATGAATACTGGCTTGACATTGTGAGGATCGATTCAGGTTCTGCTCTCAAAATATGCTACTAAGTGGGCATGTAAGCCTTTCTGCAGCTGTGCATTGTCATGTAATGCAGTTTTGACACCGCTATATAGACTTCCATTCAGTCTCTCCACTCATCTCAGTCTGTTCACCAGAGCACCGTCAACTACATTTGTATCCGGTATGTCTCCCACAATCCACTTATGCGACATCAATAGAGCGTTAGGGGACAAAGAGGCCTGCCATGTATCAGCAAACAGGGGACTGCATGCAGTACCGCAAATGGATGCCTCATCCCACCAAAGCTTCATGCGGATGCCGCCAGCATTGGAGCAGGCACACCAGCCTGGTGTCCCGCCAGGTGGCATGCCTGAAGCGCCTCGTCAGCATCCGCCAGGCCGCGCGCATGCGCCGCGCCGGCCGCCCGGCTCAATGCAAGCGCCCTGCTTGAGAAGCTGTCGTCCCGGGTCGCCAGTGACCCACTCCCGCATTGCATGAAGCAGAGCACAGCCTCTGCTGGTGTTGAGGCGCCCTCCTGATCTCCCTCGCCCTGCATTACAAGAACAACAGAAAATGAGAGCTCTCAACCCAAATTATGCAAGCCTTGCAACGCATAGGTTGCGCTGCAAGGCGAAGCTTTCCTAGCAGAAGCCTGTGAGCCCCGTGTGTTGTTCAGACACGCACTCCGTGATGGTTTAGCTTTCGCTGCACTACACAAAGGTTGTGTCACAGACATTTTTTCCAACGGTGAAGCACTCCATTTGAGAAGCGGGTGCAGCATCAGGATGCAGGGTGGATGCACAACTGTATGATCTGTAAAGAAAGCCACATATGTGCCCAGACAGTGTGCAGATGTGCCATCACTAGACCTCCTGGGCTTCGGCGGCTGCGGCAGCAAATGCCAGGTCGGGCACGAGTACAGCCAGGTAGTCCATGCTGTTGACCAGGGCCGCGTGCTTGGGCGAGTAGGCCGCCGAGGCCCACACAGGGCTCCACAGCGTCAGCGCCAGCAGCAGCGGCCAGCTACGCCACTGCCGGCCGCCGCCCTCCGCTATGAGCCGCACTAGTACCGGATCTGCCGCCGCGTCCGATGCCGCCTGCACCAAGTAGCAAAATTGAGGCAGCTGGCAGAATATGAATACGTTGTTATGGATACATTCTTGAAATTAACTTTTCACTGGCTTCAATCGACGGAATCAGACAAAAGGATGAAAGATCTGTCTGAATCTGTCCAACAAAGCCAGTGAAGAACATCAGGGGGTATAACATAGAATAAACATAAGAGAACTCTCCTGTGTGACGCCCTCTGAACACATTCACAGGTGGTCTACTTATGTTATATCAGAATGACCACCAACGATAACAAACCTCTTGCCGCGCTGAACCAGCAGTGACACGCACCGCCGAATGGACTGGGCGGGGCAGGTCGAGGAGATCGCAGATGTGGGGACCGGGGCGGCCGGCCGCCGCCAGCGCGGCAGCTTCCAAGCTGGCGGAAGCTTCCGGCAGCAGAGCAGCTGCCTCGGAGCTGGCGGCGTCCGCGAGCAGCCGCCGCAGGAAGAGGCAGCGCGCCAGCAACCGGCAGCGCTCGATCACGGCGTGAAGGTCCGCGAAGCTGACGGCAGCTGCCGAGCAGGCTTCTAGGCAGCTGCCGTGCGCCTGATCAGGCACTCATGCCTTGTCAGTGCATCTGGCAGATCCAAGGGTCATCATGGTCATCACTGAAGAGCTGCACCTAGCGTCCTCACTCAATATTTGCAATCCTGGTGATTGCTCTTGAGTTAAACTACATGCTGCAAAGTAGGCTGTATAAAAGCATCCATCAAGATATCAACTCAAATGGGCCTAAAAGCAGACCTTGTATTCAGTGTGCAGCCCCGTCAGCAGCTCCTCATTAGACGCCAGCATGGCATGCAGGCCCGAGACGGCCTCTGCAAGGGGCCCCTCAGTGCAGGCGGCAAGCTCCCTCGCTGCGTACAGCCCGAATGTGCGCACGAGCGATCTGAGCTCCGCCTCGCTCGCGTACTCGGCTAAAGCACTGCCACGGTCGCTGTAGAACGTCTGCCTGCAGCGTGCAAACCTCTGCTTGAAGCTCTAGATTTGCTGTTTGGGCACTTGAGACGAGGATGCTTCAAGTAAAATGCTGCGCAGCGCAAGCCTGGCTTGCCCAGCTGGTGGGGCTAGCAAGAATGAAAATGCGATCAAACATGCCCCAACGTACTGCTATCAGGTAAAGATGTGCGCAACTGGTATAGATACGTATCTAGACAGACATACAATGCACATACAATCATGCTGCATCAGTGCAGGTAGCAAATGAAGGGCCCGCACCTGGAAACAGAAAATGAGACGCCAAGATTGGCGCTATCCACCAGGAGAGTCTGCACGAACCACTCCCCCACGAACCCGATCAGCCGCTCGGCGGCGCCGGCGTCTGGCGGCTGCTGGGGCAGTGGGCTGTAGGCGTTCCCTGCCAGTGTATCCCTTGCCACTCCCACCAGATCGCAGCCGGACGCCTTCTGCAGCGCTGAGTAGATGTCCAGTAGACGCCGCACCGCCGCCTCTATCCGCACCGGCCGCGCCAAGTCCTGCGCGCATTCCTCAAATACTTGTAAACCTAGTAAGTTCAGGGGTCATTGTCGTGAAAGAAACAAAAATCATGGAATGACATTTAATAGAACTCAGGATGGCGCAGGCGTTTGCGTATCCTGTAATATACAAATCGCTGCACCCTCCAAAGTTCTTGCTCATGGTCACAAAAAATTGGGTTGCAAGCCTTTTAACACACTGGAGCTACTGCAGAGAAAGGCATGCAATCCAGTGTCGTGATGCGTCGTTCAATGCAGTATCAGACCTTGTCAGGGAAGACAAAGCTGGACAGCAGGCACTGGAAGGCGGCCCTGGCGGCCGCCACCAGGTGGGCAGCAGGGTCCAGCCTCAGCTCCCCGTGGATCTGCACAGCGTCGCTCCTCGCCAGAACTGCGCTCAGGCGCCTGGCAGCCTGTCAGCAGCAGTGTAACCTTGTCACTGGCCAAGAATAAGTGTGAGAACAGGAGGTAAGTAATTAGTACTTGAAATACAGGGGTGTACACAGTTGTACACAGTGTACCCCTCGTGACAAATGGAAGAGGGTGAGAAGTGCAACAGCTGCTTCTAGTATATAGCTTCTAATATATAGCTTCTAATATACTAGAAGATGCTGGCTCAAGCTTTTGGCACACTGCACTGCTCAGAGTTGCTTTGCAATGCTGAGTTGCGTGGTGCGGTCAGCACACACATGCACTTGGGCAAGCAGATTAGCTGAGTCATTTTATTAATCACCGAGAGGAGCATGTTCAGATGAGTGGCATCCTGATCCCCGCCGCCGTTGTGCACATTGTCTTTTGCGTCAAGTGTGTTGCGGATGTCTTGCAGGAGCCCCTGGCCCCTGCCCTTGCCGCCCTTGCCAGCAGCATCCGCCGCTTGAGCCCACCTCACCCCAGATCCAGGCATGTCCGACATTATCTGCACAGGTACAAAATGAAAACCTCTAGAATACGTCCTCTCCTGAACATACCCTTGTGTGGTCCTGAACGCACTTGTGTGCACCATGAGCTGGATACAAGGTCTTAGAGTGGGAATGAAATGATGTAAACAACTTAAAACCATGCCAGGGTCGCTCTGAATTGACGTCCGCATTCCTCTTTTTAAAATTGCATATGGTGCGAGCATGCTCAGGTGTTTCATTCTTCTGCACATTGGCAGGACGAGAGGCTTGGCATTGAGCTCAGCTGGGTATACCTTGTGTGCATCAGTCACAAGCTGGCGGAAGGTCTCTGCAACGCCATACATGAGCTCGGTGGCCAGCGCCCCGGCAGCTGCCGCGCAGCTGTCAGAGGTGTCCTGATCAGGCGCTGGCCCCAGCCAGGACAGGGCGTGCAGCCAGGCCAGCACTAGGTGTAAGTCCCTGTAGGGCGGCTCCAGTGACGCCAGCATGGCTGCTCGCAGCTTCAGCTGCCTGGGATCACCCCTTTGGTGGTAGTAGCAGAGCTGTTGCAGCGAGGCAAGCCTGATGAACACCACAGACGACACCTCTCGATCTATATGCATGAGGACCACTCCCTAAAGGAAGCTTTGTACGCCTGATCAGCTGAGAAGAGGTCCATTGCAGAATCGTCACCTTGTGGGCGATGTCTGATGTGAACTTTGACATATTTCAATGAACAATTCTAACTGAACAATGATGCAGACAAGGCAGGCTCAATAAAGCTTCAATGCAGACAGATAAATTCCACTACGGGTGGCAAGTAATCTTGAAAGTAGGATGTGACAGACCTGTCGATGCTGTGATCAAGGCTGTCTATGAGCCTGGTCTTCTGCAGCAGTGTGCACAAACTGCCTAATGGGCTGTCTGGCTGGGCAGCTTCACCAGCCCAGGAAGCTGCCCCGGACGTGGAAACTGCTGGGAAGATGGTCTCGCTGTACAGCCGCTCGCATGAGGCCCTGGCAGCCTCTAGATCCGGCTCTGTCGGGTATGGTGTCCACGACGCGCGCATGCTTGCCTCTGCATCTTCTCTGTTCATCGTACACGATTTCACTATTAGCACGAGTTCTGTGCAAATAACAATCTACACAATGAGATACCTGTTGGGGGCAGCAGTATGCTCATACACTACTGTAATAATAGCAAAAAATTTGCATGCACTTCTGGCAGTGGCCAGAGTTCAGCATCTCACACTGAAAACAAGACATGGCATGCTGGAAGAGTAGAGTACCATGCAGACGTTCATATTCAGTCGCTGTGAAACACACTTGTTCAAGGTCTAATGGTTGTTTCTGCATCAGCGCCGGCATTAAATGAGTCCTGCATAGTCACCTGGAGATCTGGGGCGAGTTATGCAGCGTCTGCAGTGTTGACAGGATGACCTGCAGTTCGGCGTTGAAGGACGATGACATGTGCGGCCCTAAGTCCAGCGGACAGCTATCCAGCGCATCCTGCATCACCACTGCAGCCTGCCATGCAATTGCAGCCCTGCACATTGCAATGTCAGAATTTTCAGCTGCTTGCAGACTACTATGATTGTAATTAGAGACCTGTTGGGTGCCATTGAGGCACATTGGTCTTTTGGGCAGTCTTTCACTGTCTATCTTCCCATCACAAACTGTGATTATATTATTCACCGCTCAATTTCCACCTCACTTCAGGAGATGAGACATCGTGCATCGGAAGGCAAGCGGGTTCAGTACAAAGCATCTGCAGCTCTGCAGAAGCGCACCTGTGACTGTGCAAGAGCTGCTCGGCTGCATCCATGGCGCTCATGAGGGCAGGCAGCCCGTCACCTGGGGCCAGGGCTTTCAAGGGGTTGGGGCTGGACAGAAGGGATTGGAACAGACCCTTTGGCACCACCTGAAGAACGCATCCAAGCGTCCAGCTCAACCCTTCTGACCATATGACTCAATGCTGCAACAACCTGTCCACCCTCGCAATTGTAGATAGACTCCTATTACTTCTGACCATGCCCCTGGGCATACTCTATTGTGTGCCTGTAGACAGGAGGTTGAGGAGTGGAAAGCGATGGCATACCTCTCCCCAGTGCTGGAACCACCAGAGCACCTCTGCACGCGCGCATGACAGCAAAGCCAGCATCGCATTGGCCCTTTCTGTAATGTCTGAAGTCCGCAACTCCACATGCTTCACCATTCTCTGCAGCGCCTGTACAAATACAGAGCCCTCTTTCTCCATAGTATACCGGACGCGCTCGTACGCTGCATATAACAAATCCAATATTTGCAAATTCAAGGAATCTGCATCAGCTTTCTTTCCGCTGACACTTACACATGTGGTCAGGCATGATACATGCTATAGATCTGTCAAACTCTCCGAGTGACTCTGCAGCAGCAACAGAGAAGGAAAATCACGGATCGCACATCTGTCAGCAGCACGCGCCGCCGCCTGTGTTCGTCAACACACTCGCTGAGGGCTTCCTTCAGAGACTCCTCCACAAGCCTCTTTGCCGTCCTCTCCAGAGCCTTCCTGCAGCCGCACACTGCAACGTGTGAACATCATGCATCTCAATTAACAAGGTCTACAAATGCTGTCACGTGCTTGTGACCGCCCATTTGTTGCCTTCTCTAGATATCCCAACATCACCACAAAACGATGATTATTTGTGAATGCCACTTGTTTCAGATTTCATTCCAATAAGCATTAGTGGCCACACCGGTCCGTGCGTTCCAATGAGGTCTTCGTGCTGTTGTAGAAAGTGACAAGCGTCGGCCGCACATGGGCATCAAACAGCGGGTGCACCCACTCGCAGTGCTCCTTGTACACTGACATCCTCAAGGTTTCTCGCAACAGAATATGCAGACATTGCCGCGCTCCTGGCCGAATAAGCTCCCCTGAAACATCACAGAGGCTCTTATCGAGAACTATTAAGCTTCCTCTACCTTACTAGCTCCATTCTTACCACCTTAACTCAGGATTATCCTTGGTGTGTTGTTTTTGAGATGAACCTTGCCTAGCCATGCTCCAGAACTTCAGTACAAAATGTGCATTGATTGCTTTGTAGGTTGCCAGGGAGCATCCAAATCTGTTGTTTGGTCACAGTGTGCTTCACCTGGGCAAACCAGGAATGCAAGCAAGGCCCACTCCTTGAGCTGAGGCAGCCATTCCAGCAGAGCCTCGCTGTTCTCAGTGGTTGCCGCCGCAGAGCAGCTTGCTAGACCTGCGGCGCCCAACAGCCCTGATGACCTCAGCGCTGAGCTGTCTCCAAACGCCAACACAGCCGTGCACACCACTGTTTCCAACACCTAGGCAGCAAATATAATTTGTACGTGAGTGACTCATCTTGCGGGTCAGTTTTTGCAGGCTTGAGCCAGCTGTCAAGCCGGCAATGTCAGCAAAAGGATTGTTTACTTGAAGGCATAGAAATTGAAGCGTAGTGAGGTGAGACCTGGCCGATGCAGGAGCTGACAGCTTGGAACTCTGACTGCAGAAGGGGCACGATATTGGGGAAGGTCTGCGTGTAGCTGATCACAGCTCGCATGTCCGGAGGTGTTCCCTCCCTCTGACTCTCCTGCAGCTGCACCAACACAGAATGGAATTTCAGACATTGCATGCAGAAAGCACAATTTCAACCCCTGACAAAGTTAGTCAGGTTCATATAATGCAAATGGCATGTAGTCAGGCTTGACAGCGGCTCACAAGGCCATTTCAAAGGTACTGCTTGCACAAGACATCAAGGAGTTGCTACATGATACTGACCTCCACAGTGGCATATGCCAGTGTGTACAGCTGGATGATTTGCTTGTAGGGAATATGGCGTGCCAGCAGATGCATCCTCACGGTGTTGCCTGTCAGCTCAACAAATTCTGCTAAGAGCCCCGGAGTGCGCTGTACTGTCAGCGCAGATGTGAGCTGTCCATGCTGGTGCAGGAATGCTGTCACCGAGCTGTTGAAGTCCCTCATATCCTGGAGGAAGTGCAGAGCCGCTCAGCTGAAAGGTGCATCCACCCTGATACATTGCATGTCGAGAGCCCAAACAACGCTGTGAGATAAAAGGGAGGAGCACTGGTGCTTTGAAATGGAAGACAAGGACCTTGATGAGTCTGTACAGAGGCTCCATCTCATGCAGCATCACATATGCTTCCCTATGAAGCACCTCGCTCCCCAGCTGGTCCACCTGCACCACCAAAGTCATGCATTACGAAGATAAGAGGGGCATTTAGACACTCGATATTGAGTCTAAATACTGATAAAATAGATTTGATGTTGAATGTTACAGGGGACAAGGAAGCCACTCCCCTGAAGGGTGAGACTCACCTTCTCAATGTTGATGGAGCAGGGACTCTCAGGCCACATCTTGAGCAGCCTCGCCTCGATCTGATACGCAAAATCGTGATCAAAATCTTTTGTACAGGCGAGTCACAACTCTACACCTCCTTTCTAGATTCTCTAGCCTGAGATGGAGTCAGGATACTAGCTATGCTTACCTCATGATAGGTAGATAGAAACATCTGGGAGGTTTGCTGGTGCTGGCTAGAAATGCCTTTGCAGGCTGCGTAAACTCTTTCCAGCAAACCCCTGGACATCTGGAGCAGAGACTGCATAACATCTACCGAACGATGTGCCATGGCCTTGGCCAATACTAGAAGCTTTCAAATGTCAAACGCAAGGGATAGAAGAGAAACCATAACATAAGGAAGCAATTCAAGGCGAGTTTTGTAACACATTGGCCTGGTATGATATCCTCGCTCTATGCATTGTGTCAGCAAATCTAACAATATACACTTTTGCTGTTATGTTTCTGCTACAGTTATGCAAAATCAGATCCTTGCAAAAGTTTACACATCGTGACATCTTGAATTGTTTGTCGCTCGCGATGATAGCTTCCCTCGGACGCAGATTGCCAAGAGAGATTGCTGCCATTACCGTTGCCAAGTTTGGCGCTCACCATGATTATGCATGCATCACAGAAGCCCAATTTTAGAAATCTTGCAGATATCCACTGAAAACAATAAGTTGCTTCCTTACGCATGAGTCGCTGCAGAACACACACCAGAGCGTGACCGTGCCGAGGAGGAAGTTTGGTAGGAAGGCCAGCAGGTGAGAGCCAGTGCTGATCTGAGAATGCCACCAACCCAAGTGAGCCTGTCCTGCACGAATTCATGGAATGGCTTCTCAATAGCATCTTAGAAAATTCTTTACTGCAAAACAAGGTTACTACAATGGGTTCAAGATCTGCGAAGCTTGCATAAGTCTTTGCTGTGCATTCTTTGAAGAGTATTGGGGTTTGCTACTTTATTCTGAGCAGGGTATCTTATATCACTGAATCGTGTGCCTCACGGCATGATATCCGTCAAGAAATCGTACAGTAGCATGACCATCGTCCCTTACCAGCGTGCATGTTCACACAGTCATGCATAAGCTGCAAGACATTGGAAGGATGTCCCGCTTCTTCTTCGTGTCCCTCGTCTTGTTGTGTGGGGCGCTGTACTTTGTTAGTCTACACGTATATTCTGCTCCCATCTCGGACATTTCAGCTCCCAGCAGCAGCCACTGTGGATTCAGAAACGCCATGAGGCACGCGAATATCACAGGGTAAGAATTCTGAACGTAATATTCTTGCTTCTCATCTCCAGCTTTCCAGAAGATGCAGTTCACGTTGGCTTGTGCTGACTTGCAGGTGGGAGTTTGAGCTCATGACCCCCTTGGAACGCTTAGTACCTGAAAACCGGGATCAGACGCTTGAAAGGGTGAGTCAGCCATTTGCCTGATTGCCACTCACCACCATGACAAATTTAAGAGCTACTCTGGCGCTACACATTCTTTTGAGATATCTGATGTGAGGCAGTGGCCTGGTATATATTCAGGTAACTGAGAAGCTGACAAGCATTGGAACCAAGCTTGAAATGGTTGTGCTGCCTGGCACTCTGCGCACATCAGTACGCATCTTACTCTTGCCAGCAAGCTTCACCTTGAGGTGCCCTTTGAATTTCACCTATGACTGTCCAAAAAATTTGTGGCAGAAATTGCTTAATCAAGACAAGAAGGAGTCCCAGGTACATATTGGCATCTGCCCAGGTGACCGCTCAAGAAAGCTACGCAATATCAACGCAGAATGGCGGCTCGCTGGTTGATAATCATACACACTATCCTTGGAAGGAGCCAGGATTCATTCGGTGAGCTTTTACACTTGCCCATGAAGGTGCATGCTTCAAGGGGCATATCATATGCCGCATTAGCCTCGCTGAAAATTCATGTCTTGTGTGCAGGCTGCGAGCCAAGCTTTCTCAGACGAACAGCGAGGAGGGCTTGGCAGTTCACCCAGGCAGTGCAGATCTCACGCTCAAGCTGAAGGACGTGGATCCTGCACAAGCGCCTGCACTGGAGCTGAACATGAGCAGCAAAGTCAGGCCGCGCATGGCAGCAGTCTGCCAGCGCTCCAAGCCCAAGCATGCCCACCTCAAAGTCAAGGTGTGCTCTGACTTTTGTGGCCGACGCTGTACATCAGTACCCCAGGGGTTACAGAGTATGCTGCATTGTATTAGGCGTAAATCTAATACCCTCTGAATGACCGGGGTTTTGTGGAAAATGCGCATGGCAGTTGCCACAGCTGTCATCAGCAGTGTCACTCAGCAGTAAGGCCTCCTTGCTGCTGCTTCAGAAACTGAAAGAGGAGGGAGTCTTGCTGTGTGAGGGTCTCTCTCTGTGAGAGTGTCTCTGTGAGGCTGATGGATTATTCTGTGGCTGCACAGGTGGAGAATGATGTCTACTGCTCATACGCCAACAGGGCAAACTCCGAGTTCAAGTACAGCCCGGTGCCAAGCAACACCAACATCACCACTCTGTCAGGTACGCCTACTAATTTGCTGAACTTTTTCTACGTGGCTCAGGGGCTGTGAAGCAACAGATAAACAAGTGATTCACGATCCCCTGTGTGTGTCCTGTCATGCCTGACAGTCAGTCTCCGAGTTCAGCTAGGTGCATCAGCGCGCGTCTGAAAAACAATGATGTCTTCGTGGAGTCACAGCATAATTTAACACTGGATGCCATGTGTCCCTCTTGTGCCTCTTTGTTCAGTCTGTAGCTAGACGCATCCGCATCACCGCGCTTTGGATTAGTCATGCTACCTTTGCAAAGTCACAATCTACCGAGGACCTCCTTGTGACATTGCACGTCAGGGACTCTAAATTTAATCTAGATATTTGATCCTACTGCTTGCTGTAGAATCCCTTGTGCATTTTGTGCATGCGCAGGGGTGAGCGAGTACTCCCCAGATCTGCCGCGCTTCTTGGGCGTCCCTGCGGGATTTCTCCTGCCGGTGTACGGCCGCCGCGCGTTCAGCAAGTCGGTGTGGGACATCCAGATCCTGGGAGTCCGAGGGGTGGCGAATCTCGTGATGAACTACCCCCGCGCGCAGGCCGCCCTGCTGGGTAAGCACACAACTGTTTTGCGCGCCTGTCGACTCCATGTTCTTGCTGTGGTGGTTGTTTATAGAACAGCAGGACTGTTGAAAGTGAGAGCCCGGGAGTGAGAGCCCGGGAGCATGCCATCATGACACAGTTCTTTGATCCAGCTCTAGACTGCCTCTAGACTTGCTTGCACTTTTAAAAAACAGTGTTCTTCTGACTGACAGCCCTATATTCCATCAGAGAAACCATAAAGTTGATGTGCCATGCAGGCTCGGGAGCGCAGAATGCAGAGCTGTCGTTCCGCGTGAAGCGCAAGGACATTGAAGCGCTGCATATCTCAGGAGATGATCAGTACTATGACGCAGTGGATGAGGTGATCCGGTTATGTGACCTGCTGCATGATGAGCGCTGGGATCAGGATGCAGCTGGAGCTGCAGCCTAGATTGTGCAACTCTCCGGAGCCGGTGCCACCACGTGCACGCGAGAGGTCATTGACAATGGTGATGCAATGCACTTGTAGTGTGGGTGGTATATAGCCTCTGCACGATGTTGAAATTCAAGCGGGATTGTGTTGATTTTGCAGAGTCCCAGAGAACAGTTCTCATCTCATAACGTCCCATACCACCAGTAGTTGTGCCAGACATGAAATTATACTTTGTCTGGCATTGAGTTGCGGTGAATGTGAGGATGTTACGCAGCCTCCTTCGCATGCAGCCGAATGACTTCGTTTCACCGTGACGTCGAAGCGTTGACGAGGCGGAAATGTGCGTATCTTCCTGAGGGTATATTTTGGGAAAGAACTTGTCCAGTCTCAAAGGCTACCAATGAAAAAGAAAGGTACCCTCTATGTTGCATCAGGCGCCGAGAAGCAATTATTCTATAGAAAAGAATGGGATTTGGAATTCGTCTGCCTCGATGGGCACGTACTGGAGCAGCCCAGGATGCTTCAAAATTGTCTTGCGACAGCTGGTAGGAGTATGGCGCTCATGATCGATGAATTTTGCAACAGCCACACATTCGTTTCAATAAATAGAAGCTCATGGGTTCAACAATCAAGCGCAGGGAATTCGTGCCGGAGTGCGCCTCCCCCGGGTACTACAATTCAGCAACTGATGCTACAGTTGCTGCGGGAGTTCAACCTCACCGACTAGAACATCTAGGTGAGGCCTTGGCGTCCGTCTTCTCCAATAGATCAGAATCAACTGTCGTCATTGCGAGGTCAAAGATCGCCACTTTCCCAGGCAGCACCTACCCTACGCATTAGAACGCTCACTTTGCTCTCCTGAGGTTGGCTGCACCGCAATTGCAGGTGCCCATGAAGCCCTGACAGCGCGGCAGAACATTCAAAGTCGCAAAGCCGCATTGGCGCCAGCCGTACAGTCGCGGGATCAGAAGGTGAAACAATTCGGAATCGCGCAATCGTCTAGACTTGGCGTTAGTCCCATGCACATTTTATCCTTCCAACTTCGAATAAAAAATTATTCTAGATCGAGGAGTGGCTCATTGAATTCTCAAGAAGACAGTGGGTTCGATCCTATCATACTTCCTGCTCAAGTCTCCATCAGCCACATTGCTCAACTTGTTCAGCTAGGCAGCATCGTTGAAAGTGTCGGTTTCTAGGCTTTGATAAAAACAGAGAATTATACTAGCTTTCATTTCAAACGTGCATGATGCCTGCAGGTAAGATACTCAACCAACGCTGCAAGCAAGGATGTTCCATCCTTCAAGCAACAGGCTTCCCAAGCCGTGGGATTCTTCACAAGATTTGCTACCAACAATGCCAGCACCCAGAAATTTCGACAGACTCTGCATGAGGTGTGCATTGGCACACAATGCCACCCGCTTGCAACAAATCTTACGGCACGGGGTACCACACGCCTTGATGCACTGCACTCCTGCTATCTTGCCATTCACACACGTGTTGCCTTTTCCCCCTCGAGCTCCGCTTGCAGAGGGCCTTTATACAGCCCAGTGATACTGGACAATATTTTGCTTTTGCTGCGTAGGCTGCTCCCGCTCCCTTCGTGTCATGCTGGGGCAACAGCCAAACGTGCCCCTTTGCCGCACAGCAGACAGCCCCAACTCAATCAGGGAGGATTGCTACCACCACTGCCGCCCTTAGCAGCGCGCCAAATGACAAGCCGGAGGCGGCAGTTGGCAAGGCTGCGAGGAACGATGCGATGCCATTGCAAAAAGAGGACTGCATGTGGAACATGGCGAGGTGGCAGCAGCCGCTGCGAGATGCGCTGACGGCCGCGGCCGTACCGCTGCACAGCGCGCTGGCCGCCGTCGCGGTGCCGTGCTGGCCGCAGCCGGGCCTCCCGCGCTCAGGCAGCGGCCAGCCATCGGCCGCCAGCGATGACGCATCGCCGCCGGGCGGAAGCTGCCGGGAAGTCGCCGCAGCCGCGGCCGCCGCATGCGCAGAGCAGACGGACGCCGAGAGCGTTGCCGCGATGGCCGCATCGACGGAGCACGAGCCGTGGCTTCTGCTGAGAGCCGACTCGCTGTGGCAGCCGGTCTTCGAGGAGGTAGACACGATGTCGATGTGCGGCGAAGACGAGGCGCTATTCCAATACCTGGACAACATTATGGACGAGAACAGCTCGGAGTTTGCTGACTGTGAGAGTGACACGAGCGCGGATGAGTGGATTGAGAGGGCGGATGATATCGTGGCTTGTGCGGTCGGTGTGGCGCCGCGTGACCAGCGATGCGCGCAGCTGGCCTCCACCGGCAGCAGCGGTTACTGGACGGCTGCCTCCGATCATGCGCCAGATCAGGCGGGCCCTGCCAGCTGGCGGGGTGCCTCAGCAGCGCGCGGCGACCGCTGCAGGGGAGCTGCCGAGAACCTGGGATGCCGCCAGCGTGCCTCTGCCAGAAGGAGCCAGGAAGACATGCAGGAGATGCTGCAGAGGAGGACGGCCTTGTGGTTGCAAAGTTATGTCTGATGTGGCTCTGTCAGTGCAGCACAGTCCTTGTGCACAGTCAAATGCAGCGTTAAACGTTCCTGTTCTAAGGTACGGAGTGGCACACTGAAAGTGAAGAAGGGGCACATTGGCCTCGAAAGGCAGTACAAGCAGGCTCGTTGCTTGCATCCTGTGACATGGAAGGCTACAGCTGTTTCCCTGCAGACTCTCAATACACTCTGAGCTCTGATCCGCTAGAATAGTGAATACTGTCTGCTAAGAATCGTTCGCCTTGAGTAACCAGACTTAATATAGCGTTGTCATCAGAATAACATTGAGAGGTTGATTAAATCTTGAAGTTGTCATCAAATAGTTGTAGCTCCGTCGCTGTAGATAGAAAAGCAAACTTGAGATGTCCCAGGCATGTGCTCCCATCGCAGAAGACTTCTGACACAATTTTCTTGACACACTCTATGGAGAGGTTTGTGAAATCTTGGCTGATTGTCTTGGGAATTCACCAGGCTCAACAGAATACACAGAGCTGCCAGGAAACGCATGGTGTAAGCAATCTGTGGATCATGCTGTGTAGCTGCATTGAAATCTATTACAGCACATCAAATACCATGTCACATACTCAAGGCTCAGTTGCACCTCTCAATTGATCACAGCGCCTGGTTTCATTAGCAAATAGAAATTCCTGTTTCACATTTGGCAAATGCTGACATGCATCACCCAAGCCCATAATGGCCACTCCACACTGATTCTGGTAACCCATGGGCCAGCTGGCCAGCTGACAAAAGCAATTGCCTTTGTAATGTTGACAGAGAGTGAGTCCTGGCCACACATTGATATGATATCATTTAGATCGCTGCTGGACACTCCAATGCGGCACTAGCACAGAGCTTGGAAAAGAGCTACACCATGGCGCTACTCACAAAGTCTGCTTAGCATTGCAGTGTGGCATGCAGTACCTTTCTGAACTTCCCTGGACATCGTTTTGCAGAACGCTGCATTCTTAATTTGTTCAAACACGGGTTGCTAGACAGCTGAAGATAGCTATGCTGCTCTCTGCAGGCCACAATATGCTGTCAAGCCCCCTTATTTCAGTCATGATACCCCCGAAGCTGCTATTCTGTATCAGGCATAGCACGGCAAACCTCATTCAAATCCTTCCTTCCTGTCCGCCTCTTCTCCTCTCCTGGCTAGGAATCGCCTGCCAGGATCAAATGGTCAATGCAGTCCAATTTGCACATCAGTGCTGACATGGACATTGGCACATAGGAAGACATCTGGAAGCCAGTGAAATAAATATTGCTTCCAGTTATATCGCTCACTGGCCACCTACAGCTGCATTCAAAATCCCAGTGCCTGATCAGGTGCTGTAGCCTGTGCGGGGGGTGATGAGCGGGGAGGCCTGTCCGGGAGTCCTAGGGGTGACAAGCGATGACTGCCCTCCCGCATTATCCACCCTTGGACTTCCAGCGCCTGCACAGGCAAAACATGGCAAGATCAGAACTCTCACATGTTTCTCCAGCAGAATCGGCACAGAGTTTTTGTATTGCTGCCTTGTGGAGGCCGTCCCAAAAACAAATCACCCTCAAGACAGAAAGGCACATTTAAAGTGCGCCGATGCTTCCGTGCTGCTCCCACGCACAGCACTGTTTTGGACCAGGTGACATTCATGGCATTTGAGAAAATGGAGCGCCATGCGCTCTGAAGGTGAGGACACGATGCTCTATCCCTATATATGCCCAGGAAATTGCCCGACTACATGAGACACAATGCACCAAAAAGATCCATTCTGCACTACGGATCACAGATATAAAGATGCGCACCTGACAGGCCGAGGTCGTTGCGGATGGAGTCGAGGCGGCTCCTGCGGTACTGCGAGTAGGGGATGACGTTGGTCTTGCCGGCCTTGGCCGCATCGGGGGCGGCCAGGCCGGCGGTCGCGGTGGGGCTGACGACGCGCGGGCTCTTGGTGCCGGCCTCGTTGGAGCGCCCCCGGACGAGCGCGGGGGACTGGGGGGACGTCGGCGGGGGGACTGCCGGCACGCTCGGAGACGGCTTGAGCGATTTCCGGTCAGCGCGCGCGCGGCGCCGGCGACGGACCAGGAAGAGCGCCAGCGCTGCAATGCAACAGCACATAACATCTGTAAAAGGTATATTATATCAAAGAGCACAATCTTGATCTGGATCAACACTTTGCATATGACGGCTCTACACCGTCTCTACACCAAAGGTGATCACATTTGAGATTGAGAGGTGGAGAAATTAGGTTGAAAGGGGTCTTTGACAGCGTGTGGACCACAGCGGAGCCAGTGGTGGGGTGTGATACTTTCAATGCTGCTCTTGCACCGGAAATTTTGGGGAGGATACAAAGCACAGTCCATGGTTTGTTGGGGCCTGGCAAAGGAGGACGCACCAGCAATGACCAGGGCCACAATCACGCCCACAACAATGCCAACGATGGCGCCAATGGGAATGCCGGAGGAAGAAGAGCCGCCGGAGGGCGGCGGCGCCGGCGGGGCCGACCCAGCCGCCACCGCTGCCGGCTGCCCAGGAGACTGCCCGGCGGGCTGCCCAGCAGGCTGCGTCTGCCGAAATGCTGGCGCCCCAAGATTTACCTGGTCCACGGGAATGCCTGCGAATAAACAGGAGCCGATCATCATCAAGCTCGTCTTGCTGAGTGAGCATTTATCCGTCTTCTGCCAGCTTGAGACCTGTGCAAGGGAGCCTCTTACTCTGGGCTTCTCTCAAGAAGCAATGCCGACCAGTATGTTTGCGATTGAGAGACTTTTCACTTTAAGAGTAATTGAAGCAACAGTCGCAGAGGTGGTGCAATAGGTGTGCAGGTGCGCGCACCTGCCGCCTTGAGGTCGTACAGGAGCTGCCCCGAGCTGGCGGCCGTGGCCAGCGTTCCCACCACGCTCTGCACATCGTCGTTGGATGCGCCCGGCCGCGTGGAAATCAGCACCTGTGCCTGAGACCCAGGACCACCCTGCAGCGCACCATAATGCGTCATTTACATGTCCAAGGTAAGTTGTCGCCCCACACTGCTATACATCCAAATGGTCTAGGAAGATTGTCACCACCTCCTGACAAAGTGGTCGGCTTGTAAAGAGCCATCAGAAACTTTGCCATTGCTTGGAAGGTACCACACAGCGCAAGCCGTAAGGGCCGGCAAGCAGCTCTCAACTGCCGTGCCAGATATTATCATTTGCAGCTCTTGCAGCCAGGAAGCGTCTAGTCTTTTGCGCTAGCAACACAGTCGTTTTGGAATTGGTGTGCGAGTGTAGGCCGGCCTTTTAAGGCCTGGCCGAGCAGACTTGAGCCTCACACTACCCTCCATCCACAGCCACTCACGACCTCCCACACAAGTCTACAGGACAGTCTGGTTTCTTTCTGGGCCGCCATGCATGCAGCCAGGCTTGCTGCGAGTACATACTCGCAGCAAGCCTGCAAATGGAGCCATTATTGACCAGCCATGAGTTGATTGCATGCAGCAAGGTGCAGAACTCGCACCTCTGCCAGAGCGCGTCCTTCTGTGAGCAACTGCCGCCTCCTTGTATTCTGCACTTGGATGCCTGGGGCAGGCGCCGCCGCCACCAAATCCTGAGTCAGGGGCAGGACAACTTGTCATCATAACCACTGTTCACACTTACTTACAACGTCACTGACAGCACTTAAGCTCCTTTCCTATCCTGCTGTTTGCATACCTGCACTTGGCCGAGGCGGATGGAAGTCACAGTGGTGCCGTGCACGGCGACAGTCTTGTTCACGACTGCCAGCAGCGCGTCAGAATCCTTGGAAGACAGCGGGTTCAGCCCCTGGCCGACCAGGTCTAAGGTGGCCACTATCGTCTGGCTGCCGCCCGCCGCCGGGCCGACGGCCGGAGCCGGCCCCGGGGCGGCGATCGGCGCTGGCAGAGATCCGGTGGCATTTGGCATGAGCATCACCTGCAGAGACAGAGAATCAGTACTGCATTGCCAGACTTGGCAGGCACACTCAAGAAGTCTTGGCATGCTAGGTGACTTCATCACACATCGCGGCGTTATAAACAGCAATGATGAGGTCAGAGCCACTGCTTTGCAGGTTTTCTCGACGTATGTTGCAGGGCAGTAACCCTGACGATATATCTGCTTGTAGAGGCAAATGGATGCAGTGAGCCATAGAAGGCGCAAGAGAATGATCTTGTAGCCTGGGGAATCTACATGATGTAGGCATGACAGCACTGCTCAAATGTACTTCCTCGCTGGCGTTCACCAGGTGCAAAAGTAAGCACGAGGTGGGGTCTCACCGGAGCAGGGGCCATCGCTGTCATTCCTGGTCCAGGCGCAGCCGCCAGCGCTGCAACACAGGCAGCAACTCTCAGATAATTGTGAGACACTGAAGTGTCATGCTGTCTTCCTGTAGTTCATGATATCCAACATATCTCTTGTTGATGTCAAGTATTGTTAGATGCATACATATGTAGGCGCAAATGCGCATTGCACATGCATGGTGTACCACAAGCCTGCAGTCCATACATTCCTGCTGCAGCCACACATATAGAATACGCGACAGTGCTTGGGGGGGTGAAGGGTGTCTGGGCGCACGTCTGCAGGGGAATGCGGAGCACATCGTGTAGGAGGTGCCTCCCTCGTAGCGTAGCACCGGGTATGGAGTCCCCAGCGGCACAGACCCGCTCAGCACATCGTTGCCCGGCTGCAGCACGCTGCGTGCAATAGAAGCCACACACATCACCAATCTACCCTGCAGGACCCCACTTGGCCAAGGCAAACTTGCTGCACTGTTACCTGCGATTGCCAGTCTCGTACATCGCTTTGCCTTCCTGTCTGACTATGGAACTTGGCACAGACGTCCACCCCAAGAGCAAGTGCTGCCTCTGAGCATGCAGGACACAAAATGCATCGCTTGCAATGGGGCCGGTGTACTTGTGCTGATACGCAAAGCTCCATACCCAGACACAGATGTGCTGCGGTCACTTGTTTTAAACATGCGAAGAGGCGAGCAAGCTCACATGCCGTTGCCGGAGCTGCGCATGGCGGGGAAGGAGGAGTTGGCGGCCCAGGCGTCGGGGAAGCTGCCGGAGAAGTTGTTGCCGTTGAGGGCCATGATCGTCAGCTTGGGCAGCGCACTCGCACCGCCCCACGGCGCCGGCAGAGTCCCGTTCAGCGTGTTGTCCGTCAGCGTCATCAGGCTGCAAGGGGATTGAGCGATCAGTGTCATACGATGAGGCTCGTATCAGGCGACACGGATTTGATCTTGGTTGGCTTGGCCGAGAGGACATCTATATCTTTCACCTCATGCACAGGATGTGCAGCGTACTTGTTCTTCCAGCTCAGACATCTGATGGATCAAGAAGGTGGTGCTGCTCTGGGAAGCAGGCTGACAGGACTACAAGGAACCTTGACACATCAGTTCAGCCTCAAGAGGAGCTTAGCCCATTACCACAGTCAGCGCATGACCAAAGTCCGGATACAAGGTGCTGAGCAAGAGTACGCGCCTGCCCAGGACCTATTATTCGGACTTTGTTAGAGGACTACTAATCCAAGGGAAAAGGTCGCGAGATGACGCGCTGTGTAAAATTGATGTCTCGCGTTACAAAGGGGGGCATGTCTATGATAATGGATTCTTCAGAAGCACAGGGGCGCTCACGAGAGGCTGGGCCAGCCGGTAGACCAGGAGGGCGGCAGCGGCCCGGACAGCCGGTTGGCGTCCAGGGAGAGGATGGTCAGCGAAGGCAACGCCGCGCTGCTGTTGCCCCAGGCCGCCGGCAGCGGACCCTCCAGGCTGTTGTTCTTCAGCGCCAGCACTCGCAGCGCTCCTAGTGCTCCGGGACCGCCCCAGGACGCCGGCAGGCTGCCTGCGGGGCCACGTGCACAAGATGACTCATCATTGACTCATCGCAGCGCATCTGCCCTGGCCAGCAGGCGCTGCCTCGCAGATGAGCAAGCTTGTCAGACTGTCACGCGCTTACGTGAGTATCAATGTATGGCTGTCACGTTGCCCAGTCCAAGTTGAGATGCAATCATTCTAGCAAGAAAAACGGAAATATTAGCGCTGTATGATGGGAACCCCTGCTGTCATGCACAGCAGGCATGGCAGAACTTCTCTGCGGCAAGCCCAAATTTGCAGTGCTTAAGATTGCTGAAGCATTGCCAGCACTGTGAAGATCCAGTAGGTCTGGTGCCATACGTCGTGGCTTTGAAATGATCCACATCAGAGCTATTCTATAACATGTGCAAAGTTTGACTGTGTAGTTCGGCTGGTGGGCCACTCTGGCTAGGGGATGCTACCCAGAGTGATGACACCGGCTAAGCTACACAGCCGAAGCTCTTGCCTGTTCTCTTGCGCTCGCACACCCTCTGTGGGGAGCATTACTGCAAGAGGACTCCGGCCACTCCTCCAGTATTGCATAGTCCACTCCTTCAGTACTGCAAAGTCCAGCAGAGCCTTCCTTAGAAAGCACATGCGCGCACCTGTGAGGTTGTTGCGTTCGAGGTTGAGCACGATGAGGCTCTTGAAGGCGTTGGAGTTGCTGTAGCCGCTGGGCAGGCTGCCTGTCAGCCTGTTGTCATCCAGGGTGATGACCTGCAGCTGGGTGAACACGTTGTTCCACCCCCAATTCGCCGGCAGGCTCCCCCCAATGGCGTTGCTGGACAGATTCCTGTGCATGTCACAATTATTTGCTAAACAGACATGCATGCATGCAAATGCTGTCATGGCAGAGCCTCCTGTTAGCGTTGGAATGCGTCTGCTCCGTGGCTTGCTCATGATCCCAGTGCTGAGAATGAGGGCATGATGCAGCTGAGAGAAATCATGAAAGATTTGAGGATGGGAGCACTAAAGATGACGGTGCTGTACGGGGCACATGAAGCCGACTCACATGATCTGCAGGGTGGTCAATTGAATGAGGCTGTCCGGCAGGCTCCCACTGAGGCCCTTGCCGTTCAGATTCCTGCGCAGCCAAAATATCCCTCCTCAGAAACCCGCCATCTCCTCTCAGTCTTGCATCCCGATCGATTTCAGTCAGCTATCAGACTGAAGGAGAGCACAAAAGGAGGGAGTATCCCTGGGAGTCTCCTTCTGCCCTCACATACGCATACTCTGTAGTCAATCGAATCCGCAGGCAGGAGTCCGCCATGCTGGGGCGTGTGAACTTACAGTGAGGTGACTCGCTGCGAGCCGTTGACAAGCGCGCATGTGATGCCTGCCCATGTGCCCCCACATGGATTGCTGCCCTGCCAGCTGGCAAGGGCAGGCGGGTTTCCAAAGGCTACCGTCAGCGTCTGCAACGCTGAACCTGCATGCATGCAAGCCACCATCAATCGATTCCACACATGATGCTCAAGAACATGAATACTCGATTTGGTAATTAAGTGATGAGTGACGATGCCGTCACTGCTGTATATCATGATGAGATGAGAGCAGATTGTTTTCTTCCTCGCGTAAAGCTGATGGCTGCTGTTGGCGCAGATGAGTTGCTCACCATCTGTCTCTGCTGTTCCCCCCAACGGGTTCCCTGGCTGTGCAGAGGCTGTGCTGAGGCTGGCCACCAGTATCGAGACAATCAGAATTCCTTGACACAGCTGCCTTGAGAGGCTGACCATCTCCCAATCCATTTCCTGGGCTTGTATGCACACTGCACTGGGATTTCCAGGTGCTTCAGCAGCTCCGAGGTATATCGCAAGGCTCGGTTTCCTGCATACAAGAAGTTTGCTTTGTCAGCTGACTCAATAAGTGGTAGTAGCTTTGCATGCCGAGCGCAAGACCTTGTTTTTCCCCGTCGTACGCCATTGGAGCTACGCATATGATTTTGTTTGCTAATTTATGGGACTTGTATACAGGCTGCAATTCCTGAAGCGTTATCTTGAACAACTTTTTCCCGGGCTTCGATCCAAAAGAGTCATTGCGATCTGTGCCGGCGACGAGTAGGCACGACGATAACGATTGTCGAAATCCCCTTTGACCCAATGCAAACATACTTTGAATGCTCCAAAGTCTGCATCGCTGAGAAGTCAGCTCTGCAGAAAGCCCTGACGTGCCTCTTTTTACTAGAAGCAAATGCTGCGAAGAACGAATCGCAGGGTACCTGGATCCCGCCCAGACGCGAGAGAAGAAGCTGTGTAGCTCGCCGGGTTCTCTATGTATTACTCATGCTGACAGAGATGTCCCCATCAATGCTAAGAGGACCAGCTGTAGCTCGATGCAGTCCTATTCTGTCGCCAAACGAAGCCTCAATCCTGATAGATCGCAAGGGAGCCCCTTAACTCTAAAAATTTCATGGATTGATGTTCAGTCCCATGAAGAGTCAAAGCCTGCAAATTTAGGTACCATCAATTTTCATACAATCACCGCCCACAGGTGGCATTCATAGATCTTCCTTGGTGTTGCCTGTACAGGCTCTGTCACCTTTATCAGAGTCTGGAAGGAAACATGGGAGTGGAGGGCAGAATGATAACTCCAGTCATTTATATGTGCACCGCAAAGCTTGACTGTCATGCAGAAGTACATGTGCGCTCGCCTCATGGCTGTCGATCAACATTAGACTTCACCCGGGCTGGACAACGCTGTGTGCCTGAGACGGTTGCTTTTTATCAAATTACTCTGGAGACTTCCGATAATAGACACTGCATTCATGATGCTGTCCACATAAGAACAGCAGCCATTGATACCGTAACCACATTAAGACACAGTCAGTGTCAGACTTTGTATCATGAAGGCCCCTTGGCAGTTCACTAGGCCGTTTGGGCCATCACCAGAGATTGCTCAGCTGGATTTGAGGCCGCATCCTTCTCAGGCACACCCAGGGGCATGCCTTGGCAGCAGCTGTTGTCCACGCGAAACAGCTCCCACGGTTCTATGCCTGACAGCCTGCACACATACACACTGAATATTGCCAATGTGCATGACAACGCAGCTCTGGATGAGAGACATAACGGTGTAGTAAAGGATGTCTCCTGGCGGTACAGGGCTATGTGACACCAGACAAGGGCTGCCCGGTGCTCATGCAAAGCATGCAGCGCGGTCCTTGCAGGTGTTGTATCACATGAATCATGATGAATGCATAATGTACCTTTTCACAGTGAGGACAAAGAGCCCTGCACACTTTCACTCATTACCAGATGCTAGGGCATCTACCAGCTCACTGTATTGTGCAGCTATTCAGGGGTCAGATGTCGTATCACACTCCCCAGCACTCGTGGGCAAATGAAGTAAGCAGGAACTGCAGGAGAATCCACATGTGCTTGTATTCTGACATGCATTCCAATGCCATGTCTGCACACGTCAGGAACTTTGTAAAGTTACTTCACAACAGGAAGGGAGCGGGAAGGGGTGAGTGCGGGCGGACCTGAGGGCGCGATTGATGCGCTCCTCCTGAGAGGGTGCAGGCCAGAGCCCATCGGGTGTGCACAGGACGGCTCCAGTGTATACCTGCCCCGCAGCCGACGCCGCGCCGGAATATGCAAACAGCGCCCATGACAAGTCGTCCGGCACATCCACAATCCTGTAAGACAGATGTCATTGAAAGCTGGCAAGCTCACGATTTTTTTATGCCCTTTAAAGGGGTCCTGTAGCTGTGCTGATCATGAGCATCAATGTTGACTATGATAGGTGTCCATGCAATGATGACATGCATGCAGTGTCACGCTCTCGCGCGTCAGCACCCCCACGAACAGGTTTGGCAGGATGCACTCGCAGCGCGTGAACAACCGCAGGAGGGCCGTCCTTATCATTTGAGGCTTGCTCTGCAAACCCAACAGACTGCCCGCCCTCACGAGCACCCCAATGAAGATTTTGACCGCAATCCAGAGTACTATCTAGTCAAAAGGGGCGATTAGGGGCGGCTCACCTCCAGAACTCCTTGCTGATGACGCCGTTGTCCAGCACTGAGAAGTGGAATGTGCCTGGCACCTCAGCACGGCGCACCCTGTAGTGGCGCCTTCGCCAAACCACCCTCCCATCCAACGTCCTCACCTGTCAAGAAGACCCCACACATTTACCACTTACCCCCAATGACAGCAACAAGCCAGTGGGCATTCAAACATATTTCATGAGCTGTGGTCCTCTTTACCCGAGCTATGCTTGTCTCTTGCACGCCGTAACTGTGCATGCTGCAAGAGGGTGACCACCTACAGGTCATCTGGGTACTGAAATACGGTACGAGCAAATCATCGTATCCCTGCAACTTAAGCCCTCCGACGCATTTGCTGCTCAAGAGTCAACTGGATCCCTCACGAAACTCTAGAACAAAACTTGATAGTAGGGAGGCGTGCTTACCTGGAAGACAGGGTCATACCACATTGAGCGCTTGGCTTTGCCGCGGTAGAAGATCTGGTACTGGCAGGGGAACTGATCATACGCCGCATTTTGGCCTGCCACTACTCTCCAGCTCCACTCCTCCTTCCCTACAGAACAAACGCACGATTGCAACATGATGCGCACGAGACACCATGCAGAAGATGTAGTTCCACAGGTCAAGCAGTGGAACGAGTATTGATCAGATTGTACTGAGACGGGTGAAGCTCACAACAAAAAGGATGGATCTCTTGGAGACTTGAAGCTGTCATCAAATGCCAGCAAGCAAATAGCAATCTAAGCAACATCAGCCAACCAGTACCAAGCCAACCAGTAAGGTACAGCAATTAAAACTAGAGTGGCTTACCAAGCCAGCCAATGAAGAGAGCCTCTGCAGTGTCATGCGTGAGGGGCTGCCCTCTGTGGCTGCCCATGGGCGGGGGATTGGGCAGCTCGGGTATTTCTGCGCTCTTGCCCAGGCAGTTGTGTTTCTGCAGGATGCACAGCGAGAAATCCTCCAGCAGCTGCGACTCGTGCGACACTATGCACCGGTAGGAGCACACCTGCCCGCCAAATTTGGGTTATGGGCTAAACACCCAACTTTGAGTGCAGCCCTCTGGTCATTAGTAACCAGCTAACCTCTACAATTATTCAACTACCCCACAGAGCTTCCTCTTACTACCCCTCCACTTGATTTGCTTCTGGTCTGCTCAGAGGTAGCCTCATGAGATCATTGGCGGTGAATGACAGTGAGCGTGACAGAGTGTGAGTCAGCTCATGATGGGTGATGTCAGCGCCTGATAAGTAGGCAGATCCTTTCTCTTAAAAAGCCTTAGCAAGACTTGTGTCATGGCTCTTCATTTTGCATCTCGTGACATTGCAGCAATAGCGAAGTGCATGCACAACCTGGTCAGTTGGTGAGCAAGACTGCAGGCAGTCCAGTGCGGCCTTGCACTCAGGGTCGTTGACGCACGCAAAGATCTGAGGGCCGCATTTGGTAATCATGCGCGCCAGTGCCAGCGGCCCTGACGCTCTCAGACTGTCCAGCCGGGGAACCTGGACAGCACCAATATACTGCTGACCTTCTCGCTCCCTTAAAAATACGACCCAATTGAAATTAGGCCCCGAAGCCTGACCAAGAACAGGCTGTTATTGTATGTGCAGCGCCCGTCGCAACCAAGGAAACCTTGCCAAGGCACAGCGTTGCATTGGCTCATTATGAGTAGAGCCCCCCTCAGCCCAACACTGTCAGACACCTAGGGACTTGTGGCTAAGGCTAAGGCTGTGTTGCATGTTGCAACATTGCCAGGGGGTACTAAAGAGTACCTAGTAGTAGTATGGTATTTTTCATACCCCCTGACATCGCCTGAGTAGAGGTGGCAAGGGAAGGCGCTTGCCTTGACCACGAAGGCATCGATGAGGACGAGGAGAAGGGACACCAAGTCATCTGAGCTGTGGCGATCCCAAAGGGTCTGGATTGATGCGGATAGCTCCTGTGCGCGCGCTGCCTCCGTCCATGACAGCCGCGCTTGCAGCTGCTGCCACGGCCTGCATGCAATACCCGTACTTCATTTCCATCACAGAGTGGCATCACTACCAGAATCACAGGAGGGTTCAGCGCAGCTGCACAGCTCATGATTGTAGGAACAACTGCAGAAGGAAAACTGATTCTGTCACCACCAGAGTCACAGGACTTACGACTGCAGCTGCCCAGCAGATATCTAAAAGAAACACAGAAGGCAATAAAGACGTCAGGGTAGAGGTCCGCACCCTGAATTCGCCGATAATAGGCCGCCCAGGCGATTGAGTGCGTGCAGCTCCGGGGCGCTATCGAACGCCACAAAAGTCGGCACTTGCGCGGTGTTCTTCGCTAGGATCCCAGCTGCCTCCGCGCTGTGAAGTCCCTCTACATAAACAATGTCTGCTGCGGCCGCGCACTTTCTGAACGCCTTTAGGCTCTCTGAGTCCTGCGCGGTAACCAAGAGAAGTTTCTCTTGCAGTTCATGCAATGCAGGCAATGAGGCAAGACCAAACATGCCCAATGCAGTCTTTTGGGGTGCAAATGTGTCCCTGCTTGACAAGCAGTATAACTCAGCGGAAATCCCATCTTCAAAGGATGCACAGTGATTACTTTGCACAGGACAGGCATCGTACCAGGAGGTCTGTGTCGGTGTAGACATCCAGCTGGAAGCCTGGGTCCACAAATGTCAGCCGTCTGGCCATATGGTGCAGCACAGCTTCACTTGTGACCTCCAAATCCCTTCCAAGCCTGCTCACTGCTCCGTCTCCCACCACTGCCACCAGCCTTGCCGTGGGAGGGGCATCCACGCTCCCTGCAGTGTTACCAAGCTTTCCATGATCTCACCCCTCTACACATGCACATGCTCTGACGATCGCAGATCATCTGCATGACGAGTGGAACTGTGAAAGGCTTGTTCGGCGCCGAGTTCATGCGAGGGCATGCTTCAGTGAATGATAGGATCGCACCTGCACCGGTTGTCGTGATTTCATCATGTGCAACCGACTGGGCTGCGATCCGGGTTGTGCTGCGCTGCGACTGACTCATGAACTTGGGCAAGCTGCTCTGCCTCCTCAAGTTGCAGCGTCCTCGTGGCAGGACGCTTCTGTAAGAGCTCCTCAGAGGAGCAGGCCTGGCTGCAACATTGGGAATGGAGAGCCCATGTAGACCGCAGGAAGGCGAAATGTTATGTGCTAGGATAGTCTGATACATTGAAGCCCGATCTCACTTGCGTCCTTGCTTTCTCAGAAAATGACTCTTCGTATAAGCCTTTCCCAGGATCAGGAATGCTAGTCTGGCAGTGTAAAAAATGAGAGGTCCTCACTAATTCTTCATTGTTGAATTCTCACAATTGCCTAGGACGATGTAATATTGTCATAAGTGACTGACATCGTTTGACAGTGGGTTGTGTGAAAAGACATCGACGGTGATCTGAGGCCTGCAGCTTCGCACTGTGTGGGATATGCAAAAACTGGGATACTGAAAGGACCGCAGAATCAGAAAGTGAAGGAAAAGTGCTTTCACGTGGCACGATGCTTTCACTTTTGGGAAAGTGCAGCTTTTCCCTTTTTGGCATCGTTGGATGTTTATGGCCTGCCTTTGGAAGCCAAGAGAAACGGTCTCCTAGAAAGGAAGCAAGCAATCAAACAATCGAGGAGATCGGAATCCGAAAAGGAAAGTTTAACAAGGAAAGGACATAGAGAGGTTGATGCGATAGAAACGGAAAGCGTACTTTTTTACGTTTAATAGAACAAGTTGACACTTGATCGAGCGTGCCATGGAAAGCAAATACTCTCTTTTGATCTCTTAGAGTGCACAGTAATCGGACTTTCTCAACGCCAGAGGTGTCCGAAGGGGGTCCAAGCTGGGCCCCCTTGTATTTGCTCAGACCACCTCTGCCCTTGTTTGTATGAAGAATGGCCGCCTTCATCTTCAAAGTGTTCACTTTGACGATACGGACAGTCTCAAAACCCCTGGCAGCCCGTGTGCAGAACTATGTCCTGCAGCATCCCAAGCTGCGGAAGCCAGTCATAGAGCTGGCACAGGTGAGGCTTGTTGGTGAGGCTTGTTCCTCACCTGGGCATTAAAATTGTCATGGCTGTGGTATCTGTCAATCCTGGCCGCCTTTAATGAATTTCGAGATGCAGTGAGCCTGTGGTCTCTTAACAAGGCCTTTCCTAGGTCTTGACAGTTACCCTTTGCTTTTCTTGCAGGCCCTCCACAGACTGGATGTCAGGGTCAACAGAGGAGCCGAGGGAAAGTCAGGCAAAGTCTTTGTAGGAAATCTGAGCGAAGAGAACGCCATGGATCTTGCTGGAAAAGTCGTCAGCGAGGCCTTTGTCTGGGGGGTACGATTCATTTTATTAAAGGCCGCAGTCTGGCTGAAGCTCCGATGCAGATGCCACATCACTGTCATACATCAATGCTAATCCCAAGCTCTTGTGGAAAATTTAGTAGGCACAGGGTCATCTGACAGATGGGGCGCACTGCAGGTTGCCATCTTGATAGTGGGCTGGGAGTATGAGCGGCAGAAGGGCAAAGACCTGGAAAAGGCAGCCAAAGAGAAGGCCTTCCAGGAGAAGGATCTGGCTGACAAGCGGGTGCGCGGTCTGATCCCTCTATCCCTCTATACATAAAAATAGAAAGTCCTCTCCTGGAGCCAATATGATGAGGATGCTCCTCAGCCAATTGCACGAGTTCTGATACGAGCAGAACAGTCAGTTGATCACAAGGGTAGATGCCTGGAAGCATGAGACTTGCTTCAATCTTTCTTGGGCGACAGGCGCGGCCAACACTGCAGCAAGATTCAGGATGTATCTGAGGAGTGTGTCTGCGTGTGGCAGTGGCTGGCACAGCGATTTGAGGACCTTCAAAGGGAGATCATCTGGCTGAAGGAGCGCAGTGTCCAGACAGATGCACAGCTGGCCACAGTGCTGGGCCAGGTGCAGGTGTCTGAGGAAGAGGAGGAGCGCAGAAGGCTCAAACGCTCCAACAGCTACTTTGGCATGTTTGGGCTGTCCAGATGACCTGTCGCGATCGCCACTGCTTTGCAGAGCACTGCCGTGGCCTAGGCCTGTAAATGACTCAGCACAGGCAAAGTCCTTTCTCGGCGTGTTCTCAAGTACACCAGATGATGAGCAGGATTGATCCTATCGGCACTGTCCAGAATGCGAATGCCATGAGACCTGGGTGACAGGTTCGTGCACTTATTCAGTGGTGTTCAGGTTTAGCGGCATTGGTGAGAGAGGCAGAAAGTGATGTCTTCCAACATGCCACGGTGTGCTGACTATGATGTCTTTCAACATGCCACGGTGTGCTTACTATCAGGGCCGGCAAGCATAGCTAGCACTGAGCCAAAACAACAGATGTTTTTAGGTTACAACGCATTGCCTAATGGCAGCGTTCAAAATGTGGGCGTGAAAGTCAATGTGACTATCAGCCATAAGGCTTCAAAAATGTCCAAAATGATACCAATGAGTTGTTCATCTGAACGATGTTGGTGATCTTGAGGACATGAGTATAAGCCCAAGAGCCATCAGCCTGCAAACGTGGGTAATTTCTTCCTGTGCCGATCTGTGTCTATCTTCGGGCACGGCACCGGCTCCTTCTCTGCCAGCGTGCACTCGTGCGCAAAGCATGGCTGGTTGTACAGTGGGTCTTGCTCAATCGGCGGCGCCTTCTGCCCAAAGATCATCTCGCAGGACAGGTCCTCAAAATTTGGGTTCATGGTCAGCGGAAGGCCAAACTGATTGGTGAAGAAGTCCTCTGTTGGGATCTGCACAATGCCAGACACATGTCTCCCCTCAAGCTGTTGCAACACCAGTATAAAGCACGCACACCATGCATGCACTGGATATGGGACCCAAGTCAGAGCACAAACAATTGAACCTGTTACGAGGACCGGTCAGCAGACCCACCTTACACATGTTGACACACATTCCTGCATAGACAGCAACAGATATCTCAGCATTTTGCATGTGCATGGCTGCTCGGTATATCACCACCCAAATGCAGTGATGATAGGCACCACATGGCATGACTCAGTAGCTGCTCAGTCTTACCTATGCACCCGCTCTGTTCCAGGTATCGACACTTTTTGATCTGCACGCCGCTCTTCCACTTCTGCTTCTCTCCCTCAAACTCCACTTCGACCTCCTTTGTTTCTAGCGGCCCCACCAGCCACTTGAACCCCAGCACTGTTATCAGCGCATTCGTCTCTGCTGACCACTGCATGATCACACAGCGATTTTACTCAGGAATTACTACTAGGTGCAGAAGATTATCCCGTGCGTCTATAGGTTGTTGTCTGATGATCCATGCACAGAAATAAAAATAAAAGGTTGGAGAGTGCGCAGATAAAGCACCTTGCTTACAGGAAACCATTTCCTGAATCGCTCGGAAGCCTGAGGAGGCATAAGGGATCCCAGCACGCCTGACACAGCCTGCTGCTGCTGCTTCGAGTTCCGCCCCTTCATCATCTCCCTGGACAGCTCCACAAATCCCTCGTACCCTGGTACATACTCCCTCCCTGCTGGACACAGCAGCGCTCATGCACACCTCACGTGTATTTATATGGACTGGAGAAAGCAAATGGAGCGGCGCAGCATCGTTCTGACAGGGCTAAGGGGACCGGAATTCTGTCGGGACTTACCGCCAAGCTGCTGTGACATCCTGCCCGCAAAATACGAGACCATGAACTTGTCCAGGGGAGAGTCATTGTAGGTCTCCTTCTGTGCAAAGGGGTCCTGGATTGCAGTCAGAAGGGAAGACTCAGCTTCCTCAAAATATGGTCAGAACACACAATAGTATACTGGGATCTCTAGCGGACTAGTTATTGCTCGATCAATGCATATTTCTTGTGAGCGAGGGAGCAGGGTCCAGATCGAGTCAAGACTTTACCACTTTCGGTGTGGCTGCAGCTGGGGTCGTCTGTGCACTGCACCTTGCATGCATCGGCCTGTGTGACTGACATCTGCCGGAGAATCCCGCATATCTGCAGCTCTGAAATCTTTGCATTTCTTGGAAGGGAGTCCCAATGCGAGGAAGCTGCATGGTAGAAGCCATCGCTCAGAGATGGGTCTATTATGAAAATAGTTTGATATACTAATCTCAGGCCTTGGTGATCCAACAATCGATTCACTTAGAGATCTGAACGCAGTGCCCTTGTAAATTGAATCCCGTCAGAACAACTACAATAAACACCAAAAGAATGTTACGCAGAACACGTTAGTATCTGTACAAGAGTATAAGATTGTTCTGTTTCTTTGGAATGTCGATCATTTCTTGTGAGGGAAGAGAATTTGGAAGTCAATCGCTGACATACCGCTGACGTGGGAGGTTGCGGTGCAAGCATGCGCCATAGGAAACGGCGTTCCCCCCCTATGCATGGCTATGAATTATCCGTTCCGACCACTAAATTCGGCCCTGACTATGAATACCGAGTGGCTTTGATGTCAAATATGTTGCCAACCGGCTGCATATGCAAGCATGCGGCACCTGCAGGTGGATGAAGCATTTAAATTTGCGCATGCGACCCAAAAATCGAGTGAAGCCTATTGAATATGCAGCACCCTTTCTTGCTCCTTGGTGGGAGTAGACTGGGGATAATATGTATGCGACATGCAAGACATCAGCTGAAGACCGATAAGGGAGCATCAGTGACAGCAGCAGCGCGCAGGGCTAATTCGTGCTCAATGCTGCCAAAAATGCCCCTGTCCTCAGCTGCATCCCAGACAAAGTACCGTTGGTGTGCTTCCAGCGCCTCCTGCATGATGCACATACAATACCTCACTGCCTGGCTTGCACAAGAACAGCAAACCGTTTTTATCATGATCACGTCCTCCCCGAAAGTCAGCTGCAGGTCCGGAACAAGGCAAAGAAAAGCCTCCTGTAATGCGCAGAGAAGCTGCACGCCACATTGATGTATTAAATAGTTCAGCATGGCAAGGCCCTCTGGAATCATCCACGGCTTGTGGAATAGAATCATGCCAGTAGACTCAAGACCACTGTCAATGGCAACACCGCTAGGACGCCATGCTGAGACTACAACGCATCTGTTGCAGCAGCATTGCATTGCACATAATCAGAAACCCAGCCAGCACCCTTGCATGTGGCGCGCAGGTTTGGCAAAGCAAAACAATCAGAAACCCAAACACGCTGTCACAACAGGCCACACAGGTGCGGCAACATGGGCATGCTTGGACATACACTTATCCTCCCATGTACATATTGCTGAAATACAACGCAACCAAAGAGGCGGCAAACCTGCATGCGGCGCAGCCGGGCCGGGTCGGCGAGGATGCGGGAGAGGACGCCGTTAAGCTCCTTGTAGTCGTCCGGCTGAATGTTGACCATGAAGGAGTCATATGGCATCCCCAGGAACCGCGCGAAGGGGAGGTCGTTGGCGCGGAACATGGTGACAGGGATGCAGCCCTTGAGGATCGCGCGGTACATTCGCACTGTGTCCTGCGTCTGCCCCGGCGCACACACGCAGAACACCGCGTTCGCCATGTCCGCCTCCGTTCGCTGCGCCCAGTTTGCCACACCAGTATCTGAGCAAAGATCCAAACTCTACAGGAGAAAAGTCTGGTGACTGAAGGTCAGATGGATACAAATCTCGCAGGGAGCTTCAGTTGAGTGCAAATGCTCCCTGAGGCAGCTGCCATGAACTATGACCTGAAGCGCGACAGGTGACCTAGATATTGGTTGTTGCACCCAGTGAACATCAATCTCTTGGTGGAATCCCTGGTTCAGCTGAGCAGCAATACAAGCAGTGCCAGAAGAGGTAGGTCAGGTTCTGAGCGGTGGATTGAAGGAGAAAAATCGTACCTCAACGCTGGCGAGTCCCTGCTGCGACCCCTCCAGAGGGTTTTCCTTCCAGTACTCAATCAGCTCGTAGCGCAGCCGGTGCCCGTAGTGCTCCACCAGATTCTTGCCGTCGCCGATCTCGTAGCCAAATCGCGCGAGCGCCGTAATGCTCCGGCTGCCTGCAGCAACACGCATTGCACATGTCAATACATGCCTAATGATTTGCTGTGATGTCAGAAAAGGAATAAAGGTGGTGCTGATATCTCATCCGAGAAGAGGTACATGACATGGCAGATATGCATTGCATGACTGACGCGATGACTGTAAATTAGCCACACAATGCACTGGCGCAGGCCTGACGGCCCAGTCATGCAGCATACAGGACACCCTCATGCCGATTCTTCTGGACTGTGGAACCCAGATGATCCCAAGGTGCTAAATCATGCCCTCAAGACAGAGATACAGAAAGCAAACATCCTTGGCTTGGGTTCCGTGTGCAAACTAAGCGCGGTCAGAACTCAGGATACGCATGCACCCGTAAGCAACCTGTAACAATACACAGAATAATAATAATTTTGATGATATGCAAGCAAAAGCAATCATATAACCACACCGGCGAATGGCGACACAATGTCAGCCGTTGCATAGGTGAAGTACATGGGGACCAGGACATCTGCGTTAGGTCGGAAGCATGACCACGCACGCGGGCCGTCCCACGTGTAGTTGTTCTCCCGCCAGGGCTGTGCCAGCGGGGGGACCTCCGGCTTGTTCCTGAACAGGCATGACAAAATGTCATTCTGGTGCTCACTTGTGCAGTCTCGGGGAGAATGACCCAAACAACAGGCGGGTGTCTTCCCATTCCTTGACTTTTGACCCCGGTCCTAGATCTCTTATCGCCAACATTTAGGGGGCAGGAAGGGGTGTTTGCCCTTCATGCCAACTTTGCTCCCCACAGATTATGCCATCATGCAAGTTGCATCTTGGCAAAGTCAAAGAGAGGTGCCAACCGGCATTCCCACAAGGCAGCTGCACCAATCTGTTTTTGTTCTTTCCCAGCTGGTCTACGATCCGAGTCCTCAATTCTGCACTGGTGGTGTCTATTCCTGAGGGGTCAAGTACTGCTGCAAGGAAGCATGCAAGGTGCGGCAGCAGGTCGAAAGGATGAGGTGGGGAGATGACGAGTCATGACTCAATCTAGTTCAGCATAGCACAACGGCATGTTGGAGCTTACTAATGACCTGCCCTGCAAGAAAAAATGCAAAGTGCTGAGGGCAAGTCAAAGGTTAGTAGGATAGGTTAGTAAGATGACGAGTCATGCATGACTCACGTGTAGGTGAGGTCGCCGTAGGACTGGATGGCGAACATCTGGCCCCACTCGCTGTGCTCCAGATTCAAGGCCATGTCGCAGCGGCCGTGGTCATATGAGAACACCATGAAATGGTCCGCCCCATTGCGCCTGCCCCAATAGGGATGCCTCTCCTTCACATGCTCCAGTGCCTTCCTCACCAGATTAGACGTCGCCTGCAGCCGCCATGAGGACGTGCTGTAAGTCACAGTGACAAACTCTCGCATGTTTTGTTTTATTATTGTTACTCGCCTATCCAAGCCACAGTTGGCTTAGGTGCACCGCAGCAGCATTTCTATGACAGCCTTCCAGCTTGGCCTATCTTGGCGCCTTCCACCATGTCAGGGCCAGCCCAAGAGTATCCAAGTCTTTCCTAACATAGTCATTCCAGGACTTAATAGGCCTACCCCTTTTGCCAGCACCTTCCAAAGTACTGAACTGGCATGTTTGCTGGACACATTTGCTATAGGTGATACATGAGGCTGCATGCTCTGCCTCTGGCTTTGTTGCTAGTCTGCACCTTGCCCCGACTGAATGCTGCCTGGTCTACGAGGCTCCCTCCAATTAGCAAGTGATGGTTTGCACCAATGCCTTGAACTTGTGAGCACAGTGCCCACTGGGTCTTGCTTGCTAGGGGCAAGGTCATCAAGTGGTGCGCTGTCTAGCAGCCTTCAGCTGCAGCTTGTCAACAGACGCACCTGGCCTCCTGGCAGGACAGCATGTAAGAAAACAATAAAAAGAAGCAATGACATTGGAGGTAAAAGCACCTCCTTGGCGCCAGTCCACTTTTCCCAGAAGCACTCTGAGGGGGTGTGGTGCGGCTGGCAGTCCTTGGCCACATCCCAGGCCTTGCCAGGCGTGCTCCACTGCTGCCAGAACCAGTTGTAGTGGCGCCCCAGATACACAGGGATGAAAAACAGCTGCGCCTTGTCAGCATCGTCCGTCCGCAGCGGGCTCTTCAGAAAGTGCCGGTGCAACACCTTCGCAAAGCATGCCCCTGTCAAAGCCAGAACTTCTCTGGCAGACTTGCAAAGCCCCTCCTTTAGAGATGTTGAGAAATGAGCAATGGCAACCTGTTCCCTTCACAAAAAGTAAAACCTGCAGGGCTTGGCACTGCAAGAAGATTGGAGCAACAGCAACGCACTGGCCCATTTTCTGGCAGAGTTGAGTTTTGGAACTGCAGGAATTGTGGGCAAAGGGAGCGGTTCTGTTGCAGGCTTGCAAGGCTTGGGACTTTAGAGTGTAGAGCAAGAGCAGTGTCAAGGGCGAGCAAAGCATCGCACCTGGTCATAGTCGTACTGTTCTGGGTGCCACTGCACGGGCAGGTCCCTCAGGTCTTCGTTGAACTCTGAGGGCATGTCATAGATGTACACAAAGTCTTTCTGCGCAGGTGCTACATGCTGATGCTGCACTGCTGCCCTTCCACCTGAAGCTCTGTACTTGTAGCTGCTGTGCATCTTCCGAGCTGCTGCCGTCCTTTCTCTGTGGTGAACTGCCTCTACCCGAGTTGAGAGGAGCAAGACAAGGGCCAGGAGCTGAGGAGACCAAAGTCTCCTTTCAGTGTAGCCCATCATCGATCGACACCTGCACATGATGACAGCGACTGGTTTATTGCTTCCCACAGTATTTTGCTACATTCTGTCCAATCATGACAATAACAGGAAAGACGTGTACCGAGATCGCTCTGCGTCCGGCATGCCTCCGTATTTGGGTGTCACGCGTTGATGCCGGAAATAGATTGTGACTATGCTCGCATGTGCCTGATTGAAGTCCAATATGAAGGTGGACGCGAAAAAATAAGCCTCTGGAGTATTTCAGAAACTCACAGAACTTTGATCGGGCACCTATGTAGCTAAGATATCGGGAAACGTCGATACAGATTTCTTATATTCTACAGCACTTGAATTAGTATGTTTTGCTGAATTAACAATCAGGAAGCAGTAGACCTCCATTGTCTACGAGACCAAGGCATCAAAGTCCAAGAGGCGGAGCCGAGGTACGGTCAAGTCAACACAACCTCCGGAAACTCGATTTTCTGATAAGCGTTCCGTCGTCGCGATCTTGATGTCATGTATGCAATAGATAGTGATCGATTGCTATAACTTAGGGCCAGACGGTTGTATCCTGTACACAAAACATACTAGCCAAAAGTGCATCTTGTACAGTTTCGGAGCGATCTGTTCTTTGTCTGGGACACAGTGTGATGCTCTAAGAGCCCTTGTTGCTTCTTGAGATTTTTGATAGCTGCATTAGAGCTTCTTTTTAACATGCAGACTTTCAATGCTGCAGAGGGGTTCGGGAAAGGACACATATAGCCATCTGCAGATAAGTAAAAGAGGCTTCAGATATCTCTTCTTTCATAGTGCAGAATCTCTTTCTTTCTGAGTTAAAAGAGCAATCAGTGCTTTTGGGATGAGCCGGACAACAGGAGTGCTGTGGGCTGGGCTCTGTTCTCTTCTGCTTTTCGTCAGCCTGTGCGATGGCAGAAGGAGAGTCGCGCAGTATGACCACGAGCACCATAGACACATGGCATCGACACCCCGAAACGGACATCCATCGGGGAAAATAAAAGTGAAAGCCCTTGTGGCTGTCATGGTGAGGCGCTTCCCTTTCCCTCTTCGACTGCATTTTTCTCAGTGCAGGAAGAATTTCTTCAAGTGCATTCTTGTGCAACAACTTCACTCACTGTTATATTCTGGGGGATCAGACTGGCTTTGGGAAGAAGTATGCAGACAGGAGGGAACATTCCCGGCAGACGTGGTTCCCTGCAACGCAACAAGAGCTTGACAGGTACAACCCTTGCTTGAACATGTCACGCTACCAGCCGCACACCTTCTTTTCATGCTTTCCTTGCCCCTGAAACGCTGCTGAGATCATTAATGGGTGCACATTTTCTGGCACCTGGAAGTGTGTTGGAAAGTATATTTGATCTTGCAGGCTAGAGGAAGAGACGGGGATGCACCTGAGGTTTGCAGTGGGCGAGGTGCCCGAGGAGCACAAGGAGGAGATTGCGCATGAGGAAGCCACCTATGGCAGCTTCCTGCACATTCCCCTGCAGGTGACTAACGTTTCCCCTGCCCCAGCAGCCGACGCAGTGCAACCCCGGATTTAGAGCAGCTTGAATGAAACACAGACAGCCTGATGAAAGAAGCCTGGGGCATGCTAAGGAGACAGATGCTATGCTCGTGGCAAGCTTGTCTTGCCGCCCCTGGAATATGAATCTGCGCTGTATTCCACTGAAACCAATGGGATTGACGTGCTTCACCTGATGAAAAGGGCACAGATGCAAATACAGCCCTGGCTCGGGCATAGTGCCAATATCTGAAGGTCCATAAGGACGCCTTTTGCCAGCCGGGCTGAGCTATAGAGCCCCCAATGGAAATAGCTGAGATCTGTTCTCTAGCTTGATATGAGCAGACTTGGATTTGGACTTAGAGGAAGCTAAGATTAGCTGTTGTGGGGAACAGGATCATTATGACACGCTGTCGTACAAGACCATGGCGCTGTGGAAAGTGGTGGAGGAGCAATATGACGCGCAGTATGTGCTCAAGGTGGACGATGACAATTATGTGCGCCTGGATCGCCTGGCTATTGCCCTGGACCAGTGGACCGACATGGGCGCAGGTCAGCAGCATCATATCTCCCCTACTAGGATTATATAATGCTGTGCAGGAAATGTCCAGATTGCCCAGCAGCCCTGAAGATCAATTGCTCACCCAAAGTAACAGGCCTGGCAGGGGTGTTTTCTGGGCAGGCTGGTTCTGCTGTGCTGTGCTTTGATCACTGAATAGGTGTGCTGGTGAATTGCACTTTGTTTTGCGAATAACAACTAGATAGACTGAACGGCAAATCCTCAAGCACAGCTCTCAGCAGACAACACACTCCCACGCAAGACTCGCAGGGTGGCTACCCATGCTGAGGGTACTTGGCACCGGCATGCGGCATGCAGCAGGATGTTCAGGCAGACTTTGGGGACTCAGGTTCCCCCTTATTTTGTGAGGCTCTGCAAAGAGAGAGTGAAAACCTTGCCAGCTGTCAGCAGTCCCCTTTGTGGAGAATTCAAATTTTTCAAATCTCAAATTTTCAAAAAATTTCTTTTTTTTCAAAATATGAGTTCGAAATCTGGCGCGCAGAGTACATCGGCTGCTTCAAGATCCGCAACGTGGCGGACGAGCGGCAGGCAGACCCAAGCCACCGCTGGTACGATCCGCACCACATGATATTTCTGGGGGACGACAGCCGGTACGCGGAGGGGCCGTTCTACGCGCTGCGCGGTGGCATCATCCAGGGGGTCCTGCGCTCCGGCCTCAACCCCCGCCTGGGGGGCCCCGAAGGTAAGATCCTTGACTGGGCACTCAGTCACCGCTGAGTCAGCACCTTGCTGGCGGAGCTGTTGGCGTCGTGTCATCGGCTGACGTCTGTGATCATCGCCTGGGAGAGATCTTTGGTCTCACCCTTTTCATGGGGTTGGAAGCCAGGTCATTGTTCATGGGAGTGGCAGCAGCATTCCCAATCATCACCCCAACTCCCAAAGAAAATGCAAATTCCCTCTCGCCAGTAGGCAGCTGGTACTGTGTAGGCTGATGAATCCGCTGTTGAAGTCTAAAGCGCATAACAGAGTTCGCTCACTGCATGCATGTGCAAGCACAATGTGGGGGGCACCTCATGCATTGTAAGCTTTGCACATCTCATGTGATGTTGAGAATTTCTGTTGCCGCACAGACTCGATGGTGGGCGCCATGATGAAGGGCTTCAACATAAGCTTCTATGACGATCGGCGGCTGTGCCATATGGAGGGCTGCACAGAGATGATGATCGCATACAAGTGGGACCATGCCGTGCGAGACTTCATGGACGAGACCAAGCGCTTCCCCACTCTTTGCTGCCTGCCCAAGAACCGCTCCCTGCAGCTGCCGCCTGTGGACGAGTGCACCGACGCCAGCAAGTACCATGAGGTGCGCAAATGGTTAATATTATTATGTTCTTTACTAAAGCTACTATTTTATTATTAATATCAATATTTTTACTACTACTGCTAATACTTCTTATAATGTTATAAAAAGAGTATACCGCAGGCCTGCGCGCGTAGCTTGCTACCATCAATTTTTTCTTGTTCTGGGGCGTTTGTTCCTACAAGCATGACCGTGGACCCTGAGGCCTCAGATGACTTGCACTCTATGACATGTCATACAAGGTCTGCTGAGCAAAGAAATGCTGCTTAAGGAGGCATCACTGGGAAAGATGCAGGGGTCCTTTGTATCTATAGGGGTAGAACATGTATATGGAGTGTTCCTGCACTCTGCAAAGCGGGCTTGCTGCGATCACATAATTGACGCCATTGTGACAGTAGTTGGGGATTAACAAGGGTGGTTATGTGGGTGCAGGAGGGACTACGGTGCTTGCACACGCTGCACACAGACTCCGCATGTGCGACTCCCACGCTTACTGATTATGGCGGCGGTGGCATTTTGCCGCTATTCTCATACTACAACTACACTGTGGATCACAAGTGGATTGCTGAGAGGGCACCTGCAGAGAGCAGCTGGAAATATACACCCCACTTTCAGCGGCGCAATGCTGCCGGCTAGCATGCATGAAAAAAAGGCTCCGATCCTTCTAGAAAGTCCAAACTTCATAAGAGAAATCGCCATCTGGAGGCGGCAATGAATGAGACATCGCTGCAATGCCAGAGCCGCATTCCATTGAACAGTGTGCCGGCATGTGCGTCAATTCCAACAAATCTCGTCCAGAAACTGTTAAGCTGCTGTCTTTAGTCTGAACTGTCTCTGATTGGTCCCCTGAAGTGTGTTCCATTGCTCCCTGTATTTTCAGTAGCACAGCAGCTTGCCGCTGACAAACGGAGAGCTGTCTTCCTAGAAATAAGGAATAAATAGCCGTTGAGGTATTCTTGGGAAACTGTCATGATCTGCTGGCGGCAACGTTGTACTCTCTTTCTGGGTCTTGCATGTATTATACTGTCAAGGGGTGTCTTTCATATATATTTATTCAGAAAGGGCCCGCCCTGAGTGTACTGGAATGTACTGATAATCAGAGAATTACATAGGGCCGACGTTGTCTGTTTGTAATCCCAAACATGACCCCTTATGAAGCTTGCGAGCGAGGGACGCAATGCATCTGGAAGCCTTTCCCCGGCCTGAGAGCCAGCATGCCGGTGCACTCCAGGCGAGGGAGCCACAGCCTCTTCAGCCCATGCGCAGGCCTAAATGTGAAAGGCAGCACGCCCATGCTCTCAGACGCCCTCACCCCCTCATATCCGCCCATCTGAATGCACACCAACTTCCTCCCTTTATAAATTAGCGTATTGCGTTCTGTCAACACCCAGTTTTATCTCTTGACTGCTTAAATGGCATAGCTCTCAATTCATGTTTTGCACTGATTAATCAAGACCATCCAAATTCAAAGAGAGGGGAGTAATCGCTGATGTCGGCTCACCTCATCGGACAGCTTGAATTTGAAGTTGGCGAGCAGCATGGGCACGGTGGTCTGGTAGTTGATCTTGGCCAGGTTCTGCCCGATGCAGTCGCGCGGCCCCACGCTGAATGGCGTGAAGCGCTTGACCCGGTGCTTGGCAGCTTCCTCCTCGTCGCCGGCAGCTTCCTTGGCAGCTTCCTTGGCCGGCTCGCCCGATGCATCAACTTGAACTGCTGTCCCATGACCTGTGCCGAGCTTGCCGGCTGGGAGGGGCACATACTCGGCACCTGGAACCTCCCACCTCTCCTGCAGCAGCACAGGTTGCCTTGTAATTATTTCACAATTTAAAAAGTTGATTGGTTTCGTCTCATAAGCTTTGCTGGGGAGCCTGCTCTGCGCTGATCTTTTGCCGTATCTCGCGGCCCATCTGGTTTTGAACAACATGCTATGTTTCATTCATAAGTAGAGGCGATGCATCACAGTCCCCTGTCAATAAGTGATGCAGGCAGCCTGCTTCAAGGGAGCTTATGTGGCAGGTGTATTGCAGAAGATCCTCAAGCAATCGTTGGAGACGCCGCCATTGCACACTGTATATGAGCGCGCTGCTGCTTGCTAAAGGCTGCAGTGGTTGGACACCAGCAGGGGTAGGAATGAGTGCCGCACTGCCTTCCTTGCACACTCTTTTGAGGCGTGCTGCTGCTTGCTAAAGGCTGCTGTAGGGCACCAGCAGGGGCAGCACTGAGGGCCTTACTGGGAGGAAGGCTTCGGGGCGGTCCCACAGGTCTGGGTTGCTCATGGTGGCGTTGAGGTTGCACCAGATCATGGTGTTGCGAGGGATGAGGTAACCCCCCAGCATGATGTCCTTGTCTGACATGCGGTTGGTGCCGCTCAACACCGGCAGGCACCGCATTGACTCCTGCACACAGCGCCACGCTTCATTTTACCAACGCAAGCCTGACGTCAGCATACACCAGTTTATTTACACATGCAAGCCTGACATCAGCATTAGACTTCCTCTAGTAACTGCAACGCGCCAGGGACGCATCTGTACACCAATCCCATATCCAGCAGCTAAGAGCTGAAGTATTTGGTAGCCAAGTGCTTTGACAGTCACTTAGCAGCACCAGTGCAAGCAATTGTTGACTGCATTGCACATGCTCAGCAGCTGTCACATGCTGGCTCACTTGCATGTTGCAAGTTATAGATTGGAGCGCTAGGGGAAGGGCATTTGAAACTATGCCTCACACACTACGCAGCAGCGGTCCGCTTGCGCAAGGGCTGGCTAACTTAGAGTGCTGCAGGGCTGGAGAAGTGAACAAGCAAAAACACCAGCAAAAGTTAAAGAGATTGACCATGCATACCTTGATACAATTGTTGGTGTAGGTGAGCTTGGTGAGGTCATCATACTCTAGCGGCCGCGGGTTGGGCCGCTCCGGGGTGACTAACAGGCCCAGGCCGTCCAGCTCAGCGAGGACCTTTGCCTCCACCTCTGGGTGCTGACTGATCATGAACCTGCACCCAACAAATGGGCTTTCACCAAACCAATCAGCCGTGCTTATTACTGGGGAAAGCCGGCACTCAGATCAGAGCAGCCTGGCAAATGCCAGGCGTGGTGGGCGCATGCAAGGAGCATGGCAATCCAGAGGGGGTCATGAAGATGCATGATGTCTGCACTTGTTTGTTTGACGTCTCTTGTGCATCCACTTCTTGCAGTCAGACCATGCACAGCGCTGTGATGATGCAAAATGGGCAACCATGCATTCTCACAGCCTTCATGATTTGTGCATTTGCAGATGCGTGACACCCAGAATCCCCCCCGCCCTGCCACAAATCCCCCATGCATCATTCCCAAAAGGGCTGAAGCACTGCGCCGCGTCAAGTCTGATGCTGAACACCAATTCTCAAAGGCACGCAAAAGAGCTCATTCAGGGGGCGTACACAGCCCACGCGGTGGTGAGGGACGTGGTCTCGGTGCCGCCCTGGTACACAACTGCAAACTCGGCGGCCAGGCGGTCGTCCGGCAAGCGCTGCCCGGTCTTGGGGTCCTTCAGCTTGAGCAGCAGTGCCGCTATAGATTGGTCCTCCACCCGAGGATCGCCGCGCGCTTTGACCTCCTGCAAGAGCGCGCGCATGCGCTGCCGGAAATCGTCGTGAGCCACTCCGCTGGGGGTCAGCTTGGCCTGCGTTGCGCAAGCATCCTTGTGATTTTCTGCGAGGTGCTGTGATCTGCAGGCTTCTTGCAGCACTGCATGGAGCAAAGCGGGGGAGCCTCTTGTCATGCAGAGTCTACCTCTCCGCAAGAACATTCACTCAGACATTAAAGCACAGTGCTCGAGTGCAACGAGGTGAATTGCCCTTCGTTATCCGCTGCACTCAGTGGAAGGGAGCATAATTCACTCAGCGACCTTAATTCATGAATTGCTAGCAAGTTTCTGGGCACATGCACATGGACATCTTGCGAGGCACGGCAGTCTCTTTTAACAGTGCTTTCAAGCCAGCAGCATTGCGCACCCCGACAGTGACCAGCATCCAGTCCCACAGCGCTCCAAGTACGCCAGGCTTCTCCATCGCTGCCGAATGCATTCACACACTGTCCTCTCAACAAGCCCATTATACAACAGTCTCGGGCTGATAGAATTACAAAAAACTGCTAGCAGAGGACGTTTACTCAGAACGGGCCGCAATTTGACATCTATAGTCCCTTGCGCTGCTGATTAGATACATTACACGCTTACGAGCCCGTCCGTTCTCTGGCAGGATAGGCGCTGTCATCTTCTGAGTCACCAGGGAGGATATATTCTCTACAAGAGTGTAATCTGCCCCGGCTCAGCACTGTGCTCACAGTTGATTGAGTCTTGCTTGGCCCTGGTGTGTACATCAAAGGCAGGGATTTCCCTGCATATTGCAGCCCTACCCTGCCATTGGCAGGAGCGGAATCCTCAAATAAAAAGTTACCAATTTCCTGCACATGCAATGGGGTGGCCAGGCACCTGGCGGGGCAGGCAGCTTGCCCTCGATGGCAGCCTCGAAGCTGGAGGTGGCGCCAAAGTCTTTGGCAAAGCCGACGCGTCCGATGACGTCCAGAGTGACGCACAGTGTGGCCTTGTCGAGCGCCAGGGGGTGCCCCTGGGCCTTCTTCATAGCGTTGATCAGCCGCTGGGTCACCTGCTGCACCTCGGGGAACCCCTTCCTGAACAGTGTGTGTGCCAATTTTCAGTGTCACAACTTGAGGATGTGTCATTTTGTGGCTTGCGTCGCTTGCCCGCCAATCCAAGATGTGACTTCAGATCTACAACCTGAGAACTTGAGACTTGTTGGTGTGGCACCGCTTGCTCCAACAGGTGTGACGGCCGCCTATAAATGCAGTCTGATGCTCAACTAGAGGACATTGGACTCTGCGGTGTGCATCGGTTGCTTCCCAGTGGAGAGGTCTAAAAGGCGCCACTCATCATAATCAGTCCTTCAACAAGAGGAGATACGACCACGTGATGTGCATTGCTTGCTCGCCAATTCAGAAGGTACCACCACCTCCAAAAGTGTAGTCAGTTCCTTAAGCTGAGGACACTAGACTCTGTGGTGTTTCATCGCTGGCCTGCCAATCCAGAAAGCTGCTGCCAGTGATGCATATTTTTGGACTCTACTGGGCCCTTCTCCGCATGGATCAAGGGGTCAGAGAACGTGGCAAGGTACATAGAGCAGAGCAGGGTAAATGGAGTATCAGCATCAAAAGAGTGGTGTTACTTGAGGTTGTTAGCGCTAAAAGCCGGCGAGAGGCCCTTCCTGATGAGCCGCCACCAGTCATTCGTCCTTGAGGTGAACAGGTTGGATTTCTCCTCGTCATGGGCCAGCTACGAGCATGCGAGATCCATTACTCTGGGAGGCACTCGATTAGGGAATAGCAAGAGTGGTCATGCAAGACAACCCCAACCCCGTAGACTGGCAAGTTGAACTATTCAAGACAGGTGGCACTGGTGCGCGCACCACGTTGAATTGGTTGTAGAACACATCAACGCTCTTTTCGAGCTCGGTCGACCTCCCAACGATGCTGTCGATCAACTGGGCATCGGACACGATGACCATCTGCAGAGCACTCAACATCAGAAGATTAGAGATCTCATCGATTCTCAGCACAATCTGACAATTTAAAACCTCAAGAGATTGCTGTATAACCAGAATGGTGTGCAGGAGATGGGGATTTGGGTAGAACAGCAAGTCCAAGGAGGGCTCACATTGACGTTTGCAAGCCTGACGCAATAGATTCCGCCAAACTCGCGGGCCCAACGCACGACTGAGTTGTGCTGGCCGACAACTGAATCATTGAAGTACTTCAACTGGCCCATGATGCCGCCCATAGGGCCAGGCATGCTTCGGAGTACCCAACATGCTCGGAGCCATTCCAGGATACGAGGCGCGAGGGCAGCGCTGATACAGCATATAACGGCGCTCACACACAGAGCAACCACCTCCATATCAATCCTGTTCGATCGGGCCTAGATCGCTGCTGTGCTCGAGTGCAGTTGCGCCTCGCTCTGCGACCCTCGGCGTCTGCCTCACAAATAGTGGACAGAGACCTGAAGTATGGCTTCTGGGAACGTGATTTGTTCTACACCGCTCAAAAGTCACGATAGTAGTTCCTTGAATGCCACACCGAGCGTCCCTTCCCACTGCCGCTTCGGTGTCGGAACTTTGTTTCGGAGTCCACGGCAGCTTCAGGCGTTCCTACTCTCATTTGTCCCTGTCTACGACGGCGTGACCTGCTTATGCGACCATACTCGCCCAAACTTCTGAATTTTGCATGCCTTCTGCAATGCTCACACTGGGAATAAAGCTCAGAAAGGCGTGAGAGGAGCGACGTGCGTGTTGCTGATCTTGAGGCGCGATGGATGGGTGGCTCAGCCACGGGTCTGGGCGTCCTTGAGGGAATCCTTGCTGCACCACCCTCGAATAGCCACATGGGGACTCCCAGCGCCCAGACTGCAAACCTTCCGTCCCTGGGACAGCCGCACCCTCAAGGTTCTCAGAATGGGCAGCCACAGCAGCCTTCAGGCCAGTGGCCTCGCTGGCAAAACCCAGACGGAGACAAGGAAGATAGGAGGACCATCATACAAAACAGTGAGCCTTCTTGCTTCTTGCAGTGCTGTCTGTGGGCAGCAATGCAGCCCCCATATTGAGCACCGTCCCAATGCTTGAGATTGCAATTGACCAAGCCGCGGATCTCCTGCTGAAGATTGAGTTTTGCACTTGTGGACTGGTCTGAAGTCTGGGTGGTGGGGTGTGCAGTCTTCAATCTCTTCAGCTCGCGGCCGAAAAATCAAGATAACGTTCAATTCAGACAGAAACTCCCAGACTTTGTTAGAAGACTGGAGGAAGCGCTGTACAGGACTGCCTCTACAAAGGTACTTTCTTGAGCCTGGCTTTTGCTTCTCTTTTTCTCCTTTTATGGTTGGCTTACCCACCTGAAATTGCATGCACTCACCTCCGATTGCTCTCACAGGCCGAGTATGTTGATACTTCGACGCTGGAGACGCGGTTGCAGAACGTAGCTCGGCGGATGGTCTCGACCAATCCACGGCGTTCAGACTCCGAGCGTCCTCCCACGAGCGTCCCACTGCAGAATGGGTACCTGGCCGGCGAGAGTCCCGGCTCTAGCTACGGGGCCACCACATCAGGCCGGGGCTTCGGCAGCGGAGGCAACCTGGGGTCCTCTGGCCTGAACGTGCCCCAGGATTCTTCCTTGCTTCCGTCGGCCTCGGCCGGGATGCCGCACACCTCCGGTGCAGGTTTGGGCATGCCGGGAGCGGCCGGCAATCACTTCATGCAGCAGTCCGGGATGGCGATGCATTCGGCTCCTGGCCTCAGCAGCTCGAGGATGCTGCAAGGGCAGGTTGGGGACTCAGGCATGGGCATGGGGATGCTGGGCAGCAACCAGGTCAAGACAGACCCTGGGCCCTCGGGCGCAATCGGGATGGGGGGGATGGGGTCATACCCCATGAACTCCGGCCAGCCCAACTTCATCAGGAGCCAGAATCCGCCAGGCCCTGGCCCAGTGATGAGCAATGGAGCGCCAGTGCTGCTGCGCTCTTCAAGGGAGTGGGCGCCTGGGCAGACGTCTTCAGTGATGAATGTGCGCTCCTGCATTACTGTCTTGCTGACTGGCATCATAGGAGATTGTTCCCCAGCCACTGTTTGCCCAACATTAGGCATAGATCTGGTTCTTTGTCCTTCTGGCCCTTTGGCCCGCAGCAGGCATCATCTTAATATAGGGATTCATCAGGGCTTTATGTGAAGAGAATTGTTGTGCCGGTGCTATTTCATGCAAGAAGGAAGGATACTTGACCTTGGCCTGTTGTTCTCATCTGATGCGAATGGGCTGTTTGGTGCAGGCCGGGAGCGGTCCAGGCTACCAGCAGCAGAGCTCCAGAATCACCATCAACGGTGCGTGGCACTCACACAAGCTTCATACTCCTGATTGAATTGTGTGGTTTTCGGTATTTTAAATTCCTGAGCTTGTGGTGACCTGCCAAAAGTGCTTTCCTAGCAAAGCTCCCATGGACTATTCAGGCTCTCATGATGCTTGGTTCAATTGATACAGCACTGCATCTGAGCTGTTCCCGAGGCATCAGCTGCTGATATAGGACAGAACAATGGGCAGTGATCCAGTAATCATGTGTGTATGCTGATTGTAGAGCGGTTGCCTGCAGGCATGGCCCCAAGTCATCTGAGCTCCAATCTCCAGTCCAGTGGACCAATGGGAATGCCCAACCAAATGGGCATGCAGCAGCAGAGCTCTTCTGCCCTACGGGTGCGCTTGCTCTCCACCAGGATAGCAATCTGCACTGTTGTACCAGGAGCATCATGTCAGCTAATACAATTGGAAACGTGCAATCATAACAACTTGCGACCATTGATGGGAGGCTTGTGGCTTGTGCAGCTGGGCGCTGGCAACATGGTGATGAGCAATGGCATGATTCCTGTGCCGGGCCATGGAGGCGGTCAGCTGTCTTCCATGGTTCCTGTGGGAGGCATGCAGCAGAGCAACCACCTCAACCAGCCCATGCAAGGTGCCTGCTTGCTACTCTGCCTGCATAGGGGACCAGTTGTTTAGGCGGGAGGGAAGGTGCAAGGAAGGAGGAGTTGCATTAGGGAAGCATGCTTGAGGAGACCAGAAATCTCCTGGGACACTGCAACTCAAGTTGAATTCTCAAGGCCAGCTTTAGAGGATGTACTGAAGAGTCTCTGGAAGAACCAACTTGGACTTGTCCATGTGACCCATGTGATCCATGCGAGTCAGGTGATGACACATCGGTCCCATGTGCCTACCTGTAGGCAACAAGGCATGCATTACTGTGTTTGTCTATAAGGAGCCTGACGACCTTGCAGGGTCAGGGATGGTGCCGGTGGGAGGCATGGGCAGCATAGGGGGGCCCAGCGGCATGGGGGGTCCCGGTGGGATGGGCTCCCCCGGAATGGGCGGCGGCTCCATGGGGCCGGGCATCGGGGGCATGCCCGGCATCCCTGGCCTGCCCGGCATGGGCCCAGGCAGCAGCCAGGGCAGCGGTGAGTCCCTCGCGATGTTGCGTAGGCAGTTTATTAGCTCGTCGCCTGAATGGCAAGATTTTGGCCGAATTATCTACCTCCAATACGTTGAGCTAGTCGATTGCGTATATTTGTGAGGTGATGAGGAAGTGTTCAAGCACCAGGCAGGCATTATGAAGGGACGCAGTGTTGCAATAGGACTACGCAGGGGGAGAGAATATTGCAGTGGGTTGCGTTGTGTAATCCCTGCTCAAGTCGGTCAAAGGGTTAGTGGGTGTTGAGACCTGAGGGGATGAGCGGTGCGTGCAGGCGGCGACCCCAACATGGACCCGCGCATGATGCAGATGCGGGACGCTAGGGACAAGAAGGAGTACGTGGCGAAGCAGCAGCGGTGGCTGCTCTTCCTTCGCCACTGCGCCAAGTGCCAAGCAGCCGAGGGGCAGTGCACCTACGGCCAGTCCTGCACCGTCGCCAAGCAGCTCTGGCGCCACATCCTCACCTGCGCCGACCCCAATTGCGAATACCCCAGGTAATTGTTACTCTGTCTTCAGCAGCCTGTTCCGTCGCGGCCCACCTCACTGCTCTGAACGGTGCACATGTCTGGTTGAGATCGCTATTTCAAGATGGGGTGTTGTAAGATCGATATAACTTTGTCCATGATCTTCTCAAGCATCATCTATGCATGACCCTCTTTTTTCGCGTGGACGGTTGCTTCCTGTAGCTCCAGCAAGGGCCAACAGGATTGACAGGGCTCGTTGCGCATGCCTAGGGTGGACTGCCTGACGGCTGGTTGTGTGGCAATGCAGGTGCCTGACGAGCCGGGAGCTGCTGAAGCACCACCAGAAGTGTGTAAATCAGAGCTGCCCGGTGTGCACACCGGTGAAGCAGTACGTGCAGAAGCAGCGCATGGTGATGCAGAAGCAGCAGCAGGAGGCCATGGCGCGCAAAGAGGCCGAGGCCCGCGGCTACAACCCCCACATGATGCAGCAGGTGCTTGCCTGCACGCACCAACAGCAATCACAGTGTTCTTACGAGCTCACAGTACACAGCTCAAACCCGATGTGTCCTTCTTGATGATGCCATCTGTGGGAACCTCACAAGATACAATCAGAATTGTGGGATACAAGTGAGACCCAACCGTCTGGACTTGGGGGCCCCGTGTTGAAGGCAGCCGGCTGGTACAGGATGAAGCATCAAGCTTCCATTCTATAGCTAGCGGCGGCTTTCAAATCAAGCTCTGCCAGGTGCACCAAAGAAAAACAAGCACGGGGCCTGACGGTGGCATCTTGTGGCGCGCAGCATCAGGGCGGTGGGCAGATGATGAACGGGATGTACGGGATGCAGAACGGCATGATGCAGCGCAGCGTGGAGGAGCCGCCCGCCAAGCGTTTCAAGCCGGGGCAGGCGCAAGCGGTGATGCAGGGCAACCATGGCACCTCCCTCATCGAGGCCATGAACGCCCTGGAGATCCAGTCCCACCTGGGAACCCTCAAGGTGCCTCTGTTTTTGATTGAGCCAAGCGACCACTTTAAGTGTAGCAGTTATTTTCCTACCTGCGACGGCCAAGGGATTGCAACATCAGGCTCGGCCACATTCCAATTATGCCTGCCTGATTCATGTGAGGGGTCCGCATGATACCGAGCTGCAGGGGCCTCCACATAGGCCTCTGGCAATCTGCTGTGAACTGGCACCGCCGTAATTTTGATTTTAAACTGCATATAAAGAAGTGCAGCGACTGACTCAGAGTGTATCTGTTGGGGAGCAGGCGCAGGCGGGGCAGAGCAGCATGGGCGCAAAGGCGCCGCTGGGGTCGGGGCTGCCGGCCTGGAGCGACCCGCAGTCCGACCCTTGCGCGGCCTGCGGCGTGTGCCGCTACACCTTCGAGCCGCCCTCCATCTTCTGCACCTCCTGCTCCCAGCGCATCAAGCGCAACCAGGTCAGTCATCCGGCCCTGCTCAATCCTGTTGTGTCCGAGCGTCTGGCTCTGCGAAGAATTGCGCTTGTTTCCCTGCCCTCTAGCCTGAATTTCAAAAATGACGAAGAGCGTGGTCTCCTGAGAGCTTGTAAGTTTTTATGCGCCCTCTGTGCTGCTGTGCCCTAAGCTCTCTGCTGAGTTTACACTCGGGTCGATATCAGGGATTGAGATACGGCAGCTGAGATGCAAGTGTGGGTGTGAGGTGATGAGGTTGCTATGGCGCAGGTGTACTATACCACGCCGGCCAAGAAGAGCGAGGGCGTGAAGGGCTTCTGGTGCCACAGCTGCTACTCTGAGCACCGCGGCGAGATCATCCAGATGGAGGGCATGCGTGTGCGCAAGGTGAATTCACTTGGCGTGCTGCTGCCATACAGACTTGTTGTCAAGACTGCACACACAGGGGCACAATTCTTTACAGAGAGCACAGCATTGCGCAAGTCAGTCAAAAGTTTGTGTGCAACATTGGAGATGGGCTGTTCTGAGGGGGTTTGGGCGCGGTGCAGAATGAGCTGGAGAAGCGGAAGAACGATGAGGAGACAGAGGAGGGGTGGGTGCAGTGCGACGTGTGCGATTGCTGGGTGCACCAGATCTGCGGCCTCTTCAACAAGGGGCGCAACAAGGAGGAGACGCCCTACGTCTGCCCCATGTGCCTCATGGACGGTGCGCGGCCGCACAACACGCATTGCTAACCTTCCAATAAATAGAAGCTTGTTGCTCTTTAAAACGCCTGAAAAGTAGCGCCTTAAGAGTTTGCTCTGCTAGGGGCCACACATTGCGTACAGCTTCGCTCGGACCGTGTTTCTGGTGTCTGTCAGGCATCTAATAATATTTGACTTCATTAGCGCTGCCTGCAACAGAGCTGCCACATGAAACAAGAGAGCTCCACAAAGACAATTCGTCAATATCTGATGGGAGACCGCTGTCTGCTGGTGTCTACAGTCTCGACACACACCAGCACGGGAGATTCTCAAAGACATCTTTGAGAATTTTTGGTCTCGTGGAACCCACCAGCAGAATTGGTTTTTGACTGACTGCTGCTGGCATGCTGCGCAGGGCTGCGGAAGGGGCAGCGGAAGGCGATTGCGGTGCGGCCGCAGGCGATGCTGGAAGCGAAGGACCTGCCGCGCTGCGACCTGAGCGAGTTCCTGGAGGATCGCGTGGCCAAGGCCCTGGAGCGCGACCTCCACATGCGCGCCCAGCGCAAGGGCATCCCCACCGACCAGGTGCGCCTGCCTCCCTTCCACTTGTTGGGTATCAATGCATGCATTAAGAAAGCCCCGGCTGGCGGGGGGCGGTGTAAATACTGAGCACCGTGCCCACGGTTGACTGGGTCTTGCTTGGATCTGGCGAGTCCTTCAAGGGGTAGGATTTTGGCAGCCTTTACTGCAGCTTGTCTGCAGACGCACCTTGCTTCTGGCAGGAAAAGCGTGTAATTACTAAATTTAAGATATAATGGATGCCGGTTGATAAAGGGTTTGAAGAGGGAAAATCTATCCCAATTCTACCCTAAAGAACAAATTGAAAGGACAAGTTTTGGACCTGCCTGCCAAGTGGGGTGATCTGATGGGAGGTGTTCCCGCAATGTACTGCCTGGTCTTGTTCCCATCAGACGATGCTGTGCCTGTGGGAGACCCACCCATCAGGAGCTTGCGGGCCTGGCATGGCCTACTGTTTGCAGGCATCTGAAGATTCAATGCAGCAGTGCAATGTTCCGTTTTCAGATGTGCTGAGGGCAAATTTACTACCTCGCAACAGGTGCCGGCGGCGACGGGGCTGACGCTGCGGGTGATCAACAACGTGGTGAAGAAGATGGACACCAAATCCAAATTCTACGACGCCTTCCGGAAGGACGGCTACCCGGCCAACTTCGAGTACAAGCAGAAGGCGCGTTCTGTTTGTTTGCTGTCTCCCGCTCATCATGCCAAAAGCACTGGCCTCTTGCCGTGCGCATAATCGTCTCTATCACGCCTTGCACGTGCTCCCCTTGACTGCTTTTCCTCTGCAAAAGCCTCCGCAAGAGAAAACAAGGGATCGTGCATGTACGCACTTAATTTCTTACCAGTGTCTTATACTGACATGCTCCGATACAGTATTGCCACGGAGACCTTGGGTGTGACAGATGGTCTTTTTTGTGCGCGCAGGTGATCATGCTGTTCCAGAAGCAGGACGGCGTGGACGTGTGCCTGTACTGCCTGTACATGCAGGAGTACCCCGACAGCTGCCCCGCCCCCAACTCCCGCTGGATCTACCTCTCCTACCTGGACTCCGTCAAGTACTTCAGGTGAGTCTGCTTTACTGGCTTTCATAGTTGCTCAATCCCCTGCATGGCAGTTCATGGTTGTGTGTCTTGATGCCGCTTGCTTTCTTGCTTGGCTACTTCAGGCCTGCACACTCACTGCCTCTGGTCTCTGAAGTTCAAGAGCCTCTGGTATCATACTTGTATTTCTGTATCATTGCCTCAGTTTGATTGCCCGCGTGCATGGCTGTTGCTGAGTGTTATGTGGTCACCCAGGCCGGAGGGGGTGATGAGCGCGCGGGAGGGAGTGGCGCTGCGGACGCTGGTGTACCACGAGGTGCTGCAGGGCTACCTGTCCTACGTCAAGGCCCGCGGCTACACCTCCATGTTCATCTGGGCCTGCCCGCCCCTGCAGGTGAGCGCTCGTTGTCATCTGCCCCTGTGCATGAGACTCTTACCAACAGCAAAAATGCAATTGTTGCAAAACACCGCTGCCACTCACTACTGAGAGACATAACTGCTGGAGCGTGATACCCTGAGCCTTGCATGGGAGTGAAACGTGTGGCTAGGGCTGGTGCTGGGACCAGCCTCAGGCTCACTTCTCATTTTGTGCGAGTCTCTGAGTGCCTTATGCTGGTGTGCTGATCATGTACATCTCAGCGGCAATGTATCATTTGTCGCCAATGAGGCAGCAACCTCTGCTTGCTGTTGTGTGCTGTGTGATAGGAGCCTTTTCTTGGTTTTCCCATTGAATAAAAGGGCTGTCAGTCACCTGAGTGGCCCCTTCCGGCTGCAGGGTGACGACTACATCCTGTACTGCCACCCGAGCCGGCAGAAGACGCCGCGCAGCGAGCACCTGCGCGAGTGGTACCTGCGCATGCTGCGCCAGGCGCAGGTGGAGGGCAGCGTCACACACCTCTCCAACCTGTGGGACACCTTCTTCGAGGGCGGCCGCGACCACCGCATAGACCGCCCTTCCTCCACCCACCTCCCCTACTTCGAGGGTGCGCGCCTCCTCTTTTTTGCGCCAGCAGCAGTCGAGTGTCGCCTAGCTGGGCAGGCATACATCTTTGTGCAGAGGCGGCGGAGTTCTGGGCTGTGTTCCCTAAAGTAGATTGAGCGTTTAGGATATGCTTGTCACCTTTTTACACTGGAGATTGCACGAGCTGGCTCTTGTGTCGGATGGTGGTGGAGCTTTGCAGTCAGCAAAATGCCACATCCATGCGGCTGCTGAGCTTTCTCAAATACATCATGAACAAGAGCTTGCTCTTTGCTGTGCCTCGGTAAATGCTGACCGGTCATGTGCATGGCTTGCAGGCGACTACTGGCCGGGCGAGGCGGAGAGCCTGCTGATGAACATGGGGGAGGAGGCACGCGTGGCGGGCAAGAAGGGCAGCAAGCCCGGGCGCGCGGCCAAGAACACCAAGGGCAAGCGCTACGGGTCGGGGCCGGCCACTACGGACACGCAGTTGATGGAGAAGCTGGGCGACACCATCTCCGGCATGAAGGCCGACTTCATCGTCGTGCACATGCAGGAGCCCTGCTCCTTCTGCCGCACCTACATCTCCGACGCCACCCGGTGCGCGCCGCTCCCTCTTCATCTCATGCTACCACTGTGCAAGCTTCCCTCTCGCGTTTATCCGCAGGAGTGGACAGACTGTGTGTCAAGCGTCTTCCTGATTATCATTTTCGGTCCTCAGCGGACTGTGCTGCATAGGATCTCTCCTGCGGTCTGTATTTGCTGTCTCTTGCAGTGAAAGTATCTTGCCGCAGTTGATGCTGCAGACTCTTTACTCCTTAAAGACACCAGATGGTGACCGAGTTTCTTAGTAGTAGTTATGATCAACGAAGTTGGAAGATCTCCTGTGAGCCTGTGGAAGTAGAGAGACTGAGTTTGGCTTCTTGGCACAGGTGGTTCCACCCGGCGCCGCCGTCCAAGGCGATGGTGAAGGCGGAGCGCACGTTCGAGGGCATCTCGCTGGACATCCCCGGCCAGTCTGCCAAGACCGTCACCTCCATGTCCTCCCGCTTCCAGCTCTGCCCCACCTGCTATCAGCTCGAGTCCAGGTGTGCCCTGCATTCGTTGCCTCCGCTGCAGTTCCGGCAAAGCTCCTGATGTCACTTTCTGATGTCAATACCTGAGCCTATACCTATACCTATACCTATACCTATACCTATACCTATACCTATACCTATACCTATACCTATACCTATACCTATACCTATACCTATACGCCGATGAAAGCCAATACATCCAACAAATATCGAAGGTGGTGAGGTGAGGTTGTTGTATGGCAATTACGTGGGCAAAGCGTAAGACAATGTGATGGTGTTTGATGTATAGATTACTGCAAAGAGAGGTGTCTCTGCAGCAACAGTCATGCATGTTCTTGACCAAGTGAGCTAGATGTCTTTTAGCTACCCGCACCTGATTGAAAGTGTTGGGTGGGTGCCACCGTGAGTTGCTGTGCCCTATGTGCCTGGTCAGCTGGCACAGCGTCTGCCATTCATCACCGAGTTGACATGCAAGGGCTGTGCATGTGCCGAACGTGTTTGTTGGCCCATCCCTGAGAGAGCATTGAACCTGGGGACCCTACCACATCCTTTATGAACTGCTATGTGGCATGAACTGCCTGATTAAGTCGAACTGTCTACGTAGTGCGGCGGCTGGCGAGGGCAAGGCGCGGGGCCTGCCGAGCGGGGTGCATCTGGCAGACCTGGTGCCGACCAAGACGGAGCCCATCGCGGCCACCCACGACGAGGGCAATCCCGAGATGCACTGCGAGTTCTTCGACACCCGCCAGGTGCGCCACACTCAATCGTTATACCTTGCACCTTCCGCAGTAGCCAGGGCACAGTGTCGAGGATCTGCACCCAATTGCTTGCTGGGACCCTTTTTGCGTCTTATAGAATGTTATGTTGTGCCCTGAGGCAGTCGTTCAATGCCTCCTCCTGCTGTAGAAGTGACTGCTGCTCAAGGGGCTACTGCCGCGTTGTGCTATAGCCATATGTCAGTAGACATTTTAGGAGCCCGGTGGAGGGGTGTGGGAGGGGCAAAGTGCTGTAGCGAGGGGAGCTCTGGCCATTGACACATCAGAAGAGACCAGGGGCAAGGGTTTCTGGTGTGGCTGAAGTGAGAAGGGAAGCGGGTGTGTGCTGACATGGATTTGCACGTGCGTGCGCAGGCGTTCCTGTCGCTGTGCCAGGGCAACCACTACCAGTTTGACAGCATGCGGCGCGCGAAGCACAGCAGCATGATGGTGCTGTACCACCTGCACAACCCGGACGCGCCAGCCTTCTCCTGCTCCTGCAACGCTTGCGGCATGGAGATTGAGCCGGGGCAGGGCTTCCGCTGCTCCGTCTGCCAGGACTTCGACATGTGCACCAACTGCAAGCACACCGTCGGCCACCAGCACCAGCTCATCGTGCGTATTTCCCTCGTTTCCTTTACCTTAGCCTGCTTAAAATTTCTGTGAGTGATTTTACTCTGACCAGACGTGAGCCATACTTGAGCAAGGGTCTCATGGTATCCTTGCATGCCTCCTCACTCTGCTGCAGGACAGTCCTTCCATGTCTTTCAGGGTCCCTCGAGGCAGGGCCGAGAGTTTGAGTTGCTTCAAATCCAAATTCTTCTTTGAAATTCGAATCGCAGGCGCACGCGCGGAAGATCGACGAGACGCGGACGCGGATGACGGAGGAGGAGAGGACGGAGCGCAACGCACAGCTGGCGCGCACGATGGCGTTGCTGGTGCACGCGAGCGGCTGCGCGGACCCGGAGTGCCCCTCCTCCAATTGCTCCAAGGTCAAGGGCCTCTTCCACCACGCCGTCTCCTGCCCCCAGAAGGTCGCCGGCGGCTGCCAGCTCTGCCGGTGCGCGCCCGTGCTCCCTCCCACCCCTGTACCAATTTTTTAATTGTTTCTTGTCTGATGTGCTGCCAGGCAGCGCCGAGCAGCTGTTTGAGAACACCCGTGGAAGGGATAGTTCTGCATGGTCCGCCATTCCATGAATGCTTGTGTGCGGGCTTTGCTGCATGCGCCATTCCATAGGTGTTAATGGCTCAGCTCCTTGGTGCTGCCTGGTGGCACGAGAAAAGGTGGCCAGCGCATTTTTGGTTTTTTCCTTCGGGGCGTGAGGCTGTGGTTATTTTTGAGGGAAAGGTTTGGGCGGTGGCTGATGGTGTGTGGTGGCTGGGGTGCTGCGCAGGCGGATGTGGATGCTGCTGCAGGTGCACGCGAAGCAGTGCCAGAACAACGACTGCCCCGTGCCGCGCTGCCGCGAGCTGCGCGAGATGCGCAGACGCGCCGTGGCCCGCCAGGAGGACCAGCGCCGCGTCGCCTACCAGGCCATGCTACGCAACCAGAACGGCCAGGTCAGCCCGCCCAATCCACCCTGTTTGTTGTAACCCAATCCTGGCCCCACCTCTTCAAGACACGTGACGTACTTCCCTATCCATACATCGTGTCCCTGGCACTGTATGTTTGCACTCACCTGAGTGGGTGGAGCTGTGCAGGGGTGTGTTTGTCACCAGTGCTCCCATTCATACATCCTTTCTGCCTTGCACTGGGTGCCAAAAGGCTATGTATGTGGTTTACTGGTGTCGTGCCATTGTCCACACGCTTTGGGCGTTACTAGCTATGATTGGCTTTTTGAAGGCGTGAAGCCTTGGTCGCCAGCTTCCAATGTGCTTCTCTGTTTGGTGTGTCGTGCTGATGCGGGTGCATGTTGGTGTGAGCAGGGCGGCAACTCGTCGCAGGGCCCGTCCGGGTCGCAGGGCAAGGGCTCCGGCGGCGGCAGCGGCTCGCAGGGCAAGCACCCGGGTGGCGAGATCAAACGTGAGAGCCAGTACTGAGGCGTTGCCTCTCTCCCTCGCCACCTCTGCTGCCCTGCTCTCTGAGCGGCCCCCGGGACAAGTCAGCCGTCGCAGCAGCCGTGCACAGCTGCGGTCGGTGGCGGCTGCGGCTTCCCGGCAGCTGCGGAGCGGCCGCGCGGCGAGCGAGCAGGCAGTTCATTGGGCGGGCGCCAGTTCCTGGCAGCGCCTGTTTGATGCAGCTGTTGCTCGTGCTGCAATCTGCGCTGGCTGTGGGGTGGTTGAGGGCGGAGAGAGCGACCGCGTTGCTGTATTGTGGTATTTGGTGAGTGGGTGAAGTGGCTTCCCGGGCGGTGATTGGGTATTGGGCTGTGGGGGAGATCGGCTGCACGAACCATTTTTGAGCCGGCCTGCGTGCTGCGCGGTGGTCGCACAGGCGCGAGAAGTCATGAGAGATTTGTTGAGAGTTGGGCGCGCGTTGAGGTGGCATCGGGGGGTATAGCACGTCCCTTCGCGCATGCGCGTCATTTATTCGGACAGGGCCTTAGGCTCTGCCCACCACACCTCCCCTTCCCCTAGATGTAGAAGGGACGAAATGGCCAAGCAATGCTCAGGGAGCTCTGGAAGAGCCCTCTAGTATTGAAACCCCAAGCGTTGCAGGGTGCGCGCACCGACCACACCAGGTGACTGATCTTGGAAACCTGAGTGCAAGCAGGGCTGTCCCTGACTCCTCCAGCAGATAGGTGCAGGAGGAGCATGACAGCGCGCTGAATCATTTCTGCCCAAACAGGCCGATGCGCGCCGATCTGGGACTATATATTAGGGGGTTAACTTGAGGGACTGCGTGCATTGGCGCGCGCCCCTTTTGCGGCTGCAACACATGCTTTGTTGTGCGTCTCTCTACAGAACGGCGAGAACTCTGCCACAAGTCCAGTTGTAAAGGTAATCTGACGCTGCAAGCCTTGGGGGAGCCTGCGCAGCCGAGGCAACCGCCTGGGCTGCAGCGGCAGGCAATTTCTTTTTCCTCTTTCTGAGAGTTATCCGGCAAAACAGTATGTGCTGTGCGCCGTGCGTTCGGGCAGCAACAAGTTTCTAGCTATCTGAGACTGACCTTGCGATCCTGCTATCTACCTACTTGGCAACACAATGTCTTTACACTAGGGGTGCACTCGGGGCTGTATCTAGAGGCTGCCCCCGCATGCATGCGTGCAGCAACGCTTCCTCGGCTGTGCTTTGCTGCATTCGCTGCTCTTTGTGTCTCGGACGTGTGTTTGCACGTTTCTTATTGCAGCCTGCCACTGAGCTTTTTTGGTCCCTCTCTCCGGGGTTTAATGCACAGGGTTCACACAGTGTTAAGGACTGCGGTACAGACAGACATCGTTGGGGGCTTTGCGAGCATTGGCAAATTGACTAAATTTGGTCACGTTGATTCAACCTAGCGTCAAACGAGCTGCATCAAGTTTATGGCAAGCACCATTTAATGCTACTTATGGCTTCCAGATCTGCGGTGTGTAACAAAAGGCAATGTTTGCGTTGAGCGGGACCTGTAAACATATTGATATACACCTTGCGTGCGCAAGTTGATGCTTTACAGCAATCAGGATGTGTACTCTTTTTATCGCGACAGGGATGCCTGCATGCTTGAATTAAAGCGGGCCCGTGAAGCAGCATGCTGCGTGTGCAAGGGGCTCTACAGTACAACTACGGTGTACATGTGGGCAAGTACATCATTATGCACAGATGCATGATGCAACATTTTAGTGATAATTGTTACTTGCTTAACAGCTGCAAGCTCCATAGGGATGGGTAGGTCACCACAAGCACGGTGCGGTATTTTCAAGGTTTTTACCCATCCCACGGTGCGGCTTGGTCTAAAAGTTGTGGTCTTTGCTTGCTCAGATCTGTTACACTTCAACTGGCCCAGCCACAGACTGGCAACCTTGAGGACAGTGGCTTGTCGGAAAAGCTCCGTGTAGCATAAGACATTTCTTGGTCATTAAAAGTGTCAAACTTATCCTGGAGGATCTCAAAAGGAGTGCTGGATGGGCAGCCTTCACTGGAGCTCTGGCGGCTGGGTGCATTCAACAAGCATCACAGACACCACAAATCTGCCGCTCTTGCTGCATCCCCTCACAATCAGTAGGTGTTACTCAGCTTCTAATAATCTCTTAGCAGCCCAGCCCACCCAAAAACTTTGATCTCCCAATCACATGGGCAGCGAGGGTCCAATATCCATGAGCCATAGTTGTCACAAGATTCATCTCGGTGTTGATCCCACGCCAGCAGCGTCCGAGACAAGCGTCTAAAGTCTCATTTACGGATTGTCTCGCGCGCGAACCTCAGGCGACGACGAGCGTCTTTCGCCCCTTGAAGGTCTTGGCGTGGGCAGCCGTCCTGCACAAAGACCTCACAGGTCACACGCAGTGCCAGGCAAATCGATAGGCGAATCCATCGGATTTTGTGCTGATTCGAAGAGGTCATCGCTATCCTTTCTCAATGTTAGAAAAGAGCAAGGTGATTCCATTTCGTCTACCCATGCATGGGCATCTCATGCCCCGGTTTCCAGCTTCCATAGAGCCGGAGAGCAATTCCAAAGCTCCATAGAGAGCCCACCAAGGATTTGGCAAAAAGAGCACGGGGATGATTGGCAACAAATCTACCTCAGGCGAGTGGTGCATGCACCCAAATCTGGGAGATTACCCTTGCGCAATCAGCTCATAGATGTTGCCAAGTGGTATCTGCGAGCTCATGAAGTCATGAAAAGGCAAGGGTCAGAGCCGCCGGTAGTGGAAAACCAAACCAGTCAAGACATCGCACACAGTGTCTGAAATGCTGCAGAAGATACTCCCCCAGAAATCGGCATACCATCTTCCGCCCTTGCACAAACAGCCTGCAGGCTCACTTCCGCGAGCTCATGATGACATGGAAATTCCTCAGAATCGCACCAGTCGCGGGCCCACGCGTCAAAGTGCACGATGTCATCGATGCTCGGCGCGGCCGTGAGGTCAGCCTTGTGCGCCTCGCAGCAGGCCGACACCAGCGGAACGATGTCCAGGTAAGCGATCTCTTCGCGCAGGAACACTTCCACCGCCTTCTCGTTCGCCGCGCTCATCACCGCCGTCATCGTGCCGCCGGCCCTGCCACACGGTTCCCCCTTTTGAGACGAACAAGCGGCACCTTAACGAGCAGATCTTCAAGGCAGGGACAGTAATAGGAGATATCATCGAGTAGAGTAATGGAGATTCAAGCTAGAAGGATAAATAGCTCTGCGATCATGTACTCAGTGATAGAACCCGGAATTCACATAATTGCATGTTTGGGTGACCTGTGAGATAAAACACTGTATACAGCTCAAGCAGAACATAGCCGGCAAGAAGGCCCAGAGCTAGAGCAGTAGAAGTTGCACATAGCCTGGCCACTGCGTAATATACACAATTGAGCGGCCTCTACATCGTCCCTTCTCCCCTACAGACCCCAGGGGTTTATAAAAGACAACATGTGATATTAAGTATCCCCCTGAAGACCCATCACAGCTTGAGCATCGCACACAATGGAAAGGCAGCGGCGGCTCTCACCGGCCGGCAGCGTAGGCGAGGTCCATGGAGGGGTACTTTTGGCGGTCGGGGGGCGTGAAGGTGAGCTGCGAGGCCTTTGCGAAGTCGAGGCGCGGCCAGGTGACCTCGCTGCAGGGCACACGCTCCGGCCACGACATGGTGTACAGGATCGGCAGCCGCATGTCCGGCCAGCCCAGCTGCGCGCAGAAATTAGTTCCCTTGAGGGTTTTCTGTTTTATGAACCCTTGAGGGTTTCCAGATATACGTGACCCTTGGACTGAATGCGCAAATAGTCTAGCACATCGAAAGTATTCACTGCGTTCGGCCAGCCGAGCTGCGCGCCAGTAATATCAGATTAAGAAGAAGACACAGGTGCATGGTGACAGATAGTCCAACTTCAGCTTCTGTTGCATTGGCTTTGTTTCCTTACTGCTTGTCTGGAGAAGCAATGGAATCTAATCAGCCCAGTAGTTCAAAGCATATTTCGATGCACCAGCTTGAAGAGTGGTCCCAGTATTGCGCCATCAGCAGATAGCACTGAACAACATTCCATGGAGGGTCCAACAGTCAGTCTATCTGGGAATTGTTTCAATGCTGCTGGCCCATAGAAGCAGCCCATAGAAGCAACAACAAGCACACAGTGTTGCCATCGGGCCTCAACATACTCTCCTCAGAAGGGGTAGCAGTGAACGCACCTGGGCGAGCACGGAGGAGTCCTGGGTCTCGACCATGGAGTGGATGATGGACTGCGGGTGGATCACAATCTCGATGTCATCGTAGGCAGCCCCGAACAGGTAGTGAGCCTCGATAACCTCCAGCCCCTTGTTCATCAGCGTCGCGCTATCCACCGTAATCTTGGGGCCCATGCTGTGCGACAAAAGGGGCACGTCAGATATGACTGAACCGCGCCCCTGATGTATGTATGCAGAGACAGCTTGGGAGCACCAAGAGCATGTCAAGCTTCATGTGGCATGCGCTGCTGCACAGGCAAGCGAATGCCTGAGACGGCTGTAGCGTACGTCAATAGTATTATAGTACACGCTTTTCCTGCCAGAGGCAAGGTGCGTCTGGAGACAAGCTGCATGTAAAGGCTACCAAAATCCTACCCCATGCTGGACTCGCCAGATCCCAGCAACACCCAATGTAGTGTATATAGGTGAGAGAAGTGGTGCCTGGAGGCCTGGTGAGATGCTGCATAGGCAATTGTGGGCGCAAGACAAGTGATGTTATTTTGACAAGGCAACCACAGAATTATCAGTCAATACCTGTGCTCACTGGGCCAACAGAGCAGCATGGGCTTCTTTGGTCCAGTGAGCATAACAACTGTCTATCGCTCTGTGGTGTTGCGCACTTTAGGGAGGACAAGCCCGGGCAGAGTTGTTGTTGTGGTACGCAGATGCAGATGGGGGGAGAGGAGAGGTCACCTCCAGTTGGGGTGCTTGACTGCGTCTGCAGCAGTGACCTCTTTGAGCCTCTCAACCGGCCAGTCGCGGAAGGCGCCACCCGAAGCAGTCAGAATGATTCGCCGCAGGCCGCCCTCCGGCAGCCCCTGCAGGCACTGGAAGATCGCCTGCAAGAGAGGAAGACACAACACGTCAGCACACAGCCTCTCAGCGCGCCTTAGCACGCAAGACCAGAGCACCGCTACGTGAGTACCCTGAGCATAGCATTTTATCAGCCCCGTTCAACATCTACAATTGTCTGGGAAAGACAATGACGACATAATGGCGTCAGGAGAGGCATATGCGGATAACGATTGTAATGGTCCTGCCCCGAACCAAAGCCAAAGCAGACTGCAACATCCTTGGACAGAAGCCCTGTTGATGGACACAGGGGGCCAACACCTTCAGACTCATTCACTGAATCAGGCACAATGATGTGTATGACACGCCCCCCTGACCCCATGCTCATGCAGACGCCTCTCGATACGATCCAGCTTATGTCGTGGGTTTCAGGGCGGGATAAGTACAAGGAGAAGGGTGCGCAGAGGCTGACCGAGTGCTCAGAGTCGGCTGGCAGGATGTTGACGCCGTGTTCGCGAGCCAGGGGGAGCACGTAGGGGCCGCCGGCGATCAGCGTCTCCTTGTTGGCCAGGCAGATGTCCTTACCCGCCTTGATGGCCGCCACTGTCGGCTGCAGCCCCGCGCACCCTGCCGCGCACACCACCAGCGCTCACACGCATGCGCATGTCAAAAATAGCTTCTCACCGGGTTACACAGAGCTTCACGCATTGATGCTGTGCTAAGGTGATGTCCAATTGTGCAAAGATGGCAACCGATCGCTCCATTCCTTTCTTAAGGAGTCATAGGTTATGGCAGTCGAGCAGCCAGGTACAAGAGGGTGTGCGCACTACTCACCGACGATGCCGGTGACGACAGCGTCAATCTCTGGGTGGCGCGCGACCTCGATCGCGCCCTCGTCCCCCACCAGGATCTCCGGCTGCCGCGGGACATCCCTGATCGCCTCCTTCAGCTCCGCCACCTTGGACGCATCCCGGATCGCCACCAGCTTCGGCTGGAACTCCCGAATCTGCGCCGCGGCATCAAGTGCTTGAGCTCTATGTGCATGCGCACCTCCGGTTTGTTGACAAATTGGAGGCACAGGACAGATCTGAGATCTACTCTCAGGAGCTCTTATATTAGAGTCAGCCCATCCGATCAATTGCAGCCCAGCCCCAGAGCAGGGCTTGTAAACAGGAAGCATGAAGAGTTCTGCGATGACTGCCTCCTGTTCGGCAGTGATTAGGCGGAGAGTTGACGTGGGGCAGACCTGCTCTGCCAGAAGGGCGACATTCCCTCCCGCCGCGAGGGCCACCACCTCAAACCTGTCCCCATGCTCCTTCACAATGTCCAGCGTCTGTGTGCCTATTGACCCTGCACCCCGAACCAGCATGCTGTCAGCTCTGCCTCAGTTGGCGCAGAGGTGAGCATGTCAAGCGTGCAGCAAACATTTTGAACAAAAGCAAGCTGTACAGGAACACATGCAAGGCAGATCATTTAGGAGCAAAAGAGACTGCTGTACAAACCTGTAGAGCCAACGATTGAGAACTTCTGCGCAAACACACAATATAGAGCCTCAGCTTCATTGTTGCTAAGCCAAACGCTCGCACTGTTAAGCGTATGGATGTGATCAATTGTGGCAAGCAGCAGGGACTATGAATTGCACCGCACCTTCACACCCTCCCTCTTTGTGACCTCTGGAACAATGACGCGGCCAGGCCAGGCCGGAGGGGGCTGATTTGCTGTGTTACCATTGCTACCGTTGGCCGCGTTGGATATGCACAGCCGGGCTGCCTACAAGAAATTGTGCCACAGAGCATGTTCAAGCACCTAGCTTTGGAATACACGACCCACGGCATGTACAACAGAGGCCCTGCCTCGCACATGATGTTGTTGAATGAGATGAGATCACATGGATAATGTCACAAGAAACTTCTGAGAGTGAACTCGAAGGACAAATGAAAATGAGAACAAGCGCGATGCAGTGCCAGAACTTACCCTGCGATTGCATATATTTCTGCATGCTGGTCTCTGTCGGAAGCTGTTTGTGGCAGATTTTAATCTACAAAACTCTTGACCTCTTCCAGTCAGCAACTCGGCTTCCATACTGCCTCACGGCTCCACAACAAAACTGGAAATCGTCCCCCTTCTGACGTGCAGACGTAAAATTTGGTCAACAAACTTTCAAAAGCTCCTGATCGAAAGATCTGAATATTGAGAGCGCCTTTTTATTGGAGGAAACTGGTTTGCAAAGCATCGAGATGGTGGATCAGTTTGGCAGATGATGTGCACAGCTGGCACTGTTGCCTGTTCGGGCTGCCATGTGAGTTTGCTCATGATCGCTGATCCTCGCACATCGAAAGCTGATGCACCATCTGATAATGCCACATGTTGCAGACCATCCCTGTGCACGTTTAGAATGGGGTCAAAGCTCCTGAGGTCCTTTTCGGGTGACATCTACACATTGCAAACATCAAGATGACAAAGAGAGCACAAAATTCTGCATTGCTTATATGCATCTTCATTTTATGCACGATTATATGTGATGCAAATTTCCACGACGATGAGTTCGTGCCAACAGCGCGAAGAGCACTTTTCCATGGGGTGAGTGATCAAGGGCACTCAAATGCCTGCTCCTGTGAGACAGTGGCACACACATGTGTGTAAATATTATATATCTTATTCTGTGGTGCACCAGGTGAGGACGCAATGGCACGATCTGCTTGGGAGGCATTGCCCCAAATTCGGGGAGGATCTCTTGGTATGCCCAGTTGGACAACAGCACCTCTGGTGCCATGTTCTGCATGGGAATGGACGACGAATACTTGTGCTATCAGTTTGCCAGAGAATCTTATATCTGAATTGCCCTGCATGTAGGTAGCAGTCCCGATCCCCCTTCCAAAGGGCTTTGTGGAGGCAGACAACTACAAAATCCAATTTACTTATGATGGTGCGACCCTGCTGATTGCCTTCACTTCCGAACAACGCCTGCATTATACACTGATGTTGCTGTCAGGTCCATTGGTCTCATCTGGGTGTGTCATCAGGTGATCGGTTGGTGACCCCATGGCTGAAAATCATTGGGAAGGGCGCCCCAAATCCACCAATGCTGCATGTACACCTGACGCGCACATCAGACGCCCTTACTTCAGTATCAGCCAAGGTTGGGAGCTTGCTTAGCTAGCGTCCTGTTCGTCCATCACCACCTTGTTGTCAGTCCTCAGCCACACACCCATAGCTACGGGAAAAGCAGTGTAATGCCTGCTTTGGTGAGAAAATTCTCTGGTGGATGCTCTGTACCACGAGTCCCCTCGCAGGAGCAGCCCCTTGAAGACATGGCAGACATAGTGTTTTTTTTCCAATAACAACACAGCGTAAAATGCCCTGAAGAAATGTTCTGTGCTTCCTTGTAGGTGCTGCCAGTACCACAGGGCTACCTGTATGCGCACCACCAGTTGTTTGATGAGTTTCAGAATGCCACCGTCTGGCCAAAGCACCTCCTTGTCGAGTACTCCTGGACCACCCAGCACTCTGTGGATGCTCTGTCGGCCCTCTACGTCATTTTCTTCATCTGTGCGCACCCTTTCTCTCATCTGTCAGAGCATCTAAGGCAGCAAGCGGCTGGCAGTATTGATTTGCTTTAACTTGGTTGCGTAACGCGGATAGAGATGCTCTGTTGCAGCTGAGTATTCTAGTTGCTGGCAGTCACCTTCCTAGAGACAATCAATTCTGGATCCTGCACACCATTTTCCAAGCCTCTCCAGCTAGAATCTACCTACTAATTGTCTTATGTACGGATTCTGTGCATATTTGCTGAATGGTGCCGTGTACTGTCTGACTCAGGTCTGTTGGTGTTCATGGCGCTAGCGCTGAATGTAGTGGTTGCCTACGAGACAAAGCTCAAGGCGTTCATGGCTGAGATTGCTGGAGAGGACCCGTTGTCCGTCGCTCCCCTGGTCAAGGGGGATTAAGTTCTCGGCAGGAGCAGCTCTCATCAATGAAACGTATGCTTTAGGAAAGCTCGCTACGAAGTGCCTTTAATTGGGGCCAGGTGTCTGCCCCAGACAGCTAGCTACAATTGCACAAGATGGCCTGGTCGGCACCTGGCCGACACTTGGTCGGCACCTGGATCTTTCATGCTCTCACAGCAGTTGAAGGAGGTAACATCACTGAGAGTATTGGCAGTGGCCTTGTCATAGTGAGATTGGCATAGTTTGCTGCGAAAATGAGAGGGAGAGACATCTGGGTAGAGAAGTAAGAGTAAGCGGTTGTGAGAGTTCTCTCGGTCAATTTGCAGCTGCAGTCACTGGAATTAAGAAATTCGATCATGCTTGGGTTTGCACTTTTGTTGTGGATCACGGTGATTTATGCAACGCTCAATCTTGGCCACCGAGCACATGGGTCACTTAGTGGTCACTCAGTCACACAGCCTGAGGCTGTGGCAACAAGGATGAGTCATTAGCTGCCACCGTGCCGGGCTGGAGTAGTGCCGGGTGCCAGGAAACCTCTTTGGACGTGCAGCAATAAATGCTAAACAGTGTTCTCGAGTCTGGGGCCATCAGCAGCACGCAACATCAGCAGCATGCATGGCTATGCTCAGCTTCCCCTCGTGTCAATTCTGCACGTGCTGCCGTTCAGTCACTTCGTGAGTAGAGATCAGGACGAGGCCCAGCTGCACTGCAGAAAGAGATGGCCAGTACTTCGAGTGAAAAACGCACGTGCTTAAGCTGTTGATTATCCTTTGGAACGTAATCATGCAGTCTCTCGTCCATTGCCGGTCTGCACCATCTGCACAAAGTATCTATCGTGCTGCACCCCCGCAGAAGATTCGTTGCACGCACATCGCATCAGCAAAGTCGACATTCTTCAGCCACAGAAGTGGTCAGCTCAGATCGAGCAGACCATCACTTCTCAGAAGATCTGCCACTCCAACGTCCACGATCAGTGGCAAGGTGCTCGTCTTGTCTGTTCCAACCATACATAACTTATTCTCAAAGACCAAAGCACATTGCTTTCAATAGCAATCGTCTATGATGTGGTTATCTAAAATTGGTTGTTGAGATAGCTGGCATATCAACAGCACCTATGTGACTGACTGCTGCACTAGAAATCGGTCTGGTACCCTGCCCGAAGTCTTGCTATCCTGGAACTCTACGAGATCATGACGAAGAGCGTGAAGGTCCGTGTGTCATGCAGGTTGATAAGCTCACAGCTGAAGAATTGGAGGTGGTCCTGCAAGAGCGCACGAAGCCCTTGATCATTGATTTCTACGCCACGTGGTAAGCTCACTTTTCAAGTATCACATGTTCAAGCCTGACAGGGAGGTCTGTGTGATGCACACAGTCAATCTACCGTGTTGAGGATGCAGGCACGGCTGATAATGGTATAGGACCAGCACGTGGTGCAGATTTGAAGCTGACAAGAGAGGCCTGTGGAATGCATACAGGCACACCATTAATTGGAGGTCTCAGGCACAGACTCTTTATGTGGTGATCTGAAGCTGAGACGGGGTGTTTGCGCATGGCAATGCAGGTGTGGCCCTTGCCTGCTCTTGGCAAAGGAGCTCGAGCAGGCAAGCTCCCAACCTGAAACTTTGCACGCAAGGCACCCTGTGCCTCAGAACTTGGCCCGGCAAGACCACCGAATCCGACCAGCACATGACCTGGATAGGGATGAACACATCTGATTCATCAGTGCTGTTCAGGTAGCAGAGGAGCTGGGAGACACAGTGCGCATAGTGAAGATTGACACTGACGAGCACCCAGAGGTCAGCTCGCAGCTACAGGTACTGCCCACAGCCCAGGATGTAGCCTTTTATTCGAGCTGGGACAAAAGTCAGATCACTGGCTCTGTGGGCAATGAGCAACGATGGCGTACCTACAAATCCCCCAAAGTGTGGGTGTCACTGCTTCTGGTGCAAGTGTTGGACACCAGTGCTGTTTGGGAAAGCTATGGGGCCTTGGTAGCGATCAAATTATCACGAAAGATTACCACGAAAGATAAGACTGAGGCAAATACTCAGATTCTTGACGCTCGACATAGGTTTTTAGGGGCTTAAATTGCAGCCCTGGCTGGCCGGGGGCGGTATCAATAATGAGCACCATGCCCACGATTAACTGGGTCTTGCTTGGATCTGGTGAGTCCATCAAGAGGTAGGATTGTGGCAGCCTTGTCTGCAGGAAAAGCGTGTAATACTCACAAAAATTGCAGCTACCCCCTGCTAAGCGTTTGTGGATTGCTGCCCGCAGATCCAGGGCCTGCCCACGATGGTATTTGTGGGCACCGATCCCAACAAGCCCGCGCTGAGAACAGAGGGTCTACTGCCAGCGCACGTCATCAAGGAAATTGTCCAGAATGAGCTTTTGGCGTCAGAGGCTGAGGCGGCAGCCTGAGGACGGCAGACTGACATGGATGCAGCGCCTGGACAATTGCCTGAGCAAGCAGTGTTTTTCTACGGACACCAACATGAATGTTTGCCTTACTTTGCTTTCACAGCTTCTTCCGCGCTTGTAGGGCTGCTGAAAGAGCTGACATGGTTGAAGGTACAGTGTACCTGCCAGCTTTGCGTCACTGCTTTGGCGAAGCAACTGAATTTGGGTCCGCGAGGCAGAGGTTTTTTACGCTGATTACAACAGAATGTGGTACGCATGCACTCACAGAAATAAGATGCCTGGTGAGGCTATCTGGGACACTCACTCGCACAAACGTTCATCTGTACACCTGCAAGTCTGCTGCCAATTATAGGATATTCAGTGCATGCAAGATCACAAAACTCACCGGGACATAACATGCTGGCATGCAAATTGACCTGACAGGAACTGCACAACCAAGCCTGAGTTGAGCTCAGTGAGCTCTGATTCAGAATCTCTGTGTCTAGCTGCAGTCAGCCAGACATGTACAGCAATGCCACAGCATTGCATCATTGAACGCCCACCTATAGGCCCTATGCTTTAGAGAATGCACTCGCCAGCACATATACAATAATGGTGGTCCTGCTTGCAACAGCTGACCTAGATCTTTATAGCAATTCAACGAAGTACCCAAGAATAGAAGAGAAGACCTGGCAATGTGAGGACAGATTGGTTCGAGCTCCAAGGTACATTGTCTCATTCATGGCTGCCTTAAAGTTCCATGGGATCATCAGCGCTTCAACAGATACCGCTGCCATGCGGCTAGCCTTCCAAGAATTCTCTTGATATGTTCTGAGCAGAAATAAGAAAGAAACCGATCCCTTGCCACATGGCATGCACCTCTGCAACAGGCCTTCTTAAAAGCCCAGTTGAAAGACAAGAAAATGTTTTGCTGGACTGACTGGAATCGTGCAGCCCATGCTCCAACACCACATCGCAAAAAAATGAAAGCTGCGCACATCAGACCTGGCATTGCATTGCCAAACTTTGCTCGAACAGGGTCCAAGGTTGCAGCCAACTCCCTTGCTGGCAATCGAGTGTCAGGTAGCGCACACTTGTGTGCCGCCGCAAATCATATGCCTGATCACAGGTCTGTCCTGCAGGCCACTTGTGGTATGCATCATGCTGACCGAAGGAGATCTCCCATCAAATCGTATGTGTCCAAACCAGCCTCCTGAGATTAGCCTAAAGCTTGCTGGGGATGCTTTACTCAATATTAGCGCGACAGAGGCCGTGTGCATTGAAACACAGATGCCCTGCAATGGGCTCAGCTTCGTTTCAGCTGCAGCTGATGGCCTGCATAGGGATTCTCTACCGGCTGAACCTGCATTACTTGTTTCAAGTTCTCCAGGTGCTGTGGGTTTCAGACTGATGTACAGATGTGCTGTCTTCCTCGCATCTCAAGTGCACCTGCCTTCTGAGCTGAGCCTCTCTCTCTTGCCGCGTCAGTGCAATTGAACGGTCCTGACACAGACAATTCGCAGATTTGAACATGAGTAGATGCTGTAAGGATTTCCCGTTACCATAACTGATACAGTGGGGCCCTTGCCGCCCCATTGAGCCTGAGCAGCGCTGCGAGACCTCGAGCACCAAGACCGCATCCAGCTCCTCACACTGCAACCCCTCCCCTGGCCCCAACTCTTAGACAGCGCAACAGGCTAGCAGAGCACCGCTAGTGCTCGCGCGCCGGTGCACCGGCATGCACTTCAAAAGGAGCCCACTTGGATCTGTCCGCTTCCCTGCCGTATTGCGCATGCTCACGGCAGCCGAGATAAGCTGCTGCCGCTGCTGCTCTGTCAAGGGAGGAGTACTTGGGGCCCCCCAGTGTGAGGGTGGGGTACCTCCCGGGGCGGCTGCGCGCGCATCAGGCGTCGACCAGGCCGGCGCGGCGGGCGCTGAGGGGCTTTGCATCGAGCATGTGCTCGTCTGCGTCGGAGTGTGCGGCCTTGGCGGTCAGCAGCGAGGCGGCCGACAGCTCAGCGCGGCGCTCGGCGTCCATCGCGCGCATGTGCTGGTCCAGGTGCGCGAACTCGAACTTTTCCGGCTTGCTGCCGCCCAGGGACTCGTAAAGCAGGTCCGGGGAGATGGTCGGCTGCAGCGCCTCCTGTATCTGCTCCACGTTGCTCGCAAACGCCACCTTGCTCCTGCGCCAACAGCCCCCCGGTCAGCAACCTGACCTCCAGGCATCACTAGCATCATCCTGCAATCGTAGGTCGGCCGCCTGCAGGGTGCTGCTCCAAAACACTGGCAAGGTCTGCTGTGCTGACGACGTCTGCCAAGTGATCTGCTAGTGTTAATCGTAAAAATCATGTTGGCGCTAGGGTAAATGGTGAAAGTCATTTTGCCGCTGGAAAACAAGCACGCATGAAGCGTGGACCTGATATGCAGCCAAGGGCAGGTGTTCCCCGTGCCCTGGCAAGGCATGGCAGGCCGCAAATTGAGAAGTGGATGAATTTTAACACTGCACGGCATCCGGTGGTTTTGAGGGGACCCCAAATGTGCAAGGCCTGAGGTTGAGAGAAGATGGTTGCTTACTTGGTGATGGGGTCCAGGAAGGGCACAATGGATCGCCACAGCGCCCAGAAGATCAGCGGCGGGTTGCACACCGATGCCAGCGCCAGCCGCTCTGGGAAGTGCGCTTGAGCGGTGCGGATGAGCTCTATCCTCGTCTGCACAGAGTGCTGCATCGCTTAGAAAGGTCCCACCAGGGTGCATCAATATTTTCCACCGGTCATCCTGAGTCTCCCCATGCCAGACAGGTACTGGCGCTCATCAGCAATCAAGTGCACACACCAGAAATTGCGTGGGTCACATATCTGATGCGACCTTGAAGAGACGAGGTTGGGATGTCAAGACCAGTCAATTTACTTGTCTTCTTATAACGAGAAAATAACGGCACAAGCCTGTAACACCTTGCATAAGGCCGAGTCTGATCTGCGCAAATGCATGCTGCACGCTCTGGAAGCGGGAACTGAAAGAATGGAACCCACCAGGAATGTTGGCATGATGGTGTTGGGATCTGAGTAACCATGCATGTCGAACACGACCACTACCTTGCCAGCACCTGCATTCACAACATGACATAAATCTCTGAAAGGCTGCATGGCGGTTTTCATTCACCACGGCCTGATGAGCATGGCTCAGCATATAGCACAAGGCAGCACGCCATAACACAATACCCACAGCATTTGTGCTGAGCTCTGAATGCCCTGTGCTCCAAGGTGGAACCCACAGCAATTCCAAGGTTACAACAAGGGGCGTGGGACCACCATGTGAAGTCCTAGCAGCTACAGAGTTGCATTGCTCACCGGTGTTGTCTGCCATCCTACAGGTGCACTCCAGCATGTAGACCCAGAAGCGCATGTACTCATCGGCTGTGGTCCCCTTTTTGGATGGCGCCCTGCACATCAGACAAGCAGCACCATAAGAGCAGCCCATGGTGACAGTGTGATGCTGTGCAGGAAGGCAGGAAAGCAGAGGAGTCCTCACTGAATGCTTGGCAATGTTTCCTGGAGCTTGATGCTGCTGAATCAGTACACACCTCAGGCGATAGAGCAAAATGGGCCGGCCGAGGCTATCAGCTTGTGACAGCAGCTCAAGCCTGCCGCCGCTTGCACAGGCCTTGACGTCATCCCAGTAGATGTTCTCCGGCTTGAAGCGGGCACGCCATTGCAACGTTCTCCGCAGTGCATAGGTTGCATTGTGGACGTTGTTGTTCCTTGCCACCAGAAACCTGCATAGGAGGCAGGAAAACTTTGTCGGATGGTAGGCTGGCATGAAAGTGTAGATATAAATACTACAAGGCCACGAGGACAAAGACACCAACATACCACAGTAGATCCAAGAAAAGCACAGGTGTCCATAAGCAGAGGATGTCTGAGCATCCCATGCCCAGGCTAGCCTTCGTACACCAATTCTGGGATATAGCTTGAATTCCAAATTATTTCAATGGTATGTTACAGGTCCATATTCCAAATGTGAGAACCCAAACACCAAGATGCAACAGATTGTAGTTTTGCGACGTCTAAATTCACCATCTGGGGCAGGCCTGAAGAGCGCAACTTAAAACAAATCTCAAGGGTGCAAACGTGTCTACAAACACCTAGGCAGGCTCTCACCTGGTCAGGCAGGCGTCCGATGCAAACATTTGCAGGGCGGGGTTGCCCTCGAGGAGCGTCTGCACATTTGCGCGAAGCTCGTCTGTGGGCTTCTGATCTGTCTTGTGCGAATGCGAAAACCACCCCATAATTACCTGCAATGGAAATAGAATGAATTCGCTTAAATTCACTGAAGGTGAATGCGGGATACTTCGGTTGCAGTGCAGGGGACCCCCCGCTCTCTTCCAGCACGTCTTGCACCGTCTGACTTGTGAGCCGTCCAGGCAGAGAAAGTGGCCAGATCGCGGCCCTTGAATCACATCGTCTGAATCTCGAGAGAAATTACAGCCAGTGTAAAACGGTCAGGAGCAGCTCCTCCAGTCGCTTCAGGCATGGTGGGGTGTTTTGGCTTGTCCCAGCCGCCAGGCGTCATCGCTTGAATGCGCTCACTCTGCATGCGCATGCACATGCATGCAAGCCTGCCTCCAATCAGATGGAGATGTAGTGCAAATACAAAACCGTCGACACATATCGTGAGAGCCTCTGGGAAGACGACACACGTTGCCGGAAAACAGGCCGACGTCAAAGTCTTGGTGCTGAAATACAGGTTGTGAATCGATGAGGACTCCTGCATGGACAGCAACAGTGCACGTCTGTCAACGATCGCTCTAATCATCCTTGCAATTGTAGCTTCAGCCAAGGGTGAAGCAGCCCCGCTAGGCGATTTTTTTCTCGGAAGCGCTTCGCCATATGGGGGCCAGCAGGCAGGGCTCTCGTTTCATGTTTATGTGCTGTGTGTGTGCTTCCAGATTGCAACCAGGCTTTCTGATGTTCTATACATGTCTATTGCATGGCTTTGCGTCTTTTACTAAAGGTGTCACTCCTGTGCAGGATGGTGTGGACCCTTCACAGCCCAGCGGCGCTCTTCTGAGGGGCTCCTGCGGTTATGGGGCATTCTCCAGAAAAACTTGGCCCTTCTGGAGTGTGGCCACAGCCTCTGCCTCCAACTTTGCCCTGCTTGGGAAGGGCAGCAGCGGCTGTGGAGCCTGCCTGCAAGTCAGCTGCTCTGGCAGCGTGAGATTTCCCTGCCCTGTGATGACAGAAAGGGCTTTCATGCCCTCTTGCCTGGCTGGCCTCAATCACCCCAGTGGGTCAATCCTCTCAAGCTCCAGATGTTCAGATCTCCACAAGACTGTTCTAGACGAGAGAAGTTGACCAAGGAGTACTTTCAGAGCATTCACCTAGACTCTGATCAAGACTGTGTCTCAGACTACTTGACAGAGAGTGCGCTAGTCACCGCATTGCACCTTTCAAATGTGCTGTTAGAAGTTTTGTAGGGTGCTGAGCTCTTGTTTCTGTGTGCAACAGAAGTGCGCACAGCGCCAGCAAAATTCAGCGCAACCGGTGGTGTTTGTGGGGGACATCTGCACCTCCTGCGCGCCGGGGCAGATCAGCGTGCATGCGGCCTTCTTCAACGACTCCATCGGCGACCCCAGCAGTGGCACCCTCCCAGTGCAGTTCCGCCAGGTGTGCACCTTCTAGCACATGAACATCCTTGCAGTTTATCATGTCAGAACAAGAAGATGGAATCTGGCCTATCGGGTTGGGATGCCTGGGCTGACAAGCAGGAACACCTTTTTGCTGAGCCTAGCCCTGCCACCACGCTGCTTGCGTCACAAGAGAGCAGCACTGTTTGCCGGCCGGCAAGGCTAAATGGCTGTGTTGCAAGGAGCTTGCCTGTCATGAAGCTGTGCAGGATGTTGGACCATTCAAGATGCAGTCCAAGCCTGCGCATGTCGCAGGTGATTTGATCCAGCATTGAGGTGGGCATGTGCGCGCAGGTGGAGTGCCAGCCGCCGAGGGGGATGGTGATGCGCGTGACAGACTACAGCGTCAGCGGGGACGGGTCCATCCGAGTGGTGCCCACACAGGTCGCAGGCACGGGGACACTTGACAGCGTCGAGCTGCGAGCAAGCGCTGGCGAGGTGTCTCATCGTTTCGTCCTGTGTTTTTGCCACCTCAAATTTTGAGACTCTTGCTCTGTCAGTCTGTGCTCCGCGCTTCAGCATGTCCCCTTCTGAAGTACAATCAGAGGACTCTGGACTACCAAGAATTGCTTTGAAGTCCTCTGGATATCCGATTGGCTCATACATGAGCAGAACTTTCCATCGTGCAGCTTTGATGTTGCGGCCCTTGCTTGGTCAAGTATGCCTGGTCATCTGCGGAAGACATGCATCTTCCTGAGAAGAGTGTATTGCTGGGAGCAGGGTGTGAGTGACAGGGCGCACGCCTGGCGGCCGATGAACAACAGCTTTGGCGCTGCCTGGGAGCTCTCTGACCTGTACCCACCCCCCTTTGACCTACGCCTGCGCGACAACGTTGGCCGCACCGTCATTGTCAAGTGCGACCGCACAGTCGCCCTTTTGCCATGCACGCATTGCTCAAGGAATAGTTTGGCAGTTCAGCCAATGCAAACCCCCAAGCTTGCAAGCGGGGGAGATTCCAGGCAATCATCTGGCACATGCTTGCAGAGGAGAATTGTTTCCTGGGACACTTGTGGCGCACCCCAGGGTTCGTCAGGTACAGTAGTAGTTTGTGCCATCAATGGGTATCCCAGAAATTTGCCACCTGCCTAGCACTTAGGGCACAATATGGGAAATGGTCCTGGGCAGACCGGAAGCCCATCCTAGATTCCAATAACTGCCAGGAGGAAACACTAGGATGTCAAAACTGTGCCAAAGCCGGCTTCGCTGACTTTCGGAATGCTCTGCAGCAATGCAATTCCGGAACCGGCCGTGGGCGATTACGCCACAGACGCGCAGTTCAGCACGGCGGATCGGCCGGGCGGCAGCAGCGAGGTCGCGCAAGGAACGCCCCTGCTGCCCCAGCCTGGCAGCGCCCTGGCGCCTGCACCCGCTCCCATGCAAGGTGCAAACTTTCTTGAACTCAGCAATTTATGGCATCAGAAATTGCCCCTGTGCCCAGGCTCTGCTTATGTCCCTACTTGTGTTGTCTGACGGCTTGATACTTCCTTGCTGCCTAGGCACAGGACTCACTAATTACTTGTGTCAAATTTGCGCTGTGCCCACGGCTCTGCGTATGCTGTTTTGTTGTTGTCTGACGCGGGATGACTTATTTGCTGCTTAGGCATAGGCATAGGGCTCTACTCCTGCTTTTGCTCGTCTTGTCTGATGCGGGATGACTTGTATATGCTTAGGCATAGGCATGGAGCTCTGCCTCATTGCTGTTTAAAATGAGGGAGGTCTACCAGCAAGGCATTGGAAGAGGCGGAAGCGGCAGGGGTGAGAATAAATGCCATATTGCATGCAGGACTGCTGTCGGCACCTGGGCCAGTGGCAGCAGCCGTCAGTCTGTTCAACACCTTCTCTTGGCGGTATCAGATGCCACCCCCTCCGGGGTCTGCAGCCGCTGCCAGGGCCCCAGATCTCCTCGTCAGTGGAACCTCCATTTCACTGCCGCCCTCCGCAGATGAAGTTTTTTTGGACTCCAATCTGCAGAGCCCAAGAGCTTCTCCTGGTGGGCCACCCATCCTGCTGAGGAGCCTTCCTTACCGGCCATGCTGCTGTTTCCAATATGTGTGCCCGGTACAATTCTTGAGCACTTTGGCCACCGTGCTAGAATCTGGCAACTTCAACGAGGGGTGGCTTACATGCAGCTTGTCTGCATGGGCACCCTGCCTTCAGGCAGGAACTCAGCGTGCTAGTAATATTGCCAACATGTGTGACTGTACAGATGGAGCCTCAGGAGACCCGTCGATCCAGCCATTTGAGATGGCGCATCGTCCACCCCTGGTGGGCCTGGTCAGGACCCCCTCGCCTGCCCCCCAGCTGATACAGCTGCCCTTCAGCAACTTTGTAATACCCAACGCCACAGGTGAGGCTCTTGCCCTGTCCTCCCTTGCTGCTCATGTGGCATTTGTGACTGTCTCACAGAGCCCCAGCCTCCTTTCATTCGCTCGAAAAATGGATGCTGGCAAGCAAAGGCTGCCCTTCATCGTTTGCTTGCCAGAGCATGCTCATGTGGTCGTCTCACAGAGCCCTGATTGCCTTCATGTGGTCAATAATTGCCGGTCTGAGAAGCAAAGGGTACCCTTCCTCTTCTGCATGCCTGAGCATGCTGAATGTGGGTGACATGAAGGAAGGAAGACTACTCATCATCCAGCCATGAACACCTTTTGCGCGCCCAGTGGACTCTTGTTACTTGTAGAGCAAAAAAAAAATGTAGATATATTCTTGCAACTGTCTTCTGCTCTTATGCAGCGCCCGCTCCCGGTCCGGCCAATGGGAAGACACAGGCACCCGCGTCAGACTGCCTCCCCAACAGCTATGCCGCTCTGCAGCAGCATGCGCAGTTCAGCACCTTCCTTGAGAACGCCAACAGCACAGGCATGCTGGCCTCCTTTGACTCTCCGCCATTCTTTGACAATGCCTCGCTGTGCATATAGAAGCAAGCGCAGTCCCTGTCATGGCATTGCAGACGCCCTGCTGCTCTTCTAAACAGGACATGTGGGTGTGTGTTGTCATCTGCCGTTGCATTCAGGAAACATGCAGAGGAACTTGCTGACCTTGCAGGTGTGTCATGGTGCAGGTCTGACCTCGTTTCTGATGAATGGCAACACCTCCCAGACGGTATTTGCACCCACCAACTCTGCGTGGAAGGGGCAGCCGGACACTCGCAGCAGCCGCGCACTCACCAACCTCATGCTCTTCCACATGGCCCTAGGTACATTCTCATCCTCACTCAAACAACTCTTGACAATCAATGCAGTGGTCTGTCTTGATGAGCCTGTCTCTAAATTTGGGCTTGTTCATTTGATATATGCCTACATGATGAACCTCGTCGTGTGGCAAGATTGGCATGTGCAGAGAAGTTTCTGGGCCCCTGAATTTGTGGCGCCTGCAATGAAAAGGGTATTCCTGCCTAGCTTTGGACTTGACTTGGCACGAGGCCTTTCTCTTTGGGCAATTTCAGGAAATCACGGCGTTCTTTGCATTGGGCGAGGCTGATGTCAACAAGAGATCAACCGATGGTCTCACACGCGGCGTTGCTGCTGGTGCGCAGGCAACAGGGACGTGTCAAGCTTTCACACAGTGGCAGCAGCTGGCGGCCAGGACTCAAAACTAGACTACAGTGGCGCAGTGCCGATGGACACTCTGCAAGGCAACTCAGTGTACATCCGGCCAAATGCAGACAAAGGGGGGCTGCTGGTGGGTGACTCAGCGCGCGCAGCTGGCACGCCCACAAATTTCGCGCAGGCCACCTGCTCTGGCAGTGTCTATGGACTGGACATTGTGCTGTCGCCGCCCACATGAACTTTTTAGATGCTCTTTGTTGTTGTACTGGCACATCTGGGATAGGGATCACTCTGAATTCAGCATCTGATGGTTCAATCAGATCAGACTTATTTGTATTTGTTGTAGCATTCTCCTGTTGCCCCAGCTGCTCCTGAGCATCTCTTGTGAAACATAGTTGAAATGCGTTCTGTGAAACCGCAATGCAATGCACATTCTTTGTGGCAGAACCTCTTCAGAGTCCTCATATTCTAGATCTACTAAAAGTATGCCTAGTAGGTACTTATGTACAATTGTCCCAGGAAATGCTATAGTCCCCGCTTCATGCGTATAAGTTGTACTGCTGCAAGTAAAGGATTGTCCATGGCTGAGCGCATGCATCCACACACTTACACACATGCAGATCAAGAGCGATGTGGCAGCCCGTACAACGCCCAACTGATGTAGAAATGGGTATTGCACGAGGCACATGTATGCAAATTTAGAGATGGACGCTGCATGGTGCGCTTGCAAAACACCAATTTGGCGCAGTGTCAATGACACGCAATGTGTAGATCCTTATGCAAAATGAATTCCAGTGGAAATTTCCACTCTTTGCAGCCAAATGCAGTAATTATGTTCATGCGAGACTTGCTGTTAAGCTGCCGTTACACGCTTGACTTTATTCTTTGGAAAATGGAACGCTTTGACTTCATTCATAAAATTGGATGGGAGGCAGGCAGCTCTCTGCTTATCTAAAAAGCAACAGCGTATGTCCGCAACAAGTGGTCAACACAAGAATAAGCAGCTGCACCCTCCATACTGCGGTCAAGCATTATTTAAACCGACACTAATCCAACATGAAGTCATGACAACTCGTCTTCATCATCACATTTTATGCCTGTATGCAATACCAGACTCCCGAAGAAGACAAGGCATACAGACACCACAGGGGCAGTCAACGAAGTTCATGCCATAACCCTGTGTGCAGCAACTGACGACGCTGCAAGTCAGGGAATCCTCCTGTAATCTAGTTTTGCAACACCTCTGCTCCTTGTCCCAGGCACGTATCAAATTCAAAAGGGATGGCCCTTCCAGAGAGGCATACCTGAAACAGGCATTTGGGACTTCTTTTGCGAACCATGCATGATCGTCAAAGACTAGCCCCATAACCTCTGAGCTAACAAAGAAGACCTCACGCCAAGACACTCTCGCCGGCACCTTCAGGTACGAGCTTTCACTGCCAAGGTAGAGCCTCTGCACTTGAGAAAGACCTTCAAGAGAGATATAAATATCTGGAGTTCCCATTTCAAACACCATGATGTCTACTGTTGTAAGATTCTGCATCTTGGGAAAGTAAGTGGGGATTAGATCATGGATCTGCAGGCTGTTGTCCTCAAAGCAGAATGTCCTCACACTGTTAAACGCCTTATCCCATGCGTCCCCCCTAATCTCAAAATTTAGAAGGCCTTTTAGATGCATAGTGCAATTCTCAGGCAGGTTGATGCCAGCTGGGCAGATGCCTTCCAAAGCAACGGCACATAAGAAGCGCATGCTATCTAGCTGCAACAGGGGTGCCTCTAGCAACGCATTTGGTGTACGTAGCGACAAGGTTTCCAGGCTGTTTGCATTTGGAAGTGCTGCAAACACAATGCCTGGGTCGATGTCTCCCCCAAGTGACAAGACCAGATGCTTGACATGCACCAAAGGCGGGAACCAGGGGAGCTTGCCAAAGCAAGCTGACAGCACTGTCAGCTTTGGTGCACCAGCCACCAGGTGCGAAAATGACATCAAGTGTGCCACTGCCGCGTCTGCAGTCGCGCGGGAGCGCCCAATGACCTCCAATTGCTCCAGACAAGTCATCGTACTTAAGGCTTGCCTCGTGGCAACAGCAAGCCGTTGCCAGTCATCTACATCCAGACGCAATGCATGTGCACTGCTCAGCCTCTTGCTGACCCATGCCACACCTGGACATTGGCAAAAACATAGTATAACTGCAGTAACTTGCCCCGTATTGAGGAGCCAGATACTCTTTGTAAGGCTCGAACGGTCAGTGTCACAGTCAGCACCTCGAACAGATAAAGAAATATGCTGCAGACCACCACGCATGAGACACACCTGCTTGCGGGAGTTCTGATGGGATAGCAATGGTGCGCAGCTGCAGGTTGAAAGTCATGCGACAGATTCCTGATGCCTTGGCCCAGTCTGTGAGCGACAGGCGGCTGGCAATATGCGCCCATACTGCCTCTGGCAAGTCCATTGAGCTGGCACATTGTTTGGCAATTGACCCTCTCTGTCGTCTGGGTGGCATCCTACAGAGACGCAGCGATGGCTCAGAGACTATAAAGTTCCTCTTGCTATACATAGACGCCCGTGTTTGTTGATCACATGCGAACTTCCGTATTGTCATATAATTTGTAGGTTGCTTCATGTTGCTTCACACAGGAAATCTCAAATGGCGAAGGACTGACCTTGTTGACGCTGTTGAGCTCCTCGAAAGTAATAACACTTGGCAAAGTATGTCTCACCAGTCTTGCGCGCTATAATCGTCTTCAAAGTTGTCTGGAGTTCGCCTGATTGCTTGCAGGGGGCATCTGGATGAAAAGAGAATTAAGTCCGTCTATGGTCAGTCAATCTTTTTCAAAGCCCCTGTGTCGATCGATGCACGATGACGGAATTCTGTGAATGCACGATCATCAACATGCGAAGGCGATGTGTCAACGTTCCTACAAGTTGGTTAGTGCCATTAGTTGGTTGGTAATCGTGCAAGGCGTGCTGCGCGACCTGTTCAGGCACGTCATGGCTGGGATTGTAGACTGCCCTTCTTGGACAAGAAATTCTTTCTCATTGCATTTGAACCTCTGAAGAGCTCAAAGACGCATAGAAAGCAATACATATGTCACTTTAAATTTAGCCCTACCTGAGCCGAGGATTTCAGCGGTCTGTACTGTAGAAATCGACGCTCATGTCCCTTGTTGAAAACTGATCTGGGGCTTTTTGGAGAATCAAAATATTGATTGATTGATATCTTTCGAGAGAATAGATGGTTTCAAAACAAAACACCGCAAAGATCGCTGCTGCGAGCTTTGCGACAGGAATAGTGGTGGGTTGGTGCCTGCATCGTTTTGCCAGGAGGGTGAGGTTGCCTCCCCAAGACAGATCAATCGCCTTGTTTTGGTCTTTATGTCTTGAGTCAAAGTTATAAGAATGCTTGTTCGCTTTGTTTTTAAAGATGGGCATCATCCCCTTGACGAAATGTGTCCAACAGCACTCATATTCTGACACCTCATCTTGATCTGAAGAGCCCATCGTGTTGTTACCACAGGCTCTGAACAAGATCTATCGCAGAGCTAAAGACAATCTCTGACAGGAGACATGCCAAAGGAGAAATATTGGGCGGAAATCATGTTGCACTCCATTCTGGGTCTTTGGAAAGCAGCAAGCTCATGGGATCTGTGAGGAGTCTCAAGAAATTGATATTGTACCATTCCTGGCCTTCTCGTTGATTTGCGCTTCTATTTGCATTCTATCAGAACAGTCTGCACTTTATTGCTTGTTTTGTATACGCTCTGTGATGCGTCCAGCTGTGCAATGTGCCTAGCTGGTCAGGCCTTCGTCACATGCTGTTCATGGTGATGTTCAGATCCAGGGGCTCATTTTTTCATGACAAGTGCAGCGCTCTATCGGCCTGTGCTTGTCATTTCAGCTTCGCTATTTCAATTGCTGACTATCTCTGCTCTGGGCTTGGAAGGTCTGTAGCATTAGGAAAACTTTGCCTCCATCCCTAGAGTGTTGCCGGCGGCCGCACAATTGACTGGTGCTACCATAATTATTTGTCAGTTCTGGCCAATCGACCGTGGGTGGATGTGCCTTTGTGAAGCCATCAAGTCAAGAGTGGAAAGCAAGACATGCAAGGCATAAGCTGCTAACGTATTGATGTTTCATTGAAATGTGTGCACCCAGTAAATGTCCCTCTGCATTACACTTGTGCGCTCACACACCTTCAAAGTGAGCCAGCGGTTGCATCAGCAAAGATGCTGGAAACATTTTGCTATTGGTCCTTTCATCCTTTAGCGCCACTGTAGAAAGCGACATGGATGGTTATTGTACATGCTGGCAAATTTGGCATTGTCAGGCTCCAGCAAATCGCACACTGCAGGCCGCCTTAGCTTTGGCACCTGCCATGAAATGGTGGCCTCGCCAGCTCTTCTGACTTCCTGCACCCATGCAAAAATCCGCACTACTGCTTTTGCATTCACTTTTGTGAATAGGACATGCAGGGTCCAAACCCTTCACACCACTCTAGATCTTGAATTGCATGGCCACCAGCAGAGAGTTGAAATCAGCGCAGTTGAACAGGAGTATGCAGGGCTTATCAGCATAGCCATCCACATGAGGGTGCCTCTACATCAGCATTTATAAACCTTGCAAGCATGTGGTTCTCTCAGCTTTGCATTGTTCTGCTCACCAGGGGCTGCGGCTGAATGTAGAGCCAGCGGGAGGCCTGAAACTGATGGGGATTCTCCCAGGACCCCCCGCTGCAGCACCATTGCAATCCATGTGTGATACTCTGCACACATGACAGCCATGTCATTTCCACGCAGTCGCAACCCCCAACCAAGTCACCTGCATCTGTCATGCTTTGCAGTAATGGCAACCAAGAGACTGAGTGCCTGCCGCTGGGCACTTAAAAAACATCGCACTGAATCGTGGGGCATCTGACCTTGAAGAGCCTGTTGAAGTGCTCCGTTTTGTTGGCGTCTGCTGATCCGCCAAATGCTCCAGGCTGGAAGCCTTGCCAGTCAAGGATAGCTACATCGCGCGCCCACCCCAAAACATCCTGCAAGGCTCAGCTGCCATCAGTGATGCCAAATCCCTGCCATTCTTAGCCCCGTTAAAACCACTGTTGGGGCCCTGTCATACCCTGACTGCTTTTAGCTGCTGCAATAAAGCACCGCACCGGGCCCGGCTGGCGGGGTGCGGTATAAATACTGATCACCGCGCCCACGGTTGATTGGGTCTTGCTTGGATCTGGTGAATCCAACAAGGGGTAGGGTTGAGGCAGCCTTTAAGTGCGGCTTGTCTGCAGGACGTACCTTGCCTTTTGGCAGGGAAAGCGTGTAAATATAATAATACTAGTAATGATAACAATAAAGCACAGGATCAAAGGAGAAGGGTTCTATTCGACGCCCACCTGAAGCTTCTCAGCCTGTGTCCCCAGATACAAGGCGTGAGTAAAATTCGGAGAAGGATGCTCCAGTCCAAAGGACAAAGTCTCCCAGTCCAGGAGAGTGACTGCGTCTCGCGATTCAAGAACATCCCTGGGAAGCTGCATCACACACATTGCCTGGCTTCAGGAATCAACTTCACATGGACCGTCCAACCCATGGCTTCTGGAGAGCCCACATTGCTGAATGCTTGGCTCCTACTCTCCACCCTGGGCAATGCCCCAGAGGGTTTCAAGGTTATATGTATTGTCAGGCACAAGGAATCTAAACTGGCCCCGGTGGCGGGGGCCGGTAGAAGTACTGAGCACCGTTGCCCAGGTTGATTGGATCTTGCTTGGACCTGGCGAGTCCATCAAGGGGTGGGATTTGTGGCAGACTTTACTGGTGGCGGAAGCACCTTACTCTGGCAGGAGCAGCGATAAATAACAATAACCTGAGCCTCTATCAGCCTCAGGTGGTTCCTTAACAGGTCTCTTAAACGTAAAACTAACAACAATAATAGTAATAATTTAGAGCAGACAGGTGGATGGGCAGGCTTTAATACCTGGGACAGGAAGCTGGAGTGGCGTAGCTGCAGCTGGCTATGTTCGAGGCTCCGCATGTTGATGTACCAGTCAGCCGGGCATCTGAAGGGAAGCTGAAGGTCGCTGCCGACAGTCGCGCATTTCTCTAGCACCGCCGCATTGTGGTCGATGTCGCACCAGGCCAGAAACTGGGGCAGGATCAGCGTCCTGTTCAGGAACCTGCATGCATGCATTCTTTCTTAGTAAGAACGTGACTTCCGTCTCATCTCTGCCTGCTGTGCCACGCGAGGTAGCCCGACAATTACACTATAAGGCAGTCGTGCATTGCATGCATTGCCCTTGTTTTGCAGCAGTGATGAAGGACTGAAACACCTCATGATTAAGCTGACTCACAGTCGAGGACACATGCAGTCCCTCCAATTTAACATTGACGTGCATAGCACCATGCTGTTGCTTTCTTCCAAGCTTGACAATTCCGGAGAATCCCTCACCAGGCAATGGCAAGGGCGTCCCTCAGAGCTGCGACCTGGTAGGCTGCGCCAAGCAGGTGCTTCTTCAGGGGCACCATCGGGCGCTCAGCCCCCTCCAGTCCTTCCAGGAACGCGGCCACATTGTTGTCATATGTCATAAACTGGCGGTGAGGAGAGGTGTAATCGTCTGAATTCACCAGCCACCAATTCATCTCCCTGCGCACAGATGCACTTCATCAACGTAACTCAAGACCTCAGCGTGTTATCTCAGTCAAGCGCAGAGTTGTAACAAAGACAGCAGGGTTTGACAGCCACTGGTAATATCTGAAAAGCAGTCACTGCCGAGCCCTCCTTAGGGGCTGGCATTTAAATTTGAAGACCCCTGTCAACCTCTGAGGGAATATTTCTGGTTGATGTGTGGACATTGACAAATCGCGTTTTGCAGCGGAAAGGTTCGCACCGGAAGCGCATTCGCTTGCCGGGCAGTCCAAAACGATTGAATGTTGCGTGGACCACATATGGGGACACTCCATGCCTGCACAGGACAGCCACAAGAGGGCGATGAGATTTACACAAGTCACGATGTGACAAAATGAAATAATGCCATGCAAGAAAGGCTTGACAGCTGTCGCTGACACACTGCATCAAGCCAGACCCCTACGTGACTAAATGTGAGGGGAGTGCTATAGACGCATGAGTACATACTGTGCACTTCTGCACTGAGCATTATTACTATGACACATTTCGCAGTTCTTAGGCAACTAGGATCTCGGTACGTCCAGTAACACGTGCATCAGATTGCAATGAGCAGATGCACTGAGCATACGTGGGTATAATCTGCAGATACGGTCAAGCAGGAGGAAGTCAGGAGGAAGTAAAAAGTTTGTCACCTCTCAGGCAGGTGCTGCTCAAAGGCTACATGGCCGTTGACCGCCGCCAAGACAGGCAGTGGCAGGACCTTTATTGTCCGGTCAGCAAGCCACACGAGCCGCCCACCTTCCCTTACACTTTGGACTACGTTACCCGTGCCTTCCTGCATGCCATGCAGGACTCCTGATGACTCACTCTTTCTTGCATGCATGCCCTGTTCTTACGAGGTGCCTGGCTTATTTGGCTTCAGGGAAAGCTGACTCCTATTCAGCGCTCTCTTTGTCCAGCATTGATCTCAGCATGGCTGATTACAGCACGCACTCACAAGAACAGAGAACTTATATGATTATCTTGGAGTCTACAGGGCAATTCACCTGAGGGGCTTACCTGCATGATGAGGTTGAGGGCAAGCTGATCTGTCACAGTCCAATTGGCGCCAGAGCTGGAGATGTGCCTGGCTTTTGCAGGATCCAGCAAATACGACCGCCAGCGCTGCAAGAATCTCTTGGCGGCAGGCCTGCCCACACCCACGGTAGGATTCCATAAAGATTGCTCCTAAGGATACTTACACTCATCAGCACAGAAATATACCTGTAAACATCAATGATATATGGTTGTGACCTGTTTCTGAAGGCAATGATGCCAGAATTGAGCGCCAGGCGGTCCATAGTTGACCCTGCATGGAAGCAAGCACTATGTCAGCTGCTGGCGGCTCGCATGAGCAATGCAATGGAGCCCCATTTACAGGACGTGGATTTTTTTCTTCTTGCAGTACCCATAATGGTTTCATTGCAACAGGGCTCATACAGAAGGTCTTGGGTCCTCATTGCTCTGAGATTTCTTAAGGACTGATGGGAATGGGGTACAGCATGCATCGTGTAGGATGTGACGTGGATCATCTTTTATTATAATTAGTATTACTCGCCTTTCCTGCCGAAAGGCATGGTACGTCCTGCAGACAAGCTGCAGTCAAAGGCTGCCACAATCCTACCCCTTGTTGGACTCGCCAGATCCAAGCAAGACCCAATCAACCGTGGGCACGGTGCTCAGTGTTTGTACCGCCCCCCGCCAGCCGGGGCCAAGATCGTCTTTACACACCTGGTAAATGGCCGCAGCGGCTGACATTGACAGGCTCCCCTCTCAAGGCCTTCTCTTCTGCCTGTATAGCAGGTGCACCCCTCGGGCACTCATTTGCAGAATCAAAGTCCATGCCAGCAGTAATGCAAATTGAATTTATCGAAGATGACTGGAGTCAGGTGCCTGGGGAAAGACTTGCCTCATGCGATAGACAATCGGTAGAGATGAACATATCAGCATTTGGTTCACTTTGAAAGAATCCTGCGATGTCCATGAAATTGAACATTCATCTTGGCGCCACCGCAGCATGCACAGTCTGAAGCTTGTGTGGTGCTGATTCAGGAAAAACAGGGGTGCTTAACAGAATGCAAGGGGAGAATAGAGCACACCTACAGGGTCCCTCAGCCAGACAGTATCAGTGTCAGACAGCACAATGGTGGACAGGTTGAATCGCTCAAAGAATTGCAGTACAATGGCCGGCTTCATGGCTCCCATCTTTCTAAATACTTTCATGTCCTCTCGGAAATTCCTGCACACCAGTTACTTCTCTGTCAAGCTTGCATGTAGGAATTTCTTTGCAAGCAGTCATGCGCGTCTGAACCAGGTTCAAGCCCTTCAGGAAATTGAAGGACTTTGACAGCATCCTCTGAGGCCTGTTGCCACAGAACACTCAGTCACAGCACCCATGCACAGATGCAAACACAGCGCCAAGACACGGTGGTGCAAATTTCTTTGCCTGTACCTTGAAGCAAGGCTCACACTCCAGGGCATGCTGTTGATGCCGTGTTTGGCGCAAAGCTGTGTTGTTGCTTCATCCAGGGCAATGACCACATAAAGCAGCCCCAGCTTCTGATGGTGTTCTGCCCAGTTGCGCATTAGCAGCGCATAGCCTTCATTGGTAAATGTTACGTGCAGTGGTAGACCTGTCCTCATTGCCTGCTGTACCTGATAAGAGATATGGAAAAGGATTCACAGCTCTTCCCTATGCTGTGGTCTAGGATATGTTCCTGCCAGAGGCAAGGTGCGTCTGCAGACATGCTGCAGGTGAAGGCTGTACCACAAATTCTACCCCTTGATAAACTCGCATGCAAAATCAGATGAACCGTGAGCACGGTACTCGGTATTTCTATCGGCCCCCGCCAGCTGGGGCCAGACATCACAAACAGAGGTCAAAGAGGCTGCAATGAAGTCCATTGCTGTGTTCTTGGAATACCTCCGGAAGAGGTACATGTGCAAGTAATTTTTGAGCAATTCAAAGGGGATGTACATCGTTTGGTGTGCCCTGCATGGCCTTCTGCTGGGCGGATGCTATGGGGTTCAAATTTGCCCTTGCCTCTATCGTTGGCAGAGCCAATTTTATATTGAAGGCAGTCTCCACCCATTGGGATTGGGGTAGCTGCCGATCCTCCTCCATCCTGAATATTTCACTAAGGATCAGATATTTTCTGCAACCGTTTGGCAGATCAAAATTACTGTTATTATTATTTGAGGGATTTTCTGACAGAGGCAAGGTGCGTCTGCAGACAAGCTGCAGGTGAAGGCTGCCAAATTCCCACCCCTTCTTTGGGGTCTGCCAAATCCAAGCAAGACCCAACCAACCGTGGGCACTCTCCTAGTATTAATACCGCCCCACGCCAGCCGGGGCACAGATCAAATCTGCTTTGCTTTAAAGTGCTCTGATCAAAAAGCAAAACAAGGAGGGGCTTGTGGACAGGAGGCTCTTACTGTCGCAGGGAGAAGTTGTTCCAGACGTTGAGAATGATGACCACAAAGATGAGGAGGCTGGCTGAACAGAACAGGAACAGAGCGGCATCGTGCCATGCCCAAGCCCTCACGCGGGCGGCTGTAGGTTGGGGTCTGGTTGCAAGCTGTCTGCTAAGGACATTGTTTGTTGTTTGCATCAGAATCTCAGAGGGCCCCAGCAACAACTAGCTCGCTGCTCCAAGACGTTGAAGTTCTCCAATCGCGTAAAGCTTCAATCCCTTGAGGAATTTCAAGCCCTAAACTCTGCTAAGACAGCAGTGCTATCCATTTGCGTAAAAATAATAAATAAATGAGATCTAGCCAAGCGATATGCTCAAAGTCATTTATGTGATACAAAAGGGCATCCTGTCTATAGTATTGTAGGTTGCAGGAGAAGAAAGCAACGAGTGCTTCGAGCCCCCAATCTTGGCCGTGACCAACTTTTCTTGGACGAGCCATCAAGCGACAGGTGCCGAGGAGGCGATGCAGCGCGAAAGGTGCAATCGCTCTGGACTGTAGCGCATTTTTTTCTTGTCACGTCAAACGATTCAAAATTGTTTCTCAGTGTCCGCTTCTGGCCTCTCTATAAAATTAAAAATGAACAGGAAATGCATGTGACGTCAGCAAACGGTCATCTCACAGACATTGATTCTGTCCTCAAAATATAGATAAATTTATGGAACATCTCATAATTGAAAGATCTGATGTAGCTGTGCATGTGGACATCACGAGCATCGCCAGATGGTAGTGTTCTAATCGAAATATACCAGATGGAGATAGCACCATCAGATGGAGGAGCCACCTCAGCTCTAGCATTCTGGTCCTCTGTCCTCAGATAAGTGATAAAGGCTCCAAGAAACAGATTTCAATACAATGGACACACTGGCGGCAGCACGGATGGAATTAGCTCAACCATCCCCCTCTGTGAAGCATGACTTTCAGACGAGCCTTCAAATCCAGGTAACTGACGCGAGATCCTAGTCTCTTAAGTCATTCAGCTTGCAAAAAATATCAATGAAGTTTCCAGCTGGACAATCGGACAGACTAGCAAGTTGCGCAGGCCTAGGAGAAGCACATCACTTTGGATCAAGAGCTCTTTGTTCTCGTGCAGGACCTTATCAGGCAGGGGGAGGCTGCATTAATCATTCTTTACAAGCTCACCTCTCCCGCAGGGGAGAACCAGTCGATGAAAGCTTCGAAACAGGTCGAGCAAGTACTGTGAGATGGATGAACTTTCTGCACAGAATCTCAGGAGATTTTAGCTTATACAATGCACACGTATTTATTCAAGCCAACAAGGTTGTTTTGCATCGCAGGTGATGGTTAATGATTCGAGATCAGATTACGAGACAGCCTCCTGCACTCAGGTTGTCAGCGACTTCTGCACAGCAGCAGCAAGCGGCTTGCAATTACTCTTTGCAGGCGCTCTGGCTCCAGATGCCACCACTGTCAGACTCTGTGCAGAGACCCAACGGTCCGCCAATTGCTCAATCCGCTGCACTGCCAATTGCTGATCCTGTCCAGCACTTTTGCTGTCCCTCGACTTGGCTTCAATTGAATTTTTAGTCCCTGACACTGCAATCCGTGCGATGACTAGTCAACCTTGCCTGCCTCAGAGGTGTTGCGTGTACATTTTACGTTCTTGACGCTGTGCATTGTAAATTCTTGGGTGATTGCTGCAGGGATGTACTGAGGCTGCTAGATCTGATCCATGTCATCGACTGCCTGAAGCAGAGCCTGTGCAAGGAACCTTCAAAGGCAGAGCTTGAGGAGTCAGCAGCTGCTACTGACAAAGCCAGCGCACACCAAAATCCCTCAACAGCTATGACGCCAAAAATTGGACTTCAGCATGCGTCATCCAGTCAACCACTCCCCGATGACGTCGGCCCCTCCAAGGAAGCAGCTGTCAGCCTTTTAGATCAGCAGTCGATCTCCAGTGGAGCAGCAGCTGCACAGCAGAGCAGCGCTACAGGGCCAGAGAAAGGGAGTGGTTACCCCCTGGGCAGCTCGGAAGTCTGGGGTGCTCTGTGGGGAGCTCTGCGGCTGGTGTGCAGGAAGGTGGCGGCTGTGCCAAACCAGCAGCGGGTGTCTGCCTGTCTGGCTATCCATGCGCAGCACACCCTCTCCGCCTTCAACAGAGTAACATTTTCTTCAACTCACCTTGCACTGGTAGCTGGAAAAAGCTTCTGTTGTTGTGAGTTTCCTGCAGCAGTGCAGCCATGTCCGTATTCAGGGATGCAAATATCTCGCATGGTGGGCCCAAGTTCCAAGGATGCATGGCTGGTGCAGGGTGCGGTGGTCCTGCTGCCTGAGGAGCGACTGGCGCTGCTGCACGCTTTGCCTGCTGCCCTCTTCCTGCTATTTTCCGCAGAGGAGTCTGAAGCACAGGTAATCTGCCGGACCTCACTGGCCACGACTGCAGGATGTACGAGCGTATGGCTTTTGCGGCTCTGAGGCATGTTTGGTATGTGGCAGTATATGCAACGTGCACATGATAGCAGCAAACAACGTGCCGCTGAGAATGTTTTATTTGCATTTGACCAGGCGTTGGAGGCTATCGGAGGTCCCAAGGCGCTGCTGAAATGCCTGCAGCTGCTGCGCGCTAAACCTGTCGTCTGTGCATTTGGAGAGCGGCCCATGTCATTACTGGCCCTTCTGCAGGCTTCTCCCTACTTCTCAAACCTAGGTGTGATCTTCAGACATTTGCTTGACCTGCAGTTGGACCACTGTGAAGCTGCTACTAAATATGCATCCCTAGGTATGGTCTTCTAATCCATGGTACTGCAGCGGTGTGAAAGCTGTAATGGAACATGCAGGTCTCACTGGATTCATGCTGTATTTTTAACAGGTGCAGAGCTTGGCAAGGACTGGGCGCTGATTGCCCCAGAGGATCTCCAAGGGAAGCAGCTGGCAGCAGTAGAGAGCTCATTTGGTATGAGCAGAGCAGTGGAAGGTGTCAAAGCCTTGCATGCAGCCTTATCTGCGCACTTGACATCCCTGGCCATTCGCATGCATGAGCTTGGCGCCAGGCAGAGACCTGTTCCGCTCAAGGCAAGCTGCCAAAGCCATGCCTGAATAAACAGGCAGCGGTTACATTAATCTCATAGTTTATACCATGACCTGAAGATGCATGTTCTTATCAGTGCCTCCCCAATGAGCTGCTTTCAATGCCATTCCATCTTCTTCAAAAGTCTTGGTGGCTTCACATGCAGGTGGCTGCAGAGGCAATGAGCTGGACAGAGGCGTGTTTGAAAAGCCTCAGCAGCTGGGCGGCAATACTGCTTGACTGGCACTGCTGGCGCAGTTTCTTGATGCATGCCGACGGCCCGGTCCACGAAGACAACAGGTGTTCCTCCCCTGCCTTTCCCCCTTACTTCCTCCCATAGTCTTGAAAATCCCAGGAAAGCTCTGCCAATCCCGAGGTAGACCGGCGCACTACATTGTGTATGGACAGCTGCATGGCTCGCATGTAGCATTTGCTTGCTTTACATGCAATCTCAAAAGTAGATCTGGCACATGTGGCAGGGAACCGCAGAGTGCAATGGAGCTGCGAGCGATGCTGGAGATCATGGCCTGCCTGCAAGGGCTGGCAGGGCAGCTGCTCGGGGAGCAGGCCTGGCTGGCGCCGCTGCTGCAACAGGCAGTGCGCGCGCAGGCACAGAATGTTGCTGACCTCCTCAGTGCAGCCATCGAGAAGCCGTCTCTGCCACGCAAGGTGCCCTTTCAGCTCCTTCTAATATCTGAGCCTGACCTGATGCCGCACCTCTTGTCTAAGTTGTGAACTGGTGCCCGGGAATCCTTTTGCAGTGCTCGACCTCGTATCTTGACTGACTAGCTGCTGCTGCTGCCACCTCAGCCATGCAGCACCTGCGCACAGCCCTTTACTGCAAATCATTGAGCTCTTCCTGCATCACAATGCGAACAGAGTTTAAGTATAAAATTTATCCAGAACTCATCAGGAATGCTAAAGAAATACAAATGATGATGATTTTTTTCCCGCAGGTGCTGGATGCAGCGGATGCCGTGAGGGCGGCAATCATCGGCTGGTCGGGCGCGGCGCTGCAGGGGCGGCCGCAGCTGCCGGAGCACCGGAGCTCGCGCCTACGCGGCCTGGCCGCCTCCGTCATGCGCGCGTCCCGGCAGCGACCCTCGCTGCTTGAGCTCGCTGCCGGAGGCTCCTCATCCACTGCACATCTCCAAGGTGCTCATTCATCTTGGACTCCCGTATTGTATTGTGCTGTGTCTTGTGTCTCATGTCCCTGGTCCATATCAGGTTTATTGATACACCATATGGCTTCATGCATTGCAAAGATAACTTTTTTTGTTTTCTAGATATCATTTTTTTCATTGTACTACGATATTCTCTTTTCCAATGTGTGTGTTTTTAACAGGCTACATTATTTAAAACACTGAAGTGATGCCTGCTGGTATCAAGTTATTGTGTCAGCAATTCTGGAGATCTTGAAGGCACCTTTTCGACCACCTTCGCCAAGCATACATGTGCCTCCAAGCATACCTGTACCTTTTCGACCAGCTTTGCCAAGCATTTTCATTGAGATAGCAAAATCATGGGCAACGTCTGACCAAAGTATTTGTTGCAGGGGCAGGAGAGGGCATTCAGTATGGCGTGGGAGCGGCAGGGCCGACAGATCTGCAGCGGCACATGCTGGTGTGCGCACTTGAGGCGCTGATGAAAGAGGCGCAGCCGTCAGGCATGGGCGGCTTGATCAGGCAGGGGCCCCTGGGGGACAGCCTCACCAGGGAGCTGCATGCTCTGCATGCTAGTGTGCTCCACTGGCCTCACCTGCTGGACCTGCCTTCCTCTGTCAAGCAGGTCCGGCCCTCTCATATATATGCATTTTAAGGACTACACAGGAAAGTTGAAAGTGGGTGCATGTTTGCGGCCACTGCCTTCGAACCCCTGTGAGCTCTGTAAGGTGTTGTGGTGGGTCCTGTGATCAGAGGACTTCCTTTTCAGGGTCATCCCCTGCCCTGTGGTTTCTGCTGACTTTAGAGACACAGTGTGACCTGTAGATGGGGCAGTATGGGCTGAAGGTTGTATGTCGTATTTCTGCTTTGGCAATGCTTTAGATATGCTTTGGCCCGGCCAAAGGGTCATGGAGACATTGGAAAACCATTTGATTGGCAGTGTGTCTGTAGCGCAGCCGCAAAATGGCAAATCTGAGGAAATTTTCTCCAAAAGGAGCGCGCTATTGTGGGTGCAGGCCTCTTCAATGGCTTCGCTTGGTCTGCAGCAGTGCCACAGCCCTGCACCATCCCTTACTGGAGCTGGCAGAACTGGCACCCCACTGCCATTGCAGCTGATCCGCCATGCATTAGCCTCCGTGAACAGCAGCTTTCCTGCTGAGCACTGCTTGCTGCCTTTGGCACTGTACAACCAGACTGCCACTCTCTGCAAGGAGCGCCTGTGCTGCGAGCAGATGTCAGATGCAGCAGCGGCTGCAGCCGATGCTGCCTTCGAAGAGCTGCTGAACCTGCTTTCTGACGCGGTAAGACAACCTTTTAGCGCCCAATTCAAGATTTCTATAATTATAACGACCAAGTCTGTACTTAAATTCCAATATAAATACCAAGCAGGTGTGAAATTCCAAGCTTTGCATGCATTGTTTGGTCAAAAAGATTTGGTGTTTCTTTCGTGCAAGCAACATCTAATGATACCTGCAATGCTTTCAACACTAGATGTCGTTCTTCTGATGCATGCAACACTAAACTTATTCTCATTGAATGCTTGCAACAACTGATTTTATTCGTCTGGTGCATGCAACAACAGGTGTTCAACCATGCCAAGAAGACAGCAGCAGCATCTCTCAGCAGCCCACACGATCTCACCCACAACACAGCGACGGCAATTCCAACGGACGTTTTTCAGGCCTTGCTGCGGCGGCCGGGCATCCAGCTGCCGATCGGCGTCGTCAGCCTTCGTGCAGATCTCGCGCCAAAACTGGCGCTGCTGCTGGCGTCCGATGCTGCCGTCCTTGTCGAGCGCCTGTCGGGCTCCTGCGCGGCCCTCCCTGATCTGGAACACCAGATTCAGGTGTGCTGCACTTTCTTGATTCTGCATTTTATTCTGTAAGATGATGAGCAGACTGCGACAAAGTGATTGATTAAGAAGACCATGCATGAGGCATTTGCTGTGCATCATGCGGGAAACTGCTCTGTTGTGCATTTCAAGCAGACCTACAACTCTGTCAATCTGGGCCTTTGCATGGCTGCAGCAATCTGTACAGGTAAGAAACTTTCAGAGCAGCACGTTGCCTCATAATTCAGGAGTGATAAAGTCCAGAGGAGTGAGAATGGGCATTGATTGCCTTCCTTTGCTGACTGTTTAGGTGCTGGAGATAGCTCACAGGGATCTGGCAGCTTCCTTGGCGCTGCCACCCTGGTCTGCCATTTGGCATCACCCCTATAAACAGCGACAGCAGGATGGCTGTGAAGCAGATCAGCCACTGCCATATCCCTCAGTAATCACAGAGCGCGCCACAGACGCCATCCTCCGGCTCATCACCTCCCAGGACTGCAGGTTTGAGAGCACGCGCAGCTGCCTCTCATCAGGAGCCGCCCATCATTTACAGGCTCCACAGAAAGCTGTGGCGCACTCAGCATCGGCCACCAGCACACCAAGAGAGATGGGTGCTTTTGGAGACCAGCAAGGCAGTGGGAAGGGTGCAACTCTGGAGCCTGCAGCAAGCAGCAATAGAATAAATGATGAAGAGAAGAGAGCAGCGGGTGAGGCGCACGCAGATACACTTGGGGACGCTGAGCTGGCAGCCTTCATGCGACTGACTGGTGAGGCATAAATCCCTTAGCGCAACGTTCTCAACGCTGCTGACCTTCTTACGGACTAACAAGAGTGCGTTGACTGTGCTACCTGACTAGCTGATGAGCTCATCGTACATGCAGTACACTCAGACTCTTGGCATAATTTCATGCCTGCAGCCACTCTGGCAGATGATAAGGATGATGTCACACATGCGTACAAGCGGTGGAAGAGATGTGTTGTGAAGGAAGTCACACAGGAGCAAAGTAATGAGCATCAATACAGCCAGGTCTTGCTGTAAGAATCAACTTCTCAAGACTGGAAACCTTGTTACAACAACAACAACTAATGTGACTTCATACGCACAGGCCCGAGCGGAGTAGCGCACCTCGCCACAGCACTGACAGAGGAGGCGCGCCGCGCTGTGACTGAGTCCTATGCGGCCATTGTGCATGTCGCTTGCGCCGTTCCAGGAGACCTCACCGGCGCCGCTGCCGACGGCCCGGCCGAGGTTTGCGCGCTGCTCACGCATGCGCTGACAGAGGTATGTCTCCTCGTCTTTGCCGGCTGCTCAGAGGCACATCAGCTGCTGCCTGGCACGACTGCCACGGTCCTTATTCATACAAATGAACAGCACTTAATTCAGCCAGACCGAGCCAGTGTGAGGGGCTCTAGCATGCACTCCAAAGAAATCCTTGGCCTCAGTTGTCAGGAAGGTGTTAGGAAAGCATGCTTTACAATGGGCTTTTGCAACGGAGCGTTCTATCGGATGGACAGCGCGAGGGACTACGGATAACAAATCAATGCCTGTCTCAGCACAAGTGCTCTGACAACCGAGCATGCCTTCTGCAGCTGACTGCCGCTTTGATATAAAATAACCCTTCATGTGCCTTGCTCTGTGCCAGTGCTCTCACAATCGAGTGCGCCTCTTGCAGGTGCCGGCCTGCGAGGACGCGCAGAGGGCGCTGTGCGCGCTGCGCTGCCTGGGTGGCGCTGCGCTGGCGCTGCTGCGGCTGGAGGCGGCCGCATCGGAGCGCGGCGTTGCGCGGTTCATGGCGGCCGCCCCGCTGCTGGGCATTGGCCCGGACGAGCGCGGCTCGCTCATACAGCCAGTGAGGCCGCCTGAAAGTTCACCAAGTTCACTAAGAAAGTTTACACTGTTTAATTTTTCGGAACCCGGGAATTTGGACTCCGGTATAATATTTTGACGGACCCAAATCTCTCGTTGAAGGCTGCTGCCACTGGGAAGCACCTGCCTTTTGTTACTCTACTGGCCGCCCAGCTTTGAAAATGATTGGCTCTCCCCGAGCCTGAATTGCAGGTGGCCGCCCATGCATGCAGAGGCATTTGACAATACTAGGCTCATAACCTTTTTGGAGGTCATGAGCTGACTATTTCTCATTGAATTGTTTTCTGAGGGTCTCTTCATCATGGCAATGAAGCTGAAAACATGCTGACGCTTCCCTGGCAGGATGGTAGCGAGGTGACGCCGATAGCGGGCGCGCTGTTCGAGGCATGCGCCGACCTGCGCCTGGCGCACGCATCGGCCAGCAGCGACGACGCTGCAGCGCTGCACACAGCCAACTCGCTCCTGCAACAGGTCCTTGCTATACTCACCTGCAGCTGTTTCTTTTAGCCGTGATCTCCCGCGTTGCTGTTTCTCCAAAACGCCCCAAAAATGTTAAGGACGTGGTATCAAAGAGTTCAAAGAGTTGATAACCTGCTGCAACAGGTGCTTGCCACAGTCTTGTGCAGCAACCTTTTCCGCCAACCTTCTCCAGCCTTGCTGGTTTCCCAATATCATTTCCTTTGTGAAACGCTGTGGATCAGAGAATTGAAAAGCATGTCAATGCCTTGCACGTCATAATCCAGATTGTCTGAGGCCTTAGGCGATACACTAGTAGACTCTGGCATCGTTCTTTCTTACAAAATCAGGAGTAATGTTGAAGCACGCAAAATAAGAATTGGTGATGAAAGCGTCTTGATTGCCAGGCTGAGGAGGGCTGCTGGCGCGCACTGGAACCGCCGCAGCTGCTGCCGGCCTTTCTTGAGGGCCTGAGGAGGGAGCTAGCACCTATTCTAGCTCGGCCGCCAACCCTCGACAACCCCTCGCCAATCCCCCTGGCCCTGTCATCGCTCCTCTTCGCGCTCGGCAACCCCGACCTCGGCATCGCTGCCCCTGCCCCCGCCCACTCAGCAGCAGAGGCTGTTTTGGCCGTCTCCCCAATCCTGCACCACGGCAGCCAGTCTGCTGGCAGCAGCGAGGAGCTCATCGGGGCAGTGCACAGCACAGCAGAGCTGGCCGGAAGCTGGCGCGTGCTGCAAACCGATGCCAATACAGCTGCCGGTGCGCGGCTCAGCGAGGCAGGCCCCTCCCAGCAAAGCCAGACGAGGCAGAGTGAGCTAAACATAGCAGCGATGCTCAATGGCACCAGCGGGAGCGCAGAGGAGGCATCCAGGGGCCTTGAGGGGCAAGGGGAAGGGTCACCAGCAGAGCTGGCACGAAATGGAGGGCAGGAGATGAATCTGCGCGGCGGGGCGGCTGGGTTGCGCGATGAGTCAGGTGATGAGTCAGACGGTGAGTCACCGACGAGGCCGCCGGCGGCCGAGCGCATGGATGAGGTCATCCAGCAGGGGCTCGAGCTGTGGACGCCCACAAAGTCTGAAGATGGGACGAAGGGGCCAGAAGCAGCCAATGATGTGCCAGGGCAGTCTCCTAGTCAAGCGTCTGAGGGAGATGATCCTCTTCCTGCTGGGTCGATGCACGTGGGACAGCAGCCGAGCGGCACAGAAGACATGGCAGCTGATGCAGAGAATGTTTCACACTGTGCAGCAGCGCTTGAGGAGCGCCCAGCAGAGCAGCACAGCAGACACAGCGCAGATGCCGAAATTGCACAAGCGGAAGGCCCCAGTCAGCAGGATGAAGATGGGCACAGTGGGGATGCTGGTGAGCATGTTCCTGAAGGGCATGGCTCGGGCGAGGAGCCAGCAGGCAAGCAGAGCAGCGGCAGCCAGAAGGGAGAACACACCAACATGCGGAAGTGGAAGTTCAAGCTGGGAGGCAAGCTAGCCCAGACTGAAGCAGCTGCAGCAGGCGACAGTGAAAAGCATGAGACTGCAGCGCAATCAGAAAATGCAAATCACAGAATTTCAGCCTTTCTTGGGAAGCGGCTCGCCATATTCGGCCGGTCAAGGGGTGCATCAGAGTCTGTCAGCGCCTCTGACGAAGCATCTACTCCAAGTGGCCTGGCCGTGCCGCAGCCGTCACTGCAGCAGCAGCTCAAGGGAAAGCAGCAGGTTGTGGAGGAGCGGCCGGCTCACCCCCTGAATGGGAATGAAGCTGTCGGTGTTTCTCTGCAGCAGCAGCCGTCTGGCTCCGTGTATGTGAGAAGGTCCCAGTCAGAGCCAGCAGGCGAGGCGAGGCCTCCAGGCAGGAGAGGCTACCTGAAGAAGCAGCTGACCAGATTTGGCCGCGCACGAGGTGTCACAGATGGGGCCGAGGATGCTGCTAGCGCTACTTCAGGCGCCGCCGGTCAGTCAGGGACAGCAAGCAGGTTGCCCGGTGCGCGCATGTTTGGCTGGGGGGACTCGGCGAAGAATCAGGCACCCAAGTGGCCCGGGCAGGATCTTGGCACTCCTATTGGAGAACAGGTGAGCTTCCAATTTATGGTCATGATACAGTGCAGCGCTCTCTCGGAATGGATTTTAGAGAGGGATTCAAGTCTCTGTTCTATGCGCTAGAGTTGAGCCTTGGCCAGTATGCAATTTCACACAACCTGGACCTGCACAAAGCCTCGAGGTAAATGTCCATGATCTACCTTGATTGTACATGAAAGCACTCTGTGGCTGCAAACAGGAGGGTGAGACAAGGCTGCGGTGGCCGGCGGTGGGGGTGGCCCCTCTGTGGGGTGCGGCGCTGCTGTTACACACCCTGCAGCTGCAGCCCCACTTCCAGCTGCAGGACATCTGCCGGCAGCTGCTGCTGGAGGCTGATGTGGCTGGGCACTCAGGTGCGTCCCCTGGGGCGTCCCCTCTCAGCATGCAGCACCATCATTCGTTGTATGGAATGGGTGAAAGTACACTGCCGCGCAAGAAAATCAGGAAACTTGTAGGTCATTCCTCCTGGGAAGTAAGTCCTTCTAGAACAGAGCAGTGGATCTGCTTGGCTGAGCTTCTCAAGGTGTCTGATTTGTGCCGATTACTGTGCGCTGCAGGGAGCTCAACCTCAACCGCAAGTGGCGTCTTTCAGTGCCTGGCCAATCTGCGCACCTTGCAGGAGCTCATGGAAGAGGCGTACTTGAGCCTGAATGCACGGTGCCTGGATTGAGATTACCATAGGGACGCTACTGATCATGACTCATGATGATCAGGAGGTTGACCTTAGATCTGTCGACCCTATCTTATGAGACATGCTTATTCCAGAAGTCTTGGAGAGTCACATTGGGCTGAGGAGCTTATTAGTCACTTTATTGTAAAGGAAGGTAAAGGATGGTAATGCTACATCACTGCTGCATATGCAGGAATCAATTTAGGTACATCCAGAAACGCAGCATGGTGGGAGAGTCATTGCAGGCAGGTTGAAAAATGGTTTATAATCCTGTGAAAAACCATCTGAGTCGTGAAGCGTCCCCGGAAAATAGCCCGGGTAGCTCAGTCGGTAGAGCGCAAGGCTCTTAACCTTGTGGTCGAGGGTTCGAGCCCCTCCTCGGGCGCTTCACTTTTTTTTCTTCAGAGGCCAAAAATTTTATTTGTCTCGACAGCGCATCCGCCATCAATTTTTATCTCGCGAAGGGTTGTTGCTTGCGATGATCACCTGCAGTCCTGAGCTGTAGACTTATCTTCGGCGATCGTGTTATATTTTGGCTGCATCTCTCATTGTCCTTCCACTTTTGCTCAGAGTCTGTGAGGAAGAACAGGAGGAAGAACATTGCTGCTGCGGGGTTGTTTGTCGTAAGCGCAGTACAGTCCATCATTGGCGCCGAATCAACCTGAAGAGATACTGATTGAGAAGAGTGCTTGTCCATCCTTGTTCGTTCGTGTTCATGGAAGGCATTGCAGCAGTCTTGCTGCATTGATAGCTAAGACCATGTGAAACAGAGCGCGAATGGAAATCTTGGCATCTTCGTCCGCTGATGGATGCAACGTGGGTTCTGCCTTGTTCTTGTAGGATGCGAGCAGGACATCTAAGAGCTCGTGCTGAAGTGGACGTGGGAAACCGTACATGTCCCTCAGAGACTAGGCCAAGGCGGCAGGAACCTGCAGAAGCACAATGGGAGCGCAGCATTCAAACCATTTCTAGTCGACCAGATGGTGGAAATTCATGCCAATTGGCTTCGCCGCTGGTATGCAGGGGTTGCTTGGGCTGCAGGAGGATGAAAGATGTCAGAGCGCTGCGCTTGCACTGCAACAGAGTCCTGAATCTGGCGGATGCGAGCGCGGCAAAGCGAGGCATGAACAGCTTCAGAAGCCTGCAGCAGCTGGAGATCGACGCGCCACAGAGGCACAGCACTTCTTCATATTTGTGCCGCGACTCATGTGGCTGGTATCGCGCGCAGATGAGCTGACTGTCCTCTCAGTGTCTGTGAGGTCTCTGGCCTGGTTGCCTCCGATGACATGCCTTAAGGACCTCGTTCTGGGATGCAAGAGTGACATAGGCGATATTTAATATGCCCTGCCCTTTGCAAAGACTCTTGAGACTCTTTCACTGAGGGCTGAGGACTCTAGGAAAGCACCCAGAATGCAGCTAGCAGATACGCCAAGCCTGCGGATACTGGCGCTGCACCGCGTGCGGCCAAAGAGCATAATTCTGCCCGTGGCATGCAGGCTGCACGTTTCAGGCTCAGGAGAATTGGAGCTGCCAGAAAAGGGCTGGAAAATGCTCTGAAGAAGCTGTCATCTTTCTATTTTGACGATATGATCTTGCGCATCTCACAAATGCCGGGCTGTTTTGCCAGTCTGCAGCAGCTGAAGTATGTGAAAATTAAATTAGACAAGTGGGGCTCAGATGCAAGGCATGTTTCGCTGGAAGCGATTGCCATGTGCAGAGGGTGCACATTGCTGGCAAGAAAGTGTATGTCAGCGTACTGGCTGTGGTGTCCTGGGAGTCTGTCACCTTCGAAGGGGCAAACTGGATGTTGCTTTTAATGACGTGGACAGCTTTGCGAAGGGATCAACAGCTTGCACAGCTAGATACGACTGCCTGCCAGGGGAAAATTTTCTACCATTGGTGGGGACTTGCATGTTTCAGCTCTGTTCGGCTCTGGCACAGCGCATGGCATCCCATGGCACACTAGAAGTTAGTAACTTCTGTTCTTCAATAAAACAGAGGTTTCAGAGTTCTGCAGTACCCGGCAGTAACAGACATGCATGAGAGCGTGTGCGGGGCTTGCATGGCATGCCTGAGAGCCTCAGGGGTGGCAGAGAGAATGAGGCACAAAGTCAGGAAATACTGGGTTAACTCATTGGATGATGACTCCTTAGAGGACAACTCTTCGGATGATGAGTAATGTCTTTGGCAACTCTGTCTCAGGGGTGAAAATGCCTATTTGACAAGAAACAGCCCCTTTGATCATGTGAGTCAGGTAGGTCCGGACCCTGAACTGGAGTTTATGAGCTCGTGCCAGTGAAAGGAGTCGGTTTGATCATGCAGTTATCTCGCTCTGTGTGTAAAATTTATGGATTAAACCTGAGGTGTGAGAAGTGCCAAGATAGCCCAAAACGGGCTCTATCATATGCATCTCCAATATGGCAATATTACTCGAGGTAAATACTACTTAATCCGCTGCGGCATCCACCAATTCCGGCTATCATATGATATAGCTACAGCGGTAGTGTCAGAGGCATGCTAGCACCGTTCGACGGGAGTCCCCAGTGTGCATGCACGGTGCCACTCAATAGCCAGGCAGCCACGGCCAGCTTCCTTACAGAGGTAATGAATGGGAGTGGACGAGCATGGATACCTTTCAAGCCAGAGTCTGCCAGCTCACCTGCCCAACACAGCCTGCCCACAGCTGCCAAAGGCCTGCCCACAGAGCACATGCACGATTGTGGCCAGCATCGATGGCTATCGAACAGACCTGCTCCAGCTCGAGCAATAAAAAAAGTCGCTATTTTCCATCTACCTGGAGCACTGGCTTTTTCTGACACCTTACGGATAGGTCCATCAGAAAATAGTTCTGTCACAGGCTCTCGGACGTTTTCTGTGGAAGACCTTTCTAATCCCCTACTCTGCGGCATCTTCTGTTCATATTCGGGACGACGATATTTACGCGGTGGGATCTCAATCCGCTCCGAGTAGTGGAGCTGTCGGCACCTTTGAATCCAGAGATCATCAGGAAGGTGGGAAACTGATGTACTCTCATTAGCAACTTTGCTTTCTGTCCTACTTCACATGTTACATTACTATAGTGCCAGAAGGGAAGATTGACGCATGTTGAGGCGCCTTGCACGTGTGGCGCCGTTGGCATTGCTCGATGGCTGTTGTGCTAAACTTAAACAAGTTTTAACAGGTCAGTGCTCCGCCTTTGGAACAGAATGGCACCCAGACGTCGCAAAGCACCGCCTTGCAGCGTGGACTTGCCAGAGCCCGTATGGGCTGCAATTGCCTCCCACATGGCCCTGAAGGATTGGGCCAAGGCAGCAGGAACGTGCAAGAGGTCGATCGGTGTACAGTTGCACACTGTGAACATTCCGCCTGACACTCCACCTGCAGGTGTCTCCTTCTGCTACAGAAGTATTGGTGTTTCGCAGTATTGTAAATTTGTGTGCTTTCTTGCTGCTGGCGTCTTCAGACTGTGCAGCCTTGATCTTGCTGTAAGGTGGGGTGGACCTGCAGGTGTGGTGTGGGCAACTAAAAGAATGGGAGCTCTTCGTGTCCTACGCTCGCACGAGAATGGCTTTCTAGGATTGGCGGACGCAGCAACACAAGGGCAAGATAATATATTGAAGAACCTGCAGCAGCTTGAGATATGTGCGCTAGATGCAGATATATCGGATGTCTTGGACTCCACTGCGCCGCAATTCATGTGGCTGCTCTCCTGTGCACAGAAGCTCACAGTGCTGTCAGCATCTTTGGAGGCTCTGCCATGGCTGCCTCCTTTATTACAGCTCAAGCACCTCGTACTGAGATGCGAACAACACACGTTTGGTGCACTCCAAAACGCGCGAAACCTAGAGACTCTCTCGTTGAGTGCAGGTGAATATACCAGAGCCTCTATATTGCAACTTGACAGCTTAGCTAGCTTGCGTGTTGTGGCGCTGCACAAGATCCGCCCATCTGGCATCTATCTGCCCGAGGCATGCTACCTGCACATTTCTGGCCTGGAGGAGGTTCTGGACCCTTCCAAGAAAGGGGCATGGAACGGTGCCATCACCAACCTGTCATCTTTCGGCTTCTCTTGCAGCTACAGGAAGATCAGCAGATTGCCAGGGTGCTTTGCTCACCTGCAAAAGCTCACCTTTGTGACCCTAGAACTAGGCCAATGTGGATCATCTGAGCACTTTCTGTCGCTTGATGGCCTCGGCAATGTACGGAAACTGCGTGTCAGCGGCAAAAAACTGTACCTCAATGTGCCCTCCAAAGTGTCCTGGGAATCAGTCGACTTTGTAGGGAGGCGCATACTGGACATAGCCTTTGCTGATTTGGAGGCCTTTGCATGTACTGTGAGCATGTGCATCTTGCAATATGGGGCCCCAATGGGATCATGCCTTTCTACATTGCGCTCAACACTGGCAGCACGCGGCGTTGGATGGCACACGAGAAAGCAGAAGTCAGGACTTTGTGTCTTTCAGTACCCCGTGAAAATTGCAGCAAATGCCTTTGGGTGTGAGTGTGGGGCGTGCATGGAATGCCTGAGAGCATTGGGAGTGGGAGATGTACCGGCAGCAGAATGGACTGAAGCTGAGGAGGTGTCAGAGGATGAAGACTGGGAGGATTCCTCTTCGTCGTCCGATGATGACTCAGATTACTTCAATGATGATGATCATGACACCGGTGTCACTGCACTAACTATTCGGTTATGCCGATGTCAAAGGGATATGCTGAGAAATTGAGGCGGGTGACAAACAGGATGTTACTGAGCTGCAATTGACTCGACTGCTTGCTGATTCCCCTGTTTCCAAGGAGCCTGCACTGTAGCATGACGTTCATGATATTGTATGTTTCAACGTTTGAGGGTCTGGTCTTGCTCTTCTGTGGGTATCAAGCTCCACTTGCAGTGTTAGAGGATGGTGCACTTGTAGACCTGTCCAGTTTGCTCATGGCCCATTATGGGAAATGTTGCGAGCGCTTTGCCTGGAAAGTTTCTCTCTGTAAATAGCAAATGTCTCTGATTACGTCATAACCACTGCTGCATTTGGGAGCCGTGATGCTTAAGCAAGGTAGCTTGTTCTCTGCCAACAATATAAACATTTAATTGTGCGGGTCACATGTATGTGTGATCGACATGCGCATGAATGCACTGGCATAGGATGCATTTGTCAGCATGCAAGCTCTCAACATGTGATCCAAGCCTTCTGCTCTCGATAAAAGGCACATCACACATTTCTTGGTCATGTGTCACGAATTGTCCCCGATCAGTGTCATATTGTACATAATTGCTCAGTCCAGCACAATGGCATCTTCGGCATCCTGATCACGCTGGAGATCGATGCCCTCATGCTCTTGCACCTCTTCGGCATCTGCCTCAGCATCTGCTGCATCACTAATGAAGATTGCTGGCACCTCCCCGCTCGTGCCAGGCATCTGGTACACTCCCACCTCCAGAGCTGCCGCCTGCAGAGCAGCAGACTTACTATGATTATCTTATTATTTTGACACCAGTTTCCTGCCAAGAGGCAAGGTGTGTCCTGCAGTGTAACCAAAGGCTGACACAATCCTACCCCTTGTTGGCAGCAGTATAAAGAGTATTTTTGAATCCATCCCACATGGCAAGGGCCCTGCACAAAAGGACATCTGCTGTGATAATACAGTATAGATCAATGCCACCCCTGCTCTCTCTCTTTGCTCTCTCTCTCTCTGATTCTTGATGGCACTCTCTTTTGCAAGCAACTTAGCGCTGCTTCAAGGTTGCAGCAGTCCAGTCAGCTTCCTCAGCCAGCCCTTAGGGAGTCATTGAGGGTGCAAATGTACTGAAACGGCAGGGACACTGCCGCTCAGGAAAGCTCACCCTGCTGTTCAGGAACTCAGCGAAGGTTTGCGCATCTGCTGATGCACTGGCACCTTCAGCTTCAGGGGCAGGCGAAGATCCCTCGACTGCTGAAGCATCCGCTGCCACCCCTCTGCTGGCACCCGGACTCTTCTTCTGGCCTGCCCACAGCACATGCCATGCAAACTCAGCCACGCAATGCTCAACCCTTATCTCTGCCAGGCTGATCTTGACAAGGATGCCTCAGCTGAAGGCCACAATATTCCCGGATGCAGGCATGCTTGTGCAATGGAAATTGTGCATTCGATTTTATAAAACATTTAATAATGATTTGATACTAATGACAAGAATGATATAATAATTCTCTGTTGGGAGAGCTCACGTTTGGACACGCGCTTGCTTGTGCTCGGCGGTGTTTCAGCAGCAGCCGGTGCGGTTGAGGCAGCAGAAGCCGCACACTCCTTTGCCAGGGCTTCAAAGAATTTTCGCGTCCCGCTCGAGGCATACCTGCATTATATTGCAGGCAGGCAGTATTTAGTCTGCATCCAAAGAAGGCTTAGATCATGCTCTGCAAGAACATTTCAACAAACAAGTGCAAACATTTGTGTGCCACCATTGGGTAGCAAGGCTGGCAGATGCGCAACATGCAAGATTGCCAGTAGCTTCCTGGCAGCATCTGAGAAATGGAGTGATAAGCGCCATGCCATGCCACACTATTAACGAGAATACTTGGGCTGCAGCCTCACCATCTGCAGGACTGCTGCTCCAGCTTCAGCAGGCGGAGCACGGGCAGCAGCAGGGGCGCTACGAAGAGCTGATTCTCCAATGGCGAGGCCCTCAGCTGCTCACATCAGCACACACCTTGCGATCAGAAGATTTCTCCCATACTTCCTGCCGCCTTGCCATAATTGTGACCGTGGCATGATGGCAAGCAGCAAGAAATCTCTCAGCGTGGCCCTCAGCACTTGTTTTGCATATATCCAGTTATGGTGCTCAGGGCTTGACCGACTTGATTTTCTTATTTACGACTGGTGAACTCAAATGTACGTGCACGGCAGGCTCACCGCTGCCAAGAGGATCGAGCCTTTAAAGTGCTGCAGCAGCTGCTCCGGTGTTTGTTGCTCCAGGGGAGTCTGCTGGCTCTTGCGCTCCTCTTCCTCCCTGAGAGAGGCCTGCATGGCCAGTTCCAGATCCCTCTTCTCTGCTTCCAAGTCATCTTGTGCCGTCTGCCATTCTATTGCGGCCAAGGCCCACCTGCAACGGGTAAACACACCACGTACACAAAATCAGATACTTTCTTTTTTAAGCAGCTAGCTTTGTCACGGCTAGAGGCCGTTACATTTTACAGAAGCTCACGGCTTCTAACGACCTGACAAATCTAATCGATCTGCGGTCCAGGACTGAGGTAGATGAAACAGCCCTGTACCTTGCCAGAAGGGCCAGAAAACATGCATGCATTAGAATTGGATCATGAGCAGAGAGATAACTGCATTGGTGCAATGAGTCTGTTTGGCACTGCCAACGCACCCTTCCAGACTTTTTCCCGCTGTTGGTACGCTCTGCAGGGCAGCCCTTGCCTTGGCTTCTGGCAGGCCTTGCTGCATGAGGATGCGGACCGCTGTGATAAAGGGATCCTCTTGCTGTGGAGGATTGCTTGGAGCTGGTTGGCCTGCCGGCATTGTTTGCCCGACTGCCTGTTGAGGGGCAGCTGCTCCTGCCTGTGCAGCTAGCTGGGCAGCAGCAGCTGCAGCAGGGTGGTGAATCTGTTGGTCGCTTGCAGGCGCTGGGATGGCTGGCATTGCGTCTGCTGATTCCCTGGGCTGATCTGGAGGGGTGACGTGGTTAGTAGCACTGCGCTTCCTTTTAGCTTTTGGCGCTGTCTTTGCAGGGCCCTCATGCTTTGGCTGTCTCTGGACACATTGCGCCGCATCTGCCATTGTTGACGCGCGATAATATGATGAAGACTTCAAAGATGCCCAGCGAATGCTATCTTACAGGAATCTTCAAGTCACAAAGAGGATCCAGCTCCACAATCCGGATCGGGCTTGATCGATCAGTACCGCCAAAAGCGGATAATTACCGTGACTGCCCTCGAAATATAGATTCGAAGGATTTTTCTATTCTTATTTTGGACGAAATTGCATCAACAGAAAGTGCGTCTTTACCACAGGAATACATTCTGCTTTGCAGTTGGAGGCAAGATGACTCCTTTTAGACCCAGATCAACGAGGACAATTGACGCTTGCGTCAAAGCGTAAGTTGCAGAGGGTCGTTGTATCTGTCTCTTCTGAATTTGTGGCAGAATACTTATCACATGACAATTCTTCGCATGGTCCAAAACTGGCTTGCAATTGCATGCAAACACATGGCTGGGAGTGAGCACTTTTGTATCTTCAAGACACAGCCGCAGATATAACGAAGCAACAGCACTGAAGATGCGCAAGCAGATTAAGATACGTGCACCAGATTGCAGCGGGCCGCACTGGTCCACCTGCTTTGGGCAACTGAGGTTCCCAACTGACTTGAATTTGCCGGTGCACCCACACGTGTGATCAGCTTAATCACAAGGAAAAACACACACTGTGGCTGCAACGAAACAAGCTCAGATGTACAAATGTACCTGAGGGACAATTCCCTGCCTGAGAAATCACTCGCAATGGTCGCAAACCGTGCCGGTTTCTCTCCGGCACGGCCATTGTGCTACCAGTTGCCTTCATGCAAGATTCTTACAACAACACATCTCTGACGCTGCACTTTGCTATTGCTTGTACATGAACGCCGTGAGCGCCAGACCGGCCAGAAGAGGTCCAAGGGTCGCCGCAGCAATCACCAATTTCTGGGAAGGCCCCTCTGCCCTGCGCCGGCGCCTTGCCGGCCCTGAAGCATCCACCTCTAACGCCTGCGCCAGGTGCGCCCACCTGACCTCATACACTGCCCCCTCCAGTCCCCCGGGGACAGACTTTCGTGTGCCTGCCACCTCCCGGGTGCGCAGCCCCACTGCTGCCGCCTCCAGAAAGATCCCCCTGTCTATGGACGAAGCCCTGCATGCACACCCCAAGATATCGATTAGAGACTGTAGACAAGAACACCGTGTGTCATGTTAGAAGGCATATCAGACACTCTTTGCTTCATTACTCCGTGATTCTTTGCTGTTGCATTGCATTTCCCAGCCTCAGTTGCTGCATTACAATAAGAACTACAATAAGAAATTGGGCAGGCTCCAAACTAGAGCACCTCTTTGCTATTGGGCATTTCTTTTAACAAAGGCTATGGTGACACGAGCACAAACACTGAAATAAGCATACTTGCTAGAGAGGTTAGCAACAGCGGCAGGCACATGGAGCTGACCTAGACACGTAGCCCAGAAGGAAGACTGATTGTGGCTGTTTTGACAGGAGCAGGCTGGCTGCCTTGAACAGCGACGGGAGTGCCTTCAGGCTGTACGCCACATCTGAGCCCAGCAGCAGGTCAAATCCCTGCGCACATCAGAAGCAAATCATGCACATTGTCCTGCATATTGGTCTCCGTGGCCGACAAGAACACACTGCACTACAGCATCAGGCATGAGCTTGTGGTAACTCATTAGCAATGCTTGCCCAATGTGTCGTATTCTAATCTTTGAAAGTGAGACTTTCTTGTCCAACAAAGCCACCTGTCTGTTAGGAGACTCTGCCAGGATGCTGCTGAACGCGCTTGCATCTGCGCTCCAATCCAGCTGTCGACATCTGCCGACACAAACATCGGTAGACATTAGTTCATTACCTGCCCCAGCAGGCTTGCTTGCAGCCTCCCAATAACATGTAGGGAAATTTCAGTTCAACGCTCAATATGCAGACCTGATGGGATGATGCCCGCTGTTGAGGTCTGCATTCTTCTTCAGGACCCTCAGGACCACTTCATTGTGGTCTGTGAGAATGACAGGGCAAAACTGCAGACCAGCACATGAGTAGTTCAGCATTGGCAACATCAGAATGATCGTAAACAGGTTGGCCTGAAGCGATCAAGAAGTACCTTCCAAAAGTGATAATGAGGCATCACCTTGGCACACAGTATTCCTGGCAAGCCCAGGCCTGATCCCAGCTCCAATGCACAGCTGCATCCTGCCATGACAGAAGGATGCGCCGCCAAATGTTCCGCTAGCAGCTGAGCAGCTGGCCACATGATCTGACCTGTAAGGTCATAATCGGCTGTAGAGAAGTCAGCACTGATGCATAGGAAATTTCAGAGCGTAAGCAGCATGATCTGAGGACTGAAAATGTCAAATGAAGGTCAAGCAGCAGGAGGACACTCACTCGATGCAGAGGGTGAGCACAACAGACGCATACTGTGCTCTCCAACCGTGAAGGTCCTCTCTCCATACCTGCACGTTGTGGGGCAGGTGTACAATGTCACTCAGGTGCAAATCCTGGTGCGAAATTCAGATCACAGAAGGCTTGAAGCGGCAGGCATGGTGTATGTGAGACTCACGACTCATTTGTGAACATGGAAGCGTCAAATACCACATCTTCTTCGGCTCCCATCCTACAAGAACTGTCTTTCAGAGAACAGAAAATGAAACTTGTGCTCGAAATGTCCTAAAGCTGAGATCCGTGAATTTACTTGCACATGTACTCTTATGATCGTTCAAGTAGATAAGGAAAGGAGATCTCAAGTGGACTGATCTCTAGAAGACATCTCGAGCTCAGGCAGCTTCCTCCAAGTTCCTCAGGGTTTTGAGGAAGCCAGTAGGGTTTGCAGCCTTTGGGTGTCAAACTTCGAAATGAACATTGATTCTGAATCCTTGAAGTATAAGAGGTGTCTATACTCCACATCTGCTCATTAATGTTTATTGTAGCCTTTATAAGCTGACAAGACAGCGCTAATTTCGCCGATGGATATAGGGCAGCTCTGTTCTATCCTGGCAGCCTGCATTAGCCAGGAGCCTCAACAGCGCAAGGCGGCTGAAGCGACGCTTGCGCAGGTACAGCTAATCAATTCTCACAGGGGGGGTCTCGGAAACGCTCCTACTTCTCTACATTAATTGCAATACTGCTTGCCCGATTGTATCATCTCTGAGTGCACCCCGCAAGGCCCACGGAGCAGTCAGGCATGTGGTGTAGCAGTGCGATGATCACCTCTCGATGTAATCAGACACAGTGTTGATATAATCATCACATCATGTGAAATCAAATTTGGCATTCCACAAGTCCTTACTTGAGCTGCACTCCAGATGTGTTCTGCGGGGGCAGTGTAGACGACGGGGCTCATGAAAGAGAGCTGCTGTCTGACGAATGCTTTGCATTGTGCAGTTCCAGCATGTGAAGGGGCAGCTGGTGAATCTGCTGAGGGTGGCTGTGGAGGACAGCTTGGATGTGGGGCTGCGCCAGGTCGCTGCCATCTCCTTCAAGAATCTCGTCCGCAAGGATTGGGACCCGCCAGGTCAACATGCAACCTTCTTGAGTCCTCTCCCCTCATTTGGCCTGGCACACACCCTCCTGCCATCTTCAATTTTACTGTCCCTGCATGCGCACTGTTTTGGAATGAAGAGGACCCAGGGTTGCAGCAATGGGTGTATTTTATGCAGAGCTTCAGGGCAACTGGTTCAGGCAGGTTCATCCCATGCTGTCTGCCATGCATGCCCGTCATCCATTGCAATCGCTCTCTACTTGAACTGGGTTCTCTCTTGACTCCGCAGTGCGGCGAATGTTGAATGTATCACTGACAGACTTCGTGTGAGCGATTTTGGAACTGGGATTGCTGCAAACATATTGCCAGTGTTCCTGGAAAAACTCAGGACAGGATGCTTTATGTGCAAGTACCGCATCAGAGCAGGGCACAGTGTCAAGGTTGGCGGCGAAATGGCAGCCTGAGATTCGGCGCACTAGCAACAAAGGCAACATCATGTGTGGCTCCGCCCCCTTTCATGTCACTTCTGGGTTGCCAATGGCGGGTGCCACGCGCAGGGAGCCCGAGCCCGATACCGGAGGAGGACAAGGCGGCGGTGCGTGACAATCTGCTGGAGGGCATAGTGCGGGCGCCGCAGGTGGTGCGAACGCAGCTGGGTGAGTGCCTCAAGGCCATCGTGCACGTCGACTTCCCTGAGAGCTGGCCCGGCCTGCTCCCCATCGTGCTGCAGAACCTGGGCTCCCAGGTAATTTGCTCCTTGAGATATTTAAAGCATGCCCTAAAATGCCTCTCTCTAGAAAGCTGGGCTTTTTGCTTCACCTCGCACTTGAGCTGCTTTGTAAAAGCTTAGGTTGCAAGTGGAGGAGGCACAGAATGCTCCAGAAACTTTCACAGGGACACAGGGTAGGCTGGCTCTTCACTCTAGTAATTCTGGGCCAGGGTACATGCTCTGACGATTATGGTCCTATGGAGGCATTGTTAAAAGGCTGTGACACTGGGCCGCAGGAGCAACAGATGCAGGCTCTCGACTGCAGTAATGCTGGCAGATCACCTGTTCAAACAAGCACAGTTCTTCGGAGGCATTACTAAAGTGTGTGTCATTGGGTGCAGGAGCAGCAGAGGCTGTATGGGGCGCTGTTTGCGCTGCGCATTCTGACGCGAAAGTATGAGTTCAAGGACGAGGAGGACCGTATACCGTTGGGCACCCTCGTGGATGCAACCTTCCCCATCCTCCTCAGAATATTCCAGGTACGCCTAAATTATTCATCTTTTCTGGTCCCATTTCTAAATTTCCTCTTGAGATCACCTCTTGCAGTCCCCTGGCATGGGCCCTTCGTGCAGCCCACACATCAAGAGCACTGCTCTGTCAAGGGTTGCCAAGTCTTACCTGCTGAGTGTGGTATCAAGGAAACAGACAGTCCCAACATGTCTACGCGCTGCAACTGAGCGGGAGCGCAAGATTCACAGCAGGGAGCTTTTGCTACTCTGGCCCAAGTTCACCATGTCATGGAAGGAGAAATGTGCTCTTCTTCTGTACTCTGAGCCTAATGATGGCAGGGGCGCTGAGGTGGCAGTTGAAGGAATATTCATCACAGAGGCAACCCAGCCGACGTACCATCGGGGCAACCTTACTGCATTTCGGAAAAACTGGTTGATATCAAGTAGAAAAACTGAAATCACTGAGATCACTATGGAAACTCGGCAGGGGCTGCTGGCGAGCGAGTCGGCATCGCTGGAGGTTGCGGAGCTGCTGAAGCTGGTGTGCAAGGTGTTCTGGAGCACCACCTACATGGGCATCCCCCCTCTCCTGCTCCAGGAAGCCCAGTTCACCGGCTGGCTGACCTGCCTGCTCCAGGCCGTGCAGCGCCCAGTGCCCCAGGTGTGCTTTCTTAGCTGCGCAATTGTCCGAAACAGCGCCCTGTTGTAAGCTCCACTGGCCATGCATGGTAATGGAAGCATGCCTCAAGGTGCAACTAGATCAAGATGGTTTGAGCAAACTATTGACTGTGCATGGTAATGGAAGCATGCCTCAAGGTGCAACTAGATCAAGATGGTTTAAGCAAACTATTGACTGTGCATGGTAATGGACGCATGCCTCAAGGTGCAACTTGGTTGCTGTTCCACCTGCATGTTGAGCTAATTCTGTCCAACTGGTCCAACATAATTGTCCACTGAGCAGAATGCAAGTGTGAGGGCTAACATCAGCAAAAGCATGAATATTTCAAGTAAGAGGAGCAGCAGCTGCTTATTCCAGAAAGGTGCCTCCAGCACTTGTGTTGTGGGGGTCCTCACATGTACTCAGCCTTCTCCTCGCTCTTGACGGCACAAAATACCATTCAGAATTTGGGTCATTATCAAGGATCCTGCATTTACACCCAGCTGTACCTGGTACTTATGAAGGGGTTTTTGGCGCGGCTGCAGGAGGGCCAGCCGGCGGACAGTGCGGCGCGCAAGGCGTGGCCATGGTGGAAGGCGAAGAAGTGGGCGTTGCACATTGCGCAGCGCCTCTTCGCGCGCTACGGCGACCCCAAGCACGCCAAGGAGGCCTCCCCTGAGCGCGCCTTTGCGCAGCTCTGGAAGCAGCACTGCTCCGCCCAATTCCTTGACGCCCACCTCGCTCTCCTGGCCGCCTTCCCGCAGGTGCGCTCAAGGGGCAGTTTCTTTATACGGATTACTGCACCTTACAAGGCACAAAGGCAGCCTCTTGTCCCAAAAATTTCTTTCGAGCTGCTACCCATTACACATGGAAGGCGACTGCGTCTAGAAGAAAACAGCCCTCGGTTTTGCTGGTGCTGGCTTGCAGAGCTAGTCAGGTGCGCTCGAGGGGCAGCTGCAGCATTGTATGACCTCGACTCAAATGGCAGGACCCTGTTCATGTTGGAATGATTGCAAAGATGAGGCATAATTTTGATTGCGTCCTGGGCTGCTGGTGTGGAGATACGGCTTCTCTGGGGACCCTTGCATGCGCATTATCTGCAATCAGGGGTGAGAGATTGTGCTGATACTCCATTTAGTAGTTGTTGGAGAAAATCAAGGAGAAGAGAAGGAAGTTGGGGCAGCTCTTTCAAATTGATATATGATCTCCTAGAATTACCTCGCCATTTCCTCATTTTCTCCTGTGATGGTCCCCTACCTTTTGAAGGATAAAGGGACTGTTATTTCCAGGCCTCACAACCTTCTTAGCCGTCACAAAAGCAGAAGCAGTGGGAACATCTTCGCCACGCTGGGAGGACACATACACCATCATGTCCATGCATCCAATCCCGTTCATTTATTCAGAAGCAGAGAGAGAGCGGGGTCATTGTGTGCGCGCGCAGGGGCAGTACATAACGCCGAGGGTGATAAATCTGGCGCTGCAGTACCTCACAACGGCGGTGGGCCTGAGCTCCACATGGAAGCCGCTCAAGGCGCACATGGGCAGCCTGCTGGCCTCGGTCGTGTTCCCCCTCTGCAGCTTCAACGACGAGGACGAGGAGCTCTGGCAGGACGACCCCCAGGAGTACATCCGCAAGGTGTGTTTCATTGCTGCTGCAGTAAGTGCACCTGCCATTATCGCGGCTGCCATGGTTTTTGGGGCATTGGATTCTCACCAATGTTTTGACCTCACAAGGCCTGCCTGTTCAGCAAAACAAATGGATCCCAAAACCTGGCAAGATCGAGCTGGTGCCAACTGCGTTGGATGCTCCTCTTCCAGCATTTAAAAGCCACGAATAGCAGTACCTGGGGAATGTTGATTGCCTTTGTGCAAGAACTGAGAACAGTGGAAAGCAAGGTGCATGTCATTGCCGCTGTGCTGAGTGCAGCTGCTGTTGAGTGCATTTGCTTGGTGTCTTTGGCTGGCCCATCGCCAGCCATGCCACGGCCTGTGTACACAAAACCAGCTTGTGCTGCCTGTCGTGTGCGCATCTTGTCCTCTTTGGGAATACAGAAGCATTCCCTCGCTGAGAGAGGAGGCGGAGAGGAGCTTTTCATGAAGGTGAAAGTGATCACTGCTCTGTCAAAAGCAGGCATGCATGCATGCAGGGGTATGATGTGATGGAGGAGATGTATAATGAGAAGACCGCGGCCATGAACTTTGTGCACGAGCTGTGCAAGACCCGGACCAAGGGCAACCTGGAAACCTTCATGGGCCTCTGTGTCAATGTCATGAACGAGTACCAGGTGTGCACACTCTGCTTCATAATCTGACCATTCACTGGCCACTGTTTCAATGTTTACAGCGACCATGAGGTCAAGTGCCAAATTTGTGTCAGTCAGGGGAGCAGGACAGCAGAGCTCCCTTCCTCCCCCCATGAAGTATATTATGGGTGTGGTTTTGTCTTTCTATGTCCATTGCATTGTGGGAGCGCCTTTGAATAGTTTCTATCGTTGTGCAGGCGGCGGGACAGAGTCCGACCAAGGAGCAGTGTAGAAGGATGGACGGGGCCTTCCTGGCAGTGGGTGCCTTGAGTGATGTGCTGAAGAAAGAGGTACGTCTTTCCTGAGGGTAACAGATCACTTGCTTGGTGATGCATGTCAGGAACAGTGCAGGATGGTGAAAGATTGACAACCAGTAGAATCAGTATTTTTGATGAAGCCTGCTGAGTCTGGCAAACAGGAATTTATTGGTAGTCAGGCTATTATGCCATAGTAATAAACTCGGCTGGCTATACACACCGAGCACCATGCCCACATTTGATTGGGTCTTGTTCAAATGTGGCAAGTCCAACAAGAAGTTGGACTTCGACAGCCTTCACGTGCAGCTCTTCTGCACGCGCACCTTGCATCTGGCCGGAAGAACGTGAAAAGAAAGAAATAGGGTGTAGGGTTGTAATTTGGGTGATAGGGTATAACAATATTGATGTTGGCATTGCTTGCGCTTGTTCAGGCGCCGTACAAGGCCCAGCTGGAACCGATGCTGCTGCGGTATGTGGTGCCGGCCTTTGGAGCGCCGGTGGGGCACCTGCGCGCGAAGGCCTGCTGGGTGACTCAGCAGTACGCCGACATGCGATTTGCGGGCGGGCGCGGCCGGGGCGCCACTTTCCTGCAGCTCTTCCAGTCCACGCTCGGCCTGCTCGCAGACCCCGAGCTGCCGGTGCAATTCGTCCCCTGCACTTCCAGCTCCCTTGACCCCTGCCTTGTGCACGAGAGCATTGTTGGACAACTTGTACATTCCGCCTTCTTGCAGACCCCAATCTGCCGATGCTCTTCACTACCTGCACTTTGTGAAGCTCCCTATTTCCTTTATTATATATCCTGTGAACTCCTCTCAAGGTGCAAGCCCTGCAATGCCATGCATACTGTCTTTTATCTGCCCGGGGAATCATCAGGTTTATATTCACTAAAATATTCACTAGAAAAGCACAAGCCAAAATGGTTACCTGTGGGCTCCTGCTGCCCCATAGACCTGGATTCTGTGGCAAGAAATGAATAGTGTTACCGTGTGTTCTTGTCTTGTATACATGAAGGATGATGTGGTGACCATGCATGCGAAGGTGCGAGTGGATGCGGTGGCTGCGCTGAGGAGCCTGGTGGACGCCTTCCACGAGGATGACCTGCCCAGCATCAAGCCCCTCATCCCCAGCCTCCTCAACCAGCTCTTCGCGCTCATGGCCGAGGTGCGCACCTCTATCCAATACACATCCACCTTCATGCATGCTATGCTGCATCCACAGAGACACAGTAGTGAACCTCCTTGGGTCCCAGCATGAAGTCCCACCTGCGCAAGCCTGCTTGATGCAGCATGATGAGCGTGCACCAGTGTCATCTGCTGCCTTTATCATGTTGCTGCTGTGCTGACAATGTTTTGCATGCCTCCCTTTTCTTCTAGGTGCCTTGTTGTGTAGCAATTCAATTGCTGGCGGCATATGGTCCAGTTATTGACAAGTCACAAGGCTGAATGGGTTTTCAGGATTTACATGATTCAAGTGTTGAGCAGGTGGAGAGTGAGGATGTGGTGTTCACGCTGGAGACGATAGTGGAGAAGTTTGGTGAGGAGATGGCGCCCTTCGCAGTTGGCCTCTGCCAGCACCTCTCCCAAGCCTTCTGGAGGCTGCAGGTGCGCCCCAACGGCAGTCCTTGGGAACTTTTTCAGCATGCCTGTCTTGACCGCACCCCAAGCTTGTTTGTGTGACAATGCCTATGCATGCTTGCTTGCCCAGTGCAGCTGTGCTCCCTGGGCCTACAGGGACACAATTTGCACCCCAAAAATGGATTGACTGTTCTCGGCTTTCTGTGGATGATCTTCATCGCTGGCTGAAATCCGATGCATCTCGGAGGAGCACAGTGCAAACTCGGAGAACAATAATCTCAGAGTGGCTTCCCTATCCTCATGCACAGAAGGCTGCAAATTTTCACACCCATTTAATGCTGTCCTCACTCCTGGTGTGGAACACCAAATCCAGAATTAGGACCTGATTTTTCCCAGTCCATGAAGGGACTGGGTGGACTGTGAGGGAACGGTCCACTCAATTTTTGGGCTGCTCCTTAAGTCAGGAAGGAACTTCAACGAGCATGTTTCACGAGGATGAGCTTCCTCCCCTCCTTCACATGTGCAGGAGGCTGCGGACGAGGAAGACGATGAGGGGGAGGGACTGATGGCGTCCTATGGCTGCATGCGCGCGCTGTCAACAGTCCTAGACAGCGTCAGCTCGATGCCGGCGCTCTTCCCCCAGCTGGAGGACATTCTTTTCCCTGTCATGCAGCGCCTTAGCTCGACGGAGGGCCAGGACGTTTTTGAGGAGGTCATGGAGATCGTGTCCTACTTCACCTACTTCTCGCCCTCGGTGCGCGCCCGTTCCAAATAAAAATCAAAATCAAAATTCAAGTTGCGATTTGAACGTACAGCTGGAAGGCTCCAATATTACGGCGCAGCGCTGCCTGCGAAGAGGATGAGACATACCCACAATGGCAGGCAATGAGGGCCCGAGGATGGAAAGTTATTAGCGTTGCATGCGTGCAGATATCAGAGCGCATGTGGACGCTGTGGCCGCAGCTGGTGCAGTGTTTCCACGAGTGGGCCATCGACTACTTTGAGAACCTGCTGGTGCCCCTTGACAACTTCATCAGCCGCGGCACCGACACCTTCTTGTCTGGCCAAAATCCCAACTACCTCCAGCAGGCATGGCTCCTGCTCTGCCCACAGTCATGCACAGCAGTGTGTGTGCATAATGGCATGTGTTTATTGGTTCTATTGGAGCAAGCTGCGTTCTCAAGAGCCTCGACCTGACAAGAAACAGCTCGGGACGGCACAGCACAGCGTTGTTGTTCGTTGCTTGGAACAAATCAGCATGTTTGTGCTATGAGCATTATATTAGTATTCTATCACGGCACAGCTGCTTTGTAATTGGAAGAGGGCCTAGTAGAGAAAAACTGGTGAACTATTGCTTGGATCCCGACAGCACACCAATACATCTGGTTGCATGTATGTTTGGCGACAGGATGTAGAGCCAAGAATGGGGTTGCAAAATTGCCTCATTGCTGCCTGGAACATTTTCGCCCCATGAAGACAACAGCAATGGGGAGGCAATACATGATTTATTTAAACCCAACCGTTGCACTGCAGGTGAATCACTTGGTGGAGACGGCCCTGACAAATGCGGATCTGAATGAGAGTGACATTGGGAGCGCCCCGCGGCTGCTGGAGATAATCATGCAGAACTGCCGCGGCCGGGTGGACGGCTGCATCGGCCACTACATCGCCCTCGCGCTCAATAAGTGCGCTGCATGTCTCCTCTCTTCATCTGCCACTACTCGGATTCAACAAGCGCAACCCTGTTCTGGCTCCATGTCAGCCACAGATTTGCTTGTGCGCTAAACGTGTGCGACCCTGTTTTGGCTTTCTCTATCGGTCAAAGTCTTTTCTCAAGCGCTTTCGGCAGGGTGATTTCAAACAGGCAAGGTGTGGCTTACAGCCCACAATGAGCGGTAAATCTGCCTGAACTGATGCCTGAAGATTTCAGACATCTGTGCAATGTGTGGGTTCAACAACTCGGGACAGGACGAGCGGGATTGCCAGTGCGGAGATGTTTGACACTTTCCAGCCCAGACATGCACAACACGAAAATGACACTGCACATCACATTTATGCATTGAAGTTTCAAGCGTCCTTTCGCGCATGGACAAGCAGAAGATGGAAAAAAATTAGGCAGCACAGCTCTTGTGGCAGACTTTAATTGTCAGCATGTGCAGGTTGCCGACGGCTGGGCGGAGCCTGCTGAAGGATCAGTTGGTGAATGTGGTGGCGACTGCGCTGTACTACAACCCCTCGCTGGCTCTGCAGCAGCTGCAGGCGCAGGGCCGAACCCAGGCATTCTTCTCTACTTGGTTCCAGGTGAGAGATTTTACCCTTGCAGAGGGGGCTGTGCTTTATTCTCGGTGAAGTGATGCCCTTTGTTGAGGCAGTGAGCAAGACAAGGGGCCTGAATGGGCCGTCGCCTCTGTGCGAAGTGTGGCGTGCATGGTGGATTTGGATTGATCATAGAGTATGCGCAGCTGGCAACATGCAATTTGATTTCCTCTTGACGACCTCCCTGCCAGCCCACTTGGCAGTCTTGGTGGCTGATTGGTTATTGAGGAGGACATCAAAGGCATGTTGTCATCGGCACTTATTTTGCCAAACAAGCACCTCCCATGCAAGGCTAGTAGTTCTTTGTAAATTGACCACCTTCGCTTTGGCTGCACACAGATGATATTCGCGACGCGGAGGAACGACGGCGCAAAGCACTTCCGGCGGCTGTACGACAAGAAGGTGAACGCGCTGGGCATGGCGTCCGTGCTGAGCGTGCCCGATGAATCACTGCCCGCTGACGTGGCGGCCGGCCTTCCCCAGCTCATGGGCGGCCTCGTCAAACTCCTCACCAGCCTCAAACAGCAGCAGGCATGCTCCTGCCCTTTAGACCTCTTCCCTGCCCTAGATCCCCACCGAGCATCCCTTGCCTGCTTGCCGAGCATTACTTTTGTGGCTCACAACGTAATGACCCTGCCGCAGTGTGCTGACTGTATCTGAAGAGGTGGCCAAGACAGTCATTCGTATGGCAAGTCTGTGCTAACGCCAGAGCCTCAAAACGCAGGTTCTGTGCTATCTTTGTAGAAACAATGAGGCAGCGGTGTCCATCAAGTACACTCCAGTGTAATCAGCAACAGAACCCACCCCGCAATACGAGTGATGACTAATTGTGGTCATGTGATTATTCTCTGCCAGGACATGGCGTTGGATGCCGATGACGAGGAGGATGAGCTGGACGAGGATGGCGACAGCAGCGGGGGGAGCGAAAGCGACGAAGAGGGTGACGAAGACGACGAGAACGGCCACCTGGACGAAGATGATGACGTGGACGAGGGAGATGAGGATGAGTACATCAAGCGGCTGGCTCGCGAGAGCGCGCGCATGAGGGTGCGATCCGCAGTCACGGATTAGCAAATATCATTTCCCCCTTTTTTTCTCTTTTTTTCTTTTTCTTTGTATCGATGTTCGGCAGCAGCTGGGTGCGTGAGCGTGCCTGGCTGGGGGTCTGCTGAGGGCCTTCCCAAACATTTGAGTCTACCTGGAAATGTGGGAATTTTATAATTCAGCGTATTTGGCAGCAGCCGGGTAAGTAAGAGTGCCTGGCTTTGGTCTGCTGAGGGAGTTTTTGCAAAGTGTCTGATTCTGCCCGCGATCTGTGCTGGAAGTACCCGCCGAGCAGTGCGTATGAAGCTTTATTTATGGAAAAAGCGAGGCAGCAGCTGTGGGTTTGATGGTGTTTGGCTGGAAATGCCTGCACATGTGATGTTTGCTGTGCCCCTTGCACATTGCAACAAGGCTTCCCGCCGGCATTATAATTTATGAGGTACTGCACACGCAGAAGTGATGAAACGTCTGACATGACAGAGACACTCTGTGAAGGCAGCTAACAGAGCGCACAGGATGGATGCACAGAGTGCAAAGTCGCTGTAGTGGACCAGGGAATGCTGACAAGTGGTTCTCACTGGTGCAGGGGAGGAGGCATGAGGAGAGCGATTCGGACGATGAGTGGACGGACAATGAGGAGGACTCTGCTCCGCTGGATGACGTGGACCCTTTTGTCTTCTTTGCTGACTCGCTGCGCTCTGTGCAGTCCCAGATGCCAGCCCGATTCCAGGTGGAGCCCTGCCCTTTTGTTTGAGTTGTAGCCTTCACACATAATCACCCATAACTGTTACAGGGGTCTTCAACTCGCCAATGGCCTCACAATACTTGGCCTAAACTCGTTCTGGCACGAATGCATGACAGGATCACTAGCAGCAACAGTTGGGAGTGGAAAAGAGAAAGCCTAGCATTTGCTGAATGCAGTGAATGATGCACCTCCATTCCACTTTCCCTTGGGAGAAGTCAAAAGTTGTGTCCAGCTAATATTCTGACTAATGTCGTGGAGACCACCGCATCAGATTCTAAATCTCATTTCTTGTGGTGCCAGCCAACTGGAGCTGTCTGCTGTGACTGACGATGGAGTCAGAATTCTTGATGAAGGGGTGTGTTGTATTGCAGGGGTTGATGGCGAATGTGGACGCCAATGCGCAGCTGGCGCTGCAGGGCATGATGCACTATGCAGAGGAGATGCGCGCCAAGCCGCCCAGGGAAGACTGATATGTGAGAGCCGATTTAAGTGAGCAGCTTTGGCTTGTTTTAGTATCTTTCCTTGAGGCAGCTTTCAGACTTTACTAGAAGGTTGGACGTGTGCATGCATGCAAGTTGACATGCCTGCGATTATACTGACTACCGAGTGTTGAGATCAAGACCTAGTCGAGCATTGAAGTCGGAGCTGATGCATGCTGCGCGGCCTGATCAGGGCTGGCTGCCAAAGGCTTTGGTGCTACTGGCAGTGCATTTGGGCCAGTGCGCCTGCGGGCCATCACCGCCGGTATTTCACCATTTATCGGTTCGATACCCTCATTACACTCGCAACTTCAAGACACCCTGTGCATGCATAGCATCCACTGATGGCAGAGACGTTCACCAAAAGCTGCTGGCCCTAAGTCGCGCTGCCAATAAAAATTTGCATTGATACAAAACTCGGCGCCGGCATGCACTCCTGGTGTACGTACAAAGGATTTCGATATGCAAGCATGCATATATGCAAGTTGCATGTAAGCCGCCAGCACTACAGCAATTCAGTGCCGGCCAGCAACGGGTAACTCCTCTATTGTCACCAGGCAACATCTCTGCTCGTTAAAGAATGCCAATGTCCATGTTTTGCCCATGCTTACTTTCACCATTGCCCATCACTCCTTGTGTGCACGAGTGTATGGCGCAGGATTGTTGCTGATGCACAGGAACTGCTTTTGTGATGTGATATCTTGCAAGCATCGCAAGCAACTGGCTTTAATTGAGCCAGATGTCCTACACGACATGCGCATGCGCGACACCTAAGTCTCTGAGGCAAGACATGCACACTCCACAAAAGCAATGGCTGAAATTCATGGCAGTGTCCGGCGGGCATGTGACAAAGGTCGACTCATGTCCCCTCCAAGGGAACTCTTTGGAAGACCAGGATCGGCAGCATGCTGACCACTCTCGGGTAACTTCTAAAAGCGATGACCCCGACATGACACGGTATCTAAAGGCAGCGATTGAGACATTCATCGCAAACCATGCAGCATCAGCAAAAGAAACCCCTAGCGTCTGGCTCTCAACGGTAAATCCCCGCCAAGAGACTCTGGCAGGGACCTTCACATACAGCGCAGTACCGATCAGGCAAAGCCTTTTGACTCGGGCGAGACCTTCGAGGCAGACATGACACCTTGCGCTCCCCAGCTCATCTACCTGGATCTTTACGATCGTGAGAATGTGCATTTCTGCAAAATATGCAGGAAGATTGTCCTCTATATGAACAGTAAAGTCCTTAAAGAAGAATGTGGTCACGTAAGGAAGCGCAGCATCCCATTCTTTGCCTGATAAGTCATCGTGGCCAAGGCCGCCAAGGTGCAGGATGCAACCTTCAGGCATGTGAATGGCAGCTGGAAGAAAGCCAACAAGCCCTACTCTTTCTAAGGACGGCATGCTCTGTAGCTGCAATTCTGGCGCCTCCAATATACCGTACTCGGCTTTCAGTGAGAGAGACACCAGATTTGCTGCACTTGGGATGGCTGCAAACACCTTGTCCACCTCAACGACCTCTGCAAATATGAGTTCAAGATGCTTGATGTGTAACAATGGCGGGAACCAAGGCAGCTCGCCAAGGCAGGTTGACAGCACTGTCAGCTTTGGAGAGCAGGCCAGCAGCCACAACAACGGCAACATGTGTGCCAGAGCCTCATCTCCATCCACAGGGGGGTCGCCCGTGATCTCAAGCTGCTGGAGGCCGGTCAGCTTGTTTAAGTCCTGCCTCAGAGTGTCTGCAAGCTTTTGCCAGTCCTCTGTATCCAGTTGCAGCGCATGGGCACAGCTCAGCCTCTTGCTGACCCATGCCAAACCTGCAAATGGCCGCTATTAAATCAGACCTCAAATACTTTAAAATACTAAGACATGGAGTCTGTCAATTACCAGCTGTGCCTTTGAAAGCACCACATTCCGCAGACAGGCAGGATTCACCTGCTTGTGATAACGAACATGGAATTGCAATGTTGCGCAGCTGCAAATTGAAAGTTGTGCGGCAGATTCCTGTCGCCTTGGCCCAGTCTTTGAGTGAGAAATGGCTGGCAATTTGCGCCCATACTGATTCTGGCAGCGCTATTGAGGAGGGAGCCTGTTGGGCCTCAGAAGCTCTCTGACGTCTAGGTGGCATCCTTCACAGGTGGAGGCTCAAAGACGTCTCTTTTTATTCGTCACGTTCGTGCAGGGATCACAATAAGCTACTCCAGATGGAGACGATCTGACTACACCCTCCTAGCCGATGTAAAGCCTGTTTCACAACCGCAATTCTGCTGGATAACAACTTGAATGTTGCAATGCTGCAAATTAATCCTATCGCTGATCGCTAATGGCGGCAAACGCTAGCACCCACAATAGAGATTGGGGTGCGAGGCCTGCTGTGTGGGCCTGATCAGGACCGTCGAGCGGGACAGGTTCCTGTTGCCCAGATGATGACGACTGGGAGGCATGCATCTCACCCCAACAGTTGGGATGTGCAAGCTTTCAGTAATGGTGTGTTTCTTGGCGGAGACCTCATTATGTGCCAGATATAGCCTAGTGTCCTCCACGGCCGCGACGGCTGCAGTTGGGCCTCGGGTCTGCGCGTTCCTCACATTTTTTAACCAAAAAATTAGATGTCATTTCACCTATTCGCTCATATAAAGGCCTGTTTCACAGACACATCCCACACGTGGAATGCTGAAACATGCTGCCATATGACATGCGGCCCCCAGATAAATCTAATGTTATGCTGCGTGGCGACATCATTTAAGCCACAGGTTGTTTCTGCACCCCAGAAACATGCCATGCAATGCAGCATGAGGTTGTCTGGCCGCGCCTGCAGCGCTTCCGGTCCTCCGTGCACATCACTGACCAATAATGGCCAATTTGCCTTCGTGACAATAACATGGCTGGAGCCATACTGGGAGCATTTCCCACACTGGGCACAACAGAAGCACCCTGATCAATCCATGACATCACAGTTCAACCACCCTCAATAGGTCAAGTACACCTAGAGCTCCTTCCGTAGCTCCCTAACATAGTGTCCCACTGCAAAGAGCAGTCTGCAATATTCAAAGTTCTTCCAACCACCCTCAGGTCGGACTCTCACTGTGCTTTCATGCACTGCCATGCCGGCACCTAGGTGACTAGTCCATCTGTGCAATACCTGACCTCTTTAGGCAAGGCATGCACACTCCACAACAACATGTCCAATTCAAGCCCGTACTGTTAGCAGGAGGGCACCTCACTACCGTCCTTGTTTCCCGGTGAGTGAACGCCCTCCACTGGAGCTGGCGAGCCGTCCATGCCGCATTGAGGTGGAACAAAGATGGCCCCACCAGACACGCACACTCAAAGTAAGAATTATGCACATCTGCTGCGAACTGCATGGTATCTGCAAAATAAATGCCCAGCTTATCCTTGGCGTAAATGAAAGCTACACGCCACGACACTCTAGCAGGCACTTTCAAGTACATGTTATCACAGGAGAGGCGCAGCCTTTGCACTTGTGAGAGACTCTCCAAAGAAAGATGAGCTCCTGGTTTTCCCAGCTGAGAAAAACCCAGTCGCACATCCGTCAAATTCCTCATTCTGGTAAAATTAGTGGGCAGCACATCAGCGCATAAGGGGCGGAGTACAAGATCGAACGAGTGCACTTTAGCAAGAACATCTTCCCACTCCACGTTTGAGAAATCTTCTGCATCTAGGCCATTAAGGTGCAGACAACAAGCATCGGGCAAAGTCATACTAGCTGGACGAATGCAATGCAGAGCGACGCCTCGTAAGCAGGGCAGGCTCTCCAGATTTAAATCTGGTGCTGCAAGCCCACCCGCAGAGGATGTCAGCGAGAGAGTTTCCAACTTCTTGGCATTCTGGATGTATGCAAACACGTTGCCAGTGTCGTTGTTGAAATGCAAGATGAGATGCTTCAGCTGCCGCAACGGTGGGAACCAGGGAACCTTCTCCAAGTTGGCATTCAGCAGACTCAAGTTTGCAGCACTGGCGAGCAGCCAGAGAAAGGGCATTATGTGTGCCGTTGCCCCCTCCCCTGCCCCAGGGGGCACACCCACGATCACCAATTGCTGGAGGCTGTTCAAGTTGTTAAATTCTTGCCCCATTGCATCTGTGAGCCGTTGCAGCTCAATTGCGCGCAGGTGCAAGGCAGATGCAGAGCTCAGCCTCTTGCTAACCCACTGTGCGCCTGAAATGCACACGCCAAAGCGGAGTAGATTCAGTATTAATTCAGGATTAAGTTCCTTTTGTATTGCTCTCCTTGATACCTCACATGGCTGGGAAACACCAGCAGCCAGAATGAATGGTAGGGAGCCCTGCACCACTACTTCAGAGAGAGGATTTGGCTGCACCCACCTGACTGTGAGAGCCCAGGAGGAATTTTCACCATGCACAGCTTTGTTTCGAATGTGGTGCGGCAGGTCCCCGACGCTTTGCCCCACTCTGCAAGTGTCACGTACCTGGCCACTTGTGACCACACTGACTCAGGCAGCTCCATCGAGCTGCTGGACTGCTGAGCAGCAGGCTTCTTTTGACGTCTGGGGGGCATCCTGTACAGACAGAGTAGGGGATCAGAGCTTCCATCTGATTGATGTCACCGTTCATGTCCTTGCAAAAAGGGATCAGCAAAATAGGATCCAGCATCAATACAGATCTGCACAGTTTTTAACACAGAGCATGTTCGGAAGCTGCAACACCTCCAAATCGATGGATGCACCGATCTTTGGAGAAAGCGTGACCACCTGAGATTCTTCTCTTCACGTGCTGATTAAATCTCTCTGTTGTACCTGTATGTTCAAGCCAGAGGCAGGAGTTATAGACCCTTAATTGATAAGTGATACGGATGTGTGAAAATTCACGTTTTCAACAATGGTCAAAAACGCTCAAGCCATGTTCTCGACGACTATGCTCCATCAAATTCTTGCCAAAGCCATGCCAGATGGTTGCAAAAATCTGATGTAGACAAATCAACGGCCTCAAAGTTTATCCATCAAAAATCACTGCATTGTCTATGAAAACATCGAGGACGTTGATGCACGCACCTTTCTTTTCAAAGAATCGACGTATATCGTGGGTAGATCAGGTCTCTCTGCAATCCGCAACAATCTCTGTAGAGAATCCGAAGAGAGCACGACACAACTGAAACGTGCTCTTTAAATTCGCACGAGAGTCACGAATGTGACCGACAATTTTGGCAAAAACCTGGAAACGGGCAAAAAATGTGAAGCGCCCGAGGAGGGGCTCGAACCCTCGACCACAAGGTTAAGAGCCTTGCGCTCTACCGACTGAGCTACCCGGGCTATTTTCCGGGGACGCTTCACGACATATGCACAATTTCTGCTCTCTATATAATCAATGAGAACCCCAAATTCACATGCACATTATATTCCACTATTACTACACGCTTTTCCTGCCAAGAGGCAAGGTGCATCCTGCAGACAAGCTGCAGTTGAAAAATGCCATAATCCTACCTACATGCACATGCACATGCAATATACTGGACACCAGATCTTGTGCTAACAATCCCAAGATGTTGATCAACCACACCCAGCGGTAAATTGAGTAGACAATTTATACTGCCTGATCTGCACACCAAACGCAGGCACCCCCGCAGAATGCTTTCCAGGAAATTCTACTTGATAAGTATACTTATTAGTAAGCTCATGAGCTGATCAGCAATTTCAGCCAGTTCTTGCTTTGCAGTGAAGGCCCTTACCGGGTAAACTCATACAAGTCTGCCTAGACCCACTGGCAGTCCTGTCAATACATCAAGAATCAAGACATAGTCCATCATTTGACCATGCATAAGAATTCTTGCTCTCCTCGCAATCGATCAGAGAAAGGAAGAGTTTCTTACATGTGCACGTGAAAGAGCGCTCTAGCACTGGCAGTGCTTATAATATTTGCATGCGCACTTTGCAGTTCCTTGGCAGAATCGCAATGGCGTCGGTGATGACATTCCAGGTGCAACCACAGCGCACCTTACTGGTATCAGCAGTGCAGACTCGGCTATAGTATGTACTATAGTATGTCGTTCTCTTCTCTCTCCCTCTCACAGCAGCGCTCTCAAATGCAGAGTTCAACCAGCTCTAATCACGCTCACACACGCGCACAGTGGTATTATGCTTTCACTTGTTTTCATCGTCCAAGTTTGTTCTCTGTATCAGAGTCTGCAGGCGGCGTCTCTATCTCACCAGCAAAGTTCACACATCATTAGCAAATAGCCAAAATTTGTGGGACGTCAAGAAGCACCAAAACTGACACCGCTCTCTCACAGCGCTTGTCTTTCGCCAACAAAATTGGGCAGGACTGCCTGCCAAAAGAATACAGCACCCATGCATTGCAGCATGGGCGCATGAAGAATACACTTGAGCTCTGCTAAAAGCCGGCAGCAGCCGTCACAACAATGTTATCATCGTGACAACTGCTGCAGACCAAACAACATGCTTCTAATGCCGCTCACCGGGTCTTGAACTTTTGCAGGCCCCTCGTAGAAGCATGCATTGCCCATCAATGATCTGCCTACATACTGGGCACTGAACTGCTGCTCCTCCTACGATCTGGTCTTGAGTGGAGGCAGCCCTCTAAACTCTCAAAATTTTGCGCTCGATGCACTCAATACATATCGACGCTCTCTCGCTATCCTCAGAATGATACATAACTCGCTCTGTACTCTAGCTCTCGCTAGGTGCTCCTGTGTACAGGGCAATCACCCTCAGGAAATGATGGTTGCTGCGGCTGTCAGGTATCCAGATGCATCCTCGTACAAGCAGTAGCCGTGCCTAGAAAAATACTCGGGAACGTTGAAGCTCTCTGCCAGTGTCGGCCGCACATCTGGCAGCGTGGACAGGCCCCTCAGGAAGGGCAGCAGATCACGCATTAGCTGCCTGCGCCAGCAAAGACCAATACAGATCAAGAATGCTGCAAGACATTCACTGTAGGAATGTGTGACGTGCATTGCACACGATACTGCATCCCCTTGCACCGCGTCCTGGCATTCTGCCCTCAGTCCTGCCCTGCACTCTGAAGAGAAATAGTATTGAAAATAGGACAGGCCCCATAATTGTCTCTAAATGCCTCATCTCTGCAAGCTCAAAACTGAGCTCCACAGCTCGGTCAGAAGGGACCGAGAAGTAGATCCTTCGTGCTGTAGAAATGTCATGCAGACAAGCCATACTGCACCTGTCATGGATCAATTATGGAAGCAAGACAGGAAGCGGGCACAATGGGCCTATTACATATATTGCAGCGTGCTGCACCTGTCATGGGGGTCTCCGTAGAAGGGGCGGGCCGGCACGACGTTGCAGGGCTGGAGCAGGCCAGAGAAGGGATCATTGTCGACCAGCACGGTGCGGCTGAGGCAGCGGCCGACACGGCGCAGATCCTTCACATAGTCCTGCATGTGCGTGCGCACCGTCTCCGGCCTGCGCCCAGATCGTCGTCACATGCCGCCATGACAAATAAGACCTCGAGGTCTAGATCACTTGCCGAAGAAGAGTGCCTTTGTGGGGCCACGCCCCAGAAAATAAGTCAATGCATCTAGCTGCGTGCTGCAGGCTGTCGGATCCCGCCTCGACAAAGATTCCAGCATTTGCCAATGACGATTATGAATTGTGGGGCTATTCCCAATGACACTTGGCGAGTCTTGGTGCGCGTGACACGCCGTCACATGCCGCTTCGAACAAGGGGATCAGGTGCCACTGCCATGCCCGTGCGATTTCCCAGAAGCGTGCAAAATTCCCAGCTAGCAGTTGCATGGTTTAGAATAGGAAGGATGGGATGAAACACCATGGAACACGAGGCTATGCAGATCTAGAGACAAGTAACAGTGCGTGAGCAGGCCTGATCACCGGTAGAGCTTGGCAGCAAAGAGGCGGTTGTCTGGGTCCAGCATCTCAATCACCAGCTGCGCATACCCTGCAGGACATGCAGAATTAGTGATCAGGCCAAACTATTCAAGGCTGCAATCAGACACCACCGCCCTGGGTAAAGAGCTATTTGGGTGTGCAGCTGTTTTTGCCGGACCTGGGTGGCCCGCTGTGAAGAGAATGAGCTCTGCAAATTCTGCGAGGCTCTCCAGGAAAGCCTGCACTCCAGGTCGAGGGAACACGACCACGTCGCCCATCCTGCCGTTTCCCAAGACGCAGGACACTTCGAAGGACTTGGCACTGCTGTAAAGCAGGTCTGCAGGCACGTTGTTGCGGCTGTAGGCGCACACCAGCGTCTCGTCCAGGTCCAAAACAACCTGAGCACGGACCACGGAAAGTGATGGTAGACTCTACAGATGTTGTTGATAAACTCGCCATTATACGCCATTAACCAGCAGCATAAGGCAGGAGATCTGCGCATTTGTTGAGGTGGAGCTTTCCTCACCGTCATCCTGTCGCGTGGAGCTAGCTGAGTCGGCAGGTGTGTCCCTGAAAATTTGTGGTAGGGCTGGCATCGCCTTCTACAAGCCTCCTGTCTTGCTGCCACCTTCAAGCTACGCTCAAGAAGATTCTGCGCACTGCCTTTGCCGTCGTGCTGAACGAGCCTATCTGCAAATAGTCTTGCGGAACTGAGCATGTGACCGCCCAGGTAATTGATGAGACGGCGTACTAAGTCATAGAAGGCAACATAAATTAATAACGCCGCGCTCAGAGGCGATGCAGGCTTCGGTGGAGCATCTATTTCTATTACAGATGTTTCGGTGCACGTCAGAGACATCGGCGTAAAGCTACCTACAGCTTTGTGAGACCTTTTTCCCTTCTAGTTCCTCACATCTAAGAGCTGTGATCTATTTTGATGTTTTGTGCACTGTTGTGCAGAGATTGTTTCCTTTGAGACGTGTCGGAACCGGTGCTTTCACTTCAGCCCTGACCTAGCCTTGGTACTACTAGCCGAAAATCACGCGGCGATGTCCTAACAGAAACATAATCGGTGTTTCTTCAAGTGTTGTGGCCAGAAAGGTCGGAATGGAATGTTATGGTTCTGTTCGACCACAAAGTCCTTACCCGCTGTCGTCAGCCTTTAAGGCTGATCAGTCATGACTTGGAAATTTCCTAGTCAGAACTTTCAGCACGTGCGAATTGCAAGTAATTTTGGGCTTAAACTTCCAATGGGAGAGTCTTGCAGGAGCAGCAAACACTCTCAGAATGTATTGTTGATCTCTGATTGAAAGTGGCACCTGTTTGTCGATTCCTGCTCCTCCTCCTGCTGGTGGTCTGTTCAAGGCTTGTGATCAGGCGGTCATCACACCTTCATATCTCATATACTTTCTCAGTCTGACGAGGAAGATGTCTAATTTTTTAATACAAATGGCGGAAACAGCGCGAAGATCGCGAAATAATCAAGGGGAGATCCTCACAACAGACTTCCTGGAAACGTGCAGAGGGCTCCTCCCCATCATAGGTGATCTCCACAAGCACAGCACACAGGGAGCAGGCCTTGGCTGCTCTGGCGTGACAGTGGCATCTCACTTGTCTGATCATATGATATAGAAAGTCACACTGGCGATGTTTGGTGGGAATCATGCACGGTCTGCACTCAACTAGTTTCAAAGGCTTTGCCTGCTTATCAACAGGCATCATTGCAATCTCAATTCTTCATCCTGCCGTCCAGCTTAGAATCTCTACGGCTGCATTTGACTTCTTTGGGTGTGCTCTCACAGACAAATTTGGTACTGGCTTCTCGATAGTGCGGGGAGACATAGGGGGCAATATTGACCGTCTAGCAGCAGCTCAGACAAAGGATGCCAGATACACAACCCTCTTTGCAATCATTACGGACGAGGTGAAGCGGGGCGAGCAGGAGGGAGGGCAGTCAGACACAAATGCTCTGCTCTGGCTCAAAAGGTAACATTGCATTCTTTGCGCACCTCATGCCTAGATCAAAGAAGTAGATCCAGCTGATGCAAAGACCATGGCTCTGGGATCTGGACAACTTGATGGCGCAGCCCATCAACTGAGCAAATTATCGCCGTGTGACCTCATCTCTCTTTGCTTGAATGCAGGGCCACCGAATTTATATTGCTGCTGCTGAAGCGATTACACGATGACAGAGAAGTGACGCTCTCAGCTGCCGCGAGTGAGGTGTACTATCAGACGCTCAACAACTATCACACATGGTACACGTCAGCAGCTTTCACCGTCGTTTTGAAGGTGAGACACCCTTCCTTCATGAGCGCTTGCTAAGGTATGGACTGAGAACCGAAGGCTTGGTTTCAGGGAATAGATTGTTCATTCCTCAACGAGTTACAAAATTAAATATGCGTTTGTGTGCAGTTTGTGCCCTCAAGGGAGACATTTTTTGCGGCGCTGGGCACTCCTGGAGAGCAATTGATGCAGGATCTCCAAACTTTGTTCGACTCTTTCGAACCCTTGCTACAGGACATCCAAAAATTCCTGGCAGATCACAACTTGGACTTCCAAGCGAAAGTGTGATGGCACCTCATGCGGCAGAGGCACGATTAGGTCCACTTAGGAGTTAAAGAACCTCTGGATCGAATTAATTGTATAGTCATTGGCTGCAATATACTCCTTGTACAGATTCTAGCCAGATGCAGTCTGGAGTTCAGATTTCAGGTTCTGGAGGTGTATAGTACAGCAATTCGCATGCGCAGCGCTGTGAACATCTCATGCATGGTGTCTGACAGCTAGCTGTTGCACGTGCCGGTGTATATCATGCGTGGAGTAAGAGTCTGAAAGCGCATGCGCAATCAATTTCCACAGAGACTTACAGCAGACTTGCCACTTTCCATCAAGAGTGCGGATCGTGGATACTCCTGCTGACTTTGCACATCTTCTTTGAGCATTAGTATAGCAACCTTGGCGAGTGCTGGGTGCATCAAGCATTGTCAGAGCTGCATCACGTCGAAGTGGAGAGACAGCCACAGAAGGTTCCTCACCCTCAGCTTTAGATGTCATTCACCTCGATAATACGCAGCTGCCAACCTTGATCCTAATAGGGGAATACTATAAGAAAGACGCCCACCTGCAGCAGTCCCTTCAAGGTCTCTGCCTACATGGCGGCGACGCCAATGCCTTGACCATACACCTGAGCAGCCAGAGATCTGCATCTCAGCCCTCACATGTCCTTTTCCAGGGGTTACTAAAGACTACTATTAGTCTATAGTACCCTCTGCCTGTATGCAGAGCTTTGGTCTCAGTTATTTGCATCGTTGAGGGCCCTTGCAGGAGCACAGCTTGTTGATGCGCCTGTGGAGCGTGCCATCTTTTTCTTCAAAGACTATTTAATGGCCATGTTTGGGTCTTGCTTGGATCTGGCGAGTCCAACACGGGGCTAGGTTTGTGGCAGCCTTTAAATGCAGTCTGCAGGATGCACCTTGCCTCTTGGCAGCAGCGTTTAGTAATAGTAATAATTCCAATTTCTGGCTGCTGCTTCTGGTCATAGGCCCGCTGTCCACCGTCTGATTGACCGTTATCTTGCAGACTTTTGCCTTGCATGACCACTCTGTTGCTTGACCCCGAGGTGATGCATTTGTTTGCCATTCATGTGATTGACTGTTGACCTTCCTGTGACATAGTTTGGTTTCTCCTGCAAGACCCTCAACGCAGGGGGCTCAAAGTCGAATAGTTAGATATAGAGCCCCCTGCTCAACGCCACCCAAGGCGTCCAACAAGTGGCGGTGCTAGCAGAAAAACAAAATACAAGAAAAATGTATTTAGATTTTGGCAGGCATTAGGACTCGAACCCGGGTATTCCGAGTTAGGGGAGGGGCTCGAACCCTCTACCAACTAACCCGTCCAGGGATTGGCACCTGACGCCACCAGGAGAGCCGTGCCTTGCTCAGCTGCTGCTTCTACGGGTATATAAGCCTTGCGTCTGAAGCTCCCTGATTTGTTCCAAATCACATTTGCCAGGCCGTTTTCCCCAGCAAGGAGAGGTGTCTCTCCTAAAAGCTCACACAAACTGAAATCCTGGCAAACCTCCCAACAATTTAGCACCCGACGGCTGCTCGGAACATCACGGTATATTGAAGGTAAATCGACCTAATTGCGGCATTCTTGTGGCATAGCTATAAGCCGGGACCAGCTTCATGTGTGCCGCAAGGCGAGCAATTGACCGCCAAAACTCTGGCCATGTGACGAGTGTATCGTTCGTTCAGGCTTGGCCGAGCCGAGATCAAATCTTTAGGGAAGGGAACCTGACCTGCCTTTGTTTTGCACTCTTCCAAAACCATTGGCATCCGGGGTGCAAAGCCTGTTCTCACCTTTTTTTCAATGAACGTATATAAGCATTCGACAAGTATATTCAGATGCAGATGCCTTCGGTGGTTGGGGCATGTGGCTTAAAATGCTTCTTGCTAGGAATGCCAGTGCAGACAATGTTTAGCACAAAGACAATCGGCACTCGGCATGCTTACAGTCTTGGTAGCCTTGCCTTCCGGCAGACTCAGCCAAGCTCAATACTTGATTTGAACACCTAAAGTGCTTTGTACTTCACACATCTCTCACCTTCACGTGCACTGCTCGCCGCGGCTTCAGAGACCCTAACACGTCGTTTGTAGCAAATACATCACAAGAATTCTAATGAGGAGGCAGCGAATACGCAGCAGTCATTGCAGCAAGAGGAAGTCTCACAGCTCAGTCTGTGCTGCGCTGCACTCAATATGTACAGGATTGGTCTTCTTCAGCAACAAGGACTTAGCACGGACAATGACTCACCAGGCACGCGCTACTAATACACATAATGAACAGGGGAAAGGTGGGATGAGGGCTTCTGCGCTGTCATCGGGGCCGGTGGTAGCGCGCCAGTCGCTGTTGGCCGGCCAGCACAGCGCGTTCGACGTGGCCCAGCAGCTGACCTGGCACCAGCTCATCCACCGCCAGCATGTTGGCCAGCAGGCCCCACAGCTCCAGCTGCTCATCCGGGTCCAGCTGAGAGAGACACACACACACCTAAGGTCAATCATCGGTTTAATCCGTACGTGAAAAGTGCATGCTTTGAAGCCTGGCCACATTGCAACCAGACCAGGAAGCATGCGACCTGGAGGTCAAGATCAGGGCCCCGAAAACGACCAAGAGGTCGGTCCAGATGCGAGAAATGCATGCTGCGGGTTCTGCCTGCCGTGCAGTGGGACAATGAAGCATGCGCACTGCCGCTGCAGCTGTCAGGGGAGCCCTTTGTGCCACATGTGCATGTCGCAGAGAAGTACAGCAAAGCACAAGTGCATCAGTAGACGACAGATGCAGGTGGTGTTACCGGAATCAACACACAGCACATGGCAGTGGGACTTCCTGTGCATGCATGCATACCTGCATGGCAGACGAGAGGACGCTGCCGACAGTCACCCCAATCTCCCTGGCCACATAGCTGTTGAAGTACAGGTAGCTGAACATCGCCATCACCACCTGCACGCACAATCTTCCAGTCAGAACCAACTGACTTTAAACCGAAACCCCACTGGATTCTAATTTTGGGGTGTGAGCCTCCGGCTCGCTGTAGATCACCACATGTGGCCCACATTGCGTCATGCATCCATCCATGCCATGACCTCGATGAGGATTATTGGCATTCATAGAACAGAAGGAATGCGTTCAACACATTCATGTCTGAATGTCCATCCCCAAATTTGGCAATTGCGGCTAGCTGACTAATTGTCATCCACCAAGATCAGCACACCTGGCAGTCCATGCGGTCAGTCATGCCGCCGTGGCCGGGAATGGAGTCGCCAAAGTCCTTGATCTTGAACCCGCGCTTGAAGCCTGACGCAAAGAAGCCACCAAAGGGCGCTATTATCGACGCAAACATCGCCAGGACCACTGCATGCAGCTGCACAGATACACATGCATCCCCTCATGTCACACTGGAATATTCAGAAATACATGCATTCCCTTGTGTCACTCTGGACCGTTCAAAAGAAGTGTGCATTCCCTTATGTCACACTAATGCTGTCCAGACACATGCATTCCCTATCTCACAGAGCACTAACACCAATTATTGCCTGTCTGCATCTTTGGGAACACTGGCTCAAAATGGAGACTTATGGTTGTACATCTCCACTCAATGGTCAGTAGATGAAGTGGCAGAGCAATGGGGAAAATTTAACAATGCTGAACAGATGGACATTAGCTGCATGCGGATGGACCTAAATACCTGCATGGGGCGTGCTACAACGCTGAGGCCGCCGAGGGAATCAGCGATGGCAGAGGGAACGTAGCGCGACAGCGCCCTTGTGACATCGGCCAGGGGGCCAGGCAGGTACTCGGGCAGGTCATAAAGCACAAACTTGTTGGGGACGTAGATCTCATCCGGGTTGCACTTCAGCCAGCCCATGGATAGATCCTGCAATCCCCACAAACAATCGCTGAATATATCAGCTGCTCTTCACAATAATATGAGCAGCTCAGCATGCCAGATTTTTGGTTAATATGGAAATGCGGAGCTGGCATCGCTTCCATTCTTGGAGGGAGACAAGACAGCATGGCAAAGATCCTAGGGCAATCTTAGAGACATGCATGCATAGCCTGCCCATGCGATGTTGATGCTCGATGGGGAAATTGAGTCTGAGGAGCGTACTGTGCGTGGGCAGATCATCCAATTGAAGCGGGACATGAACTCTGCCAGGAACCAGGAGGAGATGACCGTCAGCACCAGGCCCCCAAAAAATCCCTCCCATGTCTTCTTCGGCGACAGCTTTATCAGCGGCGTGCGCCCAAAGAAGAACCCTGCATCAGCATGTGTCAGAATTTATCTCATGACTTCTCTGATGTTCCCTTGGAGGTCAGTGTGTGGTGCATAGCAACACTGACAACTGCATGGGATTGCAGGTGGATGAGATGACTATAACCAAAAGGACCTTGCTTTGAAAAGAATGGCAAATGGGTAAGATTTCTTGCGCCGAGCCTCATTAAACATGTGCATGCATGCAATCGCAAGCGTCATTTGGGCAGAAATTTTGGGGAATGCAGGGGTTTGCACCTGAGAGGTACGCAAAGATGTCATTGGCAATGACGAGGGAGCACGGCAGCAGGAACCAGATGATGCCGTCAAAGATGTTGGACACGAAGAAGGACGAGGGAATGAAGACAAAGAGGAGGATGAGGTGCGTCCAGGCATAGTTGCCAAACTGGTACAGGTAGCAGCCCTTCTCCAGCTTGAGCACAAAGGACACAAAGCCTGCATGCACAACCCAACATCATAAGCAGGGCCAACTGGAGAACCTCTCGTTGCTGTGTGTCTCTATATTGTCTTAGCCATTTCAGGACAGCAATTGAGACACAGGAGGGAGCATATGCGGCACGTCCTTTTTAGAAGGCAACTGTAATGACATGTCCCCAAGGACTGGGTAAGCCCTCTATTTGAAATCTTCAACTGGCGGAACGCTACAGAATTTACCAGCTGTGTAGAGGGCAAAGGTGAGGATGGTGTGCTTCTTCAAGGCCCAGCCAAAAAGGCGTGCCAGCTGCGCATTCGATGTGATCTCCACCACCAGCTGGTTCCGAATGAACCTGAGACACGCGCAGCACCGGGCTCATACTCAGCAAAAACACTCCTATGTAGAAGGATGAATGACACTATCGCAAATATTTGGATGATTTGCTAGTGGCATGGATGTGCATGACAGTGTAAAGGAATAAAAAACCACTCGCGATCCGTGTGTCGAATCTCTCCTGTTTGAGCTTCTGCAGTTCAAGCAGGCACTTGTATGTCAAGGAGAAATATCCCACCTGAAGTACATCCAGAATGCGGCCACCATGAAGAAGTACCACTGCTGCAGCCGCCCATGGCCGGCCGGCTTGGTCTGCTCCCTCTGTGACTTCTCTGCCAGCTTGAACAGCTCTCTCACCATTGCCCCCTGCAGATCACCGTGCATGAGTGCTGCACTCTGTTTTAAAGCTACCATCCAGCAAAGGTATGGTCAGCTCATGTTGGCCACAAGCATAATCTTCCCCTTACCTGCGTCCTAACGTCCTGCTGGTTGGAAATTGTAATTGTATTTGACCAGGGCATTTCTATCTTGAGCAAGCAGTAGCCTGAATGCTGTTCACAAAGCATCTTGTTGAGGAGGCGAGGCTTTGCTGGTTGTCGGCCTACCTGGATAGCTAGGATCATCAGCATCAGAGGCACGTGGCCCAGGTAGATGATCACGCAGAAGCTGGCAATGATGATGACCGTGGACACTGCCCTCACTTTCAGCGACTGGTATTTCTTCTTCTGCAGCATAAGATAGATCTCAGGTAGAAGCGTTGAAAAGACACGACAGGCGTAGAAGAAATAAAGTCTGACAACTCAGGCTAAATGATTTCCATATGAGGCAGGGACTTGCCGAGTATCGAAGCATCTTACTAGAAGCATCCCCCTGAATGCACAAAGTCATTGTCACATTTAACACATCAGATACTACTTATTAATGTAAAATTTATTGTTAGTTATATTGCATGCAGGCAGATGTTGATCAAGGCCTTGTGATCAAAGGCAATGGTCCATCTGTTGCCAATGCTCAGCATCGACACGTGGGATACACATAGATTCGGCGAAAGTTGGGGCTCTTTATTTGCGAAATATTAGCTGTTTTTCTGAAAGGCATGAGATATAGCGATTGGTTCGCCACCTTGCTGCTCTCTTGAGCAGTACTAGTGTCATAGCCATCTTCGGAACTCGGGGCTGGAGGAGTGGCAGCCCGTTCGCCCCTATATCTTAATGCCCCGTCCATCTCACCACATCACTGCCTAGAGACCCCGCAACAGGCTGACAGATTTGTGGAGAAAATGGTTCTGGGGAATGTGCGCAGGCACGGGTGTGCAAATCGATGGGAGCACAGAAACACACGGACACCTTTCTGAGAACCCCACCGTTCTTCACGATTCAATGAAACTTCAAGGGGTCTTCGGTGATTGACTTGTTTGTCCTTCTTCGAGAATAGGAGGATTTCTGGGTGGATTACGTCAATTCTGGGGCAAGTTACGTTACCGCTTTGTTCGAAATTTTCTTGGCGCCTTCTGTTTACTGTTAAATTAACAGTTTCAATATAAGCAATGCCCATGCATTGTCTAAGAGATGTGTCTTAGATTTGAGGATCTGCTGAGATTCATACACTGATCTGAGTACCGGAACTGATCGGCTATGAATTCCTCCCTTACATGCCGGACCGCGATCTTAAATCGCCAATTTAGGGGCATCCTGCGGCTCCATCGTTGACTGTGCAGATAGGTGCAAATGCGGATTTTGGCTGCTTGTCAGCTGCATAAAACGCCGAAAATCTACAGGTTTTTAGATCACATAGCTGCTCAGTCGAAGTCCAGGAAAATACGTTGAAATTAAAATCTTGCAGTGTTGCTGAGGTCTGTCTGATTTACAATATATCCCCACAAGCTCAACTTTGAAGAAGGGTGAGTGCTACAGTGGTTGTGGCAGCATTTTTAGACTCATGATCTTAGATAATATGGGTCCCAATCTGAGTGTTTCCAGCAGCTAGTGCTCGATAACCATCCTTCCCAGCCAAGCTTTTTAGAGTGCCTGAAAGGGATCTTTTGAAGCATGAAGGGCCTCCCCTGTGTCTGTGAAGGATGCCACCCAGACACCAGAAAGCGGCTACTACCATGCACTCTGCCAGCGCAACAGAGCTTCCTGAGGCAGTGTGGATGCAAATTGCCAGCAAAATATCACTCAAAGAGTGGGCTAAGGCATCAGGGTGCTGCCGCACAACTTTCAGGCTGCAGCTGCCCTGTGTGGAGATTCCATATGAGCTCTCAGAATCGGGTGAGCGCTCCCCGCATGGTTTTTCTCTGGACCAACGACCTCCTGTATTGATGGATATCCTAGTTTGGGAGTACGTGCAGCAGCATATTTCTCATCCCCTTTTCCTGATCATGGCCATCCTGATTTGGGAGTAAAAGCAACAGCACAATTCTCATTGCCATTTAATTGATGTTTGGGTGGCCTCTAGGGGTCACCTGGGTCGGCAAGAGGCTGAGTGGTGCACGAGCCTTGGAATTGCAAGTCCAGGACTGGCAAAGCCTTGTGGACACATTGGGGCAAGGCTTGAACGAGCTGACCAACCTCCAGAAAGTCAAGATTCGAGGCTTCTATCGGGGCACAGACGAGGCGGCAATGGCGCACATGATGTCAGTCCAATGGCTGCTGGCTAATGCGCCGAACCTCAAATTGCTGCATGCCTGCCTTGAGAAAGTCCCCTGGTTCCCGCCGCTGTTGCACCTGAAGCATCTTGTGTTAGAGGTGACAGGAGACACTGGCAAGCTGTTTGCAGGCATCCAACATGCGGCAAAATTAGAGACCTTGTGCGTGCATTCTGTGTGTGACTCAATGGTGGAAACGCCAAAGTTGGACCTAGAAAACATGCCCTGCTTGTATGCTGTTGGGCTGAATGCTATCCGTCCAGCTGCCATACACCTTCCGAGCAGGTGCTGGTTGCACCTCCAGGGCCTTGAGGAGGCTGATTTCTCCCATGCACAATGGGACACAGTAGTTGACCAAGTGTGCACCTTCGATTTTGAAGACCTTGAGCTCAAGATTGTTGACTGCCTCCCCTATTTCTTGGGCGCGCTCCTGAATATTGAGACTGTGGTAGCTGCGTTTCATCAATTGGGTACTCCCCAAGCTTACCTTGATCTTGAGCCTCTCTGCCATGTGCCAAGGCTCTATCTTGGCGGCACAAAGTTGTTCCTGAGGGTGCCAGCCACAGTAGCATGGGAGGAAGTGAATTTTGGCAGTACTGGGGAGTTGGGTCTCTCATTTGATGATGTTGGATGGTTTGCGAAAAATGTTCCAATAGCAAGCTTCAGGTATGCCCATTTGGAAGGGCCATCTATGTTGCATCTAATTTTGGCTTGGACAACGAGCGCCCGTCCCTGGAGCACACAAGTACAGTCTCGAGAGACTGTGATTCAAAGCCCTCCAGGCTGTAGAATGATTGACAACTACATGTGCTTCTGTGGAGTCTGCATAGACTGTCTTGAGAATACTTGAATCTGCGTCACAGCCGGTACTGCTTGGGGCTTTCATTCGCCGCAGCTCATCTCTTGACATAGTACAAGCTTGAGTGTAGAGGTACTACATGTACTGTAACAGAAACTCTGAGTCATAATGCGCATATACATATTGGTACCCAGTATTACAGACGCATATACATATATGCATAGGTAATATAACACTTGCGAACCAATACTTTCCTACAAATAATTGTATGAGACTTTGTAAGAACAACAAGCACTTACACGCAAAAGCTGACCATCTTCTTAATCTTCCTGACAACATGGTTGTCCCATGGCAGAGACATCCTGTTTCACACAAAATCCATTAATGTTTCTGCCCTACCCTGCTCAAGAACAATCGCCCGCCAGGACATGCTCTCCATGGCTCTGACTGAACGTTCCTGACTGTACAATGGTTTCCTTGGAGTCGCGTGTGCTGCACAGCATGCACCCATGCACTGCAACTGCTGTTTTTGTGAAGAGATCTGGCCAACCAGGCAACATCTAACCCAACATTGCCCAAGGCAGTCATCTGCACATCCTAAGGCAAGCAGAACTCTTCCTGAAGCCAAGGATGCAGCATGTAGCAGCTACCATGATCAGCCGGATATCTGTACTCGGGTGTCCATGCATGAAAATGGTCACGAGGAGATGCTGGATTAAGGCCTGCCAAGAGACATCCACTGAGAATCCAACCAAGCCTGAAGCTCATGGGTGAAGCTACAGGCACCAGCCCAGATCTTCAGCAAATTATAAAGACAGCCAGCAAATGCCCAGAAGGCAAAGTGGAGGAAATGAGCTAATTTGGAGCCAAGGAACCAGAAATATTTTGCACAAACTCCTGGACGATTGTACACCTGTGGTCCGCTTGTAATGTCCCATCCGTGTGGTGGTTCACAGAAATCTGATTGCAGGGTTGTCATATCAATACAACCATTTGTACACATGCGCTTGCACCAGGGAAGAATACCATGATATACGCAGCAGGCTACTCGCACAAATATAGACTCTACTGGCATCTCTTTCCAGCCAAAAAATAAGCAAAGCCTCCCAGCCTTGCCATATCACACCTCCTCGACTGCCTTTTCCTCAGACAGCTGACCACAGTAATTCTGACATCATCCGCTCGAAAAGCTGCGCGTCGGGATGCCGAACGAAGCGGAGCCACTCTTCGCGCGCACCACATGCGGCAGCGGCACAGCCGACACGATCTCGATATTATGGCCGGCCCCATCCGCCGTGTCGACCGCGGCGGCAGCCGCCGGCGCCAGCTGCTGCTGCGGTTGCTGCGGCAGGGGCTTCTCTGCCAGGATGGAAGCAGTAGGGGACAGAGAAGGGGGCGAGAGCTGCGCAGAGGTCTTTGCCGGGTTGAAAGCCGAGGCCCCGGGGCGCAGGGACGGCTGCGGCGTGGCCGGCTGCCAGCGCAAACTCGAGTTTAGGGCGGCGGAGTGCGCGGTGTTGAACATGCTGATGTTGGACGGCTGCCGCCTCCGCTGCCACTCCTGGCTGGCGCGCCGCACGTTGCCCCTGCGCACACCATGGAATGTTGTTCAAGCGAGGTGTGGTCTCCAGTATATTACACAGCATAGTGCGTTCATTCCCTTGATGCCATGCACACACCGGGGCCAGAAATGTCACGTGCGCGGTCCAATCCAGGAGGACTAGGTGTGTCCATGTGCTTTTTAAAGCACATACTTTATTCTGCACGTGCAACCAGAGGCAGCGATGACTGGGCGCTTGAGGGGGGATGCAAGTGCTGGGACGGCGGCTGGGACGAGGATTTCTGTTGGGATGTGATAGAAACATGCCTGGTGAAATCTCCTGTGGTGCGCGTGGACAGCGGGCCCATGAGCGAGGGGCTCTGGGCTGCCTTGGCTGCCTCCGTGTCCATGCGCGGCGTTGCCATGATGCCCACCTCGTCCTCAAAGCCGCTGTTTGTGCGTTGGGTAGGCGTTGACTGCCGCTCCGGCAGCTCTGCACGGCACACATGTCATAGGTCAGGGGCAGAACAAGTACATACAGTATCAGTCCGAGGGTCAAATAGGTGCGGCCCTGCAAAGAGCAAGTGGTGTAAGGGGCAGCAACATCTTTGCCCAAGCGAGGCATGCGCTTACGTGCCTGACCTTCCTATCAGGTGCCTTCATATGCAGCAGGTCAAGCTGGCACCGTAAGGGCCAATGGAATACATATCGGCAAAACCATCAAAATGCACAACATAATTAAGCTGGACTTATGCCCGACACACATTGAGTTACAAGAACAAGCAGCAAGCTGGAGACATTGGACATATGCAAGACTCGGGACATATGCAAAAAGGTGAATATGCTGACCTGTGACAATATTGTCGGAGGATTCCAGGTCAGCGGAAGCGACGCTGACAGGTGAGCTGGCGTCCACGCTGGCATGCCGGTCGATGGTCTGCGGGGGAGTTGTCACGTGCGAGGGGTCTGTTGCCGTCAGGCCATGCTTCGGGGACTGCTGAGGTGTGACCTCTGACGCTGCTGCAGATGTGCTGGCTTCGTGAGCTGTAGATACCTGCTGCTCTGCTGAGGGGACTGCACTGCTGCTAGGCTGTTCCAGTGCCTGAGGAGTCACCTGCATCAAACATGAGGCAATTTTGGTCTTGTATCAACGAACATTTCTTGTGCATTCTAACGTATTAAATTCCATGCAGGAAAGAAAGTTCACAAGAGAGAAACGTTCAATGTATGCAGGGACTTGCAAATGCACGTCACCTGGGCCTTGCTTAGGGGTCACATGACACTGGTGCAAAAGAGGCACACAATGTGGACAGGTCAGCTTACCCTGTGCTCAATGTGGGGTACACTGGTGGATTGTTCAGGGCCTTCGCGCTCCCTCAGAGACGGCTGGCTGGGCAGGGCACGAGCCTCGTGCAGCACGGGTGTGGGCACATGGTATGCTGCGCTGGATCCGCTCGGACCTGGCCAGTCGAACACATTGCATAAGAACTCCTAAATACGAATCATTCAGTACATTGTCATTGGCGATGCTGCCACAGAATCATCAAGAGCGTAGCAAATACTCAAGAGCGTAGCAAATACTCATAAACACCCATTGTGGAGGTGTGGACATGCATTAACACTGTTCAGAGCTTCTGGGGCTGCTGGGTGATGCAATCTGCTGCATGAAGCTTGCACCATAGCCACACGGTAAATTGCAAAGGGACAGGCTGCCAAGGCGCAGGTGCACAAATGGTACCCGGAGCATCTGGGGCATTGAGTCATGTGTACACACCTGCAGCGTCTGGGTTGCTGGGCCCTGCTTCGCTGTAGCTAGGCCCGGCCGCCTGCGACAGGCTCCTGCTGCTGCCGCTGCTGCCGCCCTGGCCGCTACCGGAAGCCGATCCATGCAGGCGGGTGGGTGAGGTTGGGTACATCACTGGGGCCTTGTCCTTGGCATGCGCGCTGCTGGGAGGGGGTGCTTGCACTCGCAGGAGGTCCTCCAGAGCCTCGTGCAGGCCGGAGAGGCGGTACATTGCCTCCAGCACCATGTTCTCGCTGGACTTGATCCACACCATCTCCTTCAGCTGCTGCCGCGCCTGCGAGGAACCACAAACACCGCCCCTCAGCACCTCGTCGATCTTCTGGGAGTCACAGTGCACGGCACTCTATAAATCTGGGGACATACATAATACTTTACTTGAATGATTGCGTCACCCTGCATGCAGCGGAGCTGCATTCACATGACTCTGCGCAAGACAAAATTTAGGGGTGAGCTGGTGCGTAAAACTTCGGCACCCTGCTCGGCTTGTCAGAACCGACCACGCATGCGATGAGCTGAGGAGATGGTCATCAGCTGTCACACCGGCCCCCGCCCGCCAGGTCCAGCAGTTTTTCAAGGGTAAAAGTCAAGGGGTACGCTCAGCACTGACAAATGCAGGGCCAGAAATAAGTTCAGGGATCAGATTCAAGGGGCTTGCCTCGGGGACGCGCTCAACGCAGCTGCGCAGGAGCTCGCCGGGGATGATCTTGGCGCGCACGGAGCCCCGCGCGCGAACGCTCGCGCAGCGCAGCGCGGCGCTGGCGAAGGCAGCCATCTCGCCCACAAACTGGCCCTCGCGCCGGATTGCCACCAGATACTCGCGGTGGCCCCGAGAGAGTGAAGACATCACCTCGCGCGACCGTGAAGCTCCCTGTGCATAGCAACCCCTCTCGACATCGCATCAGAGTTCAGGATTTTTTCAGGTTGCACGTACAGTGTTCACTCGCTCCAGGGTATTGCTAGTGTAATGGCGCTTGACATAGTGGTGTTCACCCCTGGTTCTTAGCAGCGCACATGGCTGCGCTGTTTTAGCATCTACGTAGCATTGAAACTGGGCTGACATCCTCAGCATGACTACATGTAGTGGATGGGCAGGAGTGAAACATTGAAGATGTTGTTTCCTGGAAATGTCTCAGACGTCTGCTGCCACTACACCTAATCATGCTGAGCATGAGGAAAATTGGCTCTCACCTCCAGGAGGGTGGGCGGCAGCTCCTCTCCGATGACCTCGGGCACCTGTTGCGCGGAGTGCATGCCGTCCGAGTCGTGCGAGCCGCGCACCCCATAGCTCCCCTGGTTGCTCCTGCACGCAAGTCCTCACGTCAGCACAATCCGTCTCGCAGACATGTCATCAGTGCTCAAAGGCATGCCATTCATGGGGTCGCCTGCATTGAATTTTGGGACAGAGCTCATCTTAGGGGAACTGCCCCCTCGCATGAAGAAGACATTTTAAGCGATAGTATCACGAATTCTTAAATTGATTTGTTCATTAGGTGGGCAGGCAGTGATGTGGGCTGACCTGCGGTCGTTCCTGGGGTTGGACAATTTGAGCAGGACTTCCACGGTGCCCTCCAGGATGTAGAGCAGGTGCGTGCCCTGGTCGCCCTGCCGGATCAGGTATTCCCCGTCACTGAACACGCGTTCCGCCAGACCCGGCCGCAGAACCTCCAGCAAGTGATCCTGCATGCAAAGCACAACACATTCACATCAAGAAAACTTTTCTTTTCTTGGCGGCAGTGACCTTCGTTCTTGCACTATTTTACGGCGTGAAGCTCTCTAGTCAGTACCTAAAGCTGCAAAATTGTCACTGTGCCTTTACATGACAATAATAGTCATGGCTGTCACTGATATCAGGCAATCTTACTTCCGGCGCATTTTGAAGCATAAATATTCCTTTCCTGCAGTCTCTCCGCATGCCCGGAGAGCAATATCCTCACATATAGGTGTGCAGAGCAAGAAGGGTGTGCTGATTAGCCTGGTACAACGCTGCTGACCTGGCGGGGTGATGATGAGCACAATTCCCTGTATATGTGCAAAAATTCAACATGCGCTGACCTGGCGGGGGATGTCGAGAACGTTGAGGGTGGACATCATATCGGGGAGGGAGACGAGCTGGGGGTTGATCTCATCCTCCTCCTCGGGGCAGCCGCCCATCTCGCGCACCGTCTGCAGCGGCCATGCGCCGCGCTTGGTCACCCACGGGTGACGCATCACCACCGGCAGCGTTATGCGCTCCCGTGGATTCTGCGCAGAAGACGCCACTCTTTATTGTTTCTAGGAATCGATTGCGTTCGAACCGTCGCAAGCGCGATTGATCCCCGCATTTTTTATAGCTCTGGCCATATGTTTTCTCAGTGTTATAATCCACACTCTCTACCTCTGTGAGGGTATTGCATGAGGGCGGCACATGACTGTAATTGCCGCCAAAGAGGCTCATCTACTGATCATCACCTTCCCAGAAAGATGGGAGAGCATGTGCCGCAACGTCCTGCCAGATCTGCGGTCACAACAATGGTCTATGGGCCATGCAAAGCCCCAACTACGGGAATGTCCTTGCTGTTCAGGAAGCTTCTCTTGCTGGCACCTCGGCATCTCCCCTAAGTAACTTCAAAGGATGCGCCGACCAGTCATGCAGCATGCATTGGAGCCCTGCTGCATCAAGCAGGAATACCCATTGAGGAAGGCTGATGCAGGGATCCAGAAAGCGCACCTTGTGCAGCATCCTGCTCAGCAGGTCCTTGAGGTCTTCAGAGACCTGGGGCTCGTCTGGGAAGCGCAGCGGCTCGGTCTGCACCACCTGGAACAGCTGGTAGACGGTGGGCGCCGAGAAGGGGATGCGACCATACACAAACGTGAACAGGCACACCCCCAGGGCATAGATGTCCGTCGGACGACCCCTGCAGAGACACATGGAATCTTGAAATGCCGACAATTACAACCTTCATGCTGAGCTTTTGATGCTCATTGCATGTGAATAGAGAGATGCAGTTGTGGAATCAAATAGCATGACATTAGGGGATCTGCAATGATAAGCAACAGTAACCTAAAGCTTTCCATCAAGACAGTGCAGAAAAATATTATCATACCACAAGCACATGACATCAGTGCAGTCAACGCGCAGCATTACGTGGGTTCACACGCTGTATGAATCCTCCAATGAGAAGAGACCTGCGATGGGGCATAGAATGGCACCTGTAGCGGGAGTGCGGGCGCATCATTTCGGGGGCGAGGAAGGCGGGGGTGCCCTGGCACTTCTCCAGGTACTCGTTGCCGGAGCCCAGCACCTTGGAGCAGCCAAAGTCGGACAGCGTGACCTGCCCCCGCGCGCTCATCAGCACATTCTCCGGCTTCAGGTCGCCGTGCACCACCTTGTTGAAGTGCAGGTAGTCGAGCGCCTGCACATCAGCAAGCATATAGCCATTCAGCAAATGCATTTCTCTTATGGCTTCTTAGGTGATTTGCACGTCCTGTAATTTTAATTTTTCAGTGGTCATTCCGTAGCCTCCTGCATAGGACCCCTTCATGGTGTGCAGAGGGGGCCTAGCAGGACGGCCTAGCATATGGACTGGCCGGTGTGTCACAATGTGCGTGTGGGGCCAAAAGAAAAAAGACTAAGAGTAATGCATTGAGAGGTGCAGAGCTAGGCAACAAATCCCCTTCATGAACACAGGCCCCGACTATTACAAAGGAGAAGGAAGGGCTCCAGTGGTATACAGGAGGATGGGGGCAGCACCTTGCACATATCCCTGAAGTACTGCAGGGAGAGGGGCTCTGGGATCCTGCGGCCGCGCTCCAGGCCCTCCCTGGTCAGCACTGGGCCGCCCTCCATGTAGTCCATCACCAGCAGCATCTTGTTGCCCGCCGGGTCATCCACCACTTCCTGCACACGCCATCCTCTTGTTCATTCTCTGCCAGCATCACCCACTTGCACCCACTTGCACATGCTGATATGGTTAACATGGCCGCTTCAGCCTTCCATGCAGGCATGCATGCCTTCCTATTGGCTGGGGAAGCCTTTGAATTCAAAGGACGTTTTGCTGGACATGCCATGCAATGCTGCGCAAGGTGAGACCCAAATGGAAGCCCCAGATCAGCGGGGTTAAGCATTGGGCACTGCTATTGCGAAGTAGGCATTTTCTAGATAATGGGACCAGTGAGGGGCATGCCTGCAGGGCCACGATGTTCTTGTGGCGCAGAGTCCGCATGATGGCGACCTCCCTCTTGAGGTCGTTGAGAGGATTGCGCCTCTTCCTGCCCCTTGCCGTCTCCACATCCGTCTTCTTCACAATCTGCAGCCGTAAAAAATTGAATCAGCGCTGCCCAACTCTCCATGCAAAACCCATGTTGTAGTCAAAGGATTGCAGCTGCTGGCTACGGCCGCCCTGCTGATAGGGCCTTGCCTGCAGGATGAGCTGACATTGTGGCATGCAGCAGCGCTGCACGCCGGATCAAGGTCTACCCTGTATGTGTCACTTATTACCAAGCGGGATTGCATTTGCTTGTAGGATGATTGACATGACGAAGGGCTAAAAGCCGCACCTTCACGGCATAGAGGCGGTTGTCACACATGTCCAGGCACAGAAACACCCGCCCATTGGCTCCCTTCCCCAGGTACTTGATGACAACATATTGGTTCACAAATGTCACCCCCCGCAGTTTTGCGAGTTTCAGGCTGGTGGTCTCCCTGCATGCATGGCAGCACTCTGAACTCAGCGCATGTACAGACATGTGACAAAGCATTGGTAACATGTGAACAGGCTACGTTATGCTATGGAGCGCATCATCGCTCCCTCATGTGCTGCTGCCGCATTGCTTCGAAACACAAGCCACGCACTCGCTCATCTTGCTGCGCATGGGCCGCCGTCGATCCAGCATTCAAACAAAAACAGAACCTGAAGACACATACATGCAGTGCGAGCGCCAAGTAGGTACTATTCACAAGTCAACAGTCACAAGCTGGATCCTGCACCCCGTCTCTAAAAGGAACATACCTTTGATAAGTGCAAAAACAAGCCATGTCCTTGGAACAAAAAACCAGTGGTTGCCTTGTGTACAAATGGTCCGCAGTCAGAAGTACATGGCTATGTTTACCCACCTGAAGGGAGCAGGTGCGCGTTTCTCGGCCACGCCGAACAGGGAGTGCTCCCGGGGCCGGCGCAGGCCGTCAGTGACGGGGTGCATTGCGGTGTGGCCGCTGCTGTCCGACACCGTTGTGTCTGACACCGTCTCTGCATCGTCCGAGAAGCGGTCCCAGTCCGAATTGTCATCCTCGGCCGTCCCATGCGACGGCGAGAAGGTCGATCCGCCCTCCTGGGTTTCGCTAGCTGCTCGCGCACACAATGAGGAAATCAGCATGCAGCCGCTGCACTGGTAATATACTCAAATCAAGCCGCATCAGCCTATGAACTGCACAGCGAGATGCCGAGCTCAACTATCTGCATGTTTGGCAGCATGCATTGCACACGACAGATGCAGCTCCTCTGCCAAGCCCTGTCATTGTTGCTGGGGGGTCTGCAGCGGTATGTCCACTTCATGGAGTGGGGGACCTCACCACGGGATCTGTGGCTCTTGTGCCGGCTGTGGGAGGAGCTGGTGGTGCGGCTGCCCTTCTCAGAAGTGCTCTTGGTGGAGTTGGAGCGAGTGTTGGCTGACAGCACCTCGTTCTCCTGGCTCTGCCGCGAGCTGGTTGTGGACGACCTCCCACTGACAGTCCTGCACTCAGCATGCATGAGCCTTGTTCAAAAGCTCTCATGAGTACTTCAGAATTCAGCCCTGATGAGTCCAGCATTCTGACCATCTCCAGTACCAGTAGGGCTCCTGCCCACTACGGGGCGAGACCCGATTTCAGCACTGATCAACCGTAGCTTCTGTGGTATGCAGTTGTCACATGGACACCATATGAGGATGTGTTCCTTCTGAGCATCGCAGGAGTCTCATCGAGGCTGTAAGGAGAAGCAGATGGCAAGCAAGATTTCCAGAACCCTTCCCAACTCAGTATATCCCAAAGTGCTCCTTACAATGCTCTGATTGGCCGTGCTGAAAAATAAAATTGCCTGTCGAAAGTACAGGATGATCGTCCACACGAAGCTAGCAGCAAATAGGTCAAGAGGTGGCTTGCTTGAGTCCAAGGATGCCCGCATAGACCTGCCAAAAGCAACGAGGTATAATGTCTAAGTCACCTCGTCTCGCTGGCGGTACCATCGCTGCCAGGGGCGACAGCAGCCAGCCCCGGGCGCTTCTGAGTACCATCCCTGCGCACGCTCCGCACCGCTTCTTGCTGATTGGGCTTTGTGAGCTCGGCGGCTTTTGCCTTCCCCAAATCCGGGTGCTCTGCTGACTTGCTGCATCCACACCCCATAGCGCTAGCTGGAGATAGCTCCAAACAGTGAGGTGCTTCTGGGACTCGGCGCCAATATCACGATTCTTCTGCAGATGGCAGCCCCCAAGACGTGCCGCTTGACTGCCAGTCAGCAACGTTGACTTTCGCTCTGACACGCTTGCTGCGCTACACACGTCCGTAGATATCTCAAAGTATCTCTCAGATCTGCCGATTGTGGCCGCAGCTTGCTGACAGCTCCATACTGCAGCAGATCTGGCAAGATGCAAGTACGGTACCCACGATGGGAGCGATCTCCCTTGCAGCACCCCTTTGATAAAGCCTCACCCGCACTGACACACTGCGATCTCACCCATCAGCTGCTCATGACAAGTCTGTGCGCTCACTAACCAGAAATCTCAGGATCCCAAAGTGTCCAAGGCCGGGGGTCTGGTCGCCGGGGGGGTCGATAGTGGCTCAACTCCCTGTACTGCAATGCATTTGGCTGCCAGAAAGTGCAATGCATTGTCCATATGTTTTTCCTCTATGCGAATATGCAACACAAGATATCTGTGTGAGTGAATTGGTCTTACAGCACGGCAGAGCTTGGGAGGAAATCTGGTGTGCACAACAGCTGCAGGGCCGCCCAGCAGAAGCAAATTGGAGGCCACAGCCTGATCTGGGCTCCAAACTAACTCAAGATGTTGCTCTCCTTGAGAGGTTTCTAGCCACAAAGCCGCCATGCAGCTGCATTTCACTACCTCGCTGCCGGCCTGTGGCCAAGCTTGAGGGTCAGCAGATCCGTGCACGAGTCCTAATGTAATAACAGCACCCATGTGGCCACAGTCCAGAGATAGGCATGGGGGGCGATGTCTACAGGAAGTCCCAAATTTCCCCTTACACAACTCAGAATACCAATACATGCTCATAACAGGCTCAGGTCCACCTCAATGGCAGCACCTGAGCAGTATTGATGGTGCAGCACTACTCAATTGAGCAAGCAGCCATTCTCAGCAGCACATTAAATCATAAAACCCCCTCTATTGGGCACTGCAGATCAAGGACATATCATTCACGCCCTAAAAGGAGGACAAAGAGCCTCCCTGAAAGAAGAAGCAGCTGCAGTACAGTGCGGATGTGACTGCTCGCAGGAACAGAGCGCACTGGACAAAAGCAAAAAGAAAACCCTCACAAAATTGTAGCATCAATCTTCCCAGAGCACACACAACCATAAAGTAGTAGTCAATACTTCAGGGAGTATAGATGCCAATTACCACCAAGACAGACACACAGGTCAAAGCAGAGATTTAGTTGTCCAGGGGTGTGCGCAAAGGATCATCCGAGCGTCAGGACACACTTACCAGCACAGCCCCGTCAACAGTCGTTGTGCACCACGAGACGGACAAGTCAACAGTGCTCAGTTTTTTCTCAAATCAATCCCCTAAACAGGAAATTGCCACTCCCCAACACTCCAGACTGGGATCCCCATGGCAGATGACTCATGCAGAAGATTCAGTTTGGCCCACACCGCATTCTTCGGTGTCCCAGGGCAATCCCAGGATTTTGGCAATTGCCAAGCACCTTTTCTTTGACTTGACAGCATTATGATCTGGCAGTGATGCCGCAAAACTTAGAGTGTGACACGGTGTTCTGTAGCCAGTCAGGGCATTCACTGAGGTTTGTCAACTGCCTAGCACCCTTGAGCGACCCGACACCAAAATGACTGTATGGCCCTCTCATCCGAGCCAGACCTGCCTTTATTCATGCAGGGAAGTGCACTTTGCAACAAAGGTCCCACGTAGAGGTCACCGTGTCACCTGAGCCCTGAGGATGACAAAATGATCCGGGCGGCGTTGCCAGAAAACTCAGCACAGGCATGGCCAAACCGGCAACTTCTCACAAAGAAGGGCAATGCCAGAAGTCTGTCATCCGCCTAGCACCTTATGTTCGGCTCAGAAGCAGAATGAAGCCTGCTTAGAGCGCACTGATCCGCCCGCCTGATCCAACCGCCATCGATTGGAAAACAGCGATCTGTGCGCTGCTGCAGGGAAATTTAGAACAGGTACGGCAGAAGGGCAGGGTCGAATGACAGCACAAGGGCGGCAGCTGGGAGCACGATGCATGCGCCAATGTAGTGCGGCCAGGTGGCGCCAATGACTCCAAGCGGCGACCCCTCAAGGCCCACTTTGAGCCGCCACCTCAGCCGCTGACGCAGCTCCCGCCGGTACATGATCCAGCAGGGGAGGACCATGCCTAATAGCGCGTCCAATGCTAGGGTTGACCCCTGCAGCAGACCCTCCTCGGTCCATATCCCTAGACCCCTGATTTCAAGCCGCCTCACCGCCGGCGCCATTTTGCCGTTGTGCGGGACCAGAACCTGCGGCAGCGTGATAAGTGTGCTCAGGGCTGCATAAAGCGCCCGGCTTCACATAAGTCGCATCTTTGACTCACACCCAGGCGTTCACCCCACCAACAGCTGACTTGTGATGGTGCCAGATATGCTGTCAAAGAAATTCTTCTCTGAAAGTGTTCAGTGCTGTACTGAGCACTAAGGAGCAGAGCTGAGTGATGCAGGAGCCTAGGTGGTCAAAGCATGGCTGCTCTCGACCTTATTGAGGTCGTGTGCGATCATTGGAGTGGATAGGGCAAAAGAAGCGAGAGGATCACCCGGAAGTATTTGTTGTACATTGCTATGCGGCCCACCAGGTGGAGCAGCGAGAGAATGATGTTGAGGTTTACGGGCGGCTGCTTGGAGACCACCCTGTTCAAAAAGCAGCAGACCAATTCTCAGGCGATTCTCAACAGGAACACTGGAAGTGCTTCTACAGGGCACAAAGCACTATGTTGGCAATCAAGCCCAGACACAGGAACATTGTAAGGCCAGCTTTTGCTTCACACAGATGAATGTGAGCCTACGCACCCAAAAAAAGCTCCAAACCATAAGCAATAGGCCCGGAAGTAGAATTGCGTGGGTAGCAATTCAGGTGGAAATCTGTACTCGTGTAGGGCTGACGTTTGTATCAAGGACGAGACAGTGTCAAAGAGTCTCATGATCACCAGTGCTGCGTCTCTTTTCCTCACATACAGCTGTGGGTACCTCCATATCATTGCCAGCACCAGCAGCTGAAAGCACACACATAAGGTTTGGTGCTCTTCTCACAGGTCCAATGGGTTGTCGAAATAAAGATATATTGCAATAAATAGCTTGATAGACATTGTTGAAGGTTTGCATAACAGGTGCATTCACTGACCTTGAAAGCTCCACATGCTTGTGCAGCAAAGAACAGCCATGAACCCAGTGCAGGGAACGTCACAGCAACGCCCACACAGGAAAGCGCGCAGTGGAACAGACTTCCAAAAACGTCGCTCTTAACCATAGACTTGGCGGTATCAAATCGAAAATCCCGCTCCACATTTTCATGCACAAACTCCATCACCTCGAAGCCAATCCACTGCCAACTTTCGCTAATCTTCCAGCATACTTGTGAGGTCGGTTGGCAGAATTCATGAGCACTTCAACAGAATGTGACAATAGCGAGACTGGGAGTGAACGATGAGCGAGACAATAGGGAGTGAACGATGAGCCCTACTTGTACTATGAGCTACAAAGCAATGCCATCGTTTGTGCGAAGCTAGCGCTGTATAGCGCACGTCCTGAAGCTTTTCATTGGTTATCCAGTACATGAATTGCGTGGCGATGCCCTAGAAATGGTAAAATGCTGGCCAACCGACACCTAGATCAGCGAATTACGTCCGAAGGAAGCCGACCAGGGAGAACTTCGCTTTGCTGTAAGAGTCATCAGGAAACACGACTTTGCAACAGAACCATCATGAACTGCAATTAAACAATACACTGGTCACAGAACCCCAATTCTTGGAGAGAAGGAAGTGACATGAAGATTACGTCTCATTTGTGACGTCACAAAGCAAAGGAACGCTTCGAGTCTTGGTTTACATGAGGTCAAGACTTGATGGGGGATTCTATGACCGATCAGACACGAGTGCACTTGTCTTATCAATGCGCGCATATGGGACTGTGGCAGTAGCATGCATGATGCAACTTGCTATTGAATAATGACAACTTGTTGCTTGAAGCCATCTGTCCTCATCATGATCGGTGATTCATTTTTGGTAAAGTAAGCAGGCTTACAAGCAACACAACGTACGAGACACAACTTGTCCATATTTATGGTAGATCCTGAACCACACTCACCGAGAGCTTCATGTTTACATGACGTCAAACTTTGCTTCAACTCTGAAGCCAGCAACCGAAACATATTTTTCAATGGAAGTTCCCATCATTCTAGCAAACGCACAGCATCGACCCAGTAGCTGCTGACCATGTCTTTGAACAAAAACTCTGAAATCAGACTCCTAGAGATCAGGCAGTCCGCGTGGGTATGCCAGAGGCGCTCATGTGGGTCTTCACGTCCTCTATGGACACTTCCCTGCGGTGGAAAATCCCGGCGGCCAGCGCGGCGGCCGCTCCGGTCGCCTCGAACACTTCCTGGAAATGTTCTGGCGAGCCCGCTCCGCTGGAGGCGATCACAGGGATGGTGACTGCTGAGGACACTGCCTCCACCAGCTCCAGGTCAAAGCCATCTCCCCTGCAGCAGGCGGCGTCTGGACGCTCAGAAAAAAACTGCTGGGCATTGCATGTCAGATTAAGAGCAACTGAAGCACCCCAAAAGGCCAGATAATCAAACATCCGTCACTGCGACTGCCACGTCAGAAGCCGCTCGCATGCAAGCATGCTGTTTTTACCTGTCTAGGGGTCAGCAAACTTCAATACGAGCAATTTCGATCGAGAGGCAGATAGCCTTGATACAATGGACAGCGTTTGCCCACTATGTCCTCCTGCTCAGGAGGCCAAATAGAGCTACAAGCACCGTCAATGAACACATGGTAGCCCCTAATCAAGGTCAATACGACATTCAGTACATTAAACATCAGTGACAAGTTAATCACCTGCCATCGCGGTCGATGCAGTTGAGCAGGATCTCTCCAGCGCCCAGCTCCTGCACGGCCCTGGCCAGCTCGACAGCGTCGATGTCGCGCCCCTCGCGGCCCCCTTTGACAGTGCACTGCCACCAGCAGTGGCGCTCCCCAGCCGGCCCCGGGATCGCGGTCTCCACCGTCGGCCGCTGCGTGTCGGCCGGGTCGGCCACATACACGCGCCGCGGATCGATCGAGACCACCACCGCCTGCGCGCCGTACGCCTGCAGCAACAGTGAAAGACGTTTTCAATGTAAGCGGAACTATGAGGGACCTTGCTAGCCGGCATAAGATCGATTTGAAGACATATGCGCATGGGTACATTCTGATAATCATATGTATCTAGTAGCCTTCATGCCACAGGGAAGCTTTTGAAAGAAGTTTGCGGGGCGCTACAGCTTTGACAACTTTGGATTGCAAGGCACCAGGAACATGCTGCCAGATGCCCGAGAAGCTCACAATTGCACAAGGTCACGGAAGGTCCCTAAACAGAAACAGCAACACTGTGGCGCACCCAGGAGATCTGCTCGATGGCGGTCTGGCCTGTCTTAACGCCACTGGCGAGGTACTCGAGTGCGGCTTCAACGGCGTCCCCTCCGATGGACACCTACTCGTCGTCCAAATTAAGATTAGAAAGCTACAACCCCTGCAAGAATAATAAATAAGAAGACCCTGAAACCGCCAGCGACCAGGCATCCAAAAATGATGCTAGATCCCACTTTGCTGCCATGCTTACGGCAGTAAACTATTAGTCTGAATGGCATCCAGGGCGAATTTTCAACACTAACCAGACCCTTTCCCCTAACCCCAGGGAGGCTGATTGCTTGGTTGTCACGACGAGAACACACCTTATCGGCGCCGGAGCGGAAGTACTCGGCGGCCACGTCGAGCGCGCTGTGGCGCTTGCCATGCGCATCCGTGAACCCCCGGATGCCGCCTCCCACCGTCAGCGGCACAAACACCCCCTCCGACGCCCGCCGCAGCACCTGCACAGCGCACCACAAGCACCATTGCCCAAGTCTGCTCCTCACAAACTTCTGCCTGCTGTATTATTGTTATTACACGTTTTTCTTGCCAAGAGGCAAGGTACATCTTGCAGACAAGCTGCATTTAAAAACTGCCACAATCCTACCCTTTTTGGACTCGCCAGACCCAAGCAAGACCCAATCATCCGTGGGCACGGTGCTCAGTATTTATACCGCCCCCGCCAGCCATGGCCTGCTGTATAAGGCACCACTATTAGGGATGGCTTCAGCGAGCGGCAGATTGAGGAGAAGCACAGGCCAGGGGCAAGGCACATGCTTGCCGCCAGCCTGGACACTGCCAAACGGAAACGTGCGGGGTCTGCTCAACAGTGCGCACACGGGCAAAGAGCATCAGTCTTGACAGTATGATGGTTGGCGTACTGTATGATGGTGATGATTGAGGGAAGGGGTTCAGCAGTCGTTCAGCGTGTGGGGAGCTGGACCCACCTCCAGCATGGGGAGGTCGCCCAGGGGGAAGTCCCTGAACCCGGTGATGTTGAGGAAGGTGACCTCGTCAGCGCCCTCCCTGAAGTAGCGCCCCGCCAGCTCCACAGGCGCCCCCAGATTCCTCACCTGGGCGCACACAAGCAGCAACAACTTTTAGGCAAGATTTTGTGCCTCTCATGTCCCCGTTTTGCATCTCCAATGTCTTCCAGATTGCTGTCACCAGCCAGATTCCTGTCACCACTCTTGAGCTCTCATGGCCCCCTTTGGCATCCCTTGGAAGAAATGTCTTCACACATCAGCAGAGTTCTACTTGTCACCATGTAATCCAGCCTGTACTTAGTACACTACTATGCGCAGCTATGGCCTCTCATAAGGGGCACAAGCTAGTTGTTGCTGGCGGCAAATGCAAAGAAATTTAAGATCATGCTGGGAGTTCTGCATGGGCAGATGAAAAAATTCGGCACCTCTCTGCCCTCGCCGTCGGTCTCGCGCACATCGTACTGGTCACCCTTAGTCACCACCAGGTCACCAGCGTCGTTGGCCCGCACATCCAAGCACGCTATCACTCGCTTCGCCAAGCCGCGAGCAGCACCTGCTCAAGAACATTTCTCAACATCAGGCCACATTGATTGCTTTTGTGACCAATAGTGGGTGCATACGCCCTGCGTGTATGCCCTATGGCCTTTGGCTTTGGGTTTGCCGATCTGTAATAATAGTAAGCAACAAAGTAGTCTGTTTTGTTCAAGTCCCTCTCCACATGGCAGTCCAACATGCAGCTGACCTGCCCATGCCAGCATGCAACCACTCACCCTGGAGATGTCACTCCCCTCACCACCGCATCCATAACAATTTCAACTCTGTGTTTACAAAACTTCTGGGGACGCTAGGATAGCCACATCCTACTTCATGTGATCAGATATTGTGTGATGTTACTTTACATACGCCCTGATACAACCCTTAAGCAGGTGAGCAGAGGGTAGCAGTAAAGGGCACTGACCGTTGGAGCTGGGGGGGATGTACTGGGGTGACTCCTCCATGAAGGACTGGATGACGGCCAGGCCGGCAGCGCCGCTCTTTTCTGGGTGGAATTGCGTCGCGCTGACCTCGCCCTTCTGCACGGCTGAGATGAAGTCCTCGCCGTAGTGGGAGGTCGCGAGCACCCAGTCTGCGTTTTCGGGGGAGGGCGTGGCTCGGTAGGAGTGCACAAAGTACACCCTCCTGTCCCCCACCTGGCTCAGCAGCCTCCCCTGCTGCCTGCGCGCCGGCAAATTCACTCCCTGAGTGTCAGAGCGTTACTTCTACCGGAAAGGAAGTGAGAATCAACAGCTTCACAGGATTGAACTGACTGAATGACCACATTTGCTGGAGTGAGCGGTGAACCCAAGCAGGTTGACTGCTCAGGCAAGACTCATGATGAACACTGTCGTCTTGGTGATTTAGATGGCATGAATGCACAGTGTGCTTGTACACAGCCTGGACTTGACTTCAACCATTGACAAATAGAACCAGGTGGGATGCAATGGCGGGAAGCCTGGAGCATTGTTGGGGTTGATGTTACTGACTACTGGGGAAGGGGCATGATAGAAAACAAGTATGGGAAGTAGAAGATGGGGGGGCATTACCTCTGTTCGAGGGTGTTCCAGCCGATGTGGGGCACGGGCAGGCCCAGCGAGGTGTCAAACTGGGTCACGCGGCCTGGAATTATACCCAGACCCTCCACTCCCCCATTCTCATCGCTCCCCTCAAACAGTAGCTGCATGCCCAGACAGATACCCAGAAATGGCCTCCCAGCCTGCAAGCCACATGCCAGGCACTCGGATGGAGGATGACATTGCTCATCGCCACCACAAGGTGCAACAAGCTTAAGATTCCTGCACTCGGATAGAGAATAATATTGCAACGTTTGGCACCACAAGCTGCAACAATCTTGACATTCAAGTGGTACCCTCGTCACTAGGGGCTCTGTCAGCAAGTAATCCTGGTTGATGCAATCAACCTGCATGCAGCGGAAGCATGCATGGTGAATTCAGCATGTGAGCATTGGCAGATGAAGACCTGGATGTACTCTCTGAGGGGATCGACGAAGTCCTTCCTGGTGAGGACTCCCATTGCCTGCTCAAAGGCTCCCACCCCAGGGAAGATGAGCCGTTCTGCGCTAAGTATGTCAGCAGCTGTGGTGACCTGCATGGCACCCATCTTGAGTTCCTATTGGCTTGCTTGTTCGTTAAAGTCATCGGCGTCTTACAGCTAGATGATGCATCCATTGAAAGTATAGATAAACAGCTCCACTGATAGCATGGCCCAGTCACGAGGGTCACCTCTTTCAGGTTGTAGCCAAGCTTCTTGATGGCGTTGCGGACGCTTCGCACGTTTCCCGCACCGTAGTCCAACAGTGTGACTTCACCTATCGTATCGTTCCTTACCACGGCAAAGCCACGCAGGGACGGTTTCCTCCGAGTACTGCAGCGGCCAAGATCGATGCGCCCTGACGTGCTGGTCTGGCCTTGTCGACAGGCCACATTTGGATTCAGAATATTCAATCTTTCCATAGTACTGGCCAGCTGATGTGCTCTGTACTAATTTACAAACGACGGCCCACAAAGCTAGGTGTGTATACTGGTAAACTCTCCAGTGAGATGTTGATGTGTACAAGACTGTCTGCACTACGTGAGGTAAAGCAGATCAACAGAAAAGGAGTTGAGATCAAAGCTTCAAGTAATTCAGGCGGAACGAGGCCGTCAAGAGGTGAACCCTAATTAGTCACCCTAGGGTTATCTGATTGAGATGCTGCTCGTCGTTCCGAGAGTTTTGCAAAGAAACTCGCGATCGGGCCGATTGACTTCCCTCAAACAATTCCTTGCGTAATCATCCTATTCTTTAGATTGTAATTTACTGCCAAAAGGTTCATTATAATTTGGCGAGCCATACATCGGTGTGGGCATGGAGCCCCTCAGTGCCACAAGCACTTCTGCGATTGGGAGTGCACCCTCACGGGCTCATGCGCATCCTAATAAGTTGCAGCAGGTGATTCCGTGGAGGCTTCGTTCCCATGCAGCAGCGGAGCACAGCGCCCGGCAGACAGCATGCCCAAGGAAAGCCACTCGATTGCAAGCGGTGGCAGACCGCTTGACAGCCGAGGCGTCCCTGGAAGCCACCATACACACCAACCAGATCATCAGAGACGGCGACTTCGAGTCGAGCCTCGTTGCGGAGCAGGTACAGAGCCTGTGCGACCGGGATGTCTTTACTTGGCCTCTGAGCATTTCGGGCCAAGGAAGGTGCAATTTTAAATCTTTAAGGGAAGGCTGGACTGCCTAGTCACCATAGAAGCTGGATAACCTATACGTCAGTGACCTCTTCATAAGAGCCCCTCCGTGCTTGGTGTGCAGGCCAGCAAAAGGGATCCAGAGCAGCCCAGCCTGGCGTCAGTGCTGGATGCATTCAACCCGGCGACGACCACGGTGGATGTCTGTGTGGTGGGCTGCGGACCTGCAGGCTTGGCGCTTGCAGCAGAGTTGGGAGCCAATGGAGTCTCTGTCGCCCTCATAGGTGAGCCCACTGACTCCAGATCCACCTGTTGTCCAGTGTCTTCGCTCAAGATCCTCTGCTTGCCCCCATCATCCCCTGGGCTCAATCTATTCCAATGAAAGTTTCCAGACGATGCATGTGCAAAGTCAATCAAATTCCATCCTGCATAAGCCATGCTTTTGAGTGCTCCCATTGCCTCATCTGCTTGGCCTCTTCTCCACAGTATGACTGGCAGGCTGTATAGTTTCCCTGCAGTCTGCAGTAGCGATGAACGTTTGTGTTTGGAGGGTTGATATGTAAGCAAACGAGGATGCATGCGCTGCGCAGGTCATGACGTGCCCTTTGTGAACAATTATGGAGTCTGGAAGGATGAGTTCAAGGACCTGGGGCTGGAGGGAACGCTGGATCGCGAGTGGGAGGACGCCATGTGCTACTTTGGGGAGGGCCGGGAAGTGCGCGTGGGGCGAGGCTATGGCAGGTGCGCTCATGGCTTGAAAGGCTGCACAAGCCACGGAATACCACTGTCAGAAGCATACAATCCATATGATGTGCTTGGGCCCTTTCAGATAGAGCCCATATTTACCATGTGTCATGAAAGGCAGGGATGCAAACTCCTGCATGCAAGGTACCGGTCCTTCAGCCTGCGAATGTGACGAGCAGGAGCAATTGGGTGGCATGGGCTATGCATGCAAATGCATCTTGAGCCTGGAAGCAATTCAAAACCTTACAACTGTCCAGTGGGCATCAGAGGTTTCCAAGCATCTTAGAGTAAGACAGCCCTATGACAGAGCAGGAGTGTGCAAATTGTGTGGGGCTATGAGATGGTGAATAGAATAAATTGGTATTTGTTTCTGTCTGCCACGCAGGGTGTGCCGGCGACGGTTGCGGGACTTGTTGTTGCAGCGGTGCAAACATAATGGCGTGCGCTTCCGAGCGGGCGAGCTGACGCGCATCGGCGAAGCCGACAGCGGCGCAGAGTTTGTCACGCTCACACTGGCAGACAGGACCACCGTCCGTACCAGGTTGGGCTCTGCCACAATCCCTGGTTGAAAAGCCCTGGTTGAAAATCCCTTTGGGGACAGAAAGGTTCGTGCAATTGTATCAAAGAGCAGAGTACTGGAAGCTATCTGGACTGCTGGTGACATCTCTGCATGCATGGGCTCGCATGCATGCATGCATGCATTATAACAGCGTAAAAAGCTGTGCAGAGTTTTGCGGAGAATTGCCTCCTGGCCCGGCAGGGACATGTCCCAATCACATGCCCAGAGCTCCTGTCATGCATCTCCCTTTGCGGTAGCCAAAAGATTTGTCCTGAAAACAAATTACCCAGTATCTGAGGGACCCTGACTTGTTGCCGTAGGCTGGTGACGCTGGCGGCGGGTGCAGCTGCCGGGAAGTTTCTGCAGTATGAGGAGACGGCGCCAACGGTGGCGGCTCAGACGGCGTACGGCATAGAGGTGGAGGTGGAAGGCTATGAGGATGCTTATGACCCATCCTCGATGCTGTTCATGGACTTCCGCCGGCACCACTCCGGCACATGGCAGGGCGCTGCGCACAGGTGCGCACACGACTAATCCGATTGTTCTGGTATTTCTCTCATAAGTAGTCCCACGCATATATTCTTGCATAAATGATAGGAGCGTCTGCCAGCTACAGAGGCATGCAGAGGCATTGGCACGGCCTTGTTAAATGTATTAACTAGGAACTTAAACTTGAGGTAGAATTTTGATTGAAAGATATTTTCATGCGTCCTTTGCATATGAGGGAAAGTTTTTCGTGCGCACCTTGGTGGCATTCCTTAAATGCGTACCTTGTGCTGCTTCGTCGACAATTCCTGTCGCCCCATTCAGTTTTGCTGATGAGGGGTCTCTGCTCGAGGCTAGGCTGGTCCCTGGGGAGCACCCGGTGGCGGGGGAGGGCCTGTGGGGAACGCAGCGTGAGGTACCCTCGTTCCTGTACGCGATGCCGGTGGCTCCCGGTCGCGTGTTCCTGGAGGAGACCTGCCTCGTGGCCAAGCCGGCGCTGCCCTTTGCCACCCTCAAGCGCCGCCTGCTCCGCCGACTACATGCCATGGGCGTCAAGGCATGCTTCTGGCCTTGAAATGACCCCACAAACACTGTGCCACCTCCTGAACACTGAGATGCCGCCGAAGAAGCCCACCCTGCACGATGGCAGATCCTGTAGGCCGGAAGCCAGCTGCAGACGTGTAGACATTGGCGTGACAAGCAATGCAAGTCCGGCAAGGGCAAAGAAATTTGGGGAACTTTACTGACTTTACCTATTGCAAGTGTCAAGCAAAGGCCGTTGAGCTTCGGGTGACCTCTAAGTATCATTTTATCTTTATCAGCGGATTTGAAGACCCTTGTGATGCTCATTTGAACATTTGCTGGGTCCCCCTAGGTCCGCTATCTGGATCGAGCTGTTTGCTGCGTGCTCTGCTTACGCATTCGAAGTCCTGCCTTTGAATACCCATCTGTGTACTGTGTACTTTGACTTTGTGTTGGTATTTGATCGGCGCCAGGTGACGCGGATCATAGAGGAGGAGTGGAGCTACATCCCGGTGGGCGGCCCGCTGCCGCTGGGCAGTCAGACAGCCACGGCGTTCGGCGCGGCGGCTAATTTAGTGCACCCGGCCACGGGATACTCGATCGCGCGCAGCATGCGCGAGGCACCCGGCCTGGCGCGCGATGTGGCGGCCGTGCTCCGCCGGCGGCTGCCCGTGCGCGCCACCGCCGCCGCCGTGTGGGACTCGCTCTGGCCCGCCGAGAAGCGCCGCCAGGTAAGGAGGCTTTCACTATAATTGTTATGTGACATCGATTTTTTTGCGCGCAGAAATGGCGGGAGCACGATTGTGTCAAGAGGCTGGCACAGCGTGCGGAGGAGCCCCCATGCTAAGATGCTGACCAGGAAAACGAGAGACTTGAGTGTCTTAGCCAAAATATTTCAATACTTTGCAATGCTGCTGGAAAGACGCCCAGACCTTGACATGGGCCTGATGTTTTGAAGTGATAATTGGAAAGTCCCAGGGATGGTGTGCTACTTGGATGTGCGAAAATGATATAGCTATGGTTGTTGGGGCTGATGAACCTATGAGTTGTTCTCCTTTCGTCCTTGGTGCTTGGTGGCACGAGATCACGATGCTTTAGTCGCAAGATAGTGGTCATGTTGCAGGCGGCATGTGTGAAGTCCACATTATAAACTTCTTTATGTGTACGCGTGTCTCAGGCGGCGTTCCACGTGTTTGGCATGGAGCTGCTGGCAAAAATGGACCTGTCAGCTACCAACGCTTTCTTCAGCACCTTCTTCCGGCTTCCAGACTTCTATTGGCGCGGCTTCCTCGCGTCGTCGCTGACTAGCGCTCAGCTCATCGCCTTCGCATTACTCACCTTTGTGCTGGCGCCAACTCGGATCCAGCTGGCGCTCATGCGCCACCTCATCACCGACCCGGCAGGCTCCTACCTCATACGCCATTACCTTGGTATTGCTTTGCTCTCCTTGACTAATTCTGACTTTCTGTGCAACACTAGTGTACTGTAGTCCTGTAGTCATCCCGTGCCTTTGTATCGACTGCAACAAAAAAGCAAGAATATGTAGAGGCACCTAAAAACAATCGAGGTTGTTTGATTGTTGGTCTGTCCACAGCTCAACAGTGGGTGTAGGTGCATGTCTGAACCAGAAATATATTTGTGACAAACAGGCGCTTTCACATCGGAGAAAGCTGGCGGCGAGAGCAGCAGCACAAGAGGAGTGGAAGCACAGAGCGCTGGAGTCGCAGCAGATCTTCCAGTTGCAGCAGATCTTCCCACAAAGGTGCAGGTTTAAAACAAGTGATTAAGCCGTTGGCACTGAAATACTTAAATTTATCAAGCCATGTGCCGCTCACGTGCACAAACGAGCACTTGCTGTGATTCCTTTTTGCTGTACAGTTATGTATAGCGGATCCGGAGGAATTTGTGGCACAGTAGTGATGTCAACTCCGGTCATTTGTTTGCAACCCACGTGCGCCAGCGAGAGATTATCTAGACAGCGAAAAACCGTATTAGCAGACATATGTTCAGTGAATTTGTGCCAAGACAGCTGTAGCATCACTTTGCGACGTACGTGTGTACAATATTGCAGTGAAAAGGTGCTAACGATAACATTGAGCTCGGCTGTCCTTCAGGCTATCCAAAAATCATATTCAAGAAAGATTGCAGGCAAGATTGCCAGAATTGCATTTTATGCATATTCAACAAAATGGCAATCAGCCAAGTAAATAGCCGACTCTTAGTTGGCTGATGGACAGCACAGTACATGCCACTATGGTACTCAGGATGCCAGTTCGTGCAACATTTCTGCATGAGCATCTAGTTATTTGTGGCTATAAGCTACCAAGCTGTTTCCTCTCATGTTGCTCACTCTTCAATGTATTATATGTCATACAATATCGCATCTCCAACTTGCAAGCAATTGCCTCTGGTACTTCTTAAGCAACGACGCTTATTGTCAACTATGCGCCCTTAATTCCGCCTCTCACATCTCCTAACTGTCTTACTGAATGGCCTGGGGCCCATAATGGGACCACATAGGATCCCAAGCCGAAAGCTTGCGAACATTCCGCTATCAAACTGATCCACATTGATCTACAGATGGGTTATGGCCCCACATGCTCACTGTTGCGGCTGCTGCTGCCACAACCGCTCGTCCACACAGACCAGCTTGATCTTGTCAGCCTTGACTTCGCTGGATCTTGAGCTGCCTCCAGGACCAGTGGTTTCCATCCGGAAATTGGTGTCTGACATGACCATGGTCCACACCTGCATCATAGTCAGCATGCCTGTCTTTCTTGTCAAAGAGAGCCAGAATGGCATAATCTCCGATGTGAACTTCCACAAATAAAGTCTGTGGTTCGCAGACCTATTAAAGCATTGTTGTCGAGATCAAAGCTTGCTCTGCTCTCACCTGGTCACAATAGCGGTAGCTGTCCAAGTGCCCCTTGAATAAGGTCTTTGTGGTGACGTCCTTCTCCAGAGCCTTGTAGATCGCCGAGTCAAACTGCATCTTGATCTCAAACCCTCAGCTGAGGTCAGCAAGTGTGGCTCTCAAGCTCTGGACAGATCCTTTCATGTGAGCTCCTTGAAGAGCTTACCTCTGCCATGACTTTCATGCCCAAGTCTCCTGGAATCTTATCTTGCGTGATCATCTCATCGAGAGCTTCAGCAAGGCAATCGCCGATCTTTGACGTGCGGTACAACGTCAGCATAGTCATCGTGCCAACGCCTGTGCACAAAAGTCTGTCACTTTCTTGCACACACATCCATCCGTCGTTCTACAACTTGGCTGAGCTGTGGTTAATTTATGCACTCTCTATTCAAGGGATAAACCAACAAACTAGGAGCAGTTTCCGCCTGAAGGGTCCTAGTCAGAGAAATTAATATCTCCTGTTTTGAGGGTAGAAATGGTCACCTGCAGTTGACTGCGGTCTTCAGGTGGATGCTGATCAATCACTGTTCCGCATCGTCGCTTACATGGAGCTCTTTGCAAGCATTACGTTTGGAAAGAATGAAAATAGCACTACTTAGAGATTTGGACAGGAATGAAAAAGGATCGACTGTGAAGTCGGTTCTTCCACGCTCCTCTGCAGAGATGTGAAAATATCTCTGCTGAGACCAACTGCGCAAGCAAGCATCGCCGAATGGGCATTGCTTGTCCAACGTGGAGCCTATACTGGCTCACCTCTTCACGGGATTGAGAATTTCAACCGATCTCGAGAGCTTTGCGTCCCACCTGATTCGTGCACTATCCATTCTTGAATTGAATCCCAACCATCCGTGGTAATTCCAGCTCATTTGAAGAGTAGGGGGCAAAAGCTGTTTTTTGGTGGTTTCATCAACCTGTGACAATCTGTAGTAAGCGACTTCTACACTACAGAGCGACTTATGTAAGTCTCGCTGCAAATTAAAGGAGTGCAAATATATGGTTATGGGTGAGAGCAAGGAGGAGAAGTATCTCGAGCGCTTGACGCGCGCTTTTCTAAGCCTTGATGCCGAGAAACATGTCAATACAAAGGAGTTCAATGAGGCTGTGGACGCAATTTTGCCGGTGTTCGATTATTTGGGTAAGATTTTTGCAGAAATATCATTCTTTCTCGGCATGTAGTACGTTGACCGGTCGTGGTGCACCTGAGACTGGCTCATCCCAAAATATTCCTGAAAATATAGTTGCGAATTTTGCTCTGTTAAAATAATGACCTCGGTACTCTCAGGTTGATTAATGCAAGCGTTCCACAACCTTGTTTATCTATTGGGTACAGTCCAGATACACTCCAGTTACACCCACGCTCCCTCCTGACCAAAAAGCCTATTTGCTGTCCTGAAGATGCAATGACCACCTCACCTGTCCTATATCTCTCTTGCAGGGACCGTATTCTCGTTTGCAAAGGGAGAGATGAACACCAAGGTGAGCAAAGCATGCCGTCTTACACCCAGGAACTTGATGAGCTTCCACTGCACTGGACAAGGTGCCCAAAGCTGACCTCTAAGTGGTGATACGTGTTTGACTGTACGCAGAGAGAATCCCTGGTGAAGGTACAGAGCAAGCTGCCAACTTTGACTGAGGTTGTGGAGCAAGACAAGAAGGTGAGCTACCCGTGAGATGGAAGGCATAATAGGGACTGCAGATATTGCAGAGACTCAATGATGGTTTGCTACCACTCACAGCAATGCACACCACCATGAGCTCATTTTGATCACAATAACTCCAATGCTGTCTATCCTAAATCCAGCGAAACATGTATTTCTGGGTGTGGCAGACCAACACCGTGACCAAGAAGAACAGCTGCGCGCGCAACCTGCACCGGCTGCTCTCAGCGGTCTCCTTTGTCGCCAACCTGCTGCAGAATCTGGCCAAGGGCCCTGCCGTCACACTGCACCAGGTCAGCCGGGGCATGCATCACAATCTTACTCTTCACCATGATCCCTCCCTTGCATTGTTATGCACTGGTGGGCAAAAGTGTGGCGCCACGGTAGTGTCTTTAGTCCACCCAATCTAGGGGAGCACCTGAGAATTTGGGGCCATCATTGTTATGGCCTGCCCAAATGCAAGTCGAGCTGCAAAAGCAGGGGATCTCGAAACAATAGCAGATTCACAGATAAGCAAAGAGGAGAGACTAAAATTTCTTCAAGCAAGCGCCTACGGCCGGACCACAATAGTTCAAGGTGGAGAAATATGCCCTCTGATGCAGAAAGTTTGCAGACGGAGGTTTCAAGGGTGACAAGAAGCTGGTGGGATAATGGTGCCCCATCACAGGATGCTTCATTCATGAGAAATGGAGCAAGGGAAAAGAGCGTTTTTGACTAAATTATTTTGAACTTGTGAGGAGTAATCTGCATGCATGCAGGCGGCCAGTGATGCGTACGACGCCACGCTAGCGCCGGTGCACACCTACTTTGTGAGGATGGCCGTGAAGACCTCCATGTACCTGCTGCCTGACCGCGCAACCTTCATCGCCAGCATCGGCGAGACAGGTGCAAATTCTGCTTCCCGGCTTCTACCTTTATCTCAATTCAGCTGAATCGCCGAGCCTTATTGGCTCCGTCTCCGCGGCAGTATCATCCAAATCAGACTGCTTGCTTTGTCGTGGGCTCGGGCAGTTCATCCATCGGGTCATGCATGCTTGTGCAGGGTCTTCAATATAGGTTGAGGCAACCAGTATCCTGCTGCTCATGTGTAATGATGTTGTGACCGGGCTGTGCGCATGGTGCAGAGGCAACGGCTAAGGAGCATGGTGCCAAGTTTGTGCCGGCAGTTGAAGAGCTGTTGGTCAAGGTTCTGGCGCTGTATGAAGGCACTCAGATGCCCTCATCGGACGTCAGATTCCTGCCATCCTCGTCTTGAGGCAACTGGCTGTCTGAACATAAAGGCACTGCGGCTAGATACATCACGCCAGCACTGTACATCTCACGACCATTCGGAAGATTGAAGATTGGGCTATGCAGCTACCGAATGTCTCGTGCGCATTCGGCAGAACTGGATCACTGAATCAAAGAGGTGCATGGCAGCACTGACTTTCACTTGAGCACGCGCCCGTGCTGCGAGACTGATGCCTTAGTCAGTAGCGAATTACTTGTTGGCTTCTCTACGGACTAGGGATGCTTCACATTTGGAGCAGATAAGAAGTATGCATCTTGCTGCAATATAGCTGTGAGAGGAAATACCAGTCTCACAGCCTTATCAAATGATCAGGCAGTGTACTGGAAAGTGATTATCAGCCTAAGTTTGAAAATTCATTGTAAAATACCATAGGCAGGTCCTTGATGTTATATTATAAGAATTTTGCACAAAGTCTGAGGTCCATCGTAAACAAGACAGCGCATGCAGCCATATCAGAGCCGAGTAAATAATATGTTCTCCCTGTCAGCATTTGTCTATCATTACATCCTATGGAGAGCTCTTACAGCAAGGACAGAAGCCCCTCACCGTGTTGAGACAAGCAAATTTTCTGCATCAGTCCATCCACTAACCAAAGCACTACAAAAGCAGCACTGGCAGTGCACGTTCAGAGATCAGCATGTATATGACACAGCGTTCAGGAAAAAAAAAAGATATGGCTCTGATTCTGATCTTCCCCCTTTGGGCCCTGCTAAGTCTTCAGTGACCCTGAACTGCAGTATAATGTACATACAGACATCCTCCCAAATAGCCATCTCCCATGTGAGCAGAGCCGTAGCTGTCCAGAGAAAGGACCGCTCACCCAGTACACTGCGCTGCTCGGCTGACCTGACTCTTCCCTACCTTCCGTCTGCATTGGGCTTGATCTCCACGCAAAGAGTCTGTCAGGATGCGCAACATGACCTTCATGGAGGTGATAAGATGACAATTTCACTGCACATCCTGGACTGGCTGGAGGTGTGCCGATACTCTCTTCATCATGATGATAAACAGCTGTCCAGAAAACAGCTTGGCTCACCCAGTGCACTGCGCTGCTCCGCTGACCTAACTCTTGACTTATTTCCCCTCTGCATTGGGCTTGACCTCCCAAAAATAAGTCTGTCAAGATAATAGAATGACCTTCAGAGTGGTGGAATTGCTAGTTTCCAGTGCACAGAGGACCAGCCTGAGCGGGCTGGAGTTTTGCTACAAGGCTGAAGCGACCCTATCACCATTGGGACGCCCCCTGGGCCACCTTAATAAGCAAATTGCTGGCCTCCTTCTGGGGACTCTAATCAAGTACAGCACATCAAGTCCATCAGGATGAGCGGCGAGCTGCGCGCCGGTGGCGGTCGATGTCATCGAGAGCCTTTCCGAGCGCGGCCTCCGGAGTTTCGCGCGCTGTGCTCACCAGCAGAGAGCGCACCGCCACTGCGCGGTCTTCTGCATCCATGCCCTGCTTGCCCTCCTGCATGCGCACGCATGCATGCAGCACCTATTCAGGACTGGACGTAACACAACCTTAACGGCTGCCACGCCAGCGTACATCTTGTACAGACGAGACGCCTTTCTCACTTTCTTTATCGTGCCTTGGTCATCTCAGCATGTGCGGAGTCACACTGCATTCCAAAGTCTTATAAACGAAAGAATGCCTCCTCAATGCACATGGTTTCAATTGCATGGCACAATGGTGAAGCACTGATGCCTTGTTGTGCAACACAAGACATTAAGAACCATGCAGACAAAGAGATTGCTTCTGATGAAAGTGGATTCAAAATCTGTTTCTGATCAAATGTTGTCATGATTGATGTGAGATGAGATGTGAGTTGCACCTGGTAGAGGCGGTCCTCCAGCTCGCTCAGCAGCGCCTTCCACTCATCGTCCAGGTCATCCAGGTCATACGCCGGCGCCACTCCCGCCGCCGCCTGCACATCCCCACCAGGATCGCCATGAAGACGAGAAAAAAAGGCGGAGATTTCTCTGATAGTTGTCACTCAATGTACCTCAGTCCCGCAAATGCTGCCAGAGCTGATTGTGCAGCATTTCTACATGATTTGTTTCTCCCAGAGTGTGGCTACAAAGGCCGAAGAGGTGTGCGTGGATGCAATATTGGCTGCCAGGACACTCTGGGTGTACCAAGGATGAGTACATGCAGTTGGGTGATCACCTTGTGCTTCTGCTCGTCTGCGCGGCGGCGCAGCTCGGCCGCGGCCTGCGCAGCCTGCTGGGACAGGTCGGCCACCCCTGCCTGCTCACTGCTCCGCTCCCTCATCTTCCCTGCAGCTCACCAGGATTTGCAATTTGAAGGTCACGTCATGTTAAAATTCCATCACGCACAACTGACCAGATTGAGGCGCGGAGAACCATAGCAAGTTGACATGATGAGACGTTGCCAAGGTTCGCATTTCAGTCGATTGGCCGCCCCAAATGACTCCAAATGACAAATGACTAGGCCACGGGCGGTGTTTCAAACAGCGGGTGCCGTGAGAAGGGAGTAAGAAGGCACAGATGTGGATGTGCAGTAATGATGCGCACCCTGATTCTTGGCAGCATCAGGAGGGGGCCCAGGCCGCGAGCCTGGATTGGCGGCCTTGGGCGGCGGCGGCGGCGGGGGCGGCGCGGCCTTGCCGGCATTGCCTGCAAATGTGTTCCAGAGTGTCAGTTTTCCCTCTTGCGCGAGGCATGCAGGACTTGCACTGTTAATGCTGAACTAAGTGGAGGTGATTGATGCAACATCCCAAGCACTGCAGGTGCCGATTGAGCCGGTCACTTTAGTGCTGCCGTTGCTGCTGGGTATCAGCTCAAAGACTGCTGTCATGAATAGCAGATGCACTGTCAGCATGTGTCCAAAAAGGGGCTCTCTGCAGCGCATCTGGCCTAGTCCAGGTCGGCAATGTAGAGGCTCCCAGCACCTTGCTCCTCGTACACTCAATATCACAAGGAGCCATCTCAAACATCAAGCTCTCCCCTTCGGGGGTGTGCAAAGGCAGGACGACAGGGATATGCATGGTTGCACCTGTACGCCCCAGTACAGGTGCGGATAATTGGAGTACGAGAAGGCGCAGCACCCAAATCTGCTGGCGCCAGTACGTCAGTACGTCCTCCCAGTACAAGTACTGAAGTACTATCTTCCTGAAAACTGGAGTACTGGTGCAATTGTGCATCATAAGTGGTCTGACCTCTGGGCTGAGGGCCCCGCCCGGGCAGCGCGGCAGCACCGGCAGCCGCCGCCTCGCGGATGCTCATGGCACTGATGCCCTCCACTGCGCTGTGTGCATAGGCGGAGCCGCGGCCCCAGCCGGCCTTGATGGTGCCCCCGGCAATGGTGCCCAGCTCCAGCCCAGGCACCCTCTCCTTCTCCTGTGCACGCACCAGCGATGAGGGCGGATTCGTTTTAGCCATGTCCTGCTGTATGGTTGGTAGTGTCAGCTCCGATGTGCGGGCATCTCCTACTTCTTCTTCGCGGATACTAGCAACGAGACAGAGTCAGTATCTCTTTACACTCAGCGTTTAAGTGCTGCAAAGAGCCTCAGTGTCACCTTTGGCCTTTGCCTTGCATGAGAAACGCTGGGGACTGGACAAGCATAATTGCAGGGTCATGAGCTTGGGTTAATTAGATTTTGGGGTGACAATTGGATTCCACTCATGTCAGCGCTCTAGCTGTGTCAAGCACCCAATCTATGGCCTGCCAAAAGAACAGCATGTACGCCAGGTGGCAGACTTTAGAATGTAGGAGAACACATGAGAGGGAAGGGCTCTGCCTGGGGTTGTACCTTGTTCTCTGGGATGGGCTTGAAGGTGGCTCTGTTGTAATTGCAGTCCTGCTCACTGGTCAGGTCCACAACGCTCCAGTCGTCCACACTCTGCCGCTGCAGCTTGGCTGCTATGTTTCCCGGCTCGCGGTTCTCCTTGGACAGATCAATGCCTGCAGGCAAGAACACACAAGCCCTTTGTGCATACGCACTCAACCCATCACCAAAGTAATATCCCATCTCCCACATCTCCCTGGCCAACTTGCGATTTTCTGGCCTTGAGTAACCAGATGGATTCTAGGTGGGGTGGCCCGATACAAGATGCATAGCCGGGGTGTGCAAAAGGCAACTCTGGCTCGAAAAAATGGGCACCACAGTCTTCAGTCCGCCCAATCTAGAGGAGCACCTGAGAAAGGTGGGACAGTCTTGTTATGGCCTGCCCAAATGGACCTCGAGCTGCAAGAACAGGGGCTGGATAGCTTGACTCGACAGCATGATGATAGGTTAGAGAGTAGAAATCGCTTAAGCAAGTGCCTACATGCGGATCACTCTAGTTTGAGTAATGACTTCAAAGAAGTAAACCACCCAGGGCAAGGTACTGCGCACACCTTGGCTCGGGAGGAGCAAGGGAGAGTGAGCAAGAGAGAAAGGGGGCAGGTGCGCACTCTGCAGCACGATGCCCACTCCGAGAGGACCTGTGACGCCTGAGCGCCGAACTGCATCATCCCGGATCAAGGCTGACTGGGTCTTCTTGTGCTTGACTCCCTGGTGGGTGTAGTCATTGCCAGGCATCTGCAGCACAGCCACCTTCAGAGAACCACCATTTTCCCTTGTAAACACCAGACGGCACAAATACCGGACGGCATGAAGGCAGATGGACAAGTTAGTAGCAAATTAAAAGCGAGTGCCAGTGCACCAGCATGTCCTTGACATCAGGATGAGACAGGTTGCCTCACAGGGTGCCAGCAAGACACTCACAGGTGCTGCAGGCGATGTGAATCCCCTTTCACAGGAGACGAGAGTCTTCCTTCGCCCTCTCCAGCAGATGATGAGCGCTGCACCAGTGAACAAGCCAACGACGAATCCCACAAGCAGCAGCGCAAAGATGGACCCTGACACAGTGGCACTGCCAAGCAGGACGTCCCTGCCCGAGCAGCGATGTACCTGCGATTGTTCCCAAGTGGTTAAGAAATTTTAAAATGAATGACGTTGCCTGAAGATATCTCATTTATAGAAAGCAAAAACTGTGTAGGCTTGGTGGTTATATCTGGTCAGATTTTGGCAAAGAAAATTGGCAAACTCTACTAGAGATCTGAAGGAGTCAAATGACTGGTGATTTTAATGCTGCACGGGCACACTGAGCTCCACCAAGCCGGAGATGAGTGGCTTCCAGGCAGCATCGGTGTCTCGCAAACGCACCTGTAGCAGATTCCTTCCCGAGCTTTCAGCCATTGAATGACTCAAAATTTGACCTCTCATCTCATCCATCTTCCAGAATTCCAGGAATGCGGATCGTGCTTAACAATCTCTGGAACCCTGAGCAGCACTTCTGCATCAGTTCTCACCAGCCACCAATCTGTCGTCAAGAATGATCACTGTCTTAGTGCCTCTTCATGTTAATAACAATACATGTGGGTTCATTCCGATGCACAGATGCGCTTGAGCATTGGCTGCCCTTTCGAACTTCGTGATGCTCTCGCTCTACTAGCCTGTTCAGGCAACTTCCGTCCTTCATACGTTGGACAAGCTTCTTTCACAGGGCCTCCCTGTCAGGGAGGCAAGACAGGCGGAACATTTCATTGATGATATATTCCTTGCGTTGCGGAGCAGGAAGACATGCGGTCTGAAAGGGGCTAGTTTGCTGAGCACCTTGAAGGCATGCCAGGAACATGACTCCTTAAATCTTGTCTCCTGTCGTCTCTGCAAGCAATACAACCAGAGGTATTCTTTCTCTTCTGAGAGTATCTATTTGCACCCTGGTCATTCTGAATGCGCGTACTGAATTTGTCATATATAATACGGCATGTACCAAGGTACTGTGGAGTGGGCATTCAGAGGTATATAAAGTCAGACATTCCAATTCCATCCTGTAATAATTTTAAGAAAGAACCTGCATGCTTTTGGGCGAGTTGATTCTGAACATCGCACTCTCGTATCTGGGTGCTCTTCAGATCATATGCATATGAGCCACCCCCACTGTCTTCTTCAGAGTATAATGAGGTCTGAAATAGAACCTGACGCAAGGCTCGTATATTGCATTGCAGGTGGCCCCTGCACTTGATCTTGAGTCAGCAGTAAGAGCACAGCTGTTGGGCCCATGGGGGTGAGCGATCTTTGGAATTTGCTCCGCTCGGAGGGCATGGTGCGGGAATGGAACTGCGAGACAGACGGCCAGCTGGTCCAGAAGGCAGTCGCTGCAAAGCTGGAGGGCAAAGTTGTGGCCGTGGATGTCTCGCTGTGGACCTGCCAGGCCCTCATGCAGGGTGCTCTGGTGGAAGTATTCCCAGAAGAGGAGGCTCGTGTTGTCAAAGTCGCCTTTGACAGGGTCAGTCACCCCAACGCTCTTCGGCGCAAGTGGGATCTGTTCCACAGCATGCAAACTGTGCATGCTCCTATCTGCATATGGAGAGAGCATTACTAGCCAGCCTTCGATGTGAGCGAATGTGCAACGTGTTGTTGTGTCCTGCACAGATCATCAATTATCTGAGGTTTGGCTGCACCCCGGTGGGAGTATTGGATGGGGACGCGCCTGAGCAGAAGCTGGAGACTCTACAGGCCAGGTGAGAAATGTTGTTTTCGCCAAGTCAGTCGCTGAATGCAGTCCATGGTTGAGTGTCACTGTCAGGAAATTTCAAGTGGCCTGTGATCATGGGGCACAGGGCACCCTGCATCCCAAGGGCACGTTATATCAGCCAATGTTTGCAATTAGTCATCTGGACATTAACAACATGAGATCTGAGCAAGTCATACATATTCTCCCAACGTGTGTGCAATCCATCATTTGTGGTCTTCTGAGGCTCAGGACTTCGAGTGCACTTGCGCGCAGGTTCTTCAGCAGGTTCAACAGGGCGGGTGGCGGCGGCGGCAACAGCCACTTTGTGCACCTGTGCAGCCTGACAGCCCAGCTCTTCAAGGCCATGGTGGGCCCAGATCCTTGGCTAGAAGACACAGCAGAGGATAGTTCATACATCCGATGTCAAAGTGCATATTTTATATTACATTTCCGTTGACTCGTTCCTCATATTTTCGCATGCCGGGAAGTTTTCGACCGTGACTTTAGCATCCCTGTCTGCAATTTACATGTGAGCATGTTTTACCAGAGCGTCCATACGCCTGTCACTTCTGGGATCATGGCCCTTTCAGCTTAACATGTAGGAGCAGCTGAAGTGTTCTGTGCTGCTACGCAGGGCTTGTGGGTGGTGCAGGCTCCTGGGGAAGCAGAGGCAGTGTGTGCAGCGCTGGACAGGGCAGGCCACGTGGACGCATGCGTCACCAAAGACAGCGACGCGCTCCTGTTTGGCGCCCAGACGCTGTTTCAAACCATCAAGCCCGTGGTGAGCGTTCTTGCCTGTCCTTTGAGTTCGTCACATCCACTGGCGACGTTACCAGAAGTGAGTCCTGTTCAAGATGGAAGCACAGTCGCAATCATTACCTGATGATGGCAGCAGGGAGTGAATTGTGTGACACATTGCCATTCTTGCGGTGTCCTGAAGAGCTCTAATACTGCTGCCTGCCCAACAATAAGATGGGTCCGACAAAATCTTCCTATGGCATGCAGTCTAGATCATGGATGCCCAAGCTTGTCAAGGATGATGTGGCTGTACTGGAGTATTTATGTGCTTGAAGTGTGTCAATGCATGGACGTGACGCACCTGAGCTCCTCAATGATCCGATTTATTTGTGTATGCCAGGTTAGACAGGCTTGCCATAGCAATAATAATCAATAGTAATGTATTGTTCCTCGCAGACGAGCACGCCAAACGAGTGCAAGCTGTCCAGCGTGGCAATGCGTGATGTCAGAGCCTATTTAGGCATTAATGAGGGTGGTGAGCTGGCGCTGACTGCGATCGCGCTGCTGACTGGCGGTGACTACCACATGGGCGGCGCTGAGGGAGTCGGCCAAAAACAGGTCATCTCCCCTGCGACATATGTTTCCAGGGGGCTGTAAATCAGTTGGCTTACTTCGTGTGTTGTCCCCTTTTCATTCAGGGTCGCACCGAGTCAGTACGACTGACTGCGACTGTTTCATTTGATAAGCTCCCGCTTGCCTTTTGATGAGAGTCTTCAGACATGTCCCTGCCATGAGATATGCACCATGGGCTAACCAAGTTTATAATTAGCCAAAGGTCTCCACACACACAGATTCAAGGATGAGCAGTAAAATGAGATTAGAAATTGCTCAGCCCAGCTTCAGCCATGCGTTGTGCAAGATTGAGGCTGCTGGCCTGGCCTGAATAGACCATTTCCTGTCATGGGAGTCTCCGCCTTACCCTGGGATGTAATGTTGATCAGTGGGGCCCACATTGCAGGCGCTGGCGGTGGTGAAGCATCTGTTGAAGGGCCAGAAGAGCGATGTGGGCGTTCTAGACAGCCTGGCAGAACTGCTGGCGCAGCCGCCTGAAGAGCATGCAGAGGTTCTCCGCCATGACAAGTGCACAGGTGCTTCCCCACTCTCACTAAGAAAGCCTAGAGAATCACAAATGGGTCATCTTTTCAATTTTGCAGGTCTGATGTGGTCCTCAGAGCTGAACTTCCTCACCTCCACAAGGCATATTCAATCGTTGAGTACGGAACACATGCTCACCCTTGCTGCTGTGACATGGATAGCTCATGCATGCAGCATGGCAGACGTATCATTGTCAGGGTGATGTAATGGACACAATGATCTCATGGGATTCTCGATGTCATGACAGGCTGCAAGCGCTGCGGGCACGAGGGTGGCAGGAAGAGCAGCATGAAAAACCATTCGACGCGCAACCCATGCGAGTGCTGCCCGCCGGCACATGACGGCACATGCCGGCAGCACGTGCACGGCAGCTGCGCCTGCGCCTTCCACCGCCTTGAGAGCCTGCGAGTCGTGTACAAGGTACACGCTCTTTCTTCTGGACCTCATTCTCAGCTTGACGCATGATCTACCCATATACCTACTGGCCCCTTAAGCTGGTCTACTCAAGTTAGCCTTGAACTTTTGGAACACCTCTATCTACCTATGCTTGTGAAATGTGCCCAGCAGCAAGGGCACTTACCAGCGGCCTTACCATGCGCACCTATTACTGTATCAAGTTGGATTCAAGCGTGCACTGGAATTTCCTGGGCGCAAGCAGGCTCTGTGTTGCCTGTGCAGGCCGTCCAAAAGGCACGAGAGAGCCCTGGGTTCTTGGAGAAGGCGGCGGCAGCAGAGGACGCATACAGAGAGCAGATGGAGGAAGCTGCCAAGGCAGTCGCTGAGTTTGGTGAGGAGCAGGAGCTCGAGCCACGTCAGCGGCTGACCTGGCAGCACCGGCCCAATGTGCCCCAGGTGATCCATCCATCCATCCTGTTAAAATTGACTGCATCATCTGTGTGAACACTATGGAGAGTCTCAAACGCTGTCATATGCATGCATATCATGAAGTTGAGGAACAGTGTGAGGACATCCTGAGGACATCTTGAGGACCTTACTGTTGGGGTCAAAAGTGCGATTGCATCGACTACCTTTTGCATGTCTACGATCTAGATCAGGTATTGCATGGTCTTCGCTTTTATTTGAGGTGTGCAGGAACACATGGCTTCTGCCAGCATCACTTCAGGCAAAGGGTCATGACTGAACCCATTCCTATGGAATGAGCACTGCTTTGACATTTTCATTACAAAATTTTGAGATTTGGAAAGGGATTCAAATTGGGCGACAGGTGGCCCGGCTGGTGGAGCGTTGTGGGCTGCCCTGGGAGGAGCAGAAGACACGCGGTAAAATGATGGCGTTGCTGATGGAGTGGGACGCCAGTAACCCCAGCACACAGGTGCCACATTCCCACTTACACACCCTTTTGCATGCATCGTCCCCCTTTGAGACATATGACTGGCGCGCACAAGCCTGTACTGAGGTCAAGGCTTGAACAAGGGTGACAGGCCTGAGTTGGGGCCTCGTGCTGCTGGCGGCAGCAAGCCTCTCAAAATTTTGAAGGGCAATTCCATGAAGACCTGCAGCGTTGTGTCATGCAGAGTGTACTGTTCCTGCAACGCTAAAGCTGTCATTGGGGCTGAGAGCGGAGTTTGGGTATGTGCAGGGTGAATTTGTGCCGACTGAACTGGTGAAGCCGCACGGCGGCCAGGACTGGCGCCACCTCATGGCCTGGAAGCGCACCAATATAGGCTCTTCCAAGGTCAGCCACGACTGTATCTACCCTCTTGCATTGCACTTTACACAGCGTCCCAAATGATGCCTTTTTTTGTTGAGCAAGTGCAGGTTACTCAGCAATTCTTCTGGACTCCAATACACTTTGCTGTGCAAGGTGAAGGCTGCAGCAAGCGCTTCGCCAAAAGGAAAGCGACTTGCGCATTCTGCTGGTGTATGTTGGACCACAGATACCCACCACTGTATTTCAGCTGCCTTTCTACTCGAGAGAAAATTGCCCAGCTAGCAGATGACACCATACATAGTCCAAGGAGTCAAGGAAGCCTGTTGTGACTGCAGGACATTGAGGCGGACAGGGAGCGGCTGCAGGAGAAGAACAAGTCCGGGGACTTCCGCTGCCTTCGCATCTCCACCGTGCGCGACTGCTGGCCTGCGCTGTTGCAAGCGTATGAGCGCAAGAGGGCCGAGGCAGCCGACAAGGCCGCCAAGAAAGAGGCCCGCAAGTGCGCGCTTCTCTGTCCTCTCAGAACTGAAGAGTTGCACCAAATTTTTTTTCATCACCTGCGCAGCTGCGTTGGTGGATTTGTTGCCGTTGTCTGGCACTCTTGACCATATTCAGACGTCAGCCAGAGACAATGACTGGGAAAAAGGCCGGGCTGATGTTGTTTCTGGCAAGGCAAGGCAAGAAGGGCGGGTTACTAAATTCCATACTGCCAGCGGGGAAAGTTTGGGAGAGATGCAGAGAATTTCTTACATGGATTTTTTTTTGCGCATGCAGGGCTGCAAAGGAGGGCAGGGCGGCGCCGCAGCAGGCGACAGCGCAGAGCAGGGAGATTGCGAGGATGGCCGCCTCGATGCAGGCTTTCCTGCAGCCCCAGCGGAAGCAGCATGCCGCCACCAAACCCCTCGACAAAAGCGCGGCCGCTCACAGCGCCGGTGACGGCGGCGATCGAGGCTTGGGAGTCCTCCGGCCCTCTGTCAGCAACAGGGGAGGCGATGCATGCAACAGGGGTGCGAGCGCCGATGAAGCCGGGGAGTCGGAAGCGCGGGGCAGGGGAGACGATGCAGCCGCGCAGGCCCTGGCGCGCAGGCTCGGCGTGCACAGCAGCTCTTCAGACGAGAGCGGAGGCAACGCCGCTGTATCTGAGGGGCAGGCCTGGGTCGATGTGCTGGCGGAGGACGGCGCGAGCGCGCCGCGTGAGACGCGCCGTGGGGTGAATTCGGATGCCGCCGGGGTGGATCCGCCGGGGCTCCACTCGCCCGGCAAGCGCGGCAGGGGGCCGGCTGCCGCGGATGTTGGTCGCTCGCCTGAGTCTTCGCCGGCAGAGAGCAGGCCGGCGGAGGCTGCCACCGGCAGGAATGCTGATATCATAGTTCTGGGGTCCCCGGAGAAGCGGCAAAGGGTGCCAAGCGCGGCGGCCGCGGGGCCGTCGCGTCCGCCGAGCCTGGGCCGGGCAGGCAGGCAGGGTGCGGGGGTGCCTGGCGGGCAGCCGGCCGCAGCCGACTTCAGCATCAGGCGGCCACCTGCGCTGCCGGTCGCCAGCGGTCGGGGCCGGGGCCGCCGCGGCAGCCGATCGGCTGCCGCTGTTGGTACGGCGCACATTGAGCGGTTCCTGCAGAAGCAGCCGGGCACATGCAAGGCCGCACTGTCAGCAGGCGCACCTGGGAGAGCCGAGCCAGCTGGCAGGGCCCCAGAAGGCACGTTCTGCGCAGCTGCCAGCCATGGCACGCCGTTGCGCGGCGCGGTTGCTCAGGCCGGGGAACACCCCACCCTTCAGGAGTCCCCCATAGACCTGACGCAGTCGGCGTCTCCGCAGCGGGCGCCGCATGAAGGGGCTATTCATGCCGCACAGCACGGCGGCAGCTGTAAGACAGCCGCGACTGTTCTGCGCAGCCCGGGGGGCCGGTGCTCTGTGGAGCGGGGAATAGAAGAGCTGCTGCAGTCGCGTGGAGTGCTGCCGCTGCCGGCCGCCGCCGAGCAGACGCCGCAGCCGCGCCCGGGGCGCCAGCTCAGTTTCATGACGCCGTCGACTGACGGTGACATTGTGGTGGACCTTGTGACGCCGCCGTCCTCACAGCCTGTGGGCGATTGATGTGGGAGCTTGAGGCTTTCGACAAAGCAGAGCCCAACAGATGAGCTCTGGCTGCAGCTCAGTCCACAGACTGTATTCGTGAATGGGTTCAAGCCCGCAGCAGGGTAGATCAACTGGTGTGTCGGGATCTCAACTGACAAGTTGTTTCTGCTGAGCTTGTATTTGTTGCTGGTACTGTGTTGGTTGCGCAGATTTTGGCATTATGTATGTTGTCAAGGGAGTTGATCAAGGTTGTCTTGAAGATCTGGATTGGCTCCATTGCGCGACATGAAAATGTGCAATTGCTGGGTTTCAGCAGCTCGAGAGATCTTCAAGGGACTGCAGACTTTGTATGGACACTTGTGTTGTTCTTTGAATCAGATAACTTGTTGGCATGCTTGGGAAGACTTTGATACAACTGTGTTTGTCATTCAAAGACTTCGATACGGCTGTCTTTGTCATCCAAAGACTTCAATACGGCTGTGTTTGTCATCCAATGAGTCTTCACTGGTTGCCAGTGGCCGATTTCAATGTTGGTTTGGAACTTTCTGGTTGTTTTATATCCTAAAGATTGGTCGACCCATAGCTAGCTGGCCTTGTACAACATATCTGGTAAGTTGAATGGTCTGAAGAATTTCGTCACAGGCCCTGCCACCAATGACCAGTAATTCAGCTTGCCTGACTCAGTCTGGCCTCGGCCGCGGAGGCTACCTGTAGTGCCAGTAGCCAGAACATCATCATGACTGTCATCATGATGATGACTGCCAGTCAGTGATCAGGGATCACATGTGTACACTGGCAGTCCTATTGCATTGGCCACATACACATGCATTGGACACAAACAGACGCATCTGCAAAAGCAATTGCAGATGGAGGACTCTTGCTTTGTTATAGGGGCCCTATTGTAGGGCCCCACAGAAAACATTTCGCATGCATGGCAGGGGCTCCCTGGAGGACCCAGGGACCGCGTACCAGGAGTGTACGGGAAATGGACCCCTTGCCCGTGCAGGAGGCCACCAACGGGCCCTTTTTGACGCCCTCTGGCGACGGCTCAGGGCCCGCTAATGACTTCAACTCCCTTTGACGTGTGAGTTTGATCAGCTGGACCCATGTGGTCTCTCTAAAGTTTTCTCAGTCACACAACTTCCCGTCCACTAGCCTGGCGATGCTATCTTGTTGTTGAGGCCGCAACGATCGACTAGCGTGCAACACACAATCTCCTCCAGCGTGTGGTGTCCGCGTTAGTCACGCGCAGCGATGGCAACCACCAACGGTGTCAAGCCCGTGCCCATGGCGGACGGCGCTCCGCCCAAGTTCGCCCTGCCGGTGGACTCCGAGTACAAGGCGAAAGCGATGAACTTGTTCTCGCTCAGCCGGCCTCACATGCTGTCCTTTCACCTGAACTGGGTCGCCTTCTTCATCACCTTTCTTGCAGCCTTCGCCAGTGCGCCGCTGGTGCCCATCATCCGTGACTCCATCAACCTGGAGCAGCACGAGGCTAACATAGCAGGTACGGCGAACCCACCACTCCCTGTCGGCATATCGAATAGGGCGGAGCATGGGTGCAAACCCTCATCTAGCATCCACGGGCTTGGCTCGGCCGTATGTGCCCCTTTTTTCGTCATGTATATTCAATTGAATATCAGCATGTTTGTTATAACGTCTTGTACGCCTCGTTTGGTTCGCTGGAGCAACAAAACGCGTGGCCAACCAAGGGTTAAGTTCTCAAGGTTTTATGCCTACAGTCGTGAGCATTGAATACCCAACTCCATAAAGGCGATGTCTGTTTTTACATTGCAGCTGAATCGCAGGTCATGTCCCATTCTGGCGGTTTCTGCAAAAGTCAGTTTTTACAAACCCTAATTGTGGGCTGGCAGACTGCTTTCTTGCTCTGCCTGATCCGACGATTCGGAGCTTGACGTTTAACGATCGATTTGTTGATTCGTGATAGCAAGAAATGGTCCTGGTAACCTTTTGTTCCTGCCTCAGGCACCATTGTTGGTCATCACGTTCAGTGGCTGAGCTTTCATGATCTGCCCTGTGCAGGTGTCGTCACAACTGCCAGCACAGTCTTTGCGCGTGTCTTCATCGGAGTTATCTGCGACAGATTCGGACCCAGATATGGTGAGCTCGACCCCAGTTAACCTTCAGCCCGCTGCACCTTTCCCTGGAAATATCTCTTCATGATCTTTTGGGACAACACCCAACAAAACTTGCATGCACCCCCCCTCAGGACCTCCACACAGATGCCCTGTGCCCAGGTCCCGCTGTTTGAATCGCATCAATATTTTCCTCACGGCGCTTACCTTGCCCTTGAGCCTGCGTCTCTGTGTTTCAACAATCTGCTTCATGTCCTGTGTGTGTTAGCATGGGTGCATCTTCTGGTACTTGGATCACACTGATAGCCATACAAAAGAAAGTATGGAAGGTCTGTGGATCTTGCTGATAACTATACAGAGAAAGTATGTAAGAAATGCTGTCTGCATGCTGATGGGGTGTGTCCCTTTTGCCCTGCAGCGTACGGTTACCTTCTGGCGGCATGCGCAATCCCGGTGTTCTGCATGGCGGTAGTCAGGAATGCCATCGGTTACATCATCGAGCGCGTCTTCATCGGCTGCTCGCTGGCTTCCTTTGTGGTCTGCCAGTTCTGGTCCTCCATCATGTTCTCTCCCAACGTGGTCGGCATGTCCAACGCCATCGCTGGCGGCTGGGGTAACGCTGGTGCGCACCCTTACTTCTCTTTTATTCAGTGTGCCTGGTTTCAGCCTGCGCAAAGTTCTTGCTGGGCTACAGCAGCTCAAGCTTGTGTGCAATGCTTGTTCCTGCTCCATTGCTTTGGCTCTGCATTGGAGACTACTGGTCCCCCTGTTGCTGAGCTTACAGACCGGCTGCTGGCAAACAACTGAAGCACCCTTGCCTGTGGACTTGCATAGAATCCCCCATAGAAATGTGATGGACAGGAGCCTTGATATTCTGCTGTGCGCGCGTGCAGGTGGCGGTGTCACCCAGATTGTGATGCCCTACATGACCGAGGGGATTGCTAAGCACGTGCCTGAGTTTGAGGCGTGGCGCTGGGCCTTCTTCCTGCCAGGAGGCCTCTTCATCATCATCACCTTCCTCATCCTCATTCTGGGCCAGGTCAGTTCTTTTATCTTCGTGGCTACCTCCCAACAGAAAATGTTTCCATTTCTTTGCATCATTCAGGAAGCTCTGCGGTGCAGCATGTCACCTCTTCTTTGGATGGACATGTTTCCATTTGCTCGCCATGCTGCTCCCAAGCAAGGGTGTTCGGTTGATGGGTTCGTTGCATCCATATGCATATGGAGTGTTGTCTCTTCTCACACTTTAAAAGGATCTGCCAGCAGCGTGCTCTGACACCCACCCTATTCATAGATGTGGGTGTAAAAATATATTTATATTTATTATTACACGCTTTTCCTGCCAAGAGGCAAGGTGCGTCCTGCAGACAAGCTGCAGTTATGAATATGAACATATGGGTATAAAATCCCCTTAGTCACTCTTCTGGTCATTGACGGGAGGCAACGCCGCGCGCAGGATTGCCCCCAGGGCCAGTATAGCGAGCTGGAGAGGACCGGCAAGAAGCAAAAGTCCAAGATCTGGCGCGAGATGTACAATGGCCTCACCAACTACCGCATGTGGGGCCTCGCCGCCTGCTACGCGTACACCTTTGGTGTGGAGGTGCGAAACCCATCCTTCCATATTATCTCACCTTCACTAGTGGCTCCCCGTCTGCAAGTAGTAGCTGTCTGACATGGATGGATACTGTTGCTGAATCCCAAGGAGCACAGCTGGCCATGTGCTTAGCTTGTGCCTGCTCAGCTTGTGCCTTAGTACCATGGCATTTGAGCAGTCATCTCTGCCAGCTGTTGTGATCTTACTGTTCTGGCACTAGTGCAGTGGTTTCTGCTGGCAAGCTGCCTTCTGTTTGTTGTGATCTCAGTGTTTTGGCACTGCTGCAGTGACACCTGCCGGCGCTCTCTCTGTTTTGGATTTAAACTTGGAAATCACAGGCTTCTGACTCCAGTTCTCTTCCTGTGCAGCTTGCCCTGGACAACGCCCTTGCGCCGTACTTTGAGAAGAACTTTGGCTTCGGCATCACCAAGGCGGCCAACCTTGCAGCCATCTTTGGCATGCTCAACTTCATCTCGCGCCCTCTGGGAGGCTACATCTCCGATCTCTGTGGACGCCGCTGGGGCATGCGCGGACGCATCTGGTGGCTCTTCTTTGTCGTCGCCGGCGGCGGTGAGTCACCCGCTGACTCACCTGTCTGTCACCTCGCACACGTTGGCTCCTGCAGCACGTCAACTGTCTGTCAAGTGAAAATTGGCGCATGTCTTATAGATGCGTGCACATGCTTCTACTGCGCCACCTGTCACGGGTTGTCATGTGTGCCTGGGGACCCTGTCCTGCTGCCACAGTTTCCATCGTTTGGTCAAAATGTGGTCGCGGAAGTATCACCGGCTTTAAGGCTCTAGTTGATGTGAACGACATGTTTCGCAGGTGTGAGCTGTTCCATCTTCGGTGTGCTGCACACGAGCCTGCCAGGCACCCTTGTCATGATGATCTTCGTCGGCTTCTTCCTCGAGGTGCGCTCTCCCTTTGCTTTCTCTTCTCCTTGCCTTGAACAACGCAAGCCAGACTCTTGCTTCTTGACCACATCATGACAGCCGTACATAATGCTCAACCATATTCCTCAATGCTGTTTGACATGGCTACAAATGGAGCCTTACAATCACCGGCAAAGTGGTTGCTCGAAGAGACTCCCTGATTGTACTGCAGAGGTACAGCCACAGAGGCTGAAAGGGTGTATTTCTGGGTGCAGGCCGGCTGCGGTGCCACCTACGGAGTCGTCCCCTTTGTGTCCCGTCGCTCCACTGGAATTGTGTGCGGCCTCGTCAGTGCCGGTGGCGCCGTCGGCGGTGTCATCAACCAGGCCATCTTCTTCCTCAACACCCCTGCCAAGGGCGCCTACAGTGCGTTCCTCCCTTTTAATACCCCTCTCATTTTGCCTGCTGACACTCTTTTGCTGCCCGGCCTTGGGCACGCCGGTGCCACAAAAGGCGTACAAGCTCGGCATCAAGCTCTTGAAGGCTCATGGTCTGGCATCTGTGCCTGTGAACATGCTCGTTTTTCTGTCGAGTGGAGTGTCATAGCAGGAGTAAACATATTGCCGAGCTGCAAAAGTGGAGTTTCCCAAGTGAACATTAGCCAAGCAAGTCGAGCTTTGTGGCACCAAGAACTTCGATTGCTGAAGCTCTATCCGGTTCTGCTGCAGCCCTGGAGCAGTACATGTCGTTCCAGTGGATGGGAGTGGTCATCTGCGCGGTGGCCTGCTTCGGAGTGGCCCCCATCTACTTCCCCATGTGGGGAGGCCTGCTGTGCGGCCCCGTCAAGGGCGCCACCGAGGAGGATTACTACTATGCTGAGTACACCCCGGCTGAGCGCGAAGCGGGCCACCACCTTGCGTCCTCCAACTTTGTACGCCCCTCTTTCTCTTTTCCCCTGCCCCTGACACTCCTGCAGAATTATACACTGGGAGTCCTGAGGAAGACGAGCTGTTCTGTGGTCACCTATCAATCCTGCACATGTGAGGAGAGAACAGAGTAAGGAGGCCTTGATCTCTCTGCATTCTCACTGGAATGCCAGTAGGCAACTGGAATGCCAGTAGGCAGCATGTCCTGCAAATCGGGCCAGTGTGCTGGGCTTTCCTTGCAGCCCAGCATGGTGCAGTCTGCTTATTGTCTTTGACGTGCATGGTGCTGACTTCTTTTGGATTCCTGATGCGCAGGCATTTGAGTCCCGCAGCATGCGCGGCCTCAAGCGGCTGGCGGCCGACCCCATGTTCCCTGCCACGGGCCACAAGGTCGAGAAGCCCGTGACTAAGGGCGCGACCAACGGCGTGACTAACGGCGATGTTAAGCCGGTAGTCTGAGCTGGTGACTGCCCTCGCCTCGTCAGGCGGCGGTCCCACGCTCGCCTAACGATGACTTACGGCTCTGCCGACCGGCCAAGCGCAGCTTTTCTCTCCAGACCCGCTGCTCAGGAGTCAGCAGCGGCTGCCAAAGCATCAAACTAGCGGCCGTTTCAGGGCCTTCTGATCCTGCGATGAATGTTGCAAAGAGCCAACCAAACGTTTCCGAGGTGTCTATTAGGGAGCTGCGTGGGACCTTGCATGCAATTGATGTACGTGTTTGCTATCCGAGGGCTGGTGCTGTTCTGTGCCATGAAATGGGGGCTGATGCAGCCGAGCCCTGCATCAGTGCAAGCGTTTCTGAGCCTCCAGGATGTCTGTTGAGTGGTGTATTCAGGCGCAACTTGTACAATTTCATGGGGGGCCGACAATAACATGCGGGCCATGCAGAGTGCCTGTTAAACAAGTTCTAGGGGCGACAGCAGATGATCTGAGACTCTTTTTACTGGCATCACTGAAGGGGCCCAATGTAGGGACAGAGGAGGGTGGCGCTTGATGTGCACCCCCTGCTCTGAAGAGCTTTAACATGTAGCAAGCGCTTGCCATTCAGACATTAATTTTAGTACACAGCAGTAGTGGCCCTTGCTGCAGCTCTTGTTGTCGCCTATACCTGCCACAGTGTGCAGCGCGCTAGCGCGGCTGCACCACCGTTGATGACAGTTTTGGGGGTCCTGCCATTAATACCTTTTAACAGGGACCTCTAGGTGACTAAGACTGGTGAGTCACAGGATTAATAAATAGCTGGGCTGTTGATCAGGGTATGTGCGCCGCATGTGCCCCATCCTATGCTCGAGCTCACATCGTCTTGACGCATTGAAGTATGGAACTTTCTTTGTCTGTTCAAGTTATGTCGGGATTGCTTGCCCCCTTCCCAGTTGCAGGGCGCAGCACTGTCACAACTTTTTAGTCCTTGGAATGTTTACGGTCATGTCATAGTATTGATTCAGGTGTCCACTGCACATGTTGTGTGGTGCACAATGGGACCCATCCTCTTTGTAACAATATATTTCCACGGATTATCCGGCAGCCACAGAGCTCTATCTTTCTGTATCTACGTATACACTATTGAGTATGCCATACTGTGTTTGCAGTGCTTAAGAATTGACTGCCCTCATCTTGGCTAAACCAGGCCAGGCAGTAGTATCTTGAGAGTTTTGTGCAAGACTACCTGCACACCTGCAGCTGCAGCTAGCTCCCAGGCGCATGGCAGCTAGCTGCTATTTCCAGATCTGTCAGGCATCTTGGTGTCTGCAGGTCAAGATGGCACCTCAAGCGTCCAGCAAATTACACTTGTCTGTGTTGTTTGATGACAGCATAGGTTGCAACCAGCTGCATGTCTCTTTCAAACTGGGCTGAACCACTGCATGCCCACCGTAGCTTCCCTTGGGACGGAAGCTGCCAAGGTGCATGCCCTGGGCTCTTTCTTCTCTTTGTCATGAAGTGTGCTACCATCGCATCCTCGATGCCTCTTTGAGGCGGTCTCATGCTTGAGATGAGAGATGGTCACATTCATTCGTCCCCGCAATCGTGCTTGGGAAGCCCAGGCGAATCATGTAGCTCAAGTGTGGGCACTTGCTGGGTTGATCGCCGGTGCAGTCTCGGGTAACGACCCATTTGACGAAGGTTTTACTGTCCAATCCAAAGATCAAGGTGTATTATGTTCCGAAAAACCTCCTGTTTTCGATGTTGTACGGACGCATGCTGACTTTGATGCTCTGTACTAGGATGGGCAAGTTGGACTGGTCTGGTGAATGCTGCACCAATGACGACACAGACGACATCTCTTACAAATTTTGTAACCAGAAACGGCACACAGCTACTAGTAAGTGTCTCTGACTGGCCCACTAAACCCAGCGAATCAGGCTCCCTTCTAGACGAATGCCACTGCCTGCAAGCTCATTCCGTACTGAGGATGCTCTGGCATTGAGCTTCGCAGGCAGATGGCAAGCCATTCCATTTTGCAGGCTTCAATAACTACTACCTGCCGACATACTCAGCCTGGCAGCAAGGGCGCACTGATGACGTGGATGTTGTCTTCAGGTGACTGCTCACCCTTCTTTGGTTCTCCTCTTGTGCCATCTGTTGAGCCTCTGAGACGATAGAACCAGCCTTGCACCACTATCTAATTTGCATGTACCCAGCTGGCAGGGCAATTGCAGAGGTGCAACCAATGCATGGCAGTGAGTGACAAGATGGGGTGAATGGAGATTACATGCATTGCCCAACAGGTGTCTGACATGTGCGCAGGGATGCGCAGAATCTGGGCCTCAAGGTGTTGCGCACGTGGGCTTATAGCGACGGAGAGACCGAGTGGAATGCCATTCAGCCGCGGCTTGGCGTCCTCAATGAGACCATCCTGAGCCAGGCATGCACTCTTCTCTCAGCTGCAAGTGAGCATTCACTGCTTTCACGCGGACTACATACAGTATGTTGATGCTCCCTCATGTTGGCCGCTAGCCATAGGAACAGTTTTCCTCTGCAGGACACACTGTGCAAATTGACTTTGTTGACTTGCACAGATGTCATTGCTAACTATAGGGAAAGTTGGCTTCTGTAGGACGGGTTTGGCCGACTTTGTTGAATTACTGACATGTCACTCTGTTCCAAGAAAATGTATGCTTTGCATGGGAATGAGGTTGCCCACTTGAGCTGGCAGGGGCTGGATTATGTGGTTGCGGCTGCCGGGAGAAACGGGATAAGGCTGGTACTAACGCTCACCAACTACCTGCCCTCTTATGGAGGCGCACCAAAGTATGTGCAGTGGCTGGGCGGCACCAGCATATTTGACTTTTGGACTCGCCCAGACATCAGGTGGGGCCAGCAATTTCGCCCGTGCAGCCCTTTGCATTGAATTGTAATTTACTGGACCTCAAGATGCCAGCTTGACCTGCTAAAGATGAAGGCACCTGGTAGGAAAGGCGGGATGCAAAGGCAGGCCTGGCTTGGTCATGGTCATAGATTGGATCATTTAACATCAGTCATCAGATTTGCTTTATGTCAAAGATCCAGACTTGCAACAGCTGAGGGGTTGCAAATCTCAGCTAGGACAGTGGAAGTTCAGTTACGGAGGATGTGCCAATAATCCCTGCTTTTGCCATACAGGAAAGCTGTCCATGTTGCACTGTGCTGTTCTGTGTGCACCTGTTTCGCCATGGTTGATCCATGTCTTTGCAGCATGCAAGTTTTCACTGGCTGGCAGGAAGAGCAGGCATGACATGTGCTCCAATGCATGTGGCAGGGATGCTCTCAAGGGTTATGTGAAGAGCATAGTGCTGCGCAACAACACCATTACAGGGGTTAGATACCGCGACGACCCCACCATCATGGCCTGGGACCTCATTAATGAGCCCTTCAATCCTGGCGATGACACCGGCAAAGTCCTCACGGTGGGTGCACTCTACCAATTTACCAGTTCTCGCCATCTCGTTTAACGGCTGGCTGCAGGTCACTGTGTGGCCCCAACAAGACACTGGCCTGTCCCTTGCTTTTCCATGAGGGCTGTCTTGCCGTGGGATGGTCCGGTCAAACATCTTTCGGCACTAATGAGGTTAGGCAGCTCATACACTTGTAGTGCGCGATCAAAGAAATTAAGCTTTGGTTCAATTAAAGCAGTGCAGGCTTGATGACAGCATGGAACCTTAATGTGTCCATGAGCGCAGCTGTGGGGATTTTTACAGACACCATCGCAGCATCGGAGGGATGGAAGTGAGTGCACGGGATGCTGATTACAACTGAGAGGGAGCTTTAGTATAATTGCAGCAGAAATACATCCAGTATCATACAGGCTGAATGAAAGCATGCAACCTGCATGTGCATGCAGGCCTGGGTGGATGACATGGCAAATTACGTGAAGGGCCTGGACCCCAACCACTTAGTCATGGTGAACAGCTGGGGCTACTTCGGCGCATCCACCCCAGCCTTAGTAAGCGAGAACCCCACCGACGTCTACGCGGCGAAATTCACCGATACGGTTTTATTCCCTGCCGACCGCATCTGCCACGGGGAGGACTCCAGCGCCATTTTGAGCCTGCCCAACATCGACATTGCATCCATGCACATCTACCCCGAGTACTGGTCCTTCTGCACCTCGTGCGCGCCCCACCTTCCTGATCCACCCCTGCATGACTCACATGCCCACCCCACCCCTGTGGTTCACCCCTGCATTGGCCACCTCTGTGATCCACCCCTGTGTTATTTGTGCGCGTGCCCCGCCCCTGTGATCCACCCCTGGATATTTGTACTTGTCTACCACCCCTCTGATCCACCCTTAGATTGCATGTATATGCGCGACCCGCCCCCCCGTGAACCACCCGTAGATTGTTTAGGTATGGGACTCCCCCTTGTGATCCCCCACTGCTTTACTTCCATGCGGGGCCCAACTTCCTGAGCCACCCCTGCATTTCTTGTCAGCGCGCCCCACCCTGTGATCCAACCTGGCCTTGCTGGTCTCATGGATGTCTGATGTATGCAGTGGTGCCGCCACAACGCATGACAAAGAGCAGGCCTCGGCTATTGCATCTTTCGACCAATAGAATTCATGTTACAATGCTGAAGTCCTGTCGGATCTGCTTGGCAGTGGGTAGCAATTGCATCATAATCAAGGAAATGGATATGCCCATGCAATGGGGACACATTTATCAACTAAGATAGGTCCTCCTCAACATTGCATTGCGGTCATGCAGGGACTGCAAGCTGAACATCAATGTCCAGGGGCCGCAGACGATGACAGCAAACCTTACGGAGCAGGGATTCCTGCAGCTGTGCAGCCCCGACTGCCGCCTTTCCTTCCTGCGCCGATGGCTCAATGTGCACCTGCAGGAGTGCAAGCGGATAGGTGAGGGGCCCTCACTTATCGACATGCCACCAGGTCTCCCATGTATGACAGCATGTGTGCGTTTGGCCACCCAAAATGGCGGTTCTGGCAGCATGTTATTGTTGCCTCCTGAAAAAGCAACCCAAGCAGTCCCCGAGATGTTCAGGAAATGGTGCATTTGCTCAGTCTTGTGTTGCATGCATCAAGATGCTGCTGTCATGTGTTACCAAAGAGTTTCTGTGTTGGGTGGCAGGCAAGCCACTGGTTGTGGGCGAGTTTGGGTCTCAGCGGCCGATGGCCGTGCGCAATGGCTTCTACAAAACTCTGTACGAGGAACTCGCAAAGGCAAAATCCAGTGGGCTGCCTGTAGCTGGTGCGCTCCTCAAACATCTCTCAATAGCAGAAGTTACAGAATTTGCTTTCTTCTAAATCATGCAGTCTGGCACACTGTTTACTTGTATCGCAGGTTGCCTGAAGGCCATAAGAGGGAATTAGTGCAGAAGCAAGACCTGTCCTGGCATATGCAAACTTAGTGCACCTTCTCAAGACCTGTCAACAGGATGCAGCTCAACCATCTTTTGTCGTGGCGCCTGTGGGGAGATTGCAGCTTATTGGGATTCAAAGAGATATCAGAGGTCTGCAGAAAATAAAAAAGTTTCAAGGCTGAGGCTTGTGCCGGCATGTGCAGGGAGCCTGCTGTGGATCCTGTCAGCGCCAGGGCACCAGGACTATGACGGCTACACTGTGTACACAGATGGTAACAACTTCAAGCACAACCCACAGCCGCCGCACCCGCTGCCACCAGCGCTCCCTGCCTGCAATGCAGTGCCCAACTCGGTATCCTGAACTTTTCTCTTGTCCAATTCTTGTCATCTTCATCCACAGAACCTTACGCATCTTACTGTATGGGACATCACATTTCTCTGTACTTCCTGTTTCACATGAGATACTCTCTGCAGCGCAAATTCTATGCTGCCGACAGTATATCATAAGATCGCCGCTTCATTGCCAGCTCTCTTTTATGCGGCGCTGAACCATGGATGCTTCGCATACATAGGAAGGAGAACTCCATTCTGGATCCACAACTGCAGGTGCACGCCTGCGACCAATTACTTATAGGGTGATGAATGGGTTCAGGATTTCTACAATGAGGCGGCATACAGGGAGTGTGCATCCCGGCACGTCCCTGCGCCCTTCAACAACAACGTGGACATCTACAATGATGGCTGGGAGACCACCATTGACCTCATCAAGAAGCAGGCGGCTGACATGGCCTCATGACCAGCAACTTGACTTTGAAGCTTTGCATTGTGATGCGGAGTACTAGTGCTTTTCTGAGAGTGCTGAGCTGTGACGCCTCATATGTATGCTGTGAGCATTGTGAACTTCTGCCTCGCCCATGGGAGCTTTTTTGAACTACCCTCTGACATGGAATATTAAACACAATTGTCTGTGAACCAGTGTGAATTTGTCCTGCTTGATGTGAGAATGTGGGCGTGGAATGAAGTGCCTGTGAACTCTCTTGCTTCGAGATCGGATTTCTTCAGTAGAAAATTTTGATATTGTAAGCTAGGACACCAGTCCTTTTTGGTGTCCATGGAGTGCCATTTCACTCGCACCATTTTTTTGAAAAGCTTACAATTCGCAAGTTAGACTTTCATTCACAAATTTGTTGCAATCCGCTGCTAGATGACATACATGCAATTCCCAGTCCCTAGTTCTCACTGGACCCAGGGTAAAATGCCGGCACACAGAAACATGTACAGCGAAAGAAGCGCAATGAGATTGTTAATTTAATGTCAATGACTAACAAATGCAATGCAAAGCAAAATAAAGGCAACCTAAAGGATTTGAGTCCTGCTACAAGATGTAGTAGAAGGGATTGGGCAGCTTGAAGCTGGCCTCAGCTGCTGAGGTGCCCGCCAGGTCCGACCACTGATCTCCAAAGGAAGCCACAATCTCATAGCCCCTGTCCTGCACCACACACATGCACATGCAGGTCAGGTCTTTGGTCAACAAAATCCTCGTAACCTGCATGCAATAGCCAACATCCGTGCAAGGACCACAGGAATGCCCCGTATGATGCACATAGAATGCAGAATGAATTAGCTTTGAAGTAGGCAGTAGACCACGCAGGCCAAGAGGCCAAATTGGCACTGCTGCCTCTGTGGTGTTGTTGCATGCTATGACGGACACCGGGCAACTTTGCAAGAGTCCTGTATCCAATCAAACAAAACAATGCAAATTTAGTCGATGACAGAAGCGCATGCCTGCAGCTGTGCGCGCTGGTCGGGCTTGTAGACTGAGGCCAGCCGCTGGTCGCCAGCGCTGCGCATGCCAAGCGTTACATAGCAAGGCTCGCTCTGTGCACGCTCTGCACGCTGTGCTTCAATTGCCCCATCTGAGCAGGGCACCCCGTAGCCAGCCGCCTCCAGGTTCTTCGCGGTTGCATCCCGCCCCGGCCCGTAATCCCTCCTGCAAGGCATGGGGAAGAGCCTTGATCAGCTGCAAGTGTCGGAGAGGACTTGCAGCCATTCTCAATGTCTCTCGACACTCTCGTGTCTATAGTGCCCCTTGCCTGAGCTAGGAGAGTGTTCTATACGTCCCAGCTATGCATGCTGAAACAGTATATCCCATCTAGTGGCCATCAGGTTACTTATGCAGAGGGATCCAGTCTCTCTCCCTTCACCTTTTGGAGGGTCCTCAACAAATAGATAGGCAGAACATGTGGTGCTGCTGAAGTTGCACGAATGCATCCCAGGCCGAAGGCACGACATGGCCGAAGACAATTTATAAGCCATTGAGCAAGGTACCATCCCCATGTGGGCCAATTTGAATTGTGGGGGCTTGCATTACTATAAATGGTCTTGCCTACAAGGTGAGGATGGCAGACCTGCCGGTGATGAAGGTGAAACTGAAGCCTTTCCGGTACAGTTCGGTGTACAGGTCCAGCATCGGCTGCAGCGCTGGTGACATGGCTGGCCCCAGAACACTCTGGTCCTGCATGCATGCACATTTGGACCACAGTCAATGTACGATTGAGGAGAGAGAGGGGCGGAGTGTTGGTCACGAACTGTACGGAAGCTTTTGAAATCTGCATGCAGCCATGCGGAAGCATTGAGGGTGTATGACAAAATATTACCTATCTTATCACAACAAGGCAGAATGCAAGACATACAATTCAGTGAGCGCAAGATTCACAACACTCTGAGATCGTCTCTGCTCATCCCAGCAGGTTGCAGGCAAGCAGGTTGAGCAGGAGGGTAGAGGCTGTCAAAGAGATTACACTACCTTGACAAATGGCAGATTCAAACCATTTTTCCTGTTCTCTGTGATGGTGAGCCACTCAGCCCTGTTGGACAGCGCGGTCTCATCGATGTCTAGCACAATGACCTGCGAGGCATTCGGCTGGCGAGGGTAGGCGTCAAAATATGTGCGTGCTGATGCAACTGCTGCCTCCACATCCCTGTCATACTGATGCACCTGCATCGGCCGTCAAGGGTATGTGTAAGCAGCAGCCATCGCAAACAATTTCGGAAAATGCCTATACCGACCATGATCATGCAAGCATCTTATAGGTGGGAACATCTGGAAAAATTTTGTATGTCACTGGCAAGTGCGTACAAGCATACATGTGCACATGACAGGTCAAGCATTGGGGCTCCTACACAGCCCTGTTCTGCAGGCCCAAGCGTGCCCCTTTTCCAGGGGCCTAAACACCTTGAAAGGGTTCTGTACGCACCAAGTACCGATGCAACTGTGTTGCGCATGTGGCAGAGGTGATCCGTGCTTGGGGATAGGACCCTCCAGGGGCCACGGCACCACCTCCAAGAGCATACTGGCAAGAGCAACCCTCCAAGCCGCCGTGGTACATTGTATCCAGATTCTGCAGGTACATCTGCAAACAATGTGCCTTTAAATAGTGGAGTGGAAACAAACACATGTAAGTGGTCTTTCAAAGACTCCAAGGCATTAGTTCAAGGACAGATCAAAGCTTGAAGGGATGGTACCTTCCAGAGGTAACATGATTGGACTAACATCGCCACAAGGCTGAACACAAGCACCATTCGGTGTCCTGACGACCTTTCCTTACATTTAGCATTGGTGCACGCGCGATCCAAGCAAGCAGCTTCTTGATCAATAGCTGCCACGGGGCCCTTACCACTCATCGTAAAGAAATGGAGCACTCGATGGGAGCAACTAGATCAGCATTTTACGCACGGTTCAAGGTGATTTGCCGCATTTTCTGTGCTTTCCAATCGGAGATCACTACAAGGTTGGAGGGCATTCCTCAAGCATTTCTGCATGCACCCGCGGTCCAGATTTGGCGCTCCCACGAAGGCCCAAGAATTTGAAGCCTCCTCCCTCTACCGCATGCTCGCAGCCCAATTCTCACACACCATAAAACGGATAATGGCAACGGCTTGGAAGGGAGAGACACTACGAGTCACATAAATACGCCGAGAAGGCCATAGAAATCGCAAACATCCGTTGCAGGATTGGTTGAGTTAACAAAGCCAGAGGAAGTGATGACTGCAGAATTCAGCATCCCAGCAAAGCCAGAGGATCTGGCAGATGAAGATTGCGTCTTGGATGTGAAAATCAGCCGCTTGACAGCCGTGGAAAGCCTTGCTGCAGATGATGTGGAGGAGTTTGCTGAGGGTATATGAGCCTGCTCAACGCTCTTGACCACCATAAGACATTCAGGACCCTTTTTTCTCTTCTTATTTATGCTAAAGATGGCTGGACTTGAGGTTGGGGCACATTTACACTAAGCAAGTGAGCAACATCCTTTCTGTCAATTCTCGCAGGAGCTCTCTACGACATTTGCAATCAGGATGCCCTATGCATTGTAGAGCAAAACATTTTCGACAAGATATACTCTCTGACCAGGCGCGGTCCTTCTCCCGTCTCGAGCTGTGTGTCTCAAACTGTAAAACATCTTGTTATATAGAATGCCATATGCTTTTTACTGCCTGACCTAATGGCGTCAGGAGTGAACACATTTCACGTACTCCTATTGAAACACATCTTTACTTCTTTTGGCAGGGGTTTCAGCCATCTGAGCAGCATTGCACGCAAGCGGCTGGTGGATGGGCTGTGTTCAAACCTCTCTGTGCTGGGTCTGTCCATTGGGGCTCTGGTCTCTGTGCAAGAGCCGGATGATGCAGCAGAGCACGAGGCCGCTGCCACTTCGCACAGGAGTGCCCTGACAGCATATGTCTTCCTGCTCTCTTGGCTGGCAAGGCTGGCAGAAGATGAAGCCAAGGTAGCTGCCAGCACATCAGACTCGGCGGCAGGTAAGACAATGCGTGCTCTGAACTTCATTTTTTCTTTGCTCTTGAGATTGGTCAAAAGCGCGCATTGTAGCTCTGTCTTTGACTCCTACGATCTGCTGCGGAATCCATACTGCTCTCAGGCAATATTCTGACTCTAAAGAGCACGAAAGGGTGGCCAGGGCTGGTTTAAGGAGTATGCTGCTTGTACTTAACATGAGGGGGAGTGGCGTGCGGCACATGCCTGAAGGATGGGTGCTTTTCAAATGCAGGTGGCAAAGGCAGGGGCAGGAAGAAGGCAGCACCGGCGACGCATGCGATGCTGCAGTGGGACTGGGACGGGCAGCGGGACAAGATCGCGCGCTCTCTGGCCGTCATCGCAGACATCGACCTGTGGAAGCTCTTCCGCCCGCGGCCGCCCGACGAGCGGCTGCTGCAAACCTGGACCCAGTCTGTGCGTACCTTTCTGTACATGTCCTGAACATGGCACTTCGCTACGGCTGCAACACCCCAACATGCACCCACCCTTTCATGCACAATCTTCAGTGCAATATGCTAGGCCGATACAAAGGTGCTCCCTGGGATCAAAATGGCTGCCACAGTGATGCGGTAACGCAGCCGTAATATACTAGCACGGCCAACAATGCCGAGAAGCCAGCACCGTACTGCTGGGATCCAGTCAGTGCCAATATCTATGCCAAGTTTGTCCACAGGTCAGGGGGCTTCAGCCAAGAGAATGCATCAGTTATAGTCACAGCCGCTTGCACAGATGCTCCTGAGGGTAGCTTACTCATCTGCGGTGGGGGTCTTCCATTAAAATTTTATACACTTTATATCTTATAGGATTACTGACCCTTCGTCGACCCTAAACCCTAAATCCACCATTGCATTCCCCGTGAAAATTTGTTACTCTAAAGGCCCCTCTCCTAAACCCTAAAACCTAAATCCATATGCCCCAAATCCTAAGCTAAAGTGGGTGAAAAATAACGTCAAGGCGGTTGCGTGCCTGCAGGCGCAGCTGCTGCTGGAGAGCGCGGCGGCGATGAAGTCCAAGACTTCCAGGGACGGCGCGTTTGCGGTGCTGTCGGCCTGCGCGCTCAAGTACGGCCAGCTGGAGGCGGTGGCCGGCGCGGCCGTGGGGGCGCTCGCGCGCAACGAGCACATGGCGGCGGCGCTCGCTGAGCTTGCCGAGTACTCGCAGGCCAAGTATGACGATGCCCGCCTGGTGAGCCCCTCCCCAACTTCCAGTACACACAATATTCCAGAGCCCGGCTTTGCAAGGGTCCAGTGGATTGTGGCCTTCCCAAAAAAAAATTGTAGAAACCGATGTTTGGTAGTTGCAAGCACCAGCATGATTACAAGTGCGTTTAGGTTGGGACTTTGAGATATGGTCGTGACACAAGCCCCATGTGCGTACCACTCTTGTGGGCTTCTACTCGTTGACTGTGAGGCCTTGTCGATGCCACAAGTGGGAACTGGAGCCTTGCATCGGAAATGAAGCAGGCGATTGAGCCGGGAGCTGCTGCATTGCCCCTGCCTTGTATGGATGTTGGGAGTCTTCCCTGCCTCTCTATTGAAGAGCTGCCTTCACATGTCAGGGGGCATGGTGTGTGTTGGAGTCAAGTGGGACGTGTTCTAGTAAAGAAGCCTCTTCGAGTAAAATGACCAGGTTCTAAGCTGCAGGATTGGAGCCCAACAAGCAATAAATGTGTGTCAGTGGAGGTGGGGTTAGAAAGACCATCCTGCAGCAGAGGAAAGCAGACATGCCTAGTTCTGTGCACTTGGATTCCCGCATGCAGGCAAAAAGGGGAATGAAAGGTTTTGTGCTGGGGACCAGGGAGTTGAGATGTTGGCGGAGGTGGCGGCTGTTAGCCCGCAGGAGTACGAGCGCCAGCAGAAGGACGATCTGGCCAGCAGCGGCGGCGTGCGCAACACCGCCAGATTCGTGGAGGCCCTTGCTGACAGGTACTCGCTGTCCCATTGGTTCTTGGCAGAGCACCATTAATGCACCGTTCTGTGGTTAGTGTCAATGGACCGCCGATGGGCCGGCCGTCTGTGTGCACAGTTACACAATGTATTCGCTGCTGTTCTGTGCAAGCGGCGCGTAGCTCGCACGGTAAACTGCTACTTCTCATCAGCAGGGGCTGAGGGACTCAGGAGTGCTATGATCTCTCCCTGCACCGTTTGCTGGCTGCTGCCGGCGGCCATAGGTGGTGGGGATATCAAAGTACAGAAGTGTAAATAAGTACAGTAATAATAGTGAATTCCATAAAAAATTAAAGTGACAGCACTTTATCAGATTGACTTCCCTAGTGATTGCGAGCGCCATGTGCTGGCAGGTGCCCGCAGCTGGTGGCGGCCAACGTGTCGATGCTGATGGGCCACTTGGGCGGCAAGGCCTACTCGCTGCGCTCCAGCATCGTCACCGCCCTGGGCCACCTCGTTCACAGGGCCTTCGAGCGCGTGCCCGGAGAAGAAGCCGACGCGCAAGGCGTGCCCCATGCAGTATCACACTACTTTGCACATGACCGGTGCAGATCGTGCTGTTTGATGACTGCAACGCTGTTTGTGCAAGGCAGCCCTCCACTGCCACAGTCCTTTGCATATAATCGGTGCAGATTGTGCTGTTGCGATGACTGCAACGCTGTTTGTGCAAGGCCTGCCCGCACCTTTGCCCCAGCTGCTGCCTGATCAGCAGCACTGGCTTGTGTCACAGCGGCAGAGCTGCTCATGCTTGCTGGTGAAGAAGAGTCAAAATGCGCAACAGAAGGTCTTCAGAGATCAGCCACAGCAAATTGGTCTGCTGCAGTTCTCAGCTCTGCAACGCGTACTTCCTCAGTCCCTCTTCTTGTCAATGCAGAAGGCATCCTTGGATTTCCATCTGCTGAGGTAAACAGAATTTCATGTGGATCTCCCTGCATGAGATGGCAGGAAGTCACAGGAGCTAAAGGGTGATGTCTTCACTGCGATCAGGGGCGCGCGCGCGGCTGCGGAGCAAGCACGCGGTGCTGGCGACGCTGCTGGAGCGGGTGAGGGATGGCAACGCATACACGCGCGCGCGCACGCTGCAGACCTGGGCGCACCTCGCCGAGCTGGCCTGCATCCCCCTCGGCCACTGGGTCACCGTCACCAACATCTCCGTTGGTGAACACCTTTAAACACCCCCTTAAACACCCCTTAATTACCGCGCACGCTGCAGATATGGGCGCACCTCTCCTGCATCCCCCTCGGCCACTGGGTCACTGTTACCAACCTCGCCGTTGGTAAGCACCTTAAATACCCCTTTATTACCAAGCACGCTGCAGACCTGGGCCACAGGGTCACCGTCACCAACCCCGCCGGTGGTGCGCCCCTTGAAAATGCACCCAGATCATGTCGACCTGCTTCAGTGCCAGTCATAGCGCTTGCAGAAGCATCCTGACGGCCGGGGCCTCATGCGGATGAGAAACCACAATTGCCATGCTCGACAGAGCGCTTGAAGTACTGTGCGCAAGGATGGCCCTCACAGAGATTGCTTGTTGCAAAGTTGTCCGCCAGCAGCTATTTAGAAAGTATGCTACCTGTCATAAGACCTCATAAGACCTTCACCCTCAGGATGGAGCGACATGCTGGCTCAGACTGGTGTTCCATCTGTGTTGCACTCAGAGTGGCTTCGTGAATTTCTAGGCCGGCTGGAGGACAAGTCATCCATCGTGAGGCGTGCGGCGCTGCAGCTGCTGACGGCACTGCTGCTGTACAACCCCTTTGGCGCGCAGCTGCCCGAGACCTGCTTCGCTGCCTCCCTGGCAGAGTACCAGGCCAAGCTGCAGGTGATCTTGTGCTCGCCTTAGTTCTTAGCTAGCAAAGCTTTTACTGGGCCACTTGTGAGAACTTAAAGAAAGCAATGCACCCTCTAAAGCTCTGAGCTGGAGCCAGTGCTGGCGCTTGGTAGACTCGCATCAAAGCAATGCAAATTGTGTAGCCCTGAGCTACTGCCATGTTGCCCCTGTGCTAGTATCGATATCAGGAGTATTGATGGTTGAGGTGTTGTGCATGATGGATGCCTGCAGGAATTGAACCCACAGCCAGAGAAGGCGCCAGAGGACGCCGACTTTGAGGATGCCGGCAAGCAACCTGCGGAGGAAGCTGCCCCGATGGAAGAGGATGCTGCCTCCGGAGATGACGTGGCAGCTGAAGGGGAGCCACCTGCAGAGCCCGCACCAGAAGAGGCCGAGGCTGACACAGAAGGAGATGACCCCATCCCAGAAGAGCCTGCTGTCCCAGAGATGCGCCTGGCAGATGCCCAGAACGGCGATCCAGGTGGAATTAACTGCACCATTTCATTCACACTGAGGACGAAATGCAAGGCAGGGAAATTGTTGCTAGTGCTAAGGGGTGACATTGCCATTGCCGGAGTCCAATGCAAATGGGCATCCCTTGCAAAGTCACTGACTTATTCTGATCATAGGGCGAGCCGTCCTCATTTATGCTATTTGATAAATGGGGGAGTAAGCTGATGAGTCATCATTGTGGCATGCAGTGGGAGGGAACGTCACCCAGATGCGCGCCCTGGTAGCTTCCCTGGAAGCTGCGCTGGCCTTCGTCCGCGCGCTGGCGGGGGCGGTGCCGGTGCTGACTCAGCTCCTGGCCAGCTCCACCGTCTCGGACGTGCACGACGCCATCGGGTTACTGATCTCCTACTCCAAATTTGGCATCGACGGCGCCCCGGCTGCCCTGCGCAAGATGCTGCCCCTCGTCTTCTCCCTGGACCAGGGTGGGTAATATGTTGAGAACACAACATGCTCGTTGCGAAGGTCGCTTGTCTCAAATAGGAATGTCAGAACAAGTTCCATTGCGTATACTAGACTGCATGTGAACAACATACCCCCAGCTGTGCACTCTGCGAAACTGCACGGCATGTGCTCATTTTGCAATCACATGGATGCTCCTGCTTACGTGCATGGGTAAGTCATCCCTCATTGTTTGCATGCATGGCCCCGGCTGGCTGGGGGCGCCATGAACAGTGAGCACCAGTCCCATGGTATATCGACTGTGGCGAGTCCATCAAGGGGTAGTATGATATCCTGTATGATGCTTTGCATGCGCGCAGCCATCAAGGACGCTGTCATCAGCGCAGTGGAGGAGCTGTACATCAGCAACCGGCCGCCCCAGGAAGCAGCACAGTGCCTCATCGACCTCACGCATGGCTCCAACCTGGGTGAGTCACCCGCCATGAGCTGGCAAGCATGCATGACATGCGTAGTTTGAGACCGTGTTGACATGATCAGGGCACGTCTTCCATGGGGGTCCTGCATGGGTTTTGTCAAACGTGCCAATTCTATGCCCACACTGTTTTTTTCCTGATACATGCTCTTTCTGCCGAGAGGCGAGGTGGGTCTACAGACAAGCTGCAGGTAAAGGCTGCCACAATTGCCCTAATTGCGTCGGACTCGCCAGATCCGAGCAAGACCCAGCCGACTGTGAGCACGATGCTCTGTAATTACACCGACCACGCCAGCAGGGGCGGTATCACGCATAATATGCACCCTTTGAAGAATTTCAGATGCATCACAGGTGAGCTGAGTGCTCTGGAGGACCTTGTGGCGCACCTGATCAGGCACCAGCCTCAGCCGCTGCTCAAGCCCATCACGCTGCGCGCGCTCTGGTGGCTCTGCCAACAAGCACACCGAGCTGCCTCTGCCCCGCCAAACGACGAGGTGGGCAGCCTCTATCTTGCCTGCAGTGCAATGAGGTTACAGCACTTCCTTAAGCTGCCAACAAGCGCGCAGCTGCACCCGCACTTGGTACCTGTGTCTTGCATGCAATGCAACAAATTTGATTTTGTTGGTCCTCTCCTTTTCGTAGCCACGACCCTGAGATCGCACACACGAGGCATGCTATCCGAACACGCACAGCCAGGTGCACAGAGCACTGGAGCATTCCCTCACGATGAAGTGTGCGTGTGGGATGTTCAGGCGGCCCAGGATGGCGCAGCGGAGGCCGGCAGAGACAATGTTCAAGAGGTACGCGGAGCACTGCTGCTAATCAGCATGGCCGCCGCCGTACAGCCGGACATCGTCGCAGACAACCTCGACACCCTTCTGCAGGTCTGCTACTCTTTACAATTCGGATTTTGTCGCCAACCTCCCACATGAATATGATGTACTCATGCTCACTCCAAGAGGTTCTTCAGCTGGTCAGATGGTGTGACATTGTATTGACTTGATATTTGCTTGCGGTTGACAAATTGCATGTGAAGCAACAGTGGTACTCGAGGGATTTATCTGCATCCGCTGATGACTGGATCTTATTCCGAGCACATGCGCGCAGGTGGGCTTCAGCCAGCGCCGGCCGGATCCGCTGTCGGCGCGCAGTGCGTGCATTGCTCTGCGCCACCTGGCGACGTCCAGTCAGCGCCCGGACGAGGAGCGGCTGCGGCCGGCCTACGCGGCCCTCGCCGCCGCCATCGTCGGCCCGGGTTCGGGGGACCCCGCGGACGATGGCTGGTAGCTTTCTCGACTTGTCCAGACTCTTGGCAATCCAGAATCACAATACATGAGACCGGAAGCAAATGTGCCGATCTCTTAATTTAAATTGTCTCTACATCTCATGTGCGTACAAATGTAGTGTATAATTGCCCTTTCTTTCTTAAAATGGTGCAGAGATACACATGAAGTGTCAGGTGCTTCTTCCCTCAGGTGTTGGCGGATCAGTCGCAATTATGTAACCAAAATTGTATCTTGCATCGTCATAGGTACACCGTGGCAGAGGCGGCCGTCACGGCGATCTACGCGCTGCACCCGCAGCCGGCCGCACTCTGCGAAGCCGCGCTGCGCCGATTGGCGGCCGACGCGCTGTCGCCGGCCACAGCCGTCGGCGCCACCGCGGCGAGCGAGGAGGCCGGTGGATGCGTCAGCGCCCTGGCCCTCTCCCACTTCTTCTTCGTGCTGGGCCAGGTGCGCCAGAAAATATGTGGCCCTTGAGAATGTTGAGAAGCAAAGGTTGGGTGATGCAGAAAAGACTGACCAGAGAAATGACTTTTGGTGATCGGTGCCTGAATTAGCTGCGTCTTTATTACCTATGGGCGGTCACTATTTCCCTGTCTCCTGCTTGTTTCTTTCTGATGCAAATGGGCGTCTCCACATTGCTGCGCAAAGGTTGCTTCAGGGAGTAGCAGGAAAGGCTGAGATGTGTAATTTCTGAGTATGGTGCAGGCGGCGTTGGGTGAACAAACTAACTCGAAGATGTCCGCATTCCAACTTGTACATTTTGGACGGCACGTGAGTATCATTGAGTCTGCTGCTATCGTGCAGGTGGCTCTGCAGCATCTGGTGTACGTGGAGCAGACGGCCAAGCAGATCCGGAGGGAGGTGGCCGCCAAGGAGAAAGCAATCGCCGAGGCCCGCTCTGAGCGCCTGGCTGCCGGCGAAGCCCCGTCCCAAGGTCCGGTCCTTAGAACATGCAAGATGCCCACCTTCAATCCATGTTCCCTAGACGGACTCCCGCAAATCCAGTTCAGGCAGAATGTTTTGCGTCGGCCGTTGTCAGCACCATATTTCCCGCACGATATAATTGTTCAGAGTCCGAGTGAGACCTGAGGAACTGGATTGAAGAAGGTAGCTTCGAAGTCTCATATCAACAATCTTGAATCATGCATGACCGGTTTAGCGCGCATGCCAGGCCAGCAAACTGCAATCAATGTAAGCTCTTGCTGAATGTCCATTTGGGCACGTTGCTGATGGATGCGTTGCTGCAGTGGCCCGGACAGTACTGCCCAATTCAGTGAGGCATTGCTTGTGTCTGGCGAGTCCATGAATGGGTAGTAATTGTGGCAGCCTTTGCTGGCAGCTTGTCTGCAGACGCTCCTTGCCTTCATTGGCAGCCAGGGCGCCTAATTCTATACAATTACCGTACAACTATTGTATAGAAACCTTAAGTACTGCACGCAGAGAGCGCGGCGGAGGATGACATAGCGGAGGATGCCTTATCTGTACCTTGCACCTCGCCTTCAGTGGCAGGAAGCGCGTGTCACAATACGAATATTACTAATATGAGTCATAATTCATGCAGAGAGCTCGGCGGAGGATGACATAGCGGAGCAGCTGGGAGTGGGAGGCGCGGCCGAGGACGCTGAGCTGGACCGGCTGAAGGACTGCGCCGAGGCCGACATCCTGGCGCGTGCCAACCTCGTCGGCCGATTCGCTCCCCTTGTCGCAGAGTTCTGCGTGCGCAGGTGCGGCTAAACTTTTACAACCCAAACCTGAAGCCGAGCATGTTGATTAGTAGTGTGAGGGTCCCTGCAGTGTCTTTACAGGGTGCTTGTTGTGCACTGCATTATTTTGCATGTCCTGCAGAAGTGATCTTGGCACCGAAGATGTTCTTGTTGTTGTTTTTGTTGTTGTGAGAGTCACCAAACACGTTTGGGCTTGCCATGTCTTCCCTGTGTGCTGCATTGCTGCACGGTGCCTCAGGGCGCCATTTAAGCATCAGGAACTCCTCTCTTGGAATTAGTCGCCCAATCTTCAAGAGGTGCAGTGTGGAGGGGCTCAATGGAAGTGTGGTGTGGTGAAGGAACCTGCGCTCGGCGCACCCTGTGCTGCGCGCATCGGCCCTGCTGGCGCTGACTAAGCTCATGTGCCTGGACGCGTCCTTCTGCGACAAGAACCTGCAGCTGCTCTTCACCCTGCTGCAGAACAGGTATTTCTGACAGGTTCAGCAGGGGTCGGGGGGTCCAAGGAGACCCCCCCGCCCCCACACCACCATTTCAAAACTTGCAGTCTCACACATTTCCTTTCTGTTACCCCGACCAAGTTCTGCTTCCCAGATGTTTGAGCCAGACTCACTGCAGTCCAAGATTCTGCCATGATGTAACCTTTGGCGGGCATTTTTCACGCCTGTCCAACACACGATATGCTCTGCTTGGAACTGCCATCACAGCAACGCCCTGAATCCAGGCAACCTTTCTGAATGGCAGCTCCATAAGCAGGAAAGTTTTCCGCACTTTTGGATAGGGAGCATGCATATGAAATGAATGCAGCTCCGAGCAGCATAAAAATATGGCGACTGCAAAATGCCGCCCTCACAAACAGCTGTCTTGACCGAGGAAGCTCCTTTTTTAACCCTGGATATGCAACATGGGGGATTGCAATTTTTGATGGCTGTGGGGCACTGCAGGAAGATAGATAGATACTTGATAGCTATATAGGAATATCATAGATCCTTGATATATAGACCGCCTTGGCAGGAACTCCCTTCCTGGACAGCAAAGCAAGAGGAACCAAGCGGGGTATGATATGTGCAGGAAGATAATGACCGCCTAGGCAGGAAACGCTTTCCTGGACAGCAGAGGAAGAGGAAAAATATTGGAATTGTGATTCATGCAGGGAGATTGAGGCGGGGGAGCGAAGCAATCTGATCATAGCGCTGGGGGATTTGACCTTCCGGTTCCCCAACCTGCTGGAGCCCTGGACCGCCCACATCTACCAGCCCCTCTCCGACCCCGACACAGGTCCGTATATTTTTCCTCCCTTCCTATAGGGGTAATCAATAGAACAACCCGTGATTAGGGCTCAGGGTCGAAAAGAAAATAAAAACATACATAAAAAAAATAAAACAAAGAAAATGAAAAAATGAAAAAATGATAAAACCCCTCGTTGTTCTATTGATAACCCCTACTGTACCCCAAGCTCACATTTTAGCTGATTCCTGAGGTGGCGCATCCCTGTTGCGTAAATTTTGTTGGCCGGACCTTCCGTACAGTGTTTTACCAGAGAGCTCCGCTGCGAGCATGCTGCACGGCATACAATGGAGGGCAGCTGTGGCATTGCAGCACATGGAGCTTGGCTCAGCATGCTGCAGAGCAGATGCTGACAGGGAGCTCGTGTGCATGGTAACAGGCAATCTTGGATTGTGTGAATGCATGAATGACTAATGGAGTGCTTAAAATGTACAGGCATTATCACATGCGCAAGCCTGACAGGAAGGTGTGTGTGATGCACACAGTCACTCAATTGAACTGAGGATGCAGGGACGGCTGCTGGTGCTATAAAATATTGATCCCTTGTCAGCTTCAGGTCTGTACCGCAAGTATAAACTTTTTGATGCGGTGCAGACCTGAATCTGACAAGGGAGGTCTGCGTGATGCACACAGGCACTCCACTGAATTGAGGATGTAGGCACAGGCTCTTCACATGGTGCAGAATTGAAGCTCACAAGGGAGATCTGTGTATGACAATGCAGGAATGCGGCGCAATTGTCTGATGGTGCTGTCACACCTCATCCTCAACGACATGATGAAGGTGAAGGGCCACATCGCGCGACTGGCACTTTGCCTCCAGGATGATGATCCGCGCGTGGCCGGCCTTGCCCAAGTCTTCTTCCACGAACTCTCCCAGAAAGCCTCCAAGGTGAGCACACAATTTACTGTAGTAGTCATTCTGAAACCCGCAATAAATAATACTTTCTGTCCAAAAAGGGTTTCAGAATGACTACTACGGTATGTCTGCGGTCATGAAACATGCAAATCTGCATTGAATCGATTGATGGCCTCCAGCTTGGGCAACCAATGGATGTCTGCCTTCTTTGAATCAAATGAAGGGCTCTAAGTGGATCCAATAAAGCAGCCCACATCAAGGGCACGCAATGCGTGAACGGATCAAGACATCCTCTGTACTTCAATATTGTCTTGCGTGGCAAACAGATAGAGGGATAAAAAAGGGCTGGTACATGTTGGCTACTTCATGCGTTCAAGTTGCCTGTTTGTAAGGGAATAGAAGGAATGCAAGGTCTTTCAGCAGTTTTTGAGAGCATGACTGAGGATCTGAGCGGCTTGTGCAGAGCTCCAATCCCATCTACAACCTGCTGCCAGACATCCTGTCCAGCCTCAGTGCCGAGCCGGGCCTGCCGCCAGCTCACTTCCAGGTCAGCATCTTTTGAATCACATTACACATGTGTTGCGTCCGCCTGAGTTCAATCTAGCACTCCACGGTGGCACCTTGATAATTAACAAATAATGACGAGGCATTCAAAGCAGCACAAGCCCCCCTAAAAGATCACACTTCTCGACAGTCTCTTCGATTGAAACTTTGTGTGTGTGGGGCAGGCCATAATGAAGACGCTGCTGGGCTATATCGGCAAGGAGAAGCATGCAGACAGCCTGGTTGAGAAGCTCATGCTGCGATTTGAGGCTGCCACCGAAGCCGCGCAGTGGCGCAACCTCGCCTTCTGCCTGACGCAGGTGCGACATACCATAGTCAGCACCATAATTCCCGCACCCCTCAAAATGCGTGAAGTATCCGGACCTGTTTTAAAGAGTCTTTCTTTCCTTGGAATGATGTTTCATCATCACCTATAGGTCGGGCTCAGCGAGAGCTTCCAATACTGGTCTCAAAATTGTCATGGGGTTTATATTTTGCATATCAGGGTCCTAAATCTCGACCCTTTTTAAAGGAAAAACAATAATTTTATGCGGGAAATGTGGTGCTGACTTCGGTTTTGTATCTAGATCTCCATTTACTGGGTGAGGGTAATGCAGTAAATTGTCTGTAATCTAGGTGATGAAATATTCAGGCCTATCTTTGTGACTTCGCCTTGCCTATCAGGTGCGTTCGTGTTTGGCAGGTCACGCTGGCACCGTGAGGTCCAGAACCTTACACAGGAGTACCCGTTGCTCCTGGGATCCCCAATGTTTCGCAAAAAGGAAGAGGATGGAGATGCTTTTTAGTAGCAGTGTCCAGCATGTGGCATGGGGGCACTTGGCCATGGTTGGAGCATGGGGAATTTGATATGAAGCTGATGTGGCATGTGGGTGGTGTGCAGCTGAACTTCACGGAGAAGGGCCTGCGCAAGATGATGGAGATGGGCAAGAGCATCCGCCAGTCGTTGGCCTGCGAGGAAGTGCTGGACACCTTCAAGGTGTGCTCCTGACACCGTATTGACCATAGGTGCACCATACGGATTCGGCCATTCGGCATACGGTGTATATTCGGTCGTATATTCGGTGTTTTGGGCCAAAATAGGCCGCTTTTGACCGTATTCCGTATATTTTAATACCGTATGACCGTATATTCGGCCGTATATACGGTCCCCAAAAAGTGTTCTGACCGAATGGTGCAACTATGGTATTGACAGATGCTCTCTGCTGAACACAATTTTGCAACCCCTGCTGACCTTTGTCGCCAGCCTTGATTTTGCCTGCTCAAGAGGGGCTTCTAGGCGCTTGATTGCACAATGTTGTCCTGCCTCATCTACAGTATTCGGACTGACACTGCATAGAAACACTTCATTTCAGGCACGCCAAACAAACACAGTGAGGTACTAGAGGATGTGTCTTCAAAATTTCCTGTTCTGCCTTCTGGTAAGCCATCATGATGCAGCCTGAAGTGTGCGCCAACGGCTGCTGCAGGCGATCTTTGCAAAGGCGCGCAAGCTGCCGAAGCAGACTCCGGAGCTGAAGACGGACTTGGAGGCCTTCGAGGCAAAGCTGGACGCCGACGCTGCCGAGGTCGCCGCGGAGGAGGCAGCCGCCGCGGCCGCGCGCTCGCAGGCGGCCGGCCCCCGCGCCGCCGAGCCGGCCAAGGCGGCTTCACCGGCGGAAGAGGCCGGGGCCGCACCAGCCGATGAGGGGCCCGGGCAAGATGATGAGGAGCTTGCCGCGGAGGAGGCAGCCGCGCCCCTGCTTGGAGACGCAGCGGACGCGCCAATCACTCAGCCGCCTGACGATGAAGGTGAGACAGGAATTGAAGCCATGGCTAGAATACAGTACCATCATTGCCTGTGATGCTGCTGGATTGTGGTGCATGAAGGATTTGAGATTGCAGACTACATTACTTGTTTTGTGTGTCTGGGGAAAGAGATGAAGGACCCTTTTGAAGGAGTTGCATGCTGAGGAGGCATGCTGTTGTGATGCAGCTGTGGCAGAACTGGGCGATGTGCTGGCCACCCTGGCACTGGACAAGCAGCCCGTCTCTGAGCCGCCAGCCGAGGCAGGCGGCGCACCCATCCCTCCGGCCGACCAGGCTGCAGATGCCAACGTCGATGTCGATGCCGCAGCGGCTGTCAGCGACGAGCTCGCGCGCCTTGCGTTGGCGCAGCCGCCGGTCCAGGCCGCCGAGCCAACCGCACCCGCCCCGCAGCCAGCACAGACAGCTGCAGCTGACCCTCTGAGCAGGGAGCGCACCACTGGCGGGCTTGGTGATTTATTGGCGCCGCAGGAGCCTGCGGCCGTCCATGCTGGAAGGCAGCGGCCAGTGCGGCAGAGCAGGCCGTCTGCGGCGCAGGATGCCACCGCGGCGCCTGCGGCCGGCCCGGCCGGCCGCCGCCGCTCCGGCCGCCTGAGCGCCGCGGCGGACCAGGAGAACCGCCACAGCGCCGATGCCGTGGCGGCCGCCGGTGCGGCCACGGTGAAGGCAGAGCGGCGCAGCTTTGGAGCTGCGGTCCAGGAAGCTTCACCAAAGCCGGAGGTCGCTGAGGCTCCAGCAAAGGGTGCGGCGGCCAAGCGCGTGGCGGCGATGCGGCAGTTCTGGGAGGCGACGGCGCAGAAGGAGGGACGCCCCCGCGCTGGCGCCCAGGGCCTGCCCCACAAGACCCGCGGGCAGGCGCCCCTGGCGACAGCCAGCTCCGTGCAAGACTGGAGCGATGACGACTGACTTGCCAGCCCTTGACATTGAGCCCCTGGCGTGATGTGCGACAATTATGTATCTGTCAGAAGGTCAGCTGAGAGTGTCAGCTGAGACCCTTGCAAAGCTATCGATGTTAACGTTTTTAAGACATACATGGATTGCAACCTGCAGCATCAAATCTTCTCATATGGTACAGTAAAGTATAAATGAGCTCTTGAAATCAGTAGATGAGACGGAATGAAATGCGCAACAACACATGTAAGATTCTGAGTTGAGGATACTCACCTGAGAAGCTGCGGGAAGCTGCAGGTCCACCTCTGCAATTTAATCTGTGGATCACTTTGCAACATTAAAGCTACTATGATCACGTGATATTTTGCGCACGAACCAAAGTGCGAACATCGTGTTGTCGATGAGATGTGGACGATTTAGATTGAGCATCCTGAAACTTGGTGATCTGGATGCAGCTTTGATATTGGAAGGGGCCGCGCATGCTCAGTGACGAAGACTCAGATAATTTTACTGGATCAATTGGAAGTGTAAACTGGTGCAAATGATCAGAAGTCCAGGTACAATGGATTTTCAACATTCCATTCTGCCCTGCACCTGACCTCAAGGATCAGCATCGTCTTTGTTACAATGAGCCCAATGAGAATGTAGAAAAGCTTTTTGAATATTAGAACAAAAGTTGATGCCTGATCATGTCCCATTTCGACCATCTGCAGGCTGTCTGAAGCACTTGTTTAGGTGAGATGCAGGAGTGCACGATGAGTGATACCAGGATAGCAACGAATGTTGCAGCAGCCAGGACGGACGACGAGCTACGCTCATTGCTGCTGAAAGGAAAGGACAAGACGGTACAAGCCCTGTCTTGCTTTATAAGACCTGTATCTGATGACAAGCTTCAGAAGAGCTGCAGGCTTTTAGGTCCTTTACTTCGCAGGTGATTGTAAATTACGGCGCATCATGGTGTCTTCACTGCCATGAGCTCTTCCCAGAGTTCTATAGACTCGCTCACCAGGTGGAGCCCTACACATACCATGTTATCTCACTGAATCTACCAAGCCTCCTCCTTGTCAACACATGTTCTGCACATGAGTCCAGAAGCAGCCTGGAGCATACTGGCTATATATTTAGTCGTCAGGTGCAAGAAACCACCAAGGCTCTGTTCGCAGCACCATTGCATTTCTTGGTGCAAGGCCCCACGAGCGGATGCTCTGGCCAGGGTGGCAGCAGCACACTGCTAATAGTTTTACATGCTGGAAACATATTCGAATTTTGTGTCTGCAGCACCCGGAGCACAAGTATGTGGTGGCACAAGTGGACTCCATGAAGGATGCCCTGCAGGGCATACGCTACACGCCCACATTTGCGGTGTATAGGAAGGGGCGCAAGGTAGATCAGTTCTTTGGGCCGTCGCCGCAGCAGCTGCGCGATCGAGTGTGGCTGCAATCTGATGATCCACGCTGCGGCAGCGTGTGACAAAATGTTTGGGCTACTGATGCCGTCCTGGTCCCGATGTTGAGCACCTGTGTGTGTTTGGAGGGCTGCAGAGCCATTGGCCTTGCCAGTGGGCCTGCCATTTGCAGAGCCTGTGATATGATCATTGCTCAAGGTCACATGATTTGCAGGTTAGAAGAAGTTCCCTGACTTGGTTGGCATAAGGACTCTTCTTGCAAGGATGGCGTTGGAGTTTTTGGCCCACAGGACCGCACATCTATTTGATACTGTACCAGGATGTGACCAATATTTTGTCTCTCTTCAGCCTCTGTGCACTGCAAGGAATAATTATTCATTACATAATGTATAAGTTATGTAACACACCATACAGGGTGTGTCATTGACAGATGTTGCTCATCAACATGGCCATGGCCACCGCAGCTGATACAAGGTCCTTTCCACTTGGAATTTTTAGGTGGTGGGCACATGTCACAGACCAGATCTAGTCTACAGATATCTCTATTGAGGGGTACTCCCAGTGCATGCCACAGCTGTTGGAATACACAGCTGTCACCAGTACAGTCCAGTCACATACCCAGTCAACAGTCTAGTCAGCAGTGATCCAAAAGGTTTTCTTTGGACAGAGGTTGACGAGAGGATTACGAGAGCCAGAGCATATAGTCCAGTGTGGTCCAGTCAGAAGACCACAACCACCCAGCCTTGACTGTCAAGTGACAGTGTTCTGTAATAGCACATGCCGAAGATGTACACGTCTCTGTTTCTCTTCTCTTCTTCTCTGTATGCATGCGTGCGTGTGAGGTTGCAGGACAATGCATAGATGCTAGGAAATAACACTCAAACGAAATTCATCGGATCAAATTTCACCGATGGAGGAGTCAAGTTGAGCTTTGCAGCGGTTGGGATGAGGATGCATCACATGAAGGCCACAGTCTTACTTCTAATGTTGCAGATTTGCATGAAATGTTGGCATGGTATTTCTAGAGGATGAAGGCCAATTGGAAAAAGAGTGCGTGTGTTTTAATTCATAAAATATTGTAGTATATTTTCAATTTTAGGGTCAGTATCTTCTTCTTCTTTTGCTAACATCACTGAAGAGCGCTATAATGGAAGCAAAGGCACGTATTTGCATAGCGAGATATCTAGCGTTTGATGAAACACACAATTACACACTGACAAATTACAGCAGCATTACGGCTTCTGAAAAGAAAAATCTACGATGAGCATCATTTGTATGACTAGGAGTATCTTTGCATGCAAAAAACATAGCCTCACTTTGGAGTCTACAGGTCACTGCCACCTCACAAAGTGCAGAGCTGCAGCTACTAACTGCAATTAATGCAAAGAACTAGCTGCCAGTCCTACACAGTATCATCTGCAGTGGTTTCCTGTGTCATGCACCCTTACATGTCTGCCAAGGCTGATTTTTGTAGTTGAGAGCTTCACTCCTCACCTGCACACACATGCCCATGCAAGGATCATGACACACCTTACTACATGTGCAAGTAAAGAAAACAAGTCCAAGTCCATATGTGTATACAATGTGTGTATGGCTAAGTTAAAGGACCATCTTGAGCTCTGCAAAGATGAATTTGAAGGTTTGACATGTCAAAAGGCAGTGCCAAGCTGACAATGTTCAGGCTCACCTGCGGAGAGGGTGTCCTTGGCCTTCTTGGTGCCAGTGTCAACATTGCCCTTCAGAGCAGCAGCATAGTCCTTGGACTTGCCCTTCGCATTGTCAGCCGCCTTTTGTGCAGTGGGACCTGCCTTCTCCTTAGCCTCCCTGCAAATCAGAGGTCGAAATTTCACAGCATGAAGGACAATCTGTTCCCCTGATATCTAGAGGTCAAGGTTCCACAGCACGAAGGACAACCTGTTCCCTCAGACATTAAGAGACAAAAAGCATAGGCACAAAAAGGCAAACAATCCATTCAATGAAAGGCCTGCAGGGATCACAATCGCAAAATATGTTCCAGATCCTGAGAGCACAAATGCACACGCAGAACAAAACAAAAGGAAATGAGAAATGGGATGAATATGACGGGATCAGTCTTCAAGAAAATACTCAGACAGGGTCATCAACAGCATTCCAAAAGACAGATGTAGCCACTGCACCTGGCCTTGTCTTGGAGAGCCTTGGAGGCATCCTCTGCAGCAGGCTCTGCCTTGTCAGCAGCCTCCTTGGCAGCGCCCTCGATCTTCTTGGAGGCATCTTCTGTGGTCGACTTGGCCTTGTCAGCCACGTCCTTTGCCACATTCTCAGCCTTCTCTGAAGCCTCCTCTGCCTTGCGCGGTGCATCTGATTCAACCACAAACAAGGCAAGTCAGCTTTCAAGTAATGAGTTCAACACTTTGCAGCATGGGTGATCATGACTATGCCATACACAGGAGAAAACAGATATCCTTTGTCTACTTGCATCCTAACTGTACAAGCAGCAGCTGCAAGAATTGGAATGTCAAAAGAGGAATGAAGATCATCAGATACCTAGGGTTGCCTCTGTGCTTCTTGGATTTGCACAACCTTGTCATGGCAGCATCAGCATGATATACAGCACATGCATGCTGACAAAGATAGAAGTAATTACGTATTTAAGTTAGATATATAAGCAGCCCTAATGAAGAGAGTAGGGGCCTCACTCTTTGCAACATTGCGGGCAGTGTCCTCAAGGGTCTTTGAGGCGTCCTCGGCTGTGGGCTTGGCCTTGTCAGCAACCTTCTGCGCCTGCTTCTCGGCAGATGCCCGCGCCTGCTTTGTTTGCTCGGGTGCCTCCTTGGCAACCTGCTTGGCCTTGGCCTCAATGTCGCTGGACAGCTGCGCGCACACAACACCCACATGATCAGCACAGACTTAGTCAAACACACCCTCCAACTGCATGCACAGATGCCTTGTTATGGACAGCAGGCAATCCCAACAAGGCACCCCAGCCTTCAGAAGCCCATAAAGCAAGCCCCAATTCCAGAGATTACCGCACAGAACAGGCTCGCATGCACACCATGTCATAGGAAGGGGTCGAGGTCGCTTGCAGGTGAGGGCAGATGGATCAAAGGTTCCAGATTCTACAAACTTGGACAGGAGATAAATTCAGATAAACACCTTGTCAGCAGTGGGCTTTGCGTTCTTGGCCACATCCTTAGCAGCGTCCACTGCGCGATCTGTGATCTCTCTTGTGGCAGGCCCGGCGCGCTCTGCAAACTTGCTGGCTCCCTCCTCAATGTTCTGTGACACCTCATCGGCCGCCGGCTCCGCGTGCTTTGCCACATTCTGCAGCACACGAACATTCTTGCGCACATGGACATTCTCGAGTACTCAAGATTGTTATTATATTAAATGCTGTTCCTGCCAGAGACAAGGTGTGTGTGCTGGCAAGGTGCACATGAAGGCCACCAGAATCCTCTCAATATGGTGAGCTCCAAGAGAGAACACATAAGAACCAACAGTATGACGCACTTTTAAGCTGCTGCCATCTGACAACACCCCCACACAAGTGACCAGCAGACTCGAAAATCCTCAAAAATATTCGGCACTGTTCTGTTATAGTCCAACGAGCAACGCCTGTGTTCAAGATCACCGCATGAGAGACAAGGACAGCCTCATCAACATGCCCTACTTGAAATTTCAAGTTCAGAAACGAAGTACTAGAAGTCTTGGAATCGACTTCCGAAAAGACCACGAGAAGTGTGCAGCAGGGTACCTTGGCGGTCTTCTGGTACTCAGTGGCCACGTCACGGGAGAAGGACTCTGCATTGGCGCTGATGTCAGCGGCCTTAGCCTCGATCTTTCGATTCAGATCTGCCGCCTTGGGCTCTGCCTGATCTGCGACCTGTTGAGCAATTTCTGTTGCCCTCTCTGCCACCGCATCACCTGCCTCGCCTCCCTTGGCCGCGATCTGAAAAAGGACAAATAAATATTCAAACCATGCACACTAATCTTCAGTTTCCGATATCAAAATACGTCATAATTTTCACACCGGTATTTTTTAGCCTGCATAATTTTAGCACTCCCTATCATCAATAGAGGAACCATGTATAAAAACCATCAATAATTTTCACGCCCTTCTCCTTTTGCCTGCATATTTTCAGCACTTGCTATCAAAAGGACAAAATTACAAAACATTGACCTGTGGAATGTCGCAGCAGCTGCATGTCTGCTGCCTCACATGGAGCTGATGGCATGCAATCTTATGCAGACCAAAAAATGAAACCAGAAACGAGTCAGTTGCAAGTGTGATTTTCAATAGGCATTGAAAGTTCAGGGATGTAAAATCGAGGTGGGAATTGCGGCTGACCTTGTCGGTCTGCTCGAGCACTGCATCGGTGGCCTTCTGCGCCATGGGCTCTGCGTTCTCAGCAACCTTGTCTGCTGCCTTCTCCAGCTCCTGAGAAGCACACCAGCATGCATGCTAAGCATGACTAACAGTAAACTTTCCACATGTTTCAGGTACGGCTCAGCTATGCCACCCCATCCAGGCACTTCAGATCCACATGACCGGAGGAAAAGGCGCATGCATATCTCAAATGATATGCGATCAGATATATCAGGAGAACTGCATGACAAGACTGCCTGCACATGCCGATCCTTCCTGGGTCAAGAGGTCAGAAATGTCTGCAGAAATGTCTGCAGAAGCAGAACAGTGCAGCTACAATCTATTCTCTGCCTGAGGCAGAAACGCAATGACGGCAGGAGGTGCATCGACCCCCTGTAAATCTATCCAGCTTTGCAGCTACCCAAAAGTAGGCAGAACACAACACCATTACAATTAGAAGATATAACCCTGATGAACCAGATGATCTTGGAAGGCAACATTGCCAGACAAACTGAAAATTAGGCCATATTTGTGAGAGTTAAATTCTATGCAGCCTGCACAAGGCTCACCTCACAGGCCTGTCTCTCATTATCATGGATCAGATCCCTGGAATTTCCCAGGATGGATTATTTAACTCACCTCGTAGGCCTGCGCCTCGTTCTCGTGGATCTTCTTCGCGGCCGCGCGCGCCTTGGCCGGCAGATCGGGAGCAGCCGCCTTTGCAGAGGCGACCAGGGGGTCCAGAAGCTGCGCCAGGAAGAGCAGGTCGGGCTTCAGGTCGTCCGGGACGCGGTTCAGACGCACCGCGCGGCGCAACGCGCGCGGGAGACCCTCCGCCAGCTTGCCTCCCTGCATGGATGCATGCCAAAACGGGCGCTCAGCAACAATTGTGAATTTAAGGCCCTGAGCCAGGTTGCCTCCCTTCTTGTCCCAAAATAATTATTTGTTGCAGGTGTTAAATTGAACACCACGACATCCGCTAATTTCCTTTATTCAAAAATGTGACAGCGTGAAGTGCAGCACACCTTCTCGGCAATCTCCTCGGCCTGGGACTGCATGGTGGCGGTCAGGTCCGCCACCGCGGGCTTGAGCACCTTCTCGATGAATTCCTCGGTCTGGGGGCGTGCGTTCTCAGCGATGTCATGCGCCAGAGGGGACACCACGTCCTTGGACAGGTTCTGCACCATCTCGCTCGGCAGGCCCGCTGCGTCCTTGCCTGCCGGCTTCACAATCTCCTCCAACACCTGCGCAGCACAGATCATAATATTAGTCAAAACGTCCTACTGCACAGCCCGTGAGTCACTGACTAGAACACCTGTGCACAGATCATGATCATTTGAACACATCCTAGTCACAGCCTGCAAATCACTGGACTAGGACAGGCGCAGCACAGATCATGATCATTTGAACACGTCCTATTTACAGTCCGCGAGTCACTGGACTAGGGAACACTTCTGGAGCATTGAGGAGAACATTATCAACACTGTATCCCCAGAGCACCATGGAGAGCACAATTCCTCTCCAGAGCCGACCAGCACAGCCCTCACTTGGAGGGATAAGCACAGGAAATGACGATTCCTCCAAACTTCGGAGGGACCCTCACACACGTTGCTCATCACATCTTCCGATCGTTGTGTGAATGTGATGAGCCCAACGCCATCCCAACTTTGAGCTCCCAGCTTCGCATCATGCTTGGTGGTGGTGGTGCCAACAGACTTGTGGACCACCAAGCATGACACGAAGCTGGAAGCTCAAAGTTGGGTGCAGTATGGTCACTACGAAGCAGACCTCTGCTGGATTGTCACAATGACGGCAAAATGCACAGGAGGAAGAATGTTCGGCTCACCTGCTCGGTGACAGGGACTGCGTTCTGTGCGAGAAGCTCAGCGCCCGGCTGGATCACGCCCCTGGTGATGTCCTTGGCAATGGGCTCCGCCTGCACAAAATAGCATAACCCCGCTCAGTCATAAGCTTTTTCTCTGCCTGCAAAATTCAAGGTTAATGCGCTTCCTCTCAATCCCGTCAAGTGTCACATGCAATGCAGGAATCCGAGTAATGAATTTTTTCAGCAGGGCACACGTTTGAACTGGTCTTAAAATACTGTGAAGACTGTTTTGGGGGGGAGTCAGCAATCTCGCAAAGTTTTGCACGACAGAGCACCCCTTGTTTTATGAGATTTGGCAGATTGCTGCACTCCCCCTCAAACCCCCAAATATAGAGACCTTTGAAAAACTCTACGTCCACTAGCAGTATTGATGGGGAGTGGACAGTTTCAGTGCAATCAGGCCCGCACCTGCTCGGCCAGCTTCTGGGTTGCTGCCTGCACGCGCTGCCTGTGGTCATCATCGCCCAAGCGCTCCGCCGTCTGCCGCACCTGGGTCGCCCCCGGACGGATGACGCCGTCTGTGATGTCCTTTGCAATCGGCTTCGCCTGAGCCGCCACCTGTCGCGCAGACAGGCATGCAAACTTGAGGAAACAGAATTGCTGGTGGCTTTTGTGAAGAATGACGTTGTGCACAGTGTTGTGCAGCCTTGCATGTCAGGGGCACGAGCATGGCTTGAGAACAGCTTCAAACCTTTGCCAGAGACTTCAGTCAAATTAACCCCAAGTGTCAAAGCATGAGCTGCAAAACTTATCCCACCTGGTCGACTGCCGGCTCGATGCGTCCGCGAGTGATCTCTTCTGTGACAGGTACAGCGTTTTTGGAAAGTTTCTCGCCGCCGGGACGGATGACGCCCTGAGTGATGTCCTTTGCTGCTGGCTCCACCTGGGACGCCACCTTGTCCACTGCTGGCTGGATGCGCTCCTCACCTGGCAGCAATGCAGTGGGTTCAGAAATCAGCACGCGGTTATCATGATTGACATCACGCCTTGACAGCCATTTTGGGCTGGGTGCATTCCGGCAGCACGTCTACAGGTGTCTTCCAAACTCCCCTGTGAGAACGTTTGACAGTCGCCACTTTTTGCAGGACGCAGTGAATGGTGTAATATTGAGAGTCCAGCTTGCACAACAAACATTTGCGTTGATGCTGTACACTGTTGGTCTTTGCGTGGAGGCAGTAGGGTGGTCCAGTCCAAGAAATGCACGTATAGCTGCACAGCAAATCTCATTCACATGTCAGAAAGCAAGTCCAAGAGAGTGCGCACCGAGGGCCTTGGTGGCAGGGACAGCATTCTTGGCGATGTAGTCACCCGCCGGGCGGATGGTGCCATCAGTCACCTCCTTAGTCGCCGGCTCAACCTGGGAGGCAGCGTCCTTCACTGCTGGCTCCACCTGTAACCACGACATTACACTCAGCAATCTCCCAACAGGCATGATCATTTAGAACAATAAACATTTCACACGATCATTATTTACACCGGAAAATGTGAAGCGCGCAGACGGGCCTATCCAATGCCTGGCAGGCAATTGCGCAATCCATTTGACACAGGCTCATTTTTGCAACCTATGAAATTCACTTCTGCAACCAGGGCAATGAAACATACCATCCAACAATCCAACCAACGCGGAAGGTGCATCGACTGCAGCATTGCCATTTGAACAACAAATCCGCATCGCATTGTGTGATTTGGTGCTGCCTCGGGTGAAGATCCTTGCCTGGTCGCGCATGACAGATTTGGTCATGGGCACAGCCTTGTCGGCCACGGCCTTGCCGGCCGGACGCAGCGCGCCGTCTGTGACCTGCTTGGCGGCAGGCTCCGCGTTTTTGGCGACGGCTTTTCCAGCCGGGCGCAGCGCCTGGTCGGCCGCTGCCTGCGCTGCCGGCTCCGCATTGTCCCTTACCTGAAGAGGCAACATCATACGTCACCCCCCTGTTTCGTCAAAATCAAATCAAATCCAAGGAGGACAGAAGTACAAATTGGCTTCTTGCTTATTGGGGAGGACGCTGGTGTATGTGTGCTGCTTGCCGCTACTTGCATCACACCACCGGATACCAGCAACCTCCTCAAACAGGGTTCAAAAGAAGGATAGCCCTATCACAGCACATGCTCTGGCATGCAGCATGCACGCAGATTCTGGCACGCATGCCCAGAAAGCTCCACATTATCAGATAGCCACGGAACTTGGTACAAACAGTGACCGATAAGAGCTGCTTCACCCCTTGATATGGAGTAAAAATCCACTCACCTGCTGTGCAGCGGTCTGGGCGGCCTGGTCGGCGCCCTGCTCGAATCCCTGCTGCCCCTGATCCACTCCCTGCTTTGCAGCGTCGCCTGCTGGCCCAACACGCTTCTTGCCCTCCTGCCTGGCTTTACCCACGGCCTCCTGCGCCTGCTCAACACAATATTACCATTACTATTGTTATTTGTTAATTGTTAACATTGTTGCACGCTGTACCTGCCAAAAGGTAAGGAACGTCCTGCAGACAAGCTGCAGTTAAGGCTGCCACGATCCTACCATTTGTTGGACTAGCCAGATCTAAGCAAAACCCAATCAACCGTGGGCACGGTGATTACTAGGTTCATACTGACAGCTTAAAACATTTTTACAAGAGGTAAGAAGTGCCAGCAAGATGCTTATACTGACAACCCCTATACTATTTTCAAAAGAGGTGAAGATTGCCAGCATGATGGCTTCTTGAGAATTTACCTGCCCGTAGGCCTGCCCGGCTGCCTCGCCGGCCTGGCCCCCAGCCTGCTTGGCGTCCACATCGATGCCAGCTGACTTCCCGGCAGCGCCTGTGGTGCCTGATGCCTTCGCATGCTTTGATGCCTCCATGACTTCCTCATACTTGCGCTCGGTGCTCTGCAGGCAGCACAGGCAAGACAGACCTTCAGTAGAGAACAACATACATGTCTCATTGCATGTCTAGCATTTGCCTGCCAGTAACAGGACCGGAGAACACCAGACATGTTCCAGTGCATGTCCAGCATTTGCCTGCCAATAGTAATACCCAGACAGGGACTGGTGCAAATAGAATTAGGACATGCATGAAATCCGCACACTTATTAAAAATCGAATGCATGCATCCAGGCATACAAACACGCTGTCTCATACAACACTGGTAAATTCTAATAAAAGGCGAGACACAGTCAACCCCAAGTCATGCCACCAGTTTTCACACGAGTCTGCATGCTGGACCCTTAGCGCGGACGTAGGTGAGTGGAAGTAAGAACAAATATTGAGCATGCGACAGAAGCAGTCACCCACCCCGAAGATCTGGGAGATCTCATAGAGGGCCTCTGCACGGCGGTGCTGCACAAGGTCATCCACACCCTTGTCATGGACCACCTTGGAACCCACGTCATTCAGAGTGTTCTCAATGTCCTGCGTCACCAGGTGCCAGATGTGGGAAATAGCCCAGCCCATGCGGTCTTCAAGGTACCTGCAGTACACACACAGGCGGTTAGTCTTCAGACACCCAGTTTTGGAAAAAGCACCACAATTCCAACAACTTGCCTCCAGCAAATGCACACAGCTCCTATGAAGTCAAAGGGACAATCCAAACAACTTGCCTTCAGCAAATGCACACAGCTCCTATCAAGTCATAGGGACAATTTAAACAACATGCTCCTTATATACTCCAGAGGCCCACTCTTGCCCTTCAATACCACTTTGACACTTGCCCATTTAAAACGTTCTGTGACTAGCATCCCATGTGCTGGTTCACAGAAGTCCAGAATATTGAATGACACTGGCAGATGGCGTTCATATACCATTCGTCATACGCCATACAATCCCCAGGACACCCGAGAAGCACCTGGGAGGAACACATGTTGAGGAATGCTGCCATGGATGCAACTTGGAGACAGGAGGGCAGCAGAAAACTCACTCGAGGCTCTCTGCCAGTGTCATCTGGCCACCCGGCCCGGACCCCGCCTTGCTCACATCGCGGCCCATGAGCGCCAGAGAAGCCTTGGCCACGAGCCCTGACGCCTGCACCACCCATGCAAGGGGCATCGTCAGCATGCACGCACACATACATCGAGGACTGAGATGACAGAAACTGCCACCTTGCAATGTACGGTATGCCTACATCAGACAATGTCATGTCCTCACAGGTGATACATTAATGATAGGTAAACACCCAGGTCGATGGAGCATTTTGCTCAGGACGGTTGACGGGTCTGAGGTCTTAAAAGAAGGGTAAAGTGGCTTACCGAGCCTGTGACTTTGTGGCCCAGTCGCGTAAAGAACTCTGCAATGGCATAGCCTAACATGGGTTTGGCCGCACGCGCATACCCATACCTGCAGATGCACAACGGGTAATAATATTAGAAATGCACATGACAAAAGGGCTCCCATTTTCACGGGATCTCCGGGTAGAGTTCTAGGTCACCCAAAACCCCAGAGGCAGAGCTCATGATGAATGGCTTATTGCTGCCTGCCATAGCAAATGTCATTGCCTCTACCGCAAAGCACCAAGTCAAGATTTAAAAGATGCAGCATGACACGTAACGTCATATTTTCAAATCTCTGACACAGGCGAGAAAGGCATGAGCCGTCATGATGTATTGTCTGCAGTTTCAAAAGAGGCACGCACGCGATGATGTGCATGAGAGGGACGCCAAAGGGGGTCGATGCGAGCTTGTCGGCTTCGCGCTGGATCTCCTTCTTGAAGCCCTCCCTGTCCCCATCCACGAATGGCTGGATGCGCTTCTCCACAATCTTAGTCAGCAGCGCAATGCGCTTCTGTGGGCAAACAACAGAAAATTATCAGAGCACTGCACAGCAGCTGCAGGCTGAGCGCTGAAAGAGGCATTGCCCCATTCTTCTGTGGGCGCGCACAGATTGGTTGTCGAGACACCATGCATACCAGATGCAGAAGTGAGCACAAAGAAGAGTGCCGCACTTTCGTTTCACAATAATGACTGTCCATCTGAGAGAAAATTGTTTTGCATAAGACACGCAGCATCACCAGTGATGGTCACCACAGCCCTCTTTAAGGTCAGGCAAATGCATGGATCCAGTAATGAACTGAGGCTCATAGCTCTGAATCTCGTTCATGTCAGCGGGGCGGAGGTCAACACCTGCTGGACATCGTGGAGCGATTGCTGTGATTCCTTGGAGAAATAGGCCTCCTTGGGGCCGCCGGCCTCATAGCTGATATAGCCTGCAGCCAGCAGCTTGCTCGCCTGGCCCACCCACGACTCGAACCTGCACCAGGAAGACAAACTCCCTCATGAGACTGATGCGCCTACTGTGCTGCAGCGTTACCCACACAAGTGCCAGGCGTGTGCACTTTTCAATCTACCGCTAAAAAAATCTAAATTCATGCAAGTACCACATCCAATGAATTAGAATGAGCATGTGATGCAAACGGCAATAGAACGGCCATTCGACATCCATACTCCAGCAGCAAGTACTGTCGAACTTCACAGGCACTGAGATTGAATATTGTGTCTTGGCGATCGGATGAGGGACTCACACAGCACCGCCTAAGAAGGCATTCTTGAGCAGCTCCTGAAGCTGCACAACGGTCTCGTCGGTAATCATTTCGCCTGAGGCACCGTTGGTCGAGGTTCCCTCCGCCTTCTCGACGACCTCGAAGTCGCCCGAAGTTCCCTGCTCGATTGCAGCACCCGTGTCATCGGGCATTTCATATTGCATAAACATCTTCTCAAAATAACAAAAGGCTGAGCAAATTCGCAAGCCCGCCGAAAATCTTCATTCTGCCTGCTGCCGACCGACTACTTGCCTCGGCTGCTTTGTCAGCAGCGCAAATGTGTGCACTTAGGAACACATGGCTTCTTCGCTCAAATTTAATCCTCAAAAAGTGATTGATTTGTACATGCCCACAAGTGCCAGCTCCGGCGTTCACAGGATTTGCGTCGAAACCCAGCCAGGACAATAGCTTGGCAAGTGCCAATGAGTGCTTATGTGTCCACCAGGAAATGCAAGCGATAACATTGAGCAGACATATTTCCTGGGTTCAAGTGAACACTGCAACTGGCCAGTCAATCATCTGGCACTTCCTGCTCTTCTGGAAATTGTGTAGAGGCAGTGATCCCAGAACCAGGCAGGACAACGGGAGTTCAAGACGCACCCTTTCGTTGTCGCCGTCTATTTGCTTCAAGATATCTCCTGGCTTGAGCACATCAACGTCTCGCACCCCCTCCACAGTGCTAGGAGCCATCATGGCTGCTATCAATATGAAACTTGCGTGCTATTTGTGCTGATCTGCTCCTGTCTTGAATCTCGCGGGTACTGCACGTATGAATAAAACTCGGTCTGTATTCGGAATGGATGTATCTACAGTATTTGACTTCTTGGCTTCCTGCTGGATGATGGATCGTGACATAGACAAGACGGTAGCTTTGCATTTTGGCACCTCCCGTCGTGGAGGAAGCTGCCCAGTCAAGCCTGATCTGGCTTCCTATGATCTGGCTTTCCAGGACAATCTGGATTCCTTGTCCTGCAGTGGATTCATCTCACTCACACAACACATCAGTGCAAACGTGGTCCTGCTACAGCTCAACCTCTACAATCCAGGCTGTTGTGGGATCATGATCGATTCCACTGCAGCTGCTAGCACAACTGTTGGATAGAGCTGCGGACTCTAGACTGTGCCTTCATGGAAGCAGCGCTCTGGTGAGGAGGCAAAGCCATCGGATGTGCATACAGTAGGTCATGAAACGCCAAAAGAAGTCTTGCCGAACGTCCTGAGGCTCGATTGTGGACATCCCTTGTGCAACGCTGCATGGGTAGCAGTTGCCTGTTCTGGCTTGATGCATGGAGGTAGGCTTCACAGGAGGCCTCTTCCTATGAACAAGACCATTCGCGCAGTGATTAGCGACGATATGCAATTGCAAAATTCAAGATACAACAATTCGATTTTTTTGTTGAGTGCGATGGATGCTGTTCACAATCTGATTGAACAGTAGAATTCCGATTGGTTGACATGGATATCAGGGGCTTCCCCACCTCTCCTATGACTGTGGGAGGTACGTTGTGCCATTTTTATGTTCACTAGTAATCACATCCTCATCGCCACTCCTCACCTATCATTGTAAGCAATCACGTAGTATAGATGGAACGTGCGATGGTGTTGGACGCCAAGATGTGGGACTGATATCAGTCTAAATGTAAAAAGAATGACGAAAGCTCCTTTACATTTATGGCTGCACTTCAACCATTCATCAGTGCTTTCTTAGCGTGCCTGATCATATATCCCGCTTGCTGCCATGCACTGAAGAGAGGCTGTAATTCTTTGATTCAGGGGATGGTCCTTACATGAACCCGCTCTTTGGAGATGGTTCCACACCCAAGCAGACCGCCTTCACACCTCATAACAATCCTGTCTGGTCTCCGCAAGCTGAAGCAGAAGCACACCTGCCACTTCCTCCTCCACCATCAGACTTTCTCGGCCTGGCCCTGCAGCCATCAGGTGAGAGAAGGATAACCTTCATCTCCATGTGTGGAAAAAATGCATGTAACATTCTCTGCCGTGACTTTTGTCATTGACTTGCCTGCTTTCTCCGGCTCCCTCTCATATATACAATGCGAAGCAACCAATGCGAAGCAATGAAAATCTGGTTCATGATTAATTTAGGCGCTCCTGATAGGTGCTGCAGGTGCACCAGCAGAAGTTGCGGAGGAGGGAGCATTTGCAGATGTGATGGCAGAGCTGATGCAGGAGGCATTTGACAGCGCAGAGGCCGTGCGCAGATTCGCCGTCATCTGCCAGGACAATGCTGCTGCGCTGCGGTGAGCCCCTATGCTATCCCAAGTGTCCCTTTTCATGCCTCTTCAGCACGCTCAATTCGTGTTATTCTTGCCTAATTGATGGAAGATCCAAGAAACATTGCAGATCCTGGGCAGAGACGGTGTTGAGTGCTGCGCTGATGTGGCGCTGCAGGGAGCAGGCAACGCAGCAGCAGAACAGGGCGGCCAGGGCGCTGCGGCTGCAGGAGCAGGCAGCTGCGCTGGATGCGGAGGCAGCCACCTGGCAGCTGCTCTGGCACCTTTATGGAGTCCGTGATGCAACGTTTCCTGCAGGAAACGGCGGGCGGCCCGGGCCGGGCTCCGGGCAGAGTCTCACCATCGCACAGCGCGCTGCTGGCATCCTTGCCGAAGATGAGAAGCTGAATTGGTGAGGCACATGATCGGCAGTTTTGTCACTCCGCCCCCACGGTTGTGTTTGCACGGCTTTTTAACTCAAATCTCTACATTTGTCTTGTTGCCTTCCATTTCCGATGTTCTCATGTTTCAATCGACTGATCGCGCTCTGTGGGACGCTGAAGAGCACCTTTCTGCTTTTCTCACTGCTGCTTCTTTCACACACCACAAACATGTTGAACATGGGCAGCGATGAACCACGGCTGACTTGTGTGGGCGGCCTGATCAGGGTGGCCAGAGTGGTTGCCTGGTTAGAAGCGCTGGCGGCTGAGGCGCTCGACCGCGGCGAGGCGGCGGCCGTGCGAGGCGGCGGCAGCGGAGCGCGGTTTGCGCGGTGGGAGGGCGTGCCGCGTGAGACGCGCCAGCGGCTGGACACCCGAGCCGCGCCGGGCCTCGGCCGTGCCGCCGCCGACGCCATTGTGACAGAGCTCGACCCCGATGCGCCCACACGGTGCGTTTACTGCTTGTCATTTGCATGCAGAGATTTGAAAGAATCACTGAGGAGATTCAACAACTGGTTCTTGTCATTCACATTATACCATACCCGTCGCTTCTGTATCCCTCGCGTTGTGGACACACCATTTTCTCATGGCATACTTGCTAGAGTCAAAGACTTACATTCCTGCCTCCGTGCATTCACATGGCTGTTGGTGCTGCAGGCAGCAGCGGAGATGGGCGGACAGCAACGTGAAGGATGAGGAGCGGCTGATGCGGCAGCTGTTCCGGCTGGTGCGCTGCGGCCGCCTGGAAGCTGCGCGGCAGCTGTGCCATGAAGTTGGGCAGCCCTGGCGGGCAGCTTCCCTGGGCAGCGGCGGCGGCCTTGGCCTGATCCCCCTCGGTGCACCCCTCTCCCACGCAAACAAAAGACAGCCTTCAGAGACATCCAAGTTATTGAGGTTTCAGACCCCGGAAGAGGCTCAGATAGTAAGCAAGCACTGAATATGAGGTTGCAGCCATCAACCTTCTGACACTCGCACCACCAGAGCCCATTCTTGTGGGACAAGTGGCAGCTCGCGCATAATTGCGAGCTGTTGTCCGGAATCACATGAGGTTTTTCAGGGAATTTGCGACTTGCGTCAGGGCGTCATGAGAGATCTGGAATTATGCTAAGCATGGGGGCGGCTGCAAAGTAGGCTAGGGCCAGAAGCTTACATTCTCCTCAGGAGTCCTGCAGATATGCAGCAAGCCAAACATTGGTGAAACTATAATTTTCTTGTTCGCGCAGGGGTTGCTGCGGAGCATGCAGAGGCCAGGAGCGTGGAGGAGTGCGATGAGGAGCTGGCATCAGAAGTTGAGCTGGGCAGCGGCACGCTGCGCGCGCTGTGGCGCTGGGCCTGCTACCAGGCAAGCACTTCACAGATCACTCATTACCACTCCCTGCAAAGTGTGCGCTCTTTGTGTGTGCCGCAGATGTCCTGCCAACACCACCAGAAATTATGCTCAGGGTTTGCACGTGCATGAGTTGCATGTGGAAACTCTGCTTCAAGAACTGTGAGATGATTTTGTGGGTCCAGCTTGCATGTGTCTGGATTATCAGACGTTTGCAGAGTCACCTGATCTGCATATTATATCATCTGTCGTGGCAGCTGTTGCTTGAAAATACTTATCTGTGTGAATTGTAACACGCTGTGACTGCACGTCAAATCAATTGTGTATTTCAAAACACTATGGTCAAAGTTGACTGATTTGCATGACTTGCTTGTCTGAACCACAGGCGTCTGAGCGTGTCAGCCAGCCATCCTCTGGACAGCAGGAGGCCGCACTGTATGGCGCGCTGGCCGGCAATGTGGAGCGCGTGCTGCCGGCATGTGCCAGCTGGCAGGACGCCACATGGGCGCTGACTCGCAGGTCAGGCCAAAATATTGCCTTACGTGCATGTACGACTAAGCGTTACGTGAGGATGCGGGCAGGATGCCGGGAGCTTTCCCCGAGCAGAAGTTGTTATGGGCTTGGTCCGAGATGTTGAGTCAGCGGGTCAGGATTTGCATGTGTGCTCGCATGCGAGTGCAAAAACGGGCAGAATTTTGGAAATATGCACCGATCCAGGAAATGCATGGATAAGAGCCAGAAACACCACGAAGGTTCAAGGTTTTGCAGCAATGCTAGCCTCCACGCGGCTAGCATATAAGCTGACTCTGCTTGCTGTCCTTTCACGGTTGGCTCGAGGCGGAAGCGGATGCATTTAGTAGACACTGCTCCTAGAAAATACCGAGGCCACAAAATAGCGATGGCACCATGGAATGAATTTGTATGGACTCAGAAGCTGACTGAGATGCTGCCCCTTTACAGCTGGCATGAGGCGGAAGAGGATGCATTATAGTAGACAGTGCTCCTAAAGAATCGTGAGGCCACAAAATAGCAATGGCACCATAGAACATTACGACGGACTCAGAAGCTGACTTGGCATGCTGTTGCTTGCAGCTGGCCTGAGGCGGAAGAGGATGCAGCATAATAGGCACTGCTGCTAAAAAATTGTGAGGCCACAAAATAGCAATGACATCATGGAGTGATGACTTGTGCGCTCAGAAGCTGACTTGGCATGCTGTTGCTTGCAGCTGGCTGGAGGCGGAAGTGGACGCAGCTCTGGAGGTGCCGGCTGCAGACGAGGGCATCTCTCTGGAGGCGTTGGTTGCGGCGGCAGGGAACTCCAACGCAGACATTGACGTCCTGGGCGAAGGCCTCAGCGTCGGGCAGGGCAAATGGCCTCTGGACAAGTGCGCCACTTCCCCACTAGTTAGCAGCGGCGATTGCGTATGTTTTGTCCTACCTGACAAGTGAGGGGCCCTCTCTTTTTACCCGCAGTGGCTCGGGAATTCCAGCACAGCATCTCTGGACAAGTGCGGCACTTTTCTCTTGTCTGACAGGCAGCAGCTCAGAGTCTGTGCCGATGCCTCTTCAGATATTTCTCTTCTGATTTACCGTGGCGAACGTAGGGAGATCAGGATCTGGAGGCCATCCTTAAATAGGACAGGTTCATGGCCATCGCATGTGAGAACAGATTCCCGAAGTTGCCATTGGAGGGGAGCAATGAGTAGATCTCGCACAGGACACTTCAGCAGCATCCGACCTCTTTGGCTGAACAAAGTCCTTGTCAGGGTCCACATCAATGTTGGGCAGCAGTGAGAGAATTGGTGGCTTCTGCAGGCTGGTCAGGCAGCTGCCCGGCAGCTTTGAGGAGGTCTTCGGTGCAGCTTCGCGCTTCGTGCCGGCTTCCAGCAGGACGGAAGCTGACAACCCGTCCAGTCAGCAGCGCGTCGTGCAGACAGAGCTCATCAGGGGCCCAGACCGCTGGTGGAATCTGCTCGTTGACCGCCTGCCTTCCTGGGTCACACCGGTGAGGCGCACCCTTTTTGTAACATTATGTATATATTTCTACACAGAGTTCCTGCCAAGAGTCAAGGTGCGTCCTGCAGACAAGCTGCAGGTTTAGACTGCCACTATCTTACCCCTTCTTGGACTCGCCACGTCCTAGCAGAACCCAAATCGCGGGCACGGTGCTCAGTATTTATGCCGCCCCCCGCCAGCCGGGGCAAGGGGCACTTTTATTATAAATAGGGCAAAAACTTATGCTCATCAGCGCTGGTAGATATTGTTGTCTTCCGTCACATGGATTGCCCAGGTCAGCTTGGGAAAGCATCTCTCTGTATGCGTTGGTAACCGAATCCTCATTGCAGGTCTCTGCTCTACCATGCAAGCCATCCCAAAGGGTGTTTATTTGTCTCGCTTTCACTTCTGACTGACCTCCTGCGTTGCATGCACATGCATGCACAGGGACGTATTTGCCCCATGAGGAAATAAAATTCTGTTTTCTTATCTCTTCCACTGACCTACTGCGTTGGACAAAAATGCACAGGGATGTGGTTGCCCCAGGATGGGTTTTTTTTTTGAATTCTTTGTTGGAAATCGCGCAGGCGGTGGACGAGATGGCGGACGAGCTGGACAACGCCGAGCCGCCGGGGCCGCGCGCGCAGCCGCCGAAATGCGCGGCCGGCACGCTGCGCTTTGCCGCGCACTTGGGCCTCGCGCTCAGCGCGCTCGGCCTCGTCCCGCCGCCGCACGACACCGGCGTCAGCCTCCGCCACCGCGACCTGCAGGTTTGATTTTGATTTTACCATTTATTACCATTTATAAGAGTGCGCTGTTGTGTGCCCATCTGAATTCCCAGAGGAAGGCATGACTGGATGCTGGATGCATTGGAAGGCTTGCTAGTACCCAGGCAATCTTTGGGTGGCTAATGTCCCACACAGACAGCCGAGAGGCTTTCCCCGAGAGGCTTTCCCAACCGTCCCTGCAGCTGTCGCTGCAGTCCCATGACCTTGACAGACCTTTTACCTACATGGGGGTGGACCCGTCTGTGTGGTCAACTGCTGACTGATGCTTGCACAGTGTGGAGCATGAGCTGGGCACTTCCTCCACGAGTGTGGCTGACGAGGATCTCGAAGCTGGTTTCAAACTGTTCAGAGGGGGTCTTGAATTGCTGGGTCCTCCACAATGACAGCCTCACTTCCGCAGCTCGCTGGGCGGTACAATATGCATGATGTGCACGTGCGCATTGACTTGTGTGGCTGCTCTTGCATAGCCAGTCGGCTTACCCACCAATTCTCCCGCATCCCACGCTTTGCCGCCCAGCTGTACTCGTCCAGAGTCAACCAGCATGCCTGGAATCGTTCTTCCGCCCTCCATGCACCCGATTACCACTCCTCTTGTTGGGCCCATCATGCATTCCGCTGTGTTGTGCTGCACAGGACTCGGTGAATGCACTGCTGCAGCTGTACCTGGTGCACCTGATCGACAGCGGCCAGCACGCGCTGCTGCCGCTCTACGCCTGCCACTTGCGCGCGGACGTGCGCAGAGAGGTGCGCCGGCCGCAGAGTATATGATATTATTATTATTATTATTATTATTATTATTATTATTATTATTATTATTATTATTATTATTATTATTATTATTATTATTACAGGCTTTTCCTGCCAAAGGCAAGGTGCGTCTGCAGACAAGCTGCATGTAAAGGCTGCTAATTTCCTACCCCTTGTTGGACTCGCCAGATCCACGCAAGACCCATTCAACCGTGGGCACGGTGCTCAGTATTGTAATGCCCCCCGCCAGCCGGGGCCATGATATTTAGCGCAGATTTATGAGGCTCATGTGGCAATGACAAACACATGGATGCATATAGGACATCTTCATCTTGCATTCTATGGGCCTTTGCATCTTGAGCAGAGCTGGCTTCAAGCAAAAGTCGTTGGTAGGATAAAGGTGCCAGGAATCAGGGCCGATGAGGCGCCTTGTTTGGTGTCATCTATCTTGCACGTCACTTGTCGACACCCAGAACGAAATGAATGTGTTCAGGAAGGAAGGGTGCAGGCAGTCAGCGGCAGTTTCTGAGTGGGTGTGTGGCCAGTGTAGGTGTATGGCCTGTTCCTGAGCCTGCTGACGGCCAGCGCTGACATGGACGCATGCGTGCGCGCCTTCGAGGAGGGCAGCCTCTGGTTCGGCGCCTGGGCCGAGGCCGGCCGCGGCGACGTGGATCTCACAGAGATGGCCATCATCGTCGAGCAGGTGATCGTAGAGCATGCCAAACTTCAGAAGTCAATACTAGGCTCTTATATTGGGCGGTTGTGAGTATCGCTGCATGTCGGGCATGCCTGCAATCGCTTGCATAATGCGCCACCTTGGTGCCAATCTCCATTGCCTTGCTGTGAGGTGCCATGTGTTTGGGTTCAGAGCATCGGCCTATCGAGACGCGAGCATTGCACCCAGTCCGGCCTGGACGCTGCCTGCAATTATTTTGCCAATCACAGTGAGAAATTTGACAGTCGACGCAGCAACGCATTCACCTTACCCTGGATTGATGTCTACAGCACCCTTCTTACCTGCTAGCAAGATTATGCACTTCATGTGAGGTGGTTTTGCTCATGCGCTGGCATTAGACTTCATCCATTTTGTGTTTTATAGTATTTCGACCCTTCATCGACCCTAAACCCTAAATCCGCCATTGCATTCCCCGTGAAAAATATTAATGTAAATGCCCCTTCCCTCAACCCCAATCCACATTTCCTAAATCTTAGGCTGAAAAGTGGATGAAGAATAAGATCGGGGTGGAACGTACAGGTGGCGGAGAAGTCGCGCTGGGGCGTCAAGAGCGGCCCGGTGCTGCGCGCGGCGGCCGCTCGGTGGCTCTGGTTCTCCCCGGCAACGCTCGAGCCGGCGGCGGCGCACGCGAATCAGCTCCTGCGCGAGTTCGCGCTCGGAGCCGGGGCCGGCCCCGCCGCGGCGGCCGCCGCACTGCTGCAGCTGCTGCCGGCGGAAGTGCGAGCTGCGCTCGAGCAGGTGCGTTCAAATTCGAATATGATTCAGATTGCAAAACTGTATTAGGATAGGTGACTTCTGTGTGATCTGCTTTGATGAATGATCACGCCGCAGATTAAGTGGGCTCGTTGCATCTTGGTGAGTCCGCATGTCAAAGGCTCCGAGGACGTAACGCTTAGGCTTTGAACCTAAACAGGAATTGGGTTAACTCAGCACGTGGTCGGTGCGAATCGTGACTCTTCTATCATCTGCTGAGTTCCTCAGCACTGACAATGGGGCACATGCAGGGGCAGGCTTCCGCTGCTGCTGCTTCGAGCGTTGCTGCGTTGGGCTTGTGAGATGCAAAAGCCATGTGCACAGCACAAACAGCACACTGCGTGTCTCCTCCTCTGATGACTGATGTCCTCGTTTGTCCAGGGGACCCCGGAGGCCCTCGAGGGTTATGGCGATGAGCTGGCAGCGCCCATGCTGGAGCTGCGGGCGTGGGCTGCCTATTTTGCCGCTGACAGGTGTCCATTCAACCTTGAATCTTGCAAGCTGATTTTCATTGCACCTGCAGGCCAACACTGTATCATGACAGGCACCTTTGCTGCTTCTTTTGCATTGTACTCACTGTCCGAGACGCACTTGATATCCACCGGAGCTTTCAGGCCGAAATGTCATGATGAGCAGTACCACTTCTCATGCAGAGGATCTAACATTTGAGATTCACTCACTCATTCACTCTCTCTCATTTGCGCAGTTTCAATAAGAGCTTTCTGCTGAAGTAGACGGTGTAGATTACTCGTACAATGTGATATGCGCAGGCTATACCGAGAATGGGCGGAGCTGCACACGCGCCTGTTCTTGGAGCGGCCGATGCCGCCATCGCCGGAGGAGCGGCAGCTGCTGCGTGAGAGGGGCGCTGCTGCACTGCAGGCGCTGCTGGGGGCAGTCAGCGACCAGCTGCTGCTCTACATTGCGCCTGACGGCCTGCCTGGACAGGTGCAAGCTTTGTTGAAAGCACATCATGGTATATTTTGTGAGACCTGAAAAATTTTCATGTTGTGATAAGCTCAGTTGCCCGTCTTGCACTTGTGTCTCCGTGTGTCCTTTGGGAGCCTTTCAAGTAACGCACCGGGATCACACAACAAGCATTTTATCTTCTGGGGGCATCTGATGCTCACCAGACAATGAAATATTGAGAGCATATGGGAGTCACTTTTCAGACGAGCACTCAGAATGCTCACAATGTACTCACTCTCCTGCAGGGCCCACAGACATTCACGCTGTTCGTCACAGCAGAGCCGGGCCAGGAAGCTTCCGAGGAAGCTGCCTCGGGGGAGGAATACCCTGTTTTGGCTCCGGAGGATGCAGCCGCGCTCGCTGCCGAACTCAACCAGGCGTTCGCGGGCGCCCTGGCGCCCGCTGCCGGCCAGCAATCCCCTGAGCTCTTCGAGCTGCGCATCGAGGTGCGACCCCTGAAGTGCGGGGAGTTGAAATTATAAATTTGTAATCATCTGGACCCTGCAGCCTTAAGAATCTTAATTGCCCTTTTCCCCTGAAATTCTGCCAAGCAGCATGCACGTAATTTGTATGTGAAAGGAAGATATCTGATCAGGGCAACACTTTGCTGGAATTTTTTAGTATTTCTGGGCTCTTACTGTGTTTCTCCCATATCCTTTGGCAGACTGTAGCTCTATCTCTCAGTGACCAAGTAACCCCTGCAAGCCCTTCGATTGATATTCATCGGACATGCAGGCGCGCTCGGCGGCGCAGCAGCCGCTGCCGGGGGGCGCAGTGGGCCCCCCGGTGCAGGGGGTGGTCCAGGTGGACGCGTATTGTGGCCTGCCGGAGGGCCTCCCGGCGCTGACTCAGCTGCTGGCCGACGCGCTCAAGGGCCTGCTGCCCGGCTGCCCGCGCCCGCTGCAGGTTAGTCACCCTGCTTACTCATCCCTGATCAGTCAGCCGCTGCCTCAGACAGTTGATTGGTTATCCGCAAGAGCAGACGTTTCCATGCCATCATTGTATGATATCTTGCCGTGTCTCACGGGCGCTGACAACTTGACAAGACTTGTACTGCAAGGCACAAAGTGGCGCGCAAGGATGCTTCACTGCCTGACTAAGGAGGAAGTGGCAGTGTCTTTTACTGACAAATGTGTGTGGCACAGGCTGTCAATCTGGCTGGCCCCGAGACTGCGCAGGCCAATCTGTGCCAGGCTGTGTGCTATCCGAGGTCGCTGCTGCGCTGTGCTGCACTCCGACAGGTGATCTGTTCATTCATTCATCAAGGTCCTTCTCCATGGAAATTCTTCCCATCATGCTGGGGACTATGTCACGATTGAGTACTCTCGGGACTTGCGTATATGTGCACCATGAAACGCCTGGCGACGGAAGAATGGCAAGCTGCTGGCACAGTGCACTTTGCATGTCATGAATCTTCCCTTCTGTTGGGTCAGGCAATGGTGGCATTTGGCCAGCCTGGCAGCACCTTGAAGAATGTGGTACCTTGCTCATATAAAGGGTCTCTTACAGTTTGAATTTGTCAAAATCGCAGGCTCTGCTGGCGCTTGGCGAGCCCGGCAGCACTGGCGAGGAGGTTATAGAGCTTGTGGCTGGCGGAGGAGGGAACGGTGAAGGGGTGTCCAGATATTTTGCACCGGCGGAGATCCAACAACTGCTGGATCTGGAGCGCAGCGCTGCTGTGCATGTGAAGGCGCATGCGGCTGGATCCTGATTTTGCCCAGTATGGCAGGTGTCTTGTAATGAGCACTGATGACCAGTATTGACGGCAATATAGGACATCCATGAAAGTTGTTGTGCGACTGTAGCATGGCTAATTATTGCCTCATTCGAACGTTCAAGATTTTGAGTTGAGGCCTAAAGAGGAAGCAGGAGCTCACGCTTCAGTCTTCGCAGTTGCGTGTTGCGCAGTTGCAACACCGTAGACTGACGAGGCCCGACAGATTGCTCACAATTTTTCTGCATCCTTTAAAGCACATTGGAGCTTCCTTTGCACTTCCATCTGCAGCATGTGTTGAATTATCAACTTGAAGTTTGTATTGAGTAGGATCTTAACAAGAAATGCCTGTCTCGCCAGTTTTCTCCTGATCTGCGCCAGGCAAAAAAACGCTGCGCCAGGCAAAACAACGGCACTAATGAAATGCACTTTCACCCGACTTTGTGTTTCATAAAACGTCCCATCGCGCTCTTGCTTTGATACTAGACTTGCAGAGACTGCCTGAAAGCGTATTCACGCCGACGAAAACAGATTACTGCAAGTGGAGATCTCTGAAGGATCGTGAGACTGAGCAGGACGAAAGTGCAGGCATCTGATGCTAAATTTCTATACATTCTGACTTTTTACTAAACATAGAGGACTCTGCACGGGGTCTCTCGCTGACGGAGGCGGCCTGAACAACAAATACTACCCATGGACCTTATAGCACGCTACAAGTGCGAAACAATTGAGCCGAAGGCCCAGAAATTGCTACGGAAATTCCTTATAATATTGATTGCAAGCAAGAAAATAGCGCTCCATATTTATGCAATATATTGATTGGAATATGGTCCTGCCCCAAGCTTGCTACATCAGATTTCCCTACACAGCGTTGTGCAGGCTGATATGCTGGGTTCATGCCTTGCAGTGATGACGGAGAGCCTCTATCGCACATTGAGGAAGAGGAGGCAGCGCCTGATTTGCGTCTCCAACTCGTCAGCGCAGCGCCTGATGTGGATACAACAGGACTGGCGCTCATGGACAACACAGTGGTCCAAAAAGCAGCCACACGACACCTGCAAGGTTTGTGTTCACGTCCGATCATCTGCAGTGACAGATGAGGAGAAACAGATCATTGACAGCGTGTGCCTAGGCCCTTAAAGTTTGCCTGGGTGTGGTGATGGCTGAGCAGACTCTGCTGTGCAGATGCCACTGCGAGGCAGGTGATGGTGAACCTTCCTTACGAGGAGATGCATGCGCCAGTGGTGGGTCCTGCGCACCCTTACCAGAAGGACGGCATAGCTGCAGGCATGAAGAACCACAGAACAGGGCATGTTGAGGTGCGCTCCTTGCTCCATAGAAGCCTCCCAATGAAATGGGTGCTAACCTTTCAGATACACCTTCTGTACCTTCGGCTTGAGAGTAAGCTGTTCGCATCCAGCAAACGTACCCAGCAGCTTGGTTCTTCTGCTCTCTGTGGGGCTGCAGCGGCCTTCATACAAGTGCGAGGGGACTGGCAATACAATAGCTGATGGTTGCGCACATGCAGGACTTCAACATGCACTCGTTCCACTTTGACGACCAGTACAACACCTTTCACAGCTATGGTTATGCGGTGGCCCCTGGCAGCCAATCTGTGGTTGGTGACGAGGAGGCTCTTGCGGAGAAGAAAGGTGCGAGCACTTCTGCGCTGCAATCGCTGTCGAGATCTGGGCTGTTCTGCAGATTATATAAGCTGTCAGCATGCAGCACGCACCACCTGTTCTGTCAGGATCTGGTGTGGAGGTTGATAAGTGTCCAGTGTGTGGAGAAGAGATGGCCACGATGCAGGGTCACTGGCTGTGAGACAACAAGCATTAGGTGCTGTAGATTGGTGCCGTGTCTGCCCTCTTCGCGGGGTTCCACATAAGAATTCAGAATAAACTTGTGTCGTTACCCAACATGTGCACAATTATTCATTCATATAAATATATAGCATGATACTGTATATGAAGCATGCAAGAAATGTTACAGAAGTGTCTGCAGATGGAAGGGAGCTGGCAGGATAAGATGCTGGGTGCTTTTACTGAACAAGGCTGCCTGCTGCTGCAGGGGAGAGTGTGTACACAATGGCAGGGCAGGCAAAGCGGAGAAAACCAAATGCGGAGAGGAAAGCAGAGGAGGAGCAGAAGAAGGCTGAGCGTGGGGAGGCTGACCCAGAGGAGCCCTGGACGATGCAGGTGAGGCCCAGGCAGACTTTGTTGAAATAGTGGACGGGCTTTTTTGCGGCTTCATTTCCACTTCAAAAGGTCTGCATGCAACAAGGACCAAGAGTACGGCACAAAATTTTTGTCCGGAGTTGCACCGGGGCCCTTCGAGGTGGAATGGGAAGGCATCTGAGAGACGCAATCTATCCATTAGCCCCCAGGAATGAGTGCTTTGGCTGCATATGCGCATGCCTGAGACTGTTTTCGATGTGCTTCATGATGTTCACTGCTCTCTGAACCAGGCTCTATGCAGGCGTACCTGCCCTTTTTTTCTCGATGTTCCAAGAACCTGTCGCAAACTGCTTCCCTGGATGCCTGCATGTGCAACTGCCCATTGATATCAACTACCATACAATTTATAGAATGCCTGCCTAAATTTGTTACCTGAAGGGTTGGAGGACCTGGTGCAAACTCTAATCTGGGCGCGCGCATGTGCGGCAGCCCGTTTACAAACCTGACATGCAAGCTTCATTTCAAGATTAGAACTTCAGGGAAACTGGTGCAAATTCTTGCCTCGGACGTGCGCAGGTGCGGCAGCCGTGGGCGGATGTGGAGGTGAAGGCGGCGCAGCCGACGGCGGAGCAGATGGAGTGGCTGGAGAAGGAGGGCTTCCTCAAGGACGAGGAAGAGGAAGAGCCGGCCGAGGGCGAGGAGGGCGCCGAAAAGCCCAAGCGGGTGCGTGCTTTGGAAATATTTCACCGTTCATGCCTGTGCATATTTGTGGTGCCGATCCAAGCCGGGTGCCCTCGGTAGTCATATGTGTGCAGAACAGTGGGGACATCTGTGGGCTTGTTGGTGTTGTTTCGGGCAGATTGATAAGATGCACAAACTCTGCAGCCGTTGATGGGTAAAGCTGACGCATGTGGCAGCCCAATCACCGAGCTGCAATCTGTTTTTTGTTGTTTTGACCTGCCTGTTGCAGCTCCAACCAGGAGCGGCAGTCAAAAGCTGTCCATGAGAGCTGCACCATCTCAGTGCAATATGGGCCCCCACCACAAATCAGATCTGAGCGCAATCTAATGACCATTGCGGTGGGAATATCATTCTGACGGGTGTCTTGTGATGGAATGGCAGGGCCGCAAGGGGCGGCAGGCGGCGGCGGCGAAGATTCCGGAGAAGAGCCACTTCCACGGCAAGGAGGAGCGCAACCCAGTCACAGGGCGCACATGGCTGGATCCTCCCAAGAACAAGAAGAAGGAGAACGAGTATTGTTACCTGCCCAAGAAGTGGGTGCACACCTGGTCGGGGCACACCAAGGGGGTCAACGCCATCCGCTTCTTCCCTACCACTGGTGAGCCACTCTTTCTCTTACTCAGCAGATGTGTGTACCTGAGTGCCAGAGAAGCTCAGCTTCTGGCAACTGTGAGTTTCGCCCTTGTTGGGGAAGCTTGACAGCATGGCGCATCTGGCTCTCTGGGATGGCACCCAGTCGAGACAGTGCCGATGAGCCAGCATCTCTCTACCCTTTGCTGTGCGTGCCTCACGTGATTCTGGGGCATGCAGCACCAGCATACGTTTGGACCCTAGCACTGAGTTCGGGCTTGTTCTTGATCAGCTCATTCAAGCTGCTTCAGGCCAAGCTATAGACCCACAGGCCTGCAATGTGCGGCCAGCCGCCCTTTTTTTATCAGCTCATTCCTGGCCAAACTACACCGTTGCTCGCTGTCTGGCACCCCATCCTATTCGAGGTTCTTTCAACGGGGTCAACGCCACCATTCTTTTGCACACTTTGTTTGATCCAGAGTATGAGGCACCAGCATTCAGCAGAGTCCAGTGCATTCTTCTGAAAGTGTCTCCGGCAAAGTGGCGAGCGCTGTGTATGCAATGCTGCAAGATTTCACCTGACCTGAGGCACTTGTGTTGGATGACAGTGTTTGAGCTGTATGGTCGGCGTGATACTGCTCAACTATACAGCACAGCACACTGCTCTCCTACCAAGGTGTCTCAACTGGTCTGCAAGTCGTCAGCCCTGTGCTCATTTCTGACGGTGTCCTGATGGGTGTGACAACCAGGTCACCTGCTGCTGTCTGCTGGTCTGGATGGCAAGGTGAAGATCTGGGATGTGTACGGCAATGGCAAGTGCATGCGCACCTACATGGGCTTCTCTAAGGTGTGCACCCTCTGCTTTTCTCGTCTCCCCTCTGAACTTAAGCTCCCTCTGCAACCTGTGTTCCTTAAAATCTTGTGTTCCTTCTGTGTGACAAAATTTCAGAGTAAGTTTTGTGGGGTGTATGTAAGCTGGGTCGCGTGGTTGCAGGGTGTAAAGGACATTTCCTTCAGCAACGACGGCAGAAAGTTCCTGAGCACGAGCTATGACAAGGTGGTCAAGCTGTGGGACACAGAGACTGGGCAGGTGCTGCACAGCTTCATTCTTCATGTGGAAAGTCGAGCATAATCTGTACCTTTGAGGATCTGCCGCACTGGTTCAACTGCCAAAAGTATCGAATATAACCAGCAGTGACTTGTGCTTGTCCAGTGCAGCAGGATCAACAGTGAACAGGATTACACAATATTGCTAACATGAGGAATTTGCCGCAGGTGCTGCGGAGCTTCGGGGAGGGGAAGATGTTTTTCACAGCGCGGTTCCACCCCAGCGATGACAAACAGAATGTCATCATGGGTGGCTGCGCCGACAAGAAGATCCACCAGTGGGACTCCGACACTGGCGACCTCGTGCAGGTGACCTTCAATAGTATATCATCATGCAGAAGTGATTGCAAGGCAACCTTAGTCATGCATATCGTCTGGTTCAGTAGCCTCCAGCAAAGTCCCGCCTGTTTTCGCAATCATGCGACCTTGATGCCAGGCAACTTGGGCCTTTACTTGTCTGCTGCAAAAGTTGTGCTTCCTCCTCTAGCACAAGTCTCTGCACCTATGTCACCACCCAGAAGGTCTAGCATGCTGAGTGCATAAGCCCCTGTAGTGCCAGTGACAGCTGGGCGCCTTCTGACTTGGTCAGCCAGGGTTCAAATTTCAAAGTAAATTTATTATTTTTTCGTAGGAGTACAACTATCACTTGGGCGCGGTGAACACGGTCACCTTCGTGGACGAGGGGCGGCGATTCGTATCCACGTCGGACGACAAAACGATCCGCGTGTGGGAGTTTGGGATCCCGGTGCAGATCAAATACATCGCAGACCCCTCCCTACACTCCATCCCCGCCGTGGCAGTCCACCCCAATTCCCAGTGGCTCATCGGCACCTCCCTGGACAACCAGATTGTCACCTACGCCGCGCGCGATCGCTTCCGCCAGAACCGGAAGAAGATCTTCAAGGTGACACTCTGCAGATATCTCCATGCAGTGATCTGGGCTGCAGACTTTTGCGGGCCACGCAGACGTGGCTGCAGACGCCCTGCATGTGTGCCCCATGGCCTTTGGCTTTGGGCTCGCCGACCTTTATTGATTGATAATAATCTTCATGTCATGTGCAGAGGATTTTCATGTGCAGAGGAATGCATGTACAGATGGCAGGAACAGGCACAAGTGCTGCTTGGCTTCAGCTTACTAGCTCGCTGATAATGCTGCTTTGAGGGCCGCAGTAGTCTTTTTAGTGCTAGCTGGGGTTGCTGTGCAATCCTGCATGTCGCAGATGCCTCTGAAGAAAACCGACTCCGCTTGCCTCTCCCAGTGCCTCAGTGTCGGGGGTGCCATCCTCCTGTAGAGTGCAACGACTATTTTTGTTGCAGCACCTTGCACAGAGCTTTCACTTGGCATGCTTGTGGCTGTTCATGCCTGATCCCTGGGCAGTGGCTGACATAATTTTGTACAACTGCAGCTGGCTAGGCATGTGAGACTGACGCATTACAGAAAGAGGTATGCAGACATCAAGACAGAGCGAGCGCCAGACGATAGGAGGAAGGGCTGCCTTGCGAGTGCACGTCATGTGACAACAATGCAGTGAACTTCTCATAACATTCTCTTTGCAATGCGCAGGGGCACACGGTGGCAGGGTATGCGTGCCAGCCCAACTTCTCGCCGGACGGGCGCTATGTGATGAGCGGGGACGGGGAGGGGCGGCTCTGGTTCTGGGACTGGAAGACATGCAAGCCGTACCGGACTATCAAGGCGCACGAGGGTGTTTGCATCGATGCAGAGTGGCACCCTCTGGAGAGCTCCAAGGTCGCCACCTGCAGCTGGGACGGCCAGATCAAGTACTGGGACTGAGATCTTGCATCGGTTGTTCTGCCAGAGGCATGCTACCTTAGTGAAAGGGATGCCATGTGTTGATAAACCATGACTCTGAGATTGTCTCAGACTCAGACTCAGAGGTTCACTGGCAGTCCAAGGCTCATGAATCAATCTTTAAGGACCTGGGTACCTGTAAATTTGGTAAAAAAAGCACTGCGCAACACTGTTGACAAATTGGATGCGCACGTGTAATACTTAGTGAGCCAAGCAGTGCACTGCCAGTGGTCGTTGGAGATGGTCTACTAAGCACAGCTGTAGGCTTCTAGCCTAGATCTGAGAAGAGATATCTGCAATGCAAGCACTTGCATCACTAATGGTTTGGCAAAAATTTTAAAAGCTGCTGGTGCGCATGCAAGTCGAGCAGTGGTCGCTGAGCATGTTTGGGGCACGGGCTTCTCTGAAACGCCAACACTTTGCATGAAAAGCAAGTGGAGATCCTTATCTGCATTGGATTGCAATGCAATCTCAGGCCTTGACGTGTACTCCCCTTCTGATGGCCCTAGGTAGGTTTTGCACCCTCGGAAAAAGGGTGCGCGTGCGCCCAACTCGAGCAGGCCATGCGCCCTTGGAACACTGCACTGCTCGAAGCATTCGGCATCACTGTCGAGTTGCATTAAGCCAGAGCTCGTGAGCTCCTGCTTGCCTCGTTGCATCGCTCGTGTAAATCGTGCGAAAAAGGGACACCCAGAAAGGAGCAGGATGGGGGTGAGGGGAGCTATTCTGCAAGGCGTACACGCTATGCCCGCAAATAAAATAGGCTCCTTGCCTCCCAGGCATCGGCGAGGGGGCGCACGCAGGGACGGTTCACACGGTATTGCCACAACCGTTCCGAAACCTCCATGCACCTTAACGGTGGATTTGCCAGATAGAGCTCATCACGATCCCATGCATCTGACTATGCAGCATGTCCATATTTGCACAGCGAAAGCACCTGCTTTTTTTGGTGCATGTTCCCGAAGACAAGAGTTGGGCTTAACCAGCTGGTTTCTTTGGAGCACCATCCAGTGGATAACGTGACAAAAGGACCTCGTGCAGGGCTGAGGCGGAGGAGGAGATCCGGATTAGTATGTTCTGCAGCGCTCGCTCAAGCGGAAGGAAAAGTCGTCGACTTCTACGAGCTCTTGAACGTGTGGTTTCTACAGCCTGCATCCTTTGTACTAAACCAATGACAACGGGACTCCTTCTAGGCTTTTTGATGCCATGTTGTCTTATGCGTTTCTTCCAGGCTACCTTGATCCGGATCCAGACATGCAGAAGGGAACTGTAAGCTTAAACAGAGTGGTTTCTTTGTACCGCAGATTGATGACGACGCTTCATTCGAGGAAGTGAAGGCGGCATATAGGTATCTGGCCAAGCAGTGCCATCCGGATTTTTTGGGAGATGAGGGGCACGAGCTCTGTGTACTCCTAAATGAGGCGTGCCCTCGGCCTTCTTTCCATGCTAATCAACATGGCAAAGGCTGCATACTTAATATTGTACACTGATCAGATAGCCTCTGTCATCCTTGAAACATAATTCACATAGGTTTCTCAATCTAAAAGTGAATCTGCTGAAGCTTGATTGACGCTTGGCATGTGCCTGTCCTGCAGGCATACTCAATTCTTAGCAACCCCCAACAGAGGCAGAATTACAATGCTCGGCTGCAAGCGCAGTTGCAGGATGACCTGGATGACTACACAGGTGAATCATAGGGAGACTTGCATCCGCTTTCTTCCTGTGTGTCAGTGGCCTGATGTCTGCTCGGAACACACCGTTGAATTTTCAAGATAAGCGCATCTGTGCAGGCATGTACAGACCTTCTCCACTGGATCCGCTTTTGCAATTCCATGTCATGGAGAGGATCGCACAGGTGGCATCGAAGGGCTGGTGGGTTTGAGATTGTGCTTGTTGTCCCGCGCAGGCAAGGCGCTGAGCAAGTGGTTGGTGAATCACCCCATGAGCAAAGCCAAGGACCCAGCAGAGACCAGGGCTGTCTTTGTGGTGAGCTGCCTTCCATCATCCTGTTAATGCACCTCTCTTGCCAAAGCCTTGGCTTTTTACTGGCTCGAGCCTGCCATGGTAAAATCATGCACATGTGCGTGAAATGATCATTGTTTATCCAATATGCAATGGTGCACGCAGATGCTTGCTTGAGCAATGTAAAGCGTTCCCTTCTTCCGGGCCTGGCCCACACTAGCGCCATCGGGTAAATGTACCTTACCTTACATTTTCAGAGGTTTCCTGGTTTGGCGGCTCAGGATGAGTCATCGTGCATCGGCTGCAAGCAGTGCGTCTGGTGCGCCAGCGCCACTTTCCGCATAGAGCCCACGCACGGCCGATCGCGCGTATTTGCGCAGTGGATCGATGACGAGGACTTGATACAGGTGCGGCGCTGTGCCTCCAGGCAGGCTTTATGGTACAATTGTGGGAATGATTTTTGGATTTTGGTACTGGCAATATTGCCGTCCCCACGATGTTCGGGTGCTATTCAGCAACGGTACGGCAGGAGGCAAGAGAGTCCCAGACAGTCAGAAAATCTTCAAGCGTGCAGCTCATTTTTCCAATCTACTCCCCTTTAGGATCACTCTGCATTTTTGTGAAACTATGGAGGGGACTGCCTACAGGGATCACCGTTATGCCTTGATCAAAGCTCGCCCATGGATAGCAGCTGGCTCCTCGTAACCTCACCCCCAAAGGGTCTGTGCGCCGTTGCGCACTCCTCGATCGACGCGCGCCCAATGGACTGCAGCTGGCTTTTGTGAAATCTAGCCTAAAGGGTGTCTGTGCAATCGTAGGCTTCAATCAACGCATGCCCTGTGGCCTGCTGGAATGGAGCCCTAAACGGTGTCTGTGCAATTGCAGGCATCGATCGACGCGTGCCCCGTGGACTGCATCCACTGGGTGGATCGCCAGCAGCTGCCGGCGCTGGAGTATGTGATGCAGAAGCGCATGGGCCGCACCAACGTCGGCGTCATGATGGCCGGCCAGGGGGGGTCAAACGGCGACGTCTTCGAGCTCACCCTCCGCTTCCTCAAGGAACGCGAGGCCAGGTGGGGCTATCATCCTCCCAGGAACAAGGCCTCTCTGTCGTTCGTTACGTTGTTTGCCTGCACACTGGGCGTATGTTGCAAGTGGCGCAAACAAATAAAGGATGTGCGCTTGCCATGGCAAGGGCCTTCAGTAGGCTGTTGCTGCAGGCGGTGCTGGCTATTTGCCTATTCCTCAGGCCTTCGAGAAAGCGCTGTCCTTGCAGTGAAGAGTCACTACTGCAATGCCTGGCAAGATCTTTGTCATCCTTTGTATTGCTGCCGGCGGTGCAGGCTGAAGGAGCGTGCAGAGTCGCGCAAGTACACGCCGGCGCAGGAGGCGGCACGTTCGCGCGCGGCTGACTCGATCCGCACGCAGCACTCCGGCTGGTGGGGCGGCCTCGCCAACGCCATGAGCGGCGCCTGGGCCGGTGTCGTCGACGCCGCCGCCGGCACCGACTGCCGCGGCAGCGGCTTTGGCGCCGACGCAGAGGTGTGACCTTGAACCTGCAGAAACTCCAGTCCAAGTTCATATGGTCATTGTGGCTGGTGCAGCATGTCTGGCACTGTGTGGGCCAAGGCAGAGGTGTGCCTTGACACCTATGCTGTCGCAGCGGTCCAAGTTGTCTGTGCATGTCTTGGTAACCACAGCAGCTAGTGCAGCCTGGCGGACACCGTGTGAGCAGACGCAGAGGTGTGCGTTGGACCCTGAGTGATGAAATCTCTTGCTGCTCTGGCCGACGCAGCCTGGCATGCACCATGTGAGCATCCTGGGGGTAGAGTTCCACCCAGCTCTGTACACAAGGCGAGCAATTTGGAATTCTGCAATTCCAGCAAGTGCAACTTTTGCAGTCTACACCCCAGTGCAAGCATGCCATGTCAGCACGGCTACAAACCTGCACGAAAAGAGGGCACTACTGTATTTGGAGGGGGATAAGTAAAGTTCTATGATGCAGTTTAAGAAGCTTTTCTGCATGAGCAGGTGGGCCAGAGGCGCCGCGTACGGCGCACTCCGATATCAGACAGCCGCGGGACAATCCCATTAGAGCGCTCCCTGGTGCCCGTTCGTGTGCAGGACCCCTACCACGACATTTGAATTCCAAAACGACAGATGAAATTCCCGTTCTTCCGCAAGCCAATTCCCTGAGCATGCAGACCGCTCGCGGACTGTTGCTGTTGGTGCAATTGTGCGTGAGCATCATTAATGAATATTCTTGTTCTGCGCAAGACTTGATTTGAATACTGGTGCAAAAAGTGGAAACCTCAGGCAGTTGTGGTGTACAGTGATGAGAGAAGATTATACAAGCGGACTGGGAGCAATTTTGAGAGCCCGAGGAAAAGATCCTAGCGGTGCTGATGCACCAGAATGTCACTTGAAGTGTGCTGTGTGGCAAGCACCACTTGACCGCAGCAATATTTTTGGCTGGACCGCCTTCGGCGTTTGAGAAGAAAATATACCATGGGAAGATTGCAGATGGTTTGGCTCGCACTTTGTGCAGAGGCATACATGGCAGATTGGTTGGGAAAGGGCTCTCTTTCGAATCCCATTTTGCAGGGGGTATCGTCTTGCTTGTATAAAAAGTGGTGTATATGGCACCGTATTGGTCCCTGTCATTTTCCTTTGTACGCCAAAGCTCTGGAGACAAGCTTCATAGTCCGGTCAGCACTTCACAAGGTACCGGTTGAGCACAGACATTGTCAAGGCCTAGGTGCTGAGAACTATCTTATTTATAAAATTTTTAAGACCAAAGCTTTGTACCGTTTGAGTGGGTGGGGCACCGCGCAAACGATGAGTCTATGAGCTGCAGTTCGCATCACCATCTGATCAAGAAATTGCACTCTCATGCACGCTATCGTTCCTACAAAAACCGCAATGCCGCCCGGGCAGACTCAGAAGAATGGCAGTTTGTCCCCAGGGTTGATGGTCATGGGGTCACCCTTCCAGTCAAGGATCACCCGCTTGCCATCGTCATCCTGGCTCTGTCCTCTTCCCTTCTCAGGCTCGGCTTCACTGTTACCTCCCCCTGTCAAGCCTGGCTTTTCCTGCAGAGACAACGCTACCTCAGTGTATGATCATCCCACGCCTGCTCTATGAAATTTTTCAAAATATACACAAGTACTAAGTTGCCAAGGGCGCCAGTGACCTCCCTGGCCCAGGCCTCATAAGATATATCATAAGACATATCACATTATATAAGAAGAGCATTAGCAAAAATTTATACAGAGCAGCCCATGCATGCATCTTCCAGAAGGTCCCATATTAGGGGTTCTAGCAGGGAGTGTGAACGTAAATCCAGAGAGCAAAACATACCTCAAATGTGAAGGTCTTGGTATTAAGGATCAGCCCGCCAGCGGTCGCAGCAGACATTTCAGCCGATGCTGCAGCTGCAGAGTTCTTCCTTCCTGTGCTGGACGGCTCTGACTGAATTGCTTGCGTCCCAGATGTGCCCTCAGTGCTCACAGGTACTGATCGATACACCTCCCATTGGGGAGAGCCATTGATGATCAGATTCTGGAGATACACGGGGAAAGAGTGTCAGATGGGGCACGCCTGGCAAACTATGGACACTGACATGAAGCTTGACACTCCCGTTCTGTATTGCTACTGTTGCAATTTTGACGTCAGCTAAGTGATATTTTCAAGGGGTGTAGGCCCACCCGAGCCCTTTCGCTCCAGGCCTTGTGATCTTGCTGGGGGATGCTGGACCAGAAGGCTTCCAGCTCTGCTAGCGTGTCAAAATCTACCTCCATCTGCACATGAGATGTTTAAGGAGTATTTTTATCAAGACGACGCTGTCTAGATATTGATGCATGTATTGTGGAGAGAGCAGTCAACTGACAATGAGAGCAATGCTAAAATTGTGCTCACCACCAGACGTGATTCTGGAACACCAATCGCGCCACTTAGTATTTGAGTTCTTGACAAGTCCAGTCCGGCTTGACTCCCAATTTGCGTCACCCATTCTTGCAGGAGTGCTACAGCATCGAGCTTGACCCCATAGTTGATATCAATGCACCATCTTGCTTTGATCGAGCAGCAAGGTTGCGCACGTTTCTGTCTGATTTCATGCAATCTCTGATTCCTCTGACGGGGCCACAGCACCTCCCTTCTGAAGGTAAGCGTGGAGCCAGATGTCGAGCAGAGGCCTTGCCTGTTGGCAAGTGAAGGCCCTATCATCTATTTACTGTGAACGTCAGCGCTTTAATCAGTTCTTACAATGATCAGATTTTCGATTATCAGAGGATTGCACTGCACTGGATTTCTTTGCACATGCACCACGTGAGGACATCACCCCTCATTAAAGTTCCAAGCTCCTCTCCCACTTGAAATTATTGATCTGAATTGTAAATAGTGTTTTTTCTATGATTCATTCTTATCATATGACTTGATTCCAAATTTCCTGTACTTCCAGCGTTATTTTATGCCTGCTTGCCGTCGATGTCTTTAGGTCAATGGACGGTGTTCAGCCGTCCACTATTGGCCATGCTCGTCTCAAGAGCATATTCGAGCTAGCAGATAGGTATCCTCTGGGCGGTTCTCGGGATGCGCACGCGCTTTCAACCCTGTTCGATTTTTCCAATGCCATTGCACCCTGCAAAGTGACTGCAGAGCTCTCCGTCAAATATGGTATGGGATGGAAACATAGTCCGTGACAGTGAATGTTCAGTGAGAACCTCGAATTTTTCGCAGTACTTTGGTCATCGTCTGAACTCTTTTATGAAAAGACTAGGTAGCCAATGACGCCTATGACTGCACACAGTAAGCAATGCTTCCTCAAAATTGTGACCAGGCATGGACCAACAGAACGAGCAGCAAGTCGTCAGCGTCACAGACAGAGTGCTGGGGGCACAGGTGGGCATGCACAACTGCCCTCCAAGCTAGCTTGGACCTCTTCTCCTGTGTGACTGCAGAGGAAGAGACTACTCTGACAATGTTCATTCATTCCCCGCTCTGAGATGGGAATGACACGATGGGAAATGACACCTCTTATTATGTGCAACACAGGTCTGGTACAATGCAGAGCGCGGACGCAAACCACAGAGCTTCACACAAGAGCCTACCCTTGCAGATCCCACCGACAACGGCCGCACTTGCGATTTCTGCCAATGGCGCACCCTCACTGCCATAGATATCTTTGGCAGGTGATAAGTCAACCCCCCTTCCATGCAGCTTGCATTGCTAGCGAACTCAGTACGCGGCTTTTGCCGGAAAGTATCTCCTGGTCACTGGAGGTCATGCATCAATAGTCCTCATCCAGGCTCCAGTCTGAGATGGTTGTCAATGGCAGGATAGAGCGGACGCATGCAGTTTCGGCCTCAAATCTCTTCAAGTACTGCCAGCCATTCCACGGCCTCATTCTGTTCAAGCACCATCATCCTCTGCAGTTTAACCTTCTACAGCTGTCCGATCTGCTCCTTGTTGCCCAGGAGTGGTTTGAGCGCGGCTCAGCCACGCAGCCGTCTGCAAGGTCGGTCCATCTGACACTCCTCAACATTTAATCACTTTCTGCGTGTATCCTAGAAATTTCTAGCGGCCATTGGGTTTTATCCACATTGAAATGCCTAGCAATTTGCAGTGCTGCCGACAATGAAGGCCCGCTCATTGGTCAGAGGCACTAAATAGTCTGTGGCTCCTCGCTTCACGTGTCATAGCTCCTTACAACCAATGTTTGCCTTGTGTTTGCCATTTCAGATGCGCAACTGTGCCAAGCTAGTGATGTGTCACACATATTACATGCTCACAGGCACCCGTTCCTTCTGTGGAACTGTGGACCTCGTGCCGGAGCCAGTCAGTTTCATGGGCATGCCCAGGTCGCCCTCAGTCAGGTGCGCTCAGATCAAGTCATTACTAAAACGTTACTAACCATGCATTCAAGGAGCAATATGTTTGCATCACCCCAATGTTCTTCCACTCATGCCCAGCTGCCATGGCCTGCATTGGTTCGATAGTCTCTCGAGCCCTGAATGCCTCAAGAGCGCGTCACCCAAACTGCTGGGTCAGTGTTCTGACTTCGGCTTTACAAGCACGAAGTTGATTTTGCCTGTGTCACTTTACATTGCCTTATTGGCGGTCATTTGCTTCATTCTTGTTATTCACCAGGTACCTCTTCACCACGTCGGAGGAGCCAGGTGCTTTGGCTGCCGTGTGAAAAACATGAGTAGCTGAGTGTCTGCTTCTGTGTCAATGCAGGTGCCCTTCCCAGGGTGTGAGGCGCTGACAGCTGCGGCGGAAAGGTACCCCGCAGCCCTGCCGGGGGCGGATTACTACGGCGACCTAATCCGCGCACATCGAGCAGCCGGCCTGCTGCATGAGCATGCCGTTGGAGACAAGCGGTGTGCAATTTTTCGTGCTTGGTTGAGAAAAAACTTGACCACAGAATTTACAGGGCATACTCTGGGCAGCCTTTGCTCTTGTGCATTCAAAGCACCCTTCACAATGCCACAATGGAAGTTTGGGGGGCTGTTAAAGCTTCTCTATGTGTTTCAAGCTCATCACTTCGCACTGATGTGTCATAATAGGTCACTCCACCTTGGGAAAGCCAACTGGGGAGATCCGTAGAAGCTTTACGAGGAGCGTGCAGCTGAAATCCACACCTGACTGTGACCTGACCAGCGTTCCTGCATGCAGGGCGTGGTGCTATGCCTCGCTGGTACCCACAAAGGACATGGAGCTGGTGGTGCAGGGCAGCGGCTTGAGCTGCCCCTGCTTCCAATATCTCTTACACGCCGCCCTGAGAGCGCTCATAGACAGGCTCGGGGTTGCCACATTCAATGTAGGCATCTTCAATATCCGCTACGGGGCTGATGTGAAAAGTTCCGCACCTCATCTGGCGGCCAGCGTGCAAGCAGTAGACGGCAGTGGTGCTCCTCAACCCCCTATTCTTGCGAGGTGAGCATCCCATGACTGAATGCGCAAGCCTCACCCTTGAGCAGGGCATCAGTTTTATTCAGCGAGAGAGAGTGACCTTTGGTGTCAGAGAGCACAAGCTGGAATTCAGAATAGCTGACTGCAGCAACGGTGATGGGCAATGAGCGCTTTCTTTGTGCCATGCGAGCAGGATTGTGTCCAGGGGAAAGACCAGCAGCCGGGCGTCGGACTATGGGGGTTTGGAGGTGTTTGGGAAGGCCTCTATAGGCAACACTGACCCCTACAGAGTATTTGCTGCGCTGCAGGCTCAGCTGCAGGCCACTTTGAACTGATGACTGCGAATGTGAATGTGAAAAAGCTAGATACAAGAAGCGGTATATACAGTGTAATTACAATGATTTGGAAGCTATGAATTCTTGAGTTAAAAAGGCCCGGGCCCAGGCTTGCACTTGAAGGGGCTGGTGGCACTTCTACAATTATCACCTCACTGAGGGCTATTCTCTCCTGACAGCTATTCTCTTCTAGAAATATTCCTCGTCATAAAGAGATCTATTCGATAGGCATCAATATCCTGTGCAACAACCTAAACTGGTGCGGGACGAACGAAAACGGCGTTGCCCTCTCGGAAGCTTCTCGTCCGAGTATGGCTTCAACCGGAACGGAGGCTTTGACAAAAACCGAATTTCAATCCACAATCATCTTGAAAATTCAAAGGAAATTCTTCTTCAAGGGTTGCTCGCATACGTGTTTTAAGTCATCCGAAATCTGTACAGCAGGCGGGCTTTCCAGAAGATCACTTCTGCAGAACCTTTGGTTGACCCCTGATTGCAATATTTCAGATTTCGGTAGCATCTTTCGAGATCAAATTATGGCAGCGGCGACACATGTCGAGAACATCGATCTGCAGGAAGTGCAAGACGTCTGGAGAAAGTTGCTCAAGGTAAGAGCTTCCATCCGTGAAACCGCACGCCTCTGACACCAAAGCAGCACGTTGCCAAAAGACGCAGATTTAGCTTACATATGCATCACAATCGAAAGACCTGAGTTCATCGTGCCAAAATCCACTGGACAGCTTGAGCATTGTGCTCCTTAGTGTTGGCCACACTAAAAAGTTTTGCAAATGTATGAATTGCACGTCTGAACATCAGCATTTGCTGGTTTTTAAAAAGTACTGTCTCACGCAGGCCGGCGCCACCCACAAGCAGCTGGAAGAAGCAGTTTACGCTGTGGCACTAGAGGAGTCTGAGCATCTGCCAAAGATCCCTGTGATCTACAGTGCCTCTAACACCCTTTACCTCACCAGCGACTTCGAGGCCTTTGCAAAAGAAGCCGCTGCCGACAGCGATCCTCAGCTTTCCCTCGCAAAGAAACACAGAGACAACCCGCAGCTGCGTCCAGAGCTGTATCCGCTGATCTTCGCGTATGGCAAGAGCATCTGCGACAGCCGGCCCCATGTGGCAAAGGTTCTAAGCATGCTGATGAGTCAGCGGCTGGAGGCGCTCATCGCGCAGCTGAAGCCGCAGCTGCAGATTCAGAGCACCTGGGGCGAAGCTTCCGCGCTGGTGGAAGCCATGCGTGCGCTGCTGCGCGGCGGCCGCTTTGGAAGTTGCTCTTGGTTTTTGGATGGCATAGGGCACATTGATCCGGCGGTGCACTACGAGGGGCTGAAGGCGGATGTGGCCGTTCTGTCAAAGGAAGACCTGCAGAAGGGCATCAAATTCCTGGACAGGCAGCTCGACCACGCACCGAGAGACTTGCGCGCGAGCGAGGAAGCCATCGAGCAGCTGCGCGCCAAGTTTGGCGCTGCAAAGGTGGACGCATGCGCGGCGTTCCTCGGGTCCGAGGACGGATGTCGGCTGCGCGAAGCGGTCGAGCAGGGCAGAAAGGGCCTGGACATGGGCAGCAAACGGCAGCGTTATGGCAAGCCTGAAAGCATCTGGGATTTTGTTGCAAGGAAGCTGAGCCCAACCAACTTTTGCAACCCGGAAGTGACCGGCCTGTGCCGGAGCGCTGTGGGATTTGCCGATGCCTTCCCGGAGCACTGGTTTCTGTGCCCGCTGCTGTGGAAGCTCGACCGGGGGGACAGGGCTAAGCTGGATGGCGATGCATGCATGTGCGCGCTGGCCGCTGTGAACGGCAGCATCGATCTGGGCCAGGCACAGGGCAAAGCAGAGGTGCGTCCTGGGCTCTCCTATGACACCATCCATCTTGACTGAAACTATCCTTCTTATGGCATGCTGACTGCATCAAGAAAGATGACAGCCTTCACTTGCAGCTTGCAGATGCACCTTGCTCTGGCAGGAACATCGTTGAATATTGATTAAAACAGAAGACTGTTTGGAGCTGATTTTAGTGTGTTTGAAGGTGTCACCGCAGGCCGTCCACGAGCGTGCCGGGCTGCTCTTTGCAGCTGAGACCTACTGCACTCTGGCGCTGGAGTGGGTGCCTGCGCTGGTGCAGTGGAGGGTGGAGTTTGACGAAGAGATAGAGGGGATCGAGAGGGTGCTGTGGGGGCGCAACAATGGAGCTGCTGTGCCTGAGCGAGACGCAGACTTGGCGGAAGAGGATCTTTAAACAGGGAATTCCATGTGCAAGAGTGGCTTGGAGCCGTCCTGCATAGCGATTGCAAACATGCGCTGCATGCAGATTGCGTCAAGACGGTGCTTGCTGGGGTTCTTCGGCAAATGTGTAATGGTCTGACATTCTTGATCTGTTGAACTTGCTTCATATCATGAACAGACAGCATGCAGCTACAGCCCCGGGCTGTAGGGCCTCACCTTCCACAGAATCTTCTGCCGCACAGGAGCCATGCATGCATGGTTCCCATATGGTTCCCAATTTCATTAAAATGAAATCGTCATCATATTCCACATCTGACCTCTGATAATCACCACCAGCAAGATCTCTAGAGAGCAGGAATGTGATTGCAGGTCATGGCATCCCGAATTCTGACATAGCCATCAAAGAAGGCTCAAGAAGCTGCACCACGTGGGCCTGCCCCGTCACGTACCCTTTAGATCACTTTTCAGCTGGTACAAAACTTCCGGAACAGCTCGTACAAAGCAACACGCGCTAGGATGAGGGGCCTCGTAAACGTCTCCTCACTCGGCACTGTCCATCTGCCAAAGCTCATCAACAGCACTAAGTGAAGCAGCTGACGGCACCTGGCCTTTTCCTGCTGAACCTGAAATAACCAGCCCAGGATGGTGTGCCCGATTTGTATCACCACTGCCATAGTCTCCCAGCTTCCGGTGCTGTCAGCTGCAGTGGTGTCAGCCACTGGCATCAAGATGGCGATCGATCAGCGCCGGCCTTCTGGCGCTACCATCAAGGATGGGAAACAAGCACAGAAAGTCTCAATTATGAAGGTGAGTGTGACCTCGTACCTGGGACTCCGCGATTCTTTCGTCCTTCATAAGCTTCTCATGCATATGGATCGTTCTGAAAACTGGAGCAAAGCTCTTCATGGATGCCTAGAAAGACTCCACTAGGATGCTGTTGAAGGTGGCCAAGAAGTTTTGTGCAACGCAGGCCAATCCCAGTCAGAAGCTGTGGGTCGAGAGGCGGGATTGATTCTCTCGTGTATCAAAGCCAGGGTCAGCTGACCGATGATGTGATCAGAACAGCTGTCCATTTGAGAAGAGCGAGGAACTGCTAAGGAACCCAACCAGATCTTCAGAGAACAAGGTCCACCTTGCTCTTATATTGCTGACAAAAGGCACCTGTAGGGCTGGCCAATCCTTTGTATATGCTCACAAGAAGAGCTGCGCAGCTGCATTGATCTTGAAGTACAGAAGTGCTAGCTAGATAAGTCGTGCCATTGCCGCTTATCTGATTGCATAAACGCATGCTTTGATACGATTATTTGCTCAAGTCTCCATGGTTGAGGACGCGTGTAGCAGCAGAACAGATACCCAAATATGTGCGCTTGAACATTGCTGCAGATCCGATGTTACAGAGTCGGGACAATGATCATTCTTACACTTCAATGACCTCCAGAGTTGCGAGATGCACATCAGAGCAATGAGCTTGCAAAGCCATGCACATGGCTTGGATGTCATCAACACATCTTGGACCGTTTCAAGCACAATCTCAGGCAGGACAATGCCAAGCCCATCTAAATGCACCCACCTCCCTACACAGTCGGGACATCCTGCAGGTCTCCTCATTGCTTGTGCTGGATGCTGCAAAGGCCAGCTCCTGCAACTGCAGGGCCACACGTAATTTAAATCGGCCAGGGAAGTGGACCTGCACAAGCAGTCAATGTAGCAGACGCTCCTGGAAATTTACCTCCTGGTCGGCTAATACTTCAAAAGTAGCTGGTAGCTCATGAGCTGTACAGCGCTTAATCGTCTAGATAGCGAAATTGAAGATATGCAGTGGGTGCACACGTGTGGAGCGGCTTCTCCCTGGCTGTAGACGCTCAAAGTCTCGACCTATCTGCGATGAAAGCCATATGCATACAGTACATTCTTACAGCGAGCGGATCGACAGCCTTTGGCCATGGCCAAAGCTTCATATGGTAATGCTTCAACCTGCGACGTTACAGAGTGCAGACCATATGCCAGACATGATGGACAACCTCATTTGACATGCTTGTCTAGACCTGTTCGTCCTAGACGGTAGAGGTAGCAAAACTGACAGAATGCGACTATATAGCGACCCGTATGTACAAGAGAAAGCTGCCAGCCTGCAGTCCTATATAGGAACCATGCATGTAAAGACCTGTGATCCTCAGCAATCCTGAATCACGGATGGCACGCTGAACATATGCCGCTCACCTCCATATGCAAGACCTCATTTCACTGCCCGGAACATTTCAGGCTTGCAAAAAAACACGGGTCAAGGCAGAACCTGCTGCGCTGCCAAGCCTGATCTTTGAGCGCGCACTTGTCTTCGTTCATGCGTTTCTCACAGGGGCTCCACACTGCTTGCTTCAAATTTTGCAAACCATGAGATCGATCTGTGCTCTTAGAAATCGTCGTATATCTGGTTCAGGCCAGGCGGGTGGACCTGCGAAGGCCTTGGCGGATGTTCCTCTCTGTGGGGGACATCTTCTTGGACGAGTTGCTGCTCGCCTCTTGCCCTGCACTGGCCGCTGCCTGCTCCCAAAGTACACACACAAACTGATCACCCTCAGAAGGTCTACATCCCAGACCAACTTGTTAATAGCTCCCAGTCGTGGCTTCAGGCAGGCAGCAGGCTTAAGTGTCTGTCAGGAGCTTGCACAGAGGGCTGCTGATGTGTCCATCGCGCCAACTGCAGGTTTTTTTCTCTGCCAACTTGGCAGTGCTAAGCGCCATAGATGCACAGTACGGATGTATGCATCAGGACGGATACGCGTACTTGCACGTCCGGGACGCGTCCCACAAAAGTTGGGCACCCAAGACGTCTAGAATACGGCACATGCACCTATGTAGGCAATATGCATTCAAGCATGTTTTGGGCGATATGCATTCATTGGAAGCCTTGGGAGTGTCCACAAACCCCTTTCTTATACAGTTTGGACCTTTCCAAGCATTTCCAATGCAAATCGGTGCTATCCTTGCCGATGTAGGCCACCAGACAGGTGATTAGTCATCCTTTTGGGAAGGTAGGACTAATCTAGCCGTCCTAGGCCGTCTGGAACGCCAATACGTCCCCATGACGTCCACGACTGTGCAACTATGCCAAGCGCTTCAGCTGAGATTCACAGGCACGAACTGACTCGCACAATGGAGGAGCGTTGGGCGCACCTTGTTTGCGGAAGCTTCCGCGGAAGCTGCCGGCGCCGGTGTCTGCTGCCCGGTCTTGGCGGCCGAGCGCGTTACGCGCGCCAATTTTGGGCGGCCGGGCGCCTCCTTGAAAGACGGTGTTCCCTCCTGCTCGCTCTCGGCTCCCTCCTCGGCCGCGTCTGCGCCGCCGGGGCCGGCCGGCTCGGCGCCGTCGGCCAGCGGCTGAGACTTGCGCAGCGCAGAGCGGGTTACGCGCATGCTCGACTTGGGGCCTGCCAGCGTCGCGGCGGGCGTTGTCTCTGAGTCCGCATTGGGTCCGTCTGCAGCGTAGCAGAGTGTGAGCATAATCATAATCAGCTCGCCATTGCAGCTAATGTTGCCAAGTGACCGAACGGTGAATTTTGGACTACTACAGATCAGATCCACAATCTCAGAGAAGCGTGACGCTGGACAAGCTTACATTGCAAGAAAATCAGAAAAAATGACAGCTTGGAGCAGTCATGACTCAGGGGTTTGGATCGAGGGAGCTTTGCATGGAGATTGTGGGCTCACCAGTGGAGGCGCCCACGGCGGTAGCAGCAATCTCGCTGCTCTGGTATGGCTGGGGGGTGTTGCTGCGGCTGTGGCAGGCGGCCTCCAGGGAGGGCGTCAGGGACACCGCACCCATGGCACAGGCCAGGTCCTCCAGCTGGCTGGCATCCAGGATCACAGGGCTGCCCTCGCCTTCTGCCACCTGCGCATGCCCAACAACCTCATTGAAATACTTTATGACAACGTTAAATGATGCCAGAGGCAATGTGCCGCAAGAGTCTAGCTCTGAGTGCTGCAACGATAACGAGATAATACCCATGAGGACACTGGCCCTGCAGGAGCGAGGCTGCAGTTCACAGACTTGCTTAGGCCCATGAAGCATGGGAACAGCTGCATTGTAATTCTGGAAGGCTCTAGGTCTGTTTGTCAGCTGGCAGAGCACTCATGATGACGCAAGACACCATGCACAAGTTAACACATACAGGCTGGGTGTGCATGGAACCGTAAACGCCAGAAGTTTTCACACCATATTTATTGCAGCATGTGTACAAATGAAGGCACACCTCGTCCATGGAGGCCAGCAGGTCGGCGTCCATCGCGTCCCCGAGCACGGGCCGGCCGTCGGCCGCGGCGGCGAGGCGGCCGGCCAGCGCGGCGTTGGGCGTGTACGCAAAGCCCGCGGCCGCCAGCATCCCGCCGGTCGACTGCGGCGCGGCCGCCGCCGGCTTGCGCGCCGAGCGACGCTTGGGCGTCACCAGCTGCGTGGCAGGCAGAGCAGTTCAAGAAAAAAGGGGAATGCGGACGTCAAGGCAGAGCGAGCGACAGAGATATGAAGAAGCAATGTACACATGTTTCGGGGCCGGCACAGCACTAGCAGAAATTTAGCCGTTATGCCATCTGTGGGACTCATGTCGGATGTTGCTGAGCAGATACCAGGCTTCTCATTTTTATGCTTCCTTGTGGAGCTGTCAGGGCCTCTCTGGCTTTTGTATTGCTTTCAAGGGACAGGTGTTGTTCCAGGGTTGCTCACTGGTACTTGTCAGGCTCCTGAACATCTGCCCTTTTTGGGGAGAAATCCACTCCAGGGCTGGACGGTGAAGAAAGGGATGTCAAGAGGAACTATGCTTCTATGAACATGTGATAGGTCCACAGTGTGCACATCACACCTGAGCATGGCCGAGGCTGGTGTGCATTCTGGGGCGGGCGCGCATGGGGCTGAGTGCGTTGCGGCTGCCCATGGCGGCTGCCTGGGCCGGGCTGGGCGCGTGCGGATCCTGCAGCAGGCTGCGCATCTCGCTCATGCCCACGCGCGGACGCACCCTGCGCAGAGGAGGTTAAGTTATAGATTAATTTATACTTCAACTGTTTTATATGGTACACAATCTTGCTTATATGCTCTAAAATCTTGGCATCGGCTGGCCGGGAGCGGTATCTAATACTGACTGTGATGCTCACGGTTGATCGAGTCATGCTTGAACGTGGCGAGTCTAACAAGGGGCAGGATTGTGGCCGCCTTTAACTCCAGCTTGTCTGCAGGACGTTCCTTACCTTTTGGCAGCAAAAGCCTGTGACAATAATAATAATGATTCAACTCATTGCCTGATTGCTTCAAGCAGTGATGAGCCACGCAAGTCGGGCATGCATGCAACATCCCAAGCGGGCCATGAGTCATAGCCAGTGCAGCAGTCGTGCTACTTTGAAGGGCACTTCAGCAGGCACGCATGGCCAGTCTCGTTTCTTGCCAGCTGCCCAAACTAATGCAGCATGTAGACGTCAAATGCATCCATTCGGAGAAACGGTGCGCGGTACCTAGCAGGGGTGGCGATGCGAAGGGGGTTGCGGATGGGTGTCGGGGCGTCGTCGGCTTCTGGGCGGCTGCGGCGCACGGCCGACGCGGGCGTGCGCGGGAATGCCCTCCGCGCCGCGGCAAACTCCTGCTGACTCAGCACCGCATGCTGAGTCACCGGCGAGCCAGGATCCTCGCTGGACACCTCAGTCATATTTGCTGCATCTGCCGCGGACTCTCCCGCATCCTCGTTCGGCTCCGGCCCGGACTCGACTGCTGCATCGCCTGTGTGCCCCTGAGCGCTTGACTGGCGCTGCACAGTCGTCATGTGAGCGTTTGTGGGCTGACCAGTGGCCGGCTGCAGGAGGGCCTCATCAATGCTGGTATCCTGCGCGTCCGGCTGGTCCTTTTCGACACGGATGGCGGGCTGCTCAGGCTCTGAGTCCTGATTTATTGCCTCTTCTGGCGCCTCCTCGATGACCGGCGCTGCAGAGAAGAGGTTCTTTGCAGCCAGCGCGCTCAGCAGAGGAGCCGTGGAGATGGAGGCTGTGACGGGGGTCGCGTAGAAGATGGGGTCGGCCGGCGCTGCAGGGGTGTACGCCGCGGTGTTGGGCGCATCCGAATTGGCTGTGCTGGGGGTGTTGATAGATGCATAGAGGGGATTGATGCACACAGACGGCGTCGCTGCCCCTGCGCAGCAGCCATCTGAGATTCAACGAACGGTTTTCAGCAATAAATGGTTCACATTAAGCAAGTCCACTTTGGCAGCCGATGTCGGCACCGATGACTTGCAGTTGCCCAGCTTCTGTGCAGCAGAAATGCAGAAGCATGCCGATATGCATGCTGTGTGCATAGGCATAGTAGCTGCATGATGCTTCATGATTCATTGATACATCTCACAAGGTGAAATGCGGGAGGCCAATTCAGTAGGTAAAGAGCCTCAGTACGGGATAATGTACATCAAGAAGCCTACCCTGAGGTGGGACTGCAGGGCGGGCGCGCAGGGCAGGAGTGGCTTGCAGGTTGAGGTCGGGGGTGGCAGCAGGGATCAGGCTGTCAAAGCTGAACTTGTCTTCGCATGCGCGGCCCTCGTCCACTTCTCCTGCCTCGCTCAGGGGAGAGGCGCTCACAACATGAGGCGTGGCAGCATCTGCAGCAGCACGACACTGAGATGAGCGCAAAATGCATGCATGCCAACTAATTTGCTCTCGTGAGCGCAAAATGCATTCACGGAGAAGAAATAACCGTCACAAGTTATTCCATCCGGGTCATGTCGTTGGGACTGGCAATAATTTCAGAGACAGTAAATGGTGATTGCAGAGGCGGCAGTCATGTAAGGCTGGTGTGCTGAGCACAATGGGCTGATGGGATCCTACCTGCAAGGTTGCTGTAGAAGTTGGCATTTTTGAAAGGGACCTTGACTGCTCCACTGGTGGGGCTCACCTCGCTCTCCAGCAGATACCTGTAAATTTGAAACATTCATTGAGTACTACTATGATGCCATACAAGTGAATCCCTTGTGAAATTGAGGGGTACTATATCAGGCAGTAAATGCGATAACCTGACTGCCCAGGTCTGCAATGTACCTGTGCATGCCACTTATGCAGTCGCTCTCGCTCATGTGGCTCTCTGCAGGGCCATCTTCACCTGCCTGATTGTCCAATCCCGCTTCATAGTACTCCTGCACCACAGCCAACTCAAATGTCACGGCAACGTATAACTCACACCTGCAGTGTGCCATTGCATGCATCGCAATTGCTCTAGTTTGATGCATGTAGGCTTAGAAGGCTTGTAAGGTCATCAACAGCATTCATTGGAGGCAGAGGACCTGCAGCCTGCTGCGCAGGCGGCAGTGGAAGCTTTGAGGGATGCGTCACAGCCTTATAAATAGCAAGTGGATGGTGCATGTGCTTGCCTTGTTGTTTGAAGGCTTGAAGGCGTTCATGTTCCTGATGGTCTCCATGAGGACGGGCTCCAGCAGGCGCCTGGACACAGTGGTGGGGCTGCCGGACTCGCTGATGTCAGCATCGTCGCTGTCATCGCTGAAGTCAGCCATGCGCTGCCGGCTGCCGCTGGAGTGGAAGGGCGTGGAACCTGCGCATGCAACCACACATGTGGGTGATGCATGCATTTCAAGACAAATGCCTCCAGCTAAATATTCAAAGCACACTTGTGGGTCTTGCATGCATGTCAAACCCACTCCCTCCAGCTAAACATGCAGAGACACTTGTGGGTGAAGTACGCTGGTCCAGACAACGCTCTTCAAATATGAACTGCCTCGCAATTCAGCTGCAACTCATGGCTTGCTGCCAATGAAGGTGACAGCCTGGTATGGTGCACACTGTACATATGAGCTCCTGGAATACGTTTGCCGTGACATGGGTTTCTGGTGGAGCACTGGCGGACTGTTACTCTTCCAAGTTGAGATACTGTAGAACTTTCCAATTATTGTGCAGGGTGCAGAGCAGCATGAATACCTGCGTTGCTGCTTCGGCTGTGCATGGGGCTCTTTGGTTGGATCCTGTTGGTGTCCGGCGCCGGCGTGCAGAAACGCACATGGGGCGTCCGCTCCTTCTTCTTGTCTGTCTCTGGGTCCTGAGGCTGGTGCGGCTTTGGCTCTGCTGCAGCGTCATCGACCTGCTGCTCCTGCAAGACATGTTATTCAAAATTTTATCCTCAGCGTCTCACCCTAGAGAAGGGCCAATACACGGCTGCATGTTTGCAGGAGGTCTATCTGCAGCACATTTAGGTGCAGTGTGTACCATGCAGGAGGACGCATGCAGTTGTTTAATGCTAGAGCTCAAGCACATGGGGATGCATGCCTGGCCATGGTCTGCTTTGGCGATGTCCTCCTCAGGCTGCCCAGCAAAGCGCAGCGTCTTCTTCTTGTCCTTGTCAGCGGCACTCAGGCGCAGCGAGGACCAGAGCTTGACAGGCGTGGGGCGTGCGGCGGCTGTTCCCTTCGACTCGGCCACGCGCGCCTGCAGCCGGCCGATGGCCTTAGTCAGCGGCGAGAAGGGCCGCGCGTTGCGGCGTATCGCATTCTCCAGGACCCCAAGCGCACCCTGCATACACTCTTGACCCTTCTGCGAACCCTCTTGCAACTCCCTGTATCCGTAGGCGGTTTCTTAACCTCTAAGTGGGCTCCCTACATGCAGCCAAGGCACAGCATCAGTAGCAAATTTTCTCCTTGAACATGTGAGTTTCTAGAGCAGCTAGTGATGCACATCACATGCTGGGTGGTGTGCTCAAAGGAGCAAGGTGTCACAATCCAGCTGAGTTTAGACCAACATTGGGCTTTGCATCTGCGCATTAAGTGCATGGGTTGAGCACGCTTACAAGCATGGCCCCATGAAAATGCAAGAACTGGCTGCATGAAATGCTGGTATGCCATCTTTACAGGATGGATTCACCATGCTTGCAAAAGACTGGCAGCAGAATAGCCCCTACCAGGACGTCTCCCTCGTCCTCCCTGGCCTTGGCTCGTGTGAGCCAGAACTCAGCTGTCAGGGCATTTGGGAAGCTGGACAGCGCAGGTGTTCTGGCATGCATGCCAGATGCACTGTTGAGGCCATGCACAGGAGTGTTTGCTGGTGTCGGCCCTGTGTGACAGCGCATGAATATGAGCTCACACCACTACCACGTGTCCATCTGGGCTTGGAGCTGTAACATGTTGGGCACAGTGATGTAGGCCTGAATTGGCCTGGCAATCAAGAACGGTATGACACTTGTGCAAGGAAGTTACTGACCACAGGGGAGCCTCTGTGCAGACGTAGCCAGTGCTGGGGGCCTGACACTTGGCTTCTTGGCCTGTGGTGTGCGCTGCAAACAAATGCAGGAAGTCAACAAGGAAAGAGATCTTGCAAACATAAATTATATGATGGTGGTCTACAAGCCAGCCTCTTGCACGTGTATCATTGCCTGGCCAGAGATTCAGCATACCTGTGGTGGTCCCATCTTCCATGGCGTCCTTGCAGGTGTGTGTCTTGGCAGATTTGGAGACAAAACCTTGAGGCCCTCATTCCAGTCTGGCAGGTCCAGGCTCTGGTTGTAGAACGGCGTGCTGGGAGGTGCAGCATCTTTGTTTTCCATGCCTGCACCCGAAAGCCTGCTTATCTCAGTCGGCTTCCGGCGGTTTCATTTAGCCTGTGTTAGTCAAATTCGAACGTATTTAGTCGTCATTGAACAGTCTGAGGCTACTTTCAAGCATGCAGGAATATTATAACATGAAGTTACTGCAGCAGTAAAGCGGCTGATCACTGCACAACCCTTGCGAAGCATAGCCTCAGATGCACTTGGAAAACCATCTATTTCAAAGAGGCAATAGCAGCACTTTGAGGTCCGACGCTGTCCCCGAGTATGACGCGGGATTGTTGCAGGATTCAACGGTCCTCACATGGACTCCAAGGAAGTATTGGTGGCACACTATGGTCAGGCAAGTGCTTCAATTGGAGTCAGGTCATGCCCTCACCCTCTCAGAACACCTTTCCTTTCAGGTGTCTGGCAAGCCCTAGCTTCTTCTGATACCAGACACTCCTCTTGCTTTGGGAGTTCTAGACACAGCTGGTAGGCTCCTTCTCTTCTCTTGTGAAGTGATGACACGCAACCGTACCTGTCTACCAGAGCTTTCTGCAGATGTTCACGAACCCCTACAGCTGCCTTGAGATTGCGCAAAAGTGACCAGCTGCAGCTTTGAGAAGTTGAAAGTTCCGTGTTGCCCCATTTGGCATTAGGGCTTGCACACCTGGCAAGGGTCGATGGAGGGTTTTGAGTGCAGAAACCTAGCCACAGCAAACAAAGCTGTTTGGCCGCGTTGAGGCAAAATCGCATGAGAAGCGCACGTCCAGGCCAGGCTTTTCCAACGATATTACATTGAGAAGTGAGTCCTCCAAACATTGCCATTATCTCGAAGGTATTGACGCTCGCGCAGTTCTGTATCTTCCTAGGCTGCTTCATGATCCTGATCTAAAAAGTTTGCTGTTTGAATTTCTTCTGCGCTTCGCTATGCACTCAACTACGATTTTTATTCATGCTGCAATCGTAATGAGCGTCAATTACATAGTTCTTCCTTGCAAGTTGTCGAATGATGCTGATCTGAGGCCACAAGGCATCTTGCGCTTTCGACCACCCTGACTGGGAAAGGATAGCACTGATAGGCAGTACTTTCGTGTTGTTTGCTCAGCAGAATATCTCATCATCGCTTATAGCTGATCTTTGAATCATGACGGAGCAAGCACACACAGAAGAGCCCATGGGTGAGGAGGAGGTGAGGTGTCCTGTCCGACTGCCTTGCATGAGCACCTTCACAGTTGTTTTGTTTATTTGTAGATTTTTGAGTCCGGCAGGATTCTTCCACGGGTCTCCCTCAATCTGAAATGCAAAGCTGTACCCATTTCAGTGATTGCACTCACTTAGGTAACAACTGAGGTTTGGGCGATGGAATTCATGCCCGTACTGAGAGCAATTTTGTGACGTTGAGTAGGCAGTCGATTATACAGAGCCCGAGGCTGAAGCCCCGGAAGCAGCAGCAGAAGCAGCAGTTGCTGCAGAGCAGGTTGAGGAGGTATGGTCTCTGCCCAGGCAGCATAAAGATCAAGAAGATGCCATATAAAGGACTCTGACGTATTACATCACACTTGCGCCTGCTCAATGCACGTGGGGATTGCAGGCTGATGCAGCCAACGGAGCTTCTGAGGCAGCCAACGCCAATGGAGCACCAGCGACAAACGGCGAGAAGAGGCAAGCACCTCCTCATTACTATTCGGCGTTGATGCACAACCATGCACATGGATATCACATGTGTCATGCAACTTCAATGCATGTTTGCCACATTTACTCCGGACACTCCGCGCTCTTTCATCAATTCACCATGCATTCAAATGACATGGTTGCTGTGACACTTTTGAATGCTGTGCTGCAGCGCGGATGACCCAATGTCAGAGCCACCGCATGGGACAGAGGTGTTTGTGGGCGGCATTCCTCGCAGTGCCACCGAGGACCAGCTCAAGGTCTTTGCAGAGGCGATGGGCGAGGTGCATGCAGTCGTTCTCCTCAAAGACCCCCAGAACAATGAGCAGAACCGAGGGTGCGTGCGCCAACCATCTCACCGACTAAAGGTCCCAGAATTTGCAGATTCGCCTCTCCACAGATGGCTGGCAACCTAATTAAGAGGAGGGAGAATGCAAGATATGAAGGCATTGCGAGCACCTTTCGAGAAAGGGCTGCCTCGCGGTATAAACAGAGTGCATCGGACAGAACAAGCATCTCCTGATTGTGAATTCACGCAGAGGGGTAGGGCTGGAAGGAGGGAGAATGCATGGGGCTGTCGCTAAATGTGATGCAGGCCGTATATTAGCAAGCAGAGATGTGATGTGTTGGGGTGTGCACAGGTTCGGCTTTGTCAAGTTCAAGACACGTGCGGCTGCGACTGATGCGCTGGAGAAGCTGGCTGGCAAGCAGCTGGCAGACTTCCCGGGCCAGAACGTGAGTCATCCAAGCTGCGCATACATGTCATGGCTGGACAGCGTTGTGTGCTTCAGATAATATCAAACTTTGAAAATGATCATGATGATATTTGGATCCGAAGCGGCAGATTGGACGGCCGTCATAGTGGACGGGCATAGCTGTAGCTGCTGTACAGATGGCCATACCGCTGCGAGCTTCTGTTTGTGGGCTCAAGAGCTCGACCTTGCAGAAATGCTCTGTCCCCTCATCCTTGTGGCCTGCACGGGTAATTCTGGTAGCTGGGATGTAGGTAGGCTCGGGGCATGAGCTTTAGAGTTCCATGCTTAGCAGCACCTCACATTGTTTCAGAGGATCTTCCAGAGCAGTGCTGATGCAGCAGTGTGGTTCTTGCAGCTGCGAGTGGCGCCTTCCCAGTCAAAGCACAAGCTGTACGTGGGAAATATTCCCAGGGACCTCAGCAAGGACACCCTGAAGGCTGAGCTGGATGCTGTGGTCAAAGGTACGCCGCACGCCTCTCTGTGCCGAGGGACACCTTGTCCTTGGAATGCACAACAGACTTGGAAGTGATCTGGTGTCCGCATGAACCATTTTCGTATCAAATGGCGAGACCAAAGCAGTACATGATAATGACTTGATATTCCAGTTATCTGTTCTGCGGCCTACGGCGGAGTTGCTCGTGCCTTTGGGGGTGCGATAATATGCTTCGACAGATGAAGCTTCTATTCTTCAGGGGTGGAGGTCATCGAGCTGCTGATGAGCAAGGAATACCCGGGAAACAACCGCGGCTTTGCCTTCATCGAATTTTACAACCACGCATGTGCACAGCTGGCCAAGAATGCGCTGTCAGCGCCCACGTACACGTGCGCCTCCTTCTTTCCACCCATCCATCACATCACATTGGAGAAATGAGGGTTGGAGGAAAAAGGGTTGATTTCAAGGGATCAGTGGTCAAACAATGTGGCATGCACCTGCCATGCCTGCAGTTGTAGCAGGCATCTCCAGCCCGCCAATTGCATGCATGCACAGCACTTTTGCCACCCGCCAGCTTGTTGCTTGGCAGAGTGAGAAAGGAATCGCCTGCAATCTTGTGTGTGTCATCTGGGGAGCAAAACAGCATGACTGATGTGCTGACATGGCGTCATGCAGGATGCATGGGCGCTCACTGAATGTGGCATATGCAGAGCCCAAGGGGGCCGACCAGGTTCCTACCCAGCAGGTCAAGGTAAATCCCCCTCATGTACTTCAAACATGTGTGTTTGATCGCTCTATGCATGTTATGCAAAGCTTTTCAGCAGCGGGTTTCAGCTATGCACTCAAGCATTGTCGTGCCTGGCGCAGTCGGTCTACGTTGGCAACCTGCCAGCGTCTGCAAATGAGGCGAAGCTGAAGGAGCTGTTTGAACAGTTTGGCGAGGTGTGCGCCCACGCTGCAGGCCCCCTTTGGATCCCCTGTTCACCAAGCATTCTGTCTGTCAAAGCGGACTTATCTGATCAAAACTGCACTGCACATTAGCCTTGAACCCTTGATTAGGCATCTTCCCCTACAACATCTTGAATTTTTTTGTGTATTTTCTTTGCAGGTCACAAAGGTGGTCATTCCACCTTCGCGGCCGGACAAGCCGAACCGCGAGTTTGGCTTTGTGCACTTCTCCGAGCGCAGCGTCGTAGAGAAGCTGGTGCAGGACGCCGAAAAGGGCACCAAGCCTTCACTTGACAGTAACACCCTGGAGGTACACCGTCGTACCAGCACCCGTCCCCTTCACAGCAGGAGACTGTCAGAGAGTGATCCGGGGTGCTGTATTTGCGCGAAAGGTTCATATTCAATTTGTGTTCAGCATGTGGACATATGGACATGCCCATATGCTGCAACACACACTCCTTTTCAGTGAATGTGCCGGCGATCTACTCTTGGTTGCTCTGCTCTTTGGGATGCCAATAGCAGGACACCCATGCGAGCGGCCCAAGCCTCGAGCAATAAGATTATTACATTGTGTGCAGGTGAAGATGGCCAAGCCGCAGCTGCAGCCAGAGCTGCAGAACCAGCAGGCCTTCATGGGCGGCCGCGGCAACTTTGGCGGCCGCAATTCCAACTTTGGCGGCCCATCAGGCGGACGCTCAGGAGGCGAGTCTTAACCATTACCCTTGGCCCGCCACACTAGCAATGCACCCTAGAAATGCTGTTACTTGTGTTATCATTATGGAGGCAGGACTCTCTACGCTGAGCCCCTCACACCAGCATATTGCTGTGGCTGCTTGTTGGTCATATAAGATCTCTTCATACAACGCAGATCCTGAACGCTGAGGATGCTGGTTTCATGTGCCCTGCTAAAATATGGGGTGGACGGATGCAGGTCGGGGTGGATTCCAGCCGAGGGGGGGCCGCGGCAGGGGTGGATTCGGCGGGCGGGCCGGCAACACCAACTACGGGTACGGGTATGACGAGGGCTACGGCGGCGGGGATTATTGTTACGGTGCTGAGAGCTACGGCGGGGACGCATACGGCGGCTACGGGGGCGGTGGATATGACGACGGCTATGGTGGCGGCGGCGGCTATGGCGCGATGGCCGCCAGCGGCGGCATGCCTGCCATGGTCCCCATGATGCTCCCCAACGGCCAGGCCAGTATTTCTAAGTCCTTCCCAGGAAGAGCCTAAAGATAGTACCTGAGGCTTAAAGCCTGCTTACAGCGACGGCAGAGGTACAAGCGTTGTGTTTTTGATTGTGTCAGCTTGTGTACAATCTCAAATTTGGGACTGTCTTCCCTCTGAAAATATTGGGTCCTCACCTTGCATTGAGCGGTCTGTCTTCACTGAGCAAGCTGCAGTGCCTGGCTTTGCGCCATCGTACAACGGTCGTATTCCTGAAACCTTACATTTCGCATGTGCAGATCGGATACGTCATCCAGGGCGGAGGGGCTGCGCCGGCCGCCGCGGGCGCCGGGGGCGGATTTGGGGGGAGTCCCCCCGGCGGTCCGGTGCGCACCGGCGGCCGGGGGGGCTACAGTGGCCTCGGGAGGGCAGGGCCGGCACGCGGCCGGGGCGGGCCGCGGGGCGGCGGCGGCGGCCGAAGATATCAGCCGTACTGAACGGGACAGATGACAGATCCAGCTCAAGGGCAGCATTTAAGCATACCCGGCCCATGAGGTTGCAGCAAGTGTGCAAAGCCCGCAGGAGTAGGGGTGATATGTCGGGATTCTGCGGGGGTCTGGGGAGGAGCACGTTTTCGTGACCCCTAGCCGAAGCACTAGCAGCCATCTCTCTGGATGAGTGCCTTCTTTGTCAGCTTTTGACTCATGCTATTCCCCAAGGATCAGCTTCAACAGGAGAGCCAAGACTGCTCGATTAGCGCCATGCCACAGAGCAGGGCAGGGGCAGAAGGGATCTTGTGTGATGCATGGCAGAACACCGTAGCGAGACTTCGTTGATGAGTGCCTGCGTGCCTTACCTGCCTTTGATCGCGTGTGTTCATCCTTATTTCATTCTTGTCTGCAAGTTTGCGCAGAAATAGGGATGGCTGTCAGCAATGCCTTTGTCAGCTGACTGAGCATACTGATTACTGGAAAAAGTCCCTGATGATCATGATACTAAGTGATTGGAAGCGGTGTGATGGCGCTTTGCACTGGGAAGTTCTTTCACCTATCTTGCATGCAGTGCGCGCACGTCCATGATGACCCATGCGGCATACTTGTAATGATGCCCCTGCTGCCTCAATTGCTGTGAGTGTCGGGCGATGCGGCATAGCTCCCACCGTGCCCACAGTGACTGGGAGCAGTGCGGAATCCTAGCTAGCTGTAGTGCTGTAGTACTATAGTGCCTGCCACAGTGTGAAGTGAAGGGCTCTGATCTTGCTTGTGCTCCATGTATGGCATCTTATTGAGACATGAGGACTGTTCTTCTGGTGGATACATCGATGAGATCCTTTACTGTCTCAAAAGAGGTCATCTGGCCCTCCTGAGGCCTTCCATTATCAGAGGGTATGCAAAACCTATCAAGGCAAATCCCTCGCTCCAAGGGGTAAGTTGCAAAAGCAACGACACGCGCGACGTGGTCGCCTGAATGGTCGCGAATCTCCATGCAATCCCAGGGTCAAGGGAGGCGACAAAATGGGCCACCACGCTCGGGGGCTATCTGTACTGTGATCTGGATCTCTGCGCGAGGCATTTGGAGGTGGCAGGCGCAGCAGAGTGAGGATTGCTTGCAGAGATCTCGAGGTTGCCAGTGGATGTCCGAGCGGGAGGGCGGACGCGTCGGGTGATACAACCCCGAGATCAGCCAGTGGCGACTTTGGAAGTCGTTGGAGATAGGACAGTTCGACCGGCTTGGCAATTGACATCAGCATGCCCGCTCAGACCGGGCAGGCTGAGAAACAGCAGAAGGATGTGCAGCTGCATCCAGAGCTGCAGCGGCCGGGGCAGAAAGTGCGGTCCCATCGGCATCGCAAACTGTCCACTTTGAGTCAGCAGTGCTTTTTTCTGCATGGCTTTGCCGCATGCACGGCAATAAGTGCTCCGATTTTTTCGGACGGAAAATTAATAGCCTTAACAGTGCTGAACCGTTGTCCTTTTGAAAAGGGTTGAAGGCCTGAGCTGCAGCTTCTGCAAATTTGTAGGTGCCAGGCCCTGCACCGCAGCTCACAAAGGTTTTGGCTGGACTGCGGCACACATTCGTGGTAGCGGATGCCACGCTGCCGGACTGTCCCTTGGTGTTCGCCAGCGAAGGGTGAGCACCCGGGTTTTGGAGCAGAACTGCAGACGTCATCCCCTCCCCAAGCAAACTTGCACAGCAGTGGAGATTTATCAGCTATATGATGTCAGATGTATCCTACTAATGTTTAGCATTGCTATGACGTTGAAATTTGCAATCTGAGGACTGGTCGAGAGGACATGTTGCTAGCTTTCAGGTGTCCTTTGCTGGTGCAGAGTGCAATAAGTTCCTGCTCGGACATCACCAATTATTCTAAGATTGATTTTTATCTCTGCAGGTTTCTGTCTATGACGGGATACTCGGCTGAGGAGGTGCTGGGGCATAACTGGTGAGCTGAGTACTACTTTCTGTGCGAAGTCGTCTCACACATAGCCTCTCCAGCGTGTGTAACTGATCTGGGAGGCACTGTCCTTAAACCCAATTGACCGGAAGCACAGGGTCTCAACCAGCTGGCTCCAGACATAGCATGTCCGCAAGACGACTTCCATGTCACGTGAGCCTTTGTAACTAAGCCCTCACTTGAGGAATTGCGGGAGCGGCAGGGATCCAATCATTGAGGCAAGCATGCACATATATGATTTTCTGATGTCCTGCATGTTTCTGTACGCAGCCGCTTCCTGCAAGGGGAGGGAACGGACCCGAAGGAAGTGGCCATCATCAGGGATGCGGTGAAGAAGGGGGAGGGGTGCTCCGTGCGCTTGCTCAACTACAGAAGGGATGGCACTCCGTTTTGGAACCTGCTCACCATGACGCCAATCAAGACAGAGGACGGCAAGGTGTCCAAGTTTGTGGGAGTGCAGGTGCGCAACTCCTTTCTTCTTCAGCCAGTGCTGTTTCCCGACAAAGAATTGGAAAAGGCCTGCAACTGTTGGGATTTGGAAACATTTGGCAAGTGTGCCCTGTGGTGCTCTCTTGGAATGGTCTCAGGGGTTTGAGAGAAGATGCTGTGTTGGTAAATGAGATGGGTTTTGCGGGGTGCAGGTCGATGTGACCTCAAAGACAGAGGGGAGGGCATTTTCAGACGCGACTGGAGTGCCGCTTCTGGTGAAGTACGACACGCGGCTCAGGGAAAATGTTGCAAAGAACATCGTCCAGGATGTCACCTTACAAGTGCAGGTGCGCACATCAGCTTATCTCGCCAGCAGCCTTGAGCAAGCTGTCGTTTTGGCTTTTGTTGTGTTGTATGCATGCATGTCATGCACAGCCACACATTATCCTGCCTGACCTGCACTGTGAGTGTTGTGTGCTGCCTGCATGCAAGTTTTGTTCCCTTCTGACCTTTTTGTAGCCAGCCGTGGCCGGCAAGGACGGGCTGCCTTTGCCGCACTTTGCGGGCTCGATGACAAACTGCAGCGCTGTCTGAGGCTCTCGCGGCCGATTCGCCACAGGAAGCTGAGGAGGAGGACTCCGGGGCGGCCTCCGAGGCGGCCAGAGTCTCCAGCCTGAAGGGCTTCAACAAGCTGTGGCACAAGATGGGCAACAAGGTGACGCGCCCGCAGTGTCTTGGTGGCCCACCGTCCGCGCCCCTTGGGGACCCCAAAGCACAGGTCTGCCGGGGCGTTGTCTCAAGTCCATCCCCATAGTCTTAGGGGTCTTTTTGGATGCTTCCTAGTCCAGTCACCCCTTGTCACTTAGTCACCTTTTAGAGGCTTCTAGAGGTCGTATGACCTGTCCGAACGCATTCCCCGGCTGTGGTGTCGGCCCCGGCTTCCCATCTACCTGTATGCTGTGCTCTCCACCTTGTCTTCGCTCCATCTTGGTGTTTGGGCAGCGTTCTGTTTTGAGCGCTTGTGTTCTCGTCCTACTGTGTAGATTTGTTCTGAGCTTGCAATAGCCAACGGTCTGTTGAGCTGCGGAAGTCAGAGTGACGTTTGGTTTGCTTCACAATGCCTCCTGTGTCTGACTTCGCCTGAGGTCAAGCAGGGGTTGATGGATGTGCCCTGTGCATGCCTGCAGGCATCAGCCCACGATCCTCAGCTGCAGAAGCAGGGCGAACGGGTAGGCAAGAAAATGACAGCCCCCAAAACGTTCCCCAGGTGTGTAGACCTGATCTGTTCTTCTCCTCACGTCCCTTAACGTCTTTATTCCTGCTTGCTTGTGCTTTCCATTATTTAAGCTGCATGCGAGCGGCGCAGAGCACGTAGAAGCATGATAGCCTTCCACTGCAGCTTGAGGAACACAGGCATCAGTAAGCAAATGGGATTTGTAGCTCCTCAGGCCCAGCACACAGGGGGTAGCAGCTCAAAGGCTTGCAGCCTTTGGGGTGCTGCGCTCCTGAGAGAGCAGCAAATGTACAGATGTGCCATGACAGGCAGTATGGGTGAGGATTATTGAGACGCCCGTGGTTTGGTGCTGTCAGGGTGGCCATGGATCTGGCAACGACAGTGGAGCGCATTCAGCAAAATTTCTGCATCTGCGATCCCAACCTGCCGGACAACCCCATCGTGTTTGCGTCAGACGGCTTCCTGGAGATGTCCCAGTACGACCGATTCGAGGTCCTGGGCCGCAACTGCCGCTTCCTGCAGGTCAGCGCTCCTGCTGGTTGCTTTTTCTGCAGCTTACAGTCATTGCCATGCATAATCTTGCATGCGCCAGGACAGTGCATCACTGCATGTCAAAGTCATGCACCTGCGAGCCTTGTGTGTGTGACAGACATGTACTGATATAAAAAGACACAGCTCGTCATGCACAATCAACATAGTTCAGGGGACTGTCTCGTGAGCAGAAACATAAGTGCCCCCCAAATATGCGCGCACATGGTATTTTCAGCATGTGGTACCATAGAGAGGTGGCTGAAGGATTTCTCCCCCGTGGCGGCGCAGGGACCGGACACGGACCCCAAGGCGATCAGCATCATCCGGGACGCGATCAAGTCGCAGAGCGAGGCGACCGTGCGCATCCTCAACTACCGCAAGAGCGGGCAGCCCTTCTGGAACATGCTCACCATCGCGCCCATGGCCGACGTCGACGGCACCTCTCGCTTCTTCATCGGCGTCCAGGTGCGCGGCATTTGGTCATCCTGCCCCGGCCCCTTGATCATGACAAGCCGCATCAGCATGCCAAGCCAGGCATGCTCGGTATCTAACCGCACATCAGGCAAGGGCAGTGAGACCGTGAAGTGGGGATGAGAGCAGCGCAGCATCACAATGATCCGGGCTGCGCAGCTGCGGCCTCGGAGCTGCAGGAAATGAGTGGCCCTGCTGCTTGCTGTATGTCACGAGTCTCTATTGCAGTGTCAGGTGCCCCGTGTCTTAGCATGTGATGGCACCTAGTGTCCAGGCATGCTTGAAATGTCTCCAAAACAGGTCATGTGACTGATCCGGCTTTTGCCCCCGGCAGGTGGATGTGACAGCCGAGGATGTGCCGATGACGGGCGGCATTCCCCAGGTGGATGCAAAGGCCGTCAAGGCGGCCGATCCCATGGGCAGTGTGCTGGGCATGGCGCAGCGGCAGATGGGTGCCGGATGGGCCGTGCATGACCCCTGGGCCGCCATCCACGCCGGCGTTGCCAGCCTCAAGCCCCACAAGGCCCAGGTGCGCCGCGCATGCTCCTGTTCGCAGCCGGGATTGGGATCAACCTCGACATTTGAACGTCCCCCCTGATGTCTTTGATCGACTCTGAGATCAAAGACATCATGAGGGGCAATCGAATGTCTTGGGTGATGGCCAAGCCAGCAGCGCTTTTATGCACCCAGTGGTGCTCTGGATAGAGGAAGCATTCTGGAGCGTTGCATTGTGCACCCTTCAGATACTGGGTGCTCGCAGGAAGTTGAGGCATGATCGCGGGGCAGTTGGCAGGCTGCAGACTACATGCATCGCTACTGCACTTGGTGCTGTTGCCAATTGTTCTTTGGCTCCATGTAGCCTGTGGCGTGCTACTGGCGGTATTGCAGGATGCTCTGTGATTCTGCCTGGCTCTCTGCAAGCCTCAGTAATGTTGGTACAGCAATAATGTTGGCAGAGCAGGAAAAGCTTTCCAAAAGATGCAATGCTGAGGCGAAGTGTTTTGGATGGTGCAGGAGAAGGTGTGGGCGGCGCTGCGTGAGAATGACAGGAAGAATGGGCGGCTGGCGCTGTCGCAGTTCCGCCGCCTCAAGCAGCTGGGCACCGGCGACGTCGGCCTTGTGGATATGGTCGAGCTGCAGGACGGCTCCGGCAGGTGTGCCTCCTTCTTTTGTGAAGATGAGGCAAATGCATGATTTTGTACTCGGATGTATGATACTTATAGGCAAACAACCTATTGCGGAGGGTATGGTGTTCACTGAAGCCTGCTGAGCAGCTTGCTGAGCAGCTTGGAGTTGGTGACCTGATCTTTGTAGAACAATTGATGGGACTCGGGATGAAGTGTCTGCACAGACACTGCAAGCAAGAAAATACACAACAGCAAGGAATGCAGTAATCTACTCTTGTCACAATATGAACACCCACATAGTGAAAGCCCGGATTTGAATTTGAACTTGAAATTTGAGCATGCGCGGCAGGTATGCGATGAAGACGCTGGAGAAGGCTGAGATGCTGGAGCGCAACAAGGTGATGCGCGTGCTGACGGAGGCCAAGATCCTGTCGGTGGTGGACCACCCCTTCCTGGCCTCCCTCTACGGGACCATCGTTACGGACACCCACCTCCACTTCCTCATGCAGATCTGCGAGGGCGGCGAGCTCTATGCACTCCTCACCTCCCAGCCCTCCAAGCGCTTCAAGGAGTCCCACGTTCGCTTCTACACCGCCGAGGTGCCGCCCCGACTATCTCTATATAATTGCTCTTTATAGACGGTGGTACGGACAACACCATGGATGTACGTCAAAGATGGAGTGTTTATCGTGTTTCATCCCCTTCTTTACGCCATAAATTGGGCTGCACATCCATTTAAAAGAACTTTTCCAAGCCCCTTTTTGGCTTGAATTAAATCGTCTTGATCAGAGTACCCTATGTAGAGCAGGGGGGTGCTGAGTCCTACTGCCTGCAAGAGATTGCCCAAAGGGATAGGTGTATGAGCAGGATTGGTGGAGCACGTTGTGTGTTACGCCATGAGTTGCAGCTGGGGTTTTGGGTGGCCCGCGCATCTATGCACACCGTCCCAAAGCTGGATCCGGAAACCGGCCTGTACAGCGGGGCATCTCAGCTCTACCTGCTCTGTTCTACCAGTCCATTCTCCATCTGCTTTGGGATGGCGTACTGTGCTCCAGATCTAAGTCTCATGCATGCCCTCTCAAAGTCACCCTCTCTGCTGGTGCCCGTTTCTGCAGCAAGAGAACCTGACCTGACAAAGAGACTGAGACTGTGAGGATGAGATTCTGACCATCGTTGGCGCTGCTTGGGTGCGCAGGTGCTGATTGCGCTGCAGTACCTGCACCTGATGGGCTTTGTGTACCGGGACCTCAAGCCCGAGAACATCCTGCTGCACAGCAGCGGCCACATCCTGCTCACCGACTTCGACCTCTCCTTCTGCCAGGGCTCCACCAAGGTCAAGTTTGAGAAGAAGAAGAACGGCCACGCCAACAGCTCGCAGCCCGGGGTGAGCCTCCCAGCACTAATCAGTTGTACATAGACATCAACCCACCCTCTTTATATCTGACCTTGCACGGGCCCTAAACTTGTGGCCCACCGCTATTTGTGGATCTGAACGCTTGTGGCATCGGCATGCAGCATTGTGCATCCGGCTCCGCCGTTGGCGCCTCTTGCCGGCATGCCTTTGCATAGTATGCAACCGACAGATAGCAATGCTTTGGCCTCTCAGGCCCAGACAGCATTCACTGTTTGCATATGATGGGGCTTAGATCGTCACAGGCATCGGTTGCTGACTTTGGAGTGTATCCGGCAGGCCACGCAGGTGAGCCCAGCAGAGGAGATCATGATGATCGCGGTGCCGGAGGCACGCGCCAACTCCTTTGTGGGCACTGAGGAGTACCTGGCGCCAGAGGTCATCAACGGCGTCGGCCACGGGGCCGGGTGAGCTCCCGTCATCTTTCTGTGGTTGTCTCGACGAGTGCCGAAGGGTTCCAAAGTTGGAAAGAGACCACCCACATAATGCAAGCCACTGGCTGGAAACTTGGCAATGGCTTGCATGATGCAGGTGGTTGCTTCCTAAGTTTTGCCTCAGTGCAAGCTGCATCTGGATCTGTAACCTTGAATGCACCTCTGTAAACACCACCAGTCAGCTCTGGGTGATCAGAATGTATTCATGTGTTCATGCAGCCTTGTGCATCCGCATCCCCTCCTTGTGCATTTCATGCAACATATGTCCAAAATGTCACATATTACTGTATAGCATTTTTGCTGGGGCAGCAGGGCTGATGGGGGGATGTTTGCTGTCTCAGGGTGGACTGGTGGAGTTTCGGGATCCTGATCTACGAGCTGCTGTACGGGTTCACTCCCTTCCGGGGCAAGAAACGTGACGAGACGTTCAACAACATCCTCAAGCGGCCACTCTCCTTCCCCGAACTGCCTGAGGTCTCGGACGAGTGCAAGGTGAGGCATTAGCAGCTCTCGTGACAGTATCTGGAGCACACATTCTGCCCAGCAGTGTTGTCTGTCCAAGTGCTCACTTCTTCGCAGGACATTCCCTCCTGTTTCGGCGTTGTCTGCTGCCATTTTTATACATGTGCATGTATACACGAGCAACACCTCTGTATAGTCTTTCCATGCAGCAGAGCTAGAACACCTACCTTGCTCTGGCGTTGCACATCGTTGCCCGACTATGCAAAGCTGGCCCGACTTTGGCATGGGCCCGTCTGCTGGCTCTGCTCAGTGACACGCCTGCCGACTCGCTGTGATGCCACCGGGACAGAATCTGAGTATTGCATGGGAAATGGCGGGCGTGCTGACTCACTGCTGATGTCCCTGCGGCAGGACCTGATCTCGCAGCTGCTGGAGCGCGACCCGGCCAAGCGGCTGGGCGCGCACGCGGGCGCGGAGGAGATCAAGGCGCACCCCTTCTACGAGAGCATCAACTGGGCCCTCCTGCGGAACACGCGGCCCCCCTACATCCCCCGCCGCAGCGCCCTGCGCAAGGCCAACAAGCCCTCCCCTGCCGCGCAGGCGCAGTTCGACGACTTCTGAGCCCGGCCGCTGCCGGGCACAGTCACACTGTCCAATAACTTGGCGCCCGCCCAGGGGGTGGCGGGAGACTTGACGCAGATGTGCGGCAATGCAGCACCCAACATACATAGCAGCCAGGCTGCTGCACCGAGGGCGACAGGCTTGCTGTCTCCGTGGCACTGTTGTGCTGGGAGGGGGCAGGGAGGCGTCCTATAGCGACGGCTGCTCGCGAACAGCATGTTGATGCCGCAGAGAGCAGGAGGATTTTTGGGGTGTGCAAATGGCGCGCCGGGAACGTTCAAGCAACAAAGAGATCCTGCTCAAGAGTGACTGCAACTTATCCCCTGCTGGACAGAAGCCGTGGCAGCCATCGTGTTTGGCAAACCCTGCAATAGCGCTGCACTGCTAACAGCGCCCTGCAAAGTGGAGGGGCATGCTGTGAACAGGACAAGCTGCAGCGGCTGAGACGGTATTTCATGGCTACAAGAAGTCTGGCATGTTGGCCAGTACACCCACAGGCTGGTGGATTGGAGGCACGAAGAATTTGCACATAGTGGAGGACGATCACAAAACTTTTGTGAGGGCCGTGTTGATTTGCTGTTCTTGAGCCGTGTGCCCTTGTGATGCTGCTCACCTGCCTGAGAGCCTCACCAAGACTGCTCTGATACTGCATGCGTGTTCAATGCTCCAACTTGTGTATGTTGAGGTTCTGCTCTGGTGCCCGACTTGGACAGAGCGCGAGTTGATTGTGGGCTGAGTGTTGCACCTTTTACCTGCCATGGCTGCACAGTGTCTCTGTTTTACCTGCTGCAGAAGGCTTAGTTTGGGTGAAGGCGCCACAAAGAGACCATTGCATGCTATTGCCGGCCTGTGTTCTGGCGAGGGCTGAGAGGGTGACAGACAGGGTCTCCCTATATTTTGTGTGGGACTCTAGTGGGTAGTGGCGGTTTGACACAGTGAGGGAGCGAAGGAAGGGGTTTGCGGGGTATTCGAATAATGCGTTGTGAACATGCATGCATGGACAGCAACAAACAAGGCAGGCCTGGCGCATTGCATGCAACAGCTGGCCCTGCTTCTGTTCATGGCTCTCTGTGTGTGCAGCGCAGACAAGACTCAATACTTTAAGGCTGAAGGTTTCAGCGAAAGACTATACCATGCTTGGCATCATCCACGTGTATGCAGGGGTTTGGCAAGCAGCTCTTTATTTGATCAGATATCCACTTTCTGCGCCAGGCTCAGAAAATGCACAAGATGGCTCTCTTGGGGTGAGCCTGCTTCTTGTGGGCATGGACTAGTAAAATCTTGCAGTAAAATCTTGCAACCACGTATTTGCTGTGTTGTCTATTTGCAAAAGACGCGCGCAGCTGGTGATTGCCCTGTGTATTAACATGTTCAATGTCACAGCAGCTCTGGTTACAGAGCAGAGCCATTGCAAGACTGGTCAAGCAAAAGTGACAAATGCATTATGTGTTGACGTACTACCGTAAATTACCTGTAACTCGTGTGAGGCGGAGACACTTTAAAATAAATTTGCCGAGTGCCGATGATTATCACAAGGTTGATGTCAACACAGCACAATGCATGATACTTGGTTAACCGTTGGTGAACCAAAACGTTTCATGATCAAAATTCAAATACGGTAGGACATCAATTAACGGATGCACCTGTCACTGGCCCCAGCTGGAAAACCTTGATGACTATGATTGACATTGATGTCAATAGGTTGATGGGTGTGTCAGTTTGCATCTTAATCGTGCTGGTTGCATGTGCAGAGTCACGTGCACGTTGGTTCCTAAAATAGAAACGAAGATTGCAATTAAATGTGGAAAACACCTTACACTTATGATGAAAACTTGCAGAGTGCTGAGCTGCATGCTCCTGCGCGAGCAGGCGCAGGCACAGAACTATCCCAATATTTGAGCTCTTTCTGACACTTCAAGTCTTGCCAAATTGCTGCATAGTAAAGTTATTCACAGACTGCAGCAGCGCTGAGAGCCTGTCTGCTCAAGAGGGCTGCAGGGGACCCCTGGCAATTTGGTGCAGAATAGACCCCACCTCATAGTTATGCATCACAAGATGCTGTCAAAACGCTGGGCAAGCTTATAAATTTTCACCAAGCAGCCCTGTCCCATACGTGCAGGAAAACACCCTTTACTTGGCCATCATCATCTTGACGAACTCCTCGTAGTTGACCTGGCCATCACCATCCACATCAGCCTCCCTGATCATCTCATCCACCTCCTCATCTGTCAACTTCTCGCCCAGGTTGGTCATCACGTGCCTCAGCTGCAAAAGCACAGAACGAAACCTTGCTCAGGTGGTCGAAAAGTTCAATGATCAGATTTGTGCTCAGCAACCTTTGACGCCATCAGGTGCAGGTGTGCAAAAGGTGAGGCCGCACTGCATCAACCCCAGCGGTGCGTCATGAAGAGGGTCCCTGAGCTCATCATGTTTTCCTTATGGGCTTACAGCAATGCTGACACTGACATCCAGGATGTGCAGGTTTCAGCTGATGCGCCTCACCTCAGCAGCAGAAATGAACCCATTGCCGTCCTTGTCGAACACCTTGAAGGCCTCGCGGAGCTCCTCCTCAGAGTCCGAGTCCTGGCAACAGCAGGAAAGCTTGTTGGCAACAAATGAGGTGAAGGGGCACCCTGTGATTGGACAGTCGTTGCTTGTCTAAGATCCCACCTTCATCTTCCGTGCCATCAAGTTCAGAAACTCTGGGAAGTCAATCGTGCCATTGCCGTCCGCGTCAACCTCGTTGATCATGTCCTGCAACTCAGCTTCTGTAGGATTCTGACCAAGAGAGCGCATCACAGTGCCAAGCTCCTTGGTTGTGATGGTTCCTGCGATGCAAACGGCAAAAAGTTGGCATGTTGTTGCCTGCAGGGGCACAGGGAAGGCGACACCAAAGTTTGACTGCCACTTCTCGAGGCTTCTGTCAAACTTCAATCACTTTGCCTCTTCCGGCGCTCTAGAGCCACACACCCACAGCAAACCCCTTGGCAGTGCTGCAGGAAACTTTTTTAATTTTGCAAGTGGTCATAGAGGCATACCGTCGCCATCCTTGTCGAAAAGGGCAAAGGCCTCCTTGAACTCAGCCACTTGCTCATCGGTCAGCTGTGCGGCCTCAGTCATGATGTGGCTGGCAAAAGGGATCCGAAAGCTTGCTTCTGCGTCTCTGGAAGAGAATAGAACAGCGAACGGTGGGCTGGAAGGATGGAAGTGGTACGTTTCAAGATTCTGACATATTTTGTTGTTTACGGGCACAGACTTCAAGTACGGGGCCGAGATGCTTTTCCGCCGAAGTTATGCGGGGGGCCACCGACGGGGATCCCTCTGGGCTCCACTGATACTTTGTGCGCAGATTGCTTGATCGAGCATTACTTCAGAGACAAAGGCGTGCATATCGCATTCACTGCGTGTTGAGTGGTCTGCAGCAGGACTTTTGGTGGAAGACTGCCATGTCAGGTGCCTTGGCTGCCATCAGGCGGACCCTCACCCAAGCTCCCAAGTTGTCGAGGAGCTTGCAAACCGGCAGAACGCTGCGAGGAGGGCACCACGATGTAAGTGTAAAGTGATTTACTACTTAGGCGTTAAACATCATTTCACAACCGTCAGGCTAGTCTGGTGAAGTGCAAGTGGGCCTGTAGGGCAAGTGCCTTTGTGTGCAGTTACCATACTCAGCAGGCACTTGGCACTTTAATGGGTGAACCCTACCATATCTCGATCTTTTGTCTCCGCAAATGTGTTGTTTGCGCGTTACCCTCTAGGCATTTCAGGGAGGTGTGTGCACTTCACGAGAATTTGCTTACACGCTCCCTTCATGATATTTCTTGGGAAATCCCTAAGTTAATAGCTCCCACAGATAGCGCTGTTTCATCTTGGTAATCATTCGGATGTGTCTATTCTGCAGGAGCCCCACTACGTCCATGCAGAGCACATGTACGAAGCCTGGAACGTACGCCCCCTTTCAAAGCATGCATTCTTCTCTTGATGTGCTCCCAGTGTTCCTATGGTTCGATGCAACACCTTGAGCATGCTATAGCTTGCCCATGGGGTTGGCTCTGTTGCTTTTGCTGCAACCCAGAGGGGACTGAGGCTACCAATTATTGCTGCTGTGCAGATCAAGAACGCAAAGTTGAAGTGGGGAGTTGCAACCAGCGTCTTTGTTGTGGCTGGCTTTGGTCTTCCGGTGGTTGCAATCCAGTTCTCAAAGTCAAAGACCCAGTCATAGGCGCAGCCAGCAATCCCTTGTGAGCCTCAGCACTCTGTTGTTCTTGCTCAGCACTGGCAGAGACCAGCACGCACGCATGTGTGCAGACAGACTCAGCTCTTGTCTGGGGTGATCACTTCTTTCACTGGATGGCTCCCTAGCATGCTGCACTCGAAGGAACAATTCTGCAAGCTTTCTGGCATTAGGTGTGGCCTCAGTTTATGGTCATTGCTGTGTGCATATTGCAAATCCGGGCGGGAGTACCACTGCAGTACAGTTAGCACCCTCACATACCATGTGAGACCCTTCTGAACAAATAGAAGAGTGTGGCCGTGCACTGCGTTGTGCAGACGTGTGGCGGGTCATGCATTTTTATGACGTCAAGGCCGACCTGAAGTCAAAGAGCGTGTATGGCTGGCATCGCAGCAAATTAGAACTGGAAGGGCACTGATTGGTAGATTATGACAGCCTCAAGCAGAGCTTGATGGGCTTATATGGCCCTTGTAACATTGGCCGTCATGCATCTCCAAAGGGCGGTTGGTGTGAAACGCTTACAGAAGGAGCAGGCAATCGAAAAGCTGTAAGGTCCAGCGGGCATTGAAATTGTTGGAGCTTGCATTACATTTCAATGCCTGAGCGTGACGAGAGTGTCACCGTCACACAATTGTATCTGGATCGAAAAAATAGTTGATGCTTCCATCAGATAAATACCGTACATCAATCACACTGGCATCCGCATGCGAGCAAACTTGCTTTGAGGCACAGAGATCTGTGCAGCCCTAGAGCTCACGAATCGTAGCATATCTTGTCCACAGCATATCTTTCTCTGAAACTATTGAAGAATAAGGATTAATGCGGCATACATTGTCTGTATGATGTAGCCAAAACAAGATAAAGCCCGTTCCTTTCTTACGTATCGCACATTTGTCCTCACCATAGATAGAATGTACAATATTATAATCACTCAGCGGTTGTCACACACTCGAGCTTGTGCCAGCCTGTGTGCTGCCACAAGAAGCAATGGGAGCAGTTGCAAACTATTACTGCAATCTTGCAGCATGCAGGAGCACAACCATGCATTTGCATGTCCGACTCGAGAAGCTTTCACAAATTGAGCTGCACATCTCTTGCAGGTATGGTGGCCGGTCAGCAGGCTGCAATGGCAGTCTTTCATGCTGCATTGTCTTTCCTCGTGCTGAGCGAACCAAACCTCTGCAGAAAAAAAATGGTGTCATGTTGACCGAACAACTACTCTCTCTCACGTTTTCAGAGCCTCACGCACACCCGCATTCCCCCCTGCACACCCTCTGTCCTGACCCACCGCTCCCTCAGGGGTGCACTGCAAGTGCCCCCCGGGACGGAATATCTCTCTGTGCTTGATAATTTCCTCTCACTCGCGCATGGGAGACTGCCGGGGATGCAACGCCTTTGCACAGATCCCCTCGCCTGATCAGGAATCTGTGCGACTCAGTGCACTGGGGAGCGCCTTGCGAGGCAACGCCCCTGCGCTGATTCCCGCGCCAGATCAGGACCTGGTGCGGCTTGAGAGGCATCGCCCCTGCACAGCTCCCCGCGCCAGATCGGGAGCTAGTGCGGCTCGGGAGGCATCGCCGCTGTACAGATCCCCGCGCCAGATCAGGAAATGGAGAGGCATCGCCTCTGACGTTATCCCCCGCGCCAGATCAGGAGCTGGAAAGGCAATGCCGCTATACGGATCCCCGCGCCAGATCAGGAACAGATTGCAGCTGGGGAGGCATTGCCGCTGTACAGGGCCCCGCGCCAGATCAGGAGCTGGAGCGGCTCATCTTAATGTCGAGAGGGCTGGAGGGGGCGCGCTGCATGAGTTCCCCCGACCTCACGGTAGAGAGGGGACCCCCCAGCGAGAGCCGCGCCAGCAGCGCCGGCTGCTGGTTGACTGCCAGGCTCTCTGCTGTGTAGGCCACCTCGTCCAGCGCGGCCGGGGCCTGCAGCGGCCGGTGGAACAGCGACACCTTCTTGCCCGTGATCTGCGCAGCATGCAATGAACTTCTAAGCTCCGCGAAATTGGCGTGAGGGGGTGTGCCACTAACACACAAACAGAACCCCATCAGAAATCCATCAGCATGGCTGACGGCAATGACAAGGCTCCCTTTTAAGATCTCTGCCTTTGCTTAACCTAAGAGTCAACCGCTCTACCCATTCAACATGAATGCTGCTCCAACGGCGTCTACATTGAATAATCATACTTTTGATGCATCAGGCCAAATAAGGCGGCGCCAAAACAGGCAGCTAATGCCACATCAGCGCACACCTTTGCCAGCCTGGCGGTGTCATCAAGGATGATGGCGTCGACGCCGGCTTCGCGCTGTGCGGAGTAGTGCTCCATCGCGTTGTTGGCGTCGCCGAAGGTGAAGAAGAACAGCCCCGCGCGATGGAACTGGTCCACCACGTCCTTCAGCCGCTTCAGCACATGCGGCACCGCCTCTGCCACCACGCCCTATTCAAATCCGAATTCATATTCAAAAACGAATAGCCAAGTTCAACACATTACACTACAGCAAAAGCGCCTCTGCAGGTGGCAAATGCAATATAGGAGACCCTTCTGAGAGGCGGCGAGTCGGAGGGCTGGAGCAATGAAATCCAGGGATAATTATTGCATGCTGAGGATAAGAGTGCTGCCCCTTGAGCTTCGTGGTGCTCTTGATGCGAAGATCTTTAGGGCGGTTTTGAAGACACAGGCTATTTGAGTATCAAGAGGAACAGAAGCAGACCGAGAGCAGGAGCTGGCCAGCAGATCCTGAGTCAGCAACACAGTTATTGCTCGCTGGCAGTAAGAACCGGCGCCCACCTGCAGCTTGGAAGATTTGGCGAAGATGAGGGCGGCCTCCAGGCTGTTCATGCGCGGGTCGGCATAGTGCTTGCTGCCCGCGCACGTCAGAAAGAACACCGGGTACCTGCCAGCAACCCAAGTTTATCCCACCCTTGTCCAGCTATCTAAACTTCAAACTATAAGCCACACCTCCTCAACACTTATTTCCAATGGCAGATTGTGTTGGACACTGCTGTGGATTGTGGATCAGGCACATGCGCATGCGTGATGTGTCTTTTCTTTGCAAAGACTTTGGTCAAGATGTACCAAGGGCTGCTAGACATGTCTCTCTCACCTGGCGCATTTGAGGGAGAGGAGCGTTGCGCAGTCGGGGTCGAAGCTGCTGAAGATGATCTTGCGCTTGTGCCCCTCCTCCAACACCACCTGTGCATGCAGCATGTTGATGAATGTATGACAGAAGAATGACATTGAACGTACTGATCTCTTACGCTGCAACCCTTTTGGCTTGGACATCCTGCAATTTGCCAGCTGCCGTTGCATGGGCTGATTGGTCACCGACTCATCGTTGTGCTCTATCTAGGCTAGGGAGGCACCTTGCTCCAAAGTGCCCCAAGCCTCTAGAGCCTCCGAAGGGCACGTTGAGGACAGGTGTGTCAGCTATGCACATTGGTCAGGGAAGGCACTGGCCCAGCCACATTTTCTGGCCAGCGCGCACGACCGACACAGAGACCTCAATATGCCGATCGAATATCTGAAAGCTTTGAGAGAGAATCATAAGATGCAAGTGGGGGTTGCCAGGGGTTGCCAGGGAACAGGGAAAACCCCACAGGATGCTCAGAGGCTTGAGATTACATAGAAGGATATGATAAGGGACAGCGTCCCCTCACACCTTGCACCGCAAATCATGTAAGAAGGCCTGAGATTCACTGAGAGGGAACGCGCCCGCAGAACGGAGTCGCAGAAGTAGTTGCGCGAGTACCAGCGCGTGGGCATGGCGGCCAGCTCAGCGTCAGTCGGATACTTGAGCTCTATGTTGAGCCCCAGCCAGGGCGGCGTGTCATGGAACGCCTCCCGCAGCGTGGCAATCCTGCATGCATACGCGCGCCGGTACACTATTAGTCACAGCCGCTCAACAGATGAAAACCTTTTAGCCGACAGGGTGCTGTGCAAGATGGCCCACCTTGAGGAGTATGGCAGGGGATTTCGTGCAGACACAAACATGAGCGGACTTCTACTTCACTGAATTATGTGGCGAGCTTGACATAGAAACATGCCAGAGGATGAAGGTTGAGACACGCGCATCAAAGACATACGTTGCTGCTCATTTGCTGATGCACACATTGCTGCAAAGCCTCAATGGCAGCATTGACATCCCGCAAGACCATTGCACCAAAATAAAAACAGCATGCAGATGTGCCTGCAGTCACCATGTGCTGAGAGCATCTGCATGGAGCATGCACAGAAAAATCACCTGTCGGCGATGAGCCAGGAGCTCTCGTTGGGCGAGGCATTGATGATGACGGCCTCTGGCGACCCGATGGAAGGCTTCAGCTGCGAGCGCAGAATGTCCTCTGCCTACGAAACACACACTCAGGCCGTCATGTGGTAGTTTTTTCCGTGTCTAGAGCTGGCCTTGCGTTCTCAGTGAAAGAAGAGCATAGGAGCAAATACTGCGCAGCACCTAAAAGTACAGAAGGGGGTCATTCATTGTCTGTACGCAATCCCCTCTGTTTGTGGGTATCTAGGCAGCTTGTCATGCAAAGTTTCCTTGTGCTGCATGCTCTGCCAGATCCTAACTCTCACTCCTATCTCGTTTCTCCTATTTTTCAGGAGTAGTCATGCAAGTGCTTGCACTGACACAACTGCCGTATGAGGCTGCGCAAGAGAGTTATCATAAGAGGTCCAAGAAGAAAGGGAGCGCACGGAGGACATGTTGCGTTTGAGGTGGCGCTCGTTGTGGCTGCGCTGGCCGCGCAGCATGCTCGCGTGCTTCCCATTCGCCGCCATCGCATGCGTGAATTCCTTGCTGCAAGCACACGATGAAAAACACGCAATGAACTTCCTGCATCAAACACAATGCACAGAAGACAGAGCTGCGTTCATAGCATCATACAGACCAAACATGCAGCTCCTCCACCTGATGTTGGATGCAGACATGCGGCTGTGCAGACCCTCCAGTTGAAAGACTTCAGTGGCAGTTCATTTGCTTGGATGTGCCCAGTTTAGAAATGATGGAAGTCAAAATTAGGCACAACGGCAGGGCAAACAAGTGGGTGGACCCTCCAAGGCTAAGTGAGATGGATGGGGCAAAAACACACACCTTTTGAGCTGGCCATAGGAGAGCGCCGGGATTCCAAGGCGCACCACCTCGGACCCGATGGACAGCTTCACATCAAAGTCATGGTGGACAACCACCTCGCCATCCTGGCAGTGGCATGCAAGGCATTTCAGCTGTCAGAAATGCGACATTGACTTACAACTAAATCATGCTGAAGTGCGGGTGACTACTCCTGCTCCTGTTCGCACAGCTCTGGCTTGGTCCGCGGCAATCTCCATTCCACTTCATAACGTCTATGAGTACATATATTGATTATTTTGTCCCAGGGAACTCAAAAAAGAACTACAAATCCAGGGCGTCGTCAGCATAAAAGCTATGCGCATGCTTCGGCACGCAAGAAGTGGTGACCCCTGCACTGAAGGACAGAGACTGAACTAGCTGTAATGATGCTACTGATTGTGAATAATCGCCGACAGCAAGGCTCGGCGCACCGCGGTGACGTGCACATCAAACTCGATGAAGTCGACCATGCTGGTGGCTGCCTTCTGGAATGACAGCACCGTGTTCTCGCGCACGCTGCGGCCACGCCCCTTGCTCGCTCCCGACCCTCGGTGCCTGCGCAGCGGTCCCCGGCGTAGGTACGTGATCTACCTCTTCAATTAGAGGTTGTGACATTTGTTGGCCGCTCAAGAAGTGGTGAAAGCAGCCCTCGGTGGCTCAGCCTTGCAGCTTTGTTTGAGGAGGCTGGTTGGTCAAGAATAGAAGCAAGTGGCAGAGGTCCAGTTTCTCTTGACAGGGGAAATGGGAGACTGCGTGAAGCCTAGAAAAAGACTGGTTACCGGACGGCAGCAGCATTTGCGAATGTGCATCATATGCCTGTCCAAGTCATATGCATGGGCTTGTTGCAAGATCGCTTGAGACTCATGCAACCAGACTGGGCCGAGCACTCTTGTCCTTCCTGATATTCTTCTTGTTGCACAGTCAATCGTGCATGAGCCTGGCCGCAATGGAAATGACTAAGTATTCATGATGTGATTGTGAGCCCAGTTCAGCAAGAAGAGGGGTATCAATTGCCCACCCGATGTCCAGAGTGCCCAGAAGGGACGCGGCAGTGGGGCTCCATTTGGCTCGCTGCAGGTCCCCCAGGTTGTTGTAGGGGTGCTCCAACGACGTGACCACCAAGAACCCCGCCTTAAACACCCCCACCTGCCAGGTCACCAAGGGGAGATAATTTAACAAATGACAAAACAATGACGAATCAAATTTTGCGCCCTTCTCAAAGATGCCCATGTCAAACAGCATGTATTAGGATCACACCCAGCAATAAAGGGCCACAAATTCTGAGACCGAGCTCATAGGTGATCACTGTAAATAGCAGCTGCAGCAAGACCTTGATCGTGTGCAGGAATTATCAATGGGTCTGAGCGATCACCTGTTCCAAGTTGGGTGACACCAGGGCTGCAGCTATGGCCCCTTGCAAGGGCAGTACTGTGGGGGTTGACACAAATGCGCGCGCAATGAGCCGGCCGTCCTTCTTCGCGGTCACATCCTGAACAAAAAGATCACTTCTTGATGACAAAGCTACGGCTCCTCACACAAAAAAAGCCCTCAAACCCCCCTCCCAGCCAAGGCAGCACAAACCACTCCACTGACAGCACCAGTTGAAGCCTGAAAGCAAACAGAACATGAATGAAGGAGGTAGGAACAGCGGTACCAGATCCAGTTCTAGAAAACATCCGCTGCTTCCCAAGGCAACGTCAGTGTTCCTATGGTGGAAATTTAATGCTGCGCAGATCCATTCCCACAGACGCGAATCCATACAGGCTCTGGGGATGATGATCATTTACCACTCGGAAGGCGAGGGCATCCAGCGACTGCCCATTCATGTAGAATATAATGCCGTCGCCGCCAAAGTCATCCTGCCGCCCGCTGACTGTAGCACCCACAGCACACACAGCGCGCATCAGCCACACACCTTCTCCAATCGCTTACTACAATTTTAAGACCTGCTCACATCTGACGCCTCCACATCGCGCATATGGTATGACTGCTCAGTGCGGGACTGATCAATCCTAGCACCATTGGCAGCTTGAAATGATTCTTCATGTCACTAGAGAGAAGAGGCGGTAGACTCCATATCCATCAGAGCTGAGACACAATCCATCGAAATGACCGACATGTGAAGATGTGGGAAGAAGCTACACACAGCCCTGTATACCTGTGTCATCAAATGTTTCATACAAGTGACACCAAGACAGATTACAAACTTTTGCCTGTGAACCCCCGGGGAGCCAGGTACAATGAGGATTGACTTTAACTGGAGTGGTCTGCACATACGGACTTGCTTGAAGATTTCCTAGTCGACTCTACCCTCCATCTATCGGTAAATCTGGTGTTGTTTCGAGCTCCCCAGCCCTGATTTTCCAGCTCAATTTGGATTTGGGCATGCCATATGTCGTTGGCCCCATTTTTCAGGTGCACATCTAGATTGGGGGGGCTGAATATCAATCTCCTGGTGGGAACAAGGGTGTGTGAAGGGGCCCTCACAGGAGGCCTCCCCGTGAGGAGGCAGGCCCAGGTCCTCAGAGGAGATCGTGGCAAAGGCTTTGCCCTGCGGAACGGCCGGGTCGCCCGGCCGCGCCTCATACAGCTGCACCTTCACCTCGTCATCGCAGCAGCCGTTCTCCAACACCACCTGTGGCACAAGCGTTCGCTATATAAACAAAAAACAAGCCACTGAATGTCCTTGGCAGCAGAAATCTACAGTATGAATCTTGCATGCATTGAAGGAGGAATAGATTGTACCAGGAACGTGTACATGGCATCTGTCATGAATCATATGCAGTGCCAGTCTTGAATTGCAAATGAAAGTCAAGTGCCATTTAGTGGCACTGGTCATCTGGAGTCCTTTTCAAGGCATGCATTGGTGCCGGGGTGGGCTGGATATTGACTGGTGGCTGTGGTACGATCTCCAGGCACAACTGTGATCATTAGTTTCTGGGAATAAAAGTCAGTCATGAACCACGCACCAGGGGCTCCTTGCTGCCTGGCGGCTGTCCCACGCGCAACTGAAATGCTCCCACACCTGCCTGGGTCACCCATCCGCTGTCGCAGTTCTCGCTCGTCGGCTCAAACAGGTCTTCGACCACCCTGCCCCCATGCGCGCACACTTCATCAAGAAGAATATCCTGACTTCGTTTCAACCCCCTTATTCCTCGGCTACTGCTGCATGCACTACGCAAGCAGAGCTGCCCTGCTTGTGGCTGTGCCCTTGCTTGAAGGGTGGTGCAAGACTGCTTGCCCCGCATGGGATGCCTCACTACAAACCGTTCCTGCTCTTCCGGTTCTCCAGCTATCAAAGGCGGCCAATGCAGTGTGCCGAGCTTCTTTCAGGGGAAAGAAAGTCTGGCCTAAGAATTGAGCACAGGAGACAAGCATGCATGTCTGAGTGGATGATTGGGAGGACACACCCTTTGGCCGGTGGTTCACTGCAGGTGCGGTGTACAAGGTCCCATACCAGGGGCCTGGTAGTGGGTGACTGCCGGTTCCCATTGGCACAGTACCGATAGATGAACGGGAACCTGCGCAGGAAGTACAGCTGATCGAGTAGCATGCATGATTATGCAAGCTGAAGCAAAGATCTGCGGGGTGATGGACCTTGACAAGACGGTGTACGATGAGGCACTAAAACTGATATCTGCACCACGATGGAGTCTTTTCTAATCAAATTATTGAGGCCATCAGGCGGATACATCATCTTGGGGTGCCAAGGTAGAGTACAAGGTTTACAGATAGCAGATTTTGTTTGCTGCAGACAGAGGCGAAGGGGGCTAACTTTTCTTTGGGTATGCATATCGGTTCGGTCTCCCAGATGCCGTTACCTGCACGCCATTGATAACTTCATGCTGAGATAGCTTGAAACCAAAGAAGCAGAATACTTCTGACAAAGAATGGGGTTATGCTTTTTGGTCAAACGCTTCCCCAACAGTCAATAAAGGCCATGTACAGGTAAAGTTTTTAAATTGATGCTATGAGTAGCAACTCAACCAACTACACATCTTACGCGTTTGACCAAGAGATCCACGTCCGCAATCCCGATAGGTTTGGACCAACACTCGTGGCAAAATTTGCTCCGAAAATCACGCTCAAACTCACCCAAATGGGGCTTCGTACGACAAGGTATTCGCTTGTTCAAGGACCATGCCCCAAGCTCGGGGATGCTGCCAACGAGCGATAGTTTCCTGCTGATGTCGATGGCCCCCCCTGTGCCAGGGGCGTCCCCGTCCAGGAAACTGCCGGTTGATACCCGGAATACAACCTGAACAGACATATCTGTATCAGCTGACCTTGAGCCTCATCCTACAACATTTCATATTTGTGTGGGGTCGTGCCTTCTTGCCTTTGCCTGCGTAACTTCGGGGAACAACCAGGGGTGGATTGCCGGGTAGCAGGTACCTTTGAAGAGCCTTTCTTGCATGCAGGGAGGCAGGTGCAACCTGCAAGGAACTTTGATGAATTGAACCCAGCTGTTCCAGTCCTGTTCCTCTCCCGATGCAAATATATTGACTGCTTACATGCTTACATATACATCAGGCGCACCGTGCTATGAACCAATCGGGTTGAATATTCGTATTTAAGTTTAAACTTTATATTGATCTGACTCAGAATATTTGGACTGATTCACTAGAAGTAGCACTGGCGCCACAAATTCACTACGCGTAGCCGTGGCGGGGGATTCCCAGGCATTGTCATCACCCTTCCACTACATGTAGAGATCATGCATGCCAAGAATGAAGGCTCAGTAACCATTACAATCACAGTATTGTTGCGATGTCCGACAGACGGTGAGTCTCCCACTGGCATACACATGTGCCAATGTGCTACTGCCTCTGCCAATCAGCGCAAAATCTGAGATTGTGCCACCATGTGCCACCTGTCAAGGCTGCATGAGGGTGCAGTTCCGCTGTTATGGGGCCGCTGCCTCAGAACACAATGTCACTGTCTTCTGGTGTCCCGCTCATGTCCGCTGCAGGTGCCCCGTTTTCTGTGGTTGTTGTTCCCCTGGCACGCCGCTGCATCGCACAATTATGCACGTCAGTCAGGGTGTCATCATGGCTACTTGAACACTTTCACTATTGCTGGCAAAGAGCTGTGGCACGTTTCTTTGTATTAAAGTAAGCCAGCCTTGATGCACTAGCAAAGGGGGGATCTTGCACGCTGGCATGAATAATCTGGGACATCTCCTGGCTATGATCCGATTCAGTGGCGTGACAGGCAACACGATACCCAGTGCAGAGTTCAGCCGCGCAGGAAGGATGAGAAAGATCTAGAGACCCACCTCGGCATCCTGTATGGCTCCGTCCCTCTTCTTCTTGGCCTGCACCTTCTTCAGCCGGAAGAACTCCTCGCGCTCCAACTCATCCAACTCTCCCTGCAGCACCAAGCCATCACCTTTTATGACTTGCAGAATTTGCATCTCACTGCATTCTACAGGCAGCACTGACCTTGCTTGACCACAATAGCCTACAGGAGGCAGGCTTCAATCTTTGCGCACAGCGCCCACAATATTGAGGCACCTCTACCAGCAGAATTGGCACATGCCGCAGTGCAGGGAGTGCTTTGCCAAGCAGAGGGCAGGTCGAGGTAGGTTGAGACTCAAATGTTGAGTGTTGTGGGGGGCCATGCTTGACTAGGCATGATTGGCAATGGTTGCAGCAAGAAGTGCCTCACCAGCGCCGAACGAAGCACAGATGGACATATCTGATTCAAGTGCGAGCATGCTTGGCGGTGATTGCAGCAGGGCATGAAATGTCAGCGTAAGAGGATCTATGAGTGGACATCTGTGATACAAGGGTCAGGGATGAGAGAAGGGGGCGCGCCTTGATGTAGGAGATGGTGTTTTCGAGCCTGGGCCGCACGACGTTGTCAAGGGCGTTGACTCGGCGATTAGTCGTCTTGATGGCCTCGTCCAGCGTCAGGAACGCCGTCTGCAGCGACGCCAGGTTCACCAGCAGCTCCACACTCTTCAGGAACGCCTGCGCCAGACCAGCGAAAAATTCAAATCGAGTTGTGACAGACACACTAAGTTTTGGTCATGGCTTTGGGACCTCTTGGAGTCTTTGCAGGCCGTAGATAGCAAGGTTGGGCCATCTGTGACTAACGATGGGGCCAACTTTAGGTGATGGGATGTGCTAACGAAGTGCAAATCCTTTCATAGAGGAAGCTGTAAACAACTTGACATCTGTTCCTTATACTCACTAGATCAGCATGTCCTACCTCGTGGTACCCAAGCGGTAGGAACACAATTCTACCCTGCTCAATATAATTACAACAACAAGATTAGTCTACCAAAGCCCCCAACCACCATATTTGCATCCCAAGGCTCGTAGTGTTGTCAAGACAGCATGCCTCTTGACACTCCAGCATCTGAAGCGCTTGCTGAGGGCCTCAGCCACATAAAACTTCCCTGAAGTCAGGACCCTCAAAATTCAACATGTGAGGAAGACCGCATCACAAGAGGCTTCCTTTACTTGAAGGAAATGGAAAGGATCCACAGATCTTGCAGGTCGCGTGACTTGTGGGCTGCCCACCTTTCGGCACTGCTGCACTTGCTGTCCTCCCTTGCCCAAACCTGTGAGGCCCATCTTCCCCTCGCCACCTGTCAAGGTCTGCTCAAACTTGGGGATCTTGACTCCCGCCACATTGTCTGTCTGAGCAACCACGCGCACTTGTGCCTGCAGGACACCATCAGGCACTGTCCAATTCCTGCTAGCTACTTCGGCAAGGTTCCAAAAACAACAAGCAACTATGCCTCAGCACAAACTTTGACGCGAGGTGACTTGCTGCTTGATTGCATTAGCACTCATAGCTTCTTGAAATGCAGATCTTGAGTGTTCGAGTAGGTCAAAGCTACATGTACTGCAATCAAATGGCAGTCCTCCCCTAGGACCCCACCGTCTCAACACTGTCAAAGACCGTGTGCCTGAACTCCCCCGCAGCATACTTTGCCTCTGTCAGTGCAAAGGCACTCTCACGCATGGTCTTTCCCATGCTCTGCTTTGTGTCCACGATTTTCTTCAGGATCTGGCGGAACCTGCACAGCAGGTTTGACACGCCTTCAAGACAGCCATTTGCCTACCATTAATATTGAAGCAACAAATTCGAGATCAGTTGATTGCAGAGTAAGATGATGATGGTAGAGGATGGGATGGACAGGCTCACCTGACCGTCAAAGCATCAGCTTTCTTTTTCAGTAAAGCGTGCCCCTTCACAGCCCCCACTAGACGGGCTTTCATGACTGCCAGTACAGTGACGGTCGGAACCACCACATATCTGTTCTGCGACATGACGGTGACCTGGAGCCAGTCTCCCTGGCTGTCAGTTCAACTCAGAGCCGAGGTGTAGGTGAAGTCAAGCGCTTGCACAGATCCTTATCACCTGCTACACCAGTCGCATCACTCATAGATGTGTCCTATCCTATGCAAGCTTTTAAGCGATGTAGCATTCCTGGCAACAATAGGTAACCTATTGTGCTGGAGCTTAGATGTGCTGGAGCTGACAAGATAGGTCAAGGATTCTTTTTGACGCAGCGCACCTCGACTACTCAACTAAAGTCACAAATCAAAGTCAAACGTCGTCCTAGGATCGCAGCAGTGTATGTTGCAAGAGACCGAACTTGGCAGAAATAGGGCTTGAGATGTTTGACAAGATTGAAGCTCTCGAATGAAGTCCGGCAAATGGACGTTTGCACCTTTCACGAAATCGTAACTTTTTCGAAATGTTACACTACCTGCTCAATGGTCAGGCATGGCTGGGCAACAGTTTGTGTTGCACCTAATAGTGCCAAACTTGGCTCCTATGGGACGCTCTGCCTTCCAAGTGAAGGCCTTCAGGCTGTCTTGCACGAGGAAGGACATACATTCATTGTTGAGATCAGCAGGAAGAAGGGCCACATATCTAATCTTATACTATGCTGAGCAGAGATCATATAGGTACCAGATCATGATCAAGCCATCTCAAGATCTTCTAGAACTTTGTGAACTCCAATGAGTGGATTTGTTATGTACTGGACATCATTGTGTCTCTCAGACTCTGAAAATTTTCTGAGGAAATCAATGCTGGCTGCTGCTCACCAAATTGTTCAGACAGCGCAGTCACTGTATTCTTGGCACCACAGGGCTAAACGCAACGAGCATGCATTGGATGACAGCTGCATAAGCGATAGCAACACTGTGTGCACCATGACCATCGCCTACTTTTTCTTTTGCAGCTCCAACAACTGCCAGGCCGTCTTTTGTTTTGCTGCCATTCATGGCATCAAGAGCCTGATCAACCATCATTATCTTGATGCAGTCCCCAGATGTATACCTTGGCATCAGACTGCCCTGTGCGAGGGTGACGACAAGACCACTGATCCGCTCTTGCTCCTTGCCTGCATGCGAAAGCACACTGTCTTCAACAAAGGCTGAACTCATGTCCTTCAGTCAGTGGTGGCATGACTCCCACGCTTTGCAGTCAAAGTACCTAGCTAGACCATAGCAGCTTCCCTCTGACGCACCTCCAATGCTAGGCTTGCAGGCTCTAAAATACTCGCGACAGGAATGCACAATAACATTGCCTCCAGGGCCTCCGGCCCTTGCCGAGCCCAAGGGTGCCCATCAGCTGGGAGTATTTGACTGCGTGGTTTTTTGAGTCTCTGATGGCCGTTGCTGCAGCCCAGTACTGCTCCCCTGTGAAGCCGGCAGCGCATGCAGGCGTCAAACCCTCCACCGCGTGGCACCTGATCGACCGCTCCAGGTCCCCCACTCCTGCAAACACACACCACTGGTCAGCCAGTACACTCTTTGAACGTCTGCAGCAGCCGCACTATTCTCAATATGACATGAGAAACGTCCCCCAACTCTGTCCGGTCGGCAGCTCAGAGACGGCTTTGAGAAGGCCTGCCAGCCATTGCTTGACTGCAGGCGGCGAGAATGTGATACTTAGAACTCATCAGGCTGCCGCTGTGAATTTAAAAAAACGTTGAAGGGCGCCTGCCAGAGGGTGCTGTCTTTGTCACCTGTCAGTATCACTCTGCAAGGGCCTGCCACCCTGAACAGGAAGCCTACATTGCCACCACAAACCTGCTAGCATACAGCAGGCTCTAGTCGCCAACTCGGTCCCAGAGCAATTGATAGTGTACATGCAATAGCGTTCCTGAATAAAATTTGCAATTATACATGCAAACGTCTCGCCTGCAGATAGGTGGAGCAACGTCCAGTTTCAGATGCCAAATGCTTGCATGTCTGATCCACTTGCGAATGTATCAAGTGGTGTTGAAGTAGTGAACGTTTTCATGTAGCCAGGTGCATGTGAGCAGCAACTCTACACACATATCTGAAGTCCAGTCTGAAGTCCATCTGCTGACTGTGAGGAAACTTGTACCTCATATCGGCAGTCCGAATTTTGTCATCAACTGGCTCTATTGGGTCTTGGCTCTGCTTCCCAACGTGTGCTGCCCTGTACTGCACCATGTCATTGAAGCAAGCCGGGGCTTTGGCTTCTGGCAAAGTCGCCCATCACTCATATCTTATCCTGCATGCAGTGAGGCACACGCTATTTGTGAATAACAGAGAGCGAGCTCCCTTTGTTGCCACAGGGTATTTTTAGCTGAAAGCAGCTAATCTCAGTAAAACCATTGCTAAAAGTCACTCGCATTCACAGAGAAAATGCTCACCTCTCTGCACCAACTGCAAGAAGTTGTAGTCAGAAGACATCAGCAGCACATGCGTTCTTCTCTAATGTCATGGCAGCAGATAATGCAGTTGATACTTGTGCGGTCCTGCCAGCGGCATAATTTTCGGCATAGTCCACTATGATCAGTGGGTAGTTGCCTTGCTTTGCTGACTATGCTGCTGCATGCCTGAATGCCTGTATGACTCTTGGAAGGGGCGACTGAGACTGCGCTAGGAGTGTTTGAACAGTGACCCATCCAAGAAGTTCCCTGTACCTTTCATCTGCTGACGCTTAAAGGGCCTTCAACTCTTGACCCCTCGCTCACAAGGGACCCATGAATGTCCGCTGCAAGCTGCTTGTTCCTTGAGGCGCTGTCCAGCAGAGTTGCAGCGAAGGCGGTTGGTATCGACACATCTCGAAGCCTGCAGTCTATGTAGCAGGGCTGCAGACCCGTGTCCTTGTCATGCTTCAGGAGTCTTGTGATCAAGGCTGTCTTTCCACAGTTTATATACACATGATCACATGGAAGCATGTGGGATGAGATGCTGCTAACAAATGAATGATGTCCTGTTCCTTTTCGCGGCTGAATGAGGGCGGTTGAACCCACTGCGAAGTTAAGACACCATGTATTCAGTGACGTCGTTAGCATGAATCTTCCCAGGATGAATGCATGATCAGGCAGGTAGTTCCTTACCTTTTGCTGGTCACTGCAGCTGATATTCCTCCGAATATGAAGGCGCTGATCACACAGTCAGCAAAACAAGCTACTCCAAATGGCTTGATCTATAGGCGTCACGTTAGGCTGTAGATACGATTGGGGTTCAGAACCCGGCGTGAAAGACTGTTCTGAAAGCTGCATGCTGACTGATTCATCTTTGGATAGCAGCACTTGATGCCCGATCAGCTGTTATGCGCGCATTTGAAGGACAGAAACGCGTGCACGTGGGGATCCCCCGTTACGTAGGGGACCCCGGGACCGCGGATTTCAAGAAAATCGTTTAAGTCGTTCAGGGAGTGCCTTGTGCAGAAGCAAGAGGAGCACGTAGAGGAGCACACATTCACCTTGAGAGTTTCTGAGACGGCCTGCAGAAGGGAAAAAGAGTGGAGTTCCATCGTGTGGGGTGACAGGGTGACCTGCTTCAATAGGCCATCTTGTTCTTCAGCTCAGGCAGAAGAGAATCTGACCACAAGGAGCGCGGGGCTGGAGGCAATTGACAATGTCCGGTCTTGCCGAGCTGGCGCCAGGATCTCTGGAAGAGGAGCTGGGTGGGTTTGGGGCCAAGGCAGCCAGCGCAACTCCCAAAGAACCTGTGAGTGTCTATCTCTTGGATGGTCCTCTCCTTAGCTCAGTGTACCTGCATTTAGGCCCCACAGTAAAATCAGCTCGCTGGAAAACTGACTTCTGCTGACATTGAAGACAGCGGGAGGTTATGAGCGCGACATATCTATGGCGATCGTGAAGGGTTGCTTGACTCAATCACCTGAAGAGAGAAGCTGATTGAGAACACGATGCGGCTTCTGAAAACTCGCAGACGCAGTTGTATCGTTTTATGCTGTCTTCCCCAAGCCCTTCAGTCTCTAAGTACAGTACCTTGCATGTCCAGGATAGGATCAGCCTTGGTCCAAAAAGTCGTGACTATTCACTTTTTATCTGCACTGCCACAAGCAAAACAGCACATCTGAATATCTCCTCTGCTGATTGCAGATCCGTCTGAAGAAAGACAGCGAAGTTGCAACACCGGTGGAGACACCAGCAAAGCCATCAGAGGTGGATCAAGCTGCCACAGCTCCTCCGGCAGGCCCTCCCGATGCAGCAAAGCCTGCGAAGGAACAAGGGGACAAAGCTACATCAGGGGCAAGCGGCGATGCTGTCCAGAGCTTGGAGAAAGCTTGGCAGAAGCCTGCCGCAGAGACTGGAGAGGCACAGAATGCCCCAGCTGCGCAAGGCGATGCCAGCCTAGCAGGTCAACATGCACAGACCCCTGCTATCTGCCAAATTTTATATCCTTTCTTGTGCAGATCCTCTTATTATGTGTGTCTCACTCCCGGCGTAGGAAATGCGGTGCTCGACTCCTGCATGCGTGCAAGCATTTGGCTCGGCGTCACTGACAGAATTCTTTGCCCTCCAGCAGCGCCATTGGAGGCGGTGGCTAAACTAAAGGAGACTGCACCGGGACCGTCATTGGGCAACAGTGCAGACGGTGCTGCAAAGGAGCACCCGTCCGCGGTGGCCGCCCCTGCGGCAGCGCCGGAGCAGAGCGGCAAGGCTGAGACATCGACTGGGGTGACGGCTGCAGCCAAGTTGGACAAGGGAGCTGGGCAGGGTGCAGGGACGGCGGTGAAACAGGAGCCCCCAAGCGCTGCCAAGCCGGTTGCTGCCAAGCCGCCTGCGGCAAATGGTGTGCAGCTTCATTCCTCACCTTTCGATCCTCTCTGTGTATCAGATGTCAAGCTCAAAGTACTTCTCCAGCAGGCTGCAGGTTGGACTGTCTGGTTCTACGGAGGTCCCGCCAGCATACTTTAGATGTTGCCTCATGGTTTCATTTGAAGGTATTGATCATAGAATGACTCGGCTGGGATGTGCGATACAGGCGCGCCTGTTCAGCGGAAGCTATTGATACAGGAGTCAGATTCGGACTCGGACGATGACAAGCCGCTTGCACAGCGGTTGACAGTTTCAAAAGAACAGGTGCACACTCTCTGGTAGCCCAGCTCACTGACGGTCTGAAACCTTGTGCTTGTTGGGCACAGTGTGTGTTGTATTATGACAAGATTGAGTCAACACTGTTTAGTATGCTCAATACTACAGAGTTGCTCGCCAAGGTGTGTCAGTGATTTGTAGCCTGCCCAAATCCAAATCCAAATCCAAATCAATACTTAGAAAGTGATGCTAGGCAATTCGGAGCACAAGCAAGTTCCCATAGCAATGAAGGGGTTGAAACAGTAAGACATATCTAACGAGAAATATGATACATGTGCGTACCACTCTACTTATCTGCCCTTTCAGGTGAAGAAGAAGATGGAGGCGGGCAAGGCTGTAAGGCCGGCGGCAAAGCAGGGGGACCCGACGAAGAAGGTCAAGAGGGAAGTAAGGGATGACGAGGATAGACCGAAGAAGAAAATGAAGGTGCACAGCCTTCCACTCCACATTTCCACAAGGAGTCCTGCCTTGCTGAGGAAATAGCACGCCTTTTGAGTACAAATAGTGACCTTGTGACCTGGAAGAGCTGTGCTGATAGACGCGTGGGCAGGCCTAGCATTAAGCCAAGGCATCACAACTAGCTGACATCGCCATCCTACCTGGCTCTTTGGAACTTCAAGGGTCCAGAGCCTGTCACGAGATGAATGCTGATGAGTGTTCTAATGTGCTGGCTTGGTGCTGGCTATGCCTTCATGTCTTACATTCTCTTCTCCCTTATATTGCTGACAGCAGTCTGGCATGCACATCCCAGGTCAAGGTAGAGCAGTCAGCTCCCAAGCGCAGGCGCGAAAACGGAGCGGACGAGCCGAAGAAGAAAAAGAAGAGCAGGTCTGATGCTGGTCCCAGCAGACCCTCCCAGGACAGCAGCAGGAAGGTGCAATTTCCCTCCCCTGTCATTTCTTGATCGTGTCACTGGCTGTTGGCATCCTCATTGCTGCTTCCTTCCCTTTCGATTGTTCATTTCATATGGGCCAGGATAAAGCAATGCCACTTCATTGCCTCAAGGCATGAAGCTCATTTAGTCTCTAGGAAGGAGTGACAGGATCGCATTAGTGAGAAAGCGCACTTCACAAGGAGGCTACAGCTGGCTCCTGGCTTGCATATGTCAGGCTGGCTTTCTGCCAATTTTGGCTAGGTGAGCAATCGGCTATGTGATATGAGTAATCAAGTATGCATGCATGCCTGATCAGGCGGAGGACAAGGAGGCGAAGTGGGACACGCTGGTGCACAGCGGCGTGCTGTTCCCTCCCGAGTACACCTCCCACGGCGTCCAGATGCTCTACGACAGCAAGCCTGTCGACCTGACGCTCGAGCAGGAAGAGGTGCGCTGCTTGGTCTTCAGGAGTTATTTCTGGCAGTATGCTGATTTCCATTCAGGCTGCATGCACAATTTTTGAGCAGATTGGATTGTTGCATGCCTGCTGTGGATCAGGTCCTCTGCATCTTGGTCCTTGGCTGCAAATTAGCGTCAACCGCAAGCTGGAGAGCTTATTATCTGAGAACGCTACCTCGTGTGCCATCATGGTTGCTCCTCTGCATGTCATTAAAAGTGGCCTTCTGGCCTATCTTCAGGTCATTCAGTAGGGGCTGCACATGGTGAATCACCCGGGGTCGTCAGGTCCTGGTTACAGAAACATTTGCCGGGGACTAGTCACCTCATTTCTGTCACGAGACGCACATGGGGGTGTGATGGCGGCACATGCGCGCAGATGGCGACTGCGATGGCGGTGATGACGGGGACGCAGTACCTGGAGCGGCAGCAGTTCCTGGACAACTTCTGGGCGGACTGGAAGAAGGTGCTGGGGCCCAAGCACGCCATCAGGGACCTGAAGAAGTGTGACTTCACCCCCATCTACGAGTGGCACATGGCCGAGCGCGAACGCAAGAAGGCCCTGCCAAAGGAGGTGCGCTGATGATGCCTCTTGCTACTTGTCAAAGGTTGCACTTCTACTGCCCTTTTTGTATTAATGTCAGAAGTGAACTTCTACACCTGTGAGGGCTTTATGGCAACGGCAACCATGTACTCAGCCTTCGTCAAAGCCTGGCTGCAAGGCCCTGAGGCAGGGGTCCATAGCCACTGGGTAAGTTCATTGTCCTCATTGTGGGCTGTCTGCCGTTGATGTGGGTGGTTGCATCTTTTCATGTCCAAAGGGACTGCTTAGAATACGAGTGTGTACTGTACTATGAAGGGCTTCAATCAATGGCAGAATGTAAGTGTGGGGTTTGTGGGCGCAGGAGAAGGACACGATGAAGAAGGAGAAGGAGGAGGCGGAGGCCAAGTTCAAGCACGCCCTGGTGGACGACCGCAAGGAGCAGGTGAGAGGGGAGCATGCTGTCACATGTGTGCAACACACAGTGCTTACAGCTGCTCTAGGATACTCAACCCTGTCATTTGTGGGCTTTGATCAGCATTGTGTGGCGGAGAAGATTCCCCCTATTCATGTTGTATCAAGGGCTTTGGTGCCATGCATCACAGATGCCCGCATGAAGGACTACTAGGTGACAAACAGAAGTGCTTTGATTTTGAGGTTGTGGCCTGCCCTGCCAGGTGGGCAACTTCCGGGTGGAGCCGCCGGGGCTGTTCCGCGGCCGGGGGGACCACCCCAAGATGGGCAAGTTCAAGCGGCGCATCTACCCCCGCGACATCACCATCAACATCGGTGCGCGCCCCTTGTCACACCCAACATCTCCATGCCTGTCCCCCAAGTGTTTTTTGCAGTTCTTGGGAGGATGAGCTCTTAGAGAGGGCCGCCGAGGACGCGGCGTTCAAATTGACGATGCCAAATTGACGGAAAGGCAGTCGATCCAGCTGGCTCGCGGTTTGGAACGTCGTGTGCTGGGTTGCCCCCAGCGGTGCTTATAGGTCACACTTACCTTCACAGTCCACAATCATCCTGCGCATGCGATACAGAAGGCCTCGTCGGCTCTGTAATGCGTACCTGTAATGCCACGAATTTGGCGACTGAAGACAAGAATCACCTGCTGTCAGATAACGACATGAATTAAATGAGAAAGGAATCTTGCACCGGCTGCAGGCAAGGGGGTGGCAGTGCCAGAGCACCCGTATTTCCAATCAGTCCCACAATTCACAATTGTGCTGCACATGGATGGAATAAAGTGACCCTGTTGCTGATGCACAGGATGCATGGGTGGCTAAACATTTCAAATGCGTACAGTAGTGTTTTGAATTCAAATCATGCTAAAAGTATTGTGTTGGCTGCAGGCAAGGGCGTGGCGGTGCCGGAGCACCCGTACCCGGGGCAGAAGTGGAAAGAGGTGCGGCACGACAACACGGTGACATGGCTGGCCTTTTGGAAGGACCCCATCAGCGCCAAGGACTACAAATACGTCTGGCTTGCCGCCAACTCCACCTTCAAGTCCGACTCCGACCTTGCCAAGTACGAGAAGGCCCGCAAGCTCAAGGTGCGCCGCACGCCCTGGGCAGCCGGCTCTGTGATCCGCAAATTTGCTGAGATGTATACTTGCATGCAAAGCAAAAACATTTTCAACGCAGGAAGCTGCTTCCCTTTCTTATATTGCCGGCCATAAAGTTTCATAGATCGTGCACCTGCCCCAAAATGCCCGGAAATGCTGCTGCAATCCGGAGCAACTGTCATCAATCTGAACGATTGAGCGTTGTGCATCTCACTGAGCAGGGAATGTGGCAAGGAGCCTTTGTCAGATAACACGCAGTCGCTTTTTGGCTCTCAACCAGCCCACTTTCCTGCATTATGAGGTGCTGATGTAGCATGTGGTGCCCATGCTCGCGCAGGACTACATCGGGGGCATCCGCAAGGCGTACGAGAAGGACTGGGAGAGCGCCGACATGCGCACGCGGCAGATGGCTGTCGCCCTCTACTTCATCGACAAGCTGGCGCTGCGAGCCGGCCACGAGAAGGACGAGGACGAGGCAGACACCGTCGGCTGCTGCACCCTCAAGGTACGCTTGCAACACAGCCGCATCTTGCTGGTGGACATACTGGCCGAAGCACCCCCAGTGACGGCACCAATTGGATTCAGGAGTGCTGGGAACCGTCTGCTGCAAGACTGCGCAGCCGCAGATGTGGCACAGCAAGGCCAGTGTGCGACTTAAACTGGCAGGAAGATATTCTGCATGTGGCCGCACTACCGTGATGGCGAGATTGAGGATCTGACATGATGTAACGGGGTCTGATCAATTCACCAATTCACTGCATATGATCCCACCGAGGCTACTTTGTTATGAGAATGGGGAGTTGCGCGGGCTCACCAACAGATGCTCAATGCAAGTTCTTGAAGGCTTTGATTGCAATCCGATTTTTTGATTGGAAGGGTCTGAGGCGTGTGAATTTGCAGGTGGAGAATGTGGAGGTATTGGAGGACAACCACATCAAGTTTGACTTCCTGGGAAAGGACTCCATCCGCTATGAGAACGAGGTGGCCGTGCACCCCAAGGTGCACTCCCTCGTGCGCCAGTTCTGCAAGACCACCAAGGACAACAAGAGTGCGCTCCTACCACCCTTAATTGCATTGGCACCCCTTCGATGGAAGCTCACAGACGTCTTTGATGTTGTGGGCTGCACTCCCTTGCCACAAGAGCACTGTCAATTGGGGCTGTTCTGTGGCATCATGTGACATTTAGCTGCTGCAGTGCCTTCATGATGACTCATGTTTGGGCTCCTGAGATCTCTGGGTGGTGTATGCCTCGCAGTCAAGAAGCCTGATATGGACCTGTTTGACACGATGGATGCCACCGACCTCAACAAGCGCCTCAAGGATCTCATGGACGGCCTCTCTGTCAAGGTGCTTGCCATGTCACCATGTTCCCCTTCCACCCGCTCTCTGCCCAGCCGCCAAGCTGGACTGAGAGTTTCACGCACCCTCCAATGCATCTCGCCATTTTGTGCCCACGGATGTACATTTTGGGGAGCTCATTTGGAGCCCATGTGCTGCTTTGGTCGCTGCGGCAGGGATATGAGTAGCTCCAGCCAATTCCTATCCCTCTCTTATCTTCGTCAGATGCCCTGCTGTAAGCTGCCTGGTGTCCAATCCATGCTTGCTGACACTGCTTTGAACCTATTGACACCCAGACATTGGTGGCATCCCTTCTCTGTGTGGCCCTCTGATCGCGCGCGTGTGCATTGTGCAGGTTTTCCGCACGTACAATGCGAGTGTGACGCTGGACGCGCTGCTGCACAAGGAGAGCACCACATCCACCGTGGACGAGAAGAAGGCCGAGTACGACCGCGCCAACAAGGAGGTGCGCCAACTCACACACCCTTTCTCTCGGTGTCCTTTCTGCTTTGGCAAGCCAAGCAAGCTGGCAGAGGAGCAGGTGTTGATGGGGCCTCACATGCCGCAAGCACAACCAGAGCTCTGTTGCAGTACCGCACATTATTGCTCCTGTGCCAGACGCAGCGAAAAACTCAGGATGGACGCCTTTATGATATGACTCTCTGGGCTTGCCGTCCTGTGAAAAGGTATGGTGAAGGAATCCCCCCTGAAACCTACATGCGGTGTGTCTGTAGACCGGCAGAAGGTTGCCATGAATAATCTGGAAGCGTGGCGGGTGCTGCCACAGGCGGCAAACCTGTGCAATCACCAGTTTTTCATGCTTTACCTGTGACTCATTGGTTACTGACCTGGATCACTCACTCGCCGCGTCGCAGGTGGCGATCCTGTGCAACCTTCAGCTTTTCATGCTGGCATACCTGAGACTCATTGCATTACCCATCCGCATGACTCATCGCAGACTCATCTGCTGCGGTGCAGGTGGCGATCCTGTGCAACCATCAGCGCAGCGTGCCCAAGGGCCACACGGGGCAGATGCAGAAGATGGAGGCCAAGCTGCTGGAGCACCAACAGCAGCTGGACGCGCTCGAACGCGAGCTCACCGCCGCACGCAAGGGGAAGGCCTTCGAGGGCGCCAAGGCCCGCCCCGTCGACTCGTGAGTCCTCCCTCCCTCTCTTTTTTGAGAATGTACAACCCGCCAAATCACAAAAGCCCCTCGCAGGCAGCCATCACACTCGTGCATCAAGAATTACGGGGCCATACTTGCAACCAATATGTGTAGCTGTTCTGGGAATGTGGGACTTCAGACTGCGGCTTCTGCGGAAGCTTCCAGTAGGAAGGAATGCAGGCGTACTTTGGATGCTGTGTGCCCGTAACATGGCTGGCATTCATTGCGCTGATGATGGGAGTGTTTGTTATGCTCTGTGCCACCTGCATGGCGCCTTATAAAAGACAGCAGACACAGAGCTTTGCCAAAGTAGCCGCTATGAGCGTGATGTTCCTCCCAAACATGAGGCAGGTGGTAGAGACACGGTAGTCGATGCCACCCGGAGCAGAGATCCCAAGCTGTGGCAGGCACCATCACAATACCCCCACATCTATTATTTTTATTATTATTACACGCATTTCCTGCCAAAAAGCAAGGTATGTCCTGCAGACCAGCTGCAGTTAAAGGCTGCCACAACCCTACCCCTTGTTGGACTCGCCAGATCGAAGCAAGACTCAATCAACCCTGGGCACGGTGCTCAGTATTTACACCGGCCCCCGCCAGCCGGGGCCATGTATATGGGTCCTCTTATTGTCAAGTGAGATCCCCAAGATAGCCCCACCATCCAGATACCTCCACGGGTGGTGCAAGAGGATGAAGTTCAAGTCTTTTGGCGCAACCCCCCCCCTCGGAAAGCAGCTCAAGATGCCCTGAAGGTGGCAGGTCAGCTGCCGGGTTTTTGGGGTTTCTCTTGCTAACTTTCCTCCCCCTTGCGCCCTAGCCGGCCAAAAGGGTTGCCGCCAAAAGAAATCAAAGTGGAGTACCCCAAGCATGTGTGCCTATACTTGAATAAAAGAGCTGGTTCAAATCTTGTGGCGGCTGGTGCTGCAGGCTGGAGCGGCAGATAGAGAAGAAGCGCGATGCGCTGAAAAAGCTGGAACTGAACGCCAAGGTGAAGGAGGACCTCAAGACTGTCGCGCTGGGCACCTCCAAGATCAACTACCTCGACCCTCGCATCACCGTCGCCTGGTGCAAACTGCACGAGGTGGGCTTGTAAACTCGAATTGCAAATTTGAAGCCGGAATCAATTATCTTTTATTTACGTAGCCCCAGTTGTGTGCATCTATGCTGTGTGGTAGTTGTTGCTCCTGGGCCGAGAGATCATTGCATTGTTGGTACACGATATGCAATTACGGGGCACTCCCACACTTCATTAGCGCTCGCACTCCTTTGTACGTCTTGCACTCTGTCTTGGTAAATTCATGCCCACATGCCATGCTGTGGACCAAGCTAGTGGCCATATGGCTCTGTGTAGCCAAACTAGCTAAGTTCCGCTGCCTCAGCCAGTATAGCATCAATGCGTGATATTTTGAGAGCTGCCAAACAACCCTGTGCCAACGGTTAATTGGGTCTTGCCTGGATCTGTCGAGTCCAACAAGGGGTAGGATTGTGGCAGCCTTTAACTGCAGCTTATCTGCAGAACGTGCCTTGCCTTTTGGCAGGAAAAGCGTGTAAAGAGACCCTTTGCAAATTCTGATGGATCTGGTGTGTGGTAATGCAGGTGCCCATAGAGAAGATCTTCAACAAGAGCCTGCTCTCCAAGTTCCACTGGTCCATGGACATCGAGCCCGAGTGGCGCTTCTGAACCGTCAAACCTTCTTTTGCTTTTCTTTTCCTGCGCCCTAGCGCGCGCGGGGGTGCTAGCTCCTCTCCGCCACGCGCTCAGCTGACGATACACAGTAGACTGAGATGCCTCAGGCCTCTGTTGGACCAAGGGGTTGGCGTATGGGCGATCAGGGCAGTGTAGAAACTTCTGGAGAACTGATGAGATCAAGGGACCCCACGCACTGGCCGCTTGGAGGCTCCTAGGATCCGAGCAGCCACTTTCTCAGTGAGCGCAGCAGAATAGGCGGCCAACTAAAGATATTGTGCAGAGCTCTGAAGAGGACGTGTCGTGGATGCTGCACATGCGCTTCACGACCAGACAGCCTCGTAGTTGGCATAGGCATCAAGGGCACTTGATTGATGGTTTCTTGGAGACAGGAAACCCTCGCAAGACATCCCCATGGAACAGTAGTAGTGCGGCTTTAGCATATGCCCATGCAAAGTATCCTCTGAAGCAGTCAAACAAGCATGCTGGAGGTGCGCTCAGCGCGACTGTAAGTGAAGCATTGAACAAAGCTGCTACATACTCAATGACCAGGGGACAATGCACTGATGGGCTCTTGCAGCAGCTGTGTTCAGTCAAGAATAGCTTGTGTCCTTATCAGGGCAGAACGTAGCCTAGACGTTGTGGCGTGCTGGCAAGAGAGTACCTTTCTCCTTAGTAAGGGCTAGCGCGGCCCATATCATACAATCCTTCGTGGCAAATGATATGCAAGGGTGTTCTGATGGCATAGGTAGATAGAGTCATACTTCTGACCGTGACCTGAAATAATGCAGTGAGTGGTGTCCGGACCAGGTTCTTCCTAAGAAAGCAGCCTTTCTATAGCTATCTGCACCATGACATGCACCGTGCATGTGACATCATGTGCATGATCTTCATGTCCACGGTGCATGATGCTGGCACGCCGATGCCGCACCTAAATTTACAATCTTAAATCAAATTTATGAAGTGCGGCCCATTAGAGTGGATCCAGGGTTCCGGAATTCAGGGGTGGAGCTGAGTTTTTAACTCTTCGTGTGCTTCAGTTACTTATAAATGCTGATGTAGACTGCATGCAGCCTTGCGTAGTTCTGTAGTGTATCCTCCGAGAGCTGAACTCTTTTATTTAATTTTGCATGTTGCCCTGAGAGTCCCCTAAACTGAGGCATGCTCTCAAATTCTTTCAAGTACAGCCTAGATTGCATTATTCCCAGAACATTTCCACGCATGCTCAAGCCTGCAGCACGCCGTCTTTCAGGTCGCCGGCATTAATTCCTCCTGCAACCATGGCGCCGCCGTCGCTGTTCTGCCACAGGTGGTGACGTCCCGAGTCTAATTCGCGCGCCTCGGCCGAGAAGATATTGTCCGCGCTCAGGTGGAATGTCACCTGCACAACCAACAACCCCCTTCGCTCACCCCCCTCCTTAACAAAGGAAAGCCTCTTGATAGAGAAGCGCGGGGAGAGAGCCCCTGAGAATGGAAGGCCTAGCAGGGTGCCCAAGTGGCCTTTGCCTTGAGAGAAGGCTTCCCCAAAGCTGGCCCCCGGGAAAGACGTCAAATAGAATGGAAATGATGGAATGCCCGGAGATCCGGTTGCCGGCCCCAGGCAATGCAGCTTCAAGTCTCAGACACCCTTCCTACACTAAGGTTGTTGCAACCACCATGCCGGAAATGTTGGAATGAAACAGGGGCGCTGTCTGAATGCTGTGGGTGTTTCACTTGCTCATGCATGTTTGTGCAGCACCCCATACATGCACAGCAGATCACAGCTTTTTGCCTGCTTCAACCCATGGGAGGCTTGAGGCCTTTCGTCTTCGATAGGTTTTGGTGTGGAAATAAGAAAGTCTTTAGAGTGCGAGTCACCGTGCTGCATTTGCAGCCTGCCGGGGTTCCAAATTATAGATCTGCAATCTGGAGGCATCTGAGGTTGTCACATCAGTGCAGGTGGGCTGACCTCAATCTGGGGTACGCCGATGGGGGCTTCGGGCAGGCCCACTAGGTGGAATTGGCCGAGCTGCTTGTTGCGCGATGCCACCTGCGACTCGCCCCGGTACAGCATCAGGCACACCTCACGTTGACCAGGGTGAACCGTCGTGAACACCTGCACCAATTAATTGTATTAAGCATCTATTTTCCGTCAATACCCACTTGCATGTCAGCTGACTTTTGCTTCTATGACCTGGGAAGCAGTTAGTCTAACTGCTTCCCAGTTAGTCAAAAGGTATAAAACGGGGGTTGACCATGCTAAGTCTGATCGCCCACGTGGGTACACTTTGGTAGAATGGCATGACTTCACAGCTGCTGCGCTTTTCACAGCATGGAGAACAATTAATCAGCACCGCAGGTATTGATGAGCTGGTGCAGTGGAGCCAACTGCTTTGGTCTGGATGCAGAGATGCCTGGACAACTGCGCATGCGGGCGGACGACTGATCTGCGCCTAATTGGCATGACACTGGGAGAGGTACTGCAGCGGCCCGTGCATGCACGTTCGGACATGCATGTTCTTGTGTGGCCATTCTTGGCTCTGCAGCGGGGCTTTTTAAGATGGAATGTTAAATAAGGACAAGGCAGCAGCACTGTGTAGAGGGTGCGAGCATGCCTGCTTGATGCTGCAGGGTGCGTAAGCTTGCGAGGGGATGAGCACATGCATTTTGTCGCCGATGGTGGCGATTCCCAAAGAGCCCCTCGTCTCGGGCAGCTGCCACCCCTTGAATTCCTCGCGGCTGGTTGTTGTGCCTGCACCAGCTTACACCCGATGGTGAAAAATTATTATTTAAAAGATTTTGACGGCATGTAGATACCGGACATGAGAAGTTTGTGATATGGAGATGGGCAGTGACAGACTGCCTACAAGACCGATGAGCCTCTGGTGGCTCCCAAAAGGTCCCTAACATGTAATCATGATAGTAATAATACTTACGCTACTAAGAGGATGGTGATTGCGGCCAGCTCTGCTCACTGTGAGCACCTGCTGCATTGATCCATTGTAAGAGGGAGCATGCTTTAGCAAGCGACATGCTAACAGCAAATGCTGGAGAGACAGTGAGATACGCAGACCTTCCAAACGTACCACACATGGATGACATCCAGATGACAAATGGATGACAAAGCTGAGGATGAAAAGCGCAAAGTACTGTAAATTCGTCTCAGGATACATATACACCATGGCAGGAAGGTGTTGTGATAATGTGGAGGGAAATATGGTGAATCAGATGCGTTTGTATGCAGGGACATCATCTGTAGACAATGGAGACATCACCTGCGAAGGGAAGTGTCGGACGCATTGGTGGAATGACTTTGGGGGGCCGCTTGGGCAGATCCCAAGCCTTGTAAGCCTCCTGCTTCTCGGTAGTGCCGTCGCCAAAGGGGGTTGGAGTGTAGGTGTAAGCATTGAGTGTCACCTGCACTTGCACCTTCAACTCTCTCATACCCTTTGATTGAAGCTTGTGTCACCACCATAAGTATTGTTCATATTACTACCACACGTCCCTGCCAGGCCAGGGTGCGTCTGCAGACAAGCTGCAGGTAACGGCGTGCAAACCACTTCACTGATGGGAGCCTTGAAGACGGGACTGATGCCCGCATGCAAACAGAGCGCAGCAGATGCGGCAAGTGTAAGCGCATAGCTTTGGCACATGACAGCAGAACTGGTGCGGCAGCGCAATACAAAATTTGAATTGCTGTTGGCCGATCAGCATTTAACTGATGCTGGAATCTATTCTGTACCGGAATGCATGCAGACTCTGGCAGGACCTGAACAAAGATCCTGGATATCCAAGACAGCCGGACGTCTCTCTTCTGGACATCTCAGGGCAATACCAAGAAATTCTGACATATCCAGTATGTATGTCTAGCAGTCAATCCGGCAGGAGCTTTTGGGCGGACCAGAACCCCATCCCAACCCAGAAGCACAAGCTCAATATAAGGCGGATGCTTCCAGGGAAGCCAGACCCTGGATCATAGAACATGAGAACAAGGCTGAAAGAAACGAGAGAGGAGGAAGTGCACACCTGGTGGGGCTCGATCTGGTGTGCCTTGTAGGTCTCGCCGTTGGTGGTTGTGCCGTCGAAGCGTGCCGGGTTTTTGGCGGCCACGGCCGGCGGCGGGCGCGGGCGCGGCTCGACCTGGAATGCCGGGAAGTTGGAGTGGTACGTAGACTCCGCGTCAAACTTCACATCGCTGCCTGCAGGAAGCAGAATTTTGTTCTTGTTACTAGTATCACACGCTGCCAGAGGCAAGGTGCAGACAAGCAGCAGGTGAATGCTGCTACAAGTCCTAACCCTTGATGGCCTCGCCAAATCCAAGCAAGACACAAACCACCATGGGCATGGTGCTCAGTGCTTATACCCGCCCTCGCCAGCCGGGGCCAGCCAAGGCCGGGGCGTTCATTACATGATCGGCAAAATTAAGCATGAGACTGTAATGCTTACATCAAAGGCACCTGCATCTACATGTGTGCGGCCCACAGTGGGAAAAGTCTTTAATGCTGTGACCTGTTCACTGCAGTTTTGTCTATAATCACCCTTATTGCTGAGATCCTTTCAGTACACTGTTTTGAAATCGAAACAGTGGGCGGTGATTGCTGATGTCAGCATGCCAAAAGGGTGAGAGGAAAGGCTCACCCTTGTAGGGCACTGCCTCAAGCTTGTAGACCTGCTGCGGCGGATGCGCAGGGAAGCTGTCACGGTAGGCGGAGGTAGCTGCAAAGGGCAGGAGGGTGCGCGCCGGGTGGGCAATGGGCGGCGGCCGCTTGGGCAACTCCCACTGCTTGTACACGTCCTGCGCAGACTTCGACTTGTCAAATGACCACTTCTGCTTTGTTCCGACTGCTTCCGTCAAGCTCTGGTAGAAAGAAAGTCTTCCTGGGCGGGTCTGTAGGCGTTAAAGAGGAGCAAACTGCAAGGACAAGAGTGACGAACCCTCGATATGTTCGGGATGCCACAGGTGCTCAGCGAAGGCCAAAATAAGTGGTTTACCGTACCTTGGATGTTGTTGTAGCATCAAAGCGCTTGTTAACACCGTGCAATTGGATGGCGCGCGGGTAGTAATCCTGCAAAATGATGACGGCCACCCAAGCGCAACTTACATATCTACTTCATCACTTTAGAGTGTTGAGCGCTTCAGAAGACAATAAATCTCTCCCTGAAGCTTACATTTTACCTCATGAGCTGATGAAGCTATGACCAGGTCCATTGCGGACAGATACCGAGGACCCATGGCTGCTGCCATCGTGATGTCCAAGGTCGTCCCACGTTCGTATCTGTAAATCGATCAGGGCAGCAACATGCACTTGTGTCTCAAGTATTACAACAAGAAAACTTTGTGTGTGAAATTGGTGATCTGCGCTTCTGTATTGCGCGGGACCAAAATAACTCTGCCTGGGCCTTGGAGCTCTGGGTGGTCTATTTAGGACGTGACCCACAATTACAAGTTTGCATGCATACAGCTCTGCAATCACAAATATTTAAGTGTCCCACATGTACCAGACAGACTAAAAGAGAGCAACTCACGAGACCTAATCATGATTCATTACCGGAGGTGCACCTCATGTGACGGCTGTCCCAACACCCTCATGCGCATGCAAACTTTGACATAATCTTGAGGTGAGTCACCCAAGAGGTTCCAGAGCTTACGTATACAACATCTGACAGTCTGGCCAACACAACTTTTGACATAAATGAAACCTGCTGAACGCTGTGACAATACTGCTGAGCTGTGGTGCTGAATTCAGAAGCTGAAAATGGTGGCACTGCACTTGGCACATGTTCTCATGCTGCCAAGGCCTCTGCTATTGCCTCGCCAATCTTCTCGCTCGACTGCAACCACATGCACACAGCTCTCAGGAGAACTTTCTTCGCCCCATCTGCCCTCAAGTATTTAACAAGGAAGCAGCATGTAATGGACTAGCTCGTCATGTCAGTGCACGTTGCTGCAGCAACCGTGGAAGAAGATGCATCAGCTGAATATCTGAACACCTGAATATAGATGGCCACAAGCTTTGAGTCCATAGATACTCACCTGCGGATTCTGGCCAGTGATCAGCTTGCCGTCCACGACCACATGCGAAGTCCAATCGTCTCCCTGTCACAACATGACAAATTTGCTTCATTGAATACCGGCTTGTCTGTGCCTGACGACATGCCTTCCATTTTCAACACAAATGTATTGCATGCAGGGCTTGCATGCCCAGCGCAGGTTGAGTCTTCCAGTCAAAAGGTCTGTCAATGCGCACATGGCCTGCAGGGCTCTTGCTGCAGCCTCCGGCCTCCGATTGAGCTGGAAGCTTTCAGCACTTTCCCTCACAGAATATGTGCCGCCCTCTTTGATCCACCAGGGTGTGAAGTTGCCGGTTCGACAAGGTCTTGGACTCTCTGTGATGTGTGCAGGGAGAGGGGTACCTTTTCGTAGAGGCCTCCGAGCTCGCGCAGGCGCGCCTCTGGCAGGAAGGGCACCAGATGGCTCTTGCCAACCGTGTTCTCCTCGCTGTCGCTGAAGCACGTCACCTAAACAACCCATGCACAACTCGGAAGAAACTCTTTGTGAGTGCAATTCGATTCATCTGCTTACAGCGACCCTGCATCGTGCGGCATATGCCTCAAGAGCCCTCCAGCCCTTTGTAACATCCAGCTATTTGCCCCCACCCAGAAAACACATTTTGCTTGGTGGTGCAATGTGTCCCAGCCCTGGGAGACTCTTAATGTTGCACTGAGTTGCTTGTGATTCACACAAAGTACCCAGAGCAGAAAAAGGTGCAAATTTTCCATATGACAGGGTCATGTGAGGAGGAGAAGTGGAGCTCACCCGCTTGCCGGCAACGATCGGCTTGCCATCAACCTTGGGCCCCGAGAAAGCCACGGGGCCGTGGCACACCGCGGACACAATCTTGCCCTTGGCGGCGAAATCGGAGATGAGCGCGCGCAAGGTGAGATCAAAGGGTCCATCCACCGCAACCCCGTGGCCCCCGGGGATATAAATAGCGTCGAAGTCATCGGCGCTGAGGCCCGCGATGGGCACGCTGTCCTCCAGCAGCGCCATGTCATCCTCTGCGCTTGCCGCGCACACCCTTCAAGGTTTGTATGTCAGGGGAGATGAGTGTTTGTAGGTCTTCTTGAATTTTAGTGCGTTGCTGGGCCGGATGTGTCTTGTGTGTCGCTAGCGCTGCATATGCACCGTGAGGTAGCCTTTTCTCTCTGCCTGGCGCTCGCACCGCCTTGAATGACTTGCTTCTCCCTTCTATATAGTTGTTGCTGGGCCCTAATTCTCAAAGCCTCTGGTGAATGGTCTACCCTCAGGAGGTTTCCCAGAGGGGGTCAGGCAGGGCAACACGAGGTTTGCCGGGCCTTTCCTTCCGGTCAAATTTTGACAGTGCTACCCGACTCTGGCATCTCAGCGGCTGCAACATGCAAAGAAATGCTGCAATGATAATAAAAGAGGTTGCAAGTAGCACACATTCATTTGCGCACAAACCAGGGCGCGAATCATAGGGGATGAAACGTGCGCTCACTGCTGTCAAGGAAGGTCTGGGCATGGCCCACAACGTTTTCTGGCTTCATGGAAGTCGGGTCCAGGGGAATCTTGCCGCCCTTCACGCTCGCGATCGTCACGTCATGTCCCTTGGACTTCAGGATAAGGTAGGGAGCTGCGAGCTCCTCCAACCTGTGCATCAGCAGATGTTTTGTTCAAGTGGACTGCACCCTGGTCTGCATGCTTGCGCCCATATACTATATAAAAAATTAAGATTACTGATGATTATGTCAATCCTTCCAACACTCGTCAATCAAGCAATAGGTTGGCTGCTAGCCAGGGCATCGAGAGTGATCCACTTGTTGATGCAGCCACACTAGCATTAATCAATGGATTTGTGCAGCATAGAAGCTTTTTTTGAACCTATTATCATAACGTAAGAATGAAGTTTTACCAGAGGCCTGTTGCATCGCCACCTAGGGCGTCGGCACTTGTGGACACGGTCAAGACCTTCTTTCCCATCTCGAATCGTGCACTTCCTAGATCTTTGTGATATGTTGTTATATCTTACTACTGATGTGATTAAACTTTTGGAATACGAGGTAAGGTGTTTCGTGACTTTTGGGCATCTGCCCGGAAGCCGAGCCCTGCTGCCAACTGGCGCATTATGTCATGCTGATTTGGCGCGTCACATGGATTGCACGTGCGAGAAGTGAAAGCGTGGAAAACTCTCTCTCCCCCATGATCCGCACAGCAAATTAGTGTGGTAGGCGCCTGTCAGTACGCTTTGATACAGATAGGTACCGGAGTGCCAAGATCGGAGCTTCTGGTCGCTTCAGGGTCACCTCCATCAACACATCTTAGACTATATTTTGATAATGCTGGGCTTTACCCAGCATTTAAGCAGCACATGAGTGTCCAGTCGACGTTAATTCTGTTGCTGATCATCGTCGCGAAAGCATCGGCATCAGACTCTGTGAACACTACGGCAGTAGAAGAGGGTTGCATCGATACGATCAGGAAAGGCTTGCCATATTTGAGACGTTTTTCATCCCCGCAGCTTCGCCAGGCATTTATATACGCGGCTACAGCTCAAAAACACGGCAGACCCCTACTTTACAGGAGCATTTTGGACAAGAGCGTGCACCATGGTTTAGCAGCCCTGGCAAGATGTGGCAAGAAAGCCCCAGAAGTGCCCTGCCTTCAGGACCCCTCGATGCCAGCGGCTCCAGCAGGGCAGAGGGTCTTTTTTGCATCGAATCTGCGCGACAATGCGCCGCTCATGCCTCACTACATAACCCAGATGCTGTTCACTGTCACAGCCCTCCCTGTTGGGAGTGCCTTTGTGTCCATCTATGAGAGCGGCAGCACGGACGCAACAGGTACTGTCATCTGATACGTGCTGATGTCATGCAAGCTTGAATGTTCCGCTGACGAATTTTTCCTTGATGATGCCAGCTGAGTCACTGATTTCTTTTTCACCACGTAGGGGCATGGCTGCATCTGTTCCGGGCTCTTCTGGCCATCCTGCAGGTCCCTCACCAGGTTGTGGCAGGCAAGCTTCCTAGCACTCCCTATCTTCTTCTGCGCCTTCTCTGACACTGTGCAATAGCTACTTTTGGGTGACAACATGCTCTGCAGCGCTTACAAGCAAGTCCTTTATCCTGCCTGTATCCAGTCTGTCATGGTGCTCAATCTAGCCTAGCACCGTTGCAAGCTGCACCTGCCAAGTCATGGCCTGTGCACTTGGCTGCGGTGCTAAAAGAGCACACCACACTACACATGGCATTGTTACGGAGTCTTTTCATATGTTTTAATATGTAATAAATATTGAACAGCCTGAGACATGCATGCCAGCGTAGGCGGTAAAGCTCGGCCGGATGGCAAAGACCGAATCCACCACCTAGCACACATGCGAAACCTGGCCACCAAAAAGATGCGGCAGGTAAGTCACGATTGGACACTCACACCAGCCCCCTTGCCTGAATCGGGGCTCTGTCCGCATCTCTCATCATTCATCTGTTTCCCTGAAGTGGAAAGTATTGTCTTGATGTGCAGATTTCAATGTTCCTGGTGAGGCACATGATTGGCATGGCAGCAAGTGTATGCTGTGCACATCCGCAAGTGACGTGCACAGGCCTCAGAGCCGCTTTGCGCATCTTCACTGGGAGATAACCTTATCTGACAAAGGATGACTGATCGAGGGTTCATAATTGCAGGGGCCAAATGGGGAGCTGCCGCGGTGGCACGCGGACAGGCTGGTGTTTATAAATGACGTGTACTTCTGCGCGCGCGACGCGCTGCGCCTGCTGCACCACGTCAGCGCTGACCTGGCGTGCAGCATGGACTTCCTGCAGTGGAAGGACGCGCCCTCCACCGTCAACGTGTACCCCTACGGCGTCGACGGCCCCCCTCTCTCGGTGGGCGGCCAACCTCTTGCCGCGAACTTTGCCGACCTCGGTACCATGCTTTGCATCGAGCATTTAAGCTCCATATGTATGCTGTATGGAGCAGCATTTGGTTTGGTGCCATCTGTGCAAAGGCGTCAGAAATTGACTGGCTCATGCTGTACTTTAATTCATTAAGAGCGCACTACTCCATATGAAGGAACCCCCAGTTGCGGACTTGTTCTCTTTTATACGGTCCGGCGGTGGCGGCAGGTGGTGGCGGACCCGGAGAAGCTGCAGTTCTATGACGTGTGGGTGGCGCGCGACGTGGAGGGCAAGCCGCTTTCTAATACATCTCCCTTTGTGAACCACGGCTACTCGCTGCAGCGGCTGCGGCGGGGGCTACCCTTCCCGGTGTCCTGCTGCTGGAACGGCATGCTTTCCATCAACGCCGAGCCCTTCCGGCTAGGCTACGAGTTCAGGTTTGGCCCCTCACGCATGCATGCACCAGACAGCACACATGCATGAAGTGCACATCAAAGCAGCAATGGCTTCTGCATAGGGAGGGAGGGTCTTGCACACTCAATTGCTCTTTGGATTGTTGCATCCATTCAAGCCAAGACTGCACTGTGCCTCAGGGCAGCAGATTGTGCTGCAGAACAGAAAGCGAGTCAGGCATTCCAATTAGTGACACGCGGTGCTTGTAAACCCATTTGCAACCTGCTTGCTGTGATGTCAGCGGTGATGAATTACTCACAGCATCCTTGCACAGCTTATATACTATTGGTTGCCATGGCCATTGATTGATGCTGATCCTCTCCTGATGCAGGCAATGTGTTAGTCAGTGATGCTCGTCTGTCATCCTTGCAACACTTGGTGCAAGGGGATGTTGACTCGTTTTAAAAAGCGCCCTGCAGCCTATTTTCAGAACGAGAAGATTGACTTCGGTGTGCGCAGGGCGGGGGGTGAGGGGGAGTGCAGGGAGTCGGAGACATCTGTGATGTGTAAGGATTTCCTGCGCATGGGCTACTCCAATTTCATCGTCGACCCCGCCGTGCGCCTAGCGTATCACCCTGGGGAGGCCCGCCAGCTGTACACCTCCAAGGTGACCCCAGCAATTATAGAATAAATTCAAATTTAAACTAAAAATTGTGTGGCTGTTTGCAAGCGCCTGATTACAATCAGGGCGCTTGGCAAACACCCCAGGTTGCAAATCAATTTGTGCAGGTTCTTCAATTCGAATTCTCTCGCAGGCTGAATTTCACCCACCTCTCGTCTTTCAGAACTAAAGAAGAATCGAGTGGCTCCGAAAACCCGAGCCAGGACTGTCTTCAAGCGTCCCGACTGTCCATGTCTTGTAATTAGGTCCACCCGCTTAGAGGTCATCTGAGGCCTCAGGGTCCAGAAATATACAACTGTTTTGAAAGCAGGTGATAATTGGAAGTGTTCTGACGTGCATGGGTGAGTGTTCGCAGGTGGACATTCCTGTGGCGCCCTGGGGTGAGGTGGCAGCCGCACCGGAAATCGATTTTGAATTTGCGCCGCGCAAGTTCCACATGACATGCTGTGACAAAGCGGGTGACGGCAGTGATGATGTGGATTTCTTCAAGTGCCGGCCTCTCCCTGAAGTGTTTTCGCGCTCTGTTCCCGTTGCATCGGCGGCGTGAGTTTCCTGCACTTCCTGGACTCGTGTATACAATTCCAGAGCGTTATGATTTTCGCATCTGTTTTAGCGGCGTAGAGTAGCTGTTGCATGCTCTACAGCTGCTCTGGTTGAAGGTTGTGGTGAGGCAGGAAGTTGGCTGTCCAATTGAAGTGCATACACCATCTTTTCGCTGTGTTTTTAAGTTTAAAATTTGAACGTGTATGTCACCAGCTGGATACCAGCCTTACTGTGGGAATCTGATGATTAGTAAGGTGTTGGATAAAGAGCGTCTCTTCCCTTGCCTCGGGATGCATGATGAGCTCATCACTCGAGTGTACATTGATACTGTGACGCCGGCATCTGTGCTGAGATATCCCAATCATTGCAATTGTTGGGTCGTGTGTAGGACTCTGCTTGCTGATTAGATACAAGGCTGTTGCACCCGGTGACCATAGTCACAATGACACATGATCATTCATCGTTACAAGCTGGTGAAGCAATTGACAGTGGCTCTGCATGCATGCATATATTGCACAAATTTCGATTGCCACCTGGCCTAGCACGCATTGCCACCATGATCATATGTTGATGTGCCAATCCGCGGCGAGATATCCGTCTCACTGTGCGCTTGGTCGTCCCTCTTTACCCAGGAGACTTCGACAAAGACCCAAGAGACTTTGGCGGGACCAAACGTGCAGAACAGGGGACCTCAGCTTGCAATGCACGCCACAGTACATTTCAAACTACCTCCTCAATGGGCACATGCAAAAACTAATATTAAACCTACACAGTCTCAGGAGGGCTCTCCGAATATAAAGTGATGCCAATCCAGATAGAATCACAAAACTACTTCTGTAAGCTATATTTAAGCAGTGAGGCATTGCAATTGCAAGAAAGCCCTGACCAACTGAATGACTATGTTCCCCTGCTAGTGTCATTCCCTATGGAATACATCTTCTCGTAAACAGTGATGCGCTACGTCCTATCCGCTTTTGATGTCCTTTGACAGGAAGGAAAAAGCCCTTATCTGAGACCTCTGTCGCTCTGCTTCTGCTCGCCAGCACAATTTGCTGGGGCACGCTAGAGCCCCTTCTATGGTAGATCAACGTATTATCATCAGGGCTCTTTGGTCCTGCCAAAAAATATGTGTGAACCTAGCCTCCAGGGCAGAAGGTGAAAAGCCGCATGTGCCCAAATGCCAGCAGAAAGCAAGCACTGGTGAAAGCTCTGCTGGCTTTGGGGCACCTGCCCAGAGGCACAGATGCAATCCTATTTTCAGCAGAGTAAAGCCATCCAATGCAGTGTAACAAAACCAGTGCAGTATATGAATGCCAGTCAATCCCACAGTGTGCCTTCCCCTCTCCTGCTCACAAGGAAGCTTACTTGAATGTGGGCCCAATTTTATTCCCTTGCCCATAAAGGGTGTTTTACCTTTATGGGGGTTGTCCTTCTTGGCAATTGCTTCCTTGTTGCCAAAAGGCTCAGGCAAACACCGGCCAGAAATGCCGCTGCAAAAAAAGCCTTGCAACAAATGTTACAGAACTGGCTTTACCCCCCAGTACTACTGCTGCCCTCCTCTATTCCTGCCGATAAAGAAAAGAAAAGCCCATTTTCCCCCTTGCTGCAATATAATAGATTAGCCTCCTTTGAGCCCTGTGTGCGCCGTTCTAAAAAGCACCCTGGTGTACTTCCAGTCCGCATAATGTTGAATTCCCATTCCTTTGAAGCCGGCTGGACCTGCTCCTCTGCTCATATTCCGCCCACATCACCAGGGGGATACTGAACACACCTAATGTGCACAAGCTGCGTACTCACTATCCCCCTGAGATCACCAGGGGAGGGTAACTCATCAGGTAATCGCTTACTGGACGTGCGCTGAGTCATCGGCTGGTCGCCCAGTCCGCGTCTGCTGCGGCGTCCCCTATTGGCTGCCTTACTAATGAGGCAATGAGCGGCTCCAGCTGCGATGCAATGATGCGCATTCCCACGGCCGATGGATGCAGCGAGTCGGGCATCAGAGCCTCTTTGACCTCATAGCGACCTCCCACCGGCTCATCAGACAGGAAGCCTTTGCCAAAGTCGGCATAGTGCGCAAAGCTGGGGTTGGCCCGGGAATATTCCTGCATGCACATGCAAATCTCAGGTCAAGTAAATCCTTACTTGTAGTGAGCAATAAGGTAAGAAAATCAGGACCAGCAAAAGGTCATGTACATGCCACTGGCAATATGCAGCGCCTTCCACAAGAAAGTGGCAAGCTTCATCAGGGCTCTGCAAGCAAATGTGCATTGATCACTGCATGACCATGCAGCGAAATAGGCACAGATGCTGTACTTTGTGCTGTACTTTGTGAGCCTGAACATATGTTGTACACCATAAACCTCGAATCCTGCCGGGGAAATGAAAAGGTCGCGCACCTCAAGCTCGGAGTTGACAGCCAGGATGGCCTCAGAGCAGCGGTTGGGCCAGACCTCGCCCTTTGGCAGCACTGCCAGATTCAGAATGTGCGTCGTCGGCAGCTCCGCATGCAGCAGCGAGTTTATCTCAACAATTCCCGCCGCCGTCTCCGCCGCTGAAGTCAGCGTGCAGTTGCCCACCAGGTCTGTAAAAGGGGATCACGAATATAGTTAGGGTCATCCTTATCAGCAATCATTAATTTTATGAAGGTGGTGAAGGTATTAGAAGTGGGCTCTGATGGTGAAGCTTGCTATCAAAGCCATCCCTCAGCCACCTTTCAAAACACCTGAAAGAGTCTTGTTGAACTGAAGCTAATAAACCCAGCTAGCCCTGGCTAGGCACACAAGGCAGCAGCACAAGCAGGAGAGAGTCACAGGGCAGGCAGGGAAGAGAACAACTTGATCGATATTACTATGAACGTGGGGAGAGAGGAAGCCAGGAGGGGAATAAAGGGGTGTCGCACCGTTGGTGCCAATCATGACAGTGACGACCTTGGGGTGCTTAGTCGCCGGCAGCTCGCCGTTCTGCAGCCGCCACAGCAGCTGCTCCACCTTGTCACCTGAGCAGCATGACCGAACATCCAGTCAGCCAGCGCACTTACTGCCAGGGGTCTAAACCTTGGTTCTGCAAGGGTCATTGATCACATTGGCTCAAAAGGCCGCATCGGCACACCTGCTCATGCTTGTACCTTCCAAGAGAAAGCCGCTACTACTGACATAGATTATCGTGGGTATAACCAAGAACATACTGGGAGAATGGACAAAAAATGAGGTACTTTTAGCCATGCAAGGGTGAAGGGGGGTTCATTTACCTGCAATGCCAAGCGGAAGGGACCTGTAGGGCTTGGTAGCGAAGAACTCCGCCCACACCTTCTTCACATCTGAGAATGGCCCCCAGGCAGATCCCAGGAAAGAGCCCCTGCAAGAACGCATGCACGCACACACATCAGACACTATTCTGCACATTCGCTGTCATCACAGCAATCATGCTGCACCTCCTGCTCTTCATCCCCTATGATCACAGGCAAGGCCTCTGCCCTTGTCTGGCTCCTTTATCCTGCCAGTCCTGCTGGCAAGCGCTTGTCTTCCCATGGAGTTGCAGATGTCCACTAAAGCTGCATGAGCCAATGTCCTCTGCAGCTCCACTAGCCTGTCTGACTGGTCAATTAGTGACCATTGGTGCTGCAGCTGAGGGGGGACATCAGGAGGGGGGTCCCACCTCCACTCCTCCATGATGCTGTCGCCATAGAACAGCACGTCCCACCCGCGGCCGGCCGCTGACTCAGCCGCCTCCATTTCCTCCACATACCGCCGGTGCACCTGACAGGAGCAACCTCATACATCAGCCAACATTTCCACTACGCACCGGCTGTCAGGGGACTGGCTCCCGCTGCAGCTTGGGACACTAGGGACCAAGAACTGTAATACCCCAGAGTCCAGGACTTTAGGACCAGTGGATAGATCCAAGACTGCATTTGTAACTTGCATGAGCACCCTTGCCGGCGAGTGGAGAATCATTTTTGCCGCAAAAGTGCAGACTGCGCAGCATTGCATGGTATCTTTACTGCTCTCCAATTTCTCCTTCGACATCAGGTTTGAATGGGCACCTTGAGCCACTCGTCTTCCACGCTGTGATGGTGCTGCTTCTGCCGCCGCAGCATGCGCCGGTTGCCTTCAAGCACGGTGGCCGGGTGCGCATTCACGTCTGCCGCCCCCTTGAACCAGCTTGGAATGCCCCCATGCCCGTGCGCCTTCTTCGCCACCTGTTTTGGAACCAAAACCGAACTTACTAGAGCCCTCGCAATCCCAGATAGTCCAGCAAGGGGGTGTACGATCCTGGTGTGATGGCGGGATGTAGATGGCTGAAAGGACCAGACATGGGGTATGGGCATAGCATGGCATAGCTGGGAGAAAGAGCGGCAGGTTCGTTGTGAAGTTGTTCCGTGCGTCTGCAACGGCCGCACCTTTTTGTCGGAAATGATCAGCGGGCGTTTCTCCGAAGCGCCGCTTCTCCTGTCCGTCGCTCCGATTGCACTGGCAGCGTCCGAGACGGCAACCGTCAGCAATTTCCCAGCGCGTGCTAGCATGCTCATGTCTTCGAAGGCTCGGTCTTGTGCGTCTCCAGACAGCACAAAAGCGGGCGAAGGCTGTATCAAGGCTGCTGCGAGTATGACAATCAGCATCGTGGGCGGAAAACAGCTGCGCAATTTTCTGTCCTGCCTCCTGTGCAACGTCTGCTTTTGGACGCGCGGGCATCGCAATGAGTGTTGCCTCGTGTCCCAGCAGCATTCTGGCTGGTGTGGCTGCTCTATGGATGCTGTATCATAGCTGCAATTTGGCTGCATGCCTCCTCTGCTGTGAAGAGACTTCTGCGTTGGCCTCACCGTCCTGCACACGGTAAGTCCGGTGTCATTGAGCCGACACTCAACAGAACATCCAGAAGACACACTGCAGCCTCCCGTTTCTTTTCAACCGACTTTGTAAAACGCGACTATAGAGGAATCACATCAATATCAGTCCAGGTGACACCTGCCAAAGCAGTACGCCAGTCTTGAGGCATTCAACGACACGGACCCCAACGGGAGTCTCTCGGCCATCAAATCCGCTCATCATCGGGGATCTTACACCTTATATTCAATGCTATTGGATTCCTACACATAATGAGGAGCAACCCGCCTCCGGTGCGCCCGCTGCTGCCTTTTCTCAATCGCAAGAAGAGTTCGTCGGAGCAACCCGTCACAGGCACACAGAGGTAGCCAGGAGGTGCACCTATATGGATGCGCACCACACCTCCTGCAGAAGCTAGAGATGGACGCTGTTGCTGTATTGCTGTCTGACAAAAAATGTGGAATGGAACGTGAGAGCGTCTCCTCGCTGTTTTCCCAGTGGAACGGCAGCCCCCTGGTCCTTTGCTTCTCCGGTTAGGCGGAATATTGAATTGGTCCGTGCAGACCCGGTAATACCCAATCCAGATCGAGCGCAGTGGGATGTGCGCGAGCAGGAGCGCGTTCAGATCAGAGTGCTACCGGAATGATGAAAGCGCCGACTCACTCATGGGGGTCGAGAATCAGCGAATGGTGACTACCAATCGACCCTTTACGACTTCGCCTAGTACTTAAGCAAAGTTTTACGTCAGTGCCAAGGGCTGACGTCAAAGATAGGCGATCTAAACCTCAGAAGGCCTTGAAGGATTCAACTCCCCGTTGGTCATTTCTCAACGCATGCAGGTGTCCAGCTGGACCTGCAGTACAATTCTGAATCCGACATGCAGTCCACAAACGTGCAAGCATGCACAGCTGAGACAGAGCGTAGTGATGTTGAGTTTGGGATTCTGATTTTAGCCAGTTGGAAGAGATTTTGAGTGGCACCGTGCAGTGACTGCCCTGCATCCGTGGGCCAGAAACATGCATACAGAGACTTCACAGTAAATCACAGTTGTAATGGCAAGACACATATGTGCATGCACACTTGCCTTTCAGACAACGGTGGTCTTGAGATCTTATGAGATGTGAAAGAACAATAGGCTGCAGACTTTTGTGGGCCCCGCAGACGTGGCTGCAGACACCCTGCGTGTATGCCCAATAGCCTGTGGGCACAACGACCTGTTCTTATGAGGCCGAACATTTGATAGCCTATCCTGAGGAAGCCATACAGCGCCTGAAATGGAGCCATTAGGAAATTTAACAATCCTTAAAAGGAGCTCCAAAAGACCTATATGCACACATGCTCAGTCAATTCAGCAATAGGCAGCGCCTTATGTGGGGTCAACAATTGTCTGCTGTTGCAGATCCTTGCCTGCCAATTCAGGCAAGCATCACAAAGCAAGCCCGGATACTTCTAGAAGTATCACAGGGACGAATTGGGAGGTTCTATCCTCCATTGCAACTAGCCCCCTCACAACAACCGGCCCTGGGATTGTTTCCTTTTGCGCAAAAGATTTTGAACCCTACTTGATGAATCGGACAGAACTGCACTTCTTTCTTGAGGTCCTGGGGTCCTGGCACACTGTGCCGATTCTTCTGCCCAGGTCTTGGCGCAACACTATTTATTCAAGCGATGCTGACCATTGCGCTAGAGAATCCACAAGCCCGGGAATATTCATGTGGCATTCATCAACGAATGCCCTGCCATTTAAGTTATCAGTGCAGTCTCATCTATACAGCCAGGCCCCAAGCTGCCAAGCACTTCTCACCCAACGTGGACGATTAGCCAGAGTCTGCAGTTGTCCCGGCCCATGCACAGCATTGGTGCCTTCCAAGTGCAGCAGACTCTACTGTAGTCGGACTACAGCAGCTATCTCTATGCCAAGCCCAGAGCCCTGCACTTGAAAGAGTCTAACAACTACCTCTCAACCATTCTACTGCCATGCCAGGGCGCGCCAGATCAGGCGGCCACCAAATTAGGCAAGCGCAAGGCAGACGCCAAATTAGGCGGCGCCAAAGAAGGCACCGCCGAATTCGAAATTGCCGGCGACAGATCAGGCGGCGGTGGCCTCCAGGATGGGGGCCATGGGGTTGCGCTGCACAGCAGCCGCCTGAGAAGCCGCCTGCTGATGCAGGATCTGCTGCTGCCGCTGCGAGAGCCACTCCTCAAACCTGCGCGCGCGCGCCTCGCCATTGTGCACGCCGCCCGGCTCCGCCCCGGCCTTGCGCGGCCGCCGGAAAACGTCCTCCGTGTCCAGCACGTACGACACCTGCGCACGCAAAAATGCTTTTTCGAATTTGAGCTTGACAATTTTCAAATAACAAAACTCTCAGATCCTGGATTGCCGTCCTGCGGTCCGAGCCTCCACAGCATTCTGCAGCGAGAGAGATGCACAAAAAAAAGGCTGACAGGTACACAGATGAGCGGAGAATAAGATGCAACTTGGGGCTCGACGGCCCTGGATGAGGCACAACAATGGCTTCTTGTGACTGTCAGCGATCATATGTTGCTATGGGGGTCTTGACAGCCGTCATGTGCCACACACTCTCACATCTTCTTGAGCAGCTGCATCAGATGATCCGTATCATGTCCATTGAGGTGGTTGTAGGATTCCTCGGTACACAGGAGCACCTGCTGGAGCCCATTTCCCTCACCAAGCAGACAAGCCAAGGCCAAGGGGGAGGAGCATGGGTCACCTTGGAGGTGGTGCAGGAGAGCTTGCACTCGAGGCCATTGTTGACCTCCGGCTCGGGGCCGTTCCCGAGTGCCTCTGGCGCCTCATCCGTCTCCTCCCCAGCCTGCAGGAAACAACCACTCTCTCAGATGCGTTTGCCGCACAAACTCAATGTTTGAAGACAAGCAAGAGGGGCTCACTGCAACTGCACAACAATGCATGTCTGCACGCCAGAGTACATGCAGACAGTACAGATGGTCATCCATGCTTCCACAGCCTTGCACTCTCCCGGCTCGGCTCCATCAGGCAAGCTGACCTTGCCGCTCACAGAGATTACCAATAGTTCTGGCATGCACATCAAATGAGCTCTTGATTTTTACAAAGCTGTGCAGAGGCACTGGATCATTGATAAGGAAGAGAGGGGGCGGGAGGAGTATGATACCTCTGCAGGGAGGGAGCGTTTGAGGAAGGGCTGTCGCCTGGGGACTCCCTCGCGATCCAACAGCTCTGTCGGTGCTGGGCCGTCTGTGAAGCCCTTCAGGTACTCTGCAAATCCCGCTTCCAACACCCCTGTCAGCGCACTCAAACCCCTCAGACACTTTTTTATTACACATGCTGTGGCCGCAAGTTGGTGCAGCACCGGCCGAGGCCAAGGATCTCAGCACCCCTGGACGCGCAAATGAACCCCAGCCGCCGGCTCTGCTGGAAAAGCCTGCGTCCTGCAATGGGCTCTGCACGGAATCTTTCCTTGGGGATAAAAATTCTAACCTTTCATTTCAGACCGCGGTTCTTTCTCGGCATGGAGATGGATTGGTGTGTGCATTGAAAGGTGTGCTATGAGAAGTGACTGTGTGCACCGTTTTCTTGGAAGTGACTGTAGTGACATCAAGCGCAAAATCTTCCAGTGTGATGCGTGTTACACTACACTTGACAACTCGAAGCATGCAGGGGGCAGTGCAAGTCCTTGCATCCATGCTTCATATGCCATGAACACTCTAAATCCCTAAAGGTCAAGCCGGAGGCTTGTCATCCACAGTAGTCCATTTCTACATCACTGCGATAATTCATTTTTGTGTTTCTAGCCACACCGAGCCAGGGACACCTGTTTGCTCTTGCACATGCATGGACCTATGCTAGGACTGCCTGATCACGGTCGGGATAGGCTTTCCTACTCTTAGTCACATCCTAACCAAACCCCCTGGATTACGGTATTCTCCTCACCTGGTGCGACTTCGGTGCGGTCGGGATCCAGCATCTGGATGGTGAGCGTGCCATCGTCGCCGCGCGACTCAAAGCGGAAGCACGAGTCATCGTGCAGAAGCACGTGCGCATTTGCGTTGTAGACCGCGTCACTGAAGTGGCCCGGTGCGCGCGTGCTCTCGTACTTGTACAGATCCAGCAGCTTCTGCGGGGGCGCCACGAGTTGTTCATCGTCAGCGCCGACATCATCTCGCCATTGATAGACATACACCATGCCTCTTATTCCTCATCCCCAAAACTTCAAAAATAACTGGGGATAGAAAGCACACGTGATCCTGGCAGTACGGCAAGTTTTAGCTGTGCAGCCATTATGAAAGATAGACAGGTCATCCCAGCCTAAAGATTACAAAAACAGAATTTTCAAGCTGTGGAAAGGACGAAGGATCACCTGTCCCAGCTCGTCTGCCATGATGGCCTGGAACTGCTTGACCAGCTTGTAGATGAGCTTGTCCAGCGTAAACAGCACGTAGCTGTTCGTGCCTGCGCAAGCGGCGGGCAACCAACCATCAGCACATGCTTAACGCAATCAGCCAGCAAGAATGCTCTTGCGGCCCATTTTCACCATTTGTCAGGCTTGCAAAGTCTCACTTGCATAGGACTGCACACACAACAGAAGAGCGCAGCTGCCAGCATGCAAGCAGGGGACATCGTGCTATTTCTGTATCGTTGACCTGCAAAAAAATACCCTCGGGCCCCTGTCTTTCAGGGTGTGTGAATATCAAAAAAGATATAATGGGGAAGTACACAGTCTGTGCACCCAGCTGCGCATGGACGCCGTTTTCAGCAGGTGCACAGGATCACAGATATTGACACACCAAAGAAGAATTTTTAAGATAGGAAGAAAGGGGAATAAAAGGGTACGCGCACCGAGCAGGGCGCGGACGTCGTCCTCGTACTGGGATGAGTCGCGCGTTCCGTCGATGAGGTCGAAGACGTAGGTCATGAACTGGCCGTGCGCCTTCTGCCCCTTGTCGTCCAGCTCCGGCAGCGGCACGTCCGCGGCCAGGTCCGGGTTGAAGCTGCCCGGCTGGTCTATGCACGCCGCGCACCGCACCGCCCGCCGCAGCCTGCGCAGCGCAGCATAATGCGTCAGCAAGATAGAGTCGCAATATGGGCCTGGATCAATGTGAGGTGGACGCTTTCTCTGTGCTGTCTTTTTGCGATTTCTTATTTTTTGGGGGTCCCAAAAGAATCAGGCCCTCAATTACTTTTGGTTTAGCACATAAATCACGGTGGCAGCAGCTTCTTCGCCTGCATATTTTTTGCAGAGCTTGTTTTCTGAAAACCTGGGCTCAGGAACCCTGATGGGCCCCACTTTGACATGCACCCTCATGCTTGAAACAGAGTGTGCCTATCTGGTCCACAACACGCCCCCGGTCGCCAAAAGTTCAGCAGGACTGGGTGTGTGATTTGCCGCTCAAGCGTGCAGAACCCTGGCTGCAGGGGGTACAAAAAGGGTGTGCGTACCGGTCGTAGAGGAGCTGGTGGAGGCGGAAGAAGATGTAAAAGGTGTCGTTGCCGTAGAAGATGCGGCCGATGCGCGGCGCACTGCCGGCCTCCGCGGCTTCGGCCGCACGCGTCGCCTCGGCCGGCGCGAGCGGCTTGCAGCCCACGTATTCCCTCTCGCGCTCCGCCTCCTCAGTTCCCCCGTCCGAGCCCGCGTCCCCCTCGCCCGACACCATCGGCGTGACCTGCGCGCATGAGGAGATAACTCAGTCACATTGTTATTGTGATCTTTACATGTTTCCAGTCCTAAAGACCGGACACGCCAAGCAAAACCTGTATCACTGCTTTCCAATCTTCTCGATTCATCTCCAAATTCAATGTCTTGCTGAGGAGAAATGACTGGGCAAGCACGCCTTGCAGAAATCACTTCACATCAGCGCCCAAAAGGCGCGACAAGCAACTGGAATATGGCTGACAACAATTGCTGCAAAGGCAAGTTTGTAGGAAAGGTACACTCTCAGACCCCAAGCAGCAGCGCCAGCTTCCTGAGATGACAACGCTGCTTAGCAAAGAAGCAGACGCAGTGTGCCAAGCTCCTACAACGTAGCCGCATGCAGCATTGGCAACTGTACAAAAGCTGTTGAAATCTTCCTCAGCGGGCATCATATTATAATCCTGGCAGGAGAAAACATGCGTGCTCACCAGCGGCTGCGAGAGGCCATTGGCGGCGGCGCCCTCCTCAGAGTCGCCGACGGTGGCGGCCAGGAGCGCGCTGGCCGCCAGGCTGCGCTGGGGTCCCTCAGCCTCGTCTCCCGTGGCGCCCCCTCCGCCGGGTGCCCACTTGGTCGCCGCCTCGTCCCCGGTCGTCGGCTCCTCGGTCCGGCCGCGCCCGCCGCGCACCTCGCCGCCCATCTCAGTTGTGACATCGTCCGCGTCCTCGCCGCCGCCCAGCGCCGAGTGTGCCTCCGCCTCGCTGTCGTTGCCCGCCTCGGCTGCAGCAAAAGCGGAAGAGCCGCGTCAGTAACTATTATAAACAGCAATCATGCTCCCTCGCAGCAGCATAAAGACGCATGTGCAGAGCCCCTGGCCTTTGATTCGCAATGTCTGCCAAAAAGCAATCCGATTTCAACAGCATGGGGGCAGCTGCTTTGCATGAGGGGCAGCTGTTTTGCATGAGGCATTCATCATGACCATCAGTCATCACGGTATCATGAAGCAAGATACAGCACAACTTGGAACGGAAACGGGGCAGCGTGCTTCCATTGCAGGAGACTAGCAGATGGCGCACCAGACAGGGCAGCCATGCGCATGGAGGGCTTGCGATTGAGGGGCCGCAGGGAGTCGGCCTGCTGGGAGCGCCCGGCGATGACGGCGTTCCCTTCCTGGGCGCTGCGGCTGGGCAGCCCAAAGAAGGCCTCCACAAATGTGGTCCAGAAGTCAAACGCGCGCTCAGCCAGCTCAACCGACAGGATCTCGTCCAGCGCGTACTTAATGATCTTGTACGCGTCCTCGTGCACCTTCCTGCTCGACAGGAGCACACAGACCCTTTAGATTAGTATTTGCTTTTGAGGACCCAAGACTTGCGTAAAAAGAAAAGAGGGATCCAAATATGCGTGAAAAGAGCATGGACATCTAACAAAAAACCCTATCACAGCGTGCTCAGCTTCTAGCTTGAGTCAGACAGGACCCCCCGTTGGGTACACAGCACATTCAACGTCAGGGGGCCATTGGCACAAGTAAAGACAGCTACAGCATAAGCTTGTCTCTGCTCTCTGCACATATTCAGCAAGTTGTGCTGCAACCGCTCCTCTCGTGCCAAGCGGTCCCGTCAATGCAATGCTGTGTTCATTATAACTGCACGACCATCCTGACTACACAAAGACTGCAAGCTGCATTATCCTGCATACACTTTGTTCTGGCAATGCATGCTCAAAGGGTCATAGGGAATCGACACAAAAGCATCATGCAACAGCAGGGCTCTGCAGGTTATGCGCACCGGTCCTTGTAGTTGTAGGTGAGGTCTGGGGTGAGGCGCGAGGCGAAGGGCGCGGAGGAAGACACGGCGGAGAGCGATGAATCGGCGGCGCGGCGGCGCTCAACGATGTCCTTGATCTCCTGAACCATTGCCTTGGCCCCCAGGTACTTCTTGTCCGTCTGCGCCAGGATGAAATAAACTATCAGCCTTACCACTGGCAAAAAGAACGGTTCCGCCACTTCCCAGAGCAACGCTCAGCCTCACTCACTCAACACAACGGCCTGGTAGGGGAGCTCACACGATCCCTTCGTTCCATGAGATTCCCAGAAGACACCCATAATCAGGAGTCCATGAGACACCAACAGGATCAGGCAGGTGCAACGGGAGAGAAGGGATGCTGTCAGCCGCTGCATTTCAATGGCGAAGGAGAGCAGGTGTTGGAGGGCAAGTATAAAGATGGGGACGGCAGACCTGCTTGAAGTAGAAGGAGCGGTGGTCGAGGGACTTGTGGTAGTTGGCCTCGTACACCTTCTGCCACAGCTTGGCCATGGTCGCCTTGGTCTTGCGCCTGTGACACACACAAGCACTCAGCCGCCCCGCCCCATATATCACCTTATGATATACACCGTCCCCACGCCAGCCAACCATGCACGCCCTGAGCCGTCTTGCTCTACACATCAGTGTCTAATATACACCCTCCCCACGCCAGCCAACCATGCACGCCCTCAGCCGTCTTGCTCTACACATCAGTGTCTAATATACACCCTCCCCACGCCAGCCAACCATGCACGCCCTCCGCCGTCTCGTTCTAGACAGCAGTATCTAGCATACACCCTCCCCATGCCGGCGAAACCACAAATATTTCCAAAGGACACAGGTGCTCTATACCTCCAACAGGTAACAGGCTGACAGGGCGCATGAGGGCCGCCAAATAATCAAACAAATGGCGACCACACATGCTGCGCATTGTTGCAATGTTGTCTGGAGCCACATTGAATGTAACCGCATGTGTACTGCCAGCGCCAACTACTTTCTTCCACCCTTGCCCGCTATAGAATTTACAGGGGATGGAAATAGGGGGCCGCACCACTCCTCGTCCTTCTGCAGCAGGCGGGGCAGCACAACGCCGAGTGCCACAGCCGGGTTCTTCCTCACCAGGTCCACCACTGTCGGGCCCTGCTCGCCTGTAAATCAACAGTGTAGATGCTGTGACAAAAAAGTTCCCACACATGTCATCCACTCATGTAGGACACTTCTCAGGATTGGTGCTTCTTGTACCAGGCAGCAGGTGCCTCAGGCATGTCTTCGTCAGCGTACAATGATCTTTGTATCATCCACACGTGTCTCATCGCATGTCACAAAGGAGCGCAGAATCAAAATGAATGATGCCCATCGAAGCAAAGCATAGCTGACAGCTTGCACTCCTCTGAGGATGCTGTGGGGCAATCCCCTCATAGCCTGTAGGGCAGCAGAGAACAAAACGTGCAATTGCACTCCTGCAAGACAAGAGAGGAAAGCGGCGCACCATAGATCTTCTGGATGGCGCGGTAGTGGATGGGGGTGAGGGAGTTGGGGGGCGGGCGCCAGGTGGCCTTCTCATCTGGGGGCAGCTCGGACAGCTGCTGCACCAAGGGAGTTATGGCGCGCACGGCGCTGGCATTGCTCTCGATCACCATGTCCAGCTCGAACCGGTCGTCCTCGCAGCGGAACAGCGCCTCCTCATACTGGTTCTTGCGCATGTGCTGCGCGGCCACATCAAATTCAGTTTCACAATTAGATCCCCAAGGTGACAGATGCCCTGGTATAGTTTTGTTGTGCATGTGCTCCTGGTTCTTGCGCATGTGCTGGTCAGACACTACATTGAAAAGCAGACGCCTTCTGAGGAAATCTGGAGAAATCAGCAGCCGGCATGAGCTAAAATCTCGTGAATGCTATTCTCACCCGCCAATAGGTCTCAAAGCACACCGCACCTCCATTTCATCAGACATCTCACACCCAGTCACATTAAAGGTGGAACGCACAATGCCACCATAGCACATTGGCCATGCCGCCTGGCACGGCTCGCGAGGGACAGAATGCTGCATGCATGCAACATGAAGCGAAGGGCGCTGCATGCTGCTGGCGCATCGCGGCCAGCATGCAGCCATCACCCCAAACATTAACAAACCAGCAGCAACTGGAGGAGCTAGCTTGCGCCAGCCCTAGCGCTGGACAACGCTCACAACAGAATGTGTCCATATGCATTGGCTGGCTCACCTTGAAGGAGTAGTCTTCGGAGCCAGAGGTGACAGAGACCCAGATGTCGTTGACAAGTGACAGGGCGAGCGGCGTGCGGTGGCTGCACTGCAGCTTCGGGTAGTCGGGCGGAAGCCGCACGTAGGACGTGGTACACCTCTGCAGACACGCACCAACACGGCATTCACAAGCATGCCTTGATAAAGATTCCACTGAAGCAGCTTCCTGAAATGTGCATGTATAAACAGGGGACCCACATGCATGCTTGAAATTACGCTCCCACATGGAGGCAGCAGATGCAGCAATATGAAGCAGCTCTTGCAGAGTATGAGATTGCTCACCTCCCAGCCGCTCACATCCAGCTCTGAGATGGGCCTGGAGCCATACTTGTCCCCCTGCGCAGCCGGGACAACGTCTTCGGCGCACAAGTTGATGTCCAGGAGAAGACATCACCACAGGTAGAGAAACCAGGAACCAGGTAAAGTGAAGTGAAGATGATGGGTCCAGCAGAATTTTTCCAGCACCCCTTCTAGACCAAACAGAGCAAAGATTGTGACAGTGCTCCAAGGCTGGGGGATTTTGTGCCTTGTTGCTGCATAATGTCCATGCACGAGGCAGGACCTCCTCCTGTCTCCCTGCCGCTCCGACTTCTTTCATTTCTGCACATCTCTAAACTGTGGTGGTTACTGGGTTCACAAGGAAGGATGGTGCCTGATGGGGCACACCTTCAGCCTGGCGATGTCGCGCGTGTGCATGCGGCCCTGCGACACCATCTTGGGGTCGAAGTCAAAGTCCAGCATCTCGCAGCGGTGTAGGAAGTCGTTGAAGGACATCTGCGACACAAACACACAATTTGTCAGCCTTTTGCACATGTGGCAGGGGAGAAAGTAATGCCATGAGCAGCTATCCTGGAGTGCAGTGGATCAACAGCGCAAAGGCAAGCTTCTTGATTTGGACTCACAGGAGTTATTAATGTTTCTCGCCCATGCACAATTCGCAAGGCTTGATAGGAGCATGAAGGGCCCAGCTCCAGGTTCGTTTTTCTGATGCATACGACCAGGCACTTTTGATCATCAGCTTGAGAGCGCTTCTTCAAGCCAACGGTCATGTGACTAGATCACATCCATCACAAAAATGAGAGGAATGGCACAGAGCGGGAAATAATTTACCAGGAGGTCTGGGTAGCGGCCGAGGATGTCCTGCACCATGATCTGCAGCTCTGGCTTGGCCACAATCTCTTGCGCAAACAGGTTCAGGCACTTGAGGAAGTCCTGGTACTGCTCCCGGTTGCGCAGCCTGCCATGCCCCCTCACATGATTACACATGACTGGATCGGTCTTACTGCAGCATGCAAGGACCGCTTGGAATGATCGAGTCTGCTCACACAAGCAATCAGGCAGAGATAGAAGTCCCAATGGTGTGTTTGCCAGTAAATGGATGGTAAGTCTGCAAGGCCAAAGTGCAGCGCACTCACCGAGTCTTGACCTTCTCGAAGAAGCTGAGCTCCTTGGCCAGGTTGGAGCGCACAGTGCCCCGCCGGTCATCGTCGTCATCTGAAACACAAAACACTCATCCTCAGACACAAGGACATTGCGCTGCCCAACACAGTAGGTGCAACTCAAACTGCCACATAACATGGCTGGCGTAGTCCCTATTCCCTGCCAGATCCAGCTGCAATACGTCTCCATGGCTTCCCAAGGCTGCCAGCTCTCGCCGACAGATGCAGACACAAATCTGCAGCGCCGCCTTCACAAACAAGGAGGGTGGGCCGGTGCAGAAAGAGCGCAGCACTGTCCTCCACACACAAAGGTAGGGCGGTGTAAAAGAGCCCAGTACTGTCCCCCTGCACAAAAAGGTAGGCGGTGTAGAAATAGCGCAGCACTGTCCCCGACAAAGAAAGGAAGGGCGGCGTAGGAAGGGCGCACCGTAGTCGCGGTCATCGGCGCGGCGGCCGGCCTTGCGCTTGTGCATCTGGCGCACGATGCCCATCTCCTGGTTCATGCCGCGCCCGTACCCGCGCTGCAGGTTCCGCTTGTGCGCCTGCAGGCGCACGTATGCGCTTAGTTCATGACTAATCTCTTGTTGAAGCCCCTTGCGGCCTGATATGTGACTGCATGCCTCGGCTCTTGCTGATGAGCCTTGCGGCCAAAATGGCGTCCAACACAGGGTCATAATGGTCGCAATCTGCCAGGTTTACACCAAGGCTTTGATTTTGGGCATATTACTAGTTGCATGACACCGGTGAAGGTAATCTCAAATGCCTGAGGGTGAGGTTGCATAATGCTGGGACAAGACAAAATGTCTAGCGTGATGAAAAGCACCTGTGCAGGGGCCTGGGCGTCTGGCAGGAAGTAGGTGAACTCCTCCAGTAGATCATGGTGCTGGCGGAAGAGCAGCGCCACCTGTCATATCAGGAGGAGCCCCCTCTTCAGATGCATGCTCACTGTTTGTACATTGGGAAAGAATACGAAGAGGTGATACCTGTACCAGCTACCAGTCAGCACGGAAGGGATCGGACACAAAAAAGTCTGGAGACATCAATACCAGAGCTTAAACTCGAGCACTGACACACCTCTTCGTAGACGTTCCCGATCGTCTTCTGGCCCTTCCTGTACAGATTGAGGATCTCCAGGAAGGCCTTGTAAACACGCTCGTCGTTGGCGAAGCGGGTCTGCAGCATCGAGCACCAAGCAATATTGTCAGGTGCAAGATACGGGTCGCCCAACAATGTCTCCGAAGACCTATTGCGTTCTTTTACTCTGTCATGCCAGCACCGGAATCATCGTCTGCGACAGCTGCCACAGGTGTGCTTCCAAGAAACGCACGGCACAGCAGGGTTTCCCGATTGGCGAAGCTGAGCCTCTCTCACCTTGATTTTGTTGACATAATTGATGGCTTGATCGAATTCGACTGCCGCCTTCGGCGCTTGCGCCTGCGCACCCTCACACGCTGTTTCAGCGATCGTGATTACGAATGGCACGAACAAGGCCGTCGATCCTCGAAAAAAGGCAACCTCAAAGGATATGCATGAAAAAGGCGACAAAGAGCAAAACAAATGCAAAGGGATGCTTGCGGGCATACCCTCTCTTCCTCATCGACCTCGTCCATGGTGATTTCATAGCCCTGGTCAAGTCACCGCCAGTGGCTGTCAGTGCTGGCTGCCCCCAAAGTGCCAACATGCCTTGCACAGCGCACAGAAAGCCTAGCAAGCAGCCATACCTGAGGAAGGAAGGTGTTGAAACCCAGAATGAGCTCCCTGTGGCCTTTGAAGAGCGTTTTGACGCGCCTGATAACCCCCTCAGTGTTTATCCTGCACAGCAGCCGCAGTTTGCTCCCAGCCGAATCCCAACATTGCATCAAGAGCCAGCCAAGCATAGTCACACACTATATGTGACACTCTACTGCACCATGAGGGTGCGAGCAGGCTTCAGAGCTAAGGCGGGCACACACAAGCACACACAGCAGGGACCGGTCAAAACTTGTCCTACGGGCTGCAATTCTTTTGTTCAGCATCTCCAAACACCATTTTCACACATGAACTATAGAATACAATACACAATAGACCAGCAAGGCAGTTACAGTAACACAACGTTGTCAGCACTTGCAACACAAGGTCCAGGACACCGCCAAGATTGGGCAGTGGAACCTACCTTTGCGCCTTGAACTCTTTCATGATCTCCAGGAATTCATCGTATATTTCCTTGTTGTCCTGGAACTTGACCTTGACGTCGCGCAGATAGGATAGTGCATCGTTGGTGGTCAATTTCCCACTGGTGCTGGGTTGGCCAGGCCTGTGCGGCAAAAGCCCAGTTCGACGAAGAGCAATCATCACTCCTCTACTGCCAATAGTAATAAGGCAATGCAAGCTCCCAAGCCGTCACTGATCATGGACAGCTTCCAGGTGCCACAAGGCGGGTAAGCATAGGCCAGATGCCATATTGGGCTAGGGTGCAGTTCACAATGTGGAGCAGCGCAAGAATGATCAGAAAGCACACAAGTAATCCACCCATGGCCAAATACAGGTCCACCTAGCCCTGGCATGGTCCAGCTGACTCTTGCAACAAACCCTCCTTCCCAAGGAGCTTCCAAGCACGAGGCAGCCAGCGCCATAGTGCCGGGCAGGGTCAACCTGCCCGCAGAGGAGCTCGAGAATTACCTAGTAGTCCTCTTGACCGGGCCTCCACCCTGAGGGTCAGGAAGCTGCCTCTTCATCGGGTGCCGACCAGGGTGCTGGCACTCGCGAGACGCTCCCAGAAAACTGCTCACGCGAGTACACAAGCCCGCGCCACCAATGCAGGGACCTCGTCAACTGATCACAGCCATATTCGCATGAGCTTACTGCAAAGACGACAGCCTTGGAGGATATATTAATCCAGAAGAGCTGAGGCTTCCCAAGAAGAGGCTTCACAACCCCTGAAATAGAGAAACCCTTTTTTCATTCTCACAAATACCTGGACTCCGTATGCATTGCCAAATCGGGCAACTGCTGGCCTGCGCGCAAACGAGCAAAACGAGGAAGCCGATCAGCAGAGCCATCCCTCTTGTATGTGCAATTTTGTTCATCAGCAAGTATATTGCAGTTGTAAACTTGAGCATTCTAATCCAAATTGATCGGATTGAGGCTTGATAGTGAGGCTTTAAAATAAAATCAGGCAATTACTTTTGTGGAAAGCGCGTTTTGCGGCATGAAGTTGCATCGAGGTTTTCTCAGATAGTATTATATCATCCAGGAGCGTGAATGGCGGATTTCGTTGCGCTTGAGGAACAGGACGGGCTCCGCCTGTCCTGGAATATATGGCCAAATAGCAGGATAGAGGCGACGAAGGCTGTTATACCATTTGCATCTCTTTACACTCCAAATAAGAGGAAAGCAGATCTCCAGGTCAGTCCAACTTGCACCTAGCTGGTGGACAACCTGGAAGGATCAGTAGGTGCAGGCAAGACGCGCTGGGCTTTCAGAATATCAAATTGTTACACCCTTGACCTGTTAGGACCGCTGTGTCCCCGGCTGTTTCTTCTCATTCCGGGCATTGTGAATGAGATGGGCATCGTATGGGCTCCTGAGTCCTTCGAGAATTGGCGTCGAGTCCCTCAAATCTGGGAAGTATCTGAGCGAATGACTCGATTCACCATTCTCAATACCCTGGTAACATAAGGCAGAGCTGCAGGCTCGAGGTTCGAGGTTTGCGCGGGACGTCCTCTCGCCAGGGAATCAATCAGTGGCACTTGTCTACTCATCAGACACTCTTCATCACACTGCGTGCGCGCAGGTGTGTCCATATGACCCGGTGCTGTGCAAAACCTGCGGCGCGGTCCTCAACGGGTACGCACAGGTCGACTTCAATGCTGCCCTGTGGGGCTGTCCCTTCTGCCACACGAGGAACCACTTCCCATCGCAGTACAGGGGGATCAGTGAGCAGGTTAGCTTGCTCCCTGCCCACTTACCAATCCAGCCAGCTGCAGACATAGAGCCTGCTCATGCATACTTGTTTTGCTTCGGGCCAAAGCATCTATGCAATGTGTTTTCTGGACATGTACTGTCTGTGATGAAATATGACACATTGAATCTTAGCCCTGACAATGCGTCCTGATTGAGAAGGCACCATATTTAGATGTGCCTTCCTGTTAACAGTATTTGAGCCCTTATTCGTGCATCTGCAGCAACAACCCGCGGAGCTCTATCAGGAGTACAACACGATTGAGTACATCCAACAGCAGGCCAAGCCGGTGATGCCACCAGCATATGTGTTTGTGGTGGACACCAGCGTGGCAGAGGACGAGCTCAGAGCCTGCGTGGCCTCCCTCTCCCAAGCTCTGACCACCCTCCCAGAGTATGCCCAGGTGCGGCAATGCATGCTTACTCTGTGCTGGTGTACAGTGCTTGACAGACAGCCCAGCACATGTGGCCGTCGTCAGATGTCCCCCAATAAATGTGTTGGTAAGAATGATGCCACTCATGGGAATGCACAGCAGATCAACATAGGTGGAGAAATTCATGCACAGTGCGTTGTCGTCTGATTGGCTCAGCATGACAACGTTTTTTTGTGATCTGGTGTCAGGTGGGGTTGGTGACTTTTGGGACGCATGTGCACGTCCACGAGCTGGGCTTTGCCGAGTGCGCAAAGTCATACGTCTTCCAGGTGGGGTTCCCTGATGCTCTGCCTTTCCATGCTTGTGACTTTGTCCCTTTCACCACGCCCTGCACCGTGATGACATTGTCGCTTGCTAGTCTATCCCTTTCCAGACCGTCCCTTTTCAGCACCTCACCTGTGATGATTGAATTGAGCTTGTCATTCCCTCATGGCCTCATTCTCAGGCTGTCTTGGCTGCTTCTACATGAAGTTGTGGCTTGTTGGAGTCACAATTGCCAGAACAGTTGCAACCAGCACCCGCCGTAAGAGGATCAAGACCGGCAAAGTCAACGTCGGATTCCAAGTCAACCGAGCTGACACAGATCGGTTAACTCCCTTGTGGCAGGGGTCGCGCGAGTACACCCCCCAGCAGGTGGTGGAGCAACTGGGCCTGGCCAGCAAGATGCCTGCCCGCAAGGGGGGCCCCGGGCAGCCAGCGCTGCCCATGCCGTCCTCCCCGGGCAGCCGCTTCATCCTGCCCATCTCCGAGTGCGAGTTCACGGTCAACGCCGTCCTAGACGAGCTCCAGCGCGACGTCTTCCCCACCCTCTCAGAGCACCGTCCCAGCAGATGCACCGGCACCGCCCTCCAGGTGTGTGCCTGCATTTAACTGCGTGACTTTGCACAGCCACAATTGGATGCATTTGTGGTCATTCACTGCTGCCAGGCTGAGAAATGTGGTAGAATTGTTGCCAGGCAGTCAGTTGCGGGGCAGCTACTTCTCTTACCTCTGGCACTCTGTCTGCCTTATGTCTTAATTCCTTTTCTTCAATTCCTTTGACCTTGTGGTGCTTCAAAGAATCCATGCATCATGAGCAACTGTATCTGCACTGCATGCACGCCCCTGCGGTTCTCTGCCTGGTGACACCACAAAGCTTGCTGTCCTGCAATTGGACCGAGACTTGTGCAGAACACCGGCGATCCATAACCTGGGGGTTGAGTCCAGGTTTGAGACAGGCGCATGTACTTGCAAGAACATATGCTGATGTACCACATTAGCTTGTGATTCTACAATGCACATGCCCCTTTCCACGACAATGCCAGACATCCCTATCCTTACAATACTTGTCACGTGAGGGTCCCTTATTGGATCCCTTATCGATTTCATGACATATGCGGTGTACAGGTGGCGGCCAGCCTGATGGGCGCGGCGCTGCAGCCAGGCATGTGCGCGGCTCGGCTGATGCTGTTTGTGGGGGGCCCCTCCACCGAGGGGGCCGGCAAGGTGGTGGAGAAGGAGCTGTCCGAGCCCATCCGCTCGCACGAGGTGAGCTGCCTTGCATCTTCATAAAGTAACTCAGCTTCATCTTTCTTGAATGGAGCACCTGCCATGGCGATCCAGGCAAAGGAGCGCCGCCTTTTTCCGCGATGGCTGGCATGTCTAAGGGCTGATTGCAGTTCAGAATGAAAGTGCTAATGTAATGCTGCACTGCATTGCCGAAAGGCCAATTCAATTGTCAATGCCGGGTGTCATGAGGTGGGGAAGTAGCATCAATGGGTATTTTACACTGGCATGGAATTCAGTGATATGCACCGCGATACCTCTGGAAAGCCTGCTTTCTTGCAGAATATGCTGCTGTGCTGACAGTTGGTCTTGACGAGATGTCCAATTGTCAAGAATAAACATCATTTAAGCTCTGCTATCCTTTTCATGATCAAGAACTCTCTGGCATACGCACAGGACCTTGCCAAGGACAGGGCGCCCCACTACAAGAAGGCGAGGCGGTTCTTCGACGGCGTTGCCTCCCAGCTCGTCCAGCAGCAGCACTCCCTCGACGTCTTTGCCTGCGCCCTTGACCAGGTCAGCTCCCTTTGTACTCCTCAGCCATGACATTGTCACCCTTTCTCTTTGTTTGTCTTACCCCAATAGCATGCTGTGCCTGGCATGCTGTGCCCAGCTGCCGCTCAAAGCCAGGAATGTATGTGCAGCGCAATACGCTCTATTGCATCAGCAGCACCCCTTGAAGCTCCCCAGGCCGCGCATATGTGGCTGCGCCCATGCGCGGCCTTGGCAGATCCAGGTCATGCGGCTGTTTTATCAAGCTTGCATGGAGGAAGCTGTGCATGACTCATAATGCTTAAACGCTCCCTGTTGCAGCTCCTCGTGACTGAGAGCTGCTGCCTCCTCTTGGCTTCATCCTTTATCTCGGGGATGTGCAATGCACTGAGCAGGTCTTTGTGTGGCGTGCATGCACAATAACGTTGATCACACACAGGTGCTGATATGGCGGGCTCCTGTTCTTGTGCATAGGTGGGCCTGGCGGAGATGAAGCCGGTGGTGGACATGTCTGGCGGCATGGTGGTGCAGACGGACACCTTCCTCAACCCCGTATTCAAGGAGTCCTTCAAGCGCGTCTTTGTGGCCCCCGGCGACCCCGGCTCCCTCAACATCGCCTCCAACGCCACCTTCGAGGTGCGCACAATATCCTCCCCTGCTTATTATATAGAGGAGTGATAGCATGCGTATGCACGTGCAGCAAGTGCGAATCCTACAGTGATCTGACCGTCAGCAACGTTGGCACTTGCAATGAACTCACATCAGCGCTACTGGAATGTGCCACAGGCGCCCCAAACTTCATGGAATTTGCGATCTGTTTGTTTATAGCTGAGTCAAAGGCAAAAAAATGCCCTGGTCAAGTCCTTCATAAATATTCTCCCGTGTGCCAGATGGCACATCTACTGCACAATTGCGCAGTGGTGCTCTTGCAGTGTTGCCGAGGGTTCACATGCATGTTCTCTCGGTGCAACATGGCATTGCTGCGGCGATGCGACAAATGCCCTGCGCTGCTCCTCAATTGGCACAGCAGTAGCAAACGGGTTTTTCTTCTCAGCAATACGAGTGGTTTTGCAGGTGATACCGTCGAGAGGGGTGAAGATCGCTGGGTTGCTCGGCCCTGCAGCGGCCATGGACAAGAAAAGCTCCAGCATCGCAGACACCCACGTGGGCATTGGGGGCACCAACCAGTGGAGGCTCGCAGGCCTGGTGAGTCAGCACACTTGCCACCCCTGCACCTGGCTACACATGCTCACAAGCAACAAGTATTCAGCAAGTTTCGGCCATTATCATAAAATGATGTTTTCTCACACACTATGCCTGTCTACGTATGCTCGCGAGCAAGAAGTCTCCATCGTCAGAGCAAGCAGTGCTCTCATACCCTGCATCTGGCTGAACATATTCACGGGCAAGAAGTTTCCAGCAAGTGCTGGCAACTGTCAGAGCGAGCAATGTTCCAAGACCCAACCCATCTGCCAGGAGCTTGTAAATCGCAGGAAGACCTGTGATCGTATCTGGAAGGCCGACTCCTCATCTTGGCCTGTCCTGTTCTTCCTGTACATTATCAGCAGGCTTGTGCAGTCTGCAGGCAAACTGTCAACATTTCCTAAGCCTCTCTTTGTGAGCTGGTGGTCATTTCGTGTTGCAGGATGCGAGCACGACCCTGTGCACATTCTATGAGATAACACCGCAGAGCAAGGAGGCGGCAGGGCAGGATCCGCACACCTCGCAGCAGTTCTACATCCAGTTTATCACCCGCTACCTGCATGCTGACGGCTCCCACCGCATCCGCGCTACCACCTTCACCCGCAGGTGCCCGCCCTCTGCCTTCCCTAGTCTTTCTGCTCACCCTCCCGTAAGACGCACACGCAGGAAGAAGCTAGCAGATGCCCAAAATCCAAAAAAGAATATAAGTTGGGCAACCCATGCCACTTCTCGTACACTGTCTTGTGTTCCCGCTGCCTGGTGTCTGGTGGTCAGCAAAGGAGGCGAGGCTGTCATGTCTTGCCTTTCCCCTGAAGAAGAGAAGTTCAAGCTGAGAGGGGCAGCAGTGATGCATGTCCCAATGCCAGCTGCAAGTTGGGCCCGTGAGTACAGCATGCAGCATGCGGGCATCTCTACTGTCCATCATGCAGCAGTTGTGATTGCAGAGCTGCTGAGGAGGGCATGCGCAGCGAGAAGCCCGGCTTCAGCGCTGACTAATCAATTTTTTACTGCATCGGATGCTGACTGGACTGTGGTGCTGACGGCTGACGGGGCGTCCAGGTGGACGGACGGCAGCAATCTGGGTGAGCTGATGGCAGGCTTTGACCAGGAGGCGGCTGCGGTGGTGGTGGCGCGACTGGCCACCTTCAAGATGGAGACCGAGGAAGACTTCGACGCCACTCGATGGATCGACCGCACGCTCATCAGGCGCGCCTCCTGTTACCCCTTAGCTTTCTGCTGCAGTTGCTCCCCTTTCAAGCAAATTCTCACGCCTGAACACACCCTCATACGAGCCATTTCGCACATCCCAAGAACATCCTGCACCAATCATAGCAAATCCCAATTATAGATGATGGATTCAATATATGGCACAATGGTGATGCATGTAAAGTGCTCTCAGCTCGTGGCGACCTGTCAAAGTTTGATGTGCATCTCATCGGCTGCTTTGGCCCGGGTGTTTGGGCTCGGAACCGAGACAGATTGCAAGCATCCTTCAAGCAGTGGGCATGCAGGAAGAGGCCAGTGTGCGTTGAGTGCTGAGGGCTGCGGTGATGTGTGCAGGCTGGCATCGAGGTTTGGGGACTACAGGCCCAACGACCCGGCCTCCTTCACCCTCAACGAGAACATGGCCTTCTACCCGCAGTTCATGTTCAACCTGCGCCGCTCCCAATTCGTCCAGGTGAGCTCATGCCCACAGGAGATCGTCCCTCCACTGCTGTCATTCATGCATGCTCCTGTTTGGATCACAGCCTGGTCCCATCCAATGCCGACAAGGACAAGTCGTCATCTCTTGCAGAGCAGATGTGCGTGCTAGACACTAGCTGCTGCAGCAACCCCTTCAAGCACTCACTGGTCCAAAAAATGACAAGATATGAACAAAACAGAGCCTTCATTGGTACAGAGCATTTTGACACATCTCAAGCAGTAACATGCCTCCAAGCTGTGCAATAGGCAGGACGCTGTCACATAGTCTCTGTCCTGGGGCAGTTCACCACTGCATACTGTATCAAGCGCAACCGGCCTCTGTTGATCTGACGCTAGCGTGGTGCGGTGTGTCCAACAGGTGTTTGGCAACTCGCCGGATGAGACGGCCAACTGCCGGCTGTCGCTGAACAAGGAGACGGCGCAGGAGGCCACCGTCATGATCCAGCCCTCCCTCTTCTCCTATGCCCTCGGCGAGGCAGAACCTTTCTCAGAGCCGGTGTGCGCGCATATTCGAATCTGCGTTCAAAAATGCTTTCAAACGCATGGCATGACATTCAGTGCCCATGTGTTAAAGACAACGGCTGGCACCAACAGGAGTAGAATCCTGCAGGGGCAGTCGCCGCACAGGAGCGCTAGTGCGTGATGCACATGTTTCCGAGCAAGCATGCGCTCGGTCTGCGCTGCGCCATTTGACATGTGTGCAATTCCAGCTTGGGAGCCTCGGCTGGCTGCGTTGCATGCGTCTGTGCTGGCACACCTCGGGCTGAGCAGATCATCAAATCCCGGGACTTCTTTGCATACCCTATTTGGTCATGCGTGCCCGTTTGCCTGAGTCTCAATTGGTAGGAGACTTCTGGGGTGAGTCATCGCTGACTCAGCGTGCTGCCGGTGCATGCGCACAGGTGCTGCTGGACGTGACGTCGATAGCGCCTGACCGCATCCTGCTGCTGGACTCCTACTTCTACGTCGTGGTCTTCCACGGCTCCTCCATCGCGCAGTGGCGCAAGGATGGCTTCCACCTCAACCCAGACCACGCCCACTTCAAGGAGCTGCTCGAGGTGCGCTGCTGTCCTGAACTTTTTAGTGAACATTTCCTCTGGGGCTGCCATGCATTCCTGTGTGGCCGCAGGGTCGCATATCATGCATGACCATGGCATATCGTACCTTTGTTCGTGCAATGATCGGACTGGCGGCCTCTTTTTGGAACCTCTGCATTCAGATTTCCATTGCTTATGGGGGGTCACTGCATTGGGTGTATGTGTGTGTTTGGTGTAAGTGGAGTATTTGCTTACTATCACAGGACCCTGGAATTCAGATGGGCTGAGAAAGCGTTACAGGTCTTTGACCTCTGCTGAGTGCATGCTGAGTGCTTAGCTTCTGAGCATCTCAGCTTCAGTATCCCTCAAAGTGTACAGCTTCTGCCATGTTCTGAATCATCTCACCTGCCACAAGCAACCACCTGCCATTCAGCTTCCTGAGCGTTTCGACAGAAAGTTGAGGTGTGCTGTGCTGCTGTCTGGCTGAGCAGGCGCCCAAGAGGGATGCGTCCTCCATCTTGCAGCGCCGATTTCCGGTGCCGCGGCTGGTTGACTGCGACCAGAATGGCTCCCAGGTGCGTTTTATCTCTTTGCTCATTTCATCTACATGTGCGGGCTATGGCTACAGGCTGTAGTTGATGGTTTCCCTTCCTTTTCAGAGTGATGAGACCTTCCCCAGTTTTCTCTGTGGATGCCTGTCCCAAATGGCATTTTCGCATGGCTTGCTGGCGATTTAAAGGTGCATAATATGAGATTCATCATAAAATGGTAGATTGAGCAGACCTCTCTGAAGCCGGGCAGAAGTTTTCCGGTAGGTGAGCAGAGACTTTCCAAAAGCTCTGAAGTTTGAGCAGGGACTTCGTAGGTTTTTGAGGTGTGGTGATGGGTGTGTTGGTGTGTGTGCAGGCGAGGTTCCTGCTGGCGAGGCTGAACCCATCCAGCACCTACCAGTCGCAGCAGTCCATGTCAGCCGAGGTCATCATGACTGATGATGTGTCGCTGTCAGTCTTCACAGAACACCTCACCAAACTGGCCACCCAGTCCTGAGGCAGCTGCTGGTTGTCGCCATAGTTGCTAAGAGCAAACTTTCCGGTGCAACTTTCTTTTAGGCTGATAATTATCGGAGTGGTCTTAAGGTGTGCAAGGTTGCTTGCTGCAGTTTAATCTCTCTTAGCCGGTGAACAAACCTCAAAAGAACATGTGTGGTCATACCTCCCGCACTGACAAGTGGGGAAAGGGTGGGAGTGCATGTTTTGAGGGGGAAATATTGGCGTCTGCCATATGACAGGAGATGTTTAGACAAGCAAAAATAATTCTGGGTACATCGTCATCTGCCAGTGGCAAGACCTTCCGCCTGCAGTGTCTTGTTGAAAAGATTTTTTGCTCTGTTGCAGAATATTCTGAGCTGGCAGGCAACAAGCTGAGTAGAAGGTGTTGAGAAGTGCCATCCTTTGATGGCTCCCCTTGCAACAAGTCCCACTAAAATTGTCCCACTAAAATATATTACACAGCTCTCTTCGTGAAACTTTGATATCGCGGGGTGCCCTGCGGACACATGTTACATCGGGTGCACCGGCATACAGTAAAGCTTCCACTGTCTAACCTCTTCACTTCCTGGCATCCCTCATCGTACGTATGCAGCAGCTGCACCTTTAAAAGGAATTTTAAGAATATCAATGGCCAAGAGCACATCACTGTCCAGGAGTTCATAGTACAGGCAAAATTATCAGGCCTTTCTACATGCAGGCAGCAGCACAGACACATGGCAAAATTGCAGTGTACATAACCTTCTCAGCTATCGCTACCTTGTGATACAATCCACCCCTCTCGCACTCCACACTTTATCTCTCAACTTCTCCAATTATCACAGGCGAATCACAAGAGGTTCAAAAATAAACGCTTGACTGAGGCAAGTTAATGCCCCAGCAGGTGTGCAAGCGGCCGCAAGCCCAGGGCATAGTAAGCATAGGCATACAGGCGGTACAAGTGCATGGAAGCATACACAAATATGGCCACAGATGTCCACATGAGCGCCCAGTCCCTGGCATCCCCCTGCGCCCAGGCAGGTTTGTTTTGATACTCACGAACGTCTTTGTTACTACTTCACAATCCTTCAATACACATACAGACATGTTGTTTGTCAGATGTCTAGAAGAAGAGAGCCAAAAAGCTCCTGAGGCAGAGCTCTGCAACAACTTAAGCGTGAAGACTCACCCTTTCGCGGGGCATGACCTCTGCCATCAGCTGCTCCAACCTTTTGCCAAAGGCGGTACTGAAGCGCTGTTGCATGGCTTTCACCTTTCCACTGTGCTTGCTCTCCTGTAAAGCACAAGGAAACTGAGTAAGTCGTCTGAATGTGAATCGATGCTTGATATTCACGCAACAAATGGCAGTAAAGGTCTTCCAAGTTTTGCATGTAAATGCATGCTGGAAATCAGCTGCAAAGTCCCACCGAGGTCTTCTGATCGTCCTTTTCAGCCCTTGTGGGCTGTTTGCCTTCAGGCAAGGCTCTCGGCGCGTGCCTACACCGCTTCAATAGTGGAATTTGCAGCGGTCTGACAAGCAAGGAGGGATAGGGACGACACGAGGTAGGCACACATGTCCGAAACACCATTCCGTTCCTGCTGACTACTCTGCAGTCTTGCAAAGTCCGAAGATGCTCGGTAATTCCTGGGTGTGATCAGTCTGTTTTCCAAAACAACTTCTAATTAGATCGAACGAGTCTATGTTCTGAGTCACAGCGGATGCCCAACCAAATCACCCTCCACTGGAGTACTACTTGTTTGGCAAGTCTTACAAATCAGCAAGAGTGGACCGAAAGGGGATCTCTGCTACAGCTGTCCTATATGTGGCATTTCCTGGATAATTTTGCACACGCAGCGCCATTGCAGGACCAAAATTGACTGAAGAAGGCCACGTGCCACGTGTGATCACGTAACGATATGAGAGGACTTCTTCACGTCACACTGAAAGGCGGCATGTTCTGATCTAAGGCCAGCTCTGAATCCCAAGGCTGTGCACGTTGAGGAGACTTACTTGCAGTACTAGACTCGCCCCTATTGCGCAGGCAGATTACTGAATTCTGAGCCGGCAATAAACACATCGAGCACTGACTCAAAGCAGTGATAAAGCAGTGATGTCGAGCTCGCGGAGTTTATCTACCAAGCAGTGGACTTTTAATAAGAAATACCCATCAAGCCAAAGAGACGCCCGAGTCTGATTACGCGGTCGCTCAGAAGCGAAAGTTTGCTAGATAGTACCGAGAGCGTGCAAGGTCGTTTCATTGCATAAAAACATTTGTGTTGTTTAGAAAAAGTAGCGAGCGAGAGCCTGTACAACAAGAGAGCGAGCATGGCGACAGCCGTAGCAGTCATTAAGCCTGTGCTACAGAGGCATGTGGCAAGCAGTAACCTGAGGGGTCATCGCGGCCTCACGCCCACTGTGATCAGCAAATTTACGAATATCACTAGCGCGAACGGTTCTAGAAGGAACGAGACATTCAAGCCGTCTGCAACCTCCCCAACTCTGGTCAGAGAGGTGCGCTTCTGGCCAGATCCCTCACTGCCCTAGCTAGCTTCGCACCAAGTCACAGACTCTTGAATTTGATACATACTTCTTCTGCAGACATTATTGGCAAGAGCAATTGTTTGCATGCAAGGCATGCTCAGAACAAGCTGATACTCTTTTGAGTGACCCTGCACCAGTCCTCCGTCGAAGCAGAAGCAGAACAGTGTGCGATAATCCGAATGAGGAAGTACTCGATGTCGATGACATTAGTTATCTACCTCTTCACTATCAAAGGTGGATGATGAGTAAATGCATGTCATTTCACAGGCGGTGCTGGCGCCTCCGGCCAGTCTGGGGGGCCTGACAGAGCAGTTTGAGGCGTCGGGGGGCCCTAAGGAGCGCGCGCAGCTGCTGCTGCAACTTGCCAAGGCTCTGCCGCCCTTCCCAGCAGATGCGCGTACCATGGGCAACCGCGTCATGGGCTGCACGGCACAGGTCAGCTTTTTTTTTTTAAAGTTATGGTGCATGCGAGAGAGGAAAAACGCTTTGCCCAGTGACAAATTTTGGCGCTCTGCAAGACGGACCTCAACAGGAATGATACTCGCTGTTGGTTTCCCAGCACGCTTGTCTTCTTTTTCTGACGAGGACCTGCATCCGCATGCTCAGGTGTGGGTGCATGCTGAGCTGGACGCGGCCGGCAGGCTCCAATTCGCGGCGGATAGCGATAGCGAAATCACTCGGGGCCTCGCCGCTGTCCTCGTCAGCAGCCTGTCTGGGCTGACCCCCTCCCAAGTGCTGGAGGTACATATCACTGGTTTTGGTAAATGACAACATCTGCACAGAGTATCTCTGTATGGTAGCAATTTTGTCCACGGCTTCTTTGTACTGGGGCTCGATGGGGTGTTAAGGATTTATGATCCCTTGCGGACAGAGTGATAGGCGATGCGTGATAAAGGTAACGCCCATATAGTGGACCTCTACTTTGTCTGGAAGGAGTTCAGCTGTTCTCACACTCCATTGAGATTGCATCGTTGACTTGCTCCTTCAGCCTTGCAGACACGGTCTTCTTTAGTTTCATCTTCCCTACAGACATGGCCCCAGTGTCTGGTTGCATGCCACTTATTTTGATCAGACACACCTGCAATGCCATAAATGCAGGGCAGATATTGTCTTGTACATTGCACTGCTGAAATTGCAGCTGCACTTGATGGTGAATTGATTTGTCATCAGCAATTCTTACCATGTTTTGCTGCTGCTGTGAACAGGTGGAGCCAGAGGCGCTGTCGGCTCTGCAGCTGGGTCAGGCAGTGCTGACCCCTTCGCGCGCCAATGGATTCATGAACATGCTGGAGGCGATGAGGAAACGCGCGCGCGCACTGTCGGGGGCGTTCCTGCCGACCTTCCCCTCGCTGCGAGTCACCGCCAATGACGTGACCCCCCAGGGGGCGTTTGCGATTGCGCAGGCGCAGTTCCTCGAGCCCGATCCGGCGCAGGTCGAGGCGCTCGTCAAGGTGTGTATCCTTTGGGCATCCTGATTGTTTCCTGCAGTGATTTGGGCATCTGTGGTAATTAGAATGCCTGTGGAGTCGGTGTGGGGATTTTGTATGGAGTTGCCGGGGGCTGCTTTTGTAGCACAACTTGCTATGTTCTGATATCTGAATTTCTGTGTTCTGATATGTTCTGTGATATCCTGAACATATCAGCTGAAAATGGACGCGTGCCTGATTCAGTGTCAGTGATTTCTTTGATAGTGCTGCAATGAGGGGCTTGGATAGCTGTATCTTGTCAATGGTCTTTTGACTCACCTGGAGAGAAGTGTGATTGTCTCACTGCAGAGCTGCAGGAAATCGCATGCAAGAGCTGTCAGGCTGACTTGGTCATAATGCTCTCCAGGCACTTCCTGAGTCTGGTGTCAATCTATAGCTTTATGACACCCCAGTCTTCCTTCTATGCCAGCCACAGTTCCGATTACCCTTTTGGTTATGTGCCCTTGTCACAATCCTTTTTGCATGTCCAGTGCATGTACAAAGAAGTGATGACCTGGCTAGAGCACGTGCGCAAGAGCAGGATCAGCAGAAAAGTCAATGCCAGAGCAACATGTTGAGCAGACATGCAAGCATGTGCTCCTGATTTGCATGTTCCGGGCATGTGCCGACATGCTGCTATCATGTGCCCGCAGGTGCTGAGCGAGAAGCGCATCGGCCTGGTGGCGCACTTTTACATGGACCCTCAGGTGCAGGGCGTTCTCTCCGCCGCTGCCGAGCGCTGGCCACACATCCACATCAGCGACTCTTTAGTCATGGCTGACTCAGCCGTGCGTATGGCGGAGGCCGGCTGCACCTCAGTCGCGGTCCTGGGCGTCGACTTCATGTCGGAGAACGTGCGCGCCATCCTTGACGAGGCCGGGCACGCTGACGTGGCGGTGAGTCGCCCTTCTTGAGTATTCTTTTAGCTCCGCCACACGAGGTGCTTCATGGTAGGTGCATATGGTCGGGAAGTGACGCAACCAGCAAACTTGCCCAAGTTACTAATTTTCCGCTGAAGCGGGAGTTTGGGGTCCTTTACGCAAGGGCATCTTGTGCTTGCAAATAAAGTAGCGAATTGCTCGCCAGTTGGTTGAATACTTCTCAAACGGTGGACTGGACTCAGAATGTTTGTCTCTGGATATGCCTACTAGCTGAGGCTCTTTGCACTGCTGTGTCTCTGGAGAAGGAACTGAACGTCCAATAATGTAATTGTCACTTGAACTGACATTGATGATATGGATCTAATCATGGTCTGCCCAGGTGTACCGCATGGCGGCGGCTGACATCGGCTGCTCGCTGGCGGAGGCGGCGGAGGCGCCGGCGTACGATGAGTACCTGGCCGCCGCGGCAGGGAACGCCTCCCCAGCCCTGCACGTGGTTTACATCAACACCAGCCTGCGCACCAAGGCGCTGGCGCACGCCCAAGTGCCCACCATCACCTGCACATCCTCCAACGTCGTCCAGACCGTGCTGCAGGTGCGCTGTCTATTGCTATAATGCTCGGTATAATTTGATACCGAGCGTTACTGCAAACTCAAAAAACAAATGAAAAAATATCATTTAAGCAAAAATATGCGTCAGTTGTTACTGAGACCAGATTATGGGTAGGTATCTCAGCCCCACGTCCATGTCCGGGATATTGCAGGGGCCAGCTGCAACCATCCAAGTGTTGTGGTGCAGGCGCTCTGATCCCTCATGGATCCATCGATTGTGTTTCACCCACATTGTGTTGTGATCATGCGTGGGGCAGACTCCAGGGTAAACGCTCTGGGTGCTTCCTCCCCCTGGGTGTGAGCACGCCTGGCAATTGACAGCCCCATCGTCTGTCATTCGCGCTCATGCTTGGCGAGATGAAGCACCTTGTGCATGCCTTTCAGTTACTGGCTGTGTCCTCGTTCGTGCCTGTGACTGAGAATTCGTGCATGTGGCCACCGCAGCATCACCACAAGAGCTGTTTGGGCAGTTCTCTGCAAACACTTGTGGCTCATATATTGCAAAGCACTCTTCAAGGAGGGTTTGAATATGGTTTTGTCCTCACTGCAGGCGTTTGCGCAAGTGCCGGGCATCAACGTGTACTACGGCCCGGACACTTACATGGGCGCCAACCTGGCAGTCATGCTGCGCGCGGTTGCACAGATGAGCGACGAGGAAATCCGCGCGCTGCACCCGGACCATAACAGGTGTGACTCAGCGATGACTAACGTTGCATGATGTGACTGAGCTGACCCTCTTGTATGGCAGTCTTTGAATGCCCTGGATCATATTAGAGGTGTTCTGGCAAGGCAGGATGGTAGGAAATATTTTGTGTATGGGAGAACCTGATGTAGCGTAAAGTTGCCTGCCTTTGCCAAGTACAGGAGGGGTTGCTGGGTCTGTTACTTTTCCCGGAGACAAATATTGTGTTCTGTGCAGTTGATTTGCTTGTGCAGCTCTATCATTGAGAAAGGCGTCTCCCGGAAAGAACGACAGGCCAATCAGATGTCAGCACAAGGTGGTGGGTAGACGCTTGTCTGATGGCATCAGGCGACGATATAGGATAGATCTGTACCTCATCCCCGTCAAAGTCTGCATTGTAGTCCCCATTCTGACCTCCGGGGATGCTGCAGGGAGAGTGTGCGGTCGCTGCTGCCGCGGCTGCACTACTTTGACGCGGGCACTTGCATCGTGCATCACCTGTTTGGCGCTGAGGTGTCTCAGCTCGTCAGCCAGGCCTATGGCGACGCTTATCTCACGGCTCACTTTGAGGTGCGCACCTTCCCCCTATGGAACTTTAAGCTGCCCTGGGCGTCCATGCAGGGATCAGCGCAGCTCCGTCATGCTTTGTGAGTCGATCATGAAAACATATTACATTCACTGGGGCATTTTGCTGTTCATCTGTCAACTCCGCGACTGCCAGTGTGATGGCCCTTCCATCCATTCCCCCTTCCTGCCTAGAGGTTCATGACGAAGAGAGCTCAATGCCAGTAAACAATGTTTTGCAGAGAGATTTCTGCAGTGAAGGCCCCCATCCTGGATTTTATCACCCCATCGAAGAACATCTAGGATGACGGCGTTCCCTGCAGAAATGACTCTCATCGGGTGATGGAACAGCTGGCATTCAGTGTGTGGCAACACCGCACTGTCAGAACGGCAGATAGTATCTGAGGGGAAGCTGAGCTGACTATTATGTTATCGCCCTGAGCAGGTGCCCGGGGAGATGTTTGCGTTGGCGATGGAGGCCAAGAAGCGTGGCATGGGGGTGGTGGGATCCACGCAGAACATTCTCGACTTCATTTCAGAAAAGCTGAGCGAGGCCGTGGAACGCCCCTTCCCGGACACCCTTCAGGTGTGTCTTCTTTTGGAATTTGATCCTCTTCGTGCATTTCGGTACCGTTTTTGTCTGTGCGTGTTTTTTAATGGTGCACTGTTAAATTTCTTCCCCGTGTATATTGCATAGCATGTGCAGATCTGCTTTTGCTTCAAATGCCCATGGGTACTTTGTGGTTTGGGACACTGCTTGCCTGCAAGGGTGATTGGCTGGCACCTCTGTGGCTCGACTTACCACTCTTACAATAATCTCCCGAAGTACCGCTGGGCGCAGAAGCAGCTTCGAACTATCTGCAAGGAAACAGCGGGTGGCAGCAGGAGTTGGTCGGAAGAAGAAGCTGTCTCTCAACTCTTGTGTCTCGATCTGTGGGTTACACATGGTCCAGTCTGACTCATCCATTACTCACTCGTGCAGGTGGTCCTGGGCACGGAGTCGGGCATGGTCACGGCGATTGTGCGCAAGGTGCAGGCTCTGCTGCGCGCGGCCGGCCGCTCCGACGTCGCCGTCGAGATTGTCTTCCCGGTCGCCTCCGAGGCCATCACCACCCCCGTCAACCAGGGTGCGTGGCAATTTTACACTCTCTCTCCCCCCTTGCAGAGTCGAGGGAAGCTCGGTGAACCCTTGGCAGAAGCTGTTCCAGGTGACCGATGTCTCTGGCGAATTCAGCAATCAATTGAACTACTCATGAACATTGACGACCCAGACTAGCTCAGAGAACAGCAATGATCACTCAGCTCACAGCAAGACGAAGGTTTAATTGTGATCTGTTCATATGGGGATTGAATTTCTGCAAAAGAAAGTCATTGGCAAGCTGATGATGTCAGGGGTTGATTTCTCACAATGGCATGCACTTTGAAGGTTATGGTCATTCTGAGCTGCTTGTTAGACAGACTTTTACCTGTACAGAATCTCATCGTCGTCTTACATGCCCCTCTTCTGTTACCAGGTTCTGCCAATGTCGCATCTGCAAGGGCGAGCCCTGTGCTGCCTGGCGGGCTGCCCGTGGTGCCAGGCCCGGCCGGCGGCGAAGGGTGCAGCGCTGAGGGCGGCTGCGCATCCTGCCCGTACATGAAGATGAACAGCCTCGATGCACTCCTCGGCGTCTGCGCCAAGATCGGGACCCCCGGCGAGGCTCTGCTCGCCGGCTACGCGCCACGGCCGTACGCTGAAAAATTGCGTGACGGCCGCTCAATCGCTGCGGCGGGCTGCGAGCCAATTCTGCACATGCGCGGATTCCAGGCGGCCAAGCGGCTTCCTGACGCGCTCGTCGCTGACATCATGGGACGCAAGCAGCTTGCTGTGTGATCTGGCAAACGGCACATGCAAAGCTGTGGAGTCCGCTCCACGAACTGCAGATCTCCAGAATGTAGTCGAGGCAGCTTTGCCATGTATATGCAGAATGACGTGTCATTGGGAAGACGTCTGTTGCTTTCTTACAGCAGTTTGTTATTACTTGCAATAGTGAAAATATAATGAGCAACTGGGGTTTGCTGAAACTGAGTGTAATTACATCCTTACTCTGCCTTGCTTTCTGCACGACTCGTTCTCAATGAGGCGCGTCTCCACAATTCTACTGAAGCCTGGAGGATCAGTCACCTTTAGCTTAGTGCGGTGATCATTGCTGTCCATCTTCGCCACAGCATGCATTCCACCAGGGTCCAGCGTGCCGACCACCACACTTGTGACATCCAGGCTGGCAGTGTCATCAACAAAGCTGCTGCTCTGGATGATGTTGCTCAGGTCCTTCAGCATGCGCCCATCCAGAAGCTTGATCGGCTGCGGCAACGCAGGAGGGCGGTGGTCTAGGGCAGATCTTCACCACGGCCTGCAAATGAAGTGTTGGAGGCGGCAGCCTTGCATCTAGAGAGCATGGCTTCTCCTTGCGCTGTGAGGCTGCAGGGGATCCGTCCAGAAGGTGTCTGCCTGCCAGAGGGCCTATTGCACCTTGAAGGGCTTGAAGTAGCAGACCTCAAAGAAAAGCAGTGGGACGGTGCACTGAAGAAAGTAGACATATCTGCTTCCTGATGCGACGCCGATAAAACTTGTAAAAGACCCTCTTACTGCTTTCTTTGAACGCCCCACAGTTAAGATTGGCGACCCTCTCATGGCATATCGTGCCAAATGCGGAACATATCAACCGTGGAACTTATCGTGAGGGTTTAGGCCCTAAACCATAAATAGAGTTGTTGCGTGCTTATAACATCGATTGTGACTGAACCTTCCACGCTTGCAATAGCTCGACTGCAGGGGCATGGAGGACGTAATTGTGAAAGTGTTCCAAGGAGAGGTTGAAGTTGCAAGCGAGGTGATCTCCAGCCCTGCCACTGCTGCGGAAGCAAAGGATAGTCTGCGGGATCTCAACGCAGCCCTGGTGGGCAAGCCGACAGAAGCCAACCGAAGTACTGGCTTAGCGGGGCGGCGTGAACTGACTCCTGGCGCCATCTACCATCTGCACCTGCAACAGCAGCCGGGTAAGTGCACTCCAGCCCCAGTTCCTGGTGCAACACGAACGGGATCCAACTCCGTGTCTGTGAACGGGTTTGAGTTTGCCGGTGGTTTTATAGCTGTCTGTGAGGACCCGATTAGTATTGAATAGCATGTTGTGACCTCAGCTGCAGCTGCAGGCAGCCACTTTCGTTCAATGACCTTATGAACCTCATGGTCTTATTTGAGCTTATCAGTGTGGAGCCAAAAGTATTTCGGGCGGACCTCAAGCCAGGAGGTCCTTGCTGCTGCCCGATGTTGACTGGTGCAATGACTCTGACTCTCATTGCTCAGTGTCAGCCGCAAACTGCTTGGTATGAGTTTGGTATCCATCCCGTGCTGCGCGCCTTTGTTTGCAACATTCCCTGGTGCAGGTGCTACAGGCCGTTATGCAGCTTGTGCTGGGCTTGTGTTGGTTTGCTGCTGGGTCCGGCAGCACATAAGGTCAAAAAGACTAGAGCGTTGTATCTAGCCTCTTTCAGAATTTGGCCAGAACACCACAGCCTTGTTGTGATTCAGCTGTAGCTGCACAGTTGCCACCCTGTGTTTGCGCGCCTTGGCCGCAGCACTGTTGGGGTTGACCACTGGCTCTGTGCTGAGTGGGTGGACTTGAGCAACATTTGAGGCTAACGTCTGTATGTCCATGCAACAGCAATTGATCCTCCTGTTTCTACTCAGCCAGATTGTCGTGATTGCAAGTCTGTGGTGTGCTCCTTGCTGCAACCCCGCAACATTATCTGGCGGCTCGGTACTCACATGCAACGTTGTGTATGCGATCCTACACTGTGGATTCGAATTTTGAGCCCTGGCCAGAATTGCACAGATTTGCTCTGGCTGGATGAGTTGGCTGCACACCCTGTGCTCCCGTGCTTGTGGTCTCGGCTGTGCCTGATGAGCCGGTGTTTCTTGTGATTCCAGCATGTCCTCTTGGCTCCTGCTGTAGCATCAGGTGCACGGCGTGTCCCTAATCTGCAGTTGCTGTTACATGAGGGTTCTTGCAATTTAGTGCCCTCGGACTGTCTTCTCGCTAGTAGCTGCGAGTGACCTTTAGAGGCGCCTTTCTTACAATGTGGAACATCTGTGCAGGCGCTAACTTGACTGAAGAGGATGTCTTGGGGCTGAGGAGCATGTACCGACGCAGAACAGAGACACTGTCCATCAATGGCATCAATGCAGAGCAGTGGGAGACCATCAAGGTGACAGCGAAGCTGGAGTTGAGACCTTGGCTTGGGGCCATCGAACCAGTGAGCCAGCACCAGCCTAAGCCATTTGGGTGGGATGACACCGCAGAAAGCAATCATGCTGTCAGGTAATGCGCATCAATTGGTCTGCTGGTCCAATACTTGGTGTTGTACTGCTCAACAACCACAGAGAGACTGCCGTGCGTCATGTTGTTTGTTGCCGTGCAGGTATCTGCCTTTCTTACAGCAGGAACTCAATTCAGTGCTGGGCCGCAAGATGCTCAGCCGGATTGAGGTGATGGATGGCAACCGGTATCCAAACTGCCTGGCCACAAGGGGCTTGGAGAGCGTCTTTGCCTACAATTCAATGGGGAGACCGACATACTTTTGGCATACAGCCAGGCAGTGAGAATAAACATGCCAGAGACAGGCAGTGTCGCAGCCTTTAAGCTCAACAAGGGCCAAGTGAATCCCCTCACTCAAGAAGTAACCCATTTCTGTGAAGGCACATGGCTTTGCTGAAGTGAAGTTTGCTTGTCATGCAGCCCATCCATGAGCTATCGTGTGTCAGACTAGCCAGGCATTCCTGCGTGATGTATGAGTGATGTGTGTTTTCAGGCAGGAATTTTGGGTTGTGTCTAAGTCATTGTGTGCTTGCTGTGCAGTTCACCCGGCAGGACATTGCGCAGGCATGCGTGACGCTGATCACACTGAACCTCAAGTCGCCCTATCTCCGGCCGTGGGTCCTCCTCACACTTGAACAACAGGTTCACTTTCTTCTGGATGGACAAGCGAACCATATACTACCGCTCTGAGGATGCATCTACTGGCTGGAGCATCATAATGGATCTCTTGCAGCATGATGCAAGCGTCACATTTGCAGAGCCCGGACAGCAGGCAGCCGCGAGTGTGCCCATCTTGGCCCGCAAAGCGATTCCTGCAGAGCTGAAATACCCAGGGCTGTGATGAGCGATGTCGGCAATCTCAATGATGTGATGGATGAGGACGAGGCGAGGGCGTACCACCTGCTGTACAACCTGTCAGTGCAGCCTGCTCTAGCACCACTCCTGCCCTGGAGGCCCACTCCTGAGGGCATGTATGTCTGACTCCGTCAAATGGCACTCTGGAGCGCAGAGGTACCAAAGGCAGAGCTTCAAGACAGAAGAATTTCAAGGCAATCTGAATCTGAACTTAACGGCATGAAGAGGGTGGCAGACATGTAATCTTTTCTCTTTTTTGTCGAGAACAAAGCTTGTGAGCAGCATGACTTCTAGCAAGACTTCTTATGTTTGAACGGACAGATTGCAGTTGCAGCGTTTAGAATAGATGGGCAATGGTCTTTGGTGTGTGCTGCAAAATTATTTTATGTGTGCCACAATGACTAGTACTAGGAAGGGCAATGTCATTGCATGACACCTGAAGGAGATCTCTAGAGTGCTTGCCTGTGCATTGCGGCACAACCTGGGGTGTGAAAATATTAGCTGAGGCTGAAGACAAACGTATTTCAACCTTCACTGTGCATCTGAATTGGGTGCGGATGTGGGGGTGTCTGAGCTCAGCTTAATGAAGTATCAGTACTAGAAGTTCTTGTGAATGCAGCGGAAGTCTGTTGCACATGCACAGACAGCATCTGAAATCAGCGTGAACGTGAAGACCCTCACCTTGTTGTTGATTCAAGTTTTCAGCCTCGTCCATGGCAATACACGCCCTCGTGAGGCCGCATGGCAGTGGTTTACGTAGCTCATATTACAACTGTACCACACTTGCAGGCTGAAAATGACACCTTTCTGTTGAGTCCAATCGAATTGGGCCTCATTTCCGTTCGGCTTCACTCGCCTTCCAGCCCTATTATGACCCTTGATGACTAACAATGCGAGGGGTTGGTGACGGCGCTAGAACGAGTGCACTTGCATGAAGTTCCGAAAGCTTGCACCGATCGCTTGCTGTTTGTGAAAAGATTGCAACGATGCCGAAGAAGAGCAAGAAGTCAAAGTCGAAGCGTACAACGCTCAAACAGAAGTACAAGGTCATAAAGAAGGTCAAGGAGCACCACAAGAAAAAGGCAAAGCTTCTCAAGAAGTCAGGCAGGAAAGAGAAGGCGCCGAAAGATCCAGGCATCCCATCGCAATGGCCCTTCAAGCAGGAGCTTGTAAAGGAAATCGAATGGGAAAAGCAACGAGCCCTGGATGAAAAGAAGCGCAAGAAGGAGGAACGCAGACTTCTCCAAGCGAAGGTCACACCTCTCCCCTCGTCCATCGACCCAATAGAAGAGCACTTATAGAGTTCTGACAATAAAATCTGCCATTTTCTGCATCCTTGGAGTCGCAGATGTTACAACAGAAACAATGCAAGCTAGTACTGCAAAGGGCGATCTGGCTCTCGAATTTGGAAATGTCACGTGACTGTCATATCCTAACTCGTCAATTTCTCTGTTCTATTGTTGAATTTGTTTCTGTGTGACCTGGCAGGCCGATGGCACAGCGGAGGGAGACGAGGAGATGGAGATTGGAGAGGGGCTGACCTTCGAGGATGTGCAGCAGGAGGCTGCAGCCAAGCAGAGGGCCTTCGAGTCCCAGCAGGCCAAGGCCTCTACTTCTGGCAGCGGCGTTGAAAAAGGTACAATTGCCTTGCTGCCCTCACAGCCTTACAACGCCGCCTGCCAAGAACACCTTTGCAACCACCACTTGCCTCATCAACTCGAGCCACCTCTGACCGTCAGGCCTGCAGCATACAGAGTGCCTTGTCTTGGCCAGTGTATTTCCCGCTTTACCCAAGCTCCGTCACTTTCATGTTATGAGCGATTGAACCTCCTTTGCTGCATTTCCTCCTTTGGCCCTTAGATGTTGAAGGGGTGAAGTCCCGCATGCAGAGGGGTCGAGGAGGGCCTTCTACAAGGAGTTTGTGAAGGTGGTGGAAGCTGCGGACGTGGTGATTGAGGTCTTGGACGCGCGTGACCCCCTCAGCAGCCGCTGCCCTGACGTGGAGCGTTTCGTGCGCCAGGCTGGCGCTTCAAAGAAGCTCATCCTGCTGCTCAATAAGATCGGTGAGTATCTAGGCCCTCTCGCATCTCCCTTCAAAGGAATGGAAGATGTCCTTTTCATCGTTGGAAAACATGGGGCCTGGGCACGGGGAACGCTCTTGGTGTATGCTGCAGCAGCATGCCACTTTCCCATGCCAGGTCCTGCTGTCGGTCTGCACAGTCTACATGACTGTGAGTGCAGCCAGAATTTGCACTGATACGGCACGAGCTTCATTGCACAAACAGTCTTGTTGTGGGCGGCTTGAACGCACGGTCTGGCGGCTGCTGTGCGCACGAACGGGACAGGGGAGAGGTATCTTGAGCTCGGGTTGAAACAGAATTTACTGGCGCCATTGGCTTGGGTTTGGAGGTGCATCACGCCCCGAGTGCCAGCTTCTGCGCGCACACTACGCCCCTAGGGAGCTTGCAGAGTCTTGGCCGAGCTGGAGAGGCAGTGCATTCATTGGAAGTGGCATATTTACTGAAACAAGCAGGTATTGGGTGCAGATTTGGTGCCGAGGGAGGTGGCAGAGTCCTGGCTGAAGTATCTGAGGGAGGAGCTGCCCACGGTCGCGTTCAAGTGCTCCACGCAGCGGCAGGCATCCAATCTCGGGCAGCGGCGGCTGCCGGCCGCGGCGTCGGCCGACGGCGGCTTTTCCGGCAGCGAGTGCCTCGGCGCAGAGTCTCTGCTGCAGCTGCTGAAGAACTACGCGCGCGCCTCGGACATCAAAACTGCCATCTCCGTTGGTGCGACCACTTGCGTCTGTGCGCATGTGTCTGTTGTGCACTTGAGAGCCTTGTGCATATTTCTTGGAGAAGCCTAGCAGGCAGTGCATATAACAGTCATGAAGACCTGGTCAATCATTGCTTGGTAGTTGCTCTGGGGGCTGGCAACTGCCCCCATAGCACTTGCCAGCTCTAGTGACACGTAGCAATGTGTTCTGTAGACCTTGCCAAACGGCACGTGCCTTGACTGTGCGCAAAGCCTTTGGCAATTTTCTGCATTTGAGGCAATCGATGCGCTGCTGCAGGTGTGGTAGGCCTGCCGAACGTGGGTAAGAGCTCGCTCATCAACAGTCTGAAGCGCGCACGCGTGGCGCAGACCGGCAACACACCCGGCGTCACAAAATCTGTGCAGCAGGTGGGACTCTTCTATCCCTTGCCATGCCCAGAAATGAGGTTATTGTGCGGCGTGTTTGCAAGTTGTGTGCTGCCGAGCATAGCCCGTGCAGATGCACACCATTGGCATCAGTGTGCTGTGGATATGTTTGCTGTCTCTAACTGGGACATATCAAAACGTTGCGCAGCAAATCAGTGCCTGTGGTGGATGTGCTACTTAGCCTTTGGATGTTACTTATCGCCTTTTTGACAGCAAAGCATCAGCATCAGCAGGGCTGCGTATGAAATATTCATCAAATTACATGCCTGTTGGCACACTCTTGCCTCTGCTGCATGTAAGAATCATGACTTATGTGGTATTATGTCGGCAGGTCCACCTGGACAAGACGGTGACGCTACTGGACAGTCCTGGAATTGTGTTCTCTTCCGGCGGAGGGGACGCCGCCGCTGCCCTGCGCAACTGCCTCAAGGTGCGCGGCCCTGCATTACAGGGAGTCTTTCTGAAGTCAAGTGGTAGCCCGGGGCTTTTTCACAACGTACTCGCAAGAAATTGTGCAGCAATTGGCTCCAGATGCCTGCTGAGAATCAGTAAAGTAAAAAGTGCGTTTGCTTGATGTCCTGCAAGTCTGCTCACCGCCCTGCTTCAGTTCACCGTACTGTTTGGCAGCAGCTTCTGTTTTGCGTGTCAGGCAGCCCTGGGACCTCAAAAGGCAATGCCGAGATCTGCGCTGAGTTCGTTGATGTGGCTTGGTACTGGCGTACTTTGAACATTCACTCTCAGCGAGGTAGCTACGCCAGATCAGGCAGCATGCCAGCTCACGGTCCCTTCTGGCTTCCAACCCACTGAGGTCCTCTTCTGGCAAGGAGGGCATAAGATTCTGCGCGGGAGAAACAAGGCAGATCAGGCAACGTGCCAGCTCAGCGCTGAGATCATGCTGTGTCACCATCCTGTGCCAGGTGGAGCAGCTGGAGGACCCAGTGGCGGCCGCGTCGGAGGTCGTGCGCCGATGCGAGGCCTGGCAGCTCATGGCGCTCTACAAGGTGCCGGCCTTTGAGAGCCCTGAGGCACTCATGCAGCAGATTGCAAACGCGCGAGGCAAGCTGCGCAAGGGCGGCCTGCCAGACGTGGAGGTGGGGACTGTCTGACATTCAACCAGTAATGATTCATTGTGCTTAGTAGAGAAAATGTTCACCAACATACACAATGAATTGGATGCCCCACATTGCGCAGATGTAGCTGATCAAGAGCACGATTACTAAGCTGGATCAAGCTGACATGAATAGTGCTCATTGATTTTGTCCCCGGAAACATTTCTACAATAATGTTTAGCTGAGGGTTTGGGGAAGATGAATTTAGGGAGGGGCCAAAATCACGGGGAATGCAATGGTGGATGTAGGGTTCAGGGTCGATGAAGGGTAAAAATATGTCATCATAAAAAGCATGCTAAGACTGTTTTCTGTGTGGTTTTGTGCGCAGGCGGCCGCGCGAATGATGCTGCACGATTGGAACGACGGTCGCATCTCCTACTACACACTGCCGCCCAAACGCACAGACCACGGCCACGCATCGGCCGCCGTTGTGGGCGGCTTCAGCACAGACTTCAATGTAGACGAGGTGCGCCTCTGCCTCCTTCTGACACACTTGATGCCCCTACGATGCGGGTATTGAGGAGGTACTTGTCACTTTGGGGTGTCCTGTTGCCTGTGCTGCTCAGTAAATGGCATGGGTCACACACAGGAGGATCAGCGCCTTTGCTGTCAGTGTCATGCAGTGTGCTTTAGACACAAGGAATCTCTCCCTCTCTGCTGCTGGAAGAGAGTCTCGCATGGTACTTGTTCTTTGGGAGTTTCCCAGTAAGAGGGGATGAATATGTGCGCAGGTGTATGCTGAGCAGCAGAGGGCCGTGGTGGCCTCACTGCCATCAGTGGCAGAAGGCGATTTCTTTGAGACACAGCCATTTGGGGAGGCCACCGTAGACCTGGAAGCCATGGATGCAGACGAGGGTGCGTTCTGTTCTGTGGCTCTCTGAGACATATCTTGCTCCCGTGGCAACCACGGTGCTCTGCTCGAATGCTCTGCTCGAATGCTCTGCCTGAGTCAACGCCCTGATGTTTACGAGGTCTTGTTTGCCTCGTCCTGAATGGTTGTGCACTGCTCAGAATTGCAGATCTTGCATTGATGGAGCAGGCATGTTGTGGCTTTTGAGCGATGGCTGTTTGGTAACCTTCAGCCTGCTGCAGGCAGTGCTGACTCGGCGAGTCACACCTGTCGTCATGAGAAACGATATTGGGTGTGCCATGCCGTGCAGGGCCCAGAGGGGCAGGGGATGAGGATGAGGAGAGCGAGGATGAGGGAGATGCAATGAGCGATGGAGAGGAGGAAGCTGCCAAGCGGCTGCGCGTGCAGACCGGCAAAGCCGCTGCTGCTGCCGCTACAGCCAACGCACAGGTTTGACTTCTCAATCCTCAATGTTCTTCCCCTGCTAGAGCTGTGCAAAACCTTCCTGCTGTGACCCCCTGTCTCATGACAGGCGCATGCCGTGCTCATTAAGTAACAAACTGCAAAGAGGTTGCAATGGGTCAACTCTCCTGTCAACTTGGTGTGTGTCTTTGCAAGGATATCTCCCTGCAGCCGTAATGCCACTGAGACAGGGCTGATCCTTTTGTGTCTCTCACCCAGGCAGCAAAGCTGTACACAGGGGAGGGGCAGTTCAATCCCCACGAGGCACGCGCGCAGAGGAAGCAGCAGAAGAAGCTGAGGCGGCGGACAGTCTCAACAGGTGCAGCTGCGGATGAGTATGACTTTGCAGACGCATTTGACAGTGTTAACGTGGGGTCTGACAATGAAGTTTGAGGCTGTTAGCAGATATATGTTGCGGTGCACTCATGAAATTTTAAAAGTTTTCCAGTGTTCTGTCTGGATTTCAACACTTGCCGCTGTGGAGTCTGCATGCCTTGCCTCAGGAGTCAGGTGTTGCACATGTGATGGAGGATGCTGAGAGGAGTGCTTATGAGTCAGACGTGCCCGAGGATAGTGACATGAACTGAGGGGTACAACTGGAGGACGATTGGAGGAGACATCCAAATGTAGTGCAGCTTGTCTGCAGACGTACTTTGCCTCCTGGCAGGAGTGGCATGTAATATTAATCAGCCAAAAGTGGTATCAAAACTCCAGCTGCCAGTGGCCGCATGCAGGCTGCGCGTGCGTGCGGGCGTTGCATTATGATCATAAATGCAATCATCTTCCTTTATCACCACCATAGCTTCAGCATGTGAAGGTAGAAATTTCATGCCACTCAATCTTCTGCGAGTCCTCAGATGCTGACGCTCGCCCATTTTCTGTTGATGTTGATGTCAACATCATTTCTTCCGATTGATTACTAACGGTTACGGTTGTACGTGCCGCCAGACGAAGCAAGATTTCCGAAACAAAATGGATCTGCGAAAGGTGGTGAACTGCATATAAGAGGAAAAACTGCGCCTTCAGTAAGAAATCAAGCGCTTGGAAACGCAATAGATCTTCGCTAGTAAGGATGGTGAAGAAAGCAAAGGGAAAGCATCGTCTTGATAAGTTCTACCACCTCGCGAAGGAGCAGGGGTATGCGCACGATCTCTAGTGTTACTTTATTTTATGTAATGCAGCTGATCTACAACGTTCATCTGCACAGCGCGAGCGCATTTCGCCATAGTACATTCTAATCGAGTTCTGCCTGACTTCACAGGTTTCGCTCTCGTGCAGCTTTCAAGCTCATACAGCTCAACAGGCAGTTTCACTTCTTGGACAGATGTCGCAGCGTGCTGGATCTCTGTGCAGCACCAGGTACGAAGTCGATGTGCTAGACATCTTCTAGCTTTTGAAGCCATCGATTCATCTCAGCAGCTTGATGCGCACGTCCAATCCCAAAGTTCAGAATGAGGCTCGTTGCCTCAGCTTATTTGATACGTGGTCTTCAGCTCCGTCAACGCTAGGACTGGTGTCACTGCGCAGGTGGCTGGCTGCAAGTTGCTCAGAAGGCGCTACCAGTCAGCAGCCTGATCATCGGCATAGATCTGGTGCCCATCCGCGCTGTCCGCGGTGTGAAGACCATCGTCGGAGACATCACCACTCAGAAAGCCCGCCAGGTGTGGTGCACTACCCTGTCCTCTTGGCTTGTTAATCAGGGCATACTTGACATGTCCGCCCACTGCCAGGGCAGAGCTCCCTTGCATATACCTTACTGTTTGCATTCCCAATTCTATCTGCTAATGCACCCAAAGCAGGATGTTGTTAGAGACACCTCTCCTCAAAAGTTTCAATCAGGAGCTAGTGCAGAGACTTGCAATCAAAGGAATACAAGGAGGGTCAGCCTCTAGGGCAGGGCCTTATACAGCAAGGGCCAGGGGTCTCTGCATGCGATTCTGAGGTGACTCCTGTGCACGTGCGCGGACAGGCAATCAAGAAGGAGGCAAGCGGGGATCTGATTGAGTGCGTGCTGCACGATGGAGCGCCGAACGTGGGAGGTGCCTGGTCCTCTGAAGCCTACAGCCAGTCAGCGCTCGTTTTGGAGGCTCTGCGGCTGGCCACTGATGTGCTGGGACCAAAGGGCACCTTTGTTACCAAGATCTTCAGGTGCGGGGGTCTTTATTATGCAGACAGGGCACTTGTGGAGTGAGACAACCACAATCAGTCGCAACAGCTTGCCAGCAGGTTGAGACCGTGAAGAATCTCGATGTGCAATTGTCAGGGCTGCCTACGTTTTCTTATATTTCTGAAGGGGACTTGTCATGGGTGATGGCTGTAGATTGCCTGTGGTTGAATCACAGGAATCATTCAACCACAGGCAATCTACGGCTGCTATCACAGCATCCCCTACATGATATCTGCGTGGCTGCAAGGTGTCATAAGCAGACATGTAGATCCATCCTTACACACGATCATGGTGCAGGTCCAAGGATTACAATGCGCTGTTGTACGCGTTCAAGCAGCTCTTTGACAAGGTGGAGGCCACAAAGCCGGCCGCCTCGCGGAACACCTCTGCGGAGATCTTTGTGGTCTGCCTCGGCTACAAGGCGCCCGCCAAGATTGACCCCCGCCTGCTCGACCCCAAGCACCTCTTCAAGGCGAGTGATGCCTCCCATCTTTGGGCTTAACAGGAGAACATCCTTTTGGCTGCAATATGGAATGGACTTGCATCTCAAGTTTGCCAGTACCTTGATACCCAATAGTGCCGCAAAGCGTGGCGCCAGCTGTGACGTCATTGAAATGCCGCCATCAATATGACAGGGCCTCTTGGCTGTGCAAAATGTTGGCAACAATTTTCTTGTCCGTGGTTGGCGTCAGGTAGCTGAATCCATCAATCATACCAACGTTAATCACTGCAAAACATGGAAGGATGCTTCTGTGTGCGGTCCACTAATTTCTTCCAATGGGTTGAACACTGAGATACTATAAGTGTATGGTTGCTGCAGCTTCAAGTGCCTGCCATGCAGATTTTGTATTTCATGACGTGATGGTGTATAACGGATTTGTCATGCGCGCAGGAGGTGGCGGAGGAGCCGAAAAAGCTGGGCCCGGACGCGCTGCTGCGGCAGAAGGTGAAGCAGAAACGCTTCCGCGAAGGTTACGAGGATGGCCTCTCTTCCACCCACAAGGCCATGTCCGCAGCTGCGTTCGTCGCTTCTGAGGAGCCGGTGGAAATGCTCGGCCGCTACAGCAGGTGCGGTACCTACCATGCGGTGTATCTTTGGGAGCTGTACTTTGAGTGGCTGGAGCAAACTAAGTGCAGGGTGTTTGGGATCGTGCCCTGCCGGCATTGGTAGTCTCAGGGAGTCTGGACAAGTGCTGTGGGGTCATATTTTGAATGGGTTTTCACTCAGCAGGGGCAATCTAACCTTTTTTCCATCAGAGCAATGCACCTTTGTCGTGTAACAAAGTTTGGAAGAATTTGCAGATGGACTTGGAAATCGCATTTGTGTCTGAAAGTCAAGTTGCATGTCACGGTCATGGTCTCGAGGCTGTGAGGCTCATGTTATGCATGATGTATCTTCTGTTTATGCGCAGGTTTGAGCTGGAGGGGCCAAACTCGGAGGCAATGCCAGAGGGCGCTGAGGAGGATGCAGAGGCCGCGGCGGCGTTCGTGCGCGGGCACAAGGAGACCACGGCGGAGATCCGCGCGCTGTGCTCCGACCTGCAAGTGCTCGGGCGCTCCGAGTTCAAACAGCTGCTCAAGTGGTGCGTGCCCTGCTGCCCGCCACAATCCACCAGTCCCTGGGCGTTACATGTACTATCACTGTGCATGACTACATGGGTGTTCTTTGCGACATGCTGGTGTTGGTCTGATATGCTGCTTGGCAAGGACGACATGCAGCATGTCTTGATGCTTCTCCAGTAGTGGTGAGCAGCCTTGTGACAGGCTTGCAAGCTTGGAAATCTGTCCTCGGGCTGCACATCATTGTTGGAGGCACTTCGAGACTTCCTGCACTTCCTGCATGCACATGTCATACTTGACATGCCACACATGTGTCAATCCAGTGCATGCACCACCCGCAGAGCTTGCGTCTCCAAAGCGTGGAGTCGAGGGTTCAATTCTCTCCTTGCCCTTCGGAAGGGGCGCGCCATTCTTTAACAATGGGGAATGTGAGTTATTGTCTAACAGCGCCATTATTCCGTCGCGCAGGCGGCTGCAGGTGAAAAAAGACCTGGGGCTCAGCCGGGCGGCCGGCGCGGCGGCTGAGGAGGCCGGGACCGATGAGCCAGAGAAGGAGGAGTCTGAGCTGGACGAGGAGGAAAAGATCCTGGGGGAGATGGACGAGGTGAAAGCCGCGGCGGTCGCGCGCGCAAAGAAGGAGCGCAAGAAGCGACGCGAAGCCAAGACCAAGGCTCGCGTGCGTGCGGCGCAGCTCGCCCTCAGTGAGTCGTCGACCTTGTCTCTGCCTGTCTCAGGGCAATATCTACTTTGTCCTTCTAAGCTAAGCTACGTTTCCGTGGACACTGTTGTGTGTCTGTTAGATTCCTTTGCGTGAAGATTTGTGCATGGATATGTGCAACAAGTACTCGAGCGCGAGTGCTTGCCTGCCATGCTTCTGCCTCTCTCAGAATACCATCTGTATCATATAGGGGCTTTGCCGCCTAGTTTAGGCGCAGACTGCTGCTTGTTTCTTTCGCGCTTGTGTGGGAATATGTGCAGCTTCAAGAAACACCGCCTTTTAAAGCAGCGCTGCAGCATTTCAGCACATCAGCTGTGTTGTTTGTACACTTCTTCAGAAGTGCGGCAAACTGCGTGTCTCGGCTGGAATACCACTGCACGTTTCCTGTCCCGCCAAAGATTTTTTTGGCCGAGGTAGCTAGAACAGGACTGATCAGGTACTTTGTGTTGTGCAGGCGAGGGCATTGCGAATGAGGACAATGGCCCGGACGCGATGTTCTCTCTGGCGGCCATGAAGGGCGCGCGCGCGGCGCAGAAGGTGGCCGAAGCTGTCGTGCCCGACGAGGCCGAGGCGGCCGCCGAGAGCGCCAGCGAGTCATCGGACGGAGACGGCATGAGCAGTGCGGAGGATAGTGATGACGAGCGCAGGTTTGCCCTTTATGACTGCTCTCTTACTCTTGGAGCAAGGGAGTTAAGTGCTCCATTGCTGGGCAGCAGGTTGCCCTACGATGAATATCGTCCTCATGGAGCATGGGAGTAAAGTGCTCCCTTGCTCCCTTGCTGGGCAACACCCATGTGTCATGGCAGGCATCTACAGTGGTTCACAAAGTGCACTTTCTCACTCTCCTGTACCGCACATCTCTGCTAAGCATACTCTTGTTCTGGAGGATGCAGCACAGATGTCGTTCATGCCATCGATGTATTGATCCTTGGAAGGGAAGAAGTCTTGCTGCTGAATGGCCTCATCTCATCTGGCAGAGGGCTCTGCCTATCATGCATGGCTTGCCACAGAACACCTACTTTCTAATTTTTGGACCCCTGCTCAAATATGTGGAATCCACTGGACCCTAAGGCCAGTCTGACCTCTGGATGGGGCAGCCTATTACGTGATATATATCAGGTATACGAAGGCAAGGGGTAGCAGCCTTTGCATGCAGCTTGTCTGCAGACGCACCATGCCTCTGGCAGGGATAGCGTCCGATAATGATAATGATAAGGATGATGCAAACACAGGGCTGGCTCTGTCTGATATACACATGGTGTCACTGCAGGAGGTACGATGCAGAGATGGAGGAGGCACTGGAGGATGCATACCAGGGATATCTGCGTCGCAAGGGCAAGAGGGAGGAGCTGGAGGCAGCCAAGGCGGAGGCTCAACAGCGCGTCAAGCGTGCCCGGCTCGGGCAGGATGGCGGGCTGGGCGGGCTGCCCGGTGACGAGGAGGAGGGAGATGACATACTCGACGAGGGTGAGGAAGCCGATATCGGCGTGCGCCGCGGCCGGAAGCGGCCGGCCCCGCCCATGTTCACCACCGTGCCTGCTGATCACGATGAGGTGCGCTCACCTGCTGAAGATAATCCTGTTCTTACTTCCCAGTGTGTTACCTGCCGCAGCATGTGGCCAAGGTGCATATAATATGAAGCTGCTAATGATTATTACAAGAATGTGCCCAATCGGCGGAAAGGAGGTTCAGCAGTACTTGTCTGTGCATTGAAGCGTTCAAGATAGGCATGGGATCTGGTGGCTAGGGTACAGGGAAGCTTGATGCTGCATGTAAACATAGAGGAACTGCTCCGTATAACAATCGCTTTGCTGATATTACCGCCTTGCACTGACAAAATACCCTCACTGTGAACAACAGGAGGAAGAGGAGGGCGGGGGCCTTTTGGTGAAGCTGGACGAGGGCCGCGCAGGCAAGCCAAGCTCGGCGGCAGCCGTCGCTGCGCGGTGGTTTGCGCAGGACATGTTTGACGACCCCAACCTTGCCGCGGAGGAGGCAACGCCTGCTGCAGCTGCCTCAGGTACAGCCTCATGGTCACAGTTCCTTATGCCTTCCTTCAGTTGTGATAGTCTTGCATTTGTAGCCCTTCATGGCCGATTTGGTCGTGTGAGTGGTGGCTGCCTTGCGCTCATGCTTGCAGCTTGGAGATTTCGTCAACCGCAATTGGAAGAGCTAGGATGAGCAAGAGGTTCTAACAGTGTTTTGCGTTGGGTGTTAGCAACACCACCTTCCTGACAGCTTTTCCCATGTTCTGCTCTTCATGTAGAATATGTAGAATAGAGAAACAATGGATGAAGGTCCCTTGCTCACAGAGACATCCGCAGAATATGATCGCCTTCAAGCAAAGGCTTCCCTGACAGCTTTGAATTCTTTGCAGAGCGAGCAGAGGCGGCGGCTGCACCGTCCGGCAAGTGGGCAAGCAGCAATGCCGACGAGGACGAAGGCAACGCCCCAAAACAGGCACCAGCAACAAAATCCGCCGCCCCAGAGGGGGGACGGAGCGCGCCTGATCAGGCATGGTCAGCGCTGATGTCAGCGGATGACTCGCGGCGCAGTCAGGCGCAGAAACCAGAGACGGACGGCTTCGAGGAGGTCCCAATGGAGGCTGACAGGGACAGCGATGACAGCGACAGCGATGATGACTCAGACGCTGACTCGGACTGCGGCCTGGCCGCCATGGACGACAACTCGCGCGCCGAGGTGCGCTGAATTATGAGTAATCTGAATATGTTGCCATTGGGATTCTGGGCTGCATGTGTTGCGCCTGTGTTTGGTGTGATGCCCCTTGCACATGTGGGCTGAGGTACGTATTGACACGCCTGAGCACTGTTGCCTTCGTACCATCTGCTGCACAAGATTATATGTTTGGCTCAGATTCCCATGCATTTTTGGTGGCTGCATGCAATCCAGCGCCTGTAGCAGAGCCTCTTTTCGCATTATGCAGCAGGCTTTACTTTTGTCAGGGCAGCCACCCCAAGCACTTGACAAGGCGCATCCTCAAGCACACCTGATCATGAGAAGGAGCATAAAATTCAGAAACAAATTTTAAATTGCATTGCAGGTGCTGGCGCTGGCCCGCAAGATGCGCAACGGCCGCGACAAGAATGACATCCTGGACAGCGCGTACCACCGCTACTCCTTCCACGACCACGATCTGCCCAAATGGCTCTACGAGGACGAGAAGCGCCACCTGCGGTGCGCTCACACCCTCTCGCCCTTAGATCTACGATATGACAAAGTATCTAAGGGAGGGCGCACAGACAACGCTGTCTCAGATTCCCCAAGGCACCTCCACATCACCCCTTGAATCTCTGAACGCAGCTGATTTGCTACGTCGACCAGGTATAGGGAAAGAAGAGAAATGTTTGCGACGCATACGGGGGCTACTTAACAGGTGCCCTCCCTCAAGAGCAGGGTGAGGGGGAGGACCTGGATGACTCGTGCGTCCTTTGGACAGGGTGCATGACAGGGTGCATGTACAGTATCTGGCAGGCAATGACATGCACAGATCAGGGTCGCTTCTGCGTGGGAGATCTTCATTTTGGCTGTCCTTCTGTGGTGCTATGGGGCAAGAAGAAGTTGACACAGAAGCGGCGCTTGTGCTTGAGTGTTTTGTGTGACGCGTGGCCAGGCCGCCGGCGGTGCTGTCGAAGGATGAGGTGGAGGCTGAGAAGGCGAGCATGCGCGCCATCGACGCGCGGCCCATCAAGAAGGTCGCCGAAGCCAAACAGCGCAAGCGCAAGCGCCTCCAGGTGGGTTTCAAATCTTCGTTCTGGCTGCTAATAGCTGGGCAGCTTTTGGGCACAAGTGGGGCAGTCTGGTTCCTCCTGCCCTTGACGTAGAGTTCAGGCATAGGATATCCTGCTGAAAGGGTGCATTGCTGCGGAAGTTCAATCTCTGTCTGCACAACGACATGGGTGTCTAGCCTTGCAGGCTGCACCTGTGGGCATGCATGTCCATGTCTAGCGCAAATGCTGATGGCAGCGGCGCGCACGGCTTCCTCTTAGGGATGTGTGGTGGCCTCTCCAGACATTTAAACTCCCAATAAAAGCCACACTATCCAGAAAAATCTCTGCATTTGGTTGGCTTGTCCGCTCCCTCTGTACGGCTTGACGGCCTCTGATGTCTCCAGCCCCGACTTGACACCTGTTTCATCCTTAACTTGTGTAAAGAATGACTAATCATTTTCTTGCATGCGCAGACTCGGCTGACGGCCGCGCGCGCAAAGGCGGAGGCGGTGGTGGGCCAGGAGGATCTGAGCGAGCGGGGCAAGGCGCGCGAAATTGAGAAGCTCTACGCGAAGGCCCGGGCTGGCAAGGGTGCCAAAAAGGGCAAGCCCAGCCGCTCAGCCGCCCTCACCAGCAAGAAGAAGGGCAAGCCGCTCGACGGCCGCCTGCGCGCCGACAAACGCCAGGTTGGAGATCTCTTAATGTCCCTTGAATTCAACTGCAACGTCAAAAGCTTTAGATGCTTGGCAACTCGCCCGCCAGGACCAAGCGGCATGCAGGTAGACAAGGGGCTGTACGGAGGATGAATGCAAGGTTGGCAGTCCTTTTGGTGCCACTTGCAGTTTTTGCAACTCGCAAACTTGACAGGCCGATAGATGAAGGCCTGGTTGTCATGAGGTTCGTTCGAGCAAGCAAGAGGCTGGCTTTTGCCTGACCAAGCTAGGACACATCTGGGGGGAGGTGATCTGGGTCCAGAAATGCTTGCTGCTGCATTTTGCAGAGCAGCATCCTTTTTCTGTTCACCCGCCCTCTGTAAGATATGGCTTGTGCTGCTCTTTGTAGTTGAATGGCTTTTATGCAATTCTGGGGGAATATCTGAGGGGTCTGGTGTGGCTGTGCATTCAGGTGCACTCCAAGCAGAAGGCCAAGGCATCCAAGGGGAGGAAGGGCAAGGGGGGTGGCAAGGGCCGGGGAGGCTCTGCAGGCGGCAAGCGGTGATGATTTCGCAAGCTGTTGCAGCAAAGAAAAGTTTGGGACAATCAGGGCGGGTCTGCATCAGGCCTGAATGAAACCATTGGTTTTATAACGGTGCTGTTAATGTGTTCCTGCCGCATTGCATTGCACTTTAAGCGGTGCCTGCTGTAGGGAGTAAGTGTGGCTCGAGCTTGCACTTCAATAGGTATGTCCATGTTTGAAGAGTGCTGTTGAGGCCTATTGATCAGGTGGCTATTGATATAAAGCCTTGACAATATGTCAGCTGGTTTTTTTATGATTGTACCGGTCATGACCGCTGACAATGCCTCGTGATATGAAAGCTGGATGTACACAACATTAAGCAACATGATAGGTGGTGCCGTGAAACCGTAGTATCCTCCATACGGGGAGGACGAACGGTGATGGCTGCCTAAAGAGACTGAATGTCACCTTCAAGGCTGGGGCAATTGCATTTGTACCAAAATACTTTGGAGACACTGATAAGCAAGCAGATACGACAGCTTCGACGATTTTGTGCATCCTCTGTGCATTTGCATCGAATGTTTACTTGACTACCGCTCAGCAGGTACAGGTATCAAATGCAATATGCATAGAGAATGGCACCCTTCAATGACTCCATTTACAAGAACTGAAGCAGATTCGGCTACGTAATGCGAAGCATAGACTTTTGAGAGCGCCGAAGCTTTTCGTAGAAACAACCTAAGTTGCCCCAGCCTCACAAACCATGCGGACCACCCAAAACACCAAGGCAACCCCAAAAGTATTCGTCCTTTGCCTGGGATCCCCTTATCTTAAGAGGCAGGTCCTACTTCGATAAAAACAATGCATGGAGCAACAATGCTGTTGACCAAAGCATGACCCTCCCCTGGCACACAGTCACAGGAAAAGTGACTCTCCTCCCAGAGTTGCAGGGAGGCCTCAAACGTGATAAAAGACGTTGTGACAGCGTTGTCTTGACATCAGCGAAGTATAAGACGTCTCACCCTGTGCACATAGTCTCTGCAACGATCAGGCATGTGCCAGCCCCAACCCACACTCCTGCGAAATACAAATGCAAACAGAGGTGCCAAAGCCATGATACTTCCAAATTCACAAGCTCACACAGACCGCTTTTGGAAAGCACAGGCTTTGTTACACCGAAGTGCCAAAGCTTCCGCAGCCTCAAACCTACTGCAACTCAGATCTGCCTGCTAGCTGGCAAGCAAGTTGCAGGCAGTCACTAGTTTCAAGTAGCAAATTTGCTGTCACCAACAGGCAAACATATATTGGTCGATAAGGAAGCCTTACCGACTAATAACAAGAGCCCCAGATAACAAGAGCCCCACACAGCAAGAGTCACACAAGCTTGTGTGATTCTTGTGAGGAACATGCTAGTGCGTTCCAATCTTCTGTCGCTCCATGACTTTCCTAAAGAGGTCAGAGCATAATCTGCAGTCCTGCCCCCTCTATACCGCCAGGAGACATTCGCAGACTGCCCAGTACAGCTTTGCAACACTCTCAACCCAATGTGATTTATCCTTTTTTGCAATTGCCAATAGTTCATTCCATGCGTTGACACTAGCACGGCTGTGTGTGCACGCGAATGTCACGTCTCGAGTGCTAGGTTGCCTGATTAGGCCCGCACGGATTATTTGAATTGCGCATTGACAGATGGCCTCAAGCGGCGGTGGGGCCTGCGGTCGTGGCAGCGCCCTTGGGTGCCACGTTTGGCTCGACCCTGTGTGATAACACACGCAGGCTCCTGTCAGCATCTGCTTGCACGAGCAAAAAGACCCAGCAGCATACTCATGGCCTTTGCCATAGCTATGTGTTCAGCATCATTAGGATAAGGCGAAGTAGTGGGTGCCACGAGCCGCCATGGCTCTGCCATGATGGCAGCTTCTAGCCATAAAACTCACAAAGCTTGGATGAAGAGACAGATGCATAGCACAAGAGTGCCGGAGAAAGAGATCTCAAGTGCTCAGAGCTGAGGGTCTAAGACAGATGGTGCCACCCCAGCCAGCAGTACCCTTGCAAGATGTCATGAACGAAACCTGGACTCATCTTTGCCTAAAAACTAGCAGACAGGGTGACTAAGGGTGACTCACTTGTGGGTGGGCAGGGGGGGTCCCTCGATGGAGTGGTGGTACTCAATTGAGTGGAGCGAGTAGAGCAAGTAGACGACAAAGCAGAAGGCGGACCAGATGCCGAATCGGATGTATGAGTCACGGTCCAGCGTGCACAGCAGGAAAGCGTTCAGGATCATGGAGCCTGCGCAGCACAGAACCACAAACCTTCACAGGATGAATTTACAATTCTCTGAAATCTCAAATTCTTAACATAGACCTTTTTCTAGTTTGCGACGCTTCAGAGAGGGTCGTGCTGCCGCAAGTGCGTAGCTTAGGCATTTGTTTAGACTCAATGTCCGCAACGTGCAGAGAAATTGGTCAGGGACATACTGGAGTAGAAGTCAGTGTAATCTGCGTGCTTGACTTGTTGCATGCAGACAAAGGGCAGCCTTGCGAGTCTCAAAGCCTCTTTACCCCAAATGCTAGGGTGAGCTACCACCATCAATAACATTATTTCGCCGCTCCAGCAGAAGCAGGGTCGCACGGCAAAGAGAAGGGGTCGGGGTTTTCTGCAGATGTCAAGTATTCTATACAAAATTTGAAATCGAATTCAAGAGATGGGGAGCACCTGAGGGCACCCAGGGGAAGAGTGGCACCCCGAAGAGGCGGGGTGTGCGCGCATGCTTGCAGAAGATGTGCGCGGAGGCAGTCACGATCACCCACATGGCCAGGAATGCCACGATGCCATACCAGGCGTCCGTCAACGCGTAGTTGATCGCCAGCCCTGCACAGCACACGCCAGGTCATCCTGTGTGTCACTTGTCACTCTCCAGCAGGAACAGCAGAACACATCAGATCTCAGCTCTGCGAGTGTCAAGTTTAGTGGCATGCATGGGCCTGCGTCTGCGGTTCTGCTCAGCTGCCAATCGTGGCACAGACTTCTCAGGGACACCACGCAACAAGCACGCTGCTGGGCTGACATGCTGTTTTTGGACAACCGGGTGTCATGTTGAGGTTGTACAGCACAAACCAATGCCTCTGGAACTTTCACAGGAAAGCAAGCAGATGGCATGAAAGGCAGGGTGCGAAGACAAGCCTGGCTTGTTCCATGGGGCCACTATCAAAACATCTCCGCACGTGTAGATTGCAGCTCTGTGGGGACACAACATGCATGCATGCATGCAGACAAGCAAGAGTGGTTGCATGCACGCACCGAGGCAGGCGGCGCCGATGAGTAACAGGTCAGTCAGCTTACATAATGGCAACGGATAATACATGCATGCAGGAGGGACTTTGTTGCGCGCGCACCGAGGCAGGCGGCGCCGATGAGTAAGAGGTGAGTCAGCGCAATGATGCCCTCCTTTCTGGTGGACACCTTCTCGTCGTACAGGCGGTAGAAGAACAGCGCGGCAGCAACCATGAAAAAGGCGAAGAGGGTCCCGATCGACACCATGTTGGCCAGGATGTCCAGAGATGTGAAGAAGCCGATGACGGCTGCGCGGCAGAACAAGGAGGTCATGCTTCATGCTTCAGCAAACGCAGAGTTATTTCAGTCATATTTGCTGACAATCAGAAACTGATAGTAGGGCTTGGTGAAACTGCTGGGGCTGCCCAATCATTCAGCGAGCAAACTTGGCCTTGCTGGACAGTGATCATCAAGTTTGCAATGACATGACAGTTGTACCCTGCTTGACATGAAATCAGAGCGGCAAGCCCTGTTCTATTCTGATTTGTCCCTGTGCTTGCATTCCCAAAGGCACCCAACGATGCTCCAAATTGTCTCAGTACCCTGCCAGCAATTGGTCGTTTGATCAGAGTTTCTCGTTCGGCCGTTGCCACCTTGTGCGAAGCCAGATCTTACGCGCAGAAAAGCATCAGTCATGTCGGAAGGACAGCACAAAAGAGAGGTGAGAGCTCGCACCTGAGGCGGCTCCCATGGTGCATTGGGCTGCGATGGGGGTCCCAAAGCGGGGGGACACCTTGGCCCAGAACGAGGGGATCATGTGCTCGCGCGCTGCCATCGTCCAGATCCTGGCCTGCCCCAGCATGTTCACCAGCAGCGCTGTTGTGATTCCCACCAACGCCATCACAGCCACTATGAACCTGCATGTGTGCCAGGCAATTGCCACACTCAACATTCGACCAGAAATGTTGAGAACATGAAAGGCTGGTTGTTACTGTTATCAAACGCTTGTCCTGCCAAAAGGCAAGGGGCCTCCTGCAGACTAGCTGCAGTTGAAGGCTGCCACAATTCTACCCCGCGTTGGACTCGCCAGATCCAAGCAAGAAAGGCAGATTGAGCGCCAGAAAAGAGGAAGGGCTGCCTCGCGGTGTAAACAGTGTGCGTCAAACAAGCAATCATCTCCTGGCTAGCATAAAACAAGAGGCTGCACCAGGGCGCAGATCCACATACAATGCACTTCTTCCTCACTAGAGTTTGCCACAAAAGGTGCTTGATCTGTTTTTGTGCACTTTAAATTTTGTTGACGATTGCTTCTGGGCATGTCGCTCTCAAGCAAAGAGATGTTTGCTGAACTTTTCCATGCAAAAGATCCATGTCAACAAGCGTCAAATTGCAAGACTGCATCTGGATTTGGACCCGCTGCATGCTTGTTATTGCAGCAGGGCCATGCTATAGAGCTGTAACTGGCTCTGCCATTCTATATTTGGGCAAGGCAGGCTCAAAAGGCAAGGGAGTGCATTCTCACTGCATCCAGGTGACGCCCTGCCAGAGAAGCTTCCAGCCATGCAAATTTGTTGTCAAAAGAGCAGCGAGAGCCGTAATACACTCCACTGTTCAGCTTTTGAGAAGCAGGCAAGGGGGAGGGTATCCGCACTTTGCCCAGGTGAGGCCGACGTAGCCGAACGCTGCTGAAAACGGTGCCCCGGTGTCGATGTCTGCGTAGGGGACCATCATGCAGATGACGATGCACATGAGGATGTACAGGATTGTGCAGATGGAAGTCCCCCCCACAATTCCCAGCGGCATGTCCTTGCCGGGATTCTTGCACTGCGCGCACAGCAGGGGTGATTAATGCGAAGGGTGCATGATAGATGTAGCTCCCTCAGGGAAAAGAGAGCGGCGGCAAAATACTGATGCAGTGGACCAGCACATGTGCAGGGAGACAAGGAATCCAAGAACAATTTTTGAGTTATTGTTGTAAGCATTGCAAGTGTGAACATGAATGGGCGCTCCCTTGCCGGCAAAGCCCTGCATGCCTTGATGCATGTGTGCGCAATGCAAACACTCAAGCTGGGTAAAACTTAGTTTTCACAGTTTTTCTAGTACAGCCCAAACGCACAACGCATGCATTGCGATGCTTGCAACAATCAGGACAAAAGTGCAAAATGGCGCGTACCTCCTCAGCCATGGTTGCGACAGCATCGTAGCCAAGGTATGCAAAGAAAATGATGGCTGCACAACACAACAAGTTGTAATGGGCTTTTGAGGCTGAATAGTGATGCCACTGTGTCACCTGATAACATTCGGGAACCAGATAGCCTTGCACGGACATGGCAGACAGAACTTTGCGCTGCACAAGATGATAGCAAGTTTCAATGTGGAACATGAAGATACTGTGCGGGAGCTCACCAGCTCCGTTAAAGACTCCGCGGATCCCGTAGGGAGCAAAGTCAGATGTAAAGTTGCTGGGCACCGCCTTTGTGAAGCCTGCGCGCATGCGCACAGCCATAATGCCATGAGTGAAACGACTGGAACGCAGAAGGTCCAACAGGAACAGGTACTGTGAGTGATCAGTAAGGCCAGCCCAGTCAGCTGCCTCGGCCCAATCCTAGTGGATTGCTGTGCTACACAAAGAACTTGGTGATGTTGGACTACAGGGGGCTCTCCCAATATGAAATCCTCAACACGATTCTTCCCTGGGATGGGCATCCAAGGAGGTGCAAAGCAACTTCATCTCGAGACAACAAAGTCGGCAGCGTGCAATCTACAATAAAGCAACATGCGAGTTAAAGTGCTCAGTCAGTGTCAGGTAAACTAACATCAGGTTGCGTACGGTGGTTTGCTTGTGCTTAGCACTCACCCACGATGATGACGAAGAGAACGCCCACAAGCTTGGTGATGACTAGGACGAGGTTGACGCGCGAAGACTCCTTGGTGGAAACGCAGATCAGCACCGTCAGGATTATGATGATCCCCACTGCGATCGGGTCAAGCTGCGCCCATCCCACGTCTATGCGAAAGGCACCAGACTCCTGCGCAGCACAAGACAGCCCACATTTGAGCTCTCCCGGCATGGTTTTGATATTTTAATTTCAAATTTGAAATGGCAAGCAGCTTCCGGGGGACGTGCTCGTGGGTAGCATCCAGGACATCCACGTGGCAGCTGCGCAGTCAGTGCCCTCCAGGATCCACCCTCAAGGCTGCAAATAACTATGTACTTACATGCATTGGCATCGGCTGGCGGAGGGCGGTGTAAATACTGGGCACCTTGCCCAAGGTAGATTGAGTCTTGCTTGGATCTGGCCAGTCCATCAAGGGGTAGGATCATGGCAGCATTCAACTGCAGCTTTTCTGGAGGACGCACCTTGCCTTTTGGCAAGAAAAACGTGTTTTAGTAATAACAATAATATATGCATCGAGTGCAGGGTATGTCCTGGAGATGGCATGCAGCTGGAAGCATGCTCGTCAGTCATGATAGAGACAAAACAGATACACTCTTCTTAGCACTATACTTCTTGGCACTATAAGTGCACGCCTGCCTTCGTTCTATTTTTGATTCTTTGGTGGGGTTCCCAAGAAGCCATCAGGGTGATACATATTCAACAGCGCATGACGTTGAACATGAACAAGCTTTGAAGGGTCATTTGCTGCCCACCTGATTGCAGAGCGTGGCTAGGTAGCCGCTCCATCCGCGCGCGATGGCAGCAATCGACAGCACGTACTCCATGATCTGCAATTCACATTCAGATTCGAATTCAAATTCAGACCTGTCAGGAGGTTGTCAAAGATTTGTGGTTCGGGGTTGCAGAGGCGCTGCTGTGACCTTCAGGCATGCTGCTGGCTTGGGCAAGCCATTGCACAAGATGTTGAGGACTGATCAACCGTGTGTGTCGCTGTCAGCACAAGCATCTGACAAGCATGCATTCCAACGGCTTCTGTGCTTGCATGCAGGGCTCTTCAAGCATGCTTTTTTTCCGGCCTGCTGCAAGGGAGTGCAGTGCTGTCTGCTGTAGTAACTAGCAATGTGCCATGGCTAAGACACTCCAGGGGTAGCCCTCAACGCATAATCAAAGGTGAGTGAGTAGGGGCGCACCATGTTGACCATGACCAAGAAGGCTGGTACCTGCCCCAAACTTGCCACCACATAGGTGAAACTACTGCCCGCCACGGGTAGCTCGGTCGCAAACTGCACATACACTATTCCCGTTCATTATTCATTGCTAGAACACTCTTGATAGCATCTCCACGCCGAGGGACTCTTCTCCGCAAGCATGGCTGCAGGCTCCCTTGCGAATGGTAATGCAACGGGTGATAGAGATGTGCAAGTTACAGAAGTTTGGGGGTTGTAAGGGAGCCTACCTCGGAATAGACGAAGGATGACAGCAAGGCGCACACTCCTCCCACAACAAAGGACAGGCACACAGCTGGACCGGCAGTGGTGTTGGCAACCACACCTGCAGCAGCATAAATGTAAATTACAAAAAATATCAAAATACATCAGAACACCTGCATGCGTCAAGACCGTTACAGATGCGCTACGAATATGAATCTTTCCATGCCCAAAAATCTGGCCTGTTGGGTCACTAAAGGTCTTGATGCTTCATTTCTGCACGTGCAGCATATCATGCGCTTGAACAGCTTCCTGTTGCCAACCTCCTCCCATGGAGTATTGGTGCTTCACTTCTCGTTGCTGGCTGTCAGAGCCAGCAGCGGGGCATCCCCCAGATGCAGTTTTGGAGGCCGAGAGAAGCAAACTTCTGTGTAATGGGTGTTTGCTACATGCATGCCAGGGCTGAGCTGGCGCACACCGGTGATGACAAATATCCCGGCACCGATAATTGCTCCGATGCCGAGGCACATGAGCTGGACCCATCCCAGTGTCTTCTTCATCTCTGCGCAGGCACACATACATAGAGGTCAGCTGGTCACCAGAGGCCAGAAACTTGCACATTATTGGAGCCCTTGCATCACTCTGATTGACCCCTTTGTTTCCCTCTCACAACACCCCCTATTTCCCCGAGATGACACAGAAAGAGCCAGAGAGTATGTGCCTCTCACGCCGGCTGATGAAGAGGTAGTGCTATGACAAAGAGTCTAAACGGCCCGGGACATGATCCAAAATATGCAAGTGCCTGTGCTGCATAGGGGGCTTAATCTGAAAGTGCTGATTAAATTTGCCTCCCTGAAAGTGCCGAGCACAGGGGCCCTTGCCTTTCTATCCTCACTGATCTGGCACCCACAGATGGGGGTTTCTGCAAATCGGATTCTGCTGAAGGTTGCCCGTGATCAGGAAACGCCCATGTGACTTTGCCGTATGACAATTTATACTCTTCTGCACTCATGAACACTTTTCCAAAGGGCTCACCCTTGTCATAGATTCAAGCATCCACTGCTCAAAGGCCCGAAGGAAACCACCCCTTCTGTCTTGGTGTGTCACGATTGGACTAGCCTTATCCGATACATATAATCCAAAAAGCCTTTGCGTGAAGGCAGGATGGGCGTCCTGCCTTGTGTTGCTGGCATCCGACGAGTAGGTTTTTGACATCCAACCCACTCCCAGCAAACACTCTCAAATGCCTGGCCTGAGTCGGCTTCGATGCTCCCGGAAAAATTATCAGCGTCTAAGCCTTGTATAAGCAACTTGACCATGGTGGAAGGGCGGCGGCTGCCGTACTAAGATAGTTTACGAATGACAGCCGGGCCGATTCGCAGCAGCCAATCATGACGGAAGAGCTGTTCGCACCTGCGCCACTTTTCGATTTGTCCGCCATGAGTGCAGCCACATCTCTTCTCTTGAAGGATGTCCTCTGCAAAGCAATCGACACATCGCCCGGTGTTAGGTCTTGGCAAGGAGTGCCTTCACACCAACGACAGAAATCCGAAGCACGTCAACATTTACCACAGTCCAGAATGAAACGACCTTGGCCCGAACTTCGGTTCTCAGGCAGGCATTGGAAGTTCAGGTTAGACCCACCCAAAGCAGCACTGGAGTACGGGGCCAACTTCGCACGATGTAGGCGAGCTTGCCCATCTTGACGGGCGGGTACTACCGTTCGCAATGATTCAAGACAAAAGGGTATTGTTGCTCTCTAATCGAGATAGCTATCCAGCTAGATCTCGCAAAGCGGGAGCAATCCTGCGTGGCTGGTAAGATCGGTCTTACTCAGGCCACATGACACAGGCCACATGGGGGCAAGGTCTCCAGCGGCGAGTTTTGCCATGTCTGACAACATATTCTCGGCCCTTCCCTCAGTTTATGTGGCAATTGGACATTGAAAATGTTGCACATTTTGTCATGGATTTGGATGCTGTTAGTACATCTAATCACCCCTTAGGCGGTTGGATGATTTGGAATCTTCCTTCCTTCCTTCATGCCAGGCAGTTCCAAGAAGTTTCCTCTAAGTTTGCACGAGGGATTCACTGGCCGCGGCATTAGTATGTGGATATCGCCAGTTCTGCATTTCTCCATCCAAGTTGGATGATCCAACCACACCATGATGACACAGTTTTTATTGTACAACGCTGTCCCCAGGCCCTGAGGGTCACTTTGGCCACTCTGCTCACAGTGACCCTGCATGTGTGTTGTGGTGACTTTTGGAAGTGTTGGTCACGTTTGGTACCGTCTACATTGAACGTTGCGTGGTCATGACTCATCAATGGCCCAGTCTAATGATAAGTCAATGCATGGACGCTGGCAACATTTTTTAGTAGGATCTTCTTGATTTTGGTGCAGCACCATGGTGCCTTCATCCCACAACCAATGGCATTGTGCCTCTAACTTGAAGTGAATTCAAATTTTGAAAGTTTGTCCCTTCACCGGGAAGCTGAGCTACCTCATGCACCCCCAACAGAGCCTAGATCTGGCCCAAACTCGATGGACACGCTCTGGTTCAATCTGTGGAAGTTTCCATGTATATCACACTAGCATTTACAACTTCAAGCCGTTTGACACACAGGATAGCTCTACACATCACAGCCTTTTGGAGCAGTGTCCCTACACTTGGATGCATGCATGTCCTATTCGCAAACCTAAGGTGAGTCACCAGTGGTGACTCCATCAGCTCCTTAGCGCCACGGTGGGAATTACTGCATCAAAGGGTACGTTGGGCTTATTTCCAGGGCCTAACTCCACCATCTGATAACTCCCTTTCATGGTGCCTGCACAGCATCCCCAGCCGCCCTCTCACCACAAGCATTCAGTTGAGTTTATCATTATCATTATTATCACAAGTTTTTCCTGCCAACAGGCATGGTGCGTCCTGCAGACAATGTGCAGCTGAAGGCTGCCACAAGCCTTCCCCTTGTTGGACTCGCAAGATCCAAGAAAAATCCCATTCAAAAGTGGGCATGGTGCTCAGTATTTATGCCGCCCCCCACCAGCCGGGGCCAGTGCAGGATAAGCACCAGAAAAGAGGTTGCCGTCAAGACAATTCAAGCGCCAAGAAGGGAGAAAGGGCTGCTTCGCGGTTCATATGCAATGTGTGCAGTATACAAGACACCTTCGGTTGAAGATTCAAGCTTCAATGCTACTCTGAAGGAAAGCAGGCAACTTCAGGGAAGGGTGACAGCAAGGACCAAAGAAGAATGCACCGCTGGGAGTGGAGAGATCCGTTGCACTGTAGTACTGGAAGCACTCGCCCGGATGCAGGATTGGCGTGCAGCCCACCACTCCTGCACATGCCAAGTAAATATCACAAATTTGTCATTTTCCAATTTCAGACTTACCAAGGTTGAGCCATCTGCAGCGAAGCAGCCCTCATCAGCAGCTAGGATACCCCACATTTGCCTTCAGAGCAGCACTGCGCATGCAAAAATAAGGCTACCCTGGGAATCCTATAGGCCCAACCATTTCCTTTGAAACCCCAGGGTTTGCTGCACTGAGCTTGCAAGATGGATAGACGAAAAGCAATGGGGGAGGCGAAGATTTGCAGGTGTACGATGAATGGAGTGCTTACCTGTGCTGCCCCTGGGGACGACAGCGTGCTGGAGTCCCTCGCTGGTCAGTATGAGCCACTGCCGCCCAAGCAGCTGCACCTTCTTCTCCCTGCATCAATCAGAACCTCGCTCACCAGGCACTCATAGAGCGCATCTGCATCCTCACGCACATATAAGTCTTGCAGTGCTTCTGCCCTGAGCACATGCTGAGACTAACACTGACGTCTGGCACAAACTACTCCAGACTTTCTGTAGGAGGTTGGTCAGCCCTCATTCTCTCATTGTCTCTGCCACATGTGAGCAAATTGGTCGCTTGCATTTCAGAGCAGATGCCACATCTGGTGCACCAAATACCAGAAATCTGGCGCATTCTGATAAGTATCTTACCCGACGTTCTCTACGCGGCAGCGGTAGGTCCACACAGGGCGAGCAGTGGGGGTCTCTATGAGGTCCAGGGGAATTTTGGAGCCTATACAGGCGGTAGTGATCTCCACATGCACGCCGTTTGTGGTGGCCACCGCGCTGCATTGCTCCAGGGTATATTGCTCCGCCAGCACGCGCAGCGCATCAAAACCCTGCATCCAGCAACCTCGCAGGGGCTTTACATCAAGGCAGAATAGAGTCTATTGCCACTCACTGCCTAACGTCTGATCCAGAATTACAGGCGCCCAGCAAGCCGCGGCCATGCAGTGGCTGGTTCCTAAAAGGCACAACACAATTATGCAAAGGCACGTTTTGCAGCCTTGCCCCAGAACTTCATCGTCAGAAGCGAATCTGCTCACGCGTTTTCTGGTCCATTTTGCAACATCTGCCCGTGGATTAGCGCACCGTGTCAAGCAGCTGCGGTAGCTGCTCGGCAGGCGCCGAGGAGCTGGCCTCGAAGTTGGCGCGGATGCACTGCTTCAGCTCCCCTCGCCCAAATGAGCCGCTCGATGGCGGCTGCATGCACATCAAACACTAGAGTCAGGCCGCTGCTGTAGGAATTGATTCAAGATGGATTTGTTTTCTAAATCAGGCGTGAAGGGAGCCAGGACATGATCCCTGGCAGCAGGAGACGACAAGAGAGTTAAGATGGAAGTTTCCTGTTGGCATGTGTGGTGCCATGGCAGTGACTGGGATGTGACAGTAGGTGTCTTTTGGCACTTTTTGGGCATTGCACGGAAATGCGATCAGCGCTTATATTTGTTGTGAAGGGGCTTCACTGTCCTGGAATGAGGAACTTGCCTGTAGGAGGCCGGGCAGCAGCTCATTGACAGCGTTCAGGCGGTACTCTGCGCTACAACCCTTCCCTCAATCATTGTTGGACAAAACATCACTGAATGCAGGGCACAGAGCTGCAGATTCAGTTTGGATTAATCTTTCTAAGAGTGTGCATGCTAACAGGCCACATGCATGAATAAGGCCTACATAAGTGGGGCAACAAACCATCTGTAGGGGTGCTCCACTCGTGAGCAGCCGTCTGCCAAGCTGTCGAGTCTAAGGGCATGCGGAAGTTCAGCCCACCGAAGGCTGCATCGATCTGTCTGGCAGCCTTTTGTGCTGCACGAAAAAGCACTGTGGCTGCCTTGTTCTTGGAGGCCATGCCCTTCCTCACATGCACTTGTCAGTTGGATTTCCCGCGCCAAGAACGTCTCAGAAGATAGAAGAAGATTAATGAGTCATTGATTGATCACTTAATCAATACACCTGATCGAGTCATTCATGAAGCTGGAATTATTATCCAGAAATAATGTAGAGATTCCCTCAGAAAGTTGTTCATCGAAGGGGCAGTGAGCCACGTGAACCAGGCTTAACCCACGCCGTCAAAAACACATAGCATTTATTTGTGAAGGATCAAGTATAAGCCACAGAGCAAAATACACACGTCCACCTTCAGAAGTCTCGATGCCTCCCTATCGAGCCACTGACAAGACGTGGACAGATCGTCCATAAACCAGCTTCTAGATACGGATATCTAGGTAGACAACAGCGTGATTCCTAGGATCTCCAATAAATTCTGACCTTCTCTCCTAGGAGTCCTGCGTTTGTGCCACAGCTGCGCAGCTTCCCCAAAACAGGAAGCTGCCACAACCGCAAGGAGTTAAGAAATGAATTATTCTCCATTACATTCCTGCATATATGTGCTGCGGAGCTTTATGTCGTGAAGGTTGAACCGAATGAATCTAGATCGAATACATCGTTTTGTCGGTGCATAACGTGTATTTATACTGACATTGCTGGGCTTGGACAGTGCTGTATTGTGACCAGCCAATCACTGCAGTGATCCAAAGATAATAAGTAAGTTTTAGATCATCATTGCAATCTGTACGGGATCCACTTTACGGTAGTACCTCAAAGCTGTAAGCATGGCTGAAAAGGTTATTCCTGCCGAAATCATCAAGGTGAGGGGTGGCTGGCTTACGCTTTCCCCAGATATGCTTTAGAAAAAGTTATATGACCAGAAAATCTTCAAGCTGTCTCATATGCTGTGTGCGTGATAAACGTGAGAATGCACGGTGGACATGTACAGGAGCTCAAGGAAGTTGTGAAGGAGTATCCTTATGAAGCCACATCGGAAGACGCCGCTGCTCTTGGAGGCTGCTACCTTGGTGTCAGCTCCCTAACAGCCTCACAGCCTTCACAAGTCACGAAAATCAGATCCATTTACTGCTCTGTGGCTCCTCATTTTGTCAATTTGAGACTTCAGCTCCCAGAGCTTGCACCCTCTGCCATCGCCACTAATCTATTCCACTTCCTATTTGCAGCGGTCCCATTCTTGCAACTAGCATATGGAGGTATTGGAGCTGGCGCTGCCTGGTCATTAAGTTCTGGGAAGCGTTTGGGACGCTTCAGGTAATTCTGATTCACTTTCCCTCGTCACTATCGGGCAGATCACACCTCCTCGGTTGCAAGTTTGCTCAAATCTGTGGCCACAAAATGCTGCAGATCAGAATGCCCAACTTAATGGACTTCCAACATGTGATTGCAAGCAATTCACAATGACCTAGCCCCCACCCCACCTCTGCATTTAGGCATTTGGGATTGAAAAATGCAACCCAGGCCATTTAGACCACAGAGAAGCTGCAAACCTGACAGCAAGAGGATTGAGAGCAAGGGCACAATTGGAGCCGTGTTGGATATGATCGACAGGCGTCGTGTGGCTTTCTTGCAGGGCAATGCGGCTGGCTGCTGCGGTGGGAACTGGGCTGTGGGCAGGAGATTTGTCAAGAGAGCACTCTCACATGGCCTGTCTCAAAATGCTGGTGGCTCTGCCCACGCCTTTGGGCGGCGAAGTTGCCTCTCTGATCCGCGAACGCGACCCGAACCACGCCATCCTCAAGTAGGCACATAATCTTCTCCCTACTTCCATACATGTTCAGCGAGAGAAGAGAGGATGCAGAATATCAAGGTACTACAAGGTACTGCGCCAAATTAGGAGGAAGGGCTGACTCGCAGTGCAAAAGCAGTAGCGATCCATGCTGCTTCGATGCTCCAGGAACGCTGGGATTCCCTGCAGACAAGACATTGGGCGCTCACATCGCCAATATTGCTAGTGCTGCATGTATAAGGGCCTCTTTCTCGTTCATTGAGGAAGGCGAAGCATTGCATCCTGTCAAATGGCAGAATTGTCCAAATTGGGCGCTCACCAGTGCGGATATTGGACAAGCACAGTGGCGGGCATGTGAAAGCCAGCCAAGGAAGTCATCACATGCCGGTACAGGAGACTAGTATTACTTTACTAATGTTTGGGCTGTGCAGGAACGCCCCCAAACGGATGGATGGAGACCCGAGCGCGCGAATCGCGACAGAGGAGGCGAAGCAGAGCGCAGCGCAGCGTGACACGTCCATGGAAATCGACGACCCCTCTTCTTCGCGCAACTCCCCTGCAGAAGGAGATGCCCCCAGCAGCGCGCCGGCAGGAGATATTCCCATGTGGGAGTTTGAGCCTGTCATGGATCTGGCTCCAACTGATGCAGCCTCCGGCGAGCAGCCGCACACAAGCAGGTCGGCCCTGCAAGACCATGCTTGCGGTTTACTTTCCTTGATATGCCTACGTGTCAATTATGGCACCTCTCTTTTCTGTCTGAATCTTTCAATGCACTGGAGTCTCCTGCAAGCACGGTCCTGCGATGCAGTCAAGGCTGCATCATTTTGCACTTTGCTGCACCAGAGAGGGTTGACAATTGAGAAGCAATATTGCCATGAGCCAACGTCGTTAGAAGGGCTGCCTACGCATGCAAGAGCAAGCACATATGCGTCGACATTTGAAGGCACAGTCAGACTGGAATGGACCGATGTACTGGGAGGGAGTTTTGAACGCGAAAGCAAGAGCGAAAAATCTGTATTGGAAACATTTTGTTGTCCTGCAGGAGAAGGAGGCGCAGATCACACGGCCGATCTGGGCAGGAGAGCAGCCCTCAGGGGGAGGAAGCCTTGAAGGACTATTTCGACAGCCGGTGGGATGAGCCGCGGGCTCCTGTGCAATAGAATGCTGCAGTCAAGCCAACATTGCACACTGGCAATGCTTGAGAGAATAGCGGTTGCGGGCTGCATGCAGATGGTATTGCTTTACTGCAATGCAATCAGCCCACGGCATCGGCAATACTTAGCGGCAAATTTATGAGGATACAATGCAATGCATATCCAATTTACAAGCTGCGACTTGCCTGTATACGAACGTCGCTGCTATGGGTGTATTGTAAGACATGTGAGGCGGAGGCTGTTCACGAAAGTTTTGTGACGAAACTAGCAATTACATAAGTGGCATCAATGGTTGTCTTACGGTATGAAAGAAGCATGGGAAACAGAACGGAAAGTGCGATTGCACCAAATTTTAAATAATCATGCCAGTTCTTTTACAGGTCAGCTTTAGTTTCCTTCTTCATCCGCGGTCCTACGTGAGACAGATCACAAATTCCTCAAAGCATGCTTCCATAGCCTTGAAATATCATGACAGCATGAAGTACGCCTTGCTCACAGAACCAGAACATGAAATGTCCCATGCATGCACCTGTGTTTTTCAGTAGCAAATCTCATAATTACTAACCAGATTCTAGAAGCCGTAAATTTCACAATCATGATGACACCTCCACATTTCCTAAAGCAGCCTAAGCAAAGATCATTGTTATGATTAGCAAATGTTGCATTCTTAAATTCACAACAGCCTGCGTCTCTGGTACATTAGCTGGTCCAGTAGCTGGTACAGTGATTTACAAGGCTGTACCACCAATCATATTCCTCCAGAGTTGTTCTTGGAAGCGCCTTCCCAGGAGGAATCTCCCTCAAGTTTGCCCACCTCTAGGCCAGATGTGCCCTTGCCGTGGAGCTTCTCAGCTATTCTGAGAAGAATGCTTATGTCAACAGGCACAAGCTCATTTGACCGCTCATCTAGCCAATCTTGCTTTGGCGTGATGCGCTCACTTGGGGCGCCGTCCATCCGTTTGGGCACGTTCCTGCAGCACCAGGGTTTCTACGTGTACAGCCCCTTAGAAATGATAATTATAAAGAATTAATATACTATTACATGCTCTTCTTGCCAAAAAGCAAGTCAAGTCTTGTATCCTACCCCTCGGTGGAGTCACTGACTTCAGGCAAGACCCAATAAACCATGGGCACATTGCTCACTAATTAAACCGTCCCCCACCATCTGGGGCTAGGAAACAGAGGAGATTTTACACCAGAACATAATTGCTACTGTCATGCCCCTGTATCCAAATGGGATGTTTGCATCCCTGCATCTTCCTGCTAACATCTGTTCTACAACCTGCATGGGTGTCGCATCTTCTCGAGTGGTCTAAATGCAACATGATGCTTTACAGACGCGCCCCTTTTGTGTATATTCCACAGATTTCCTGAAGCTTACACTGGGACATGAACTTTCCAAAGTTCCAGTAGAGGGAGCCTGGGGTATCCACAAAGTAATCGAGAAAGGGTAGGCACCTGAGATAGGGGTGATTAGGAGCCTCCTCGCGAACCAGTGCGGCAGGTTCTCCCCCTAGTGGCGTTGGCAATTGCACGAGCTTCTTCACAAATATCTCCTCAGCAGCTTCACCGTAAAACATTGACCCTATCTCCCACGCAATGTAGGGTACAAGAAACCATCTCGGAGTCCTGCAATCATGTCAATCAATCATGCCGACATCATTCCTTCCAATTCCAAGGCCCCATTCAGTTTTATATATACCTTGCGAATCGAAAAAGAGAGATGTACTTGCAGAGAACGCTCCGGCTATGCATGTCAAACTCCCTGACAAGCACATGAGAAATGCAGAAAAATGGCAATTCTGCCAAAGACTGCCGCTGCGGCATTTCTGCAGCATTTGTGTAGTGGGTCAATGTGAGAGACAACAAGCAAGTCGGAGTCCAGCGCATCAGAAGATCCAACAATGTGTGTGCCATGGGGGCACACCCAAGACGTCGCTTGAAATAGTTGAGTCTCATGAGTGCCCAAGTAGGTGCACCCCCATAGAAGCCATGTATCAACCGTTGCTGAATGGGAACAACTGCAACACACAACGCACAGTTTGCAGCCACTACTGATGGCTTCACGGCTTGGCGGAACTTTGCAGGCACATCAGCAATAAGTGTTTCGACATGCTTCTGCTCTTGTTGTATGTGATATAGGGCTCCTCAGGCGGTCACCGTTTTCGCAGTAACTGATGGTGTCTATGTCTTCCTGTCTGACTTCATAAGAAAAATCTTGGACATTCATCTTGAGCAACTGCACAGTGGCATAAATGTTAGCGATTCGTTTCATGACAGCCAGCAGCTTCACCTGCTGAAAACCCTGATTGTTTTCTGAACACGGGGATCAATCTGCTGCAAGAACCTTATTCTGATGATGAACCCTGGGCAAATCGTGTCTCTGGTGCTTTTATCTTTCATGGTCCGAGAATGCAAGCGCGAAAGATTGTAAGCTGTTGAAGACCACGCGAGGTGATGACTTGGGTTAAGATCGTCTTCTTCCACTCCCGAAACGACAGTATTTGGTATGATAGAACTCGGCACCATGAGACTGTGAGAGCGTGCCCGCCTTCATAAGATTTTACTGTTCCTGTCTTATCTTAGGAAGACAGCACTGTGTATCTCGTGTAACTGCTTACCCTAGCATTTCCTGCCGTGCAGCTTCCTTTCCAAACCTCGTAGCTTCCACTTGTCTCGCATCCTTGTTCTTCGATGTATTATTGTTCAGATCGCCACATTTTGGATGCATCTAAGAGGAAGTGATAAATAACGTACATACTTGCACATTAAATTTGACGACACAATGTACATGGCACTAGATGAAAGATCACTACGGGTGTCTCATATCCCATACTATGGTTTTGAAAATGACTTTTCCTAGTAGGCGAAGTATAATTATATAAATCCACACCGCATGGATTTATATAATTATCTTCACACACTGCGGCAGTGTGTGAGGATAAGTGAGTAGATCGGGAGACATGTCTCACATCCGCAAGGGAGGCTCGCTTGAGAACTACATGCAATCATCTACAAAGCATAAATATATCCCTATCAGGCAAGTTTATGCGGATGCCCATTAATGAATATTCAACTTGAATAATTCAAGTCCACAAAAAGTCATTGCCGCTCCTCCTTGCCAGCTGGACATGAACGATTTTCATTCAAAAGGTGCCCCCGGCTTTACCCGAGCACATTCATCAGTGCTGCCAGGCACAGAGCTAATACAATCCATATGCCCAGAGCAGCATTTGCATGCACCACTCCTCTCTCTTTCGGTACTCTTCATACATCCATGCACTACCAGCTCGCAGTTGTCCCTGTGCCTTCCAGTCATTGAAAATGGGAAATTTCAAAGCTCCAGCCAGTCATCCTTCACGTCGCCCTGCTCCCCGCTGTCTGTCTTATCAGGCCCCAGACGCTCAACCTCATCTTCAGAATCCTCGTCAGAATACATCATTGCCAGAGCAGCTGCACTGCTGTGCAGCTCTGTCAGCCCTGTCAGATCTTCAAGCGCATGTGGATCCTGCAAACGCATGCACAGCTCATACACTCAGAACAACTAACACCGTATTTAGACAAGCCACCATGTGACAAAACAGTCTGTCTCCCCTGAAAGCTACATGTGCTTGAATATGTTGATACCTGCTCACTACAGATCAAAAATTTAGTGTTTCCTGACGTGCACTTGCAACGAAGCCTTTGTCCTCACTTCTGGCGCTTGCTCTGCCTTGACATTTCCTTTCCTCTTGGAAGCAGCATGCCAATTGGTTGCAACGCTGCATATCTTCAACCTAGCTCTAATTTGTGAGATATTGTCCTTTCTTTGCAAGTAAGAGACTTCAGGGGTCACCTGCAGGGCTTCCAGTATGAAGAGCCAGCCTTTCTCCCGGTACTGAGTCACCACAGCACCAGAGCAGGCGATGCACTGCTTGAACGCCTGCCCCACGAGACAGTGCTGCGCAAATCCGCCGCCCAACTGGCCCCTACATGACAGAATAGCTCACACAATTAGACCAGCATATTTTAATCAATGCTTCCAGGTGGTGCTGTACGCAATGCTGCAGCAAAGCGCTCGAATAAGTTTCAGACAGGCCCCACGAAGCCTGGCACAAGCCATGCTCAGCAGGGGACAGGCAAAGTCTCCTGAATGGCCCTAAAAGCAGGCCTTCGAGTAACAGTTTCTGAGCAGACCCAGGACACATATAAGAAAATTTGCTGCTCAGAGCCGGCAAGCTGCAGAATTGCTGTGGTGGGAAAAGTGCACTTGCCTGACCATGTGGGGGACGGGGCCGAGGGGCAGCGCTGAGTCAGCGGAGGATGAGCTGGCGTCCGGGTCGTGGCACGCCGCGGGAGCCCGGACGCCCTGCGGATGCTGAATCACCCCGCAGCACATCTCCACTGCCAGAGATCCTGCCACGCCCATGCCATCTCGCAACCAGAATAACCAAAGAAAATCAAAGCAACGCTCGCATGCAGCACTGCTACGACTGCTCGCTGCTGTCCGCAAAGGAAAATGCTGAAGGGAAATGTAAAACAGTGCTGCATCTGCATTTCATGAGCTGGCGCATTGCCATCTGCCATGTCCATGTAAATATTGAAGGCAAAAATTTGCTCCTCAATTTGCCTCACAGCACCTTCCAAGTATGCAAAATGCTCTGTTTTGGTGCCTTTCTGCACCCCTAATCATACAGCTAACGAGCCCATCAACGGGTAGGATCTCTGGCAGCCTTTACCTGCAGCTTGTCTGCAGGACGTACCTTGCCTCTGGCAGGAACACCGTGTAATGTCAACAAATTATTATTAAAATACATAAACATAACCGTAGTCAGCACCATGAATCCCGCGCCCCTCAGGCTTCGCAAAACGTTTGGACCTCTTTCTAAAAGCTTTTCCTTGAAATGATATTTCATCATCACCAATGGTTTAGGCTCAGCAAGAGCTTTCCAAAACCGGTCTGAATATTGTCATAGGGCTCCTCATATGTTGCATTTAGGGCCTCACTTTTCGGCCCGACAATTCCTTACTCTATGTGCAAAATATGGTGCTTACAAAAGTCTTAGCATGACTTTTGAAAGTCACGCCATGACTTTAAAAGTCACCCTGACTGCAAAATAAGGAGGGACTGTACCTGCGATGCCGGCCAGGCCTGGCCGTGCGACGGTGCACTGCTGCTCCAGGGTGCGGTCCACGGTCGAGTCGAGGGGCGCAACCACATCGTTGCAGAAGTAGCACCCCAGCCGCTGCCACCCCTTGCTGCCGCTCTGGGCGGTCGAGCTCGCAGCCGCGTCCTCTGCAGCACAAGCAGTCCTTCAATGTTTATTTCCTAGACTTCCTGAGGAGTTTTACACTACAGAATGCTCAGGGGGGTACTACAGAGTAGTAGTTTATAGTAACCCCTGGAAGGCTATTTGCATGGGTGGTTATATATCAGGCAGCAGGGGACCACATGCAGTGTGATCAGGGAGAGGTAAATGTTAAGACAGAATGATGCCCTGCCAATTTAGTATTTTTGTGGACACAGAGCTCTGGTGTAAGTGTGTGCTCATCGGACCCTGAGGCATGTTTCGACCTCTAGGTGAGCTCATGTGTTACATGGGGTATTTATGCAGGGTGGAAACGGCGATGCATGCAGGTGTGAAAAAAGCAAACGCACCGGCGTCAGGGCCGGCGCCGTGGCGCATGACGAGGAAGGACTCGAAGCCGAGCGCTGCATTGATGACTAATTTGTTCTTCGCGGCCCCCAGCAGCGTGGGCAGCCAGCGCGACTCGCGAGTGTCCATCAGCAGAAAGATGACGTCATGAGCTTCTATCAGCTCCTCCAGCTGCCTCACATCTTCCTCTGCCTGCAGCCAGCAAACTTTTATAGAAACTGCCAGATACGTCATTCAATTGTCATAAGAGCACTGCTCGTCACTGCATTCTTAGCAGAGGCACAGGGAGATATCTGACCTAGCTTCATGGCACTGCAGGATCCATCTGTCAATGCCGTGAGCCAAACTCTGATGTGCACCTGTCCCTCTCAGATACCTGACCTGACTGGCAACTCACTGCCACCTTGATGCACAACACAAGCCAATGGGGCAGGGATTAATGTGAAAAGCTTGAGAGATGTTTCCACTGACCACCATTAAGAGCGATCTGTTGCAATGTGCAGGAGCCCTCCCTGCTGACATACAAGTACCAGAGTCTGCTCTCAAATCTGCGGGTTATTGCAATCAGCAGGCTAGCGGCTCACCTGTTTCACCTCTCCCGGCGACAGCGGGTGTCCAGGCATGGGGATACAAAGCTGCACGCCTTCGCTCTTCACGTCCGGGAATATCCGCTGCAGCGCTGCGGCCGCGGCGGCCGCCTTGGGTTTGCCGCCGTCGAGGCAGTCGGCGAATTCGTACAGCGACTGGCGCACCGGGTTACTAAACGCCACGCGGCCGCTGTCAAGGAAGGTGACGTGACGCACCCCCCAGCCCAGCAGCACTCGCGCAACCGCGCAACCCAGCGTTCCTGCACGCATACATCTTACCTGTAACAGATTACTACCTATTACTAAATGGTTGGTTGGGGGGCCTGCCCCCCCACACTCAGTATCTGCTGGGCTCCGGGGTAGCCAATCACCACTTATAATTCGGGTCACTGTTGCTTTACCTCTCCTTGCCTGTCCTCGGCATGGTGGCGCACATAAGGTGCCGTCCCTGATGTGAAGCCTGCAGGGCTGGAAAGCCCGCTGCCAAGTATCTGACTGGCATGCATGCCAGAAAGCAAAGGGGAGCCATGACTGCAGGCCGCCCTGGAAGGCGTTGAAGATCACAGACTGCCAAGGAGCGTGCATCAGCTTTCAAGGGCTTTGCCAGGCGGCACATACTTCTCGTGTACCAGTGAGTCCCACATACAGTCAATAACGCTTCCCCTACTGCATTGCAACAGTTTTACTAACTTGAAGGAAGCTTTCAAGCACATGCAACAGGATGTGACAGATCCAGGATGCAGAAATTGAGCAATCTTGTCGAAGCACCTGCGCCCAGGAGCAGGCACTTGGTGGCGGCAAGTTTTGCGGTGTCAAGGGCCGGGGCGGCGCGCCAGCGCATCAGCCGCAGGTTCAGGTCCACCGCGGCCGACGCCAGCCGCCGGGGATCCATTGTCGGGCCGAGGTCCGCCACGCGTGGCCCGGTCTTGCCGCGCGCATTCGGCTCCCAGCCGATAGCCGCCGGCGCGGCCTCCTTGCCCCATCCTGAGTAGACCAATCCATCAATTCCAACCGTGTGCGTGCATTCTAACAGATGACGAATGAAAAGAGATTGCGCAAGATGAGACGGCCAGTTGCAGTACTTCGTGGGAGGTGGTCCAAAGTCCTTTTTGAAATGGTGGCTTCGAAAATCTGGCAACCCACACTAAGCAAAGGAAGCAAGCATGCAAGAAACGTCTCTGCATGCATGCTGGTGTTTACCAGGTGGTACAATGGGTGACCAACAACAGCTGTAATCAGGGTAAGTCACAGGTTGAGTCACATGTGTGCAAATATCGAGTCAATATTGATAATGAGGAAGATGTGCTACCTTCTGGAATAGCTGGCAGGCTGACACTCAGCAGGAGGCTGGCAGTGGCGTCCACCTTTCCGCGTCGCAGCCGCAGGCAGGCCACGTCGAGGTGACCAACCCGCCACCTCACCGCTGCCATCAGCAGCGCGTTACGGAGCAGCAAGCCTGGGTTGCTCTGCAGGTTGCTGTGGTCCATGTAAGCTAGAACCACGTGTTTTCCACTGCTCGCCTGTGCAATAGGGCACCGTCAGGAGGACGCACAATCGCCTGCAACTTTCCAAATTCCTTGGAAAGATTGTCCTGAAGTGATGGTGATGGTGAGGCTTCCAGGAGACAGCCACAAGGTGATCATTGCTAATAAGCGCGTGACCATCTGATGGCGCAGACACTTCTTGAAATCATTAGCTGCCTGCAAATTGGGACACAGCAGAACTCGAAGATCAAGCAATTGAACTCAAGGTAGCTGATGTGGCTGTGAAGGTTGCCAAAGGAAATGTACCTCTTGCCATGAGGAGAGCGGCAGTGACTGCACAGAGTTGTCATCCGACACGCTCATCAGCCAGAAGAGGGGCCGGCCGCCAGTGCCCAGCCACTCATTGCAGGACTCAGCAACGCCCTCTGACAGCTCCATCCCCAGAGCCTGCTGCAGCGGCTGCACTGCCCTGACCATGATCGGCTGCGGCGGCTTGATTGCCGGGAACGCAAACCTGCACAGGCATGCAAACCTCCTTTTTACTCCATAGGAATGGCCAAATTTACAGCATGCATGGCATTCCTTACACAATGTACCGTACCATCAGTGCCACAGAAGTCTCAAGCAGCAGAAATGCACTCAGTGACTGCGGAAAGAGTACCCAACAGATGCTCATCTCTGGGCTACATTTTGAGTACTGCTCGAGATAAAATTCTTGAAAGCTCACTGATGCATGGCCAATACTTACCAATAGTAGAACCGGAATAGCTTGAGGTCTGCGTAGCTGATGAGGAGGAGGCGCGACAGTAGTGAGGGATCAGCCTCGGCCGCTCCAGAGTAGATGCCTTGCCAAATCTGGCCCGCAGCCTCCTGCAGCAGTGCGCCGCGCTGTTCCTGCAGAGCCTTGAACCTCTCCAGGGTGTTCACGTTGCGCAGCTCTCCTGGCACTCCATGCAACCCCTGTGAAGGCCATGGCAGTTTATGAATCATGACTTGCCCCCACACCTGGTCATATCTACCAGTGGACCGCTTGAGTCCAAGAGCAGCTCGTTGAGAATGGATGGCAGCTTTGCATAGTGCGCGCCTGGACAGATAATGTGACAAATTAAGTGGTCTGAAGATCTAGTGCCCGCATGAATTCGCGAATTGCGTGTGTAGAAAACCCCGCAGAGATAGTTGCAAGACCACATACCTGTCTGGCAGGTGCTGGTGACTCGAAAGAGCGGCCATCCACAAGGAATGAGGCTGGAAAGTCTGCATGGCTTGCAGCGCTGGCAAATCCTGAGCATCACCACACATTGTTTAAAGCTCTGCATAATATTTTGGCGAGACAAGAGGGCGGTACAAGGCAACAGAGTGTCTGTGCACGTCTCACCTGTAATCTGCTGTGGGTCCTCAGACAAGCGCATCTTGTCGAGCTTCAGGTTTCCAAGCTCGGCCCAAAATGCCACATCGACGGAACTCTGCAAATAAGTAGGAGTCTTTTTCTAAAATTCATACTAGAGTGAGGACAGCGTTTACGATGTCCATTGAATTCTTGGCTAAATTCAATGGACTCCAGTTGATAACATGAGAACTGATACCGTCACACTAAAGAAATATGTGAGACTAATCGCAACACCTGTAGCTGTCCAAACTGAAGAATGGTCTCCTGCGACGCTGACATCAGCACCGATTCCGCGTCAGATGGAGCTGCCCGCTGCTGCAGTGATGAGCCCCGGATCATCGCTTTGGAAACAGAGATTAAGCCAAAACCGCTTGTATTGTCTAGTGCGCAGTATCCAGTGCCCAATCCACCTGTATCCTGGGAGCACCTACAGTGCTGGGGCTTTCAGTTCCGTGAACACACAGAAGCTTTGAATTTCATGTATATCGTGCTCTCGTCGTGTGTGCTCAAAATCCACAAGGGGTACTGATCGCCTTTGCTGCTTGCCCTTCTTTGCGAAAGTATGGCAACATAGTATGTCGAACAGACAACGTTCCGACACCAGGCTATTTTTTGAAGGGAACGCCCGATCGGCGGGGCAAGGCTTGATGGTGCTCTTTGCATGTGTCCGACACATTGTGTCCTGCAAAACCAAACGTGATGCATTGATCCATAGTAGTGTGCATTTCGTAATTCGAAGAGAAGGAAACTTTAGCTGCGGAATCTAGGACAGCGAATAGAATGACCGAGCGCAGAAGGCGGAAGTGGGATGTTGCAGCCCCACAAGGCATTCCCCTTGCAGGCAACGCAGCAGGCAACGCAGCCAGCAGTGGAATGGTCGGATTCATCACACCTCAGGGCGCTATGGGTGCCGCAGCGCCGGCTCCTACGCCAGTCAATGCTCCACCAAAGCCTGGACAAACACTGGATGCAACCACAATAGCCCGTGCCCAGCAGGGAGCAGCTGCTATTGTTGCCAAATTAAATATGGTATGGGTGTATTAATCGTCTATTACCATTTCAAAATAATCGATGATCAATATCTTTGATGGATCCTTACTTTCACGCTCAGTTCTGTATAAAAGGTTGCTTGTAATTTGTTATGCAGGAATTGGCAGCCCAGGGGAAGCTGCCGCAGGGCAGGGGAGGGCCATTCAGAAAGGCTGAGGAGGAGTCAGGGATATCCAGGCAGGTCACCATCAACGATGCACCCCCAGACATGCGTCATCATCTGACCAAGCGGCCCACCCAGGACGACATTGGCAGGCGCACAGGCACCCAGATAGTTACCAGGGGGCGTTACATGCCTCCTGGCATGCCCCCATCTGACACAGAGCAACCTCTGTACCTGTTCATCACCCCGGGCGCCTCATCAACAGAGGTTTACCACTGATCTCCCCTTGGCATGCTTTGTGTCTCTACATCCCATGAACTCAACTAGCAGACAATGGGCTTCCAATGCTTCCACAAGAACCACTATTGAGTGTGTCGTGTGCGGCAGGATGATGCTGAGAAGCAGCGCTGTGTGGACGCGGCTGCTGCAGAGATCCAAGCCATGCTGCAGGGGCAGCGCGTCATGAAGGGAGGCCCCTATCAGCCTGCCAGCCAGCGCCCCTCCTTCAACGCAGTTGGGCCGCCACAACAGGTCTGATCCGTGCGCAGTATACTTCCTCAAATCCTTCAGAGATGCACCCTTGGTGTCACATCTTAGATACTCATGCATGCCAAATTTGCATGCGCATGTGGCGCACTTGCAAGCTTTACCATTGCAAGACACTCTACCAATGCAGCAGTGCTCAGGCAGACGGTAAGACGGCGTTGTTTCATTCCACTTGAGCATTGTCATTTAGTAAATCACAAAAATCAGCAAGTGTGCCTGCAGCAGGCGTACAACATGCAGCCGCCGATGCAGCCGTACGGGGCGACCCCTCCCGCTGCCCATCCCGGGCAGTATCCGGGGCCAGCCGGGCAGTTCAGGCAGCCTGCGCCGGGCGTGCAGAGCACCTGCATCTGGGTCGGCTTTGAGGCCGTCCCAGACTTCAACATCTGCCAGCGCCTCAAGGGGCCCAATGGCAGCTACCTGCAGCACATCGAGAAGGAGACTGGCGCCACTGTGGCTCTCCGCGGCCGCGGCAGCGGGACACAGGTGCACTGCAAGTCTCACATCATGCATTCATGATGACCCTCTGCCTAGTGGCCTGCGTGTGCGGCACCAGCACACCCCTCAAGTTCTACATCCTTCATGCGTACAATTAATTTTGGCAATTTGTGTCAGTGTTGGGTTATATCTGTGGCTAGGTGCATCGGCAGTGACTTCACACGCATAATTCCTGTTCCTGCCTGCCAAGAGTATGGCCTGCTACTGATTAAAAGGCCTGTCAGTCAATTTTGATAGGATTGCGTCTTGGGAGTGCCATCATGAGATTCATGGCGCAATAATTCAAGTGTTTGACCCGCTTTCAGGAGACAGAGGCGCTGCATATCTTCGTGAGCTCCGCACTGCCCAAGGCCTTCGGCGACGCGACAAAGCTCGCGCAGAACCTCAACGACACAGTGCGCGCCGAGCATGCCAAAGCGTACCCCTACGTGCCAATGGGGGGCCCGCCGCCGGCCGCCGGGGCCCCTCCGGCCTACGGGGCCGCGCCACCGCCGCAGCAGCCGGGACCCCCCTACGGGGGTTACGGGTACCCGCCGCCCACAGCCGCCCCGAACGCGTACCCTCCGCAGGCCGCAGGTGCGAGATGTGTCTGCTGCGTTGCGTTGCTATAGTATCCCTGGCCATATGCTGGAATTGCAGCTGTAGAGAAAAGTATGATCCATAGGGATGAGATGTATGCTCCTTAGGGATGAGATGGGTGCAGGGACTCCGGTGTTGTTTGTGCGTGCAGTCCTTTTGGGATTTCGAGCTGATGAGTGGCACTTCCAAAGTTGGCACATGCACACACTCATATGTTGTTGTCATCTCATCTCTGGGGAGGCTGCACGATCATGTGTAAAATCGTGGCAAGCAAATTAGCAGTAGATAGCCCCCCTGCTCTTTCCATGCAGGAGTGGTGTTTGAAACGGTGGCTCAATGTTTTATTATAATCGTGTGTTGCTTGCAGCTCCTTACGGGCAGCCTGCAGGCGGCTATCAACCGCCGTACCAGCCGCCTGCACCTGGAGGCTACGGCGCACCCCCCGGCTACAGACCTCCGCCCGCTGCATATGCGCAGAGACCCCCTGCCTACGTCCCAGGTGAATACATCGCCCTCTTGGGGTCTTCACAAACTTGCACTGTGCAGTAGCGGCCCTAGGAGTCAGCATGTGGCCTCAATACTGAAGTGCATAGGGCCACCTCAAAAGCGCACAGACACAAGAGGTGCCTCTATGCATTCAGCATGAGTTTGCACATGGTTTGCCCTAGGCTCACTGGCCATCTGTCATCAGTCGTCCTCTCTAGGCTAATGTAAAGAAGCACGATGATGGAGCAGCCGCTGCTCTATGGGTACGTACTAACGGGTATATATGTATAAATAAGATTTATACCCATTTGCTGCAGGGCATATGCCTGCCCCAGGACAAGGGTATCCCACGCCCTATCAGCAGCCACAGGTCCCCTACGCGCAACAATCCCCCTACGGTTACCCCCCGCCCAACGGTAGCGCGACCCCTGGCGCCCCATCCAGTGGCGCGACGACCCCTGCCGCGCAAGACCAGACGCCGCCGCCGCCGCCGCCAAATCTGGCGCAGCAGCCTTCGCCTATTCTGGCGCCGTCCAGTCAGCAGGAGCAGGCACATGCACAGCAGCAGAGTGAGGGAGAGCAGCGGAAGAAGCGATTCAAAGAGTTCAAAGAGGAGCGGCAGGTGGGCAGGCTGACTGCGGTATATGCATTTGCACCATTCTCGGGATGCTGTAATCTTTTCTCTGGGAGCACATTGCAATGCTGGCTTTATGAATGTCCTGAGTCACATGTGTACCTCCGGGGTGGGAATGCAACAGGCCAGCCTCGCTGTATATTGCCACGCTGCGATTCTTCTGCCCGCAGTGGGCTGTGCCGGGGTGATCATCATGCCGTAATCGAGAACCCGGAAGCAATGATGGGTTCAGAAACAGGGAACCATCTGCACCTTCCCCCAAGTTTGCCAGGCAGTAGGGTGAGAATTCGAGGCTGCAAGTGCGGTCAGCTGACTGTGCGTGGTGCCTCCGCCCCTATCCATGCGCGCAGGAACCGCAGCAGCCGCCAGCGTACTATGCGCCAGCGCCGGACGCTCGGCCGGGGGGCGCAGCTTCCGCAAAGATGCCCATGGGCCCCCCACCGCCGCGGCAGCCGCAGCAGCCGATGGGACCTCCCCCTCCAAGATTTCCTGGCGGTGCAGCAGGTGAGAAAACGCAAAGTGCCTCCTTTGTCCATTTTCTTTTCTAAAAATTGCAGGTGCATGCAGCACAAGTGAGCAGTGAATCGGGGAGTCGAAGTACAAGAAATGGGCATTGGCTCTTTTCGTATCGCAGATGTTTGTTCCGCTGACGGCAATTCTGTGCCCCGTGCTCTTCAGGTGTTCTAATTTTGTTACATTCCTCAAGCACCGCTTACTTGCAGTCGCTCATCTAGGCGCAACTCGGTTGGGGGTCCCAAACTGAGAGGTTGTGTGTCTTGTTCTGTTGCGCTCTCTGTAGGTGGCAGGGGCCAGGGTAGTGCAGGTGGGGGCAGCTTTGGTGGCCTGGTGGATTATGGAGATGAGGAGGACTGACTGCTGTGTGGCCTCTGTTGCACACACTCCACAGGTGGCGATGTGTCATCCCCTCAGCCGCGGCCTTTCTGGTAGTGAAGAGCTTTGCGCCTTCGGCTGCCTTGCTAACCTGCCCATAGCCCCTTCCAAACATGTGCTTGTAAGTGTGAAGGATATCGAATCTTGCTGCGAATCTTGTGCATTCGTGTTGTCCAAATTCATCTCAGCTGTCTTCTTGAGATTGTTTTGCAAGTTTGACAGTGGTCAGCTTACGTGATGGTGCAAAAAGTGAGAGTCAGCGAGAGTCATGATTGTGCGTGCTTCTTGCAATCAATGTAATCCGGCTTCTCACCGTACCATGATTAGCTCAATAATGCCAATCCAAACCTGAGATGCCGATCTTAGAGAACCCCAAAGTTACTGATAGACACTCTCTGCAATGCTCCTTTTGTACAAAAGAGGCAACTGCAATGCTGGAAACGAGACAGTGTTGATCAGCACTCCGCATTATGGCGTAATGAAGGGGATAAACCACGGTAAATTCTGGGAAACGCTTTACAGGCATGTTCAAGATTTGTGCCTCCTCAGCTGAAGGGTGATACAAATCAGCCTGAGCCCCATCAGGATCCTCTGGAGGACTGCCAAAAGGAATATCAAGCTCCAGAGATGTAACCCCAGATGCCGCCCTTGCCCTTCTGCTCTGCCTCCTTGGCCACTTTCCTGCAGACACCCACACGCCCAGCTCTCAACCTCCCAACACTCAAGCTGGGTAGACTTCTGCACCCTACTGTCTCATTGCCATCCATGATATGATTCCTCCAGGGCAGACCCGCACATGCCAAAAACATGCTGCAGATGATGTTATCTATCAGCGGGAAAAAATAAACAAGAAAATGCCGGAGACAGACATCAGGTGTACAGTGCTTTGACAATGTGTGAGGCTTTCCCAGATGCAGTGCGTGCAGAGTGAAGTCTGACGGTTTCACCTGTAGTGGCTGAGCTCCTTTTCCAGCTCAGAGGTGGTCTGCAGCTTCTTCTGGGCCTCAGCCAGCTCAACCTCCAGCCTGAAGATCTTGCTCGACTGCGCGTCAGCCTCCTTTGCAGCAGCCTCCAGCCTCTGCAATAGAGCACACACTTGCCACTGGCATGAGCTATTGCAGAGCCAGACCATTACATTGCATGCAAAGGCACCTAACAAGACAGAGCTCCCTAATCATTGGAGGTGGATAATCACACACATGCATGCAGCTGCAAACTGATTGGATTCAAGGCAGCATTGCACTGGAGAGCACAGATCCCTACATGCGTTGGAAGTCCTCAAGGCTGCGTCAGTCCTCAACCTCAAGCATAATGGAGGCAGGTGCAAGAGTTCTATTGTTTCAGGAAGAAGTGGCGCGCACTTTCTCGGCGTCGGCCAAAGCGGATTCTGCATCGGCGGCTGCAGTCTGTGCGGAAGCCAGCTCGCGTCGCATCAGCGCCAGCTCGGACGCAGCAGCTTCCTTGGCGGTGGCAGCTTCCCGGCGCGCCGCCGCAGCTTCCCCGTCACCGCCACTCGGCTTCGACACCTTTGATGTAAGGTGCCCAGAGTCCGACCTCCTTGCTGGACCTGCGCAACAACTCCCTCAGCCGACTTTAAAGGTTGATTATATCATTGTATACGGGCAGGTCGCTGCGGACAGCGAGACCTGACAACTAAATCCAGTGAAGAAGGGTTGTGAAGAGTCCAATAATGAAGTCCCAAGAATACCTGCAGTTTGAAGCAGTTATCATCTCAGTCAGGATGTCATTAGGCTGAGGCAAGTACTGCTTCAAGCAACAAGTACACTTGGAGAGCTTCTTATCAAAACCTTCTTTGTAGCTACTGTCGGCTCTCATACCATTTCACTATTTACAACCGCAGCTGTCCAACACATCTACTAAAAAAAATCTTTAAGTGTTTTTTTCTTCAAAGAGTCTACGTGCAAAAGTGCGAAGAGCGCATGGAATTGTGTCAGACCTGCATCGCCGTTGGCATCCGCCTTATGGCTCTTGGACTTGCCTCCCAGCGCCTGTTCAGGCTCAGCCTTGGCCCCTGAAGCTGACGCGGGCTCATCAGCAGCAGGGGCACTCTCAGGCGCTGCACACAATACAAAATGTCACAAGGCAGCATGATGACCTTGATATACCACCAGTCGGAAGATGCACTGGTGGAAGCCAGCACTGTCTCGTTCCTAATTCTCTCCACCTTGTAATGGACAACCAGAGCATATATGTGCAGATCATTCAACACAACGCGATCCAAAACACCTTTTACCTCTTCAGATAAGAAGTCACATGCGCAACAGGCACAGATTTCCACGAAATTGTAGACTTGCCATGAGGGCCATTTGTCAGAGGACCGCAGCTCTGCTGTTATTGTTTCAATCAGTAAAACAACATCCCCGTCAAATAGAAAATTTCCTTTGAATCCTTATTTCTGGTAGACCCGGCCCCTGGACACCCGATTAAGAGTGTCATTATCTCACATTGAAATAATCCAAAGGTATTTTGGTGCACACCCGGTCGGAAGACGTGCACGGAGCTGTGGTAGCGTCCGTTGTATCCGCCGTATGCCACGAGGGCACCGGGGCCGCGCGCGGCGACCAATGAAAGCCCCTCGCTCGCGATCGCGCTGCGTGGCTCGGCGGTTGCGACACTACTCCAGCGCAGCGGCCGCCCCGCGGCGAGGCCGGAGAGGTCGAGGCATGCGAGGTCGGCGCAGCCCGCGCTGTTGTTGCCGCCCCCCACCACGTACAGGCGGTCGCCCAGCATCGCCGCTGCATGGCCTGTTCGAATTCAAATTTGCAAATTGTAAGTTCAAAATGCGAGGCTTTGAACGTGTGCAAATTGTGTCTTGCTCACAGTGTCTGCCAGGATGGGATGCCCGGAGCACTAGGGCAAGCACAGAGGCGGTCGCCCAGCAGTGCCGCTGCATGGCCTGTTCAATTTTAAAACAGCAAGTCTAAACTCAAAATCGAAGCTATTGAACATGTGGATCCTGCCCAATTGCACCACGCACTGTCTGCCATGCATGGGATGGACGGAGCTATTGAGCAAGCGTACCGGCACTGTTCAACGCCTGACTGGGTCTGAATTGCACAATGGGTTTCAGATTTGTCCTCGAGACACTGAGTCCTCTGATAGCAGACACAGGCACAAAATGCATGGGATCCGGCAGCAGGGCATGGAAAAATGAAGCACAGAGGCATGGCCGGGGCCGCACCGGCGCGGGGCGTGGGAGGTACACCGTCGGTGGCGGGGCTGCTCCACTCGTTGGTCTTGGTGTCCAGCAGGCTCACGTCGTTGTAGCAGTGCGCCACACTGCCGCCGCCAAAAACCACCAGGAACCGGTTCTGCGCAGACACACATGTGCTCAGTTCTTTCTCATCTGATTGCGCTCAGCAAGACTTAGCCTTGAGACACAAATCCCCAGATCCCAAACACCGAAGTTGGCTTTTGCATTGGCAGAGAAGATGAATGTACAGTGAGACATGGACTCTTCTGTGAGCACAGAATTGCGCACTTGCCTCGACTTCAAAGGTCTTTTAAGGGTGTTCTTCTGCACATTAGGATGACAGAACAGTCACGAGAGGCCCCTGTACAATCGCATCAGACTGTACACGAGGATGTGTCTAGCTCACCACAATGGGTTGCGAATGTCCGACAAACCCACCTTGTAGGCGACGGCAGTGTGCGCCGAGCGCGCGGCTGGCGGGAGGCCGGTGGTGTCTGCGCGCACCCACGCCATGGCCGCCAGGTCAAGGATGACTAATTCACCCAGGGGCCGCCTCGAGGAGTCCTCCCCGCCAAAGATGAACACGCTGCTGCCGATGATGGTGGCCTGCAATTGACCACAAAACTCATGCTCACATGGCAAAGCGCTGTGCGTTATGAGCTCACCCTGAATGCATGCTACCATGGGAGAGGATATGCTAGTGTTGCTCAGCTGGGCAAAAGGCAGGCTAAGCCTCTGTGCATGATGGCCATTCTGCCTGCATGCCCCCGTCCAAGGTCTGGTAAAAGACAACTCCTTCAAAACATTTCTGCAAGGTCTGCGTACCTAGCTGGTGGTTATTCTCTGAGCAAGGGTGAGCGTCTGGATCCGTAGGAGTTTCTTTTGCATGCGATGATTTTTGAAGCCTTCTAAACAATTGGGGGGAAAAAGCGGGGTGTGCGCACCGAGTGGCCGCCCCTGGAGGTGGGGGGCGCTCCTGACGGCTCCAACAGTGCCCAGGTGGTGGCCTGCGTGTCAAACGCGCTCACCTGCAGATCCTTCCTCGCATCCTTCGCCTGCAGTTTCAGAACAATATCAGTCGCCGAGGACATTCTTTGTAATATTCTGAACACATCTGTACTTCTTAGGCCTCACGCACTTCCTGTTACTGACCTCAAACACACCTCCACACAGTTGAAAACAAGCTTAAACAAGCTGTACAGATTCTTCCACATGAACGTGTCAACTGGAACAGTGCTCCATCGGCCCCGGATAACTCTATGGTGACCAGGGAATTCCTTTCTCCATTGCCCATGCAAGTGAGAATAACTCTAAAGGAATATAGCATCCCAGCTACATACAGAATTTTATGCGGTATGCACCCTCATATGGCCCCTCGAGCACCCTTAAGCAGTAAATTTTGAAAATAAAAAGAAACCAGTGTCCTGGCTGCATGCAGCGTACAAGGGGGTATGCAGCACCTTCATGTGGCCCCCGAGCACGAGCAGCTTGCTGCCCCAGGCGACCATGGCATGGCCGGCACACGGCGGCAGCGGCTGCGGCACCGGCGCCAAAATAGCGGCCGCATCCCCGTTCTGTGAGGGCGTTGGCGGCGCTGACTTGGCCGGGCCGCTGACTGGACTCCACGTCATTGTGTCCAGCGCCAAGATCCACACGTCCCCCAGGTAGCGCCCGCCTGTGAAATTGTTCACTCATTTGATAAAAAGTCCAGCACATATTGTGCAGATGTGCATGCTAATAAATTGTGCCCTATGCTGCAGGATTGTCAGGGAGAGTCGAATGCAGACCAATCCATTCTGATGCTCAGGCTGCACACTGATCAAATCAGACAAATGTCAAATTCTACATTTTTCATTGCAACCATTACATGGAAGTTCCCGTGTCAGGAAATTCATCGAGATCCATTTGACACCTAGGAATTCACCCATCCATGCGTGCTCATGAATCGAACAATGGAGCAGTGCATTTCCAATCTTGCATGATTGTTTGCAAGGCCGCGCACCGCAGTTGCCGCCCAGGACGTACAGGTTTGGCCCGACGGTGGCGGCCGCATGCTCGTAGCGCGGCGGGGGGCGCTTGGGCCCCTCAACAAAGGGGGTGGACCAGACCCCCAGTGGGGCGGCATCCAGGGCCGGGCTGGCAAAGTAGGCCCCCCCGTCTGAGTCCCCCCCGTTCTCCTCTGCCGCCAGTAGCGACAGCTTGTGCTTGTGCGCCTTGGCCAGCGCCCACCAGTCCGGCTGTGCCACATCAGCGGATGAGTCAGTGAATGAGTCAGTGGATGAGTCATCAAATGAGTCGATGAGTGAGATGAGTCGTCAGATGCATTGAGATGATTCGTCAGATGCATTAACGAAGATGGACGGTGAGGTCCAAACTTCTGATTGACGACTTCTTTTGGCAGGGCCTCTCAGCTGCTGGAACACATCTAATTGGGCCATGCACGAGACATGCATCAGTAGGTCAAAGGCTGCTTCAGGAGCCTTGCTTGCGGGAGGATAGCAGCATACCTTCGTGAACTTTTCGAGCTACGCTGACAGTCACCACTGGACATTTCGAAGGATAAAAGAGGCGCACCTGCTCTTGCTCAATGAGCTTCACATACAGGCGCATGGCCTCCACAGACGACATGTTGCCCAACTGGTTCCAGCTCTCCCACTTTGCGCTCTCCACCACATTCCATCCCCACGGCTTGGCCTCTGTGCATGGGCCCACTGTGGCCTGCTGGTGCAGCGCAAAGAGCGCCAGGCGAAGCTCATCTGGCACTGGCTTTGTACCTGCAGCCAATGGCGTCGTTTTGCTTGGATCTTGACAATGTATTGGTGGATTTGGTAGTACTTGAACCTCAGATGAAGATGCCAGCTCGCTAGAAGACCCTGAGAACCCTCCTAGCAAGAAAGCTTGAGCACGGCAATGTCCCAAAGTCGACATTTGCTGTCACATCACTGTGTCAGTGGCCCCTGGTCAGCAATTAGGGAACACAGCTGAGAGTCGTACCAGGAACAGAGTTCACGATGAAGTTCACAGCTGCGTGGAAACGGTCTGGGTATGGCAGTGTGCATGCATCTTGTGAATTGCTAGCCTGCAAGAATCAACAGCTATTTAAAAATGCAGCTTTCCGTTCGATTGCACTTCATCAAGTTCATCAGGACAAGCGACGAACTGGTGCCTCCCTCGATAAACCCAATCAAGACAAATCAAAACCAGATACTACAACAGTTTTCATTGCAGCTCTAACGCACCGACATGATGCCCAATAGACCTTCTCTTTCTGCTCAAACCTCGGATTTCTTACTTACGAGGCCTCGATGCAGCATTAAAACCACCGAATATTGATGCGAGACCACATGCACGCTACTTCAATTGTCTTAAAAGGAGTATTCATATGAACCAGAATTGCGCTTGTTGAAAATGATTGAAAAAGAAGAAAAATTTCGCTTCGGACATTCGCGCCATCCACGTTATCGCGAGGCGTTCCTGACAAAGCAGCCAGCAGAACAATACACGCAATTTTCAGTAGACATCTGCCATCACTGGGAGAACATTGGGAGAATGGTGGTGAATCTGTGCATGTGTGATGCGGACAGCTGAAGCCCTGCTCAGAAGACACTAGTGCTTTGTTTGGGGATCAGGTCTGATGCCAGGTGATTGTTCTGCAAAGTTCTCATGGAGCAGCATTTGGAAAGCCGTTCATATCAAAAATGCTGGCGGTTTTGACCGAAGTGAAAGGCACAGCCTTACCATACCTTCAGGAAGCAACATGGCGGTCTTCTTTTCTGCAGGTGATCAAAGGATGCATTAAATTTCATAACTGACAGCCCGGTCAACATGGCAAAGAAAAACAAAGATGCCAAAGAGGCGAGCCCTTCTGGATCCGACAGTGGTTCAGGTTCTAGTTCGTCTGGGTCCTCATCTTCAGGGACAAGTTCCGGAAGTTCCTCGTCAGATTCAGCATCTAGGTGAGTCAAGAAAGGGAAATTTGATGATCTTAACCTCATAGCGCATGGGAACTCAACTGTTGACAAACCTGTTGAGTAGTGGGACAGGCACACAAGCCCTTGTCTGGCTGTCATCCGCTACAATGTCTGTAGAATAATTTCTTAACATGATCAGTCATACGTTTTGATCATTGCCAGATGTGTGAACGTTCTTGGGTGTGCAGGAGCCCGTCTCCTGCTCCCCAGTCTAAAGCCAAAGCAAAGGCAAATGATTGGGATGAGGAGGCAGCAGACCTGCCGCCACCGCCAAAGCGCAGCGAGGCAGCAGCTGAGAAGGGGGTAGGCAAGGGGAAGGATGCTGATGAGGCGATGCCAGATGCTATGCTAAAGGCTAAGTCCAAAGCAGCAGAGCCAAGGGACGTTGACAAGGATGCTGCACCAAAGGTGTGCCAACTCTGTGCAGACTCACAAAAACAGCTGATTTTGACATGAACCTGACTTGAGATTGCAGGTTTACTCTTAATCGATCTAAATGTGACAAGCTCAACATGAATCAAGCTCCAGAAACAGCAGGCCGCTTTGTGAACGCATAGAGCAGCAAGGTGCGGCCACTGCATGATTCAAATCATCATTCAAGTGTGACTCTGACTGCAGGCGAATGGCCGGGCAACAAGTCCTGTCACGACACGGCTGCATGTGGGTCACTTGACAAGGAATGTGACAGAGGATCACATCAAGGAGATCTTCTCCACCTTCGGCGCCATCAAGTCTGTGGAGCTGTCAGTCGACAAGGTATGTCCTCACTGCCTCATTTCTACCTTCTAGTGTCCTGCAGATTAAGCAATGCAACATGCTTTGCATTCACAGTTCCCTTGAAAAAGTGTTCAGAGAGGGCCATTGAGCAAGCAGCTGTGAAACAGCAGCTCCTATTACAGTCAGCAGAATGGGTTTGTAAGCTCCGGTGATGAGACGATTATGCTAAGATACCTCGCAAGAGGAATGATCCTACTTTTCCGCTTATTGTCTGAGGAGCTTTTGTCTGTACCTGCTTAGTAGTCAATCTGCTGTATTACATGTGGCCTAATGAATGAGATGATTACACAGATTTCTTAGAGTGGACCATTGAGCAAACAGCACTGATGCAGCAGCTCTTTTCATAGTCAGCGGTGTGCCTAGCATGGGTTTGGAAGCTCTGGTGATGTGACGATTATGCTAAGATACCTTGCAAGAGGGATGATCCTACTTTTCCGCTTATTGTCTGAGGAGCTTTCTGCCTGCACCTGCTTGTTAAATATTTCTTTCACACCATGCCAGCTAGCACAAACCACATTGTGTCAGCTGTACTGGAATAGCCTTCATTCTTGGGCACTCTAGAGGTGTGCCAGAAAATAACTGCTAGAATATATACAGTAGTATAGCAGAGTCACGTGAACCAAGGGATTGCAACGCAGGTGGTGAATCTTCCTAGGGGTTTTGCATATGTGGAGTACAAGGACCGGGATGAGGCCGAGAAGGCGCGTGTGCATATGGACGGCGGCCAGCTGGACGGGAACGTTCTCAGGTGCTTCATCTGAGCTGCGGACACCAACCTTTATAAGTTTTGTGATACCAATTAACCTCCTCACTGGAGCTTATTTGTTTGTCACGGGGATGTCAGGAACTGATTCTGCATGTATCTTAGCGGGGACTTGCTGATTTGGAAACTGTGCAGTGCAAACATCAGCAGGAACGTGCTGTCTTTGTCACCTGGCCCAACATTGCTCGTTGGAAGCGGACATTGCCAATTGACCAGCATTATGTGCCTTGTTGCAATACCTGTTCCTGGTCGCAAGCCTGAGGTCTGCTGCAAACAAGGCTTCATAAATTGACTCTATTCTGTGGGGGACTGTGCAGCGTGCAATTTGTGCTGGTGCCGCGCAAGCGCACGCCGCCGCCGGCGCCGCTGCCAGGGCCGCCGCCAAAGCGGCCGGCCTCGCCGCGGCGGGACCGGGAACGCGGCGCAGACCGGGACCGCCCGCGCCGCGACGACGACCGCCGCCCGGAGCGGCCGCGGCCGCAGCGGCTGCCGTCGCCGCCCCGCCGTCGGGGGGCCTCCCCTCTCCCCTACAGACGCCAGGCCTCCCCGCCTCGGGGCCGCCGGTGCGCGCACAGCCCATCTCATACAGTTTTGCCTCTTCATTGAGAAAAATTAGGTGGGGGATGTTGCCGTCCCACAAGGAGAGTAAGACACATGGGTGATGTGTAAAATGTGTTGGATCTCCCTCTGGCACTTCGAGTGGAATTGAATTGTTCTTATGAGGGTGCCAGGCACTTTGTGATAAAGTGGTAGGTAAAAGGCACGACGATGGGCTCGCCGCTTGCCAGGCCAGAGTCCTCCAGGAGCTCTGCCGTACTTAGTATGGTGTTGTTGAGAGAGGGAGGGTGGAAGGTAGTAATTATGCAACAACAGGGGTGATGACGTATCTTGCGCACACCATGCAGGCCGCCATCGCCGCCGCGCCGCAGGCCGAGCCCGGGCCGCCGCAGGGGGGCCTCCCCCCCGCGGAGGCGCCGGTCCCCCACGCCCCCGCGCCGCAGGCGGCCCCCCTCGCCACCGCCGCGCCGCCGCTCGTCCCCCGGCCGCCGCCGCACCCGCTCACCTCCAGCCAAGGTAATCCTCTGCCACGGCATCTCTCTATATACTGACTGCCCACAAGACCAGTGAGCCTCAGGTGGCTTTTTACAGGTCTCTGAATGTGTTAATAATGAAATATACGACCTGTACACTGCACAACATCATTACTGGCAGCCTACCTGGACAACATCTGTGCTCCATGTCCAGGAGTGTTTGTTACATCGGGTATTTCGGTGGCATTCACAGGGGAGCAAGAGCACGCATACAGCATGCCTGCAAGGCAGGAGCTCGGGGGTCCTGGCTTGTGTTCTGGAAGTTGTTTTGGCAACAGAATGCAGTGCGCTGAGATGCTTCGTCGTGCACAGCAGGCTGCGAGGTCACCGCCACCAAGGCGGCCAGCGCGCGGCGAGGACTCCTCCACTTCTGGGTCGTCATCGTCCGGGGCCTCCAGCCGGTCTGGCAGCCCATCCAACAGTTCAAAGAGCGATTAGGCGCCAGGGCACGCTGAGCCTCTATGTTGGAGGCTCGCCATGGCTGGAGGATGCTTTGAAGCTGGCCAAGGACATGAAAGTCCCACAGTCCAGCTTGATGCTGGTTGCCTCCCTAGCAGCATTGCTTTCTGTCACCTTCCAGTGAGGGAACCACATGGAAAGGGATAATCGAGATCAGGAAGGCTGCTAGCACTGCCGAATTGGATCATCGTATCAGAAGAACACACTGATGCAAGTGCAGAACGATTGATTTTCGTCCGGGTGCATTTGGGCGATGTGACAACAAGACGCGGCTCCTGAAGCTCTGATGCAACAATGCAGATGCAAATGCAGAGTGGAAATTGGTGCTTTTTGAGGAGATTTTGAGAGCTAATTTTGATTGTAAATTTGCAAATTTTCAGCCAGATGCTTGCCTTTCTCGATCAGGCATACTTGTTGAGACATATCCATGCTTTGTCATAGCACTCAAACCTGCGATCAACCTTACAGCTGCAAAATGGTATTGCTGCAACATTCACATAAGACCAGCTGCACGCCTAGCCTACACATAGTAAAACGGTGCTGGCTGCAAATACGGGCTGGCAACCACAGCCGGGCCCAGGGGCATCTGGGCTGGCATGTAATTGTGAGCCGGACTATACCCCTGCACCACCAGGCTGTTCCCCTGCCTCAACGTGGCCATGCCAGTCGTGGGGGCACTTCCTGCATGTTCTTGCGGCTCATTGCAGTCGCACCCCTCAAACATGGGGCGGCTGCAGTTTGGGCACTCCTCCAATATCCTGGTCCGCCCCTGCTTGGTGCATACAATAACGATTTGGCGCGCACTCACACATGCAGCATTTTCTGTACAGCCTTCTTCCCGTCACAGGCAAAGTAGCCATGCAACTCCATAGCAGCATGCATGCAGACAGGACGGCCTGTTAGATTTCACGATGCAGTGCATTGGCTTTGATGAGTGAGTACTACTGTATTAGTTGTTGCCAGAAGTGGGCAAGCGGGTGTGTGTGTGTGCTCACCGCTGCCTCCTTGAATCCATCCCACCCATTGCCATCCATGGCGTCATTGGACAGGGCATCGGCAACCTTGTTGCTATCCCTGCTCACCCCGAATCACTAGAATGCTCAGTAAATGACAGGAGAAAGAGAGAACACTTCGGCTTGAAACATTCTGATTGGATCTTTCTTTTCCCTCAATCTTGAGGCAAGTGTTGGCCCCTGAGCGGAGCTGGCATGAGCTTACAAGGTCGATGCCAAGAGTAGGACAGCTGAGCGCAGCAGGTATGAGCTTTGTTAGTCGACGGTGAAAGAGGGCAGGCCATTGGGGATGCACCTGTACACATGCCGGAGGGAGAACTCATCAAAGCGCTGCTTAAGAGAGACCACTTTTCTGTGCAGAGGCTGCAGCCCTGGATTCCTGACCTGCCACCGCCCGTTCACCTGTCCACCCATATTCACACATGGTGTGAGTGGCGTCCTTATGGAGGAGAACCCTCCTGGCTTCTTACTTGATGCTGCCGGGCATCTTATCTCTGCAGTCTTTTGGGCAGCCAAACTCATTGGCTCGAGGGAATGCTACCTATTGCGCAGAGGATACAACTCTGCTGAGTGAAGAGTATCAGGTAGGGGCTGCATCCTACTGACATCACAAGGCTCGGGAGGAGTGCAGCCGTCTCGATGTTGTCAGCCGATGATGCAGCACCTATGACCGTAGAGATGGGCGGACTCCCTCCCGGAAGAGGCAATATTTCCCAGTCGTTTGATGAGGGCTACAGAGAATTTTCGTCAGAGCAGGAATGAGGAGCACCTGTTCCACAACAAGCTTGGAGTCCCCAAGGCACTTGATGCGCTTTGCTCCGCATGCCAGTGCAGCCTCTAAGCCTCGCAGCAACCCCGTGTACTCTGCCACATTGTTTGTCGCGCGTCCCAGCCACTCGCACACTCTTCCTACCTGCAAAAGAATCAACATCTCCCTCTTGAGATCATATCAATCGCCATGCCAGGAATCTCTCCCTATGCCCAGATATTGCTGTTGTTGCAACCTTTTGGGTATGAGCTCTATAATGTCGGCTGCAGTCTCAGATGTCACAGTGGCTCAGGAAAATTGAATCGTGAAGGGTTCAAGAAGCCAATGGAGGTTTACAAAAACTCACCTCCTCCCCGGTTTCATCATGCACCAACACTGCACCAGCACCGGCTGGCCCAGGGTTGCCCCTGGCGCCACCATCGAATTCCTGCACAAGCCACTCGCAGCCTTGAATGGCAACCTTTGACTATTGTGCACAATAACAGAGACATCGGGGAATACTTCTCAGGATAAGATCAGAATTGCCTGAGGGTATTGTCCTGGACTGTGCGATGCATTGCTTACCAGCCTGTATAGGTGTCCAGGGTGGCAGAGCATGCAGTCTGGGCAGTGTGGCTGCTCCTCTTCACTTTTGTTTGAGGGCTCCTGGCCACTGCTGAAGGCAACAGCAGCTGTGCTGTACTGGTATGGCAGCTGCGCCGGCTGAGACAGGCTGTACTCTTGCAGGAGTGCGCCTTGCCATGCAGGCCCAGCTGCATGTTTTCGCTTGGTCTGTGGCCTCGAGGATGGATGCAGGCTGTGCAATGCGGTGCCACCCTGCAGGTATGCCTGAGCTTCGGAGATCGATCCGAACCCCTTGAACTCTGCTCTAGAGAACCCACGAACCTGCGCAGCAGTCGTCCCAGCAAAATTTGTCAATATCATGGGATCTGTCTCACCGGAGTACAGGTGTGACAAGGCTATCTTCACCTCAACACTGCATGTTCGAGCGATCGCGATAAGTTTATCAAAGCTGAAACAATTAGTTATTCTCACGATGATATTCATGCAGAATAAGGTTCTCTAAGTAGGACAAGGTTGCCCGCCAGAGCCGCAGATGGAAGTGATTACGCACTTGGTCTTCACAATCAGGCCAGGACTGGTAAATGCCAGGAGTTCTGCCCACCCGTACAGCGTAGTAATTCTTGCCAGCCTTCTTACCCATGGCGCACGTCAGACTCGATCCAACTGAAGATGGCAGCAGACGCCTTATCAACAAGACGCCAGATTTCATGCACCTGGCTCATGTAATTAATGTTTGATTCTCCGAAAGATCTCAAAACAGAGATGTGGCCTGCATTTGACTTGAAATTCTGCTCCTTGGCGCGATCCAGATCCAACAAGTGCCCTGGGCCGGCTGGTTCATTCGAGAACTGCCCGCTTGGGCAGGGATTGACAGAAGACGATTGTGGCTTTCTAGATGAGGATCACATGTGAGCTAAGTTTTGTTTAGTCTCTGAATCACGCAATGATTCATTGCAGGAGTTGAAAAGGTCGAGGCATAGACAACTCTTTTGATTCTCGTTGCTGGCTTCTATGCCTCCGGAAGCAGGATCCTGAGCCGAACTGGTGAAACGAACGCAGAAATAGTGCATTTCGAGGAACTCTGGCATCATCGATAGTGTCAGCAATTTTCGTGCTCAGTCCATTAATAACTAAGTTGGCGGATGTTCATGTCATGGTCACTGTCTCGTAGACAATAGCCTTGTCGTTCCAAAGTGTCCATTCTCATTTTGTTACTAGGAGCACAGCGGACACTTCGGCCTGCTTGCCCCAGCAACAAACTGGTCACAAGTAAAGCCTATACACAAGATGCTCAAATTCTAACACACCAGCTCTCATGCACCTTGCTAGATGTCCTGTGCTTGCACGAATGGACACGATTGAGCAGTCGTATGTGTAATCGTCACGGTGATATCAGTTTCCAGGACTTGCGATCGATTTGCCTTTGGCGGGGCACATCAAAACCCCCTGGCTGAGGTTGACCTGAAGGGAGGAACATCAAGATTTTGGGTTGCCAAAGCAGGCAACAGCTCCGAACAACGAACACGACGTTGCATGGCTGTCCTCGCTTGTAAACAAACAAGAGGTCCGTGAATTTTGCCAGCGAGCAGCACAAGCTTTAGAAAATGGCTTCCGCACCCGTACGAATCAAAGCCCGTCAGGGCTTATCAGCAGGCGGAACAGGGCCCCTCACTGCGACAGCGCACTCAACTTCGTCGCAAGTCAGCGCCAAGCAGAGCAGGAAGCCCGCCACAGGTCTTCGCGAGCACAGAAGTCTAGTATGTCTGGCGCATCCCAGCAGCTCCAAAACACCCGACCACGGCCACCTGCCTCGAGGAAACAGGGGTGGAGTTGCTGGGCCACTCCACGTCTATGCTCCAGCTAAGGAGGATGTGAGCTCCAGCAGCTCTGGCAGCAGCTCTGGCTCATCCAGGCAGTCACAGGTTGGCAACAATGCGGTGCCTGCCACCAGCCTGGCCATGGAGGCAGAGGGGCACGGCATCTCAGCCACAGTGACTTCATCAGAGATCTTGGCGCCAGTGCAGGCAGACATGAATCAGTTGACAGTGAACCTGAAGTCAGTAGTGGGAGAGCGTAGCGATCTTTTAAAAGCTGCAGCAGATCAGATATTTGGGGGCGGAGGGAAGAAGCTAAGGCCAGCAATCGTGTTCATGGTCTCCCGCGCTACTGCACAGCTAGGTGGATTGAGGTGCGCTGCAGCGACCACCTCGCATCTATTGGGAGATTATGATTCTTAGTCTCCTCTCTTGCAAGGCATCGAGCTTCCAAATGTGCTGTCATCAGTGCACAGTCAGTGACCAGCCTTGAATCCTGGAACATCCTCTGATCTCAGCGCTGTGCAGGGACATCACGGAGAAGCACAGGCGGCTAGCAGAGATCACAGAGATGATCCACACAGCCAGCCTCATGCACGATGACGTGGTGGATGAGAGCCCAGTGCGGAGAGGTGCGCTGCACTGCACTGCACCAATTGTGTGCAGCTACCTTTTAGCCAGCCACATGCAGCTTGCTAAGATCAACATTGAATTGACCCAGCCTGGTGATTGTCAGCACTTGAGTACCCAAGCAGTTGCATGGGACACGTCTCTGCTTCACTCGCGATGGGTGTTTGGCGACAGCTGATCATGAGCAGTGGCTGAAGGCTTCTCAATGGCTTGTGCAGGAAAGATGACGGTGAACAGCAGGTTTGGTACCAAGGTGGCTGTGTTGGCGGGGGACTTCCTCTTTGCACAGAGCTCGTGGTTCCTTGCTAACTTGGACAACCTGGAGGTGAGCTTAATGCTCTAGAAGGCAGTGCATTTGTGCTTATTCCTCACACAAGGCTATGTGGAGTGCAATTTTTTTGGCCATCAGAGCCTGCTTCATTTTCTTCTGTCGAAGGATAGCATTGTTGCATACTGCTGCCAGCAGAGTTGCTGCCCTCTGTTGCCAGGAACTTGCAGCAGCTGTGATGTTGCCCAGCAATATTGGCAGCACGTCGTGTTGGGCAGGCCAGTGTCTGACTATCTGAACATTCCATCAGTGCTGCATCAGAGTCTTACAATTTGTTTGCCATTTCTGCGGAGCATAGGTGGAGTAGGTGAACGTTCTGTAGGAAAAGGAGATACAGAATGGTGGCGTTCATCATCTAGCATCTGCTAATATGCGCGTTACTGGCATGTGCGCGCAGGTGATTAAGCTGATCAGCCAGGTGATTGCAGATTTTGCCAGCGGCGAGATCAGCCAGCAGGAGTACCAATTTGACACAGAACTCACGCTTCAGCAGTACCTTGACAAGTCTTTCTACAAGACGGCCACACTCATAGCCGCCTCGTGCAAGTCCGCAGCTGCCTTCAGCAACGTGTCTGTTGAGGTGCGAGCATCCACCCGTTGAGAGTACTTCTGCTCTCTAGGAGCGTGGAAGTGCGACCAACCTCCTCGCAAGAATTATACTGCTGTACCTTTGGTTTGGTTGATTTGGGAGCACTCTGAAGAACGGGCGCTGCAGCTGTGCCTGCATTGTGTATCATGCAGGAGCTGTGAATGAAGAACTGTCAAACAAGATTTTGCTTATTGCGTCGTCAGCTTTTGGGTAGCAGTGTGATTGGGGACAGAACTGCCATTCCTGAATAGTTCCGGCTGAAGGTTGAGTCGTGTGTGTGCAGGTGAAGAATGCAATGTTTGAGTATGGGCGGCATCTGGGGCTGGCCTTCCAGGTGGTGGATGACATCCTGGACTTTACCACCCACGCCGACCTGCTGGGCAAGCCGCAGGTGAGCACATTCTGTATACGGTATGAGAATTATTGTTCTGAGAAGTGGGCGGTAATCCAATCTACTGGCTCGCAATTTGCATGCTACTCTAAGACCGCACAAGGAGGGCTGTGAGTGGATGCTGCTCCAACTTCACTGTGCGCAGGTTGTCTCGTGACCCACTTTGTGCGGCCTGCAATAGCTCTGCAGGTGGACAGCTATCCTATATCGCTGGACAGAAATATTGAGAAATTGTTCCAGTGCAGCTAGCACTGTGAGATGGAAGAATGTGGGAGAGAATACCGACTTGAATGCCCATGCGCGCAGGGTCAGGACCTGGCGAGCGGCAACCTGACAGCGCCGGCGGTGTATGCGCTGGCGCACCCGACGCACGGCCCCGAGCTGGAGGCGTTGGTGCAGCGCGAGTTTGACGGCGGTGCCTCCCTCCCGCGCGCGCTCGAACTGGTGTACCTCGGCGGCGGCATCCAGGCAGCGCGCCGTCTCGCGCGCCAGGAGGCCGACCTGGTGAGTCACCCTTGGGTTGTCAGTCAGTGAAATGAGCATTACTAAGCTTTCAACGCTGGTTGGCCATTCAAAGGCGCAGGCTTGCCTTGGCACTGATCCCTCTTTACCTGCCTGGGAATCTATCAGGCTCTGCTTTGTGGTGGGAGCCCATCCAAAGCTGTTGTATTAGTGCCAAGGGGCCGACCTGATCAACGCGCCTTAATCATGCTGGGGGCTGCTGGTTTTGGGCTGCCCTGTGAAGCAGGAGGTAGTTGTAACGACCAGCTTTCCTGATGCCTGCTGTGACCTAGTGCAGCCTCTCTCATGCGCAAAGCAATATGCCTTTCCTCCTGACCTTATTTCCTAGGATGGTGGACCTCAATTGATCTGCTCGACCAGTGCAAGTTTTGCGTTTGTGAGAGGTATGCTGGACAGATGCTGCAATGCCCGTGCTGAGATTTTTAAATGCAAGAGTGCCGATCTTTTGTGCAGGCGCTGGAGTCTCTGCAGTGCCTGCCCTCCTCGCCAGCAAAGACCTCCCTGGAAAAGATGGTGGACTATGTCCTGGACCGTCTCTACTGAGCTCCCGGCAGCTGCATGCGTGCAGCAGAAAGAATAAAAGCGTGCGTGATTGCTGAGGCTTGAACTGGCGCGCAACCGCTTGCCTGATTTTGCTGAAGAGCAGATGCTGACTTGGCAGGTCTATGTTCTGCATTGATGGCTATTCGTGGGAGAGCGAGAGCGGGACAAGTTTTGAGAGTTAGAAAGGTATGGGTATGAGCCCAATTTGTTACACCATGTGAAGCTCGTTGAGCACAGATGTGAATTGGCGGACACTTAATTCATGGAAGGATGACACTGTTGACCACGTATGGACGAGAGCCATGTTGCAATTTTAAGACTTGGAGGGAAGGAGAGAATTATTGCTGGCTCCTCATGGCTGTCAGGAGCATCGGGGCCTCGCACGGGGTCACAGAACAAGGGATCATTCTGGCAGCCTTGAGAGGCTATATGCCCTTGTGATGGCCCCTCATTGACAGTGTGACCAGCGACATTGCCATGTCATGAGAGTAAGATACAGCCCTTTTCTGATCTGACTTAGGAGGCTTCGCATTGGGCAGTCTAGACATCCTCGCAGGGCAGAGCGCTTCAGGAAGTAGGTTTTGTAGATATATTGCTGTTGGGTCTCTAGGCTCATAGGAGGGGTTGCAACACATCAATAAAAGGGGCGCCGCACATCATAGTTTCCATATCAAATAAAGTGAGTCTGATCTGAAACATGCTCATCCTTTTGCATGCAGTGTGGGCTTGCTCCTTGACAGCACTTGTCCCTTGTACACGCTGTAACGGACTGTAAAGACATGTCAACGCATCTACAGCCTGTCATAATCTTTATTACAAGAGACCTACTTTCAAAACAGGTCTCTTGCGTTTTACCAGCTCCATGCATGCACAAATGCCATTTTTTGAATGCCTGCTGAGGGTGATGTGCCAAAGCTTTCATCCATTTTCATCAAAGTTCATCAAGTTCGCAAAGTGGGCACTAATGCCACGCACAGAATGTGCCAGAATGTGCAATGCATTGCAGAAAATTGTAGGTTTCGTGCAACAAAAATGTGACAATGGAAACAAAAAAAGTCAGACACAAAAGCAACGCGGACGTTGCTCCTGTGTCTCGGGTAGCATGCTGCTACCAAAACACTCAAGATCAAATCACAGATTGAGACGATGCCGCCCATTGAGAGCCTAGAACCACACATCCCCACGCGGCCGATGTACAAACTTGCGCTCAGCCCATGACCCCAACACCTGCTTCTTCACGCATCCATCCTGCACATGAAAATCTGTCTCAGCCTCTATGCTCTGTGCACTTCTCTGAAAGCAGCTGCATTGCAATTAGGAAATATAGCTAATGTCCAAAATGTGCATCGCAATAAAGGGGCCTAGGCAAGGAAAGACGGCAAGCAAAGGATGGACGGCGTCAGCTCTCTGTAAAAAGAGCCGGTGCAAGATCCCTTCACACACGAAGAAGCATCACATTGTTATGCAGAACACAGCATATGGGGACGCCTATTACACCTGGCAGAGGCAGTTTTTTCGATAACCTTTTGAACGCAATTCTCACCTGGCCAGGCAACTCTGCAGATGGCAGCGGCTCGGGGCAGGTCCTGGTGCGAAGCAAATGACCCCACCGCGGCCGCAGGAGCCCCGGCTGCGCCGCATGGCGGCCGAGTGGGGAGCAACCAGCGCACACAACATGGCAGGCGCCGTCCTCAGTTCCCACGTTGATCTCGACAGCCACGCAGGGCTCGCTCGCGCAGCCGATGCTCCTCCTGCGCTGCCGGTCAAGCAGAGGCGAGATGATTGGGAACGGGAACGGGTGGCAGCTGGCCGGGGAAGCTACCCGGCTGCCCGCACCGGCTGCCCGGCCGGGCAACGACTCAAGCCACCTGTGCACGGCGCGGTGCTCCTGCTGGTGCGACCGTTTGGAGCACAGCGGCGGCGGCGCCGGGCTGCACGGCGTGGACGACGGCGCGGTGTCGGACAACGACCGGACGAGGCTGCCGGAGGAGCCGTCCCTGCCGGCCGGGGAGCTCGCAAGCAGCGATACGGCGAAGGCTGTGCGGCCAGGGGCCGGCGCGCTGGCCGCCACCGACAACCGGCTTGACCGCGCTGCGGCCGCGACTGCGGGCGCGGCGTGCGGCTGCCACCGCGCCGGGATCGGCTGCGGTGCGCGCTCGTCGTCGGCTGCGGCGGCGGCCAGCAGCGGCGGCTGCGCGCCGGCGGAGGCCGAAAGCCAGAAGGCCGGGCGGCCGGGAATTCGCGGCGGGAGGCCCTGCATGCTCGGACGGCCCGGGCTATCGCAGCGGCTTTCCGTCTGAGACGTCGCCCTGCCACAACGCATGAATGCCTTAAATTTCCGAGAGCATATGTGTTCTTTTTATGCTGTTTCGATTGCTGTTTCAGAGCTGCAGCATTGGCACTGAGATGAAGCACACCTGCTGCTGTCTCGCAGCTGCATGCTTAGCAAGGACATCGGCCGGCGCCTCTGCTCGGACGAGCGCTGTGCGGCGGCTGCTGCGAATGCTGACGTCAGCGCCGAGGGCCGACGCTGCGGATGTTCGCACTCTCTGTCTTCCTGTGGTTTCGTTTGCATCTCCTGGGAATAAGTCCGCGTGGGTGCCCTGCAATTATCAGCTCTAGTTCAACCTCTTGGCCTCTTGCCATAGAGCAAATTGGGTTCCATGTTTTTGACACGACAAACTGCCCTTGGCTACTACAAGTGGACAACTCTTCTTATATGGCAGAGCCGTCTGCTCATTTGTTAGCTAGGACCGCTGAAGGGGCAGGGCATAGTTGAATAGCAATCGTGCAAAGTGTCAAAGCCTCACCTAAAAGCTGACGTGGCGCTGCCAGAGACTGCCAGAACATAATTAGAGGGGACCCTGCCGTGGAACGAGGAAAGGTCGCGCATGCCCGGCAGGCAGAGCGTGATGCTGGCGTCTGATAGCGATCCAGACGGTGACGTGGCAAGGCTGACGCCACTGAGCACCTAAACAGGAACAGATGCATGTTCAGCCCTCGCTCCCCCAGGGAACTTGATTGGTCGACCTCATCTACTTTCCAGGGTTGCGTGTCACTTGTGATGATTGTGTGTGGGATGCACCAGGCTTCCACGCAACATTGCCTCTGCAAATTAGAATGACAGTGGCATCCTATTTTGACCTCCACACCTGCAGACCTGGCAATGACACTCTTGAAGCATGCTTGGCACACCCATCACAGGTCTCACCATAAAAAAAACTACAGCTTCAAGTCGACAGATGTGGCCAGACCTGTGCGGGCGGCGAGGACGGCCGCTCGGCCGCGGGCGGCCTGAAAGCAGGGCGGCTGTTGCGCGGCGACGCCTCGGAGGCAGAAGCCTCGGAGTGGGAGAGGAGGCGGTCCGAGAGGGGTGTGTTGGGGCTGCTAGAGGAGTGCTTGCCTCCCAGTGGGCCGCCCTGGTCTGCAGGGGAGTCCCTGGCGGACGCGCAGCCACCTGTGATCAACCCAGTCAGCTGGTGCGTCAGTAATCTACAGGAGAACCAGAGGAGATTATTGGCATGAGACTTCCCTGCCCCTCGCCCATAAGTAAGCTCTGTGCGGTGTTTCAGTAAGAAGCTCAATGCTGCACAAAAGGCTTAATAGAAGTGGATCTATCGCTGCTGAGTCAAGAGGAAACCAGCTGTGCAGAGGGGTCTTGCAAAATAACCTAGCTAAAGATTGATGTTCACACATCCCCATGGCGAAGACCCTGACCATGATGGCTTGAAGAAAAACGGTGAAGGAGGTGAATCATGCTTGCCTTCTAGAGTGCGGTGGCCCAGATTTGCCATTGGTGTGCTGCGTCGCCGCCTGCTGTGTCTTCTAGACTCCTGCCGCAAGTACTCTCCGGCTTCTGATTGCCGTGCACCCAGCCTTGATGCCGTGGGCACGGCAGACGATTTGTGCTGCTCGTTGACGAGTGACTGCTCGAGACCAAACCTGCAAAAGAGTACACAGGATGGAGTTGATGAGAGTGAAATGTGCAATACTCCAATGCTGGAGGCACTTGCAGAAAAGGATCCACACCACGCTAACTTCAGAGTGTTAAGTTTCAGCAGCTCTTGGATTGGACGGCTTGCTCCATAGCACTGAGATGGTATGGCCGTTGCCCAGCACGTAGGATAAGTTGCTGAGTAGGCTCCACCATCCGATAAGGAAGAAAGTGACGGAGAACTGTGAGCGCCTTCAAGGGGTCTTGCCTAAGCCTAAAGACAGATTTTGTCGGGCCACCACATCGAGAGACTGGAGAACTCCGTCTTTCAATCTCGCAGCACAACCAGCGTCATTCAAAACGCTTTCGAGCACCAGCAGCCAGTGCAGCGATCACATCACTCCCATAACGCCCACATTGACAAAGAAGTCCCATCTAGAAGGCTTCACGTCACGAATAAGTCTGCTCTTCTCTCAGCCCGATCTCCCCGTGGGCCCACGTGAAAACAAGCACTTGAGCGGAAAGTGACTCCTCGCCTCCTTCACGGTCACTTTTGTTGCCACTCACTTTCGCATAGAACACACGAAAGTGCTGTGACATGAAGAGCCACGGAAAGCTGCGCCGACTTCCTGCCGTCACGGCTGCTAGACACCTGCCGACAAAAACAAGGAAAACGTGACAAGCCCGGGCCCATACCAGGCGCTCTCGAGCAGTCCCATGACATCGCTACGCTCCTCCTCAATTGTCACAACGTCCGGGTGGTTCATTGTATGCAAGGTGTGCGGCGGCCTGGTGAAAGGATGTCTCCTCTCCTCAGTTGGAGGCCTTTTTGGATTGCCACACCTCTGATCCTTCACCTCTATTCTACCAAGGTGTATCTTCCCTTCAAGAATTTTCTTCATTCATATTCCTTTTTCATCGCTAGACTGCTTGCTGGCCAAAATGGAAAAAGATACCCCGACGTCACTGTTGGGCCTGCTGAGCTCAGCAGTGCCTTGTCTCCTTTCCATCCCTTTACCCACCCTGGCATTTTGCTGTTCCTGACACACCATTTTGGAGCTTGATGAGAAGAGAGGACGCGGTTTAAATTTCGCAGAAAAGTTGATCCAGGGCATTACGCTGCTTGATAGAAATTTCACAGCGTTCCGTTCCCAGTGTACGCTCTTTGCATCTGGTGTTTCGATGTTTGCCGTTCCGAGTGGAATAGCACGATAATCGTGCATCCAAAGACACAAAAGAGCCTTAATATGTAGAAGAGGTTCAGCAAGTCCGCCTTTGACAGTCAGACCATTGGGAAAAAGCGAGTCTTGCCGAGAGAGGGCTTTTGTTGGGCTTCACGTGGTTGTCCCACGCTCAGCGTTCTACTTTTCTTTCCGGGACAATCTGCCTGGTACAACAAGGATTCTGCAGGCGTCAAGGGCACGAAGCTCTCAGACGCCCAGCATGGCTCAGGATCCGGATAAAGAAATGCGTAGTAAAGTATCCCTATGGAACAGCTCCTCCGGGAGGTCTTCGGTTTCTCTCAACTCCCTATTGTCGGGGTACTTCACAGAGATGCAGCAGCTTGCGGAAGGGACCCTCCTGCAGCCTGCTGCCCCAACATCTGAGGCAGCTCCTCAGGTGACTTTCCATAGCTATGAAGAAGCTGCTGCCCTGGCACCTGTATCCCAAACTGATCTCCGCACCTGTGACTTCTCACAGCAGGCCCTGTCCGTCATGTCTAGTCCTCGTTTCTCAAACGGGTGCTCATGTTGGCATCTGCCCAGAAACGCCTGTGCATGGAAGTCTTCTGGCTATTTGCTTGCCTCAATTTAGGCTTGCATCAAACATTCTCTGTGCCCACAGGCTGCACCAGAGCTGGATCAGGGCGCGCAGGACATGCTCATTCAGGGCTTGGAGTCATTTCCCATCAGCTCCTGCAACTCATGGGGCATACCCAGCCTGTCCAACAGGATGTCCTTGGGTGAGCTCTCCTGCTTGCTCTGGCACTAGAGGCAGATGGGCTGTTTGCTTTAGGCAGTAGTTGCGCATTAGAGCTCAAGTAGCTCCCTTCATGTGAACCAAGGCAAGTCATGATGAGCTCCGCTGCAAAGGCAGTGCAGTTGAACATACGTTGCTACAACACATCCATGAGCATAGGATTGCCTTCACATTGATCTTCCACAATTCCAGGCGGGCATAATGGTGTTTAAGCTCCTCATTAAACAGCTCGGCAGTGGCATGCGAGTACATATCAGCCTGTGTACCTGCTGTATGTCTGGGCAGAATTCAGCACCTGGTGCAGGCGTTCCCACTGAGGCATGGGCCCAGCAGGGCCCGACGCACGAGTGGCTGGCGCGGATTGCGCGGCCGCCGGCGCCCAAGATCGAGGCAGCCATCCCCGAGGAGCAACAAGTGAACCTACCCCTGCCGCCAGCTGCCGGCCCTGACTCATTGGGGACGTCGCAGGTGGGAACCCACTCTTTTAACTTTGCATCACACCCATTTGGATCTAAATCTGTTATCATCGAAGTGCAGCATGTGCTTGCAAAGGCACAGCATAATGCTTTACTAATCAGCCTGAGATCTTTCTTCCATGAGTTAGCGCTCTGAGACATAGGCAGCTGCTGTGCATGTTGAGCTACACCATGCAAAGCAGTCCCTTTATATACTGGCTATGCTAAGTGTTTCAGAAACCTGAAGAAGTCCTGAATGCAACAAGCTTATGCCAAACAGCCTTACAGCCTTGTAATTCCCCTTTTCACTGTGGCACTGTATCTGCTGCAGTGGCAGGGGATGGCTCTGTGCTCAAGCGTGGCAGCCAGCAGCGCAGCCGAGACGCCAATCCCGGGCTTCCTGTCTCTGCTGCGCATGGGGCAGCCAGAGAACCAAGTCAGGCAGCCCACCTGGGAGACCTATTCCTTGCATACACCAGGGCAGCTGCGAGTGAGAGGGGACACCCCCGTATACACGCCCGACACCAAATTGGGCGGCGGGGGGTCCTCTGAGGGCGCCGTGGGGTCCGAGGGGGCCCCCGGGTCGGCAGGAAATGCGTCGCAGAACAATGCCAGCCATGAGCAGGCGGAGAGCCAAGAGCAGGCCAATGAAAAGGGGCGGCGCTCGAAAGAGGATGTACAAAAGCGCAACAAGGAGGTGCGTTTATACCACAGCCTGCTGCTGCTGATCACAGATTGGTCACTAGTAATATTCTTTGTTATTTTTTGTGCTGGTGAGTGTACGCGCTTCCGCACAGACAGGGAGTGTCGAGTGCAGTACAGACAGAGCATGTGGCATGTTGGACTGGGCTGGAATGCTCGCAGCTGACAGAACACTTGTAGTCCTCGCAAGCACCGGGTGCACGTTGGATACGGTATAACGTACTTCTGCAAGAACTTCTTATGTACACACTTTCTCTGACAGGTGGTTTTGTTTATGCTGCAGGCGCAGCAGCGATTCCGAGATCGTCAGAAGGTGTGACTCTTAAGATCCTACCCTCTCGCACTCCGCCAAGCTGGTCACTATGCTGTGTGCCTTCAGTCTACGGCATTAATGCTGGATCAGAGTGCCATGCCTTCTACTGCCTGCATGGGCCCCGCAGCCAATTCAATCCCTCAGCCGGCCGCCATGCCCACAAAATCACCTTCTTGCCTGGCGTGCATGTGCATGTGAGCCTCCTGGGTTGGCAAGTCACCCCTTACCAATCGTATCACTAACCCTCCGCACAGGCGAAGCTGAAGGAGGCGGAGGATGCTGCGGATGAGCTGCGGGGGAAGCTGGAGGCAGTCACGCGCGAAAAGGCGGCGCTGGAGGCGCAGCTGGCGGAGTTCGGCCGCACTCTGGCGCAGCGAGACGAGCTCATCGCACAATTGCGCGCCGGCCGCGAGGTGGGCCGCTGCCACAAGCTACTCTCCTCTCTGGGGACCATGTCACTCAAATTGAATTTTTTGAAGAGGTCTCATGCGGTGGTCGGCTGCCCACGCCAATGGCCTGCTGCAATCAAATCTTTGGAAATATTTGTTGGCTGGCCCGGGTGATTTGTCAGGAACCCTCTAAGCGCATTCTATAAGCTGTCTGTAATTCTTGCGTGAGGCAACTGCGTGCCGGCCGCGAGGTGGGCAGCCACTGGCTGATCTCCCTGTCTGGGGACATGTCAATAAATCAGCTTTGAATTTGAAAGTCATGTTGTGGTCTGCCGGCTGTGGGGTTGGCCGCTCCTCACTCCCATTGCTTGCTTAGGGAAGGAAGAGAAAGTGAAGTAGGGGAGCGTGCATGATCTACAAGGCAGCCAAATAGAGAGAAACGGCTGCCTCACAATCCAATGCATGCCCTGTAATTGCTGATGTTGAGGACTTGACACGCCAATTGAACGACAAGCTTGACCAGCTATATGGTTGGACTGTCTTTGAGGGCTTTAAAGTGCAAGTGTCGGCGAGGAATGTTGTTGGCTGCTTGGGTGAGTCAGCGCTGAGGCATAATGTGTCATTGCGCAGGTGGCCGGGGCGGCGGCGGAGGGCCCGGTGGCGCGTTTCCCCTGCAATGTGACGCTCACTGTGTACCCCAACCAGCACATCCAGCTGGCTCAGGCTGATGTCATCAACCTGCGGCGGGAGGACCTCGTCATCATCTGGAAGGTGCGCCCGCCATTTCGAATTCGTATTCTTCCCGACTCCCGATTTTTAAATTTAAACCTGCTTCTAGCTCCTCAGTGACCAACCTCTGCCTGTGTCAGGGTGAGGACAGAATCAAGTTGGCCTGAAATAGGCCATTTTCTGTTCTTCTGTCTTGCCGAGAAGATTAATTGTGCTTAGGTTGTTTCGCAAGTGCAGGGTTACTAAAGTTTGTGTCGCGCTGGTGTGCAGGAGTATGTGAATGCGCTGTCAAACCTGCTGCCCAGCGGGCCCGTCCAGCTCAGCGATTCCGCTGCTCAAACCATCAGCGTGCTGACACAGGAGGCGGTGCGCAACAACCCGGTTTCAAATATCTTGATGTATCTTGAAGTCTTCTCAAACATTCCCTTTCGTGCTCATTCAAGAAGTCCTCACACAGCAGCCAAGAACCCCTTTGCGTCTCCCTTGCATAATGTGAGTTGCATGCAGTGCAGCATGTGTCTACCAATTGTGGGTTGGATTTCCACAACAACAGTGATGGGTATGTGGTTGGGGGGTGGGGCAAGGTTTGGAATCTCACTTTTGTACTGCTTTTTGCTAAATTCATGGGCTTGTGTGGATGTGTTGCAGACGGCGCTGATGCTGTGCGTGGCGGACAGCAGCCCGGCCATGTTCAAGAGCTTTGCTGCGTGCAAACTTGACGCCGATGCGGCCAGCGGCTTCGGCGAAGACAGCGTGCAGCTCTGGGGCGCCGTCACGGTTAGTCAACACCCTCTTGCCACTGACTCAATCCTCCCGGCATTCATCTGCTTCGAGGCCTTGTACTTACCCTGCACCAAGACGGGCACTGGTTGCCGCCTGCACTCTCAACAACTCTGAGTTTGTCCCGTCCATGTCGACAACTTCATGCCAGCACTTGTGTCAATCAAACGCAGAATGGAAATAGTTGCGCTCGCACCATTGCCTTTAGGTCTGTATCCTGGACCCCTGCAAGCTTGCTTTCTCAGGCTTTGTGTTGCAGTCTGAGTGAATTGGAGCGCTGCAAAACATGCAGGGTTTCCTGCAGCTGAGTGCGCGGCAGCGGTCGGAGCTGGTGGCCATGCGCGTGGCCTGCCTGAGCACACTGGCCGATGTGATCGACGAACGCAACAACATCCACGCGTTCCTCACGGTGGGGCCCTACACTCCACTCTGAAATCTTTTTTGAACTCTTTGTGCCGGTTTTGTTGCGGTATAGGCGCTTCATGCATGTTTCCCGCATGCTCTTTGCTTTTGCTTGCCACATCCGCGGGTGCTGCCTACTTGTATTGTGTTGGTATTGTGCATTGTGCTGATATGTGCCGTCTCTTCCTCACGGCAACCTGAACACCTCAACCAGCCGTTTCAAACCTTGTTCCACCTCTGTGCTCATTGTATTGCTGCCTGGGCGCTGTGTGTTCACTGTTTGGCTGTCAGATGCTCTTGGACTCTATTGGGCAATTTCCCCTCTCTTCTTTGCTAATTGTGGTGTTTTGTGACAAAATTTGCTCTGCTGTTCAGGCCGCCATGCCTGCGGCCGTTGGTGCGCGCCACACAGCAGCTCAATATCTCAAGGTACGAACGCCTGTGGATTTTGTCTTTGTCATGTCAATCTTCATAGTCCTGCGTGGGGCTCTGAATCAATGCGTTTGGTTGATAATTTGGAGTTCTCTGAGTCATATCACTAATTATTAGGGCTTTGGCAGATGGTGAATGTGTCATGGTGGCTGAGCAGGCGCATGAGGGAATTGAGCAGCTGAAGGACAACCTGAAGAAGGAGCATGACCTCAAGGTTGACTGGATGACAGCCGTCTTCTGCAACGTGAGTTTCATACACCACACTCACCACCAGTATATTGGGCGTCTGGAGCATCGCGGATAAGGACCTCATGCAGGTTTATGTGGCAGATGAAAGGCCTGATCTGTCGCGCACTTGAGATGGTTTGGCGCCCAAATATATGCGGGCATACCATATGATCATGTGCGGGCCCACAGGTATCTTGCAGTCATATTCAGCCAGTGACATGAGAACACTCCATCATCTGATTTAAGACTGTGCACAGGTGTTGGAGCCGGTGCAGGTTGCGCGTGCGATAGTGCATTCCTACCCGTGGGCCCCCGACACCATGGCGGTGGCGGCGGTGGTGGCCGCAGAGGGGGGCGATGCCGAGGCGCTGACTCACCTGCGCGCCGACTGCAGCGGGGGGCCCGGAGCCTACGTGCAGCCGCGACACAACAGCCTCGGTGAGTAGCTTGCAAAATCTTAAAGTCAAGTCTAAATACATGACATCATTTAGCTTGATATCAAACATCCCTGTAGATCACAGAGTTTATGAAGTAGATGTGCAGCCCTGAGAGCGCGATGCCGCACTCAGGAATCAGACACAAAGAAAGGAGAAGTGATTAAGGGGTCTCTGCATGCGTGGCTGCACTCTAGGTTGTGTTGCGCAGGAGAGCTGCTGCATGTGTAATTGCTGATTCATGGCAACCATGCGACTGATGGGCGCTGCACTTTTTGTATGCAGGGAGCGCAGTGGAGGGCCTGAGCCTACACATCCAAAGCCAGGGGTCCGACAAAATAAAGCACTTGCAGGTGTCAACTCCCTTTGCGCAGGACTCGTCCCCACAGACGGAATTGCCCCTGGTGACCAGCAGAGGGTGACTCACTTAACCAAGCGCGTGTCTAACATTGCTTCCAGGCTGGAAGTTTCAGCTGAGCAAGGGCTGATATGATGTCTGACATCTGTCTGACATCAACGCCCAGCCTGACATGCTGAACAGCTGGCAACTTGCATTGAATGCCTGTTCTGCCAGATTTGGTAAGATATCTCAGTTAGCATGCAGACCCAAGCGCGCGTTTTGATCCCATGCCCCTGAGGCGTCATCTGCAAGAATTTTTGTGACAGTGTGTTTTCCCTTCTTCTTTTTTAGTGTTGGAGAGGAGAAGGCCAGCATATTGCCTTCAGCGGTTCTTTTGGGACTGGACAAATAATGCATACGCTTTCATTTGATAATGATCTTTGACTGCTTAATATTGTCCAATACCTTCTGCAGCTCAGTCCTGCTGTCATTCTGATTTGTAAACAGCTGCTCAGGAAAATTGCATGCATTGATGGACCATGAATGCATGCTTCTAAACACATGCACAACACTGAAAGGAGGGCATACTAGCCCGGCGATTGTTTTACTATCAAGTGTTTACATACGCAGGAATGTGCAGGCATCTCCTTTTGCATCGTACTTGTCGCCCTATAGCCACCATATGGACATGCATATGCATTGGAACCAAATGTGCCAGTGCTGATCTTCTTCACTTGCTCAAAAGCCAAATTTGAAGACTGATATGTATATGTCCAGAAGTAGCAACCATGCACATCATGCATCGAGGCCATGGGGCTGCTCCTCTTTTCAACTAATCCGGTTTTTATCCTTATCTACAGGAACAAGCACACGCGCTACCCAAAGACCTACATCTAGTTAGCTATAGCAGCAGCCTCTGGTGTGGCATCTGCCTCCATGGCCTCCACTTGTTCGCCTGCAGCAGCGCCTATGCGCTTTTCGGGCGCGGCGCGCAGCTTTTCTATGTCCAATTACATTATCATGCTGCAAAAGCCTCAGCAATCTCCATAGCAGCATTCGGCTGATCCTGCACGGCTGCACCGCCGCCTGATGCCTTGGCGCGCATGGCGCTTCATTGCAGTACTGCTGCTGGGTCCTTCTGTGCTCTTCTATGCTCCACCACCTTTGCGCAGATCTGCCACCAGTGGCCTGGCAATTATGCAGCAGCAGCCTCTAGGGCAGCGTCTGCCGCCATGGCCTCCATTTGTGGCTAAACCTTTGCCGCAACACTTGCCGAGCTCTGTGCGCAGCTTCTCTTCTCTCTTCTCCTCTCAGCCTCTTTTGCAAGCTGCATGTGCCGGGTCCAGTCAATCAGTCATGCGGCGGCGGCGTCAGGAATCTCCATGGGAGCATTTGACTGCTCCTGCACCGCAGACGCACCGGCGGCCGATGTCTTGCCGAGCGCGGTGCGCAGCTTCTCGGCGAGCTGGGCCGCCTCGGGGCGCGCGACCATGTGGTTGACGGACGCGCGGCCGCGCCAGCAGCTGATGGCGAGCGGCGCGTGCGCTGCCAGGGCGCCCTCTGCCACGCCGTCCGCCGCGCTGAAGCCCAGAGCCGCCGCTTCCTCGTTCCTGCAGTAGGCGTGTGTAATCAGGGACGAAGTGACAAAGGAAAACAATGTTTGTCATGCGCGGCATGTTGCTCAAGCCACCAACAACGGCGCACCATGAGCGTTTGAGCCTGCTGCCTCCTCACTCCTGCAATGGGTGATGTATTTTTTCTCTTGTGGTTTTCAAGAGCGCTGCCACATCGACGAGCGTGCAGCAGCATCACCCAATTATAAAATGCCAGTAGTGGTGACTTATAACACAACATACCGCGTGCATTTTTGCTCTGCAGCAAAAGAGAGGAGACCTGGCTCTCTTGCTCCAGACTCAAACGCCCAAGATGTGTCATGTCAACACCTATTTTTTTGCACGTCCATACTTTCCTTATTGCTTCCAAGGCTTTGCTGTCCGAGCGGCTCAAGGGTGAAGTGGCAGGGCAAAAGGTGCTAGTCTGTAAATCATTTCCAATTGTACTGCCGCAAAAGAGGCCCCCACCTGAGCGTGCACACGCAGCAACCGCCGACGATGGCCTCCAGCTGGCGCAGCGTCTCCGGGTCGCTCCACGGCACGCGTTCCCTCTTCTCCTCCGCTGGGCCCTGTGCCAAAATTAGAACCGATCACGAGATCTCATCGAAGTTGTTTGTAATTTGTCTTCAAATGCTTTGCAATGGGGGACGGCACATCGCCCATAAAGGCACAACGTTCAGCAGCTCAGCTGTGCAGGTGGGGGCAACACGATGGTGCAAAACAATCACAAGGACTTGGTGAAGACAGAATGTTGTTACAGTGAGGGCACACCTCCGTCTTGGCCTTCTTGGCGGGCGGCTGAGCGCCGTCACCTGCCTCGCCATCAGCGGCTCCTGCCTTGCCCTCTTCTGCTGTGCTGCCGTTCTGAGCTGCAGCCGGTGTCGTCTGCATATACACCCGGCAATGAACTGTCTTGCCCCCATCTGCTTCAAACCAAACTTATTGGCATTCATGAGCTTGGAGGAACCCCGCACAGGCGCTGACGACTCCTTTGCATGGTCTTCAAGGCCAGACTCAAGAACGTGGAATCCCCCGAATGCATAGCAATGCCAAAAAGGTTGGCAAGACAAATAAAGCAGACTGAAAATAGGCCAGAGGCATGGAGAGCGCACCAGGGTTTCCATGGGCAGGCGCATGTTCTGGGGCAGGGCGATGGAATTCTCTGTCAGCAGCCGCAGCAGCTCGGGGGCAGTCACGAACACTAACTGCTTAGTCATTGCCGGCAGCAGCAGCGGCAGCCCCTCCTGCGCGACGCGGTACAGGCACGACGTGCGCGCATCCTGCCGGGCCAAAACAGGCAAATCAGTCGTACATTCCAGGTCTTAGTCACTCGCCCTGGCCGATTAGTCAGTAGCCCGGAAGATAAGAACATCGATACAAGCAGCTACTAGTTTATGTTGCAAATGTTTTGGCAGCAACCCTCAACGGGGAACCTCACTGGCGCAAGGTTTCTGCTGACATGCAAGCAAGGATAGAAGGTCAAATATCTGTGAAAAACTTACATTTCATGGGTTGCGCGGTCTTACCTTGGCATCTTGGCGCTCAAAGAGTTTCAAGCCAGTTGATGTGATCTTGAGCTGCTCGTTCTCGTCCAACAGCAGCAGGTCCCTGATGCCTGCGCAGCCCCATGCATGAGCCAGTTTGCTTCTAAAACTTGTCAGAAATCACAAGCCATGCCTTGAGGAAATGTTATGAGAGCAACACGAGATGGTATCAAATCTTTAAGTCTGATCACGCATCCTCCCCTGCTCCAGGGGCACAGCTGCCCAGAATCTAGTGCATCAGAAGTTGAATGGATCTGTTATCACTCAGATCTGTTGTAGGATCTGAACCTAGTAGATTTGAGGCACAAGGAGGAAGAAAGTGCATGCGCGTAGATCGGATTCGAAGGCACGCACCTTCGCTGACATAGGACAGCCGCTTGGGCTTGCGCTCGTCCGACTGTGAGCGGGAGATCAGCTGCTCCTCCAGCTTCAGGCCGGGCGCAAGCCCGTAGAAAACCCTTATCGAGGACAGCTGCTCTGAGTCCGTAAACGGGACTATCGGGTCCACCCCCCGCCACCGCCCACCTGTAGACCGGCCGCGCGAGCCGCCCCCGCGAATTGACCCCCATTCTGGTTTCTTATGTGTCTCCTCTGGTGCCTGAACATGCAAACAGTATCCTTTAGCTTCTGTAAACCGACACACTCTAAAGAGCAATCAAAGTCCTTTTAGGACTAAGCCAGTCCTGTCTTTGCAGTCAGACTTCTTCCGACCCTCTCCATCAGCATGAATGGGCTTAAAACTATCATTCACGCCTTGTGCACTTCTGAAGAGCTGTCTGGCATCCCTCTAAAAACACCAGGCTTGGTTTTGCCTCCCTTCCTGCCGTCAGGGGTCTGCATCTCAAATGATCCATCGGTCTCAATGGGAAACCCAGCATGCTGAGCACTTATGGAGGACCCATACAAAGAAATCGGCATAGATCAACCTCCCCATGTACACTGCCTGAGCTTGAGAAAGTCATCCTGGGCAGCTGTACTACCTGCGGCTGTTCTGGCTGTGGTGCAGCCCCTGCAGTCGGCAGTGCTGTCTGGACGCTCCCCTGGGCTTCTGAGAGGTCCTCTCCTGCTTCCTCCTCTCCACCCCCTGCCTCTGGCTGCTGAGGAGGTGCGGCTGCAGCGACCCTCTTCTCTTCCTCTTCAATTTCTTCCCCGCCTGACAGCACCTGGAACACTCCCTCCACTGCAGCCGCCGCCTCGCTGGCAGACGCTGTCGCTGCAGGGATGTCCTGTTTCCAGCATGCCCTTTTACAATTTCCTCTGATGTTGCTTTATTGTATCATATGAAAACAAATTACATTGCCCAAGCGGAGTGGCAATCTTGCATGCCTGATCATGGATATGGCTGGCATGTTCGTCATGACAAATGCATTTCAAAGATTGCGTGACAAGACACATGCAACAAGAATAAGCTCTATGGCTCCATTGACCCTACCATGAAGTAAAGGAACCTGTAGACTTCCATCTGCGAAATTGGCAAAGAAGCCAAAATTATGGGCCTTACCTGGTCCTCTATCTCCTCGGCAAAATTCTGGGTGTGCCCGGCCGCCTCGTAGGCCATATCAGTCACCTCCTCCATCGCAGTTCGCTCCCTCAGGGTTGAGTCAGCTCCCATCTGCTGCATGCCCTGGTCCGCCGGCGGCTGCGCGGCAGGCGCCGACCAGGCGGCGGCTTCTGCCGGTTTCTTGGCCCCGTTCTGAGCCGGTGCCTTTGCCTGCTTCGCCTCCTTCCTGCAGCAAAGCCAAATCATGGTTAAAATTGGAAATGAACCACAACAAGATCCTTAATGAGCAGGCATCATTGTGCTCCATTGGCCCCATGTGCCCCTGTGCCCTCTGAGAGGAGAGCATTTAAAAGACAACCCCCCACCGCTCTTTTCATGCTTTTGCTCATTTTCTGCAGACCTTCAGCAGGCGTGCCCACAGTACAAAGGTGTCTGTAAAAGTGCATGTGGGGGCATAAATATCTTCAAGCATAGAGGGAGGTGTGCGCCAAAGAAGGGAGGAGGCACAGCAGGCGCGCACTTTGGGGCGGCTGTGAAGGCAGATGCTGGCAGCTCGGCCACCTTCTGCAGCACAGCCACGAAGAAGCCGCCAGTGTCGCCCTGGTGGGGCAGCAGGCGCATGCAGCGCTCCAGGTGCAGACTGCTCAAGTCGCCCTCCGCAAACATGCTCTTGCACAGCTTCGCGTGCGCCTGTGCGCATGTGACGGCACATGTCAGCGGTGTTATCTTTGGCATGGCGGCCATCAGGCCTTGGATAATGCATCTTCTGATTTCGTGCAGTCCGCACAGGACACTGATTTGATTGACATAAAATGCCTTCACGTCCCACTTAAAAACCAGCCTCAATCAGCAATCATTGCCAAAGAAAGGAGCAGATTGGAAATATCCTTTCCAAGATGGAAATTTAGCGGTGAGCTGGATGCGATGCCAAAGTCCATCGCCAGAATGGCCTTGCAGCTAACTAGCTGCCAGGCCAGTGTGCCTAGCACCGTGTCCAGGGCCCAATACGCCCACAACACTGACCTGGCGCCGAGGAAAATTCCCGCATTTTGCCTGCACAGAGGTTCAGGCATTGAATAGATTGTTGATGAAGGAGAGGGCCTGCCTGCTTGGCCTCGGCGTCCTGCCAGGAGCCGAACATTTCGCCGTTGCTCTTGACCAGCCACTTGCTGAGGCCGGGCACGCGCTGCAGCTGCGGCAGCTCCTGAGACACGTCCAGGAGCACCAGAGAGCTCTCACTCTTGCGCAGCAACTGCACCAACAGCACATTGAGTACCTTATGAACTGACCCACACACACCATGCACACGCCAGGCGCCAAGTCCTGCTCAGGCATAATGAGTGTCCTCATGAGTCTCCATGAGGCAACGATGCAAGAGGGCACGCATCTCAGGACTCTGACATGCCAGCACTGCACTGCAAAAGGCACGTTCATTCGCGGGAGGGCGCATGAGAAAGCACAAGCCTATCACATGAACGCCCATGCAGGCACCACCCCTCCTCCCTTGACTTACTCAATCCACGCTTTTGATGAGAGCACCGACAACATTAGCAAGATTTGTACTACGCACCGGGGACAACTGACCACTCTACAAACAATGACCAGCATGCTTCCAACGGGCTTGCAATGCACAAATCAAGTGGATGCTGAACCCAAGATGCACAAAAGTGGTGCTTGGGTGTGGCTGGCGCACCTCTGCCACCACAGCTTCATCCTCGACTGGGTTGAAGGTGCAAGTGGAGTAGACCATGCGGCCCCCAACCTTCAGCAGGTTTGCAGAGTGCAGCGCTATGCGCAGCTGCAAGGGATGCAGGCCATTGCCATTCTTCTCAGACCACCTGTAGTGCAGTGGCAACCGGCATTATGTGCATGCGATTGCGATGATGTAGTCTGATCAAGGCCAACGGGATGCTGTTTGTACCCAACAGGCATGCAGTACAACAAATACCACCCCAGCAGGAATGCGAGAGCAACGCCCAATTGCTAAGAGAAGCGCCGTGAGTCATCCTTACTGGTAGGAGCCTACCTGCGCCATATGTCGGGTGCCTTGCGCAGTGTGCCGTCCCCAGAGCAGGGAACGTCGCACAGGATGCGGTCAAACTTGTACGCCTGCTTCTGCAAAGACACACGTGCCCATGATCAACATCTTTTTCCAGAGCACACAATGCGCAATGGCCTGCTTAAGCGCTGCAGTGTACACCAGCCTCTGAAAGGCACAAGCCACCAGAGAGCAGAGAAGGCCCTTGTACAGCACATACTCAGTGGCTCGGAATTGAGTGAGCATGCAGCACACTGGAAGCGGCCAACAAACCTGCTGGAAGTCTCGCAGGATGGGCAGCTGGGTGGCATCGTGGTTGACCACCATCAGTGCCGGGCTGCACATGCGCTTGGTCTGGTGAGTCAGCAGGTTGCAGCGCTGCGCATCAGCGTCATTCGCGATGACTATCCCTGCCGCACACACAAGGGAGATACATTGAGCACAGTGTAAACCCGTATTTATCCAAGTTCAAGTTGAGGAGATAGATTTGCGGGAGCAGTCTGGTCAACACAGCCTTCAAGCTTTGGCAAGATTCCTCTCAAGCTTGAATATTCATACGTGTATGGGTGACCCAGACCCAGAATTGAAAGAGACAAGTCACCTGATGGCATGCCCGCTCCTTGGTGCAACATCTCCAGGATCTGAGCAGTCTTCGAGCCGGGTGCTGCGCATGTGTCCAGAACCTGGTGAAGACAAATGCATGATCATTTCGCATGGCCACACAGGCTGACCCAGTTCTATTACTTGCCAAGACAACACTCAGGCACTGGTTTTTTGTCAACGGCATGGCAGCACCATTATGCATGTGTGTCCGTTGCATGACTGGCAATGAGAAGACGTGACAGAATTGGGTCCATTTGGGAGAACCCAGGTCAGCCACATGCTCTAATCACCAATAATGCGACGAAGATACATGAAGATGGTGCGCTTCCACAGAGAACATGATGTGAGCAGCGACTCACCCGGTGGTGCGCCTGCACATCCAGCAGCAGCGGGGGGATCATGGAGACGGCCTCCTGGCGCGTGATGGCACCGGCATCGTTCTCGCGGATGATCAGCTCGTGGACCTGCATTGTCAGACCAGAAAAATTCTATTTTAATCAGCATCACATGCTTGTTCCAGCATGCAGGGCTAGGTGCCTTGCAGCAGCCTCTTGATACTTTCCCTCGAGCCTTCCCCGTCTTGGCATTCTCCACACCAATTGCATGTCAATCCAATAGATCCAGGCCATCCTTGATGCAATCAACCCGTTTCGTTCTGCACATATCCAGTCACCTATGTCTACGGTACAAGACTCGTACTACAAGTGACCAGTCTCAGACAGCCACTGCCAAGCCATGCTATTGTAGTCTTCTGCGTCCCTGCTAACTTCCCACACAAAATTTGGGCCCCTCTGGATCCCAGGGTCCAAGATGTCCAATAGAGGATGAATATTAGGCCCTCTGTGGCCAAAGGTTTCATGACACGATGATTTCGGAGGTCTGCAGACCTGTTTGAGGATGGGCAGCTTGCGCAGTTGTGCGCGGCTGAAGGCCATGTGCCAGCCCAGCGCGTCCGGGTACCACGGCAGCGGCCGCGGCGCCTCCAACGGCTCCCCATCAACCTAAGGATAACATTGCGAAGGTGTCAGGATAAGAAGGGGTACTGAACATACTAGATCAGTTTTACAGGCCCCCGATGATGCTCTACAAAGGTTGCACTGAGATCTGCATGTGGTCTTGCCGAGACCTCAGCATTGGTATGTAGGCATCCAGGCACAGAAATGATATTTTCCAGCCAAGGGGCTCCCCATCAATTGAGAACGAAATTGAAGCGAAGGTGTCATGAAGCACCAAATAATTGCATCACTTCAGGGCGCAGTCCCGTGCATGGGACATCTACCGAACACATCAAATAGCCAAACAGCATTGCTCACAACCGGACAATTCGCATGCACATAAGTCTTGGCAAGTGCTGTGTGTCAGCACAGACTGGACGAAGGAAAGCTGGCAAACGCCTGGGGCAACGCTGAAAATCCCCCACAAGAGATCGGATCGCAACCTTTTTGTGCTTGCAAGAGATGGACAGCAACGTCCTGTTGTATGATGCGGAGTTGTCTTGTGTTTGCCGCCCTAGTACCTTATATTATGTGATGAAAAGGAGCGCGCACCTCCATGTTCTCATTGAACTGGCTGAAGAAGTCCTGCTGCAGGCGGTCGCGCAGGTCGGCTGCAAAGCGGCCGCGGCCGTTGATGCGGAAAGTTGTCGGCAGCGGCTTGCGCAGCGTCGCCATGAACGCATCCCACTCCCCCTCAGGCACAATGCCCTGCGATCAAAGCCTTACCTCAAAAAGTGGCTATTTCGCAGTATGCATGGCCAGCAATGGCTCATGCTGGCAGCACTGATGGTTCCATTGCATTCATTGGCAGTGTTTGCCGTCTTTATGACCTTTGAGGGATACGGGGGCATATTCATGGGCTGCAGGCAGTGGTGCCAGACATAGACCACCAACAATGCGCGCTGGATTAATATGCAGTCCAGGGAAGGCACAGTTATATTCCTGGGAGGGGAATAGCCACTCCATGCATCACTGCCCCTTGCCTGCAGCTTGTAGTACTCCTCAAAGTCTGCGTTCTCCAGGTTGGGGGTAGCCCACTGATCGCCGTCTCGCCTGCGCTGCTCTGTCCAGTTGTTGCCCCGCTGCTGCCTGAAGTCGCGCTTCATCACGCGCTGGCCCTGTGCAGTCCATGCATATGGGAATTACTATAGTGTTACTATTAATCCTATACGCTATCAAGCAGCAGCCTCCAAATCTAGATGATAATCTATGACCGCATTGGCGGATTTGGGATTGTATGATTCTTTTAAAACCAACAGATCAATGAAGCAAACGATGATTTTGCGCAAGGTGTGCTGGAAAGGCACGAATAGACAGTCTATAGCCGACCCAGTACTAGATTTGGCTTAGCAGATTGGGTGCGTGAAAGAAGGGCTGCAAACTCCACTCAATAGGTATTATCAAAACATGCTTTCTTGTCGAAAAATTGTGATAGGAGCCACACCCCGCCTCTCCCTCTTTTCCCCATCGCGATATGTATTGCTGTTCCTTATCGAAAAGTGAAGACCAACAATTAACACCAGATCGAACAAGATAGGCCGTGTTACGAACACTCTTCTTAAACGCAGATCCACAATCCCCAATCGAGCAGAAATTCGACATGAAGCTCTTTTCAGCCTGCAGTCCTAGTTTTGGGGAGGTTGCAACCCTTTAAAAGAGGGTTGAGAATTATCGACACAACAGGTTCGAATCCAGCAAAAAGCAGCTGTTGAACAGTCAAATGTTGTCCTCCCACAGTCATACATGATGGAGGGCAAAGTCAAGGCCTCCAAGGCCTCGAAGGTCTTGCAGCCTTCCACCTCCCAGAATGTCCCTGGGAAAAGCATCGAGGAGGTCTATCAGAAGAAGTCACAGTTAGAGCACATCCTGCTGCGTCCAGACACATACATTGGCAGCACTGAAGCCCAGCAGCAGAAGCTGTGGGTCCACGATGGCGAGCAGCTAGCCCTGAAGGAGATTGAATTCGTGCCAGGACTGTACAAGATATTCGATGAGATCCTTGTCAATGCAGCTGACAACAAAGTCCGTGATCCGAAAATGGATGCTCTCCGCGTTGACATTGATCCGGTATGTGTAGCATCTCTGCGAGGTTCTCATATTTGCTTTGTAAGTTCTCGTTGTCCGTCCTCAAAGCTGCCATGGACCATTTCTCCACTTTGGCAGTTAGATATCTGCTATACATTACAGGCCGAAAACACCATCCGCGTCTGGAACAATGGGGACGGAGTACCAGTGGAGGTGCACAAGGAAGAAAAGGTGTACGTACCCGAGCTCATCTTCGGTCACTTGCTGACCAGCTCCAACTACGATGACGACGAGAAGAAGGTCTGACATTCTCAGATCCCAGCTGCAACTCTTTCGATTCGTTGACATTTAATCAGTTTGTAGGGAATGACACATTCCATGAGCAATTGAAGAATGGATACTTCATCGCTGGCATCAAGTTTGCTTGTCTTCTCTGCAGGTGACTGGTGGGCGCAACGGCTATGGAGCCAAGCTGGCCAACATCTTCTCCACAGAGTTCGTCATCGAGACCTGCGATGGCAAGAGGCAGCGGCAATACCGCCAGGTGTGCATTTCTTGCTGGTCCTGGCATGCTCAGCATCTCACAACCAAGGCCATTTGTGTGTGTTGATGTGCAGACACATGCATGCAGGTGTTCCGGGACAACATGGGAGTGAAGCAGGAGCCAGTGATCAAGGCATGCAAGGCATCTGACAACTGGACCTGCGTCACCTTCAAGCCGGACCTTGCAAAGTTTGGCATGAGTGTCCTGGAGGAGCAGACTGTCTCCCTCATGCGCAAGCGAGTCTATGACCTGGCAGGCGTCCTAGGCAAGGGTGTCAAGGTGCTGTTCATCCCTGCTCTGCCTTTTTCCCTGCTTGAAAGGCCCATGCAATGTGTGCACCCCTGCCTTTCCTACCATGTGCTCTCAAGTTTAGTCTGTCCAATCTAGTGAAGTGCAAGCGGAACTCTGTCCCCCACTTGTTGTGGCCTGCCCAGATGCAAATCGAGTTGCACAAACAGAGGCTGGGGAGCTCGAAACAACAGCACAGTCACAGAAAAAGCAAGTGTCCTACGTGCGGACCACTCGAATTAGCAGGTCAAGCTGGCACCTTAGGGTACAGTGGATTATAGCCTGGGATGATGACAGGTCTGCTCGCGTTGGCATTACTGACCTTGCTGACCTGGGCTGCACAGAGTAATTGCTTGCATGCATGATGGCAGTCAGCTCCATTTTGACAGTGGTCCTGTGTGAGCAGGTGTACCTGAATGGCAAGCTGCTGCCCATCAAGTCCTTCCAGGACTATGTGGGGCTCTACTTGAAGGACAAGGACACGGCGCGGGTCTATGAGAAGGTCAATGACCGTTGGGAGATCTGCATCTGCGCCAGTGAGGGCCAGTTCCAGCAGGCAAGCAGCTTTGCCCTTCATATTTTCATACCATCATATTCCACACAATTTTCAAGCCAACAGAAGACTCTTCATGGTTGGCGTACGATTTGCAGCTGGCTGACACACGTGCAATTGTATGCAGGTCAGCTTTGTCAACTCCATCTGCACAGTCAAGGGCGGCACGCATGTGAACCATGTCGTGGACCAGATCACCAAGTAAGCATCCCCAAGCTTCAGATGAGTGTAAACAGCTGCTTACTTTTGACCCAGGTCCCTGCGCGTGCGAGCTGCAGGCATGCATGTCGGCGCCATTATTGCCTGAGCGGATATCACAGTCTGTTTTCAAGATCACCAGCTGTGTGTGTGGTACCGAACAGTGATCCAATCTGCACTTACAGGGCCATCTGCGACAAGATGAACAAGGGCAAGAAGGCCAATGTGAAGCCCTTCATGGTCAAGAACTACCTGTCGGTCTTCGTCAACTGCATGATCGAGAACCCCGCCTTTGACTCCCAGGTGAACCTTTTCTACACGACACAACATAACCTGGTGTGAACAACATTGCCTTCATTTCTCTGCAGAAACGAGAAGCATGGACGCATACATGCATCAACATTAGCCTTAAGCAACATGAGCCTTCATGATTCTGCGGGCATATGGTGCATGGAGGCATGCATGCATGCATCGACATCAGTCCTGAGCAACACGTGCCTTCATGTTTCTGCGGACATGAGGTGCATGCATGAATCAACGCAAGCATGCATCATATTGTCTGAGCCAAGCTCTGCATGCGCTGCAGACCAAGGAGACACTCACCCTGAGGGCGTCCAGCTTCGGCTCCAAGTGCGATGTGAGCGACTTAAAGTTCCTGAAGAAGCTGGAGGCGTGCGGCATCACAGACCTGGTCAACGCCTTTGCCACCTTCAAGAACGAGAAGGAGCTCAAGAAGACCGATGGCGCCAAGCGCTCCCGCATCACTGGTGAGACTTGCCACCAGTCAGAGACCAGATCAGACAGATGAGTTTCAGCTTTGGATGTGCTTCTCTTTGCCTGTTTCTCGAATTTTTTGGCCTTCCAGGGTGTTCACAGCTGTTTTTGTGCAGAGATGATCATAAGGTGAGGGAGTACATACTGCTCTAACCCTCCTGCCCATTACAGCCTTCTCTCCTGCCCGTTCTTAAAGAGTTCCTTCATGTTTCAACAGCGCTTTGTTCTTCATAACTTGCCAGGCCACAATGTTGCATTGAAATTGCTTTCTGAAGTTTTGAAATGCATCTGAAATCTTGCTCACTTTGACATGCAGGCCTGACAAAGCTGGATGATGCCAATGACGCGGGCGGGCGCAACTCCGAGCAGTGCACCCTGATCCTGACTGAGGGTGACTCAGCCAAATCCCTGGTCATCGCCGGCATGAGCGTTGCTGGCCGCGACCAATTCGGCGTCTTCCCTCTCAGGTGCATTCCCCATTCTGTATCCTTAGCACCGCATGCAGACTCGACACCTTGGACAATGGAATGAGAGGCATGCATGGTCATACATTGGTACAGCCTCATGTCATTGTGCCACCCTGTTGAGTGAGAGGCATGCAGACTTAGACGACTGTATGCCCTCAAGTCTGTGTGCCACCGAGAGTGATAGACTCAGAAGACTGTAAAGAGGTCCCCAGTTCCATTAGGTGAAATGAAAGGCAGAAGTAAGAAACAATACAGAGACTGTCTTTTACAGAAGAAACGGAGGTGACTCTGCCAAAGATAGTGGCCAAGTAGCCTCAGACTAAGAGCTTCCCTTCTAGATAAGATCCGGCTTCCTTAGTAACGAAGAATCCAGAGTCACACAACTGCGTGGTGTACTGTTGATTTACGCTTCAATGAATTTGGAAGGCATCTGGTGATGAGGTGTGCCTTCTTCTGCAGGGGCAAACTGCTGAATGTGCGCGACGCTGCTGTGACCCAGATCAATGGCAACGCTGAGATCAACGCCATCAAGCAGATTCTGGGCCTGCAGCACGGCAAGGTGAGATTATGTCATCAATGCTCCACCCCTCTTTGTCATGAAGTACTCCCGGAGCTATTTTGCACTCTTGCTGCTCCCGCTCGCATGTTTGAGAAGCACTGGTACTCCTTCAATCATCAGCTCCTATGGTATTCTAAGGAAGACATGCCTGGATAGAATTCTGATCAGGCATGGACATGGATGCAGAAGGGCGTTCCCTTGTTGTGCACATGTCACCTGATTGCTTCAGACAATGCCAGCGCTTCTTTGAGGAAGATAGGCCTCCTACTGCACTCCAGTAAGTACGGCATGGAGCACCCCATCACGGAGAAGGGCATCGGTGCTGCGCATGTTTTTTTTGTCTTGACAGAACTCTCTTTGTTGTCCTGCTGCAGAGCTACGACAGCACGAAGCAGCTGCGCTACGGGCACCTGATGATCATGACGGATCAGGACCACGACGGCTCCCACATCAAGGGCCTCATCATGAACTTCCTGCACCACTTCTACCCCTCCCTCCTCAAGGTCAAGGGCTTCCTGCTCGAATTCATCACCCCCATCGTCAAGGTGAGCAGGGGGTTCTAAAGATTTAAGTAAAATAACAAGCCTTTACAGTCTACAAGGATAAGGTCATCTGTACAGGCAGATGAATGCAATAATGGGTTTTAGAAACCCCTGGTTTCCTGGTGAGAGATAGAGATACAAGTAAGATATCACTGCATGATAAGGAGGGCTCCAGGCACTGCAGCTGCACATGTCCTTGAACCTTTTGAATTGCATGTCATTTGGTGCTGCACAGGCAGCATCATTCTGGACGCTGACCAGACTGCCACATCACTCATTTTGTATCATGCCAATCTGTCTTACATGCACACAATCAACTCGTGGCAATTTTTTGGTGCTGCACAGGCAGCAACATTCTGAATGTTGACGAGACTGCCACATCCTTATCCATGTACCATCCAGATCTGCCTCACATGCATAACATGATCAATGCATTGCAAGTAGGAGCAGATCAACACTTGACCTGCATGCTATCAACATGCACGCTGATGGCAACTCTATGTTGTAATAAATGCCAGGTGAGCAAGGGCAAACAGAAGCTGTCCTTCTTCACGATGCCAGAGTACGAAGCCTGGAAGAAGAGCGCCTCCCCCGGCTGGACCATCAAGTACTACAAGGGGCTGGGTACCTCCGACAAGAAGGAGGCGCAGGAGTATTTTGCCGGCATCGACCAGCACCGCAAGAGCTTCGTCTACACAGGTGACTGTCCAGAGTAACACTTGCCCCTAGTCAGTATTTAAGTGAATGTCACTTGCCCTAGAACTCAAAAGAAGGCTCCGTCTCCTCTGGAAGCAACACAAACAGGGATGCAAGGGCATTCTTAGTTTGAGTACCAGATAACCAGTTGACAAAGTGCACTTAATCATTATGATGTATATTATTGCAGCCATCATGGAGAGGCTGGGCCACTCACAGTCTTTCTGTTCCCCTGAGTGTGCAGCCTGCATTGCATTTGTTTCTTAAATGTTAATTGGTCAAAGTCACGTGCCTGCATGACAGGGGAGGAGGATGACCAGGCCATAGAGCTGGCCTTCTCCAAGAAGAAGATTGAGGAGCGCAAGCAGTGGCTGGCCGGCTTTGAGCCTGGCACCTACCTGGACCAGAGCGTGGACGAGATCTCCTACAGCGACTTTGTCAATAAGGTGCGCTGCAAACTCATTTTATTCTTGGTCTCCATGCTGAGATATCCTGGAGATTCAGCTTGCCCCTGTACCTCCCCAATTTCATGCACCCTTGGTTTTGGTTGGAAAGTGCATGCAGCAAGGGGATGCAGAAGGGTATGCAATGTTTTAAGCGTGCTACCCCAACTGCGTAATGAACTGCAGACATCATGCTCAAGCGGTGCTTTTCTCTGCTTGTCTTTTTTTCACATTACTACTTGATGAGGCCAGAGCAGGTTCAAAAGGACACAATTAGGAAGCAGGCTCATGTATCCTGCATTATCTGGACAAACCTGAAATTTAACCATTCGCGCAGGAGCTCATGACCTGACCTGACCTGCTTAAAGGGTGCAAGCAGAAGGAAGACCTGTTGCACACTATCTCCGTCATACAGCGGAAGCAGAAATCACACTGAGCTAGACATTGCCTATCTCTGCTCCTCTTACATTCACATGATGACCCTGACTCTGATCTCATGCAGGAGCTGATCCTGTTCTCGCGCGCTGACCTGGCTGCAGGGTGCATGCTGCCGGAAGACCAGTTGACCTGTGACACACAAAATGCTTAGTCAGGCGTTGCCCATTTTGGCTCCTCTATATTCGCATGCTGACCCCGAGCCTGATCAATGCAGGAGCTGATCCTGTTCTCGCGCGCTGACCTGGAGCGCTCCATCCCCAACATGGTGGACGGCCTCAAGCCCGGCCAGCGCAAGATCCTCTTCTGCTGCTTCAAGCGCAACATCCGCAGGGACGTCAAGGTCAGTGATCAGTACTCCTTCTCTCAAATCCTCGCATATGCACTGCTGTAAGTGCAATCACATGTCCCTGCTGGATACCTGTCTGTCATTTTCAGGCTATCCCCTGTACAACCGCTGAGTAATCAAGTGTGTGACTGTTTGGATCATGACGCCATGGCATCGTTGCCCATGCATCCAGCCGAATTTCTTCCATTTCCAGACTGCTAGCATATCTTGGTGACCTGCGAGGGTGTAAAGCAGTTCAGTCATGCAAAAGAGAGGACCAGAGGTCATCTGTGTTCCAGGGTACATTCGTGTCAATTTATGGTCACAGACCCTCGCTGACAGATCTCGTTGTCTCAGAGTGGCCCACAGGGATCATGTCTGCAGCTTGCAATGCATTACCAGTGTCAGGACCGTGACTGTCATTGTCATGCGCATGTGATGCTGGCCCCGCGCACTTAGCTTGGCTTGGCATTTCATCCCTGTAATTCTGTCACCTGAAGAGTGGACCAGGTCATCTGCGCATCAGATTGCAGACATAATCCAAATCATTGCGAGGGGTGCAGTACCAGTGATGGCACTTTGGATAGTACTTCTCTGTTCCAGGGTACGTACATATCATGAATTCCTGTGAGGGGTGCAAGACTTTACATCGTGCAGTAGAGAGGCTCAGAAGTCATAACAGCTCCAGGAATGATGGCTGTTGAGAAGGACTCTATTGTGTACCAGGATGCAGCCATATCACAAAGACCCGTGAGGGGTGCAAGGCAGTGATGGCTGTTGGAAAAGACTCCTGCAATCCAGGAAACGGCCTTGTGATAAATAATCGTGCTCGCTGCGAGACAATGATGTTCTGTGGGTGCCTGTTCAGGTGGCGCAGCTGTCGGGCTTTGTGTCGGCGGACACGGCGTACCACCACGGGGAGGCGAGCCTGCAGAGCACCATCATCGGCCTCGCGCACAACTTCATCGGCAGCAACAACGTCAACCTGCTGGTGCCCCAGGGTGAGCGCGCCGCATACTCAATCTTTCTCATGTTGCATGCGTAATCCAGCAGTCCCTGAGCTCTAGGTGGGGCAACCTATGACATGGTGTACATCACTTGTGCAGAGACAGGCCTGGCTCGGTCTCGGTCTCGGTCTCACAATTTTGCTGGCTTTTGACAGACGAGAGATGGGCAGAAGGTTATGCATAGCAGGAATGCCATGAAAAGAGGCATGGCTCGGGCATAGAGGCATGGCTCGGGTATAGGCATAGGATTGTTACCCGTATCTAATCGAGCAGACCATCAGAAAAGTGCTTCAAAGACATCTATGCCTCACCATGCACCAACACAGGAGCACCTAGCACATCAGGGTTGGCATCAATCAGGGGAACGGATGCATCTTCTGCTTCTTCATTTCAACAGCCCTCCCACCAAGGCCTGTTCACTGTGGCTTCCAATGCTGGTGTGCGCGTGCACTGTGCCTGGCCATTTCGGGCACAAGCCTGCATGCATGCATGGAGTGCATGCATGGATGGGTTGCCCATCCATCTGAACCATGGTGTCTGCAGCACTCAATACACAAAAAGGGGACGAGTCATTGTGGCTGTGTGTGCGCCAAGGCCAACTTCGTCATGAGGCCGCAGGGCGGCAAAAAACACATGCCCCACCGTTTGGAGAATGCCACTTTAGCTGCGCCCAGTGGCTTACTGAGCGTGTGCGCCTGCGCCAGGGCAATTTGGGACGCGGCTGCAGGGCGGCAAGGATGCGGCAGGCGCTCGGTACATCATGACACGGCTGGACCCCATCGCGCGCGTCGTCTTCCACGAGCATGACGATAAGCTGCTGGACTACCTCAAGGAGGAGGGGCAGTCCATCGAGCCCCACTGGTGTGCATTCTCCTATTTTCTCCGTTTCAATTGTCATCTGTTGCACAGTGTTTTTATTTGACATGTTTTGGAGGCGTTTGACCTGAAGGAGGAGGGGCAGTCCATCGAGCCCCATTGGTGCGCCCTCGCATGCATTTTGCACTTTGCAGTCTATCCTTCATAAACAAGATATTGATATGCCAAACGGCATTGAGACCCAATAGAGGAGGGCCAGAGCATCGAGCTGAACTGGTGCGCGTTCCTATGGCAAAAAGCATAATGCTGTATTACCTCGTGTTTCAATGAATAAGGAGGTATTTTGACCCCAACAAGGAGGGCAGGTCAAAACTTTCACTATCTCATAGCACCTGTTCATCTGGCTTGGTGCGTTGCAGCAGCTTCACAAGACACCAAATCAGCCCTGCCTGCCTCTCACTCTCATCTCTAACCTCTGATCATGCAGCTCCATTACCATGAGATTTCCATTTGAAGGGCATTTTTTTCTGATCCGCAAATTCCATGCTGCCCGCAGGTACCTGCCCATACTGCCCATGGTGCTGGTGAACGGTGCGGAGGGCATCGGCACTGGCTGGAGCACCTACATACCCAACTACAACCCCCGGGACATCGTGGCCAACCTGCGGCGGCTGCTGGCCGGCGAGGAAGTGGTGGCCATGCAGCCCTGGTACAACGGCTTCAAGGGCACCATCCAAGAGATCCCCTCCAAGACCGCCGGGAAGTCCTACAACGTCCACGGCACCGTCGCGCAGGTGCGGGCACAGTGCAACCTTGCGATGCGTTGATCTGCGCGTGATTTCGGTGCAACACCCCACATGTCATGTGGCAGATATTCAGCCCATGATACCAAGACACACGCATCATGTGGGGTGTTGCACCGAAATCACGAGGGGCAGATAATTCTCAACTTCTCAGGGAAAGTCTTCACGCAGCAAGTACTGACGTGTCCTGATATGAAGGCTGCTGCAGCATCCATCATGATGCACTTGTTTGCTGTCATGTATAGAATGTTCAGGTTCCATTTTGAACACACAGCCATTTTCCTGCTGCAGGTGGACGAGAGTACGCTGGAGATCACAGAGCTGCCGGTGCGCAAGTGGACGCAGGACTACAAGGAGTTCCTGGAGGGCCTGATCAAACCCGAGGAGAAGACGGGGCCCCCCATCCTGTCCGATTACAGGGAGCACCACAGCGACGCTGACGTGCACTTCACGCTGCAGCTGCTGCCGGGGCAGATGGATGCCTGCCTCGCCGCGGGGCTTCACGCCAAGTTCAAGCTCACCAACAAGATGTCCTGCGGTGCGTGGTTGTGGCCAGACCTCCCGTTATTCTCAGAGATACAAGAGACACAGCTTACTTTCCCCTTGCACAATGATGGAGCAAGGCAACCCCCACATGCATGCTCAGGGGTACTTTCGAGCACCCTTCAGCCATGCATCTCATTTGCAGGCTGCACACAGCCACCCATCTGTCTCTCATGACCAGGGGTGCAATCACGCAGAGCAGCAGTTCATTTTGCCTAGTTTTTTATGAGATTGTCAAGTACCGGCGCCTCGTGCGGACAAAAGCATACCAGATGGATCTGGAAAATGTCTTGGCTCTGACGGATGACGATGCATTGCAAGAGAAATGTTTGCTAGGAGCAGCAATTGGTTTGGAAAGAGCTTCTATATGGAGGTAAGCCAATGGGCTCAAACCTCTTCCAGGACACGTGTGGTCTTTGACAGCGGTGTTACGGTGCGCAGGCAACATGGTGCTGTTTGACCAGCGCGGCGTGATCAAGCGCTACGAGACGGCGGAGGACATTCTGAAGGACTTCTACGAGCTGCGCATTGACTACTACGCCAAGCGCCGCCTCTGCCTGATCAGGGTGCGCATGCATGCTCTGCATGCATGACAAATCGCTGACATGGCATGCTGCCCACAACAGACCTGGCCGATGCTCATGCTGTCATTACCGCAGCCGCATAAACCAGTGTGTTGCTCTCCAAGGGATGAATAATCAGTCTCAGAAGCAGGCAGAAGAGAAATTCTGACACCTGCAGCTCCTCACGCAGCTGGGCTTTCAGTGAAGCTTGTGGCACAATGGAACTGGGAGATTGCTGGGGAAATCTTTTTGGGAAAGTATATGGGCTCTGAAGCATGCATGCATGTTGTGGTGGCTGCTGATGGCTGTTGGGAAATCCCAAACCAAAACATACCTACATGTACAGAGCCTCACAGCCTCCAAGCTGGTGAAAAATGCCTAGAGTCTGAAAGCATGCGGGTATGCTGTCTTGGCTGCAGGAGGCGGAGTTCCAGATGAGGATTCTGGCAAATGAGACGCGTTTCATTCTGGCAGTGGTGTCGGGAGAGCTGGTGGTCAGCAACCGCAAAAAGGCTGACATTGTGGCTGACCTGGAGCGGGCAGGCTACGACAAGATGCCCCCCAAGAAGAAGGTGCGCTGCCTCTTTTGCCGACAACAAGCTGCCTACCTTACTGAACCACACTTGGTCATTTCATGCTCCTGGATTGGGGGATCATTGTATGGTTGCTGGCTGACGTGCATTTCCAAGGCAGCCCTTTCTGCTAATTTCTGCCGCTCGGTTTGCCTGGATGTCCGTAGCAAGAAGAAGACCAGTGTCATGTCTTAGAATCTTCATAATGCTGCTGTTGACAATGACTCGCCAAGCAGCGCGAGTTTCTTTGCTCTATCATGCAGTAACAAAATCTCCAGATTCTTGCTTCCTTATGTATCCTCAGAGAGGTGGCATGGAACTCTTTATTGCAAATATCGGTCTGAGCTCCCTGGACGCATCGTTTGCATGGCCGCAATGGGTGAGACAGTATACGGAATTAGGTGCAAGAGACGAATTTCAGGCAGATTCATGCAGGGTAGGGTGACTCACCTGGTCTGGTGTGGCATGGGGCAGGCTGCGGTGGTGGCGTCCATGGATGACCAGGAGGAGTTGGCAGAGGAGGCGATTGTGGAGGTCAAGGTCACCTACGACTATCTCCTCTCCATGCCCATCAGCAGCCTCACCCTCGAGAAGGTGCACCATCGCGCCATTGAAGCCTCCTGGATTCCATTCCACCATAAGAGTCTTCCAGTAGCCCTGCCCCAGGGCTGCAGCATCGTACCTTCCCTCCATCACATCATCAATATTGCTGACTGCAAGTTTGGCGCCAGGAAGTGCAGTTGATGGAAACTCTGCGTATAACATCTGAGCCATACAATATTCAAATTTCACACAAGACAGAATCCTCTTGTGCTCATGGCAGTTGCTACTCTGCCGGCTGCCAAAACAGCATGCTCAAATGCGCGCATCCTGAAATTTGTACGCCTCAACCGTATATTGGAAGGAGTCTCAAGGGCTGCTGCGCGGCTGGCGCGCAGGTGCAAGCGCTGCATTGTGGCACGCATTTCTTACTCATCTTGGCAGGAGCGGCGTGCGACGATCTCACCTTAGTAATGACAGCAGTATTTAGTAAGGTTAGTAACACCTTAGTAATATCAGCCTGTGCGCGCAGGTGCAAGCGCTGCAGGATGAGGCGGAGCGGCAGGCGGCGGAGGTGGCGCGGCTGCACGCGACCATGCCCCCGCAGCTCTATGCCAAGGACCTGGACGCGTTCGAGGCGGCTCTGGCCGAGCGCGACGCCGAGACCGCGCGCGAGGCCGACCTGCTCGTCGTGCAGCAGAAGCGCGCCGGCCGAGGCGGCGGCGCCGGCGGCAAGGTGGGGCTCATTGCCCTCTTGTTACTTTCCTTCTTCACATAAATGTGCTACAAAGGCGGCTGAAGCAGGCCAAGGTCAGACAGGGCTGGTGCGTGGCAGCAGAAGCGCGCCGGCCGCGGCGGTTGCGGCGGCAAGGCGGGCTTAGGTGTTCCTCGGTAGATGCACACACCATGCACACCAAAGGTGCTGCGGGGAGCGGCTTACGTTGGCTGGGAACCGCTGGTGCACAAGAGCAGAAGCACGCTGGTAATGTGGGCCTGGTTTCTCTTGTCTGAAGCACACCACTCTTTTACCAGCTGTGCTACCACAAATTGGGAAGACTTGGGAGGATTTGCTCAGAATTGCGCTGGCTCTCGCAAGGCCAGTGTATTTGGAATTGCCTATCCTTGTGCGCAGTTGCCCTGCTACATGTGAATTTGGTGTGCTTCCTTTTAACTCTTGCTCTGCAGCAGTAGCATTTGTATCATTGTGGCTCCATGGAGATTTGTGTGGTTCTGCAGGCGGCGAAGGGCAAGGCCAAGAAAAAGGCGGTCATGGACTCTGACGACGACGCCATGAGCATGTCCGACGACAGCGGTGACAGCGACTTCGAGGCTGCTACCAAAAAGGTGAGTTTCTATCTGAGACAGGAAGTCATGAGCCAGGTAAGAACCAATCATAGACCAGGGAATGTAAGCCAGGTGAGCCAGGAGATGTGGGCACAGGAGATAGAGTCTTGAGCAAGAGAATATGGATGGCAGCCTCCGGGCAGTCCTGCTTTTTGGTCATCCAGCTGAAACAATTCAACGACGACATTACAGGGATGCGTGAAGACAGTCCTGGCTCGGTCTGTGGGGCTCTCCGTCACCATTATTCAGCAGGCCCAGCGCATGCGGATGTCAATTCGGCAGTAATCTACTCATGTATATGTCTAAATCTGCTGCTCAATGTTTCTAGGGCAAGGCGCCCGCGAAGAAGGCTGCTGCCAAGAAGGCGGCGGCTCCGGGTGGCCGGCCGGCCGCGCCGGTGCCCAGCGGCAACATCATCCCGCCGCCCCCTCCGCCGGAGATCAGCGCCACTACCAGGCAAGACAACCCCTCAAGAGCACTTCCATGCACGTGTCTATGCATGAGATCCTGATGTGTGCGACAGTGATGTGCTGGAGCAAATGCACTTGTACTATTTCTGGACCCTGCAGAGGAGCAGCTGCCATCAAGTGATACCAGATGCTGTGCAGCAACGTGCGAATGCCTGAGTACTATAGAGATTGTGGTCCCTGCAGCAGAGCAGCTGCCTTTGATGAGTATGAAACGTGCTGCAGTAATATGCAACAACAGCGATGGGCCTGATATCAAATTTCAGACTTCATTGTACTGCTGCAGTGCGGCTGGTGGAGCCAAGAAGCGCGGTGCGGGTGCAAAGGGCAAGGCTGCTGCAAAGCCGGCCCCGGCCGCCTCCTCGACTACCGTTGACATGCAGACCAGTCAGGGCCCCGCCGACAGCCACGAGGCCGGCTCCTCTGCCCCCGCCAAGGAGCTGAGCCTCATGGAGCGCCTTGCAGGTGCCAAGAAGCTGACACTGCCGACGCTGCACCTCAAAGCACTGTTCTCAGATGTGTTCGCAATAAGAAATCTGTAAATATGTCAAGAGTGGGTGACTGCACAGTAGCCACCAGTGCAATATCACATCTCAACCGAGCATCTCACCCGCCTGTGTGATTGCATATTACTTTACAGTGCTGCATTATCTGTGCATCGAGCATACTGCCACCACCGTTTTTTCTTGAGAGAACGAGCTCACGGTGAATTCCAATGCTTGCAGGACGCATGGACAACCTGAGCGTGGAGGCTCCGGCAGCAAAGAAGCCGGCAGCGGCGCCTGCAGGAGCAGCTGCCAAGAAGCCGCGGGCAGCCGCCAAGAAGCGCGCGCCAATCATCATCTCCGATGACAGCGAGGACGATGACGTGGAGTCACCGCCGTCATCAAGCGATGAGTCGGATGTGTCCGAGGCCGAGTCTGACGCGACCCCCGTCAAGCCGCAGCGGCCCAAGGCGGCAGCCGCCCGGAAGCCGCGCGCGGCAGCTGCCGCGCAGCCGCCCTCGCCAGCCGCATCCGAGCCTGGCGAGGTGAACCTTCTCTGTGAAGTGTTTTGTGTTGTGATTTGGGAGATTTGCCCCAAAACCACAGCCCTTCTGGCGGACACTTGTATACTTTCCCACACTTAATTGGCCCGTTACAGGGCCAAAGATTGCGGTTCTCCAGAGCATTTGCTTGCGCTGAGCATCGCCATGTGGCGTTGTTGAGCATGGCAAATTTGCAGCATGCACCCTTACTACATTAGTGTCGCATGTCTTCACTAAAAAATCTACCACGTCTTGCTGAGGGTAAAGTCATCTGTGCAGGCGGACAGCGCCGCGTCAGAGTCGGAGCAGAGCGAGCCGGAGGCTCCCGCGGTGAAGTCCCGGGCCGCGGCGGCTGCGCGCAAACCGCGCGCGGCCGGCCCAGCCCCGGCGGCCAAGGCGGCGTCGGCCAAGCGCAAACCACACGTCGCCAAGGTGCTGAAAGACGATGACGAGGACGAGGTGGCCGCTGTGTCTCCCCTGGTGGCCCCGCAGGTCCGTGAATGTTCGAAAAATATATCATTGCACATGCCAAGAGAAAACTAGTTCGGCAGCAGAGAAGGGTCAAACGTGACTGAGCTAGGCCTGTCATTGCACTCCTGCCTTTCCTACCAGGTGCTTCCAGCCTAGCAAGGTCAAGCTGACACCTGTGATCCAGTCCAGTAGGATCCATGTCAGCAACACTTGGGAGCCCTTTGGATTATCTAGCACAGCAGCAAGCTTTTTGGCAGTGCCTGGCGCTCTCACCCGGGATCTTGCTGGGAGCACATGATGTGACATTACTGCGCTAAATCTTTGTCAGATTTGAAAGCTTGGTGAGCATTTTATAAACAAGCATTGTGGGTGCAGGGCAAGGTGCGGCGCATGCGGCCGTCGCCCTTCAACAAGTCCTCGGGTGTGGCCAGGACCAAGCCAGCCGCCAAATCCAGGATGGCGCCAGCTGCGCAAGACGATGACAGCGACGATGACGTAAGCCCTGTCCCCGTCAGCCTGAAAGGAAAAATTTCAAAGCCTCAGCGCACTCCACCAGCCAGGGGGACTGAGAAGTTTCTCCTAACCTCAGAACTTATTATAAGGAACAGCATGGACCCAATTTGTGGGGTGTATTTTTCTCATAGCCTAAGATCAGGAAGAGCATGCAGGCCACCCATGGGGTTTCACTTACACTCTTGACATGCTCAGAGCTTTCTACTAGAAGAATAACAAGGCCAATGGCGGGTTCCAGTGCTTGGGGATACTTTACCGCGCCTAGTAGCGAATGGCTGGAGATGGTAAGACCTGCATGGGATTTGCACTGTAAATGAGCCAGGAGTGGCCAGTGAGAGTCGTGTGTGGTGTCCAGGTATTTGAAGTGAGCACTGCTGCGGCTGCGCCGGCGGCTGCAGCTGCCGCCAGGCCGTCACGGCGCACGGCCGCTGCAGTGAAAAAAATCTACGCAGAGGAGCTGAGCAGCGACGCAGAGAGCGAGGCAGCGGATGCAGACTCTGACTTTGAGCTGTCCGAGTGATGGTATCTCAAGAATATTCTCAAGAAGTGCATCTCAAGATACTGTGTACACTGAAAGAACTCATATGAAACTGATTGTCATGTGCTTCTTGCACCGATCAATATGAGTATTTCCTGACTGTGAGATAAATCTGTAAGCTTCGGCAGTTCCTGGGTGGCAGGCCTGCGTATGCTCAAGCTTGCCATGCGTGAATGGCACTGCGGTGTGGCCGTACGGTGTACACATTCAATATGTAAGTGCTGCGTAGAGCTTGCCTCAAGGAAGTTTGCCCTGTGAACTTTACCGTACTCAGCATGCTTGCGCAAATAGTCAGGTCTGTTATAACAGCGCCATATGCCAGCATGGCAAATGGCACCACTGACATCAGCTGCATGCATGTGCACCGCGGTGACCGGCATGCAGTGGTGTACCTTCTCGCTTTCTAGCCTTCTCGCTTTTAAAGAAATTTCTAGCTATGTCTGGTCTGCAGAGTCTGGTGCGGATGGTATGCACAATGCCCCTCAAAGGCATGTGCGCTGTGTAAAAGAAGCATGTGTAAATGAGGCGACCACATTTCTTCACTGGTGGCATTGAGGTGAGATACTTTGCCTAGTGAGGGTGGGAGGTTCTCTGATGGAACAGGGGTGACGAGAAGGGAGTTGAAGTGAAGAACAGAAGGCGGGGTTTCTTCCCAGGCAGTGGGATCAACGTGCACTTTACAGCACCTCACCGACACCGCATGCATTCCTAAATGGAGCGTGTGTACGCATATTATTCAAACCACAGCAGTGTTGGAGCATTATTGGAAAATCTGTAGCAAAGCTTCTTGGTCTAGGCATTGATGCTCTATGGCCGAGATTGTTGGATTGAACGGCCTGCACAATTTGGAAGGTTTCAAATGCGATCTCTGTGGAATAGCATGCGACCCCCAGGCGCAGGAACTCAATGCGCTGGACTGCACCTTTTCCAACTGCCCTTCAGATGCCTCGGTTTACCACCAGGACTGCCTTGAGAAGTACCTCAAAAGCATCAAACTCGAAAAGTAAGCTACCATACGGTTATTGCACATGTTATGTTCCAAGTGAAGATAATTGAAAGACGTTAAGTGTTAGCACAAGGTTCCAAATTGAAGCCAGTGCACTGCCTTGTTTTTCACAGGAGCAGAAAGACAGGCTTCAAATGCCCGAGGGGATGCGGCAAAGGCTCTGCGTATGATCAGTCATGCCCTGGCAAGGTAACGATGAGGCTGTACTGAAATTTGCACCTGTCTAAGTGGGATTGCTGAAGGACTTGCTGCACTTTCGCCGAATTTTCCTGGCTAATTATGATGGTGAATGTCCCTGGAGTGTCTGCATAGCTTGAGTATTGTTGGAAGTGATGAGCGTCAAGTGCTCAGAGTTCATATATAAAAACCCTGATCAGGCCTTGTGTTTGCACTTCAGATCACGAAGTCGCACCCCATACATATCCGCAACGACGATTCGAAGAAGCGGAAGAAGGTAAGATTTCGTGTTGCGCATGCCATGTTTCCTAGCATGCGGGCTAAGAACACCATAGCTTACAATGTCTAAGAGACCTGTTCCCTTCTTCGTGCGCTTTTATCCCGGAACGTACAACTCGTGGCGAGTTGTACCGGTCGTTATGTCAAGGAGTTAGGAAGAAAGAAGCATCCAGCACGAATTTGCAATGTACAGGCCTTGCCACCTCCTCCTTTGGAGTTCAAGCCTAAGGCGAAGGATAAGACCAAGGAGGCAGCTAATGACAAGGGCAAGGAGGGTGCAAAGCAGAAGGATGCAGCCGCAGAGAAGGGGAAAGCCAAAGCAGCTGCAGCTGCACCAGCAAAGCAGCGACAGTGTGCTCCATGCCAGCCTTCTCAGAGCTAGTGGCATTTATGTCGGCCTGCTATGCATGCACGCGCTGCTAGACATAGAACGGCAGACCAGAGATCCGCTCCAATAATGTGTCAAACATGTCATGATGACAGGATGTACATCACAGGAGTGTGTAGAGCACCTGATGCATGTGTGATGTGCAGGGTGATGACCATACAAAACACACAGGCCCCAGCGCCCTCAAAACAGACGGAGAAGCAGCAGATAGAGAACATACGCAGGGAGATTGCTGCCAAGACTGGCAAGCCGCTTGCAGGGGTGCGTTCATATTACTTCCTGCGTTTGCCACTGGCTGCAGATCGCCATCTCCATGACATGCAGCCTGAGAAGTCCTGCTGTCAAGGGAAGCCTTTGTTGCATGGGTAATGCGCTTGACAAGTGGGTGCTTGGGGGGCAGTTGGGGGTCAGCAAGCCTGCAGTGCCAAAAGAGAGGGAATTACAGACGCTGCATGAGTATGAGGTGGCACAGCCCAAGACAAATGCATGGGGATCGCGCAACAATGCAGCCAGGTCTGTCAAGAATCCCTTTCATGTTCATTTACCTTTCTGGTATACAGGAATCTTAGCACCATCTTTGTGCATTGATATGCGCGATCTACCTTCTTGCATCATACACGTGGCAATCAGAGCAAGAGAGAATGCAAGCCATGCAGCTGGAATGCCTAATACTATGCGATGTGTTTGGATGGATGGGCATGCATGCAATGCAGGAGTGCATGAACTGGTGTCATCTGCGCATGCACTTGAATGAGAAAGTCATTGAGCACGGCATGCATGCGCGCAGGGTGCTCAATGTGCCAATCCACCAACCACAGCTGCAGCCGCCCCCGCCACCGCCGCCAAAGCCGCAGCCAAGCTTGCCCGCAGCATCCTCCTGGGCCTCTGCAGCGCGGCAACCGGTGCCGGCAGCGGCTGCAGCAAAGCCCAAGGCGGCAGCCGCCAACGGCCCTGTCCGCGCTGTGTCCATCTGGAGCTCGGACCATCCAGACTCCCAGCCTCCCCCGCCACCGCCCAAGGTGTGTAGCTGGCCTTAACATGCACAAAGAATGGTCATGTGCTCCTGAGGGGCATCTTGGGGCATCTTGCTGATGTTGCATGCGCGCTTGTAAGTGGCATGCTGTCGCCTGCATGGCCGGCAAAACCGACAATTTGCGGGAGTGCATATAAGCTGCTCGGCTGCTGCATGAGCATCTGGCAGGCCTTTACAAGATGGAACGGTGCAGAGAGTCCCCTGCATCAAAGATCCAGGGATCTATGTGGTGAATAAGGGAGGGGCGCGGCGACGGCAGGTATCAGTCAATTGGGGGATGGAATTCACTTGGGTCTTGCATTGCTTTGATATGCAGAATAAATTTTGCTTCATTTGGTGCGGCAGAAGGTGACAATGCTGGTGGGAGGCGAGCTGGCAGAGCCGGAGGGCCCGCCAAAGATTGGCAAGGCACAGAAGAAGAACCTGAAGCGGCTGGAGAAGAAGGCGCTGCAGAGGGCGGCCACAGACACCAGCGTTGCCTCCTCCGACATCGTGTCAGACTTCTACCCAGAGACAATTTCCGAGGCGGACAACGAGGTAGACACGCCGTCGGAGACGCGCGCTGGCGAGGGCATGAGTCACCACCTGCAGAGCAATGACTCGCGCGAGGAGGACTCCGGCGAGGGCTGCAGCGGCTCTGACGGCTTTGAGCCGCAGGCGAGCGATCACCAGCGCTGCATACAGGTGAGAGGGGGACATATAGACACCAATACGCCCGGGTCATGCACCTGCAATGCAATTTCTGGCGACAGAGCTCTACTCCACCATGACCCTTGTGGCTTCTCATCATAGCATGACCATGCCAGGTTTGAATCTAGTCCTTGACTTCGGGTCACCCTGCTCTGACCATTTGAGGTATTTATTTCAACTTTTCGTGCGCCAGCGTCAGGGAGCCTCCTGGAGATCAAGCTCTGTAATGCCAACGTCATGCCGCCACGTCAAAGATTGATGATGACATTACAATACTGTACTGACCGGTCAAAAGATACACTTTTGGAAAATCGAGATATAAAACAATTCTTGCAGGGCTTTCTCATGACAAAAAGTTGATGTTTTTCATACCCGCAAGCTCGAAAAAAAAAATTGTGGGGGGTTCAGACCGGTCAGTATGGTATAGCTGAGCACTCGAACACCGGCTCTCTGTGCGCAGGCACTGATGGCGACCAAGGCGCGGTGGCTGCTGGGGCAGCTGCAGCTGCTGGGCTTCCCAGACTGGCAGTGCGCTGTGGCGGTGCTGCGCCACGGCAGCAACCTGCACGACGGCGTTGCCTTCCTGCTGGAGGACCACGTCACCAGCGAAGAGCAGAGCCGCGCCTACATGGCCTGCGCCGTGGACTCCCCAGACATCGACATCTCCGAGGAGCTCCACATGCTGGCAGAGGCGCAGGTGCGCGACCATTGGCCCTTTGCCACCTTGCAATCGCATTCTTCTTGGACCCCAGAGCCCAAGATGACCTCTTAATGGTCATCGCGCATTGCCTGGCGGCAAATCCCGCACGCGTGAGATCTGCTGGGATGCTCCATGCATTAGGAAGCTGCTAGGAGGCACCAATGTAGGAAGTCTCATCCTCACAGGCATTCTTGGCCCTTTGCTACCTGGCAACCGCATCCCTCTTGGCCCCAAGGCCTCACATGACCTCTGAGTGGGGCACTCTGCTGCATGACATGCACGGCAGATTGCTAGATTACATTTGGATTGAGACGTGTGATTGGGTCTTCTCAGCCAGATCTTTGCTAGGCATGATTCCGGCAGGTACTAGTGATGAAAGGCTCATCCATGCAGGCATGCCTGCAGGGCTGATGCACCGGCATTGTCGCCCAACAGAATACTAGAGACTGAGGATTCCCCTGTTGTATGCACTGCAGAGCTGCCTGGGGCTGCCAATGTCTGTCATGGAGAGGGCTGTGGCGGACACAGATGGCGACATCCAAGCAGCGGTGGATGCCCTGATGGGACAGCCTGATGTGTCCAAGGCAGCCGGCCTGCACTTGAGCCACAGCGAAGGGCCCTCGCACCCACAGAGCCACTCCTCTGAGGCAGCTTCCCAATCAGATACCAAGCAGCGGCGCTCCTCAGCAGACACCACGAAGTACAGCAGCATTCCTTTCCATTCCAGCCAACCCACACCTGCCGAGCACAGCACCGGATCCCCCAGTGCATGGGGAGGCCACCCCAGCCAAGCACCGCCCCACCTGCCGAATGGAAACCACGCAGGGCCATATCCCTGGAGCGCCCAGCAGCAGCAGCAGCAGCAGCAGCAGAGGGAGGTCACAGGGCCTCCCCTCAGCTATGCATCGTGGCACAAGCAGGCGGCCGACCCGTCGCCGTTCGCAGCCGCCGCGCTGCAGCCGCCGCCGCCGCCGCCGAAGCATGCGCCTCTGTCGCCGCCGCTGCCGCGGACGGTGGAACTGCCGGCCACTCTGGAGCCTCACCTGCAGCTGGACCTGGGGGCGTTTGTGCCTGCTGGCAGCGCCGGCCTGCTGTCGACCAAGCTGGGGCAGCTCTATATGGACCCCAGCTCCGCAGGTTGGGGTGCCTTCCCACCATGTGCAACACCTATTTGTGCATGCTGTGTGCATGCATGTTCAGTGTTTTGCATGACTGGCTCAGCGCTTGCTGATGGACCCATCAAGAAGCACATCACTGTGTTAGGTGTACATTGAGGAGTGCAAATTTTGGTTTTGCTATGGACTAGGCTGTTGCCCTGTCATGTGCACTCTTACTCGTGCTAGTTCCCAAAAGGCATTCTGAAAACAGTAGAATGGGTCGTTCTTGCATGAGTTACATGTGTGAAGTGTTATGCTGTGCGGTGCCCTGCGCAGGCTTCATGCAAGCCAGCCAACAGCAACAGCAGCTGCCGCAGCATCCTGAGCATGGGGACCTGCCTCTGGGAAGCCGCCTCTCCAGCTACACGTCAGCTGCCAGCCGCTCTGCCACGCCCAAAGCAGCCGCTGCAGACTGCTCCTCCTGGAATGGCTCCATGGACAGCAGCGCCAGCTATGCGGCTACTCAGGTGTGAGCAGCGTCCGTGTCTTTGATAATCTGTTCTCTTTGAGACTTGGACAAACGATTCGACAGCACCTGCGCAAAGGAAGATCAAAAGGCACGATCACGTGGTGCACAGAAGTAATTTTGGGCACGGGCATTCTTGATCCTCATTCAACCCATCAGCAGCTCTTTACCTTACTCTTCCACTGATCACTTGATGTGCGTTGCCAACTTTCTTCCATACATCCAATTAAGTCCAATACTTCTCATCCAGCTCGTTTACTCTGAGCCCACAAACCAGGTCCATCATCCAGGTACATTCTCATAACGCATGTCCATCCGTGCACTTGGAACTCTCCACAATGAGTGTGTGTTTGCTGACATCAAGGCTCTGGCCGCGCAGGGGCTGGGCCAGGCGATGCCGAGCCTGTCGAGTTTCAGCATGTTCAGCGGCGCGTCGGGCCCGCCGGCCGCGCGCGGGGCCGACATGTGGGGCTCCTCTGGAGGTTCCTCCCAGATGGCCAACCTGGAGCGCTACAACCAGCTGCTGCAGCAGTCGCCCGGCCCAGGCAGCGGCCGCTCCTCCCTCGACTCCTCCCAGGCACCCTTCCCAGGTGGGGCCTACTTCATCAATATAGTGAACTTTGAGTAGCCCTGTAAGAATTGGGTGGGGACCCTGTGACAGTCAGTCAGTGCGATGATTGCACGAGGGAAATACCCGGTGTGCAATTCTTGCCGTACTGGCAGGACCAGGTCAGCCTAATCTGTGGCGGTTGCACATGGGCTTGCAAGACAATGTAATTGATAGCTTTTATAGCTATTTTCTTCCCCTGCGTGCCGAGACTGACACTGCCCGGATTCCATGAAGGCTCGCATGACTAGTCTGAGAGGAAAGGATGCCAGAGCTGTGCCACCAAGCAAGCTGCATGCTTGCTCGGTACACTAGTACACAGGCAGGCCTTTGATTGTCCAGCAAATTGTGAGTGCAAGCTGTGATGGGCCTCCTGTGCGCAGGCATCGTGGCAGCTGCGCAGCGGCAAGCCTACCTGCCATCTCTGTCCCCCGGGACCACAGTGAGCCAGGCCAGCGCCTACGCAGGCTCTCACCCGGTCCAGCCGCAGGCGGCCGCCTGGGGCATGCTGCCCATGCACAGCAGCGCGCAGTCTATCTGGTCATCCACCCCTGCTGATAGGTGCTCTACGGCTCATTGCCCCCTGGCCCAGAGCTCTCTTCACGTGTCAGAAGGGGAAGAAATGTCATCACGAGGCCATCATCCCTGGGTCGAGCAGCAATTACCAAGAGATCAAGAAATAGAATGTTGAGGTGTTTGAAGCAAGAGACGCAGTGATACACTGATTGGCATGGACTTGGGCTCTGATGCTGACAGCCGAACCAGGTAGCTGGAATAACTAGAACCATCAAGCCAGATGTGAAGACGTGTTCAAAGGACAGAACTTAGTCATTGCTGCTGCGTAGGCTGGGGTCTGATGCTCCGGAGGCGGCGCTGCTTGCTGCGGCGGCTGTGGCGGCCGACGTGGAGCCTCGGCGCGGCGACGGCGGTGGCCGCGACACCTCAGATGCTGACCTGGAACTGGACTCCCTCATGGCCACCCTCATGTGCACCTGAGCTCTGCCCGTGAGACAGCGCTCCCCACCCTTTCAATCCACCATGGTCACAGCCCGCTAGCTCTGTCGTGGCCGGCACCCAACATGCGGCGCTTCGAGTGCAGCTTTCTACAATCATAATGGGTGTCTGAGCTGTGATTTTTGCCGGTCGCAAGGATGCTGGTGAAGTCATTTGGGGATCCCCTTGTCGCATTCTATGGACTCTTGCCATGTCATCGAGATTGGGAGGCATGATTGTACCCACAAATCTTGCAGCAAGGGCGCATGGCTACGGCGGAGCAGGAATTAGGGTGCAAGAAGACAGATTTCAATGCAATAATGTCAGACAACGCCATGGAGTGCTGTGTGCACAATGATGAGGATGTGCATTTGACAGCAGGGTGTGCGCGGGGTATTGCCCCTCATGAGGCTGTTTGGGGACAAAGTGGGGAGCATTTTGAAGCAGGTGGCCTGATGAGGGTATTTAGGGGGATAAAAGAAGGATCCCTTACTAGGAGAACATGAGATTGCTAGCATCCGTATGCCCTAGACTGCAGCTGCAGCACAGCTGTTGTCAGGGCCTGTACCAGTAATTGTGCTCTTGAGGGGGGCCTGCTGCTAGCATCAGAAACTTAGGCCATAGAGGGCGCGTCAGACAAGTCAAGTGTCATGTCTTTAGCCAATTTATCAGTGTGCTGCTCAGGGCATTGTATTCCAGGACCTTTGAAGCGCAAGCTTGCATGGAATAATTTTAACTTTTCATGTGATCACAGAAACTAGTGTCTTACTCACAATCAGTATTTGAGGGAATAGTCTTGTCATGTACTGCCAGCTCAATTGAATCCGATTGCTCAAGACAAAGCAGTAAAAAAATTCAAGAAAATATGCAGTCCTTTTTGTAAGGACTTTTGTCCTCTTGGTGCAAGAACTTCTAACACATAACTCGCTCATCAAGAACAAGATATTCTAAAATCAGAAGGCTACACTTTGCCAGACATGCTGGGGTTGCAACATCTTGAGCAATTGGTCACGATCTAACATACAAGCCTCACAGACCAGGCGCCAGGCATTCCTATTTCAGCCTGACAAATTTGCATCTGAATTCTACTCTACATGTCTTGGTTCAGCTGAGCACCTGCTCTCCAACTTCATGCCGGCCTGACTCTGGCTGCAGGCCAGAACAACTACCCACAGCTACCATATGTATTTATTAACTGCTCCTCGTAGCCTCAGACACTGCCTCATCCGCCCAACGTGTGCAATCATTCACGCCACTCAGAGGCGCCTCACTTCCGTTTGAACTGCTCATCAACCCCCTTCTTCATCTGCGCAACCAGGCTTCCCAGTCTTTAGATCCAGATTGAAGCCGAGAATAACTTTTCCTGGTCGACTGCGGCAGCTGCAATCAGGCCTGCATTCCAGAAGGAAAGGTGTGTACGCTTACCTCTTCCCTGAAGGTCTTGTGAAAGTTCTGCGCCTGCTCTGCAATCTGGGTCTGCTTGTCAGCACCTGCAGAGAAACGTCTGCGTTGTCAGTGTCTTGGTCACCACTGGCCATGGTAAGACTGACTGTTGTGAAAACACTTTTTACACACTGTTTCCCAAACCAGTACGAGAAACCAAACGCTTGGGAGGGGCCGCAGCTCACTCTTCTTTGCAAGCTCTGTCATCCAGGCATTCGAGCGGACTGCAAACTTCTGGAAGACCCGGCTGCACGCACACAGAAGGGGCTAGTGAGTTTTGCCTAGTTGGAGGTGCTGATACTTTTGTCTATCGTTCTCACGCGATACGCAGCTTGTACACCCATAATTATCATGATGCAAGGTCCATCAACGTTTAGCAAGGTAAGGCCACCGCAGCAGCAGATGAGCAAGGGCACACTTGTTTGCGAGGCCTTGCACCAGGACCTCGTTCACCAGGTGATTGAAAACGCGGGCGAAGAAGCTCATTTCAGCCAAAAGTATTAAATGCCTCAAGACTCGATCTGAGGGCCAAAGCCCCTATGCTCTCCCTGTTGATCTGCTTGCGAGGATTATGATAAAGCTTTTTCACCCTTTTCACGTCTCCGCCCCCGGAAAAGGACCCGATCACAGTTTACACACCAAAGATCCTCCAACGCACGCAAAGGATCACACAAATGCGCTCACTTGGCTGCTGTTCTGCCTGGAATTGCAATGAGCCACAATACAATGCTGTAAGCATGAGTAATTTTACGTAGCTGTCGCTAGGAACGCCGTTGGCGCCCGGGGTGTCGTGCTGTCTCTTCCGAATCTATCGGGCACTTGGCACCATCAAGCATAATCATCACCAGAGAAACCGTTGTTCATTAGCTATAAAGCTTTGTAACGGCTCTCTGATCGCTGCTGCGCTCCCACATCGTTGCGCCTGCGTTTCCTTGTTCTTCCCAGAGCTTCTCAACGGCTTCCAGCGCAATGGCAGAGCAACACGGACATGTGGAGGTTGTGCCAGGTTTGTGCTTGCCTCTGGGCGCCAAAATTCATTTTCTGGGTATCAGATGCTGTCTTAGGGGTTTTGGCACCTGTTATTGCAAGATTGGGGAGCGTGTGTCGCTGTGATGGGGGATGCCTTATCTCGGAACATCAGCAGCGCGCAATTTCCTTTCCTAAGAACGTTTCTTGCATGGGAGGGGCAAACGCTATAGATGCCTCATGATTCTGGCCTAAGAATGGGTGCAGCGCGGCGAGCCAAGACCGCCGCACCCCTTCCAGACGAAGGCGGGTGTGGGGGTGCTGACAATGACACCATCGTCCGTCTATGTATATAATGAATGTCTCGGTGGCATGCAGCTCGTTTTCAATCACAAAGATTATACGATAATTTCGCTGGTGCCAAGACTTGGCGGCTAAGGTGGCGGATCAGGGGTCTCTGTGACGAAGCACGGAAATGGATTAGGCTGCAGTAGTTTCGTCGGGAACAGCAATTAATGGGGTTTAAAAGGTGTGACTATTGAGAAGTTGTCACTTTTTTGTTGCAGTCGAGTCCAACCTCGCCAGGGCAGTGAAGGAGGAGCAGGCCAAGAGCAGCGTTGGCAAGCCTGCACCCTCGCCCTCGAAGACAGAGGACAGCCTCGCTGACAAGTGAGCTCACGCTTTCGCTTATCTAGTTGATCTCTGTGCACATCCGTTCCGTCTGTTTCAGCAATGCAAAAAAGCGAACACAGTGTCCCAGGAAGGCAGGATTGGTGGCTGGTGGCACCTTAAGGTCGTGCAATCAGACTCCTGCCTGAAGGTTTTATGACCCATCTGAGGTTGCAGTGTACCAAGATGCTTTGGGTCGGTGTCCAGGATCAAGAAGGGTGACCTGTCAGATGACGACAAGAAGAAGCTTGGAGCCACAGCTGGCGCAGCGATCGCCTTCATTGTGGCCCTTGCTTTCGGAGGCTACAAGTACCACCAGGTCAGTCCTTCACCATAGTCCAATCCTCATTTTAATGCATGTCATGGGTATGTAGACTGGCCAAGCACATGCAGAGGTGCACAGTCCAGTGGTGCAGAGTCAGATAGTTTGTGACCAGAGAGCAGAGCCACCCCTTCTAATTGGTGTTGTTCTCCTTCCTGGTACAATTGCAAGACGATACACTCCGTGAAGGATATGATTGTTGCCACGCTGTTCACCTGTGGCCCGTTGCAGCACGTTCTGCCTCTCGACATTAGAGCCAGGGTCCATTATCTTGTTCTTGTATGACATGCACTTGCCAGGCAGCCTTTTCTCCTATCTTTTGGCGCTCGCTTTGCCTTAACGTTTTCATCTGTCCATCTCTAACTTGTTCCTGTGCTCGCTGCAGCACCGCCAGAACAAGAAGGAGCAGGAGCTGGAGGACGCCAAGAGCGGCCTGCAGCACGCCGGCAAGAAGCTGGGCGGCTGGTTCGGCAAGAAGGCCGAGGAGGCCAAGGACGCCGCCTCTGATGCCAAGGTGAGTTTGCCTTGCATGTAACACATCGTGGGATTTATCAGTCGAACTGCACTGCAACTGCATGGCTCACTGAACACGGCTATTTTGCTCTGCCTTAAAACACCTCCACTTCTGCTGCGGTGCACCTTGCAATTGCATATCATGCCCATTGAGGCTCCAAATGCACAGGGAACATTTCTCTTCTGCTTGTACGTGCTGTCATGCGCTGCATTCCCAGGCAAGCCTCTTGCAAGGACTGCATGGTTGCCGTGAGACATCACCCCCAGATGAAGAAGAAAGGAACGCGTAACTAGGAACCCCGGGGGTCTCCATCACCTGCGTACGATGTATACCCCTAGTTGCCGTGGGTTGCACATGTGCTGACATGTGCCAGCATGCGCGCGCAGGACATCGTGGCGGACAAGGCCGGCAAGGCAAAGGACGTGATCGTTGACAAGTCGGGCGACGCCGCATACCGCGTTGGTGACGCCGCAAAGGGCGTCAAGGACCAGGCACGTCGCCGCAAGTGAATGTGATTAGTCATGGTCTGACAAGCAAGTGCCTGGTGCACAATGCGTTGCAAGGGACTGCCCCTGAAGTCATGTTCTGAAGAGCCAGTGCGCCGTGGCCAGGTCTAGAGGATGTTGCAAGGGAGTGCCTCTCGAGAGAGCCTTGATAATTTTGATCGTGGGTGTTGGTGAGTTCGTGACGGGTGGCCAGTGAGGGTTACATTAGATTAGGCGTTATGGTATATCTAGCCATCTCAGATTGTCATGCAGAGCCAATTTTGCGAGGATCATGCCGAGATGTGCGCGATGCTGATGATAGGATAGAAGCTGCTGTGTAGTTGTCGCTTTGTGGACATATTGCCTTGCGTAAGGATCACAGTTCACCATGTCACAGTTTTGTGGCCTTGCCAGCTCCTTTTATTTTGAATGTTAACATGTAATGCTGGTCTGTGCTGAAGGGCACTGGCATTATGCCAGGTTTAAACTTCCAGGATGAGTAGACTATCGAGAGTTTACATCAGAGTGATGAGAGCTTCACATCAGAGTGTTGAGAGTTTCATCAGAGTGATAAGAGTTTACATCAGCGCTGGTCTGCCACAGCAAAATGTCTGGATTGTTTCACTGGGGGAACGAGGGCACACTGGCGGGTGCCTGGAGTAAGTGGCTGTTGCGGTCTGTGCAGGTCAAGGGCGAGGGCCACCACGTGGAGAAGTCTGCGGCGAAGGCGTCTGACAAGAGCGACAACCTCGTGCGCTCCACCTATGAGAAGGGTGCCTCCAAGGCCGAGTACGTCAAGGACAAGGTCAAGGGCGCCGGACACAGCACCAAGAGGTGCGCGCACCGGCACTGAGAAGTAGACTGCCACTGGGATGTGGATTTTGGTTGCCTAATGTAAAGTGACATGCTACCCTAGACCTCAAGGTCATTATGACTAGCATTGATATGCTGGCAGAGCTGGTGCCTTGTCACCTTATCAAACAGCTATTGGTTGATGAGGAAGGCAGAAATGCATTGTCTTGTGGCATGCCAAATCAGAAGGCTGCACACTGCCTTCAGTACTGGGGTGGTGACTGCTGAACATGCTCTTAGCTCCTGCTTTTGTTTCACAGCGCACTGGGGTGGCATCTTCTCGGTCATATCCTGTTGATGTTCAACTCCTGCTGCCACTCATAGTCAGGTGAGTGGTAAGCTAAAAAGAAGCTTTTGTTTCTCTGTAGGCACGTGAAGGAGGACAGCCATGGTTTCCTGCACGGAGTGAAGAGCTGGCTGGGCCGCCGCAAGGACGAGCTGGACGAGGCCGCCAGGTGTGACACATGACTAACATTACTAATGCACGCTCACAACTTCTGCTATTCAACTTAGGTGTCTTGATACTGTTAAATGCTGTGACTCCTTCGACACTCGCTTGAAAGTAGATGCCAAGTGCCCAGAGGTGCGCCACCAGGATGGGTCAGGGTCTGCAGTCATGCAATGCGTGATCCTCGCATGTAAATCTCAGTGTTTTGCATGTAAGGCTGAGTCATACCTTGTTGTGCCAGGATTGGACGTAAGGAGCAGGACTACGTGGTCGACAAGACCAAGGCCAAGGCGCACCAGTACAGCAAGTAGACACAACTGAGGCCTCGGCTTCGCCCGAGGCGCTGCCGCGCGCCTGTCCCAGCGCACCTTGCCGGTGCAACTGCATGTCCCTATTGTGCCTCATGGATGATGCTTTGATCCCCTGGCTGTGTCTGAGGAGATGGGGTGGTTCTTAAGCTAGCAGCATATGAGTTTTCTGGGGGAGAGTTCTCTGCAGACCCACATACTTTTGGACAGCAGCAAAGGAAAGCAGCCGAGAAGTAGACGGCAGATTGTAGCCTTATTCAGTGGGGATAAGTGAATGCGTGGTATGATTCCTTTGCATGCGCAAGCCACAGACTGCTGCAAAGGGCTCGAGTATTGGTGGTCAAGTAAGAGAAGCACACAAGCAGCACTGTGCCTGTTTGGGCAAACCGTCACTGTCCTTTTTTTCAGCTGATGTTCGACGTAATGTCTGTGGAAGTGTTAGAACTTGGGGACAGATCAAAGGACATACAGAGATCTTGTCATTGCTATAATCTGCCAAGGTTATTACAATGCTCTTTCAATTTATCTTCTCATGTTGACCAAGACTGCTCGTGACTTGTCTCTCACAGTGTGCAGCTCCTTTCTCACGTCACAAGTCCATAATACCAAAGCTAAAGCCTTTACAGGCAACCATCACGGTCTCTCAAAACTCACAAATGCTTTGATCTCCTACGCCCTGACCCTTGTGAGGCCCTAGAGCCAGACATGCTCTCACAAAAGAATGCAGCCAACATGTTCCCAGTGGACTGCCAGGTGGCATGAACGTGTCTCATTGACACAGCTTCACATTTCTACCTGTGCAGCCATTCAATTCCTTTCACTCCCAGCTTGCTCTCCAACGCAGCTACCTCCTGGCTTTCCCAAGACCAGCTGCTCAAGACTAACTGCAGAGGACTGCCGTGGCGACAAATACTCCCATAGGAACACCCCGCTGGGCAGCTCAAGATCTGCATCTGCTAAGGGGAAGGCTGCTCCACAAAGGGTCACTGCAATGCGGCTGTTCTGAGCTCGAGGCCCCTCTGTCCTCGGAGCAGAGAGCATCTGATGCAGCAGCTCCAAGTAGAGGTCCTCAAGAGTGCTGGCTGCAGATAAAAGCTGCTGCTCAGAGCTTGACGCCCTCCGGGAGAACGCGCGCGAGCACATCGGCGGCCAGCCTATCCACCTGGGAGTCCAGGTCGCTGAGGGCTGCCTTCTTCTCCTTGTCCAGCACTGCCAGCGCGCTCGCCAGCTCCTTGTCGATTTTCTGCGCGCGGCAAAGATTGCAGTCAATTCACCATGCGCCGTCCATTTGACATCCCCCTACCGGCGTCTTGTGGCTTATCCACGAAGGTATAAATGCCACTTGCATTTCCTGGCTGCACATCACTTCGATCCAAACTGCCACTGCATCTGCCGGCCAGGAAGCCGGCGACTCACGATGACCACACCCACAGTCAACACTCCTCCAAACCCAACTTGCAAGGGTCACCCCATATGGGTCGACAGGATTGTACACCCCATTCCCCGTCCATTTCCCTCTGAATCTGGGCATCAAAAGTCTTGCCCTGAGGCACCACACTGCGCTGCACTCAATCCACCAAAGGCATCCAGTGTCTATCCCATATCGCTGTACTAAGAACATCCAAAATGGGCGGATGACAAGGGAGCTGCCGCGCACCGCCTTGACCTCTCCCAGCCTCTTCTCGCTCTTGGCAGTGGCCTCGGCCTTGGCCTCCTGGATCTGCTTCTGCGCAGCTGCGCGTGCCTCCTGCAGCACCTTCTCTGCAGCCTGCTGCTTCGACAGGATCTCGTCGTCGTTGCCCTACGCATTGTAAAGAAATCTCAGGGTCATTCCGTGGCTATCGTGCATGATGCGCATGGCGCCAAAATCTAAGGTGCTAAGCTGGATGCCTGTTCTGGACGGCTGCCATGCATACTGGCTGCCGCAGGGGCAACGGCGGCAGTTCATGTCCACGGCGCAATCTTTGCTTTGACGTCTTGCTGCTGACCTCCAGTACATGTCTGCTTGCCGTTTGCAGCACCATCGGCAGCGAGGGACCTCAGACGCACCAAGCAGGCACAAAGCAACTCCAGATGCACTAGAATACAAATATAGTTGTTCTCATCTTGATCCATAGGCATCTAGCTGACCTCTAGACAGTAGCACAGCAGGGTCCAGGACACGCCTGGTCTGGGTCAACAGAAAATGGCAATCCAGCTTGGCAGACAGAGATGATCGCTTGTAAAGCTGCGCAGAAGCAATATAGGTAGAAGGGGTGCACCTTGAACTTCTTCAGCTGCTCGCGGATGTACCCATCACGCTCGTCGAGGACCTTGCCCACAGGGGTGAACCAGGTCTTGTCCAGGAAGACCATGAGCAGGAGGAACTGGCCGACCATAATGGGTAGGGTCAGGTTGAAGTCGAAGATCTTTCCTGCCACTGCATGTGCTGGCAGCGCCATCAGCGCGTTTGTGATGGCTGCAAGAGCTGCTGGGCGCACGAATGCGGGCAGCTGTGCTTCCCTGTGACCCGAACCACGATTTCCCAGTCAGCACGATCAGTCCAGGGCAAGCCAGGGGAGGCATCTGCAAAAGAGATGCCTGCAGCGCTGCTCCGCAACGTTCTCATACATTTATGTAGAAAGACTTCGTTCCAGACACACTCTGGAAAGTCTAGAAATATTGAGAAAGAATTCGCTGGAAGGGGTGCAAGACTTGCAAGTCTCTTTCTTTCAGCATCCCACCAGGGGGGGGGAGCGATCTTCTGGACGCCCGATCGCTAGATGGGGCATCTTCATTTCCTTGAGAGGATTAAATCAATCACCTGACGGCCTTGGCAGCAGCACGCACTCCCTCAGCCTTGGGTGCAGCAGCACGCACAACCAGTTGGATTGCACGCCCCTGAGCGGCCTGCGAGCTCCTGGCGGTGCCCGCAAGAGGGCGGCATGCAGGGTGAGCGATCATGGCAGCCATTGTGACGAGTGCTACCCTTACGCCGGCCTTTTTGTGCTTCTGCCTCTCCTCAGTACAATTTGAGGCTGAGGCGCATGGAGATCACATTAAGGGCTTTCGCATTTCCCCTAAAAAAAAAAAACAGAAGTTCTCAGGGCCTCAACGGAAACTGAGCCTGGGGCCAGTTTAGGAATGCTTCCCCTCATTCATAAATTCAACCGGCTCAGCTGTTCATTTTGATGTGCTGGCAGAGTCTTCACTGCAATAGAGACCCACCTGTGGACTGTGCATAGACTTGGAGGCTGCAGTGATTCTCGCTGGAGTGTTGAAGAGGTTTGCCAGGGAGTGCATGTCGCTTCAACAGTGTTGAAAGTTGCCCTGGGCGGTCACCATTGAGTGATGTTACACGGCTCAGGCAGCCGGACTTTGATAGCCCCGGCACCCTAGGATGTCTCGTCAAGGTTATGGAGCCTACACAAGGTCTCAGGGCATCTTGGCGGAGCCCAATGGCCAGCCTGCCCATACCAGCAACCGGGGCTTGCCTCCCCAGAAAGGGAAGCGTAAAGAGGATGACGCCAAGGTGCTGACACATAATCAAAATGGGCCCTTGGTTCATTATGTACTGGATGCCATGGCCTCATGATTGTAACTGCTTTGGTGGGCTGCTGTTTGTACCTGCTCCGTGGGTCTTCCGGTGCGCTGGCTAAGAGACGGTTCCGATTCCGGGTACATCGCAGACCGTGCAAACCCTGGCCGGAGCGAAGAAGGGAAGGTCTGCTTTTGGAGACATTACAAATACGAGGAGGGACACACAGCTTGATTACTTGCCCGCAGAGAAGGTGTTTACTTTTCTTTGAACATTCTTCATGGATCGTGTCTGCAGACAAGCTACCTTCAAATCATATCACTTAGAGAACAGCTTCAAAAGTTTATTCTCATGTCAGAATGCTGGGGCCTTCCATTGCATGCAGTCTCGAAATTTAAAGAAGCGCCATATTTTACAGTCGAAAGGAGCGCTCAAGCCTGAGGCTCTTTCATGCAGGTGCAGGAGCTCGCGAAGAAATACGGAGTGCCATATAGGATCGTTGCCAAAAACCTGGTATGTTTCCCATGCTACTTTGAACTGGAACCATCCTGGATATATTTTGAAAGGGGGCTCTTGCAACATGATGCCTCTCTTGCAGGCGTCCAACGAGCAGCAGAGGCAGTCACAAGGGAGTGACACAGTGTCTTCCAGCAGCCTTCGATCAGGTGAGCTCGCTTGCCTTCGATCAGGCCTGCCTGACCCTGACTGCACCTTGCAATCGTACACTTGAAACACAGAAGCCAGAACCACTGGAGTCCAGATAAAGTGAAATCGACTTATCACCTCCTCATGATTGCAATCGAAACGCTTTTTCTCATGTGTTCAATCAGCTCAATATGCTGTGCAGTTCAAACGGAGGAGGAAGCCCCCGCAGAGCCAGAGTACATTGACATTGACGCTGTGGACGCCGACAACGAGCTGGCCTGCACTGACTACGTGCATTCCATCATGGAGTATTTGTTCACATCAGAGGTATCATTTACCGACAGAGAGCTTGCTACCATTTTGCTCTGACTCTCACCACATCTCCCATCAAGACAGCCCACCACCTCAAAGATGGACTGCATTCCATCAACCCTCACCTGTGCATGCAGCCACTGTGATGCTGCGCAGAAACCCTGATAGAAATCTGTGTTGGTGCAGCGGAAACGACGGCCACTGGCGTCCTACATGAGCACAGTGCAGCGGGACATACATGCCAACATGCGTGGCATCCTAGTGGACTGGCTGGTGGAGGTGGCCCTGGTGAGCCCTCCTGCCTGCTCAGATCACCCTGCGCTGCTGACAGCCCCTTAATGGGCAAGACTTCAGCTGGACTTTCCACCTGTGCCTCAATTGCTAGACTGCCGCCTACCAGAAGATGCACTGTATGTGGCAACTGCAGATGTTTTGTGGCCATAAAAGGCTGGGCTCCGGCTCCAAGAAGCTGCATCATAGAGACACTAAATGTGACGCAAGGCATGGTGATCAGTGACCTGAGAGAGTGATTGCAGCTTGAAGTGAGCGCAAAAGCTGGGGCCTTTTCGTGAGGGTCAGCTGCTCTGAATTGACATGAGTAGTATGGTTGTGCAGGAGTACAAGTTGGTGTCGGACACACTGTTCTTGGCCATCTCCTACATAGACCGCTTCCTGAGCCTCCAGGTGGTGCCCCGGCAGCAGCTGCAGCTTGTCGGCGTCTCCTGCATGCTCCTGGCGGCAAAGTACGAGGAGATCTATGCCCCGCAGGTGCACAGCCCAACGACCCTTTGCTCTATTGCATCCTGCTGACCTGTCTCTAGTACCAAAGGGCTTGCTGACATCTTGGGGCTTTTAGGGGGCTGACACGGGGATGAGCTGCTCTGCCCTCCAGGCACCTGCCTGTGGATACATCTTTCATCAGCTGCCAAGCATGTCAGTAATTTGTCCTGTGAGGACCTCAACGAGCATGCTCCAGAGGTGAAACACCAAGAATTGAGCATGCATGCGTGCTGTGCCCAGGTGGACGAGTTCTGCTACATCACAGACAACACATACTCCAGGAAGGAGATCCTGGGCATGGAGGACTGCGTTCTGGATTCGCTCCATTTTGAGCTGACAGTGCCCACTCCGCGGCTGTTCCTGCGGCGCTTTCTGAAGGCCTCTGCTGCCGACTGGCCCAGCTGCGGCATCTGGCAGTGAGCCCCGTCTCCCTGCAGCAACCCCGCTTGTCTGCAAGTCAAGCTGGCCCCTGAAAGCCTGCAGCTCTGACCACTGTCATGCTGGTTGAACATCATCAGAACAAGCAATGCAAGACTGTCTATGTCTGTCTCTTGGGTGTGATTCCATTGCTATCCTGTCATTGCTAGCCCAGCATTTAGAACAACCTTCAGAGACAGCTCGTCCTAAGGATGGCACACAGCTTACAATGCTCTGAGAGTGAACTTTTAGGCTGCAGTCGCGCACTCAAGGCATGCGCTCATTAAAGGCGAGACAAAAGGCAACTTGGAGCTGCTTCACAGGGCAATAGGACCATTTGTTACAATGGCAACCAGCATCAAAGGACAGTACTGAAGGGCTACTGATGCTGGGTGCAGATCAGAGCAGGAGTACCTGGCGGCCTACATCACAGAGCTGTCCCTGCCAGAGTACACAGCGCTGCAGTGGCTGCCGTCACTGATAGCAGCTGCGGCTGTGCTGGTGGCGCGGTACACCTGTTACACGGCGATCCCTGCCCTGCGCAGCCTCCCTGTCTGGTCGTCCACCCTCGTGCACTACACCCGCTACCGGTGGGTGCCTCTGCTTAGCTGATGTCGTTTTTCCTTATTGTTCTCACCTACTTCTGCCCAATAAAAACTGCCCAGCACTGTGAACAGCAACTGCCTAACACCCTCCAGTGTTCATCAGTTGTGCCTCATTTCATCAAAAGTAATCGCTAACGCACCAGGGTCAATGTCCAATTACAACAGTACAAGCTGTGAAGAGCTGCTGATTATTTCGACCATGATCAAATAGATGTTCTCTGATGTAGCCATGCATGCATGCCTTGCAGCACTGCTCTTGCAGCATTAAATTTTGCTATGCCTTCAAAATGTAAGCACGAGCTTACGATTGATAAAGATCATCCCGCGCTGTTGCTCAGGGCGTCAGAGCTGCGCACATGCGCGCTGGCGCTGCATAGCTTCTACGAGCGCGCAAGCAGCAAGGTCATGAACAGCCTGCCGGCCATCCAGGAGAAATACGCGCAGCCCAAGTACAAGTGTGTCTCAGCCATCCACCCCCCCAGCCGCCTGCCAGAGGCCATCTTTGCCGACCCCCAGTGACTCGCCGCTGACTCAGCCGCGGCGCCCTTCGTCGCTGGCCGGAGGATGAGTCGTCGTTGGGCTGAGCAGATCTCAGCAGAGGCTCTGCCAATGAGTCATTGGGTGGGCTGAGCAGCTCTCAGCGGGGGAATTGCCGATGAGTCATTGTAGGGCTGAGCAGCTCTGAGAGGGAGCTCTGTAGCGGTAGGAGAGTGCAGTTGCAGCTGGTAGAGAGAGTGGGTCCCCACATGTACATAGCAGGGCCAGCCAGGGGTGCCGACAGGGATGAGAAAGGCCTGTTAGCAGCCTCCCTGATAGCAGGGACCAGTACAGCAGTTGCTGCCTGCACGGCGCACGCAGCATGAGAAGGGAAGCAGCCATCATACCTTTCATGCTTGAGTGCAGCTTTTGAATTTTTTAGAGCAGCAGCAGAGAGCAAGCGGGTTGCCCGGACACCTTGGCCTCTGTTGAGTGAGAGCCATGCTTGCTCAGTGCAAATAGCCAGCGCTACAGTGTCCCTTTGTATCACTCTTCAGAGTAGCAAGTTACTTTCCATATGTTTTGTTCTTTGTCTGATAGAACCTGTATAGCTACGATGTAGCCGGTCCACAGCAGATTTAAAGGGTTGTGAGGTGAGAGAAACACTCCTTACAGAACTTGATATGGACCTCTGACAGATCTGTACTTGGGATGACAGCATGCAAGCCTTACAAATTCTATTGCCGCTGCAGCACTTTCTCTCGTGCAAACGTGTGGACTTCAAAGATCAAAATTTGCCCAGTTGATGTCTTTGGCGGATCATGTGCCTTGGTGGCACACAGCAGGCATTCATAACGAGATCTCTAGAAACATCATTCTTTTCTTACAGACCATAGCAGAAATCTTGTCTTGCTTGACTCTACTTCAGTGAAGTAACTTCATCCCTCCTTCAAGGACATTCAAGCCCAAAACAATCCCTATGAATACCATGGGAAGGAGTCTCCGACAAAGGAGTGATGCGATTCTACAAGTCGCGGTGATCCGCGACCAACGATGCCGTCTTGATCCCATACTTTCAGGAAACTTTCTCAATATGGCTGACGTGTCACAGCTGGTCCCTGTTATTATTCAGAGTTTCATCCTCATACTGTGCGGCTCGGCCACTCCGGCCGACAATGGCTTTCACAACCGGCTTTGCTGCTGCGCCTGTGAAGGGCGTCTCGAGCCCCGTGAAGGTGCGCCGTGTCACCAGATACTCTGCTGCTGACCTCACTTCCGCCAGCCTGCCCGGCCCTGCCACACAGACAGGCATGCTTTGTAATGCCCAGCAGCGAAATTTCTTTCATCTCCAGACTTCAAGTGCTGCATTGCTTGCAAGACCCCATGGTAAGACACCAGATGAGGACCATTTTTGAACATGCACACTGCAAAACAGCCTCCCCCACTGCCACACTACCCTCAAGCAAGGGTCCCAAGGCCCTGCAAGCAAAGATAGCATGTGGCAGCCGCATGAGTGCATGCACAGGTGGACTCACCTTCTGGCATGTGGAGTACGTGGGGGTTGCGCTCCGCTAGCGCAGTTGAGGCGGCAGCCACTGAGCGGTCAACTGCGCTCCCGTAGCGGCCGCCGTCCACCAAAGAGAACCTTGGCGCCGCCTCTGCGCATGTGAGCACACGTTGCGCATATTTGGATGACAGCGACCGAGACCGCAACTGTGGTTGATCCTTCGCCAGTTGAAACTGTCATTCCATCGTATAAAAATAATATTGGTCTGACACTCTTGAAAAAAGGAAAACGAGAAACCTGCAAAAAGAAATCAGAGCCCCGATTCTCTTTGCAATTGGCTTCACTTTGCCACGACAAACGCATAGGCATGTGGGTTTCTGCATTGATTGTGCAACACTTGACGGTCAAGTCGAGCAATTGGCAGTCCTTTGATGCCTTCTGCTTCGGCTAACTACAGTATAAGTCCATAGTGGCACCCAGCGCATGCTGAGTGGTCTGCTAGAGATGCAGTAAAATCTCTGCGTTTTGTTGAGACAGTGATCACCTCGCTCAGAGACAGAGAGCTCCGCAGTAGAGCTCAGCAGCGCGTCAAAGTCCAGGCGGTAGTCATTGCTGACTAATCCGCCCTCAGGAGCAAAGGCCAGCTGCGCCTCATATGGCGTTATCAGCGGCGAATAAAACTCCTTGCTCTCTAGGATCTGCCCCTGCACTTGCACGCCAGTGTTGGCATGTTGAAGACTGAAAAGCTGCATGATCTTGGTGAGTAAATTCATGGCAAATTGGCAGCTTGTGCCTGGTGAGCTCAGGTCATGGGTAGTGAATATTGTCGTCAAGGCTGTGTGAGACTTGGTGGATCTCGCCATTCCGACGAACTAGACAAACATCATAGCTCACCAATGCCAATGCTTTGATCTTACAAGCATCCGCTCTAACAACATGCATGCACACAGCATCCTGCACACTGCATGATGCATGGCATACTTCAGCGCAAGCACGGGGAATGCCATTCTGTAAAGACACCCCTTGCATTTGACCAACATTACACAACGACTGGCACCCACTCTTGAGTGCTCTCCTGTAGAAGTAGTGCTTGACATTTAACCAAGATCAAGCTAGCAGCCAATCCCTCACCTGGGCGTCTGCTATGAGGACGAAGACATCCACCTCTGGAAAGTTGGCCAGCTTGACTGGGCTTGGCTTGCCCATGAGCAGTGTGTAAGTCTTCTTCCCTGCCGCCTGCGCCAGCTTCTTTATTGCCTCAGCAGCTTCCAGGTAGCCGGCCACCCCCAGCGTTCCCACCACAATGCCTGCACACAGGTTTGAAATCAGCCCAGGACAGCTCAGGTGACTGATGCAGCAAAACAACCACATGTACTCTCACACAGCATGCGCATATCTTCTCTGCATGCAAGCCGGAAGTCTACATGCAGACACTGCAAGATAATTGATGAAACAGGGAGTGCCCATAAGCACTGGCTGACAGACCACGTAAGCATGCAAAGCAGGCACAATGACAATTCAATACATGTGAGGTCAACGCCAATATGGTGCACACTCTGGTCATCACAGCACTGTTGTGACTCCTTCACGATCTGGGTGCAGGTGGTTTGCGTGGGAGGGTAGATATGAAGAGACACACCTATTATGTTGGCGTTCTTGGCTTTCTCAATGAGGTAGTTGCGCTTGCGGAGGGTGCGGCTGATCTCCGATGGCAGTCCCTCCCTCAAGCTGTCCTCTTGTGGATTGTACATCGCCCAGTGCATCCTGCACAACAGCATAATCTCCCTGAGAATCACATCCACATGATGACACATCACAGTTCACACACCCTGCAGCTCACAAGGCCTAAACAAGTGGCACGGCACCTCTTCCTTTGCATTTAATAACGCTGCAGTGCACTGTAAAACCCACAAAGTGTCAGCCTCCCTTCAGACAAGATCAATCAACAACCTGAGGACAGACTATCAGGTCACCTGACCACCCTTTTGTACAAATTCCAATCAGGCAGTGGGATGATATCCTGTGAGAGGCAGGTGGATGTCAACCTGCTGTAAGTCATGAGCAGCTGCGTCAGTGCTGGAGCATCATCATCCCCCAGCCACAGCCACAGGCAATCCTGCGCATCCACCCCCTCTGGCAGATCCCACTGCAGCCCAGCCGCCACCCAGTGACCTGCCCTGCTCCCTTCTGTCAATCCACCCCGTCCATCTGCACTATCCCAATCTGCTGCTTGCGGCTGCAGCAGGGGAGCTGCACTGCAGCATGGAGGTTGGCTGCTGACAGTGGCTGCATGGCGCCCGTTCTGGCTCGGGGTCGAACTCCTGACTGATGCAATGGGCTGCGCATCTCTGCAGCAGACAGAATAGCTGCTTGCTGCAGCGCAACTGTCCGACGGCGTTCCCATGGACTGCCTATCGGAGCCTGCCGCTGCGCTGTCTTTCACATTATTTTGGTCCTGCCCGCAGCTATTGATGCTGCTGCTCTGATCTGGGCCTAGGTCACCTGCTGGGGCTCGGTGAGATTGTGTGTCAGTGTCTAACGGCTGACTGTCGGAGGTGGCTGGCTGGGGAGATGAAGATGGCACTGGGGCTAGCTGGTGTGTCAGAATATCTGCCACCAGAAACTGCACATCCAAATTTGCCTGCAAATGCACCAGCCAAAATGAGCTCACTGCAACAATTAGCCATATTTTGCCCGTCAACAACGCCAAAAAATGATCTACATTGCACACACCTTGCGACAAGCCTCAATGTCTGTCAACAATGCTCACATAGGATGTATAATGCTTTTTATGTACGTTTGAGGGCGTACCTTCGTGGCAGAAGATGCCAGGCATGCGCGCAGCTGGTTGACAGCCCACAGCAGGGGCTGGTCCGAAAGCACCACGACGGCCTTCATGCCTGCCACAGCGGCACTGCCATTTCCGGCTGCCCAGCTGACAAGCCGCTCTGCAGTCCTGCTGCAGTCCAGCGGCGCTCGGGTGAAGACAAAATACGCTGGCAGGGTGGAGAGGGGGCTCAAGGAGGCTCGCCCATAATGAATCTGCATGGCATAGGGGGGGACCCTAGTAATTTTCAGGTGCATGAAATCCTGGCCTGCTCCATGCGCCGTCCGTGCGAGCAAGGATCACAAAGGACAGGGTCTGCACACTGTATCAGCTTCCTGGCTGGGATGGAATATTTTCACGGATATGGATGATCATGATGAGTGGGAATTACTGTTACTCACCACGCACTGCGCGTGCACATGCTGAGCAGCCACCTCATCTACTCCCAGACTGTTGTATGTTGTGTCCGCCAGTACGAAGGTCTGCAGATGTGCATAACAAGATAATCTAGGGCTGCGTATGTACAACAATACGAACAAATATGACTGTCCATCAGGCAAGAGGTCGATGTTGCAGCTGCAAGCATAAGGGACTGCGCCATTCCAGCAGGCGATGCTTAGAATCACCTTGACTTGCAAGCCATGGCGTGCACAAATATCTTGTACGGCCTTCGATACATCCTTTGCTTCTCGCAAAAGATCGTCTGGAAACTGCAGGGTCACAACTGTAAATTTTCTGGCAGTGATGTAAGCTGCCACTCCCTGAATATCCCAAAACTGTGCCCATGCATCCCCCTTGCTGTCTTTATCGTTGGAGACAGATGCCGAGGGATGTTCACAAAGGTCCATAGTGTTCTGTGTCGCGACTTGCTCTCGAGATTATGCTGGAAACTTCTCCACAGCCCTCTGCATTTTCCACACTGTAAGGCAGGCAATCCAGGCACAATACTTATTGGTTCTGTGCTCTGTTAAAAAAGCCAATCAGCACGCAGACCTGTCTGCCATTTGACGTGTTTTGGGGCCCAGTTGATCACTTTCGACAGTATGTACACCTCAATTCCCCTCCGACACTTTCTTGGACAGCGCAGCATTGGAAGGCTGAGCTTTGTCCAGACGTCAGACTCAGACAGTTTCAGCAAGTTCAGTTTCTTGGTACCCAATTCAAATAGCATCTGCGTCGTGGTGCGTAATTTAGAGCGTCATACCTCGAAAGACGCCTGCCTTGGAGGACGCAACAGCTCACCGATGAACTTCGAGAGTTCTCCCCGTGTGGACACAGGTGGGGCATCCCTTTAATTTTGACAAAAACCACAAGTCCTCAGTGTTATTGGAACTGCCATTTTGTCCCTGCATCAAAAAGCACTGTAGACCGAGTGTGCCCCAGCCATCAGACTCTGATGGCTGGGGCACACTCGGTCATATGCAAGAAGGAAGAATAAAACATTGTTCCTAGTAATAATTAACTTGCGCACATTAAGAAAATATGATGGGGTTCCTTGAAATATTCAAGGCATACTATTCGTGGATTTGTGCCATGCAGTTTTGCCCCATCACGTTGTGGCAGGTGTGAGGTAGCACTGATACCACCTACACTCGCCTAAGCACGCTACACTCTGCCCTCTGCAGGATTGCTGGGACTGGTGGCGAAAGACTCCATCGAATGGACCCACCCCCACGAGGAGCACATTCAGCTGGCTTCAAATCTGCGCATCCGCCTGCGCATGCTGTGCAGCTACTTTTCAAACATCGAGTTTGTCAACAAAACCGGCGAACCAGGCCCGGTCCCAGACAATATCAGGCTGCGGAACACCTCCAAGAATGTGAACATCAACAAGGGAGATCCAATCGAGCTGGGACCTCAAGCCCAAGAAGGCCTGGATCATAGAGGCAGCAGATGGCACCAATCTGGAGGAGTTCAGCCTTGTGAGCACTTCTGGTGCCAAAATTCCCCACTTGCTTTATAATAAGCTTTCCTGAGGGCCCGGTTGCATGATTGGTGTCATACTTCAGCTGGAAGACCAGAGTCAGCGCTGTTGGTGAATTCCCTTTACTTAGACTGCAGGATGGATGACTCCAACCTAGAAATTCAGGCAATCACCACACCTTCAAGGGCTTTCTCTGGGCACCTGTTGGCCTAAGCTAACATCAGGGCTCCAAAGCTGTGTGCAGACATAATAGCCAGATATCTTTGCTGATGCCAATGCATTCTGCAGGTGAGGATCCTGGATTGATCATGATTGATTTATGTAAATTGCTGAAGGTCCTGCAAGCTTCTCTTGAAAACGTAACACGCCCCCCAAACCAGGGGATGATAGACTTAGCCGTGCTGGCACGTTTGTCCCATACTGTGCTGCTGAAGATGTCATGCCATGAGATATCTGAGATAGTGGACTGAGCCACAAGGGTTTGCGTATCGTGCATGGCTGCAACTGCAGTATTAGGCTATCAGGCTGGCCGGTCAGCTGACTGGCAGACATAGGAAGTCCAAGCTGGACATTCTTAGATTGAAACCCTAGATTGAAACCCTGAACTCCTTGGACCCAGCATGGCCCCATGCATTAGAAGCTGTCTGTAGACTTGCTTGATGGGAACACGAACGGATCAACAGTACGCCAATACTACAGAGCCCGACGCTGCGGGGGTCCAGTGGGTTGTAGCCTGCCCAAATCCAAGGAATTTATGGCTTGGGGTTCCAGAGCGAGAAGATCGTTACAGATCAATGAAGAACAGAGATTTAGGAGTGGATTAAAGTTGATGCAAGGTCCATGTGCGTATCACTCATGTGCGTTATATAATTCTGGGGGACCTGTGGGCACATGTCTCGGAAGCTTCCGCGATAGGGAGCGATAGATACTCGAGTACCCTTGCGACATAAGAGGCCCTTCGAAATAGAAGGCGTAGTGCCTCAACATTACATGAAAGTGCTTCTAATGGTCTGCAAGCATTCGTACCAGTCCCTGCTATGAGTGTTTTCCAAATTTTGACAGAAGTCTCGATGCAGATGTGCATGGCTGGGTCAAAGCTCTTTTCGTAGTTTATGGATCTGGGCTCAAATAGTGTTATGAAAGGTGTGCTTGAATATGACATCAATCTGCCGGGGTCTGATCACCAGCTGCACGTCGTGAGCGACCCTTGCAGCCGTGCCTTCGAGTACAGCATCGGCTCCAGTCTCTGGCAGGCAGCAAGTGAATTCCTAGAATTCCTGTCAGGTGTGTATTTTATGTGTGAAATTCGATGGGTATTATTCACATGTCTGAACGAGCAAGGGCACTCTCGAAATGAACCTTGGTGATGGGCAGGATTGCCAGGTGACTTTTACGCTGGTAAAGCTGTCCTGGAGCTAGGATGCGGCCTTGGGGTGGTGGGACAGGTCCGCCTCACATATCCCCTTTGTGTGATCTGCCTAAGAGTGTCAAGCCATGAGCCAACTCTATACTCTGAGAAGCAGTTTGCAATCTGACTTTCGTCTCCACAGGCACTGCAGCTGCGGGGGGCAGTGGTAACCCTCACAGACAGGAAGATACAGCTGCCAATATTGCAAGCAAATGTGGATGCAAACTTTGGTGAGCGCCCGCACTGACGCATGCATGCACTGATGTAGCTTCCTGCCAGGGGAAATCTAGTGCGTCTAGAATCTGACGAGTGCATTTGTGGTTCTTTAGGGGACCGACAGGAAGGTGCACCTCGTATAGCTGTCTTGGACTGGACAGAGCTGCCAGAATGGGCTGTTGAGACCCACTGGGATTTGGTCGTTGCATCTGATGTGGCCTATGACGAGGACTGCTTTGCTCCCCTCATTGACTGCCTGTCACGGCTGGCACTTTCTCCCAGACAGAATCACGCCGGCACAAAGGTGTGCAGCCCATCCTCTTCCACCATGTTGAGAGTGACAGTGCATGCTTCACCAAAATGCTGTTGGCATCTCACTGCACACAAGTTTTGATGATTATTGTTGGACCAAGTTTCAGAGCTGCTGGCCCTTGGATACGCGGTGGCATGGCACCTGTGTGACCTTGTGATCTATCTTCTTGGTGATGGATATATGGCTGCTGCTTGCAGTAGCTCAGAGGCTAATACTCAGCCGCAATAGCTACAATTGGGGACCCAAAGGAAGCATCTTGACATTGTGCTTGGTGCTTTTTTGTGCAGATTATCCTGGCCTTGCCTGACCGCCCGGAGACGCTGCCATTTTTTGCGGCTGCTGATGTGGCAGGGCTGATGTGGCGCCGCCTTCGCCACATCAGCCGGCATGATCTGGCGACCTCAGTCTCCATATATCAGTTTGTCCAGCGACCGTGTTCCCTGGATCCCTCTCAACGTGTCACTCCCAGCAACGGAGCCAACGAAGCTTCCCCAAGCAAACGCTGCAAGGTAGGCTTAATTTAAATAGCACAACCTCTTTCTTGTGATGCGTTTCGGTGACCAGTAACGATGGTGGGATTTTGGCATGTGACATGCATCTGAGGTGTACACCTCCACTGTCAGGACATGAAAGAGAATGGGTGTGAGTTGTCATTGTCAGGTCTATGAAATCACCAGGTCGATACAGTGATTCCCTGTATCTCTACAATGACGTACATCTGAAATGTACTTCAGATCATGCCCAGCACAATCCCATGCCGGCGCGGTGCCACAATGTGGAAAGAGAAATAGACATGGCCGCTAACTTATGATAGCAACTTAAATCAACTCATATCATGTTTTTCATTCAAATTTGGGAAGCATACAATTCAACTTTCTTTTCACTGTTGTCAATTAGGTGGCTGGAGCGACGGATGCAGGCCAGAGGAGGACAATGGTTGTGTTTGACTTTGACTGGAGTCTGGTGGAGGAGAACAGCGACACCTGGGTGCTAGATCAACTTGGCGCCACGGCCATCTTTAAGCGCTTGAAAGCCACAGGTGCGCCCATTACTGTTGCAGAATGCCGGCATCTTTCAAAGTATATTTTGAAATGCCTGCATGGTTCCTCCTCACAGGCTGAACACATGGGACAACCACAAGCCATCTTCACCGATGCGCTTAAAACATAGTAATTTCATTTGAAATCCCCATTTCAATATGCTGGCCTGTTGAGAAGGACCAATTCAAGCAACCTACCTGAAGATTGTGATCGAGTGAGAACGTCCATATCCTTGCACTTGCCGGCATGCCGCTGAGAGGCTTGGCCAAAAAGAATCTCAAATAGACTGGCACTAATTTATTCCTGCAAGATCACTGCCATAAGAGGTCAGGATTTCTCAAGTGTGCTGTCATGCAGGGATGCCATGGACTCAGCTGATGGATATCAGTCTCCTGGCTGCGCATGAGGAGCTGGGAAAGGGGCGGCAGGAAATCTTGGAAGCATGTGCCAGCGTGCCGTTTGCTGCATGCATGCAACAGGTGTGGCAACGATTACAGACGATTATGATTACAAATTGCAGTCTCCTCTATATCGTTATTACAGGTTCTTCCTTGCATTAAGGATAGTGGTGGCCTTGCCATGTTGGTTAGCTGCTCAGCAGCCTGCCCTTCAATGGCGGCAACTTCAGATCTCTAGAGATTTCTGAGTCAATTGCTAGGTGGCAGAACTGCTGAACGTATGCTTCACTTTTGACAGCTCCCCAGCAGGCTTACATCCGGAATGATGCCATATGTTTGCTCCTCGCTGGGCAGGAGCAAGTTGTGAATCGAAGAGGAAGTTTTATGTCTTATTGAGTAGGAAAGTTGCTTACTTTCTGAAGTCTGTTCCTTGAAAGAGTGTGTGAGAGGTTGGGGGTGTGCACAGGCTGTCAAAGAGCTGGCAGGCAGAGGATGTGACCTGGTGATTCTCAGCGACGCCAACTCGCTCTACATCGACACCATCTTGCAGCACCACGGCCTTCAGGAACACTTCAAAGAGGTCAGCTTTGGTCCAGCGTTTCTCTAATGACTGTTTGCATGCGCGCCACAGACAAGGAAATGCCCAGCGGTGTAGAGTTCTGCACAGATTTCTGCTCTTCAATGGTGCTCTGCTGTCCTTGCATGTTCAGGTGGTTGTGCAGGTTAGTAATTTGTGCCTCTATGAGGAAGGCAGCATGTAAGGCGATACCACTGCAACCCAAATGCAGTAATGTCTTGGATGTCACAATATCCAAGCAATTATCCTGTTTAATCATTCGATTTGGCCCCGGCTGGCGGGGGGCGGTATAATTACTGAGCACCGTGCCCATGGTTGATTAGGTCTTGCTTGGATCCGGCGGGTCCAACCATGGGTAGGATTGTGGCGACCTTTAACTGCTGCTTGTCTGCAGGTCATACCTTGCCTTTTGGCGGGAAAAGCGTGTAATAATAATAATTGTTATCATTTGATGCGCGCAGGTCCACACCAACAGAGCCTATTGGGAGGGTGACTCGCTAAGAGTGCTGCCACATCATCAGGATCCTGAGCCCCACGGCTGCCCCAACTGCCCTGCAAACCTGTGCAAGGGCAAGGTGTGCCTTCTCTCCTGCATGGCCCCGGCCCCTGTAGGGAAAGGCCGTTGAAAATCTCATCTTCAAGCTGTTCAACTTCCACAGTGGCGGTATCATGGTTCAGAGGCTCTGCAGTGTAGGCATCTCGTGGTGATGCATCCCAAGATGCAATGCGAATGCTTGACAACACAGCCTTGATCAGAAGCCTCTGCCAATATGCTGCTCTCTTGAAAAATATTGCTTCTGTGGATTCTTTATTGCATTGCTGCTCTTGCTCCCCGATCGCTTACATGTCCATTACTGCAGCGTTTTTTGTGTGTGGCAGCTCAACAGGAACAATCTCTCCCGATTTTATTCTCTTGCTGTTCAAAAAGTCTGTGTGCCGGTCTGAAGTCCTGCCATGCAACAGGTGATGGAGCGGCTGCTGCTGCAGCAGAACTACAGCAGAGTAGTGTATCTGGGAGATGGGCCTGGCGACTTCTGCCCATCCACCCGCCTGGGGCCTCGTGACTTCGTGCTCAGCAGGGAGTTTTACCCGACAGGTGAACAGATTCCTGAAAATTACATGCTGTGCACTCGGACTTAAATACAAGCTTACGAAAGCCCCAGCCATGATGCGATGCCTTTTCCCTCTGTCGCTACCTTCATCTGTCTGACATTCTCAGTTCGTTCTGCTGTTGCTGCTAAAAGAGCATGGCTTCTCTCCAAGGGTTCTCATGTCCCCATGAATGTGAACATCTTGCGCCCGGACAGAATGACCAATTGACTTGACTAATTCTCGATGACTCATCAAACACGACGCATGCAGGGGCACCCTGCTCCCTGCTGCGCCTGGCGAGGGCTGAGTCAGCACGCGTCACCGCCTGCTTCCACGGAGCCAGCCGGCCGGCAAACGACGGGGCCGCCGCCGCCGCGCTCGCTTCAGCCGCCGAAGCCGACGGCTGCTCGCATTCAAACTCGCATGCGGATCTCCTGGCTGGCAGCAATGCTGGCGAGGAAGTGGGAGCTGGCCCTGCAGCGGAAGAGGCTTCTGTAGTTGTCCCTGCAGGACAAAGCCAAGCAGAGGAAGGCAAGAGAAGCGTGCAGCAGAGAGAGATGAGTGAAAATGACTCAAAAAATGCTGATCACGGGGATGTGGGGAGAGCGGCAGGCAGTGCAGGGTTGAGTGTGCTTGGTGGGTCAGGGGGTGTGCCGGAGAAAACAGATGCAGAGAGGGGTTGCCAGCTGAGACGGGTGCAGGATTGGGCGCCAGATCTGACTCAGGTTGAACCGCACGGCTGCATGGCAGCTACGGTGTGTCCTTGGCAGACGCCAAGGGAAGCAGCTGATCTGCTGCTGAACCTTGCATGGGGGTGACGATGTCGTAATTTATATGATCTTGTGGCTTGGAAAATTGTCAGGGCAAAATGAAAGCGAAACAGTCGTCATTATACCAAAATTGGAGATTCATTGAACTGTGAAAAGTTTTGTTGCACACTTCGTTCCAAGTGTTTTCTGCCACACCACATTGTTATTGCATGCAAGCGTTTGTATGCCCTCATGACACTGCATCATTTGTGCCTTACTGAGAGAAAGTTGTCATATTAGTATATGCAAGATCACTGAAGGGAAACAATGCTGCGTTTCTACAAAGCTGTTCATTGCACATAGTGCTAAGCAATATGGTAATAAACCAGTACGGAGGCTTTGTCTGACACAAAATTCCATTCTTCACAAGTGCAAAAATTACTGATAACTTGCCTTGCTACCATCATTCAGCTCAAGTGCAGGTGCATTCAGCACAGGACAGAAAATAGATCCGTCCATGCGCATGGATGCTACAATGCCGCAATCTTCCTGGCAATCAAGTCCCCCGGCTGCCTGCGCACGTGCATCGGCCCCTTCTTGTGCCTGCTTCCCAAGCTCACAACGCTGCTTGCCTGTGCGTATGGTCCTAATTCTCCACTCCGGTACCGGTGAAGCATGTTCTCACCACTCCCACTGAACACAGCAGAGCTTGCATGCTCTGCTGACACACCTCCCCAACACCCCTCTTCCCACTCCCCAGCTGCTGCTGCCTGTATGCGAGCAGTCTCCTGCAATTGTCCCTTCCCCGAGCTTCCATCAAACCCATGCAGAAGCTCCATCTTGGTGTGCAGCTTAGTCATGGCCGCCTCCATGCGCGCCATGTGCCGGCCGATGGCCAGCAGGTGCTGCGGCAGCTGCTGCTCTAGTTCATACTCCCCTTGCATGTTTTGCAACATTCTCCCAGCCCCCTTCATTCCCCACGCCGCGCTGTCTGCACCCTGCATTGCTCCTGACGCCTGTGAGGCTCCAGACGGCGACTCCACTGCCGGGTGATGCAAATGCGCCTGTGGGGATCGGTCATGCGAGTGATGAATGTTTTGTGCTCCACTGGGTGACTCTGGGGAGTTCGTGTGAAAGGTACGCCCTTCGAGAATGCGCATGCGGCGCTGGAGGTCCGATGAGCTGGCGGCCTGCTGAGTCAGCGCCAGCTGGATCGCCAGCATGGCGGCGCGCATCTGCTGCGTATCTCCGGCACCCCTGCTGACTGTGCCTGCTGCCTGCACAGCCTCGCTGGTCAGACCTGTGATCCGTCTGCCGCTCATCTGGTCCTGGACTTGTGCAGACCCATTTGTGGCAGCGTGTGGAAATAATGGCCGGCTGACAGGTTTGGGGCGCTCGCTGCCATCAGGCATGGGCCCTTGTGCCGCAGCGCCTGACAGCTGCAAAGCTTCATCGCACCGCCTACGCACATCCGCAGCGGGGTCACTGCTTGCCTGTCTTAGCTCCTCATGCTGCCTCCTCAAGTTGCTTGAAATGCTAGAGTCCATTGCAGCTGCAGATGGGGCCGCTTCATTTGTCTCCTGCATGTAAGTGACCCTCTGCATGTCAAGGTTTCTAGCACAGATCAGTGTGAGCAGAATGTCTTACTGCAGCCACATGTAGCAGTAGGGCACAGACTGGCAACAGCTTGGAAACCTGCCGAAGCAGGAGGACGTTCGAAACACCAGACATACTAAACCCAGTGACATGCCCAGCAGGACTCCAACAACACCGATATCTGCATCAGCATCACCTGTGATGTGTTTGAGGTGTCTCCTCGCTGCAATGTGTCTTTTGCCGCTCCCACGCTGTGCACGCTGGGTGGCTGCTCTGCCGCACTGCGAGCTGACTCATGCATGCTAGGGGCTGCATTTGGCGCCGCACAGCGCGCATCGACCGGCCTCGGTGCTGAATTATCCTCATGAAAAGCCTCTGCCACCGGACTGTCTGACACCGTCAGAATGTCTGCCTCAGGTAAGCCATCTTCTTGAGGAGATCCGGGTGCGTGCTCGTCTGTCAGTACCAGCATTTCTGGCTCAAGCAAGCCATTCTCCAGACAAGCGCTGCCTGTCTGCTCATCTGCCGATTTCAAAATCTCTGGCTCAAGCACGCCATCCTCTTCTGTCAATATCAGTACTTCTGGCGCATGCAGGTAATCTCCTCCAATGGGATTGACTGCCAGCTCGTCTGCCACTGGCAATATTGCTGGCGCTAGCAAGCCAGAGCTGTCGTCCGCTGTGATTAGCACTGCTTCTGGCTCGAGCAAGTCTTCTTCGGACAGCCCTGGCCACTTGGGGGAGGGGCCCTGTGACTCGCGCTCCTCGCGCATTTCCCTGTCGATGATCTGGTCTACGAGGGCGTTCAGCGCGGCCTGCGCTGAGCTGTCGCCGGCGCCCGCTGACATCAGCGGCGCTGAGGTGTCGTCGGCCGCCGCTGAGGTGGCGTCGCCCAGGATACACTCTATCGCCGGGATGGGAACGCCGCTTAACGCTGTGCTCAGCGAAGCTGCGTGCTCGCTGATGCTCAGGCATGACTCGCTGCTCTGCGCCCTGTCCATTGCTTGCGAGTAAGTTGGCACAACGGCCTGCCCGTCTGCCTCTGTTGCGCTGCCTTCACTGCCCTGATCCGGCCTAGAAGCCGGCCCGTTTGGGGTAATCCGGCTTTCTGTAACAACCCGTGCAGTGCTACTGTCATCTGGGCTGCTTTTGCCCTGGAATTCTTCCATCATGCTGGAAGTGGCTTCCTGCTCATGAGGACTGTTTGTGTCCGCCGGTTCTTCACTATCTTCCGCTGAAGATGCCTGCAGATTGCCTTGTTGCTGCGGCATGTCCTGTGCAGCGACCTGTGCCTCAAGGTCACCAGCGGCCGGCAGGAATGAGTCAGCGCTGCTAATCGCAGCTCGTGCCTGATCTGGCGGCCCGCGTGTCAGATCGTAGCCTGCCCGCTGCAGCCGGCTCTGGAAGGCCTGGAACGCCATCGGAGACGCTGCGGCAATCGACGGCGCCGGCGACAGCAGCGCCTCTGCCTTCAGCTCCTCCATCTGCGCATCCACCCCTTACTTAAAGTATCCACCCTTTTGCTCTTAGTAATCTGTTACAGTCCTTTATGGACAGAACATCCTGCGCAGCGTCAGGAGGCTGGCCAGCAGGCACTGCCACTGGAGTGAATGCATTCCAATGAATGCATTCCAATGGCACGAGGCCCAAGGACAAAGGCATATATTAAATTGAGATGTGCGCATGTGCGCATCCGTAAATTCCACCAAAGCCACTAGCTGACAGAAAAACCGCGTTTGAGAGCGCGAGGCAGACTCACTTGCTGAGACAGTGCATTCGAGCCAAAGATTATTGATTCCCGGCTTCCAAGCTGGTACAGACTACTTGGAGCTTCACAGTGTCTGCAACCAGCAGCCCTGCTGACAGAGGGGTTAGTAAGGATCACCTCGCCGCGCAGAGACTCGATGTCGTTCACAATCGTGGCTCGCGCAGTTGCCAGGCCCAGGACCGAAGTCTGCCGCAGCAGTGAGGTGGAGTGCTGCAGCATGGCTTCCAGCCGGCGCGACTCCGCCTTCTGGGCAGCTGCCGCCTCTGCGCGCAGCTCCCGGGCAGCTGCCTCCAGCGCCTTCTCGGCGCGCGCGGCCGCCGCCTTGTGCCGGTTGTCCAGTCCGGTCAGCGCCGCCTGCATGACAGTGAGTCGGTCACATTATGCCACTTCCAGCTGACTCACGGCTGATCCAATGCCTGACAGAACTGCATATACACATGAGCCGCAGAAGTTCTCAAAAAATAATTCTGCCATTTTAATGCCCATCAAATCAGCTGTAGAATGGGCTTGGTTGAGGGTGTTGCATGCCCCAAGCATGCTGCTGTCAGAACCAGCAACCAGCTATTCCTTGGCGCCTGCCAGGCGGTCATTGATCTCATTACAATAGCCTTGCGTCCCATGCGTCCTAATATTATGCTGCCAAACTATGAGCATTAATCATGCAAGTAGATTGCCGAAAAGTTGAGAAGTACAGGACACTGACCTGCATCTCCAGGATGCGCAGGTTCTGCTGTTCCCTCCACGCCTTCAGCGACCGGCTCTGCTCCATCGCAGCGTTCAGTTTTATCAGCGTCCTGGTGTTGAGCTGCGCTGTCTCCGCCTTGAGTGCCGACATGTCTCCCACCAGCTGCTCCTTAAGCTCCTCCACCACCTTGCGCAGCGCCTCCCCTGGCGAGATATACAGACTAGGCTTGAATTCAAATCTGAGTTTGAGCACTTCTGGTCCAAAGAATCAGCTCTTGCAACTGATCACCCATTTCCCTGTCGCCCAATCTTGCAGAACTTACCTTCAATCCAGAATCTCTTCTTATTTCTGTATCCTATTTTCTCTGACATCCTCTTGCTTTCACAAGCCAGAAGTACGGGGTAAATAAACGCAGGCAAGATCATCTCAAGATGTGGCAGCCAAGCTCTGCAGATGCCAAGGCTTGCACAGATAACCTTAATTACAAGCCGACCAGAATTTCACCCCAGAACCCACAGCATGAGCCCAATCCAAGAGAGGATCCCCCTGTGATGTCAAACCTTGAAGGCTCACCTGCAGCTGCAGATGTGGCACTGATCTGCTCGATGCCAGCACTGACCATTTCGCCCATGGCAGCATTGCAGCTGAACTCGATCTGCGCAGCCTCCTTTGCCAGCCTGGCGTCCACATCAGCGCGCAGATGCGCCAGCCTGGCGTCCATGTCAGCGCGCAGTCCAGTCAGCTTCTGGCCTGTCAGCTGATCCCCTCGGATCTGGCTCTCCTCCATTGCGCTGATGCGGTCGTCCACTTGCTCCAGCCAAGACTTGATCTGCACGTTGGCACTCATAAAACGTAACCACCTAGTGCCATGGCCGCACAGAATGGCTAAATCTGATCCCCGTATTGCTGGACATACGTAGATCCTAGATCGCTAGGAACTGCAAACGTGTAAAACTTAATAAGAACAACAATCACATTCACTTAGCAATGAGCAGGAGTGAACGTTTGCCCAGTAAGTGATTTTCCATCTAGCTCTGTAACAACATCAACGGCCTTCATTTCCTCAACCTTTTTCTGTGAATTTTGGGATATCCTATGAGAGTATCATGCGATTGGGGACCTCAGATAATTGCTTCGTTATCCTCAGGCTTCTCAGCTTGTTGATTTGCTTCTTGACCAGCAGGATCTCATCATGCAAGCATGATGCATTGTTGCTTTTCATTGAAAATTAGCAAATCGCGAAGGGACAGACCTGATAGGAGTCAGCCTTGGAGTCCAGCATGGAGCCAAAAGAGGAGTTGGTCGCCTGCAAAGCTGCCTCCAGCCCTTCCCGCTGCTCGTCCATGTCCCCTTCATCTGCCTTGCCTGCCACCAGATTCTCCAGCTGCAGATCAGTCAGGCAGAGACATCATGCACCCATATCAGTAATTTTAATCTTATTACACACTCTTCCTGCCAGCTGGACACGTTCTGCAGAGACAAGCTGCAGGTACAGCTTGCCACATATCCTACCCCTTGATGGACTCTCAATCAGAAACGGCCTCCACCACCCTTAGGTAGATCCAAGCTAGACCCAGTCAACCATGGGCATGATGCTCAGTGTGTATACCGCACATTGCCAGCCAGACCAATCCATAGCACATCAAGAAATCACACAGAAATTACCCAAAGTCCAGTATGCATCAATCATTGAACATTCAGACCTTCTAGGTACATTATGCTCTGTGCTGGACAGTCCAGACTCAGAAGTGCCACTTTAGGTAATATCCGCAGGATGGTGACTCCGCACCTTCTTGATGCGGGAGCTGACATCAAACGACGAGGCTTTCTGGGACAGAGCGGCATTGATGTCTTCCCTGTTGGCTTTCTGTTTCACGTCGAGTTCCAGTTCAGCAATTCTCTCGGATTGGTGGCTGGCAGCCTCGTACAATGCAGTGAGGGCAGTCCTGATGACCTCCTGTAGCATATTGATAGATTGTTACTGTTAATCTTTAGTCATCTCGGCGAAGTTGAGGGTGGTCACCGAATTTGATGGAGAAGATACTTTGTCTCACCTGAATGTTCCTCCACTCATTCTTTCCCTGCGATAATAATGTCGATCAGCATCAAGGCTACATAAGTTATTCTTAATCCCATGAGAAAGAGTCATGCATTAGCGCTGAAACCAAACGCAGAGCAGCACCTGGATGAGGTCCCGAGAAGCAGCGCCCGGCAGCACCATGGAGTGGGGCTCAATGATTTGAAAGGCGATACTGATAATGCTTGCATTTATGAAGGACAATCTTTGGCTTCCCGAGCCGGCACCAAGTGCTGGATGGGTCGGATCGCTGAACGAGACGAAAATAGCCCCAAGTGGTCAAGGGTTCCGGAACCCGCTCATTCAAGACCCTTACATTTGGTGTTGATTCCCCAGTCAATGCAAAAGCTTCCGACATTGCAGATCGATGCCATCCAAGTCCACCACAAAACTGAATACTAGAGAGAGGTTGAGGATCATACTCTGCGCTCAGATCATCGGTACCAATCGCATTCTGTTGCGCTCCATATTTTTTTAGTTGGTTTACTGGAATCGGTGTTGCTCCTGTTTACTGAGACAGTGCATAGGCCAGACGATCATTAGTACCTTGCAAAATCACCTGCAGCTGTGTTGAGGACGACCTGGAGTGCAAGCCAACGCAGGCCAATACTACTTAGCCGTCAGGATGAGCTAGTAAGGCACTGCGCAGAAGGGTCCGGCTTTCATGCTGAGGCACTCAAACACCAGGCACTCGTGTAGCCGCCTTCTCTCCTATCTCCATCCGGGCTCTGCAGCCTTCCAAGAATCCGCTGCTTGTAGGGCTCGCGGGATCCTTCCCTCCACCAGACTCTTCAGTGCGGCTCCAGCGCCTGAGGAGGAGCTTCGCCACGACTCGTAAGCCTCCAGTCACTTAGCAAAATTTTGCTGACATCGCAGCAATGGCATCACCTCGGGACAACGACGTACAGGCCATGCACAATTTGCGTTGACTGAAGTGACGATGACCCTGCTTCCAGTTACTTCAGCATCAAGCATCCACAGTACTCTCTACTACAGGTCTTCTAGAGACAAAAAGAATTATGTGGGTTCAGAATGACACTACAGGCACTTAGACCTGGCTCATGATACTCCTACTAGGTCAGTATTGAGGTCTATTCTGTAGAGTACAATGACATGCTCATAGAGCCGCTGGCTCCACAGGGAGGAGGCGGCTGCAGCGCACAAGGCGGTGCACGAGCGGCTGGTGTTCGAGTTGTTTGGCATCCGAGAGAAGGTTCGCGCCAACTTCGCTGCTGGAGAGTCACCCGGGGGTGTGCCGCGGCGGATCAGGCGGGAGGATGAGCCCATCCTCTACGTTACACCCCTCAGGTGCCCATCCCATGCACCCTGACATTTGGTCTGCATGCAGTCAGGAGAGCCTCAGACATCCCATTCCCACAGCATGCAGTGCCCACGCGCATAGATTGGGTTATGGCGTTCACACTTCAGGATGCTATGTCTGCTCTTTGTTTGCGTGCAGTCAGACACTCCATTCCCACAGCATGCAGTGCGCACGCGAACTGTTGGAGCAGTCTTGAAGCCGCTTGCGATCTGGCAAAGGTCCTCAAGTCCAGTCAGCGCTCCAGGGTGACTAACATGTGATTTTACTGCGTGTGCGTAGGGAGCTTCTCAAGGTCATGCAGGGATCGAGCAAGGAGGAGGACGCGGCGATGCTGCGGCTGTGGGAGAGGCAGATCGACAGTGAGACAAACACGCTGCAGAGGACCGTGGAACGCTACAAGGAGTCCGTAGCCGCCATGGAGGCTCGCGGCGAGCGGACGCAGCTGCCGGCTGCCCGGCGACTCATCCTGCGGTGGTATGAGCCGCTGAGAGACGCCATCCATCGGGAGCAGCAGGCGGTGGGCTCCTGACTCACTTCGGCTTTCACATTATTATCAGTACATTTAGAGACCTTTGGGGAGCCACCTGAGGCTCATTGGTCCTGTGGGCAGTCTGTCACTGCCCATTTTCGTACATCTTTGGGTTCAGTTGAGTAGAGTAGTGTGTCTATGGTGCTCTCAGACGGCACAGCCTGCTGCTGTCAGCAAATGATGTTGCCCAATACTTCATATCTTCCGAGGATCCCTCAGAAAAGTATATATATTCTTCTGGTCAGTCCAAGGATGTTTCAATCTCTGGGCCACCATGTACTCTTGATCATGCGTGGGTAAGAATGAGAGTGTGCATTATTACGAGGCACATCTCATCAGACTGATTGATGCGATGCATGCATGATCATTTCAGCACTTCCCCTGGTGTCTGAGCGGTTCCCTTGGGTGTCAACACAGATCATCCTGAAGGACAACGCCATGGTTACGGGGCGGCACATCTACGGACCTTTTCTGCTGCTCCTGCCCCCGGACCAGCTGGCAGTCATAACGCTGCACGCCACGATCATGTCCATGATGCTGGGCGAGAAAACCAGGCTCTTCAAGCACAACAAGAAGATGCCCTCCGCAGGGATCAACACCGTCACTCTCATGGCTATTCAGATCGGCAGGGTGCGCTCATCTCCATGTTGAATTCAACCCCTCACAACCCCACGTTATAACCCCTCTCTGTATTCAACCGCTCGGCAGGGGACCAACTACTCGGGTTAATGCACCCTGCACTCAGCTGTGCGTATCGGCAGGGTGCGCTCGTCTCCCTTGTATCAGGACTGCTTCAAAACAAAACACAATCACACAGTCCAGTGGTAATTCCTGTGGAGAAGAGGCGAGGTAGGCGAGGCGATGTGAGCAGTCCTGAAAATGCATGTAAGCTCGCGCAAATGGGTGATGGGGAGCTTGCATTACGGCGGCTAGCCCAGTAGTAAAGATTATTTGAAAAAAAAAAATTCTTCAATTGCGTGCACCTTTGTGATGGCCAGTCTGTATTGCTGTCCGCAGGCGGTGCAGAAGCAGGTGAGCGTGGAGCAGATCAGAGTGCGCGTGGAGCTGGAGAACACTAAGCGCCAGGTCAGCCTCGTAGTCACCCTCCATCTCTTCCATTGTCCTTTTTTACCTTCACTAACCAGATGCCCTCTAGGTGGGGTTACCTATGACAGCATGCATAGCAGGTATGTTCACAGGCAAGCCTTGCTTGTGCAATTCAGAGAGCTAATCCTACGCCTGTCTCTATTGCTCAGACCTAACGCCCAGCATGACATGGAAGTAATCTTGGCAATGGCAATTTTACCCTGCGGAAATAATGCATCAAGGCACCACACCGAAACTGTACTTTGAGTATTGTTACCGCGGCTGCTGCCTTCACGGATCACAGTCATGCAATTCTGTTACACATCAGAGCATATATGTATGAAACTGGAAATAATTGGAAAGTTCTGCTGCAGGTGGTGTCAGACTGCCTAGAGGGCATCATGGGCGAAGAGAACTTTGCGCAGCTGAACCAGGGGGGAACCTCAGCCCAGGTGCTCAGGAATCCCCGCGTGCTGAAGAAATTCCAGTTGGGCTTTGAGCAGATTCGCGCTAGCACTGACCTGCCGGATGACGCTCAAGAGTGGCTTGAGGTAAGGAGTCAAAATCCTGAGACCTTGAATGTCCTTTTAGAATTTTGAGGCCCCAGATGGCCTCTCAGCGTGCCCTATCCATTGCATGACAACCTGCAGGTCGGGTGAAGTGGGTGGATGATTCCCAGGGCAGTGGTGTCTGTGATGACATAAGCGTGATGTCATGGGTCAGCGGTGACCTCAGCGATGACATAAGCGATGACATGAGTGTGTGCTGCATGCAGTCACTGGACGGCATGACCGTGCATGGGCGGCTGGATGAGATCAGGAAGCGCTACAGGATTAGTAAATACTCGGATAACATCAGGCTGCGCTACGGCTACACAAAGCTGACCCAGGCAGAGAAGCGGCTTTGGGACTCTGGGGACTGGACGCAGGCAGACCAGCTCAAGGTTAAATAAAATTCAGAATCAAGATCGAAAATCAAACCCTGGCAAAAAGAAGAATTGCAAGTTTCAAAATTCATATGGTACAAATACTCTGTCACTCCAGGCTCCATGTCCCTCTGAAGTGGATTTCAGGCTGATTTCCACACTCCCAAAAGGGCTTGTGGAGCATTTGCTTCATCTATGCTCCCCATTGTCTCTGAAGCCAATTTAAAATAGAAATTTTAGATCTAGCTTGGGAGTGAGGTGGAGGGGATGAAGCCAAGACCCCTATGGGGCAAAAGTAATAATAATACCATATGAAAATAGAAAATGTTGCGAATGGGTTTGAAAAATTTCCATCCTGACTTCAAGACTGACGGCTTGTGGGCGCTCGGCTGCAGATTGGGACGGCTCTGCTCAACCAGCTGCTGCAGTGCTTAACCGTGGAGATTCCTAATCCCGAGTACGGCAATGAAGATGAGCCGCGCTTAATAGAGGTTCCAGCTTTTGTGCACAAGGTGAGTAGCCCCCCCCTAGCCACCATGGAGAGTGGGGGAATTTCAATCATCCGCAACCCAAACGTAGGGCATCATGGCTGGCTTTGTGCAAAGTGAATTCGGAAGGTGATGCCTAAAGCACATGACTGGGTGCTTGATCTATGGAGTCTGCCCCTGGTGGTTCCCAATTGCATGAAGGGGCACATGCTCCATTATGAGATGGAGATACTCCGTGGTCTATCACTGTTCTGTGTATGTGAATGTGCTGGTAAAAAATGGGTAGTTGAGGAAGGCAGTGGCAATGCTGACCTCTGATTGGCTGAAATGGGACCGCCCGGCAGGGAACAATTGACAAGATTCCCGGTAGGACAAATTCTCATGTTCCGCGGTTCATCAGAAACGCCAGCGTGCGCATATACTAAGATAAAAAGATTTTGCTTGTGCTGTGCATCAGGTGCAGTTGGTCTACGACTATGACAGGAAAAAATTCAAGAGGACCGGCAAGATTGTCTGTCACGACGTGGTCATGCACCGCCTCGAACAAGTGCAGGAGGTGAGCCTTTTTGTTGCAGCTCCATTGCACAGGAACTTGCTGACATTGCTGCGCTCATGCACTGCACATGACACAAGAGTCCGCGCTCTGTCAGGCAGACGTGGCACTGGGCAATCCCCTGCAGACTCAATCAGCCTGACGTTGATGATTTCTTGATTGTTTTCTGCCCTGTCTGCCTGTCTAGCACGGTGAATCCCTGATGGAGTATTCACGAGCCCCCCCAGCGGCTGAGTTTTGGAAGCCTGCACATTTTGCATACTCTAGTCGAGAGGTTCAGGGCGTTGCCTTTTAGCAGTGCTGTGCCTTTGACTATCCTGCCACAGCATGCATGCGGGCTTGACGCCGCGGGCTTCATCAGGGCCTTTGAATTTGATTTCGGTTTCATGCGCAGCTACACGTGCTTGGCCTTGCATGGACGGCGCCCCGAGTTCAGCCGGGCGTCCGACTTTGAAATTTTGACAAATATGAAAATTTGAAACTCGAATTTGCAGGTGCAGGATCTGCTGACGCCCAAGTTCCAACCGATGCTCATCCCGCCGCTGCCCTGGCGCTCGCATGACTCTGGAGGCCACCTGATAATGCGCGGAAGCATCATGCGAGTGCACACGTACCCGAAGGGCGTCAGCCGCGCGATAGAGACTGCTCAAGAGCGCACGCCTTACGGCCTGTCCAGGGTGATCCACCCCTTGATCCACCATTGCAATGAAGTTTATAGAACATGTCTTAGTTAGGTGTAGAACCCCCCGACTTTTACCCCCTCTTCAGGGTGGTTGATGAGGTTACACATTCTTCAATCTGTGGTGTGGGCACGCCTGACGGCCTGTTTAAGGTGACCCATCCCTTGGAATCCACCCTTTGCAAGCCAAAAAGGAGCAGATAAACAAAGAATAGGTGAATGCTCTGAATGCTTAATGCATTCAAGGTTGCATGCTCTGGTGTGTCTGCACACCCCAGTACTCTTCTGGGTGGTTACAGAGTTCACAGGTCACACACTTCAGGTCGTGTGATGCGCGGCCCCACGGCCTGTGCAATATAATCCGCCCCTGGCAATGCACCCTGTGCTGCACGTTGCAGTGGTTCTCGTTCTGTGCTGCTCAATATCATTTGACACGCTCTCCGTCCTCAAAGGGCCGGTTTACAAGGGCGAAGTCCTGTGTATTTGCCAGGGTGTAGCTGCTTTATCTGGCCCTGGCAATTCACCCCTTGCATTTGCCACAATCTGGCCGTCCATGTTGGATGCACCATTTTGCAAGGGCGAATCCTTGTGCATTTGCCAGGGTGTAGCTGCTTTATCTGGCCCTGGCAATCCGCCCCTTGCATTTGCCACATTGTGGCCGTCCATGTTGGATGCACCCCTCACTTCACGCCAGGCTGCTGCCAAGAATTTAGCCGTATTGGGTGATCCACCCCTCGTTCCACCCCTGCCATGTGACTGATCCCAGACGATTCACCCCAGAACGGGCGCACTTGAATTTTGTGCTGCCATCATACGCGTACCATGCAAGAACCTCCGCGCCATTTGTACCATGCAACGACATGCACGGCTTGCATGCGCGTGTTCTTTCACATTGGATCCTCCAAAACACGGAAAGGCCTTGCTATAAGACACGTAGCTCCACTCCGAAGCAGCTCCCGAGGGGCGACAAGCAAGCGATCGTTGATGGCAGATCTTAATTCGACTTGATTCACATATGCCTGGATCTAGACAGCTGAAAGGACATGTTATCTGCAGGTGTACGATGCTCTGAATGCTGTTGGGGAGGTGCCTTGGGCCATCAACAAGCCGATGCTGGCTGTTGTTGAGAGGGCGTGGGCTGCCCAGCTGCCGATCTGCGGGCTGCCCGTGAAATACGTCGACCAGAAGCCCCAACCCAAATCCACTGCCAAGAGATTCCGCACCCACCACCACCGGCATCAGCTGCAGCTGCTGGTGAGTCACTACCATTACTAATATTAGTATCATTATCCTTGACGGATCAGGAATTTCTTATGTGAAACGGGCAGTAGAAGGACTGCCCACACTACCAATGAGCCTCGGGTGGCTCACAAAAGGTCTCTCAAATGTAGTTATAATTATTCCTATCATTGAAGTTATTGGTAGTGATTATATGGCACGCCATCCCTGCCAAGAGGCAAGGAGCGTCTGCAGAAAAGCTCATCGTGAGTACTGCACTTGATGTAGCTGAAGTCACACTGAGCCTCGGTTAGGTGATTTTTTGAGATGGCTTTGCACTGGAATGCTATAGTAGAAGACTGCTGCCTGCCTTGGGCCTGCTCCCTTTGAGACCTTTCCAAAGCCACCTTCTAGCGGCCTCTACACCCGATAACTCAAGTTCCTTGACTAGGGGTGTGGGTGTAGGGATTTGGGGTAGGTCACAAGGGTTGCCACCATTAAGATACACCTGTGTGCCTGTGAAATTGCAGCTCACAAGCCAGGAGACAGGTGCAGAGAGGACCAAGCGCATGAAAGGCAACCGGCTTCTCAACAAGCGCATCCGGGAGACGCACTCTCTGCGCTGCGACCTCAACCTCAAGCTCGGGGTAGGCCCACTCATTATTATTATTATTATTAATATTACACGCCTATCCAAGCCCCATTAGGCTTAGGTGCGTCGCAGCAGCGTGTCCCCTTTGGGGCCACTAGGCCCACTCCTACACAGTGGTGATTGGGTCATATCGGACAGTGAGGGACATTGGTAATTTATAATGATTAGGCTCCTCAAAATGTAACTGAAATCGTCCAGGGGAATGGGGCAGTGGTTTTTCCCCCTTGATACGAAGTTTCTGAAGGTGTAGTTCCTGAAGCCTGAAGCCTGTCCCTGGCATGCATAGTAGCTGCCACGGTACCATAATGGCTTTGCAGTCACTTTGCTTTTAGACTGGGTAGTAACAGTCTGATTTTGGGGATCTTGTTTTGTGCCGGCAATATGCGGTATCTTCCTTAGCCTGCATGCTACCTTGAAATGGTGCACGGAACCAGTTGTCTGATCCCATTGCTGCGGCGCAACTCTTCTGAGTCGACAGCAAGGGGGTGTTAACGCAGTGACAATTGCTGTGAAGGGATGTCACCGTACCAACACTTGCTTTTTAGAGCAGTAACAGTTAGTAATGCTGCAGACAAGAAATACAAGCACACAATCCAGTTAGAAACACGTGAAGCTGCATGCATTGTCATCTGGAAGTTGTGATCCACCTGCGACTGAAGCTGCAGGACAGACTGCTACCAACTGAAACGAAAGAGGAGATGTGACGAAGTGAGAGCCTATCAAGCTGTAAAGAACAAAGGGATGAATGCAAGAATAAACTGCTCTGGAGATGACTGTGTAGCTAGCGCATGAGAGTTGCGAAGAAGTGAAGATCGTGTTAGTTGTGCAGCACCAGAGAAGCGAAGCAGAAACATTTGCTGTGAAGGGGTGTTGACGCTACTACGGCTGGTGCTACAGGTGGCGAACGAGTTCAAGGATGAGCTCAGGTTTTATTTCCCCCACAACCTCGATTTCAGGGGGCGCGCATACCCTCTGCACCCCCACCTCAACCACATGGGCCCGGATGTGTGCCGAGGCCTGCTCACCTTTGCAGAGGCTCGTCCCCTCGGTCCAGATGGCATCGGCTGGCTCTATGTGCTGGTGAGACCCCCTGCATGGCATCATTATCATCATTATCATTACAAACTTTTCCTGCCAAGAGGCAAGGTGCGTCCTGCAGACAAGCTGCAATCAAAGGCTGCCATAATCCTACTCCACATCCAAGCAAGACCCAACCCACCGTGGGCACGGTGCTCATTGGCCCCAGCTGGCGGGGGGCGGTACAAACACTGAGCATGGCCCATACCAGGGAGATATTTAGGAGTACTCTGATGAAAGAGAGAAGGCTGTGTTGGCAACGGGAGTGGAAGAGGGGCAGCATTACTATGGATTCCAGCCTGAAGCAAATGCGGTTTTCAAATAATTACTAGGGAACGCGAGCTGGAAGCACACAGAATTGCCAAAAGTAGGAGAACTGTGAAGAGTGTTTACACTCAATTGTTGGCCAATCGACCCTCTGGTCAATTTGCCGTTGCGATCACTCGCCATCCCGTAGCACCAACTTTATATACCCCTGGAACTCTGGGCCCAATTAGGGGGAAAGGTGGCTTCTTGCAGATTCAGGAGAGCGTGCACTCTATTCTGTGTAGGGAGATCTACGCAGCACAGTTTATGCAGCAGCGGGTCTGAGGCATGCCTGTTGAGAAAGTCTGCACTCAATTTTCGCTGGCATGCGCGCAGATTGCCAACTCGTGGGGCAAGTCCATCGACAAAATGGACTTCGAGGGGCGTCGGCAGTTTGCGCAGCGCAACTTGGAAGCCGTACTGGACTCTGCAGAGCGGCCGCTGGACGGCCACAGGTCAGGCTCACGCATGCGCGCATTATCTGAAATCGGAGCCAGCTGTCACCAATTGTCATACATGGCGGCTTGGCATGTCCAGTCATCCTTATTACTAACCATTTCACGATGACCCTTCTTATCTGTCGAGCGTGCAGAAATGGGATAGCGTGTCGGACTCCATAAAAATAATAATAATGAATGCAGCGTTTGCCCATGCATGTTCTCTATAGGACAGACCTTGTGCTCCTCCGGTGCCCAAGCTCTTTAAGGAACCCTCAGCCTGTCCTCAGCTGTTCTATTCAGCCAAACAAACGCCGGTGAAAACTTAGCCCATCTTAAAACCCTCATCCTGACCTTGTAGGTGGTGGACCAAGGGGGAGAAGCCATGGCAGTTGCTGGCAGCTTGCATGGAGGTGAGGCCCTCAAGGAAGGGGGGTTTTGACAGTTCCCACGAAGTCTCCTCACACCCTGTTCCTTTTGTGAATGCAACAATGTGCCTCAACTTGCCCCACTTGACTGCTTGCTGACAATGATTGACCGTGCTCCTGGGCCGGAGGTGTCTTGTATGTTTGCACGGATTGCAAATGAATGACGACGCAGCCCTTTCTCCCTACCTGCGCTCGCTCTGCCTCTTCTGTCATGCTTTCTCCCTACCATGACATGCACAACAGGCGCCGGTACTGGGCGAATGAGGCGGTTGCACTGGGTGCATTGGCAAACCCTGAACCTCAAATCTCCTGAATGCAGGTGCGCGATGCGCTGGCGTCTGGAAATCCGGCGGCGTACCTATCGCGGCTGCCGGTGCAGATTGACGGCTCCTGCAACGGCCTGCAGCACTACGCCGCGCTTGGCCGTGACAAGGCCGGAGGCAGCGCCGTCAACCTGCGACCCGCGCCAGCCCCGCAGGTTCGCATCCTCCGATTTCATTTTTTTCTTTTTTTTTTTCCTTTTTTTAGTTTGGCGCTTGGCTGGGATACGGCCAGAGGCAACGCCGTCAACCTGTGGCCTGCGCCAGCCCCGCAGGTTCGCATCCTTCAATTTTTTTTGCCTTTTTGTTTGGCGCTCGGCCGCGACAGGACCGGAGGGAATGCTGTCAACCTGCGCCGCGCGCCTGCGCCGCAGATTCTTTGCCGCAACCTTGATCAACACCTGTCTCACCGCTGTCAAGCATTTGGGATTTTAACTGTCTGGCTTGGGGGCCTTCCTGACTGCTCGTCCACCTCGCAGGAGTTGTTTTACCACATTTTGAGTTCTGCCCGCGCAATCTAAAGCGCAGCCTAGATGCGTTGTGCATAGTCGGCTGCACAGCCACAGCCCACGTCTCTCACGGTCTCCCTTGTGACCAAAGCTCAGGCACGGCGAGCCCGTCAGAGCGCTTGCAGTTCACCGGATGAAGCAGATCTGCTCAAAAGCCCGATGCGCGCGCAGGACGTGTATGGAGAAATTGCGGTAGAGGTGAATAAAATGGTGGCGGCCGACGCGGAAAAGGGCGTGCCGGAAGCGCTGGCACTGCAGGCAGGGCTCTTTTACTATTTTCAAAGCATTTGAATTTGAATTCAGATTGCAGTCGGGAAGATTAGTCAAGTTTCTGCAGAGCTGCGTCGGATCAGCCTTGCATGCGTGTCACCCCAACTTGGGGGATCTTGTGTCAGTGATGCCTCGAACTGTCTGCCCCTTTCGATGCAGCAGCACAGGGCGTGCCAGTCATGGCGCAACCCCGGGGCCAGCCTGTATTCCAATTCTGCCCCTTTTGTGTCATTTGCTTGGCTGCTTGCATGTCTGAATGACATATCACAGGGGCACTGCACATCCCACCTAGGGGTATTTATTATACGACGGTTGTTTATTATATTCCCCTCTCTTATCCTTGCTGTACGTGCTTAGGCAGGTGCCATTTGTTAGTCCTGCCTGGGGTACTGACTCACTTGCCTGTCAGTCCCCCAGCATGGGCACGTCAATCGCAAGCTGGTTTGCCCTGCCTCTCACTTCCGGTGCAGCCCGGATTGCTCAAATTTTATAATTTGTATTGCACACCTTTCCTGCCAAAAGGCAAGGTACGTCCTGCAGACAAGCTGCAGTAACAGGTTGCCATAATCCTACCCCTTGTTAGACTTGCCAGATCCAAGCGAAGACCCTTTCGACCGTGGGCACGCTGCCCAAGATTGAACCGCCCCCCGCCAGCCGGGGCTTGCTCCTACACCCCTGTCAATGACTCATATACCCCCTGGGCTGCAGGGGCACATAAACCGCAAGCTGGTGAAGCAGACGGTGATGACGAGCGTGTATGGAGTCACCTACGTCGGAGCGCGGCAGCAAATCCAAAACAGGCTGCTGGAGCGCGGCTGGAGCAACAACGACCAGCTCTACCGCTGCGCCAGCTATGCCGCCAGAGTGCGCACCTACTTTTCTTTTGGCTAACCAACCCTCTGGCCGATGTATGTATGTCGAGAAATTCTCCTAGAGGGTAAGGATGGCAACACCTGATACACAGCAGGTCAGATGCAAAGTCAGGACCAAGTAAGCAAATGTGCGATGTGATACAAACAAATGCATTAAAACATCGTGGCAATTTGCCTTTGCGATATGGATTACATCGGCACGTGGTCTTTGATGTCAAGTCGCCGATGCAGGGGAGTTAAAGCGCCCAGTTGGACCTTAGGGTTTCCGAATTTGGTCACAAGATTATCAAAGGTTTCGTAATTTGGGTGATATGGTCTTAATTGTCCACCTTGTTTGGCTCAAATTAAATGATTTATTGCGGCTTTCAGACTGACTCCTACAGTAATTGTCACTTTGTTGCAATGGACATTCTGGCTGATGACTAATGATAGCGGGGGCTGTGCAGTTGACGCTACAGGGGCTGGAGGAGAAGTTTGACAAGGCGGTCGGCATTATGCGCTGGCTCGGGCAGTGCGCGTCGATTGTGGCCAGCCAAGGGAACGCCGTCGCATGGCACACACCCCTGGGCCTGCCAGTCTTGCAGCCCTACCGCGAGAAGGTGTGTTTCCCCTCCCCTTAGGCTTTTAGGGGTGTATTGTATATAGTTTTCTGAAGGGAGGGCACGCCGTCGCACTGGGCCTCCCGGTCATGCACCCCTAGCGCGAGAGGGTGCGCTCACCTCTCCTTCCATACAAGAGGAAGCTTTCAAGGGATTTAGAAGGGCCATTATCAAGGATTGCGTTGGTGCAGTACAAGCACGGGGTGCAGACGGTGCTGCACCGGCTGATAAAGAGAGGGAGGCATTTGCGGTACTAGGTGAAGAACATCTGAAAGTGTAGTAATCTATTTGACTTTCTGAGGGTGAATGATTCTGTTGGCAGTGCTAGCACAGCTGCCTAGACGGTGCTGCAGCGGCTGATGAACAGACGGCTTCCGGTGCTGAGTTTAGGAGATCTGAAAAGGGCTTATAGATCAGATTTTCTGAAGATAAATGATGTGTGCGTGCAGTACAAGCACGTGGTGCAGACGGTGCTGCAGCGGCTGATCCTGATGCAGGATCGGGAGGGGCTGCCGGTGCTGAGGAGGCGTCAGAAGAGCGCGTTCCCTCCCAATTATGTCCACTCCCTCGACTCCACCCACATGATGATGACCGCCCTCGCCTGCAAGCAAGCAGGTGCGCGCAGCTGCCCCAATTTTGTTTGAACTTTATGAACACACTGTTGCATTCGTCTGTTTGGTAGAAAATAGAAAGAGGGCGCCTTGGGTTCCAGTTCTTTCATTTCGCAGCTCACTGGGATTACACTACGCATCCATGCGGAAGTTTTATTGAGCCTAGAATCCTGCAAGGACAGGGCTCGAAATGGATCCCTGCATGCCTTCCTGCATGTCTCTCAGTTGCACATCGAGGCAATTTCTCTTTGCGTGCGTTGCAGCTTATGCCGATGTCCATTCCATGATGCAAGTTCAGAAAGTGCAGCGCAGCTGCCTTCTGTGTTGGCACAGGGTCACATGTGTTGAATTCGAAATTGATTTTGATCCGTGCGGGGTTGCAGGCATCGCGTTTGCGGGAGTGCATGACTCGTTCTGGACGCATGCGGGGGACACTGCGGTACTTGCGCGGAAGCTGCGCGAGACCTTCGTGGAGCTTCACTCGCAGCCCCTCCTGGCGCAGCTTCTCAGCGAGATGAAGGTACGCTGTCTTGAGCCCAATTTCTCATCAGTGCTACAGAACCTAAACACACAATCCAGCGGGATGAGTGAGAGCAGGAGGGTGATATACACTTAGGAAGGAAGAGAAGAACAGCAAATGTGGTACTGTGTAGGCGACTATGACCTGCATGCTAAGCACGATTTGCAAGATCAGAGAGCCAGGCGATGTCCCTACACCCGATAGTGAGTGTTTGGGAATGATACCTGGCCAACAGTTCAGCAGGAAATCTGCTACTCTTATATTTGCTTGGACCTGGCGAGTCCAACAAGGGTTGGGAATCTGGCAGCCTCAATCCGCAGCTTGTCTGCAGGATGTACCTTGCCTTTTGGCAGGAAAAGCATGCATTAATAGTAGAATGATATTTGTCAGGCGTCCGGAGAATCTCAATTATTGTGGGGTGGTGGTGCTGTCTTTATTCTTCATTCTCCATGTTTCTACCCCTCCTTCTGGTTCTGGACCCCAGAAAACATATGCAATCCTCTGCCTTTAGTAAGCAGACGAGGGCATATGTTGCAGCATGCAGAGCAGCTAATGTATGCAACAAGACAATCCCGGCTCGAGCACAGGGGCATTTGATTACTGAGGCACAAGACATGGGCGAATCGCCATCGTTTGCACCGAGCAGGACAGCTTGAATGGGATTTTGTGCAGGACCTAGGGATAGGGGCCAGTCTTGCATGACTCCAAGTCTTCATTGAGGGCTCCTCAAGTCGGCAGAGATTAATTTGGCCGGGTTGACCTCAAATGCAAATGGTCTGCAGGTGCGGTATCCGGAGCTGGCACAGAAGTTTCCACCTCTTCCAGAGACTGGAGAGCTCGATCTCAATGAGGTTCTGGACGCTGAGTATTTCTTCGGCTGACGTGGCGTCCAGCTGGCAGATCTAGCTGGCGTCAAGCTCAGCAAGGGCCTCGACACATTATTCAACAGAGCGACGGCAAATGTAGGCAGTAGGGATTTGGGAATCATCTGTGCGGCGGGCGACATTTGACTTTATGCATGCATGCATCTTGCCACGTGGTGCATTGGAGGAGATGTCCCATTAGTCTAGGCCCATTAGAAGAGATGAGTAATATTGATGACCTAAGTTTCAGCTGACCTGCAGGCCTCTGTGCACCTGTGAAGTGAAAAAACTTGCAGGGAATTGGCTTTGGCCTGAACCAATCTGAGCTGCACAAAAGAATTCTTTGGTACAACTTTGCGTGACTGTGAGTGATTTGCGTGTCTTGCATGCAATATAATTACTCTGGACCACTGTGTGACGCTGCGTAGCTTATGCTCTCGAACAAATAGTTGGATTAGGCTAGTCATTCAAATTTATTTTACAGACAATTATGGCAGGCAGAAAGTATAGGCAGGCATGTTTATTCCCCATTTTTGAGCGGGCAGTAGACTGCAAGCTAGACAAGTGGAATGCATGCAATGGGTTTCAACTCCCTAGGAACTTAGATGCAAGCGTCAGGCAGCAAATTGCACAAGCAGACAAACATGTAATAGCACTTGTACTTGCAGCACTCTTAACTTTCAATCGTGCTTCAGCACTTGATCCACTTTGGCACTGCCACGAGGCTGCAGTGTCAAATCTTGGATGATAGCAGCTCCGATTGAGTGGACATTGTCTCAATTAGGCAACTGCCACATCCTCTGGCTTGCTCAAGCTGTTGTCGTCAGGTGCTCTTGACGCTGGAGGGAGGCTTCATAGCAAGCAGGTTCCACACATAGAAAATGGTCATCAGACTGCTAAGCAGTGCCAATAGCCCTGCAGGCATGAATTTGCCAGTAGCCATGTACCTCTTGTACATCATGACTGTGAGGCCTGCAGCAATGACCAGCGATGTGAAGGTTGCAGGCTTGCACAGCTTGCCCTGCACGCAAAATGCTGACCTTTGATAAGATGACATAGCAAAGTCATGCCCTTGAGAAAACATTCGTGCACACAAGGATGCTGAATTACTGGCAGGAACGAATTTCTTAGAGTGCTCGGTCGGTTTGCTCGGTCGATGCCTTCTTTCACCTGGTGGTAATGGTTGAGACTGGTCTGTGCCGCAAATCCCAGGACCACGCCTGAACCAACCCCTCCAAGAAGAGATGGTAGGCTTCCCTTAGTCAAGAAGCCGATCAGTCCACCGATCGCAAGCAGCGCAGCATACGGGAAGGTGAAGCAGAAATCGTACATCGTGATGACTTGACTCAGCAACGCCTACTGCTAATGCGGTGCTCTCACGCTCATGCTACAAAACTCAAAGATGTCTAACATATGTCGCCTCAAAGAAGAGTTGAGATGCAGCCCTCTCCAAGGCACAGAGTCAGGGTGAAGTTCTAGCCTTCAGACGTACGCAGAGGGTGTTACGATAGCACAAGCCTGTGAAGAAACGTAAGCAACTGTGGAGTCCGCAGTGTGGACAGGTGATCTCAAAATTGGCTTTGTCTCGAGTGTGGGAAGTGTCTCTTGTCATGATGTCCAAGATTTGCTGACGTCACAAGCCATGTCCCCATCACTGGTTTGAATTGAAGAGCATCGGCATCATGTTACTGATAATCCTAGCTTAGACAGGCTAGATGTGTACTTGAAGGACGACTGTGCCTGCATTTGCTTACAAATTTATGTTTGGGCGATCCGGCATGTGCCTGCTATTGCTAGGATAGTGAGCTGAGTCGGCAGCAGTGACAGTCCGATGATGTCCTGCAGGTTCAATTTTCAACACGAGAGCCCTGTATGAAGCTTTTATAGTGGCTTTTATGCAAGTCTGAGGGCTTCAGTAGAACAGTGGAAATGTGGTATTCATGGGGAGCTTTTCCAGTGCGCCAGGAATATGATATATAGGCTTGAAGGTGCAATCGAGGATCTCATGCATCTTTCAGCGCCAAGGTGGGGATGTGCCACCGCCTTCAAGGCCCAGGCGCAGTGGAGGAAGCTGCGAAGCATCTGCACTGGCACTTTGAACACCTCCAGCAACCGCAATGCACAACTTGACGACCTCGACTCTTCAGCCAACAACAATCTGGTCAGAATGGAGTTTGCCCAGGTATATCACAGATACCAGGCTCCAGTCTGCAGAAAATTTTGCACACAACCTCAAGCGTCCTTTGAGCAGCAGTGATCAGGCATACACCCCCTCCTCTTCAAGCCATGCATATGCTCGAACTACTGCTAAACATGTGTAGAGGGCCTGATTGCATGTTTGGGAAGATCTAAATGATGATGGTGATCCCCTTTGGTACGTCACAGGACCGTATTGGAAGGGATGGCAACCTGGTATCAGGCAACCTTCCAGCCAGGCATGCACCGCCGCAAGAGCAATCAAAACGGCCACCTTCCCTGCCCCTGACCGCTCCCCTGCTGCCCCCCATATCAGACCATCAGCTGCAGGATCTTGTGGACTTTGTGACTGGCAACAGGTGCTGCACTATTGCCCCGCCTCTGCACGAATCTGCTGCCTCATTTCCTTTGCATATGCTGCTTTCTCGGAATTAGACTGGCTGCCTTATTCTCCAAAAGATGAAGTACGGCCTGGGCTCTTTCCCTCTCGGCTTTGGACCTTGCACCCAAAAGAACTCTGCGTTTGGGACAGTGCAGGCTCGAATCGTGCTACACTGAGCACTGCTCAACTTGCTGCACTGGTCACCTGTACCTGCCTCTTAATTAAGCAACGTCACTCATATTTGTTCATGACCCTTTGGCTGTAACAATCATGGTCATGTGCAGGCGGCTGCTTGTGCTGACCGGGGCGGGATGCAGCACAGAGTCGGCAGTGCCAGACTACAGGGGGCCTCAGGGCGCCTATAACACCGGCTTCAAACCCATGACCCACCAGCAGGTCAGCTGGCAGTTAAATGCTTGTGGCCACCCATAAGTGGCTCTAAGACAGCTTGTGAGGTCCAGGAATCACAATCACTGCGTGAGGTTCGTTATGCGCAGTGTTTAAGGCCCACTTAAAGGCCGGGCTCTTGCTTTGCTCCAGTACAAACAGCACGGATGCGCATATGCATGAAACTTGATGCCTCTGGCTGGAAGGCTCGAATGCTCTCCATGCATCACATCCAACCCTTAGAGTAACAGGCACTTGTCCAAGCAATCAATCGCTGCATAGGCTCCCAGCTTCCCAGGAACACAGCAGCAACCGCTTCCCTCTCAGTTCACAAGCAAGACCCTCCCCTTCCTATTTATCCACACCTCAGTTTGGTGGCTTGCAGCTGCAGCTGCTAGCAGCTAAAAGACAAACTCAAACAACTACTTCCGGCCGCAGTTCATGGCGTCGGACGCGGCACGGCGGCGGTACTGGGCGCGCAGTTTTGCGGGGTGGCACGAATTCAGCGGCGTGCGTCCCAACGCAGCGCACGAGTCCCTGGCGCGGCTGCAGTCGCGCGGATGGGCGCAGTCGCTGATCACGCAGAACGTGGACCGCTTGCATCACAAGGCCGGCAGCGCTGATGTCATCGAGCTGCACGGCACCACACACAGGTTCGATAAGTGCTCTGTCTAGACAGAATGCCTGCATCTACTCTGAGACTCCTCGCTATCCAGAATGTGAGATCTGTGATGTTTGGGTAGTGTTGCACTTAGAAACAAGCTGAAAGGGCTGAGGGGTTGAAAGGCGTGCTGGGACTCATATACCATAGCTGGAGTATACTTGCACCTCAAAAGCATATCTTTCCTGACAATTTCTGTTGCCTTTCGGAGCATCAATGTTTAAGTGCACCTGCACGTGTGGCCGCTCACTGGAAGGGTGTGTGTGCCTAATATTTGGGATGTTTGGTAGTGAACGGGTGTCACGTCAAGCAGAATGCGGTAGAGCAACGGCACTGGGGTTTATATGTTCAGGGTGATATGCATGGGTTGTGGGGAGCTGTCGCCAAGGGAGCCGTTTCAAGAAAAGTTAGCGGAGCTCAACCCGGAGGCGGCCGAGGCGGTGCGGCAGATTGCGCGCGCGGGGCCTGACGCAGAAGCCGCGCGACAACGTTCCCTCCGCGTGGGCGCCGGTGAAAGGGACGACAGGGTGCGCACAGCATTAGAAGTCTCTTGCACGAACTGATCATGACCGCTTTCCTTTAGGCAGGCGGTGGAGAGCCTTTCAAATATTCTACCTTGTACTTCTGTCTGGACCTGGGCTGTCAGGAGGCCTGGGTACTATGGAGGATGCGCTGGTCATCTAATTCTAGCACCAGGGTTTGCGTTATATCACCTTTGGAGCAGGCAGGAGGTGTGCCAGAATAGGTCATATTGCGCCAAGGACAGGAGTCATCGATCTGGCATGCATGTGAGCGGGAAACAGGGGGGTGCCAGGGCTTGCATCAGCAGCGCATCAGCGCCATGGGCTGTCAGAAAAGTGATGATCTTGCACATCAGTGGCAGTGCAAGATGTGCAATACCACACATCTGTATTTTAGGTGTGTGGTACAGTACGCTTTCTATGTCATGTATGGGTGTTTAGAGTGGTTTGAACAAATAGTGTTGCCCGGGCGCAGGGGCGGGCGTTTGTGCGGCGGCCAGATGGGGACGTGGATATTCCGGTGCGGCGGCCGGACGGCGATGTTGAGCTGCAGGACGCTGGCAGCGGTTTTGTAGTGCCGCCGTGCCCGCGCTGCGAAGGCATCCTCAAACCCAACGTGGTCTTCTTTGGGGACGGCGTACCGCCAGAACGCAGCGCCAGGTGTGCATAGCATCCAATCCACTGAATCGTGTGCTAGTACTCAACACCCTGATGCCCACTACCAACCTGAAGTGTGCTCTCAGCATTGCAGTCCCTATATTTTGGGGTTTATCTATATGTAGGGTGTAGGTTTATTCAGGGTGTTCATAATCCTAAGCCCTAAACCGCATGCAGCTCAGCAGTGCCCCTTCAATCCAGGTCCCCCCTGTGAGTTGACAATAAGAGTAGAAGTGTTAGGCTACTTTGGTGCCACTTCGGGACTGCAGCGCAAGGTGTTGGAGCCTGCCCGTGGCATGCATGCCTTTTGATATCTTCCTCTTGTTGCAAGAAGTAAGGCTCACCGCAGCAAAAGTAAAAGGCCGGCATCCTGACTTGCATTGAGGTCTACTTTGCAACCGTGTGCAAGACGCTTTTGACCCACATCAGGTCCTCTTACACCAACTCTTGCTTGTCAGGGCTGCTCCATACATGTTCCCTCAGCATTGCATATCCCCTCCCATGCAGCCGAGCACTGGCTTATGCATCCAACAACTTCCCTGAGAGCTGACATCTTAAGGCGAAATATTTTACTGGATCAGTGTCTCTTCATGGCTGCCGTAAGGGGTGCGCTGGGCACTGAAGATTTTCAAGGTGAAGAGCCGTTCTGCATTATCCTGTAATTATTGGTGCGTGTGTCATGCTGCAGGGCGCTTGAGCTGGCGGGGGGCTGCGATGCGATGCTGGTGGTGGGCTCCTCGCTCATGGTATACAGCGCATTCCGGCTGGCCAAGGCGGCCAAAGCAGCCGGCGCGCATTTAGGCGTGCTTACGGCCGGGCCGACGCGCGCCGATGCGCTGGCCGACATCAAAATCGAAGCGCTGGCCGGGGAGGCCCTGTCGCGGCTGGCCGCGCAGCCGCCGCTCCTTATCCCCCGGCACTAAGGAAGATACAGTTATTTTTTGTGCCAGATGCATTGACACGAAAGGAATATGAGCGCCAGGGCAGGGAGAAAGGATTGATGGGGACGCTGGCCGTGGAGGGCCTGTCGCTCAGCCGCCGCTGCTGATTATCCGGCACTGAGGGGTGTACAGAGGATACATTCTTCTGTATTCTCTCTGAATCTTTGTAAGGAAGAAATTTTTCCGAAGAATGTGCGTTGAAAAGGAAAGGTGTTAGTCTCAGGGCAAGGGAGGAATCCACAGATTGCTGGCCAGGGAGGACGTTCTTGCGTCTGGTTGCGCAGCCGCCACTGCTGATCCCCCCGGTCTAGGGGTCGTCAGCCTATACATTCTCTGGTCTCATCTAAGACAGGATGTGCATTGCCATGGAACCAATTTGAGCGTCAGGGCAAAGTGAGGTCGCTGGCCAGGGACGTTATTGCGGCTGGCTGCGCACCCGGCGGTGCTGATTCCGCGGCACTGGGGTCTATTAATTTCATTTTTGCGGCTTGGGTTTGCTGGTGAGGCGGTGGGCTCTTTCTGCCCCTCTGTAGATCTGCGCAAAGGTTTTTATTGCTTATTGTCTGCCTCAGTCTAGGGGCTAGCAGGGGGAGGTGAGCTGCTGAAATATGAGCCGCTGTATTGAATTAGAAGTCGAATTGCAGAGGCTGTGCTGGCCATCCCCGCTGCACATGCAGTGGATGCCGCAGTTGTTTCCCGCTATGTCTGCCAAGCTGAGTCGCATGGTCAAGCTGCTGATGTCAGCATGGAGGTGGATGACCTTGTCAGGCCTGCGTGCCTGATGATGGCCTGTGAATGTAGCTAAATTTTCAAATTTATTTCCGTCAGATGAAGACTGTTACCGTAGTGAGAGCTCATGTAATGGCAATTGATCTTGAAAGAACTGACTGTCAGACACTCAATGTCTCCCAGGCGACTCGTCATCTGTGCCAAATTGCCGTGCATGGGTGCATGCACCCAAAGTTCCTGATGTCTGACACCATCTACTGACCAAACTATGCCTCGGTCAGAAAGTGTGCTCCCAGTGATAGCTATAGATACTGGCCATGCTGTCCATATACTTGCTCTGCCCATGGGCCAGCCTGAGATTGGGTCTCCTGCGTTATCGGGCTGATGGCTCTGTGGTGGGTGTGGCCGCCTGTGATTATTGGAATGAGGGACCAGAATACCGGGCACGACATAAAACGCCCAGGCCAGATGGACGCCTCTCGATGGCATGTCCGGCGGGTTGTAGCTGCGGGGCACCTTCACAATCACCATTTCCTTCCAAATTAGGCTGCGCCCAGCGGCCACCTTGCAGTCCATCCGAAAACGCTGATCACAATCAGCCAGACCACCAAAACTTTATAGAGCAATTGATCAGAGCAGGGAAGAACGTGACAACCAGAAGGTGGTCTCCTTCTTCAAGCTTGCCTGCTCTTGCTGGTGCGCAGCCTCTCCCAGACCTGTCCGATCGCTTGCACGTGCAGCCCAACAAGTTTGCATCCCATTCGCTACAGCAGACGTTGAGACGGAGATGTTTTCGTTTGCTTGAGAACTGTCTGTGACTTTAGACGAGTCAAACCGATGTTTGTTTTTGCTGCTATGCACCGACCGACCAGAATTTATGCCGGCGGGCATGCAGATCGATATAATAGATATCCTTGTTCTAAAAGTCCAGCCACAATTTGCTGGCAATGTTGAGTATTTGAGTTTGATATTTATCTGTGGTCTATATTATCGCTCGAATTGTCGCTCGAATTGTCGCGTATTCGTGATAAGAGTTCCTGCGAGCACGCATTTGAGTATCTTGGTCTATTGTCAGCATTGGCCCTCTGAGCCATATCTGGGGTCGGCAATCATTTTCTTGTCATGTATTTGATCGCAGGTGTATAGAGTCGTGGTCTAACAATGGCTCGCGGAGCTATACTATTATTAGCTTGCTGCATCCTAGCGGCCGGCTGCGCAGAGGCGGGGCGTCTTGGCGCTAAGCGCAGCGTCCTGCAGACCATCAACAACAACAACAACAACAACAACGGTGGTGTGTGGCTCAGCATATGTCTCTTGCGTCGTTGGGCTTACTCGCGTCGTTGGGCTTGTCAGCGACGTCCAGCTGTCCGCTGCACGTAATTTAAACGAAAAGTTATGTGTCTGATTGTAGGTGGTGGCGCAAACAACAACAATAACAACAACAACAACAACGGAGGTGGGTGCAACTTGGACAGCATTGTCGGCTAAGCGTTTATGTGTTTTTCGATGTTGTCGCAAGGGAGGATCCCTTCTGTGAAGCCCTTTCTCACTGAGACTGTTTGCTGCTGTGCAGGCAACGGCGTCACAGTCAACAACAACAATAACAACAACAACGGCGTTGGATATGGTGCGCTCATTATTTTTACCATGGCAATGTCCCTGCTTTGGCAGCCTCAAGGACTGCAGTTCTGAGCCTTTGCACTTTTATTTCCTGCACTACCAAGTCCTGCATCATTAGCGACCAATGTTAGACTGTACCTGCATGCTTTTGGTGAAGCCCACCAACATCAAGCTGAAATTGATCACCATAAACAGTCACTTTCGATTTTAGTTTTGAACTTGAAATTATTGTTGCTGCAGGTGGCGTGTTCGCCAACGGTGGCAACGGTATTGTGCCCGTGAACAACGTGCTGTACGGATCTGGCGGCGGTGTCATCATTGACACAGGTTGGCAAAATTCTGTTTCTCTTGGACTCTTCAACCAGCAGAATGGTCATGCTGAGCTGACACCTCTCTGTGGCAAAGGCTGGAAAAGCTCTGTTAGGTGATATTAAGTGATGGGAAATGCACTCTGGGCTGAAAGGACCAGCAGGCCTTGTTGATCAAGCTGTCATTGTTTCTAGTGGTTGACCCTGCAGATTGTCTGCAATTGCACCTTGCCTCTGGCAGAAAAGTGGACATGCACATGTGTCTAAATGCTCCCTCTTATTTGCGCTGCAGGCTTCTACAGCGATGGTTTCAACTGCTACCTGGAGGGGGGCATCTTGTTTGGTGTCATCTACGGAGGAGTCATCTTCCCGCCCTTCAATGCAGTCTTCTTCCCGCCCCCCATTGTGCGTGTAGTGGTCTTCGGCCCTGTCTTTGCGCAGAGCGTGTTCATCGTCAACAGACGGCCGTTCTTCTGCAATGACATCTTCTACAACGACGCCGGCGTCCGTATCTACAACCCTCGTGAGTTCCCTGAACTTTTGGATGCTTATATCTCTTCAAAATGCAGCATGTTTCACTATGCGATGCCTCGTGTGGTGTATGTCTCTGGGCTTTGCTGTGGCCCTGTGCCTCCAGCTCTGCTGCTCAGCGTTCCAGCACTAATTCTTATGGGAACGTCATTGCAGTGCTTATTCACAATGTGCTAAAGACTTCAGCACTATGATTGGCCTTTCATGCAAGCCCTGCTCCAATTAGCCATCATCAGAGCAGATCTTATCACACACGTACACACATTTGACATGGACTCACATGTTTCTTGCAGGTGGCTACAACGGTGCTTTCTACACCCAGAACCGCGTGCAGATTGGAGTGTTCACTGGCGGCTACCCCGTGGTCCAGAACACCCAGATCATCAACAACAACAACATTAACATCATTAACAATGTCCCCGCGCGAGAGGTCACCCCCCTGGCAGCTCCCGCGTCAAGCATCATCGGCCAGGAAGGTGCGTTGCACTACCATCCCTCCTCCCCTGCATGTATCCTCAGCTGTGCGTTCAAAGGCACATCTCAAGACACATGAGATTGTAGTGCAAAATCAAGATTGCTTTCGCATTAAGCAAGATTTTGCTTCTTGTCGAACTGCTTGAACAAGCCTCATGAAAGGTCCTTTTGCAATCTTAGCAATTGAAAGCAAGACATTGTGCAGATCAGTGCACTGTGCCTCTTGTTTACAACAGAATGGGTGGGTTGTTCCGGCAGCACTGGTCAGCCATTTCTTCATCTGTGACTGATTGCAGTCTATTCACCGAGTTCCTGACAGTACTCACTTTTTCCGTGCGTAGGTGTGACCGTGACTCCCAATGCTGCGCCTGCAACGACCACCCCCGAGACCCTGGCGGCTGTGAGGACAGCTTCCACCAGCTCCCCCACTGCTGGCTCCATCACCGTTTCGGGCTCTCCCGGCGCATCAACCTCCCCTGGAGTGGATCCCGGTACCTCCACATCTCCCGGCACCTCCACATCTCCCGGCGTCAGCCCCAATGCACTCACCAGCGCTGCAGGTAGCAAAGCTTTCTAGTGTTTCTGACAGTATATATATTATATTATTGTGCACCTACGTCACTTTGTGGCTGCATGCACAACATCAGAAGATATGATGTTCACTCCAGTGCTTGGGGTGTTGATGCTGAGGTTGTGGCAATCAAAAGCTGTATCAGAAGCCCATTGCTAGCTTAAGTGGAGATCCATTGTGCCAGATGTGTCAGCAAATGCCATTGTTCTTCCTCTCCACCACACCTGTTCAATGGACATTGACAAAGATTACCTGTCTGCAGGCTCCCCGGGCACGTCTGGCTCTCCCGGAGTGTCCGCATCTCCTGGCACATCTGCCTCTCCGGGTGTCTCCACCTCTCCAGGAACCTCCACATCGCCAGGAGTAGCTGCCAACGCACAGGTGGCAGCCGGCACTTCAACCTCCCCAGGAACTTCCACTAGCCCAGGAACTTCGACTTCACCTGCAGCAGGAACGAGCACCAGCCCTGCTGGCGCCGCTGGCACTTCAACTTCCCCTGCGTCCGGCACTTCAACTTCCCCTGCGTCCGGCACTTCAACTTCCCCTGCGTCTGGCACATCCACTAGCCCGGCCACTGCCAACCAGCAGAGAACCGCTGCCGCCACCAACAGCCCTAGCAGCCCCTCAGGTGTGCACTCTCCCCTGCAGTAGTGCTCACAAATCATTTACCATTTCTTGAAACAGCGCGCGTGTTTGTTTGTCACCCTTGGTGGCAGTTTTGTCTGCAAGTGCATTGGTATATCCTCTGCTGCGGGCATGAGCAAGGGCAGTGTGGCTTGATTGCTGCAGCTTTCACCCACAGTGGCAAGGCAATAGACTGCTCGGCAGATGTTTCTCAAGCAGTGCAACATGTCTTTCTCATGTCTGAAGGCTTTCTTGCCTTGTGCCATCAGGCGGCGGCTCCCCATCAGGCGGCAGCTCCCCGGCACCTACCACCAGCTCCAACTCTGGCAGCGGCAGCCCTTCGGGAGGCAGCTCGACCACCTCAACCTCATCTCCTGCCCCCCAGGCCCAGGTATTTTCTCCCACCCCTCAGATTCACAGTGGAGCCCTGTATCCTAGATCATATAAAATGATTTTGCATTTCCCTGGCTTTTGCTGTGCAGTCTGATACTCTTTCAGCACTTGTTTATGCCTCCTGTGAGCTCATCTTCGTGCTGCAGTTCCTGTTTGTGTTTGTGTTTGTGTGTCAGAAGAGGTTCTCCAGACCTTTCTTTCATCGCAATTCACTATGGGACTGCTAAATATGAGTCTGATTCTGCCTGCAGAGAGCCGCATCATCCAACCCCACTGGAGGATCTTCCAACGGCGGCGGAGGATCTTCCAACGGCGGCGGAGGATCTTCCAACGGCGGAGGCTCAAGCAACGGCGGAAGCTCTAGCAACGGCGGAGGCTCAACCGGCTCTGGCTCAACTGGCGGCTCTAGCGGATCGTCCTCTGGAGGCTCTTCCACTGGAGGCGCCTCCACCGGTGGCTCTTCCGGTGGCAGCTCTTCCCAGGGCGGCTCTCAGGTGAGCATTCAACCTCTTCACTGTAGTTTCAATTTATGTGTTTCGATGCAAAATGTGTGTATGTCTGGTAGGGCCATATTGGGATGGGTTTGGCAGATGCCAGTGCACAGCAACTAGTCAGGCTGTAAGCATGTAAGTCTGCTGACCAGTCAAGCGTTGGATGAAGCATTGCCATGCACTGTTGAGAGCATAACACTGACTGTGGACAGTGAATTTGTGCAGGATATTTAAGCGTCTTTTGTAATTCTGCAGGGCACTGGCCAGCCGGGTTCAGGCGGTAATGGCAACGCAGCCGCTACCACCACTCAGAGCGGCGCCACTCCCAACTCTGCTACTGGATTCTAGAGTGCTTGTAGCAATGCGCGGCGTGTATAAATGACTGTGATCTACCTGTACAAATTCAGCGAAGATCACTTTAAAAATGCGAGGAACTTTTTCTTGAATAGTAGGGTGCAACGATTGAGTCAAGATATGTATGACGTGTTAGCTACTGGATCTAGACCTTGCGTCAGGTTACATGCCTGATACTTATTCAAGTGCCAGTATGTCTGAATAATTAGTGCAATCGAGAAGTAAAGCTCTTGCACATTTAATTTCATTTGACTTCTTTTCATACAAACAGTCTAATGTCCAATTTAATTCCTGTATCTCTTGTCATGCCAAACATTAAATTTTCATGCATGCATTCTACTGATTTAGCAAGTGGCATGGCAACAATGAGCTGGATCAGCACTGCTGCAATGATGTCTGCAAAGACTTTCTATATTGCACGTTTTCCCTGCCATGGCTTAGCTGTCTCTGCAGGCTAGCTGCATGTCAATGCTACCAAAAAGCACCCCTTTGATAGAATCATCTGACCCGAGCAACTTGTTCAGCTCAATCGTGCTCAGTATCTATACCAATTGCCGCCAGGTAGGGCACATGTCGTGCAAACACACCTGGCTGCTGGCCAACAAGTGTGATCCTAGCCAACAGCTACCAATGGGAAGAAATAAATCCAACCGAAATTCCTCGCACTAGGGACACAAACCTGTTTCTTAAATCCATAATGTACAAACCAATTTTGCTCCTTCCTCCACTATCCCATGGATACATGCTCCCGTTGCTGACGCTTGGCACCAGTTCAACTGGCAAGTTGCTCACTCCTAGGTTAATAGTTTGAAGCCTCTTTGAAAGGCTCTGAACCTTTCAGTGCAGCATATCTTTTATGCTGCACTATCTTTCTAGATTTTCTTAAGCGGATATTTGACCCGTCCAGACAGCAGGATGCTAACGCGATCTAGAGCCAGCCTACTGTCTACAAAACCAGGGCGTCTTGACGACAGGGTGCCCAGTCAGGTCTGGGCAACTTCCCTCTCGGTGTTTCCCACGTCACTTGCATAATCACTCGCTAGAAGGGTCCGTGACATTTCGGAATAAAGGCTCATCCATAAATAACTTCCAAGCCAGAAACGTGATCTGCTAATCTTGAGTTTCATCTTCAAGGATCGACGTCAATCAAAGGTAAGCGTCTGATGTGTGTGTGTGTGTGTGTGTGTGTGTGTGTGTGTGTGTGTGTGTGTGTGTGTGTGTGTGTGTGTGTGTGTGCCTCTGAAGGTATCGGTTGTTGTCACGAAAGCCATTTCCGCCATCCTCCCGTCACGCCTTGTTCATTTGTATTAAAGGTGTTTTCGCAGCGAACTATTTAGCGTATTTAGGGTGAAGCAGACCAAAGTTTACCGCTAAAGGTGCATATTTTATTGCGCAGACCTCGACGAGCAAGCCCTTCGAAACTCAAAGAAGATGAAGTCGACATACATCCTCGCGTCTTTGGCCACCCTGCTGTTGGTTGCATGTGCAACAGGTACTGTGCTTTTTATTATGTGTTATTTGAACTTCAGGTGTACTTGTCAACCCCGTTGGTGTCTTCGGGATATCGCAAGGCTTGCCGGATCATAGTTGTCCGAGAATCAGGCTCAGCTGTTTGTCAAAATATTCACTGCAGTAACTTTACGTTTCGGAAATTGATTGATTAAAACCGTTCACTTTCTTCTGGAGGGTTCGTGTTGAGTTTGGTGTGTCGCTGCAGGCGCCCGTCACCCCGCGATGTCCGGCAATGCCGTGGCAGCTGAGGAGCAGGTGAGCAGCGTCAACACATTTCTTGTCATTCATGGGTGTCTTGATGCCCCACACAGTCTGAAGCTGTCAAGACTTTCCTTTTGCAGCCGTGTTATCCGTAAAGTGCTGAACGAATGACGTTGATCTTGGTTGTGGACATCCAGGGAGCCGAGAACGCCTTCGGCCTGCTGCGTCGTACTCTGAAGCAGGGTGGTGGCGGTTCCGGCACATCTGGCGCGTCGTACTCTGGTGCCAGCTCGTCCGGCGGTGGCTCGTCCGGCGGTGGCTCGTCCGGCGGTGGCTCGTCTAGCAGCGGAGGCTCGTCCAGCGGCTCTGGCAGCATGTCTGGCGGATCAAGCAGCTCCCCTAGCAACTCTCCCAGCTTCTCGCCTGCCCCAGGCCCCAGCAGTTCTCCCAGCAGCTCCCCCAGTGGATCCCCCTCCATGGGCTCCGGAATGTCTCCAAGCAACAGCGGCAGCTCCTCAGGAGACTCCAGCTCTTCGGTGCGACCCTTCTGTCATATTTCATTCATTGTTGAGTGCCACAGGATTGATCATGTCAAGCATGCCCAGCTCAAGCATGCCCAGCTCAAGCATGCCCAGCATCTCCAAAACTTTAATGGGTCGACAGAAAGTGAGTGGGCTTGAATGCTCTAGCAAACAGTGTTTCGGATGCAAGGCAGCAGCACAGCAGCTGCAGAGATGTTCATGAATAAATGTAGCAGAGATAATTTGGCTGGCCAAATCAGGATGCGCATGCAAAGTGATGTGCTGAACGGCACCCTTTGCTTCTTGCAGGGCAACGGCGGTCTTGCAAGTGCTTCTGACACCACACAGAGTGGAGCCACACCCAACTCCGTTGGCCGCTAAATCAATTGCCGACAATTCTATTTGAGTCCAATTAAGGGACATTGCGACGTTGCAGGTTTTAAAGGACATCTTGTGCCCTGCGACCCTGCAGCGACCATGCTCTTACAATTTTCAGGCCAGCCGTTTTGGAAATTCTTTATCGTGGTTTGAGTCTGCAAGAAGCTAAATATTGGCTTTAATCCTGTTGGATTGCCCATTTTAGAAAAGCACAGTTTGAAACAAGACATCAGCACCTTTGTCTGCTATCTCATAGAGGACGGTGTGCGATAAAGTTACTTGATGGCTGTCTACCATAGTTGGCAATGTTTTCACAATGCGTTTGCATGTTTTACGTCCCTTCTCTTGTAACGATATCTCTGGTGCTTCAAAATAGGATTTGCTTTCCCTTGAGTCTTGCAAGGGACCATTAGGTTGGACTGAGTACATGGCTTTCTCAGTGTCAAGGTTCCAAACATTCAACGTGTTGAATTGTGTTTAATAAATCCTCTTATTCAGACAGGTTCTCACAGAGGACACATGATTGCCAAATTCACCTAGAAGCCATCATGTACAAGCAGCTTCAGCACGGCTTCCACAACCTTGCTGGCTGACAAATCAAATGAAGGATCCTCGATTTTCCTCAGCAGCAGGTGAACAATCTCCTTCCGCAGGCCGTTCACCTGCACAGACACCCCAGCATCACTCTTTGCACCAGACATTTGCCATTTATGCCCCAACTTGCGCGCTGCCGCAACGTTGGTGCAGGCTTTCACCTCAGGTCTTGAGGAGGCTGAACATAGCATTTCGTAGCACAAAATCGATCACATTGCTCCATATTTGCCCAGATGAAGCTTTGCAGGTCTCGCAAGGGGATACAGTAAGTATTGTGCAGAGTGCGCTGCAGCGCATCTTGCTCAGGATCAACAGTCCGACACATCGACTCACGGCAATCAATCAGACAATACTTCTAACATCTCAAAAGGGTGGCACACCAGGGCGGCGATCTGCGCAGGGGCCTTGAAGGTGGCCCAGGAATCGAGCCTGATCAGGCCGTCTGCATGGTGCACAGTCAGCGCGCCCCCAAATAGCAGCAGAGCGTACACCGGCACCATGGAAGCTTCGCGCACAAAAACCTTGCTCGTCTCTGTTACGTCTGTGTAGAGGAGCCAGCCGCTGGGGAAACTGCCGCAGCTGAAGTTGACCGAGGCCGGGTGGATGAACACGCGCCCTGCACCAAATAATGGAGTTGCAATCACTGTGCTTGAACCGGGAGGCTCTCATGCAGAGGTGAAAGGAATGGGCCTATTCTAGGGGGACTCGAGAAGGACATGGTCCCAAGCCAGAAAAAGGCCTTTACAGCAACAGCGTTTTTGTCAGAGCAGGTGGCGTCTGAACTGCAAACTTGCACGCCACGACACCGGGAACTGTGTGATGGAAAGTGCCACAGCAAGACCAGAGCGACAACTTGCAGCAGTCAGACAGGCTGCAGGAATGAAAGGGTGGGCCATTTGACACAAAAGTCACAAATTGATGCCTGGTTCAGACAATAACAAATACGGGAGGTCTGCGCACCCTTGACGCGGTCAAAGAACTTGATGCGGACGGGGCTGGCATCGTGCTCCATGGCTCCTCCCAGCACGCGCTTGAACACGGCCGGCGGGTGGTCCACACGCAGAATGTTGGGATAGAAGCCTGCAGGCCACATGCTTCCTCTTTCCAGCAATTATCATGTAAAACAGCAAGAGGTTGTACTGCTTAAGACTGTGTGTCACACTGCGAGATTTGGCAGTTGCATTTAGTGAGCATGGCTGGCCTTGCCTTTGCTTGGCATGAGGCAGCTTGGAAAGGCAGCATGGTGTCTGAAAAATTCAGACATCAGAGCCTGGTAGGCCAGGGCTCCCACAACTGCCCATAGCTCAAGCACTTGGTGAGTCACGCAGCTTGAGTGCTGCATATGACAGCACTGTGCCAAAAAGGCACAGAGGCTGTGCCGAAAAGCATGGCGTCAACAATGCTTTCTCACAGCAGGAGAGGCGTCTCTCACCAGCGCAGATGGCTGCCTTGATGACGCGCGCATTCAAAGAGCACTCGTCATAGTGAGAGTCCAGGTCGTGAGCGCTGTTTCGGCAGGAGGCCACGTAGCTGACAGGCAAAAAACCCAGGTCGGCAAGAATCCCTGCGTACTCGGCGCGGCCCTGCAGCGTTCCCTCCATCGCAGCGTCCGACACAAAGTTCTGGGAAGCCCACTGCAGCAGCACATGCACGGAAGTCAGGGGAACCCTGTAAGCTACATGCAGGGGGATTTAATCGATAATTACAATTGGTTGATTCACCTGCAGCATAAGCCCGACTCATCAGACTCACACGTCCAGGTCTGCTGCTGTGTGGAGATGTTGACACACATGTTGGATGATGAAAAGGCCTGCCATGGGCAATAAACAGTGCTCCGCTCAGGAATGGTACCTTTCCCCCAATGCGCATGTGGACTTGATTACAAGGCATGTACTGTGCTACCTGATACTGTATGAAGGTGAGTAGTGAAGAAGGCTAATACACCAAGGATCACGAGTTTTAGTCACCTGGTAGGCAGCCTGGCGGCCGTCCTTGGTGCGGGCCCGGTTCCACTCGGAGAAGGCGGCAACGAGCGCCAGGTGGTCGCTGCGGGCGGCCGCTGAGTCACCGGTAAGTCGCTTCTTTGCCAGCTCAGCCTCCTCGCGCCTATCTGGCGGCGACTGGAACACCGGCCGCCCATGCGCCATTGCCGCCACCACCGTCAGCACTGGGCCCACACACCTGCACGATTGTGCAATGCAGAGATTAAACAGCCAGTTCAAACGTTGCATCTTCCTTCAGACTGTGCTGTCTCGTAATTGTTGCTCTGCAGGAAAACCATTGAGACTGGTCAACGAGTTTGGCCAATTGGATAGTGCAGCTACAGACATGCTAAAGCTACCTGCTTGCTTACGGCATGAAAAGTTTACTGATACTCAGCTGAGACACACATGGCCAGGACAGGATGCCAATTGAGGACCAGGGCCACTGGAGAGAATTATTTTCACTGCAGCACACTGCGGTTCCTGAGCAGACATAGAAAAGGGGTGCTGACCTGAGCATGACGGCGTAAATGAGCGTCTTGGCGAGCCGCGCGTCCATCGGCATCAGAGTCAGGTGACGCCCCAGCGCAGTCAGCGCCTCGTCATCATCCAGCGCTCCGAGGGTAGTAAGCGCGGATACCGCCGATGCTATCGCATCCAGCGCCGGCGGGGAGATGAGCCGGCCGAGCGCATACTGCAGACGGTGTGCGCTCGGCAGTGCGGCCTTCACCGAGAGGCAGAGAGATTCCAGCGGCATGCGCAGAACCTCTGGCAGCTGCTGCGCCTGCAAGGATTAACAGCACTATCAGCCATACATAGTTTTTTCTCTCTCTGACATTAAATGGTGAGATTGGAGCCTGCCTCCTCATACATTGTTCTGCATATCTCTTTCATAGATAGGTCCTGGAGGTAGGTGCAATGGCGATTAAGTGTTGGACAAAGATGGGACCAGTCTGTCTTTGTTAGAAGGAACTGCAGCAAGGCACGTGGCAGTGAATTTTGGACAAAGTCCTGAGTGCTGATGGCCTGTCTGCAAGAAGAAGTGCGCTGCCCCAAACTTATACAAGTCTGCATTGATGTGTGTCAGAGGCGGACCTGGAAGGCGGCGGCCTGTTTTCTGGAGAAGAGGCGGAAGCAGGTGCCGGGCCGCACTCGCCCGGCTCGGCCGCGCCTCTGCTGGCCGCTGGCCGCAGAAGCCCACATCTCCTGCAGCCGCGATATGCTCCGCTCCGCATCATACCTGTACCGCAGCGACTCACCATCACTCATCAGGGTGTCACAAGGAGAAGTCTACCTGCTTTTGTACAATATCCCACACACAGCACACCACTTGAGCTTTGCATTACAATGGATCCCAGGAAGGATTGCGGAAATCATGAGCTCACGCATACGGCAACATGCACTCTAGCACGCCCCAATCTAGTGTTCCTACACACGATCAGATGGTCATTGCTGAAACTACTAGTAAGAGAGTGTGTCACCTGATCTCCTTGACCCGTCCGCAGTCGATGACACACACGACGTCATCGATGGTGATGCTCGTTTCTGCCACATTTGTGGCCACCACGATTTTGCGCGTGCCTGGGCCCACCTTCTGAAACACCCGCGACTGCATCGAACACACCCTTGTTTTCACACATCTCCCTTGCTGCTTAAATACCTTGCCTTCCAAAGAGATATTTGAATTACTGCAGGGTCTCCTGCTAGGCGTGCCTAGCAACATCTTATGGAGAGCCCCATCCTCCGTGGTAACAGTATGTCTTGGCCACTCTTAAGGGCCATCCCTTGGATTTACTCTCGCAGTGCCTCTTTGCCATTTTCCGACAGGCAATGTCTGAGCTATGAGCATGTCTGACAAAACACTGTGAAAGAGAGCAACGGAGAAAGAGCGCCGCACCTGCTGCTTTGCAGGCAAAGATCCGTGGAGCGGCAGGATGCGCAGCTCTTGGCCTGAAGCCCCACTCCTCAGCTTAGAGGAGCCCTGAAATAGACACACGCACATATTCAGAAGAGAACATCCCAAACCTTCTCGCTGGAAAGCCCCATCACAGCCATGTCTTGCTGTTCCTTGAGTGAGCAGGAAGCATAGTGTGCACAATGCATCTACCCCGGAGAGCAAATGATAAGGCTGAGGCACATGCGCAGACAAGTCACATGAAAGGATGACCCCTCAAAAGTCCCTTGCTGAACAGCCCCATCAGGACAATATGTCGCTCTGTCCAGGAGTCAGCAGGGACTATGGATCCCACTCTAGTGCAGCACTGCATGTAATCTTTGTTTGTATTGCTTCGTTGCGTAGCAAGACAGGGGAACTTGATCTGTTTTGCTTATGCTTGAGAGATCAGCAGAAGCAGACCTGCAGTGCTCGCACGAGCTTGGAAATCTCAGGGGCTCCCGGCAGGAAGATGAGGATTGCATTTGCGGCGCTGTCAGGCTGCTGACTGGACACCACGTGGGCCACCAGGCTCTCCAGCAGCTCGTAGTTGATCAGCGCCTCGTCCACATTGCTCAGCGACCGCAGCGTGGCCGCGCTGTACTGGGGCGTTGCCTCCTCATTAGAGCCTGCCACATTGCACTTCAAGGACTGATCATCGTCCATTTCACTGTAACAACAAATGCGAGTGTCGTTCTCCCTGGTGACAAACCCCCACAATGCCACCCCACTCATGACTCACCGCATGCCGCTTGTGGTGCGGGCTATGAGCAGTGTTTCCAAGGAGTAACTGCAGGCCAATGCTCAGCGCATTGGGCACCTCCAGAAATGATTCATGGACGTTAAGGTATCCATGTATTGCCAGGATGCACAGATAGCCCGCCACTCAAGGTGCATCATAACAAGAAGAAGTGTGCGCCACATGAGGGCGGCAACCGTGCCTGGTATAATGCCATTGGTGCTGTTTCTGAGCGGGGTGGGCGGCCGCTCTTGGTCATCTTCATCCCATGCCGAGGGGACAGCCTTAGTCACATCGGCAGCATGCGGCAACCGCTCGGCAGCTGCCGCCCCATTTGGTTTTGGGCGCGCCTCCGCCTTCCCCTTCTTTGCCCACCTACACAGCCAACATATCCTCCAGCTCTGCGCATGCGGCATTTTCCAGCAAGACCTTGTCGTCCAGGGCCACCATCTGACTTAGCCCCAACGTGGGTGGTTCTTGATGGCATACAAGGATATGTAAACGCACTTGGAGCCGCGGCCGATAACAAAGCCGGTGCGCTCAAGGACATCCTCCAGGAAGAAGTCCTGCACCGGGTGCGTGAATCCGGGGATGCTCACCAGCGCGCATGCACTCGAGCCCTGCACGGAAACATGCATCATCAGTGGGAATTCAACTTTCTTTGACTCGACATGAGTCTGCATTTGCTGCCATGCAATCGCTGGAATTACTTGAGAAAAAGCTAAGGCTGGCCTGTACAGAAATTGGCAGCAGCACAAAGGAACTCTGTCTTTCACCCAGAAAGCGAGGATGACTGGCAAGGCTTCACCCTCCTCCAATCAAGCTCTTGAATTCCTTCCATCAATCTAAAAGAGTGTACCACTTTGGCGAGCTCTGCTTCTTTACATCAGCAGTGCCACTAGTCCGGGATTCAAGTCTGTCTAGCGAGCCTGAATAGCAAAAGTGCACTGTTTTCGCATTTGCAACTCTTCTGGCTATTTAGACAGGAAAAACAGGGTTTAATCACCTTGGCCAGCTCAGCGTCAAAGTAGGATTGGAACAGGCCGGCCTCAGCAGTGGCAGACATGAGCACCACGCGCAGCTGGGGGTTGCAGCCGCTCGCCAGCAGGTCGCGCAGAAGCAGTAGTAACAGATCGGAGTCTGCCGAGCGCTCGTGGACCTCGTCTACAACTACGTGCGTTGTGCCGGCCAGGGATGAGTCACCCAGCAGCCGCCGTAGCAGCACGCCTGCGCGCAGGAACAGTGTCAAGTTCGATCATGTGAGAGAGAGTGCTCTGTGAAGGATAAAAGATGAGTACCATGAGACCGCTGTCACCTCCCAGCAGCATCTCTATCCATTCTTCTATTTTTTGGAGGCCCCATGACCTGAATACCTCAGTTTACATGCCGAAGTATGGTAGGAGTTGGCGGTGGATATGTCAAAATTATGCCTGATTTGGCGCGTCAGCAGCACGAGCTGACGGCTGCCATCGTGATTAGCAATTATTTGCTTACTAAAGGTGACAGCGCACCGGTGGTGCAGAAGAGCAGGCGCGTGCGGCGCGAGGTGCGCGAGTCGAGGCGCACTGAGTAACCAACGACGTCACCAATGCCCTCGCCGCGCTCGGCCGCCACCCGGGACGCCACTCCCACCGCCGAAATGCGCCGCGGCTGAGTCACCACTATGTTGCAGCCGCCGCCACACCCCTCCTCTATCGCCTGTTGCATTAACAACGAAATACCTGAGATACGGTACTTTAGATCTTGTGGGAGGACTATAAGCCGAAACGGCACATATGCGACAAATAAGGTCCCTTCCGCTGCCGATTAGATACACGATCACCTTCACGGAATACCACTAGGACTTATTGTCCTCCCTGAACAGTGCGGAGTGCTTCCATACGTATCAGACCTTACTTTGCTGGAGAACCTAGCTCTGCTCCAGATAATACATGCAAGGTGCAAGGGACTGTTTCGTGGTCCCTTTGTAGGATGACTTCCAGTCAAGGCATCGCAAGGCATGATTCACAATGATGACAGGGCTTGAGAAACTTAACACAAGAGGTTGATTCACCTGTTCCAGAACGTATTGCGGCAGCTGCGTGCTTTTGCCGCATCCGGTCGCCCCGCTCACAATGACCACCCGCTGCCGCTTCAGGGCCTCAAGCAACTGCGCTCTCTTGGTGTGCGCCGGCAGCTTCTCCCTAGCTGCTCGCATGGCCTGCATCCGTGAGCCACGCAGCCATTCCTCGCGCTGATCCTGTGACATCCGAAACATATTATCCTCCTTCCTCCTTTCATGCGCTTCAACACAGGGGATGCCCTAAACTCCTGCTAACTTCCTTTCTTCACACTCCAGAAGTGTACAGAGATCTCTCTTCTGTAATTCTGCACAGTAGACACAGACAGACTTCAAAGGATAAGAGCAACTTACATGTATAAGAACACCCCGACTTGTTGCCGGCAAAGAGAAGCGCGCATGAAATCACCTTGAGGCGCCTGCTTTCTGCATGTACTTCCACAGGCGTCTGTCTCCCAGGACCGCCGCGCTGTCGCCTGCCATTAGTCAGGGCTACCGCTGCAGGGCCCTCATTCGCTCCCTTGGACGCTGACTCAGCTTCTGCCGGCTCTTTGCTGGCTGGAAGCGCATGTCGCAGCGCTGCAGGCGGTACAGGGCTGCTGAGGGTATCCTCCAGGAGGCCGGGCGCGGCCGAGGCCAGCTCGTACAGCATGGGCTCGCCCCTTGTGCTCTCTGCCACGCCATGCAGCCGCCTTGCCAGCTCCAGGCGTACAGCTGGCGCCAGCTCAGCACACCTGCAACCTAGGCGATTATCACTATATATGCAGTTTGTCACCTAAATATGTTTTGTTTTTGCAGGTACTGCTGCATTGCCCATTGCTGTGCATATGCCCCTGTTTGATTTCAGATGACTGGACCACAGAATGAGGCTTACAAATCACGATGGTTGCCTTTCTTTATGTTGCTGTTCATAGTGGATCACAAACAAGAATCCGTCTGAGCAGTGTGCAGATCTGCCCACCTGACTCCGATAATGGGCAGATCATCCGGGTAGCTGCTGCTCGCTCGTATCCTGAAATCGAGTGTGAGGCGAGTGCCATGCGCGTCCACTGACAGCAGTGTCTGCTGGTCTGAAGGGAACGCCACATCACCCTCATAGATTGCCTCCAGAGCCACCCTCTCCTCAATCCAAGCTTCAATGCCAGAACTCGTGGCAGTCTCTGCTGCGGCCTCCACAGTGCCACCTGGAGAAAAGTCTGCTCAAAGTCAACAATGCAAGACAACAGGGCAAATGTGTATACGCTGCCTTCAAATTCCTGCTGAATCGCGCCGAGCTCACCATCTGATGGCTTCTATTTCAAGGCACAAACAAACAAATACAGATGGGTCCTAGAAACTTTAGCGAGGTTTAGTCAAGCACCTTAAGAGGCAGTCAAACAGAGTTTAAGCTGCCCAATGTGCCACAAAAATGCCTAAATGCCCTAAACCCTAAAAAAAAAATAGACGGGTCTCTGAGGTCTCAGCAAGCTCGAGTCAGCACCGATCAGGCGGTCAAAAAATAGCTATGCAAAAGTCATGACCTCCTAAACAGTAATAAGGTCAAAACAAATTCCTCCATCTCAATGGTTTGCTTCCCAGGAAAACAAGTGCACAAACAGAGATGGGTCTTTGAGGTATCAGGCACCTGTGAGGCGGTCATCCCAAGGCTTTCTTCTCTAGGACAAAAGTAAACAAACACAGATTGGTCTTTAGGCTACCGGGAATGTGGTTTCAGGCACCTGTGAGGCGGTCAAAGAGGTGTGCATGTGCTGCGTCAGCATCGCCCTGGCAGCTCTGCAGCGCAGCCGCAGCCTCATCGATCGCATAGCCCAGATCTGTGAAGTCTGACAGTGCGCCACTCGCCGAATGCCGCTCGCCAGCATCCACCCCATTCTCCTTGGGGTGAGCGTTGTTCAGCACTCCTACCGGCTTCCCGGACGCGCCTGTTGCACCAAATTTATTCATGCATGCACAAATGTTAAGTGCGCAGCATTACAACGCGCATTGTGCATCGCATGCATCTCATCGCATCACGCATCAGAGCATCCCCCAAATGAGCTGGCGATTACTTGTGCGCATGCACAGATCTGGCCATGCAATCCCTGAAGGGACAATTGCTGAAGTAACGCACGCATGAAGCAGGGCAATCAGGTCACCAGATCACTTCGATCCGGTCACTCTCCAACTGAAGCCATTTCCCATTGTGGCTGCAGATAGATTTGGCGCAAACGATGTTGCAGATCCCAAAAAAAAGGGGGGTAGTGCAGTGCGGACCGGCAGCAAAGACGGGCGGCAGGTCATCTTCGGGCACGTTGAGGCAGAGCCAATCGAGCGCGGTCTCCAGCGAGGGCCGCCCGTCCTGCGCTATGGCCACCGCCAAAGCATCGTCCACGTCAGCGCTGGCAAAGCCAAGGTCGCGCAGCTTCCCGGCAAACTCCGCCACCAGCCCTGCGAATGCAAATGATGTAACTCAAAGTATCAATCTAGGCACAGCTCTGAAGTCACTTCATGATGATTCGATGAGATGTAAGCATCAAATGCATGTCCTCAGGCAAGCCAAGAAGGCGACATAATGAGTTTCAGCCACTACAGAACTTGCAAATCCTGTGAGCGTGCCATTTTTGCATTCACTGCGCGTCCCTGGACTTTCCTCTCACCCAGTAGCACATTGTCCAGTCTGCGCACCCTCTTTTGTGGTAGCTGTGCTGCTGGATAGCGCAGTGTTGCCTGACAGCCCGGAGGTATGCGAGATGAACATAACAAATGACAAGCAGCACTTGCACCCCAAACATGCACGGGGCTCAGAAGCCACAAGTCTCGTGCAATCTCCGCACCCTCTTCGGTGGCAGCCGTGCTGCCGGAGAGTGCGGGGTCGCCGGAGAGGCCGCGCAAGACCCCCTCGACCATTCGCCGCTGCTGCTCGCTCATGATGACGTCCTTGGGCATGCGCCGAGCCAGTGATTGCCGCCGAGATTTGTCGCGTGCAGTCCTCGCCTCGGCCGCCGCCGCCGTTCTAGCCTCGCGCTCCACCCTAGTCTCCGCCTGCCACAACAGCAATCTCTGCCCTCAAGCAATGCAGCAGAGTGCCGGCAGGATATCAAGGATTTTGTGGCCGTTATCATGAAGCACCAGCTGGACATTGGGTCCATGTTGTTCCCATTTTCTAGTACAACCAGAGAAGTTACCACAGGAAAGAGCCTGATGTCCCACATGTTCCAAATCTCAGTCCCTGGCATTCTTCGATGCCAGAAGAAGGACAGAGGCTTGCAATGAAGGAACATGTGTGACCGGTTTGACATCCCAGGGCAATCCCCGCTGGGAGTTGTGCTGCTGGTTTCTAGGCCTGGGTCCTAGTCCACCCCAAAATTTCACGACAATCACTGACTAGCTTACTGAGCAAAGCGCTATAAATTGCCCAGAGAGAGTGAAAAAAGCAGTCTGACAATCCTGGATATCTATTGAGACACTCTCACACCCTGTGTGTGGCTCTTGGTGTGACGCTGGTGATGGGGGGGCGCACCGTGGCACAAAGCTCCTGCCAGAGGGGCAGGTAGGCCTGCGGCAGGACGCGATGCAGCGCCCGGTCCCCGGCCACGCGGTGGAGAGCGGTGACGGCTGCACGCTGTTCCGCCTCGTCCGGCAGGGTTCCCTCCGCCTGGTGCTCCGAGCCCAGAAACACCACGATGTCCTTGTTGCGGTCCTTGGGGTCTGCCAGCACCACCTGACAGGCAGCATCGCTGTTGTCATTACTACTGCTATTACTTAGCCTATTACTACGAGTATGACTATTACAAAACCTCCGAGGTTTTGAGTCTTACCGGTACCAGTACCATCACCCTGATGTAATTACAAAATTTACCTGCCAAGCAGGGAGGTGCGTCTGCAGGCAAGCTGTAGGCAATGCCTGCCACATATCATAACCCTTGATAGACTGGCCAGATCCAAGCAAGACCCAATCAAACATGTGCACAGTGCTCTGTATTCACGCCGCCCCTGCTAGCCGGGGCCAACCTAAATGGGAACAATACTGATCCATACCACACCTCAAGGTCCTGAATTGAGCTGCTGCTTTGCAGTCAACCTCTGCACACGCGATTGCATGGGTATATCTGGTCACAAAGTGATTTCATACATGCTTGACGAGTGCTGAACCTGCAGATATTTGGAGCGTCCTTTCATGAGCCTGAGTATGCTGACCATCCTCACTGAGCGCTCACCTTGCACTTGGCGGCCACAGCGCCATCGGCTGCGCTGCTGCGGTAGCGCGGCGTGGGCCGCTTCTGCTGCTGGCACCACTCCAGCAGCATCATCTTGGGTGACTTCTCTGTGTAGTACCCCGCGCTTGCGCCCACATCCATCATTTTGCCCTGTTCCCAGCAAGAAATTTGGGTTGGTATCCCGTGCCAAAAATACTTGCCTGGCAGGGAGGGATTGACAAGGGGCGTATTCCAACCCCTTGCACGGCATCCCAGCAATTTGTTTACTGAATTGTCCCTTTTGTTCACACCCCTCTCTGTTAATTACGAGATATAGAGTCCTTCAGAGTTGAGCACCAGAGGCGTTTGGCCTCATCCCTGTGCATGGAGTGGACTCGTAGCAGATCTACACTAACAAGCCTCTTGAACGCCGCTGACAGGCACATAAGGACCAGGTAACCTGGCAGATCCGGCATTAGTCACTGCATGCATTCACAAGCTTGCACAGGCTCTCGGCACCTGCTTTGGTCCAGAACTCGGGCCAGGAATGGATGCAGCTGCCTGCGGCTGCAGATCAGAGCTCCCCTCATTGGCATCCTCTTCTGGGTGCTTCTTTTGAACGTGCTCCCGCAGCCGTTGCACCTGCACAGCAATTGCACACAAAAACATCTGTACTGCGTACACATGCATGCACTGCTGCACAGCAAGCCCGGCAAGTACTGCATGAGATAGTTATTCTTGGGCTGCTTGGAGAATGGTGTGCCGAGCTATTTTGCCCACAATCAACTCCATGTTGCCACCTTCCACAGATTTCTACAGATCCCTACAGATCATTTTGCATACAGATGCAGGGCCAGGCTAAGCTGTCATGAAGACTGTTAGCAATGCGTGATCTGCAGAGTGCTGCAGGCAGGGTTGCCTTAAGGCACCTGCTTGAAGGTGCGGTCGCAATGGGGGCATTCGAGCTCCACATTGCGCTTGTCAATGATTGCAGGCCCCTTCGTGCCGCCACCACCACCCCCAGACCTGTCAGGAACCATGCCCCTTACTCATCTTTGATCCACGAAGTCAACGCCAGCGGTTCAGAGATATGAATAGAAGTATCAGATCAAAGTAGTCATCAGTGCACTATGTTGAGTGGCTGACAAAGGTGCCATTTGCGTTCAGCACTGGTGGACCATGGGGGCACGGACTCACGAGAAGACATGAGCGGCCTTCTTCTTAGCTTCGAGGTTTTTTACTTTTCCCATTGCGTTTCCATCATCTACATTTTAGGCTGTACTTCGGAGCTCTCCAAGGTACTTGCAGCTGTATCTACTCTTTTACGCAAGCGCCTTTTGCCGACTCATGAAAAATAATTGCACTGCAATCAATGTTAAATAGATTTCATTCATTACGCGCATCGAGCCCATTGCAATCGCGCCAAGGCGGCAGACAGAAAGGGTGCCCTCTGTTGGATCATGACAGTCTGTATACACTGCTTGGATCTAATATGTTTGAATACTTAACTCACAATAGGATGAAATTTCTATTCCCGATACACCAAGAGAAAAGACTGCAGGACACAATTGTCTCGCAGAAAGCAGATCGGACATCCGTGATAGGGCTTTGAAAGCATGCATGACCCATTTCCCTTCACTAGGGCAGATAGGCAGCAAAGCGTCCAAATCTGTGATAGCAGTGTTGCATTTACACCGGAAGTGTAAGCCAAGAATTAGTGTTGTGGACTGCTTGAAGGCTAAATTGCATAGATGCAGGTATTTTGAGCATTGCTGCGGCAGCTGTCGTGAAATACAGAGAGAACTTGAGGGCTTGGGTAGGGCTTATAAGAATTCCCTGCATCTCCAAGCATGCAAGGGGAATAGGAACATATATTCATTAACGATCAACCTCGTCCGGCAGACTGTTAACATTACTATTGTGAAATGGCGTCGCGGATGCCTCCAACAAATGGCAATATGTCTGACGATGACTCGTACACGGGTTCTGAGTTGAGCACAGCGGGCACTAATGATCCTCTTGAGGATTTTTTAAAACGCTACACATTCTCCTTTGAGCCAGAGTATTGTCTGAAGTTAAGGAGAAGGTAAGGACGATTTTGACTTATAGGCTGTTTGCATGTCATGATATGCACATTGCCGCATCGAGATCTTGTCTATCTCACCACTTAATGCTGACGGCTCATCTTGGTGATAAGTATTGAAATATAATCTCCTGTTGCGGCATTTCACAGCGTTGGATCCGTCAGCATTCGAGCCAATCGATACTTTGGGGGTGAGAAGGATCGGTGGGCATTTGTGGTGAGCAATTCCATCTTGCACCCGTCATAAATGTAGCATGTGCTGTCCTTAATTCGGAGAATTTGATGTTGGATTGCTACTTGCATCCAAATGGACCTAGACACTTGTTCTGAAACCTGTTTAAAACACTGATATGTGTGTATCCAACAAATAGGCCAGGGATCCGTAATGATGGAACTGTCAATGACACTGTGAAGGACAGCATTCTCTGCCATGACACCGCTAATCGCTCAGTTGGGTTCCAGGTGAAGCCAGCAGATGAGGAGAAGCATAAATGGCTACACAAGCTCTCTGTGGAGCCTGCTTTGGGCGTTGCTCGTCTCAGCACAGCCAAGTACAAGCTGTGGGATATCCTTCGTCTGCAAATCATTGCTCTGTACGATTGGGAATGCCACAAGCCCAGCCTGACATGGAAGTGCGTTCCCTATGACGTCCTTCCACCATGCCATTCATTTGTCCAGCTTTGCCGGCACCGATCAATCGAGCATTACTACCTGTCCTGCTTGTTTCTCTCAATAAAAATTTCTTTCAATATTGTTGGCAAGAGATTCTAAATAGCTATGCTGTATCCTTTAGGGTCACCTCCAAATGGAGCCGCGGCCAAGGGAAATTGGGCCGCAAAGAGAAGGTGAGCCTTGCTGTTCAAACTTCCCAGGTGCCGGCAAATATCATTTTTGTGGGTCATCTGCCTGAGGCGCATGCGTGTTTAGTCGTAGCATAACTAACATGACTCATTTTGTGACAACCAGCGGAATATTAATTCCTGTTGGGCTGATGCAGCTGCGCTCCAAAGTGCTGCCCTCAGTGGAGCTCCATCCGCACTGGCGAGTCGACCTGTACATGCCAGAGCTTGAGGGGTGCGGCTGCATTGCAAGGCATTCCTGCGTCGACAAAATGTGGTTTTTCCACGCTTTTGTGTCATCTGGAACATTCAGAGACATGCTGCAAGCCATCTGAGGCTTTTTGGGTCTTGGAGGTCTTTCACTGTCCTAGCAACAGACTCCTGATCTGTCATGCACGGCAATGGCAATTGCAATATAGGTATTTTACTGTTATTCTGGCCAAAATCTGCAAATGATCTAGGTGTGCATCAAGCTTGCTTGACGAGGGCATGTGCGTGCGCGGGCAGGCATGTGGGGAATAGCGGTGAGGCCATCCAATTGGAGAAGGGCCACTGCCACATACAGATCCCCAAGATGGAGCTGTTGCTATCCCTCAACCATCTTGGCCGCGATGTGCGCTTCTTGATGCGGCGGACACTGCACCGGGTAATCCCTTATCAACCTGCTTATAGCACTGCAGCAATGCAGATACCCTCTCCTCATAGAGTTGCCCAGGTATTGGTATGCAGCCTTGCCAGCTATCAATGAAGTGCTGATCGTTGCTTGCTTGTATGTCAAGAATGATGATGCCTTGGTGTTTGTCATGTGAAATGCTAAGGAGCATGAGAACTTGCTGCTGTGGATAACAGGGGGCCGTGCTGCAGGGATCATGTGTGGAGAGCTGTGGCCCAACGCTGGAAGAGTGCAGCTCGCATGCACCAGTGGCTGAGGCCAACGCACCAGCTGCGCAGCTTCTGGCAGCGTCCGGCGCCGATGAGGTGGCGGCTGCGCCGCTGCGCCACAGCTGGTGGGAACGCCAGCGGCAGGATTACCAGGAGTCATCCCTCAGGTGACCCTTACACATCTGCCTGTTATTTTTGCGGGTCCCTCGGGGGCAGAACACCGTGTAAAATAAACCGCCCATCATGGCAAATGCCTGCTGCAGGTTTTGAACTCAGTGCTCGAACTGTTGGAGATCATGTACATGAGTCTCAAGAGTCTCTTGTTCCAGCTTCGTCACTGGCTCTTGAACAGTAACTATACTTTGCTGTCAGAAAGTGATCCTTCTTCTGATGCGACCAGAAAGACATGTATTTTTCTTATGCCACTACTGCAGGTCACGGCAGACTGTAGCGCGCAGAAGGCCTGCTGGTGTGTGGCTGTACCCGCCGGCAGAGGTGCCACGTGACCGGCAGAAGCACTCCTCGCCGCCGGCAGCCTGGCAGCCTTTGGTCCATCAGATCAGGGGCGCTGTCGAAAGGTTGAAGTCGCAGCTGCACCGCGGAAAGCAGGAGGAGACTGCGTGACAGCTTCAAATGTGTGTGCAAGGGTCGTGATTCATCCCTGAAGAAATCTTTATGAGCGTTTGCACATGGAGAGTGTGTGCACTCAGCCCTTGGCCATGAATGGGTGGTCTGTGCGCAGAGGCCCCTGAAAAGAGATGCATGGAGAGACGGCTTGTTTCCTTTGTGGGAAGGAGCAAGTGTATGAAGCCAGCATGGTGAGATTTTTAGAATCCTATGGGGTCAACTGAGTTAGTAATTACAATCAACATCAGCAGAGACATTGAGTAGAGCGTTTGAGAGAGTCTGCTATGTCAGCTCTGGCCGCCTCTACAGGGCTGGCGTGAGAATTGAATTAGCCTTGATCTCATGATTGTGATTGTTGTCTGTTCCCTTACACCAAAGCAGTGCAAGAGCCTTCCTGAGCATCGGCGTTGCATCCTTAGAGCAATTGCTGCAAACTTCGAATACATATAATTGACATGTTGAAGCATGAAGCAGGCTGCCAAGACTGCTTTGAATGCCTCCTTGGGGTTGCAGTAAAGCTGTAAGTTGGAGACATGTACCAACACAATATGAGTTCTCTTGCAGTAAATTACGCTACAAAAAAACTTTCTAACATGGAGATCTAAATCTGTACATACAGCTGTCAGTATCTGCAACAATTCCACATCCTTTATGTTTTTACTCTCTCTCTCTCTCTCTCGGATTTCACTGCTGTGTTCACACATAATATCTCAAGCGTCCACCAATTTCAGCGCCGAATGCCTCTCCACAAAAGCCAAGATCTTGGGATTGACCAGTTCTGGAGCCTCGTCCATTGGACAGTGGCCCACTCCTGCACAGCGTCAATTTTTGTTGATCAAATATAATATTAGGCAAATCCCAAGCGGCTGTTTTGTGCACCATACGAGCATTATTGGAAGGGCCTTGTGCCCTGTCTGTTATAAAGCTATGCACAAAGATGGGTCTACCTGGCAAGGGAATGAATTCTTCCACGCAGCCAAAGTCGCCATAGGCACGCCCCTTCTCTATGGGCTCCCAAGGATCGGCCTCTCCCCAAAGAATGCTGACTGGGCAGCTGAGCTGAGGCAGCAGCTCCTCTGGCAGGGGACCCCCAGAGTAGCTTATGAAGTCTAAAAATACATCCACTGCACCTGGCTGCGCGAGGCACACCACAGCAGCCCATTATACTGGCAATCAAAGTAACGCAGACAACAGCAGATTCTGCAAGTTGCAGCAAATCTTGGGAAGTCTAGATATAGTTAGCCAGCGGGCATGTTTGGGCCGAACAGACCTGAAGGCCTGGCTTCAGAATATAATCAACAAGCTCGTCGGTGACAGCCTCAGGGTCTCCGTAGCATTCCTGCAAGATGCTCTTCACATTCTGCAGACAGTCAAACAAAAGCCTCAACATTCCACAGTGCTCCCAGTGAAATTACCACCGATATGGACGATGTCTGCTGCAAGGCATTACTCAAGGCAGCACCAGTAATTAAGCACCTGTGGTTTGGCCACTGCGCCGAAGAACCATTGCCCAAGCTGGGTTTCTCTGAGCAGCCGCTGGAAAGCGCTGACGAGTGGGCGCTGCCACGGCTGCTGCTTTTTGGTGTGCAGCATCCGCAGGGACACATCCAGGAGCTGCACACCCCTCACCTTGTCCGGGGCCTGCACTGCTGCCTGCAGCCCAGCTATGCCTGCGCAGCATATGCACGCTCCTCATGCATTGCCAGCGGCCTTTAATACAGATGTCAATTTTGCGGTGATTATGAGCGCGTGAAAGTAGTGCGCACCCCCGACAGAGTTGCAGATAATGAAGGCTGGCTCTCCCACGCTCGCTTCCAAAAAATCCAGCGCTTGCTGCGCCCATGTCTCAAACGAGTATAGCTTGTTCACACCCAGATGCCTGCACACGCAGGAACCAGTATTGCTTCACAGATCTAGACTCCAGCCGTCAGCTGGCATGCAATACGCTGTATTAAGGTAAGTTTGAGGTGGCATCGTACCGAGGGTCCGGCTTATCGCTGTACCCATAGCCCAGCAAATCGATGGAGAAAGCTCTGCACTTCAGCCCCAGCACGGGCAGGTTCTTCCGCCAGTGGTCACTGCGACGTCATAAAAACCTTGCTCAGCATCTGCCAGACATCTCTGTCTGCGCCAAATCACATGTATCTCATGCTGTGTCAGTAAGACTGCAGGATGATCTTGACCCCACCAGTTGCCTCCAAACCCATGGATTAGGAGCACAGGCGGACCCTCATCCCCACAGCGTTGGTATCTGGTCGTGTATCCCTTCCACTTCCAATATCCTGCCAGCACATTGGATAGTGCTTCACAGGCACCTCTGCACAGGTTGAAAGCACCGAGGAGGGCAGGCAACCAGCAGCTGTCCAGCCAGTGCTATACTTTACCTTCTTTTACACCACCAGGAAGAATTTTCTCCGATGAAGTCTGCAATGGGAACTTCTCTTGCACACCAGGCGTTGCTTGTGTGGCTGTGTTAAAGATGGCTTTTCGGCGACAAGATCGAGCTAGGGATCGTGTACAAAACTTCGCACCGACAAGATGCGAAGATCGCGATCTCCTCTGTGTTGCTGTTCGATGCAGTGACACATATGGCGCGCTGAAAGGGTGTGTCAGAATCTGATGATCACAAGTGTGAAAGCAGGGCAGGCCTGTCATTTAATTCAATTCAGACTGATTTGACTAAATCAGTACGATTATAACATACTGTGCAGTATTGCTAGCACTTTTTTTCTTGTTTCCCATGGAGTGAGCTGTCGTGTCGAAAACATTCTTGGCCGGCAGGCAACAACAGGCAAGTTGTTGCGGGCATGCAGCTGCAGAGCGATCCATCTTTCCAGTTCATATCAATGGACTTGTGATTTGTACAGCCAGTCAAGGAGCTGTCAAAGGCAGTGAACCGCCGCGATGGAAAAGCCAGTCATCCAGGCCTTCTGGTAAACTCAACAGCTATTTTAGCAGGATGGCAAATAGGACGGATCCTGACGCAAGGAGCGTCCATGGGACCAATCCCCAGGTGTAGATCCTCCCGAATTAATTTATCTGAAGCAAGTGTCAGGGATTTGTAGCGTCTTGAGAAAGTGTAGTGTTGATGAGGACCCGTTGTGTTCAGGTGAAAGTGACTTCTTGTGTTGTTGCCCTGCAGAATCTCGTTGAGAAGATTCTTCGGATGAAGATTTACAGCTCCATGTACTGGAAGGAGCATTGCTTCGCTCTGACAGCAGAGTCCCTTGTGGACAAGGCGGTGGATCTGAAGTACGTGGGTGGCACCTTTGGCGGCCAGGTGTGATCACGAAAGTCCTTCAATCATTTCTTCTCAGATGATCAATCAGAGTTGAGCATCCCTGCAGCTTCGACACAGCCGCTACCTGGTTTGCGCATGTTCTAACTGCTTGTGTGCTCACCTGTTCGCAGCGCGCTCCTACGCAATTCATGTGCCTCATGCTCAAGCTGCTTCAGCTGCAGCCAGAGAAGGAGATCATCGTGGAGTTCATCAAGAACGAAGATTACAAATATGTCAGGATACTAGGTAGGGAGCCCGCAGTCGCACCACTCTCGGCCAATGGTTTGGTGTGTAGTGCAGAAGTTTATGCAAACCACTTCCTTCCACAGTACCTTCGCATGCCTGGTGCTGATAACGTGCAGTGTCAACAGCAAGAGACTGATCTGCAAGCAGCGCATAGGATCTAGTTGAACAGATGTGTGCAGTGCATTCCTGGGGCAATTGCAGAGCTTCGATGTGCTTGGTACAGGGGCTTTCTACCTGCGGCTCGTGGGACGGCCACTGGAGGTGTACCAGTATTTGGAGCCGCTATACAATGACTACCGCAAGGTCAATTGCTCACTTGTCCGTTTTGCAAATTCGCCTGACTAAATAGAGTATGTTTTATGACTTGATACAGTGGTTGTTGTTGTGGTTTAAGGGGGCATTCTTATGTCAGGACAGGTGCGGCTGCGGAATGCTGATGGCAATTTCGCGCTGACGCACATGGATGAGATCATTGATCAGATGCTCTACAGCGAGTACCTCTTCGACGTGGCCATGCCCCGCATCCCCAACAGGTGCGCTCACTCCATATTACAAGGAAGCCCTTTGCAATGCCAGTCAGAAAAGTGCAAGTCAGATCTGGGGGACCCAACTGCGCTGGCTGAATCTCAGCTGTTCTGAATCTGTGGATTCGCGTTCTTGCCCTGCCCAAAAAAAAAGATGATCTGAATGAGTGGGGTGTGAGGGTGTCTGCTCATGTTGTGACTGCAGTCCAACGTTTATACTCATAGCATTAGAAAGATCGTGTGTAGCCTCTACCCATATCCTGATATTGTGGTAAAATTACTACAGGGTGACAATGGAGCGGTTGAGCTTGTTGGAGCCGCGCATCAGCGTCCTGGAGGACGATTTCGACGAGGATATGCTTGAGGCTGAGGCTGGCAACGCTGCCGCGGCGGCGGTGAGCTTCCTCTTTGTTGTCTGCAAGCACTCAGTATCGGCTAATGAAGATGCAACACTGTGCTCTGGTGGACGACGCAAAAAATTGTGTTGCCTCTGTGCTGCTGAGTGGTGACATTCAGCGAGTGTGCTTTGGTTAAAGAGTGCAGGAGCATGCGGACAGGTTTCTGCTGGGAGGAGCGTGTCACAAAGGTTGTCTCGTCTTTGTATTGGGTGCAGGCTGCAGCTGCGCTGGAGGCAGAGATGGCAGTGGAGGGCGGCGATGGTGGGAGGGCGGGAGACGGCGGCAGGGGCCGGAGTTTGAGCCCTGACAGGGAAAAGAGGAAGCGAGAAAAGTGGCGCCGGTCCCGGTCGCGCGAAAAGTGCGTCGCAATTCCATGTTGTCCAGCTGCATTACTTGGCAGGGCTTTTGCCAGTCCATTTGGGTTTGTACGCTTGCAGACAGCAAAGACAGGTCCTTCATGCTCGTTCATGCGAGAGCACGTGTCCTGCTAATACCGTACTTTCCATGCAGACACATGAATTGGCAGGAGTCTTGTTGTGCACTTTGCGAGGTGCACTGTGCCTGTTAGAGGCAAGGCGGCAATTGCGTCACCTCTGCGCCTCTTTGCTGTAAGGGAAGAGAGAAGCAAGAGAAGTAGCACTGCAGGCTGGCATGTTCACAAATTAAGTTCTTGCCGGTGCAGGAAGCGTGAGAAGGACAGAGACAAGGAGCGGGAGAGGGACCGCGACAGGGAACGCGGCCGAGACCGTGACCGGGACAGGGAACGCCATCGGCCGCGCGACCGCGAGAGGGAACATGACAGAGACAGGGACCGCCGCGATGCTGACAGGGACAGGGGCAGGTGCGTGCAGAGTGGCACACGTGTCTTGCAAGTCCTGAGGCAGGAAATGTGTTTTTTGGCGATGCACTGTGTTCAATCCACAAAGAAACCCGTTCCCTGTCTTACCAGAAGCCAATGCGCAAATCGCATCGATCTGGATTGCAGGGCTTATCAATCCAGATCGGGGTTGCCAGCCTGTCAGACCGAACATACAAAGCCTGCTGGGCTCTGTGCTGCAAACCAGATGAAGGGCAATGAGAATATGCTTGCTTCAGCTGGTCATCATGGTCAGGCACCAGTCTCCAAACATATGGTTCAGGCGCTGGGAGAGCGTTGTCACATTAGTTGTGTCTTAGATGTGGCGGGTTGACTTAATTGCAGGGATAGGGATCGCGAGCGGGAGAGGGATGGCGATAGAAAGAGGAGGAGGGAGGAGGATGACAGGGGAGGCAGGAAGGAGCGCAAGGATGGAGATGGCATCAGCGTAGAGGAGACCAATGCCATGCGCATCAAGCTGGGCATGAAGCCGCTGAAGTGAGTCATGCTGGGTACTCTGCATTCTCTTGGCGTCGATGGAGGCTCCAGCATACTCTCTGCTGTGAGCACAAAGTTTTGGTTGCAACACGTGATTGTGCACAATCATTGAAGGCAAGGTGAACAACTGCTGGCAAGGTCTGAGACTTGATGATTGAAAGGCACAGCACTATGAGAGGCTTCAATGCGCCGCTGGGTGTGCGTGCGGGCTTCAATGCGCCTTCAATGCGCCAATGTGCTGATGGGCAGGTCTTGTGATTCTGCAGGTTCACATTGACATCATGTATGCTGGATGATGCATGTTGTTACACTATCACATGATTACTTTGCATTATTCCAGGGCCCTGGCCAGCCTATCATAGCCATGATGGGGCTTCATTATGTCTGGAGACTTTTCTGCATTGCTGAATGAATGTACAGGTGGCCCAGTGTACAGCTTGCAAGGCTTTCAAATTTCGCAGAAAGACCCTTTGTGAAAGTTGTTCAGATCCTCTGCAAAAAATATCCGCCTTGCACATGATGAAACACCCCTGAAGGAGCTAGCAATACTTGCTTAAGACAGCCGAACGATAAGTTGGCCTCCGGCTTCCTCAATCTTGCATTCTCCCTTCTCTTCATCTTTGGCAGCAAGCAGCACAATAGCAGAACACACTGCAGTGATAATTCCTGATGTTCTCTGGGCATTACTGCCAACATGTACAGCTACAAAGCACGATATCTGAGCAGAACGCGGCGCTCAACGCAGCAAAACCACGCCAGAACAGGCAGGTCAGCTACACTATGGAGTCCTCTGCAGAGTGTCCCCGCGCCGAGCGCCCTCGCATGGGCGGCCCTGGCGACATGGAACCACTCCTACGAATGCTGCGCTCGTCGCATCCGCTAGACACTGAGCAGGCATCCTCCTCCAGCAGTACCTCGAATGCATCTGTCCTCCTCCTTTCCACCCTGTCACAGGGTAGCAGAACGCCTCACTGCATGTCTCGCAAGTAGAACTCGTTAAAAGGTTTCTGAGAATTGCGCTTCCTTGCATCGACAGGTGGCATGAAGCGGTGGAGCTAAATTGCTGGCCTCACAATGATTGCATATACTGGTATAGGAGCAAGGGGCAACCAGCTCTGGCCATGTCTAGCCAGATGTGATCAATTTGGTGGTGGGAATGAGGTGCGCAAGGTGGTAGCACAGCTGCAAGTGCATTTGCAACGCACCTTTTTTGCAGGATGCCAAAGATCGGCTGCAGGATGAGCGCCGTGACCCATGTTGACAAGGGGAAACAGACCGCCCAGCCCAAGAGCGCATGCCCCAACCCCTTCAGCGCATCACCTGCAGATGTAACATGCATGGCATTCGTGCTTAAAAATGAGAACACCTTAAAAGGTTACAGAAGCACAGGTGCAGCTTTGGATGTCACAGTTCTTTAGTAAGCCGCTCTTGAGAATGTTGTCCTCACCTGGATGATTGAAGATGACGTCCTTGATGGACACAGGAGAGACCGGCAGCTGTGGTGCCCCAAGCAACAGCTCCCCCAATCGCATGAATGGCAGCAATAACGCAACCTACATGTCCAAGGACCTGACAATGAGATCCACTTTATGCTCGCTTCCGCTGCGAGCTAACATTGACTGCATCTGTGGATGAGTGCAGGGGAGAGACGACGAGAGGCTTACATCTGCTGGTAGTGCCACAAAGTTGGCAAGGAGAGTCATCGGCCCATGCAGCAGGCTTCGCGTGATCAACAAAATTATTATGGTGATGCCTGTGCTGACTCCTGCGCAAGAAATTCAGGCATCCCTTGCCAGACAAGAGAGATAAATATAGCATTGACAAGATCTGCAATTACTTGAGCAGGCCTCGCAAGTCCAGGTGTAATCCTCACCAACAAGCGGGCATAGCCCAATGTTGAAGCCTATCGCAGCTGATCTTGCCAATATCCTTGATTCTGCTCCCTGCTTCAAGTAGGACCAGAAGGGATCTGCCACCTGCCACAGCCATGCATACGGGTGATCAAGGATTTGAGTCTCGTCTTAAGATTTTGTGAAACGATTGAAACATTTCCTCATCATTGCTGGGAAGGATCAAGCTTGCCTTTCTGTGAAACCAACCCTTGAATCCCTCCATCTATGGTCTTCGTCGATTATCTTACAATCAATACGGTCCTCTGGCAGCGAGATCAGAACTCTACCGTTACCATGGACCATCACGAGACCATGGAACAATCGATGGGGACGTTCTCAAGAGGACTTGGCTGATGGTAAACTTCCTACAGACGCCAATTGACGTTGGAGTCAACTTGACTGAACACAAGATTGCTAGACTTCAGCCTCTAACATAAGCTGCCGATGTATAATCGACCGGGAATCTGTATCAGACGCTGCTTTGACCACATCTGTTGCATCTTCAATTCAGAGCAGGTGATGAGTCATCACCGCCCACACTGTGCGCCAAATGCAGTGTCTTCACAAGTGACATTGATTGTGTTCGCATCTCATGAATGATAAAAGCGAAGGCGCGGCATGCGTGTAGATCTAGCGAGTCCAGCGCAGGCTTCCTTACCTCGCAGCTGTCATCTTTGCTCATCGATACCACGTCTGAGTTCCCTCAGTGCTTGCGTAACGCAGACAAAACGCACAGGAATAAAAAAGGTGCCTCTGAGGCAAATCTACGAACCAAGCTTGCACACTCATAGTATCAGGAAAGGAGCTGTCCACTGTTCTGCCAGCCCACCACCGCTACAAGAGCCTGACAGGAAACCGCGTCTGGCCATCTTTGTATCTGGAGGGGGCTCAAACTTTCGAGCAATCCATGCAGCGATAGCAGACGGCCGCATCTGTGCGGATGTGGCGGTGAGCTGTTTTCCAGTTTTTGGCTCCTTCTGCTCACTTCCTTGGTAGCCTGCAATGTCTGGATTCTGTCACACTATAGAGAGTGTCCACTTTGTACATCTTGGCTGTCTTCTTCCACGCATGTGTCCATCACGTGCAGTTGTGAGCAATAATCCTACAGCAGGTGAAGTGGTGGTTCTGTCACACAGGTGGTGGTCAGTGATGTGCCCAATTGTGGTGGCTGGAAGTATGCTGCCGAGCACGGCATCTCAGTCGAAGCATTCCCTGCCTCTGCGAAGACCCTGGTGGATGGGAAATGCGTGGCGCTCTCCACAGAGCAGCTCATCACCGCCCTGAAGGAGAAGTATGATGTGGACTTTGTGCTCTTAGCAGGCTACCTGAAGGTACCTTACCTGATGTTCATTGTCCATGCAACGCATTACTCTGCATGCGCCTAACATCTATACCGCTTCAGTTCCACTTTTGCACTCACTGGCGTGATTTTGGGAGTCATGGTGTCTTTGCATGCAGCTGATACCGGCAGAGCTGGTGCGGCAGTATAAGAGGGCGATGCTCAACATCCACCCAGCGCTGCTGCCCAACTTTGGCGGCAAGGGTCTCTATGGCGGCCGCGTGCACAGCGCCGTAATTGGCAGCGGAGCGCGCTTCTCCGGGCCCACCATCCACTTTGTGGACGAGGGGTGTGTCCCTCGTTTTTACTCAAGAGTACCCGTTCATTGCTCTCTGGCAAATTTGCATGGTCCCCTGCTGTGCTGCGTCAGTGCAAGCAGCGGATGCCTGCTTGACGTAGTCCCTCAGTTGCTACCTTGCAAGTGAGCATCCTGCTGTCTGTAGAAGGGCCCTTTTTTTGCTGTCAAAAAGCCAACCTGGCATGGCAATAACATGTGTTCTTTCTGACAAGGATGACGAGTGCTGTGCAGGTACGACACTGGGCCAATACTGGCGCAGGCAGTGGTGCCAGTCTACCCCACAGACTCGCCAAAGCAATTGGCAGCCAGAGTCCTCACGGAGGTGTCTAGCTATCCTAACACACTGTCTTCTGGGGTCTTACCTCCAAGATTTTTGCAGGAATGCGGAATGTGATTATTTATGCGTACAGCACTTCCAAAGCTTGCACTTTGGCCTCCCTCTGCACTTTTCAAGTTTCGTATCTTGACCTTAGACAAACGCATGCGCAGGAGCACAGGTTGTATCCGGAGGCTGTGGCAGCGCTGGTGGACAGGAGAATAACATGGCGGGAAGATGGCATTCCTGTGTTGTGGAGTGCTCACTGACGCCTTGAGATAGCCTAGCTGTAACAATAACTTCTGGATTACACTCCAAGAAGTATACAATCTACACTGGATACCTGGCGGCGTGCATGAAGCATGCATGCTTGTGAAATGACCGACTCGATTGACATCACTGTCATCAGCGAGAAAGCAAGGCAGATTTTTTATTGAAGAAGGGTTTTAAGACTTTTTGGATTGAGATCACATGAGAAAATGCGCTGCAATCAGTGCATTGCCTCAGTACTACAAATTTCGCAGTCCAAACAGGTGATCAAGCCAGTTTGATCGTCACGTCCGCCGGGTTTTGCTGGCTAAGTACCAGTCTTCGGCCGGCAACTTGCACTCAGTGAAGTCACACACATGCATCACTCCCAGATCTGCACTCACAGGCACTACACTGCTCCTGCTGCTCTTTGATCTCTGCTTCCTGGGCTTCCTGCTGACTTGCCTGCTGTCTGCAGTGTCCGCACCCGCCTCCCCATCTGTTGCCGACCCTTGGCTGCTGGATGACTCGCTCATTCCTGCCACTGGCACTCTGCTGCCTGTTGGGCCACCCACAGCGCCTGCTTAAGCACACCATCACACAGACCTTTCACAAGATAAAATGCCTTGAAAGTGCTGCCTCGTACACAGGTTTTGCCCAAAAGGAAGCATCAACTTGCTTCGAGCAGCACTTGCAAAGGACCAAAAATACCTGAATTTGCCTGAGGAGGCTCCTTTGATGCTGCAACTACATCAGCACCTATCTGGCTGCTGCTGACAGCATCTGGGGACGCAGCTGTTGCTTCCACCAGCTCGGTCAGGGCCGGCAGCGGTGGCTGCTGCGCGAAGAACTCGATGGAAGGCCCGGGGACGCCCTTAAGCTTGATCTGTTGCCGGCCCCATTTCTGGTACGCCAGCGCCGCTCTGTCCAGCGCTGCGCGGCGGTCGGCATTTAGAAAGCCGGGGAAGAATTGGAGGCCTGCGTGCAGCACATAAAGTCGCCGTGATGGTTCCACTTGCACGCAGCCTGCATCATTGAAAGTCATACAGCAACATAATCATATGCGAGAAAAACAGTAACAGGTCCTGGGAGCAGAATCTTCCCAGGAATGCTTGTCACAATTTGCCCTCTGACGTATGACTCGGCATCACATACATATATTGCCAAAAATGTGACCCGGCAGAGCACAGATGCTTGGGACAGGCATCACAGCAACAGGCCAGCAGGACGCACCAGCAGCCTCTTCTAGGGCCTCCAGGGGGACAGAGAAGGCGGTGAGGGGCACGTCGGCCTGCAGGAGAGCGTTTGGCAGCACAAACGCGCCCATGATGGCCTCAGTGCCGCTGCCTTCATCAGGGGTGGCAGTTGCCCTCTCTGCCAGGACCACCTTGAAGAAGTGGGTGGGCACTGCCACCATCCGCGGGGGCTGCCCTGCATGTGCCCAGAATCTATTTAAGTCCGCCCAATACTCGGGAGAAACAAGCTTGTGTGAAATCGCCAGGATATGGCCTGCCCCAAATATAATTCAAATCGAGCCGCAGGATCAGAGGCTGATGGAGCTCTAAACAGCACAAAGTCACAGATTGAGGGGAAATTTAGGCAAGTGCCTGCATGGGGACCATCTTTAGTTTGAGGTGCTTTGAAGCAGATGGAGGGTGCAGCAATGGGGTAGTAGCAACAATGCTGCCTCATCTCAAGAGCTTTGCGGCTGCAATTTTAGTATAAGCCTTGCAGCGCAAAGGAGGAATACGTTAATTCACACAGTGCGCCCTGAACTTGTACCTGCTTGATGCTATTGCCAACCAGTGGTAAGACAAAAAAGGTGCAATCCCACGTGTTTTGAAAACATGTCAGGGAATGTGCTACCTATCATGGGGTGCTGCATGAAGTAGCCCAGCGGAGTCTTGGACGGCAGGAACAGGGGTCCAGTCACCACGTACACGTCATCGCATGTGCGAGTCAGCAGGTTCACAAAGCGCTCAAAGCGCGCCCAGTAGTCCCTGCGGCAGGGAGCACCCCATGATGTCAGACCCAGGCGTTAATAAAAATTGTGCTCACATCGGGACAAGAGTAAGTCGAGGTGGCCAGTTTACCCAAAAACTGTTAACACTCCCCATTGGGCACCCAGTTTCGCCATTGAGTGGCAAAATGAAATGATGATGAGCATGAAATAACTCTATTGTGCTTTTCCAACCAGCTTGCCAGAAAACGCTGCTCCCTACTTAAGAAGAGTGGTTGCCGTAAAGGACCTGTTGAAGCCCCTGCCGACCTGGGGAGATGTGTTGCTCAGCACAAAGGTTTCCAGCATCGTGTCTGCTGTCTCCTTGTGGTTTGCAGCGGGCGCCTGCACAGTACATGCACGGCCATACCTGAGAGCGCCTCACACCAATCATGTAGCCATTGAAGCAGTCCCACATAACAGCTTGAGGAGGTAAAAACCAGTCCAGGAAGGCTGCCGCAGTCACAAGCTGATGGGTTCAGTGCGGTGTGCTGCAATCCAGCAGACAACAGCACAGTAGCACTGTTACAGTACAATCATTGATCTCTTGTACATCGCACCATGTGGCCTCTGTCAAATCCCGACTCCTTGAAATCAGACAGGCGGCTGCGGAAGCGCTGATCCAAACTCTTGTCCTCATAAAACTCCACATTCTTCCTGGACATCGCAAGTATCAATTTTAGAATGCTCACGATTTCCTTCCGCAGATTGCTTCTCAGCAAGAGTCAAGGACATCAAAACAAGCCGCGTCCTTATTATATTGCTGATCAAAATGCATGATCGAAGATTAAGCACGTGGCCACCTGTTTCCCTCGCCTTGGGTCTGGGCACGAGTGATGTGTTCCAGCACCCAGCGAGGGTTGCGAGTGCGCGAATCAAATGACAGCACAAAGTTCTTGAAGAAGCGCAGGCCCTCACTGCTGGGCAAGCCGTACTTCAGGGCATGATGCAGCGAAGCAGTCTCTGTCACAGTATCCTGCTTCCCTGCGTCATTGGTCAGGCCTGAGTGCCTGGATGATACTGGACGGATATTACGACACGTGAACGTCTGAACACAATGCTGAACCATGCTCTGTGGTACCAGTGTGCTAGAAATAACTGAGAAGTCTCACTTCTAAATATGTAGAAGGTGGCGGCTCCTCCGGCTCCCGCGCCAAAAAGGAGGCTTGCAATGTACCTGTGATCCATCACAAATTTAAAGCTCGATCATCTTCAACAATGACCACATATATCACGATCCAAGGTTTTTGATGAAGTTGCATTGATCAGGTGGAAGGACACAGTGGCAAATGGATGCACTCACCTTGACAGCATCAAAACAGTATTGAAACACTCGGTTATTTAATCCTCCATCAAAACTAAGTGCGATTTTAGCGAGCGGTGATGATAAGAGGCATCGTCCATGTTCGATCAAAGCTACTCTAGTGGCGCAGCAATCGCGATGGTAGCTAGCACTTCAACATCCACCCTACATTGGTCCTGTGTTGCCGAAAATAATAAGATCCAACGATTTCGAGAAAAGCAAGGAGAAAGGAGTCACTTTAGGGACAGCACATGCACGGATCTATCCGGAAGCTGCTTATCTGACGAGGCAGCTGGGGCAGAAAGGCCAACAGTGAAAGGCCAGAGTCTGGGTGGCCAGACAAGATTTTCCTCCTGCTTGCAATGTTGGCATTCAATGAGTTATTGGCAATGCCTGTATTATGATGAGCTTTCTATTATCAGGTCATCATGACGGCTCAAGTATCAGGTCATCATGCTTGCTCTGCTCATAGATCGGTTGTCGGCAGGACCAATGATGTACTCCAGATCTGTCCTTGCAGTTTCTTTGATCAACTCATGAGTTGTCTGCATATATGTCTTCTATGCATTCTGTCTTTGCATTATGTCTTGCGACATCCTTCGAGCAACATCTAATGATAGCAGCCTAGAATATCTATTATACTTAGATGCGTGTCTGCATAAGAGGCTTTTGCTTTACCTTGCCCGCACACAGCAGAACTTCAGCCACTCTAAGCAGGCGGGAATGGCTAGCCATGTTGGCCGCCATGCCAAGCGGATCAAACTAAGAAAGATGTCAGGAGCGCTTGGGAAGGTCCATCTTCTGTCCCTTCTGGATCTGCCCCCAGCCAATAAGGCGCCAGTGCTTGTCCACCCTGCGACTCAGCGCAACCTTCTCCTGCTCCTTTGTGCAGACTGGCGATGTCAACCTCAGCTTTGCCAAATCAGCCTTCACCTGCACCATGATCATATGCACTTTCAGCATTCTGCATGACACTGGCTTGTACTTACACTCTACTATTGGCCTGCACCTTCAAGGTACAGCACCACAGACCTTGACTGTTGGTAAGGGGGAGTTCATGGCCACAGAATTCCAGACGCACAGATGTGAACACTCACCGCAACGACGCATGCGCCCGTGCACATGGAACCGATGTTGAGCATGAGCACCTCGTTCTTCACCAGCTTGCTGACCTTGCCCTGCTTCTCACCGCCCTGTGAAATACACCAATGCCGCTCAGCATCAAATCCAGGCGAATAACGCATTTCACGTGAGGAATCAAGGCAAAAGACCGCGTTCTTGTAGGGGGGAAGTTGACAGCTGCCCAAACAGCATGCAAGAGCTGCATGCAAGGGCAGCAAGGGTGCCAGTTGCCCACCAGTGTGCGCACTCCCAGCAGGCGCCGCAGCAGGAAGAAATTGACCTCCAGCTCTGTGTACACGTCCGGCAGCGCTCCCACCTCGCCCAGCACTTGACCCACCAGCCGATCCGCCCGCGTTAGCGTGGGGTCGACCTGCGCCACACAGCACTCAAAATCAATACTTCTGGCTTGCACATTAGGAAGGGACTACCATATGGAGCCTCAAAAGCTATAGGGGCTTTTGCCGGAGGCTTGTATGGGATTTAGGCTGTCCTGCTCAGGTGCAGCTAAAGTATTGCTACCCCATGTCCTGCTTCTCAGTTCTTGAATACCCGTGCCCCTCTGTTCAAGCCAAGCCTGTCTTCTGCGCTTCCCGTTTATGCATGCTGTAGGAACAGATGGGTTCCCACCTAAGAGGTCACTAGACTCACAGATCGGCCCTTTTAATACTCTTGCCATGTAGGGGATGCCAAAGCAGTGGGCGCACCGTTGTGCCGACGCCGATCAGGCCGCCGGGGACGGCGTACTGGAGCTCGTTCTGCTCAGTGAAGAGGGACACGATACGCGAGTAGATGGGCGTGCACGTGGAGCGCCCCTCAGAGTCCTTGCTCACGATCCCAGGCCGCACCTCGATCTCCTGGCCCATCCTCAGCACTCCCTGCACACGCGTTGCATCCTTCAGGCACCATATAGAAGAATTCCTAGCGTCTTGTGTCTATTCACTCTGTCCAAGCGCAGAAGAGGAATAATGTAAAGCGAACACTGTGCTTTGGAACATGTGGAATACTAGGCAATTGTGAAAAAGGATAGCAGTGCTTGGCACACTGAAGCTGGCAAGCTTGAACCTGACCACCATTGACTAATAGATTAACCAGCATGCAATGATAAATACGAGCACCTGCAGGATGGAGCCGCCGGCGACGCCGCCGCGCAGCTCATTGACCTCGGAGCCGGGCTTGTTGACGTCAAAGGAGCGGATGACGATCATTTGCGGCGGGGACACAAAGTCGCGCACGGGGACGGGAATGCGCTTGACGATGTACTCGCACACCGCGTCTACGTTGTACTTGAGCTGCGCGCTGATGGGCACCACCGGCGCCTTCTCCGCAATCGTTCCCTTGATGAAGTCCTGGATCGCGTCGTTCTGATTCTGGGCAGCACTCTCGCTGCGCACGGGCACCACAAATGAAATATTACGAGGGTCCAGAGGAGGTAGTGTTGGCGGATCACATTCACTTGGCAGCGGGCGAGTCGACCCTTGCAGATTAAAGGTCCCACCACCTCTGCACACCACCCTGCTTGAGCATAGTTGCTCCCTTTGCATTGCTATGCATGGGCCATGTGCCGGAGGTGTCTTGTATGTCGGTAGCACTGCGCCGCGCGGCAGCCCTTCTCTCCCACATTAGCGCTCGCACAACCTTGTATCTCTTGCATCTCTCTCTTGATTCCAGCTAGGCAGGATGAGATCAGCACAGCTTGCTGGCTGCCCAGAGCCAGTTACTGCGCTGGTTCTAGAGTTCTGGCACGCACATAACCGCTGCCATCAAATCTGGTAAATCTCAAGAGATATGGAGGGCGGCAGGCATCAGTGCAGCACCTGATCAAGTCAATTTTGTTCTGCAGGATGATGATGTGCTCCAGCCGCATAATCTCCACCGCGGCCAAGTGCTCGCTCGTCTGCGGCTGCGGGCAGGTCTCATTGGCAGCAATGAGCAGCAGAGCGCCGTCCATGACAGCCGCTCCGTTCAGCATGGTAGCCATGAGAATGTCGTGCCCTGCAGCCATTGGGCTAGACAGTTAATTCACTAGCCCCCAACTTTTGCAATTTGAGAGAGGCTGCAATGCTTAGCCAATATGCAGCATGATGCATGTGCAACATAATTCAGCTTGTCTTTGGTAAGTGTCGTTTTTTCCTCTGAACGCTGAGGCAGGTCTTACCTGGGCAGTCCACAAAGGAGACATGCCGGACAAGCTCCATGTCTGTATTCTCAAAGCCCGGGTAGTCGCAAGCAGGGTTGTCCTCCTTGCTGCTCCCGTATGCCTTGTAAGACGATGGCCTGCAAACAAATCCACCATTTTATGACGCATTCTGCTTCCAGCGCGCCACTACTACAAGCTGACCCTCTGACTACCAGAGGAGTACAGATACTACACTTGAATAAGCAAATAGCTGGCCTCCTGCTTCTGACTTGCACCTGCTTTCAAAATAAAGAGTGTAGATCTGCTCACCTGGGGACGCGTGGATCCTTCGCCTTGTATATTTTGGCATTGGCATAGCCCAGTTTGATGGTGATGTTGCGCTCAAGCTCATTCTTGAAGCGCACCGTCTGCACACCACTGATGGCTTTCACCACTGTTGACTTCCCGTGTGCCACATGTCCGATGGTGCCTGAGCATCCGCAGAGCACAACATGGCTTCAGTCTCCTTGCTCTGCTTGTTTGCACAGACCGAGGAGGTGCATACGAAAACATATGCAAATAGGTGCCAAGGAATGCAAGCAATGCAACGCACCGATGTTGATGGTGGCTTGCCGGGAGATGACCTCCGGGGACAGAGGTGTCAGGGTAGTGACGTCCAATTTGGACAGATCCTGTTCCAGATTGATCAGAAGAGCTCATTAGCTGCTGTTGGCGGACCCATAGGGTGAACTTATCGTCAATACATTCACATTAATAAAATTGAGTCCTGAATTGCGTTCCGAAAACATCAAAAAGCTGACGCACCTGCACTGCCAGTCCTCTCTTCGCCATGTTGTTTTCTGCACTCCTCTGATATTGCTGGTTGCTATAATGCTTCCCTCCATCATTGACGCGCCATTGGGTCTCGATTGAGCAGCTCTGATTGAACAATTCGTCTTTGGCTTTGATGAGACCGTACAAGCAATGGAGGAAAGCGGCTGGGGAGAGAGGGTTTTCAGGCCCTGCTGGTCACGTCATTAGCCACGTGGCGCGCACGTCATAAGGGATCACGTGGGGTGATTTGGGGTGAATTGAGGGGTGGGCCTCACTGGAGCGACGATCCAGCACCGTAGTAGCTTGATCTTGGACTCTGCATCGCGGGTCTTTGCGAGCCGTTTGACCGGCGAACGATGGTCTCGTAGTCTGCACAAGTAAGGAGGATGGGCGAAGAGGCCAGCCCGTCGTTTAGGAAAGACGCGGACGCCTCCTACGATGATGGGTACAGCGAAGGAGGTTCCTTTAGTGGGAGGGACAGCTACATGGACGAGACCGAAGGCGGCATGCGTAATTTTGACTTCGATCCGGTGCGTGTCTGCGATACTGCAAGCGCGGCAGGCCGCAAGCTTGGACCGGCATCGTGTGGCACATCAACTTCCTAAGCACGTCTCAGTGCTGACTGACTGAACGCTGTCGTCATTTGCAGGAGCATCCAGCAAGGGGAGCGCCGAGCTTTGCAGGATCAGGGAAGGCGAAGGAGGAGGGCATAGGATCGCTGGCGAGGTACAAAACCTCGTGTCCCGTATGCATCTCCTGAAGCACCGACTCCAAGGCGGTAGCCGCAGTTTGCTGCTTGGTGCCAATGTTCAGGATGCATGCGCAAGGCCTTTTGGTTGGATAACAACGTTACCTGCACGATCAAGATTACAGTCCTAGAACACTCCCTCTCACCAGGCACTGCAATGGCAGGGCACTGCACCTGGTGACCGATGCACCAAACCATTGCAGAGAGCAGACTGGTATGCCCAGAGGAACTTACAGCGTACAATGCTGTGGTATGCAGGCTGGTGGAGGCCCTGGAGATGTATGACAACCCGCACTTTGACTCCTACGTGTCAGAGGAGCAGGACGGATCGCTGGGGGCAGGCCGGGGCAGCATCCACCCCTTCGGAAGTATGCGCCTGGGCGATGACATGGACGGGGATGACAAGGCGCTGCTTGGCGGCGGCGGCATGCGCAAGGTAGGCCGCTGACAGGGGCACACAATCGCCAGGCTTGTACTGGACATCTATGAAGTGGGCAGGGCGATTACTGCCTCCAGCTTGCAGCCTTATGTGCTCAACAGCTATAGAGTGTCAGTGTCCATTGGCAGCACTGGCGCATGATTGGGTGCGCTGTCATTGCTGCAGGGAGGATACGCAAAGAGCTGCGATTCCTTCGGCTACGCAGCGGAGATGAACCCAAAGCTCAAGGGCAAGAAGGTGCCTCTGCTTGACGAGGAGCCGACGGATGAGTATGTGCCGCCGCCCTTCAATGCAAATGCCCCCCAGGTGCGCAGCATGCTTTGATTTCCACACGCTGGCAGTCCCATCATATCTGGAAGGACTGTGAGCCCATTTTTGCCTACACTTTCCTTGTGCTGGTCGTGGCTGACTATATGCTTAGGAGTCTCTCGATCTAAACGCAATTGTAATATTGAAGTCAACATTGCATCGTGAAGCAGATTTGCTAGCCAGCTGGCAGGCTGTGATTGCTGATCATGTAGTCTTGCAACAAGTCACATCGGCTTGCAGCGTCCAAGGGAGGCGTGCTGTGAATCCAGGGAGCGGAGGCGATGGAGCGAGGTGAGAGCGGCGAGGGACTGGAGGGGGAGGGTGAGTGGCCAAGGCGGCCCTTCAAGCGCGGATGGAAGTTTAACGCCGTGGGCATGACCCTGATGTCCATCTTTGTGCTGGCGCTGGGCTTCTACCTGTGGGTCCGCATCACCAAGACCCTTGACCTGGGCCAGTACACCTGGTGAGCGCCCTGAATACCAATCAAAGTCGGACGGCATTTTGGCGTGTTGACAATTTTTGGCTGACACTGCAAATGCACCCTGTGCACCTTGTGATCCGCCCATGCATTGCTGTGGGTGCTTGAAGTGTAAGTTGGGCTTACATTACCCTAATCTTGAACTCTGAGTCTGTGCATGGATATTTCTTTCATGCTTTTGCACGTGTGCGCAAATGTGCTGCGCAGCAAGGAAGTTGACATTCTGAATTTCTATGATTGCAATGGTCAGCTAAGGTGCACCTCACAAAAGCAGCTCTTAAAAAGCTCGCATTGAGCAAAGCATTCTATCTGTTTCAGCTAGCAAAACTTTTTTCAATTGTGGCAGGTATGGGTGGATGGTGCTGATCGTGGAGATGCTGGGAGCCACCTCCACCATTTTGTATGGCATGAACATCATTCTGGACCCTGTGCATGAGAAGCTGGAAATGGAGGAGGGCAGCCCTGGCATTACAAAGGTGAGGAATTGCCGTGCACCTCTGCTTTACTCACTTTTCTGTCAATATTGCGTATTGCACTTTGCAATGCTGCACGGGGATGAAACCATCTGAGCGCTCTTTTCCTGGTTCCTGGTCCAAAGCAGCGTCAGGTATGTGCTCTGGCAGACCGATCGGTTGCTTGCTCGCCCATTTGTGTTGCGGGATCTTGTTTTCCCTGCATGCGTGGCTCTGCATGCTGTAGATGGACCATATCACCAGGTGCCAGCATGGATTACTGATGTGGTGTGTCCTGGCGCAGACGAAGTGGCGCTACCATGTGCGCGTGCTGGTGCCGTGCTACAAGGAGCCGCTGGAGATCACTGCGCGCACGGTGCAGGCGGCCTATAACGCCAAGCTGCCTGCCGGCTGCGACCTCACCATCTACCTCTGCGACGATGGCAAGGACCCCCTGAAGCGCAAGTGGTGCGCCCGCCTTGCCCTACTGACTCAGACATCATGCCACTGGATCACATGAAGGACGAATTAGCGAGAGTCACATCATGAGGTTCCTCCATCTTGCCTGTATTTCAGTACAACATGTTTGGGTTTACGGTAATAGCAAGGGGGAATTTATGGTTGGAACAGCGTCTCTCCTGGCCAGTGATGCAATCAAGGAAACTTGGCATTGCATGACAGCTGTCGAGAGCAATGTGCATGTGCGGGCAGGTGTGAGCAGATGGGCCCAGAGATCATCTACGTGAGCGGGCGCATGAGGAAGTCAGGCGAGATGAATGGCAAGTCAGCCAATCTGAACAACTGCCTGTCCCACATCTACCCTGTGGGCACGCCCATCCCCGCCAACGAGATCACCTGCATCTTCGATGCCGACCAGGTCAGCCCTCCTGATCGTCCTGTTAGATCTATCCAGATCTAAACCACATCATCCAAGGCCCAGCTTGAGCATATTTGACTGTCCAGACATGCTCTTTGCATGCTTGAGAAGCTTGTTGTGGGCATATCCTAGCAACAGGTCCCCTGCAGGCATGCTGACCTCATAACACACTCACAAAAACAGCTCAGGATGGCTACAGCGTGCTGCAATTAGTAGCTTGACTGGCTGCACTGCTGTGCGCAGGTGGCCAACCCGGACTTTTTCCTGAAGACGCTGCCGCTGTTTGACGCGGGCGACGATGTGGGCATGGTGCTGTCGCCCCAGGCCTTCAACAACCTGAACCCCAGCGCGGACATCTTCAACCACGGCAACATCCAGTTCTGGGAGTACGCGCAGCACGGCTACGACGCCCTCGGCTTCATCTCCTGCACAGGTGCGCATGCCACACAATCCCTCTTGGCTCTAGATGCTGCACATACCATGGGAGTGAGTCAGGGAACTAGCATCAACAAGTGTCATAATGATGTAAAGTAGTTGCTTGCTACATCACTCCTGAGTCACTTGTGGTGCCCCGCTGGGGGCATCTGGAGCCCTTGCAATGTGTTGTGTGGATTGCTTTGGCCATCTGAGGCAGCAGAGGCACGGACAGGCACCAGCTGCAGCATGGCAGCTCACGGTCCGCAAACCCTGCCCAACAGTCCTTCTGAGGTGCCCACTGTAATGTCTGGGAAGGCCCAAGTGGGCGATTGCACTACGGTAATCTGTTGAACCAAACAGCGCCCACGATCTACCGCTTCAGGGCGACTTGCGCCTGCCTGCACTCTACAAACTATGTGTGTGACCTGCCCAGTGTGATCTTCTTGCAGGCACCAACTTCTTGACGCGGTCGCTGGCGTTTGAGCAAGCGGGGTGGTCGCCGGAGTACACGCTGACGGAGGACTATGCGCTGGGCATGGAGCTGCGCAAGCGCAAGTGGAAGTGCCGTTACGTGGAGGAGTACCTGGCAGTGGGAGAGGCGCCCGAGCAAGTCAGAAACTGCTTCCAGCAGCGCTCCCGCTGGGCCAAGGTGCGCGCCTGTTCAGGCTTCTCTTTATCATCCTCTCTTGGGACCTGGTATCCAGCTGCTTGTCTTTCCTGTGCACAGCAGTACTTCTATTGCCTACATGACCTCAACTCACACTGCTCTTGTGCATGCTGCATGTGGTATGCATCACAGCAAAGTGGTATATACCGTACGGAGGTTCAGAATTATTTGAGAATATTCTTCAACAGAGGAGCCTGCGGGGTGAATGTGTGCTAAGCATGCTGTGCTGCGGCAGGGTCATTTCCAGATCGTATTGTCCAACGAGCACTGCCCGCTGTTCCAGAGGGACCTCAGCTGGTTCCAGCGCCTCATGTACTGCTCGGGAGTCTGGTCCTACGTTGTGGGTGCCATCACTGCGCCCATGTTCATCGCCATCCCCCTGGTAACCATCTGGGCCGGTGTCTTCCCCATCGTCGTCTCCTGGTGGGCCGCAGGTGTGCCCTCTCCCATCTCATCAACCCTTTATCGCAGCACACATGTACACACATGTCTATCATAGTTACTGCGGTTTGATGGCAGCTGCTGTAGTGTCCTCGTGCCTTTCTTTCATGCTGATGAATCTCCACACCACAGCACACCTTGCACTAAGCCTTGAAGACAGGTGCAGCAATGTCCAAAAGGCGATTGCCTTATTGGCAGAAATGCAGCCCACAAGCCTGTGTAATTGCAGCTGCAGCAATTGCTTTATTTGAGCAAACGTTTCTACTCTGCTCACAAGTTGCATCTTGACGGTGGTCTTGTGTGCTGCTGCGCAGTGGGTCTGACGGTGTATTTCCTGGCGCAATACATGGTGCTCAACTACGTGCGCAAGTTCAACCACATCAAGCCGCTCTGGTTTGCCAACGTGGCCAACAACATCCTCTGGTGGACCTTCGTCAAGGCCTGCTGGCGTGCCGTGGGGTCGACCATGGGCAAGGGCATAACCTTCAAGACCACGCTGAAGGGGCGCGGCATGCTGATCGCCAACTCCATTGGAGACCTGTGGATGCCCATGATCTGCTTCCTCGGCCTCCTCGCCTCCCTCGGTGCAATCCTTTCTGAATTGCCTTGCCAAGCACATTTCTGATGAGCCTTGTGCCATTGTAGCTGCGGTGCTAGGAAGCTCTGCTGCCTGCTTCCACCAGAAACAAATCTGATGTTTTGCATTGTTGGGGTATCATGATTATGCGCCACCCTTGCCACCAATGCTGTCAACATTGCTGTTTCAGTGAGGAAAAGGAGGAGTGGGCTCTCAGTGAGTGATTGGTCCTGGCAATGTATATCTAGGAACTGTCAGCAGCAGATATATTTTGTGCGGGATTTCCACCAGTTTACAACCAGACTGGTGTGTGAGACTGCTGATGCCCGCCCTGCAGGTTTTGGCATGTTCAAGGTGTTCACGGGGCCCACAGTGGTGACGACGCTGTCCATATCGCTGGTGTGGATCATCTACAGTGCTATCCCGCCCTACCTGCTCCTGCACTACAACTTCATTGGCCGCGGCGCCACGCTACGCTGGGCATGCACGCTCTGCTTCCTCATCTCCTCCCTCTGCGGCATTGCGGCAATCACCCTCCTCTGGCTCGTCTATCCCACGCAGGTGCGCCTCAAGCATTTGTTTGTCTTTATTCTTTTGATTGGCTGTCAATATGCTGTGGGTTTTACTTATGGCCTTGGCCCCGGTGCCCGCACACCCCAACAGACTAATATCTGCCATCATGATCAAGGCCTGATTCGCATTATATTTCAGGTTTCACCCTAAATATACCTAAATATAGGTGCATGGTTCAGATTACGCGACCAAGTATGCCATAGCGTGCACAAAACTGCACTAAATTTACCAGTGTCAAACTCTCTATGTTACATTTGGCCGATGGTGTGTGGTGACCTGCTTGCGCAGTATGACTACAGCGGCATCATGGGCATGACGTACCGCTTCTACGATGCTGAGCGGGTTGGCGCGCTGCCGGGCAACTACAGCATCCCCTGGCGCGGCCCAGCCTTCCTGCAGGAAGCTGGCCCCAAGGCGCAGGGCTTTGGCAACATGACCGGTGGATTCATGACCGGTGCGCAGCCGCCACGGCATGCTTCTGCCTTATGCTGCGTTATGTACGGAAGTTTTGGCATTGCTGGATTGCGTTATTTACCTTCAGGCGGAATGTGATTGGTGCTTGAACACTTGTCAAAGTGCTGCCCATGCAGCTCAAATTAAAGCTCCGATTATGCTAGTTTATATTTGGCTGCTTTTCCACGTAGAGGAGAAATTGAGAGACCCTAAAGTTGCTTTCCCTTTACGTGCAATGGTGTAGGGTGTAGGGTCTCACCTTGCTTTCTGGCTGAGCAGGTCTCATTTAAAAGAAGTGCAATGCATGTTGCTGAATCAATCTTGATTGCGCATCCAGGTGGGCAGGCGGGCACGCTGAAGATGACCATCCCCACGGCCTTCTCCATGACCATGCTGGCCTGGGGCATGCTCGAGTTCCCTCATGTGAGACCTCTGGCTTCCTGAAAGAAAAAAATGTGCAATTCGCTTGCTTCCTATCAACGTGCATGATCTCCTAGAGGGAAAAATTTACAGCACGCTCAGATGATCCGAGCCGTGCCTTTTAAAGAGGCATGCAGAAGTTACAAGGCAAGAGCATGCTGCGTCGGGATTCATGTGTGTGCCACAAAGACACCTGTGAGCGTATTCTCACTCATGTTTGTCGGATTGCAGGGGTATGCGAAGGCGAACACGACGGCTGATGGGCTGGAGACGCTGAAATGGGGCACGGACTACCTGCTGCGCACGCTGGCCAAGCAGACCAAGGCCGGGCAGCGCTACCCCGAGTACAACATTGCCTACCAGGTGCACATCTTTCCCATCCCAGAGGGGCTTCTCTGCAAGACTCAGTTCACTGAAGTATGCCCTTTTGCATGTGCTGGGCGGAAACCACTGAATTCTGTGGCAAGATGCATGACAAGACAGGGCAGTCACCTACGGGGCTCACTCTACTAGAGGTTGTTCTAGCACATGCAGCTGACTTGAGCTCTGCAGCAGCAGCAAGGTTGGTGATGACTTTCATGTCCAGCGGTAATGGTAGTTTGGGTGTATATCTTCAGGTGGGAAATTACTCGGTGGACCGCGGCAGATGGGACCGGCCTGAGAACTTCAGAGACAAGCGCCCGGTCTACTATGTTCCCACCAAGAACGGTGCGAGTCTTCCTCCATCAATCCCCTAGCTTGCGCAGTCTTGATCTCTTTGCAAATGTCCCCTCTAGTGCAATTGAAGGCTTTGTGCACATTACGAGCAAATCCAGGTATATTTGGTCTTTCAAGGGAGATCAGCGAGCCTATTTCAAAGCACACAACTGGCTTGCTGGACCTATGACATATGACTCAGCTGATGGGAATCGGTTCCCAGGCTTGTTCCTGTGTGCAGTGTTTGCGGCGTCGTTGTTATGCTGAGGTGAAGCTGTGGGCTTTAGCTAGATCCACGGTTTGAATATGTACTATGTTCGTGGCAGCGTTTTGGTGCTGAGATGAGGTAGTTGGGTCAAAACAGGCACGTCGGATCTTGGGGGCCAGATAGTGGCGGCACTAGCGTCCACGGCGATGGTGTTTCAAGGGGTTGATGACAAGTACTCCAACAAGCTGATGCGCGAGGCGCTGGACCTGTACGCGGCCGTCAGCCGCAAGAAGGGTATGTGGAGCGACCAGTTCCTCTACGCCTGCGCACCACCGGTCAGTCATCCGCCCTATTCTGCACCCTCTTGTTGGGTTCTCCGAAGCCTGCAGATGCCACAGTTCTCTGCTGCTTAATAGGAATTAAATGACTGCAAAATAACAATTGAGTATGGAGGTGCCCTGTGCATGCCTTTAAGCGTCCTTTGGGGCTTAGCCCTGCGCAGAGGATGCAACAAGCATCATGGGCTTCGAAAGCCTATTCCTGTCACTCTTCACCTGGAAGCTGAAGGTCCAATGCATATGCTTGATTGTCTGCCACCTACTGAACGAATCCCGCTGAATGACAGCGATTTCAGAGCTCTTTGAGTGAAGCTTGACGTTGCAAACATGCTGCAGGACCCGACGGCGCGGCTGAGCAACCCCATAAAGCCCTCCTGCAAGCAGCCAGACGTGGCTTTCCGTGGCAGCATGGTGTATTGGTACAACAGCACCAGCTGGCGCGATGACATGGCGTGGGCCGCCAGCTGGATGTTCCGGGCCTCGGGGGACCCCAACTATCTCAGCGACGCCTACGGCTTCTACCGCACCCACAAGGACCTTGAGGGCGACCTTGACACCCGCTACCTGGTGAGCAGCCCTTTTGCAGCCCTTTTCCCTCGGGCATATTATTGATATATTATTATCCATTAAGCTACGCTTGAATAAATGAGAGGGTATGAAGGTGAGCGAGCGATTCTTCTCCATGGCATGCGCAAGCATTGTTGCGCAAAATACCACACCTGTGTTCTTCGACAATGCACTGGCCACCTTATCATGCGAAAAGTTCTTGAAGGTCATATGGGAATCTTGACATTCAGCACTGGGAAGCCAAGATGCATTGACTGGTTACTGGGTGGTGCAGATTGACTGGGACAACATGATATACCCGACAACAGTGATGCTGGCCATGCTGACAGACAACCCCCAGTTCCACAGCGAGGCCCAGGCCTACCTCCAAAAGTGGCTCTGCAGGTGAATGCTCCCCACATGCTTGGCCTGCTACTCAACTTTTGGTACATTCCCAGGAATGCCTGTGTTTTTAATGCGCTTTCTAGGCTTGCCTGCAAGAAGGTGGACACTTGCACGGATGACTCCTTATGGCATTGTTTACATCTACCTATACAGAACAATGGATCACCCAAGCCAAAATTCCCATGCTACCTCAGTCTGAACTCTCAGAAGCTGTGCTAGTCGCAATCTTCATGTTCACTGTCTGGGCCTGTGCTTGTCAGGTACTGCCTAGTGCATCTATTAAGGAATGCCTTGGATTGTGCATCTCTTACAAGAAGTTTCATGCTGTTCGCAGCTCTGGGGACACGATAAGCTACACGCCGCTGGGCCGCGCTTACAACCGCTTCAACCCGGCGCTTGGGCAGACCATGAACGCAGCGCTCGTGTCCGTAATCTACGGCCAGGCCATCCAGCCGCCAGCCATCGCCCCCAAACCCTTCGAGGTCCGTCTCTCAATCCTGCATGTCTCAATTGTCATATCTGTAATGACTTTACGTGCATGCTTGCTTGTCATGCCTGATGCTCTTGGCGCCTCGTGTTGCTGTGGCCAGTGGATGCGTCGATAGATGGACTTCTTCTGTTGTTACACTTCCTGTTGTGTGCCAACCGTCAGCATGCCAAAGACTTGCACTGTATTCCTGAATCTTGTGGTATCAGCTGAGGTACTGTAGGAGTTAAAAAACACAAATTCTCAGGGAAGGGAGCCTTGACTGGCTTGAAATGACCCTGGGATGCTGTGTCTGCAGACGGTGAGGTACAGTGACGGGCTGAAGAGCCAGAAGTACATCTGCTGGACGCGCAAGCAGATGCGCTACATACTGGGCGACCACGACGTGTCTTATGTCACCGGCCTCGGCGCGAAGAAGGGGACCCCCCAGCGGGTGCATGACAGGGGGGCCTCCTGCCCCAGCCCGCCCCAGAACTGCAGCGCCATCACTGCCCTCTACAACCCCACCCCCAACCCTCACACCCTCACCGGCGCCCTCGTCATGGTGCGGCCCACCCGCCTGCCTTTCCACAACTTCATCTGCTGCATAAGTGTGGCATCGAGTGCCTGGCATTTGTCGGAAGACACTGCTCTTACAGATGTCCAAAACTTGAGCATGCGCAGAGCCATGTGCTGAGCGCCTCAGCTTTAATGATGTCCAGGCAGTTTGGTACCCTGCAGGTTGCCTGCAGATTGTGGACTTCTAACCCTTCGCTGTGCAATGCCATCCCGGCTGCTGAGGCATGCAGTGTGAGCGTTGGATCAGGATCTGTGCAATGCTCTCCGTGATGCTTTCTCGGGCTGACACATGCTGTGTGTGCGTTTATTCAGGACCCGCGCACGTGGGACTTCTTCGACGACAACCGGTCGAGCAACGACACGTGGGTGGCCATCGACAACAACGTGGGCCTGACTGGCGCGCTGGCCGGCCTCAACCAGGTCACGGGCACCTACGACCAGTGCCTGCAGGGCTACGGCATCCTCGCACGCGATGCCGCCATCTGCGACTCCCACCTCTAGACGCAATTTGACCTCATTGAGAGGCGCCTAGTAAGTGAGACTGCATGCAGCATTGTGCGCTCTGGCAAAGGAGCGGTGGCGTTTTCCGGGAATGCGACCCGGTGTGGATGCACCTTTGAGGTCCATTGCGAGTCATGATGAATGTCAGGGAACCCCAAAGTGTAGGAATAGAAGGGCTGGTGGCAGAGTAGAACCTGCAAGGCACAACATGCTTGTGGTGCTGCATGATGTCCTGATCGAGTCCTGAATTGTCCAGAACAGTGGCGTGTGGCCATATAAATTTCCTAGGTAGGAATCAAAGGACCTGAACAATGTGCATGACACCAGTATACCTATCCAGCATTCAATAATAGTTGACTTCTTTGCGGCTATTTGCCCAGGAGGTCTTATGCGACCTTCCCTCACAGGTCAAGCAGTGGGCGATAGGTTGAGTGGGTGTATCGAGGACAAGTAATTGATTATGTGACGGGGTTTGATTAGGGTGACAGGGTTGTTTGCGCCATCTGTTTTGCTATCAGACACTGAGATGAGAGGGGAGGTAGAGAGTTCTGGTGTGCATGTATTATCATTGAAGGCTAGAAATTTCCCGGAGCACTTCGTTAATTATTAAAAGGCTGTACGGCAAGTCAATTCTGACATCCTGATACGGACCTGCCACACTGCATTTTTTTGGCTTCCTTCCCTTTGCAAAATGGTCACCACATTTCAAAATTATACAGCAAGCGCAATATGTAGCAAACATCGCCTTGATCGAGAGCTCACAGTTCCTTTGGTCTACCAAATTCTGGACAACTCGAAGCAGTGACTACTGACATAGTGCAAAACCACGGGCGGAGTTGCTTGGTAAAACATGGCAACCAGCCCAAAGAACTGAAGCTACCCACTGCACAGTTTCAAATCAGTTCAATTCTTAATTCTGGTTTTTGCTGTTCTCCAACCCTCATGCACCTGACATATGGTACTGCAGAGTTCAAATGGACTGGCCCCTTCCTCATCAGACTGCGTTTGAGGATCAGATTCTGGACACCAGTTATCGGTCGCAATGGTGCTACCTGAAATTTCCATTCCACAATTGCTTTGCAACGCCCGTCGCTGCATAGTCGTCCCAGCCAGGGATGGCACTGGTCGCCTCGTTGATGACATCAATGAGTTTGCGCACCTGCACAGCATTCCACGGAATCAGCTGCTGGCCATTTTGTTTCACTCTTCCTGCTATGATCTAATCTCCCAAACAGTGCCTCTAAGCACCTGCTCTCCAGCCATCTGTATGCATACAGATTTGCAGATCTGGTCAGGACTACTGCACGTGGGATTGCCTGTAAACATGCAACATCAGCACTATAGTATGGTTCTTGTCGTAGCATGGTCTTGTATAATAATGGAGTTTCATACCAGCTCATTGCTGACGAGGTCAGGGGGTGCATCCAGGTGGCGCGGTGGCGGCACTTGAGCGTAGCTGCGCTTGTCAAATCGCCATTCCCCGTACTTTCCCGGCATGTGCTCCCCTGTCGTTGCATTGTAGTCCATGCCATACGTGTAGTGCAGCAGATAGTACCTGCACAAACATGACACGCGCCTCTATCCCAGAAGTCAGTCATGGGAGAAGTGCTGTGAGTAATTTGTCCAGGTACCCAAAGTGCCTGACGTCCAGCGCTCCATTACAGATCTTAATTCAATGCCCTGTTTAAAGCCATACAAGAACAGGGGTGTCCTGTACAGGTGAGTAGCCATGGTTTGAAATGAGCCATTATGCAAGGACTCTCCAAGCAGCTAGTCAGGGGTGGGCAGGGAGCTCACGGCCAGAGCTTGGTGTCCCAGGGCGGCTGCGCCATCATCTTGATGTGGAGTGAGGCCGTGGGCAGCCCCTCCATGTAGCAGGCTATGGTGAAGGCGTACATCTCCAGCACCCACCCCCATGCCTGAGCCACACCAGCACTCCAAACTCTCACAGAGCATCCTTGATCCAACCAGCGGAATAGAGGCGATACGCATGCGCTGTCTCGCAAAGGAAACATTGATAGGATGCAAGGCAATTAGCAAAGACAAGGACCGACACAAAAAACCAAGCTCTGAGCCGAAGAGTCCCCCTTTTACTTTTGAGAGCTGCCCACGTTAATCGGTGGATCCGCAAGCAAGCAATCACCTAACTGTAGAAAGACGACTGAAAATGTGCTCATGCCATACCTCGTGGGCCTCCTTGTCATCAAAGATGGCCTTTGACACATTCATCCAGGTGGGCGCCACCTTCCTCAGGCTCTTCAGGCTCATCAGCGTTGGAGCGTTACCTACATAACACACCACTTGATCAGAGCTTTTAAGAGTTGCGAGCATTTATCATATTCTCTGCTGCACGCATCACTAGCATCCCCCGCCAGATTGAACCTTTTCTCAAGTACCCTGTCAAGGGTGTGCTTGAGGAACGGAATTTGCCATGCACCATAGGTTCTTTGCCCCAGAGCGAGCAATTGTGGCATCAGAAAACTTGTCTTGTCTCAATCTTTATCATACACCCCTCTGCTCAGATGTTGACACCAACAGGACAGGTACTGAGGTACTTTGTCGAATCTCACCCATGGGCGCGATGGACTCGGCCTGCTTCAGAGAGAGGGGCCCTGTGAATTTCTCGGTCAGGCGCTGGAAGTCCTTCTTGGCCGGCTCGATGTAGAAGAAGGGGAAAGCCGCCGGACGGTGGTTGCCGAGCATAAGGTTGGGCATGGGCCGCAGCCACAGGTGGTCCGGCTCGCTCATAAGCACGTAGCGCTCGGGAAACACCGCCGTGCGCAGCCACTGGACGAACGCGTACGGCCGGTTCAGCACCACATACCTGCCAGCACCAACCTAGCTGTCAGCACATAGCTGATCACTAACCACTAAGTAAGAACAGAGTACTGCAGATTCCAGCCAGATCTGTTGGCTTCAAACGGCACCAGTGATGACAAGAGCATCTACTTGTCAGGGTTGCCATGAAGGTAACACTGCAGGTGGACATCAATTGAGCAAGCACATTTGGAATGCAGCCAGACACAACAGAATGAGGGCCTTGGCATAATGCAGCAGCATCAATCCAGCTGTAAAATATATAATTTCATGGTGAACTCGCCGAAATCATCTAAAGACCGCAGGCGAGCAGTAGCTGAGTGGACCCAGGCAAAAGCACAAAAATCGCAAATCGGCAAGACACAGCTGGCGGCAGCGCACCCCTTGTTGTCCCGGTCCTGCAGCGGCTCGACCACATGGGTGGGAATCTCATCCATGAGCTCGTCGGCGCGGCCGGAGTGCAGGATGCGCGTGAAGCCGCCCATCTGGCAGTCCACGCCAAGCTGCTCCACGCACTGCGCGCGCGTCTTGACGTACCAGTAGTAGTGCACGCGCGCCTGCCAGTGCACCGCGCTCCCCTGCGCCGTTACCACCACGTGGTAGCGCCGCTCCCCGCCCCCAACCTGCCGCATGTACAACTGTCCTGAACGAGTGTCACATGTGCGTGTGGGACAAGCTGCCATCCAAATGAAATGTGAAGCCCAAGAAAGCGGTAGCAAGTACAAAACGCTAGGATCTCCCAGATTTCAGTCTGTAGGTAGCAATCGAGTGGTCCAGATCTGAAACAGCACAGCGGAACAGCCGCATGCTCTTGATAAAGATCCATATTGACGCTGACGAGTCACCTGCTTAGGATCATCGTCCATGCTGTTGTCGACCCCGGACAAGCCACTTGTCCACGGCACTTTGGGCCCTGTCGCTGGGTTCACAGCCTCTGGGTGCGCCTGTCAGCCATAAAGAGCCTCACTGATCCAAATCAGCACTAGTAATTGCAGGTGCAGGTCCTTCCATATCCCTTGTATGCACTCTGCCAGCCTGAAATGGTCCATAAAAATGTGCAGTAACATTGAGAGCGAACAATTGTGATGTGTGCTTATGGGCCTGACAAGCCTAGGTTCCTCACCAGGTGCTTGAGCCAGCAGTCCCTGTATGATCCTTTGCAGCGCTCCTTGTCGCCGCACCACACCCAGACTGCGCAAAGCATGCATAAGCATCTCAGGCCATTCTTGGGAACAAAAATCGGAGTGAGCAGTATTAGAGGCTAGGCCCTTGCTTGCGGGTAAGGGTTTGATAATCATCTTACTGAGACTTATAAAACAGCACATGCGCATGGAATTGCATACCATTGCAATCCATGTCGTCCTCAGAGGCAGGGCTGTAGTTGGCGCATTGCTGACAGCACTCCTCCGCACTGTCTACCTTGTTTTGGGGACCCCATACAATTGCTTCGCCCCAGTAACTGCAGCAGTCCAGTGAGACTGTCACCAATATGCATGACCAGGACTGTGGTGGTGCTGACCTTGCCAGGCATGCACTAACTGCAGCACAGGTTGTTGGGATATCGCACTCTGTATTGGGCAGCATCTTGCAGATCTTCCTGTCCGAAGCTTTCTTATTAGACAAGGGTGGTTGCAGCATCTGGGCCCTGCTGCTGCGCGGCTGGGACTCTGCTCCACTGCTCTTCCTGGTCTCCTCTGTGGGTGCAAGCAGACATAAATTGCTTTGGAAATACCATAACCACACTCAATGCCGATTTGTAACAACAGGAGCACAAAGACAAGAATAGTGAAGCAGGATCAGGTCAGTGATTCAGCTGAGCTTGTTCAGGCGGTGGCCCAGCTCATAAAACATTATGCTCTTACTGACCTGTAATGACATTCCGCTGGCTTTCATGATGCAAGAATTGTGGAAGATGGCTGCCGATATTAGCTTCTGCCCGGTCCAAGAACCGTAGCCAGTCTGTCTGCCCTTCCTCTGACTGTGCTCCGAGAGATGCGTAATGTTGTGCGGCAATGCTCTTCGACAAGAGATTTATAGAAGAGAGTGTAAGCACAAATGTGATGACTCCGATCAGAAGCAGGATAAATCTGCCGTGCTGCAGCATCTTGTTTGTGCAAATACAGATGCTTGCTCCATCACAGATGCCGATCGTGCAAAATACCCCGCTCGAGACAGATTTGCAATATCAGAGTAGAACAAGGTTGTTTTGGGGACCGCATGGTGCTCAATCTGTGATCAAGCTGGGCAGAAATGAGCATCTGTCTGGCATGCGGCACCTGTCTCGAGGCGTTTCTGTGACGATTGGATTGGAGTCTGCCGGCGTGACGACCTCATCGTCTATTCTTGGACTGCCTTGCTTTTAAAATGGTCGCTTGCCTTCTCTTGTCTGGTGTGCCGTAGATCAGCGATATAGTTCAATATGCATTTTCGCTGGCCGTCCGTTACAGGCGACGGCCCTCGCTGATGCTGCCAATTCCTGCAGCGCAAGCACTATCGAGCCGGCTCATATTTTATTACAGTGTTGAGACCTGCACAATACTATACACAGACCAGGTCAGCACGAAATTTCCAGATGAGGCAAAGGATCTCGACAGGTCGTGAGAGGAAGACGGCACTGTGGGTTGTCTTCGCCACCGCCGCAGTTCTCGCTCTCCTTCCTGCCGGAGCCGTGAACTTTTGGTCCTTCTCGGTGATCCTTTCAGACGGTAGCACACAGGTAATCACAGAAGAACCAGAAGCTTTGCTGACGCAATCATATTACTGAAGCGCAACAGCAGATTGTGACGGTGACTGCAGACTGTTGGTGCCAACTATTCTGAACGTGGACTGTTTCGCAGGTGGTCTGGCCCGCTCTTCCATCTGCCCAATACGTGGTAGAGTATGCGACAGACGTGAACTTCACATCTGGCGTTCAGCAGTTGTCATCGCCTTCAATCGCTCCACTGTGCCTCACCTGCACAGACCTGACCACAACAGACCCCAGCACAATATCTGGAAGGTAGGCTCAGTCGCTTGTTGGGCTTGCAGGATGCGCAAAGACAGTGCAAGCATTTGTGGTTGATCAGGCCATTTTGCTCTGATGGATGGCATTTTGCTGTACAATGGAGGCACTCATCACTATAAGCATCGAGGTCAATTGGGGATGTGCATCTGCAGGCGCCGGCTGCTGGCGATAGGCAACTTCTACAGGGTGACAGCGGCCTATGCAAATGGCACCACCATGGCCATGAGCACGCCTCAACAGTCCCAGGACACCAATGCAGGTGATGACCAAAAAGCCACATGCCATTTCAAGGGTTGTCTATTTGTGTGGCAGTGCGCCGAAGTGTGCAACACGGATGCAACCATTCTGGACAGCCATGCAATTAAGTTTGGCGGTGCTGTTGAAATCTGTCATTTTTCTGGGTTTTACAGCCCCTGGGGATCCCTTCAGTGCTTGACAGTAGCCGTCAGGGCTCGGAGGCATGTTGCAGGGAAGCCCCAAGAACTTTGGCAAGGTAGTCTGTCAGTTTAGATGCCACCCCTGCTCCTGGCTGAACAAGCAAACGTAGTCAGAGTACGCTCTAATTAGCTTTTTCTGCTGCCAAAATGTCTTTTCTTTTCAGGTCAGGGATACCCTGGGCTATTTGCTGCAAGACAGGAGGGAATTTTGCCCTAGCCTGATTACGTCAAGCTTCAGGGGCAACTTGAGATCTCAGTGAACCCTGGTCAAACCCTGATCAATTCGCCTGATGTCTTTGCCCAACGCCCCGATGTGGCAGGGCCCTTGCAGGAGGCCTCGACACCTCCTTCCACATAGGCAAGCGACATTTGCACTGAACTGTTTGCATGGATTTACAGCAGCTGACGGCAATGATGTCTTCTGCTTGCAGGCACTGCGGATGTGACTGACCCGGGGAACTACTACGTGTACCCTGCCCCCTACGGCAGCACTGCCCCAGGCTGTGGAGACTGGACATCACCCTGCTCTACCATTGCTTCCGGTATTGCAGCTGGCATTTACAACCAGGGCTACCTGTGGATCGGGCCAGGTAGATCTCCTCTTACATGATCAGCGCGCACATGAAGCAACCCTTCAACCCCAGCACTCTGTGGTGGTTTAGTGGACTCCAGCCAGCCCTGTTTTGGCGGCGCATGATTGCTATTAGTAGAGGCTGTGCAGTGCTATTGGTGGACGAGAGCTATAATTGAGTTTGGATTGGTCTGAGCAATAGGGAAGCTTTTAACTTAAATGCTTGGGAACCCAATATGCCCAAATCAGAGTAAAATGTTTCAGCCTTGGGGGTTCTAGGATAGACTGCTGGTCCGGCCTCACTCCTTCTCGGTACAATGCCCAAGGAGCTAGGCAAGTGCCAAACACCTGTGGCTTCCCAGGGGTGCCAGAAAGCACTAGCTGGACCACGCTTAATGTAAGCTGAGGCCCTTTACAGTTCTGCCTGGAGTGCACTTCTGATCTACAGAGCACCATTTGCCGGTGTGCCAGCCATTCGCTGTGCAAAGGTGAAATTGCTTGGGTTGCCCAGAGGCGCAAAGAATTGCTGCCTGGGCCACCCTGAATTTTTCAAAAGGCCCTATCAATTCCTGACAGGCCCTGTTAACAAAGTATTAGTTGCCTTCCCGCACCTTGCAAAGAACATTTCTGCTGCTGATGAAAAGTGCTGCGTTTTATTAGCAGCTGCGGACACTGTCGTGACTTGTGCATGGTCAGAGCTGCCTGCACTTCATTCCTGCGATATGGTTCATGCCACATTTGCATGGATCTGTGGCATTTTCATCAATGTGTAGGATATGTGGCAGCCTTAGCATGCAGCTTGGCTGCAGACGCACCTTGTCTCTGGCAGGAACAGCGTGTAATCGTAATAATAATAATAGTAATAATAATAACAATAACTGAGGGAAGCCAACCAGGCGATGGCAAGAAGTGATCAGCCATGAGGAAAAACTGAGCAAATTAGCTGCTAATTGTTTCAAGCGATGCATGGCTGACACTTTTGTGGTGTGCATGCAGGAACCTATACGGGTGCAGGCAACAACGGCCTGACATTCGGAACTCCTGAACTGCGCGTGGCTTCCTTGGCAGGGGCAGCCCACACAATCATAGACATGCAGGGATCAGGCAGAGCCTTCTCGTTCACCACTGAGTCTTCTCTGACAACAATCAGCGGTGCGACACCATCTTACCTAATTCTGAGCCACCAGAGGACCCCATTCAAGTCAAATTTTAGGGTGCGCTGAGTCACAACGATGTGGCCATGGGGCGATGCCCTGATACCCAAAAGCCAAATCCCTGATATCTGTGGGTGTCAGTGGAATCCTGCCCTGATCCCTGAGGTGCCAGTCCCTTAGTAATAGCCTAGGGGCCGTCGTTCCATGCGTCCGTCAGTGTTTCGAAGGGTACCAGGCAAGCCCCAGGCTGCCCCTAACGTTTGACTGTGGCAGGCATGGGCAACTGCTTCTGCCTCTGTTATGTATCGTGCAATCTTGAGCATCCATGAGTAGAGGCAAAATATACCAATCTGGGCCAAAGTTGAATTTTAGGCCTTGCCATCTTTTGCATGTGGGTGCGTTGTTGTGAGAAAGCAAGCTCGGTGTTGAATTGTGTGCAGCTTGCAAATATGACATGACCGTTTGGGATGCTGGGCAAAGTCACCCCATTGCAAGTCTCTTCGGTGCAGCCCTTATTCTTCAGAATGCGGAGTCTGGGTAGCGCTTGACTGCCACAGCGCTGTGTGTGCTTATTTGGAGGCTCCTTGGTTAATCCCTTAAATGGCATGGCCATCTTTAAAGAGACCCTTAGGAACCGTCAAACTGCATGATATGTGCCATGTCTGTCGGGAGCAGAATGAATGTCCGCTTGAAGTGGCAGGAGAATCCATAGATGCCTGGACATGTAAGACTATCTGCCACTAATCTGCTGGTGCATCTGTGTGCAGGCCTTACCATCCAGGGTGGCTCTGCTACAGGAGGGGGCGCCATGCTGTTCTCAAGCAGCGCCTCCCCAGTGATCAGCTATGTCACCTTCCATAACAATACGGTGAGATACTCAGTCTAAGGGAGAAGAGAGAGAGAGCCTTACTTACTCACGGCCTTGTAAATCTGCTATAAACTCTGGTGTATTTAAAACCAAGCAAAATTTTTTCGTTGTATCAGATTTTTCACATGGCAAACGGCCCTGTAGTGCGCATCAAGGTGCATGTAAGATGATGCATGCAGATGTCCAGCTTAAGTCAGTATTGATAGTATTGATGTTCTTCTCACAGGCAGTGCCCGGAAGTGTTGGTGGCGGCGCGATATATGTCAATGGGGCAGGTGGCTTTCCGAGATTTACCGGCTGCACCTTCACGCAAAATGTGGCTGACAGCGGTGGAGCTATGTTCGTGAGCAGCTCCATCCTTGCGATTCAGGACTGCCTCTTTGACGGCAACTATGCAGTTCAGAACGGAGCCGGCCGTGGCGGCGCCATTATGAGTGCGTTCAATCCAACAAATTCTCAGCAAAATTCCAATAGTGGCTGGTCAATATAATTTTGAAAACTTTCTTTGGACTCAAATTTACAAGCTTATTCCCGTGTCACCTACATGGCATTGCAACCGTTACAAAACCTTCTACCCTTGGAACAAGCAATCTACACAAATTCTACACAATATATTCAACGTGCACAACATGCAATGATAAAGGTCAGTGACACATACACAAATAATGCGACAAGCCGTTTTCTTGATAACTAGAAGACATGAAAGTGCTGATGGATGATCTAGGTCTTTTGTGTATGTGCAGCAAGCGCCAGCGTTGGTCTGGGAATGGCAGACACATGGTTCCAAAATAACTATGCAACTCTCGATGGAGGTGCAATGCATATTGAGGCAACACTAGCACTTGCGGATTTCACAAACATCACTGTGATTAAAAATCATGCCAAATCTTTTGGTGGTGCCATTAATGAGGTGTCTTCAAACCTCACTTTTCGAAATTCGGTGTTCAACGATAATATAGCAGATCTATATGGAGGCGGCATTTTCACCTTCTTTGCTGGATGCTACATCTTCGACTCAGAAATTGTCGGCAACAAGTGAGCCAATAAATATCACAACCATTCAGTTTGTTTTTTGTTACAGTAAGCAGATATACTCTAGAGTCTAAACATTAGGTTGAAAAAGTCACGCGTGTTGCAAAGGGATTTCACTGGCTTGCTTTGAGTCTAGATACTCTGCAACAATGTTTTCCCGCAGACTGAAGAAATGCTGGCACTGCCCACCACAAAGCGTCACAATACAGATGCACATCAAACCAAGTTTTTTCTCAAGGCATGGCGTTTTTTTTGAATTTACAGGGCCGTTTATGGTGCTGGTGGGCTCAAACTTTTGCAAGGAGCCATATTAATGTGGAACACAGTGGTGGCCAATAACTCCGCTGCAGCCGGTGCGGGTATCCAGATAGATAAAAGTCCAGGTAGCGGCGGGGTACCACCAGCGGCTCCAGCATACCTTCAAGCAACCAATTCTATCATCCAAGGAAATGTGGCCACGGATACGGGTGGTGGCATTACAGCGGCTACATGTGACCAGATTGTTCTTTCCAATGTTACCTTCCGCAACAATATAGGTGCGGCATGTCAATCTGATGGAGTCCAACAAAGTGGATGCCTTGACCTTGTTGCCTTCATCATTTTAGATGTATGAGTCAATGATACTGATACTAAAGCCTTCATGATTGATGAAATTGATGCAGCAACAAAGGGTGGAGGCATCTATTTTGCTGGAGACGATGTCCCCGGGTCAAATGGAGTTGGCATCATAGCATCTCTGTTTACTGAAAACAATGCACAATCCGGTGGAGCAATGTACGCTGGTATTGGGGCGCGGGGACAAATTGCATACACCACCTTTGACAGCAACACAGCAAAAAGTTATGGTGGAGCATTGTTGGCAGATGACGACAGTCAAATTCAAATCAGCAATAGCGCCTTCACCAACAATGGCTTATATTCCTGTTACGATCCGCCGCTAGTGAGTAGTTTCCACCACCCTATTTTGAGTTGGTGAATCCCTTAAATTATGTTCTGGAAGTCTGGCAAGTTGACCGTACAAAGATGTACACCGAAAGTAGACATGCACCGGTCTTACGTTGAGAAAAGGGTAAACTTATCTTAATCTTGTGCAGACTGGAGGAGCCATAAATGTGGGTATTGACGAGTTCAAAGCTTCAAGTAACACCGGTTGCGGCACAACATCGGCGATTATCATGGAGGCTCAATTGTTGCTTGACAATTGTGTCCTTACAAATAACATAGCATCCAACTCCGGTGGAGCCATTAACATGCTTTCAGGCGACCTCACTATGCGGGTGAGTAATATTTTGAGCGTAATGATGAATTTGCACACCTTTCAATCTTTGCTTGAGCTTGACATAAGTTCATTTAATTTTGCATATTGCCATACACTCCTTTTAGAGATGGGCTACAACGGAATAATGATACAAATGTGACATTGACCACGTGCAATCCTAAATCTTCATGTTGGCGCATGTAGAATTCTATACTGCAAAGGAATAAAGCGGGTAGTGCTTCGTCAAGCTTTGGTTTGGGCGGTGGCCTCTACATGGCAGACAAATGTTCTGGAAGCTCTTGCACCTCTGTGATCGGCAAACTGACCAACGTCAACTTTACTGGCAACTATGCACACATGGTGAAAGGCATTCTTTTGCATACTTTAAGTTCCTGCCCAAAGCAAGAGTAACTATTCAAGCTAGTATTAAAAAGATATTCAATTAATTTTGCCTATTGCAATGGCAACCGCTTCAAATTTTGTTGTAGAGATAATTTTACAATCAACCAAAAATCCTAAAAAACTGAGTCGAATGCACTTGCAGGCAGGTGGAGGTGTACTATATAATGGTGACAATGTTGGCAGTAGCATCACTTACTCTAATAGCTCTATGTCTGATAATTATGTAGACTCTCCATATTCAGGCACAACTACTTTGGGCCTTGGAGGTGAGTGAACAATAAATCAGCACTAGTATCAATACTCATGCGTAGGAAGCATGCTCTCAAATCTTTGCAATCTTCGTCTTCAATGTAGCATGGAAACGCATGATGCCATACGCATACTATGTTAGCAACATGAACAATAGTAATGAGTATGTATAAAAAATCACGGTGGATTTATGATGATTCAATTATTCTCGATGTGTTGTAGGCGGTATATTGTTATTGCACAAGGGATTTGATTTCAGCAATCTAGCCTTTGGCAACAACTCTGCGTATTTTGGCGGCGCTATTTTTATTACTGCCGATCTTTCAACCAATGCTAGTATAGCTTCAGTGACCTTCCAATCAAATATGGCGTCCCTCGGTGTGACAATTCCTCCTTTGTCATTGATGATTTTTAGATACATTCAAGATATACACCGGAAAAAAGGATACACTGTCTAAAACTACTTTTTGCTCATTGATTACATTTGCAAGGAAAAGAAACTAATATATTTAGAATTTATACGTGCGCCTCCAGGGTCATCAGTGTATTGGTTGCGAGGCTCATCGCCCAACGCTGCGCTCAATTGCACAAACTGCTTTTCGCAACCCGATACAAGCATGGCAATTTCTACCGAACCTTTGACGATAGCCTTTGTTGGCCCTCCTCCATCAAATGTCGTTAGTGATCAGGCAAGTCGAACCCATTCATTTTGATTTGACGCTTGTGTATTTGAGTACAATAAATAATAAAAAACTCATGGCTTGATTTGGCCAACACAATTACCCGAAGCCAACTTTCACTACACTTACCTGTGCTACAAGGATGTTGTAATCAAACGAGGCATTGAGAATGCATTGGCACGGTTCATAAGGGCCTTGCACGGCTCCTTTAGAAACCGCAATGGACATTCTTGAAAGGAGATTGTGAAATGGCATTGAATGCAACACATGTATGCACTCCTTGTGAGATGTAATTATCGAATCTTTCCTTCGACTTAGGACATGGTTGAACGAACAGGTCACAGAAGTGTTCTCCTTGGGATTGCTAGACTACTATGGGCGGGTCTCAAGTGCCACAAACGGTGGGACATGTTCTATTTCATCACCTTCCACTGAGATCTTATTGACCGAGGTCGGGCGAAACGTTGTTATTCAAGACGGAATTTCAACATTTTCTCAGTTTCAAGTCACCGGTGCGTTCAAGAACCATCAATCTAGGAATATACTGTAGTACATATTGTACTCCAAGTTATTCAGGAGACCCATTTTCACTTTCACATCCGACTCGGAGATAAGAACTCAAATTTGTAGTGAAGGCTATTTCCCCCCAGTTGTTCTGGTAACCCTCAATTGGTTAAAGATTTACCTTGTATTCTTGGGTAAATCTTGCAATGCAAAACTTTGGAATATTGTTGGGCAGGTGGAATTGGAAATTCATACATTTTGGGTGCCATCTGTCAGCCTTCATCGGCTGGTCAACTGAGCTTCATGCCGCCTTCCCAATCGCTTTCGCCTCTCAGCTTGCCAATTACCGTGCAACTGTGCGGCACTGGTACAGAACAAATCGGGGCCTTTTGCAAGTTGTGTGACTTGAACTACTATAGTTTTGATGGCAAAAAATGTCTATCATGTCCCTATGGTGCGCCCAACGTTTGGATTCTCCATTTGATGAGAAGGTTCTGCAAAATCAATCAAATATTGAAATATGGCGGACTGGAATTCGACATAGTTCACTCGTACATGAAAACCATAAAGTTAGGCTTGAGCAATTTTTTTTACTAATTAAAGGAACGAAGATAAAGATGCTAGCTAGAAAATAAGCGTTTGATTTTTTTGATTGCGGTCTTTGTATAAATGCGGATGTCTCAAATTTATAAATGCTCATGTGCATAGGTGGATTTTGTCCTGGAGGAATAAATGGTGAGAAAACGCCCTTGAAATCACAAATGAATATGTGGCGGAGTAGCGCAAATGCAACACAATTATATAGGTAAGGCTGTCATAGGAAACCACATCGATGATATCACTATTCATCCATCATCCATGAAATCCAGCTTGCTATCAACGGAGCCATAGTTACTATTGTTTCATCACTATGAATGATATCCTTTACATTTTATGTGCCCTTATAGCTGCCCCGGCAGTTCATGCAAAGGAACACCTTCATACTCTGGTGACGCGGTGGGAGATGCAGCATGCTTAAACGGAACAAAAGGACCGGTTTGTGCCATTTGCGAACAAAACTACTACCTTTTTAGCGGAGGATGCTCGTAAGTTTGCGGCTTTGACTTCATTATGTCAAGTCCTATTTGCACACAATCCTTTGCTCATTGTCATGCATTCAAGCTATGATATCAACAATTGCTTGACTCCTTCATATCTGGCATAAATATAAGCGTACATTGAAAAATAGACAAATATTCAACGATCTGAGAAAAGTTTGTGCGAATTTTTGCAAGATCATGCGAAAAAGTTGGGAAATCAACGCTCATTGTGGCGGTGGTGCTTATCACCATTGCGTTGATTCTCATATTCATGTTTGATCTTCCTGGGAGCGATGATGTGGGGGGAGGCCCCATGACAAAGTACAAGCTCATTACAACACACTTCCAAGTACGCATACATTTGTATAAAACAATTAGTAGCATGTAGCAATCTTTAAAATTTTGCAACACCTTTTAGGCATTGTACTGCGGTTCCAATTAAGCTTGCGCCCATCGGACATGTTTGCTACTTCGTTTGTGGAACCATGAATGTCTTGGACTTTCGCACCAATAGAGGAGGATGGCTGCTGGATTTCAACATGCATTTTTTTCTTATTTATATTGTTATTAATGTGGAACGTGTGCCACCCAGCTACTTTCATTCCTCCGGGACTATGATGTACTGTGGCCAACGGCCACAATAACATTGTTTTCCTACTCCGATTCCCTCAATCTAGGGATTTCTGTGACCGCACCCGAGTGCTATATAAAGGGTTATACATTCTTCACCTTCTACATTGCCACCATGGCCATGCCGGTGCGCAACCTCTAAGACCATGAATGAGTTGCACGTGTTACAACTAAGTAATTTAAAGCTGTAAATATCCCTTTCATG